CCCCCCCCCCCTTTCAAACTTCTTTTCGTTAATTCATCTACAGAGCAACAAGAAAAGAGACAACACCTGTAATATACACATATACTACTGCTTCGGCCACATTCTCCTCGAATTGTACAGAAAGCCAGACTCTTCTGATGTGCCTAGGCTGATGAATTGATGAGGATATACTATGCTACAGGTCAATGGTTCGCCTCTGTTTGTACTTCTTCGTTGCTCTTGTCTGCACATTGTTCGTAAGCTGATTGCCAAAGAGCGGTACTTGCAATGTATCGGCGCCCGAGGGCGAAGCAGATGGTGTGGAAGAGCGCTTTCGCAGCGCCTCAACGAGTGTGTCTGGTAGCTTCACTTGGAGTATGAAGATGGACCCTTGCTTAGGGATGGCTGGAAAAGTCGCCCATGAGCAGTTGCCAATGAGCACTCACTCTCTTGGCGGCGGGGAAAGAGCGAGACACATCATATTGAACTCACTCTTTATTTGATTCTTGCGATTGACAATCACGAATGTCCCTTCAGTCTCTTGGACTGTGAGACCTTCGAGCCCGACCAAGGCGGGATTTGAGGCGCGGGAAACGACAATGGGCGCGCCGCACAGGTCTGCTTTCGTCAGCGTGGCCTGTACAGCTGAGACCTGATGCGGTTGCATGAAGATGCTTTGGTCATCCGAGAGCGAGAAGAGCTGGACGTTGGGGGAGCCATCAAGCTCGATGAGGTGTAGGAGGCGGTGCATGTAGGACAGCCAGAGCTGATGAATAGGTAAAAAGGATTCGTAGCTGCTTGGCAAGTAAGTAATGGAACATGTGGGTGTCCACATCAAGACACTTACCTGGTATGCTGGTCGACCTTGCCTTCAAGGCCCATTTGCTTCCGTTTCCTCCTGCTCAAGGGCTTACCGTCGTCTTCGTCGCGCTCCCCCTCTCTGTCCGCTATCTTCGAGGTAGTGGGCTCGTTACTGTTGACCTTCCCTGCGTCGCGGGAGTCTGTGAATCTCTGATGCGTGTTGCGTGTCTCCATCTGCCTAGCACGCTTGACCAAGCGTTGGTCTCTCCGTCTTGTCTTTCGATCTGCATTACTTCCCTCGGCAGGCTTCGGACGCGCTCGATCCGGATTGCTCAGCTGAACCCACTTGCCCTTGAAGCGGCTCTCATAATGTCCTTCACCCCCACGTTCCGGGCCCAATATTGAAGTGAGAAGTGTCTTGCCAAAAGGCTCGTCCCTTTTGCGTTCCATCTCTCGGTTCCCCGGCGCAGCGAACGGTGTTGAACGATCAGGAAAGCGAAGGTGAGGGCTCCCAAAAATTGTTGTCCGACTCCCGGCACTGGACCAACACGTGAAGCGGAATTCGTCTCAAGTCTTTCCGCGACTCCTCCTTCCAGCTCCTTGACTTTGCCATCCACTTCGACAAAGCGAAGCAGCATAGACGGACGACGATGGTGCGCGTCGTTGTCAAGGGAGGCGTGTGGAAGAACACCGAAGATGAGATCCTTAAGGCGGCCATCAGCAAATATGGCAAGAACCAGTGGGCGCGCATTTCTTCGTTGCTCGTACGCAAGACGCCCAAACAGTGTAAAGCGAGATGGTACGAATGGTTGGATCCAAGCATCAAGAAGACGGAGTGGTCAAAAGAGGAAGACGAGAAGCTGCTCCACTTGGCGAAGCTCATGCCAACGCAATGGAGAACGATTGCGCCAATCGTAGGTCGAACAGCAACGCAGTGCCTCGAGCGGTATCAGAAGCTGCTGGATGAGGCCGAGGCAAGGGAGAACGAAGAGGCCGGGCCATCGTCGTTGGGCTTGACAGGTCCGGACGGCGGCGAAAGCGCCCCAAGCGCCGAAGATGTACGTAAGCTTAGGCCAGGCGAGATCGACCCGGATCCTGAGACGAAGCCTGCGAGGCCTGATCCTGTCGATATGGATGAGGACGAGAAGGAGATGCTGAGCGAGGCAAGGGCTAGACTGGCTAACACACAAGGCAAAAAAGCCAAGCGAAAGGCCCGTGAACGCGCGCTGGAAGAGGCAAGGCGGCTAGCCATGCTTCAGAAGAGGAGAGAGCTCAAGGCGGCCGGTATCTTCACCAAGCCAAAGCCAAAGAAGAAGGGTATGGACTACAATGCAGACATTCCTTTCGAAAAGGCTCCGATGGCTGGCTTTTACGATACCTCGGAGGAGGCGTCTCGATCGACAAAGGCGCCAGTTGGTCAAACATTGCGTCAGCTCGATGGAAAGCGGCCCCACGACGAGGAAGAGAAGAGGAGAAAACAACAAGAGCAGAAGAAGGAATCACAGAGCAAAAATGGCAAAGATCCTTTTGCAGGCGCGCGAGACGAGCAGCTGAGAAAGCTCCGCGAGGCTGAGCAGATCAGTAAGCGAAGGAAACTTAATCTTCCCGAGGCACAAGTGGGCGAGAGAGAGCTCGAGGACATCGTGAAGCTGGGTCAAGCCGGCGAAACGACCAGGAAGATGGTCGAAGACGGCGGCAACGAGGCAAGCCAAGGCTTGCTAGGAGACGACTACTCAGCTCTGGATCGGGCCAAGCACGCAAGAACGCCCAGGACTGCTCCTCAAGAGGACACGGTGATGCGTGAGGCGCGTAATCTCCGCAACATGCAGGCCCAGCAGACGCCGTTGCTGGGCGATGCCAATGCCACCTTGCTCGAAGGTACGGGCAGCACGACAGCTCTGCCTTCGTCAAGGGGTCCTTCTCAGACGCCCAATCCACTCTTGACCCCTGCTCATGGTCCGCACGGAGAAGATCCAGGAGCAACTCCATTGGCCAGTGTGCGGGGCCGAGGCCCATCCGACACGCCGCGCACCGAGATGGGCGGTCCTTCTGCCACACCCATGCGCACACCGCTTCGAGACAATCTGGGTCTCAACGCTTCCGACGATGGCTATTCGGCCATGGGCGATGCTACACCGCGCGATGCAAAGCGAGCCGAACTGATGGCCAAGCGACAGCTCCAGATGGGCCTACGTGGTCTACCCGCTCCCAAAAACGACTTTGACATTGTCCTCGACGGTGAAGACCAAGATGACCAGCCGCCATCGGCCCCGCAGCTTTCTGAGGAGGACGCAGCCGAGCGCGACGCTAGACTTGCCAAGCTCGAGGAGGAAAGAAGACAGAAGGAGCTTGCCCGAAGGACACAGGTCGTCAAGCTGGGCTTGCCACGACCCGTGCTTGCCGTCAATGTCCCGTCGCTTCTCGCTCAGCTCGACGAGAGCACTTCCGGTACGCAAGATCCTGCGGTCAAGCTCATTCGAGAGGAGATGGTGAAGCTCATGCACTACGACGCAATTGTCCACCCTCTGGCCGGGAGCAACGTAATGGGTGGCTCTCAGACCAACATCTTGGGAAAGGCGATCCCGGATGAAAAGCTTGATGCTGCAAAGGAAGCTATCAGGGTGGAGATGGGCACAGCGCTCGGTTTCCCCGGTGCAAATGCTGAGGCGCTAAAGAGGTTGGTCAAGAGCCACCTCTCTGAAGACGACGACGACGACGAAAAGGGCGACGGTGCCAAGGAGCTCGAGAGCCTCGAACAAGTGTTGAGAACGTCGCGGGATGCTCTGGCGTGGGACGCGAGCTCAAAGACTTGGAAGGATGCCGAACAGATGAGCGCGAAGGAGATCGTCCAAGGAAAAGCAGCCCAGCTAGAACATGTCAAGTCGCTCTTGACTAGTCAGGCCCAGATTTGTGCAAAGGACGAGAAGCGCCTCGCAAAGATCCTTGGAGGCTATCAGGCCAGAGGGAAAGCACTCGGCGATCAGATTCGTGAGCTCTTTACGAAGCTAGAAAGCGGCGCTATCGAGCTGCAGACATTCGAGAGGCTTGAGCAGGGCGAGGAGGTTGGCGCCGAGAAGAGAATGGGCAGGTTGGGCGAAGAGGTCGGTCACCTCGAACGAATGCAGAGAATGGCGCAGGGAACATTCAAGGAGCTTGACGAGAGGAGGCGGCTCCTCAGGGACCAAGTAGCGCAGCTCGAGCAGGAAGTGGCGATGCGTCACGCGGAACGCATCAATGATGCTGCCTTGGCCATGGAAGAGGATTAATGAGATGACAATTCTCTCTATTTGTTAAAAGAATGAAATGCTACTTTTAAAATGGAATGAGAGGGAGCAGGAGATGGACCTTACAAAGCCGAGGTCATGGTGAGCTGCTTCGCGTGAACGCCTAGGACTGGAGGCCCTTTTGCAAAGAGGCTCTCGAGCTGGTCGAGGTATCGTTGGCTTCGGCCCTCGTCAGAGGAAGTCCCCGGCTCCGGAGCAGGAAGGGCAGTCAGTACGACTGTCGTCGTGGCGCCCGAATTGATACGAATTAATTCGCTGTTTCAAGAATCAGAGGGTTGGCAACATTGGACACAAGCAAAAGATTGGAAAGAGACTCACTTGAGGATCAGATATTGGGCCTTGTTCGGCAATGAATTGAAATGGACTTGCGTGGAAACGTCAACTGTGTCGAATCGAGGCAGAGACGCATCGCCGCTTTTGCTTTCCCTTTCCTGCCGGTCGAGCTCAGCACGAGCACGTAGACGATCTGAGGCTTTGAGTGTACCATCGTCGTCCTCGGCAGCTGACGAATACGACGAGCTATGCCCTCCCACACTGTCCGTCAAGGAAGAATCGTTCCTTCGCTTCCCTTCTCCTCGAGATCGATTTTCGCCAAAATCTTCTTCTCTGATCGGATGCTGAGTAGACCTCGGTGTGGACCCAAATGAGCCATACGACGCGCCTGCCTCCGCAAAAGCTGTGTTTGAAGACCTCTGGCCAACCGAATATGTACGCTGTCTTCGAGGGAGCAGCCGCTGATTCATCTTGCTCCGACGTTGGGTGCTTTTAGCACCACCGTACGTCCTTGTCCGCCGCAGGCCATTACCCATCGCGCTGTTGCTACTTCCTGCAGATCCGACCCAGTCAATATCGTCAAGGTTGAGGCTGGCAAGCTCGTCGCTCAGATCCGAGTCGTCGTCGCTATCCGAGCCACCCTCTTCCGACTCGTCTGTTTCGATGTCTGAGTAAGACGGAGCAGCACCGTCATCGAGAGGTTCAGCAGATCCCTCTTCAAGAGCGCCAGTAGTGCTTCTTGTTCTTCTTCTGCCACCGGTGCTTCCTGCGGCGCGCGATCTGGAATTCATCTTCTTGGCACGAGGATGCGCCAGCCCAATCTGCATGTTCCTCCTGAAAAATTCGAGGTGCTCAGCCGGCAAGCTGACGCCCAGCATTTTCTGCTCTCTCTTGCTCTGCTTGCGGCCAGCTGCCGATGACGAAGGCGACGCATTGTCGGGAAATGGCACTGCTGAAGCTCGTTTCTTGGCCGCAGCAGCGGCCGCATCTTTGTTTCGCCGTTCGTCTTCCTTTCGAAGTTGCTTCAGAGCTTCCCACCACGGATCGCCCCCCAGTGCAGCTTCGATCGAGGCCGGTGCCGGTGTCCGCCCGTGCACAATTGCCTGGTAGGACTTGATCGTGCCAGATGAGAGGAAAAAGACCCGGAGGGTGGCCGGCACACGGAGGTTGTCGAGGAGCGACCGCACCCGTCGTCTTTGCACGTAAAATGGATCAGGCTCCGGTTCACTGAATGATGGACCAGGGGCGCTAGCACTCACCTCTCATCTTCGACATCGGACTCGTACTCGACAAAAACGGACACGCGAAGCTTGTGTTTTTTCCAGCTGCCAGTCAAGCTGAGAATGGTGCCCAACTGCAGAATCATCGTGTACGAGTCCCAAGCGTGCGTCGGATCTGCATCTGGGCTTTGGATCTGAATGGGCCAGAGATCAATGTATTTCTTCTCTTCCGGCTTCTCCTCCTTTTGACCTCCTGCCCACCAGTTCCAGTCCCATTGTCGTAGAGGGGAAGATGGACTGCTGAGCTGCATCGAATCGAAGCCGTATGCGACGGCCAAGGCCTTCTGGAGCGCAAGCGTGTCCTCCATGATGCCGACATATGTGCTCGCCGTGATTGGCGTTTCGCGCCTTGCTACGTCTGTCGGCAGGATACGAGCATTGTTCGAAAGAAGCGAGCGATCGCCCATGTGATCCTGTACGCCGCGAATGGTGATGTCGCTCTCGGTGCTACTTCCTGCTTTGGAGGCAGTGGGTGAGGCAGCGTTTGGCGATGCGGCACCACTGGATTGACCAGAGGGAGCGGCGAGGCGAGCGACGTTCCGGATCGTAGAAGGGAATCCGAGACAGACTATGTTGGGCCGCATACCGCCTAGACCACAGGACAAGATGAGGTTCCGAGCACCCTCGCGCTCGTCGGGAGCGATGATGACGTCGACAAAGGATTTGATGCCCGAGACATCGACAAGCTTGAGCCAAGCAATTTGCTGTTTCCTCAGCTCGCCCAGGCACTCTCCGAACTCGCCCTTTAGAACGTGGCCCAAGACATAAAGAGCGCCTTTTTTGAGGCTGTTGCAGAAGATGATGAGGTTCCACTCCGTGCGCGGGTTGTTCGCCAAGAGGAGAATCTGAGGTCGCCAGTGCGTCACGCGACCCTTTCGCTCATCGAGGCGCAGGAGGTACTTGCGGACGATGTAGTAGTGGATATTGCGTGTCGTATCTCCCCATGGCTTTGGCGGGCAGAAGATGGAGATGGCAGTGAAGAGGAAGATGGCCAGGACAATGCATGCGGCCGCCCAGAAGGGATCGGTAAAAAACATGGCACCAAAACTGGCCAAAGTGCCTCCGCCAGCGGTCCAAATGTTCCAGTAGCGAAACGAAGGGCGAAAAGAGGGAGCGCCGCCGGCTTTCAGGGCCATGGTCGCAAAGGAGAGAGTGCCAAAGGTGAGGAGTGACGTCATCGTGACCAACTGTGCAATCAGGTTGACACTGTCGACGAATAAGACCGCCTGGCAAAATACCCAGGTGGCTACGACCGCGTAGGTGGGCGTGTCACTGACCTCGGTGCCCTGAGCAAAGATGTCGAGGACAGGGAGCAAGTTGTCTCGGGCGATGGCCTGGAGCACCTTGCCACATGCCATGACGCCCATCAGCGCCGAAAATGTCGTCGAAGCTAGGACGCCGAACGTGATGACCTGTGGGCTCAGGGCCACGTCCGAAACGATGCCTACGTCGAGGTAGAAGGACTCGCGAGCTATGGTGCCGGCAAAGACGACAAACGACATGACGTACACTCCATAAGTGAAGATTAGCGACCAATTGGTGCCCTTCGGGATGCTCTTCGACGGCTTTCGTAGGTCACCAGACATACTCGCCCCAGCGAGAATGCCCGTGACCGCAGGGAAGAGAACGCCAAAGACCGTTTGCCAGTTCTCCTTGAGAGGGCCTGTACTGCTACCTGCAGCGCCGCTTGTGAAGTGGGGCAAGAGGTTCTCCCGAAGCGTCTCGAGGCTCCAACCTGTATAAAAGGCGCCTCTGTCCTCGTCGATGAAGGGCGAGACAAAAACAGACGAAAGGGGAATGCTGATAATGGCGACACCCAGGACGACGGCGAGTGCTAGAGTGGCTCGCGCAAAGAGACGAGATCCGACGAGGCAGACCAGAGTCGAGACGAGAAGACAAACGCTTCCGTAGCTGAAATTCCACCAAGGCCCTTCCGGAAGAAAGCCATCAGGCCCTCGTGACATGCCGAAGGCGTCGGTGAGGCTCTCGACGAAACCGAGGACATTCATGGCAGCATTGAGTGCTTGTCCAGCGAAGAAGACGAGTCCAATGGAGCCGCCGAATTCGGGTCCAAGGGACCGCGATATGAGGTAGTAGGCGCCGCCCCCTCGCACTTGTCCATTCGTGGAGATGGCCGAGACGGACATCACTGTGAGTGTATCGACGGCATACGAGAGGGTGAGGAGGAGGAGCGCGCCCACCAGACCGACCTGACCGAGGATGAAACCAAAACGCAGGAAGAGAATGATGCCGAGGATCTGCGACAAGGGCTGCTTAGGCACAATGCTGGAGTAATGATCCTGTAGCACAGCTGACTTACATTGAGGCTGACTGGCATAAAGACGCCATCCCAGGTGCCCAGCTTCCGAGGCGGCATCTCGGCCTGGCTGATCATGCCTGCGCTTCGAAGTCTGCTCTGTGCATGAGGGGACAGGACATGATGTTGCCGGCCGTGTTCGCCATCTTGCGGGAGCAAATGATGATGAGGATGGTGATGGTTGTGATGGTGATGATGGTGATGCTGTTGATTATACCTTGATCTCATATCGGGGACGTTGCTGTTGCTTCGCGCCAAGTTTCTCTTAGCGTCCGATGGTATTGTTGTAGCCTCGTTCTTGTCAAAAGTCACTTCCTTGTGTTGATACTGGGCTGAACGATGCATCGCTGGCTGCGCATTTGCCTGGAGATGCGACGATGAATCCTCGGCGCTGTTTCGCCGCGTTCGATTTCCGCTGGTCGGGGAGGTGGCGCCTGACCGGGGACCTGATGGAGTCCCTCTTCCTACTTCCGAGGCCAAAGATGTTTGCGCCGGGCCTTCATCGGGATCACTCAGTTTCCTCTCTCTTCTTGGCTTCGAAGAAGGTGCGGGCACGGCCGCTGAGACGGACCGTTGCTTCTTCCCGTCTTTGTCGCCTCCAAAGGGCGAGGATGCCCGCGAAGAGGTATCTTGTTCGTATGTAGTCGTCGGTCTGCTCAAGTCCGGCCTCCTGCGTGAGGCCAAAGCAGGGCTCAAAACGTGCGCGGTATCACCAACCGCTGCGGTCGCCGTAGACCCGGGCGCTTGGCCCTCATCGGCGACGTTATTCCCCTCATCGTGCGATCGGAATTCTTGGTGGAGGCTCCTTTCCAGCTCCTCTTCGTCCTGTGCGCTGCCTTCCACAGGCTGGCGCTGGAGCAGCTGATGGTGCAAGTCGTCGAAGTTTGCGCCGCTCGTCGACACAAAGTGCGACATGGCTGGCGCGCTGGCTTGCTGCCCTCTGTGTCTTTGCGACGCGGTGCTGGAAAGGCTGGAAACCCGCCCACATTGAAAAAGGAGAGGGTGGGAGTAAGAGCCAAGGCCGTGCGAGACTGGACAACACACGTGGAGGCAAACCTTCCTTCTTTTGCACTTCCGGCCTGTGCTTCCTAGTCCACCTCCTCGCTCCCAGCACGCACAGCGGCGACGACAATGGCGGACCTTGTCGAGAGGGCCAGAACATGGCTTGCAAGAGATCCCGACGAGACGACGCGCAGCCAGTTGTCCAAGTACATAGAAGCGGGCGACCAAGAGGCGCTCGCGCAGGCCTTCAATGACCGGCTCTCGTTCGGAACGGCTGGCCTTCGAGGCCTCATGGGAGTTGGGCCGAACAACATGAATGTGGGTGGTGTGTCTCTGCGAGAAGTAGCTAGAAGAGAAGAGGTCTGACACCTGGCCCCTAAATCACGCAGCGCTTGGTCATTCGCGAGACAACAGCAGGCTTGGCCAGCTTCTTAAGAGAAGCAAAGCTTGACGATGGGCCAAGACAACGGGTCGTCATTGCTTACGATGGCCGACACGGATCAAAGGGGTTTGCCAGCGACGCTGCAGGTGTGCTTGCTGCCCTTGACGTTGATGTCCTCCTTTTCGATACCACGGCACCCACGCCCTTGTGCGGTTTTGCTGTCAAGAAGCTAGGAACCGCCGCTGGAATCGTCGTCACGGCTTCCCACAACCCACCTGCATACAACGGCTACAAGGTCTACCGAAGAGGCGGGACACAAATTAACGACCCTGTGGATGGCCAGATTGCAGCAAAAATTGCAGAGGTCGCAGCCCAGAAAGAAGCGCCCGCGTGCCTCTCGCTTGAGGAGGCGAAGAAGCTAGGCAGACTCGTCTACCTTTCTCAGGAGATGTTTGACGACTACATCAACAGTGTCCTTGTCGGTGTTTCTCCCTTCAAGGTTATATCTGGTGATGCTGGTGCAAGCAGCCGACCTGACAATGCAGTCGAACGGGCCAAGTTTGGCATCGCATACACTCCTCTGCATGGAGTAGGAGCGCCCATCGCAGAAGCCCTGTTCGCAAGGCGCGGTTTCACCAGCGTCTGGACTGTTGCAGAGCAGCGGGAGCCCGATGGTAACTTCCCCACTGTCGAATTCCCCAGTGAGTTGTGAGCTAGGAAGTCCTTCCCTATGCGACGACGCAGCGACGCTAACTCGAGGTACAGACCCAGAGGAGCCAGGAGCGACGGACCTTGTCATGAAGCTTGCCGATGCTCACGATGCGCAGATTGCCATTGCAAACGACCCGGATGCCGACCGGCTGTGTGCATGCGCCAGGGACAGCTCGGGTCAAATGCGGCAGCTGACTGGCGACCAGCTGGGCTCGCTCCTCGGCGATGCACTTCTCGAGCGGGCCGCATCGCAGGTTGACCCACGAAAGACGCTGGCCGTGCGGAGCACCATTGTCTCGTCGCGAATTCTGGCTCGGCTTGCTCAGAAAAGGGGCGAGCGAGTCCAGCACAGGGAGACGCTGACCGGCTTCAAGTGGCTGGGACCTGCAGCCGAGCGGGCGACGCAAAGAGGCGAACAATTCGTTTTTGGCTACGAGGAGGCCCTGGGGTACATGGCCTGCGACGTAGTGTATGACAAGGATGGCCTCTCCGGACTCGTCGCCATTGCGGAGCTGGCGTATGCCCTGTACAGGCAAGGCTTGACGCTGTGGGATCGCCTCGAGGAGATTCATCGCGCCGTCGGGCTGAGCGTCACGATGCAGCGAACCATCAAGCTCCAGCCAGGGACGTCAGGAAGCACGATCATGAAGCGCTTGCGAGCCGACAAGCCGCAAAAGGTGGGCTCATTCCCCCTGGCCCTTGTCGATGATCTCATCGAGAGGCCAACAAAAGCAGAAGCTGGTGAAGAGCACGTCCCTCGCAATGATGTCTTGCGATACTACGTTGGCACACCTGAAGGCCGCCACACGAAGGAGGACATTATGCTGTCAGCGCCACGGATCATCGTCAGACCTAGTGGGACAGAGCCAAAGGTGAAGATCTACTGCGAGATGCTCGGCACCGTTGGCGGTGACGAAGCTTACGACAAGGCCAGTGCTAGGGTGACCAAGGATCTCACGTCGATCGTCGATGCATTCCACCACTGGATGAGCGGCGAGACGCCACCGAAAGCGCCTTCAACTAGAGGCTCGCTCGTCCAACAAGTGTTTTCGGCCTTTCCCATCGTCAATTTTGCGCCGGCACAGCTGTCTCAGACATTCCCCAAGAAGCACACAACGGTCCTCTACGTTGCAGCTTCGCATCCAGGCCCGCGAAAGTGGGCGAGCAGCGATCCCAGTTGCCTGGCGTGGCAAATGCAGCTTCTCTTCCGTGGCGTCGACTTTGTATGCGAACATGTCGACGAGGACACTGAGCTGCTTGGGGGGCTTGGAAAACTGCCGTTCGTGGTGCTGGCCAACGGCAACCGTGTGGGCAAGGCCCAGCTAGGCAGGTGGGCAGACCATTTTGCGCCTCTACACCGCAATGGGCCCTCCGATGAGCAGCAGTTGCATTCGCCAGAGGTCGCACTATGGGAGAGTCTCATTGGTGGGCCAATCCTTGCTGGTGTCCTACTCGAAGTGCTCAGCCTTCCAAGACCACCAAGCAAGCCCCTTCCTACGTTTTCTGGTTTCGTTCGTTCCTCGTTGGACACCTCCCGTCGCAAGCGAATGCTTGCAGAGATCAGCGCCCTGCAACGACATCAAACGGGACCGACAAGCAGGGTACCAGGCTGGAAGACGACTTTAGAGGGTCTCATTGGATCAGGCCCCGCCTCAGTTTTTTCGACGGGCTCTGCGCCTGATGAGGACGAGGAAGACGAGGACACATGGTCGGGCGAAGCAGCTCTCCTCGACGAGAGAACGATCCGTCGCGACGCTGTTCAGGCCATCAGGGCGCTCTCTGGAGAGCTTCAAGACGAATGGAGAGATGTCGAGGAAGCTGATAGGTGGGTGGACGGGCAGGGGCGTTTGGACGCTTCGCTATTTGCCATCCTCCACACGATTTTGTCCCTGCCCATTGACTCGGTCTCGGAGCTGCGGACTGCAGTTCTCGAGGAGCCTGTGCTCACCAGCTGGACGAGGAGAATCTGGTCCAAATATGTAAAGGCAAGAGGTGGCTAGCCAATCTGTATGCTCCGCGAGAGAGAGAGCTCGTAGCAACAATGACATTCTCAAGCGCACCATCGGAGCCTCGGAGTTTAGCACGTGTCTAGCCGTCGCATGATGGATCGAAAGCTGGCTTTCCTCTGGTAAAGGCTCACTTCGTATCTCTGCTTTCTTCCATTCGACGACGAAGGCCCGGCGCAGCTATCGTCGGGCTCCGATTGTGCCCTTTTCTTCCGCATCAGGGAAGGCAATCGCTGTCCCAAGCCGGCTGAATCGGACCTTTACTTTTTGACAACCGCCTTCCCCCCCTTTTCCCCTCTTCGTCCGAATACCGCCGACCGCCGAAGGAGTAGGGCTATAGCGTAGAAGAGGCATTTAATTATTTTTTTCGACAAGCTACTCTTGCATCCACCCGCCGGAATCTTGACTCATTGACATCATGTCGTCTCACGGCGGCGGCGGTGGCGACGGCGGCGGGCCGTCCTGCACCCGATATCCAGCCTCGGCCACGGCTGTCATGGTTGGTGCGCGGCTTCCTGATGCAGACTTTCCAGTCAGCTGCGGCAGCAGAGGTGGCAACGCAGCGAGCGGGTCCTCGGACTCCGTCGCGGGAGGCGGCAGCACAGGCCTCGTTTCTAATCCGGCCAGCGTGATTGGCGACGACGAAGACGACGACGTAAAGGAAAGCGGCCGTGGCTCCTTGTCATCAAAGAGGCAACGAGTTCATTTTTCGTAGGTGTCCACTCTTCCCGCTTGTGCTGCTGCTGACTCTTTAACTCCGACGGTCGTTCAGCTGCACAGAGTGTCACCGGAGAAAGCAAAAAGTGAGCCTGTTCACCGCCTAGCCATCGATTTGTCCCCTCCCCCTCCCTCTTTTCCTCTTCCCTTCTCTAACAGCGTGAGCTCCTTGTCGTCGCAGTGCAATCGCCAGACGCCGTGCCAGCACTGCATTGCTCGCAAGATTCCTGAGCGATGCAAGACGTTCCAGCCGGGCGAGGACCCAAACGACCTCGGCGCGCGCGTCTCGCGCCTCGAGAGAATGATGCAGGACAACTTTGGCAAAATCTTTTGCATGCTTAGACCCGTTGCCGGTGCAGGCATCCAGGAAAGGGAGAGTTTGAGGCAGCCCCAGCCGCCGGCGCAGCAGGACTGTCACGCTTCGAGTAAGAGCTACCTGGACAGCGGGCATGCCCATTGCAGTGCGCAGGCGAGGGAGGCACTTGACAAGGGCGAAGAGGTCACGGATCGCGAGCGCTTCTACCCCGACCAGTTTACGACACCGGCACCTGCCTCGTCGATGAAGATTGACAGTCTTTTGGACTCGGTGAGGCCCAATAATTTCCCCCGAAGGTGACACTCAGGCGGCTGAACGCTACTGCTTGCGTCTTGGCCTCAATACAGATCTCTGGCACAAATCAGGCTGTGTTCACCGACCCTGTGCGTTCGATACAGAGCGGCACCGATCTCGACGCCGTCATGTTTGAATATGGCGCTTCGGAGAGCACGTCGCAGCCTCTCCTGTCAGCACTACCGCCCAGAGAGCTGGCTGACGTCCTCTTTGAGCATTTTGTCAACGACATCATCTGGCTCAGACAACCGATCCCGCCACGAACCCTCAAGGTCAAATATGACGCTCTGTGGGACAGTGGCCCGACGTTGACGGCCAGCAACATTAACATTTATGCCGTCATGATGATCGTTATGGCCATGTCGATGCTCTCCGTCGAACGCCCTGGTATGGTCCCCGACGATCCGAGGGCCATTCGACTCACGGCCCGTAGGCTTCACTACGCCGGCATGCGCGCTCTCTTGGTCAGCACGATGCTGGGAAGGGAGGACCTGGATCAAGTGATGGCCTTTGCCCTCTCTGGCCGTTTCCTCGTTCTCGACCGTCGCATCATCGAGGCGTGGACATGCGTGGCAAATGCAGTAAAGGCCGGCCACAGCATCGGCCTGCACCGCGACGGCAGCAAGCTCCACCTCCCTCCTGCCGAAGCAGAGGAGAGGCGAAGGGTCTGGTCCTCTCTTTACTTTTCAGAGAGGATGCTCTGCATGAATCTCACCCGCCCAACGGCCATCGATGAGTCGGTTTGTGATGTCGAGGCGCCTTCGGAAAACGACAGCGACGTTCTGCTACCCGATGCAATGAGGGCCTCCACGCCGCCGCAGCTGCCTCCTGGCGTCGACCGACCCACACTCATGACCTACAGCAAGCACCGCCATCGCCTGGCCCTCATCATGAGCCGAATCGTCTCTGCATATCAAGCTCTTGATCGACCGGCTCATTATACCGACATCACCTCGATCGATCGCGAGCTCCTCGATTTTTATGAGTCGCTTCCTTCTTACCTGCAAGCCCGCATTACTAGGGATGGCAAGGTAGAAAAGGACTCATCGCTAGATGCCGCATTTCCTTATATTCCCGTACATCGCTACTTGCTGGGCACCGAGGTGTGCTTTGTCCGCTGCGGGCTCCATCGGCCCTATCTCCTGCGCTCTTCGGGCAAGCAAGGCGAGAGGTACATGTACAGCCGCAAGGCTTGCGTCGAGGCGGCCCACCATGACATTCTACTTCGACAGGATTTCATCATGGACCTCCGGGCCAAGTTTGGTGAAGGATGCGTGCCCCTAGCATACTCTGTTCACATCGGCACGGCCAAGTGGTTCAACTCGCTTCTCATCTGCAGCATCTACGTCCTCATGGACCCGCACGCAGACGACGCGCCCACCATGCAGGGCCATCTGGAGCGTTTCCTCACTTTCTTCGAAGAGAAGAAGAGGAAACTTGAGGCGCGCGACGAGATGAAGGAAAGGGAGAAGCAGATCATCAAACTCTTCCTGAATCGCATCGATGAGCTACGGAAGAAGGAGGCAGCCAAGAAAGGCAACAACAAGAGGGCACCGACGGAAGATCATGGCACGACGAGGAAGACCAAAAGAAAGTCGAGCGGCTTAAAGAATGAGACGAGTACCTCGTCGTCTACGGACGAGGAGGGAGATGCGCATGCCACGGCAGGCCTACTCCTCGGTCTTCAGCAGCAAAAAGTTGGCGGTTCTTCGCCTCCCCCTGCGTCTTCTCGCTCGTCCAACAAGACATCGCCCAACTCTGGTCTGCGCCAATCTTCCGGCGACTGGTCGCCCAAGAGCCTGCCTCCCTATCTGCAGGGCCAAGGCGTCAGCTCCGGAAGCTCTGTCCACAGTGCTTCTCCCGGCACGACTAACAGCAGCAGCGACGATGCTCAAGCCATCTTTGATGCGTGGTACACCGCCGAATTCATTGCTGGAGGATCTGTTCTCGACGCCGCTTTTGGACAGCATCCACCCTCTTTCTCGGGCAACCCTGGCAATTCTGCTGGCGGCGGTAGCGGTGCCGGCGGTTTCAAAGTCTCGCAGGCCATGCCCGCCAATGCCTTTGAGATGATGGATATTCCCAGCTCTAACTTGATCAACTCGACACCGGCTGCAATGTCTCCTGGCGCCTTTCCCGGGAACGTGTCATCATCTTCCTCGTCATTTCAGAGTCAAAAGGCTGCCGAAGGACCGGCTTTGTCAACAAATCCCTACACCCCTGCCTCGTCTACTTCCATGCCCGGCATGCCTTCGTGGCCCGAAGCGCTAGCTGCGTCATCTATCAGCGCCCCTGCGGGAGTGGCTTCTGCAACCCCAGGTGTGGTTGCTGCTGGTGCTGCTACTGCGGCTGGCGGTCAAGGAGCATCTGCCAATGACCCCGCAAGCTTCGATCCGAACTTCTGGCAGCACCTGATCAACAAGATATCGGGCTAAACTTCGTTGTACCTCTCTTCCTCTTTACCCCTTGCCATTATATTGTATCTTGATAGTACCATCATTTTCTTTCCTCCTTTGTTGTCAGATTGATTGTAATGGAAGCTTAATCTACCGGTAGGTCCTTGCTTGTGTTGATGATGGCCACGTACGCTGTTCGCTCCGACTGGACGCGCGGCCGTCCGGTCCTGTCACATTAGTGGCTTTTTTTTTCGCTCTTTCCGTTTGCTGCTGCAAGCTCAAATTTTTTGTCGTCGTCGCCCTGTTCCGTCTGCAAAAGCAACTCGACGGCACCTGCGCTTTTATTGCGCACCTCGTCGGAGAAACCCACGCCGAGGCCGCCCATCTCTACTCCCAGGCGTTGACAGTCCTCGCTCTTACCACAACCACATAGACACAACGCGATTGAAAGTATTCGTCTTCTCTCTGACAGGCTTCTCGCCAAAGTTGGCATCTCCGTTTCGCTGTCGCGTGGCTTCCCCAGCCTCTTTCTCCCCCGCCCCCCCTCTCCTTCCTCTCGGTCCGAGGACTGGGTGGCTCTGCGTCTTCCTCTTGACAGAGGTTAGATGCCCAATCCAGGCGACGGCGCAGAACACCGACCAGTAGACTCTCAGCAGCAGCAGCAGCTGTTGCTGCGCCAGCACCTGCACCAACAAAATCACCAGCGCGACGACGAAGACTCGCGCTCAGCCTCGTCGTCTCCTCTAGATCCTGACAGCGCTTCGTCATCGCTTGAGAGATCGCCTCGGCGTCGAACTGCCTCCTCTGTCTATCTGGATCTCGAGAGGGCTCAGTGGTGACGGAGCAGGAGCGCACACTGCCCGAACAGGTCGTACGCAGCTCGCCGCAGACGTCATCGTCGTCATACGCTCCTCCTCCGCTGTTCCCAAAGGAGAGCAGCAGTAGCAAGAGCGACAGCAGCAGCAGCGCTGGGCCCTCATTGCCGAACCGCGGGCACGGCTACTATCTTTCCACAGGCGAGAGGGGTGGCAGCGGGCTGTCTTTCTACAAACGCCAGAAGACTTCCTCGCCGCCGACTTCGATTGACGAAGGCGACGACACGCAAGACGGCGACGCAGAGGGAGCGAGCGACAAAGGATCTTCGGTGGTGGCTGGAGAGCAACAGGCTGCGTCACTAGCATCATCCCTGAGCAGAGCGAGCCCGAGCCATCGCCAGCGCCAGGTCCCCAACCACGGCAATAGCGGTACCACCACGCCGCTGCGCTTCTCCTTCGGGAGCACTTTTACAGTAGGGCAAGGTCACGCTTCAGGCTCGAGCCCAGACTCACCCATGACGACGACAGAGGACGACGCATCCCTGCCGTCGTATTCGGAAGCGATGGAACAGTCGGTCGAGCTGCGCCCGCACTCTCCAGCGCCACCTGCTTCCGATTTGGCTGATCCGGCACAACTCCTGTCGGCCGATGTGCCTCCGAGCGTCCAACAGGCACCGACACCTTCGGAGCAGCTGGCAAAAGTAAAGGCCTCGAAAGACTTGCCGCTCAAGGAGGGTGACGCTTGGGCCGTCCTCCAGAGATCCTGGCTCAAGCGCTGGTCGACAAAGTGTGCAACGCTGGACGAGGCAAAGGGCAAGGCCGATGTTGAGGTTGAGGAGCTCGAGGTGGGAGCCGTGGAGACGGCAGACCTGGCTGATGTGGCGCATCCCGGTGCTTTGAAGACGGGCATCGAAGAGGGCATCGATTTTGAAGTCGTTCCCAGCGAATTGTTTGAGCTCTTGACGAGGTGGTGAGTGGCGCCGAGTTAGAATTTGTAGCGAGCGAAGGGGAAGCTAAAGTAGAAAGCCAGGTATGGGCGGCGAGGACCATTGTTCGAGCGGAAAGTCGTCTCGATGCCAGCCTCGGATGCCTTGCGGATCGAGCTGTACCCGCCAGTCTTGGAGGTCTACCCGATCCTTGCGCCAGGCGCGTCCAGAGGAGCGAGCACAAGCTCCGGCGTCATCGTGACGAGCCTTTCGACGTTGAAGAGACTAGGCGACGTCAAGGCGGCCGTTCTGAAGCAAATGTCCGAAGCCGAAAGGAAGTCGCTCGGACCAAGCGAAATGCGCTTCTGGAGGCTCCCTGCCGATGCGGCCATCTCAAGCGATAGTCAGGGTAGGGCCGAGCCAAGCATCGGTCCATCTGTGCCGGCAGAGGCGCTGCAGGCACCGGGCGTGGAGCTCATCGCTGAGGACAAGGACACGTTGACCTTGGCCGAGCTGCAAATCGATCAGGCCGTTGAGAAACTCGCTCTTGAGGTCCGTCAGAAGGGCGCCGCCTGGACTTTCGACCAGGATGGCAAGCTGGTGGCGCCTGCTACCCAGTCGGTCAAGGGCATCTTTGCGCAGGACGGAGGCGACTATCTGTCCAAAATGCAAGCCAAGCAGGCCGAGTCTACCGACGTCTCTTCGCTCCCGATATCTCACCAGCGCGACGACGCCAGCCCAAGTGCGAGCAGCAGCAGCATCTTTGGATCGACCCTCGGCCGCGTCACGCGGTCCCAGACTGCAGCCGACCGAGGGACTGAGAAGCAGCATGGGACGACAGGCCTATACAACCTTGGCAATACATGCTTCATGAATGCAGCGCTGCAGTGCATGTCCAACACTCCCGAGCTCAAAGACTACTTTGTGACGGGCGTCTACAAGAGCGAGATCAATGCAGACAATCCCCTGGGCATGGGTGGCGCCATCGCAAAAGTATTTGGCGAGCTCCTCACCAAGCTCTGGAATAGTGGGGGTGGGGCGTGGCACCCTCGCGAGTTCAAGATGGTTCTCTCGCGATTCAGTCCGCAATTCATTGGCTATCAGCAGCAAGACACGCAGGAGCTTCTTGCCTTTCTCCTTGACGGGCTCCACGAGGACTTGAATCGCATCGTGAAGAAACCCTACATCGAAGCACCCGACTGGGAAGGCGGCGGCATGTTGGAGATGGTGAAGTTCGCCCGAAAGCAGTGGGAGATCTACAAGCTTCGCAACGATTCGGTCATTGTCGACCTGTTTCAAGGACAATACAAGAGCACGCTCGTGTGTCCCGAGTGTGGCAAGGTGTCGATCAAATTCGACCCATTCATGTACCTCACACTGCCGATCCCGAACCGCAAGGTGATTTCGCGCAAGTTGACCTTTATCCCCTGGGACCAGGGCAAACCCATCCGTGACGTCAAGTTGCGCGTCACTGGCGATTCGTCGATGGGCAAGATCAAGGAGAGACTGGCGCGATGGTTTGACACCGACCCCAAGCAGCTGCTCATCGTCGACTTTTTCAAGGGTTGCTTCTACAAAGTCTACAGCGACTACGACAGTATGTTTGAGGTCGCCGATTCGGACATTACCTTTGTCTACGAAGTGCCGACTGCGATCAGGTCGGTCGCACCCCCTCCTTCCCAATTCTCGTTCGGGAGGGGTGACGGCATCGAAGAGGCCGAGGGCAAGCACGAGTACAAACAGGCTGCAGCGTCCAATCTCGAAGAGTCGGTCGTCCTGCCCGTCTTCTCGGCCTCCGGACGCGTCAATGGCGGCGAACGACAGGGATACATGAGCAGAGCATCGAACGATTTCGTGGCTTTCGGTCTTCCCTTCTTCGTTAGCGTGCCAAAAGGACAGGCCAATGACCCAACGGCGATCCAAGAGGCTGTCTTGAGACGATACCAGGCCATTGTCAAGGACTGTAAAGAGAGCCAGGTGGTGTCAGAGTGTCTCGAGGGCTTGCGGGATATCAAGAGCGGCGCCTCGACTCCCGAGGACTGGGACATGCTCGATGACACGTCGGCCACCACGGCCAATGGAACAGCCGTCGTAGATGATGCGGCCCAGAACGATGTCGTGCTGCCGCTGGACTCACAGGATGAAGAGACCATTACAGAGATCTCAAATGATGGGCAGACGGTCAACATTATTCCTGGTCAGCAGAAGCAAGGACAAGAGCAAGAGCATGCTCTTGCGTCCCAGAATGGTGCAGCGGGCAAAAAGAGCAAGTCCAAGCCGCTCTTTTCGATTTTCTTCTCTATCAACCGCGATGACCGCGCACCAATCCCACTCAAAGCCCACCGTGGCGATGATAGTGGCGAGGAGCTGACGGCTCGGCTGCAGCGCATCGGTGGCGCCCCTCGTCCGCACGAGGCTGCCAAGAATGTCGACATCGACGCGGAGATGGGCTCGCCTGGAGAAGATTCGGCAGAGGAGCAGGCCAGCGTGGAGAAAGAGCTATCGTTGTCGTCGTCCACAAACCACACGTGGCCCCTTGTCTATCCGGGAGGAGCGCTGACATGTGTATGGTCACCCAACATCAAGAAACGCGTCTTTGACGATGACAGCAGCGAGTCGTTGCAGGCTTGGGATACACGAGAGGTCGAGCCTTTCCTCGACCCGGAGATCCAAGCGGCCATCGACGAGAAGCAGAAAGCAGGTGGCAAGAGGACTTCCAACTTGACAATCGAAGACTGCCTCGATGAGTTTACAAGAGAGGAGAAGCTCGGCGAGGAGGATCCGTGGTATTGTCCGCAGTGCAAGGACTTTAGGCAGGCAACTAAGAAGTTCGACTTATGGAAAGTGCCTGATATTCTCGTCGTCCACCTCAAGCGCTTCCGTGGCGGGCGTGTGTCGCGGGACAAGATTGATGCGAATGTCGATTTTCCCGTCAAAGAGCTCAATCTCGAAGATCGTGTCGAAGGTGCCAAAGCGGTCCGTGAGCTTGAAGCCAGCGGCGAATCGCTTGCTTCGTCAATGACGCTCTCAATCCAGGACGGCGACGAAGAAGACCCTTTGGCGGCGAGCATCACGTCCGACGCCAACGATGATGCCGTGGCATCGGATAAACCCATCTACGACCTTTATGCCGTCGACCACCACTATGGCGGCCTCGGTGGCGGACACTACACGGCTTCTGCCATGAACCCTGAGGACAATAAGTGGTACTACTTTGACGATTCCTCCGTGCGACCCATCTCAAACGTCGACGAAGTAAAAGGCCCTTCAGCGTACCTGCTCTTCTACCGTAGGCGTACCACAAGACCCATCGGAGGAAAGTCGCGGGAAAAAGTCGTGGATGCCGTTAGTCAGACGATGAAGGGTGGCAACGATGAGGCCTCCTCGTCTGCCGCAGCCCAGGGCTCGTCAGTCAACGGACCGTCGACCAGTGTTGCGGGGTTTGGACACATGGATGGGGGTGGTGGGGGTGGAGAAGAGGTTCATGAGGCCGAAGGCCTCAACTCTGAAAATGTAGGCGCCTCCTCGTCGGCAGCCACCTTCGCACCAACTTCGCCGCCCGGAGCGTGGGGCCCAGTGCCCTTTGATACCTATGCGGACTATATGCCGAACGAGGAAGCGAGCATGTTCACATCATCTTCTCCGACCGTGTTCCCGCGCACGGATGATGGCCCTACCCAAGACTGGGACCGACATTTCGAGCTGAACAATCGCCAATTTGGAGATGGCTTTGGAGGAAGAAGCTCGGTGGACAACGAAGACTCCTGGAGCGATGGGGCAGCGGAAGCAGGGAGCAGTGTTGGCGGGGCAAGCAGCGGCAGCACAGCGACGAGTGAGCTGTCCGCGCAGTCGCCCGAAGACTTTTCGGCAAGGAGAGCATTCGACGACGGCGAATCGCATGGGGACCTGGACGATGACGTCGTCGTCACCACTGATGCCGTCCATGTCGTAGGAGAAGAGGACCGTACGATGCATGCAGCTTCATCGCAGTCACCCTCATTGCCAACCGCCAAGCAGAGCGCTCCTGCCCCTGTTGTCCGGCTGCCTTCACATGTCCCGACGGCCAGTGCCCCTCTAGCGACGAGAACGACGACGTCACATTAGAAGCGCGACAGTCTGAATTTTAAAATTGCTCGGCCTCCCCTTCTTTTACCTCTTTGGCGTCATCGTCATCGTCATTACCATCATTGTTAGCTGGGCGAGCGGCCGGCCGATCACGTCGAGGGAAAGAGTAGAAACGTTTAGCAGCCACCCATATCATGACCTCTTTGTTTTGCAACCAACATAGTTCATTCGCACGCGACGAGCTTCTCAGCAAATGTCTTGCTTCAAGCCATCTGCAATTGCTGCAGCATTTGCAAGTCAAGGGCGAAAGCCACAGTCTGATATGCTCGACTTGGAGCCTTTATGTGTGGGTGGCTCCAGCACTACTAATCCATTTTGCACATGTATGCTTGCTCGTACTGCGAAGCCTAGCCATTGTTATTCTTCCGCTGCACGTCTCGGACCCGAAATTAGTGCAAGAGAATGATAGAAGAAAAAGTTCAAAAGGCATGTAAACCAGGGTAATGGATTCGGTGCCGAGGCATCTGCAGTTTCGCACTCTAGGCCAGCTTGTCTTCCCATTCCCCCTTCTCACAATACTACTACTATGATACCTTCCTGCATGCGAGCCCAGCCTGCCTGTCTGTCTGCCTGCTTCACGCTTCTTGCAGGGCTCTTTTTAGCATTGCACCTCGTGTCCGCCGCCCTTAACCTGCTTTGACATGCGAGACTATAGTAATAATCAAGCATCGTGCAAGGAGATCAATCGGCGATAGAGCTGTGGTACAGGGCAAGTTAGATCTCGTCCTGTATGTGGCCTGCTGGGAAAAGTCGTAACGCCAGTACGCCTCCCCGCTGAAGGTCGTCCGTCTGCCAGTATTGGTCCTGCTGCCGCTTCAATATCACTACTGCCACATTCACTTCTCTTTCATTGGTACAGTGATTCAAAGCACAGCCTACCACCTGCTCGAGCGGATCCGAGCTTTAATGTTGGCGAGAAAAAACCTGAAAAAGTGAGACACTCCCGCAGGGCTCGGCAGGTCAACAACAACAACACAAACGCGACCTCGGAAGAATTCAAAACGAGAAAACAAAAGGACAATTTCACGCACTACTAATCACCCCCTTTATTATTGTGCCTTCCTCGCTGGAACAAAAGCAAGCGCAATAGGGGATGGGATTGTACCCGTCAAAGGAGCCCGAAGAGGAGAGCAGATAGCTTCAAGCTACCGCAGAGCATCTCTTGTCTTTACTCGGCCTTCGTATCTTTTTTCCACATTGAAGCGCGAGACAGGAAAACTGCCAGATATGAAAGCAAGGGGATCGGACCCTAGGTGGTAGGTTTCGTTTCCTTGACGTTTGGCTCTCCCAAATTTCTTGGGAGTTTTTTCTCCTCCCAATTGCTTTTACGACAAGAATACTAGAACTACAACTACTGCCGCTGCTCTTCTCCTATCCTTTCACTTGCAGATCGATTGACTTTAAAAGCCCCACGCTACGATACAGTAGTACAGTACCAGGCTGTGCCTCGGCCTCCGGTTCAGAGGGTGTGAGACAGCAGACCCGTGATGCCAACCGACTCTTTGCACAAGAGCCAAGCTGTTTTAAGGGAAATGAAACCATTGGAGAATCTAGCAAGCAAAGACTAAATGAACCAGAGGATCGGTAAGGATGCAGAGGTGTCTCAGAAATACTTCCTCTTATCCTCTCCCCTTGTCTCTGTCCCCCTTACTGTTCGGGGCCCCCTTGTCGTGGCATAGTTCCTGGGTCTCAACCTCTTCAGCCTTTCGGGAGCCGTTGAGTAAGCAGGTGGTCGACCGTCCGAAAGGCGAAGAACGAGTCGTCAAGACGTGCCCGGTCCCGATACTTCACGTTTTACCGGAACAGTCGGCAACTGCCTTCCCTCTTGCTGTGCAGTGCTTTCCTCCCGGATCTCCTCGCCCTCCTCTTCACTCTTCTTCTTCTTCGCTCTAAGTCCGAGATCTCTTTTCTTCCTCTTTGCCTCTTCCCTCTTTCTTCCACTTTATGCATTCGGCGTCAAGGATTCGCCGAGGACGGTAGACACACGGGCGAAAGTGCCAACCCAATTTACGGCCGTCTGTTACAGACAAGAGAGAGGATCGACATTAATTCGATCCACCTCGCCCACTCAGCCTCGCCCCTTTGAACCGCTCCACGGAGAATCGATCTTCTCTCCACAGTTTCCACAGCGCCAGGGGAGCGTGTATAGTGGCTCGTCCATCCAAGACATTCGAAAAGGTCCACAAGGTCCAGAGCGATCGACAACGACAGGAAAAGGTCGAGAGAGAGGTTTTAGAGACACGGAACGGAGGTTGGGCCATAATTTATTTCAATTTTTTTATTCGCCTCCCTAGTTCGCTCCTCTATCCTCCCCTGCCTCGCTCAAGTAACATAGCAACAGCCCATTGTCTCTGTGACTTTGTTCTCTTCCTCTCTTTCTCCCTCCCTTTTTTCCCTTTCTTTTCCTCTTCCTGTTCCCCCTTTCAAGCACCCTCCCGCTCTTTTCTGTTCCGTTCTCTTCTCTCTCTCTCTCTCTCTCTCTCTCTCTCTCTTCTTTCCCTTTGTTTGTTGTTGTACCATCGACAAAGACGATACCCACCGCGGCATTCGATAAACAACACGGTGTCTCTGTCTCGCCAAGCCTATTTTTTGTAGCATAGCTAATCGGACATCATAGACGGACCGGTCCACCGCCAGACGGGCAGCCAAGAGAACAAGAGGAAGGGCAACAAATAGACGTACAGCAGACCCGGACCCCTGCTTAGAAAAGTCACAGAGGAAACGACAGCCGCCCCGACACAGAGACGGCATTCCGACGCACTCCGAAAGAATAGAAAGCTCCGCGAACCAATAGAGCAGCCTGTCTTCGACGACGGAACCTTTTTCCTCTCCTCCGCTTTCCCGGTACCGTTACGATGACTTGTCATCGCAGGAGGTAAAAGGAGAGAAACCTACCGTTGGGGAGAAATAATTAGACAAAGGAGAACGCGGGCCGCGCTGAAGCCTCTCGCGGACTCCGAGTATTTTGTTACGACGGGGGTGGCGGGGTCGGCATCCCGTCACCGCCAGAGAGGAACGAGCAGGGGCTTGACCGTGGACATTGTCTTGAAGGAGGCGGAGTCGAGAAGGGAGAAGGGAGAAGGAGGGGGAGGAGAGGGGAGGACGGGTGGTAAACACGGTCAAAATCCCAGGCCTCTTTCCGGACTTGGAACCATGGCGACGCCCCCTGGGTCGCGGAGTGGAAGAGATGAGCAGTCACCGCCTCAACGACAGCGGCGACTGTCACGTCATCGTCAAGAACAGGAGCAAAGCGAGCAGCAGCAGCAACAGCAACAGCAGCAGGAGGGTAGACGCCTTCGCCGACTGCAAGCTCCTGGACCGACGTCGACGTCGACTGGCAGTATTGCGAGCGTGACCGAAGGTGAACCGAGCAGTGACCGCCGTCAGCAGCAGCTCAGAGCGCCGCGGCGGACCGGTGAGCCGACAACAGGTGGAGTTAGAGTTGTGACATCGCCCTACCTCGAGGAGACTTCAAGCTCCTTTTTCCCCTCTTTAACTGAACGGGGAGGAAGCCGGGGAGGAGGTCGGGAGGGCAGCAATATCCCTCGACGGAAAAGGCCGTCCTCTTCGTTGGAAGCTCCCGAAGAAGCTCGAGCCACTCCGCGACGGACATCGGCAAGGAGCGCTAGGACTGCTGCTTCTCCTTCATCTGCAACCCAATCTGGCCCGAGGACACCTGCCTCGAGGCGAACCCCATCGGGTTCGACACCGACGAGAAGAAGAACCGTGGCCCAGACTGAACCGTCTCCTTCTCCCTCGTCCTCTTTCCTTCCAACTCCTCAACCTGACGACCCGTCGTTCTCTCCATCTGTCAGGAGAAGGCAAAGGAGAAGTAATCGTAACAGCGCCGGCGCTGGTGAAGAGACAGGCGGAGAAGCCAAAGGGAAAGAAGAAGAGCGCGGCATTGAGCGGCGCCAGAAACAGTCACCACGGAGCACGGGGAAGCGAAGAGGTGAAGCCGAAGCCGAGTCAGAGCAGGGCACAGCTTCGGCGTCTACATCTGTGTCGAAGCGAAGAAAGAGCGATACTGGGCAACAACCTCCCTCACCAGAACACGACTCATCCGTAGCAGCAGCAGCCACATTGCCTTCTACGATGAGGGGCAACCAAGAGCATGCTGGAAGAGGATCGGGGCGAGGGAGGTATGCAGCAGAAGATTTACGCGACGACAGGTGAGGATCCTCTTCAGTCACAGGTCGTATGAGAAGTTGGCTGACTCTCAAGCCGTGCAGGACCTTTCAGCTCAGGATCGTCCAGCAGCCTATCTTGGGATGCGCCTTTGGTGCAAATATTCTTTCTCGCCTCGCTATCGCACCTCCGCTCATCGTTCGTCTTTACGTCATCAACCGTCAAGGCGAAGACGTGACGAAGTGCGTGTCCTCTCCAGGACAAACCTGACATTCGAGCCTTCAAGCTGACAACTTCCTTATCAATCTCTGCAGCAATGCCGATCTGCCCCCTCTCGTTTGTCACGCGTCGCTAACGACTGAGACGGGTCTAGCAGCCGACATGCTGTCACCCGTCTCTTCGCCTCAGCCCCTTCCACGAGGTACTTCCGAATCGCCTCCTTCTGTAAGGACACGAGGCCACGTAGGGGCTAGCAGTGTTGAGCAGCAACAGCAGCAGCAACGCCCGAACTCGCCAACTTCTCCTGGTTCGCGACGGATGTTGTATGGCACCCTCGTTGCCAGCCCTTTGAGCATCCTGGATCCCGAGAGCATTGTTCCCATAGCGTCGCCGCATCGCTCTCTTTCGTCAAGCCGTTCACAAAGGGTTGCCTCAATATCGATGTCGGCCCCGATTAGTGGAAGAAATGGGATCTTCTTCTTCTTCCCCGAAATCTCAATTAGAGCCAGGGGTCGCTTCTGTCTTCGCATTTCTCTGATGCCCTTGCCGAGGTGAGCTATCTCGCGGGTAGAGTCTTGGCTTATTTTGACTTACTCACAAACGATATCTCTGATTTTACAGCGGTCCGTCGTCCACGTCGGTCTCGCAGCCGCTGGCAAGCATAAGCACAGCCCCTTTCGACGTCGTCTCAACGGTCGACTATGTCGCTCCTCCCATCACAGACCTTACTAGGCACTTTGCTGCCCATGGCGTCGGCCTCCTCCTTCCCCCCGGTCATTCGACTGATTAGACGGGAGTGTTCCTCTCTTACGACCATTCATTCCCTTCGGCAGGCAGTGCCCGACCGTGTCCTCAGTGCCCTTTCTTCTGCCTTTTTGTCATCACCTGTGCTTGTATCTCATGCTACTTTACACCATACCGTATCGACCTTGTATGCTGCGAATGGCGAGTCCCCGTTTGTCAGAAGGAAGTGACCGAGACTCTGCCGGCATCTATTGTACGCATGCTTGCGAGCTGGTCTAATGTACAGAAAGTCCCGTCTCCTTCTACCCTCGGGTGCAGGATTCTCCCGGACCCAAATTGTGTCATTTACCTACAAATACATACTGGAAGATAGCGGCCTATCGGAGACCCTCATGAGCCAGCCTCGCCACCTATGGCTGATCCATCTCTCCAAAGCCGGACTTAAGAAATGTGTCGACCGGCCGCGCTGCCTCCTCTCCTTGCTTCGTTCCGAATGGGAATCTGCACGCCCTGGTTTGCGAGGCATTTCGCCAAATCCGTGGATTGAGCCACGCCCGGAAACTCTCTCGGCTAGCAGTACAGACGGTGCGGTTAGTCATGGACCGTCTCTTTCAATCTCTTCGTGCAATTGGCAAATGAAAGACTTACCGAGTAGACCTTGAATGCATCTGAGCTGACAGTAGCTACTATCTTGCCGCTGGGCACGGATGCTGAGCGCAATGACGACAAAGAGGCAGAAGAGACTGATTTTGATGAGGGCAAAGAAGAAGAAGATAAGCCTCGAGAGCGTTGAGGAGGTGATAGTCTGCGGGGCCGAAGATAACATTATTTAGCAATCCCTTCATGTGAGCTATCAATGATGGCTTACTTTTCCTCAGAAGCCCCTGCCTCCCCTGCTGGTGACGATGACACGGATGTTCGCGCCCCGGACCCCATGCCGAGCCTGACCAGTGAGAAAACAAGCTTGAATGTCCCTTCGATCCTCAAGCTGAGGTCACTGAAGATGAAAAAGCATGCTCGGCTCCCGTCAGTGTCGAAGGCGACGTGGGCCGACGACGTCACCTTGCCCTCCAGCACGCGTTGCATGACTGTATATTGCGGTGCTGTTGCCTTCTTGTGCGTCTGACGCCCTGATTCTTCTATCTTTTGGTGTTGAGATGCTGTATCGCTGTTGCTACTTGAGGCGTACGTGTTTCCCACCGCAGGATCCAGGTGCATACCGGTCTGTCCCTGCTTTCCAAGGCTAGCCCGTGCCAATGTCTTGCCTTTTTCCTGCTTCATGCCTTCTACACTCTCGCCTCCTCCTTTGTCCTCCAGTGTTACCTCTTCCTGCGCCTCTTCGATTGGCACTGGAAGGGCTGAAACCTGCATGACGAGGTTTGGGCTTCCAGAGCCGAGCAGGTCCAGATTACCATATTTGTCAAAGATCTCGAGTTGAACAATCGGAAGGGGGTCGAGCGGCCGGCGTTCTTTGCTGCCGAATGTGCCTGCCCGGCCCTGTTCAGGTTGTTGGCGAACAATAAGGCGGTAGCGTCTGGAGAAGAAGGATGGCTTTTTAGCGGAAAATGGTAATCGTTCACAAGAGCGCTGACCACTCACCGGGGTTCGAGAGCTAGGTTCATAAGATTAGTCGAGCCAAGGAAGGAAGGAGGAGGCGCTTCGGCAGCGAAGTTGCCAGAGATGACATTCCGATGCTCTGAAGGTTCTGACCTTGCCGGCCGATACTGCTTCGTTGGTCGCTCTTGCCTTTCTGAAGCTCGTCTTTGGTCTTCTTCGAGAACCGACGGCGGGCGCTTAGATTGCGGCAAAGTATGGCGGCGGGAGAAGGATAACGAAAGAGAAAAATAAGATGGTTCCGACGAGTGACCTAAAGGCATATTCCTCTCCTGCGACGACGGAGACGAGAGATGTGCGTGAGAGGTAGACGCTCTTACGTGTGCATGATGTTGGTGGTTCGTAGGTTGTGCCGGAAATTCATAATGGGACGGTTGGGAGGGGTAGCCAGTCGTGGCTGGTGGCGAGTATAAGTCTTGTCGGGGTGACGAGGTGGACGTCGACGGGCGGAAACTGAATGGATATGCCGCGCTACTCGTTGGTGTTCTCAAGCTAGTCGTCGATGCCGAATAAGTGTCGCTAGCCGGTGCTAGCGAGGAAAGCAGCGACTGTGACGAAGCAGAAGTCGACGAGATCGGGCGCTTAGAAGCTCTTAGTTGTTGGGGTGGAGGGAGCAGCGATCGATGACTCGAAGTCGTGGCTGTATCCGGCGACTCTTCTCGAGGAACGAAGCGGAATGGTGAGCTTCGTGATAACGTCGAGAAGCTGCGGGTTCTCCCCGGTCCCAGTGTTGTCCCTGTTTCTGTCGTCGCTGTTATTGTAGACTTCTGCTGCTGCTGAAGGATGCTCGGTGCACTCGGACGCGAAGTCCGCTCTGAGGAAGCATTGAATTCGTGGCCCGTCCCATATGAAGTGGAAGCTCGTCCACGGTCGTGGATAGATTGATCTGTCATCAATCGTCTTCTACTTGATCCTGCTGGCGTAATCTCCTCATATTGAGGCAAGTATACTTGATGATGATAGGTGTGTGGCTGTTGTCTGCCGCCGCTTCTCGAGCTGCTGCTCTCGAGAGGGTTGTTGAAAAGGGTGTCCGGTCTCAGCGATGTTGACGGAGAGCCTGGACTGATGTTGGATCCGAGGACAGACGAGAAGGTCGAGGAGCTGGTGCGACGACGTTGTCGGGGAAAGAAGCTTTCACCTTCTTGCTCCCCATCTTCGTCTTCTTCTCTCTCCCTAGGCAAGGAGCTCATTGTGAGAGCTGCTGCACAGTAGCCTGGATGCTGTCGATCATTTGCTGGGAGATGAGCGACCACGCCCAGATTGGGCGACTCGAGTTCGTGATACCAAGCCAGGAATGTGGGTTGGGGGAAGCGACAAGTCGCCGATGGGACCTGTTCCCGGATTTTATGTCAATTTTGGTGCACGAGTTTGTGCGATCGCCAATGCTGTTTTCTGTCTCCGCAGGCGCTCGAAGGAGAGCGCACATATAGGAGATGATTTCAGCTTCCCGGTGCGTGCTCGTAGTACCAGCGGGTCAGAAGGTAATTAAGGACAAAAGACGGCGGAGGGGCGTTGAGGTTGAGAACACAGTTGATCAGGGCTTCCTGCCAAAGACTGCGCGATATATTGTTTGGAGATCACTCTGTCGCCGGAAGCTAGTCGTGCAGCGCATTGAAGTCGGTCGGACGTCTGAAGAGAATGTGACGTTTGGGAGGGAGAGAGAAAGAAATCTGGGAGGTCAGAAAGAACAGGGACAGTTCGCAGCAAGGACCGACGCCGACAAGACACCGATGGAAATCGAAGAAAACCTCCTTTCTCGAATCCGTCCCCGGCTTTGGACAAGCGGCGATCCGTACCTGAACAAAGGATGTGTCGGACAAATCTCACGCCTAACGACACCGGCCAGTTGACCACATGGAGATGAGGCGATGAAAATAAGCCCTAAAATGGGGCACGGAAGTCATGACTTGTATCAGTGGTGCAGTCGAGTGCATCTCCACCAGCGCATTCAAGCAGTCGGTGCAGCTTTCTTAGCAATTATTTTCGCGATCTGCACCCTGGCGAAACAACTTAAGACCTGACATGAGAGGGGAAGGACAGGCGGGCTAGCAGAGCGTCGGGCCGGTGGGGGGCAGGGTAGCTATAAGAAAGGACTGTGGGCAGTGGAACCCACAAGGTTCTCACGTCCTATTTACCTTGATCGAACACATGACGCCCGCCCCTCCGCGAAGCTACGCTTGCGTAAATTTGCTTGGTACAGTACATCGTCTGAAAATTCATCCTTGAATTTTTCGAGCTTTCCTCCTTGGCCTTCCCGGACCTGCTTCGTCCGCACCTTGTGGCTGCGTCCCGCCTCATCCAAGAAATTGGAACGCAGACGTGCTCCATCAATCCGCTAAATGCCTGTGCATGTCCATTCCAGGCGGATCGATCAATCTAGTGATGATGCTAGTGTAGGACTAAATTTTGTAGGATTCTGAGTTTCTTTTGCACTGCGAAACCCCGATGATGCACCGACCACCGATGCGACGATGGGGAAAGTTAAAGTAGTATTGGTGGCTGGCCGGGCTCATCAGTAGCGAGAGACTAGCTGTCATTATCATTATCGTCGCTTCTTAAAGAGCCGTAGAACGAATCCCACTTAAAACGTTGCACTGTACCGTTCGGAGAGTGGAACTGACAAGACACATACATAATTTGTCGCCGCAATTCCAGAATTCTCACTAAGTGCGACAGGAAACGGGGATTGACGCAATAGGGGGGCGGTGTGTGTGGGAAAATCTAGTGGGAATCGACTTGAAAATTTTAGAGACTTTTTCTATTCTTTGCCTCTAAAATCAATACAGGTGGTTCGTTCGCTCGTCTCCAGGTACCAGGCTCAACGTGCTCGGACCGAAGAAAAGCGAATGTCCTCGGACCGAGGAAATGGTACAAAAAACCCGGATGATCTATGTAGGAAGAATTTAGGTCTGGAACATCGTCGTCTCGCAAGACCTCCCGTCTCCTGAGCTATGCTTCCCAGCCACTGATGGACTTAACTCGAGTGTGAATATGTCTCGATTTCCCAAATGCCTCGACCTCGCGGGCGGTGTAGCCACGGACCTCCGCTCCACGGATTTGTGGTCGAACATGCCCGTGTCGTCCGCCGTTCATGGCTTTTAGCGTTATGTCTCATGTACAGTGCAGACATGAAATTTTGAAAGGTGAGCTGAAATGAATCAGCACTTAAATGCTGCTTTCGTACGCAGATAAGCCAACCCCGTTGTTGCCACCAAACGCAGGACCTGCGCGGAGCTTGTATGTAAGCATGTCCGCGCATTCCACTCTCCTGGCCATCGCATCAGGACGTACTTACTACGTACGTACTGACTAGCTGTATGTGCGGATGCTGGGTGCTAGAAGCTCGTGTGTGTGCCTATCTGCATATACTTCGTGCATAATAATGCCCGACACTAACCTAGCTTCATGGCTTTTACCCAATAAAGGTCTACTTATTGCTTCGCACAGAAAGGAGAGAAGATTGGGGACTTGGCAACGTCATTTGGATTTTGGCAGCTGAAAGCATAAAGCTCGGATGAACTGCTTGCCGTCTGTGGTAGACTTATCAGTGGCAGCACAACGCTTCCCCCATGCACATTCGAAAGTAGTATAGTCTTTCCATTTCAAGCTAGCCAGTCTCGAAGTATTTACATAAGAAATAGTCTAAAAGGAGATCAATCACTGAAGGCTGGCCAAGAGCACCTTCCTCGTCTCGGGGTCCAGAGTGGCGGCCAGCTGAGTGATTTGATCAGCAGCCGCCTGCCTCTGTCTCTCTTGGACAATCTGTGCAAGCGCCTTGCTCTTGTCCTGAATCAATTTGGCCATCGTTGCGTCATCTGCATCGTCGAGGCCCACCCCAAGGATCTCTTCCAGAACCGTGCGTGCCTCGTTCTTGTCCGTCGTGGAGATGCTGTCCAGAGCAGCCTCTTCGACGAGCCTGCGTTGGAGACGCTGGTAAAAGAAGCGTCGGGCCTCTTTCCACTCGACTGCCTGGCGAATGACGCCGACGGCCGACATGCGGCCCGTGCGGTCGTGCAGATCGGCATATGCAACGGCGACAGAGGAGAAAATTGGTGCGATGGCCTTTTCGCGCTCGGCCATTCCGCGCCGGTCCTCCTGCGCTGCCAGCTTGGCGTAGACGGGGTCCAGCCTACGCATCGTCTCGCGCTGCTTGTCCTGCCGGTACTTGACACTGACGATTCCCTCGGGCTCCAAGACACCTCCACGAGACGACGGGTCGGCGTACATTTCCATCATGCCGTTCTCGTTGATGGTGCGGTCGACAACGACCCAGGCACCGCCTCGGAGCTCGGCCTTGGGAGGCAAGTAAACGAAGACGGGTCTACGGTATGCAGACAACCCATCGACAATCATGGAGCCGTACTTGAGAATCTGCTGGAACATGTCCTCCTGTCCACCCGAGAAGCCACGCCAGTTGGCCAGAATCATGAGCGGCAGGCCCTCGCGGTTAAAGTCGACAATGGCTTGGGCCGTCTTGTAGGCCGAGTTGGGGTACCACACCTGTCCAGCTTCCATGATGCGCTGCTCCTGCGAGTTGGGGTTGGCCGGGTCGGCGGGAAGCACGCGTTCCAAGGTGCGTGTCTCGACAGCAATCACTCCAATGGGAATGCCGCCCAGGCGTGCCCTTCCCACAACGACCGAAGTTGCCCAGCCGCCAAGCGTCTCTTGCCACGATCCCTTGTCAAAGAGACCGGTGACGTCTGCCTGACCTTCGATGAGGCAACGAGGGTCGTAGGGTCCGGCGGGAGGAGCGAAGCCGACCGTACGGTCCCACGAGTCCGACGAGACGAGCTTGGGCAGAGCCGCATGACGGGTGCTTGGGACGAAGGACAACCATCGGACAAAGCTGGTCATGGCGGCCAGATCGTCCTTGGCCACGAGATGCGAAACACCGTTGCGGTACATGATCTGCGGACCGCCCAGCTGCAGGTTGCTCGTGTAGACTTCGCGACCAAGAAGCTTGTTGAGGGCCTGATAGCCAGTCAAGATCATTGGCGAGCCTTCCACCTGGATCACGCGCTCGCCTAGACGAGCGAGGTAGGCGCCGATACCGACCGAGCGACCTGTGACGATGGTGGTGGTAAAGATCTCCTCCTTGGCACGGCTCGTCTCGCCTGCAATCAGGCCTGAACCCGAGAGGCATTCAACACCAAGGCCATCCTGAAGACCAATGATGTCGGTGATGACGTGGTGCACAGAACCGTCTTCTGCTTTGGTCTGCTGCGTGTACACAGAGCCGCTCGCCTTTGCCTCGAGAGCGTCGTAGCCTTGCTGGTCGAGGTAGAGGTACTGGAAACCTTTGACGGGATCATCGTCGACAAATTTGGCCTTGAAAAGGTCCATGACCTCCGTTGCCAATCCAATCCTCGCGCCCGAGTTTGCCGAGATGTACAGCCTAGGGATGCCCATCTGTCGGGCCATCCGTGAAGCTGCAGCGAAGAAGCGGTCCTCGGCCGGCCCAAAGGAACCAGCCTGGATCGTCACGTCATTGGCAATCACAATAATTTGACGACCGGCGGGATACTCCGGTGTGAGGAGATCGACGAGCCAGGCCACCATGCCGATCTTGTTCATGCCCGGTGCACGCTTGACGGGGCGCAGCGACTCCTTCTCATCAAAGACGAGCTCCTGCAGCGACCGGATCGGGTCAGAGGGGTGCTTGGAGGCAGCTTTCTTCCAGTTGGCGCGCAGCGACTGGCGCAGCACGTCGATGAAGTCATAGCAGAACGTCGTCTGGAGCGCATGGGCGCGCGACCGACGCGACTGGAGGGCGACCTTTGTGGCGTAGGGAGCATGAGCGCTCTGCATGTGAAGAGGGGCTGGAGCAGAAGGACCGGCAATGTTGCTGAGAAGCACCGATCCATCTTGCGCTGCAACTTCCTCGTAGGCCTCGTAACGGACGACGAGACCTGTCTCGTTGGTGATGAAGGCGCGAATCTGCTGAGGCTCCCTCTTGCCCTTCAGAACCAGTCGAATCTCGGCGGCTGTGATGCGAAGGCGGAACAGACGAAGGCCGTGACGATCAATGAAACCAGCCAACGCCTTCTGAACATCGTCAATGGTGATGTCGAGCTGGTAGATGAATGACATGAAAATGTGCGAAGCGTCTGCGTTGCGGTATTCTGGCTGAGCCATGGCGACCTCGAGCGTGTTAAGAATGTCGTTAACGATGCGGTCCGAGGCTGAAATGATGTACTCAGCCTGGTTCCCGGTCTGGATGCGTCCGGGCCGGACCAGCGAACGGACGAAGAAGCGGGTGTCGGCTGGGTTGGCAATACCACGGGCAAAGTAGAGATGAATCGTCGACGAGGAAACGGGCACGGGTGTAATGTCGAAGTTGGTCGTCATGCGATCAAGCTCCAGCTGATAGGCCAAGGCAGGCTCGATGTTTCGAATAGCCTTTTCCTCAGTCCACTGCGAAGGACCAGCTCGGAGCGTTGTGAACCAGGGGTAGATGCCAGGCTGGCAGTGGAGGAACGTGATTCTACGAACGCCTGCAGCTTCGAGCTGGTCTGCAAACTTGTTGGTCCACTTGACAAACTCGCCCCTGGCCTCTACATCCGTCGTCGAGGCCTCGCCCGTGACGGCGATGTTGACAATGTTGGTCGGAGGGCTCTTGTCGAAGAAGCGCAGCGCACGCGGGATGACGTCGCCGAGATCTTCAAAGGTGGCACAGCTCGTCATGACACCCTGACGCAGTCCACTCTGGACATTGTTGGCGTCCGACTTCTTGCCCTGGGCGACGAGGTCGCCGTCGGAAGCCTGACGTTCGGCTTGCTGGCGCGATGCCAAGAGGCGAAACTGCCATTTGAGCACCGCGCGCTCATCGGCGTCAAAGTCCTCCACGGCATAGTCGAAATTGACCACATCGTACGCTCTGTATGCACGGAGGACGTAGGTGACGAGTGCTGCAAAGGCAACGTGCGATGGTACACTTGAGTCAAAGAACGAGTGCAAGACGTCGTAGACGGTGTACTGGCTGTCGCTCAGCTCCCTCAGTGTGTTTAGCGACGGCTCGTGGTACTCGCTGTCACCTCCGTAGATCGAAGACATGACCGAGGCCTTGAGGATTGACTCCATCTGACGCTTTCGGTCCTTGAGGCTGGGCAGGTCGCGAGAGATTGACACTTCGCGAGCTTTGAGTGCCACGGGAGCCGTGGCCTTGCCCTCAAGCGAAGCCAACTTCTGCAGGGCGACGTTGACCTTAGTGGCGTCGCTTAGACCGGCAGACCGCTTGACAGTGTCTTGGTTCAGAATTGAGATGACGAGGGCGTTCTTGAGAAGGACACCATTGTGGGAGATCTGCTGGGCCACAACCTTGTCGAGCGAGTCGGCCTCTTGGCGCATCGTCAAAATCACATCAGCCTCGCCGGTGAAGGGTGATTCGACATCGTAATACTTCTCGAGCAAGCCGGCCAACACATTAGCGGAGTGCTGCTTTAGGCCAGGCGCGTACTCTTCGAATAGGGTGGTCAGCGGAGTCAGTGTGGTCTGAACCTGGAGCCTGACGGCGGGATCGACAGAGTCTCGAATGTAGTTGTCGATCAGCTTGCGCAACCTCGCCGCTGGGAACTCCTGACCTTTTCCTTGTGCCGCGTCAATTGTCGTTCGCAGCAGCTCCTCCAGCCTCGAAGGAACGCGGCCGGAAAGCGAGGAGAGCGCTTGGAGGGCCTGGCCGTAAGGCGTCTCGACATTATTGAGCAGCTCGACGAGCTCGGTGAGGCAAGCCTGCATCTGTACGCTCTGGTCGAAGCCGTCGAGAACATCGTTGAGGACAGAGAGGACGTATTGGAAGCGCTGGTGAGGCTTTGAGCCAATGACGATGGGCAATCCGGCGTCGGGCAGCTGTCCGTCGAAAGGTTTGGCACGCATGACTTTGGAAGGGTCGTCGAGGGAAAGGATAGCCAGATGGTCACCGGCAGCAACGGGTGTGCCGGGCGAAGCAAGGAAGTTGACAACACCGGACTCAGCAGTGGTCAGTGGCATGTACATCTTCATGACCTCAAGCTCGGCGATGGCCTGTCCGGCTTCCACATGAGAGCCAGAAGGAACGAGGAGGCTGACGAGCTTTCCAGGAGACGGGCTTCGGATTTGCGAAGGATCCGTCTCCTCCTCGAGCAGTGCGGTACGGCTGTCGACCATAAGTCGCAGAGAAGCTCCTCCGGCCTCTTCGCGCCAGTAGGTTGGGTGCGAGCGACCGGAGAGACCGATGAGCATACCGCCGTCGGTCAGGGACCTCGTCGCCACCTGCGTCCGAGCGCCGTTGAGATACACGGTCCAGCCAGAGGCCGACGAGCGCGAGCAGGTGACGGAGTATTTGACGCCGTCGATAATAAACGTGATGCCGCTGAACGTTGTCTTGACAGTATCCCGTGGAGGGACCTGGCCCTTGTTGAGGATGCTCATATACAGAGCTTCGCACTCTTGACTTCGCAGGTGAGCCTTGACGACGGCGCCGCAAATGACGGCAATCTGGAGTGGAGGCTTGTCGCTCGAGACACGATCCTTGATGAGGCCGTCGAGCCAGGCGGTCGAGAACTGGTTCTGCTCAAAGGCCGGCTTTTCGAGGAGCATGATGAGATACTCGACAATGGTACGGAAGTCTCCACGAATAGAAAGCTCCTTGAGCGAGACAACCATGTTCTGACGCGCCTCTTGCCTCGACAGGCCGTATGCAAAGACGTGGCCGAATTGCGAGTCGGCAAACTCGTGAAGCGCACCAGACTGGCCGACGGAGAAGTAACCCCAGGTCGAAGTCGAAGAGCGGAAGTTGAGGTCAGAAAGGGCGCCCATGCCCGGCTTGAAGCCAGTCTCTGGGTTCTCTGAAGTGATTCGACAGGCAATGACGTGACCTTTGGGCTGGGGCTTGCGCTGCTTCTGCAGGCTAGCCGGGTCCTCAAAGTCAAAGTCGATCATCTCAGCGCCGCGAGGGTCCATGCCGTAGAGTGTTCGGATGTCACGAATGCGGTAAAGGGGAATACCCATGGCGACCTGGAGCTGGGCAGCGGGAATGTTGACACCGGAGACCATCTCCGTCGTCGGGTGCTCAACCTGCAATCTCGGGTTGAGCTCCAGGAAGGAAAAGGAGTCGTTCTCGGGCGAGTAGAGCCACTCTACAGTTCCAGCCGAGACGTAGCCAACGAGCTTGGCCAGTCTCACGGCCGCACGCTCCATCTCTTCACGGGCTGCATCGGGGGCGATGGTGACGGGTGCCTCTTCGATGATCTTCTGATGACGGCGTTGCACCGAGCAGTCACGACCAAAGATGCTGATGGCATTGCCGTACTGGTCGGCCATGAGCTGTACCTCAAGGTGGCGAGCCTTGCCTGCCAACTTCATGACAAAGACGGGCGAGCCGGGCACCTCGCCCAGGACGGCATTGTAGAGCTGCCTAAAGTCGGGGGCACTACCACACATTCGGATGCCTGTTCATTGTAATATCGAACAGATTAGCTTCGCAGACCTACTAGCCTGTCTTCTCTCAACTCACCCTTTCCTCCGCCTCCTTCACTGGCCTTGATCATGACCGGGAAGCCAATGATCTCTGCCTTCTCGAGACCCTCTTCTGCCGAGTGGATGCATGCCTTCTGATAGACCTCATCAGAGACGGTGAGGAATCCCTGTTCGCTCATCATCGTCTCCTTGATGCCTGTACCCGACCACGGCATACAGGGCACATCGGCATGCTGCGCCACGATCGTCGACGAAATCTTGTCACCGAGAGAGCGCATCGCCGAGCCCGGAGGCCCGATGAAAATGATCTTCTGCTTGGAGGCTGCCAGTGTCTCTGGCAAACGCGGATTCTCTGACGCGTGTCCCCTGCAAATGCATCTTCCTGTCAGTGTCGTCTTCTGCAAGCGTGTACACAAGCGTGCGGGGATCACACTCACCATCCCGCCCACACGGCATGCACACCCGTCCTCTCGGCCACATCGACGATGAGGTCGACGTTGGCGTAGTTGTTGTTGTTCGTTCCACCGGGCACCTCCACGTACTGGTCAGCCATGCGAATATAGTCGGCGTTGACCTTGAGGTCCTCTGGTGTGGCCATGACGATGAACTCGATGGCCCGCTCATCACCAAAGGTCTCGTAGGACCATTTCCGGATGGACCGGATCTCCTTCACGGCAGCAATACCATTGTTGCAGATGAGGACCTTTGTGATGACGGTGTGGCCCTGGCTCTTGCGCACAAAGTCGGCCACAGTCCCCGCTGGCGCTGCCTCCAGCGAGTTTCCCCCTGTTGAGAGTCGTGTTGGGACGCCGTCAGCATTTCATTTACTCTTGTACCTGCCCAGAGCTCAAGACTCACCAATGAAGTGGGACACCTTCTGATGATCGGCGAGCGGCATCGTTGTTGCACGCCGCCCTCGGCTTCTATGGTATGGTACAGTAAGTGACGGGGACGAGAAAGGTTACGCGGGGTTGTTGTGCTTGTTTGTAGGCTCGGGACTGCCACCCGATACAGACGAGTTTGCGTTCTTTCTAATCGCACCAATTTGAAGAGGGCGGAGAAGAAGAGGGAAGAGGTGACGGTGCTGGTAAAAAGGACAGAGAAGGTCAGGTCCTCTGGAATGAGGGGAAGCGGCTCTTCTTAAGGAACCAGGTCCCAAAACTTGTTGGGAATGAAGAAGACCTTATTTTTTTGGACTGACCTTTCCGACTTTTACACCGTGCCGGCCCCTCAGTAAATTTGGTCCGTGCGGCGTTGACCCACCACGTGGACGACGGGGCCCTGACGGCAACGTGGCCCAACCTAGGCTCATTCCACCTTTGGCCAATCCCGAACAAGGTGATCTCAACCCCAACTCCGCAAACAGAAAGAAGCGTCACCAGCATCTCCTGCTTTGTCAGGACTTGTCACAGTCTCTTCACCATCGGCAGCGAACAGGTTGCAGGGCGAAAGCAAGAGCACTACCAGGAGTAACTTGTGCTGACCATTCGAGCAAAGTTTGCACCAAAGAAGCCAGGCAAATTGAGAAAGGCTGGCCAAAATTTGGACTTCGCGCCACGCCCCGCACATCTGCCCCAGAAAATCTACCGAGCATGGCGTCCATTCAGCCTGACGCCGCTGGGACAAGAGGTGAGTTGAGATCGATAAGAATTTCAGGGCTCATGGCTGAAACCCCGCATAGGTCACCTCACGAGCTCCCAGACTCGCGCCCTCTACCGGCTGTGGCAGCGCTTCTTTCGGCTATGTGAGGTACCTGCAGGAGGCCTGAGCGCCTCTTCCTCCTCGACAACGAGCTATTCACAGCAGAGCAATGGCGGGAGAAACGGTGCGGGACTGCCTACTGTCCACTCCTCGGCCTCAAATTCGGGCGAGAAGCTGCCGGGCTCCACCTCTGGACCCGGTGGTACCAGCAGTCGGGCCTCTGAACGCGAACACAGGCTCGCAGCGTCGGCTTCTTCTCCAGCAGTTGGGAAGATGGGTCCTCGGCTTCAGCGGATGCCTTCTGGCAGAACGATTGATGAGCGTGGCTCCCATATCCCGAAAGACGACCGAGTCAAGGACGAGCTCAAGACGATTGAGGAGGCCAAGGAGATGCGCATGTTTTTGGAAAAGTACGGCGGTGCAAAGCTCCGCGAGATATTCTGGGACATGGTCAAGGTGTGTGCGCTGCTCTCATGCTTTGTTGAAGGTTCTCGGATCTGACGGCTTTCCAGGGCGAGCATCCTGATGCACTTATGCTTCGCTTCCTGAGGGCACGAAAATGGAATGTTGATCGAGCCGTAGCTGTTATTGGAAGCACCGCCGCCTTTCGAGCCGAGTAAGTGCTGTCCTTTACCCCTCGGCTTCCCCCAGCTCATGCTGAGATCTTCCTTGACAGCAATGATGTCGAGGGAATCCTCCGAGAGGGTGAAAAGCCGCTGGTCAAAACACGAGGAGGCCGAAACATCCTCGAGAACGGCATTGCCTACGTGTACGGCTCGACGCCGGCAGGAGAACCGATCTGGTTCGTCGAAGTCGGCCGCCACTTCTCACACAACCAGACGCAAGAGGAGCTCAAGCGAGGCGTGATCCTGATGCAAGAGTGGATGCAGCTTCTCATGATCCCACCGACAGAGAAGAAGGTCGTCATCTTCAACATGAACGAGTTCGGGATACGGAATATGGACTGGTGGTGCGTCTTCTTCATGGTCAAGACAATGGAGAGCTACTACGTCGAAACGCTTGCAAGGGTCTATGTGCATGGCGCGCCGTGGATCTTTAAGCCAATCTGGGCCATTCTTCGACCGCTCTTGGATCCCGTCGTCCGCGACAAGATCAGGCTCACGTCGCAACCCGAAGAGCTGGCCGAAGACATCCCCCTTCATCATCTGCCCAAGGGCACGATGCGAGGACAGATGGACTGGGAATATCAGTTCCCGCCTCCCATTCCACACGAAGACGACACACTCCTGGAAACGGAGAAGCGGGACCGGCTAAAGGCAGACTTTATGTCGATTGCCGATCAATTTGAAAGGTCGACAAAGGAGATTGCAAGCTTGTACATGGCCCAGGTTCTCAAACGCGGTTCGAGACAAGACTATGAGGTCGACGGCGACGAGATCGATGCAGAGGCCATGGAGCGTGACGAGGAGGAAGGGCGGCGGCGGGGCGCCTCAGCCCTGAACTCTGCAGCTGGCGCTTCTGCCTTGCCGAGGAGAGGATCTGCTGTCACCACGGGAACTTCGACAACTTTCGATGACGAAAACATCGGCGCAGAGCTCAAAGCCAAGCGTGATGTCATGGCAACACGACTCCGAGTGGCTTGGCTGAAGCTGCGACCCCATGTCGTGGGAACCACCATCTACAATCGTTGGGATGCCGCACGAAGCGACGGCACGGTGCAATGGCGCTACAGAGCCATTGGCCAAGATGACAGCGAGGAAGAAGTGCAAGAGTTGGGCGGTGGCACGTGCTTGAGCGCCCTGGAAGAGAATCTCCGCCTGCTCGGGGAGGCTTCTCCTCTAGCAACAGGAGAAGGAGAAGAAGCCTACGGTGGTTCGGCAAGCGCCTCTGTCACAGCGGTGAATGGTGGAGCAGCGATGGCCGCCTCGAAGTCGGCCGGCACGGAAGAGGAAAAGTTGGCCGCCTCGAGATTGACCGCATCAGCGCGAAGGAGAGAAGCCAGACGGGGCCAGAGCTCGAGGCCGCAGACGAGCGAAGGCCTCTCTGGAGCTGCCGCTGACGGTGACGCTCGAGATGAAGATGCTCAGGCAACAGAGTCGGCACAGGCGCAAGATGGTGATGGCAATGCACCAATCGGCGAAGGGAGCAACGACACAGTCACGTCCGCTGACGTGGTTGCGCCGTCTGCTTCTGCTTCCTCGCCCCCGACGTCAAGCTCCACCCCTTCCTCTTCACCTCGCGCACCGTCGGTTCCGGAAAAAGACGACGCGACTGCCAAGGCGCTTCCTGTCCATCCGCTGGAGCACCTTCATAAGGACTGATCTCGTGTGTTTTGTGTCACTCATTGGCTTCGTTTCTGGGCGACGTGGAAGCAGAATAGCATTTGATTGTGTTCAAGTGTCCGGGACATTGAAAAGAAAGCATTGAGGGAGAATGAGAATGAGAATGCAATGAAGCTTAAGACGACTACTTCAAAGACACGCACGTCAGCAAAGTAGATCAAGACAGGGGAGCGGCCTGCTGCTGGGGCTGTTGCTGGGACTGCTGCTGAAGCTGTTGCTGATGAGCTCGGTGATATGCCTCTGCCTCTGCTCTTGCCCTCTCAAAGAGCTTGCGCTTCTCTTCGTCGTGCAAGTCAGATGCCGCTGCTGTAGCGACATTGGAAGGAGCAGACGCTTGCTGGGAGATTGACGAAGAGCCCTGAGCAGTCTGGCTAGGAGACTGAGGGAGCATCGCCGCTGAAGACGAGGCAGCCAGCTGAGGGGCAGACGACGACGAGGAGCCTTGTTGTTGGTGGGCCGAATAGTCGTATTGTTGGGGCTGTTGAGCCTGCTGCGGAGCCTGCTGCTGCTGTTGCTGAACTTGCTGAGGCTGTTGAGGTTGTTGAGGCTGCTGCGGCTGTTGAGACTGTTGTCCTTGCTGAGCGTAGTACCAAGCTGCGTAATTTGGATCGTTGACGTCGGGCCGCTGTTGAGGAACCTGCTGGGGTGCCGCCGCATAGCCCTGTCGCTGCTGGGCGTAGTATTCGTTCCAAGCTTGCGTGTAATCCTGCTGCTGTTGCGGTTGTTGCTGTGGCTGATGTTGTTGTTGTTGCTGCTGCGGCTGCTGTTGAGGGGCTTGCGATTGCACGGGCTGCGGCGACGAGACGGCGCCGTAGGAAGACGCGTAGGCCTGGTGGACGTGTCCGTAGCCATCCCTCATTCCCATGTAGTCGGCCGTACTCTGTCCGCCTGGATTGTACTTGGCCAGGCTCTGCTCCATCATTTGATCAAAAGTGCCTCTGGCTCGCACGAACTTGTCGTTCATCGTGCGAAGCTCCGCGACCTTGACCGAGTACCGATCGATGAGCTTGACAATCTTGGGTCGCATGCTCAGCGACGATTGGTAAAGCTCTTGGAGTTCCTCGTCTTCGGCCAGGTTGTCGCGGTGCGGGTCCAAGCTGCGGAGTTTCGAAAGGAGGCGATCAATGTCGTTGGCTTGTGCAAAGATGCGTGCCTCCAGCTCCGCCTCGCGCTGAATGTCAGCTGGTGAAGGCTCAGGCAGGACTTCCTGGTGAAGGGGAAGAACAGGAAAGGAGTTAGTTGAATGCAATAGGGGAGTCTGACTCAGCATGTACTTACCACATAGTTCACTGGGAAGATGCCAGCTTCTCCACGAAGCTCGCCTCGCCACCAGTGCTCGTAGACGGAGTCGAGGACGCGGATGACATCGCCCTTTGCAAAGGCCAGCTCGCCCTCCTCGGTCGGCGCAAAGTCATACAGAGCCCTGACTCGCGAAGCAGCGGGGGGATGCGCGTCTGGAGGGGCCGCCGCGGCTGCGCTCGATGCAGCAGGCGCTTGCGCTGGTGCTGAGGCTGTGCTGAAAGAAGCGGTCGAAGATGGCTGAGCGACCGCAGGGTCTGGCAGGTTCTTGTTGATGCCCGTGTTGGCATGTGATGACGCTGTTGCTACTGCTGCTGCAGGGACATAGCCAGAAGAGGCTGGCGCCGCAGCGGTCGCCGCCGGCCCCGAGGAGGAAGCGCCACCATAGGAAGATCCGGCCCCATACAGACCGGTGCCCTCGTTGTGGGCACCGCGCCCGCCCTGATCCTGAAGCGACAATTCCAATACCTTTCTTAGCTCCTCATCCTCAGCCCTGAGCTGTTCCGAGCTTGGCTCCGTCGGTGGCGGCTCATCTCTCTGTGTTGCAAACGAGACACCTTTTCGGGACGCCCCAAAGTCAGTAAAACTCAGCACAGCTTGTGATGCTGTTCGCCTTGAGGCTGCTGTAGACCCACCTTTGGACTTGAGGCTGTCGATTGTCTCCTTGACCATTCCCAGATCCGCCTCTTCCTCCTCGGTGTTCCACTCCACGCTCCAGCTCCTGAGCAGCTCCGTTGCCTTTTCCTTGACCTTTGCATGTGTATTGCGGTCCAGCACGACGCGCTCGACGGTGCCCATGAAGCTCCTGCTCGCCAGCTCCCTGCGCGCCTGCACGCCGCAGTTCTTTGACAGCGCATCGCACAGCGTCAGGCTGTACAGCTGCACATTGGCCGAGCGATGGACGAGGCGCTTGAGAATCGAGGCGACGCAGTTGCGCGCGCCCGTCTCCTTGTCCGACTCGTTGGACACCTTGTCGCACACATCGAGGTTGAAGAGCCAGTTTTCCGACGTCAGGTTCTCGTCCGTCGCCTTTGTCACGATCTCGTCGTATGGGTTGGCCGCTTTGAACATGCTTGGCAGATGTGTAACGGTGGGTGGGAACAAGTGACGTGGCACTTGTATGAACGAATGGAGGAAATGTCAAGCCCAATCAATCATAAATAGCTTCGCTTTTGGGCAGTGTTAGTCTAGACTTTTTGTGGCGTCGTCCGCCTCAGCGTCCGTCCGTCACCACTCCACACGTGGTTTTGCGCAAGGCCAAGTTTAAGGTCAATGACATGCTGAAATTGCTCGCGCGACGACGACGAAAGCTGGACGTACTATGATGGACTAGCGAACTATAAACAGGGGGAAGGGAGAGGGGCTGAGCCTCGCCTCGCCTCTTATACGTATGGAAGGTTCTGAAAAGGAAAAGAAAAGAGAAAAGAGAATGCAAAAGCAATGATACAAGAGAATCGAAGAGGAAAGAATCAGCGACGGTCCACGTAGACGCTCGCGGGTCGCTCCACAGGCACTCGTCTCGTCTGATGGGGTTGTTGCTGCCTGAGCGAAGAGGCAGCAGGCGCAGGAGCAGGAGGGGTGTGGGCTTCCGTGACAGTCGCAAGTGCGTGGCTCTGCGAGCGCGCATGGCTCGGTCTCGGCATTGACGGTCGCTTGGGCGTCTCGTCGGCATCGCTCTGCATCCTGGAAGCAGCTGATGGTGTCGCGGGGACCCCGCCTGGCTTCGAGAGCCTCGCAGCGGACTTGTTCGCCACCGTCTTTGCCATTTCCATCGCCAGCTGCGCCCATGCAGCGTTGGGGGGTACTTCGATGCCGACAATCTTCTTGAGTGCCTCGACCCATTGGACCATCTCCTGGTCGGTGTCCGCAAAGAAGTGGATCCTCTCTCCGTCTGCAAAGGTGACGCGGAACGAGCGCTCGACGTGGTAGGACTCGTCAAGCTCCTCGTCGTTTCTCAGCTGCATCTTGACGGGCACCTGTCGGACAGGATCCCAGGCCTCCTCTACCGCGACGGCCTGCGAGAGGTCGATCTTGATGGTCGGCTTCTTTGTGATCTCGTTGAAGCCAATCAGGTGCGCTCCCTGAGCCTTGACCGGTCTTCTTCTCCAGCTCTGTAGCAGACAAACGTCAGTCAGTCAATTGAAAGGACGTGAAGTGCCAGGTGACACAAAAGCAACACTCACCCTGCAGTCACCGCCTAGTTGCGTCAAGACGCCCTCCATCCACGGCGCACCCGAGTGCCACTTGGCATTCTCCATGCCGCGGATGCACTCGCCCAGGTTCTCTGGCAAGAGGTTCCGGGGGATGCTGGGCATAGCAGGGAGGTAGAAGAGCTTGAGCCGGAGCGTACCGCGGACCTTGGAGAGGTTCCTGGAAAAGTCCATCGAGGAGCGCATGGCGGCGTTTGCGCTCGAGAGTGACGGCGCCGGATCAGAGACGCCCTGGACGGGCAGATCAACGACGAGACACTTGGCCAGGCATTGAGCAGCGACCTTTTCAAAGACAACCTCGGCGCGTCCAAAGGCACCTTCGCGGTTGACGTAGTCGAGCATGGGCTCCCTCATCGAGCCAGGCGCAACGACGGAGGCTGTAGAGGCGGTGCTCATCGAGGACGCAAAGGCCTTCTTCTTGGGGCTCGAGAAGAGCTTGCCCATGCCTCTCGAGAAGCTCGGCGTCAGCTTCTCTCGCTTGCTGCTCGTCGGGCTCGTCTGCTCCCGCGACGGCTCAACGAGGTGAGCGTCGCGCTGGACAACAAGGGTGAGGTTGAACTCGAGATTCCGGTGCTGGATCAGCTCAAATTCTTGGCCAATCTTGGACACGCTGCCGGCCGAGCGAAGAGGAGCGGAAGCCGTCTTGACGACGTGGAGGCCGTTGTCGAGGACGCAGTAGAACCGAGTGGGCCGGCTTGGAACGGGAAGCGAAGAGGGCGTAAAGGAGTCGACGAGGACAAAGACCTTGCCTGCGACCTTTTTGGGGTTCTCATTGGCACGGTACTCGCGCATCTCCTTGGCGTACTCGTTCATGTCCGAGGGCCTGCGTAGTCTGCGCCACGCCTTGCCGCTGTCGACGTCGCCCGCCACGGCAGTGTGCGACACCTTTTCCTCGACGCCGGTAAAGACACCGCGGTCATTGATGCGATACTTTTGCTAGTGGGTCGAAGAAAAGAAACATGTTAGCTTATCTACGGAGCATGCAACTAGATCGGACACACTCACGTCTCCCTGCTTGCAGATCCTGCTGATCTCCCTCTCGAGGCCGAACTCAAAGTCCTCGCTCTGCTTGCCTCCCTCCAGCTCCTTGTCCTGCGGCTGCTGAAGCGGCGTGGCAGGACTGACGGAGCGTTGCCTGTCCTGCTGCTCCTGCTGCTCCTCTTCTCCAGGCCTGGCATCGCCCGTGCTGAGGCTGCGTCTTCCCTTGAGCCGCTGGGGTGCCTTGCCGTTTTTGCTGCGTCTGCGTGCAATAATGGCTTCGGCCTGCTGTGCGGGCGTCAGGCCGGGTGAGGCCTTTTTGGGCTCAACCTTGTCCTTGCTGGGCTCGTTGAGAACCTCGGAGGCATCGACAGAGGCCTCGCGGCTGCCGGAGCCGAACCACTGCTGCTGACGCTCCCTTGCTTCGGCCTCTTCAGGCCCGACTTGGGCTGCTGCTGCTGCTGCTGCTGCTGCTGCTGCTGCGACGCTGGAGGGCGCCACGGGAGTCTTGTTGAGCAGCGTCGATGTATGCTGAGCCTGCTCAGCAGCCACCTCAGCGCCGAGCCGCTCCAGGGGCGACTCGAGGTCGTCCTGCGCCAGCTCACGGACGGAACTTGGCGGAGGGGCTGGCCTCGGTTCGGCGACCTGCGACGGACGCTGCTCGAGGCCGCGGCTGGCTGGGGCACTCGGCCTGGCACGAGCGACCATTTCGCCCGATGCGTTGCGGCTGCGCTCGGGCTCTGATCCACGAGGCCGGCTGCCCATGACGACGTGACTCCTCGCCTGGGCCATCGGTGGCTGACGCTCTTGCTCGGCAGGGGAAAGCTCCGGAGTCCCGCTCTGCGAATGGGCCTGCTCCTGCTCGGCAGCGAGCCTCTTTTCGCGCGCCACTCGCTGCAGGACGGCGTCTCTCGAGATGTGGGGTCGTCCGCCGGGCTTGGAAGAAGCGGCATTCGCGCCGGTCGCTCCTGGTGCTGCTAGTGTGGGCGTGGCATTGAGCGAGGAAAGGACCGCCTCAACCTCTTCTCTGTCCTCCTCCTGTTCGTTCTCCCCAAACAGCGGGCTCCACGCGGGCAGCGACAGCTTTCCAGCGACATCGTCGACATGCGCCTTTGCCTTTTGCAGCTCGGCAATGTCGTCGTAGCTGGGTGCGCTCTGTGACATGCGCTGCTGCTGCTGCTGCTGCTGCTGCTGCTGCTGAGGAGGAGGAGCAGGTAGTGGCTTCGACGAGCGGCGTTGAGGCTGGTCTTGCACCTCTTCGTCCTCGTCGGCGGCCGCGGCAGCCACGGCGGCGTGTGCTTCCACCTTGTGGTCCTTGAACGTCGAACCGTTACGGCGCCGTCTGGGCGGGCTCGACTCTCGCTCCGCCGCTTGCTCGTTGTACAGACCAGCACGGTTGGGCCCCAGGATGCTGTCGTTGAGCATCTCATCGACCATGCTCTCGACGCGGTGGAGGGCACCGTAGCCGCTGATGTCCGTCGCACTGGCGTCCTTGTCGTCGGCATCGTCCATCTCGTCGACATGGCTGAAGCTCGAGTCGCGGGCGGTGTTGAACGTCTTGTCAATGTCTTCCTGGCGCGGGCTCGCGGGCTCGTCAATCGACGAGACATCGCGGCTGTCGTTGGAGCTCGAGTCGGAGGGCAGCATGTGCTCCTTGTTGTGCTGCGCCTGCCCCTCGAGCGACGGCGTCGACAGGGCCGGGCTCGAGTCCGTGGCGGGGCTGCCGTTGACGACCATGAGACGCTCGGCGACGAGGCGGCTGCCGCGGTCCTCGCTGCGCCACATGACCTCCTCGTCGCTCCACTCGGCACCGTCGTAGGAGCCGCCGCCGGCGTGGACGGCCTCGTAGTCCTGGTTGCTGCTCAGGTTGCTACCCTCGCTCCGCAGGCTCTCGAGGTCGACGCTGCTCTCGCGGTCAAACTCCTGCACATCAAGGACCTCGTCAAAGGTGACGGTCTTGCGCCTTTCGCGCTTCGTCGGCGAGTCTTCGGGCGTCGAGATCTGCCGCGGTCCATGGAGCCGGTTGGAGACGAGGAGGCCGCGCGACGAAGGGCTGTCGTAGTGCTGGTCGCGCGCCGGCGATGGCCGTCCCCGTGGCGTGGTGGCCACCTCGACGTCGCCGCCGTTGGCCGCTGTGGCCATGCGCTTCGGCGTGCGTTCGGGCGTCTTGGGTGGTGCTTCGGCGTGCCCCACGCCGAGCTCCTTTGTCGGCGTGCTTGGTCGGTGGGGCGAAGCAGGAGAAGAAGATGATGACGACGACGACGACGGTGCTGCTGCTGCTGGCCTGGAGGCGGCTGCACTAAATGCCCAGGCATTCTTGGGCAACTCGAGCGGCCTGGTGGCGCCGTCGGTCTCTGCTCCTGCTCCTGCTGTTGCAGCCTGACGCCGAAAGGGCGAGTTGCTGACACCCTTTGCCCTCTGCAGCGCATCGATGCCCTTACTTTTCCTGGGCGAGCCCTGGCCAGGCACGTACGCCGCTTCGTTTTCTGCGTCCGAGTCGTCGTCGTCGTAGGAGCCCTTGGAGCCGAGGCTCGTCGCCGATCCGGACCTCGGCGCCATCTTCGACGGCGGACTGGCGCCCACGCTGATGCCGAGCCCGACGCCCATGGCCCTCGCGCCGTTGCTCGAGGGCGATGAGCCCTCGTAGAGGTGTCGCCGCGCGGGGCTGCCCGTCGCGGCCGAGGCGCTGGATCCAGTGGGCGAGGCATTTGAGTTGTGTGAAGGCGACGGTCGGCCGCCGTTCTTGAAGATGCTGTTGCTCACGAGGCCATGCTGTCGGAGCGAGCTGAGCTTGGCCCTGGCCTCAGGCACTGCATTCTTGGACGGGCTCCTCGGCAGCTGGTCGCCCTCGTCGGCGGTCGTGGTGGCGGTGGAAGCAGCAGACGTCGTGCTGCTGCCACTGCGGTGCGGTGACGACGATGACGACGACGACGAGGAAAAGAGTTCGTGGGGAGGGCGTCTTGCCGTGCGGACGGGAGACCAACCAGCCGACGAGGCACCCAGGATGGCCGCTGTGCTGGCGTCGGGCGAAGCGAGCGCGCCATCATCATAGGCCATGGCGCCCGGCATTGTTAAACGGGATAGGCGATACTCAATGTCCCCTCCTTGGGGTGGCTTTGTTTGGTTGATGACTTGTGTAGACTTGGAAGCGGCGTCGTCAGAGCATCCAGAGGTTGGTTTTCTGGTAGCAGTAATGGATGTAGGTAGGGCTGGAGGAGGGGGAAAGTAGGGATCCAAGACAGCCGATAGCAAGAGCGGAGGAGAGGAAGATGTGAAAATAAAAAGGGAGAGAGAGGAAGAGCAACAAGACGCGTCCGCTTTGACTGTCTAAACAACACACACACACACACACACTAACTACATCACCCCGCCATCTTTCTCTCGACCGGGACGACCCACCTTCCTCGTTTGAAATTTCCTCTATCTCGCCCAGACTTGAGCTCCGCACGGGAGCAGCGGCACTTTGTCACGGCAATGTCTCACATTATCGAGCGAGCAAACGAGGCTAGCCAGGGTCTCCCAGCCCGCTGCTGCTGCTGCAGGCAAAGCGGGCACGGCAAGACGGCGGCGGTGTCCAGGCGTCATATGTTCATTGACGAATCCACACATCTATCTTTGTCTTTTTCCGCCTGCCTCTGTGTGGCCCAAAGGAGGAGAATATTAAAATCCATTCTCCTCCTCCTCCCAACGCGTCGCATCACGTGCAAATCAATTAAGCTCAGCGAGCATGCATGGGCGAACCTCGCTCGGGGCACATAGCCCAATTTTAGAGCGAGGCGGCGGGTAGTCGAATGCGGCCCCCTGTTGGAACAGTCGATTGGAGCGCCCTGACCGCCCCGCCGCGATGAAGGACGGCCGTGACATCAAGCTTGTCTTTCACAGCCGTCTGACGTATGAGCTGCACATCGATGTGGGAGAGGCAACAGCGTCGCTCCCCCCCAGTAGACGGTCAATCGTCTTCCCAGTCCCGGCGCACCTTGTCAAGGGGCGCAAGCTCGACTTTAGACTGGGCGACGGGAGACGGTCCGTTGTGTATACCGTGCGCGTTCTCCGCTCCTCATCACTGCCGCGCGGTGTCGGTGCAACCGGAAGCGTTGCATCCGACGAAAAGAGGCCGTTGATTGCCCGCCCGTCCAGTGCGGCTTCGACTCGGGCTCGCCTCTGGTCCTCCTCGTCTCGACCGCATCAGCCCTTGCGACTCGTCTACTCGCGCATCGACGACGACGAAGAAGACAACGGAGGCGAACTCCACGTCCTCGTTCTCGCCGCTCGGGACCCATCGACATGGCTCGGCTCCGTCCCTTCCTCGAGCTCCCTCTCCTTGCTCTGCCTTCCAGGCAGCCACGAGACGCTAGCCCGCTACGGCTGGCCCTTTTCGCAGTGCCAGAACACCGAATCGACGGTGGCCAAGCAGCTCGAAGATGGGATCCGATTCATGGACATTCGCCTGCGGCCACGCGGCGAAAAGGGCAAGGAGAGGCTGCTCGCCTACCACGGCTCTGTCGATGAGCGCATCGAATTCTCAGCCGTGCTGGAGCAGGTGTGGGCCTTTTTGGAGGGGCCGGGCAAGCAGGGTACGTTGGTTGAATGGGCAAGTCTCACATCAGTACTGACGAGAAAGCCCTTGATGAACAGAAACGCTGGTCATGTCCGTCAAGCAGGAGGGTGGGGACCAAGACACGTTCATCAACCTCCTCAAGACGGCCTACGTCGACGCAACACCCCCGCCCGCCAACGACGCATCGCCCACTGCGCCTCGAGGCCGGCAGCGATGGTTCCTCGAGAACCGCGTGCCCACACTGGGGGAGGTGCGAGGCAAAATCGTCCTCTTCAGCCGCTTCGTCATCGACCCAAAGTTCGACTTTCCCGGAGGGATCAGTCCGCCCATCTGGCCTGACAGCTACGAAGGCTGGTGAGTCTCTCTTTTCCGCGGGCAGTCAGGAAAGACAGTCACTGATTGATCTCCTCCCCTTTCAGCTTCGACTACAAGCTACCAACAGGCCAAGCCGTGCAGACGCAGGACTGGTACCACATTGGGTCTCTCTCTTCGATTCCGCGCAAGTTTGAGCTCATCTGCGATCTGATGGATCAGGGAGGGCGCGATCCTTCGACGCTGGCCTTGGACTTTTGCAATGGCTCCTCTGTTCCCTGGGCCTTGCCGCCCAGCGTCGCAAAGGGCTGGCTCGACGATGGTTCCATCGTCCAGCGATGCTCGACGCTGCTAGCCACCCGAGGCGTCAACCCGAGGCTGCGGGACAGAGTGGCCGACATCATGGCAGCCGCCTCGTCTTCGTATCCACAAGAGAAGAAGCTTCACCAAGCGCTCGACGGACTCATGGTCACTTTCGCAATCGACTTCTATGCGGAGCCAGCTGCCGCCAGCGACTTGGTTCCTCTACTCATTGAAGCAAACTTTCAGTAGTAGTAGCAGAAGTACTTTTCGGATGTCATTATTGTCGTCAATGTCGTTACGTCTAATAATATCGAGCTTTCGTCGTATGGTTCGTGTCAAGTGTTCGTGTATGTCGTGCCGTGCCGTGAATGTGCCCTATACGCTCTCTTCAGGCAAAGGTCAACGCAGCGCCTGTGTGCGGCGTCGCTCGTTGTGCCTTCGCGAGCTGGTTCTTGAGACGTTCGAGCTGGCCCTTTGAATCTGCGACCCTCTTTTCCCACCCTTGCCTCTCGCCCTCGATTCCCCGTAGATGGAGATCCCGCAGCTCCGACTCGAGCTCCTTGCGCTCGGCCTCGATGACGTCGTGCTGGATCCGGAGCTCACGGATCTTAAGCATGGCATCCCACACCTCGTCATTAGCCAGCAAGGTTGGAGCTGTGGGCGGCCTCGATGGCGCGTGGGGCGCTGTCATCTGCGAGACCGTATTCGACTTGCGATGACGGGCGTGCCGGTGAAGGCCATTCCGCAAAGCGGACCAACGGCGTGGAGCCTCGTCGTCCAGGATTTGGTCGCCCTTGTTGCCTTGGCTTGTCGTCTTCGCCGCGGGACGGAGCACAGCAGGAAGAGGAATAGAACCGGCCAAAGTCTGAAGCCCGCTGAGATTGTCGCGCCGAGCGGGTGGGCGAGGCATCTCGAAGCTTCTCGCGGTCGGCTCTGCGTTGGACGTGAGATTCTGGACCTCCTGTCGGTCACACGCCATAGACGCGCGCCGCGTCGCAACCCTGGGCGAAGCAGCCGCAGCAGCAGCACGGACTGAGCTCAAAGCCTCCGGAACTTGCTTTACCCGATCGCCTTGGCGTTCGCCGCCGTCATTTCTAGAGTCTCTGCTCTTCTTCCAGGACCGCGAAGATTCTGGAGACTTTCTACTTGTCGCTGCTGCTTCCGTCGCTGCCGGCTGCTGTGGCTGTTGATCATCTTCGCTCTCTTCTTCCCGCTCTTGCTCGCCCTCCTGTTGATCCTGCCCAGACTCCTCTGAGCTTCGAGACTCGCTGTCCTTCTTTTTCTTGGAAATGGCGCTCCTCCTGCGAAGATGCGTCTTGGCCGACTTCGACACTGGTATCGTGAGAAACCCTAATAGGCCGAAACCGCCTCCTCGCTTCGCCTTATCCTCTTGTTCTTTATCTGCAGGTGCAACCTCGTCGCTAGTCCTCGTGACGGCAGCCTCGGTCTCGGCTTCCGTGTCAGCTGGTATGCCGTCGCTGTGCTCGACCGCTGTCTGCATCGACAGGAGCACCCTGGTATCCTGGTCGAAGTATTCCTTGACTCGTCCTCCTGCCTTTTGAGCAGTGGCCTTTGCTTCATCTTGGACTCCTGCACTTGCAGATGTTCTCTCGTCTACTTCCGTATCCTTTTTCGCCATGCCTTTCTTCAGTTCTTTCTCTTTTTCGCTGGCATCTGCGGACACGAATTCGTCTGCGTCGCCTCCAGTAAGCGTCGCTCGACCCTCACTTTCCCTATCAGTCGGCTTGCTGGACTCCTCGGCGCCCTCCTCCTTCTTGTCCTCGCTCTTGTCTTCCACCTGTTCCTGATCAGATCCTAACTTGCGGTCGAAAGCGGTCTTGTGTCCTGTGCTAAAGAACATGCTGCCACCGTTCTGGCTGCCTTCTTCCGTGACTGCCTGGAGCATCGAGGGGCGGCGCGAGGTGTTGCTTGGGCTCCATCGACGTCCACCATCCTCGGGCACAGAATTATTGGCCGCAGCTCGTCCCTTGCCTTTGCTCTTGCTCTCCGTCGATGGCCAGCCCTTTCCGAGGCCCATCGCTGCCGTCTCATGCTGTGCTGCTTCTTCCTCAGATCCGGACGAGAGGACCTCAAAGTGGCTGTCGGTCGAATTAGTATCTGCCCTCCCTCTTTCGACTTGCATTGCAGTGCTCGACCATCGATTGACTCACAAAATGACATCGGGGATGACCGTCTGCCTGAGATCCATTACCTCGCCCTGAAGAGCCTGCTGCGCGGGCGCTGCCTTGTCCTTCTTGGAACTCTTCTGCTTCCTACCCTTGACGACTTCCTTGCGCGTGGCATCCCAGAGATGCAAGGTGAGTGTATGGAGGATCTCTTCGCTGTGGTCGCCAGGCTCGTGAGCATGGACCGTCTCGGTGCTGCCTTCTACACCCTCTCCGTGCACCTTGGCCCTCTTTTTCCTTAGCACCTCGCTCAGGTCAATGCGACCGCCGCCACCGAGCAAAAAGACGGTAGCAAAACCTTGGTCATCAGTCAACTTTTTCGCAGCGACTCGCTCACTTTTGCGCGTTGCGGCGCTGGTCCTCATGAGTGGAACCAGCTCCCCGTCGACAAAGAGCTCCGCAGCGACTGGTTGCCGAAACTTAGACACGTCCGTGTTGTTCGTCGCACCGGCTCCGCTGCTGCTTCGAAACAGGCGCGAGGACCTCTTGGACGACTTGGCTTTGTCTTCTCTCGGCTGCTGCCCATCCTCGTCTGCAAGGGCCTCTGCAACTACCGGTTGGCTCGCGATCATCATCAGGTCTGCCGAGTCCGACTCGCTCCTCGACTGTCGGCTGAATCGCTTGGCGAGGAGGCTGCCGAGGTTGAGCGAAAGGAGGTGGGCATGTTTCCTGGCACTTGCATCTCCTTTCCCTTCGCTGTCGTCTTGCCCCTCTGCGGTTCCGCGCTGGTCGGCGTTGCCCGAGTCCTCATCTTGCCCGCTTGCAACCATTGCCTCGGCATGGCTCGTATAGGCGTTGTCCTCGTCGGAAGCCTGGTGTTGTTGATGGTGTCGCTCATCGTCTTCATCTTCCTCATCGTGACCGTCGTCATCACCAGCGATTGCCGCCACGAATGTGTTGGCGAAGCTGGCCAAGGCGATATCGTCGAGCTCCGCAGCCCTGTCGGCACTCGCATGCTTTTTGCCCACGTAGCGAAAGGATAGAAAGAGCCTGACGCCGCTGTCCTTTTCCAAGCTGATGGGTCCGGGCGTCCCGACTCCGCCGCCGACAGCGGGTGAGGCCGAAGCTGGGGCCGCTTGGCGGCTGAGCGATCGAATCGTCATGGCTGATGGAGCATAGACTGCGCCAGACCGAAAGATGGCCAGGACATCGTTGACCACATTGGGTCCGTAGCGAGTAAAGTCGAGCGGATAGCCGTGCGAGGCGGAAGTGCGGGGCGAAGCCAGGTCGATGGCCGGAGTCGCCATCGACATCGTTGTCGTTGTCTGCTGCTGTTGCTGTTGCGGTCGAGCATGGGTCAATGGCGAGCGCGCAAATGTCTCTTCGAGGCCACCATAGCCCGGCAGGACGATCCGAGCCTGGAAACCTTTATTGTTCGAACGAATGCTTGTGCGTGAGTCGTTGTCTGCGCCAAGACACTTCATCGCCGACAGTTGAGGCATTTGCCTGCACTTACCGTTAGAAATCATGCCGAGAGTCAGAGTCTGTCTGGCCGGCGGGGCTATTAGTGGAAATGGTCGACGGTGAAAGTGTTTGAGGGTGCAAACGCAGAAGTAGTAGCGTATTGGGGCGGTGATGAAGAGGGGCCAGAGCTTCGTAAGAGCCACCGTCGTATTTATGGGATGAGGCGGGATGAGCCTCCCCTGCATGGACTTGATCGCCGGTACAACGGCGAGCCGCGGCGGACGGCGGCAAACGCACGCGCCCTCCTGCTCTTGCAACGTCTAAACGTCAGCGCTTCTACTTCTGTCCAAAGGAAGATGTGGCGCTGCGGTTTGCCGGCTTGGTGTCGGTGTCCGCGTGGCGGCGATTGCGGACGTCGAAAGAGATGATCGGAGACAGACTCGACTCGACGCCCGATCGAGCAGGCGAAGCGAAGCAATGACGCTATTCTCGTTGCTTACGTCGATGCCGACTACGCCGCACGGCCGTCTGCCAAGCCATGTCACACCCGTGCATCATGCTCCGCCCGTACGTGCTCAGCAGATATGAGGTGATGCGCAAGGAGGGATATTTGCGTCACGCCCGCTGCACCCACGATCACAACTGCCGCATCATTTCAAGCACAATCGGCCATGCTCAGCACAGAGGAAGGCAGCCATTGGCGGGCCGCGCGGATGATCACGAACAGTGTCATGGCGCTCGTAGTGTACGTGGAGCCACCGTTGCAGACAAGATCATTAGGAATATATACATACAGTAGAATCTGGATATCAAGACGGGAGGCGGTCGCTTGTTGCGCGCCAAATGAAGCAGAACGGAGCTGCCCCCTTTTGTGTAGAAAGAGCAAGTGGAAATCGAAATGACTGGTCTGCGCCTGCGCACGGGCGCGGGGCATGCGACAGCGACACGTCGGCAGCAATGGAACGAACAGGCGGGCCGATTGGGGGCCAAGGAAGCGAAATGAGCCTTCAGGCGGCGGCCACCTTTCGGCGACGAGATGACGTCGATGAGTTGTCCAGCTCAGCACTGCCAGCGTGACGAGGCCGCACGGTGGCCATGGACTTCTTGGGACCCTTGTATACGATCTGTCTCTTTGTCATCGCGGCGCCTGCCGATACAGGAGCAGGCCTGGGTGTGCGTGGTCGCACGTTTTCGTCATTCAAGACGAAATTTTGGCCCTCATTTCGGGCCTGGCGCTGCTCGTGCGCCAACGGAGCGGGGACGCCTCTGCCGGCGTTGCCATCGTCATTGTCATTGTCATCGTCGTGGTAGTAAATGCTCCTTGCTTGGATCTCCGAGGCGGTCAGCTCGCCCAAGATGCGACGCGGCCGTGTCAACGTGGCCGTCTTGCCCGTCTTGGAGCTCGACGTGCTGCCCTGCTTCTCGAGTGGCGGCATTCTGTTGCTGCTGCTGCTACCGCTGCTGGAGGGGGCCTCCAAGCAATGCAGGACCTGCCTCCTCGTCGCTGTCGACATAGCCAGATGGGCGAGAGACCTGGACAGAGAAAGAAAGGGGGGGCGATGGACCGCGCCTAGCCTGCTGCCTGCCGGCCTGGCCTGGCGTGGCTTTTCCTTTTCCCCCACGCGGTTTCCAATAAAATTTTAAGGCTCGCCTGGCTTTAGGCGCCTGCCGCGCGCTCGAGACGCGTCCTCCGACCGAGACCATCATATCGACTTGACTTGCACCGCGGCGCGCAAAAAAAGGAGCATGGACGACGAGGCCGACCCTGCGCTGCAGTTCTTCCCCGATGGCGAGGTGGACCTGTACGGGGCGCTGGGCCTGACAAAGGATGCGAGCGAGGACGACATCAAGCGCGCCTATCGCAAGTGAGCAGCACTGTGCTCTGGCTTCTTGTAATTGCCTGCCCCGCCCCGCTGACGAGAAATGATCACTGCGCACACAGGCTCGCGCTCAAGTACCACCCGGACAAGCAGCGCACCTCCTCAGCAGCCTCATCGTCTGCGGCGGCGGCGGAAGATGCCAGCGCCCGGTTCCAGCAGATTGGCTTCTCCTACGCCGTGCTCTCGTCTGCCTCGAGGCGCAAGCGCTACGACGCGACGGGCCGCACCGACGAGAGCATGTTCGGCGACGGCGATGGCGAGATGGACTGGAACGCCTACTTCAAGGAGCTCTGGACCGGTGAAGTGAATGCCGACACGCTCGAGAGCTTTCGCAAAAAGTACAGAGGTGTGTACGATGTCCGTCTTCCTCCCTTGAAACTGAGAGAGAGGCGACGACTGACGACCTTTTTGCCGCGACGCGCTAGAATCCGACGAGGAGAAGGAGGACATCATCGAGGCGTACAAGACCACAAAAGGATCGCTCCTCGACATGGTCGACCACGTGCCCTACCTCTCGCTGCGCCAGGACAAGGCGCGGACGGAATCAATCATCGAGGAAGCCATCAAGGCGGGCGCCCTGACGCGCACTAAGAAATGGGACAAGGAGCGCAAGGACGGCTCGCTGATCGAAAAGGCCGAAAAGAAGGAGAAAAAGGAGGAGGAAGAGGCAAAGGAAATGGCCAGGGAGATGGGCGTGTACGAGGAACTATTTGAGGGAAAGAAGAAGCCGGTTGCTTCGACGACGAAAAAGGGGGCCTCGAAGAGCAAGAGAAAGGCCGGCGACAAGGAGGAGGAGGAGGAGGCTGAGGAGGACTTCTCGGCGCTGCAAATGATCATGGCAAAGAGGAACAAGGAGCGGGGCAGCCAGCTCGACGGTCTCGTAGCCAAGCTTGAAGCAGAAGCTGCTGCCAAGGGTGGCTCAAAGAAGAAAAAGTCGGGCAGCGCCACGGTGTCGAAGAAAGAACAGGACTTCTATCCCGAGCCGACCGACGAGGAGTTTGAGAAGGCACGAGCGCGACTGGACAAGAAGCGAGCAAAGAAGTGAGGGCGAGGTCTTTCACCTCGCGTTGATGAATTGCAAGCACCGAAAAAAGGGCTCTCTCTTATCTTCATACATACGAATGCTGTACACATACTCTCATCATCCATCATCCATCATCTAGGCAATCTCCCAGTCCAACCGCTTGCCCCAGCCGCCCTCCTTGATGGCGACGCTGATCTGCTCGACGTCCTTGTCGCCCCTTCCAGAGCAGCTGATGACCACATCCTGGTCCTTTCCCATCGTCTTTGCCAGCTGGATGCCGCCCCAGATGGCGTGGCTCGTCTCGAGGGCGGGGATGATGCCCTCGAGCTCGGTGCAGATCTTGAAGCCGCGCAGGGCCTCTTCGTCGGTGGCCGACAGGTACTCTGCCCGTCCGCTGTCCTTGAGGTAGGCGTGCTCAGGCCCCACGCCGGGGTAGTCGAGGCCGGCCGAGATGCTGTGCGTCTCGTTGATCTGGCCGTCGGCCGACTGCAGCAGATAGGTTCGCACACCGTGCAGGACACCGGGCGTGCCCTTTGAGAGCGTCGCGCTGTGCCGTGTGTCGCCATCGCCGCCAGCCTCGACGCCGACGAGCTTGACGCTGGGGTGGGGGATGAACTCGTGAAAGATGCCAATGGCGTTGCTTCCTCCACCGACGCATGCCACCACGGCATCGGGCAGCTTGCCCTTCTTGTCCTGGAGCTGCTTCCTGACCTCCTTGCCAATGATGCTTTGGAAGTCGCGGACGAGCGAAGGGAACGGGTGCGGGCCCAGGGCAGAGCCGATGAGGTAGTGGGTATTGTGCAGGTTCGTCACCCAGTCGCGGTTGGCCTCGTTGATGGCGTCCTTGAGCGTCTTGCTGCCGCTCTCGACGGCGACGACCTTGGCACCAAGCATCTTTATCCGGAAGGCGTTGAGCGACTGCCGGCGCACGTCCTCGGCACCCATGTAGATGACGCACTCGAGACCGAAGCGCGCGCAGACGGTGGCCGTCGCCACGCCGTGCTGTCCGGCACCCGTCTCGGCAATAATCCTCGTCTTGCCCAGCCGCTTGGCGAGGAGAATCTGACCGACGGCATTGTTGATCTTGTGCGAGCCAGTGTGGTTGAGGTCCTCTCGCTTGAGCCAGATTCGTGCGCCTCCCGCCTTCTCCGTCAGCCGCTCAGCCAGGTACAGCTCCGAGGGACGGCCAATGTACTCGTAGTGCGACTCAAACTCCTTCCAGAAGCTGGGGTCGTTGAGGGCCTCGAGGTAGGCGCGCTCCAGCTCGACGTGGCAGTCGTACAGCGCTTCGGGCACATACTGGCCACCAAACTTGCCGAACCGTGGCGGTCTCAGAACGCCGTTTGCATCGACGGTGGCATCGAGGCCCGGCACCGACTTGCGGTTCTCGTCAGTAACGACGGCGTCGACCTTTGGCATGGCAACCGAGTCGGGCTTGTCTTGCAGCTCCTTGATTGACATGGATCCGTTCGGCGCAGCGGATGACGAGGCGGAGGCAGAGGAAGACGAGGCAGCCGAGGCATCACTCGAGTGCTGCAGAGGCTGCTTCCTTTGAATGCCCCCCTTTGTCTTGTTTGTGATCTCATCGCAGTAGTCCCGCGCCGCCTTGACCCGCGCCTCTGTCGTCGCATCCGCATCCTTGATGACGGCAACGAGACGGCTGCCGATGACGACACCGTCTGCATGCTCGCCCACCTCGACAAAGTGGTCGCGCGTGGCGACGCCGAAGCCGACAGCCAGGGGTGCCCTGGTGACTCGGCGAATACGGGCGAGGAGGTCCGGGAGCGAGGTGGAGACCTTGTTCGAGACACCCGTGGTGCCCATCTTGGAGACGACGTAGATGAACGAGTCGGCGAGCGAGGACAGGTGCTTGATGCGCTTCTCCGTCGTCGATGGGGCGATGAGGGGGATGTACGACATGCTGATCAGGAGCATCAACGAGTCAGCAACTGCAGAGGTTGGCTACTCTTCTCGCAAAAAGAACACCTACCCCTTGCTCGTGCATTCGTCACGGAAGTCGACGGCTTCTTCAGGCGGCAGATCGACGACGATGAAGCCATTGGCACCAGCCTCTCTCGCATCGCTCACCGTCTTTGTCTCGCCATGCGCCAGGATGGGGTTGTAGTAGCCCATGAAAAGGACGGGTACCTTGAGCCCTTGGCTCCTGGCCTGGCGGACGTAGTCGAGGCACATCTTGAAGTCGACACCCTGCTCGAGGGCCACTTCGTTGCTCTTTTGGATCGCAGGTCCATCGGCCTGAGGATCGCTGAAGGGCACACCGAGCTCGATGATGTCAGCGCCGCCTTGTTCGAGGCCGAGCAGCAGCGGGACCGTGTCGGCGATGGTGGGGTAACCGGCGGTGAGGAAGGTGACGAAGACGGCCTCGTTCTGCGCATTCATTTCGTTGTTAGTCAAAGAGAGCGTGGGCGAGAAGAGAGCGGCATGCGCTCGGAGAGAAACTCACCTTGGCGGCCTTGGCCTTGAAGGTAGCATTGATGGCGTCCGTCATGGTGGTGAAGGGATGGCTGGGGGGTCGGGGAGAATCGAGGAAAGAGTCGGCCTTATAACCCTGTACCAACCTTGTGCCAATCGAGTCAGAAGAAGATGAGCGAGACGGGCGCCACTGCTTTCTCGCCGTTCTGACCAATTTTCTTCCCAATTTTGAGTGTAGTCTAGACGAATGACAAAAGCGCTACTCCAATTTCGTCATTGGTTTGGCATTTGTCATCCAATTTTTTTTTAAAAACTTGTTGTTGGTTAATTTTTCGTTTTTGAGATTTTGGGCTTGCGTTCGGACCGAGGCGGGGTGGGTGGGTGGGTTTCCCCCGCGTTGATTGCGAGTGTCGGTCAGTCCCAGGGCGAGAGGTCCAAAGGGGGCAAAAGAGTGGGTGCAGCGCTCTTCACTACCGAAACACCATGGCTCTATTCCTTGGCTCGTCTTCGCGCCAGGTGCACGCCTTGCTACGAGGGACTGGCACAGCCGTCGGTAGAGGTGTTGGGAGGAATGGCCTGGTGGCATCGCGGGGCGCACAAATGCGCCTCGTTTCGAACAACAGCGGCGGCGGAGGCGGCGGCGGTCTCCAACCGCCAAAGGCCTCATCAGCTTCCACTACGGGGGTCCCAAGATGGATCCTGGCCGCCACAGGCATCGTTGCTGCCCTCGGCGTGGCCGAGCTAACCCGGGGACGCAAGGTGGCCGCTGAGGAGCAACGCAGGCTGCCGCCTGCCGAAGTGGCTCCCCTCGCAGCCGGCGATCCCGTCGATGGTCTCATCTCGATGGACGACGTCGCAAGCCACAATTCGCCCGAGAGTGGCCTCTGGGTCGTCATCAACGGCGAGGTCTATGAGTAAGTGGGAATTGTGGCTACTCCGCTCTCTCATCGTTCTGACTCACTGAGCCGGACGACAGTCTGACCGACTTTGTCGAGAATCATCCGGGAGGCAAGAATGTCATTCTCAAGAATGCAGGCAAAGATGTGACGTGAGTAGAAGGATCACGGTATGATATCATAGTAAGGGGAAGGGAGAGAGAAGCTGATCAATTGCTATCATGAAGCGATATATATGCGCCGGTGCATCCACCCACAGCGATCGAGGACAACCTCGAGCCTTCGAACCACCTCGGCCAGGTGGACCCCAAGACGATCAAGGTGAAGCAGGCGTCGGAAGAGTCGGAAAAGGACAAGAAGAGGAGATTAGCCCTCGAGAATCTGCCTCCGGTTGGCAGTATGCTCAACCTGGATGATTTCGAGGTGAGGGCCCAAGCAGCACGAGGTTGGATCTGGACGCTGACGCCAGTTTCTCCCTCCTCCTCCTTGAAGAGGAACGCGCAGAACATCTTGACAGACCAGGCATGGGCCTATTACTCTTCAGCAGGCGACGATGAAATCAGTGAGAGCCTTGCAGACCGAGCTCGCTTTCTTCGTTTCTCAATTGCTAACATTGCATTCTCTACAGCCAAGCAGCAGAATCGATCGTCGTACAACCGCATCTGGTTCAAACCTCGGATCCTCGTTCCTGTCGGCCAGGTGGACTACTCAACGACGCTCATGGCAAACGTCTCTGGGGCCGACACAAAAGTCTCGCTGCCCATCTACATCTCTCCTGCCGCCATGGCAAAGCTCGGCCACCCAGACGGAGAACTTAATCTGACACGGGCTGCCGGCCGCATGGGCATCGTCCAAGGGGTACGTTGCTTACAATGGTTTGCGATCTGGAGCCTCTATAAAGCTAATCGTGTCTCTTTCTGTTGTAGATCTCGGCAAACGCATCGGTGGGCCTCGATGAGATGCTCGACGTGCGCAAGCCCGGCCAGCCCACCTTCTACCAGCTCTACGTCAACAAGGACCGGGCTGCTTCCGAGCGCATCCTCAAGAAGATCCAGGATCGCGGTTGCACTGCCGTCATGCTGACGGTGGATGCCCCCGTGATGGGCAAGCGAGAGGCAGACATGCGCGCCAAGGGCGAAGTCGTCGAGACGGGCGGCGGACAGGGTGGCGACCCGACGACCAGCGGTGGCGGCGTCGCAGCGGCCATCTCTGGCTACATCGACCCGAATCTCGTGAGCATTTTCCCCTTGCCTCTCTACTTTTGATCCCTTGGAAAGCTAACATCGACGTGGCATCGCGCAGAGCTGGGACGACATTGCGTGGTACCGCAAGACTTGCTCACTACCCTTGATCCTCAAGGGCATTCAGAGCATTGCCGACGTGGAGGAGGCAGCCAAGCGAGGCGTCGAAGGTGTAGTGCTCTCCAACCACGGTGGACGCTCGCTGGACTTCTCACCAGCGCCCATCGACGTCCTCATCGAGCTGCGGCAGAAGCGGCCGGACCTGTTTGAAAAGATTGACGTCTACGTTGATGGCGGCGTGCGGAGAGGCACAGATGTCCTCAAGGCGTTGGCACTCGGTGCAAAGGCCGTCGGCCTCGGTCGCCCGTTTTTGGTGAGTGGTGACAAGAAGAAGCGGCAGTCCATGCCCCGCTTACGCTCGTCCAATCTTGCACAGTATGCCCAATCAGGCTTTGGTGAAGCTGGCGCTGTCCGTGCAATCGAGATCATCCAGGACGAGGTGGAACGTGGCATGCGGCTACTCGGCATCACCTCCCTCGACCAGCTCAATCCCGACATGATCGATATCCTCCCGAGGTTTTTTGATCCGAATCTGTCCAGAAGCGCACCTTGTCCACCCAACTCTTTTGAGGGCTGACAGGGCGCTCTTATTTCACAAAAAGTACACACCTGTCTATTTCGTACATCTACCGCAATACTGCAATGGAACACCAAAAGGAAGGAGTGTAGTTGAGGAGTAGGAAACACAATCAATTGTATACTTTGCCGTCGATTTGTCACTCCTCGTAGCTGCCATTGCCGCCGAGCAAGCCCCTTCCCTCAAAGCTGGCATTGAAGCGGAGGAGGGTATTGATGTCGCCCACCCACCCATCCTCGCCGCGCCCGTTTTCGTTTTGCTTGAGCACCAGCCCCTCACACTGCGCCCCTTTGTCGAGCAGCTGCGGCCCGGCCGTCTCGCCGCTGGCAGACTCTCGTTGCATGGTCGAGGCTCGATTGACGCAAGGGATCGGGTAGGGCGACATGGCCACCTGCGTGAATTGGCCCGGTGTCAGGAGTCGGACCTGACGCCCGTCGACGGTCACTTCAGCGTGAGATCGCGACGTGCTGGAGACCTGTTTGAGGGGGCAAAGGGGAAGGTGTCCTTGAATAAGTTCTCATGAAGAACGGCCCTGTGGAAAAAAAGGAGCGGGTTGACTGACCTTGAGCTGGATCGTCGAGTCACTTGGGAGCAGGAGCGGGCGAAAGGAGAGCGATCGGGGGCAAATTGGCGTCAAGACGAGCGACTGTACCGATGGATGAACAATGGGACCACCCGCAGAGAGCGAATAGGCCGTCGAGCCCGTCGGCGTTGCGATGATGAGGCCATCGGACTGGATGCCTCTCGATGAGCAGGAGCTTCACACCCTACGCAGAGAGGGGCCCAACAGTCACTCACAATAGCCCGCGTCAAGTGCCGCCCGTCGACAAAGGCGTCGACGATGGTCATGTGCGGTTCACGTCCACGGTGCAGCGCGACTTCGTTCATGAGATGCATATCTGATCCACAACACAGTTTCAGCCTCCCCAGGAAGAAAGACAGCTAAGATATTGGCCCACCCACCATTGGCTCGACCGTCGGGCGAAGCGATGAGGGTGCCATCGCGTTCATGAGTCGTTTGGTGAAGCCTCATCCTCAAAAGGAGCGATGCTTTGGATTCGAGCAAGTCTCGAAAGGCCGTCTCGAACGAGCCGATGTCTTCGAGCCAAAGCCAAGTTAGATCCCCCCTCCATTTCCTTGCCGGGCTCAAAGACACTCACGGTACGGCAGAAGAAAGCCCAATGTGCCCATCGAAAAGCTCAAGACGGGTGGGACTGCGGCCTGGTCGAAAAGGCTTGAGACATGAAGAATTGTTCCATCGCCTCCGAGCGTCACCACAAGATCGACCTTGGAAGCGAGCAAGTCTTTGTCGTCTTTTGTGTGCAAAGAGGTGAGATGAAGTGGGCAGACGGTGTGCTCACCTCGACACGAGACTCACCGTGGCTGATTGCGAGAAGATGAGGGAAAGTATGCGAGAGCTGATCGTACGTGTCCGTCTCTACAATGATGTTCATATCTGGGTATCGCTCATTGACATGTCTTGTCGATGAGGAGGTCGTATTGTTAGGACAAACTAAACGCGACAGAGAGGAACTTTCGGTGATTCTCACCGAACAATGCTGGTCAGGGCCGCCAATGCCTTCTCGTCGTGGCGCTTTTTGACGAGAAGTAGGTTCCTTGGAGGTTGCACCCATGACAAAGAGTGATCTCCTCTATAGATCGGTCGAGATGAGGAAAAGATTTAACACACCTGCCACAGATATGAAACAGGGCCTCGTTGCGAACCCACCCGAAGCTGCTACCGACTCTGGTGGTGATTTTCGTCGATTCTCGAGGCGCCAGCACCTTGGATAGCCTATGGGAGTGAAGCCTTGGTTAGGAGGAGCACAAAGACCCGAGCTCTTTCGAGCTAGAAGCTTTCTCGCCCTCTCACCTGCCCAGCGGACCCGTGCGGATGGTCGCCTTGTCCGGCAGCTGATGGAGCACTGTCCGATTCGGGACCGAGCATCGGGCTGGACTACCTGAAAGCTGTCTCACTCGTTCTCTTCGCAAGGTGTTGCGGAACGGTTCAAGAGAGCTTTGAGCAGGCCACCTTGAGAGGCATGACCCAGAGCACCGAGAGGCCCGCCAGGGTATAGAGAATTCACCCAAGATGGCCGCCATTGTCGCTCCAGGAAGCCGGAAGTGGAGCGTTGCAGTCGGACTTTTTTTTGTTTGCTCCAAACCACGTGGTGGATAATCGCAGTTGCATGCCCTTGTCTGCTTCGCACTGTTGTCCTACCCCTCTTCAGTAGTAGAAGTAGCCCGTCTTCGCCAACCGCGAAAGCTTCAGCATGGAGGTGGAAGCAGGCCCGTCGGGAGGCATGATCGACTATGAGATGAATCAAGAAGATGGCGTGCCCAGTCCAGCGACGATGGACGATGCGCAGATGCAGATGGAGTACGATGCCATTGCTGCTTCGTCGAGCGCAGGCCCTGCAGAGGTCGACGAAGGCATTCAAGAATACAGCGAGGAGGTTGTGATGCAAGAAGAAGATTTTCCAGGGCAGCACAGCCTCAGAGAAGACGAACAGCACGCTGCGCAACACGGGTCATCGGAAGGCCAGGAGCAAGTCATGCTCGATAACCAGCCATCCAATGTGGTGGAAGCCGTTGGGAAAGAGTCCCATGTGTCCGCGGATGCAAGGGCGGAGGGTAACGTCGCACCCGGATTTTGGGATCCGACGAAGACCGAGGACATCGCGGTGGCCGAAGAAATCTTGGATGGACACAAGAGCGCAGAAGAAGATGCCGTCAGTCATGAGCTGCAAGACGGAGAAGGGCAACTGCAGGGAGAGGAGGAGGAGGAGGAGGCTGAGAACGAAGTTGGAAACGAAGAATGGGAGGAGCACACTGCTCAGCACGATCAGGAATACCAAAAAGAAGGAGTCGAGCAGGAGAACGAACAAGAAGAAGAAGAAAAGGAAGAAGGACATCACCAGGGCGAAGAAGATCAAGATGAGCGAAGACAAGAAGAAGAGGATGATCATTTCGCAGAGGGAGGAGGGGAAGGAGGAAGCGAAGTGAAAGAGCGGGATGGAGGAGAATTTGAGGCAAGCCACATCTCAGCGCAAGAAGCGGAAAAGGAGCAGCCTCTGACCGTCTCAGGCGACGATGCGCCGAATGGTGAGCTAGGCCTAAGTAGTGAGGACACATACCCGATCGACTCCAAGGAAGATGTGGATCAACATCCGCCATCGGTCCGCGTAACATTCAACGACCAGGACTTTAGCGTCTGGACCTCGCACTCAGGATTGGTCGACGCGCAAGTGGCTTGCCCGCCTCTATCGATCGAAAAGGACGTCTTTCACGCACCTCTCGAGGCGCTCTTCGAGGCCATGAGGATTAAGCATGCTCTTGGTGACTTCCTTGAAGACGGAACGGAGCTCGTGTTCCATTTTGCTGACTTGGACATGACTGTCCGTGAAGTGAGTCCTTCTCCGGTGCAACTCTGCAATTCTGTACTAACTCAACTTCTCTTGCATTTCAGGACGACTACTATGCTCGCGACGTGACCTTAGAAGACATCCACAGGCTTCACCTCGGTCTCGTTGGACAAGAAGCAATGCTTCAGGTCGTGGTATCGGAAGCACCTAGGTTCATCAGCCGGTACAACGAGCTGGCCGCTCAGCTGGTCGCCCACGCCGAGGCGGAAGGAAGTACCCCGCTCGCAGACGATGTCAAGCAAGGCGACCATAATGTCCAAGAAGAGGGCGAACAAACTTTCGTGACGACACTTGAGGAGACCGACGCCCTGAGAGATGGACAGGGCCCAAGTGAGAAAGGGGAAGGAGGAGGGAGAAGTGCCATCGCTGGAGATGGAATCGATCAGGGCGAAGAAAAAGCCGGGTCTCCGAAGCAAGGCGATGAAGAAGGCGATGGCGGTGACCAAGCCGCTTGGTCTGATCACGGCAATGGAGAGGAGGAGGATGAAGAGGAAGTAGAGGAAGAGGCAGAAGAAGAAGAAGAAGAGAAAGAAGGCGATGAAGAAGAGCACATGTATGGACAGGGAAACCAAGAAGAAGACGCTCACGAAGGCGACGATGATGCGGACGCCATCGAGGTCCCTCATCGAGATTCAAGCGCGGCAGCAGTGGGGGACGAAATCAACAACGCGGGCGAAGCGGAAGAGCAATACGTCGACTATGAAGAGGTCATCGAATCAGACCAGCCCGATGGACGGGCGCAGGACGATCAAAGCGAATCGTCAGGAGCTGCAGAGCAAAACGATCAAGCAGAAGAAGTGGAAGAAGTCGACGCTGCAGAGGAGCACGGAGCAGCGAACGAGGACAGAATAGAATCTCTGGGTCCTGACTCTGGCTCAAGCCAAAAGAGAGCCTACGAGGAGGAAGAGGACAACTACGACCAAGACTTGCCAACTTCTCGTGAGTGCACCCACTTTTCTTCTTTGCACGCTCAGGATGCCGTGTGACTGACCTTCCTGTTCCCTTTCGCAGCTTCTGCAATCGAGGGCAAGCGGGCAAGAGTGGAGTGAGGCTATCGACCCCTCGCAATCGGTTTGCCATCTTCCAGGCTTCGGACATGGCGAATCTCTCTGTTGGGCTTGAGCGTGGGCTCTGTCCCGGACAAACGGCCAGAGATCGGGTCTTTGGTCGATGCGTGCTGACGACGTGTTTCCACGGCGACTCGAGCCTCAAAAAGGATATCAAAAAGGATAGCATGCACATGCTCGTTGGGAAAGTGTAGGTATCTGACAAGCAAGGTCAAAAGGTAAGTGGGTCCTTGCGAGGCTGCTAACGTGACGCTGGTGTCGTGTTCTCTTCATCTCCTCATCCATCTCCGTGTACTATGTATCTCTACAATGCCCATCAATAACACAATCTCCTTTTCGTTGTCGTCTCCTCCCGCTCTGCTCCTGCTCGCGTTGGTGCAGAGGCCGCGCCGTCTCTGGACTTGCGTTTCAAAAGGTCTTGAAATCGTCTGAGATTGAGGGGTCTGCATGGGAATCTCTGCGAGTGTCTTTCAGGTCTGGGATTCAATGCATGCGTGCACGCACGCACCACCGGGTGACGTTGTCGATGCGGCGTAGGCGTCTTGAACCTCGGTCCGAGGGCAGGAGAGCAGGACCTTAATAGTGTTATTAACAAATGCAAATTATGCATAGCTGAAACAGGGTGATTGAGTGCGGGCGTCGAATGGGAAAAGTTCCAAGATGGGCCCATCGTCCACGGCCTGCATGTGCAGTGGTCCTCAACCTGTGGTACACGACCGTGTTCTGGCCTAGCTGTATCAAACTAAGCATCGTCGGGGCCAAATTAATTATATTGATTCGATTGGACGGGCGGATCAACTACCGGGCGGAGGGGTTGGAACCATGGGTGGCAAGAAAAAGAGATCAGTGGGGTGGGGGAGGGGATGACCACGGTACGCATCGAATGGATAAGGCCCGGCTTTCAGAAAAGGTTGCAATCCAAAAAGGAAATGCTTCACAAAAGGATCGGACTGCCCTTTGTCCTGATATTATTTTGCTCACTTTGTAGGCGGCTCACTGGTCCCGCGCCAGTAAAAGCCTCGCTCGCTTCGGGAACACCCATCCATGGGTCCTCCAGGCACCGCGCCAGTGTACTTTCCGATTCCTCTGCTGTCGTCTGCCCTATCGGATGGCAGACGGGGGGTCCACTAGCTGCTTTTGCTTATGCGTATGCCTAATATCTGCTTCAGCCGAGCGAAGTCATGAGCAAAATAAAAATAAAACAAGAAAGAATTAAACGCTAAGCACTACAGCTGTCCGTCCCACTCGCTGGCGCTCGACTCACAGCAAAGATCATGAGGAAAACTGAAAGCCTTCTTTTTCCTCGCTCTTTTTCCCGTCCATTTTTTTTCTTATTTCTATTATTTCTTTTCTCTTCGTCTGGGCAGGCGAGTTGCCCTGCCCAGCCAGCCAGCGCCCCCCCCTCGAAGCAACGCACCCTTCCCTTGTGTGTGACCGGCTGATCACGCACGCATCCTTCTCCTCATCTCCATCATCCCCACCCCCCCTAAGCCCCGCTTGTTCATCATTGTGGCGGGACCCGAAATCGGCCCTTGAAATTCAGTTGGCTCATCGCGCGGGGGGAAATAGAACGACGAACGGCGACGCGAGCGGGGAGGACAACCCAAGAGAAGGCAAAAAGCGAAAAGACGCGCCATTTCCTGCTAGCGCTCCTCTCTGTGCTGAGATAGCCTCGGAAGGAAGCTAAGCGATTAGCGGTCATCACCAAACTTGACCCCAACGCCCTACTCGACACATCTTAATATTCGCGCTTGGCCGCGCCTCGCCTTGCATTTTAGATCAGGCATCTAGCTCTGCTGCTTGTCATACATCGCCTTGACCCGAGTAGCCGAAGCAACGGTCTTCTGGCGCATTTCTCATCGGCAAGCGCACCCAGTGGCTCTGTCCCGCCAGCGACACGCGATAGAGGGACCAAACCACGCAGAGAGGCTTGCGACGGCGAGCGAGCAAAGGAGGAACGGGGCGGAGCGGCGAAGCGCTTCTCTTCCAACTCACTCACTCACTCACAGGCACACGCTCTTTCGCGAGAGTATCAATTGGCGACAAGCCTTCGGCGAACAAAGAGTCCGAACCAAAAAGAGGGTCTTTTCAGGCCTAGTGCAGGCAATCCCACCTCGTCGCGCGGCTTCTCGATCGTCTATCCACGCAGCAGTACGCCCGCAGCTAGCGAAAACAGCAACAGCAGCAGCAGCAGCAGCGTCAAAAGTTGATCGCGCTTGCACTGAGACGCGGTCCGCGCGCAATCATCGCCTCTCTCTCTCTCCCGTCGATCGACTCTGAGGAGTAAAAATAAATAAATAAAAAGAAAGAAACCGGGCAGGCTAGGGCCATCCATCCATCGACGACAGCTGCGTGGCGAGTAAAAGCATGGCACGCACGACGCGCAGGAAGCAAAAGGGGCCTGGCGCCGGTGGGGTCACGGACTCGCCGGGCGGTCACGCCATGTCGCCTCCCCAGGACCCCAGCATCCACCACGAGGGCAATGGCACGTTTGACCCCATTGCGCAACCGCCGCCTCCGCCGCCGATGAAGCTCGACGAGTCAGCCGGCGGCTACTCTTCCTATGGCAGCAGTGGTGAGTCTGGACTTTTTCCACGTCTTACATCCCCATCATGCTCACCCTCATCCTCGCCTTGCTTGCTTGCTTGCTTGCTTGCTCGCTCCACCTCTCCCTTTACTTCTCCTTTCCCGCGCAGCAGCTGCAGCCAGAGGCGGCTCGCCCAACCAGACGGGGCGCTATCTCGGAGTCGACGGCTATCCGCACGAGGGCGGCCATCCTGGTCACGCGATGGATCCCTACGAGCACCACCACCTTCCTCCGCTTGCCGAGGCCATCCACCCCGACGATGCTGCCGCTGCCGGCGCTCCACCTCCGCCGCACCATCACCAACAGCAGCAACACCAGTCCCACCACCACCACCAGCAGGCTCATCCTGACCACGTCTATCAGCAGCACCCGGGCGCCTACGAATCGCACCCGGCTGCCAGCGACCCGCACGGATCGTACGAGCACGACGGGGCCAGCAGCAACTTTTTCGACCCCCAGATCATGAACCCGCCTGCGACGGCCCCCTCCGATGGCTACGACCACACGCACCACCACAGCCACTTTGGCGGCCAGATCATGACGCCTCCCCCACCTGGCTCCTCGCATGGCGCACCGCCCCAGTACGGTTCCTCGTCGCCTTACCCCGGCCCTGCGCCCCACATGTTCCATCGCGCCTCGATCTCGGGCCCCATCATGCACCAGCACCACTACGGCGCCCCTCCCCCACCGGGCACGCCCCACTCTGTGGCAGGAGGTGGTGGTGGTGGTGGCGGCGGCGGCGGAGGAGGAGGCGCGCCTCCCACGCCCGGCGACATGGCCGCTTGGGGCACACCCTCGGGCAGCGCGAGGCCCCACACGGCTGACGGCATGTTTGCCTCGCAGATGGCCGGCATGCCTGGACAGTGGTCTGGACCAGGCGTCGTTCCCGGTGAGTGACTTGTCTATGAAGCTCCTTCTCGAACTTTTTTTTTCCCTTACTCACCGTCTCTATTGTCCACGCTCGCGCAGAGTACGGCAGTCGACAGAACCGAGGCTCTAGCTCGTCGATTTCCAGCGTGTCCGAGGCTGCACACGGCGCCAATGGCACCGGTGGCAACAAGATTTTCTCCTACATGCCTGGCAACGCAGATGATTCGTCGTCTACAGGCGGCGGCTCAGCCTCGGGTGCGAGCAACTCGGCTCGCAAGCGCCCACGTCGCAGATACGACGAGATCGAACGCCTGTACCCTTGCAACTGGCCCGGCTGCCAAAAGAGCTACGGCACCCTCAACCACCTCAACGCCCACGTCGCCATGCAGAAGCACGGATCGAAGCGGACGCCAAACGAATTCAAAGAGATGCGCAAGGCATGGCGCAAGGGCAAGCGTGAAGAGGACCAGCGGAGGCAGGCCAATGCAGCCGTGGCAAACGAAGAGGCCATGGCCCGCTCAAAGGTCGTCTTTGCCCCTCCGCCCCCGGGCCACGGCTTTCCCATGTCGCCCAACGCCAACGGTGGGGGAGGCGGTGCTCCTGGCCAGGGCGGACCACCGCCCCCCGGCTATCCCTCCTTTGGACCGCCTGCGCCTCATGCCATGCCCCCACCCGGACAGGTGCCTCGCTATGCCGTGCCCTACGGTGGCCAAGCTTCATCGCCCTATGGCCACGTCGCCGCTGTCGATGCCAATGGCCGGCCCTACTCGAGCGGCGGCTCCATTCCCTCGCCTCAGCAAGCAAGCGCACAGCCCGGAGGCGGACTGGGCGCCTATCTCATGGGTCGAGGCAGCATCTGATCTCCCTAGATATACCCTCTGCGCCGCCATGGTCCCGTCGTTGTTGACTCCTTGTAGTGTATCACCACCACCTTTTCTCTCTACTCTTCCTTTCTCTCTCTCTCTCTCTCTCTCTCTCTCTCTCTCTCTCTCTCTCTTCTCTCCCTCCCTCTCTCTTCTACATACTTTCTACCTCTCTTCTCTCTCTACTTCGTGTTGAATCTTCAATCTGGACGCTCAACCTCTTGTTCGACTTCATACACACTCAAGTATTCCAACCTTTTTTTTTTCAGTGGTTCGTCTTCTAGCACAGCATTCTGGTCCGCCCCCTAGCCTTTTCCTCAACCATCACAGACACCCCGCTCCGCACACCCCTGAGGTAATACAGCGAGTGTGTATCAAGAGCACAAGCCTGCATGTGAGATGAGCAGCAGTGAGCAAAGAGTGGCAGTGTCAACAGCGCTCACACCTCGAAAGCGGGTATTCTTGTCCCTTTCTCAACTTTGGCTAGCTGGCTGCTTGATCAGCACCGCGAAAGGAGTGGAGGACCAAGGCTGTGCGTGTGCTCTTTATTTTTTGTGGTGTGCCTGTCGTAACGAAGGTCGAACGTTCACTAAAATTGTTAGCAGAACAAAGAACGCCAAGCAATTTCCTAAATTTGTATCTCATTTCCTGCTCCTTGTGAGTTTTTTATAGTAAGACCTGCTAAACCGCGTGCATAGTATGCGCGTCTGTTGCTTTCGCCGCTTGTTCGCTGACCTTGCGGTCCTGCTGCCTGCTACCTAAGCCATCCTACCCCATTAGCCGCCGAAGCCACCTTCCTTTGAAATCCTCTTTTCCCCCCTCTCCGTCTTCGCTCGTCTTGGCGGCTTCGTCACTCTCTCTCCAAAACCGGCTGATCAGAAGGAACCCCAGCGCTCCCAAGAGAAGTGGCTTTTTTTCCTTCGGCACTCGTCGTCGTCATAGCCAGCTTTTCTTTTTCTTTTTTTTACTTGGACCACTCACTTTCCGACGGTCTTTGAAACGCATCTATCGGGCCGGGGTGCAGGTCACTCCTCCTCTTCGCAATACCAAATATATACCGTCGTCTCTCTCTCTCCGTCCAGAAGCCGCCACCGAACGGCCCACGTCCGCAATCCGACAGCAGCGTGGTTCCCAAAAGTAGACAACTTGGGATCTCCTCTTTCGCTCGCATTTTGTCTCTTTTCGGGGCGCAGCATTCACTCTCTTCGCCCGCCCGACCGCCCACCCCTTCTTGATGATCTTCCGATCATCATGGCTGGCCTTGGCCATTGTCTCCGCCCTGCTTCTGGTCTGCAGTCACGGTGAGTCCCTGGCGTCGCGCCCCGGGCTTCTCTTCTCCTGCTCCTGCTCTTTCTGACTTGCCCGCACAGCCTCTTCGCCTCGTCCGCTACCGCTCAAACGGTTTGAGCACGCATCCGAGATTGGCCTCGAGGTCGTCCGGAGAGTGTCGCCCGACGGTAGCGCGCCCCAGCGCATCGCCCGGCGAGAACAGCCGAGCTTCGGTGGCCGGAGATCCCCGTCCGTCGAGCACACCGATTCGATCCGACTCAGCCTCCGGGCCTTTTCGCAGACCTTTCACCTGCACCTCGAGCCGTACCATGATCTCCTTCATCCCGACGGTGCGCAGGTCCGGTACTACGAGCGCGATGCCCGCGGCGTCGAAGTACTTGCGCGGACCGAGCAGCTGATGCCGCACGACATCCGTGCCTACCACGGCGTCGTCGTCCATCCCGCATACACCGCTCGCCGCTTGGCAGAGGACAGCATCGGGATCAAGCGCAGCGGGAGCGTTCATGATCAGGAGGGCGTCATGGGGAGGGCTGCCATGTGAGTACAGTCTGCTTTACTTGTGGTTGCAGAAAGAAGTAAGTTTCTGATGCCGATCCCGTCCCCGTCACAGCATGCTGTACGACGATGGCTCGGGCAATGGCACAGCCCTCTTCGAAGGCACCTTTGTGTGGGGGAACAACGAGCACACGATCCAGACTCCGATCAATTACCACACCTCTCGGCAGCCGCACGACGTGTCCATCTCGCCAAGATCTATCGCCAAGGGCGGCATGATCGTCCACCGCCAGTCGGACGTCATGTCGCAATTTGAGGCCCGCGATCTGGTCCCTGTCGGCGAGAGCATGGGGTGCAGCTCGGACAGAAACGACTATAATGCAAACAACCACCTCATCTTCAGCGATGACAACAACGACGAATTTAGCATGAACCCCATGGACTTTTTTGCGCCGTCGAACCCACGCCACCAGGCTCGATCGATGGTCATGGCAGGCGTCTCTGACTTGTTCAGCGGGAACAAGCGCTCTGCTTCCACCCCTCTCGAGACGTCGATGGACGCTCCTGCGCTGAGGCGCCGGCTTCTCTTCTCATATGAAGATGCAGCTTTGCACCTGTGGAAGCGACAGTCGGGCAATGACCAGCTCGGTGGCTCTAACAACGACTCTTACACCGACTCCATTGGCCAAACTTCGGGTTGCCCTTCGCAGGCAAGAGCCATCTACATCGGTGTTGCCTCGGACTGCACCTACACTGCTCGCTTCTCCGATCAAGGACAGGCTAGAAACGCCACACTAACCAACATGGCCACCGTTTCGCAAATTTACCGGTCCACCTTCAACATCTCCGTCGGCGTCGTCGAGCTCGAGGTCCGGGACGCCAGCTGCCCCTCTACTGCTCAGGCTGATGCCCGGTGGAATGTGGGCTGCAGCGGCTCTTCGCTCGATCAGCGACTCTCTGATTTCTCCCAGTGGCGCGGCTCTCGCGAGGCCAATGGCACCGCCCTCTGGCACCTCCTCACCGCCTGCTCCACGGGCTCCGAGGTCGGTGTCGCGTGGCTGGGAACACTCTGCAAGACAGACGCAAGTGGAAGCGGCGACAGCATCATCAGCAGCACCGGTGTCACGGCTGTGACTTCACGCGAGGCCCAAGTCATGGCCCATGAGATCGGCCACAACTTTGGTGCCATCCACGACTGCATGTCCGGCTGCTCCATCTCTGGTACCACGGCCCAGCAGAGTGGTGGTGGAGCCATTTGCTGCCCGCGCTCGAGCAGCTCTTGCAACGCGGGAGGGCAGTACATCATGAACCCCTTTTCGCAGCAGGACACCAACGACTTTTCACCATGCTCCGTCGGTAACATTTGCTCGCTAATTGGCCGAGGATTGGACACATCCTGCGTCGTTGATCCGAGCAAGACGCGCCGAGAGACGCTGTCGGCCCAGCAGTGCGGCAACGGCATCGTCGAAGCGGGCGAGGAGTGCGATGCGGGCCAGAATGGGTCCAATTGCTGCACGACGGACTGCAAGTTGACGGCCAACAGCAAGTGCGACCCCGAGTCGAGCGCATGCTGCACTAGCAGCTGCCAGTTTGCTGACTCCAGCGTCACCTGTCGAGCGGCCGTCGACGACCGGTGCGACACAGCTGAGATGTGCTCGGGGACGAGCGCAGACTGTCCGGCTGACGAGCGAAAGTCTGACGGTTCCTCGTGCGGAAGCGGGCTGCAGTGCGCCTCGGGCCATTGCACGTCGCGAGACCAGCAATGCCAGCAACAATCCCAAGCTGCCTACAGCTTCACACGAGCCTGCTCCGTCACGGCTGACAACAGCTGCAGCGTGTCATGTCAGGACCCGTCCAATGCCAACAGCTGCATCGTCTTGCAGCAGAACTTCATCGATGGCACCGAGTGCGGCTACGGCGGACACTGCCAGGGCGGCCAGTGCCAGTCGGGCGGCTGGCAAAGTACCTTTTCATCATGGTACCGCAACAACTTGCAGATTGCCGTCCCTGTCACCATCGTCATTGCCGTCATTGTCCTCCTCATTCTCTGGGGCCTCATTCGCTGCATTATTCTCCCGTGCTTTGGAAAGGCGAGCCGGCCCAAGGCTGCGGGCGTCATCCCCGGCAAGCGTGCATCTGCGCGGCGAGGCGGAGGCAGCCGAGGCGGAAGTGTGGGCGGTGCCGGACCGTTCCTGCAGCCCAGCACCGATGAGGCCTGGCAGCCCGTCCAAAGCCAGAGGAGCAGCGCAGGCGCTCCACCCCCACCTCCGCAGCACCCATCGATGCGCGACTACAATGCCGGACGGCAGCAGCCGCCGTCAAGCTGGGTCGACCCTGCTGCATACAATGGCAGCATGCCCTCGAGCGGAGGACCTTCGTACGACCACTATGGCAACGGCGGGTACCGATATTGAGCCGTCTTTTCTCTGCTGTATCCTTTTTTGTCTTTTTCTTTCTTTCAACCTCTCTCTTTCACTGATTAGGATCTCGCTCGCAACACGTAGTAGCTCTTCCAGCGCCGCATTGTAATGCTGTACATACCTCACTCATTCCTAGCCCACATCACTCACTCACTCACTCACAATAGGACAGTCTTTTTCATCGGAGCGCCACAGTCTCATGCGTTCATCTTGGCAGCTTAGCTTCTGCGCACGGCGGCAGTGCCAACCGAGTCTTGTCTGGGCTCAATCACTGTATTCCTCCGTTTGAGTGACTCGCTTTGGGAAACAAAAAGAGAGGAGAGAGTAAGGCGTATGGTGAGGGAGAGAGATATCAAAGCCCATATCGATCGTGAAGCCGCTGGACAATGACGGGCGGGAATTGGCGTTTTTGCACCTCCCAGTTCTCTCCGCTCATATCTCTGAAGCCCGTCAGGATCTGTTTGAAAAGAGTAAAGTGGTGTCAGTCTTCGCTCTCCTTCCCTTTGTCGTTTTGCGCATTGCGGATACTGTACCTTGATAAACATGTCGTTGAGCTGCTGACTCGGCGTCGTCCATCTCACGACGGCGTTGCAAAAGTAGACAAAGCCCTTTGCCGCGCCATTTGGATTGAGCTGGATCATTTCGCACAGCCCCTTGAACGCGCTGTCCTTTTCGTCATTGTCCTTGATGTCCCACAGCGCCTGGCACCAGCTCTCGATGAACACTTCCAGGTGAGGGGCCACGAGCTGCGGGCAGACGAGGCCGAGCCGCCCGATGGTTACGGCCGCGTTCTCGCTGAGCGATTTGTGCGACTTTGGGTTCAAGAGAACAGGGATCAACCGCTGAATCAGGGGTGCAACCCATTGTTGGAGCTCGGCCCCTTGCTGTGCTTCGCCATACTGCAGCGCAATCTCGCCCGCCGACCAGGCCGCATTGTTGCACACGCTCACCGTGTCCATCTTCGGCTCCGGCTCAATCTGTGCCACTAGCTCGGGCATGATTTGTGGCAGCGTCGGTCGGAGCAAGTCAAATGCCGAAATCGCCAGATCGCCGAGCAGCGCGTATGCCGATTGCCGCACCGGATGATCGGGATGCTATAGAGGAAGACGTGTCAGCCTGCCATCGTCCCATTGGAATAAAGACGACCACTCACTGTGATGCACATGCCTAGCAAAGGCAATAGTGAGGGATTGCTCTGTGCCACCAGCTCTCGCACGCCCGAACCGAGGCCCTGCGTCAAGCCACTCAAAAGATCTAGTGAGACAATGATGAAGGTCCGCTCAGGGAGCTCCTGCTCCTCGACCGGTCGTTGGATCTCCTGCTGGAAAGCCACGAGTGTGTTGTGGACGATACCAATACACCGCTGGAAGACGGGGGGCGAATATGGGTAAAAGCCGGGACCGACGGCAATCGTCACCGACGAAAGACATTCGAGCAGGGGGATCAGGTCGGCGTCCGAATCGTCGAGGCCCTGCCACTTGGTGATGAGAGGTGGCATGAGAATTTCGACGTACTCTTGTCTGTTCAAGGCCGAACCGACCGAGTCGGCCAAGGTGCCGATGGCATCGTAGAGGATCATGAGGTTCTTTTGCTGGTACTTTTCAAAGGCAAAGACGAGGGTCTTGAGGACAGGCTCGAGGTAGGGTGCCAGGTCCGGCCCTGCCTCTTCTTCGAGCGTCGCAAACGCGCTGCAACCGGCCTCTTGAACACGCTTGTTGTTGTCGAGGACCATTCGGAGAAGACCCTCCATGGCTGGGAGGAAGAACTGCCGCTGGTGCTCGGGTGACTTGTCGGCGACGCACCAGCTCGAGTAGCGACCCAAGGTCCAGCAGGCGATGGAGCGCACCAGAGGTTTCGGATCGTTGAGCGTGCTGACGAGCAAGGGGATAAGGGTGGGGAGATGGGGTTCCACGCCAGCGATGCAGCCTTCAGCTATGGCCCCTAAAGCGAGAATGCCAGCCTCCCGCTGAAGCCAGTCCTGGCTGAAGAGTCTCTCCTTGAGCAACGGCAAAAGAATCTCGAGGATATCCTGCTCGAACTGCACTGCCATGACGTCGAGCGCGGCCGCCGAGCATTTCCGCAGGTTCCAGTCGGCCACGCCATCATCATCGTCGTCTTCATCGCTGTCGTAATCCTCCTCATCGTCGTCGTCATCGTCATCATCACCTTGTGTTGCGGCTTCGATACCACCTCTAGATTGCTTTGACGGCCCTGCGCTTCCTCCCCCATTTGTCGCAGCGTCCTCGACTCGCTCATTTCGATGTGACTTTCCCCCGTAGTGCTGCGGCTTGATGTCCTCAGCCTTGTCTGGAACCGCCGCATCGTCCTCGTCTCCGCCGAGCATAAGGAGGTCAATCTCGTTGTAGACCATGCCCTTGAGAAGCACAGGGGCGACTCTAGGCAAATAAGGGCGGAGCTGATCGGCGAGGTCGGGCAGCTCGGCAAACTGGAGCCAGAATTCGCAGGCTTCAAGAGCTACCTCGTCATTCTTGTCCTGTGTCGAGTAGAGCATGTAATCGACGACGTTGGGCATCTCGGAGACAAGCTTCTCGGGACGATATCCGAGGATGAGGACGAGAGCTTGACAGACGAATCTCCGCACATAAGGGTTCTCGTCTGCCGCTCGCTTGAAGAGGGCCGAGATGAAAGTGTCGATGTGATCCTGTAGCGCAGACGGACCGCTCGACACAAACTGGTTGAGACAATTGAGTGCGTGGATCCGAATTCGAACGTCGGGGTGTTGGGTGGCCTCGAGGAACTTGGGTACGAGGATATCGAGAGGTTTTGTCCCGTTGATCTCGCACTCTTCCATCTTGCGCGTGAAGTCTTCGCAGATCTTGGCAAAGGCACTGAAGGCTCCCTGTTTTGCGACCAGCTCAGCGGGGCGATTTTCTCTCACCTCACAATGCGGTCGTCACTCACCTCTGCCTCGTCGAGGTTGCTCGACGCCATGAGCTCCATCAGCTTCTGCAGGCCATCAACCCAGTTCTCTGGCCCAACAATGCCCATGATCATGGCCACGACCTGCGTCGTCGCCCTTCTGAGCATCTGGTCCGAGTATCCCAGCGCTGGGAGGATGGCCACCTTGACGTACTCCATCGAGGCCGGTGCAATGGTCTCATTGCTCTGGTGAAGAAAGTTCTTGAGGATGAGGCCGGCGATGGACCGCACACTCGAATCCTCGTTGGGGAGTTGCGTGAGGATGAAGACGAGGTAGTTTGGGTATTCGGGCGCTTTGCTCATCGCCTCGAGCCGCTGTAGAGCGAATGAGGTGAGTTTGAGAGGGTCGTGATGCAAGCACGAGAAGAAAGATTGCTGATACGGGGGATTCTGCTCACCTCGGCAATACGCATCTGTGTCTCCTTGCCGGGCGTCTGCGAGTCCTTGAAGAGCTGGACAAGCTCGGCGACGCCCGCCTCTTGCGGTTGCCACGCCGCCGCCATGGTGACGTGTGTCCGTGCTGAGACGATAGGGACCCCCTTGAAAGCACACGCGCAGCTCAGCTAGCGCTTGCTGTTGGCTGTCACTCCTATCGTCGGCCTATAGACTCTTCCCAGAGAAGCAGCTCTCGTCGTCTCGAATCTACTCGTGTCTGACTCAGTCGCAGGAGCACGTCGTTTGCTGAGAGAGACGAGGCGGTGAGGTAGATCGAAAGGGAGCAAGAGCACGCCGGAGAAGAGGTAAGGAGATATAAGGAAAAAGGAAGGTCTATCGAGGTCACACATGCGATCTTCTCAAATGGCACAAAAAAATCGAAGACGGCTGCGCTCTCTCTCTCTGTCTCGCTTTCTAAAAAGCCCTCGAAGGTAAAAAAAGTGAAGTCGCCTTACGATTTTGAATTGACGATTTCAAGAATAGCGTGAGACGTCGCTCGCGCAAGAAAGGAGATCGTCGCCGGGATGCTTGTTCCTAGTGCCTAAATCGGCGGCTCGTCTCTCTTGCGTCCCGTGTATCGGTAACGAGCTTCTTTGTCGAACGCTGTTCCCGGTCAAGCCAACCACTGCCTCTGGGATCCTCCCGTCCCTGCCTTCCAGCTCCCGTGCAAAGACAGCGAGAGGTGACGAGTCGGGGGATGGCGACGCTCATGCCCTGGCACGTGAATTTAAGTTGATAAAAAAACGGGCAGTTCTGCAACAAGCAACTGCTGCTTGCGTGTGTGCCGTTGTCTTCGCCGCGGGGGGAAAGGAGGAGGCGACGATGCAATCGCTCTCATCACTGTTGACGTTCCCTATTTCCTCCTCTTCCCACCAGAGCAACGCGGAAAGGACTCCGCTGCCGCCCCCGTCGACTCACATCGTGAGCACCGCGACGCAGCCTGCGCCGAGCTCCTTTCTTCCGCTTCACTACGCCCGTCTCTTTCTGGCCGCATCACGACCGGTCGTTTGGGTGTGCTGCGATGCCGCGGGCAAGGCACATTGGCGAGCACTGCTTCGAAAAGCCACAGGCGCAAGCGCCGCTACTCTCGAAGCGCACTGGCACTTTGTCGATGCGACGGCGGGCGATGCATTCGATGGCCGGCCCACAGAGCGCCTGAAGAGGCTTCATGGCGCAGTGGAAGCGACGATACAAAAGGCCTGCCCTGCCGCGTCGTCCACGCCCTTGCCATCTTCTTCGTTTAAGAGCCGAACGTGGGAACAAGCAAGGGCGCTCGTCGTTCTCGATGACGCTGCAGCCCTGGCGTGGGCTCTTGACGGCACGGCTGAGGATTGGATTGAGGGGGACGAGCAGGAGCAAGCTCCCAACCACGATCGATTCGATGGCCGACTCGAGCTGCTTCGCAGGTCTGGTAAAAAGGGCGGCGTCAAGGAAGATGCGACGGGCAAGGGAGTAGCAAGGTGGATCGAGGGCCTCGCACAGCTGTGTGCCCAGTACGACTGCGCACTGTTGACGCACATGACTGTCGAAAATACGACCATCATCCCGCCGAGTCTGAGCAACCCGCACTCGTCATCACGCGGTGGTCATGGCGTCGGGACTGGGTTCGACGCCGACGATGCGGGCGAAGAAGACGACGAGGACCTCGTCTTTGAAGAGATCGACGACGAGCTCGAGTCTGCTCCCGCTGCACCGCATGAGGACATCTCGACGGTGGAAACAAAGACTAAACTAATCACCGCAAGCAGCTCGCTGCCTCCAGATGATACAATTGACTGGCGGGTCGACTCGCTTTTGCGCGTGCTCCTTGCTTCGGCCGACTTTTGGATCGAAGTCCGAGGCCTCCGGAGCGGAAAGGCGAGAGACTGCCACGGCGAGGTGAGCTTGCAGCCCTTTCTTTCTTCATAAAACTTTTCAACTCTGACAGTTCCTGCGCAGATCTGCATACACCCACTCGTCCGACCGCTGCAGGCCCAGGGCAAACCTCTGCCCCGCTTGCCCCTGCCTCTGGATCCCTTGCGGCACGATCGCCGACGTGACGCCAGCGCACGATCCCTGTCCCACCTCAACAACCTTTCCCTCTCGTCTTCCAACGGCGTCGGCACCGCAAAGAAAACCACCTTGCCAATTCGAGCCTGGGATTTCGAATGCTGGTCTCCATCTCGAGACAAGGCGATGCTCTTCCGGCTCGATCAGTCGGGCGAAGGCGCCGTCTGGCCAAGAGGCATTCCTTCTTCATCATCCTCTGCATAACATTCCCTCTCTTCTCCAATTCTTCACTTTCCGAGAACAAGACAACCAAGTGTACAAGTACGCATGAAATCATTAAAATAGACGACCCTCTCCCTTCCCTGATCCTCACTTTTCGCCGACATTCTTGAAGCGACGGAGGGCGCGCTCGCGCGCAAACTTGTGTTCGACAATTGGTTCGGGGTAGTCGAGTTTCTGGATGTCAGAAGCGTCACCAGCCAAAGCAAATCAGAAAACGTCAGGCAACGGCATGAAAAGACAAGACCCAAAATCTTTACTCACCTTGAACTCTTCCTTTGACAGCCTCTCGAACGGATGGTGAATCGCATTGCCCTTGACGCCCCGAAGTTCGGGCAGCCAATGCCGAATGTACTCGCCCTGTGGGTCGCACTTTTCGCTCTGCGAGATGGGGTTGAAGATGCGAAAGTACGGCTGCGGGTCCGTACCTGTCGAGGCGCTCCATTGCCATCCGCCGTTGTTGGAGGCAAAGTCGCCGTCGATGAAGTTGCGCATGAACCAGCGCTCGCCCTCGCGCCAGTCATGCATGAGATGTTTCGTCAGGAACATGGCCACCTACGGAAAGAACGGTGGCAAATGTCAGCATTTGGCCGTGCGGCAATAGGAAAGAGGGAGACAAAACGCACAACCATTCGACCACGATTGTGCATGTAGCCCTGCTTTGCGCCCTGGCGCATCGACGCGTCGACGATTGGGTAGCCAGTCTTGCCCTGCTGCCACTTGTCGAGCGTCTCGTTGTCGTACTCCCACACCACGTCCTCGTACCGGGTCACATAGGCTCGGCCCATGCACACTCTCGGCCACGCAGCCAGGACATGTCCGTAAAAGTCACGGAAGCTGACCTCTGTGTTCCACATGGCAGGGCCCGAGTCTCTGCCGACCTGGAGCTTGCCCTTTGTCACATCTCGCGTCGTGCGCAGGCACTGACGAGCGGAAATGAGGCCAGCAGAGAGGTATGGGCTCAGTCGGCTCGCGCCATTCTCGCTCATCAGGTTGCGTCCCGTGCCATAGCGGCCCAGTCTCGACTCTTTGCTTGCTGCTTGCACCTTGTCGAGGTCTTCGCCCGTGGCAGGCGCATCCAGGATGGGCAGGCCACCTTTCCCACGGACAAAGTTGTCGAGGACCTTTTGCGCTGCTTTCGACCCTGCTGGCCACAGCTTTTCCATGTACGACCTGTCCTTGCACTCGAATCCCTTCACGCTTTCCGGTATCTTTGTACCGAACAAGCCTTTGAGCTTGCTGTCCGATCGGACCGACTTGTCGTTGGCTTTTGGCTCCTCGGACGACTCGATCAGCTGGGGAGTCTTGGACAGTACGTCTACCCAATTTCGATTCCACGGCGAGAAGACGCTGTAGGGCCTTCCATCCTTGGTCAAGACTCGGCCGGGAGGGACGACGTAGGTGTCGTCGAGGAATTCGGCGTGGACATCGTATGACTTGGCCTGCTCGACCACTTGAACGTCGCGCCACAGCTCGTCAACCTCGTACTCGATGTTGCCAATGAGGTTCGACACGCCCCACTCCTTGCATAGCTCGAGCGCCTTTTTTGGGATTGCCGTGCGCGGCTCGTGCGTCAGGACGGCGAAGGGGATGTTGAGCTCGTCAAGCTGTGACTGGATCTGCTCCAAGCTCCGGAGCATGAAGTCGATCCGCCGCGGCGATCGATCATGTGCAAGATAGTCTTGCGGGCTGATGATGTACAGCACAATCAAATGGCTGCCCTTTCGCTCCTGAACCAGCTGGCTCGCCCGTTCGAGTCCTCGGCTGTCCTCGATTCTCATGTCGCGCATCCTCATCCAAAAGACGACGTTTCCCTCGGCTTTCGGCGCCTCGCCGTGCTTCTTAAGAGCATCCCTCAGCTGCTGCAACGGTGTGTTTTTCTCTGGCAATTTGGTCGGTGACGGATTGAAGGCATTGCGCTTCACGTCCGGCCAGTCTTTTCCCTTGCCCCCGATGGACGAGGTCGCGGAGGATGTCGTCGTCGTCTTTTTCTTCTTCTTGGCCGGCTGCGACATTTCCTCGTCGTCGACGTCGGGCGTCGAAGCCAGCTTGGGATCGAGCACCTTTTCGTCCTCGTCCGGCGTCTCCGGCTCACGCTTCTGCTTTGCAGGCATGGTGGCCTTTGTCCTATCCTTGTCCACCGTAAACGGCTCGCTTCTCGAATTTGTCAACTTTCTCGAGGAGGATGTGGATGTGGAGGCGCAGGCTGGGCGCTGTGGCCGTCGTGGAAGGTCAAGGCTCAAGAAGACTCGTCTTGTAAACGTAGGTCGAGTCGCTGCTGCTGCCTTTGTTGCCCTCAAGAGAGTGGGGAGCGCAAGGAGCATGCAATTCGGAGCGGTTTGTTGTGGGAGAGAGAGAGAGAGAAAGAAGTCCTTTCCTCCAAGGCCACCAATATTAGAAGAAATGCAACCGGATGATGACAAAGGTTTATGGCGGCGCTAAGAAAAAAAAAATCCCCGTTGCCTGGCTGCTTAGATCTCTCGGTTGCTCGTCCTCTCGACGTCATAAGAAAACAGCTCGTTTACCAAAGCTCAGACAATGGGGACCAGAGAGAACATCATTGGACCTGCGATAGAAGCAGAAGCAAATCACGACAAGGTTGAATGGGAAACGGTGACGCCGTGACGAGCGAGAGAAGAGAGCAATGGGCAGCCTTGGACCGGATGCGTCCGTGCGAGAGAAGCAAAATCTAAAGAGGGCAGACAGCAGCTGCGAGCTCCACGCAGCATCCACCAACTAATTCCAAAGGCAACGTCAATAGTAGAATGACGGGGATCCACCTCGCAGAGGCCGATCTGTGGGCGGCAACGGTGGGCAACCCCTACGTCGGCATCCTCTTCGCTTATCTCGTGTCGATCATCGTCCTCGTCACCTTTGTGCTTCGCCGTTCGGTGCGCTTCGACGCTTTCCAGCCAGGCAACAAGGCGCACCTTGCGCTATGGCGAGTTGCGACGCTCGTCAGCTTCGCATCCACCTGGTTTTAGTGAGTGAATGACTAACAGTGACCGTTGTTTGCTCGGCTGACGTCTGACAAGCTCCTTCAGCATGATTCGCTACCTCCTCTGGTCCTACGACGCCTTCTTGGAACGCGTCAGGCTCACGGGCGGCCTCGTCACGGCCATGCCCGAGTGCGTCATTGGGGGCGAACAGGCCCTCGCTTGCGCCCGACTCCAGGCTACGGCGCTGCTCTTGCGGATGGGTGACTGGCTGCGAGATACGAGCCTGTTCAAGGAGGCATGGCTCTACGTCGTTGCCAACGAGCAGCGGTGGTGGTGGTCTGCAGAAGTGTGCGCCTTCACCGTCGCGCCCTGGGCCCTCTTTCTCTATGTCGAAGGTGCGCATCTGCATTTGTGCAGAGCCGGATCTTGATTCTGGGTGCTCACTGCTGACAGTTTTTCCCGTCCTCGCTCCAGGCAAGCGCAGATCCATTCCCCACCTGTGGGCGTACATGCTCGTCGGTCAGATGGTGGCCATCAGCGTGGCTCAGAACCTGTTCCACATGGCCCTTGCCGCCCGCTCGCTCGAGGTCGACCGCCGCTCAGCTGGACCGGAGGGCTCGCCCTCAAAGGCGTCGCCAAGGGGCAAGATGGTACCCGCTCGTCTGCTGAGGACCCCGTCGCAGCTGCAGATGCCTCCTCCCGAGTCGCCGTCCAAGGCCTCACCCTCCAGCACGGCCTCCTCAGCGACGACGACGCTGACAACGACACTGCACACCGTCACCGTCGAGGCACATCCCAGCATCGTCTCACGGGCCCTTGTTTCCGCCCTCGCTCTGGCCGGCTGCGCTGCCGTCTGGCTCGTGCCTGACAGCCTCTCGACGCTCCTCGTCATGCATTCCTTCCCGCTCCTCATCGTTGTCCTGCCACCAATGCTGCGACAGACGGCCCCTTCCAGATGGGCGATGCAAGCGACGGCGCCCGCGACGCTCTACTCCATCTTTGCCATCTTTGCCCTAGCATTGCGCATCAAGGCCACCATGGCTGTCGCTGGAGGACTTCCCTCGCTTCTCGCCACATTCGTCTCCCATCCTGCCCAGAGCTCCATCTCTTCCGATGCCGTGTGCATTACCCTCAGCTCGCCGCTCTTTATTCTGCTTACTTATGGACCTTTGCATCGAACGACGGCCATCGTCCTCGCTCTTCTGGCGCCCCTCACTGGACCCACCTTTGCCTTTTCGGTCTTCATGTCTCTCCAGAGCCGCAAAGACGAAGCCAAGGACGAGACGCTGAGACACATGGCCGTGCTGGCCCAGGAAAAGAGAGGAGAGACGCTCCACCTCGACGATGAATTCCGGGTCAAGCAGAAGATTACGCGGGTGAGCCATCACAACGAGCCGCAGACGCCCGAAAAGGGCCAAGCAGAAGCAGTCACCGCTGCTGTTGAGGCAGAGGATGCAGGTTTGCGTTTGCCTTCGAGCCCAGACTCTTTGACTTCTGCCACCGTCTCGGCGACGACCTCGCCTCGTGCTCGCGGACGCGGCCGTGGACGGGGCACCCGTGGCCGCAGTGCTCGCAGCAGCCCACGGCAAGCTTGAAAGGAGCAGAGATGTCCTTACTTTCTTCATTGCCTGCACTTCTATGAGATTGTGTCTCTTCTCGAGGGCCGCAGGCTGGTATTAAATGTCATTGTCATGTAGAGTGCCTTGTTCGTCACCAGGTTGAGAGAGAGGTAGCAGCTTGAGCCAAAAATAGCAACTCTTGTATCAGAGCCTAACCCAACGCGTTGGCCCGAGCCCAGATGAGATCTTCTTCTTTCGCGCTCGCTCATTATTAACAAATCATCGTGCCCTCGAATGAGTCGAGGTGGGAGCAGGGCAACGTGAAAAAGGAGGCAATGTCGGGGCGGTATCGACCATTAACGCCCAACGGCGACACGCTGCCGTTTGTTTCGCCGTCGTCGTCGTCGGCGAACGTGCAGCCACCGCGGACGTGGCTTGGCGAAGAGGGCGACCGCAATGTCAGCTACGCCTATGGGGGCACTGCACATGCGGCGCCGTCTGCGCCCGAAGACCAGTATGCGTTCAGCACGACTCTCCGCAGAGGTGTGTTCAGAGCTTGCTGTCACTTTGACTGCTCTATGCTCACGTTCCTTCCACTTTCACTTGCTATGAACTCATCTCTCTCGCAGCCACGCTGGAGGAGCCGCTGTACCCGCCAGCTGCACCACTGCCCTCGTCTTCCTCCTCCTCCTCCTCGCAGTCGACGCCCTCGGCCGTCGCCACGCACCAGGCGATTGCCGCGCTGCTCGCCTCCATGTCGCTGCCCGAGAGCCACCTCGCGCACGGGCTGGGCGCCATGGCCGTCTCGCACCAGCGCCACCTCGCCGGCGGGCCCAACGAGTTTGCCGTCAAGCCGCGCGACTCGCCGTACAAGAAGTTTGCCGAGCAATTTGGCGAGCCGCTGATCATGCTGCTGCTGGGAAGCGCGGCCGTAAGTGCGCTGATGGGCGAGTGGGACGACGCCATCAGCATCGCCCTCGCCGTCGTCGTCGTCATCACCGTCGGCTTTGTGCAGGAGCAGCGCTCCGAAAAGTCTCTCGAGGCACTCAACAAGCTCGTCCCCCACTACTGCCACCTCCTCCGCGATGGGCAGCAGACGACCGTCTTGGCAAACGACCTCGTGCCCGGCGATGTCGTCAATTTCTCCACCGGCGACCGTGTCCCGGCCGACGTGCGCATCTGCGAGGCCGTCGGCTTGGAAATTGACGAGAGCACGCTGACGGGCGAGATCAAGCCGCGGAGGAAGCACGCCGACGTGGTCGCGGCTTCTTCCGAGTCACGACGCGAAGGGCAAGATAGAGGAGCGGGAGCAGGAGCAGGAGCTTCTGCAGCCGCTGCTGCAGGCGAAGGTGACAGCACGAGCATCAACGAGCGCGAAAACATCGCATTCATGGGCACCCTCGTCCGTAGCGGCTACGCGAGGGGCATCGTCGTGGGCACAGGCGCCCGCACCGAGTTTGGGCTCATCTTCAGCATGGTCGATGAGGTGCAGGAGAAGCGGACGCCGCTGCAGCTCAGCATGGACGAGTTGGCAAAGAAGCTGAGCCTCATCAGCTTCGCCATCATTGGCGTCATCTGCTTCATGGGCATCCTCCAGAGCAAGCCCTGGCTCGAGATGTTCACCATCGGAGGTGAGTTGATTCGTGCTCTCTGCTCCCTCTCTCTCTTTCCCACTAAAGAAGAGAATGGCACATGCAGTCTCACTTGCCGTCGCTGCCATCCCCGAGGGCTTGCCCATCGTCGTGACAGTGACGCTCGCCCTGGGCGTGCTGCGCATGTCGCATCAAAAGGCCATCGTCAAGCGCCTGCCCTCCGTCGAGACTCTTGGCTGCGTATCGGTCGTGTGCTCCGACAAGACGGGCACCCTGACGGCCAACGAGATGTCCGTCGTCCGCATCTTTACCCTCGACGACGGCGAGCTGGACCTCAACAAGAGCGTGCCGCATGCCCAGAGTCCATCGCTGGCCAGGTGCCTGCTCGTGGGCAACCTCTGCAACAACTCGCACCGAGACGAAAGAGGAAACAATGTCGGGCAGCCGACAGACGTGGCCATGGTCAATGTGCTGAGGCTCTTTGGGCTTGAAGATCGAAGACCGTACCTGAAACGAACAAACGAGGTGCCCTTTTCGAGCGAGACAAAGTTCATGGCCGTCACGGGGACCATGACGATGCAGTCCTCCCTCCCCAAGGGAAGCTCGACCAAGGAAGAAACGACGTACGTAAAGGGCGCTTTCGAGGTCATTCTCGAAAAGTGTTCGACGACTTTCGTGGGCGAAGGGAGACGAGGTACGCCGCTCGACGAGGCAACCCGCAAGCGCATCGCTTCATCAGCCGAGACAATGTCTGCCTATGGCCTGCGCATCCTCGCCACCGCCTGTGGATCCTCTGGTGACTACGAGAGGGGCTCCCTCTCGTTCTGTGGTCTGCAGGCCATGCAGGACCCGCCCCGACCTGGCGTGCCCGAGGCCATTACCTCACTCGCGCGTGGTGGCGTCCAGGTCGTCATGATCACCGGCGACAGCGAGCACACGGCTGTCGCCATGGCAAAGCAGCTGGGCATCCTGAGGATAGGCGCGACGAGCGGCAGCAGCGTCATGACGGGCAAGCAGGTGGATGCGCTGTCGCAGAGGCAGCTGCAGGAGAGGATCAGGATGGTCAGCGTCTTTGCCAGGACGACACCGAGGCACAAGATGGCCATTGTCGGCGCCTTTCAGGCAAACGGCGACGTCGTGGCCATGACTGGCGATGGTGGTGGGTGATACGGCCCTGCTCGTCGTCTCACCGTCTTTTGACTGACTGATTTTCTTCAACAGTCAACGATGCGCCAGCACTCAAGATGGCCGACATTGGCATCTCGATGGGCAAAGGCGGGACCGACGTCTCCAAGGAGGCCTCCGACGTCATCCTCGTCGACGACAACTTTGCCACGATTCTCTCGGCCGTCGAGGAGGGCAAGGGCATCTTTTACAACATCCAAAATTTCCTCACGTTCCAGCTCTCGACGGCCGTCGCTGCACTGACGCTCATCACGCTCTGTACAGCCTTTGGGCTCAAGCTGCCACTGAACCCGATGCAGATCCTGTTCATCAACATCCTCATGGACGGGCCCCCCTCGCAGAGCTTGGGCGTTGACCCCGTGGACAAGAACGTCATGAGAAGACCACCGCGGAGCAAGGTGGCGCCCATCATCACCAAGCGGCTCGTCTTCCGCATCCTCTTCAGCGCCGCCATCATTGTCCTGGGCACCCTCTGGATCTACGTGCACGAGCTCCAGGATGGCTTTGCAGACGAGCGCGACCAGACGATGGTGAGCTGTCTACCTTGTCGCCGCCGCATTGCCCCACTAAACGCAGGCTCTTTTTCTTCTGTCCCCCTTAGACGTTCACCTGCTTCGTCTTTCTCGATCTGACGTCGGCCATCCAGAATCGTGGCCTGACGGTGCCATGGGACGGCAACCGGATGCTGCTGACAACGGTCTCGCTCAGCCTCCTCACCCAGCTCTCCCTCATCTACCTGCCCTTTTTGCACGGCATCTTCCAGACGACGACGCTTGCACTTGGCGATCTCTTGCTCCTCGTCTTTGTGGCGGCCTTGGCCTTTGGTGCCCACGAGGCCAGGCGGCGCTATGAGCTCGTTGGCCGCGGCAAGGAGCGCGACGACTGGGAAGAGGGCGTCGTCTGACCGTCTGCACGCATACAATAGACTCTTGCCCCTCTAGAGAGAGAGGAAGGAAGAGCAAACAGTAGGCAGAATTGAAGTCAAAGATTCAAGCAACATTGGATGTAGAGCAAGATGAGAAATGCATTACTACTACCATTAGCACAAATCACAGCTTGGACTTTGAGTCTCCCCGGACCTTGCGACGGGGCACATCCGTGTCGACCTGGGTCCACCAGGGGTAGAAGCCAAAGTGGTCGAGGTCCTGGACGGCACCGGTGAATTTTGGCTTGCGCTTCTCGAGGAAGCTCTGGACGCCCTCCTTTGCGTCTGCGCTCTTGGACGTCGCGGCGATGCAGGCGCTGTCGAGGAGGTGTGTAGCCTCGGGCGAGTCGGGCGTGCGCCAGATGAGCATCTTGTTGAGCGCCATGCTCACGACGCTGTTCTGCGTCGCTAGCTTCGTTGCCACCTCGACGGCGCGCGGCAGCACGGCCTCGGCCGGCAGGATGGCGTTGAAGAGTCCGGCAAACGGCGAGTCGGCCGCGAGGTAGGTGTCGCCCGTCAGCGAGACCTCGAGGGCGTCTGTGTCCGGCGAAGGATCAGATACGTCAGTGGGGGAGCTCTGAATGTTCACAACAGCAAGGGCATGATACGCACTCTTGTGGCCGATGAGCCGGGGCAGGATGTAGGCCGACATGGCCTCCATGGTGATGCCGCGCTTGACAAAGGGGAGGGCAAGCTTGGCGTCGCGAGAGACGAAGCGCATGTCGGCGGGCAGCGCCATGGTGATCTGCCAGGGCGATTGAGTGAGTGTCAGTCGGCAGACTTGAAAACACGGTCAAGCCACAGGGCCACTCACGCCGACGCCGACGGCGTTTCCGTTCATGGCCGCCACGACAGCTGTTGAGCAGAAGTAGAAAAGAGAGAGAAAGAGTTCAGCTCAAGAGGCATCCAAAGGGCTGAGTAGATCGAGACGCACGCTTCCTGCACCGCAGCACGGCGCCAGACACCTGTCCGCCGCCGTCCCGGTGGGCATTGATGGGCAGGCTGGCGTCTGCGCCAAAGCCCTCGCTGAGGTCCGCGCCCGCGCAGAAGCTCTTGCCCTTGCCCGTAAAGACGACGGCGCGGACGCGGGCGTCGGCATCGGCGAGCTCAAACGCAAACACGAGCGAGTGGCACATGTCGTTTGTAAAGGCATTGTGCCGCGCCGGCCGGTTGAGCTCCACCGTCAGCACGCCCGTGCCCGCGTCGAGGCGGACGAGAATGTCGCGCCAGCCATACGACTCGTACCGGAACGACGAGACGTCGATGCTGTTGATCGCCGGGTGCGGGTTCTCAAAGACGCTGGGCTTCATGTCTGGTGCTGAGAGCGGTGATTAGTCGTTGTGGTAGAGGTGAGCAGAGGGAGAAATTCAGCTTTGCGGGGAAGGGAAGACAGAAGAGGCGCGCAGGAGTAGTCCCTCTTCCTCAGCCGGCTTCCCTGGTTACCGGTCCTCACTTTGGCCCGTGCGTTGCTTTCTTTTTGTTTTTTATAAATCATCGCGCTTACTTCCTTGGACAGGCCAATGGAGGCATTCTCTTTCTTCTTTCATTCCTATCGGACTGCACGTCCAAACAGACAATAGTACAAAGCAGGTTTGGAACCTTCAAACAATGACCTCGTCAGCGGATTGGCGGCCTTCTTCGGCAGCTGCCGTTGCTGCCTCTTGCTGGTCAAACTCCTCGAGCCATGCCTTGAGCGCCGCCCACTCCTCTCTCTTCATCTTGTAGCCCTCTTCGTCGTTTGGGTAGGTGCGCTCCTTGACGGCCTTGACATACGCTTGCACGGCGGCCACGCGCACGGCGCCTCCAGTCGTTCCAGTCGCCTGCATCGCAAAGTTGCGCACGAAGCGGGGCGTCGTTGGCGCACTCGGCTTGGGCAACAGACTGGAGGATGGAGATTCACCTCCCTGCTCCTGCGCTTCCAGGACCCTCAGGAGGGAGAGCGGGGAGTTGATTTCGCCCAGGATATCGTCCTGGACCAGCACCTGGCCATCGGTGCCCTTTCCTGCGCCGATGCCAATCGTGGGGATCCTGAGGCGCTTCGTCACCTCGGCTGCGACCCGGCCAGGCACGCATTCGATGAGCATGGCGAATGCGCCTGCCTCTTCGAGAGCGAGCGCTTCGTCAAGGAGCTCAATGGCCTCGACGGCAGTTCTTGCCTGGAGTGACAGGGCCGAGGCTGAGGAGAAGCGTTGGGGCTGCAGGCCGATGTGCGCCATGACGGCGGTGCCGAACGAGGTCAGGTGCGAGATGAGGGGAATCACTTCTCGGCCGCCTTCGATCTTGAGGCCGTGCAATCGGCCCTTTCTCACCACGTCCAGGGCGGCGGGCACGGCGGCTTCGAGGGGCAGCTGCGCGATGCCAAAGGGCAGGTCGGCAATGATGAGCGGTGTGGGCGGCAGCGAGGGGTGGGACAATATCGGGTCGTTGACGCCTCGCGATACGGCAGCGCAATGGTGCACCATTGCATCGATGTCGAGCTGCTGCGTCGTGGGGTGGCCCAGGGCCACGTTGGCGAGCGAGTCTCCAATGAGGCTGATGTCTACTTTTGCGCTTCTATGTGCCAGGGCCGATGGATAGTCGTATGCCGTGAGCATTGCTCTGAAGCACAGCGAGGTCAGCTCCTCTGAGAGAGTATCAATTGGAAAGACGAAGGCCATACCCACATCGGCTCCTGTCTCTCTTTCATTTCCTGCAGGTCTTGCACTGTGATCGAGCGTGGTGGGTGGTACTTGGGCAGGCCTGACGTCGAGGATGCCTGTGCCGAGGTGCTCTGCTGTGCTTCTCCCCTCTTCCTCTCAGAGCCAGGCTCCATCCCTGAAGGCCAGACGCTCCAGGCGGCCCGAGACTGCGAAAAGGACCTCCGGGTACGGTAGTCGGAGCTCCTGTTTGCGGTCCAGACGGGCGGTGCCCGTGACCTGGCCGCCAGGTCGCAGGTGGCACTCCACAACGAAGCCGAAGCCCCCTTCTGGAGCAGACCCAACGTCACTTTGGATGTTGAAGCGACGGAGGACATGCCTTGCAGCCGGTGAATGTGGGTGGAGGAGGATTGAGAGGCGAAAAAAGCGGAAAAAAAAGAGCTCCAAAGTTGGTGGGTCCGCAAGAAGATTGAGTCAGTGGTCCGAGCTCAGCTTTTGGGCAGGAAAAATATTATAAAAAGTCGGCCACGTGCGTCGCGCGCTTTGATGCGGAGACCAGAGCCGTTTGTCCGAAAAGCTCAAGCTCAAGTCACGCGTGAAGTGCGCCCGTGCGGATTTTAAGTGTTGTTTAGGGGGGATCCTCGCAAGTTACCACGCCATCAGACACCATACCATGTCTCTGCTCGATCCCAATGCCCGAGCGACCGGCCAAGCATCTGCGCGCCTCCGAAACAAGGTGTCTGCACACCCGCGCCAGTCTTCGGGCGTCTACAACACCTTTTCGGCCAAGCAGATCTCGGGCCTGCGCGAGGCCTTTGGCACAATCGACACCGACTCCGACGGCTTCATTACGCGCAGGGACCTCGATGCGATGCTGGGCAACCTGGGCCAGGCCAACGAAGGCGGAAAGGCCAGTGCGGCGCTGATGCAGAGTGCACTCAAGGACGGCGAGGGCGCGACGGAAAAGGTCAACTTCACCCAGTTTCTCACCATGTTTGGCGAGCATCTCTCCGAGGTAAGTGTCTCATCTCGGCCCTCTCCTTCTTTTCACCACTGCTGACACGGACGATTGTCAACAGCTCGATGAGGCCTCGGACCTCGTGGCTGCCTTTGAGTGTTTTGATGAGCGAGACGAGGGCAAGATTGACGCTGGCGAGCTGCGCTACTGGCTAGGCGAAGTGGGCGACCGGATGCAGGACGAGGAGGTAAGTGCTGCTGCGCTTTCCAGTCGCACGCAATGCTCTCTAATAAAGATTTGCCTGCCTGCTTGCTGTCAGATCGACCGGCTCCTCTCGGGCCCGTTCATGGATCGAGGCGGACGCAACTTTGACTACAAGGCTTGTGAGTGTGACATTGACCAGAAGAGGAGGCAAGTGGAACCGGGTCACTGACGTCAATGTCCTGTTCATCACAGTCGTCGAAGCCGTCAAGATGAGCGAGCCCGCCGAGCTCGAGTAGAGGGCGCCCCTCCGCTGTATCTTTTTCGCTGTACCACTACCAACCGTTCGGCTTACTGATGAATGAATGCCACATTTGCTACATTTCTACATTTTACATGGTTGTTGCATGACTACAGATGACCGCGTCCCTCTTCCTCGAGCGCCTTGGCCACGGCCTCGATGACCTTGGCATGCACGGCCTTGTGGGCGGCGACGACGCCCTTGTTGGCCGTCAGTGTCCGGCCGAGGCCAAAGTCGAGGGGCCGTCCACGGATGTCGGAGACGGTGCCGCCGGCCTCCTCGAGGAGGAGCGAACCTGCGGCGTGGTCCCAGATCTTTTCGATGTAGCTGCCGTCGCCGACGGGCAGGCGGAGGTAGATGTCGCCGTCGCCGCGCGAGACGCTCGCGTACTTTGCCTGGCTGTCCATGCGCACCGAGGGCGCGGTGATGCCGAGGAGCTGGGCGATGCGCGAGTTTGTCCCGTGCGACGAGTGGCCCGACTCGACAGACTCGCAAAAGGAGGCCGACGCGAGCGAGGCAGCGCTGATGTCGCGCAGCGAGATGGGCCGCAGCGTGGGGTCCGTGAGGGAGCGCTGGAATGCGCCCTGGCCCCGCTTGGCGACAAAGATGACGCCGAGGTCGGTGCGCTTCTTGACCTCGTCAAAGTCGCCCTCCTTTGGCTTGGCTGCTGCCTTGTCCACGGGCAGGTTCGGGCAGCCCATGACGCCCAACTCGACCTTGCCGTCGACGATGAGGCCGAGGCAGACGGCGTACTGCCCACCGCGCAGGAAGCCCTTTGTGCCGTCGATGGGATCCAGCGTCCACATGCCTGCAGTGTTCCAAATTGGAGATCAGCTCCGGGTACTCCTTTCCCCGTCGGTGCTCCTCTCATGGCAGGCGTGCCAGACAGGCAGCAGAGACCTTCACTCACGACCCTTGATGCCCCCGGCATGGTTGCCCCGATCGATTGCCTTGAGCACCTCTTCCTCCTCGAGCGTTTTCGACAGCGTGTTCTGGCCCTCAACATCCCTGGTCAAGCCCTCGTTGGCGAGCTGGAGGACCTTTCGCTTGAGCTGCTGCTTGTCCTCTACTTCGCTCCGCAAATCGTCGGCGTCCTCCTCGCCCACGATGGCATCGTCGGGGAACTCGCGTGCGAGAATCGAGTTGACAATGGCCTGCGCCGAAAAGTCGCCCACAGTGACGGGCGACTTGTCCGACTTTGTCATCGACGACGAGGCGACGAGCTGCTGGAAGACCTGCGACGTCGTGAGCGAGGCGCGCAGCACCGCATTGATCGCCACCTCCTCCTCGCGCTTCCACTTGTTGCTGCTAGTCATCTTTCGCAAGCTGGCTGGCGTCGTCTTTGGTGCTATTCTTGCGACTTGACGAGATGCGACCCTTACCAGCAGCATGTACTCCTCCAAGAAGAAGCCCTTCGACACTTGTGCAAAATTTAGCCGCGCGCCCGTGCTCCAGGGCTTAGGCTTTGACCCCGACCACGTGGAAAGTGCCCGGCCAACGCATCGGTTCACTGCCCACTCTCCATCATCCGGGAAAATGCATGATTTGGCAAAAGATCAGATGGCCATCCCGTCGCATGCATGCATCTCTCAATCGACATGTCGGTCAGACAAGGCACTGCAAAAGGTTTCCCGTCTGGGTCAGGCGGGATGACGTAGAAGGAGGGTGCGCCAGGCCAAGGTGCGTGATTTCCCAAACGTTGTTGCAATTATGTACGGGCCCTCCACTCCACCTCTCAGGTCTTCTGACTAAGCCCCACCTTATAGAGAGCAGGGGCTCCAGCGGATGTGACCATTGCTCTTCCACCAAACAATCAATCAATCAACTACCAGCATGGCTACCTCTGATCCCACCGCCAAGAAGGCCTCCGATGCCACCTCGGGCATCTCGCCCCAGAAGAAGATCGACGGCGTGCTCGACCTGATCTCGCACCACAAGACGGGCATGCTGACCAGGTGAGAGCACATCTTTTGAGGGCACTCACTCTTCAACACCTTCGTGTTCTGACGGCCGACAAACCTGACCTCCTTAGCCGCGCGCCTGACGGAAAGTTGGCCAGCCGAGCCATGATTCCCGCCACGACCGAGGGTCTCGGTGGGTAGCCATTATTGCTTTCACTCACATACCGAGCGCTGACCACTCTTCTCGGACCACTGCAGTCTTTAGCTTCTTCTTCAACATTGAGTCGGGCAAGACGTCGGACCTCGAGTCGTCGCCCGAAGTCAACATTGCCTACCTGGACCCAAAGACGGGCGACTGGGCCTCGATCTCGGGCAAGGCCGTCATCAACCAGGACAAGACAAAGGTCAAGAAGCACTGGAGCAGCGCGCTCAAGGCCTGGTTTGGTGCGTCTGGATCATCCGATTTAGTTCTAAGTGCATTTCAGCTGACCCTCTTTGCTGCTGCCACAGACGACAAGAAGGACGGAAAGCACACGGGCGATGAAAATGACCCCCGGGTCGCCCTCATCGACGTGCACCCCGAGGAGATCCGCTTCTTCAAGGCTGACGGCAAGCTCCAGTTCCTCTACGAGACGGCCAAGGCTGCTGTGTCTGGCGAGGCAGCCAGCGGCGGAAAGCTGCTCGTCATCACCGAGGACGAGCTGAAGCTGGCCGGAAAGGTTGCCAAGTCTTGATAGAAAACAAAAACAAATGTCAATTTGATCAAGTGAAAAGGCGCTTTTTTTGTACAGATTTGGGGTGAAAGCGAAGATGAGAAGAGGGCCGAGAGAGAGATGTCTTGAGTGCGGTGTTGAGGCCTTGACGACCGTGCTGGATGAAGTTGACAAGTGCTGAGACGAAAAAGGGCTGGAAAAGATGGGCGCAGAAAGGCTTGCAACGGTGGGATCATGCTGGACGGGAGTGCACCGAGAGCAGCTGTACGGCAATCAGCGGCCACAGCAGGATGCCTCGCCGTAGAGACCTCTTATGGGTTCTTGCTCGCGTACATTGCCAATCCTGCCCTCGCCGCCGGGTCCTCGCCCGTTCCTTCGTCCGCCGCCCAGCCGAGGCGGCGCTGAGCCATGTGACGAGATGGCTTCCTGGGGTGAAAAGAGAGACCAGACAAACAGGAGGACGGCTGCCCAGAGCGAGGAGATAGCCTTGAGCAGCTTGGAGTGTGCGGGTGCATTCTGCCGCAGCACACCGTCGGCACCGATGTATGGCATTTTCCACGATTCGCGCCTCAGGCCCCCCCAGAGGTCGATGATGGTGGTGCGCGCCAGTCGCAGCCGGCCGAAAAACACTGGCTGTGTGCTTAGGGGTCGCGATCTTATTAAAATCTAGGAAAATTACAAGAATTCTGATAAATCCCTGCTAATGACTGATTCCTCAGATCATTATTCAAAAGACATCTAAGCTCTGCTGTGGCTAGCGGGCGACAGTACAGCAGTAGTAGCGTGTAGCAACACAGCCGGAGACCGTGTACAGACACGCACACACACACGGCCAAACCGGCCCTGCCTGCCTAGTTGTCTCGTTGGAATTGGACATTTTGTTTTTTTTTACCTTTTTTTTTCCACCGTGCCCTGCATCCACCCTGGCGACGGTGACTGAAGTCGCTCTTCTCTTACCTTTTCAATCCACGACGACGGACCCGCGGTCGGCAAGAGGCAGGGATACGGAGCTGCCCTCTCTCTCTCTTGCATTTTCCCACGACGCACCTTCGCTTCGCAGCTAGCAGAAAGGGGAGGAGAGTGCCCATGACGACAACCGTGTCGGGTCGCCTTCCATCGCTTGATTGAACCCAGTTAAATAAAAGGCTCGCAGCTGCCACTTTCTCTGGCGGCGGCGGCAGCAGCAGCAGCAGCGGAGGCGGCGGCAACGGCGGCGTCGGAGATACAGGAGAGCAAGGCGGCGGAGGCGTCGCGGTTGGTACCACTTTCACCACCGCCGCCGCCTCGTACCTACCCTTTTTGGAACAGCGACGCTGCACAAGGCGACGAACGTCGTCGACGACGCCAACGACGCCAACAAGCAGGCTCGGGCGCCGCCTCGGTATTATACAATGAATGGCGCGAGACAGCAGCAGAGCGCTGCCTATGGCAACGGCGTCAGGGCAGCAGGAGCGGGCAGCGGAAACGGGGTGTATGCCTACGGCCAGGGCAATGGGTCTCTGAGTAACGGCACCCATGGCATGGGCGTGGGCGTCGAGGGTACCTCGAGCAACTCAATGTCGAGTGGCACGGTGCCACATCGCAAAACCCCCTCGTCCAGCTCCAATCCAGCGGTGACGGGGTCAGGGCCAGGGCTTGGAGCAGCTACAGGCGGAAAGGTCAGACGCCCGAGACCAGACACAGAGGAAATTAAGAGGGTCGGGCGCATTCATTATCAGGAACTCCTCGGCTTCCTACGGAGCCACTTGGCAAGAGGTGAGCAAGTCTCGTAGCAGCAAGTTGTTCTTCTCTTGGCCCCGGCAGTCATACTCATCCACAATCCGTCCACCGCAGGGCAAATGGGGCCTCGGTCGAATGCCCGAGAGAAGCTGACCAGGCTGAGCAAGCAGCAGTTCACCGAACTGTCGACGGATGTTTACGACGAGCTCATGCGCAGGGTCGACAACGCTCGCAAGGGAGACGGTGCGTTGTGGACGTGATGAAGAAGAAGCTACATTCCCCCCGCTGACCATCGGCTTCTTCTCCCTCTCTCCCCCTTCTCTGACATAACCACAGAGATGCCCCACCTTGCCGTCCGCGAGGAGTTCCATCCGAAGCGGAACCAGGCCCGGCAGAAGCTGGCGACGCTGCCCAAGACCCGCTTCAAGGATCTGGCCTCAGATGTCTTTTTCGAGCTCGAGAGACGCTTCCCCGAACTCAGAGAAGAGTTTCGACCCGAGGCGGTCGAGCAGGGGACCGCCTCGAGAGAGAAGCCCAGGGAAGTCATTGCTGCACAGCCAAGCACGGCCGACGTCGTTGTGCCCAACAAGTCGAAGCTCGTCGAAGAGGACGTGACGGTCCCCTATGCCAAGACGCTGAATCGCACCAAGGACGGCGACAACGAGGAGCCTCCGCCGGGCTACGACCGCGACAAGGGCGAAAGCGATCGAGTCAGCATACGCGACTCGATTGTGACGGCAGACAATGACACTGATGCGTTCAATCGCAACACCGTTTACAGCCAGGCCAGCTCCGTTGGCACGGGCTTCTTCAACGGATATGCAGGTAGCAAGGCCACTGAAAGCATCGTAGCAAGCCCACACCTGGGGAGAAGTAGCGACAACGAGGCAAGTGTCCTGCCGTGCACCTATTTTTTCTTCTCTGACTCTGCCTGTGAGCTAACGCTTTGCCCCGCGCACACTACAGGGCTTGTCGACGGCATTTGGGATCGAGAAGATGCGATCAGATTACGAGTTCCGCATCGCCACGCTGCAGCAGCGTGTCACCGCCCTCGAGGCAGAGGCCAAGCAGGGCGGCTCGAGCAAGGAGGCCAACATACTGAGGGGCGAGCTTGACGGGGCAAAGGAGGTAAGCAAGCTGTCTTGCTCACACACTTTATCCATGTTGCATTTGTCTGACGCCAAGTTCTCTCTGCTAGCTGCACAACGAACAGCTGAAGTCGCTTCAAAAGGAGATCATTGAGCACCGCAACCGACACGACGCAAAGCACAGCGAACTCCAGGAGACACTCCGGAAGCTCGACGACCTCCACGACGAACATGCTGCGCTTCAGCAGGAGAGAGAAGAGCGAGGCGGCGTCAAGGGTGGCGAAGATGGCGAAGCTGTTCGCCAAGAGCTGGACTCGCTGCAGAAGGAGCACAGCAGGCAGGAGGAGCTCGTCACTGAGCTCCGGGGCGAGGTATCGTCGCTTCTCGAAGAGCTCAGGCAGCTGTCGTCACGCAACGATGAAATGCTGGCGGACAAGGACTCGGATCAGGCTGTCATTCGGGACCTGGAGAACCAGGTGTCGTCGTACAAGCGCAAGTACGAGACGGCAAAGACGGAGCTCAGGAACATGAAGGCTACCTCGCAGCTCTACGTGCAGCCGCCGAAGGCCGACGACTTCATGCCCGCTTCGGACAGTGGTGCCATCGTCGATGTCAATCTCACGGCATTCCAGAGCTCCATCGATGAGCTTCTGGCGGCTGCTCGTTCCAAGACGCCGTCCAATGTTCTTTTAGCCATGAAGACAGTCGTCTTGGCGACGACGCTGGTCACCGACGATGTGGCCAAATATGAGTCGAGGTCCAGCACCGACTCTGGGCCCAGTGAGGAGAAGGAGCAGCTGACTGCGCTGCGGGTGAGGGCGTCGAACACGCTCAACAACCTCATGACAGCCTGTCGCAACCACGCATCCTCCCATGGTCTTTCGCCCGTCAGCTTGCTGGATGCTGCCGCCAGCCACGTTGCTACCACCATTGTCGACATCGTCAAGCTCCTCAAGGTGCGCAAGGCCACCAAGGCTGAAGCCGAGGAGTTCGAGGCCACCTTCACTCAGAATGGCACACTGCCTAATGGCCTCAAGCCTCTGCACACCAATGCACTGGCTTCTTCGTCAGCCGCCAAGGACCCACCGTTCTCGCCCGGCTACGACCGGAACAAGGCTCCGTCAGAGAACCGCCTGAACCCTTCGTCGTCGACCAAGGGGGAAGGTCGCTTCTCGCCTCGTAGCCGCCATGGACCTTCTATGGGTCGCTATTCACCCGTCAGTTATCGCCCGGATCTCTCACGAAACAATTCGCAGGGTGAAGGATCGTGGAAGGACAGCCGGACACGGACGCTGTCAACGTCATCGGCCAGCAGCGCGGCGGCCGCCAACGCTGCTGGCAGCAGTGTCCCGGCGACTCCGGCGATGCCGATGCCGCTGAATGCGTCTGTGCTTCGCAGCAAGAGTGCTTCCAGCTCACGGCAGCAGAGCGAGATGGGCGACGAGCAGCAGCCTCCTCCGCAGGCGCAACAGGAGCGGCGAGACGATGCCAAGGGCGGCCAGGCGCAGACGAACGGATTCACCATCAGTGAATCTCCCTCCTGGGGCTCCAACCTGAGCGAGCAACAAGCCAAGGGCTCCATTGGCACCTCGTCACCCGACATGCAACCGCCTCTGCCGGCTGCGCTGCAGACGTCTGGCGATAGCTCCGTCGAAGAGAATTGGGCGGAACTTCGAAACTATATCAAGGTCCAAACAGAAGCCATCGTACACTCGATTCAGGCGCTTCTCTCTTCCATTCGCGAGGGGGCCCAATCGCACCAGCTCACCGAGAACCTGACGCAGATCACGACGATTGTCAGCTCCATCGTGGCCATCTCTGGTGACAATCTGCCCAATGACGAGCAGTCGAGACTCGAGGGCCCCAAGATCCTCAAGGATCTGGCCGATAATTGCGAGCGGCTGAGCGAGATGCAGACGAAGCAGGAGTTCGACAAGGCCACGAAGAGCGCAATGGCTGCGGCTAGCTTTGGCGTCGCAAAGGGTCTCAAGGCCCTCACCGTCCTCTTCGAGGCGGCCGACGACGCAGATGACTTGACTTAACTTCACTTCCTTCCTTCCCCTCTCCTCCCCCTCTTCCTTTCTCCAGACACCCCCCTTCTTTACCTCCTTCTCCACTCCCACTGGTCCTTCACGCATTCTCCCTGGATCTTTTCTCCGCTGCTTGGCTTTTCACTTTGCTACCTTTGCCCCATTCCTAGCATCTCATTTACTATCACGGAACTCTGGGACGTTTGGTTTCTCTCTTTCTCTTCCTCCTTTCCCCTCACTCTCCCCCCCTCTCTCTCTCTCTCTCGTCCGCGCGCCCTCGCAAATGTGTCAACATAATCCAATATAAAGTAATGCCCTTCAAACGACGTCGCAACAATCTGCCCATGTGCCTTTTGTCCCACTACTTGGTCTTCTTGCTGTCCCGGTCCTTGTACGGACCGATGTCGAACTTGAAGTCTGCGTACCGGGTGAGTCGCTCGACGAGGCCCTTGGCGCCAATGGTCGCGCCCGTGAGGACACCTCCTTGCTTTGCGAGCTTCGACAGGCCGGTGCCCTCGGCAATGAGCAGCGCCGCCTCGGACATCATCTCGGCGGCACCGACGTAGCCGCCGTCGTGGGGGATATACAGGCGTGCCTCGGCCGCGCCCGCAGTAGAGGAGCCGGACGCGCCGGCGGGGTAGGCGACAGCTCGGACATCCAGGAACGCGTGTGGGTAGCGAAGCTTTTCGTCCGACAGGCCGTAGTTGGGCGGGAGAATCTTGCGCAGGGCCCAACGGACCTGTAGTGATTTCCAACAGATCAGCCAATGTGTTGCGAGAGGGCCTTGGCGGCAGATTCTCCCACTCACGGGGGCGAGGTGGACCTGGCAAAGGAGCACGAATTGGAGAAAGTATCCAATGAGGAAGACGAGAGGTCGAGGACCAGGGACGACAAAGGCGTCCCGGTAGCTGAACTTGGGTCCGTAGGCCTCCTCGGACTTGGACTGCTCCAGGAGCCCGTGTGAGAGGTTGACAATGCGGTGGTTGTGCGGGGTGAAGGGCGTGTGGATGCCGTAGCGACGGAACTGGGGCATCCACATGGCAGCGCCGAAGCGAATAGGCTCGTATGCTCCTTTTACTGTTGGAAGAATTGATGTAAGAATGAGCTAGGAGGAAGAGACAGAACAGCTCGACTCACAGGGGCTGAGCCAGTCGGGTCGAACGTCGAGGAGCTGATCACGGTCGACTTCAGCCATGTCGCAGGCAGAGAGAATGGTGCCTCCTGATAGCTGTTACATGTTTCTGTGAGCCAATCACTGGAAGGCGGCTCGCTCAGGGCTCTGCCTAGACTCACCGAGCCCTTTGCGACAAAGGCAGTGTCAACGCGGCCAACCTGGGCCCCCGTCTTTTTGAGCTGCTGCACGGCAAGGTAAGTTGCAAGGTCGAATGGCAACGAATCGAGGCCCACAGATGGAGCCAGGATGACGCCCTTCTGCTTGGCCTTTTCTCCGAGGTTTTCGATCAGCGACGCATTGAAGAGGGTTTCGCCGCTCAGGTCCAAGTAGTGTGTGCCCGCTTCCACGCAGGCAGTCGCAATGGCCTCGCCGCCGAGAAGACGAAAGGGTCCGACGACGTTCATGAGGCACTTTGCCTGGGTCACCATGCTACGGACAGACGCAGCGTCGAACGTGTCAGCGACGATGGTTCCAACGTCGCTCGAGAGGCTCAGTTCCTTTCGCAGCGATTCGAGTCGCGAGGACGAGCGGCCTGCAATGGCCCAGCGGGGCGAGCCTGGGTGTTTGGACAGGTGCGCGGCACACTTCTTGCCCGTGTAGCCCGTGGCGCCAAAGACGACGACATCGTACTTGTGTTGACTAGCCATTGTCGACGAGGTTTCCTTGTTGGAGGAACAGAAGGAAGAGGGTTCAGTCCCGTCGTTCCGCACTTGTGAAAGAGGAGCCCCGAAGAGCAAGATCCCACCCGTGCGCTCGCTTGCTCCTCGGCGATTCTTCCCTCGCCTTCGCGCCTCCACAGCACCTGGGTGTTCGGGCCCTGTCAAGAAGAAATAAAAAATAAAAAATAAAAAAGCACGGAAAAACACTCGCGTGGCCCTATTTCAGGCCCGTGATCCACGACGCGACTTTTTAGCAGCGTGAGGCGTGAGCAACACCTGGTCCAACAGAAGCAGGCGGCGGGATGGCGACCAGTTGGCAGCGCGGCGAGCCGCCTCGGGACGCCGGTGGGCAGAGCAGTGGTGGGAGCGGTTTGAAGAGGAATGAGAGAAGCTCTGCGTTGACAGCATACCGCGATTCAACGATCCTGCCACCCAGCCCTCCCCTGCGTCGGTTGCTGATGCAGCTGGAGAAGGACCATCTGATCCAGTTGGCACTTTGTTGGATTCACCGGGACCAGACCAGCCCTTCGCCGTCGATTGTGCCGCCCCAGCTCTCCCGGAGAGCACCACGGCGGAAAAGAAGCGCGTATGGCGATTCAGATGACTCGGACGACCTCGACGGTCCGATGCAGGACGACACGGCAGCCTTTCTCGATCTGCAGGAGGAACGGCGCGCTCGATCAATCACCGAGCTTCGAGCGCTCTGGCGAGACTCCATGTCCGATCTGAAGGTGCACCGCAGGGTCGCCGTCGACCGGATCCTCGAGGTGGACTGGCCCCAGGGGCTGAGCTACGGCATGATCGCTCAGGTGGCCTTTGAGCATCTCCGGACAAGACGGCAGCCCCGGGACTGGGTCGCAGTCTGCCTCGACTTTGACCGGGAGGCGATATCAAGGTCCGAGGTGCTTACGATCGAAAGCATTACGAAAAAGAAGAAGAAAAAGACAGGAGCGCCCTCGACGGACGCCAAGGCGAAGCTGGACCAGCTGACACCAGCTGCGCTTCGAGACCGCTTCTCAAAGGAGCTGAGCCATATGTTCAGCCATGCGCTCCACCTCGATGTGCCCGTCGATCGCGACAACGTCGATAGAGCCACAAGCTCCAGTGAAGTCGCGCCGCTTGCAGACGACTGGACCTGGCCCTTCACCCACCTCCGCCTCGTACTGTGCGAGACACCTGCCGACGTGTGCTCCGTCGGCCTTCATATCCTGCACTTGCCTCGCACACCCTGGTTTCTCATCTCGGGGAACCTTGGTCGAAAGGGCGTCGAGATCAAGGAGCAGTGCCTCACACACCTCGCCCACTCCGTCGAAGCGCGACGAATGCAGATGCCGCGAGAGATCCCATGGCAGAAGAGGCAGAAGAATCTCGAGGCCGATTTCGAAGTCAAGGGATTTGGGAGGATCTCGCAGAGCCAAGTTAGAGGCTCCGATCCGATTGCATTGTGCGAGGTCCTGCAGAAGAACCAATGGGTCCGCGACGATGTATTTCGAGCGGGCGAGGTCGGAGGCGGCAAGGGAAGAGCGATGAAGAGGGGAGACGCCGAAGATGGGCCGTTGGTCAGGGCGGAAAAGAGAAGACGGCAAGACAAGACTGGCATATACCGAGACGCACTGGAAGATAGAGACGAGGAGGACGCGCAAGCGCTGCCTGTGGAAGAGGACAGAGCGCCGGTGCATCCGACGGTGCAGAGAGTGGCCAAGCGCAGGGCGGAAATGGAGGAGCGCAAGACGAAAATCGAAGTGCAGGACCTCTTTGGGGAGGGCGAAGGCGAAAATGATGAAGCAGTCGATGACGAAGAGCAGGACGAAAAGGATCTTCCCAGAGTCGAGAGAATCGATTACGATGTAGGTTCCCCCTTTGCTCCTTCTTTCATTACTTTTCTCTTTGGCGTCTTCGTGCTGATTCTATCTCGACTTTCCAGCTCCGACTACCGTTTCCGCACATCGACGGCTATGGGGAAGTCGACGACAGCTTGACAGTGGGCGTGGACAAGGTCGAGCCGATCCACCTGCGCCTGCAAGGAAGCCACGTCCTGGCTGGCCTGAGGAGCCTGGTGCGGTGTGGCATGGAGCGCTCTGTCGCGACCGGAGAAAGCCGGGGACTGCCGACGTGGTTGACCGAGGTCAGGAGCACAAAGGTCAAGGTGGGCATCGCGACAGACGGATCTGAAAGCACCGTCCAGGCGCAGGGGGAGCAGGGTGAAGGTCTGCGCGACGATGTCTTCTCAGACGACGAGGACGAGGATGATCTGTGATCTTAGGACTTGCCCTATCTCAATTGTAATTTTAATATTTCCTCTCTTTCCTCTCGAGCGGAGGTGGACGATAGACGGAGCTCGGTCGGAGTGCTAGGGATGTGGCGCTCGTAGTCTTTCTTCTTCATTGCAAAGTATGCTGTATGAGAGGGGACACAATGGGCTTGGATACATGACTGGATGTTCAATGAGATGGGGAGGGAGAGAAAGCATGCCGAATGGGATAGCAAAACGTATCAAGACATGGAAAGGGAAGTGACGGTATAAGTGTAGTTTCAAGCCCGCCTCTATAAATTTTCCTTCCGACCAAGCTCTCCTCTTCCTCGGCTGCGTTGGCGCAAGCGAATGTCGCCGCCTACTCCAGATTAGCGAGCTCTTCCCGCAGGCTCGCCTCCGTTTCGATCTTTTGAAGCTGCGTCTGTTCGAGCTTCTCACCCTTGTCCCGCTTGTCCTTGAGCTCCTGGATCGCCTTGAGCTTTTTGTTCAAATTGCGAAGCTTCTTGTCGATTGCGCCCATCTCCGCTGCATTGCCGCCGACATCAGCCGCGCCGGAAGCGAGGGGTGCGGCAGCTTCGGGAGCTGGAGTGGGTGGCGTCGAGGTTCCGGCGCTCTTCTTTTTGTTGTTGGCGCCACCACTGCCCTTGGCACCGCCCTTCTGCTGCTGCTGTTGGGCCGGTTGCGAACCTGGAGGCGGTGCAGCGCCCGGCACGCTCCGCTTTCCGCCCTTTTTGCCCGGTGGAACATAGGCGCCGCTGCCGTTGGAAGTGGACGAGCCATTTCCGTTGGCATACGCCTCCTCCCTGGCCTTTTGGAAGACGTCGCTTGCTGGTTGGCCGCGCGCACCAGGGGGACGGTAGGCACCTGTGGGCCGGCTCGCCTTGGCTTTGAGCGCCTCGAGGGCAGTCTGAGCGGCTGGAGAAGGCGTCGGTGCTGGAGGGAGTGCCTTGGGGAAGGGGAACCGCTCCATGCTGTCTGAGGCGAGCAACGGCCGCCAGCTGGCGTGATACAGCTCATTGATGAGGTCCAAGTGGACCAGCTGGCCGGTGCAGTGCCATATCCGAACGCCATTGTCGACCCGCAGCCTGGGCGAGAGCGTGGCCGTAAGGATGAACTGGCCATCGGGCGACCATTGGCAGACGCTCGAGTTGCTGCCGTCGAAGCTGAAGAGCTTTCCAGCAGCGTTTGCTTCGGCACTCGTCCCAGCACTTCCGCCGAGCTTTTCTCGGTCCCAAATGTCGACAGTGCCCGACAAATTCCCGAAACCAGCGATAAGAAGCAGACGACCTTGCGGATTGAATGCAGCGACATTTCTCGACGCGGTGCCCAGTTCAGCAATGACGTTGACCCTGTATGAAAACAATGTCGTCTTGGCGGGCATGTAGCCGTAGATGACGACAAATTCACGACAATTTGGGTTCCACTCGAAGTCATGCACGGGGCCTTCCTTGTCCAGCGCCACTCGACAGTCAAAGTCTCCCCTCGTCGACATCATGTACAGGTTCGTTTCGCCATAGTATGACTTGCCGGTTTTGTCGACGTCGGTGGAAGTGAGGAAGAGAAGAGCGGTTCCCGCCGTGTTCCACTTGATTTGGATCTTGTCGGCCTTGAAGAATGTCTTTTGGGAAATGGGTGCCGGCGGTTGATCTGGCGTCGGGATCAGCGAGGCCAACGAATAGACCCGCACCGAGGCGGGGGCTCCCTGTGTGGTGTACTACAGTCAGCAGAGTTGTCGGATCTCAGCGTTAAACATCTGACAAACCTTTTTCTCTCCACAGAAGACAGCAACGCTTGGCTTCTCTCCAGGGCCGATCTCGTAGCTCGTCATTCCCTCGAGCTTGAGTCTCCCAATGACACCCTTGCTATCAAGCGCCGCGGGGTCGAACACCTGCAGCTCCCCCGAGACGAGCCTGAGAGCGGCCGTTTCACTCTGTGCAAATTGAAAGTGACTTATGTCCCTCCCACTCTCAGCATTCGCATTTTCACCCTTGGCTTAAAACAGGCTCAGAGAAAAGACTCACCACCCTTCCTGGCTCTTTCTCTCGAAACTGCCGACGCACTCGCCCGTCTTTGCGTTCCAAACCTTGAGGTTGCGCTCATTGTTTCCATCCTGGTCCTTGTACGGCCTCTGCCAGGTGCTTAGCCAGGTGCCTCTGGGCGAGAACTGCAGGTCGACAACCTTTTCGACGGGCAAGACGTGCGACTGGCGGCACTTGTTGTCCTGCGCCGACGAGGTACCCGTCTCGGTGGACGACGTCGTCACGAGCAACACGGCTGAATCGAACGCCGCGGCCAGGAGCGAGCCGTTGGGGCTGTACCGAAGCGCTCTTGCCGACGAGTTGACGAAATCGGCATCGAGGGTGTCGGTCGTGAGCGACTCGTACGAAGGTGGGCCAGCGTAGACACCAATGGACCTCTGCGATCGCCAGGCATACTGCGAGTCGAACGTCGTCATCTTTCACTTCCTCCTCTTCTCTATCTTTCAGAGAGAGGCAAGGGGTGGAAAGCAGAGGTTTGAAAAAGGGGACAACCGAGCGAGGAAGAAGCAAAGTTCAGCTTGGCCCCGGTCCTCTCTGTTTCGCTTTCAAGGTTCAAATCGACTTTTTCCCTCACGTGCAGGACCGTCAATCCACCCCGCCTCCTCCCTTGTTCACCTTCGCTGGGGCCGTGGGACAACGCCGATGAGGTCCAAGGACATCGGCGGCTTTGCCAGGCATGTCTGCTCCGTGCACCGCCTTGCGGGACCTCTGCCCAGGCGAGCAGCGGTGGCAGCAGACTACAGTAGGCTATCTCCCCGCAATACCAATATCACGGCCATTCGGTCCGTGACTTCTTCAGCTGCAGCAAGAACCCAGCGCTCAACACCGGTGGTCGACGGGACTCCTGTGGGCAGCACAAGGGTCAAACAAGACACAGCCAGTGAAGAGACGCGAATCCTTGCACTCAAAATACAGGATCTTGTCTCCCTTGAGCTCTTCCCCTGTCATGTCGACGTCCTTGGCGAACACCGAAGAGGATCGGGCCTTTCCACCCCTTCCTCTTCTCCCCCCTCTTCTTCTCCCGCCCTTGTGTTAGCCATTGTCGATTCGTCAGACGATGCTTTCGAGAGAATTCCTATGGAGCCAATGGACACGGGCAAGAGTGAAGCACAGGAGGCGCGTATAAAGCAGCTCCTCGTCTCTTCCCGCCTAGCAATAAGTCGTGGTGAGGACCTCTTCCTGCCTTCATCCGACACCAAGCTTGAGCTCCAGTGAGTGCAGAGGGACTTCTCCCATTCAAAAAAGCTGCATGAGTCTCAGATTGAGAGGAAAGAGCCAGCAGCTGATGCCGCACCTCTGCGCCAACTCCCTTCCTTCCCTTCTCTCCCAGCTATATCCCAGAGGCATGCCGCGGCGCCGCCCAGCTCTTTCTGACGGGCTCAACATCCTACATTGATTTCCTCCAGCTCCTCGCTCGTGAGGGCTACGGTCTGACTCTCGACAAATACGGCCTATGGCGTCGGAAGGAGGTGGGCGACGTTTGTGCTGAGGAGGAGGCCCTAAGGACAAGAAGGACAACAAGGGGTCAGGTCCAGGGTCAGGGTCAGGATCAGGGCCAAACACCGCCCGGCATCACCATTCGAAAGATCGATGATGAGGAGACAGCTTCCAGACCGGCCGAGCCCGTCCTGAAAACAGAAACAGCAGGCGAGCAGAGGATGCGGCAGATGAGAAAGGAGATGGGCCTGCCGGAGGATCTCGATCTATCCTTGAGCCTCGATGACGGCCCGACGGGGGTGGCTCAGACGATGGACGTCAACAATACCTCTGTTGACGAAGGAGAAGCGGTGGAATGGGAGCGCATCCAAGTCGGCAAGGGGTCAGAAGCAGACATTTTGGACGTCCTCGGTCTCGTCTGGCTTCCGCCAGAGCTAAGGTTCGTCCGGGACCCCTCTCAATCAACCGACCAGGAGGGGAAGAGGGAGAACACAGAGTAGAGTAGGAAAAGAGGCAATTGCTATCATCAATCCTGCTGAGAGATAGAGAGGAAATGACATTAAGGATTGAGAAGGAGAGAAGAATTGAGCTTGCTCAAGTGAGATTGTCCATATGTATGTGAAGATGATCAACCGCCCCCTGGGATCTAGAGATGCCGGGGCGAGAAACGTTTGGTCGGGTCAGGGAAATGTCGGAAGAAGAGGGCAGCTGTGAGGGCGGAGAAGGAAGAGCGTCCTGGTGGGAGCAATCGAGGAGCCCTTAGTTGAGGGGAAGCGAGATGCAGCCAAAGTTGATCAGGCCGTTCTGCGTGACGTTCTTGCAGCACTGTTGTGGAAAAAGTAGTGTTGTGAGCTTCACGTAGATCAAGCGCCCGAAGAAAGATGACGGTGCCACACTCACCACGGGCGAGCTCTTGCATGTGTTGGACACTGCGACGGAACCGCCAATGCCGTTGATGGGGAGCTGAGCGCAGTTGAGGCCAATCTGACCGACGACGTCGTTGACGCCGAGGAGGCCGGCGAGCGTCTTCTTCTTCTGGCTGTCGTTGATCGTCTGGTCGCAGCACTGCACCGAGCCCTGCGAGCAGTCACCCTTGACAACGTCACCACGCTTGCGGGGCCTCTCGCCACGTCCGTCGAGCGACCCTGTGCCGGCAGAGCCCTCAGCCAGGAGCGACTGTGCGTACTTGACGGCTGCCTCGGGGATCTCGGTGACGAGGCCATCGGCAGCAATGTTAACAGAGGCCGAGGCGTAGGTGGCGCTGGCAATAGCCAGGATGGAGAAGACACGGAGGAACTGGGGCAAAACGACAAGGTCAGCTCTCACCTGCTCTTCACGGTTCCCAAATGCTCGCGTCCAAATCCTCCTCCCCGCCCTCTTTCCCTCTGCTCACCTGCATTGTCACTAGGAAGCAAAGAAAAGAGAGTGATCCGTAAACGACGGTGAATAAATCGGACGGGGTGCACAGAAAAGGGAGGGAGAGAGAGCGATGGTGGTGACCAGACGGCAGTCCAGGGCCGTGTTTCCTTTTGTATCTCTGCCCGTTTCTTGCCCAGTCCCACCCCCAGGTCCGGTCCTCCCAACCTGAACTTGGCTCGGTCCAAAAACAATATAATACGATGCTGCACTCTGCACTTTGCTTGATTCGGCCTCGTTCACATCATGCTTCAATACAAGCCCCTTGAATTTGGCTTTGCCCGGAGCGCATATTCACCGTCTGATATGCTGCGCTTCCCTGATGATCTCACGGCTCTATCTCTTCCTCTGGCCCGGCAAGTTTTGCCATTATTGACTGACTTGCCACGGGTACACATTATTAGGCACCAGTCGAGCCAGCGAGGCATGCTATGTGTTCTGAGTTGTATGTACGTTGCAGCCTGGCACGATCGCATTAGAGCGCGCTCGCTTGATGCACAGTAGAAACGAATGAAAACAACACCGAAAAAAGATGGGGTTGGCGGCGGCTGAGGCAAGCCTGGCATCAAACAAGACACGTCGATTGTCGGGAAATAACTCAAAAACTGGAGCGCGTCTCGAGGCAGCGCTACAATCATTAGCCCTGGCATGCGACATGTTCCATGCGAAGGGACAGGTCTCGAAATAAACTCGGCCAAATGAAGTGGAGATTTGCAGGTTGCTCCATGCTAGCTAGGCACTGTAGATACATTAATTCCTCTCCTCTCATCGCTGCCTATTTTCCCAACCGTCCATCTGTGAATCTACCTTTGATCTTCTCTTCGTTTCCCTTTCCGTCCTCGTTCAGGCCCGGCGATCAACTTTTGCGACGCTGGTCTAGGCGCTTAACTTTACTGAGCCTTGGCTTGTCGCTCGGCTTTTCGGATAGCACGCTTTCGGATGCTTGCTTGCTGGTCTGCAATCAATTAAAGAACGATTCCGTGCTTCGTTAGCAGACGGCCAAGCACAGGCTAGCAGAGCCGCAGAGATGCGGAGGGAGAAAAAGGTACTGACCGTAGGTAAAGCTGAGTCGGTAGCGGGTACCGACAAGGTTGGTAATGATCCAGTCAAAGAGGCCTTGCATGGGCCAAACGGTGCCTTCAAAGGGTCGTCCCTGGGCACCGCCTTGCCTTCCAATCTTTGCCAAGACGTTTGCAACGTAGGGCTTCGGCATTGGGATGAGCGCAGACGACTTTCGGATCTTGCTCATGGCCGAAACGACAAAGTAGGTGTTGAGCAGCTGCACCGTAACGCCCGACCGGCTGAGCTCTTCGCCCAGGGCGGCATTGAAGCCGATCAAGAAGGCCTTCGTGCCAGAGTAGGTTGAGAGCAGCGGGGAGGGAAACTGACCGGCAAAGGAGCCCAGTTGGAGGACCAGGCCACGCTTTCTGTTTTGTCCGTGAGCTGGTCAGCATGTCTCTTCTCGAGGGTCAGGCAGAGCTCGAATACGCACCTTTTAACCATGCCAGGCGTCACGATCTTGGTCACACGCAGTGTTGCAAAGACGTTGATGTTGACAATGTTCTCGAGCTCCTTGTCCTCGGTTTCGTGAAAGGGCACAGGCATGTTGTGCGACATGCCCACGTTGTTGACGAGCACGCCAACGTCTCGATCGCCGATGGCCTTTGCGAGCGCGGCATAGTCATCTGCCGTGGCAGCTGCAAAGTCAATTGGGAACCAGTCGACCTTTGCCCCTGGTGCAGCTTGTCCTGCAGTCCCTTAGAGTAAGCTTTCTTTTCTTTTCCATCGCTCATGCGCGCGAGTGCGGTCACGCACCGATTTCTTCCTGCACTGCCTGGAGCTTGGCCGTCGTCCGGCTGGCCAAAAAGACATTGAAGCCGCGCTTGGCGAGTTGAAGGGCAAACTCTTTGCCAATGCCGTCAGTTGCTCCCGTCACGACAGCCCAGGCGCCCTGGCCGGGCTGGCCCTTCTTAGCTGCGCCAAACTTAGACAGAGACACGCCCGGGAGCACATAGAGGTCCAGAACGAGCTGAAGGATCGAAAGCGCCCAATTGAAGACCACGAGACCCCCCACGGCGGCGAGAAGGACCAGGGGAACCGATACCTTTGTCGTCGTCGTCGAAGACGCTGTGACCCTCACACCACTCCTTTTAGCTATTTTCCAGGCTGCACTTTATGTTGAGCTTACGGAGACTCACCGGCGTGAAGCTGCACCTTTTCCTGAAAGCTACTGAAGAAGTTCATCTCGTCTTCTGTTTGCAGCGAGCGGCGACGTCTTCTCTCTGCCCGTTGCTAGGCCGAGAGGTTCGAGTGAAGAAGTTGCGTCCCAACCACGCTGAGTCTTCCGTGTCCCGAAAAGCAGCCACGTGGCAGTCAAGAGTGCACGGCCTGGTTTCCATCTGAGCTGGCGGACCGCGCGCCAAAGCAGAGGCGAGGCAAACAGAGCAGGCGCGCGCGCCACAGCTTTTGAGTTGGTCTCAAAGTCATCGACTCTCGCCTCCTTTACCAACCCTCCCCTGTTGCTAATCATCGCGACCGCGGCAGTCACCACAGATTCACCTTTCTCTTTCTCATTTTCTTCCCTTCACGAGCGAGGCCCAAGATAGACTTCTGAAATGGTGTGTGCGGGTGGCTCGCTACTTGCGATGATTCAGTCACTGATCATATCTCTATCTCCAGGACCGAATCAAGGAGGTACGCTCTCCTCGCTCAGCATGAGCCTGATCGTCTCTGTCTCCCACGCGGTCTCGCTGACCCCCTTTCTTCTTGCTCATTTTTAGAAACTCAATTCGCTCCGCATTGAGGCCGATGCCGCCATCGAGCGCGCCGAGGCGGCCGAGGTGAACAACAAGCGCCTGGACCAGGAGAACCTCCAAAAGGACCAGGAGATTGCCTCGCTCCAGCACAAGCTCGGGCTCCTCGAGGGGGATCTGGAAAAGGCAGAGTCGAAGCTCCATGATGCAAAGACTAGCAAGGACGAGGAGGAGAGCAGCCGGTCGGCCGCAGACGGCCTCCAGAGAAAGATCAGCCTCCTCGAGAGCGAGCTCGACACGGCCGAGAAGAACCTGAGGGAGACGACGGAGAAGTGCGTGCTCGGCTGTCGATCTAGGCATGTTTTTCCTTCTAATCGCTGACCTCTCTACTTTTTGATTCGCTTCCATAGGCTCCGCCAGGTTGACGTCAAGGCTGAGCACTTTGAGAGGCAGGTGCAGCGTGTCGAGCAGGAGCGCGACCAGTGGGAGCAAAAGTACGAAGAGGCGCAGGAGAGGTACCAGGCCTCCAAGAGGGAGCTCGACGAGGTGGTGCAGCAGATGGAGAGCCTGTAGGAAAGCGTCGGTCTATGCTCTTCGGCCGCCTCGCCCCCGATCGTCTCCCTTTCCTCTTCTCTCGAGCCAGGGCCAAGTGGACCGAAACAGATGGCCAGCTTTCTCTTCTCTCTTTGTGTCTTCTTATACTTCCTACTCCCTCATACAGCACCTTCCTGGTCCTGACTGAGGCCTGCGATCGGATCGCTTCATGTCAGAATGAAAAAGCGCGCGCAAATTCTACAAGCAAAAGCAGCAGCTGCAGCCAGTGTGTGTATGTGTGTGCAGATGTACATTTCGAGGTCACCGAGAAGAAAGAAGAACAGAAGAGAGACAGGCGAATGGGGAAATAGAAAGGGAGCAGGAGGAGCCTAGTAGCCACCTCGGCCACCGCGGAAGCCACCGCCGCCTCTTGAGCCTCCGGCACCGCCGCGGCCACCTCCAAAGCCGCCGCCGCCTCGAGGCGCACCCCTCCCGCGACCACCGCCTCGGTCGCCGCCGAAGCCTCCTCGCCCCCGGGGTGCACCACGTCCTCCACCGAATCCACCACGGCCCATGCCTCGTCCGCCGCCCCGAGGAGCGCCGCGCGCTCCGCCTCGTCCACCTGCACCACGCTTCGGCTTAGGACCTGGTTTGACATTATCAGAGAGGAAGAAACATATGCAGCAGCCAGATGCAGCTACACTCACCCTTGAAAAGTTGTTTGGGCTTGGGAAGGAACCTCTCGATGGGCAGCAGCTTCTCGCCGCTAATGTAGACCTTGTCGTTCTCCTTGAAGCTCGAGGCCACCATGCCCTGGTCCATCTTGATGGTAAAGTAGACCTCGTTGATCGGCCCCAGGATCTCGTCGACCTTTCCGATCTGCGACTTGTTCTCGAGGCTGTTCGTGTATCTCTCGTGTCAGCAAGAGCCATCTTTGATGCTCAAGCCTTGGTGTGAGATGCCATGGACTCACTAGATGGGAGCATTAAAGTAGGGGACCTGCTTGGCGTTTGTGCTCGCGCAGAGCATCTCACCCTCGACTGCGTGCATGAAGCTGCCCATCTCCTGGACATACTCCGGTGGTCCTTCGGGGACCCTTCCGCCATAGCCGCCTCGGCCACCGCCCCTGCCACCACCACCGCCGAATCCACCGCCAAATCCACCGCCGCGACCACCGCCGAAGCCTCCTCGGCCACCACCACCACCGCGTCCACCGCCTCGGAATGACATTTCGCTAGAGGGTTGCGCTAAGTTTCTTTTACCGGGCTCTCTGCTCGCCTGTTGCGTGCTCGCCGTTTCCGTGGATGCTCGACGATGACCTCCTTCAACGCAAGTCAAATTTGTAGCTCCAGACCCGGTCAGAGGAGGAGGGTGAAGCTTTGAAAATTCGCAGCTTCCCATTTGCACGTGCTTCTCTTTTTCTCCTCTGGTGTGACAGAAGAGTGATCTTCATGACATTCTCGGATGACATAGTTTGACTCGCGTGTTTTGGACGCCGCCGTCGATCTCGTCGCTCACGGTAATGGTGACCGCCGCATTTGGTGGCCCAAGACGAATAAAACTTCATCACGAACTACCTGTTGAGCTGCTCATGGACGGTATAGCTGTTTCGGAAAAGCTCATTGTATGCGCTTTTGGTACCGCTTCGGCCGTGTATCAATATACTTGGTAGTTGGCACCGTGATATATGGCTCTACAGCCTCTAAAACATTGTCGGCGAAAATAGATAGCAGGGGTCTCACCTTGCCGGGTACCGACGCCAAGAGCGAGACAAGTTACTGCCTTGGCGGAGCATGGTAAGGGGCTCGGCTCTAGCACCGGCTTCACTTTTAATCAATAATCAATAATAGTAAGAGATGAGATTGTCGTGCCCGAGCATTGATGACGAGAACGCCATCATCGGGTAATGGTGCCCGAAGGCAGGATAGTCTAGCAGCAACTGCTCGAACTAGCAGTAACAACACTTCTTCCAGGCAGCAAGCGGCGATACATGACGAGTGGGAACAGTCACGGGCGCTCTCGACATAATCCAAATGGGAACAAGAGTTGGGCGAAAAATTGGAGAGATGCGCAATTATCACAACTCACGCAGTAATCGAGGTCATCGAGGCTGTCGATGATCTAGCAATGCACTACAAAAGACTACATGGCATCGAATAGTGCCTCTAGAGAGCAGGCGAGCAGGCGAATAACATAGGGGCCAATACTGACGAATTCGTAATGCATCACCGGCCTTCACTCGCCAGTTTCGTCGTCGTATGCATTGCTCTTGCAAATCGGGCCTATCACGTATACAGTCTTCCTTTTACGACGACGGAAGCAAGAAGACTTACGCCATACCGATCGATCACCCGTCGGAGTCCTCGTCGAGACGGGGCTTCGCAGGGGAGTTCATACAGAAGTCGCATCTGAACATAATATCGAGATATACGACGGGTACTACGAACTACACCACAGTATAGAAACACACGCAGGACAGAGCGAACGCCGATTGTCTCACATTACCAAGCGCACACAGGACCTAGAGCAGAACACGTCATCGAAACATTCCAGACACACGACCGCGGAACACCACACAAAGCAGAGGAAGAGCGGTAACGCCATATGACATAGGTTGTTCGCCGGGCTAAGAACTATGGTACAACAAAAAGAGCGTATGCGGTGGTAGTGTATCTCGAATGGGGAACGAGACGTCTAGCTGCCACGCTCGCCACGGAGCCTCCTGGCGAGGGCAATGTCCCTGGGCTGGATGGTGACACGCTTGGCGTGGATAGCAGCCAGGTTGGTGTCCTCGAAGAGCGAGACGAGGTAGGCCTCGGCCGACTCCTGGAGGGCCATGACGGCGCTCGACTGGAAGCGGAGGTCGGTCTTGAAGTCCTGTGCGATCTCACGGACGAGGCGCTGGAAGGGCAGCTTGCGGATGAGGAGCTCCGTCGACTTCTGGTAGCGACGAATCTCGCGGAGAGCGACCGTACCAGGGCGGTAACGGTGGGGCTTCTTGACACCGCCGGCCGAGGGGGCCGACTTGCGGGCAGCCTTGGTGGCGAGCTGCTTCCTGGGGGCCTTGCCTCCGGTGGACTTGCGGGCGGTTTGCTTTGTGCGGGCCACTGTGGTGGGGCGGAGATGTAAGCATGCGTGTGCATGGGAAGTATGTTTGTGCCTGACAGCAACTCACTTGTGGTAGGTTGAGGTAGAAGTGAGGTACTTCGGGAAAGAGGTGAAAACTGGAGTGGGGAAGGGATGAGATAGACGATTTGATTCGGCTCCCTTTTCTACTTTTCGCCGTCTAGCTCGAACCGCAGAGGAGACGGAGAAACGGCGTGGCATGCGTCATTCAGAATTCCGCCCGGTCTCGTGCTCTGTCAAACGGGGTCTATGAGCAAGCGACGCCATTTCTGTGCCGGAGAAATAAGCAGTCAAGGCAACGCCATAAATTCTCAATCAAAGACGCGTCGAGAGTCTCAGTGCAGGCAGTGGAGCAGCCTCACGTGCCGGACTTGTCATTGAAATGGCGTCGCGTTCTGATCACGAAACGGAGTTTTATTTTAATGGCGTGTCTTTGTAGAGGCCTGGAAAACGAGGCTCGTTATCGACATTTTTTGACGTCGAACCCCACGTTGGAGGCGGAACTCACCAGTCGATTATAAGAAGGCGGGCTTTCGGTCGGAGGGTGGATCTTCCCTTCATCAACTCACTCGCTTCGGCAAACAACACTTCCACCCACCACCACCCCACCTTTTCAACCTTCTATAACAATGTCTGGACGCGGCAAGGGCGGCAAGGGTCTTGGCAAGGGCGGCGCTAAGCGTCACCGCAAGGTGAGTGACAACTGAACAACAGACATTCCCGCAGCGACTGACATTGATTCCGCTCCGCAGATTCTTCGTGACAACATCCAGGGTATTACCAAGCCCGCCATCCGCCGTCTGGCGCGTCGTGGCGGTGTCAAGCGTATCTCGGGCCTGATCTACGACGAGACCCGCGGTGTCCTCAAGCTCTTCCTCGAGTCGGTCATCAGGGACTCGGTTACCTACACTGAGCACGCCAAGCGCAAGACTGTTACCTCGCTCGACGTCGTCTACGCCCTTAAGAGGCAAGGCAGGACTCTCTACGGTTTTGGCGCATAAAGAGACTTTTTTCTTTGTCTCTGTTTCTGTACTATAGCCTTCTATGCCTCTTCCGCATGTGACATATGGCGCGCTCGCGACCGCTACCCTCTTCTGTGATCTGTGTGTGTGTGTGTGCTGCCCATTGCAGGTTCGTGCTGGGCCCCGTGCGCTCTCGTTTCGCTTTGATCATGGTCTTTGGTATGCGTCCAAGGAAAGGACATGAAGGACAGTGTGAGCTTCAGAGATGGGTGTATCGACTTCAAGCTCGCACTCAAGCTCGAAACCAGAGCCAACGCTCTGCAAGGGGACTGTAGGGGACCAGAGCCACAGTAGTTGGTACACACGATCATATGGACCAGAAGGCTCGGACCAAATCCCGGCGAAACCCGCCGGGATTCTTGATCCTCACCTTCTGGCGTAAGATCGTGTGTACCAAGTACTGTGGCTCTGCTCCCCTACAGTATCGTCCCAGGCCGGCGAGACATCAGCACAACATCACCTCACATCAGCAAGAGACCTGATAGGGAACCGCACACGCCGTGGCGAAGCCACGGCGTGTGCTGCGCCTTCAGCTCTGGATAATATATTTGTTCCTTCTCATTGTTTGAACCCTCAGAAACAATGTGCGGTAGACTTATTTTTGACCGCAGCTCTTACATCGTGAATGTTGTGTCTCATCCTACCGACCCATTTTTCAACCCTCAGTCAAGAGAATCTGGCGCGTCAACGGAAGACCACAGCCAGATGAGGGGTATCTCTACGAACTGAAGTAGAGGAAAGAGTGTTATGACAGCTGATATTATACATGGCTACTACCTTCGTCCTGGTCCAGACCAAGTAGGGAAAGGGAACTTCTTTATTCTTCGCTATCATTTGCGCACTCGTTCTTGGCAAAGCCCCGGTCGAATTCTTCGGCTCTACTCAGAAAGCGCCTACACACCTTGCAAGGGACGTCGTATGTGCACGTCTGTCGGTGGATCTCGACCTCGTCCTTGAAATTGAGAAATTTTGACGAGACACCAATCATCGACCATGCCCGCATCTGCCTTTGACAGGTGACTGGCAACGGTGGTGCTATAGCATGTGAATTTTCTGCTTTCTGCTTGTCGAGCGCGGCCTTTTTCGTCCTTACATCCGGCTTTGGCGTGGACAGGTCGAACGATGTTGAGGCGCATGAAGACGAAGGTTTTGCTCGTGGGGTCGGCGCTTGACGGGCATTTTTCAATTTGCGAGGCTGACGAGGCTCCAGAAGAGCACTTTCATCGAAGATGCTGTCGTCCTTGTGGTTCTCGTCCCCGGTTAGCCAGTACTCATCGAAAGTGTCGTCACTGTCCCTAAGGCATATCCCGAGTCCAACATCACACTGACTGCTTCGCCGCTCCTGTCGACTTTTCCGTGCTGGCTGGGCCCACTTATCGCGACGTCCTCCACGGAGGTGAGGTACGGAACAGGTCGTCGATCGAACAAAGGGATGGTCGACATTCGGGTGCTGGTCACTTGAATTCGGAAGCAAAGGGGGAGGCGACCTTGAGCTCATACTGAGGCTCCTCAGCATTCCTCGAATCGGCAAGACAGGGTTCGATACGATGCGTGACGGTTTCCGCATCATGTTGGAGCGAACACTTTCCGTAGGGCTGGAAACTCCCGAGCTGGCGTCGTCGTCGCTATCGTCGTCCCATACGGAGCGAACCTCTTGCGTCACACCAGGTCCAGCAGGGGACACAACGCGGAGACCTCTGGCCGAGATTGGTCGCTGAAAAGGACAGACTTGCCGAGGCGATTGAGATCTTTCGGCCTGCATTCTACCTTTGCTCGACTCAGTGGCGACGGGAGTGGAATCTGGTGAGCTGGTGCGTGACTCGAAGCTTGACATCTTTGCTAGTTTCTGTCGCTCTCCGTCTACTAGCGTGTCTCTGTCGAGAGGAGGAAGGCTGCTTTGAGCGTTCCGTCGCCGCCGGAAAGGAGTGGGCACTGCATCTCTGGCAAGTTGAATACCCAGGTTGCAATCACTACTGTGTTCTCCGTCCAATGGATGCGCAGACGCGACGGAGTCGAGCGAAACGGCCTGGCTGTGCGTCGACAGAGTCGGAGACGACGGTGAAGAAGGCGGCGATGATTCCGACGATGATGAAGATTCGGAGACGCAAGTACCCCTGACCGGACAAATACAGGTCTGCTGAGGCGTCTTATCTTCATCCGTGGTAGAGAAGGTCTTCTCAAGGCCGAAGGTTCCAGGAAGTATCGAATTCATCCACTGCTCGACTTTGCGGTGTTTGTCCGACGGGAGCGGCACTTGAAGAGCCTTAGCACCCTTGCTCCATGGCGTCCAAAGCTTATCTAAACCTGATCGGACCGTCCTGCTCCGGGTGATAGTCACGCGGTCCTCAATCAGTACTCGCCAGGCGAAGAGAGGTCCTGGAATCTTTTCTCTGTCTGACCAAGGATGGCGAGGGCTGACGGAAATGCCAAGGTCGCTGGAGCGTCGATGCAGTCCCGCAGACTGCTGGTGCCCTGCTGACGAGCTGATCACTTCCGAGTCGGTCAAATGACGGTAGTCCGCAGATTGAGCGGATACATGGAGTGCAGGACGGACACCCTGAATCGCAATCTTCTGCTGTACCGTCGAAGCCCCTGAACTCTCTATCTTGGGCGTGGACTGGGAAGTTGCATCAATCAGGGGTCCGGGTGGAACAGCTGCGGCCGGACTCGAGGTCGGTAGCCTACGCACGTTGGACTCGGGGGGCTGTCTGACCTCTTGCTGTAGCCGATACATGTCGTTGTGGTACCGCTGGGCAAGTTGCGACCATCCACCAAGTCCCAGACTATTTCCCGCATCTACCGTGAAGCCGAAGTAACCAGCCGCTGGTGGCGCGCATTGATAAAAGGATCTGGGCCCGGGTCCGGAGCATCCGGAAGGGTGGCTCTCCTCCTCCCGTATCCGCTTGCGAACATTGCTGAAACCTTGCAAGCCACCGTCTACTTCTTGGTCGAGCAATTGCACGCTGTCGGAGCTGAGTTGACTTTGCTGGTCCTCGTCGCAAAGACAACCGTCGACGATATCCCGAAGGTCTTCTTCCTCGTTCTCCTGACTGCTGGCTCGCGGTCGCCTGAGTGGATCTGGCGAAGACTCGGAACAGAGTATGGCAACGTCCTGGTTCCTCAGCAATCGCTCAGGAACACCTTTCTCAAGGTTGCTGCTCTGCGTTGAGGGAGAAGTTCGATTAGATTGCACCCCAACCAGATTGTCTTCAATAGTGTGAACCGTGTCCTCCATGTATGTTGGCCGGCCAAGAGGCTCTGTGCCTACATGATCGGGTCCAAATTGTTCAAAACTTGTTTGGAAGTCGAACGGAATGGACATGCTGGGCGAATCCGGAGGTGACAGCATCGCCGAGCTTCCTTCCCAGTAGGCGCTGCTGCTGCGACGTTTAGGGGAGAGTGAGTCAAACGCGACAGAATGACTGGGCTGCTGGAGGCCGAAGTCATCCTGACGGCTGACTTGGGAAGGCGGTACGGGGCTTTGGTACTGCATAGTGTCAAGAAAAAGGGTCTGAACGTGTGATTTGCAATGATTCGTAGAAGGTTGCTGATAGATGATGAACACAAGGAACCAGCCTTGTGCGTCGAGAGGATAGAATGGTGAGAGGCAACGGAAGAGGAAGAAAGAGACTGGTGAGGGCTCTTTTGATCTTTATAACGAAGGCTACTTCAGGGCCTACATATGCATGCTCAGTGACGTCTTGCCACGGGTCTCCTATCCAGCAAGCAGGGGTCACTTGGCGGGCGTGCTGCGTCGGCAATAGACGCGTCGCGGGCAAGCGTCCATAGCACAAGTCCATTGGACGCAACGGACCACAAGTTGCGCGGTATAGATCTAGAACTGTGAGGCTACAACATTCGGACTCATTTGACAGTGACATAGGAGTAGACAGGAGCTCACAACGTCAACGGTCCCCTCTTCGAGAGGCACCAGCGGCTAACGCGTCGCGTAGCGGCGCGCGAAGGCAGATTGCACACGCTCAAAAAAGTATCCATTCACTGATCAAGGTATGAGCAGTCTCGCCTCAAATGGCTCTAGGACAAATACATCACCATCAGACAACGGTGCAGAGGAAGCGACGTTGGCCTTGACGAGCTCAAAATGGCCCAGATCCAGGGCAGGAATCGTGACTGACGCGCGGGTCTGGCCGAAATTGGCCACGAAGTGCAGACGATCTTTGCCGTGCCTCTTCACAAATGAGCACACATCTTCGGAGCCTCTAGCAGGGACGAGCTCAAAGGTGCCATAGTTGAGAGCCGGATGGGACTTGCGAAGGGCGATGCATTCCTTCCAAAAGGAGAGGACGCTGTCCTTGTCGTTGACCTGCGCGGCGACATTGCACACGCGATTATCCTCATTGACGCGCATCCAAGGCCTGCCAGTTGTGAAGCCAGCCAAGGGAGTGTCGTCCCAGGGCATCGGCACCCTGGCATTATCTCTTGCCTTTCGGTTGATGCCGAGCATGACATCGCTCATGTCTGGGTCCGCACTGCCGCTCACTTTTTTCCTCCGCTCAAGCTCCTCGGAGTAGAATTTCTGCGTGACGAGGTCGGGATAGTCTTCGATGGGCCAGTCCTCAGGCACGTTGATCATGCCGATCTCTTCGCCCTGATAAACGAAGAGCGTGCCCGTGAGGCAGCACTCGAATAGGGCCAGGAGCTTGGCCGCCCTGACTCGATGCTCAGGCGCCGATCCTCGCAGGATGTTGTTCACCGGTCGGGGCTGATCATGGTTCGAGACAAAGACCGAAGCCCAGCTGCCGTGCTCGAGGAGCGTTGTGGCCCACTTGTTGACTGTACTTATAAAATCGCCGTGTCGCAGGGGCTTTGGTGGGCCAATCTCGAAGCCTCCGTAGAGATCGACATGATCCGTGCCAAAGACCATTTGGAGTTCCCTGTCGGGCCGTTCCCAACTGCAGTACTCTGCCGTCTGTCGAGGCGTCGTCTGGGCTGCTTCACCCACAGTCATCACATCTGGCAGCAGACATTGCTGGTAGAGCTCCTTGAGATATCGATGCACATTTGGGCCGTGGTTGAAGCGGCAGAAAGCAGGTTGATAGTGCGAGGATGGGTCGGTCACGGGCGCGTCGGGAAGATCGAGGCTTGCATCTTGGCTATTCTGGGGCTTGGAGATAAAGTTTATGGCGTCAAGCCGCCAACCATCGACACCTCGTCGCTGCCACCGGGTGACAATATCGAGAATCTCTTGTCGGACCTCTGGGCAGTCCCAATTGAGGTCCGGCTGCTGGGGCGAGAAGAGGTGAAGGTAGAATTGCTGCCTAGTCTCATCCCATGTCCACGCCGAGCCACCCCAGATGGAAGCCCAGTTGTTTGGCTCGCTCTTTTGCCCTGCTGCGTTTATCTTTGCGTCTCGCCAGATGTACCAGTCTGCCTTTGCATTGGTCCTGCTCGACCGCGACTCCTCGAAGAAGGCGTGCTTGTCTGACGTGTGGTTTACAACAAGGTCAAACATGATCTTCATGCCTCGGCTGTGTAGCTTTTGATCCCCTGGTGCGTCAGTAGAGTGGATTCGATGGCGAGCACAGCACCAGAAAGACGCAGAACACTTACGTCATCGATGAGCTTTTGCATGTCATTCATGTCGCCGTACCCGGGCTGTATGCGTTCGTAGTCGCTGATGTCGTAGCCCATGTCGACATTAGGGCTCTCGAGATGTGGGCACAGCCAGAGCTGGGACAGGGTCGTCAGTGTTCGCTTCTTCTCCCCTGCGTCGTGCAGATAGAGCTCACCATCGTCGCCCCCAGAGACTGGATATGGTCCAAGTGACGCCGCACACCCTCGAGGTCCCCGATGCCATCTCCATTTGAGTCGGCAAACGAGGCTGGATAGATCTGGTAGACAACTGCCTCCTTCCACCACGCCGTCTTTTGAGCCGGTAGCAGTCCCCGCTCAGTCATCGCGTCGTCGTCGTCGCTGCTAGCAAGAATCGAATTAGCGATAGGCTTACAGTGGCACGTCAACGGGCTGCTCAACTGACCTTTACGAAGCCAAGATCCATTTCCGGGAGAGCAGCCCAAACATCCAAACATGGGCTATCTGTCGTTTGCGCGCACGAGAAAGCGACGGTAGCGGCTTCCTCCGGCTATGCTTCCTGAGTGGAGGGTGGATCGAGGGCACAAGTTGGTCCCTGCACGACGCGGGGGAGGAGGGGAGCAGAAGCAGAATCTGCATATGCACGCACGCCCCTTCGGACCGAGCTCGGTCAGAATCATGCAGCCACCAAAAAAAATAAAAAACAACAGAGGCCTGGCCAGGCGCAACTTCCAAAGGGCCGGAGAGAATACCGTAACCGAATGTGGCTGCATCTGCACAGCTGTTGCGCTCCGTCCTTTTTTCACGCCTCGCTCATCTCATGCTGTTGGTGGTCGAGTGTGTGGCTCAGAGTGGGGAAGCGCCGCTCCAAAGCGCTCGTCCGCAGACCACAAGCACGACGACGACAACGACCACCGCGTAATTGCCGTTGCCCCGGCGTATTCAAGAGACGCCTTAGCAGCGACCGAGGGGCACCCACGCACTCGCACGAAACCCGATCTTTACGCTACACCTCTCTCAGCACTCACTACATCGACCGAAAGCTCTCCGGGGTCCTGCATAGGACGTCGATAGAGCGATAGCAGCGCTTGCTCTCTCGTGCATACAATCCGTCCACGCCATCTCTTACCCCACGGACAGTAGGGAGAGGAGAAGAGAGAGGAAGAGAAAAGGAGAGAGCTAAGCACCTTCAGCTAGCCCACATTCCGACTCGTCTTCTACGCCCAGCTTCGTCCGACCCGTCCCGAATCTCAGAACCCCAGTCCGCCCCCTTGAGCGCGCGCCCTTAGACGTTGCCTGCCCATAGATAAACGACGGTCCAGCTTTCTCCTTTCCCCCCCAACCTCCTTCCTCGACAAACGACGTCTCGAGCAACGTCGTTTCCCAATCATGCTCGTCTCGCCTCCTCTGCAGAGCTCTGCGCATAGCCCGCGCAGTGCCTCTTTTCCTCGTCCGCATTCCCTTTCTCGCAAATCAAAGACCTCGTCAGGCTCAACGTCTTTCGGCGGCCCTGCTGGCGCCAGTAGCGTGGCTACCCAGGATCCTTTCACACGATGGAGGCCATCGTACCACTTCATCGCTCCCAAGAATTGGATGAACGACCCTTGTGGCCCATTGTTTGACCCCAAGACCGGCCTTTATCACCTCCTCTACGAATGTGAGTCGGCTCTTCAGATCCCCGGGGCGCGACTCAGAGCAGCTCACCGTTGTTTCATCTTCTTCCACCAAAGACAACCCAAAGGGGGCTACTTGGGGCAACATGAGCTGGATGCATGCCACCTCGACCGATCGTGAGTGCCAGCTGTCTTTGGCTTCTTTCCCTCCTCCGCCCCTCTTGCTTGAACTGAATTGATTTCGTGTTCCACACAGTGGTCACCTGGAGGCACGTCAGCAACGAGCCTGTCATCAAATCCTCAACGGCCTACGACGGCGAGGGCATCTTCTCTGGAGGCATGATTCTCCATGGACCAAACGGCGAAAAGGACCAAATGACGGCCGTCTACACTGCTGTGAGTACCGATTTGATCTCTGCGCTATCTGAAACGAGTTTTGACACCTTTTCCTCTCTCAAGGTTTCTAATCTGCCAATCCACTGGACGCGAGACTACCATTGGGGCTCCGAGAAACTCGCCTTGGTTGTCTCGTCCGATGGTGGCAAGACGTGGACACACAGTGAACAGTCGCTCATCCTCGACTCTCCCCCAAAAGATCTCGAGGGCAAGATCATTTCTTGGCGCGATCCCTTCATCTCAGCCTGGCCCGAGATGGACAAGCTGCTCGGAGAGACGGGTACAGACAACCTCTATGGCCTCATCTCCGGTGGCCTACGAGATCAGACTCCCACGGCGTTCCTATACAAGCTCTCACCGCAAAAGCTCCATGAGTGGTCCTACATCGGTACCATCGCAGACGTCGGCCTCAACACGGAGCTGGCCAAGGGCTACAGCGGTGACATGGGTCGCAACTGGGAGGTCTGCAATTTCTTCCAAATCGACGGCCACAACTATCTCCTCATGAACGTCGAGGGCTGCGGGGCGAATCTCAAAGACCGGCATGCCATGTGGGCCCGTTGCGACCTGTCCTTGACCGCGACGGTCGATGAGAAGAAGCACCAGCCGAGGATGCTTCCAAAGGCGAGCTGCCTCATTGATCACGGCTGTCTCTACGCTGCGACGACATTTCACAATGTCAAGGACGGCCGTCGCATTCTCTGGGGATGGGTGCCTGAAGATGACCTTGGCGAGGACCGGTACGAAGAACAGGGCTGGTCTGGTTGCATGGCGCTTCCCCGCGAGCTCTTCCACGCCACCTACGACCGAGTCGTCGGCACTTTCAATAACCAGACTGACCCAGCCTCGATGGCCAACTTCCACATTGAAGAGGGTCCGGTGGCAGGGACCAAGAAGCTCACCATGCTCGCTTCGAGACCTGTTGTCGAGTCTCAGCTTCTGCGTGAATCTGCCGTGGAGGTTGATCTGCCCTCGCAAGAACTAGGATCACCGTCCGAGGGCAAATCAACTGTGGCTGCGAAAGGCATACACTCGCGAAACGTCGAGATCGAATGCGAGATGGAGATTCTCGATGAGACGACGACAACCGAGATTGGCTTTATTCTCTGCCACAACTCCAGTGAGTCTGCATTCCTTTCTTGTGTTGCCAGACCAGACACTTACTCTCCTGGATTTCAATAGACATGTCGAGGTACGTCGAGGTCGTCTATGAACCACGTCAGGAGCGCCTCGTTGTGCGCCGCTCCAACTCGTCGTCCGAACGAAGCGTCAATCTCGACTCCGTGTCTGCGCCCTTTACGCTACTCCGACAGCAGCAAGCTGATGCCTCGACTAAGCTCGAGATGCTCAGGTGGCACGTCTTGCTCGACAACTCCGTTCTGGAAGTCTTTATCAATGACCGCTGTGCCCTGACGACGAGGATCTACGCCGACGATGACTCTTGCAAGGATGTCTCATTCCTCGTCCATGGTGCTGGAAAGGTCAAGATCCACGGAGGAAAGGCTTGGGTTGGCCTGAAGACGGCCATGCTTGACGCCCACACCGGCAGCACGGCTACTGGCGAGACGAGCGACATCGTGCCTCCTTCTTCATCTTCCTCGGCTTCCTCCTCTTCGAGGCTTTGAAGCCCAACTAGTTTCCAACAAAGACATCCCCACTGCCAAGGCTCCCACATTGTTTTTTTCCTGTACAATACACATACGATCTTAGACCACATTCTTAGGTGATAAAGCTTCTTCATTTTCCCTCCTCCTCTGCCGACGTAACACACAGTACATTTCCCCATGAGACGAGACGAGTGAGCTACAAAGAGCAAATCCAACGACACAGAAGCCTTGGGGTCTTGTTGAGACGAGGGGAAATTGCCCGCACCTCTTCTCGTAGATAGAATGGTAACATCAATTTAATTCATACTATCACAACACGTACAAGTGACCAGAGAGGAGAAGGACGAGAAGGGAAGGATGAAAGTAGATACACAGAGGAGAGAGATCCTTGTACAGTGAGAAAGAACGCAGAGAGAGGGAAGAAACATTTAGAAGAGAGAATGAGTGAGAGAGAAGCTGAGTAGGAGAAAGATTACGTCCATCCCGTCAATATTGAGCTCGATTGCTTTGTTGGAAGCCTTCCCTGATGGGTGTCGTTTGCTGCTGCTGCTCCTGTCCGCTGCTCTTGGTACCGCCCGCTGATGATGGTGGCTGAGGAGGACCGTTTTTCTCGCTCAGCCCGATTTCGGCGACAATGTGATCAAATGGCCGACTGTCCCACTGCTCGCTCCTCAGCTCCTTGACTGCATTGACGAGGAGGTCGAGATACGGGTGGTCACCTTGCCTGAACCTCTTAAAGAGGACAAGAAAGTCTCGTAGGATGAGCGAGACCGTGTGTCGCAGCGACTGGGGGCCCGACGAGATGCTGGCGTTCAGCAGCGTGGCAGAGGAAGACGTCGAAGAAGTCGTCGAATTGGGCGTCTGGCCGCTGGCGCTGGCAGCGCTGTTGGGGGGCGAGCCATGTGCTCCTCCATTCATCACGGCACTTCTTCCCCCTGCAGATCGATCCGACAAAGCCGGCGATGATTGCTGCTGCTGAGAAGACGAGTGTGCATGGCTCCGCCCTTGAGTTCCGCCTTGCCCTGTCGTGGTGCTCGTGTGTGACACCGTCGAGGGTACGCCTCCACTGCCAGCGTTGATCATCCCATTTGCTGCACTCGCGCTTATGGCTGCTGCGATTGATTCGTCTTTGCACAGCATGATAAGCGTCTGAGCAATGTCGTAGAGCTTGTAGGGGAAGCCCACGCCGTGAGCCTCCATCGCGAGCAGCGAAAGGCTGCTGCAAACATCGAGAGCCGACCGAGCGACGTGGATGGCGTGGTCGATGCGCAGTGGAGGCTCGACGGCGTCGATGGAAAGCAGACCGTGAGAAAGCGTGATGAGCCAGAGGCGATTAAGAAGCCAGTGCCTTGTCACTTCCACGTCTGCGCGCTGGACCTGACTCCTTTGGAGAGGCAGCTTGTCCAGGCTCGTCGACGTCGAGCTGATCGTCGCGCTCTTCGTCGACCGCCCAAAGGATCCGCTGCCGAGATTGCTTTGGGTCGTGCCTGCCTCGCTCGTCGTATCATTTGCGCTTCCCTCCACTGCGCTAGCAAGTCCGGCTGTATCTCCGTCCTTGCCGACGGCAATGTTGCTATCGGCGAAGGCCTCCCACAACGCCAAAGCCCGCTCGCGGTCAAAGTTGCGGCAACCTTCGCCGGCGCATCGTCGATTCCAGCAATCGACAAACTTCTCGTCGACGACATCGAACAGCCTCAATTGCAAATCTGGGAAGTCGCTGAGCTCCTTGATGCCCAACTTGGCGCGCAAGCCGGCTGTGGAAGCCCTCGGATTGCCTGTAAGGGTAATTGGCATGCCACGTTGGATGGCAAAGGCTCGCTCAGTAATGGCCAAGAGCCAGTATGCTCGCAATCGACGCTCGGCCTCGTCCTTGGGCAGATGCTCGTACGACGCCGGCTCGTGCAGCTTACAAAGATGGCCCAGCGTGACCGCCTCTCGAAGCCGGTACCAAGCAGCTGAGTGCTCGCCTAGACCAAAGAGGGCCGCGAAAACAAAGAAGCTAGTGCAAGTCGCTTCTAGCGTTGGTAATTGACCCATGAAGAGGCCCTCTCTCATCTTGAGCGCCTCCTCGAGTAGCTGTATCGCCCGTTGGCGCCTTTTCCTGCTCGACTGTCGCCTCTCCTTGTCCTCGGGTTGGACCTGAATGAGGGTCAAGGCCGACATGGCCATGAGCATGGCGGCAAATTGTGCATCGTTGTGCTGATCATCGCGGTCCATCCTGCTGAAGATCCATGTGCGCGAGAAGACGGGCATCACGCCGCCTAATCGCTCGTAGAAGAGGGCCAGGGTGGGTATCAGAACCGAATCGGACAGCGGGTGAGGTTGGTCCTCGTCGTCCTGATGACCATGCAACGCGTTGGCGCTGTCCATACCCGAAGATGCCACCGAGCCGGGTGTCTCCCCTGAAGGCGCACACGCCCCGAGGAGCTCCAACATCGAAGGCTGGCCCTCACCCGTTGCGATGAGCAGCGGTGGGTTGGGTTCCGAGAAGAAGGCCTGCGAGTCAAAGATGCCCTTGTCGTCAAAGAGACTGTCGGCCATCGAGGTGCTAAAGGGTGGCAAGATGGATCTAAGAATGTCTTCGTTCGGAATCGTGTGCTCGAGGGTGAGATTGGAAGTCGAGGCTGTGCTCGAGGGCGCAGGAGGGGCGTAGTGTTCAAGGTGCTGGTCGGCGAATTGGATGCCTCGGTGGTGCGGCATCGTCGCCGAGGGGGGCATGTAGTCGGATGGAGCTTGTTGATACTGGTGCTGGTGCTGCTGCTGCTGCTGCTGATCCTGGAGAGGCTGATACCGAGACCCATTGACGGGCGCACTCCTTTGGTGTTCGAGTGGCGGTCGGCTCGAGACAGGTCCCCAAGAGGGAGCGGGAGCACCAGCACCAGATGACGAGGACGAGGAAGGCTCACGAGGGTAGCGATTGCCATAGTACGAGGGCCCATCGCCCTCATTTGGGGGAGGAGCAGGATGATATTGCCCGCCCGGAGGTGGTCCTCCAGATCCCCCGGACGACCAGCCTGGATGGCCATGTATACTGGGAAGTTGGGGCCCACCATGGTGATCTACCACACCTTGCCGCCCTCCACTTCCATTCAGAGAATAGGGTCGAGACGAGGATTCTGGCTGCCATGAAGAAGGCATGCTGAGCGGCCTGACATCACCCTGTCCGCTGCTATTCCTCGGAGGCCGGTCGCGATGGTCGAATGACTGACTGGAAGAGGAGCTCAATCCCTGCGGAAAAGGGCTGGGCCGACTGTTGCTGGAGCCATTAGGGAGGTTAGAGGAACCGCCGCCCTCGCGTTCGGCCTGACGAAGCGCCTCGATTCTCCTGCCTGCGCTCTTCTGTGGATGAGGAGGGTGCATGAGCATCAGTGCTCGACCCACATTCCCTTCCGGTTCAAGTAGCTCACCTTGGCAGAAAAAGCCTTGCTGTAGGTGCAGCTCAAGCCAAGCCGCGAGCAGTGGGAGCATGGCTGGTCGTGAGAGCATTTGACGCGGCGGACGTGACAGGCATCGCAGGCGGGCTGCAGCACACGTCGAGCTGTCTTTTCCGCGGGCATGTCGAACCTAAGTTTTGTCCTGCTCTCCCTTTGCTTGCCGTTTAGGTTTCGAATATTGAAACCAGGGTCTGCGCCGGGTGGATGCGCTGCCACAGCTGTGTTCTGACGCCACCTTCACCACGGATTAGGTGGGTGGAAGGCTGATGAGAAGAGTGCGGCGCAGATATACGAAAATGAGTCGAAAATGAGCAGAGGGTGAAAATTGGCAGGAAATTGAGGCGGAGAAGAGGAGCCTAGAGGTGGGAGCCAAGGGCGGCTGCCGCCTGTTGCCAACGATGCCCTGTCTGCGACTTCTTTGCTTTGACGGCTCACTTGGCCTTGCAGCTCGCGCAATTGCTCCCTTGAGATCTACGGGGCTTAGACGACTTGGGCGAGGCGTGATCCCGTGGCGCGGCGTGGCTCGATGACTGTTGATGCGTGCGCCAGGCGGCCTGGGTGAGAAAGTAAATTCCCCCTCTGAGCTGAACAGGCGTACGAGTCCAGCGAATCTGGCAGCAAGGCAAGGAAAGCGAACGAGTACTGCGAAGGAGTAAAGCGACTGATGCCGCCCTGCTCTTCTGACTCTTTTTCCTGCTCCCTTCTCCCTCTCTCTCTCTCTCTCTCTCTCTTATCTCCCGTCCCCAGCCTTTCTCTCCTCGTCTTTTGCTTCCTTCTAGGGTCCGACGCGTGCTGCCTTGGACCTGACGTCGTCCTGGCGCTTGCTTCGTAAGGGCTGCACCCGCGTCGAAGTAGATTAAGGACGGCGTCGGCGCAGAGGTCTCCGGGGCCTACCGCTCAAATAGATCTAGGCTTGTGTGGCTCGCGCGCGACTTATTCAAGCGGACCCGGAAGGATTCCTATCCCAAATAGGGCAACAATAGTGTTGCATAGACTCACCCAAATATACGAATTGCAAGCAAGGAATATTGGCCGAGCGCCCCGCAAACGCCTCATTTTCTTTATTTTTGTGTTTTTTTTTTTTTTTTCTCATCTCCCGTTGTGGCCGGCTGACCCAGCGTGGCTTCTTTCACATAGATTCACTGCTACCACTGCCAACACGTGTTCCCCTCGATCCTGTCACCGCTCTCTTGTCCTGAGTGCTTTGTGACGGACCTTTTCTGGCTCACTGCACTGTACAGCGGTTCAAGATCACAAGAGCCGGGCCATTTTAGCTGGAGCTGAGACACGCAGGGTCTTACAGCTTGCGTGAGGGAGATATCGCCATCCTGAGAATAAAATTCTTCCGGCCTCGCACAGCCTCGACAGAGTGAGCAAAGAGAGAGCTGACTTTATGAGCGGAGTGAAAGTTTCAGATCCTCTCTGTATTCGTCCATCTGCAAGGTCTTTGCTGGAGTCTGCCTTGGGCGCCAGGGTACGGCAGAACGATCGGGGCACTAGTCCACCGCAAGGCTCGTCACGGTATGGATCAATATTGACGCGCCGCCCGATTTGGGTCTCTGTCCGTTTTTGGCTCAACGGAAACACTGTGTAAACAGTCGTCGGGACCTGGAAAGCGATGTTTCTCGTTGGCCGACCGCATATGACTGAACGGAAGGGCCTTGGCCGATTGAGGAGAGCAGAAAGATCGCTGTCACGTGCTTTTGTCCCTCCACCTCGGCCGACTTGACGACGGACAGTATCTGATCGATGATGGCGACAAGAAGAGATTCTTGTTCCTTCCTCCAATTGCTCACGGGCACGGGTCCCCCTTTCGCTTTATCTTTCTCCTCGATCTTGTTGTTGAAATAACAAAAGGATGCCACCCAAAGGTGAGGTTTTTCCCGCGAACGCTGTCCGTTGCCATTTGCTGATGCTCGATCATTGAAATGGTCCACAGGAGGAAACGCAAAAGCCGAATCCGGGCGCGCGAAAAAGGCGGCCAACGCCGACAAGAAGGCCGCCGAAGCTGCCGCAAAGGCCGAGGCCGAGGAGGCGTCCAAGTGGGACAAGGGGGCAAAGGGAAAGGGAGCAGCCGACGCCAAGGCTGAAAAGGCGGCGGAGGCCGCCAAGAAGAAGGCGGAAAAGGCCGCGCTGCTTGCAGAGGAGGAGGCCAACCTGCCGGACAAGCCGGTGAAGAAGGCGCCCACGGGTAAAAAGGCCAACGCGGAGCGAAAGGCTGAGAGCAAGGCGCCGGCGGGTCCAACTGGGATCGACGATGCGCTCCAGAGCCTGTCTGCGAGCAACATTGACGACGCGCTCGATGCGCTGTCGATTGCGACGGAGAAGACCGACAAGGCGTCGCAGGGGACCAAGGCCGCGCAGCTCGAGCGACACCCTGAGCGAAGGTTCAAGGCTGCCTTTGAGGCCTTCAAGGAACGCGAAATGGATAGAATCAAGCAGGAGAGGCCGGGCATGCGCAGCCAGCAGTACCACGACGCCCTCTACAAGGAGTTCCAAAAGCACCCCGACAACCCCTTCAACCAGCTCACCGTCGCGTACGACGCTACAAAGGAGGAGAAGCTCGCAGCACTCAAGGGCAAGAAGGATGCCGTCGAGAAGCGGCTGGCCGGCTAGACGTGCAGGCAGGCAAGCAGGCAGGGCCAACACTGTACATCAGGATTAAGAGTGAATCAATAGAGGTGGTGCAGGTGCGGTAATTTATGGCTAGGTTGACGACACTCTATGGTTAGGTATGATGGTGTAGTTCCGATGGGTCTAGTACTGATGGATAAGGACCTTGCCTGGCCCTGCGAGACCGGGACGAATACCCTTGGAGCGGAACAAGAGGCCCTGCGTGCCGTGTAGCTTTGGTGAGCCCTTCAGGGTATAGGGAATGGAGAAAATACAAAGGAGAACTCACCATAAGGCTGTGCGCTTTTGGCCTCTTGTAGTCGAGCTTCTCGCTGATGTCTTCCAAGCTCCTGTGAACCTCTTCTGCATCGCGGTCGGCATCGACGTCGACGGCTCTTAGACTGAAATCGACGTCTTCGTCTGTCAGTCTTCTCTGGCCTCTCAGGTCGCCATCGGGGGTGCGGTTCGCAATGACGGCGGCAGTCTCTAAGCCATGCCTCTTCCGATCGGCCTGGACCAGCGCCTTGAGTTCCTTCTGCTCCATCTTGCGTTCCTCGTTGCCTTTCTTGAGCTTCTCTGCCGCCTGTCCCTTTCGCTCTCGCAGCGATGACATGTGTCTGTCCCGTTCCTCGCCGGGCTTCTTTGTCAGGGGAGAATCGTCTGCATTCGAGCTCCACTGTTTATCATCGCTCTTGGGGAAGTCACCATTGGCCTTCTTGCCGGTGTCGTCCTCCTTCTTCCCCTGGGCACTCTTCTCCCCCACGAGAAAGTCTCCACGGGACTGGCCCTCGTCCTCAGGCATTTCGTCTGGCGACTGCACCTGTTCCTGTTGCAGCTTCGCTTGATCCTCCTCGTGCAACTTTGCTGCTTGCTCTCTTTCGTCTGGCACTTGCCCGCCGTCGCTCTCCGTCTGCCCGGCCTTTGGGCCCGGAAGCTGTTCCTGCTCACGGATCCGTTGTCGCACGAGGCCCATCTGCGCATACGTCGCCCTACTAAAGATGGCAATCGTCGCCGTCGGTCCGACAGTGGAACGAAAGACACGGGGAAGTAAAAAGGGCATGTCGGAAAAGTCGAGATGCTGCAAAGAAGAGGATCCGAATCGTGAGCAAGATATACGAGCGGCTGACCTGAATCGTCGCTCTCTTTGGCACGAGTTCATGCACTCACGTTACTGCCACACAGCGTCATGAGCCATCCGCGCTTGCCGTCGTTTGCCTCTCTGGAGACGTGGAGGATCCGCTTGAGCTTGTTGAAATGCTCCTGCCAAACAGTAAAAGATTCGCTGTTGATCACATAGGCCGGCTCCTTCATCGGCCGGTCGTCGTTGATCTCGACGGGCTCCATCCAGGGGTCGAGAATGATGGTGAAGGGAAACATGGAGCGCTTTGACTCCTCCTGGCCCTCCGAGGTTCGAATGGGCCCCTTGCGCTGCATCTCAATCACTGTCGCGCCTCCGAACGAGTGCCCAACGAGGCAGGGAAAGTCGGTGTCCAGCCTTCCTTTCCACGAGGCCAGCCGCTTCGGCTCCTCTTCGAGGCTGTATCGGACATCCTCTTTCCTCTGTGCTGCCCTCCGATGCCGCTTGCCCAGCTTGCTTCCTAGACCTCTGGTGCTGCTCTTGGCCACCTCTTCTCCCTCTCCCTTTGCAATTCTCGTCAAGACGTAGAGGCATTCTTCGAGCTCGGCTGCCCTCATGGCCATCTGTGCCTTGCGGAGCGCAATCTCCTTCTCGTTTGGCTCCTCTGCAAATGAGCGTAGGCCGATTCGCTCGAATTGAAAGTAGGGCACCGTTGCCTTCGGCTGCTTCTGCTTTCGCCTCCTCTCGGCGCTATTCTCTTCTATGTCTGCTTCGTCCTTCCAAGAAGGCGGTCGGACCATCGAAGCGATCCCAGATCCATCTCGATGCTCTACCGCTGCCACAATGACGCCCTGGGAGGCGAGCTCACCGCAATATTGGCTGTTGAGAGTGGTGTTGGATGTGTTGGCGAGAAGACTAGACAAGACCAGAGAAAATGAGTGGCTTACCTGTACGTGAGCCGGTTGCCCGCCAGACCATGACTGAATATGACGAGGGGAAACTTGGGAGGCACCGCACCAAGATTGCCCGCCTCTACGCGGTCGGCAGGCGGCGGCGCCCGTGCCTGGGGGTGCTTTGGGTCCGCGAGAGGCGCTGCAACGAGGGCAGGCATTCGTGCAGAGAGGAGCAGAAGAAGCGCAGGCGATGCCGGGATGGAGAACATGCCGTACTGGCCCAGATAGTTGAATAAGGCAGCCAGGCCTTTACGCTTGGGCCGGCCGATCCACGTAACGTGGCTGTGGTACTTTTCGTCCTTGTCACTGATGTCAGAAGGGTAGTACACAGTGAAGAGGACAGTGGCGAGATGGAGCGTGCTGGTCTTGGCGCCACTCGTGAACGGGCTCCAGCTCTTGTCCTCCTCTGTATCCCCATCCTCGTCCTTGTCGCCCTTGCCCTTGTTCTTGTTCGCATCAGCATCGTGGTCCTCGGCCCCTTCGGTCATCCTCGCCTTTGCCCCATCTTTTGCTGCAGAATGTCTCGCGTTGGCTGACTTTGACTCCTGCTTGCGTCTTCTCCTTGGCTTGGGCGGCGCATTGATGTGCTCGTTGGGCACCACCTCCGTCCCGAAGCCTTGTTTTGAAAAGAGAAAGACGTCAATATCCCACAAACACCGACTCGTGCATTGCGAAACTATTACCCACTTCTTGGTTCCCGCACAGGGATCTCAAGGTCAATGGCGCCGACCTTGAACGGTCCCGAGTACTGCGGGAGTCCCATGGCTGGGCCTAAGGCGACGACTCGTTTGAAACGGTGGCTTCCGCCAACGGTGCGAAGGGGGGCGCTCTTTCGGCCGTCGATCTCAAATAAAAGTGGAGCTGAGGGAAGTGCATCGCACACGTGACGGTAATCAAGCGCCTTTTCACCTATGAGCATTCGCAGCGGCGTCAAGACGCCGGCCGCAGGAGATTCAAGCCAGGGGCAAGCTGATGAGGACACACTCGAGCTTATGCAAGAGCATGTGAGAAGCTCAGCCAGACAATAAATGGGCCGCTAGGGCGTGTTTGAGCCCCGCCGCCCGCCCGTCGCGGACAAACTGACGTTGAGGTGTGCCTGATGAGACGAAGCTCCGCCATCCAGGGCCCTTGCAAGAGGCTGCCGGAGCCAGTTGCGGTCTGCGGCAGCCTTGGGTGCCTTCACCAAGGCGTCTCGATCTGCATCGTATCTCCATACATCTGTGCCTATGTTCTTGAACAGAGTGGTATTGCAGGTCGAGACAAGGTGCTACGGACGATCATCGTCATCGAGACCTTCGATCTAAAGAAAGTCGCGCCACGCGCGCTGTTTATTGGCAGGCGAAAATTTTCAAAAAAAGGAAAGCTCGCTCGCCCTCGCCTGGCCCGCCCCGGCGTCTGTCTGAGCTTTTTTGTCTCGGTCATCACCACCATCTCTTAATACAACGAGAGAACCCTCGATTCTCTCGACACCAACCCGACCTCGACCACCGACTGGAAACGGACCAAGGACAAGCGTTTCCTTTGGTCTTTCTTTCCGTCGTCCTTTCGTCTGGTCCTTTTTCGTTCCCTCTTCGTTCTTCGGTCCCCCCTTTCTTTCTTTCCCCTCGTTTCATCTTTCTTTGTTGGTCTCTTTCTCCACTTTTCTTCCTTCTAGACCGACAGTGATTGACGAACAGAGGGGATTGAAACGAAACTGAAGAGGAAGAGAAGACCGACGTAACATCGCTTTCTCGGTCGATATATACGCATACACTTGCCTCTACTCTTTTTCGACAGAGGCAGGCTCCAAAATTTGAACCGGGCATCTTGCTGGACCGAGCTCGCCCGTACGACGACGATAAACGATTACGAGCCTCTGTTTCGTACTCGCATTCTCTGTCACTCAGCAGACGCATCGTCCGGCCGCCCGTCCGAGCAGGTACGAAATTAAAAGCGCAGGCACGTCTCTCCAAGTGAGGTCAAGCCCTGTCCCTTGCTCCTTCCATCCTTCAAAATCGACGAAGACCAATCTCTTCTTTCCTCTCTCTCTGAGACGCTAAAAGGCTGCGTCCCAGCAACGACGCAGAGCACCAGATTGTGTCATCCATGGCTAGCGACGGTTCGAACAACTCCGCGACGGCTTCTCCCGCTGCCGCGTCGACCAACGCTTCCTCTTCCAACAACGCCACATCATCTCCAAGTAATGGCGCAAAGCCCGGCAATGGCGCGACACCCAACGGCGCTGCTGCTGGAGACGTCAGAGGACAGTCGGCTGTGAGCGTGGCAAAGGGACCAGTGAGCGCAGCAAAAGGTGGTGAGTCGAGAGGAATTCATGATAGGGTGGCAAGTAACTGAGGCTGACGGCAATTCGTAATCTACCTCCCAGCCCACTCGATCAATTTCGGCTCCGTTCACGATCAGAATGCAATGCTCTCGTCCTCACCTGCCGCACAGCCCAGCTCCGGGCATCAGCCCGCCAAATTTGGGAGCCTGACTGCCGCTTCGGGCGAGGGAGGCAAAAAGGTCGTGGGATTTCCTGGAAAAGGTGGTGATGCCTCCGAAGGTGGTGGCAGTCACAGCTTGAAGCGGTCCATGGATTTCAACAAGCTTTTTCAGGGTGGCGGAAGCAATTCTCCATCCGCGACACCTTCCTCAACCTCGGCCACGGCCGCCCCTGCCGCCGCCACTGCAACGACGGCAAACGGAAGCAATGCGGCAAATACCTCCGTCGACGCTTCGTCAGCGGGCAGAAATCCTCCGTCGAATCTGAGACCGCCAAGTGGTCAAAATCGGCCCTTTGAGCAGGCGCAAAGATCTCCCTCTTCCTCCCATCATCAGAACGCGAGTGCGAGAAATCCCTCCAACCCTGCCAGTGGGCCCACCGCTTCCAGTCCATACCACCACGGAGGGGCTCAACAGCCTCGATCACCCCCGCTTGCTCAGTCAGGCACGATGCAACCATATCCGTCGATGGGCGGTGCCCCTCCGCAATGGCAGCAACATCAGCATCCACAGCCTATGGTGAGCATGATGCGAGATGCAGATTTGACAGTCCTCGAGCTCACTCGTCTCTGTTCTTTCATCAGCCATACTTTCAGCCTGGCTACCCCGGCTATGGCTACCCTCCAGGGACCCATCACCCGCAGCAGATGCACCAGCAGTGGCACGCTCAAGCCGGCTACGACATGACTGGGCAGATGCAACCGAGGTCGCCACGGCACATGGCCGCTTCGCCGATGGGAGCACCAAACCAAAACGGCATGGGCCACAACACGCCATCAATGTCATCTGCCACGCCTGGGCTCTCTTCGCCAGCATCGCAACGGTCTCAGCCTGCGATGCCTCACACGCCTTCGTCGCAGGCCGGCTCCGTGCCCTCGCCGCAGAACGCGGCGGCTTATAGCATGGGCATGGGTCGGCCTTCTGGCTTTGCCGGCCAGGGCAGCCACTTTGCCACCCACTCGCCTTCGCACTCTTTCAGCAGTGCGAGCGGTGGCCCGCAGATGAGCCCTACGGCACGCAACTTTGAGTTCGGCAAGCGGACCAGCAGTGCCATTCGCATCGTCAACCCAGAGACCAAGGCCACCGTTGATCCTCGCGCTGCGGGCGAGCATTCGGCCACCCCACCGCCTCCTGCGGCGTCCTCTGGTCAGTCTACAGCCGGCACCCCAACGGCGGCGTCGTCGACTGGTGCGCAGGGTACACCCACCCCTGCTCATCCCAGCCCGGCAGCATCACCGGCACCAGTTGCCAAGCAGGCGGCTGCATCGCCTGCCAAGCGGCCGGACTCTTCCGCCAAGCTAGAGACCCCAGACTCATTTATGGCCCGCGTCAAGGCGGCGGCTGCCGAAAACAAGCGCAAGAAGGAGGCGGCCGAGGAGGAAGAGAGAGCGGCAGCCACCAAGAAGGTTGAGGATGCGAAGAAGGCAGCCGAACAGGAGGAAGAGGCGCGCAAGCAGAAGGCGCAAGCGGAGGAGGAAGCGGCTAAGAAGAAACAGGAGGAAGAGGAAAAGGCCCAGAGGGAGAAGGAAGAGGACGAGCGCAAGGCAAAAGAGGCTGAGGAGAAGGCAGCAAAGGAGAAGGCAGAGAGCGAGGCCCAGGCAAAGGCGAAGGCGGAAGCCGAAGAGGCAGAGGCCGCGCGACGGAAACAGGAGGAGGCCGACGCTGAGGCTCGCAAGGCAAACGAGGAGGCCGTGAAGAAAGAGAAGGCTGATGCCGCTGCCTCTGCTGCTTCTTCTGCCGCCTCGGCAGCCGAGCCAAGCAGCGACAAGGACAAGAAGCGACCGCCCGCTCCTATTGATACTAGCAAGGCTTCGTCCTCATCGGATGAAGATGCCGGAGCCAAGGCTGTCCCATCTGTGTCAACCCCCAGCACCTTCCGGAACTCGGCAGCGGACGTCGAGCGCATGGCCCGTGAGGCTTCGTCAGTTCCCTCGACCCCTCTTGACGCTGGTTCGGCTCGATTGCCTCCTGTGCCCAGTACCCCACGGACTCCGGGCACACCGGGCTTTGCCAACTTGCCTGCTAAGCCCATGAGCTCTCTTACTCCCAGCGCCAGTGCTCCTTCTGGCGTTACCTCTGCAGCCGCCGCTGCTGCTGGTGCCAACAACGGCATCAAACTCGACAGCGAGGCCCTCGAGCGGAGAAAGCGCTCCACTCCCTCGCAGCTCGACGTGACCGCCGCAAACACTCGGCCCACGAGCGACGCTCCCCTCTCGGCACAATCGACTGCTTTGGGGTCTGCGCGCTTCATCGACGATCTCAAGCAAGTGCAATATCCCGACAAGATCCAGTCGCCCAAGCCGGAGCTCAACGAGTCAGCAGAGCCTGGCAAGTTCCGATACGACCGAGACTTCCTCTTGCAGTTCATGGGCGTCTACAAGGACAAGCCGATGGACCTGCCCTCGCTTTCTTCCATTGGTATGGACAGCAGCCAGGCCGCTGGTGCACGGGGGATGCCCGGCCGGAGAGCTTCTGGCATGGGCCCTCCGTCTGCGCCGGGACGACCTGGTGCTGGCGGCATCGGCCTGGGCCTTGGTGCTGGAGGTGCCTTTGGCGGTGCCAAGGGCATGGGTGCCGGAGGTATGGGCTCATTCAGCCACCCGCCCAAGACGAGCGAAGAGCGCTTTGCGGCCTCCAATGCTCGGGGCGGCGGTGCCTTCGGCAGCAGTGGTCCTATGGGCTCCTTCAATGCTGGAGCAAGGTCTCAGCCGCTGTCGCGGACGGGAAGTGGAAGCAACGCGCTTCCCTCGCGGGACATTATGGGCTCGAGTATGCCGGCCGGTGGGCGGACAAAGAGTAACCGGGGCAGGCAACGTGAGGCCAACTCACGAGGGCCGCACGTCAACCCTCCTGAAAAGGGCGGTCCAACAATCCCCATGGACCAGGTGGCGCCGCTGGCGATGAGCGAGAACCGATGGCAGGGCTCGCGTGGCCAGAATCTCAAGTCTGACTCGCCTGAGATGGTCAACCGGAAGGTCAAGTCGCTCCTCAACAAGCTCACCGTCGAGAAGTTCGACAGCATTTCGGACCAGATCATCGAGTGGGCCAACAAGTCGGTCAACGAGAGCGACGGCCAGACACTTCGACAAGTCATTGCCCTCATCTTCGAAAAGGCTACCGATGAGGCCCAGTGGTCGGAGATGTATGCCCGCCTCTGTCGCAAAATCATGGAGAAGCTCGACCCCAACATTCAGGATGAGAATATCAAGACAAGCGACGACAAGCCCGTCACGGGTGGTCAGCTTTTCCGCAAGTATCTCATCAACAGATGTCAGGAAGATTACGAGCGGGGCTGGGCGCAGAAGGATGCAGCCGCTGCAGCAGCCAAGTCCAAGGAGGCAGAGGACCGCGCCAAGCTGGAGCTCAACGAGAAACAGACTGCCGACGCCAAGGAAGCCGAGGCTCGTGGAGAGAAGCCTGCCGACAAGGAGGCAGAGCTCATGTCCGACGAGTACTACGAGGCGCAGAAGGCCAAGCGGAGAGGACTGGGTCTTGTCCGATTCATTGGCGAGCTTTTCAAGCTGCTCATGATTACGGAGAAGATCATGCACATTTGCATTCAGCGGCTGCTGGCCAATGCGCAGGACCCCGAGGAGGAAGAAATCGAGAGCTTGTGCAAGTTGCTCTCGACGATTGGCAAGCAGCTCGACACGGGCAAGAACCAGAGTTACGTCGACATCTACTTCCAGCGAATGAAGGAGATGAACATCGAGGCCATGAACTCGAGAATGCGTTTCATGCTTCAAGATGTTATCGAGCTTCGGCAGCAGAAGTGGAAGCCAAGACACGACAACGCTGCGCCCAAGACGATCGCCCAAATCCACGAGGACGCCGCCAAGGCAAAGGCCGAGGCCGAAGCCGAGCAATACGCGAGGCAGTCTGGCCGCGGTATGGGCGGGCCTGTCTCTCGGGGCGGATCGCGTCGTGGCCAGCAGCGCGGCGACTACGGTGGCGCTGTCGGTGTCGATGGATGGAGCACCGTCGGAGGCAACCAACCGCCACCGCCACCACGTCAGGCCAAGGCCGGAGATCTGTCCGGCTTTGGAAAAGGTATTGACCGCTCTTCGACTGCCGGCAAGCCATTTGCCGTGGGTCCCCAGAGCGTCTTTGCCAAGAAGAACCAGCGAGGCTCTGAGGACGGGAGCAACCCGCCGTCGAGGACGAACTCGACCACGAACATGTTCTCGCTTCTCAACCAGCAGAGCGGAAATGAGGGTGGTGATGGCGCCGCTGGTCAGGCAGCTGACGACGGTGCAAGTGCCCGACCGAAGCTCAACTTGGCGCCGCGGACAAAGCCTCTGCCCGAGTCATCTGCAGCAGACGACAAGAAGGCAGAAGGGGAGGAGGATGCGAAGCTCGAATCAGGTGCAGAGGCTGATGAAGCCGACATCTCCGATGAAGAGGCCAAGCGTAAGATCACAAACGACGTCAAGGAGTTCCTCGAGATCAAGGACATCTCCGAGGGTCGCATGGCCCTCGAGTCGTTGCCTTCGAAGCGGAGACACGAATTCCTGTCGAGCATCGCAGATGTCGCATTGAACAAACACGAGGACGAGGTGCGGCTGGTCGGCGAGCTGCTTGCGTCGAGCCGCAAAGAGGGTCTGTTGGTCGACGAGATGGTCGAGCAAGGGTTCAAGGATCAAGTCGAATTCCTCGACGACGTCTCGATTGACGTGCCAAATGCGTACAGCTACATGGCTATTCTCCTCGTTCAATCAGGCTTGCCGAGAGAAAAGATCGACACATTGGCCAAGACGATCCAAGGCGAGGGCCTCAAGCCGCCCAGCGAAAGGCTGATGCAAAAGGTCGACGAAGAGTTGGCCCAGTGATTCTCGTCACACACACAAAAATGGGTGAAAGACCGCAGCTCGCCCGCTTCCCCTCTTTCTTGACAATACCTCTGTCTCTCTAGGCCGCCATTTCTCGCCTCTCTTTTTCGCGCACTGTTACCCCCTTCTTACATGGTTCAGGGTATGATTTTTGTTTCTTTTCTTTCATGGTTTCTCTTCATGTTTCTGTCTTTTCTCTTTCTCCATAGTTCTTTGCGAGAAATGACTCTAAGAATTCTTGTCTCACTTCGGCTCTGGCTGATCTTTATATGCTTTCGTGTGACGTTCAAGGACTTGCTATGGTACAGTGCAGCGTGTTTTCTTGTTACAACAGTGACGTTTCCTCAGGAAAGCGGAAAAAGGGGCTCAAAAGACTGCAGGCGTGATGCAAACGTCAGCAGGGGTCTCTTCACTTGAGGGCTCCAGTCAACTGACCTGGGCATTACTATTGCCGCTCTTTTCATTCTCTGGATTCGTTCCAGGAATCAAGTCTTCCTGCTCTTTTCCTTGCTGCGCCTCTTTTTGCCCTTCACCTTCGTCGTCCGTCGCGCCGAGCTCCTCTTCTTCGTTCTCATCGCCCGAAGTGACACTGTCATTCAGCAACGAGTCCTCTCCAAGCACCATCTCCCGCCTTCTTTTCGCAATCCTGACGCCCTCGTCGTAATCTTGTAGTTCCGTTTCCGCTTCGGCTTCTTCGGTTTGCTCTTCTAGACTCTCCTCATTGTTATCGTCCTGGGGCGCAGCAGCAGCTCTGCTCGATTCGGAGTCTTCCTGAAGAGGAGATGCAAAGTCGACGCGAGTCAAGGTTCGGCGCTGCTGAGACAGCGAATTGGAATACGAAGCGGTCGTCGTAGCTATCGTCGTGCCTTCCACCTCTGATGGCGCTCCCTGTACATCCTGCAGATTCGCCCCTGCTTGCTCCTCTCCCTCTCCGCGTTCGACTCGGCCTTGAGAGCCTTCTGGTGGCATCTGTGACCCTTGGGAGCCTCGTGGCACGACCTCGCCTCTTTGAATCCTTCCTTCGAGATCCTCCATCAATTGGAGGTCGGCATCGTTGTCTTCAAAGTCGTGGTCAAATGTGTCCTCCGTTTCGACTCTCTTTGGGAGCAAGGGTGGCGGTGCACCAGCGCCAGGCATCACTGACCCCTGCGAAGAGCTTGCATCTTCTCGGAATAGCGGCTTTCCTCCCTTCTTCGTTGCGGTAAGTGCATCTGCCTCATTCCGGCTGGACGACGCTGCTGTTGCTGCACTCTCTTCTCCTGCCGCCATCATAGTGCTGCGCACGGGGCCATGGTGCCTTCCCACAGCTGCCGGACCCTCTAAGATATTGCTCTGCTCTTCTTCTTCTCGAGTCACCTCGTGCCTTTCTTGCCTCTGCTTTTGCGCTTCTCTCTCCCGGCGTCGCTGGTTGTCTAGAGCTTCTTGCCTTCGCTCTTGATGCTGTGCAATCTCCTCGTTGGACGCCTCATCTGGCTCGCTGGTCGCAATGGTGAATTGTGCGACGGCGACAGGCTGATGCATCCCTTGATCCTGCACTCTGATCTCGATGATGATCGGCTGGCCTCCGCGGTGAAAGGAGAGATACATGGAGTACTTGAGCGTGTCAGCCAACATGATGGCATTCTTGAAGTCCTTGAGACCGAACTGGACCTTGCTCTGTCGATCGCCAATGTCGTACAGATCGAATGCGGTGGGCTCAACCATTACATTCGTCTCCAAGCATCGACCTGAAGAGCGAACAAGTCGGTATACAACCTCAGTTTCTGGGTATGGAGCTTCGAGACTCACTCTTGTCAATGTGGTCTTCGATACGGCTCTTGATCATGCAGTAGTCACTCGCACACTCCATCGATACTTCGCCCTGCGTCACTGCCGACGAGAAGGAGCTCGTGGGGAAATGATCGAGGAGCTCCTGCAACGACTTTGCCTTGATGCAGATTCGATTGACGTCGGACTTTGCATCGCGAGGGAACAAGGCCGGCTTTGACTCGTAGGTGAGTCTGAAACTTCGCATGAAGTCTGCTCACAGAAAGTCTGGGGCTCAGCACAGATGTAACCTTGTGCGAGGTGCACATTCGTCTTTCACTCACTCTTTGATGAATAAAAACGGATAACGAAGCGGCTTTCGGCTTCCATATTGTCGTCGCTCTCGCCAACAAGCTCGAGCTCGCACGAGTGGATCTGTTTTGTGTTTTGATGTCTCAAGACAGACAGGAGTGCCTTATGGACCGAGAGCTTCAGTATCAGGCGCGCATTCGTACAGAATCGAGGACAGCAACGCACCTTTGCATTCAGGGTGATATCGAAGCGTTGACCGGGGATGTTTATGCTGTCAAAGAACTCCTCGTAGCAAGTGAAAGCGACGAAGGCCGTCTGGCCCTTGTTAAGGGCCGAGAGACGAAGCTGAGCCAAGGAAAAAACTGGCATCAGCACGAACCGCTGCTTTGTCATGCGAGCTAGGCCGACCTTCTCACCTTGTGCGATCCATCGTCGATCCTCGTACCTTGGACAGCAATGTACTCGCTCGTCCGCCCCAGGCTCGCAATGGCGTGCGTCAGCGCTGCACAGAGCGAGGGCGGTGAGATCGGGATCAGAGCATTGATCACTGTGAAAGGGGCAAGGCAAAGAAAGAGACTCACTCTTGAAGTGCTCTCGGTCTATCGAGGCATTCATCGGAACACTTGACAGCGGTCGCCTCCCCCCACGGTGCGAGATCGAGGCCAGCCGGTCGGAGTCGTGGTGAAAGTTGGTCGAGTCTGACAAAATCCGAAGACCAACACATCTATTCGTACGCGGTAAAGGCACTTTGCGCGCACGCGTGCGCGCGCGTCAGTGATTCATTCTCAGGCACGCTGCACAGGACTTCTTCTGCGCCGAAGGCGCTCGCTCGTCCTGTGGATTACGGTCTGTGCTGTGGTATTGATACCTCCTGTTACCGCTTCATCTAGTCACATTGCTCCTTCCTCTGTCAAACCTTCTTCAATCAAGGAAGAAGAAATAGCCAATACAATTAGAAGAGAGTTTGCGTCACTCCTTTGCTTTTACTTTTTTTCTATCACTCCAGCTCGAAAATGGCCTCCTCAACCTCCTCGCCCTCCTCGCCTGTCGTGGGCAGCAGTGCCAGGGGACTCGGCGCCAAATTAGCAGAGGATGACGAGGGCGGTGCCGATGAAGAGCCGTTGGCGCGGACGAGGCGCTGGATACCTGGGTGGGAACGAATCGAGGGTGATACACCGGAGAGTTTGCCACCGATGCTTTGCTGACCAGTCGATGTGACAGCCTGCTCTTGTTGGCCTGGGATGGCGATGCCGCCCGGAGAGTTGGACTGGGAGTCCAGCAGGGGCGAGGCATTGGCAGAGGAGACCGTACCGTGTCGGTTCGCCAAGGCGGACGACAGGGGACTCGGTCTGTGCGGGAACAAGCTCGAGGGAGCCGTTGGCGCCAAGTCGTCGAGATGAGAGTTCGACGGTCTGCTCGACATTGACGGCCTCGCAGCATTTTTAAATTGATTGCTGTTGGTGGCATTGACGTGAGGTGAGGCATTTTGACTGTGTCTCGGAAGCAGCGAAGAGGACGTCGACGACGCCGCGGGAGGCCAAACGGCATTTTGCGAAAGCTGAGCTTGCTGCTGTGTTTGGCCAGCGGCGACGATGCCGCTCCCGCCAGCACGTAGATGCAGCCTCGAGAGACCAGCAGCTAAGCCCTGAGGAAGACTCTGCCCTGGAGCATGGGAGAGGGCGGCCTGGGCATCTGGACTATAGGCGTTGCCTGGTGGCGCCCTCATAGAGCCAGCATCTTCGCGATCTCTGCCAATGACGCCAGCCTGGTGATTGAGCCGGCTATCAAGGCGTTCATCACTCCGCTGAAGTCTGGATGCCAGGAAGCCAGCCGAGCTGTTGCTCATGCCAAGACCGTTTCCATGGTCAAAGACGTCCGTCCCGCTGCGACTGCCATCGAGGTGTGAAGACCCGAGCGCATTTAGAGCTGCCGCTGCTGCTGCCGCGTCCTTTGTCGCAAAGGCGCCTGGCTGAGCACCCGATCTGTTCGCTGCCGCTTCCTGGCGATAGGCGAGATCCCAGAGTGAGGCAGCGCTGCCCGCTGGCATGCTCTGCGCAGCTGCACCCATGTTCGCCAGCCTCTGATGGCTGCCATCCGAGGTGATGACACTTCTCCGTTTGCGCTCCAGCTCGGCTGGGGTGAGGAGCTCCGACAAGCTCGAAGGCAAAAAGTCTTCCTCATTGAAGCCCTCTGCTCGGTTCGCCCGGACATATGCCTCATCGTCGTCGTCGTCCTCGCCACCATCCACGCCATTACCTTGCCGTCTACGGCTGGACCTCGCCCCCCAAGCCCTTCGACTTGCAGCCTCGAGACCGGAGTCGTCGAGACGCCCCATCGAGCGAGGTCCGGCTCCATTCCTCATCGCCCTCGCATGCGGCCCATCGTCGTCGAGGTGACCAGGAACTGTGGCACTCTCTGAGTAAAAGAGCGAGTGGGAGCCTGGATGGCTGAATGGGCTCGTTCCAAAGGCACTGCCTGGCACAGGGCTGCCCAGAGCTATGCCACTGCGCCCGGATGCCTCATAGCGCTCTGCTGCCGTGTCGTGTGACCGACCCAAGGAGCTGCCAAGAGCGGCTCCTGCTCCTGGCCCCCGTCCGTCGTGGTCGAGCTGGTTGGATGACAGGCGGTTCTGCCAGTTGGATCGTGCGTTGCCGTTGGTATGGCTCACTGAAGAACCGCCTGTCCCTGAGAATTGTTGGAAGTCGTCGGGCAGCCCAAAGGGAAAGTCGACATCCCTGGCCCCTACGCCTACGCCGAAGGGGTAGCCTCCCCCCCTGCTGCCGCCAGCGTCGACGCCCATGTATGCTGCCTGTCCCTGCATCTGAGGAACGACGAGATCACCGCGCGAGTCTCGATCTCTCCGGTGGCCAGGCTGCCCGCGCTTGTTGCCGTTGGCATTTCCCAGAGCACCGCCACCCGCTTGCTGGGTCTGTGTCTGGTTCTGTATCTGGTTCTGTATCTGGTTCGGGGCCTGGCCGTTGCCATTGCCGTTACCGCCGTTGCCTTGCCCTTGCTGCTGATGCTGCGCCGCCCTCTTGTTCTTGCGATCCATCTGCGGATGCGCCGGAAAGAAACTTGTGAGCATCACCTTGCAGCAGCAGTGCCTACTGGATACAGGCCACACTCACGCTCATTGGCTGACCCGGAAGGACGTGAGCCAGGGCGCACTTGTGTCCGAAGCGACAGCTGCCCTTGAGGAACCACTGACAGACGGCCTTGCCGTTGCCCTCGCCGGGCGTGATGTGGGCAAAGGGGCACGCATTGCCGGCGGAGCAGCCATTGGCGCGAAAGAATTTGCAGGGCACCTGCGACAGAGCCTCCTTCTTCTTCGTCGAAAGCTTGGCCGAGGCCAAGGCGCTGCCTGCATTTGCCTCTTGCTGCTGTTGCTGCTGCAGCTGCAGCGCTTCTGCGTCGACGTCTAGCTCGGCGGCAAGCTGCTGCTGCTGCTGTTCGTCCTGCAGGTCCGTCGGTCGTGCCTCGCCATCGCTCTGGCATCGTTACATGAAGTGAGGGGTGGGCGCGTCAGAAAGAGGAGACTCAAAACATCCTGGGAGAGCCGAAAGACTCACAGCAGCTGCTTGCAGGTCGCTCATGCCCATCTGCAGCACCCCTCAACGGACGAAATCGTTGCTGGTGGACTGGGAGAGGAGCGGAAATAATCAAGAGTGTTGGCAATTGACCTGAGAATTCGACGACAGAAGGAGCATAGAAAAGGAGGGTGTTTGGGGGTGGTGGGGGAGGCGGACAGGCTGTGTTATCGCCGAAAAGGAAAGGGCTCTGAAGGTAGAGTACGTGGTGCTGGCTAGTGCTCTTTGCTCATCGATGGACGTGTTGACTGACTTTCGGAGAGTCTGCGTAGTTGGTGGTCACAGTAACAACAGCGGCAGCGGCAGTGGCAGCAGCAGCCACAGCAGCAGCAATCAGCAGCCGCTTTAAGATTCACGAATCAGTGTTTCAGCCTGCGAGTCCCGGTCGGAAGAGCCACACGTGGGTGAGAAAAGGGCTGCACGCTAAACCGCCAGAACAAGCCCTAATAAAATGGAACTGCAAACCTAGGCTCACCCGGGACCCCCTTTAGCGTGGGCCACGCCTTCGTCTTCGCTCTCTAGCTGCCAATCAAAATCACAAACCCCGACGTACTATTGTCGACCGGGCCACTACGTCCTGCTCCGTCTTCTCAGCCGCTTCTTCTTCTTCTTCAAGTCTCAGGACAAGCGGCCGGTCGCTGTGCACGGTCCAACGAGGCGGCTCTTGAATAGCGAACGCATATCGCACAGGCAAGACCGGTGCCGCGCTCGAACCCTCGCCCGCTCGCTCCGACGTGCACCTCCCCGCCGCCACTGGACAGGTTGCTGTTGCTGCTACTACTACTACTACTACTATTGCTGCAGCTGCTTCTCTGGATCGGATAGCGATTGCCCGGGGGTTAGACAGAGGGGCGGTGCAGACCTGTGATGTACTTCCTCGATCGGGTCGACTAGTTGTTCAGTGCACCTGCATTGAGCACAGAGCACAGCATTTACTGGCTACGAGCAGAAGCAGGTGAGTAGCGTCACGCAAATCGACATGACGGTCATTCTCACACTGCGGCCCCTATTCCTCTCCTCTGTTTTTCTTTTGTCTTTCCGTTGCATGCGTAGACTCGAAGAGGGAAAGCGATGGCAGAGACGGGCATGCCGACAACGAGGACCTCGAGTCTCTTTCCACCGGGCGTGCCTGCGCCACCGGAAGGGAGTCCCTCGTCATTATCGCTTTCTGCAGCCACCAGTGGACTGGACCGGATCGCAGAAGATCCCACCATGACGCCGTCGTCAAGCGCAGGGCTCGTCCCCACTGCCAACAAGTCCCCTTTTCCCCGGCGACAGCGTCTCATGCCACGATCGCCCACGACGGGGCCTGAATCAGTAGACGAGCTAAGTTCCATCTCCGCCTCGCCTGCCGAGTCCGGCTCTGAAGACGAAGACGATGACCTGGGCTCCGGAGCCGCGGCACCAAGAGGAGTGGGTCGATCTAGGTCCAAGGCAAACAAGTCGAGTGTTGGAACCAAAAACAGCCGAATGAGCATGCTCGACTTCCTCTCGGGCGAGCCTCCCCGAGGCTGGAATGGGGAAGAGCCTCGCTCTGATCTGGAAAACGACAACAACCAGCGCACACCTCGGGCCGCTTCGACTGCCAGCTTTGGCCAAGCCTCGTCGGTGGGGCGCGATCCTCACCTCTCCTCTCCGATGCCACCTCGCCGGAAAGCCGGTCCGCCAGCTCCCATCGACACCAATGTCATTGCTAACTTGACCAATGGCAAGCGCACCTCGATGTTCGTGCCTCGCGCAGCCGTGGCAGAGACGGGTCCGATCTTGCCTTCGTCGACGCGCTCAGCTTCGGCCGGCTCAGGCCTCCACGCTCCTTCAGACAGCTCGACTGTCGTTCCAAGGTCCGCTGATGCTGTGCGACCGACATCAATGCTTTTCTCACGAGATGCTACGCCGCCAGCAGCAACAGCAGCGGCAGCTTCAGCAGCAGCAGTCGCAGCCTCAGACAGCCCCGGCGAAATGACAGCCTTTGAGTTCCTCTACTCCAACCAGGAACCGGAAGAAGACGCAGGAACAAAGGAGCCCAGCAGCGTGGGTGCTGGCTTCTCAAAGGGCAAGGCGAGAGCCAGCAATGATGCATCGAATAAAGGAAAGCGCAGCAGCGTGGGAGATCGGAGCAAGCGAGTCGAGGTTCGCGTCACACCGAGGACGGACAGCATCACGATGTTTGGGTCCACACAGACGAGCTCCAACTATTCTCTCTCTGGCACTGTCGTTCTCAAGATCAACCCGGCGCAGGCACAAGGCCATGGCAAAGAAGAGCCATTATCGGATGACGGCAATCACGGTTTGCAGGAGCAAACTGCTGCAGCAACGCCAGCATCTGCAACGGCCAGGAAGGCGGATCCAAAGTCTGATGCGCTTGCGATGGAGCAAGACATCGTTGAGATGATGACCGGAAGGCACAAGAGCGCATCCAGTAAGCGCCCGGCAAGATCAGGGGCTTCGTCACCCATGCTGCCTCCAATTGTTCGAGACCAGTCCGACTCATGGGACCCAGAAGTGTTGCTGCGTGCACCCGAGGCTTCGCTTCGACGCACGTCTGTCTCAATGGAACCCTCTCGTTCAGGACAAAGCTCCCGGCAGAGTCACCACACCGACCATGAGGGTACAGCAGATGACGCACTCAAGATTACATCGCTAAAGGTCACCTTTTCAGGATTCGCACTCTACCTCGACAGTTCGGGTCGCTTCTCTGCCCTCCGACTGGCAAAAGTTACGCAGGAGCTACTCCCGGAAAGTGCGACGCTGCTTCTCTCTGCCTCCAGGGATGGAGAGAGCTCCGAGGGTGGCGTCGACCCAGCAAAAGACGGCCTTCGCGAAGGCGTCGAATACGAGATCGAGTTCGATCTGTCGGTGCCTGGCTGGCTTCCTGGTACTTTCCACTCTCGTTTCGGCAACACATTCTACTGCCTCGATGCCCAGGCGTGCTACAGCGACCAGCCCGCCGATCAGGAGATCCCAACGGTGACCGTCTCACGGTCCAAGTCGATGCTTGCCCCTCGGGTGCCGGGGTTGTCGTCATCATCGGGCAGCGAAGCCGTCTCGCTGGCCGTTGAAGACGAAAGATCACGTTCGAGCCAGAGAGGGCTGCAGCCGGGCACAGGCTCCGATGGAGCCTCTTCAAGCACTAGGAGGAGGAGTAGCCGATCATCCCCCAGTAAGCGGTCATCCACCACTCCAGCAGCAGCTGGAGACGCGTCTGCGGAGCAGTCGCGGAACAAGGGAAGCTGGCTGAGCAAGCGTGCAAAGCAGCTTCAGATCAGGGCTCGTACGACTGTCACAGCACTTCCCTCTCCGTCCTCCGCAGCGACGCCGACGACAATGAAAGACGCATCGATGCCGCCAGAGGTGCCTGCCCCTGACGGTCGATCGAGCCACACTGATGGGACTGACGGTCGTCGCAGCGCTCGCGCACTGGAGTGGGCTCGTCAGTGGAAACAAAGGCAGGAGCTCGTCCAGCGGGACCAACAAGGCGCAAGTAAGATTTCAAGCAGCGACCCATTGGCCATTGTCATTCGTCGCTGCAGAGATGTGGTCCCCGTCCCCGTTGCGAGAATGGCCGTCATTGGACCCGAAGGCCTGCCTGACGCCGCCATGCAAGACCCTCCCCCGATGCCGGGCGTCTCACGCGTCAACAGCCACAGCTCGCGATCGGTCGATGATCCCCTCCCGGCCGTGCCCAGCGAAGTACCAGCTGCTGCTGTGATTGATGACACGGCGCCGACCACACCAGGGACGTCTGCGGCCGAGGGAAGCGCCGATGCCCAAATAGAGCAAGGGCCCGCCGAGCCATTGAGGCATGTTGTCCCGGACCCTCTGCCTAGCGCTCTGGATGTGTCGACGGATCCCGACAAGCGGGCTGCACAGCTCGCTGCACCCCTTGCTACTTCTCTTGCTCCCCCTGCAGCACCTCAGAGAGGGTCGAGCAATGCCGCCAACGGTACCCCGCACGTATCGTCGCGCAGTGGGGGGATCCGACAGGGCCGCGGTGCAGGAAGGTCGTCTGCGTCGGGAGGCGGTGCGTCAGAAGGCTCTGGCACTGTTCCAATGCGCCACTTTCTCCATCGCCCTGTCCTTCACCCACCAGCAGACTGTCCGGTAGAAAATCCCGACGGCCAAGGTCTGCCATTTTCTCTCACCCTCTCCATCCCATCACACGCACAGATTGATGGCCCCACGAGCGACATGCTGACCTTTGGCGTCCAGATCGAAGTGGGCAAAACGCATGCCTGGAATCAGGTCCGAGAGCAGGGCGGTCTCCGTCTCAGAGACATGCAGCTCGTCTGCGTCCAGACGGAGCGACACACGTCGGCTCCCTCGAGAACCTTTTGCCACTCTTACCCGCTCCCGCCCAATCCAAAGGTGGAGCCCATCGAGCTGCCCATGCTCGGCGACCCTTATCGAGGTCTGCAGGGCCGCTCCTTTACGTCGGCAGACGTGAGGATGCGAGCGGGCTACGACATCAATCTGGTCCGACACCACCTCGAGCTCGTCAAAGAGGGCCAAGCGCCCGACCCAGTCGAGAACAACGTCGAGCGCATTCGGACGTGCGTCGTCGGCCCTCCTCCGTCTCAGGCCGACAAGAAACGAGCTGCAGATGGTGCGAAGGGCTCCGATGGCCAGGCAAACGGCAAGAGTAGCAGAAAGGGCAAGGAGAGGGAGAGAGCAAGCGAGCTGAAGGAAAGGGAACGCGAGCGAGAAATGAAGAGGGACAAGGAGCGAGAAGCAAAGGAGCGGCAAAGGGAGGGGGAGAGAGAACAGAAGGAAAAGGAGAAGAGAGAGAAAAAGGAGAAGCGAAAGACAATGCCGTCCTTGGCCTCGTCGTCTGCTTCTGGCCATGGCCCCCCTCCTTCTTCGTCTGGACCGAATCCTTCGTCTATCCCTACTGTATATGGCACGACCGTCGACCAAGCTGTTGTGCCCTCCCTGCGTCACTCTTCCGCAGCTGCTTCGCCTACCAATCTCGCGGCGCCATCGTCGTCAACCACGTCTGGACGCGTGCCGTCGCCAGCTCCGGAGGATGCACCTCGGCGGTCCGAGTCGGCCATTGCTGGTCCGAGCAGCAGTCTCCCTACTGCAGACGCTTTGGGAGGAGAGGCGCCGGCCAGCCAGGACGGCCATGGCAAGAATAAAAAGCCCTCGCGCGGTAGACGGGCTTACGAATCTGCCATTCGGGGCCTCTCGAGCTTTGCTACGGCCGTCATGGACATTTCTCTGGTCGATTACGAGGGCATGGACGGAACTATGGACGGTGGAGCTGGCGGTGCTGATGGCTCCAACCAGGCTGCCAACATGGACGGCGATGGTGATCCGCAGTTCAAAGGTCCTCGTGCCACCTACTCCTTTGCCGGACACGACAGCCACGGTGTCGACTTGACTCGAGGAAGGGTCCGAATGACCGTCAATCTTCCCCTTGTCACGCATTCGGCATCCATTGCAAAGCGAGATGGGACAGCGCAGCTGGCAGCGGACTTTGACAGTCCCTATGCAAGGGTCCGTCACAAGCTCAAGGTCAAGCTCGGCTTTGGTTTCGGGAGCAGACCCCTCGGTGGAGAGGGCGAATGGGGCCAAGCTCTCATTCTCTGCGTCCCTGTTCGCTTCACCGAGGCAGCGCCTGTCGAAGTTCGCGAACAATTTGCACCCCTTCCTATCACCCAGGTCACTGCCAGCTCTGCCGCAGCAAGTGGGCCTCCTGTTGCCATCGTGCCACCTCCGACAACCACTGCAGCGCCGGGAAGCGCAGAGATTGTCACCTCGGCAGGTGGTGCAGCGATGCCAATTCTGCCAAGCTACAACCAGCTGTTCAGGGAGGATGGCTCTCGACTAGCTGACGAAGGTGAAGATCTGCCGCAGTACCCTGGGCCCAAAGGCCCTTCTGCTTTCTCGACATCGGCCGCAACGCCTGCGTCGCCGGCTAGAAATAGACTCGGCTTGCCAAAGAGGGGCTCTGTCACGGCACCAAGCCCGCGTCAGGATCAGACCGGCACCTTCTCTCATCAGACCAACACCGCTGGCGAATCGTCAACTTCCGTCGCCCAAGGTACGACCAATGGGGCAGAGGATCAGCAGCCCTCCAGTGATAGTGGAGAGACGGAGCTCTTGATTGCGAACACCATCTCGCCAAGCCGCGTGGTTGATGAGGCCGTCATGATGCATCATGCGTCACAGGACGACCTCGACGCTGCGAGGCGAGAGCAAGCGCTCGAATTGCGTGAGTTGAACGAGGAAAGCGCGTCAGGTGCCCGGAGGATGCAAAGCAGCGAAGATGAGGACGACGACGAAGAGGAAGAGGAAGACGACGACGATGGGACTGAAGAGGAGAGCCGACGAGTGCAGCAGCCGTTGTCAGAGCCACAGTCGAGGTTCGACGAAGTGATCGACCTCGATACTGGTCGGATACTCGTCAGAGACTTGGATGACGACACTGAGGGTGACGATGTGCGTATCAGTTCTGAGCCTGCGTCTGGTCAGGGCTCTTCGACGGCAGCAGCTCCGATCGAGTCTGGCGGTGACGAGGAGGTGTCGTCGATCCGCGGATCTTCGCCTCTTCCTGCCGTGCATGCGAGCACGAGGGTGATGAGGGGCTCACCAGACATCGACAACTGGGCGAGCGCAAACGAGGACTGATCGCAAACGTCACAGGGCACGAGGCACCTAATCATTCATTCCTTGATGCGCAGCAATCTTCATTCTACTTCATGTGACTATTCACATCCACTCTCACATAGCAATATCATAGGTATAAGCGATGCCATCAACTCAATTTGTCGTCGGGACCTGTCAGGTGTCAACCTTGTGTGAGCTTCTATCTAGCAAAGACGAGCTGACAAGACAACCCACTCTCTGCATCGCCCCGCCGTCTACCCTGAGTGTGGTGCCGTTTGCAAAGATGGCCCCCCTCCCGCAGAGGTAGAGGACCGAAGAGGCATGCTCATGTGGCAAGCCTGCTCTCCCCAGCGGGAGGTCTGCGCCGTTGGTCGAGTCACCGAGGCTCCAGTGCCCCGTTTGTACGTCCTGCGGCGAAGCTGTCGTCATGGCGGACGGGTACAGGCCCGGCTCGAGCGTGTTGGACCGGATGCCGCTGTGGGCGAGCATGGCCGAGAGCATGTGGGCCCACTGCGACGCCGACGTCTTTGAGAGATTGTAAAATGCATTGAGGATAGGGTATCTTTTTTCAAGTTGGAAGGTTCACGTCAGCTGTCTGAGAACGAGAACAAGCGCGCATCCAGACCTGAGCGGGAACAGGAGCTCACTTGACATGCGCAGCGTTGGAGCTGACTGTGATGATCTGTGGAACATAGGTCTTGTCTCGAGGCTGCGAGGCATAGTGCTTGACGCGAGCCTTGAGGAGCGGGAGAAAGGCCGTGGCGGTGAAGTATGGTCCAAGGGTGTTTGTTCGGAAGCTTGGGCGAGAGATTCAGCCTTCCTCTTGCGCACAGCAAAATTAGCAGACGCTGCGCCTCACATGTCTTCAGCCTCTTCGATTGTGAAGGAGTCGAGCTCGCGCTGCATTGCGTCAAAATTGTCGATGTCGAAGCCGGACGAGCCGTAGTTCTTCTACGCAAGCAACACGAGGCTCAGCATCGTCATCATGGGTCGAGTGGCACGATAGGCACTCACCATGAGCCTGCCGGAGACGCCTGCGTTGCAAATGACAACATCGATGCCTTCTATCTGCTCTTCGCTGACGGCCCTCACTGCCTCGCTCAAGCTCTTTTTGCTCGTCACGTCGCACACCACCCTTCTCATCTTACCCTGCGAGCCGGATCCAGCATTGGTCTCCAGGCGCTTCACCTCACGGTCGAGTGCCTCTGTGTTGCGCCCGAGGATGTAGACTGTTGCGCCGGCAAGCGCGAGGGCTTGAGACGCGTACAGGCCCAGGCCACTGCTCCCGCCCGTTACGACGCAGACGAGGCCGGCGACGTCCGAGCGCGACGTGAGCTTTTGAAAGGTCGCAAGGCTGTCATGACTCTTGCTGCTCTTATCAGCCATGTCTGTCGTGGCGTTCGCTGCTCGACAAGTCAATGGTCTGAGACAGACACAGACTAGGAGCAGTCTCACCCAGTTCTTCCAGAAGTGGAGGCATACAGCACGTGGGTCACACAACTCCTTTTTGCGGACAACAAGTGGCATACGATTTAGAGGCTACAGTGTAATGTGAGAGTGCGAGTGTATGTGGGATGAAACCGGTGCGACAAAGACTTTGGATGTGCGAGTGGGGAGAATGAACCGGGGTCGGGGAAAAGGAAGTTGGTGTGGGAAAAAGGGAAAAGAATTACTGGGGCAGTTTCTCAACGGGTGTCCCTCAGAAGGCCCTGCAGTACGGCGCTGTACGCAAAGACGTACTGCCGTGTCGTCTGCACGGTGCTCATCCGCTGCTCTCGGATCGTCTCGACGGCTTTCCTGACGAGGTCCACGGCATCCGACGCCTGTTGTGGCGGGCCAGACTTCGACGTTGCGTTGAGCGCCACTGCTGGTGCGCCCAAGCTGCTGAAGAAAGGTGAAGGCTCTGCTGTCGCTCCTGCTCCTGCTTGCTGGCCCTTCGAGCCACTGATGGGTAACACACCCTTGATCGGCGTTGACGTGTTGGAGTCCCACGTAATCTTCATGGAGCCCATGGCCCGGCTGGGCGTCTCAACGCCGCTGCCTGCGCTGCTCCGACGGCTTCGTTCCTCCTGGTGGTTGGCAGCAAAGAGGGCCGCCACACTGGCGTCCTTTCTCCCATTTGCGGCTGTCGTCAGCGAGCGAGCGTCGCTGTCCACCTCCTCATCGATGTCGTCTGATCTTGTCCGTTGCAAAGGCGGCGGGGACCGCACATCACGCTCCATCGTCGAATCCGTCGAGTCTGATGAATCAATGTCCATGGCCGAAGGGCTCAGCTCACGCTTGAGGCTCCTCCTTGGCGTGCGAGTATTGTCTTCACTACCAGTGCTCATAAGGCCTCCAAAATAGTCTGCCGTACCGAAGGTGGAGCTGTTGCCATCGAGTTTCGGTGGTTGCCGCCACATCGACGCGGAATTCGCTGTCGTGGGTCTTCCTCGCGCAGTGCTGGCACAAGCAGCTGAGCCATCTTCCCAAACGCCCAGCTCTGTAACGTCGCCGCTTCGGAGTGCAGCAAAACGGTTCTTTCTCAGAATATCGAGGACCGAATCAATGACGACGTACGTCCCTGTCCGCCCAACGCCAGCTGAGCAGTGAACAACTAGGGGCCCGACGCCAGCAGATGAGCTGGATCCATTTGACGCCTTACCCTCCTGTCGCAGCTGCGTGTCTGCCTCGTGCTGCCCACGGGCGGCAAGATCCATGTAGTTTAGCAGGCTGTCGCAAGAATCCGGGACCGAATAGTCGGGCCAGTCGATGAACTGGAGGTGAAGGATCGTGCGTGGAGCGTCCTGGCTCGAAGCTGCCCTGTTGGTGAGCTGGAGCATGCGCTTGATCATGGCTGGTTTGCGTCTGCCGTCCTCGGAGGGCCCACCAGACATCGAAGGGAACAAGTTGCCACCACCGTCATCCAGCTTGCCAACATCATCGGCACTGACTGGCTGACCGTGTGCATCAAGAGTGACCTCCTCGACGAGCTTGAGAGCAAGGCCACCGCTGAAGCTGACGTCGGACCAGTAGTTGTGCGACTGCAGCCGGCCACTCTCATGTTCCCTCGTCACCATGGCGATGACACGCACGTTTTGCTCCCAGACGACGGTCCAGAATGTCTCGAACGTGCACGGTAGGGGTGCTTGTGTGGCAATGTATCGCCTCTTGCACCCGAATTCGCGACCTGGCTCGAGATATGAGCCATTGAGGTAGTCGCTGCAGTCAAGTCCGTTGCTACCCTCTGCAGCCACTGACGAGGCAAGGCGGATCCGACTGTGCTCATATGTCCAAATGTTGTTGTAACGATTTTCTGCACCCCGCTCGAGGGCAGCAGCGATGCTGAAGGGAAACGTTTCCTTTGACTGGATACCGCTGCACTGCAAACCTGCTCCTACGCTGCAAAAAGGTGACGAAAGCTGGAGGGCCTTGGAGGAGGAAGGGGACTGCTTTGGAGGCGCAAAATCCTCTTTGGGCCTCGAATTGCTGAGCTTGGACTCGGCGGCGTGCTGCTGCATGGTAGCAATGAGACGCGCCTGCTCGGCCCTTTCAATCTCATAAAAGGCGTGGGCAAGCTCATCTGCTCGCTCCTCGTCTCCGAGCTCGACGAGCCGTCGAAGAAAGCCAGGGAGCAAACGTTGCTGCTCTTGCGACAATGGTGGAAGTTTCATAGGTATCTTCTCGGTCACGCCATGTTGCAGTTCTCTATTTTGGCGGATATTGTCGAAGAAGGGATTTGCACAAGCAGCTCCTGTTGTCTGGCCTGCACGGCCCTGCGCAGCAAACACATCCATCGTCGGCTCGGTAGCGCTCGTGTGCATCTGTCGCAAGCCGTGGCCACCGTCCGCCTGACTTTCGTCACCGTCTCGGCCAGTGACGGTGCTGCAGGACATGAAGGCTTCCATTGGCAAGCCACGGGGCTGGACCAAGGACCCCTTTTTCTTGACGACTGCTCTTGCCTCGCTTCGATCCGGCTGAGGGTGGGGCATGCTCGACCTCCGCAGACTCGGCTCTCGGGTGAGTCTCATCGCTGCTGTCTTCTTCTCGCCAGCATTGGATGCCGGCGCCGGCGTTGCATCCTTGATCGAGCTCCGATCCACCAGGTCGTCCAGCCCCAAGCCACCACTTCTCTGCTGGCTCATCTTGCTGACGAAAAAGTTGAAGCCACCGACGAGCCAGCAGAGCTCGCCCGCAAAACCTGCCAGGTCGAATTTGCGCAAGAGGCCAGTGAGACAAGGCCCACCGCCACCAGCCGCTGGTTTGCCTGCATCGCCGACGTTGCGCGTGTCGGTGTCCAACACGACGATTCTGGTTACGGACGCTGCTCCATCCTCGCCGTCTGCCATGTGGATGCCACCGCCGCCGCCACCGCCGCCGTTGCTACCACTACTTCTTTCGCTTCCATTAGCGCTACCTCCCTCCTTCCGCGGCCCCCTCCGCCATGCGCTAAAGCGCTTCTGGTCCTCTTCGCTGCTCAACATCTCTTCTTCGATTCGATCGACAGTGACACCAGACCGTTTGAGCAACGTGCTCGGTGCACAGAGGTTGATACTGCCTTTGATACGGGCCAGCGAAAAGGAAGTAGAGGGACGAATGTCGATGATGAGCGTCGTTGTCGAGACCGACAGAGGGGTGCCCTCGCTTGCCTTGTAGTCGCTGACGAGGACCTCTGCCAGCGAGAGAGGCTCGATTGGGCGGAACTTCTCCATGTCCGCCGCCGTCATCAGGGTTGCAGCCGATCCCTGGGTGGAAGTGGAGTTGCTGCTGCCGCCTGACAGTGCCCGCGCCATGGCCGTTGGCGGCTTGAGCATATAGTCGCTTCCGTCCGTTTGGTTGCTTGTCCGCTGCGATGTTCTGGAATCTCTACCTTTCCAAGGCTCGGAATTATTAGCACTAGGATTCGAGGATGAGGTGGATGCCATTATCGAAGTCGAAGGCGGGCCCATTGGCGTTTGCATGCCGCTGCCGCCTGCGCCCACTCCGGAGAAAAGCTTGTCCCATGGATGGGCGTCATTTTGCGGACGGGACTGCTGGGTACCACCTCCAAAGTAGTCTGGCGCGCTTACGTTGCGTGCCATGTCCTCTGCCCTGAGCTGCGGTGGCGGCTGCCTCTTTGCGAAAGAGAAGCGAGAGGAAGACCCCGGCGGCGGACGCATCGACGTGGTTCGATCCCCTTCTCCGCTGGGCATGTCGGAGCTTGAGCTGGACATCGGCGGATTGAGGGACGCGGCGCTTGTTGTCGCGGCAGAGGGTGTAGACGCGAGGGCGGGGGGAGGAGACGACGAAGACGACGATGACAAAGACGAAGAGGAGCCTGGTACCATCGAGGATGCCGAGAAGGCCTTGGCAGTGGATATTGAAGGTGGTTTGTCCGATGGTGGGTGGGCGTGTCCGTCCGTCACCACAGCAGGCGAAGCCAATGAGGCGTCAAAGGCCGTAGCAAAGGGCGCCATGCCGGCCCAAGGACATGCAGACTGTGGTCGCGCCGTTCTCTAGATCTCTCTATGCCCAAAATGATGCCGCTCTCGCCGACCTACAAGATCCCACTAACGCGACGTCGATTGAGATGCGCTCAGGCAGCTCGTGTGTGTAAGCACCTATGTGTGGGACGAGGGTGTACCAGAGCAAATCCACGGCGACGAGAAAGATGGAGAAGACGGCTGGGTGTGGGAGGCTCCTGTCGGTGACGGAAATGCAGGAGTGGCGTCAGTCACGTCACCGCACCTTCGGTCCAGCGGTGGTCGGTCGGGCGGAGACTGCTACAAGAAGGGAAAGAAAAAAACTTAAGGGAAATGACCGAAACACTAAGTGCTCAAATAACATAAAGCCGTAGATAAACTACGTTGGATGTCTTGTGGAGCCCAGTCCAGACAAACCCTCGAAGCTGAACAATCCAGGACGTTGTTCTCACCTGATCTGGTTTCTTCTTGGCTCACCTTCAGCTTGAGGCCGCGTGTCGCACAGCCTAAATCCGGCACGCTATTCGAAGAACTCAGCTCCTCTTTCTCCCGTCTTCACGCCGCTCGAGGACGATCCGGCGAAGCGCGCAGGAACGTTGACGTCATTTTCTACTGTACCTTACTGACGTCACGTGTTCATCTTGTCTCGCTCCCAATACCCATTCCGCCGCTCTTCGAAGAAAGAAGATCAAGGTAACATGGCGCCGAAAAAGTACGGGCGTGTCTCGAGAACATCAGCCCTGCTCATTCCCGGTGGCCTCGTTCATCCCCACGTTCATCTGGACAAATGTTACTTGCTCCAGCAGACACCGATTGGCGATGGGTTAGTCACTCGGCTGATTGTTTCTCCTCCCTCTTCCTTGTCTGCCTGCGAGTTCATGTTTCGTCTTGACCCAGCTCATTTCCTGAGGCTCTTGCCAAGACTGGCGAAGCGTAAGTGCACCTACTTGACATGAATCCTAATCAGGAGGCTGAAACAGAGAAGTGGGCCAATGCTAGCAAAGCCAAATTTACCCACGAAGATGTTGGTATTCGACGGTAGACAGCTCCCTTGCCTTGGTTCGCTGACCCCTTCTTTGCAGCTTATAGCTCGTGGAGACCGCCTACTGAAAGCGTCTCTTCAACATGGCATTACTACGGTGCGAGCGCACGTCGAGGTGGATCCTGCTGTGGATACAAAGTGTCTGGAAGCAGGCCTCGAGCTGTGTCAAGCGACATCAGACCATCTGGACGTGAAACTTGTCGCATTTGCCCAGGATCCGCTTTTTTACCCTGAGAACCAGGACCGGCAAGCTAAGATGCAACATCTCTTCAAAATCGATGTTATCTCGCTCCTTATGTTGAATCGGAACCACATCACAGCGGTAGGGTCAACCCCATACGTCGAGAAGACCCGCGAGCTCGCCCTACGCAACATCGATTTCATCATTGACCTTGCCAGAGCCAACTTGCTCGACGTGGATTTTCATCTAGACTACAATCTGGACAGCGAACAGCAGCCGACAATCTTCTATGTCCTCGACCGGGCTCGATCCGTTGCCTTCGAGGGCAGGATCACCATCGGACACGCGACCAGGCTCTCGCTCTTTTCACAAGAAGAGTGGGATCGCCTAGCTCGCTCCTGTAATGGCCTTGATGTGGCTTTTGTCGCGTTACCGCCGAGCGATCTGTATATGCAAGGGCGGGATTATCCTTATGCAAAGAGGAGCAGAGCTTCACTCCCGGTTCTGGAGCTAGTCAAGCGCAACATTCCCGTCTCCATGGGTGTCAAGTAAGTCAGCTAGCCTCTTGGGACGGCTCCCTCAAGCCAGAACAGACCAGACTGAAGCGTCGACAATCATCATCGTTTCAGCAATGTTGGCAATCTCTTCACACCTCAAGGTGACGCGGATCCCATGGATCTTTTGCCTCTCGCCGTCGCGCTCTGGCAATCTGCCACGCCCACCCACCTCGAAGCTTTCCTCGTGAGTTTCTTGGCCTCTCTGCGCGAAAGTCAATGTTCTTTTCTCAATCGTGAGGACTTGACAGTCAATGGTCTCGACAGCTGCTGCCCACGCCGCCGGCGCACGCATCCAGCAACCTGAGCGGGTCGATGCCAGGCTCGTCGATTTTGAAATCGACGATGACAATGTTGTCCGTATCTTCTCCGGCCAGGCGCTTGCCTCGCATTGCGAGACCTTTACCCTTTTACCTCGCTGCCAATCAGTCCAAGAAGCAGTCTTATCGCCGCCCAGGTCCCGCATCGCTGTCGTCCACAACAGAGCAGTAGGCTGGACAAAGGTCGATCAGGGCGTCTTTTCACCGTAGAGGGTTCCTTCAAAGGTATCGTATCAGTAACATTTCTATTGACCAGTAAGGTAGAGATGTAGCCATAAGGTGGTAGCCATGGCGCTTGATTGATCAGTGCGAAGACTAGGGGGGTAGGAAGAGATGGAAAGAAGGATGAGGGCGATGATGACGGTCCAGGGATGTGCGGATTTTTACATTGGTAAGTCCCCCTTTTAGACGTGGTAAAGTGCTCAGGGTCATACATTGGTGTTGTGTCGCGCAGTCTTCGTTCGGGTGTCCGTCTGTTTGTTTGATCGCGCTATTTTGTGTCGACATTGATGGTATCAACGATAGTTGACGATGGCCAATTGTGGTATCGCCACTACCAGATGTGGTTTGCTGTACCTGGATTTCTCACATTTTCCTTCTCTTACGGCCACCTGAAGCGCTGGTCGCTGCCGTCGAGATATCTTGTCCGTTTGTAGCTTTGCGAGCTTTTCTGTGCCTGGCCTGAGACCTGGTTTTCATGGTTCGCTTGCCTTTGCCGTCTTCGAGGATTCCGTCCTTCGAGTCCTCGTCTTCTTCGTTCCCATCATCCTCTTCATCGTCCATGCCGAGGTGGCCAGCGACTTCATACGAATCAACCTGGTCCTGCTCTTCATCTTCGTCCGAGTACGCTTCATCCACGCTCTCTCTCTTTGTTGGTTTCTTTACCCTTTTACTCTTTCTCTTGCCTCTCTTGGCTGCCACTCTACTCTTCATCTGCTTGTTGCGGCGCTCGGCTTCTTTTTTAGCCTCTTCCCTGCGCTCCTTGGCCACTTCTAGCTTCCGCTTGTGGAGCTCTTTGGCCAACAGCGTTTCTCGCTCTCGCTGAAGAATGCAGAGTCTTTGAAGAAAGGAGAGGAGGCTGATCAAAGGGGGGCGAAGTCAGGCCATTCTCGCTCTTGATGTCAGGCCACCATCTCTCAGCAACTCACTCAAGCTGGAATTCGTTTTCGCGAAGGAAAGGGATTCCGTCTGACCCTCGTTTTCCCGTCTCGATTTGTTTCTTGGCGGCATCGTGACGGATCTTCGTACGGACCAGCCTAAGCTTCCTGTACTCGAACCTGATCGCAGATCTATTCTCAGCTTCGAAAAAGGCGTTTGACGATGCTTCGCACTCACCACATCAAGGTCTTGAGATGGGCGAGCCACTTAATGCCGGACGCATGTTTCTCACGAAAGCGCCTGAGAGTGCTCGTATAGGGTGGGTCTACTGGGGAAAAATCTGGAACTAGAGGGCCGTCACTGCTTTTGAACCCGTACACGTCTTTGTCGTCTTCTACATCGTCGCTGAGTCCTGTCGCAGCTGGGTGAAGAACGACACTTTGCTGGGCCTTTCTCAATCCGCGTTTGAGGTTGTCGTCGAGTCTCGAGAGGTGGCTGTTCAACTGGTCGGTCGAAAGATTCCGAAACCATTTCGCATGCCGTCGAAGCACCCCTTCTTTGTTCGCCTTCTGATCCTTTTTCTTCTTCCCTCGTCCCGTTGACAGCGACAAGATCTCATCACAGAAAAAGTCGGAATCCTCGTAATCTACTTCACTGAGTACATCGCTATCAGAACTCATGTCGCCTTCGTCCTCTGAGGGAATCTCGCCCTGCTTCGTCTTTGCGTTCGCGAGAACCTGACTACCATCGATACTCCTGGGATCGGTGAGGTCGCTCTTCTCGCTTCCTGCGAGGCTCTGGTCGTCCGAGTCCGAGTTTTCAGACTCTTCTGATGTGGTGAGCATGGTGGCGTAGTTTACATTAGCAGTCGATCTCCTCGGCAGCTGCTTTCTGAGCGCTCCTTCCTGCGATTTGGGCTCTTTCTTGGCTGCTTCAAGGCCGATAGATAAGGGCCTGGCCGTACGGCCAGCTTTGCGAGACAACTGCTTCCTGGCAGCCGCTGTGGGCAAGAACAATCCGTCATCGTCATCCATGGTGTCAAGCGCGCCTCGTTCTGCGTTTAATTGCTCCTCCAAATGTTGTTGACGCCGTTTTTTAACCCGGAATGACTCTCGCAGAAGGACCTTGTTTGCAGTACACGCTAGGTCCATTGCCTCGACTCGGTCTCTCCAGGCAAAGAGGAGATCCATTCTGCTGTCGTCTTTGTCCTTTGACTCCCTCGTGGGCCACTCATTGTATCTGTGTATAGCCATGGGAGAATCAACTTTGCCTTGACGAAAGGGGGCACCCTTGAGAAGGTGTGTTCGGACGGCAAGAGGTATGCGACGACCCAGCTGGGCCAGAATTTGAAAATGCGCCATTGTGAGTTGGCAACCATCGCCGAGAAGTCTGCGTATGGTGTCCTCCTTCTCGTTGATGATTGCGTGGGCGAGAACGATGTCCTGCATAACGGGGTGAGACTGAGGCAAATAGTCCTGAGCCCCTTCGTAAAAAGGAATTGTCGTCGCCGGGTGACAGTAATGGCTGTATGCTTGGCAAGAGGTGCAGCAGGCGGAAGTAGCTATGTGAATCATTGGGCTACACGCATGTGCACAACAGGAAGGAAAACGACTGGCGCTGTGAGACGTGTGTGAGAATGACCAGATGAAAGGGCTCATGACTCACGAATCCTCTGCTGTCAACGGACATTTCGTCGGAGACAAGTAATGATCGTTAGGGCTTTCCCAGAACCCAGAGTCGTGCGGCTCCTGCTCCGATCTCGATCCTTCTTCGTCCATATCCGAGAGATCCCTGTCACTTGCTGCCTTTTCTTCCTGCCGGAGGTCGTAAAAAGAGAGGACGCTCCTCAAATACATCGTCGACCGACCGGTGCTGAACGGAATTGCTGTCATACCTTTTGTCACCTCGAGTGGTGAAGGGCCCTGCACTGTACTGCAAGACCCTGCGCTGATCCATGCAAGAGGAGTACGAACGGGCACATCAGTCTCTCTCGCCGTCAAGCTTGCCAGCTGGTTAAGGTCGATCCTCCATTCTGCGAGTGCATCGGCCAGTAGTGAGCTCAAAGTACTGCGCGAGTTTTGTTCGGCACCGGAGCACTCCAGCGTCATCTTCAGGATCGGAAGCTTGTTGCCAGACATTGGCTCAACTTTTCGGGAAGGACAATAAGCAATGGTAACAGTAAATGATTGGATGCAGGGCAAGCGAGCTTACCGATGCATTTCCTCAGCGCCGCCTTCACCACATCCACGGCCTCTATTCCCTGTTCTTTTCCGAGATGGTCGAGAATGTAAGTGCAAATGGCGTGTGTGAAAGTGTGAGGGCTGACGAGCAAGTCGATGGCCTCCTCGAGTCCGACTTTGAGGCTCTCAAGACGAGAGTGGAGCCGTTCTATATGTGTCGCTTCAAAGGTTGACCAAGGATCATCACTTTCACTAGAGGGGTAGCGGTGAATGTATTGTTTCTCAAAGTCGCAAAGAACGGTCACTGTTTAATCATTGATCAACGACAAGGAAAAGCCTTTTGTGGCTGAACAACAGAAACACTTACAAGCTGCAAATTTGCCTCCGATTTCGTCCAGACTTGGCATCTCGCGAAGCAACGCGATCATGGTCGACGCCAAGGACGCAGGAGAGGCATGCAATGCCCCTTTTGAAAAATTGGTTACCAGGCCTCGAGCGACATCTTCCATCGGGGTAAGGTCCGGGTGTGCGTGGGAGAAACGCTTGAAAGCCTTATATCTGCTCGACAGGTTTGCAATGCCTCCGTTCGAGTCGAGAATTGCCTGTTGCTCCCGGTTGGCACATGTTGGTGAGATTGGAGACTTCACGATGGCCAGAACGACCTATATTATTAAGACGGCAAGGTAAGAGAGGCAAAGAGGATTGATGCAAAGCGTTTGGTCTTACCTCCTTCACGATATCAAGAGGTACCTCGAAGCGGGGGAAGTATTTTGCCATCCCGCATAAGCGATCGAAGGCTATTTGCTCGTTGTTGTCCGTGCTTGTAAGGGACAACAGGGCAGCGTCGATACTAATTATGACAACGTTTCAGCGAGAGAGAAGGAAGTCAAAAGGACAACCTTCGTACTTACCATTGCATCAGAAGTTTTTCCTTGATGCGAAAGCCATTGTCGTGCAGCAGCCTCGCCTGTTCAGGACTCTTGACCAGCGTGTGGGCAAAGTCTGCGCTGATGTCTGTTGGAAAGATTGGAGCAAGCTGCCATTGCGAGAAATGAGCAGGAGTATGAGGACGAGAGACACGCATTCACCTACCTTTGTCTCGACTAACAACTTGAGCTGGAGCTCAGGCGATCCACGCAAGTAGAGCTCTAGATCCATGGCGTAATGGCTGGTTGGATTGATCCCTTCAGAGAACTGCAGAGCGAAGAGCCCAGGTTAGCCGACAACAATCGACTGGCCGCGCAGTCTCCTGAGGGGACCTCACCTTCTGATTGGCAATCTTCATGAGGGCAGCGGCGCCCGAGAATTTCATCCGACTGAGCCAAGAAGCGCCGCCAAAACGTCTCGTATGAGCAAAGAAGCGCTGATTGGAAACATCGATAAAGCTCTTCAGCTGCGCATCGCAAATGACTGGGGGCATACAGAGCGTATTAGACTCACTTGAACAAAGGCCTGAACAAAGTAGCGAGACAAGACTGCTCCCTGCGACAGAAGCATCTATATGCATGACGGGCTAAGCATCTCCTCTACTAACTCAGCATTACGGCGCCTGCTTACCTCTAGGAGCTCCTCATTGAACATATCAGGGCGCAAAGAAGCCTGAAAGATGGCTTCACATGGCATGCAGCTGCGCAGTATGTATTCCGCCCGCAGATTGACGTCGGCGGTGATGGTACGAAGGCCTTTGCAGGTCCTGCTGAGGCTGTTAATGTCTTTTGATGACTGTGTTACCAGAATGACCTCCCTCCAAAGCTCGATGGGCAATTTGATTGGCGAAAAAGTGCGAGGCGCAGCATCGCCTTTGTCGGCATCGATCGGCGGCGGCGAAGTATCTATTGCTGACGAGTCGCTCTTGTCGCTCAACGGCGACGGGGATCGCGATGACAGCATGTCTCGCTAGTCCCTGACCGGCAAGCGGCACAGGAATGTCAGACGAAAAGAGAAAGCCAAGATCAGGTGGTTGGTGAAGGGCGTGGTAAGGATGAAGAGGAAGGAGGAGAGAAAGTGATCTGACCGATTCGGTTCGGGATTGCAGCGGTCGAAGCAGCAGTCCCAGCAGCAACAGGCAACCCCGCTTGGCGCCTCGTGGTAATTGGGCGCAGCTAGAGATCACGACTTGTGCAACTGATGGCTTTGATGAGAAAAGTTGGAAAGAGGGGCCCGTGCTCGGCCCCCCCTGGCCCAAGTCAGACTCCTTGCTTGACGGCCTCTTTCCGTCGACTCGGTCAAGGCAAGCCACTAGGCAGCAGTACTAGTAGCACGTCGTCGTCGTCGATCGGACTTCCTGTCCGAAGCGAGCTTGACCGCATCCAGCCCAAGATAGATCTCCATCTCGTCTCAATCTTGCCTCCATTTCGACCCTTGCCTATTATTAGTCTCCCCATAGTGAGCTTTATTTGTGGCTTGTCATCAAATGAGCTTAAAATATCTATCGGCCGAAGCATGCCGGGGTGCGCCTCGTTGGACCTTGAGCGCGGCGGACCTTCTCGTCAGACGACCACCGCCGCCCCTCCCTCCTTGTGATTGCTGTCGCTGTCGCTTTTGCCCTCGCTCTCGACCTCTCCTTTTCATAGGCTGTAGTATAGCCTGGTACAAGATAGGATGGAGACCTCGCCTGTCACCACAGGCCTTGCGCTCCTCTGCGCCGTCCTCGGAGTAGCGCTGTGGTCTGTCACTTCGAAGAGCCAAGGCGGCCCCGATGGCGCTTCGACCAAACGAAACCAACCGACGTCCAAGAACAAGAAGAAAAAGAGCAACCAGAAGAGCATCTCTTCAAAACAGGAAGGGGTCGACTTAAGTGCTCAATCGGTGAAAGAATCTGCTGAGAAGGAGCGGGCACCCACCAGTGAGAAGCGGGTCAAGAAGGAAAAGGGAAAGAAGAGCGCGGTGACGACGGCGGCGAACAAGGTGGATACAGCCAACGGACTTGACACGGCCCCGCAGCAAGATGAGAGTCTCGAGCTTTCTCTGGCGAAGAAGGCTCTCAGTCTCCATGACATGGCCCACACCAATGGCTCGGCCACACCTCCCTCTCTAGTTCCTTCTCAGGTCATTGCGAGTGAGCCAGTGCCTGCCAGCGAGAACGGGACCAAGAAACGCAAGCCCAAGACCAAGAATGGCGCCGCAAAGACCAACGATGAGAGAAGGGCCGAGATCGATGCCCATCGGTCGGCCGGCGAGCGCGACCTTGGAGCCGACATGCTCGATAGGGATATGGAGCGTGAGTGTTGTGTGCCGTCTGCGTCCATGGTGATGCGCAAGCTTCTGATACGTTCTGTAATACAGCCGAGACTACGTATACCCGCGTGGCGACCATCCCGGCTCCCGTCGCTGACTCGACGCCGAGTGCAGTGCCTGCTGAGGAGGGCTGGCAGAGCGTTGTCGGCAAGTTAAAGGCTCCCTCGAAGCCTGCCCAGCTCAGTCGATCTTTTGAAAACCCCGATTCGAATGCCTGGGCATCTTCGAACCCCTTCGCGGCTCTTCCTGGCTCGGGCGCTGAGCTCCCCTCATCTGGCCGTGCTACTGGACCCAGCTCCAATGGCCACGCCAAGGCGACGTCGTCCAGCCTGTCTACGGGACCCGTTCGAAGCGTGCCTGGACACTCGCACGTCAGCACAGATGCTCCTACGAAGAAGCAGCGACAGAACGCAGCCAAAGCAGCAGCCAAGAAGACGGCCAAGGCGAATGAGGAAGCCGAGCGTCAAGCTCGATTGAACCAGCACAAGAGGGAGCTCGAAGCCGAGCGGATGCGCGAGTTCTACAAGAAGGGAGGCAGCGGCATGCCCCAGCCCTCGAGCAAATGGGAGACTGTGGGCCAGCCCAAGCAATTACCCAAGGCGAGCATCAACGAAAAGGGCTCCTTGGTCTGGGACTGAGGACCAGTGCTTCCCCTTCGCCATCTCTCTAATCGTCTCTTCATCATATCGTCCTCTTTCACTTCATACCTAGAACACCGTAAATGTTGTGCTTAAAAACACTCAACATCTCTATCGACCAAGCGAAATGATCTTCAAAGAGCTACATCTCTGCGTATGTGTCGGTCTATCCTGTGTTCTCGGATGCTCAAAACTTGTGCGCTTGCCTCTATTGCTGGTCTAGCGCCTCCTTCTCCTCTTTGAGCACCCAGATACTGACGGACTGACCAGAGCATTTAAAGTCTGCCCAGCCGTCGTCTTCGACCTTGATCGTACCCTGATGCCATCCGAGCAGGTCGGCGAACTCCTTTCCCTTGTGTTGAGTGCCCACTTCCATCCTCTTGGACCCTTCCTGGCCAACAGACATGACGACGGCCAACCCGTTCTTGAAGTCCTTGTCCTCGGTGCCCATGCGGACCCAGCCGACGCACGAGGGGTGGTCGCGGTAGTCGCGCAGCTCGCCGTACGAGAAGCGGGAGCGGGCAAGAATAAACTTGTCGAGCGAGGACATCGGTGGGACCGAGGGCTGCGAGTCTCCCTCGCCGTGGCATCCGTCCAGGTCGCCGAGAAAGATGCAGGGGTATCCGTCGGGACGAAGGAGGATTGTCGCATAGGCCAGTGGCTTGAATGTGGGCGAGACGGTGCTTTCGAGAGCTTGGCCAGCCTGCGTGTCGTGATTCTCTGTGGAAACGATGTGAGGAACCGTAACTTCTCCCCATTCACTCAAGCTATCAGACTAAGAAGACGTGCTCACCAACGAAAGTCACGGCGTCCATGGGCCGAGACGACAAGAGTGTGTTATCAAGGAGTCCCCTCAGGTCAAACTGATCGCCCGCGTCACCGGCCGCCTTGAACTTGTAGTGAAGTGGCACATCGAAGAGGCTGAATTGCTCATCGCCAAATCGTCCAAGCCATTCGTTGATCTTGCCAATGTCGGGCGTCCACTCCTCGCCCACGGCGAAGCAAATGGGCCCTTCACTTTCGTCGACGTCAAGCCCCTTTTCCTTGGCGATGCTGCGCGCTTCGTCACGAACGGCGCCAATGAATTTGGCCACAAAGGAGCGACTCATGTGCTTGACGGCATCGAATCGGAAGCCACTGATGGGGAACGTCCGCAGCATCCACTTGCCCCAGGCGATGAGGTCCTTTTCCTAGAGGTTTGATACTCGTTCGTCAGCATTTCTTTAAAGCTAATCAATACCTCCAACGGAACGCACCACGTCGGGATGAGAGTGGTCGATGTCGGCACACTGAAGCGCCTCGCGATATCAGTAATAGGCAAGACGAAAGACGTGACTGACGAGGAGACATACCATGAGGTAGTCAAAGTTGTCAACTCCATCGCCGCTCATGACGTCCTTTGCCCATTTCTTGCCATTGCCTTCGATTCGATAAATCTGCTTCTTCTGCTCCTTCTGATTCCAATCAACGCCGGTGAAGTGGTTGAAGCACCAGGTGAACTCGCTGTACTTTCCCTTGCGTCCTGGAAAGGTGAATTTGGTCCAGGCTTCGATGTCCTCCTGGGGGCCAATGTCCTTGTTGCGCTCGTGTTCGTCGACCGGATGTGCCGCAAAGACCTCTGTCTCGTCTGCTCCATCCTTGTGATTGAGGACCGCATCGATGTAGATTGAGATGCCCACCTCTCTCATCTTCTTCATGAGGGCTTCCAGTTCTTCTCTTGTTCCGTATTTGGTCCGCTTTTCTCCGTCCTCCTTTCCGCCCTTGACAAACTCGCCCAGGTCCCAGAGATCGTAGATATCGTAGCCCGTGCTCTGATCGCCCGCCGCCTTGGTGGGCGGGGGAAGCCAGAGCGCCGTCAGGCCCATTGCTGCAAACCGTTCCGCATTGTCGTGCAACCAGCGCCAGTGATTGCCACCACCTGGCGTGTACCACTCGAATGCTTGGAGAATTGTGTGGTTGCGGTCCGCGCCGGCTTTGTCGCCGTCAACGTCGGCGTGTCGATTTGCTGCGCTGGCCATGTCGGGTCCTCTCTGTCTCAGTGGTGATGGAAGGCGATTGCGATGGGGGCCGTCGAAACTTCCTATCTCACAACCCTAAGTTCTTATGAACCCTTCCCCTGCCCATGGCCCACCGATCCGCTGGCCAGACCAACAGATGGACCCAATTTGCATTAGCGCGAGTCTAATCAAGCCACCAAAGATTGTGATGACGTCTATCTGAGCCTGGACACGTTTCCCTCTTTATGTTTATATTTTGCACATATGAGCGGGAAGCGAGACTAGGGATGCAATCAAGTAATGAGATAGCGAGGGAGGACGGACCTCCAAGAGGAAGTTACCGATGTCCATATCTAGCCCAGAGAGGAAAGGAGGTTGCTCTGCGCATTGGAAGGATTATGGGCTTCTCCATATGATCGCCAACCTCATTGCATGAGGCCTGCCCTGCGAGAACTGACAAAACAATCATCTGCGCTTCTTCCTTTTCTTGATCCACCCCTTTCTAAGAGCTAGGTGCTTCGAAGGCTTACATACATGGCCGACATGGTTGCCGTATTCGTTCATTGGAGACACGAATCGAAGAGTAATAAACGGGTGCGGTGATGAAATATAGCTCGAACGCGTCTCGGATCCAGTCGCGTGGCGGCAAACGCAAAAAAGTTGTGTTGTTCTCACCTTTGATCATCACCAGCAGCACGGCGGCGACACGTCCATGATGGCGTCGACACTCGACGTCAGGAAGGTGATGCTGTCGATCCTCAAATCGATGTACCAGGACAGTCGAGAGCGCAGGAGCACCTCTGCGCAGATCTACCGACGGGCATATCGCGCCCTCCAGGCTTGCCCTCTTCCTCTGCAGCACCCTGCAGAGACTGTGCAGCTCGACGGCTTCGGCGAGACTCTGGCGACCGAGCTTGAGAGAAGACTTGGAATCTATTGTAGAGAGAACGGGAAGACGATGCCAAAGCGCTGTGAGTGGTACAGGCCGGCTCTGACAGAGTACCGAAATGCTGATTCCATGCCGCTCAGCCGAGATTGCCTCTTCGTCCAGAGATGGCGTTACATCGACTGCTTCTTCTTCCTCATCCACATCAGAAGAGGACGATGTCAGACCCAAGAAAAGGGCAGCAAAGGCGATCAAAAGGCCAGCCACCGTGCCTGCGGCCAAGTCCAAAGCCAAGCAGTTTGTTCCTCAGCATCGGAGTGGCAGCCACGGCATCCTAGTCTCGCTGTATTCTCTAACCGAATGCGCGCCAGACAGCGTTCCTGTTTGCGATGTGGTCAGCTATTCTAAAGCGACTATCATTGAGCACGCACAACCGTATAGCGATGCCAAGTACATTCCCAAGCCGATGCCGCCAGGCGTGAACAGGGGACATTCGTTCACGTTCAGCTCAGCATGGAGCAGCATGAAGACGCTCGTTAATCGAGGCTACGTCTATCGCAAGGGGAATCCAGCCAAGTTCTCCCTAAGTCTAGAGGGCTGGGAGGTAGCGTCCACCTGTGCAGCAAAAGATGGCGTACTGGCGGGCAGCAAGATTGTCCAGGGAGCTGCGTCGCAAGTCACGTCCGACCAAGATAGCGACAGCGCGGGCGAAGAGACAGAGCGAGAACCCGTCTCAAGACGAGAGGAAGTCGGAAGAAGGAGCAAAGCCAAAGCGTCGTCTAGTGAAGCTCAAATCTTGCCCAAGAAGCGTGGTCATCGCAAGGAGAGGGACGCTTCGGCGTCGAGTCGTGATCAGGGACGAAGTACAGAAACGGGTTCTTTCCTCTACATGTACTTGCGAGATGGACAGGCACCAGGACAGACCATGGAGAGGTCAGAAGCAAGTGTCCGACTCAGCGACGACGATTACACGATGACGTATCGGATCACCTTCGAGGAAAGTCTCTTGAACCATCCCTTTGTCAAAGCTTGCGTCAACGATGTCGTCGCTCTCGGTTGCGTCAGCCATAGAAAGTTGCTTGCTGGATACGTCCGTGCGTCCTCAAGCAATGAAAGAGCTCCTGGCTTCGGCCAGATGATCCCAGCACCCCAAAGAGCGACAGCCGCGGCGTCTCGTTTAAGGTCACCCTCTCCGCTTTTAGGACCACGACCAACTGCCACTGTCGCCCATGGTGCACACACGTCTTCTCAATCACCGCCTAGGAATACAGCCTCGATTGCGAGTAGCTTGCCAGACCCATCGACGAAAGCTTACGAGAAGAAGAGGAAAAATGAAGGACTGCTCTCGGAGAAGAGCAATTTCGAAAGCACTGAGGCCACATGCCAATCTGCCCGATCACGAAAGCGATCCGGCAAGGCCATAGTCTCAGGCGTGGCTGATGGAAATATCATCGAGATCGTGACCTCTTCTGACATCGAGAACAATCTGTCGCAGCCGACAGAATTTCTAGGAAGGGCGAAGGGTACCATTGTTGACCTCGACTCGTCTGACGACTCTTCCGACTCATCACTGGGCGATATCTACGAATATCTTTCAAGCTCGCAACAGCAAGACGCAGCAAAACGCATAAAGACTTAATCGTCAACATTTGAGCTACCATTGACAGGAGAGGAAGAGCGTAAGCAATAACATCTTGCATGTAGAGTACTGTACCACCACTAGAAGTAGACCATCTGGAAGTAGTGACAGGATTGAAGAGAGTCAAAGGAGTCTTACGGCTCCCAATCTCTTACTGTGTTTGGGTATCAAGGCGATCGTACTGTGCCCTTGTCTGTTGGACCGAGGCCAAGACAGTGATGACTTCACCGTCTATTGTTAAGCCATCGAGACCCAAGCCAGTGACTACACTGTAATCGGCGGAGGAGCCTTGCGATGAAACCGATGCTGATCCCACGCCATTGTGAAGCGGAAAGATTGTCGGTCTTCGTGCCCTGCCGAAACTTGCCGATGAGGAGACACTCTCGTCGCTTTCGTCTTTCACGCTTGCATCGATCGAATCTTCCTCAGTATCAATCTTCTTTTCGTTGCTTTTGATATTGCTGCTTTTGCCCTGGTCGTTCGTCGAGCTAGTCTCCAGCCGCCAGCCTGCCCTTTTGGCTTCGCCAATGAAATCAGACTCCTCGTCATCATCGTCTACGGTCCGCAAGGAGACGGCTAACCAAGCTAGCTTCGGCTCCTTTAATTTCGGAGCTGCGCCGTCTAACGTGGCACTGCATGTCAAGTGCGCCGCGCCTTCCCACCCTTTAAGCATTTTTGCGACATCAAGACAATTCCTCTGAATCTCGACGAGGACCTCGATGGCTACTTTCAGTCGACCATATCCGGCTGTGACGAAAGAATGTGCTGCCGACGGCTGATCGGCCAGGCCGGCCCAGTGCAACGTGTGAGCGAGCTCCTTCTGGCAACGCGCCAGCAGATTTGTCGCAAAACGCTTGAGAGAAATTGCAGACGAAGAAGACGATGCGCAGTCTGCAGCAATGGAAGTGATGAGCGTATGTGACCACGCAGAAGCGATGAGCGTCGGGTCTACATAAGTAAGGTTATCAGCTACCCTTCCGCACATTCACCTTCTTATCTTCTGGTAATAGGACACTTACTCCTCTGCCAGACAGTATAGACTAGCTCGCAAGCCGTTCGGTTCTCCTCCTTGGACAGGCTCCAATGAATACCTGTACACGCTTCCGAGTGGAAACACTCGTGAGTCAAGTGTGTACAGAGAGCGCCAATGTGCTTGCGTCTTTCATCAGCCGAAGTGAGGCTCGCGGCGAAAGACTTTTTCAACATCGTCGAAGGGGAAAGGCTGGCGAATTGAGCCTCCCAGCTTCGTGACCTGTTGCCGTTGGCTCGCCTGTGTGACTCAAAATTCGACATGGCCGAAGCAGCGATGTCGGCACATGCTTCCTGAACCAAAGCATTGTACTATCACTCCCCACTTTGGTCAATGACAGGTTGGTGAAGTCTCAAAGAGATCACTACGGACTCACGGACTTTACGAGCCCGACAATCTTATCGGTGAGCTCTGAGTAGACGTCCGTGGGTTTTCTGGTCCTGCTGCCTTTGAGATTGCCAGAGGGCTGAAGGCGTCGGTTTAGCTCCCTGCAGAAGGATGAGACTACGTCCAATTGATTGCCCACTCACATATTGGAAGGCTTGACTTCCAAATGCTCCAACAGTCGGACTATGACGGGGGTAACCCGAGTATGCCAAATCCAAGTCCAGCTCTTGGTCTTTTGACTCAATCGGAACTTGCTGGTGCAGTCGGGCCAGAGCCATAGCTCTGCGACTCCGTTTGATGCTATCAATACGCTTGCGCAGCCTCTCGCTCTGGGTCGCGAGATGGCCATTAATCTTCTTTTCACTTTCCTCTTGAACGCTGGAAGCAACGTTTTCCGAGCGTTGTGTTGGGCCATCTGGAGACGTGAAGGTGCCATTACCACTGCTGCTCGTACTGGGAGTGTATGAGTAGCTCGCACCATCGAAAACGTCAATGGAAGCCGCCCTGTCGCTTTCCATCTCGGCGCCGAATTGGGAAAACTCAACCTTCTCGTCACTGCCAAGAGTGGAATCGTGAAACATCCCAATGTTCTCGATTGGCGGAAAGTAGGATCCTTCGGCTCTGATGACCCTTCCGGTGCTCGTCATCGTCGTGGTGATCTTCAGAGTATCGTCGTTGCTCTGCTTCATACTTTGTCGCCCTTCTGCAACATCTCCGTCGGTCCAAGGTGCTCTCCGGTGTCTGGGCATGTTTTCATTCGGACCGAGGGCACAAGGGAGCGAATACGACGTTTTTGACGAGTCGGAGCCATTGAGAGTTAAATCCCTAATCTTGGCGGGCGTCGGCTCCTGCTGTTCCACCGTAGTCTGTTTTCCTACCAGGCAGGGCTCCTGGGCCCCCGTGGTAGCGGCAAAACTGCCCTCAAGACGAGTCACATCTAAGTCCTCTCCCCTGCCGATTTCGAATGTTCCAGCTTTCTCCTTTGACACCTTCACATCTTCGAGGCTCGAATTTGAGGGAGAAACAGTTGACCAGTACCTTCCCATACCATTTCTTTTTCCCCGCGGCAAAGGTGAGGAGCTTGCGGAGTTGATCTCGTCGTCCCCACTGTCTACAGAGTACGGTTTGTTGTGGCGACCTAAAATTTTTCGGTCTTCCTTTTCATGGGATTGATGTCGACTGTAGCCATCGTGTTCAGGAAAGAAAACGCCGGGACGGCGGCTGTCGTCTGTGCCACTTTCGAGTCCCTGTACGACCATTTTTTTACCATGAGCCTTGAAATCGACGTCGCCAGTGAACCCAGTCGGTTCCCTACGGTGAATATCTTGGTAAGAGAACCTCTTACGATGAAGAAGGTCCCCGTCGGTCCCATTCAGTTTTTCAGATTTTGCAGAGGCGGACGTAGTATGTCGCTGGAGCCCAGGTCCTAATACTACTATATCGAAGTTGCTTTCAGTTGACATGTTTTTGCAGATGTTTGGATGCGACCTTGGTTGCCTGATCGGGGGCTTCTCTGCTTCTAAACGCGATGAAGTTTCCCTCGTATGCTTCTTGCTCTTCTTTGTTGCTGTCGATGCTCTTGACGCATCGTACAAACCAGCAGTCGCTTCGTAAGATTTCCTGGCTGATGTCGGTGAGGGTGGAAGAAGAGGCGAGGCATTTGCGAACCGTCTTTTGAATGTCAGAAGGGGTGACGAAGACAGACTGCTCTTGACCGCGTTCGTCTTCGCTTCTTCTGCTTCTCCTGTTGCGAAGACATTGCTCGTCGGTGAACTCTTTCCTCGTCCAAATGTGCTTGACGAGGCCTGTAGAAAGAATGAGCCAAGTTAGCGCTAATGATATCCTCATCATGGAGGAGCCGACTAAGCTATACTGACCGTCGACGGATTCCTTGCGTGTGAGCCGTAAGAAGAAGGTCTTACATTCGTGATAGTCGCTTCTTCTTCGGTGAGAAATTCGGAGTCGATCGACGTGACCTCTCGCAAGACAGAGACATGCGTTGACCCAGATCCACTGGTGGCCAAAGGTGTAGGGCGCTTGAAGATACGCTTCATTGCTTCGGGGCAGGATGCCACTTCTCAGGGTGAGAAAGTCAGGAAAAAAAGAGGAGAATGGTCGTCAGAAAGGAAAGGAAGAAAGGAGGGGGGGTGAGGGATGGGGGGGATGGGGGAAGGGAAATGAGGAGTTCAAGAAAGGGAGACACTTATGACGTTCACTTCTTCCATAATAAGCTCTTCGGACCCATCTCTGGGTCCAAGGTCGTAGTGCACTTGCTGCACTCCGTCGGCGCTACGTACAAGCGTTACCTGTACCTTTGCCGTGTAGCGTTGTCCGGAAAGAAAATATGCAAGAAGACGATCCGTGTCATGGACAATTTCGGAAGCAAGAAGGCCCGCACTTGGGCACTCGAGACAGAGAACAATGCAGTAGCAATATCATTTACGTCCTTATATGAGGTCTAGATTGGCCACTTGTGCTCATATTAATTCTGCCTGACACCTTTGCACTGATAGGCCCTGGGACTCGTGCGTGCGGCACACTTTGCCATTGTCTGGTGTACCTCTGGTGTACCACTGCAGAGTTGCCCCGATAAGGAAAGCACTGGTTTATTCTCCTACTTGAAAGGGGCCCGACCGCGCTCATGAACAAATGGCGCGTTGACCAACATATTACACCGCGAGCGCGACAACATATCGCGTTGATTGAGGGATGCTTTTGCTGGCCGTGAAGATCGAAGAGAGAGCCATCAATCTCACGCATGATAGTAAATTTGAGAAGGTAGCACATTTCCATTCGCAAGAGGATGGAAGTTCCAAAGGATAATCGAAGAAAAGTGAGGAGGAAAGCGCTAGATAGGGAGAGAGGGGAATTCATCGTCGTCTAGATTGGCTCGTCCGAGCAGCATCGAGCATGGCTGAACTTCCGCTCCCCACAATGGGTATAAACTCTGCGTCGTTGTTGTGCGTCGGGGCTTGACCGTCGCTGTTGCTTCCTCCGCTGCCGCTTGACAGTGTGCTGCTCAGACTCTTACCGCTGCTTGACGTGCTCATGGCGCCATCTTTGGCCCGCGCCTTGCTTCTCGCAGCACCACCTTCGAAAGCTTCTGGCTCAAACGAGTAGCGACCCTCGACTTCTTCGCCGTTGACGGGCTTGTTAGTGCTCTGCTGCGGATCGCTCGATCTATACGGCTTCCTCGACGCGGCTGACTGCTTGGTCCACCCCTCAATCGCACTGACACCCCCCTCCGCCTTCCAGATATCGGCGCTCGGGTCACTCCTCCGGTCCTCTGCACTTGGCGATCGTCTCCCCGGCCCGATTCTTGCGCTGCCGCCACTGCCCAGCCAAGCGTGCTCGTCTGTTCCTGCGCCCCGTCGTGAGGTCGAAGAGCCTCCTCCTCCTGAAACAACGCGCTGGACCGTAGGCTGTGGACTTACGCGTCGAGTCCCACCGGCCGCTACGTCACTCAAACCTCCGCTTGACTCATCATAGCTCTCTCCTGTGGAGTATTCCATGTACGCAGAAGTTGATGGCCCACGATTGACACCAGCGCCACCACCGTATGCCTGCAAGGCCCGCGGGTCAACGACTTGTCCGACCGAGATGGAAGGCCCTCCTCCTAACATGCCATTTGAGCCGTGATCGCCTCCGTAATTGCTTGCGCTGCCACTTCCACCGACATGCGAGAACTCGTCGTTGAGTTGACGGTGTTGGGCGCCGTACCCAGCAGCAGGGATGGCCGTCTCAGCGGATCTGGAGCCCGGAGGGGCCCGATTCGGTTTCGTCAAGCCACCGCGCTTTGTCTTCTGTGGCTGCTGTACCTTGCTCGGAGCAGCTGCAGCCGACGTGCTGACGGATGGCTCAGTGACGGCACCCACGTCGGGCAGCTGCTGCCCAGTAATTGTCTCGGAGAATTCAGGCTCTTCGTGCTCTTGGTGGTCCTGCGCGGCAGCCAAGGTCTTGACCTGTCCTCCAGTCGCTTCCTGCTGTGCTGATTGCGCTTGAGATGCCTGTAGCTGCTGCTGCTGCTGCTGCTGCTGAGTCTGTTGTTGTTGTTGTGCTTGTTGCTGCTGCTGTGGTTGCTGGGCCGTAGCCTGCTGCAATTGCTGTTGCTGCTGTTGTAGTTGCTGCTGTTGCTGCTGGGATCGGTTGATGATGGAGAGGTACCAGAACATGAGGTTAGAGATTAGCACCTGTTCATAAAGCGGCCGCCTCGGATTAGCGAGCTTGATGTGGCTCAGTCGATAGACGGCCCTTTCGATATGGATGGGATAACGATAGTAGTTGACGTATGGCCCTTTGCCCATTCCCCGATCGAGCAAACTTCCGGCGGTGATTTGGCCATAGGGACCCGTTTCTGCCTTAGACCCGTGCTGCGCCTCCTCATGCCCCCTCTTTTTTCCGAACAAAGAACCCAGGAAACCGCTCGAGTCCTTATCTTTGTCCTTGTCCTTGTCAGGCGCAACCGCCATGGCGCCGCTGAAGCTGCTTGCCGATGGGACATTATGGGCCTGCTGCTGTTGGGCCGACGTGTGATGGAATTGCTCAGCTTCACGCTCCTTTTCCTTGCGCTCCTTCTTTTCACGCTTGCTGAGCTTGCTCTTGGCTCCGCCGCTCTCCTTTTCGTCGTCGTCCTCCTTGCCCAGACCGAACCAAGACAAGCCAAAAGAAGATTTCTTCTCCTTGCCATGACGAGATGGCTGGGGAAGCGGAGGTGAGACGGCTCTCCTGGCGGACGGTTGCTGTTCTTTTTGCGCGGTGACGATCGGCTTGGATGTCGCCGAGGGCATGATTGGCATCGTGTCGGCTTTGACCAGGCCGTGACCAGGGGGTCCAACGTCCCTCGTTTGCGCCAAAGACGGGGGTGCACTCGAGGCTGGTGGTGGTGACTGAGCGGCGGGGGTGGGTCGCTTCTTTTCAAACGAAGGCACGGGGGGCACCTGCTGAACGGGTATCGGTCGAATGGGCCGCTGTGATGATGAGCTGTACTCGAAAGCCTCTGTGGGCGACTGGGCGGGAGACTCGTACAGAGGCGAAGCTCGTTCGCTATCGTTGCTCTCAGATGGTTTCGTATCACGGACTACGTCAAAGTAGCCGCCACCCCGTTGGGATGCACCAATCGTCTGCGGAGTGGGCGTCTCGGGGGGCGAATGGTCTTCGCCTCGCCTTTCTTCCATCGTGTCATTCGAGGAAGAGATGCTGTCTGTGACGGATGTCACACTCGTCCGCTGCGTTCCATCGGAGATGTAGGAGTCCCTTGAGTAAGCGTCGACGATACTCTCCGTCGCACCCTCAGACGCCCTTTTGCTCGCCTCTATGCCGGCCTCGTCCTCGCCAGAGGAAAGATCAGATGAAAGATCACTCTGTCTGCGCTGATCCGAAAGGGCCATGGCCACGCCTGCCATCTCAACCGTGTCCTTGTCCAGCGTCAAGTCGCCTGAAGACTGAGATTGGTGATCTCGCTGTCGATGACCAAAGGATGGACTGGCCGCTCCCCTCCTCCTCAGCCCTGCCGCTCGATTGCCGGCGCCAGACGATTCACCGAGGGAAGCCTTTCTGATCTTTGTGCGAGCCGCTCTTCGCAAAATTTGACCTGGTCTCGGCACAATGAGCGGCGCATCCTCCACGCCCGCCTCGGCAGGCACAGCGTCGACTTGATCGAGGGCTGCTGGCAGTGTTTAGTTCTCACGCAATGAGAAAGGAAGACACAAAGGAGCACTTACCGGATGGAGCCACATTGAGGCTCATTGTCCTCCTCAACACGCTTCTCAACTCGGCTGGATCGTTGCTTCGACTAGCATCCTCGGCCAGCTTCTCGAGCTTCTGCAAGTCGTCGATCGACAGCGTAGGTTCGCCGCGCGACGAGGCAAAGTTGCTTCCTCTGCTTCCCACCTTTCGCAACGAGGCGCCCGATCGTGGCGTGCCAGGAATCGAGAGGCCTGGTAGGGTAGGCGTGTTCATGCCGCTGCCGCCGCTACTGCTGCTGCTGCCGCCGTCGTCTTCATGTTCCGGTTGGTATTGTCTTCGGAGCGTACTGCCTCGTCTCGCAATCGACGTTGAGCGGTGCACGAGCGCATCGACGGGCGAGGGCGGCGGTGAGCCGGGCGAGGTAGGGTCGACGGTAGAGGCAGAGCTCAAGCCATCGGCACCCTCACCCTTTGCGGCTCTCGAGGCATGGTCCTGAAGAAACTTTCGAAAATCGTTTGGCGAGATCTCAGGGTGGACCGAAGCCGGTACCCAGAAGAGATGGCTTGGGTCCAGGGGCCTCGTCAGGGGTGTGTCATCGCTGGACGTTGCTGCTGACGCCGCTCCATCGCTTTCGCCGCTCGGCGAGGCAGATGCGCCTGCCGCTGCCAGCGCACCTGCCCCTCTCCTCCTTGCTGTGAATGCTTGTCGGCCGCCAGAGGAGCTTCCAGCCTCGGGAGAGGACGAAGACGAAGCGGATCGCATCGTCGGTCCATGATCGCTCAGATCGATGCCCCTCGAAGGTGAATTATGCGGCGAGGACGAGGGAGATGACGACGAGGAAGAGCCATCTTCAGATCCCAGCAGCTCCCTGCCGCCACCGTGGGCCGCTGCCAAGTCCGGCAGGTCGGGATCTAGCAGCGGTCGGTTGACCGAGATGCGGCGGTGCGACTTGAGGGCTTGCACCTCTCGCTGAAACTCGGACTCGGTGATGTTCTGCATCCCTCACCGGCAGCACCACGATCTTCGGTCCAAGCTGAATCGAAGGTCGAGACACAAATTGCTGGGTCGAGAGTCTGATGCAACCAGATGCAGGATGAAGCAAGGGTCGGGTCCGCCGTTGGGTCGTCAGAAGGGTCGAGAGAGAAAAATGAAAGGATTGGGACCAGGGGGACGACGTATGCAGTTCTAGGTGCCAGTCATGTGACGTTGGGCGACTTGCGAGAAGCCTGCTGGCTGAGCTCCTGATATTATGGTGTCGCGACTGAGCGGCTACCCGCGGCGAAGGCGGTGGTTGCCTAAGCGCTGGCTTTGAGAGCTCGCGATCGAGGCTGCAAAGAGGTACGAAGGCCGCCCACTTTGCTTGCTCTCTCTCCCTCTAGCCAAACCAAACTGGTCCGACTCTACTCTCGCCAGCTGCTTTGAGAAAGTCCCCCCTCTGCCAAAAGCCCGAAGATGAATACGACGATAGCGGTATTGATGGGTGCTGATGTCTGTTCGCCCGACAAGGAGAAGAATCGCTATCGCCAGTGTGACGCGACCGAGGCGCAGGAATCCGAAAGTGCCGCCCAGACCCCTCTTTCTTTCTCGCCCGATTTAGGAAAAATTCGAGCAGAAAGGCCAATTTATGTGACCCCCGTGGTCGTGGGCAGCCAGAGCGCGGACGGGTCCAGGGTCGTAAGGATCAGGAAGGGAGGTAGGGAGGATGGGAGAGAAAAACAAAAACCAAAAGCGGCCAGAGAAAGGGGAAGATCCTTGGAACGATGGTGCCGCTGCCTCTCGCTCGACCTAGGCTGGCTCACACGCACCGCTGAACCCCGGCGTGGATAATTTCAAAATTGGGATGAATACAAATTTCCACAGACCCTATTTTAAAGTATCGGACCGGTACTGGTCAGATGGGCATCTTCACATGGTCACTTCTGCTTCGTCTTTCGTCTTTTGAGCTTGCTGGTTCTGATGTTGGTAGTGTTACATGATGGTTCAACGACGTACGACAAAAGGTAGGATGTCATCAAAAGCGCGCCTGTCCAGGAACCATGGCTCCTTTTCGCCGAGAATTCTCGACTCAGCCTTAGAGTGATGCGATGACGAGGAAAGCTGCTCGGACCGCTTTTCAAGAGGCATGCCCTCCCAATTCGTCTTCCCGCGAAGACTGTGGCTAAACTTTCTCCAGAAGCCTTTGTAGCCTCGGCTGTGGGGTTTGGCGCCCCCAGCGCTCTCGAGAACGTACCAGAGCTTTTCGTCGCCAACCTTGAAGATGATATCCCGACGGTGCGGTATTCCAACATGGACATCCCCTCGATCCGTCCTGACAACCTTGTTCTTGCCCAGGCTCGCTGCCGTTGCGCTCCCCCGAAGTCGGTACACGAGCGAGAGGGGAACCACGCGCTCGTTGTTGCGTCTCGTCTGATAGAACCCTCGAAGCTCTGCCGTTTTGCGAAGGGGGCTTGGGTAGATTGCCCTGGGAATAAGTGCCGAAAGGCCTCTAGATGCCGTCCGAATCGTTAGTTGTCGCTTTGCAACGTCGAGCGAAAGCTTCGTCACGGCTCTCGCGGGAACACTGAAGAATAAAAGAGCCTAAGATCGAGGATGGTGTCAATTACCACTTGCATCCTTTGGCGTCGGAAAAGATAAATGATGGCTCACAGTCAGGATTCCAGCAGAGCCTGCAAGACCGGCGGCGATGCCTCTTTTCCCCTCGCCGACCAGTTGAGGTGGGTTTCTCGGATCTTGTGAAAAGATGGGCCAGGTAAGATGATAGTAAAAGTCGTAGGCAAGCTCGGCGCTGCGCCATCGTAGCATTTAGTGTCCTTCTTCGAACAGTTGCGTTAGCCCTGAAAAGACTCACCCCACCACAAGAAATGATGCTCCGATCGTGTAATAGATCCATGACTTCATTGGTTGTGGGCCTCGGTAGATGACGATGGGGGTGTTCCTGACTGCGTTCTGCTTCACTCCCCGCCTCAGCAGGACGGACCTCATCCCCGCCCCCATGGCCTCCTGCATTGCAGTCGGCAAGCGACCTGCTGTGCATCTCGCGCCCGGGAGCCGGACCCCGGTCGTCCTCAGCGTCGCCAGCCACAGCGACATCTTCGATGGTTGCGCGAGGCGGGCAAGCCAAGGAAGAAGCATAGGATGAAGCTGGAAAAGTGGCTTACATAATGCTGAATGGCACGTGCGAGACCATTGCTCCGACAGCCAAGTGGACGAAGTATAGCCACCTCATTCCAAGGCTCGACGGTGGACTGTAAGAGGCATCTAAGCAAGCGCGCTCATCTAGATGGGGCGACAATAAGGACTGGTAGGAGCAATGTCGAGCCGACCAGCACCAGACTCGAGCTCGACAGTCAGCTTGAGCGGGCAGTCATCTGGACCAGTTCCGCCAGTGTGGGAGGATGATGCGTGGGGCATCGATTCTGACGATGACGAGTTCGTAAAAGCCAACAATGGTCGAGGACGAGGGAATGCTGGGCCTTCAGGGATGTCTAAACAAAAACATGCGCCACCAGCCCGGCCGCATCCTTTCCCACTATCGGGTGAGATTAAGCGAGGAGCCAGCTCCAGTAGCGTGCCTCGAGCCTCAGGCGAAGTACGTCCACAGCCGCTAGCTGGAGCCGAGGGAAGCAAAAGGACCTCTGGGGCAGGAAGTTGGATGTTCGTGGAGCGCAGCGGTAGCATGCCTAGAGCGTCACCGACACTCTCAGCTGCGGAAGGAGTGGCGTCAAGCTCAGCCCTGGAGTCAGGAGAAGATGGAAGCTCAATGACCGACAACCAGAAACCACGGGCGAGACGACGAACTGTAGGCGAGGGAGAAGGAGATGTAGATGATATAAGAGATGCGCTGCAAAGCGATCTAGACAGAGTTCTTCAGGGCGAGTCTTGTCTCGTTGAGCATTAAAATCTATGGCAGGCTGACTCCTTTTCATCAGATCCTACCGAGATGCTCGCTCGACTGTCGATACAGAATTCTCTTCCGGTTGGGTCTCCCGCTGCGGAAGCGAAAGATACCTCGATCATCGACTCTGCTCTCGCCTCGAAAGCCTCAGTTTCGACACCAGAAGGGAATTCTGAGGATGCAGAAGTGAGCTTACCGCTTGCAGTCGCGGCTTCTCTGGAGAGGAAATCAAGTGTGCGCAGCGAACGGAGGCGAGCTCGCTTTGCCGAGTGCTTGGCCGCCAGCACCGTGAATATGGAAGAGCTGCGACGACTGGCCTGGGCTGGGGTTCCAGACAATGTTCGACCAGTGGTGTGGATGCTCTTACTGGGCTATCTGCCTCCAACGCGGGCAGTGCGAGCTTCGACTATGGCAAGGAAGAGGGCGGAGTACCAGTCGGGCGTGAGGCTGGCCTTTCAAAGAGGTACAGAGTCCCTTGATCAGGCCATCTGGCACCAAATACACATCGATGTTCCTCGGACCAATCCTGGGATTGCTCTTTGGCAAAGAGAAGCGACGCAAAAGGTGGGCTCAGGCAGCGGAAGAAAATCGATGCATTGCTGACCCGCAGAATCTGTTCATCAAGGCTTTGGAACGGATTCTGTATGTCTGGGCCATTCGACATCCTGCGAGTGGCTACGTGCAAGGCATCAATGACCTGGCCACACCATTTTTCGAAGTGTTTTTGAGCGCTTATATATGTATGTCTGCTATTTGCCGACTATGAGGAGGTCGCTGACTAGCTCGGACAACACAGCCACAGACCCAGAGCAGTATGATGTTGGTCTTTTGCCACCTGCTGCCCTCGAGGCCCTCGAAGCGGACACGTTCTGGTGTCTGTCGAAGCTGCTCGATGGGATCCAGGACAATTACATTTTCGCGCAACCTGGCATCCAGAGGCAGGTCCGTCGCATGTCGGAGCTCGTCTCACGGATCAACCGTGAGTGTCCTGGCCGCAATTCGCAAACAATACCAGAGAACAGAAGGCGCTTACAAATCTTGTCACAGCCTCGCTACACAGCCATCTGGAGCAACAAGGCGTAGAGTACATGCAATTCGCCTTCAGGTGGATGAATTGTCTGCTGATGCGCGAGATGAGCGTGCGCAACATCGTTCGCATGTGGGACACGTACTTGGTCAGTTTTGATCCTTTTTTCTTCTCTCGAAGAACCAAAGCTGAACGGTCGCGCTCTTCACAGGCGGAAGGACCAGATGCCTTCTCTGAGTTTCATCTCTTTGTCTGCTCCGTCTTTCTCGACAAGTGGAGCGCCGAGCTCTGCAAGATGGACTTTCAGGGGATCATCATGTTCCTGCAAAGTCTGCCGACGCAGCAGTGGAGCGCCAGGGAGACGGAGTTACTGCTCTCTGATGCTTTTGTGTGAGTCGTCCTCGTACCATGCGTGCTCTCAGGATTTAGCTGAGGATGATTGTCTCGGACGGCAACAGCAAAAAGAGCCTTTTTGGAGGGACTGCCCACCTCACGAATTGACTTCACAAATGTCACCACCATCAATCAATCACCAGTCAGGCATCTGAACGTCATGGCGCCGCCGCTCAGCAAAATTGTGCATTGTTAGACACTCATCACCATAGGAATGACTCAAACCTTTCGCATAAGCCCCAAATCTTACCTGCCAACACAAGCCTGTGGATCTAGCTTCTCAAATGGCCGTCAAACAGCATTGTCACCGCCCTTGAAGCCCACCGTTTGCATGCAAAACGCAATTGTTCATTCCACGAGGTGTTTAAAACAAAGATTATACGGAATCATGCAGACGATGATTAGAGTCGTGCCGGGGCTGATGGAGAGGCGGCTTGAATGTCCTTGGCAATATCGATCAAAACCTTGTAGAGCTGCACAAGTTGTCACGCAGACCAACACAGTCAGTAAAAGATCTAGCCCTTTTGCTCAGCCTCCTTTGCAGCACTCACATCGCCGTTGCGAATGCTTTCGAAGATGACGCTGACGTAGCCTCCGATGGTCTCCCTCTTCAGGGGGCTGGCACCGTTCGTGTTGGCCTTGAATTCGAGCATGTTCTCTTCGCCATGCATGGGGACGCCCAGCGACCTTCGCACGTACTCGTACATCTTGGCAGTCTTTCCGAGCATCGGCGAGGCGTGGCAGCCCTTGGGATCCTGCAGGAATTCTCGGGTGACGCGGCGGTACAGGTCGTATGTCTCACGGGCCGAAGCATCGCGCCAGGCTGTGGAAAGGAACGGAGAAGAGGTGAGTTCGAGCTGTAGGCATAGGATTTGGCGAGATAGGCCACTCACCCATAATTGTGCGAAGAGGATCAGCACCGCCACCACTGGGCAGGTTGCTAAAGTAGGCCACCAACTCGTAGCCAGCATTCATGTAGGCGTCTTGCAGCCTTGCCTCGAGGTCCCTCGCACTTGTTTCGTCCATGCGCTTGTTCAGCCTAGCAAAGACCTTCTTGGCCAACTTTGCCTGGTTCTCGTCGTCGATCCAGGTAGAGAAGAATTTCTTAATCGACTTTGACATTTGCGCCGCGAGGAGGATCGACGTCTTTCGCTGGAAGGCGCGCAGGTCCAATGCCTGGCACAGGAGGTAGAGGGACCATGCCATGAGCATAGAGAGAACTTCGATGGCTTCGACGGTGTAGCGAGCAGAGACGAGAGCCATCGAGTTGATGGCTTGGTTGCCCATCTCAGCCGCTTGGACGTGCGTCGTGACTGGGTTGGCCAGGTAGCCGAGCTCAGCCGTGACGGCGGCGAGGGCGATATCGACACCCTTGGCGTGGAAGTTGAGCGAGGGGTCGGTGGCGGCCAGGTTTGCCGGCAGGCCGCGGTTCATTGCAGGATTGATGAGCTCCGTCTGAGAATCAAAGTCCGTAAGCGAAAAGGGAATTTTTGCAAAAGCGATGAGAGAAAGGAGAAATAAATCTCACCATTTGCTGGAAGGTGATCTTGCCGAAGTGGTGGAGCGACAGCCTCGTCTTCTCCATGGCGTTGCTGATAGCCATGGCTTGGAAATTGCCGCCGTGGTGAATTGTTGCAGTGTCGCCATCGGCATTCACCTCGATGAGAGGATTGCTAGATTTTGCCCAACAATTGAGTCAGTCAGCCATACCTTTTAGGCATACAGGCCGATGGAATCGTACTCACTCGGTGGTGCTGTTCATTTCTCTCTCAATCGTCTTCCAGCTCTGGTGGATGTCCTCAATCTGGGGTCCGATCCACTGAGCCGAAGTTCTGAGCGTGTAGCGATCCTGACGAAGCGAACCTTCGTCTTCGGAGATGCTGAGGTGAATCTCGTCCCGATGGTGGCTTGCAAATTTGCTCGTCTCCAGCATGACGGCAATGGTATTTGCGCATTCGACCTGTCCGGCGTGGGGCCGGCAGACGTCGTGGATGAACGAGGCAAACGAGCCATCCGTTCCGTAGAGGGCTTCGATGGCCATGGCCGTCGTGACCTGCGTGAGAAGGCAGAGCATCGAAGCGTCATGGATGGCGAGCGCGGCAACGGAGCTGGAGAAGGCCGTGCCGTTGAGGATACCCAGCGCCTCCTTCGGCTCAAATGTCGTGGCCTCAATCTTGCGCTCCTTGAGGGCTTCACAGGCAGGTATCTTTTTACGAGCACCGTCGGGCCCATCAACCCAAGCCTGGATGCCCGTTTGGCCGGCAATGGTCCCGGCGACATAGCTGAGTGGGCTCAGATCTCCGCTGGCCGAGATCGAGCTTCGGAGTGGGACGACTGGCGTGATGTTGTAGGCGAGGATCGACTGCATCTTCTCGAGGACCTTCCATCGGACGCCGGAATGGCCGCGCATCAGGCTGTTGAGCCGCACCAGGATCGCGCCTCGCACCCAGGACTCGGGCTGAGAAAGCTCGTTGGTCGAGAGCGTCAATGAGGCGTTTGGCGGCGACGGCGTGCCCGTGGGAAAGTAACCGGGGACGGGCAGGACACCGCACTGCTGGTGTTGGAGCAGAGCGAGCTGGAGCGCCCGTGTGTTGGGCGTTCGCGAGTCTGCTGAGCCACCGAAGCCAGTGTTAATGCTGCAAGAGAGAGAGAGCGTGTCAGAATGCGACGCAGAGACGGCTCGAGGGTAAAGAGGTTATACTCACCCGTAGATGCTCTCGCCATTGGCGAGTCTCTTTGCGAGTGTCGAGACGGAAGCCTCGATGCGCTTTCGGACGTGCGGGGACTCGTCGAGGCCCGGCGTCACGCGATACCGGGCGGTGGCCACGAGGGCAGCGACGGTGAGCGTTTCGCCATCAATGGTCACGCCCGACGGTTTCGCGTGCCCATTCTTGTCCGAGCGCGTCTCCTGAGCATGGGCAGGCGTGCCTTTGGCTGGCTTGGCGATGGCCTCGGGGAACGAGTAGCGTCGGTGGGTGCTGAGCGTGTCCCACGACTCAATGACTGTACCCAAAAGCGTCTGCGGAGTGTTCATCTTTGGTGTGCGGCACAGGGTGAACGCAGAGGGAGACGAGGGAGCGAGGACTGACACCGACTGAGATTTGGAAGGAGCATTGCCTATCTACACCTCTCAATCTCTCCTTTATACCCCTGGCCTGCTGTCCTGTCCGTGCACTGGCACGATCTCCCGTGCCCCTCACCCCCGTTTCGCCCCCGCGGCGCACGCAACAACCAAAAAAATAAAGTAGCAGCAGTCGTGTGTATCTCTCTTATCGGCAAGGGTCCCGCGGCCGCCGAGATATGAACGCGCTAGTGTTGGACGGGTCGCATTCCACGGTACTGCGCGTAGAACAACGTGGCGTTTGACCTCATGACTATTGAAGCGGAACGGACTCTGGGCCGATCATGGATTCGTCTTTTGGCGCGCGCCCTCTCCGTCGATCCAAGTGCTGAACGGGAGACCCCACCCAGATCTGGTCGGGAGCCTTGAGACAGACACATGTGACGGTTTTTTCCCTCGAGCAAGAAGTCATTATGAACCGAACACGAGCGCGAGACGCTACGTTGGCCCGATAAGTGACGATCATGCGTCGGGATCGCTGAAACGGACTAGTGGTTTTATTTTTAGCTTGGTTTCCCAGGCACGTAAACTCTCCCAGATCTCAACAAAAAAAGGGCAAAAAAGATGCTCTCTCGCCGGGAGTCGAACCCGGGACTCCGCCGTGCACGTGCAGGGGGTACACTTGTCTTGTTGCAGCCAAGAGACTGACAAGGCGACATTCTACCGCTAAACCACGAAAGACTTATATGATGGAGCCCAGTCATTGTCAATACATATACAACAACGTTCTAGGTACGATCTTGCTATCGTGATGCGGTGACTGTTTGAAACTGCAAGGTGGGGCCCGTTGTCAGGCCGAGACACAGTCGCGAAGGAGAAAAAGGACTCTCTTGGTTCTTATCTGACTGTGGCTGGTCTGAGTCCAGCGCGAAGAAAGGTCGAGCACCAGAATTTGCAAGGAGGCTTTCATTCTTCTGGCTATCTCGTCACATTTTTACGCGACGGCTGGTCTTCTGAAAGGTTGCTTTCTCACACGACAGACTCGCAGGAGCAGGAGTCGATGCGAGGGCCGCTTAGAGAACTTCGCCGTTTTGTCTCGCTCAACAACAGCAGGATCTCCACACGAACGCAGACGGTAGTCCGTACGCAGCCCCTACAAGCCCTCCGCGTTCAAGCGCCTTCGTCACCAATCGCAATTCGCCGCCTTGCAACAATGGCGGCGGCAGCAGCTACACCTGTGTCGGACGCAGGATGGACGCCTCCAGAACCCGGAACAATTCCAGCACCAGCGAGGCGGGCACCTGAGGACATCCACACCCACGCCAACCTCATCGAGATCCGGCCGACACACCTTGATCTGGAATGGACCATTGACTGGGACAAGCGGATCTTTTCGGGCTCGGTCGAGCACACTCTCGTCGTGGAGCAGGATGGCGTGGACCGCTGTGTCATGGACTCCAGCTTCCTCGACATTCACAAGGTCACAGTCAACGGAAAGGACGCCAAGTGGGAGTTGAGCAAGAGGAAGAACACCCTTGGAAGCGCGCTCACGATGCAGATCGGAAGGAGGAACCAGGGCGACAAGATCAAGGTGCTCATCGACTACAGCACAACCGAGCAATGCACGGCTCTGGGCTGGCTGACCACGGAGTAAGTCGCTCTAGATAAGCACATCGCAAATAACTGACCGACGTGCTGCACACAGGCAAACCGAGTCCAAGAAGACGCCCTTTCTCTACTCTCAGGCGCAGGCGATTCACGCCCGGTCGATGCTGCCATGCGTCGACTCGCCATCGCGCAAGATCACCTACACAGCAAAGGTGCACAGCAAGATCCCTGTGCTGATGAGCGCTCTTGCCGAAGGCACCGTCCAAGCCTCTCCGACGGAACCAGGCGAAGCGCGCGTTGGGAACGCTGACACCAATGGGCTCAGCACCTATCACTTCCGGCAACCTGTCTCGGTGCCCACGTACCTCATCGCCATCGTCGGTGGTACCCTCTCGTTCCGCTCCCTGGCACCTCGCGTCGGGGTCTGGGCCGAACCCACGATGATCGATCGAGCCGAGTGGGAATTCAAAGAGGATGCCAATCGGTTCCTCATCGCAGCCGAAGACACCATCTCGCCGTACTCATGGAGCCGGTACGACTGTGTGGTTCTGCCCCCCAGCTTCCCATATGGCGGCATGGAGAATGCCAACTTGACGACGCTCACTCCGAGTCTCATCGCCGGAGATCGATCCCAAACAGACGTCTTGCTCCACGAGCTGGCCCACAGCTGGTCGGGCAACTTGACGTCGTGCGGCAATTGGGCCTCCTTCTGGCTCAACGAGGGCATCAATGTTTGGATTGAGAGACTGCTCCTCCAAGTCGTCCATGGTCCCGAAGAAGGTCCTGCTCAGCGAGGATTCTCTTATATCATTGGGGCCAAGGCGCTGACCGACGCACTCGAGCAGTTCAAGGACATTCCCCGATTCCAGAGATTGGTTCCTGTCTTCAAGGAGGGCGAGGACCCCGACGACTGCTTCAGCAGCATTCCGTACGAAAAGGGATCCAACTTCATCCTTCACCTCGAGCAGACCGTTGGGGGTCTTGACGTCTTCCTTCCGTTCATTCGAAGCCACTTTAGGACCTTTTACGACCGCTCTGTCACAACCGAGGAGTGGAAGCAGCACCTCTTCGACTTCTATAAGGGGAGCCCCGAGATCTCGAAGAAGCTTGAGGCAGTTGACTGGGACGGTTGGCTGCATGGCGAGGGGTTGGAGCTTCCGGTCAAGATGGTAGGTGCCTTTCCTGTCTTTGGTTTCTAAAAACCCTCGCTGAGATACATGCGGTTTAGCAATACGACGACCGACTCGCACTGCAAGCCTTCAAATTGGCCGAGAGGTGGATCAAGGTTATCGAAGGCAAGAACGATATCAGCTCTGAAAAGTTCAAGCCCAAGGACATTGAGGTGAGTAGTGTCTCATTCTCAATTCTTGGCATCTTGTTCACTGGTCACTTCCATGCAGGGATGGGACTCGAACCAAGTCGTCGTCTTCCTCGAGAGACTTCACGCTGGTCCGCGCATCACGGGCGAGATCATCGAGTCCCTCGATTCCACGTACAAGATTTCTTCGAACACCAACACCGAGATTCTTGTCCGCTTCTACGAGGTTGCACTCGAGGATCCAAAGGGCAAGTACGCCAAGGAGGCGGCACAGTGGGTCACCAAGCAGGGACGAATGAAGTACTGTCGGGCCATCTATCGGGCGCTGTTCGCCGTCGAGCCAGAGCTGGCGAAGAAGACGTTCACGGAAAACAAGACGTTCTACCATCCCATTGCGGCGGCCATGATTGAGAAGGTGAGCTGTCTTTTCCCCATTTTGAGCCCGAGAATCCGTTCCTCACCCTTGGCTTGGGCAGGATCTCGGTCTCTCGTCTTGATGACCCCTCTCCACACGTCTTTGCTCCTTGCCCCTCTGTCCCTACATTCCATCAAACACCTTCATGCTGAACTGCAATCAAAATTCTCTCCAAAAGGACCTGCAACTGATTCCGAGCAGGCCGCAGGTTGGGGACAAAGGCCTCCTGTTTGCCGTGTGTGGCTGTACAGGAACCGGAAAGACGAAGTTGGGCGTCGAGCTCGGCCACTTGCTCTCGGGTCGAGCCGAGGTCATCTCCGCCGACAGCATGCAGATCTACCAAGGCCTCGATGTCATCACGAACAAAGCCTCGACCCAAGAGATGGAGGGTCTGAAGCACCATCTGATGAGCTTTCGACATCCTTGTCCTCCTACGAGGGGGGACGAATACGTCGTAAAAAACTTTGTGGAGGATGCAAATGCCCTGGTGTGTAGCATTGGTAGCTTCGTACGAGCACCTGGCTGAAACCCCGCTGTTGCACAGATTGAGAAGATGGACAAGGAGGGAAAGACACCGATTGTTGTTGGGGGAACGACGTACTACATCCAACATCTCTTCTTGCCGGGCCGTCTCGTCTCGCTAGCGAATGGCGACGAAGAGGGCAAAGAAACAAAGTCAGGCGGTGAAGAAGACATTGACTCGATCCTGCATAATTACGACCTTACTGCGCGCCTCGACGAAGCTCAAATACGCCTCTTGCATCGACTGGCAAAGGAGGAGGGCGCAAACTTTCAGTCGCTGGGTGCGACTGCTCTGCAGCTCTGGAAGACGCTCGAGATGGTCGATCCTACAATGGCCCAGCGGTGGCACATCAAAGATACCAGAAAGGTCATGAGGAGCATTCGCATCTTGCTAGAGACAGGCAAGAGGCAATCAGAGTGGATCAAAGAGCAGGACAGAGTCGAGGAGGAGCAACATCGCTGCGACGGGGGAGGAGCGGACAAGGAGCAGAGGGACAAAGTCATTTTCTGGCTCTGGTGCGACCCCACAGTGCTAAAGGAGAGGCTCAATAACCGCATTGAGAAGATGATTGACGTGAGTCTTTGCCTGTCGTATCTGTGATCAAGATACTAAAATACTTTAACCGATAGCGAGGGCTTTTGAAAGAAATTGTCGAACTTCGCACACTCGAAGCGGCCACGATGTCTCCGGGCAAGAGAGACTTCGAGAGGGGCATCTTCCAGACCATTGGTAGGTCGGCCTTCACTTGGTTAGAGAACGGTGGAAGCTGACAAGAAGCTGCTCTTCTCAAGGCTACAAAGAGTTTGACGCCTATCTGACTCATTGCCAACGGACTGGCACCCTCACTTCGCTCGATTCACGCTCCCTGCGGCCATCATGTGACGACGAGCAAGGTAGGACCCTGTTTGCAAAGGCAGTCGAGGACATGAAGACAGCAACGAGACAGTATGCACGCTCGCAGACGCACTGGATCCGAAACAAGCTCATTCCTGAGATCCGGAAGGAAAGGTCACGGGGTGCAAGAGTGTACCTGTACAGACTTGATGCGACTGGTGAGCTTGCGGCGAGAGTTCTTCTCTTCCTCAGAGGATAAGAAAGTCCTGACTTTGTCTCGCAAAAGATCTAGACAAATGGGACGAATCGGTTGGAAAGCGAGCAAAGGAGATTGTTCAAGGTAAGCCCCCTCCTTGCTCGATTACAGAACTGCATCTCTCAATCCTGACGGTCATCGGCCATAACCAGGCTTCGTTAATCGATATTCATCAGTGTGCGACGACTACATCTCGCAAATTGATAGTCAAGAATGGGGAGGATCGTCTCATCAAGCCGGAGGAGTAGACCAAATCGGCCGCAACAGATTTGAAATCTGCGATCTGTGCACCCAATATACCTGGCACCAGCTAGAAGAACAAGATCGGAAAGAGGGACGGGAGGAGAATCAAACCCCGCCAAAGGGAGAAGAAGGGGAATCTGAAGGCATTGACAGCAACAGCGAAATCGAAAGGGAGCCCTATCTTGTCCGAGAGGCCGACTGGCAAGCTCATCTAAAGAGCAGAGCTCATCGAGCTGCCTTACGCTGGAAGCAGGGCCCACGAAACAAACCAGACGAGGGACCAGAGGCTGTAGAGAAGCGCAGACGTAGGCGAGACGCCGCCGCTGCTGCTGCTGCCGCAATAGCAGCGACAGTGGCAGAGTGAAGTTTCGGGTTCATGCAATAATCTCCGCTGTCTTGTAAATTATCGTTGTGTAGTATGTATCCATAATATCCTTGTTGGTTGACACAGCCATCTCTATTTTGTCGCACGGCCTTTGGTCGCTTTGATTAACGAGTGTCGAGTGTCGAGGAACAGGGGCCCCTGCTCGTGATCCTAGGCAGGGATAGAGCAAGAAGAAAGCGTGCCGTGACCCGCTCTACCGAGGCCAAAAGTTGGTTCTTTATAAGGAATAGCCTGTAGCATCAGGCAGTGTTGCCTAGGTAACATGCTGGCAAAAATTCCGGAACCCTCTTTCCCATGAGGGATTTCGGCACTTCGCTCTCGCTCCTCCTCTTTATGTAAGACGGGATTCTTGACTCTCGAGTACTGCTCTGTACCAATTTTGTAGACACATCTCTCGCCGAGCTTAACTATGACCTTGTCGGAGGAAAAGGATCCAGCAAACATGCCGAACGGCCAATTTCTGTGAAGAGGAAGTTCCCAGAGGTCTTTTTGGGGTTGTCCGTTTCATTTTCCTCTGCCTCATTTGGCTCTTGAGTGGTAACGTCGCGAAATGGACGAAGAAGAGGAAAAGAGGCCTATAAAGAGGATGCTATCTCAACACAATTCATGCCCTGTTCCATTGCAAAGTCTGAAGAAGCACTCGCTCCCACATAGCTTGGCTTGCCACCCTCTTCAGCCCACGTCCCACTCGTAGTACAAGATCGTTCAGTTGTTTGCGTCTTATCCAAGCACATCGACAAGCGCAGCGATGAGAACGCAGCAGTATTTCCTGTCAGCAGGACGTCTCGTGCTCCTTCTTCCTCTCCTTCTCACGATCATGGAGCCCGTTCGTCATTCGACATCACCGTTCTCTTCTCACTCTATCGCTTCGAAAGTCGGCGTCATTGCTTCTCCCTTGCCGCCCTTCAAAGAGTCAAGGGAGGTCAGTATCGAGCCTAAGGCTTCCAAGCTACAGACGTCTTCGTCGAGCAAGCTCTCCTTTGTTGAAGATGCCACCGACGAGGCATTCCACTTCGACGATGATTCGACCGGTCAGCTTTCTTGGTCTCTTCAGGTCAGGCAAGTCGAACTGAAGGAGCGCAAGATGGGCACTTCCGACACCGAAAAGGGTTCCGCGGTAAACAAGCAAGAAGACGAGCCGAAAGACGAAGCGAAGGTAGAAATGAGTAACTGGCATTTCATCACGGAGCCGATCATCGACGAAGAAACGACTGCGACTCCATTGCAAGACGGAAATGGCCGATGGCCTCTCCAATCCTTGAAGACGAAGACGAAAAGAGAAACGAAAGGGGAAGACAACGGAGGAGACGAAGGAGACGAATATGGTGGATGGCACTTTAGCCGAAGACAGTGTAACGAGTGAGTGTGGGAAATGTCGCCTTAGATACAAGAGCGAGTTGATTGATTATAGAAAGCCTTTTCCGCGCCACAGAGATTGGTGTTTCAGGCGTAGACCTGGACGCAAGCACAAAAGAACGGTCGCAGATGCGTCTTCAGAACCCCAAGAGATCACCACAAGCGCTCGCTCTACGATGCCCGAGACAAAGACGGAGAAGCGAGCAGGAGAAAATGAAGGTGCGGCTCTTGGCTCTGCGGAGCGTGAGACGAGACGTCCTCGCTCGGACGATGACCTTGGCGGGTCAGTGTATCATATCTTCTGGAAAGGACCAAGTCACCTACTGAATTCCACTCGAAAGACCGTGGTCTTATCACTTCTAGTATCGTGCTTCGCAGGCCCTGTCATCGACGTGAATAGCTGCGAAGGCTCAGGAAAAGGAGAAACAGCTCGTGACAGCACTCCTCCTTTGCTCCTTTGTTTGACATCTGGTCTCCACATCGCCTTTCTTCACCTCAATCTTTGCCGATGGCGAGAGAGAGCATGAGAAACACGAGATCCTCTCGCCTGTTCATTACTCCTTCTCACCCAAATACTCTCGCTTCGACACTCTCCTCTCCATCACCACCGTTCTCTAGTTCAGACATGAAAAAAAAGTGTAAATGCCAGTACATTGATTATGAATGAATGAATGAGAACTAGAATACATCTTGGGCCTGACATTTGCGCAGGAGCTACTCTGCCCCATGCTCCTCCAGGCCCAGCCCAATGGCTGACGAAGGGACGTGGAAAGGTCTCGTCGATGAATTCGATGGCACAGGTGATGAAGAAGTGCCCGTCGAGGTGGTCGAAGGGGCCTCCATTGTTAAAGGTGGGGGTAGTGCATCGCTGGATTTCTCCGACTCGGGTTCATCATCTACGTCGATTGAGGGAGACCTCAGAGATGACAAGTAGGCCTCTTCCCGACTGAGGGCGCTACCCTTGAGTGCCGCCCGGGCCATAAGTCCCGACGAAAGCGCCTCTGCTGATTCGTCGCTTGACGCATTGGGCCCATGTTTCACAGCGCTCCTCGGTAACCAGCCGTGCCGATTGCTCGGTCGGCTGCTGCTTCCGGTGCCCAGCTGCACGCCGACATGCGGTCCCAAAGGCGAAGAGGAGGCGGGATGGTATTCTCTGCTCGCGAGATCAAGTAACCTGCTCGCATCGCCCGGCATCCTGTGCGATGGCCCTTGGTCGTCCAACGATGTACTGGCGGTCGAGTTAAAGCCGACCTGAAGCGCACGAAGCAAGCCATCAACAGTGGCCTGCGACTCGTCCTGCGACAGAAGCCCGGCCAAGATACTCGACATCTGAAGCAAAGGAGGGTAGACGGAAAAGGACGATTCGCCATCGTCTGTCGTCATACCAAATGAAGACGTCGCTCGGAAAGTATCGTCTGACGAAGGTGCGCTTTGGATCAGACCCTTGCTTGGCAAGTTAGCCCCCATTTCTCGCCCAATATCATAGTCGCGAATGTGGCCAAAGAGGTAGAACAACCGCTCGTAGATCGGTAGCACGAGGTGATCGCGAAAGACAGTCAAGGCGATCTTGCGAACTTCGATTCGTGGTCCTCGAAGGCTGATGCCGTGAGAAGGACCATTGGAAGACGTCGAGTTGGAAGACGACGACGCGTGAGCGGCGCCAGCAGCTGAAGTCTGTGACGCCATGTTGTCCCTCTTTGACAGACTGACGAGGACTGGGTCCGTCTGGAGCGGCAGGAAGCAGGCTTCGATGCATGGAAGAATGGACGTAAAGAAGAAGGTCCAGAGGTCTGCCAGGCGCGAAAGCAGGCGCGAGTCGTCGTTGGCAGCCAGCGAGGAGAGGTGCGACGAAAGCGTGTAGGTGCCAGCGGCACAAACAGTGTAGAGATCTTTTGACAGGCTGTCCAGAGCGCGGGCCGGACTTCGGGTGAGATGACGGTGAGCATGTGCACTGAAAGGCGTCAATCAGCACTTTTTTTCATTTTCGTCGTGATGTCAGCTGTTCACTTACCTAACATACTCGTTGAGCTCTTCGATGGTGCCTCGAAGATCTTCGCCGTTGTAGAGGGGGAGAATACGGACACATATGGTGTGCCAAACATCGCTCCAGGCGCCCGGGGCACTTTCGATGCTTGGAGGGTGCGGAGGAGCTGGTGTACCTTTCGAGACAGTGCCTGAACGGCTCGACAGCGTTGCCGGATCACCGGTGCTAAGGATTGAGGCAGGTGTTGAGGCCTTCTCGAGCTCCTTCATCATATACCTCGCATCATATGCCTGATGTGTCCTCGATGTGGATCCTGTGTCATTGGCGACTTCGCCACCTCCGGCAATAATCGCTCCTGCGACATTTCTCGAAGTCTGTCCCAAGGTCAAGCTTCTCAGGTGGTCTGTGTTATTTTGCTGTGCAATTCGAACGAAGACTGTCTTTTTCGCAGAGGACGCAGGGGCAGCTGACGGCGCTGCGGGTGGTAGCCCTTCGGCATCGGCGGAACCTTCTACGATGTCTTGCATGACCTGTCCTGCCTCCTTTTCCCCATCCTTTGGTGGCTCAGGGGGTAGCTGCTTGTTCACGGGCCCGCTAATACTTCTCTGCATCTCGACATCAGAGATTGCGTCTGGATCGCTCGAGGGAACGGCAAGCTCGACAAGAGTCCACCCTGTATTCTCCATACGAACGCGCTTGTAGGACACTCGAGGATCAGGCCATGGCGAGGAAGGATCGGACGCATCGTGCAAAGACATGAAGACGCGTAAAAGCTGGCAAGTGCTATCAGCAATCCGGAGGGGAGAGGGTGACGTAACTGAGATTGACGTACCTCGGCTATCGCTATGCCATGAGCAACCACAACGATATGGGGGCCCATGGCTGCGTCCGGCAGGTGGTTGGGCTTCTGGCTGTCCTTTCGCAGCGCCTCGAGCCTCGGAAGGATATATCGCCTGACCGCCACGCCCATCCTGGCATTCACCTCGTCCAATGACTCGCCGTCAGGAAAACGAAAGGATCTCGAGTTCTCGCCCGAGGCTGAGTTCATCCAATCTGATACCAAAGTCGTTGGATATGTGTCAGCTACTGCTAGCTCTGCCGCCAGTCTCTACAGTAGGCCGTGGCTAACACTCACTCGCATCGTGCCAGCTCCTGCCCTCTGCCTGTCCAAAGTTCTGCTCTCTGAATGTCTGAGCCTGGACCAGTGGCGGTGGAGGCACGCTCTGGTTGGCCGCAAGGATCTCCTCGGCAGTCCTGCGGGCCCTCTTGAGGTCGGAGGAGTAGATGGCATCGATGGGCAGTGTCGAGAGCGAAGCTCCCAGCGCCTTTGCCTGATTGATACCCGTCGCGCTCAGCGGCGAGTCCTTATGTCCGGCCCAGATGGCGTTGAGGTTGTCCTCACTCAGGCCATGCCGAACGAGGAGTATCCTCAGTGTGCCAAACTGCATCGTCTTTTGGTCGGCGGCCGCCTACTTTTCTCCCCCTGTCTGAAGATGGGCCGTGCTTGCTTTGGTGATGGTTGCCAAAGAGCGCTAAATTAGAGTGGCGCAGCTGGGTGGTGGAGCTGTCGCCAAGTATATTATTTTTTCTTTCGCTCTTCTTAGACTTTCTTCTCGACCACTGCTTCCCTTCTCCTCCCTCAAGATGGCCCACGTCGTCGACACGCTGGATGCACCTTCGTCATGTGAGTGACTCTCCAGCTGTAAATTATCCACCTTCCACCTTGACTGACGTATGAGCCCAGATCGAGACTCGCGCAGCACAATCAGCCGACATGAGCAGCAGGCCCAGCTCGAGACGACAGCAACGCTGTACATCGGTGCGTAGTTCCTCTATAGACGACTCCCATATCCATGAAGTGGAGGCTCAGTCCAATGCGTCGCGGCAACAGGTAATCTGAGCTTCTTTACGACGGAGGAGCAGATGTATGAGCTCTTCTCCCGCGTGGCCGAGCCGTCTCGAGGAGGCGGGATTCGCCGAATCATCATGGGTCTGGACCGCAACAACAAGACGCCATGCGGCTTTGCCTTTGTCGAGTGAGTTGATTTGCGAGCAAGACGAGGAGAGAGAGAGAGAGAGGCAAGGACCATGGTGAACTAAGAAATGCTGGTCGACACAGATTCTATACGCATGCAGAGGCCGTCTCGTGCATGCGCCTCATCTCTGGCACCAAGCTCGACGAGCGCATCATCCGGTGCGACCTCGATCCGGGCTACAAGGAGGGCAGGCAGTACGGCCGAGGCAAGTCCGGTGGACAGGTCCGAGACGAGTACCGGCAAGAATTTGACAGCGGTCGGGGAGGATGGGGTCACAATCGGCAACGAGAGGAGGAAGAACGGAGGCTGGCAGAGGAGATGGAGGCCAGGAGAAGGAGGGCCCACGAGGAGGTCTATCAAGAGCAGGAGAGGGAGCAGGGCGGCAGAATCGTGCCGTCAGGAGCAGAGGGCACCTACATCGAGCAGGACTCAGAGCAGAGGGGAGCAGCTGCGATGGCGGCCAACGGGGCACCAGAGCCGGGACCTGCTGCTTCCAAGAGGTCCAGGGACGAGAGCGACGAGCCGGAGAATGCCAGCAAGGTGAGCAAGAGAGCTAAACTCTACACAGTCCCTTTGACTGATCATGCATACTTCTCAAGAACCCACGCTTCAGAGAAGGTCGCGACGAGGACGAAGACGAGGAGGCGGGTCCGTGAGATGGTCCGTCAGAAAAATAACATTGATTTGTCACCACATGAAGCGCTGCTGCTCGGCTGAATCGGGCCACTTGAAAGGTTTCTTTAGAAAGAGGTACAGTGTGGCTGCATTGATGGCGACCATCCATGCCGCTTCCGCAAGCAGGGCGGGCGAGGGAGCCGAGGCTGGTCTTTGAGCCTCATCTTCAGGTTTGTCGACCGAGGAAGAACTGCTTGTGCTGCTACTTTCGCGGTGCCCATCATCTATGTGCATTCGAGCGATGAGGAAGGGAATGATGTAGTACCTCGGCTCGATTAGAGGCGATGGGACGACGGTCGCAATCGCACAGGCAGAAAAGCCCAGCATCCAAAGCAGGCTCTCGGACCGGCCTAGTTGTGCTAGAGCGTCAGCGTCGTCAAGGATGCGAGGAAACGACAAGAGTCAGCATAGACACGCACCCAAGCAGATCCACCAGATGCGAGCAGCGAGCGCGTAGAGGATTGAGAGGAGATACCTGGATGCAGATGTTCGATTGATGACCTTGCGCCAGAGGTAGAAGGCGTAATGGCGGTTGTCGGCCAGCAGGAAAGGGTGAGACAGCGTCCCAGCTTTGATGGCCGCGAGCGCAGCGATGGTCAAGACGGCTAGCTCGCAGATTGCTTGCAAGGACAGCATGTCCTTGACGACCGTTTTCACCATCTTTGCTGGACTGCTGGTGCGCGCGTAGGTACTGAGGAGTGTCGGCCAGGCAAAGAGTGCGGCGAAGGCGATGAGATAGCACGCCTGGGCCCAGTGGAGCGCGGCTACGTGGTGTTCCTTGTCGCCCAAGACGATGCCCCCATTCCGGACGACAAAGACAGCCGCAAGACCAACAACGGGTGTGAAAGGAGCGACGACGCCCGCCAGTGTCTTCGTGGTAGCTTGCAGAGGCAGCTTCTGGATTGAGCTGACGGTGGAGCGAAGCGCGCTGGCGAGGGAGATGTGTACGTAAAGAGGGTCATTCTCCAAGCCCAGTGTGGACAGACGCCTCAGCGCTGTCGTTCCCAAGGCGAAGAGGAGCCAGACGATGTTCGTCTGACGCACGATCAGTGATGCGCCTCCCAGCTGTGGGATAAAGTCTGTAAGCATTCGCGCGTGGTTAGACCCGACCTAGCGCTGAGCACTCACCAGCGCCGCAAACCAAAGCTTGTCCCTCCTGGCGGCAGAAAACATGGCAATGACCGTCAAAGTGCTGAGCACGTCAGTGTAGTAGAGGAAAGAGAAGAAGTACAGAGGAGGGAGAAGCGCGATGGTGTGCACCTCGACACATAGAGCACCGTCCTCGAGTGTCTGTCCGATGACATCCCACAACCCTCCAAGTGGACCACTCCGTCGTCTGTGCTTGACTAGCATTGCTCGAGAGGTGACTGTCCTTCGTGCCGACGCCGCTGCACGCGAGGGATCGGACCGTGCCGTGGTGACTGCCGTCATGGGGCTCACGGGGGTGAATGTCTGCTTGAGGCTGTCCAGCTTGTCTGTCGCAACAGGTGAAACCGGTCCAGCAAGCCTGTAGCTCGCCAAGAGCCAGGGCAATAGCAGTATACCGGCGACATTGACAGCACGGAGCTCATGCGACTTGCCGCAAGGTGGCTTGTCTTTCCAGTCGGAAGGTAAAGCTGACAGAAGGTGACCGATCCAACTGAGCAGTCGAGCCGCTCCTACAGAAGCCAAGTAGAGCCCCGGTGGTGTAGTGAGCTTCGGGTCGTAGCTGTCGAATTCACCTCGACAATAGCGCATTGCCTGGGGTATATGGAAGATCTCATCCTGGCGGCGGCTTCGTCAGTGGGTGGACCAAGGTCTGCAGTGAAGCTGCAGCAAGTCACTCACCATGTAAGGTCCTGGAACGTGTCTATTGACCAGATCGAACGTGAGTGTGGTGGCGGCAAGGAAGACGATGGGCACCACCATGGCCACCATCTTCACGCTGGCCGCCATAGCTTCGGACAGAGGAAGAGGAAGATCCGCAATCCAACCATCCCTCAATTAGAGTGTGTATCTTCCTCCACCTTCCTTTCTCGGCCGACGCTGCCAAATTTTTCCCTCTTGATTTTTTGATTTTTTTTGACTTTCTCCATCTTCTCTGGCTTAGGAGCAAGGAAGAACACCAGGCCATCACGCTGGGATCAAGATGAGGAAACAGCTGGACCCGAGGATAGCGACGCTGATTCGGAACAATGTCGCAACGAACCACCGGTCGTTCTTTGTACTTGTGGGCGACCACGGACGGGATCAGGTGGTGAACTTGCACTTTCTCCTCTCGCAGTCGCGCACCTCGGCCCGTCCCAACGTGCTCTGGTGCTACAAGAAGGACCTGGGCTTCACCACCCACCGCAAGAAGAGAGAGGCCAAGATCAAGCGGGACATCAAGCGGGGCGTTCGAGAAAAAGGCGATGCCTCAGACCCCTTTGAGCTCTTCGTGGGCGTCACCGATATCCGATACTGCTACTACAAGGACACACCAAAGATTCTCGGAAGGACATTTGGCATGCTCATTCTCCAGGATTTCGAGGCCATTACGCCGAACCTCTTGGCTCGAACAATCGAGACTGTCGAGGGGGGAGGTGTGGTCGTGCTTCTCCTCAAGACGATGACGAGCCTGCGCCAGCTCTACTCCGTCGCTATGGTGAGAATCTGCTCCTCAATCTGCAGAGAAGCCTTTCGTGCCTTGGCTGATGTGATGATTCGCTGCAGGACGTACACGCCAAGTACAGGTCGTCATTTGACCCTTCAGACCCTGTCGCACGTTTCAACGAACGCTTTCTGCTCTCGCTCTCTGCCTCGCCGGCCTGCTTGGTGCTCGATGACGAGCTCAACGTGCTGCCAGTGTCCAAGGGAAAAGACATCAGACCATTGGAGGAGACACCCGCCAGCGAGTCGAGCAAGATGGCACTCAGGCGGAACAAGGAGAGGGAGCAGGAGCTGAGCAATCTCAAGGAAGAAGTTGCCCAGACTAAGGTTGTGGCAGAGGTTGTCAAGCATACAAAGACGCTCGATCAGGTGCGTTCTGTCCCGGTACAGGATCCTAGCATCACTCTGACACTACTCCTTCCCTTTTCAGGCACGAGTGGTGCTCACCATCCTCGATGTTCTTGCCTCTTCGTCGCTGTCGACGACGGTCGCCCTTACGGCAGGCCGAGGACGAGGAAAATCGGCTGCACTGGGTCTGAGCATCGCGGCAGCCATCGCGCATGGCTATGCCAACATCTTCGTGACATCTCCCTCGCCCGAAAATCTCCGAACACTCTTCGAGTTCCTTTTCAAGGGACTGCAGGCGTTGGGATACGAAGAGGTGGCCGATTGGGACCTACAGAGAGGCACGGGCGAGTGGAAGGATGTCGTGGTGCGAGTCAATATCTTCCGTGGACATCGGCAGACGATTCAGTACATTGCTCCTACCGATGCCCATGTTCTCGGCCAGGCCGAGCTCGTCGTCATCGATGAAGCAGCTGCCATTCCTTTGACTCTCGTTCGAAGCCTCATGGGTCCTTATCTCGTCTTCCTCAGCAGCACCATCAATGGCTACGAGGGAACGGGCCGGAGTTTGAGTCTCAAGCTGATTCAGCAGCTGCGCGACAATGCCAAGAGAGCCACAGACGCCGCGGCGGATCAAGAGGAGGGTGCGCTTGTGGCAAAGTCCAGCGAAAGGTCCAAGAAGAGCGTGGCGCCGACACTGGCCAGCCGCAACCTCAAGGAGGTCAACCTCGACGAGCCGATTCGGTACTCGGACGGCGATGAAGTGGAAAAGTGGCTTCACCAGCTCCTCTGTCTCGATGCCTCGCTCAAGTCGTGGTCCTCCAAAAAGGGCAGCCCGCATCCGTCGATGTGCAGCCTGTTTGAGGTCAACCGAGATGCCCTCTTCAGCTTCCACCCCGCCTCGGAGGTCTTTCTCCAGCGAATGCTTGCTCTCTACGTAGCGAGTCACTACAAGAACTCGCCAAACGACCTGCAGCTGATGTCAGACGCGCCAGGACACCGGCTGTTTGTGCTCCTCGCTCCCGTCGACTCGGCAGGCAGCCTGCCCGAGCCATTGTGTGTGCTCCAAGTGGCCCTTGAGGGAAACGTCAGCCGCCAGTCGATTCTCAACAGCCTGAGCAGGGGCACGCGCGACGCTGGCGACCTGGTCCCCTGGACCGTCTCGCAGCAGTTTCAGGATGCCGACTTTGCCAGTCTTTCGGGAGCAAGAGTCGTCCGGGTCGCCGTGCATCCTGACCACGCAAGGGCCGGATACGGCAGCCGAGCGATTGAGTGCCTTCGCGCCTATTATGCAGGCGAGCTGTTCGATGCTGACTCAGCGGCAGCGGCGGCTGCCCAGAGCAAGTCCGACGTTGAGACGTTTGCCTCGGTCCGGGACCGCGCAACGGGCGGCGCGCTGCAGGAGGAAAAGAACAGCATCGCCATCCGAGACGGCGCCAAGATGCCGGCCCTGCTCGAGAGGCTCTCGGACAAGCAGCCCGAGGCCGCTCTGGACTGGCTCGGTGTCAGCTACGGCTTCACTCCGGCCCTCTTTCGATTCTGGAAGAGAAACGGTTTCGTGCCGCTGTACGTGCGCCAGACGCAGAATGAGCTCACGGGCGAGTACACTGCCGTCATGGTGCGTGGAGTGGACAAGGCAGAAAAGCCGAGGTGGTTGGGCGCCTTTGCTGCCGACTTTCGCCGCCGCTTCATCTCGCTCCTCGGCTTTCGTTTCCGGGATGTGACGGCTGTTTCGGCGCTGAGCGTGCTGGAGGCTGCCTCTTCTGGAGCAAAGTCTGCCGTCAGCGACAACGACGACAATGACGACGAGGAAGAGGGGCAGACATCTCTGACGTTTGCCGAGATCCGCACGCTGCTGAGCCCCTTTGACATGAAGCGGCTGCAGGCCTTTGGCAACAACATGGTCGACTACACTGTCGTGCTTGATCTTCTCCCCACGCTCGCCTCGCTCTACTTTAACAACCGCCTCTTTGCGGCCGCGACCGAGGGGGAGGACGAGGCCGAGGAAGGCATCAAGGCGCAGCTTAAGCTGAGTGGGATCCAGGCGGCCACGCTCCTGGCCCTCGGCCTCCAGCGTAAAGATCCAAACGACATTGAAAAGGAGCTTGGCCTGCCGACGGCCCAGGCGCTGGCACTCTTTGTCAAGGCCGTCCGCCGGATCACGGCGTGCCTGCAGCGCGTCGAGAAGGCGCACTACGCAAAGGAGCTGCAGGCCAACGGCGATTCGAGCGGGTCCAAAAGGACAGCGGCGGCAGCGGGGAGAAAGTGGGAGCCGATTGAGCAGAGCGTCGAGGATGAGCTCCGGGAGGCGGGCAAGCTCGACGAGCAGGAGAGGAAGAGGAGAGAGGAGCAGCGGGAGCTGCTCAAGAGCATGGATCTGGACCAGTACGCCATTGATGACGATGCAGGCCAAGAGGACGGCTGGAGGGAGGCCGAGGCGAGGGCGGCAAAGCTGATCGACGGAGGTGTCGCGGGCGAGGCGCCGACAATCGTGAGCGTCAGGTCCAACAAGCCACAAGAGGAGAGCGAGAATGGGCCAAAGAAGAGGAAGCAGGACCAGCAGGGAAAGAAGGGAAAGAAGATGAGGTCATAGCCAACCTCTTGTCCCCTGATGATAAACCCGAAAGCAATGTAAATCTAGAAGACGATCAACTGCGAGGTTGCAATTCATGACTCGGTAATTACAGATGTGGGCCTTGCCAGGTCCTTTTTGGCAAAGGAGATGGCAGAGGGGCTGGAAGCTTGCCGTTGTTCGATGACGTTTTTGATCTAGGGAGGTCGCCGGAAGTAAGCAATTGTCACGATAGCGCTCATTGGAAAGACTTTCACCACTTACAAAGAATTCTCCAGCCTTGTAAGAGGAACGGACGAGGGGACCACTGGCGACGTAGAGGAAGCCCAGCGATTCGGCCGTCTGCTGCCAGTGCTCAAACTTGGCCGGCGTCACGTACTCGGATACCTTCATGTGCCGCTTCGTCGGACGCATATATTGGCCAAAGGTGACGACGTCGACGTTTGCCTCGCGCAGTTCCCTCAGCGTCTGCTCCACCTCGGCGTCCTCTTCGCCGCACCCGAGCATGATGCTCGTCTTTGTGATGAGGCCCGGCTTCGCTCGCTTGGCCTGCCGCAACACCTCGAGACTCTGCCGGTACTTTGCCCGTCGGTCGCGGACGAAGGGCGTGCGGCTCTCGACGGTCTCGACGTTGTGCGCAAAGACGTCGAGGCCGCTCGTGGCCACCCTGTCAATGTCCTCGGCGCGGCCCGAAAAGTCAGGCACGAGGGCCTCGACGAGGATCTGGGGCGACTTGCTCTTGATGCGAGAGATGGTCGAGGCAATGTGCGCAGAGCCTCCGTCGATGAGGTCGTCTCGGTCGACGGACGTCAGGACAATGTAGCCGAGGCCCCATCGTGAGATGGCTTCTGCCGTGTTCTCGGGCTCGTGCACGTCCAGCGGCCCTGGAGTACGAGATGTCTTGACGGAGCAGAAGCGGCAGCCTCGTGTGCATGTATCGCCCATGAGCTGTAGCGATCCGAGCTCGCATTAGCGCTCCGAGAGTCTAATCATCTTCTAAAGTCAGTAGACAAGTGACTCACCATGATCGTCGCAGTCGCCTTGTCCTTTCCTCCTTCCCCTCCCCAGCACTCTCCGATGTTGGGACACCTGGCCTCCTCGCACACGGTACTAAGGCCCAGGGCGCGGACATCCTTTTTGATCTTGTTGAAGGTGGCGCCCGTGGGGATGGACGTCTTGAGGTACGATGGCAGACGGGGCTCTCCTGTCCTCCCCATGCGCACCCGCGAGGAAGGAGCGTCGTCGCCCGCCGCAAAGCCATCGATGGACCTCTCGGCCTCGTCGGCGTCGGCAGCGAGCTTCTCCCGAAAGGCTTGGACCCGTGCAGAGGCCGCGGCGCGAGATGGGCCTGGCTGGGTCGGTGGCGGGGCGGCTGTGGCCAAGTTGCGGCTTCCTCGTGCGAATGTTGCGAGCTGGGCTGCAGGAGACAGCGCCCGCGAGGCAGCCCTCGCTAATGGCTTTTCAACGGCAAACATCACTGCAAGCCTTGGCGGGTGGTGGTGCTGGAGACTGTCGTGATTGTGGAAGGCAAGGAAACTCAGGCTGCTCTGTCCCTCCTTTACCTCGGCCAGATTCCGAAAACTCAAAAGTTGGGCGAGGGCGGACAGGCGCCCGGATGAGTAATCAACTTTAGACGGGCTCCACGTGCTGTCTGGAGAAAGCAGAAACGAGAGATCGCGTTTCCTAGACTCGTGTGTCGCTCGCTCGAGAGACACTCATTAATGGACATTCCTCTTCTAGCACCCCTCGGATCAGGCCACGCAATGCGGGGCGAAGGATCGTCACGGAGAGGAGCGGCAATGGCGCCGCAGGGCGCAGCGCCCTGGATGCCCACCTCGCGGGATCAGCCGTCGGGCGAGGATCTGACGCTGTACACGACCCTGGCCGCCTACGCCGACGCACTCGATGCGCTCCCCCTCGATCTCACCCGATCTTTCTCCGATCTGCGCGAGCTCGACGCCGTCCTCGGCTCACACATCAAGGCGCTCATCAACCGACTCGCCCGCCTCACCTGCCTCGTCGAGGACGAGACGGTGGCGCCAGCAGAGCGGATGCTAGCGCTGAAGGAGGTGGCCGAAGAGGCCAGAGGGTACAAGATGGGAGGCGAGGACAAGATCCGCGTTGCTCTCAACACCGCAGAAACCGTGAGCATACCATCAGCTGCGTTACCTTCTTCCCTTTGCTGATAGAGAGAGAGCGCCAAACGCAGATTATTTCCCACACCACATACATCGACTCGCTCCTCTCCAATCTGTCGTCGGTGCCCTCCCTGGCGCCGTTCCTCTCACCGCCCAAGGAATCTCATATTGCCGGACATCTGAGCGACGGGACACCGCTTGCTCCCGGATCGGGGCCCGGTGGGCAGCTGCCGGCCTCGATGGGAGGCACCGCCGACATTGGCCCTGTGATCCAGTCCGGGCCAGGCAGCACGAAGAAGAAGAGACCCACGGCAGCAATGGCCGGTGGAGCGGCGGCGGCAGGCGCATCGGGCTCCCTCTCCAGCCTCTCAGTGGCTGAAAAGCGTGCCCAGCAGGCAGGTGGTGCCTCGCTGATGTCTGCAGACGGCGGTCAGGCCTCCACTTCGGCGACGAGCTCGGCCAAGAAGCGCAAAGCGCCGCCGTCGAACAGTGCAGCCAGCCGGGCGAGAAATGCAGGGGAGGAGTACGATGAGCCACCGGCAAAGAGGGCAAATAACAGCCAAGCTGCAGCCAAGAAGAAGTCGGCCAGCACACCCAACCAGGCCAAGCCGAGCAACGCCAGGCGGACGCAGCAGCAAGACCAGGACGACGACCGCAGAGGCGCCGGCGAGGGCTCACGAAGGGGCATGGAGGATGATGAGAGTGGAGGTGGAAGCAGGTCGAGGTCATCACGCACGGTTCGTACAGCCACGAACAAGGAGCAGATGTCGGATGAAGAGGACGGGGGAGCAGATGAAGAGGCGGACGAAGCCGCCGGTGGCTCCTCGTCGTCGAGGCCCGCCAGGCTCGCGCGGGGAGCTCCTCGGCCGGGCAACGGCGCCTCGTCGGCGGATCCCGAAGGAATGGCCAGCAGTCGTACCACGCCCGGCCCTGGCAGTGCAGCGGCGGGCGCTGGAGGCGCGGGCGCAGACGACAGCGACGAGCGAAGGTACTGCTTCTGCAACAACGTCAGCTACGGCGACATGATTGGGTGTGACGACGAAGACTGCGAGCGTGAATGGGTGAGTGGAAGAGAAGCGGCAAGGCGAAGCGAAGGCATCAGACGCCAAGCTGACAGTGCGCGCGTAATCATTCTTCAGTTCCATCTCGGCTGCGTCGGGCTGCTCAAGCCACCTCAGGGCCTGTGGTATTGCGACGATTGTGCAGCCAAGCGAGCGGTGAGTACGCGCCCTGGATGACCATTAGGAGCAAGGAGCGATGGACTGTCTCAGACTGACTTGACTGCCCGCTTTCCCTTTAGCCGCGCTCCAAAACAAAGAAGAAGGTTTCGAGAACGAGCGGCGCCCATGGCGGTGGCACCGCCGTCGAAGGCGTCGCCAACAAGGCTCGGGTTGCTAGCACCAAGCGATGATCATGCGATGATCCCGCTCATCAGAGACCTCTCATCTGAGACCTAGAGCAATGCATGTGTGTAACGACGACAATCAGTTGGGAGTGAGCGCGAGCCGATGTTCGGCGCGTGACAGAAATAGTTGGTCACTCAGCTCCGAAGACGCGATTCGACTTGAGGAATTTCTTTTGCAGAACCCCTCTGATCAAAATGAAGTGGCTTCAGCAGTGCGGCTCAAGTGCCCTGTGTTTTAAAAGATCTCGGCCAAATATACATTCCCTCTGTTGTTTTTCTTTTTCCTTTGGGGTCTACAATTAAGCGTTTCTACCTGAGGAGCGCTGCCGCTGCCCACTGCCCTGGAGTTGCACTTCGGCACGCCTGATCATTTACGGCACCTGCACCACCACGACAGAACCTCCTGCGCTCACTCCGGCCTCTCCTTTCTCCCCATCCCCATCTCCACGCTCCCCCCTCCTTCTCCCACTTTCCTTTTTCTTTTCCTTCTCTTTGCTGAGGCCAGGACCCTCGCTCGCGAGCACGACTGGACCCACGGATTTCCACCCACACTCATTTTGATCCCTCTCTCCGCAAGTCTGGACGACAAACACTCATTTTTCCTCAGCACAAATTACCGTCGCGGCACCGCTCCTACTCCTTTTTCCCCAAGCAGCAATTCCACCAGCAGTACCCCGACTACACACACAGATCTCATCCGATCCGTCTCCGTTCAAAGACTCAATTGTCCCCTTCCCTTGAACACTCGCGATTTCCGAGTCTGCAAACCATGACCCGCATCGCTGCTCACTTCTCTGCCGCCGTCGCCGTCGTCCTCGTTGCCGTCGCTTCGACGACGGTGGATGCGCGCCAAAAGGTGCTCCTGTACTCGCGCACGGCGGGCTACCGCCACCCCTCGATTCCCAACGCCATTGCTGCGCTCGAGAAATTGGGCCAGGAACACTCTTTTGACACGGTCCACACGGAGAACCAGGAAAAGTTCGAGAGCCAGGACTGGTTGGACCAGTTTGACGCCGTCGTCTTTGTCTCGGCCAGTGGCGAGGCCCTCAACTCAAAGGGCATCACCAACTTCCGAAAATACATTGAAAACGGCGGCGGCTACTTTGGCATCCACGAGGTGAGTGTTGCAAATGTCTTGCGCTTGCATGTCGTGTTTGGTTGTATGTGTGAATCTGACTCTCTCTGCCGCCCTAGGCTACTGACTGCCTGAGCAAAACACCCTGGTACGCCCGGCTAGTGGGTGCCCTGTTCAACAACCACCCCTTCATTCAAAAGTTTACCGTCAACGTCGTTGATCCCACCCACCCTTCTGCCACCGGTCTCCCCGAGGCTTGGGAGGTCTACGACGAGGCCTACAACTTCCTCTCGAACCCCTCGGAGCTCGACAAGACGTACGTCCTGACTGCTGACCAGAGCACGATCAAGGAAAACGACCAGTCAGTGAGCGACCTGCACCAGTTCGAGGGAAAGGTGCACCCGATTGCCTGGTACAAGGAGGGCGATCTCCTCACCGCACCCACCAAGCACATTGGCGGCGGCGTTGATAACATCAAGCACATTCCCAAGAAGCAGAGGGGCACCGGCGGAGATGGCCGTGCATACTACACCGCACTTGGTCACACCAAGGCGTGCTGGACCGACGATGTCTTCCTCGGCCACATCCTCGGCGCCATGCAGTGGGTCCTCGCTTCCCCCAGCATCAAGTCCAACAACGACACTCTCCCGTCCTCGGCGCCTGGCTCGTCATTTATTGGCCTCGGCGCCTCCCCCTCGTCATCTACGTCTGGCAGCAGCGCCGAGGCAAGCGGCGGCTCTTATGCTTCCGCTGGCTCCGGTACCGGCTCTGGCTCAGCAGCAAACAGCGTCAACTCGGCCGGCGCACACACTGGCGCCGTCCTGGGCGCTGCTGGCTCAGCCACGACTGTCAGCGTCTCAGTCATGGCCGCGCTCGTCTGCCTTTCTGCCGTCGCCCTGACCCTCTCGACGTCCGTCTGAACGTTTGCTTTTTCTCTTTCTCTCTCGCTCGCTCCGCCTATGTAAAGTATCGCCTCCCAGGTTTGCGCGCGCAGCTTGCCGTAGGTTCTTTTAGTGCTTTCGATCTCTCTCTCTCTCTCTTTCCCTCTCCCCACACACACTCTGTCTCCTATGAGCGGGCCGGTCTCGCTTCACTCTCATCCCCTCTTGGGTTTTGCATAACTCTGTAAAAGGGGCGTCGATGAACCTCTTTCTCTCTTGTAGTCGCTTTCGCTGAAAAAGAAATCCGCAATGGTATTCATCATCATGATTCTCCTACTGCTCCTCTCTGTTACAACCGCCGGGCAAGAGCCACTTCCACCGGCTGCCTTTGTCCTCGAGCAGGGCTCTGGGAAGTCTCGTCAGGTCTGCGTTCCACTTTGCGCCCTTCCAGAGGCCGATGAGCTCGGTCCACGAGTAGGCCTCGGGCAGCATCCCATACAGGTCCTCGCCCTTGCAGATCTTGAACTGGATCGTCGAGCTGAGCGTCAGGCTTGCGCGGTTGGGCCGGTGGAGGAGCCGCTCAATGTGGGAGGCGGCGAGCATCTTTGTGCGAAATTCGGCAATGGTGCGAAAGCAGTAGCTGCAGTGCCACCCGCTGGCGGCCAACATCTCGTTGCCGTTTTGGCCGTGCGTGTAGCCGACGCTTGTGCGCGCCGTGGACCAAGCGTGGACCTGAGCGCGCCAGCTGCGCGCGTCGGTGGCCCATTCGAAGCTGTAGAGGTAGTTTTGGAGCTGGAGGTGCAGCGGCAGCGGTGTCTGGCAGGCCTTGATGAGCGAGAGCGTCGACGCCGCGGGCACCTCGTCAATGTCGGCCATGAGCACGAGCAGGCCCTCTGGCGGCGAGAGGGAGTCTCTGTGTTGTGTGTCCCCATTCTCCGGAATGAGTTTCTTTCGATTAAATGGTCCAAGGGTCCTCGCACTCCACTCACATGAAGTCCTGCATGGCGACGCGCATCTCGTTGGCGAGGGTGAACGAGCCATCCTTGCTCGTCATCTCGCGACCCTGCATCGTCTTGTACTCAATCTTGGACGCCCACTTGCTGAAACGCTGCTGCTGACTCGGGAACGACAGATTCTTGGGCGAGCCAGTCATGGTATGCGTGCTCTCGAGGATCAAGAAGCGGTCGACCTCGTCCCAGAGCTCCCGCAGCCGGATCTCGAGCATGTCCAGCTCGGTATTGATCAGCGTCGCGTCCCACAGCTGCGGCTTGCTCGACCCGGTACGCGCGGACCAGCCATGTCGTGCACAGGTCGATTCTTGGTCGCCTAGTGTAGAGTCATAGTGGGGCAGCAGGATCTGGGGCCCGTCTGGCCGATCCCACAGTGGCCTTGTCGAATACGACAGGGTATCCTGGACATCATGCCTGCGTGTCGAAAGCAAGTATACGAGGAAGAACAGAAGCGTCGCCAAGAAGAGCGCCACCACCCGCCTCGACGTTATCATGTCGCCGCCGTCACTTTCGCTGTCGCCGTGGTCGTCCTCGTCCTCGTCCTTGGCGTTGCAATCCTCGTGGAGCCCCGACGTCGACATGCATCTGTGCGTCTTATTTTTTGTTTTCTCACGTGGAGCTTCCGATTGATTCTTTTAGACTAGAAGATTGAATGAGGTCCACGTCACTTGGGCGGAGCAACAACGCCCCCTCGCTTTCTTGCCCCTCTTCACCAGCACCCAGCCCTCATGACTTCAGACAGGGACCTTTTCGTGGCCTATGGTGAGCGTCTATCCTTTGATTTTGTCCCCATTCATGTGCTAACGCTTGTCGCTGTCAGGCGCCCTCATGGGCGGAGCCCTGCTCCCCATCTACCACGGCGCCTATGCCTCGTTGCGCACGCCAAGATCGACCATCGAGAAGCTCAAGGCGCGCAAGAAGCTGTCGGACGCAGACTTGTCAGACTACGAAGAAGAGCTCGATGAAAGTGGGCTTCCAGAGACTCTGACGTCCGAGGATGCCTACTGGCTGCCGGTCCTCGGCTCGGCCGTCCTCTTTGGCATGTTTCTCGTCTTCAAGTACCTCGACAAGGTCTGGGTCGATCGTGTGCTCGGCTTCTACTTTGCCTGCGTGGGCAGCTTTGCCGTCACAAAGGTCAGTGCTTTGTCTTGTGATGTGAACATCGACAATGTCGACTGACGGAGCGAGGAAACAGGCATTCCTTGCGGTCGTCACCGGTGTCCTTGGCCGCGAGAGGATCAAGAACATGGATTTGACCAAGCTTCAGCTCTCGAGAAGGGTGCGCAAGGGAGGCATCAAGGGCAAGGAGAGCAAGCCTCAGGACCTCTTGATTGTTCGTTTGACCAACATACACCCACCCGTCGTCGTCCTCTCGAGCATCGTTGTAGGCGCCTACCTGTGGAACAAGCACTGGATCCTCTCCAACGTGCTTGCACTCAGCCTCTCGCTCTCTTCCATCTCGCTCCTCGCCCTCGACTCGTTCAAGACGGGAAGCATCATGCTCGCTGGTCTCTTTGTCTACGACGTCTTTTGGGTCTTTGGCACAAACGTCATGGTCTCGGTTGCCCGCGGTTTCGACGGGCCGATCAAGATCGTCTGGCCAAAGAACCTCGTCGAAGGCCTCTTTGACGGCGCAACGGACTGGAAGATGACGATGCTGGGTCTGGGCGACATTGTCATTCCGGGCATCTTCATCGCCCTCGCCCTTCGCTACGACCAGCACCGGTATGCCAAGGTCAACGAGAAGCTCCTCATCACCAAGCACGATGTCGACTTCCCCAAGCCATACTTCAAGGCCACGCTCGTTGCCTATGTTGCCGGTCTGGCCACGACGATGCTCGTCATGCACTTTACAAAGGCTGCGCAGCCCGCGCTCCTCTATCTCAGCCCAGCCTGCGTGGGCGCGATTGTCATTACCAGCCTTCGGCTGGGCCAGTGGAGCGAGACGTGGGCATACGACTCCAACGAGGAGGATGCCAAGGCTGACGAGGAGGCAAAGAGAGCCAAGGGTGAGGCTGCCGGCGAAGATGAAGCTGATGACGATGACGACGACGACGACGACAATGACGAGGCGGCCTGGGAAGGCGTCAAAGACGATGGGTCCAACGCGACACAGCACCCTCGCTCCACGAGGAGCTCTACGAGAAAGAGAAAGACTTCCACAAAGACAGACAAGTGAGCGACTCAAGACAATGTTTCATTACTGCATGTGCATCGTGAATGTCGAGAGATTTATTACAGCTTGAGGCCATCGAACATCCTGTCCCTTCCCTCTCAGTGCACGTGATGTCCAACTGAGCTTTGTGGACTGTAGCCAGTTGCGCCGATCTTATGCCTGGGCCTTCTGTGTCTTCCTACTTCTGAGCCATAGTCTGAGGAGAAGTTAATGGTGACGAGAGTGGAGTGGGGCGAGGCTTGGGGGATGAAGTACTGCTCGACGTGCATGATTTCGCCATTGAAGCAGACTAGCTTGAGCTGGATCTCCACTTCGTTGCCGCTCAAGCCCTTCATCACGAAGAAGCCGTTTTCGAAGGTCATAGAAGTCCAGTCTGAGGAATCGGCTGCAAGACGAGATCATGAGTCACCTTCAGAGCTCATGCAGATCAGACAGGGAGTGATTGATTCACTCACGCAGAGCCCATGACATGGCAACAACAGGGTACGTCGAAGCACGAACTTGGAATCTCTTCCAGTATGGGTTCGAGTTGGGGCCGTAGTAGATGGCAAGGCCACCCGTGAAAACTTTCGAGCACGGTTCGATGTCCCACTCGAATAAAGAGCCCTCCGTGCTGCCATCCGCTTCGAGGTAGTTCCAGTACTCTTGAACCATGTCCATGCCACCAGGGCAATCGGGGCATTCGTTGGTCACAATCGCTACTTGGCGTACCCTTTCTGTGTACACTACGAGGCATAGTCCGCATGCGTGGCCGTCTTTGAAGACATTGTACTTGTTATCGAAGGCCGCGTTGTTGCATTTGTAGGAGCCAAGGGCGACACGGGGCACATTATCGGGCAAATCCCAGTCTGCGTAGAGGCAGGCACCCTTCCCTTTCGCGCCCTCGTGATACGAGGTCAGAAGGCCCGCATTGCCTTTCTTCTTCCAGAACAGGGAAGGGTACTGCGAGGACGACCTCATGATGTAGCCAGAAACGGTAGAGGCCTCGTTGTCGTTGTGGAGGGTTGTCGAGGCGTAAGAGTCTGTGAGGTGAGAGGGTTTGAGTCGCGACCTCTGAATCTGAGGTTGACGACGTAGTATTCTCACGTTTTTGGTCATCGTCCAGTTCTGATACGCTCTTGTCATACAAAGAAATCGTTCTCTCTGAGCAAAGAGCACAAATCAACGGGCCGGCCATGTGTTGCAGACGAAACGAGCACGGTAAGAACTCACTGCCATCTGGACTCTCGCATCGACCTGGGTCGCCTTGGCTCTGCAGCGATGATCTTAGTCCGTTCTCAACGGAATGCATACGGTGTGGTAGAAGGCGTGCTTCTGTGAGGCGCAAAGAAGCCAGGCCGAACTGGACAAGTGACAGGAGCAAGAAGAGCCGGTGCATGATGCTTGTCGATAGGGAAAAAAGTGGACACCCTCTCTGATGCAAAAAGGAGCCATTTGTGCCTTTAAATAGTCTGCCGCTCCTATGAGCTCCCGTCGCTATTAAGATGACGCTCAGAGCAGGACGTCGCACGTATGTCGGGTCTCACAGTCAGAAGTGCGGCACTTCAACCTCTCCCTTCTCAATATGACAGCTATTGTGTACGCCACGCCTTCACACAAGACGGTCTCTCAAACATGACTATGCAGGGAGAATTTCGCACGCACACTTCGGTCCGACTACTTGACCGACGAGCGAGTGGGGGCCCTGCGCCCCTCGAAGTTGCAGACGATAGCGCCGCAACAATACAAGCAGCGGCGACTGTTTGCGTGCCTACCTCTGAAGGGCCGCACCTTCGAGCAGAGAAGATGGGATAAGCGTCATGACAAATCTCTTCGACTCGGCCGAAATTTCAATGCGCTTCGTGTGATTGGTTGTTCGGACAGGCGCGGTGGCTCTGGTCAATTTTCGAAGTAGTGGCCGAGCGACCCGTTTCCCATCGCTGGCTTCATCGATCGCATCGCATCGCCTTCTTTCACAATCATCAGGCGGACTATGATGCTGCGGGCTTCGACCTCTGCGAGCGCCGCGCGCGCCTCGCTGCGTGCACGATCGCCGCTTACATCATGCTCCACCGCCGCCTTTTCGACCTCGGCAATCGCCAGGCAGGCCTCGGAGGCGCCACAGCAGCCAAAGAAGATGATCAAGCTTCACGTCAATGGCAAGGAGGTCGAGGTCGAGCAAGGGTGAGTGTCCCCGATGGCAGTCAGAGATGAGCAAATAGCTGACTCGCATTTGATGCAACAGTACGGCGCTCATCCAGGCTTGCGAAAAGGCCGGCGCTCAGATTCCCCGATTCTGCTACCACGAACGGGTAAGTCTGATTCAAGACCGTGTGCCAGAGAACGCCAGAGCTCATCACACCCCAACAGCTTCTCATTGCTGGCAACTGCAGAATGTGTCTCGTGGAGTCCAAGGGTGCTCCTAAGCCGGTGGCCTCGTGCGCCTTCCCGGCGATGCCCGGTCAGAACGTCTTCACCGACACTCCCCTCGTTGCCAAGGCTCGCGAGGGCGTCATGGAGTTCCTGCTCGCCAACCACCCGCTGGACTGCCCCATTTGCGACTGGGGTGGTGAGTGTGACCTCCAGGACCAGAGCATGCGATACGGATCCGACCGATCTCGCTTCCACGAAATGACGGGCAAGCGGGCCGTCGAAGACAAGAACCTGGGCCCGCTCGTCAAGACGGTCATGACCCGATGCATTCAGTGCACCCGTTGCGTCCGTTTTGCCAACGATGTCGCAGGCGTTCAGGAGCTGGGCACGTCGGGCCGTGGCAACGACCTGCAGATTGGTACCTATGTCGAGAAGGCCATTGACTCGGAGATGTCGGGCAACATGATCGATCTTTGCCCTGTCGGAGCCCTCACGTCGAAGCCGTACGCCTTCAATGCTCGACCCTGGGAACTCAAGAAGACTGAGTCCATCGATGTCCTCGACGGCGTCGGCTCCAACATCCGCGTCGACTCGCGCGGTGTTCAGGTTATGCGCATCCTGCCCAGGACCAACGACGACGTCAATGAGGAATGGATCAACGACAAGACGCGCTTCGCTGCCGACGGTCTCAAGTACCAGCGCCTCACCACGCCTCTGATCAAGCAGGGTGACCGCTTTGTGCCTGCATCGTGGCCCGAGGCCTTTGCTACCGTCTCGGAAGGGCTCCGCCAGTCGGGCGCCAAGGGCAACGAGATCAAGGGCATCGCGGGCGCGTTGGCTGATGTCGAATCTATGGTCGCCCTCAAGGACCTCATCAACCGACTCGGCTCCGAGAACTTGGCTCTGGACCAGCCTGCTGGTGACCTTGTTCCCGTCCATGGTGTCGACGTCCGTGCCAACTACTCTTTGAACACGACCATTCCAGGTATCGAAGAGTCCGACTGCCTCCTCCTGGTTGGCACAAACCCGCGTACGGAAGCTGCCATTGTCAACACTCGGATTCGCAAGGCGTACCTGCACAACGGGCTCGATGTCGGCCTCATCGGCGAGGGTGTCGACACCACGTATGAGTACGCCCACGTCGGTTCTGACGCAAAGGCGGTTGAGGACCTTGTGGCCGGCAAAGGTGACTTTGCCAAGCGCTTCCAGCAGGCCAAGAAGCCATTGATCATTGTGGGCAGCGCCGTCAGCGAGCATGTGGATGGCAAGGCTATGCTCGGCCAGCTGTCGAAGCTTGTTCAGAAGGAGAAGCACCGCTTCCTCACCCCTGACAGGAACGGCTACAGCGTCCTGCAAAGGACAGCTTCCAAGACGGGCGCGTATGACATTGGTTTCGCGCCCTCTGCCGAAGCCGCAAAGACGTCGCCTAAATTTGTCTATCTCCTCAACGCCGACGACTTCTCGCCTGACTCGATTCCCAAAGACGCCTTTGTCGTCTACCAGGGCCACCACGGCGATGTGGGAGCTCAGTACGCTGATGTCTGCCTGCCTGGTGCCGCCTACACGGAGAAGTCGGTGACCTACATCAACACCGAGGGACGAGCACAAATCACAAGGGCCGCCGTCCCGCCGCCAGGCGCGGCGCGCGAGGACTGGAAGATTCTCCGGGCCTTGTCTGAGGTGTGCGGCGTGACGCTGCCATACGACGAGACGCTCGACATCAGAGATCGCATGTTTGACATTTCACCCACCCTTGTCCGCTACGACGTGCACGAGCCTTCGACGGTGTCTGCCCCGCTGGGCTTCGAGCACATCGCAAAGGCCTTTGCCTCGGAGAAGGCATCGGGTGCCCCTCTGCTCCGGCCCATCACAAACTTCTACCAGACCGACGCCATCAGCAGAGCTTCGCCGACGATGGCAAAGTGCGTCCAGTCCTTCATTCACAAGGCACCCATCGATGACGAGGATGCAAAGCCGTTTGCTAGCCTCGGTTAGTAATTAGTGATGCCCAGCGCAAAATATCAATACACGAGTCCTTTTGTCCCACGGATCCTTTTTGGCAGAATTTGTCTTCTTTGGTGATTGAGACGATGTGGGGCTATAGGTACAGTTTGAGCAGGAGCGAGAGAAGTTGTGTCTGTTGAAGCATTGATCACGCCGTGTTCTTGAGCACTGTGTGAAGAGGCAGTAAACGTCAGCTTTTTGGTTGCCTGGGATGCGCGATCACTGGTCCTTGAACGCACCAAGCACGACTGAATCGCCCCGCAAGAACATTTTGGGAATGAAGCGGTCCTTGTTGATTGGCTTGCGGTTCTTGCTCTTTGGCTGTTGGGAAGGGGACAGGTTGTGTGAGCGCGCACTGTAGAATGCCTAAGACTCAGCAAGGCTCACAATCTCGGTCCACATCTGTCGAGAGAGACATCCATCATCAGCTTGTCAGCAATTCTTTCTTCTTCTCTGAAGACACGTGTTTCATATAGCGCACCTCCTTGACATTCTCCAGGACCATGTTGCTGTGCCTGTCAAAAGCCTTGACACGCGCCAGAAGCTTCTTGTTGTTGCGAAGACTGATGAGGATCTGCGTGTGATTCCGTACGGAAGACTGAAGGACAGAGAGAGGGCCCTGCGTCACAAGGAACTCCTCCTTGGCGCGGATCTGCGCCTCGTCCAGCTCCGAGTTGGGCGTGTTGACGAATTCAGACATCTCTTCGCTTTATCGTTGTCGTCGTCGTTGACGCCGTGGATGAAAGTCGCGAGGAGCGATGAGAGAAGAAAGTGCAGACACTCCACGTGGCCAATTCCACTTTCTCTAACTTTTTTTCCCGGTGACTGTGCCTTGCCAGACTGTTCTTCTCGACTACGAAACAACAATGGCGAACCCAGACTCGCGGGCGCCAGCGCCTGCGCTCACCATCTGTCCGACCTCCAAGGACAACGTGCTGGCTCCACTTGGCCTAATCTCCTTCCTGACCGCTCTCCCTTCGTCGTCTTCCTCTGGCGTCTCGCTCCCCGTCGCGCTCGACTGGACCCACGATGCGCTCGACGAAACGACGCTGACGGTGAACCCAGGCGGAGAAAAGATCAAAGGCGTTGGGAATGTCTTTAGGCAGCTGACTACTATGTACGCTGATACGGGTATTGCTGGAAAGGACAGCGCGGACTCAGATCAGGTTGGTGCGATGGGAGAGGTATAGTGCTCTTCACCTCAGGCTGATATCAATCTTCCGACCTTTAGATTCAAAAGTACTTGACGCTGGCCGAGACATTCCCGAACATCTCCTTTGCCGATGGCACCAAGAATGCCGACGAGCTGGATCAGACCCTGTCTCTGCGCACGTACCTCGTCTCCACGGGCCACACGATGACGGCTGCCGACGTGGCAATCTGGGCTGGCATTCGCGCTTCGACGACGCTCCTTGGCATCAACAAGAAGGGCACCCACGTCCATCTTTCGCGGTGGTTCGACCATGTTGACAACCTTCCTAGCCTCAAGCAAGCAGTCGAGACGCTCAACAACGAGAAGAGCAACAAAGCCCGTGCTTCGAAGCAGGCTGCCTCCTTTGATCTCTTCCTAGGCGATGAAGCCAAGAAGGGCGAAGTCGTCACTCGATTCCCACCCGAGCCTTCTGGGTACCTCCACGTCGGGCATGCCAAGGCGGCCATCCTGAATCAATACTTTGCTCGGCGCTACGAGGGCAAGCTCATCATTCGCTTCGATGACACAAATCCCAACAAGGAGAAGGAAGAGTTTGAGGATTCGATCATTGAAGATCTCGAGCTGATGGGCATCAAGGGCGACTCGACTAGTCACACGTCTGACTACTTCGACGAGCTGTACAAGCTCGCTATCCAGCTCATCAAGCAGGGCGATGCCTATGCCGACGACACGATCCAGGAGGAGATGCGAGCCCAGCGAATGGATGGCATTGCGTCGAAACGTCGCGATTCCACCGTCGAGGAGAACATGACCAGATTCGCCGAGATGTCTACGGGATCCGATGAAGGTCGCAAGTGGTGCTTGCGTGCCAAGATGTCCGTTGACAACCCAAACAAAGCGATGCGGGACCCCGTCATCTACCGAGTCAATGCAGACACGCCCCACCACCGGGCCGGAACAACATGGAAAGTGTATCCAACGTACGACTTCGCTTGTCCTGTTGTCGACTCCCTCGAGGGTGTGACACACGCGTTGAGAACGAACGAATACAGGGACAGGAATCCGCAGTACGCATGGATGCTGGAGAAGCTCGGACTGCGAAACGTCAACATCTGGGACTTTGGCAGGCTCAATTTTGTCTACACCCTGCTGTCCAAGCGTAAGCTTCAGTGGTTCGTCGATCGTGGATTCGTTTCGGGCTGGGACGATCCGCGATTCCCGACGATCCGAGGAATTCGAAGGCGAGGCATGACAATCGACTGCATTCAGCAGTTTATCCTCGCGACGGGTCCTTCGCAGCAGGTCATCAACATGGAATGGGACTCGATCTGGACTCTCAACAAGAAGCTCCTCGATCCCGTGGTGCCACGCTACACGGCCCTGGACGAGAAGGACCTGGTCAAGTGCACCCTGTCTGGTGCAGGCGTTCCCTCGCAGCCCGAAGACCGACCAGTGCCGAAGCACAAGAAGAACCCGGAGCTTGGCGACAAAGTCACGGTCTTTGGCAAAGACGTTCTCTTGGAGCAGGCCGACGCAAAGACGTTTGAGGAAGGCGAGGTCATCACCCTCATGGACTGGGGCAATGTCAAGGTCAAGACGATTTCCAAGAACGGAGACAAGGTCGAGTCGATTGCGTTGGAAGCGGACTTTGACAACAAGGACTTCAAGAAGACTAAGAAGACGACGTGGCTTTCTTCTTCCGAGGCCCGACCGTCCGTCAAGGTGCACCTTGTCGACTATGACTACCTCATCACGAAGGCCAAGCTCGAGGAAGAAGACAAGGTCGACGACTTCTTGACGCCGCAGACGGAGTTCAAGACGGAAGCCATTGCGGACGGCAACGTCTCTCAGCTCGAGCGCGGCCAGGCAATTCAGTTTGAGCGCAAAGGATACTTTATTGTGGACCAGGTTGCCAAGGACTCAGGCGAAAAGATGATCCTGGTGAGGATCCCCGATGGAAAAGTCGAGACGACCAAGAGCAAGGGCGCCGGAGCCGAGGGATCTGCAACCGTTGCGGACGACTCCAACGCGAGGAAAGCGGCGGCCGCAGAGGAAAGGGCAAAGAAGAAGAAAGCAAAGGAGGAAAAGGAGGCCGAGAAATTGAAGAAGAAGGCGGAAAAGAATGAGAAGAAGGCTGCTGGTGCTGCTGCTGTGGGAGCGGCAGCGGCGGCAGGAGGTGCGACTGTAGCACAAGGAGCCAACGCCGCATTCAAGGAAGCGGCAGAGGCCTCAAGCACAGTGAAGAGCATGTACAAAATGAGACCGCTGACAAGTGAGGTCGACACAAGCCAGACATCGTCGAAGATGTACTCGATGAAAAAGTTCAACGACCACTGAGCTGGGCCATGTGCCTCGCCTTCGAAATCTATCAATTCAGATATTTGTCGTCTTCCCTCTTCGCGGTCCATCGTGGGATTGTCATTGCTGATGTGTGTGAGTGTTTGTCTATGTATACGTATGTGATGAGAAGTTTGTCACGAGCCTTGGGCTGGTTCCAAGTGGCCCCTGTCTTTTGGTGCGTTCTCGAGGGGAACACAAAACCCAGAGAAGAGAAAAGAGAAAAGAAAAAAAAAGAAGCAGAGGGCTGGAAATGAGGGGTGGCGATAAGAGCGCTAGAAAAGTGGGCTACTCAAAGGAAGCAGCTCTGGGCGCCAACCAGGAAGAAGCGAGAGGAAGGCGCAGCGAAGAGGGAGCAGAGAATGGGTGAATTGAGCGGCGCAACGGAAGCACACATCGTCGGTCCAACGAAGGAGTAAAATCATTTGGAATCACGGGTTCGTAGGAGCAGGCGTGAGAGTCGGAAGGTGCGTTTCGTTGAAATTGTCGGAGATGGATAGGGCAGTGCTTGCCTTGGCTGCCAGATCTTCGGTGCTCGTTCCGGTGCTGACTCGGACCGTGTTGTGCCCGGGCGTGTCGAGGAGCCTCTCAATTGCGTTCAGATGCTTTGTGAAGCCGCTCGTGAAGCGCTTCATATGCTGCAGGAACGGGCGAACGATGGCGATCAAGCGCTCGCGCTGGGTGCCCCGTGCATGTTCAAGTAGACGCTGCACTACGTAATTACCGTACTGGTCTCTCATCATGATGAGCACTGGAATCTCTGTCGTGTCGCCCGAATGACCACCAATCGCCGTCATCGTAGTGGCTGAGGTACTCTGCGCTGATGGGCGAGCAGGTACTGGCTTCATTGTCTCCTCGATAAGTTCTTCGCGGTCGATGTCGGGTGCATGACGAACGACCTCTTCGACGACGTTGCTCGCAAATTTGTGCATGCTCAACCGAAGCATGTTACCTTTCGTGACTTGAATGATACCTGTGCGGTCGACTTCGGCACCATGGAGGATGATCCACTGCATGACGTAGTTGCCGTACTGATCCTCCATGGCTATCGAAGGCTGCTGCATGAGCTCATCCAGTAATGGCCTCGATTGGTCCGCGCGGCAGTGCTCGAATACGCGCTGAAGTACTCGGCAAGAGTAGCAGTGCGAAGCGAGTGCCTGGACGTTGCCTTGGAATGCTCGGGGGACGAAATCGACGGCCTCGGGTGGCAGGCGTTCCAAGAGCTTTTGAACAACGTGGTTGGCATTCTGGTCCTTCACACACGTCAACACCTGCGGCTCGAGCTCCGTAGAGAGAAGAAGCTTCTGAGAGAGAGGCACGCATTCGAGTGCCCTCTGAACCACGCGGCAGCCGTAAGTGCAGAGTGAAAGCTGGACGACGTAGCCGTGCATCTGATCGACTAAAAGCGTGCGTTGCTGAGGGGTGCCAAACTCAAAGAGCTTCTGCACGACCTGTAGTTGATCGAATGACACATGGTCAGCGGTGCAATGCATGCAAAAGGGACAGATTCCAAACTCACATAGTTGCCAAAGACGTCGTTCATCACCTCGCGAGCGCTGAGGAGGATTTCGTCAAAGACGAGTTGACGCTCCTCGTCGCTCGCGGAGTCGAGCTTCTCTTGGGTGAAGCGGCTGCCATACTGATCCGAACTGAACTCGACGACGTGGCCGCGGATATCCATGAGGTCCAGACGTCTACGGGTGCCCCTCGAGCGGAACTCTTCCAGCAGCGGAGAGCGATTGGGCGCAGGGCGCTGCTGGGTCAGATCGACGACCGGTCCGCCAGCAAAAGTAAAGCCGGTGGGGAGCCCGCGCGAATAGTTCATCTGATTAGAGTTGCCCATCTGCGAGACCACGGATGGCGAGCGAGAATGCTGGGGTGAGAAGACAGAGTGCATCGATGGGATCCTCGAGTGGCCTCCGAAACCGGCACCAGAGTGGCTGGAGAGGGCGGGAGAGCCAGGGTAGAAGGCATCAACCTGGCCGGTTGGGAATGGCGGTCCAACATTGGGGGGCATGCCAGGTCCTGTCGGTATGCGACGGTGATTCATATTGTTGCCCGACGGAATACTAGCCGAGGTTGTAGGGCGGCTGGAACCCATGACGCTGCCCGTTGACCAGCTGGGAGAGTGCCCAGGATGGCCAAAATGGTGCGAATTCTGGACGTTCCAGCCTGCATGCGGAGAAAAGTTGGGCGCGATGGGCAACGGAGGCCCGTGTGGATTGTTGGGGTCAAGGTCGATGCTTTGGACGCTTGACTGATGGGAATGTTGCCCACTTTGCATAGGAGGGCGGCCAGGAGGTGGACCCCAAGAAGTCATCTGAGGCGGCCTCATGGCCCCGAAGCGCTGCTCGTCTGCGATGCTGATGTCGGAACCCATCACCGCTGGGACCATGCCTATCCCGGCAGGGCCAGTCGGGAGGGGTGTCACGGGATAGGTAAAGAATTGGTGACCGGGAGGCCTCATGAGGTCGTTGGGCATATGATGGCCGTAGAGAAACATGCCCGGATCGTTAGGCTGTGGGAATGCTTGCATCTTGGGCGTATTACTAAATGCACCGTTGCCGAAAGAGACCTGCTGTTGCTGCTGCTGCTGCTGCTGCTGCGGCAGGAGTTGCTGGTGTGGCTGTTGGTGCGACATGGATTGAGTGCCTGTACGAATATCGGAGGTGGAGTTGTAGCTTTGTACGGTCGCATCGCTCGAGGGGTGACCGTCGTCGCCAGCGTTGTGGCTTAATGGAGCCGCAAATGACGGCGAATTGCTCTGCTCGGATGGATGTAGTGTGCTGGGACGTCGCGAGTCGCTTCTCGCCATGGAAGGCATCGAATTGGAAGGATGACCAGGCATTGGTTCGGAAGTGGCCAGCAATTTGCGAGCAAGTGCAATGTCATTGTTGGAGGCTGGATCATCCAGCGTCGCAGACTACGGTGTTGGTGTCAGCATCTTTGAGCAGAGACATCTTTCGTCTGATCTGTCACTCACCTCATCGCCCTGCGACAGCTTTCTGACCAGGGCAGGGAGTTGCTTGGAACCAAGACCGATGCTTGCGCCACCGTCTCCGCTGGCCGGCCTCGTCGAGGGTGTAAAGGAGCGAGTGGGCAAGACAGCCGAGGTCCTCCGGAAAAAGGCGTCTGACTTGCCACCGTCGTCGCTGCCAGACTTGATCATCGTCTGTCCCCAGCCATTGCCTGGTTTCTTGGTGGCAATGGGGTGCTGCTGGGATGCTGGGTTCCAAGCTTCTTCGACGTCGAGAAATGCTGATGGCTCGCTGCCTGCCGCTGCGGTGACGGACGTGGTTGGGGCCTGGGAGGCGTGTATAGTCGCCATGATGAGGGGATCCTCTATAGGTCCGTCTGCTGGCGTGACGAGTGGGCTCGCTGTGCTTGTTCCTCCTCCGTGAGTACTGATGCTTCGCATGCTCTGAGGTCGCGTGCGTGTTCCAATGCTGCCCTCTGCTCGCGCCCCGCTTCCTTCGACCGCCACCCCCGCTCCTGTTCTCCCCGTCGCTAGATCTAGGCGTGTCCCTTCACCACTACCTCCTTCTTCTACTTCCCCGCGTCCTGCAAGGCGAACGCCGCTGCCGCTGCCGCTGCCGCCGCCTCCGCCGCCGCCTTCGATGTGGCTGCCGCGTCTACTGCTGGCCGACAATTCGGCTGCAGGGTATGTACCCGAGGAAATGCTTCGCGAAAGCTTGGTGCCGGACGCAAACGAAGACGACGAAGGCAAGGTAGAGGCAGATGAGGAAGGGTGCGAGCAGCCGTTCTGGCTGCTGCTACTGACGAAGAGTGGGGTGGACGAAGGCGTCAATGGTATTGGCAGCTGATGGCGACCAGTGTGAGGAGAAGCTCCAGAGGCTCGCCGGGATACCGAGTCGGAGCGAGCACTGTCGTTCTTACTGGGGTCAGAGCCGGCACCAGCGGCATTCGTAGTGGAAGTTATGGAAGCAGAGGGGGCGGTGCTGAGACGCGAAGAAGAATCGCCTGACGTGCTTGCCCTCGATGGGTCTGGTTTTCGCATGCTCTTCCTCGCCCTCTCTTCTGATCCTCCTGCGCGAGCCTTTGTCCTGCGATCAGGGCGGTGCGTAAAGGCGGGGGAGAGAAAGCAAGTGAGAGGGTGAGAGAGAAGGAGGGGTGGGGGGTGTTGCCGGCGCTTCCTCGCCCTTCACTCTGCGCTCGGAAGGTGCTCGGTCAACGAGTTGCGCGTGCTGGACCTCCTTTTCCCAGCGAGGCGGGCGCAACGGGGTGCCTGATTGATGATGCAGGAGCGGAGACAGCGCAATGCAGGCGAGGTGTGAGAGGAAAGGCGACAGAGAAGAGAGAGCTAAGAGCTGGCGGAGCGAGAATCGACAAATGAGATTCAAAGCTCAGTCAGGGCGCGACGCTGATGGCGCTGCTGATATCGAGAGAGCCCAGCTCCAGCAACTGTTAATTATCTCGACCCACTCCGCTGTCGATTCGGCCGTATGGTGAAGATTGTTGCCGCTCAGGCTCAAAAGACAGATTTGCTTGCGTCGCTCTTTCGCTCGCCCAAGGTCGTCGTGATTGGGAAGACAGATAACCAAAGTAGCCAGGGAAGTCAGTCCATAATTATCGTTGGGCACGGACGCACGGGCGCAACTTTATTATTAGTAGTCTCCCATTTGCAGGACGCACTTTCGCCCGCGTCTCTCTCTACACGAGCAAGCGCTCCGTCGGCACGGCGACCAATTGTGTTCCCATCCCAGTCAAGCCATCATCGACATCTTACATTGAATAATAAGAGGTTCGGCTACAATTTTGTTTGTGGCAGCGATAAAGAATCTCCAGTCGTCAGTGGTACCGGCGCCGGAGTTCTGAGTGTGTTTAAAAAGGGGGGAGGGGCCGGGTAGCTTGTTCGCCCTTTGTTTTCCGTGGTGTCTGCACTTTTGAAACGATGCGAATCCGAGATACAGGTTGCTGCTCCCGAGGAATCGCGCAAATTCGAATCGGATGTGATAATCTGGGCAGGCGGGTGGGCGAGAGGGTTTGCTGGCCTTTCGAGTCGACGAAAGGGTTCGTCCCTCCCCGTCCGCGCTTAGACTAAGTGCCGTTTGCCCGCGATGACTGTAAGCCTAGATCTCAATTCTAAGGTCGCGCTGCTCTTGGCTGGGCTTGGCTCAGACACCGTATAGCCTGTGTGACCTTTAGCAATCAGACCCTAGCGTTGAGCGACGATCGGAATTTAGCGCTCCTATCACCGATGCTTCTGAAGTTTATTCTTGACTGATATTGCACAGCGAGAGGAGACAGGGGAAGGGAGAGAATAGGGCAACAGTATTATTTAGTGCACGAATCGGGAGTCGAGCCTCACTGCGCCTTCGTCTTGGCTCGTCAACTTGTATTCGACCTGCTCGTCCGGGGTGAGTGCAGCCCATTTGGCCTGCTTGCTCCTGTTCCTCGCGATATAGTAGGCCTTTGTGAGCCAGCACTGGACAATTGCGAAGGCGGAAATGGCAATTAGGGCGGCGATTCCTTTGCCGTAGAAAGGCTGATCGCCCTGGGTGAAGATTCGTGTGGCAGCGATGCTGCCAATTTGGTAGGACATGTTGTAGAAGCACATCGACACAGCACGATTGCGGACCGAGAGCGAGTTGCGCGACAGCCAGCTGATGACCGTCGGATGGCAATAGGGGAAGGAGGCGATCAGGGAAAGAAGCGCGAACCGAACCCAGGACCAGTACGATTCGAGGGAGCGAGGGATGCAGTAAAGGGCCACGAGGAGCGGCAACGTCCAAATGTTTGCCAACGATGAGACGAAGCTGCGTTCGTTCAAGCGGCGAGCGAGCCAGGACATCCAAAGGCAGTTGACTGCAAAGAGGAACTGCGAGGGAATAGCCAGCAGGTTCGAGTGGAGCGTCGTGAAGCCGAGCTGCTTCAGCGTGAGTGATAGATAGGTCTGAGGGGGCTGGAAGGGAATGTAGATGACAAGGCCGAGAAGGTAGATGGGCCACAGGTCCTTCTCTTTCATCGCTCGCCATAGGCCCTTGAGGTTGACGCCAGTTCGGTTGTTCATGTCGCCCTTTGTCGGGTCGTCTCGAAGGACGCGGTTGACGAGGATCTTTTCTTCTCGCTCTGTGAACCACCCATTCCTTCCACGCAAGAGACCCTTTGTGGAAGTCACGCTCGGCGGCATCCAGAAAAAGGCAAAGATGCCCACAACGCCTGTGATGAGTCCTCTGCGAGAAGAGAGAAGAGGAATATCAGCCAAATGCTCCGCTCCTTTTCCAGGACGAATGAGGAAAGCTTACTCAAAAGCAAAGAGGTATTGCCAGCCTGCGAGCCCATGCAGGCCCCGGAGCTCGATGAAGCCGGCGGCAAGGAGGCTGCCCAGGATCTGGCTGATGCCGAGAACCGTGTAGAACCAGCTCAACCTCGTCGTGAGCTCGTGACTGGTGTAGAAGTAGCTGAGGTACAGGCACATGTCGGGTATGAAGCCGCCTTGAGCCGCGCCGACGAGTGCACGGAGAATGAAGAAAGACGTCTTGGACTTCATAGCTGCCTGGATGGAACATAGGATGGACCAAGTGACTATCTGCACGGGCACCCAAATGTCCGCGCCCACTTTCTTGCTGATGAGGCCCGAAGGAAGCTCCATGAAGAGGAAGCTGGCGAAAAAGATTACCTGTCCATTGTTGAAGTCGTTTTGATTTATGCGGAGGTCTTTGAGGAATTGGTCGGGTAGGGCTCGGTTGATGTTGCGCCTGATGAGATCGAGCGACATGAACATGACCCAGACAAAGCACATGATCTTGATGTCGAGCTTTCGAACTAGCCTCTTCTCCTCTTCGGCGTCCCATTCAAACGAGGGGTCGTACCGGTGCCTGCACTCGTACTGTGCATCTTCGTAGATGGCGCGCCACTTCTCCGTCTCGTCACCAGCAACAGCCGAGACGGAACCAGGCTCCTCCTTTTCACCGTCAGAGAAAGAATCTTGTCGATGGGACATGGTGAGACAGTAGTGGGAGGAGAAAAGTAATTCCCTTCCTCGTCCCTCTCTTGTCTCTTTAAATCTCGGCAGGACAGGTGCGGGAGGCTCTGACCCTTATCAAGTCTGGTAATACTTTGCATTGGCATTTTTTTGAGTGGCTGATCGTTCTTCTAGCGCAGGAACAGCAACCGTCTCACCTTCCTGAGCATCTCTGCTTATCGGGTAAGCAGGAACCGTTCGAGCACGTCAGTCTTTTCGAGGTTTTTTTGGACACTCTCGAGCAATTGACGTGCTTACGGTCCTTCGGCGCGTTATCCAGCCACTCTCCGCTCTGACGACTTTCAGCACAGCACGAAGACTAGAACACCTCTTCAATTTGTACCTCGATTCAGAAACCCTGCTGCCAAGAAAGCAGCTTCTGCTCTCACTTGACTGGGCAAGCCACAACACAAGTGCCCTGGGACTGCAAGAAGCGGCAAGTGTATGTGCGTGGCGGGGTTGTGCTGCGATCGCGACCATGCGCCCGATCTGACGTGCTTTATTTTGGCGAGAGCGAGCGCGCACGCAATTTACGCTACGCTTGTTGCGCACGGATCCATAAATGCCTGGCCAAGAAGAAGAAGAAGACGAAGAGACCACATCCAACCATCCTTGTTCAACAGCATGATGAGGAACCTTTCTCTCGTTGTTCTGGGCTTTACGGCATTGGCCCGAGTGCAGGCCAGCTGGCAATTCCTCTCACGCCCCGATCTCTCGACACCAGTGCTCAATATCACCCAATTGGATGCTGACAAGGTGGCGCCCGGCTACTTGTTCGTGGCACCGTTTGCGGGCGGCAGCGATCACGAGAAGCACAGCCCCCTTCAACCAGGCCCATACATCTATACGTCGCAGGGCGATCTCGTCTGGACCGGTTTCGCGCAGTACTTTTCCATTTGGACCGTGAACCTGCAAAAGACAAAATTCAAGGGCAAAGACGCCCTCTTCGCATTCCAGGGCAAGCACAATGCCGCCCATGGGCACGGGCACGGCCACATCAAGATCCTCGACTCGAGCTACAGAACGGTGGGCGAGGTGCGGGCTGGTCACCACCGGTTGATCGACAAGCACGAGGGCCAGATCCTGGACGATGGCAAGTCCGCCCTCGTCCAGATCTACCAGCCCGTCGCGAGGGACCTGAGTGAGGTGGGCGGAGACGACGATCACCAATGGATCGTCGATGCCCAGTTCCAGGAGATTGACGTCGAGTCCGGCGACGTCCTCTTCGAATGGCACTCGCTCGACCATGTTCCGCCTTCGCACTCCAACATCAGCCTCCAGAGCGGGCAGGCTGGCGACGGCAGCGACTCCTCCGAGGCCTGGGACTACTTTCACATCAACTCAGTCGACAAGGACGCAGACGGTCACTATCTCCTCTCCGCCCGAGACGTCAACTCCGTCTACAAAATTCACGGCCGCACAGGCAAGATCATCTGGAGGCTCGGGGGTCGTAACGAGCACAGCGACTTTCAGGCGCTGGATCAAGAGACATCCTTTAGCTACCAGCACCATGCTAGATTCCAGGGAAGAGACAAGAGAGGTCGAGAGATCATCTCTCTGTACGACAACAGCGCCCACGGGACAGAGACGGACGGTGGTAGTGAAGTGCGAGATGCGCCGACATCGTCCGGCAAGATCCTGGCACTGGACCACAAGGAAAAGACCGTCGAGACGGTACAGGCATTTTATCCGCCCTTTCCGCTCCTTTCCAAGTCGCAGGGCTCGACGCACGTCTTGCCCAGCGGCAATGTCCTTGTCAATTGGGGCTCCGAGGGTGCCGTGACAGAGTACACGAGCGACGGAACGGCCATCTTCCACGCCTTTCTCGACAGCGGCAAGCTGGCGGCGGGTGTGCAAAATTATAGGGCCTTCAAGTCTGAATGGACGGGACGACCGACCGAAGAGGCTGCCGTCGCAGGCCTCCTCTACAGCTCGGCCCCGGGTGGGAAACTGGTGCCTTACTCTGCGTCGAGCTCAAATGCAAAGCTCCTCGTGGCGGCGTCCTGGAACGGTGACACCGAAGTGGCCACCTGGCGCTTCGTGGCTCGGGATGAGCAGCAGAAAATCAAGAAGCTGGGCGAGGGCAAGCGAAAGGGCTTCGAGACGAGATTCCTGATCGATTTCGAGCTCGGCGTGGGCAGTCATGAGCTATCACATGTTCGAGCAGAAGGTCTGGATCGAAAGGGAAGGGTCCTCACAGAGACTCGCTGGGAGAAGATCGAGCATGATCGGGCTGTTCCGCCTGAATTTCGGGCAGGTCTGTCTCCCCTGCCAAGCCAGAAGAAGAACGCCCAACTTGTTTTTCAGCACGTATGAGTTGCTACATCAAGCCCATGGCTCTATAATAAATATGTCCGCTCGATGTAGTGCTGTCCTGTCCACTTTGCATCTGACCTACGTCTGAGCTGATCTCGCCCGCCTTCTGAGGATACACATCAGGGCAGTCCTCTCTCCACCTGTTCGGGGCTCCGCCGAACGACTCCACCGGCCGGGGGGCACGGATTTGTTAATTGAGCCGAAAGGGACTAGCGCATTGCACCCTGCAAGGCTTAACGCCGACACGCGCAAGGTAGACTCACTGAATCTCGAATGATTTGCCGGAACTCCCATCAAGACCTACCAACACGGCCCGCTCGCACGATGCTGGCGGTGCCCGATGACTTTACACTGCGCGCTGTCGTGGGTGGGGTCGCCGTGGGCTCGCTCCTCTGCGCATCGAACCTCTACTTTGGCCTGCAGTCGGCCTGGATCACCATGGCGTCGCTCCAGTCCGCCCTTGTCGGCTACGGCCTCGTTCGTGCGTTGCCCAACGTCCTCAACTTCGCGGGCGTCCCCTTTACGCCCCAGGAGAACGCCGTGCTGCAGGCAACGGCAGTGAGCCTGGGGAGTATGCCACTCACGGCAGGCCTCATCGGCATCGTCCCCGCCTTCAATCTGCTTAGACCGGAGAAGGACGGCGCCAATGTCGAGGCGTTCTCCTTTGGCTGGGTCGGCCTCCTCTTGTGGTGTGCCAGCATGGCTTTGTGAGTGCCCCGCCGCCTCCGACGATCTCTTGCATGGTCAGACAAACGCACAATCAGGTACTGACTTTATATACGATGCAAGCTTTGGCATCTTCTTCGCTTCTCCAATGCGATCGCCAATGATCCTCCGCGAAAAGTTGCGGTTTCCGAGCGGTAGCGCAACAGCACAGCTCATCGCAGTGCTCCATGGCACCACTGTTCGCAAGGAGGGGAAGCAGCTCGATAGCAGCACGCAGCCAGAGGGCCTTGACGACGAGGAGAGGCGGCCGCTCCTTCCTAATCCAACAGACGCGCCCCGGCTGGACTCCGATCGGATTGATGCCGAGAGGGGCATGCCTGCGCTTGTGTACAGCTTTGCAGCATCAGCGACGACCACGGTGCGTGTCTCTTCCTTGCTTTTCCACACAGGAGAGATGTCCGTCTCTTGCAAGGCTGACCTTCAGTTCTGCAGGTCGCCGCCTTCTTTCTCCCAGTCATCTATGCCGTGCCGATCTTCGATCCTCTACTCCCGAGAAGAGATGCGGCCGCCAGGTGGGGTTGGTGGTTCACACCCTCCCTCAGCTACATGTGAGTGGCAAGCTCGAAGACCTGTATGCAAAACACCAGCTGACGATGAACAATGCCGCAGAGGTCAAGGCATCATCATGGGCCCGCAGACAACTACGTCTATGTTCCTGGGCGCCCTCGTCGGCTGGGCGATCCTCTCGCCCCTTGCCCACCACATGGGATGGACAAATGGCGTGCCGATGGATGCTGAAGAAGGTTCCAGAGGTGAGTCTGTTCCACTTCCAGGATTCGTGGCTAGCAAGGAGCCTCGTTGACATCTTTGTCCAGCCTGGATCCTGTGGCCATGCCTCGCCATCATGACGTCCGAGTCAATCGTGGGCCTCCTGACCCTTCTCGCACAGCAGCACTCTGCGAGACAAAGTCCGTCCAGCACCGCCGAGGAGGCCGAAGAGGAGGAGCCTCCTGAGAGGTTGACTCCAACCAGCTGGGCCCTGGGTGGCCTGGTTCTTGCTACAGGTGCCTCCGTGGGCATCCTTGCCGTCCTCTTTGGGGAGCAGCACGTACAATTTTGGGTGCCTCTCGTCGGCGTTGTCTTGGCCGGCATACTGAGCATCCTGGCTGTACGAGCGCTCGGCGCAACTGATCTCAACCCGGTGAATGCGCTCGGAAAGCTCAGCCAGCTGGCCTTTGCTTTTCTTCAGCCGGGTGGCATCCTCGCCAACATGGTAAGCATCTTCTTCCGGGCTGGAATAACGGAACAGAGCTGATCGTTGTGTGCTGAATCTTTGATGAACTATAGATCGGAGGAGCGCTCTCTGAGGCTGGCGCCATGCAAGCCGGAGAGCTCATGCAGGACTACAAGACTGGCCATCTCGTCCACGCTTCGCCCCGGGGCCAATTCCTTGGCCAGATGGCAGGCTCTGCTGCGGGTGTCGTTGTTTCCACAGTCACATACAAGGTGAATTGTCCACCAAAGCTGGTCCCTGCACTGCCAAACTGACACAAAATCAGCTCTATGAACGATCCTATCGCCTGCCTGGTCCCGAGATGCCCGCTCCGGCAGCCCGGCTCTGGCTCAACTTTGCCAGGCTCGTAAACAACGGCGCCCTTCCCAGGCGCTCAGCCGAGGCCATGGCCGTATCTGCCATTCTCTTTGGGCTAAGCACACTGGCAAAGGGCGCTGCTCAATCGCGCATCGAAGCTCGAAAGCGGCTGCGGCCAGGTGCGCAAGGGGTGCACACAAAGCAACAGCTGTGGGAGAGCATCGCGCTCGGGTTCCCTAATGGCATCGCCTTTGCGGTCGGACTGGGCCTTAACACGCCAAATTACAGCTTGGCCAGACTTATCGGTGGTGTTGTGAGCTGGTATGCGCAGCGAAATAGTCGTGCTTCCCCATCCGGTCTACCGCCCGTGGGCCTCCTCGTGCTCAGCGCTGGCTTTGTCCTAGGAGAGGGCTTCGCGAGCATCGCCACGCTCCTTCTGAAAGAAGCTGGGCTCGGACCAATCTCCTGTGCAGGATGCAGGGGTGGCTGTGGGGGTGGTTGCTGATGGTATAGATTGTAGCGATATAGAAGCAGTGTAGACAGAAGCAATGATACCATGACCTGCTTCCCTACTCAGACTTACTGTCCACTCCTCTCTTCTCGCCAAGAAACAGATTGTCGAGGGAGATAGATGGCCCTAAACCTAAATTTACACGTGGCTTGAGCTGCAGCTGTCGGACGTGCATCGCTTTTTGGTCGCGTTGGGTGCCGCTCATCTATCTTTGCTCAGAGGACGGCCTCTTTCTTTACGTCGACGTACGGCACCGGGCAACCCACGTTTCTGACGACGACGACTACAATAACGACGCCGCGGCTCGCCTAGTATTCCGCCAGCGCCCCGACTCCGGACGTAAACGGTAGCGGACGTCGTGGTCGAGTGCCCCTGCCCAGCCCAGCCTCGGATTTGGCTGTCCGAATCTAAAAGGGAAAAAGGGTGAGAAACAAGGATAAAAGAGAGGACGGAGCGCGGTGCCGTCCATACCCTGGCCGAACCGGTGCACGCCTGCTTCTCCGCCCGCGCTCTAGCGCTCGCCCGCGCCTCAGTGGGACCCAGGCAGGAAGGACAGAGCCGCTGGCAAAGGCTCCCTCCTCCTCCTACCCCTCCTCTCAATTCGTGATCTTGCCACGTATTGACCAAATTGACGCTCGTTTAACGGCCCACATCGGGAGCAAAAAGCGAAGGGAGACACGACACAATGTCGTCGCACCAGCACTCCGTTTCTTCTGCCTCGCAAGAGCCCTTCAGGCCAGTAGCATCTCCGTCGCTGCGCTCGGGCGTAGGCTCGCTGGGCCATCGCTCCGGCCAGCGCTTCGCCCTACCTCGGGACCACGACGAAGCAGTCGGTGGAGGCGCAGGCGCAGGCGGGATGGGCGCAGGAGGATACGAGGGAGATGACAAGTCTCTCTTCGGCTTCAATCCCTCGCTCCTGCCCAGGAGGAACCATACCATTGGTGCTGGCTTCTCCTCGTCCTCGGCCTCGTCTTCCCCATCGGCGTCGCAACCCTCTTCGTACGCTGCGCGTTTCGGTGCGGTCCGGCCCAGGCGACTTGCTCAGCATTTCGAAGACGGCCGTGGCACGCCACCACCTCAGAGTCCGAGTCAGAACAGTCTGAGCGCAATCACTGGTGGCAAAGACATCGACGACGACGAGTGGGAGACGATGCTCAAGTCTTCAGACAGTGCTGCGCTGGGCAGTGATGTGCGTATGCTCTGGTCCAGGAACCCAGAGAAGCAGTGGATACTAATACTACTTTCACATGGGCAGGATGCAGAATACGAGGAACAGCTGGCGCCTGCACCGATGACGAGCCACCGTCACACAGGAGGAAACACGTTTCCAACGTGGCACCCATCGGCCTCCTCGCCTCCTTCTTCTTCTTCGATCTTCGAGTCTAGTCACCGCCGTTTCCCATCGCAGCCGACCTCGGCCCAGGCTCGGTCTCCGTTTGCACACGGGGGCCATTCACCTTCTGGTCTGAGCGACTCTGGCCGTCAGATGGGCCATCAGCGGTCCGAGAGTGCTCACATTGGCGGTAGCAGCCTCGAAAGGGGTCCTTTTGCCTCTTCGCCCCTGAAGCAAGGTCCAGATAGCGGCACCAACTCTCTCGTCCGAAGGCATCAATCGCTCAATCACGCCAGCGGCCGCATAGTCGCCAATCGACTCAATTCGCGCTACGCCGATGCTGCTTACGGCTCGAGAGAGGAAGCTATCTCGAGGAATCTCGACCAAGCCTTTGCTCCTCCATCGCTCCAGTTCAATACCAATGCATCCCACTCCGGCTTCTCGTCCATCTCAGCGAACGCAAGTCCCGTCACCCCGGGAAGCTTCTCTGCCTCGGCACCTTGGTCCGAGGCCCGTTCTAGGGAGCATCAGCAACAACCACCACAGCAGCAGCAGCAGCAGCAACAGCAACAAAAACAACAACAACAGCAGCAGCAGCAGCAGCAGCAGCACAATAACAACAACACCTCGCCTGTCCCTTCTCGCTTTTCACACACATTCTCGCCAAGTAATGGAAAGAACTCGCAACAAAGTCCCAGCGGTTTCGCTGCAGCACGACACCTCAACGAGAACAGCACGAGCCTGTCGTCGTCCTTGATGGATGCTCACGCTCGTCTGAGCGCCATGAGCATCAACCCAGCCGCTACCCGAGACGATCTGGGGAGGAGCCCGAGCAGCAGCGTCACACCCACTCCCACGACTGCGCTGCCCAATCGTCCTAGCGAATCTGGCTCCTCGACGCCTCTGAAGATGAAGAGGCTGCCCTCGCTCATCACAAGCAGGGACGAACTGGCGCGCAGCGCGGCGCAGAAGGAAAACCCTCGTGATGCCGTCGAAGGTCCGGTTAGTGCCAGCGCATACATTCCACCCATTGGACACGGTCACTCGAGGAAGACGAGCGCATCGTCGCCCTACGTTCCAAAAGACGTGGGATTTGCACAGTTTGAGAGGGACGAAGAGCGAGCAAAGAGGAGGGAGAAGGAGCTCGAGAAGCTTGCTGGTCCCTTCTCGGCCATGCCCGCGCCATCGGGATGGTCTCAGCGCGACAACATCCTCGGAAGGCAGAATGGCCGTCAGCAGCAAGGCGGACCATCTTCCTTTTCTGCCTTTGGTCTCCCACCCATCCCGTCGAGCGCTGGCGGCAATAGCAGTCTCTCATCGGCTACTGAGCGTCATTGGCCCCCTTCGCAGACCAGCGAAGGTGGTAGCAGTCTCACGGCGCGCAATCTTGCGCTCGCCGACCAGCAGCAGCAACAATACGCCGGCTTCAACCAACAACGAGGCTTCGGTTCCCCGCCAGGCGTTGGAGGACAGGCCAACCTCATGTCTCCTCCGCCAGGTCTAGCGCGTCTAGGTGCAGGCCCCTTGGATGGCTCTTCCTTTGGCCCCGGATCTCCGTCGCAGTTTGCCAGCATGTCACTCCATGGAGCGGGGCCAGTCGATTATGGTCACCTGAACAACAGCCACCACCATCAGCACGATCATCCCCAGCAGGCGCTGCATCTCTTCAACACGGCCAATCCTCCACCACTGTCGTTTGCATCGACACCTCCGCTGCACTTTGCTGGGTTGGCGCCAATGGCCCTTCCTAGCTCACACACGCCTCGGAACAGCTCGCCTCGACCAGATCCACGACAGGACCCGGCCGTATCGCAGCTCATTCAAGCAAAGGGCTACAATCCCACGTCGATCGACCTCAATCCGGCAAACACACGCTTCTTCGTCATCAAATCTTACACCGAGGACGACGTTCAGCGCAGCTTGAAGTACGAAATTTGGGCGAGCACAGAGAAGGGAAATGCAAGGCTGGACAAGGCATTTCGCGAAAGCATCGAAGGCAAGGAGGAATCGCAGCGGGGACGAATCCTCCTTTTTTTCTCCGTCAATGCCAGTGGCCACTTTTGCGGCATGGCTGAGATGCTCACGCCACTTGACTATTCGTCATCGTCCAACATCTGGGCGCAGGAGGGCAAATGGAAGGGCACATTCAAGGTCAAGTGGATCTTTGTCAAGGATGTGCCCAACAATCGCATGAGGCACATCCGGCTCACGAACACGCCAGAGTGCAAGCCCGTGACGCAGAGTCGCGACACGCAGGAGCTCCCGCAGGAGGCCGGCAAGGAGGTCATGAAGATCATGGCAGAGTATACGAGCTCCACCTCACTCCTCCAAGACTGGCTCTTTTACGAGGAGCAGGCCGCAGCTCGTCGTCAACAAGAAGTCGGAGGCTAGAAGAAAGAAAAAAGGAAAGGAGAAGAAGAAAGAGAAAAGTGGGTCAATTATGTAGCATTTCACCGAAAAAAAGTCATACAAACACACTTCACTGTCACCCTGTCGTCTCATCACAATCACCTCTGTCATCATCTTTTACGTGCTTTCATAAATGAGCACCACTTCCCTCATTCCATATAATAATATGTAGTCGACCACCTCTTACTGTCAGATAGGGGACTTGCAATGAAGAAGGAGGTCATACGCTCGTCAAGTTTGAGGGAAGCAAAGCAGAGGCCGGTAAGTGATCGACCAAACAGTCAAGGAATGCTAGAGGAAGAAGTAACAGTTTGTGAAACGACTCAGGCTTTCAACATAGAACCCCGAGCGATAGAGGCTGGGCTGCTTGTGAAAAGGGTGATGTGGGTGCTGATAAGCCCAGGACTCAATGGACATCTTGACGCCGTGTTTCAAGGATCCCTTGGGCCAAGGGTTTCTTCCTCCTTTTAGTCGAAGAACAGCTGACTTATCTTTTCTCCCACCCAACACCAAGCGCTTTAAAGCACTTGCGGTGCCGAAGCGTAGACCTCCAAGAACTATTGCACCTATGGTCAATGCAGCATAAAGGCAAGCACCGATGACCCCAGCTTTTGAGCAGCCGAGCACGTCCTGATGAAATTCTGGCGAGACCCTTCTGCTACGTCGGAAAGATGCTGCAAGTTCAATTCCACAGGAGCAGCAAGGCCCATGCGTGCATTAAAACGAGGCTGCTCTATCTTTTCCGGTCTTGAGTGTCATCAGATGAAAACCACTACTACTACTGCTAGCTTGCCACTATCCAGCGATCATACGTCATGCTCTGCCAAGTACCGCCCTGCATCATCATTTACATCAATGACTGATTGCGCTTAATTAAACTGGAGCTGCATGCACAAACGCGCTCCGAGCGAGCGCCACGGTCGATCATTCGTTTGCTGCACAAGTCTTCACGAGCGTGGACACAGTAGTGTGGCTGGTGTCGTGTCACAGATGAAGCGGAACCGACAGTAGCGTAGCACAGGCCTCGCTTTAGGCCCCCGCAGAGTCGCATGAACGAAACTAAGGTTCGGCGGCGGCGCTTCTCAATCTCATATGCCTAATTTTCAGGTACTAAGATCTGAGGGCCTGTTCGCTTCAAAAGATTACAATCTCTACCTGACTGTGCTCGTCTGCAGAGAGGGCATTGGAAGCTGTTTGTGCTTTGACCCTCGGCAAAGGTTATTGCCTTCGGCAATTGCTTGGAGCATCATAGCCGACGCTCATTTCTCACTGAGATGAGCGCAGAAGCTCGATTCTGACCCCCTTTCATCAATAATTCTATCCGTGAAGACCGTCCACGAAATGAAGCGGCGCAGAAGAACTTGGAAGGCAGCTGCCCTGAAAATGTCAACGCAGCAGGCACGCGCGCATCGGAGCTTTGCCGGGCTTTTGCGAGGACTACCGCTAGCAGGTCGTCCCTCCTCTTTCTCACGCAGGCTATACGGGCAATGAAGGAACGCCCAGGCCTCCCCACAACTTTTCAACAGACGTCTGAGACGGATACTGACCTAGACGTGCATTTGTTTGCCTCGTCTCTCTCTCGTCTACGGAATTGAAGAGCGGGCCGCCGTCTTTCGATGTCCATAAGACCAGCGGTCAGCTCACTTGATCCTTCGGTGCTTCTCAGAACCCACCCTCTTTCCGTCGCATGTCCATCTTCGTCTCCGCCACGTCAATTCTGGACCCCAACTCTGCCCAATCTCATTCCCCTACCTCGGGTGAGTGCGCACTTCGGATTACCGTGGGTTGTGTTCTGGCTCCGTCTGTATGTCGCCTGTGTTGCTGGCCTTTGGGGTTCTACTTGTGCACCTCCGCCCACGAATCTCAGCGGAGAGCGACGGAAGACGGCGCCTGAAGATGTCTTCTCGGTTTTCTTGCTCCGTCTTGGCGGTGTGCCTTAACAAGTGAGGATTACCGTTCATAAGTGTGCAGAGAGCCTCTGTCGTCTTTCGCTTCCTCTGTACCTTTCTCGCACGGGTTTGATTCTTTCCATCTCAGATCCCTCTCCAGATTTGTATGCCCCAGCCCAGCGGAGGTCAGATTCGCAGCGCTCCATGTCCAGGGGCGTCCGTTCCTTTTTTTTCTCTTTCTTTCCTCCTTCTCGTTCCTTGGCCCTCGCGCTGGGCGCCCCCTCTCAACATTATTTCATCATCCGTGGTGACGGCGTTGGCCCCCCTGCAATTTTGTCGGGGTCCCTCATCAAGGTTTACCTTTTTTTTTTTCTCGCTGTTTCTCTTTGCACAGCTGACTCTTGAAATACCCCCCTTCCCCTTCCCTTCTCCTCAGTTCTGTTCCCCAGTTCTCTCCCCTCTACAGAGCCACTTATCTTTGTCTCGGTGTCAACGGCAAAACCTTAAGCCTACTCGCCGCCAGCACGCCATCCTCACCGAATAGACTTCGAAAACGCTTGGCCGTCAACACGGTAAGCACGCATTATGCTCCTCAGTCGACAAACGAGTCAAGTTTTGTCGCCGGACGGGCGTCTTCCTTATCTTCCGGCAATTCGCCCAGGTCCTCACAACAGCATCAAGGCTGTCGATTCGGCCGTCGACGTTGATCGCAACGGCTTGCGACACACCATCAAGCACGACGAAGGAATGCTCCAAGTACGACAAGGAGGCAACGACGGTTGCGAATCGCATGTCTACCTCCATGCAGGGCAGCAACAGCAGCGTCAAAACCACCCTTCGCATCTTGACCAAGTTCAAACTCACATCGAGCAGCACTTTGTGACACCAATGCACCGCCCACCGAATGTCCGTTCACCGCGGCCACCGTCGGGCCCCGCCATTGCGCTCGAGGATCAGTTCCCGTTTCTCAAAGACGGTCGAAAGAGGACGAGGAAGCTCCTTACGCCCGAGCAGACGCGATTTCTTGAGTCAATCTTGGAGAAGGTGCGCATTCAATGAAGAACATCCTTACTTCGGTGGCTGACACATTATGACAGACGGCCTACCCTTCGACGGTGACGCGGAATGCAGTCGCTTCGATCCTCAATGTCTCGCCACGAAAGGTCCAAGTGTGGTTTCAGAACAAACGACAAGGACACCGGAGGCAGACAAATGCATGCAACGGACAGAAGAGCTTCAGAGATCCATCGGACCGCGTCGATGGCATCCTTCAACGAGGCCCAAGGAGCATCGATGATCATTCCACATGCCATGATGCCGCGCTGACGGCTTCCTCTCTGCCTGGACTCAATAAGTCGGGAGTAGCACCTCAAAGTCAACGTATGACGCATACATTCTGGGATGATCGCTTCTCTGATCAAGGTCGTCATCGTCAACAGCAACAGTACATGGCCAGTCAATCCATGAAATTCGACTCGGTAGACCACTCGCGGCGTCTCTACGGCGTCGAATCGTCACCGCCCTCTCACACTATTAGCCGAACTCGATTCGACGTTTCGTCGGCCTCGTCGTCTTCGAGCTCTTCCCCGCCTTCTCCGTCGGTGCGTCCAACGAGTCTCGTTGACTTGCGTCGAAGCGTGCCACACAGCGATGCTGGTTCCGACGACTCGCTGCTGCTCCCTTTTACTCCACCTGTGCATGCTCACAGGATTGGAATGTCGCGACCGATGAGGATGGTGCATCAAAGCCCGGCAGCAGTGCATCACAGCAATGTTGCCCGACAGCAACACTACCCGCTGCAACAGCATGCTCACCCAATGACATCGCCTTCGTCTCCATCAAAAAGTCTTGCGCGTCCGACACCATATCCTCATCGATCGCTTGGGCAAGTACCCTCTGGTCATCACTTTTCTGTTCGCCCCGACGGCGCACGCCGAGTACACAGGGATGACGTTATTGCCGAGCACAATCTGTCGAGGAGGACAAACTCCGAATCCCCTTCATATGGACACAGCCGCAAAGGCCATGAGAGCACGCGTACAAACATGTCACCTATCGACCATCCGTCCAGGGCGCCCGTCGAGCGCATAAATAACGTTCTGGTAGGCGACGAAGGCCAGGTTACGCAACGTCGTGGTCAGCCGAACAGACAACTTCGGGACAGGACTCACGAAGCTTGTGAATACAAGTACCAAGTCGAGCATGATAAAGAGCCGAGCTTCGCCCGACAAGAACAGCTGCCGGCCACGACATTAGAGGCAAACATTTTGCCTCCCATCTTGGACTCGAGGCTGGCGTCTCGGGCACCTTCTCCCTCGACCGTGTTCAAGACAGGACAGATAAGCGCCAGCACAATCACAACGACACAGAACAGCTCGCCATCGAAGTCTCCCTTGACTTTGCCCAGCGTCGCCGAGCTTCTCGCTTTGAGGTAGCGAGATAATCCCCTCCATCAGCCCCGCACTTGTTCCCATTGTAGAGATATCAGTATTCATAGAAACAGCAGTGTAGCGTCCCGTCACAGATAAGTCGAAGTCTTGCACGAACCATCTAATCATGCCCCCTTTAGACCACATACACTCATCTCTCGATATGTCGATCCATTTCCTTTCTTGTGATTACTGCTAAAGTCGCCGCAGCTGGTCCTGTGCGCAATCACATCTATCTCTCACTAGATTCCTGCACACAAACATTGCACTTCGTCCATGTCCTGATACACATGAGAGATCCGCACCCGTGCCGTCGCGGTCCCGAAAGCAACTACCTTTCCCCTTCTACAGCTCTGAGTGATCAACTCCCTTTGTGATCTTCTTTGCGGCCTCTGCCGACTTTTCGCTCATCTCCCTCTTGGCAAACGCCGCCAGGATGTTTGCCCTTCGCTTGATGTCGTCAAACTTGGCGCTGGCCAGTGCGCTCGTTCCATCGACGTGCTTCTTGATGATGTTCGCCAGTCGCTTCGTCTCCTCTTCGATGTAGCTCGGCTTGGCAATCGCCTTGTCCATCACTTTGAGGTAGTACTTGGCCGCGGCGTTCTTGGCCTCCGTGGCATTGGCAGAGGTGCTGTACTTTGCGACGAAGGACTTGGCCTCCTCGAGGATCGAAGCGCGGTCCTCGTCCTTTCCACCGCTGCTGGTTGGCGAGGCAACGAAGAAGCGCGAGGCGAGCGTGTCCAGGAGAGGCAGGCGCCAGGCCAGGTCCGTCAGGCCTCCACCAGGGGCGCGGTGGGTGTAGCACTGCTCGTTGAGGTATTGCACCAGGTCCTCTTCCGCCCGGCTTTGCTGGTACGGCACGGGCTTCTTGTCCTTGGAGCCCTTGGGGAACATCTTAAAGGCGCTCACAATGTCAGCGTTGCAGAACACTCCATACGAGCAAGGAGCTTGAAAGGCAGGCGAACTCACCATCAAGGTAGGGAATCCTGAGACGCCGTAACGCTGCGCAATGTCGCGGTTTGCCGCATCGTCTGCGTCCATCTGCGCCACGATGCAATTCTTTTCGTTTTCAAACGCAGAAGCGACCTTGTCGTAGACGGGTGCCAAGTTCTTGCAGTGGCCACACCAGGGCGCATAGAACTCCACGAAGACGTCGTTGGCCTCATCGAGAACGATTTCGTCAAAATTGTCCTTTGTCAGCTGCTTGGCTGCCGGGGGCGGTGGGGCTCGAATGTTGGACTTGACATTGGACATCTCCGTCACGTAGCTGGACAGTGCCTTAAGGTCTCGGATGCCACTGTATACCTCGCCCTCCTTGCTGTGAGCAGGGAACCATTTGAGCGTAGGAAAGCCCTGGACGCCGTGAGCCTTGCCAAGCGCGCGATTGTTGTCGGCATCGACTTTAGCGATGATGACCTTGTCCTTTTTACTAGCAAAAGCATCGGCGAGCTCCTCATATGTTGGGGCGAGCTTCTTGCAGTGCCCGCACCATGGCGCGAAGAATTCGACGAGGGCGCCCTGTCCCTTGCCAATGGCCGCGTCGAAGGCCTTGGTCGTTGTCAGATCGACCACATTGGACTTCTTGCCGTCGACCAGGCACGATGTACTCAGCAGCACAGCAGCCGAGACAGTCACCAGCGTCGAGATCGATAGCCTCATCGTTGTTAAGCCTGCGCTTCTTTTTACTTTAGTTGGTTGTTGGAAAGACACGGCCAGTTGGCTCTTCTCTCTGGTGGAGGGAGGCGGTCTTTTTTGCACGTGGCCGATTCATCCGATCTTCTCCTTCTTGCTAGTCGAGAATATCTCTTCCTCAGTCTCGTTCAAACCACTAACGACCAACGTAAACAGCAATGGCTTCGCAGCAGCCATCGAGCTCCGTCCCTGCGTCGCCGCCCAAGGTGTCGAGCGAGGACATCATTAGCCAGAAGGTGAGTGTAAGCTGGACTCGGAAGCGGACATGTCCATGCATGTACTCACCAAACTTCCCGCTCCACAGACGGACCTGTGCATCAGTAATGCCATCGTCAAGACGGGCATCGGCTTCGGCACGGGTGTCGTGCTGAGCGTGTTGCTGTTCCGACGTGAGTGTTGTTGCTTCTCGCCTCGCCAAGATGGAAATGCTGAAGTCGCTGGCCCCTTTTGCAGGACGAGCATTCCCCGTCTGGCTCGGCACGGGCTTCGGCCTTGGCTCCGGCTGGACCGACTGCGAGCGGTCCTTCAACCCCGTCGCAGTCCCCGGTGTGCGCATTCTTCCCTCTGCAGCAGCGGCGACGGCGAACCCTTCGACGATGGAGCGATTGAGCGCGCGTACTGCCGAGGTCTTTGACAAGACAAAGGACAAGACGCAAGAGCTGGCAGGAAAGGGCAAGCAGAAGGCGCAAGAGGTTGAGAGCAAGGTTGAGGAGAAGGTGCGCAGGGTCTGAGCGAACCGCGTTGCTACATTGAAAAGGTGGCAAATGCAGAGAGCACCTCTCTCTGTCCCTTCTGCAAAGCTGCAATATCAAATGGATCAGCCGGTTCGGAGGGAGCGGTGGCACCGTAATGCATTTGCGTAGAATATTTAGTGACTGAGACGGAACACTCCTTCTCCTCAGGTCTCGAGTGATTTCAAGATTCGATCAGCTGTCGAGGCGCACGAGACTCCAGACAATGATTGCCTTGCCTGTCGATTGACAGGTACTGCCACTCTTTCGGCGCTTGGCGCGTACTCCTTTCGTGAAGCGTATCTCGCCGGTGCCTTTGCCTCAAGAGCTCCAAGAAGCGCTTCATTGAGAGCAAGAGGTTTCTTGCTGGTTCTCTTCGGTGCGACATGTTTTGCTGGAGGAGCATACCGTCTTGTGAATTGATTACAAGTACAAACAATCGCTGTGACCGTTTCACAACGTCTTCCACAGGCAGACGCGGCCATCTTTGCCGCCGCTCACGAGGAGACCAGCATCGTAACGGTGTGAGCTCTCTTGATCTTCGTCGTCGTCTGAGTCATCCTGTTGCCCACGATGGAAGATGCGAAGGTCTTTCCTAGCCTCAAGGAACGCCAGCACCTGCACTGTGTCTTTATGGTATCGCAGCGTGTCCTTCAGCTCGAGCGCAGCGTCGTAGAGCCGTATTCGCCCGTCCCATCCTCCTACAGCCACCAGACAGCCATCTTGCCGCACAACAACGCTGGCGTGGCCGGAAGACTTGCATTTGATGACGGTACTCCGACCGTCTACGAGCTCGTAGCGCACTAATCGGTCGTCTGCGCCGACCGAGACAGCAAATGTATGATCGGCCGAAACGGCAAGAGCGAGAACTTATCTCAGAGTAGCATGAGCAAGACAAATACCCGCAGCGCCCAGGACTGTTGCTCACCAGACTCGATGTGCTTGCGCTCGGACCAAAGAAGGTCCCAGCTCCACTCCTTTTCCTCTGCCTTTTCATCGATGGCCCATGACTTCACATAGCCATCCTCATACCCAGCCACAAGCCTCAGCTTGTCCTTTGTCCGGTGCAAAGACATGGACATGACAATGCCTGGAGCCAAGAGAGCCGTGGTGAGAGGTCAGCGCGCGCTTTCTGCTCCCCTCAGCAGCCCTGTTGACCCACCCTTTCGATGGCCCAATGCGCTACGCTCGGACTCGATGTCGGCTTTGCCCAAGGCCCGAACGACTCTCTGCTTGCTTGGGAGGCTGTACAGATCAACCTGTCATTTTTTTCCGCCGGTTCAGTAGACGCAAAGTGGGGAAGCTAATATCGAGGCCGCTGTGATGCTCACAAAGGCGGAATCGACTGTATGCGGCACAGCCACGAGGTAGCCCCCGTTCCTTCCATCACGCGCTGGTACGCAGGCAAACGGACAGAAGTTGAGCGCATTGATGTCCAGACTGTCGAGGAGCATGGGGACGGGCAGGTCTGACTGGATCCGAGAGGGTAGGACGGCGGCGCCGGATGGTGCTAACGATGGGGAAGGGAGGAGCGATGCCAGGAGCTTGTTGTCGCGACCTTGGCTATATGGACAATACTTTGATCAGCACAGTAAAGAGATTTGAGTATAGAGAGGAGATAATCGCTCACCTGATCACACAGGCGCTCTTGCCCTGCTGACCCTGGACGACATCAATGCCCAAGATGGACTTGGTGTGTGGGCTCCAGAAGCATCGCGGACGATAGTCTTCTAGCGACGTCAGCGAGACGCGCCCGGACGCGTCGCCTGCCAGGACAAAGGCGCCCTCATCCTGCGTCTTAATAGCTCGAAGCGAATGGATAGAATCGGGAGAATGGTGCCGCAGGATCCAGGTCGGCTGCGACTGCATCCGATCGGTGTTGGTATGGCAGCAGTAGTAGCAGCAATAGGGAGAGGAAGACGTTCTAATTTTTTTCTACTCCCTCTTAGGTCTTGTTACTTTCTGTGTGGAGGCGTCTCCACTCCACCCAGTCGCACACCTTGTCTGGGTGCAGGTTGGACAGTGAGCGCAGGGACCCGCAAGAACGCTGTTCTTGACCACCACTGCGATTTTTCTCAACAATGTCTTCCATCACAAAGGTTCCCACGGTCCGATTGGGCAACTCTGGCCTGCAGATCTCCAAGATCATCCTGGGCATGATGAGCTACGGCTCTTCCAAGTGGCAGCCCTGGGTTCTCGACGGCGACGACGCCTGCCGGCAGCACGTCAAGGCCTGTCTTGACCGTGGCATCTTCACTTTTGACACAGCCGACGTCTACTCTAACGGCCAGAGCGAAGAGATTCTCGGGAGGGTTCTCAAAGACCTCAAGGTCAAGCGAGAAGATGTCGTCATCTTGACCAAGTGCTACTTTCCCGTGCAAGAGAATCCCTCGGACCCGATTGGCCCGCCCAAGAAGCCAAACCAGGGTGGCCTCAATCGCAAACACATCTTTGACGCGATCAAGGCTTCGCTAAAGCGGCTCTACATGGACTATGTCGACGTGCTCCAATGCCATCGCTTTGACAAAAACACACCGATCGAGGAGACGATGCACGCCCTCCACGATGTCGTCCAGGCTGGCTACGCCCGGTCAGTCGTTCTGAGATGGGATAGCGGATGGTCTTCTGAGGAACTGACATGCGATATGCTGTTTGCAGCTACATCGGCATGAGCTCATGCTACGCTTATCAGTTTGCTATGATGCAGAACTATGCCATCAACAACCGTCTCACGCCCTTCATCTCGATGCAGAATTTCTACAATGCTGTGTGAGTTCTTTGCGTGGGCGTTGTCACCATTGATGAGTCGGCCACAATTGACTGGTTTCTCTGCAAAGCTACCGTGAAGAGGAACGCGAGATGCTTCCTTTGCTCCAGGAGCTCGGTGTGGGCTGCATGTGAGTTCAGGCACAGCGGCGGTACGAGCTTGCCAAGCTGAATTCGCTCTCCTACTCTCTAGCCCGTGGTCGCCCCTCGGACGCGGTTACTTGGCCCGTCCCGTTACTGACAAGTCCACGAGCCGTGCTCAGAGCGACAAGGTAAGTGTACAACTTGCCATGGGATGATGAGAGCTTGCTAATCGTCTCTGTACTACCTCCGCAGCACCTCTCTGGCATGGTCGGCGGTGAAGCAAGCGCCTCGATTGCCATCAACGAGGCCGTGCACAAGCTGGCGCAGAAGAAGGGCGTCTCGATGGCGCAGATCTCACTGGCCTGGCTGCTTCACAAGCCCAATGTGAATCCCATCGTGGGCAGCACCAAGCTCGAGAACATCGAGGACCTCGTTGCCGCCATCGACGTCAAGCTCAGCGATGAGGAGCTGAAGCAGATCGAGGAGCCTTATGTGCCTCGTGCCATTAGCGGTCACACTTGAGTTGCCTGCTGCTTGCTTTTCCCTCTTGTGACTGTTCCGGTCGACTCTTTCGATTTGCGCATTCCCAAGCGATACCTTGAAAATATCAAAGGATCGTGCTACAATTGTCAATGTCAACTCTTGTCTCTTCTGATCTTTTCTCTGTGAACGAGCGCCGAGTGGAGAGGTACGTGCACACAAATGTCAACACTTGCTCTCTTGGCTTGTCATTCACATTCACGCGCGCCTCCCTGACCGAATTCCACGCCCGAGCGCGTCGCCTGGGGTGGTTCTGTTTCCTGCCTGCTAAGGGACGAAATGAGAGAGATAAAGATAATTTTTTCTTGACATGACACGCAGATCTGAATCATGTTGAAAGACCGGCCCTTTTCTAACAACAAACGACGACGACGACGACGACGACGACGACTACCTCCCCCTTCTCAATCTTGCGAAACCACCAAAACTGCTGTTCCTCTTGCTTCACGCTTCCGCCTCGCCCTCTGCGGGCCTCTCTGCTGCTCTCGCTAGTTGTCCTTTGGTCGCGATGCTGTGCTGAGGAGGCAAGCCGCTGTTGTTTTTCACGGAGCGCTATCCCAACTCCACTTTGGCCTGCAGGACTCAAACGCAACTCCTGAGCACAACGCGGTCCTCGCAAACATAGAATATCAACCATGTCGCTACGGCGGAGAGACCAGGTGCTGGAGGCCGAGGCCGCCTCTCACTCCACTAGGACGACCAAGACGCTCACCACTCAGACGACGACAACGACGCTAAAGACAACAACGCGGCGGCGGTCGCGCATTAGGCCGCGCTCGGCGGACCTGCTGGGGGGCTCCCCATCCGGCAAAGGCCTCACTTCGTGGAAGGCTGAGCAGGAGCATTTTCTCGCTGCCTCGAGCAACAGCAGACTAGATGGACACGGCTTGCGCTCAGTGAACAGCAGCGACGAGTCGGATTTGAAAGGCTACGAGGATCTGGTTCAAGCGCCGCTGCAGTGGGCCGATGATGATGAGAAATCCGTCCCTGCGTCTCGGTCCATCGAGTACAAGTGAGTTGGTGACATCACTCCTAACCACCCTGTGACCGTGAATGGCTGACCAAAGCGCTGCCTCTTTCCAAAGCATCAAGGAGCCCGTCTCGACTATTGCCTTTCCTACGTCTCCCGATCTCTCCTCTTCTGCGCCGTCATCCTCGTCCTCTGTCTCTTCTTCGTCAACGTCCAATTCGACTGTCAAGACCACACCACCTGCTTCGTCCTTTGCATCACCCACCTCAAGACCGTCATCGCGACTGCCACCACGGTCCCTGGACAAATTTCAGACGATTGGGAGGAGAGCAGGGATGCAGCAGCAAAAGCTGCGTCAGCATCAGTATCAGCACCAGGGGCATCAACGCCATACATCCCTGCCACACTGGCCAGCCCAAGCAGACGGCCATCGACGGCTCTCCGTCGGACAGTCGAGCCCTCTGGTGGATAACGTCGAGGCCATCGACGTAGACGAGTCGAATTCGGCGACGGAGACGCCCTCCCACTGTACAGACGAGACAGTGACAATGAGCTTCCGGCAGAGGTCGATGCAGTCTTTGAGGGGTATTGCCGCTGCGTGGGTTCCTTCTGTCGCTAGCCAATCGCCTCGTGCTACCGCGGGAGAGCTGGAGCCAGGACTTGACGCCGACAGGGTATCACTGAGGAAGAGGCATGCCCGACTCGATCGCAGACGGATCGACAAGGCCGTCAGCCTGGCCGTCGAGGCCGCACAAGCCTCTGAAGAGGACGAGGCCGCTTGGAGGCGAAAGAAGGAGTCGGCTAGACAACAATCTCTGTCGACGTCGACGGCGGCAAACGGCCTCGAATTGAGGCTCGAGGGCGACGAAAGTGCGCCTGTTCGGCAGGCAAGGAGCCGTGCCGGACTGTCCTCGCGCTTCGCCAGCCTGCCATGGAGAGGTGGCTCTCCCCAGGTGGCTGAGCGTGCCCTGGTGCCCTTTCGAGAAGTCAAGCCGGCTGCAGCCACGCCCGATTCGATGTCGTCAGCGGGCGAGGAGAAGCCGGGCGAGTCACGCTCCGGCTCATCCGACGAAGACGATAACGACAAGGACGACGACGATGACGACGGCTTCTCGATGGATCTCTACATCTCATCGCTCAGCTATCTGCTATCTGCTCTGAGTCCAAAGGAGGCCAATGCCGTGAGCCCAAAGCACCGCCAGGAGCTCAAGCGTAAGCTCGAAGAAGCCCTCGCTGTCCTCGACGAAGGTGATGGCTCCAAGACTGCTGCAGCAGAGAAGCCGGAGGACTGGTTGAGACAGGAGCTCGAGCGAGATCTGGCGCTGGCAAGGCTCCAGCTTGACGATCAACAACAACAGCAGAGGCAGCGGCATGGGCAGGCGCAGACGCAAAGCGAGCAGATGCAATCTCTTGGCGTCGAGACATGGGACGAACGTGCACATGCAGCAGCCCAAGCCACTAGATCCAAACCGAGATCGAGAACGACTACAATTGCAGGCTATATTGGCTCGTCAGCCCTCGAGCTCGGCCTTTCCATTGGTGCCGGTGCATTGGCCACTGCAGCGAAGAGCGTCGAGTCATTTGTCCCTTCCGTGGCTGCCGGAAGAGCAAGTGAGACCATGTCGGAGGAGATTGCTCGGCCATCGCCCCGGCAGGCGCCATCCCCTTCGCTCCTCACAAACAAGCAATGGGAGATCACCATGACCCTGGCCGGCTCGGCGGCATCGAGCCTGTACGCGAGCCTCTCTGCCGTGGCAGAGCAGAAGAAGGAGCCGTCAATGGGCAACGACATCGTAGACCCGAACACGCCGGAAGACCGACTGATGATTCTCTCTGCATCACTGGCACGATCCATCAAGCGCTCGCCCCTACCTTCGCAAGCGGCTGCCCTCGCTGGCCAGCTGGGTTCTCTCGTCGCTGCTCTCGACGAGCGCTATTCTCTGCGTAAGAGGACCGCCGACGTGGCTCTGCGTCGGACGGGTGAGGCCCTAGGCTTCGTCAGGAAGCACGACCTTCACGTCAAGGCCCTTCGAGTCACCTGGGCCATGGCCGAGGCCGGCATTGCTGCCATGGAGGCGTACCGTGACGAAGACCCTTGGTCCCCGCCTCCCCCCGAGTCCTCTGCGAAACGCATAGAGGCTGCTGGCTCAAACACGTAGATTCCTTCTCGCCCTAACATGTAGATTCCTCACTCTAACATGTAGATACCCTCGCTCTCACAGCGTACTCAAGTCGACTTGTCTGTTGTATCTTCTTGTAATCATCAACCTTGTACTGTTCATAACAATAATAGACTGCCATGCTTGTCCTGTCAGAGATCGGAGAGACGTGTCGCTGCGCGCGAGTCGAAGCTAGCCCCGAGAATTGTGCGAGATTTGGACTTGGTGGCTGTTTATTTTTACGTTTTAGGCTCTCTTTGCGCCATGTTTGACGCAGATTTAGGGGCCAGGTCCTTTATTTTTCCTCTTCTTTTTTCCATTTTCATTTTTCCTCGACCCTTGCCTTCAACATTGTCGCACCCCCTTCACAACATCGCACCCTGCCCACTCACGCTCGCCCCTATCTACGCCTTCTTGTGCGGCATTCTGTTTGCAAACACCGCCACAAAGGAAGGGCTTCGTAGCTGAGCCGGGCGGGGTTCGACGTACGACCGTAGCCCTTGGCTGAGAGGCGCCAAACACGGAAGGAGGAGGTCCGAGCCCGCGCGCGCGCAGCTGAGTCGCTGGGGAGCAGGAGGCCGCGAAAGCGGGCGTGTGTGTGTGGGAATCGGGAGAGGAAGCGGTCAACTGCACATCGCCACCCTTATCGTTCGTCTCCCTCTTGTGCCACTTTCACCCTCCGTCCGTTGCCCTGCGCCCATCACTTACGATTGCGTCACTTCGCCCTTTCTCACGCCTCGGACGTGTAGCAGAAGGCGAAAGCGCCGGCTAGGAGTGACGCTGGTGGCCGATAGAGCCTCTGACGTTTGTGTGTCCCCGTAGATGCGTGCTGGTGGGTACAGTCGTCCGTCTCCTTTGTCCTCTTGGCAAGTCTCACATTCTGGTTTCACCCCTACAACAGCAGCGATGTCCGCGTCCAGCAGCGTAGCGCTCGTGACACGCCTCGTCAACACACCGTTCACCTTTGTCGCAGTTGTGCTGCTAGCCTACCTAGCCCGCACGTACTTTCGCGGAAAGCAGCGCATCGCCATCATCTTGGACGAGAGGGCGAGCTCGCCCGCCAGACCCACCGAGCTCTACGGGTACTACGACGATGGCCGGACCACCGAACGACACGATCAAGTCTATATGGGTGAAGACTGGCACTCGCTTGACCAGCCTCAAGATCAATCTCAGGCCCCGCAGCAGGGCGATGGGCCCATGAGGGAGGTGCCGGCCTCAGCCAGCCCGTGGAACCGCATCTCGCTCTCGCCCACCAAGCTTCACTGATTTCAGTCTGGGGTGATCTTCATTTTCTTGGTCTCTTGGCTCGTCATTGGCCCTTCTAATCGTCACCGATTCGTCCATATTCTCTCTGCCGCCACGCTGTCCATTCTCGATACCAGGACGCTTTCACTCGCGCCCCACATCTCATTTGTATCATTTGGCTCTTGTCTCAACACACAAATACCACTTCCTTGTCTGCGGCCGCATCTTCTGCCCTGCCACAACCTCTCCCTTTGCTCGCTTGCTCTTGATCACTTACTCCGCTCCTCCTCGTGCCGAGACACGTCGCGACGGGTGAAACGCGTCCGCTGACTGTAGGAGAGGGCGGCAGTGCTATTGTCCCATTTCAGCAACGACCACTGCTCACCTTCTCCCTCCTTTCCACTGTGCTCCTTTGCCTGATCTGACCATTTCAAAAGAGAAGCGCAACAAAAAGAAGGGGAAAGCATGTTCTACAACCACGATTTCCTCAGCAGGCCCAAGGGAGGCCTGGGTCTGATATGGTGAGGGTCAATGAAAGTCATACATCATTGACAATCCTTCCTGACTTCTCTCGTTTTTTTAAGGGTGGCTGCGACGATCGGAAGCAAGTCAAGCTTTCGCAAGCTCAAGGATCGAGAGGTTGCGTCTGTCGACGTCACCGAAGCATGGTAAGTCCAAGCTCCTCCTTGTACAAGGGCCCAGAGAGAAATTAAGTAGTGTTCTGTTGCCGTTTTCTTTTTCTCAAAGCGAGAGCGTCGCGAGGCCAAGGGAGCCCATGGCGCTGCGGCTCTCGAGTCAGCTCATGTTCGGTGTCGTCCGCATCTATGTTCAGCAGGTGTGTCCTGGTGGCACTTATGCGTGGATGGCGGTGCTCGAAGCTGATATGCTCTTGTGTATGCGGCGATCAAAAGACGGAAATGTGGATTTCGGCCGTGCAGAATACACACATGATGATACGCAAAGTCATCAGCGACATGTCCGCCAGTACCACGACCCACCTCGGCCCCAAAACGGCAGGAGGCGCCGGCTTGGGTGCCTTTGCCAAATCGTCGGCCATCGATCTACCGGCTCGCGGTGCTGCTTCGCAAAAGGGCATCACTCTGCCCATCAACAACTACTACTTTGCAGGTGACTTTGACTGGGTGGGCATCTGGAGTCTGGACGAGGAGCGTCGCAGAGAGCTGGCGATCAGGGAAGGAGAGTTAGTGAGCCAGACGAGCGAGGGAGGAATCGCGAGCGACAAGTTCGAGAGCAGCTTGCATGGTATCACTGCTTCGAGCGCGGCCTCGTCTGGAATTGGTCCACTGGAATTCTTTGAGGGAGCAAGCTTGGCAGGCGTCGCTCGGGCACCCCGTCATACGGCTGAGCAGAGTAGAATCACTTCTCAAAGCACACGGTGGGCTCTCGCGGGTATCGGCCTCGAGGGACCAGAGCCAGAGGAGACTCGCCTTTCAGCTCTTGAAGCGGGTCCAGGCGATGAAGGCATGGAGGCCCACCTCGACTTGGAGCTCGAGCTTCCAGGAGAAGGTCTCGCTCTGCCTGATGATGGCGTGACGTTTCGAGACAGCAGGGAGCCCTCCAGCATTCTTCGTCGTGCTCTCCTGAATGGGGATGATGTGCAAATGGAGGATGTTCCGTGAGTTTGAACTGTCAAACTCATTGTCACCAGCTGAGCCTTGTATTTATTTGAGGTCAGCTTCGATCTGGGCGGTGATGACATACCCGGTGACGGCGAGGTAAGTAGAGCTGGACATAAGAAATTGTTCCATATAAGTCCAAGGTCTGACTCGCCTTGAATATAGCAATTCTCTTCTCCCGGCCGCCGGCCCCGGGAGGATGATGAAGACGGGGCAGTCGTCAGCAGGCCCAAGACCAAGAAAGTCAAGTTCGCCCGTGAAGACTCAGCAATCGAATTGAACGCCGAGGTGATTCGTCAGGCCAGCGAGAATTACACGACAGAAATGCTGGTTCAGACCCGTACGGAGCTGGAGCGCAAAAGAAACCGGTCGGGAGAAGAGGAGGTCAAGCACATGGTTTTTGGTCCTCTCTGGGTCACCGCTACACGCAGCTCGATCCTGGCGGAAATGTGGAACGAGACGGTTGGCTCAAGGCTGAGGGAGAGGCAGGAGCAGACAGCGACTCTGAAGGCTGCTCTTCTCACAGCGACAGCCACCCAGGAAGTGCAAGGCCTCGAGGTGCAGGAGATGGGGCAGGAAGGCATGCTAATGCAGAGGAGCAGCCCTTCGGCAGGTCAGGGTGACATTTTCGACCAGCCCTACTTCGACGACGACCAATTCATGTTTGCAGCAGGTGCGCCCCCGCCTGGAGGAGAGCCTTCCTCTAGCGTGAGTTGGCGGGTGCGGGTCGATTTAAGACGGGGAAACGCAACTGACCAACAACCTTTTTTATTGTAGCGGCCGCCTAGCGAGGTGGGAAGGTCAGCTTCCGGTAGCGCCGAGAGGCCCCTCTTGCCATGGACCCTTCCTCGGGAGCGCGGCGATGTGACTGCCCTCCCTGGAGACGACACTAGGTCGGTCAGGTCACTTACTGTCGAGGGTCCGGAAGGACTCAGGTGCGTGACATCAAGCTCGCCTCAGACGGGTTCTCAAGCTAAACCTTCTCCCCCTCGCTCTCACAGGCGTATTACGGGCGAAGGATCTGTGGGTTCCGAAGGGGTCTACTCTCGTCGTGCATCTGTTTTCAGTCAAGGTGCCGGATTCCTAGAGAGTGCGTGCTGGTTGCAGACTTGCTTGTGCAAATTAGCTCACAACGGCTTCTCGCCAGCGGGAGAGGAGAGCATGATGGCCTCGCAATTGGTCCCGAGCCAGGTGCTTCGCGAGGAGCAGGAGTCGGAACAGGACAATTTTTTCACCTACGTGCAAGACATCAAGGCCAGCCTGCCCGACGACCAGCCCCTGTTCTTTTCAGATGTGGCCCCTGTCGCTGATACGTCGGTGAGCTTACCGCGCTTCTCCCGATGAGGTAGATAAGAGCAAATAAACGCTGATAAAGGTGTCTCTTTCCGTTTTATTGATCTTTCCGCCTTGCAGCCTGGCGTCGCGGCCCAGGCGTTTTATCACGTCCTGGCGCTAGCGACAAACAGTCTCTTCAAGGTAAAGCAAGAAGAGGCTTACGGGGAAATAGAAATCACAATCGTGTGATTGGACCATGGAACCTTCGGCCAAGACCACGAGATAGAGCGAAAAGATAGAGAGGACATCCAAGGTCGAGATCAGGGAAAAGAGAGGTGAAACGCGATGGACATCATCGCACACCGAAAGAGATATCAAGTAAGATGGCTCAATGTATGTAGAGTACAGTGTTGAAGTACAGATGGTCAATGTGAGGTGGGAGAAGAGAGGGTATGGACGGTGTACATGATAGACAGCCCTGACATTCAGGGTGCCCGACCGTGAGATGATTTGCCGCCGTCACGTTCCATGGGTCGCTGTTGAGTGTCAGGACAAGGATCAGCTTTGTGCCCAAAGAAAAATCGAGAGTGACTCTCACCTGACAAGTCTTGATGGCTCGACATTCGCAACTCCATAGACGCCACTGCCTGAAGCGAGTTCAATTCCAGGCAACACTACCCCCAACCAGGCTCCGGGCGGCATTGCCACCATGTGCCGCTACTGCTGGCAGGGTGAGGATGTGGGCGGACGACGAAGGGAGCTCGGCGGATTTGACATAGCGCGAGAGGACGACAATGACGCCGAGGAGAAAGACGAGGGCGTGGAAGAACGGGTGGTTGACTGGGCAGGCCATTGTTTCGGGTGATAGTTGTTCTCTTGCTGGAAAGGAAAAAAAACAGGCGGTGTGGACGTTCGGTGATGAGATGAAGCACAAGGAGAGGAAGGAAGAAAGAAAGAAGCGCTAGAGCACCCGGTGGGCGAGACTGTCGCTAACGACTTAGCGGTGGGAGGTGATGTGCTTGCGTCCAAATGCCGATCACGAATCGGACGAGCTTGAATTGAAATTTCCACGTGAGCGCTGCACTACCGTGCACGGACCCTGCTTTACATGACCCGGGTTTGAGGGGGCCAATTGACCCTATCGCCATCGTATCTAGCTTTATTGATCATGGAGGTCCTTTCAATGAGTCCGGGTGAAGGGAGCGCGAGGAACGCAACTATGCTGCTCTCCACATCGCCGACCACAAGCAATGAGAGCGGTGCGTCAGACTCGGACTCGGAATCCACGTCCTCGTCGTCGATCCTGGACGAAGAGGAGGCCGATTTTGACTTCGATGCGCAGAGCAGCGCGTTCACGCAGCTCACAAGTCCGTCCTCTTTGGGCTCGGCATTGGCGGCTCTCCAGGCTGGAGGCAGCGTGGGACGGAGCCAAGGCGCTTCTCGGAGGCCAGTCGCGGTCGACGAAGAGCAGGAGACACCGCTCCGTCGGCAGATTCGTGCCGCGTACGAGATGGGGCTCAGCCTGACGAGAGAAGCGCTCTTACTCGACCTTGACCAAGAATCATCGTCTTCTCTTTCATCTCCCGACTCGCCTTACAGTGCGCAATTGAGCGGCAAAAGCCCATCCCGTTCACATTGGCCAAGCCTTAAGCAAGTCCCCGAGCCGACACGGATCTTCGCGTGTGCAAACTGCGGCGCTGCTCTAGCTCTACAGGTGAGCGAACCCCCAATAGCATTAACAAAGTGATTGTTTACGAGAAACATGGGCTCGACAATAGGATGAGCTCATCTCCAAGGCATTTTCGGGCCGAGATGGCAAGGCGTATCTGTTCTTCAGCGTCTTCAACACCCAGACAGGCCCAAAGGAAGATCGACAACTTCTGACGGGTTTGCACACCGTCGCAGATCTCGCCTGCGCTGGCTGCAAGCGGAGTGTCGGCTGGTACTATCTTCGAGCATATCAGGCTGCTCAAAGATACAAAGAAGGTTCGTCATCCTCCTCTCTTGGCCTTTTTTCTTGGCCCTTTCCTCATTTTTCTTGTCGACCCAGGCAAATTCATTCTTGAGCGAGCGGCTCTGCAGAAGATCAACAACTGGTCTCTTTAGCTCGTCTCCATTTCGTCTTGCCTTTGTAGCACCTCTGCTTCTCTCCTTATTTTGTACTCTTTCGTTTGCTGTATTCCAAGGTCTGACCTGCAATCATATCATCGTCTCATCATCATCGTCCAATCACCTGGTGTATCGAGGCACGACCTAGCTCGGTTTGCAGCAAAGAGATAGATATAGATGCCTTGCAATTCCCGCGCGCCCAAAATTGGCGCGAGTGGAGCAAGAAGAACCTTGATTTTTCTCTTTCCCTAACGCCAACGACGACAACCTGGAAAGGATGGCCTTTGCCAAGCAACTGGCCGATCTCACCGGCCTCGACGTTGAGACTGCCCAATCGCAGCTCATTCCCTTTCTCGAGACGTTCAAGGATCGACAGCCTTTGATCAATCACCTGCAGGATCTCCTCGGTCCCGGCGCTGCACAGCGTGGCTTCATCGACTCCTATACGTCGCACCGCTTTCCCGCTCCGGCGTCAACTTTCGTCCCTGCTCCGGCCGGCTCGAACACGGCCGCGCCTGACACTTCGAGACCCGCTTCGCCGTTGCCCTCACTCAACAAGAAAGCAGCTGGTAAGAAGACTACCAAGGCGAAGTTTCCGACAAAGCTGCCGCCCCCAAGGAAGATCGAGGACGACGGAGCCGCGTTCCCGGGAGGCGTGTATCGGAAAGGACAGGAAGACGACGACGAAAAGTGGTCATACCGACCTTCACCCAGCAGTGGTACTCCCAAAGCAGAGGCTCTGCCTCTTCCACCGGCAGAGGGAAAGTCGCACGTAGATGCAGGTGCGATTGCAAATGCGACAGTGGAAGAGGATATGGTCGTTCAACCACCGACGATGCCGTCGTCGTCTACTGCGGTACCAGTTCCCCTTTTTCAGGCTCACGAAAACATCACGCCTACGCCAGAGATGACGAGACTACAAGAGGCCATCTCCATCCTGACCGCACCGTCCGCATCTGCACTCACTGGTACTTATAGCTCGATTCTTCCTTCATCGCTTGAAAAGGGCAAGGGCAAGGGCAAGGAGAAACGCCTCAAGCCGTGCTTCTGCCACGGTGAGCCTTCTCGAAAAGCGCCCCTGTGCTTTCAGAAATGTGGCTGACTGTCCTTCTGCCAACGTCAGCTCGCCGGCATTCACTGCACCCGGACGTGCCGATGTGCCCCTCGTGCGGCCTCATCCTCTGCGTTCTGTCTTGCCCAAACACCTCGCCCCTGCTCTCTCCCCCGTGTCCCTCGTGCGCGAAGCCATTGCTTCCAGCCAACAGCGCCGCTCGCGCACAACTCCTCGCTCGGCTCACTCAGACGCTTGAGGAGCTCGCCGAGGAGCGTCGATCCCAGGTCGCGCGAATCAGGGTCGAGCGCGAACGAGCCTGGCTCGAAAAGAAGGATGAGCGCAGCGCCTTCCCTGATCTGGCAGGCGCCGCGGCGGCGGCAGCGGCAGCGGCGGGGGGAATGGAGGTATCGGCTGGTGCGCGAGATTATCAAGCGCGGAGAAGAGAAATGGATCTGGCGCTGGGCAGGGCAAAGAGGAAAGAGGGCGAGGAGAGCAGGGGAGGGAGGGTTCTGAGGCTGGACAGCAAGACACACAAACTGAAGGGAGCGGGCAGCAAGAAGGGGAAAAAGAAGGGCGATGCTGTGTCGGAAAAACTCACAGCGTCTTCGGCGAAGGGCACTGCAGACGCCAAAGCTAGCAGCACAAAGGGACTGGAGGAGGAAGAAGAGGGCAGCAACAGCGACAAAGACAGTGTCGTGTCCTACGACGAAAACGACGATTCAGGACCCATGCCAGATCCAGATGATGATGGATTCCTCATGCATGGGGACCCGCCGTTGACGAACGCAGCAAAGAGGCAACCAGAGGGCGGGGACAGTGGACGGTGCTGGTGGGACGATGACGAAGGCGACCAAGACAGCGGCGTAGAACTCATTCGCTATATTGCCAAGGAGCAGCGACCCATCTGGAGCATTCATCATGGGCAAGACGATGAAGACGACGAAGCAGAAGGATACGAGGACGAAGAGCCAGAGATCACACATAAGAAGACAAGCGTTCCGGGTGCCGCCAAGTAGGGTACAGAATCTTACATCTTCACCTTTGAATTCGGGCATCAATTGAGGGTTTGAAAGGGGAATCTTCGTACAGAGAGGAAAAGACAGAGACAGGAGAAAAGAGGGGAGACGAGACGATTGAAAGCAAGAGACCATCTCAATTTGAAGACTATCAATGCTACTCCTGCTGCAACGGCTTGCGACCCTCGCTGACTGCCTTTTGGACATTGGCACGGTGCGAGCGATTCTTGAGATGGATCTCAAAGTTGGTCAGCGTCTCGCCCGGGCCCGGCGTGTAGAGCTTGCCAGGGCAGTCGAGGCATCGGACCCTCCATTCGGGCGTGGCAGGCGCGGGTGTGCCCGCGGGCCTCGGCCGCAGCTGGACTTCGAAACGGTCCAGAGGGAAACGAAGGCGAAGGGCAGTGCAAGCTTGTGTGAGCCAATCTGGCGCGCTTGCAGCGGCCGCCGGGGTCATGGTCGTTGCTCTCGTCGTTGCCGCGGTGGCGGCCGCTTGAGCAGCAGCTGCCGAGGCAGATGCTGTCGTCGAAGCAGCACCAACCGAAGGAGACTGACGAGATGCGCCATTCTCCAAGGCACCAGCACCAGGCTTCGACGGAGAGATTGACCGTTTAAGCTCTGGCTTCTTGCTAGGCGATCGGCTGCTCCTGACAGACGAAGGCGCCAATCTTCCTCCGGGACTTGGTGGCCTCGACTCGTCCGAATCCTCAGGCGAACCAACCTGTTGGAACGGAAGCTCGGGCGAATTGCCTCTTGTCGTAGGGAACGATGGCTCCTCTTTGGGTGCCAAGCCCCCTGACGGCTTCGCATCACCGTGCGTCATTTGACTGTCGTTCGATGCACTGAGGCCGCTGTTCTGGGCTGGTGTATTGGCCGTCGAAGTTGCTTCGTCCGCTTCCCAGTGGTGGTTTGCCGAAGGTCTAGCCTGCTGCTGTCGCATGTGATGGTTCAAATCTCGCGTGTACTCCACCGGTCGAGACTTGCGGTGTCGATGGTAAAACTTGCCGCAAGGCCCGCAAAGGGACTTGTCTCCCAACGGACCCTTGCGTCGGCCCGTGTCGAGAGAGCCAGGCACGCCACAATTCGAGCAATACCATGCGCCGTCGTGGAAGTTGGGGTGCTGCCCGATGGCGTCCTCGGGCCTTTGCATGTTCCATGGCCTCGACGAAGCCGGCACTGTAGGAGTCGGGCGGTGGCTCGAACCGCCTCCCAGTTCCTTTGCTCCTTCCGGGGTCTTGCCTCGCCTGTTGGCCGCTGCGCTGCCCAGCAATGCAGTGTCGCCTTCGCGTGAGTTCTTCGGCGCAAACTTCGGCCCTCGGTCTGCGCTTCCGCCGTCGGTGTCGCTGTCTTCATCACCAACGCGACCCAGACCACCGGGAAAGAGAAAGTGCGTGGCATGACTGTCAATCTTTGCCCTTTTTGAAGATGGTCCTTCTGGCCCTGGCGTCGATGAGTCGAAGTCGTGCACCATCGACGAGCCAGGCGCAATGTTGGCATTGGCGGCCGCTGCCGCGGCTCTTCTCGTTGACATGCCAGCAAGACCACGCTCGCTGCCTCGACCCCCTGCGCCGCCGGTCGCGAAAATGTCTTGTGCATAGGAGCCATTCTCGCCATTGGCGTTGGGGTTCTGTAGGCCGAAGACGGCCGGCGTCCTCTGTGTCTTTTGAGGCTCGCGATCGGGCAGGTTGATGCCTCGCCTGCCCCTGGTCTGTCTCCGCTTCCTTCGTGCCTCCCTCTCGCGCTCCCGTTCAATCTGCAGGACTTCGACCTCCGAAAGCTGGTGCAGTCTAGGCGTGTGCGAATCCACCTCCTGGTCTGTGCGCGCGACCGAGGCCACGGGTGGCAGCATCGCGCTTCGCAGATCGTCGTCGAGGACATCCGACCCGTCAAATGGATGGCCGACCAAGGCGAGGGAGCGCATGTGCACATCAACCTGCTCGCGAATCGAGTGCGCAATGGCAGTCTTGAACTCGCCCGACAGGCCCAAGTCGGCTGCAAATGTATCGGCAAACGCTTCTGCCGAGCTTCCCTCGTCGCTCAAGTCCCACTCAAATTGATCCACCAGATTCATGGCTCCCACCGTAATGTCGAGCTGAAGTGGGTTTGGTTCAGTTGAGATCATCACAAGCCGACAGTTCATGGCCAGCTTGTACATACCTTGATCTGTATTCTCAGTTCTGTTTCTGGTGATGCGATGCTGGTGACCTCATCGCCGCCCGCTGCCCCTCTCTCCTCCTCTTCCTGTCTCAATCTCTTTCCCAGTTGGGCTACCTGCTCACCCTCCTCTTGAGCCTCCTCTATCGCCGTCCGCCACTTTTTCCACCACTTTGCCTCTCCATCCCGTAACCGCCCTCGCCCTGCTTCTCGACCCTTGATGCGCTTCGGCCGGAGCGCCTGTGCAGCCAAGTGATCGGTGACCTGAGCTTGGATGGCCTCTCGGACGGCAGCGACAAAGTGCTGAGGAGGCAAGCCAAAGTCCTCGCAGAGCATAATCGCAAATCGGTCAAGCGACTGGACGTGATCCGACTCTGGCGCAGGCCAGGTGAAGGTGTCCCGCAGCTTCCAGCCTTCGTGATCGATCTCGAGGCGGACAGGGACCAAATCTTCCTCGAGCTTCGCCGCTCGCAGCCGATCGGCCTTGAGATGGCGCGAGACGACGTAGGAGGGCGTCGCAGGGTTGCTATGCATCGCAAAGTGATGCATCAGCGCGCTTCGAATCCCTCGCTGAGCCTTTTCGCTGCGCTTGTCCGTCGGGAGGATGACCCTGAAGATGTCAAACGGCCCATCTTTGCCCAAGAGGGACTGATCCTCGTCTGAGCTCCTCTCCCACCAGTGCAAGCGCTTGGCCGCACCAGGTCCAAATGGCTTCAGCTCTTCGGCCCGGGCGAGCAGAAAGCTTTGCGCTCGCGCAGCTTGTGCGTTGATCAGCTTGGTGTACTCGCCATCCTTTCGCATGATCTCGTGCAGCTCCTTTTGCTCCTCGTCGCTCAAAGGTTTGAACTCCTCGGCCAGCTGGTAGCCTTTGCCGTCGGCAGTCAAGGCGTCGCTTGAAGGCAGAGCGGTCAGCCGCGTATTGTATTCGGCCACGTCGAACCCTGAAGTCGTCTTCTTGGGCAATGGTCCTCCGTTGATTGGTGGGAGCAGCGCGCTTGTCACTGCTAATGTGCTTGCAGTGGAGCTTGGGCCATTATTGCTCGGACCAGCAACGGCAGAAGGGCCAAAGGGCGCTGCCTGCGGAGCCGAATTCGATGCGTTAGATGTTTGAGCGAGAGGAGGTACCGGTAGGGCCTGCGGGAGCTGCGCGGGTACCTGATTCGGAGTCGAAGAAGTGGGCTGCGCAAAGGGAGAAAAGCTTTGCCCGTCGCTTGTGGGTGGCCGTCCTGAGCGAGAGTCGGGCCTTGTGGCCTGGGTCACGCTCGCCTGTCTGGTCCTTCCAAAGGCGCCAGGATAGTTGGCCTGACCAACCGTCGAAGGGCTTCCTGCGGCATGCGCTAGCATCGCACTGGCCGGTGAGGAGGGTGGGATGCCGCCCGGCTGCGAAGGCGAGGAGGCCATCCCTGGAGCCGAAGGCGAGGGTCGATAGCCGGTCGTGTGCTGAGGTGGTGGCATGGCAGCCTGGTTAACAGGCGTGCTCGGCGCCACCTGGGGCATGTGCGGTGGCTGAGAAGGGCCAGAAGACGGGCCAGCTTGAGGAGCGACCAAGCCGATCTGCTTGGCCTCGCCGATACTCAGAACGGCTCCCCCACCGGGCACGCCCGCCCCTTGGCCATTGTTAGGCAGCACGTTTGCCTTGACGTAGACGTAGCCCATTTGCATGAGGATCTGCGCCGGACTGACGCTGTTCCCCTGGCTATTTCGCGCCTTGGAAGCCTGCAATGCTTGGCCGAGGAGCTGCTGCTGTTGTTGGGCACTCAGCGAGGGTGCCCAGCCAATGGGCGCGCCCGTCTGATTGTTGCTCGGCATGCTGAACGGGCTCTGTGGTGGAGGATGCTGCTGGCCTAGACCCATCGACACACTGGGGCTTCTCGTGTGGCTCCGTTGTCTTTCCTGCTCATTGAGCGACTGGATGGCGCCTGGCGGATGAGGACCAACTACGCTTGGAGAGCCGTGCGAAGCCATGGCATGCGAAGTTGTTGGAGTATGCATAGCAGCCGCTGGAGATGCCGCCGCCGCAGCCGCCGCCGCTGCTGCTGCTGCTTGAGCTTGCTGCTGCTGCTGTTGCTGCTGCTGCTGTTGCTGCTGTTGCCTCTGCTGCGCTTGTTGCTGTTGCCGTTGTTGCTCCAGCAGTCGCGCCTCCTCCTTTTTCTTCTTTGTGCTTCCCTTTGGCCTACCCTTCTGCTTTGGCTCCGTATGGGGTGTGCTCTGGCTCGACGCTTTTGACGGGGCAGGCGACGCCGCCTGAGCAGTATGAGGTGACCCGAGCTGCGGCTGATTGGCCAGGTTCTGTTGCATGTATGGTGGGATTCCATTTGGCGCGACGCCAGGAAACACTCCTGCTGCTGCTGCCCCAAACGCATTGTTGTTTTGCTGCTGCTGCTGTGGTTGCTGCATATTCTGCATACCCTGGAGCAGGCTGCTGGGGTCTACCATCATGCCTGGGTTGCCAGCGTTTGCGGCGGCAGCGGCAGCTAAGATTGCCTGCGGGTCCATCGCCGACGAGCTCTGAGGCATGGCGCTAAAAGGATTGGCTTGTGACATCCTCATCTGCTGCTGCTGCTGCTGTTGCGACGGCTGGCCCTGTCCCATGGCATTGAATATCCCCGCTCCCTGGCCTGGATTCGACATTTGAAACGGATTGAAGGGCTGGCTGAAGGGAGTCGCCTGCTGCTGGACGCCCTGGTTGGAGGACGAGGGCCATCTCATGTGCGTCTGCCCTTGTGGAAGCTGCTGCTGTTGCTGGGGCTGTTGCTGCGACTGGGGCTGAAGCTGTTGCTGCTGCTGTTGCTGCTGTCCGGCTTGCTGACGTTGCATGAGGAGCACCTGCTGCTGTAGGAGGGCCTGCATCTGCGGATTGAGCGAAGACGCGTTGAAGCTGAAGCCGTTGGAAGACGGGTCCTGACCGCCGCCGCCCATGGCGCCACTACTCTGATCGCCGGGTCCTACGCCCCCAGGCCCGCCCATGTTGACACCCATCATGTTCATCATGGCCGGATTGCCCATCATGTTGTTGACAAAGCCTGCAGGAGAGTTGGCGGCATTGCCAGGCGCGCCCTGCAGCCCAAGCAGGCCCGACCCAGGTCCCTGCATTGGTGTTTGCTGCTGCTGCTGCTGCTGCGGCTGCTGGGGCGGCTGCTGCCCACCAAAGGCGTTTTGGCCAGTCCCAAACATGCCCGACGGCCAGCCCTATGAGCAGTCGAGCGATGGATGGTGCCTGCTTATTAGAGAGTGAAAAGACGCCGATGAAGTTTTAGATGGGGGGACAAAGACGGAGCGACGAAAAAAAAAGCGTGGACGCGTCGAAAAGAGCAGCGCTGGATGTGTGTGGCCTGGCAGAGAGGACACGCGTGCGGCGCTCGACACCCTCAATCTGGCGAATCTAGTGCTGGTGACTTTGGCCCTCCTTTGCACGACGGAACGGAGAACGAGTGTCTGAACAGTCTGTGAGGGGGTAAAGGTAGGGAAGGGAGGGGGCAGGTGAGCAAAGCCATAGCTTTAACAGGGCTGTTCATCGGAAAAAGAAGAGAGAAAAAGGGACGACGTGGACAAGGGAGAGAAGAGCAAGATGAAGAGAGGTAATGAAACGATGAAAGAGAAAAGAGTTTGAAAGGGAAGAGGAGGATGGACTGAGGAGAAAGGGGAGGGCGCAGAAGGTAGAGACGGGATGGTGGGAGAGGAGCGGAGGGGACCCCAGGAGTAAGAGGGCACTGGACACTCACCACACAACCACGCAGCGAGTAGAAGGGCAGGCGCAGCGATCTGTCGGACAAAGGCCGAGCAGTGGGGGGTGGCCTAGCCTGGCGGTACAGAGACGGGGGAAGATTTCCCCGCACCAAATCTGGACTGCTCCCGCCAGAGGAACGGCAGGGCTCAGCTCAGGCACGGACAAGTGGGGGGGAAGATATCGATCTCTCGAAACCGATTTAGAAGATTGGGCAAGCTTGCTGCTGTCCGGCGACTTCTGGCAAGATGTACGCTCGAGCCACCCAGGGATGCATGCCCTTTCCCCGATTCAGTCGACGAGAACCTGCGCTGTTCGTCCGGACCAGGTCGTAATAAGCCGGGCCTCTAGATCTCTATCTTCGACTTGGCTTCTTCGGCCTTCAACAGCCGCTGCTGATGCTGTATATCGATAGGGTCAGAGGTGCAATATTGAATTCGATACAATTTTGGCTTAGTTCCTAATACAATTACGTGTGGAGTTCGAACAAGGGCGATTTCAAAATGTATATAGAATTGCGACCACAATTAACGTAATATCGATTCAACTGGTTGACTCTCGTAATAAAAGGGCCATGTGAGCACTAATAGATTGGATTTGAAAATATTAGTCTTAACACTAAAATGCAGGGGAGGAGAAAAGGTCATGGAAGCCGGGCCATCCATTCTGTCCGGGATCGTGACCCCCAAGAGCAGCCCTGCTCTCGTCGAGGCCAGGCCACATCATCGTAGCAGGCCGCGAACATGCCAAGGAGAATCATTTATCAGTCCGCGACGACGAGCCTGGGATGAGACCGAGGCAAGACCGAGCAGTGGAGCGCCTCGGGCTGTGCTCCACGCACGTGGGGCCGAATGAGGTCACGGATCCGGAAAAGCGTGGCAAAACCATATAGGCCCGGCGACTGACAAAAGCCGTGGAACATCTCCGGGCTAGAGACACGCAAGTCAAACAAACCCCGTCATGACGGCCTCGACTGGGTGACCGCCACCACGGTCGGCAAGGTGCATCGCGTCTAGGACCATGGTCGTTTCGAGGGACCAGACCCTCGTCAGAAGGAAGGAGAAGATTAGAGGCCCCTCTTCAGATGCCCTTTTTGTCCGTTAGGGAGGGAGGAGAACTGCAAAATAAACGGCCGTGATAACCGGTGCTATGCTCTACGGTGCAATATTTGTAGTGGCAGTGGTGGTAAAATGTAGTGAAAGAATTGGGGAAAAATAATTTACAGATTGGGCTCTCGATCCTCTGAGCGCGCGCGCATTGCGGCGGCGTGAAAGACATCTATCACACACCGACAATCGCCCACCCTGGTCTCTCATCACCACGACCACCAGCACGTTTGCGACACCACCCGGCCTCTTCGGTTCCTTTGTGGAAGCTGCCGCCTGCTTTTGAATCTCCCTTGATCAGCTCGTCAACCCGGGGAGGAGCATGCAGCGACGACACAGCCCTTGAAGCTTAGCCCCCGAGAATAGAACCAAAAAAAAAGAAAAACAACGCGACCCACTCACAACGTCGCATCGGACCGAGCCGCTCTCTGCAACTTCGCCTAACACTCCCCATTCCCCACCGGCAAAATCCTTTTTGAAGGTGCAAAGCGGCGCTAGATCGGGTTGTCATCGGTTCTTCACCGTCATCCTCGCCTTCGACGCGGTAGCAAAGGTGTAGATATCAGCGCGGCCCAAACGGAGGAGGGTCTAACAACAAACGCGCAAACCCCCCCGGTCGGAATCACCAGACTTAGGCTCGGGCCGACTTCTGATCACGAGCCGTGCTCCAGTCACAGCTGCTCCATTCAGCACCGACAGAAGTCTGCTTGTGTTGCCTATCCCCAGCCGTCATTGACGGCCGTGCGTGCCAAGAGGTTCGCGAATCGACGCACTTCCTGCAAAGTCGTTGGCGAGCTGAGCTTGAACCTGGCCACAACTCGCGGCGAAGAGAGAGAGAGGCGGGGATAAAGCGCATCAACACACCCCGACAGCGGCCGCCCGTCACCTGCCCTTCACCTTCACCCCCCTCTCCCACTCATCCCACCAATCGAGGACGGCTGTCCGGCAATCTCGCGCTTTGGCGACGACGAACTAGTGCGACGTACGATAGAGGTTTGGGAACGGACATGCCAGTTTTGCATCCCACAAAGACATCACCGCCCCCGCCGTCCACGTTCCAAAAGTCGCATCACTCAAAGATGGTCCTTACTCCTCCTCCGCCGCCCCCGCCGGCCCCGTCGCAGCAATCTGTGCACAAGTCCAACGGTGTGGGTGCCTCTTCGTCAACATCCTCTTCGGCCATCAACGGCGCATCAGAGTCGCACCAAGTCGGGCAACGGCAGGCAATGCGGTCTCGCACACGTACACGTCAGGCAGGTCCCAGTGCTGCCCGACCGGGGATGCCGCGCTACAGCAGCGAGGACCACCCGCTGAGTCCACATAAGCTTGCTGAGCGCGGCTACCACACCTTCACCTGCCTTGGCGTCCCCTTCCACGTCCACAAGCGCTACACTTTTCTCCGCGAGTTGGGCATTGGTGCTTACGGCTGCGTCGCCCTGGCCAGGGACGAGATCCTGGGCTGCAATGTTGCGTGAGTGAGATTGCACGACTTTGACACTTTTCGCACATAAATGCTTACAAGGATCGTTGTCTCATTTACAGCATCAAGAAGGTGACACGAGTCTTTGAGAAGGATGTCCTCGCCAGGCGCGCACTCCGAGAGGTGGCCGTGCTGCGTCACATTGGTCTTTGCGACAACGTCACCGCGCTCCTCGATTTTGACACAGCCTTTATCGACTTCAACGAGATCTACCTCATGCTCGAGGCCAGCGAGGCCGACCTGTCGCAGATCATTCGATCCGGCCAGGCCCTCTCGGATGCCCACTTGCAGTACTTCATCGCCCAGATTCTGCGGGGGACCCGGTATATGCACTCGGCAAACATCATCCACCGCGACCTCAAGCCAGGGAATCTCCTGGTCAATGCCGACTGCCAGCTCAAACTGTGCGACTTTGGTCTCGCTCGTGCGTTTGCAGACCGTCCCTCGGCTACTTCGCCAATCTTGGCCAATGTTTCCTCGTCACCTGGACAAGACAGTCCGAGGCATTACGACTCGATGCCTGAGTCGCCGGTCGGGCAGCAAGACCAGCAGCCCGACGCTCCACCCATGCACCAACTCTCTGACCGACCCAGCCGGCTCAGAACGACGAAACTCGACTTTCCCGGTGGCCCACTGACCGAATACGTGGCCACGCGATGGTACCGTGCGCCAGAGATCATGCTCTGTTTCAAGCGCGGCTATGGCTGCGAGATTGACGTGTGGAGCGTGGGCTGCATTCTCGCCGAGCTCCTCGCCGGCAAGCCCATCTTTGCGGGCAAGGACTACGTGGACCAGATTGCCCGCATCAACAACGTCCTGGGCTCACCAAAGGACTCGACGATCGCCAAGGTGGGCAGCGAGCGGGCCAAGACATATGTGCAATCGCTGCCCAAGATGCCCGCCGTGCCGCTGGCCAAGATGTACCCCAATGCGAATCCAGAGGCAGTCGATCTGCTCTCCAAGATGCTCACCTGGGACCCCGATGAGCGCATCACGGCCGATGAAGCACTTCGGCACCCATGGCTCAAGCAGTATCACCGGTCCAACGCCAACTGGACCCCACCGCCATCCTTTTCCAGGTTTGCAGAGGTCGAGCTCATCGACAGCATCGGTGATTTCCGTCTTGCCCTCGAGAGGGAGTCGGACGAGATGCGGCTCGAGCTGGCCGCTCTCGAGGCCGAGGAGCGGCGAGAGTTGGAGGAGGAAGAAGCCCGCCGGAGGGCTGCCGGTTCCAACCAGGACGGAGGCGGCGAGGAGGAAGAGGAGGCAAACCACGCCACCAATTATTCTTCTTCGTCGGGGCACCAGTCGTCTTCGAGAGCACCAGGGCCTTCGTCAAGCCCTTCCAATTCGCCCTATGTTACACCCACCTCGCTGGCTACGAGCACCGACGGCTGTTCGCCAGCTTATGAGACGGACCTGACATCTGCGAGTGCGCCCCTGAGTGTCGCTGGCAGCTTCGCCTCCTCGTCGAGCAAGCCGCCTCATCGCAAAGGGCCTCGTGCCGGCCTCGAGGCTCTCTCAGCAGCCAACAAGCTCCCCAACGGCAGTCAAGAACAGTCAAAGGCCCTGTATGCTACCCTCGGCGTCATGGCTGCCCCTGACCAGGTGGCCAACGACGAAGAGATTCGCACCACCCGATCCGGCTTTCGAAGGCGAGCGCTGAGCAACGCACCTTCGCGACCCGTTTCACTGCGCAAGGCAGGCAGCGCCACCGACTTGCGCTGTCTCGCCGCTAGTTCTCCTCCCTCTGCCGTGGCCTCGACACCCAAGGTTCGCCTCTCTGATGTGATCCGGCGGCCAAGCCTCCAACGAGAGGACTTTGACGGCGTCGTCGATCAGACGTCGTCCCTCTTTGAGTGGCTCGACGTTGCGTCCTGGCACAAGTGGGCGAGCAAGCACTCTGGCGATGAAGGCAGCGACCAGACCATTGGCCGCCATGGGGACAGCACCGCAGGCACCACGTCTGAAACCGAGGTGGGCGAGCCTCTCTGTAACTAGTATCTCCCTTTCCTCCCTCTCTCTGTCTTCTCCCTCACATCATCTCTTGTGTCCCTTTTCTCACACATAATGTTCAGCTCATTCTCACATCTGTATGCCTCTCTTCACTCATCGCAAACAATGCTTTCACAACCATCTATCTTCTCGCGTTCCTCTCTCAATTTCACGCATGTCGGGTCTGCTGCGCGCCACAGCCAAGTATTCCGGGCCCGCTGTTTTCTCTTTTTCCGGGAAAAGCAAAAGAGAGAGCCCATAGAATCACCAGAAAAAAATCATCAACACGTCGAAGACTAAAATCGGCTCATTTCCGTTCCCACCAAGGCCCGCCCAACCAACTCTCGCGCGCGTTGTTGGCTCGTGATGGAAGCGACGATGAGCGATGATGGGGCCGAGGGGCGGCAGCGTGGCCGGCTCAAGGTTGCCATTGTGGGCACGGGGATGGCGGGACTCGTCGCAGCGCATCGCTTGTCGCGCGAGGATGTCGAGGTCCACCTGTTTGAAAGAGGGACACGACTGGGTCTCGACGCTAATAGCATCTCGGTTCCGGCTGACGGCGAGGACGGTGGGGATCTGAGAGTCGATGTTCCTATGCGTTCCTTTAATGCCGGTGAGTGTGGGCTGCTCTCCCCTTCTGCTTGCTTTGCGCGAGCCGCTGACGCGAATTCTGCTCTCCAGGCTACTACCCTTCCCTCTTGGCACTCTACAATTCTCTCAACATTGCCATCCGACCCAGCAACTATACCTTTTCCTTTTCCTCGGCACTCGCACCTTCGCCCTGGCTAATCTACAATGGACGGAACGGACTTCGTGGTCTGAGCCTGCCCTCCTCGATCCGACCCTCGCTTCCGCCTTTACGGACCATTGTCCGTGCGCCGCACATTGCCGTCCAGAGCATCGCATCGCAATTTCAGGACGTTCGGACATACCTCGGTCTCGTTGTCACACTCGCCCTCTCGTACCTGCAGCTGCTCGTCCTTGCCTTCTGGCACCACCTGCTCGGGCATTGCTCCGACCCGAGCCACCCGATCACCAAGCAGCCGTTTGGCGAATGGTGCCTGCAGCGCCGCCTCTCGCTCGACTTTGTTAACGGCGTCGTCCTCTCGCTCTTTTCGGCCGTCATGACATGCCAGCACGACGCCGTCCTCGCGTGCCCCACGTCTGAGATCCTCAGCTACGTCGCCATGACGTTTCTCCGCTCCCACTACCAGGTCGCCGAGGGCGTCCAGCAGGTCGAGGCTGCCCTGACAAAGGGGCTGGACTCAGATCGCATTCACACATCCACGACGGTCAAGGGGCTCCACCCCACCAATGCGCGCGCAAAGGTCTGCCTCGTCCTCGAGACGGCCGACCAAGAGACGCAGCTCATGCACGGCTTCGACCACGTCATTCTCACCACGCCCGCTCACCTCTCGGCCTCGCTCGTGGAATCCTACATTGACGCTCTCCGGGCACGGCGCAGGGTGGTGCCGGCGGGCGACGACGAAAAGAAGACGCTTGTGCAAGAAGAGGCGCGCCTCGAGACGGTCCTGGGCAAGCTCCTCTCCATTCGCGTAGAGGACAGCCTCGTCATCAACCACACCGATCGGTCCCTGCTTCCCCTGAACCGGCGCGACTGGCGCGACCTCAACCTCGCCAGCCCGTCCTACTCGTCCTCGAGCCCACCGTCAGAGGATGGGACGGACTCGTGCGAAGACGCGACGCTGGTCGACTCGCTACCGATTCTCTCCCCGATGCACAACAAGGAGCAGCAACAACAAGACGACGGTATGCTCGCCAAGGACGGGCGAACAAGCCCGTACGGCGGGATAGCGAGGCACACGATGGCTACCCATGTCGTCTCGAGGCTCCGGTCAAAGGGCCAGCTGCTCCTGCAGACGACGAACCCGCTGCCTGGCTCGACGCCGCGGCCGCAGGAGGTGCTGAGTGCCAGCCGGTTCCAGCGGGTCATGACTCCCCCAAAGGCGCTCCTGAGCGGCCTCTTTGACTGGCGCCCTTCTCGTCGGAGAAGACGCTCGTGGGGGGATCGAGGCGCGCTGGGCGAGCGGCTCCTTTCGATTGCCTACGCATGCATGCCCGTGTCGAAGTGGGAGATGGTGGCAGGGGAACTGCAAGGGGGGCAAGAGGGCATGCCTGGCGTCTGGTTCTGTGGTTCATATAGTTACGGAATCCCGCTCCTCGAAGGCTGCGTCGTGGGCAGCGACCTGGTCGTCGAAAGCATCCTGAGACGCACACCATAATGCTAATGTCTATTTATTATACGATGTTTGTAAGGTCTGCATCACTCTCTGCCTTCTTCCACTTTCTTCTCTTCTGTGTGTCAAGGTCGTGCTCGCGGAGATCAGCGTTGAGCTGCCTCTGTATCGCAGCGACTGACTCTTCCTCTTCGGCATTATGCGCGCTTCCAATCGAGCAGTGACGTGCGCGCGTGGCAAGTGTTGAGCTCGGGTGGACTTTTTGACTATTAATTTGTCTTTCACCCGCCGCCCCTGGCTAACCTCTCGGCTGGGGAAAACACCCCTCCACCACGTCAGCGCTACTACTACTCCTTCTAATTACTACTACTTCTAGCACTTTCCTTCTTTTGTGAAACACAAACGTAGACTACGCTCGTCTTCACCACACCACCATCAACTAAAGAAAAAATGTCTGCTTCCCAGTTCGACAAGGCCGTGGCCATCATCGGCTCGCTCCCCAAGGTGCGTCGCTGTGCATGCGGGTGTTCCCCTTACGACCGATGCTGATGTAGAGATCACGATTGCTCCTTTCAGGATGGCCCCGTTCAGCCTACCCAGTTCGTAGCGGCCCCACAGCCTAGACCTTTCCCTTCTCCCACTGATCTTTCTGCCCTTTGCACATCACGAACAGGACTGACCAGCTCAAGTTCTACGGTCTGTGAGTGTGCTGCGCTCGCTTCCATTGCCGTGACCCCGCTTCCTTCTCACCACATGCGCTCCACAGCTTCAAGCAGGCCACCATCGGTGACGTCAACACCTCCCGCCCCGGCATGATGGACTTCACCGGCAAGGCCAAGTGGGACGCCTGGAAGAAGAACGAGGGCACGTCGTCGGAGGACGCAAAGAAGCAGTACGTCGAGGAGCTCATCGGCGTACGTTCTTGCTCCTGTTCCTCCTTGATTAAGATCGGCGTGAAAGCTGACTGCCGCAACCATGACCTTGCTAGATGTTCGAGAAGCACTCGGGTGAGCATGATGTCGTGTGTCGTAGACCAAGGTTTGAAAGAAAGACTGACCCCAGCCACAGACAACGAGGACGCCAAGAAGTACATCGAGGAGATCAACTCGGCCTAAGAGGTCCATCTTCCCCTCAACCTTCTTTCCCGTCGGCCCTTTTGTGAAACTTATAAATTATATGTTTTTGTGACCTGTCTGCTGTCCATCCTTTGCCTCGTTTCACTTGTGACTACGAGCGCATTGATAGCCAGATGCCTGAGCTGATGACTTCCACATTCCGAGTCCGCTTATGATAGAGCTACAGGTGGCGAGAAGAGATGAGAGAGAAAGGCGGCAGACAGGCAGACAGGGAGAGGCAGACAGGATCGGTGGATGAATGGTGGTCGCCTCGAAACGGGGACTAGTTTGCTCGGACTTGCTTCTTGTGGTGTGTGACGTTCTCTGGATCTCCACGGCTCGTCTAGAAGAAGCTCCCGCCGCCGCCGCCGCCTGCGCCCTGGTTTGCTGCGCCCAGCGCCTGCATCCTCTCTCCGACCTAATGCCCAAGAAGAAAGTGGTCCCTCACATCAGCATTTATTTGCTCTTGCAGACAGACGAAAGACTGGCGCTCTCTGCTTCCTTACTCACCGCCTTGTTCACCAAGAAAAACTTGCTGACGCACCGATCGATGCAGACACTCTCGCCCTTGTTGAGATCCGGCTCGGCGAAGCGCTGCGAGATGCACTTTGCATGGCACGACGAGACAAGCTTGTTGAATGTGTCGGTCACCATCTCGAGCTGTAATATCCTCACCATGTCAGCTCCAGCCCTGCCTTCTCTCACTCATCCCGCTACTCTCTGTCCTTCCATTTCCCCAAACGGAAAGGGGAGCACGGCCCGAGACTCACCTCTGCCTCGGCCGCTTCGAGCTGCGGCGACGAGAAGGAGCCTGACGCCGCTGGCCCAGCTGCGCTGCTGCTTCCTCCAAATCCAAGGACCATGATGTCTGCGCCTGTGTCTTGAGCTTCTGTCTGTCTTCGTACGTGCGTGCGGGCGTGCTGATTGTGTGCGTCTCTGAAGACTGGTAGGATCGAGTGGGTCCGCCGTCGCAGCGAGAGGTTTTTTTTTTGATGCTAGACCAACTTGGGCTTCAAAGTGGAGATTACCTAATCACATTACGGGCGCCGCCCCCTCTTTCTCTCTTGTGTTGATTTCAAATGCGCAGGGATTTGTTTACCTCGCGACGACGAAACGGCTGCTACGACGGACCGCGGCCCGGAGTACCCTGCGAATAGAGATGAGACTAGAAGACGAAAGGAGGGATGACAGCGACGACGACGGTGACGACGACGACTTCTTCGATGCGACATCGGCCGATGTAGACATCGATGCACCACCGGCATTTCCGGCGCTCAACAGCGCGCAGCGGTCCTCGAATGCAGCACCGCCCGCTCCCTCCAAGGGCTTCACGGTCTCGGGCCCAAGTGTCGGTAGCAAGGCGGAAGGAAAAGACCCGTCAAAGAGCTCATCCCTTCGAGAGGTCCTTGGCGTTCCGGCTAGCAATCTAAGTCGGCCCACAGGAGGAGGCAGTGGAGGAGGACTGATGGTGCCGCCGAGCACCAGCTCAAAGACGGCTCCTCCTGGTGTCGGAGGCGCTTCCGGTGCGCGGCTAGGAGGGGGAGGGTCCATGCTTGGCGTTCCCAAAGAAACTGGCGGTGGTGCGAGAAGAAAGGTTGTGCTGCAGCCCGGCTGCTCGCCACTCGACTGGGCCAGACTAAAGTCGAGTGGAGATCCTAGCTTACGGGTGGGTACCTTCTCTCCTTGCAAGAATTCGGTAGCAGACTAAAAGACTATCTCAGGCGTATGTCATGGGCATGCTTCGTGTGAAGCCGTCGGAGCTCAAGCTACACAACAAGCCAGATGACGCATGGTCGGCCTTCAATGGGAAAGTATATAATATCACCCCTTATCTCCGCTTCCATCCTGGCGGCGAAAAGGAGCTGATGCGATGCGCCGGAAGAGATGGCACCCGACTCTTTAGTGAGTCCACTCTTTCTCCTCCTCCCGATCCCTTGTCACCTGCTCCCCGCTGACCTCTTGCTTCGACAGTGCTCACCCATTCATGGGTCAACATCGACAGCATGATCGATGCCTGCATGGTCGGCATCCTGGTCTCGGAGAATACATGACCTTTCCTACATAGATACCTATTTGTACAATACAGCAGCAGCATTACAATTGACTGTCCCGACTACACTCTTCCCCCACTCGGCTCGAAATTAGTCACCCTCGAAGCCCTCGTCATCTTCGAGCTTTCGTCTGAATGAGGGCAAGAGGGTCAGACGGCGCGACGACGCGAGGCTGACCCGCTTACTCACTTGATGCGTCCCGGGTTGACCAGAGAAGAGTTGGCCTCCTTGTAACGTTCGTTTTTTCGATTGTTGCGGAGCAGCTATTCGATGGCGGACAAGTCAGTGATGATTTAGTCAAAGACGGGTGACATTCTCACCCTCCGATGAGCGTCTCTCTCCTCGACGAGATGCTGGGTCTTGCCCTTGAGAAAGGAGGCAACCTTCATGATCTGAGCAGTGCAAGAGTCTAGAGATCAGCGTCTAGCTTCGTCGGCATGTAAAAGACTCTTACCTCTGCGCATACACTCGTCGCTGCTCGCAGCTCGTCCATGCCAGTCAGTCGATTGAGGGTAAGCTCGATGCTCGTTCCCTTTTTGTCCTCCTTCTCTGCCTTTTCCGCATCTTGACTGCTTGCCCCATCCCGGTCAATGGCAAGCTGCGCAGGAGTCAAATTCAGCTCCTCGGCCAGGGCTCTCGACAAGTTTACTACACACCCGCAATGACGGGTAGCTGCCGTCTTCGAGCCTTTTCCGCCCGTTGGCCAGCACGTCGAGGCTGGCCATGTCCCAGGCCACCCTTATGCGAAGCTCGAGCGTCGACCATTCTGCCTCGCCGTGGTTGCTACCCACAGCTTCACCCAGCAGATCGTCCGGCCCAATGACGCTCTCATACCAAAACGTGTCGTCCGCGGGAGGGTCTCTTCCCCTATCTGGCGTCCTCTCTGCTCTCCGATCACCCCTGCCATCCTTGGCTCTATGAATCTTCTGGCCATCGTTGTCGGAATCCGTCTCGGTGTCCGAATCTGAGACTGCTGTTTCATCTTGCTCTTCCTCTTCGTATTCTTCCGCGATATGGGCTCGATGATGCTGCTGGCCGATCCTCAGAGTCCATGTGCCGAGCGAGCTGTTGTTCACAATGGCTGATCGACCGGATTTGCTGGGCGTCTGGAATTGCGAAGGGGGCACCGTCAGGCCCATTGGGACAAAGGAGGAATGTACCAGGTAAGAATCGCCGACCGAGCCCGGGGGTGACGGGTGAATATGATGAAAGAGTCCATTCAACCTCGACACGCCCGACTGCGAAGAAGTCGTGTTGGCCGACGACGACGACTGAGAGGCCGACGACGACGACTGAGAGGCCGACGAGGCGCCGAGCTGCTGCGAACCCTGCCTCGCTTTCCTCTGCGAAAGCGACATCGTCGGCGATCCCCCTGTCGGGCCTCGCTCGCGATTGCTATCGTGACGCGCGCACCAGATCAATCTCTAAACCCTGATTTGGCCTTTTTTTTTTTTTTTTGCATCGAAATAACAGTATGACGTTGCTGTTTGGCCTCCACTCTGGACCTGGAATCTGGCCCCCCCGCCCGCCTGCTTCTAGCGAGCTGGCGCTACGCCCGCGGGCTCGGCCGTCCTTCTCTTCTCTTCTACCACAACTTTACCAACTAGCTTCCTTCTTCTGCACAAGTCAAACCCCCTTCCCACTCAAGCTATCGTTTCAACATGGTCGTCTCTATTGATCTCTCGGGCAAGACCGTCGTCGTCACTGGCGGCAACCGTGGTATCGGCCTGGCCATGTCCGAGTCGGCCGCCGCTGCCGGTGCCAACGTCGCCATCTTCTACCACTCACACCCCAAGGCGCAGGAGTCGGCCGCCAACGTCGCCAAGAAGTTCAATGTCAAGGTCAAGGCGTACCAGTGCGACGTCAGCGACGACGCCCTCGTCAAGAAGACGTTTGAGCAGGTCGAGGCCGACCTCGGAACGCCCATCACGGCCGTCATGGCCAACGCCGGCGTCTCTGTCGTCAAGCCCGCCCTGGAGCTGACGACCGAGGACTTCCACAAGGTCTTCAACGCCAACGTCCTCGGTGCCTTCAACGTCTCCAAGGCTGCCGGCAACCACTGGGTCCAGAAGGGCTTCAAGGGCGGCTCGATTGTCATCACCAGCTCCATGAGCTCTGAGGTGGGTTCTCGCTTCAGCGGTGTTCTTTTTTCTCTTTTGCTCGCTTCTGACAGCCTCGTCTCTTGTACACCATCAGCTCTACAACCAAAAGGGTCTCAACGACCCCCTCACGCAGGTCTTTTACAACGCCAGCAAGGGTGCCGCCACCAACATGGTCAAGGGCCTCGCTGCCGAATTTGCCCAGTACGGCATCCGCGTCAACGCCCTCGAGCCCGGCTTCACGGCGACGGAGCAGACGAGCGTCATGGACAAGAAGATTCGCGACTACCAGGCCGAGAGCGTGCCCCTGCGCCGCTTTGCCGAGCCAAAGGAGCAGGGCGACCCGGCCCTCTTCCTCATCAGCGACTACGCTTCGTACATCACCGGAACCATCCTCCGTCCCGACGGCGGTTTCTCCCTCTACTGAGCGGTTCCGCACACCACTTCCAATGTCTCTCCTTTGTTTGAGAGGCGTTGCTTCAGTCTAGTCATGGGAAGATAGGAAAAGGAGTCATTGAAAAAACAAGCCATTGGTGATTACAGTTGCAAAAGGTGTGAAGGAGGCCTCAAAAGTTGAAGGACTCGGTGTGAATGCGATCTTTTGAGATGCCGGCAGTGGATAGAGCAGTTCTTGCGACTCTCTCAAAAGGTTTCGATGCGCAGAGGAGGATGTAGTCGGATTCGGTTACCGCCCTACGCTCGTCTTCATCGCTCAACTGAAAGGCCGAATAGGGACTGTTTGATGCCTGGCTTGCATCATTGCTAGCACCTCCGACGAAGGAAGTCGCACTGAGTCTACGGAGAGGGTGTACTTTGACCTGCAGAGATGCACTTGCCGTCGAACTGGCCTGGTCGTAGTCGTCGTCTGCCTCCCCCTCATCGAGATGCGACGAGGGCGCACTGACGAGAAGATGAAGCATGACCCGAAGCTGCTTTCCTTCGAGCCTTTGGAGGGTCTCTTTGACGAGCCGAGTGACCACACCAATCTCCCCGTATCTGACACCAACCACCGCTCGTACATTGACTTGCGCCGGCTTGCTCGGAAGGAGCTCGACGAGGTGATTCAGGTGGGCAAGGAGCGGCGTCAGGCCAATCCCCGAGACAAGATAGGTGAGGTTGACCTCTTGCTTCTCAAAGAGGGTCAGTGGAAGCGTCAGGCCTCCCTCCACGGCCAGGAGGGGCGCTGATAGCAAAACCTTTCCCGCATCGCTCTCGTACGCCGAATCCTCTCGGTCTTCGAGAGCTCGTAGACCCCTGGAAAAGAGGCCGGGCGTGACGCCGCCCCTCTGTTTCCTCCGGAGCGTCGTTTCGAACTCCCACTCTTCTTCAGCTGCCCCATCTTGGCCTCCTGCTACCCGTCTGACCCGCGACATGGTCCATGACCGTACCCCATCATCGTTGAGGTCTTTTTCGCCGCCCTTGAAGGAGGCCATATGCGCATAGAGCTTGACGCGTGTATCGAGCGAGTCGAACATGTCCATGACGACGTGCTGGCCGGGTTGGAATCGGAAGCTCGTCCCTCCGGTCGGAACGGTGGCACGCCAGACAAACGTCGCAATGAGCGGCGAGTGGAAGCGGACATCGACGAGATGCGCCGGTGGTGACGACACCTCTTCTTGGATGGCTCCTGCAGCTGTCTCGCTCAAGAGCGTCCGCAAGGGAGGGTTGTAGGGCGACCAACCGACGGCTGCTTCTTCTTCGTCGTCTTCGTCGTGCTTGTCTGCATCAGCATCCAGCGTATGGCTGCGGACGCCGCCGAGGGCAAGGCTCTGCAGCTTCTGGAATCCACCGCCGCCTGCATCAGCAGCTTTTTGGCTTGCAGCAGCGAGCGGCAGCGAGGATCGAACGAGGCTGTAGCCCGTGATCCAGAGCAACGAAGCGCCGTCGACGCCTCTCATGACCTTCCTAGCGTCGTCCCCAGCCAGTACTTCAGCATCGCAAGTCAGGTGCAGCACCGTCGTACGCCTGTCGCCTTTGCCCCAGATGGGGATTGACAGGCCTGCAACGTGGTCCGTGGTCATGTTGCCCAGCGACTGCATGATGCGGTTGCCGCTCCAGTCCGGGAGAAAGACGCATGTTCGACGGCGTTGCGAGTCCCAGTAGGTGCGCAAGAAGCCTCGCCGTCCTCCGCGGCAGTTGTTTCCCAGCCGTGGTGGGTCCGGAAGGTAGGTTGTGCCGGGCGGCGCGGCCGAGTGGCGAGTGCCTAGGAAGGCCAGGTCTGCCTCGGAAATAATGGAGAGTATCTCGGCTGGGACAGGCTCATCGGGCGCAACATCGATCAAAGTCAGGGACGAAGAGGAGCTAGAGGGCGTTGCGCAAGGCTCCAGCGTTCTCGTGTTGATGTACTTGGGACAATTGCCAAACGTATTTGACGTCTCGATGACGAAGGTGAAGAGGTCGTCACGGTCGCCGTCGGGAACCCTTTCCACGTCTACGATGACGCCCTCCATCTTGTTCCGCCGCCGGTTGTGCAGCATCACGCCCACGGCCGCGATGAGGAACTCTTCTCTGGGGAAATCCTCGGCCTCGTATGGCGTCTGTCCCGCGTCCAAGCGCTGCTTCAGACGGTGCAGCACCTCACGCATCGGATCGCCAAGCGCGATCTCGCACTCGAAGCGCAGCTTGTCGTCCTCGCCCTTAACCCTTTGGATGAAGCCCGTGTTGCCGCCTCGACCAGAGAGGATGCTCGTCCACGGCCTTCGCCCCGCATCGAGGACCGTGACGCTGAGAAAGGAGAGCTGGGAAAAGAAGAGGGCCATGAAGTCGTCCAGGCCAGACTCCATAGACTCATACCTGCCCCAGACATCATCGGCGTACCCGCGTGCCTCTTGAGCGGCCAGCTCGCCAGGATGGTAAGACGTAGGAGCCGGCATCTGTGTCGTGTTCGCCTGCACAGACTGCGCACCGTCGGCGGGTCAAGCAAAGCGGGAAAGGTGGAGCACGCATTCGTGAGATGCTAGCTATATACTGTATTTGGCTCAAGTGGGGAAATAGCAGCCTGGCCTAACGCCGGTTCCGCGTCTGACGGTTGCGGCTATATCTCGGAGTTTCGGCTTCTACGACACATACTTCCATGAAGCGCAGCCTGCAATTTCAAGTCCTCCTCTACGAGCATCACACTTCAGACGTCGTCGCAATAATCTTCGAGGAATGATTCCTATTCGTTCTCTCTAGTCTTTAACTTCTCCTCGCTGACCAGCTTCTCCTTCTACCTCTACCTCCCTACCCCCTCCCTCCGCCTTGTCCCTCCTCCCGTCTATGATAAGCTACTTTTGGTGCCTCGTCGCTACTTTCTGTCTCCACCCTACATCTACGTACTACTATAAAGACAACGAGACCTTCCTCCACGACAAGATAAAAGAGAAACGAGAAAAAGAAAAAGCAAGGCTACAGGTGAGCCTTTAAACTATAGTGAGTGTGTTCGTCGCTGTCGTCATCGTCGCTTTCCCCCCCGCTGCGCCGAGAATGTCGTCAGATGAGAAAAGAGACGTGGAAAACGGGAAAAATGCCGAGCCTGTCGACTTAAGATTAGCTCTTGTAAAATGATCCAAAGAGCGATTGTCGTAAAGAGGATTTGAGAAGGAGTGTGCATGCGTGCGTGCGAGAGAAGGCCGGGTGTGTGAGTTGTGTAATCAGGACTCGTCCTGTTGTCGAAGCCGCCTTCTGCCTGCCGCGAGAATGAGACCAGAAAGCTCCTTGACGCCTCGTACCTTGGCGCCAGATAGAGAAAAGTTGAGCTCGTAAAAGTCTCGCGGTCCAGCAACACCGGCCGAGGTCATCGACTCAAAGTCTGCGTCGATCGACTCGTCATGATCTTGGCTGGAGGACTTGACTCGGTGCGACGATGAGGGTCGCGACGCCGAAGTAGAGGTGCTCAACCGGTGTTCTCGCAGGACACGCAGAGCAGCGCGGGTCGCATCGGTCTGCGTCATCTCCTGGCCCGACGCGGCAGCCGGGTCCTGCGCCTTGTTGTCTTCTTTGGCCAAGGGCGCATCATAGAAGCGATCCTCGTCTGTGGAAGAATGCGGCGATTGGGCCTCCACGGATGTGTGAAAGTCGGGTGCAGGGACAAAGAGGGTGAGCTTGGTGGGCGCGTCGGTCTCGCTGGACGACAGCTTGTCGACATCCATCGAGGATTCATCCTTGTCCTCGCTCTCCGGTGTCCCGATCAAGATGAAGCCTCGCTCGACGTCCACACCCGTATAACCTCGGCCGAGCGAGCTGGTGAGGTCTCGAGCAAAGGCCTCGCCGGCCACCCTCTGCTCTTGGGCTTCCTCGTCGTCGTCAGCGTGGTGATCGCGGATCCACTGGTCGATGTCGAACGCGCCGTCTGACGAGGCCAGGATCTGCTGGAGAGAGGAGAGACTTCCTCCGCGCTGGCGCTGGCGGCGAGAACGAGACCGAGGAGCATCGTCGAGGTGCGTGTCCTCGAGGGTGAGAAGGTCCGAGACGTCAGGCGGAAGCAGGTCGTGAGCGGACAGGTGCGACGAAGGTTGCATGGAAATGTCATCATCTTCATCATCGTCTTTGATGCTGAATGCAGCGCTGGAGACAGGTGCGCCGAGCACTTTGCCGAGCGAGAAGCTAGAAAGCCGGTCCGCAAAAGGTAAGAACCGTGAAGAAAGAAGGTCGCGAAAGAAGAAAGAACAACTCACTCATCAACGTTGCCAGTCGTGCTGATACCGCCAAGCCTCGTCATCTGGCCACCCGGAAGGCCAAAGAGGGCGAAACTGAAGAGCACCATCATCAGAGCTGCGCCGGCAGCCTTGCGCTGACCGCCTTGTTGAGGTGCAAGACTGGAAGCTACCTGCTGGCGCTGAATCCTCTCAGAGGACCTCGATCCCTTTGCAGGACCGCGACGTCGCTCGGATTGCTCTTCGGGCGCCACAGTCAGGCTGATGTCCTGAGATGCCTGGGCGCTGGGACGGAAGGGTCGGCGCTGCTGCTCGAGTTCACTCTCGCTCCGCATCGCCCTCTCGTTTGCCAGTTCAAGGCGCAGGGCTGCCTGGCTCTCCTGGAGCTGAGCGATTTCGGCGCGCAGGCGCGTGATTTCACCCTGGTCCTCAACCTTGGTCGCAGTGGACGCAGGAGGAGGGCCGGAAACGGCAGCGGCGGCGTCAACGGGCCCAGGTGCAGATCCCATGGCGGGAGCAGAGGGAGTCTCGCTGCCCCTGGAGTTGGCACTGCTCGCAGCAGTACTCGAGGTGGACTTCATGTCGATGCCGGCTGCGACGGCACCCTGAAGCTGGCCGTCCTCGGTTGGTGCGATGCTGCCGCCCTTGAGCATGACGACTTGTTCGAGGGACAGCGCCACTTCGGCGTGCTCCTCAGCCATGAGCATGGGCAGGACGCTGCTCGAGAATGCCTCCCAGCCTCTGCCTGGTCCGACGATCACCTCCCACATCCTCCAGGTGGCGCGGCAGAGGTGCTTGCACTTCTGGTCGAGCTCTTCAAACTGCTCGCGCTTGCGCTGCCGTGAGAGGAAGGCGGCCGCACGGTTCTTGACCAGCCGAGCCTCGCGCTTGGTGAGACCAGAAGTGTCGGGGGGCACAAAGAGGGACGAGTGCTTGGCACTCGTGTCGATGACTGGGAACGGCATGCCGGACTCGGTGAATTGCGAAGCTGAGGGAGGGGGCCTCTTGTTGCCGGCGCGTTGCTGCTGCTGCGCTTGCTGCTGAGCGTCCTGCTGTTGCTGCTGGTGAAGTTGAGACAGCTGCTGGTCGTCCACGGTCGACGGTTTGTCTGGGTTGCCTTCAGCCAAAGCCTGCTGCTGTGGCTGTTGCTGATCGGGTTGCTTCGTCAGTGTGTTGTTGCGACTGCGCTTCTGGTTACCACTGTTGGAAGATGACGTCGACGACTTCTTGGTCGAAAGGGGTGTCGAAGGGCCATCGGTGGACATGGAGGTGGAAGCATCAGTGCCAGACTTGACGCTGCTCGTGAAGCTGGTGAAGCTCTCAGCAGGGCTGGCCAGTCTCCTCTTCTTCTCCATCGGGGGGCTGCCATGGTCGAAGATGCTCATTGAGGGCTGGCTCGAGCTTGGGCTGCTACGGTCCTCGGTCAGTGGGCTAGGCACATTGCTGTCAGCCTCGCTCTCCATCTTGACCTTGACGGGCGGAAAGGGAAGCTGAGCCATTGTTGCGTCGACGTCAGAGCCGCTCGTTGGTGGAGCGACATCGTGCAGACTCAGCGACCGTCCGTGGTGATGGTGCTGGTGATGCTGTTGCTGCTGCTGCTGTTGATGACGGGACGAAGCCTGGTGTAAGAAGGGTCCAGATACGGTTGGCGCGCCTAGACCGTCCCAAGCTGAGGGCGACGAGGTTGGTCGAGAAATCACAGCTGCAGCGGGCAGACCGGTGGCAATGGCATCCTTGGCCGCGACTGCTGCGTGGACGTCGGTGGAAAAGGGCGAGGCCGACGACTGACCGTGGCTACCATCGATGAAGCTGAAGTCGAAGGAGAGATTGTGAAGGGAAGCAGGGTGGGACAGGGCGCTGTTGGGCGTCGTAACGAGGGGGCTTGACGTCGATGTCGTCGACGCATTTGGGTGGTAATGGAATCCTTCGGAAATCGTGGGCGTAGGGGGGCCGTCGTGGGAGAAGTGCCCAGAGACGCTGGCGAGGGGCGACGGTTTATTAGTGGTGCCGGACTTGCCGATGGCATGGCCACTCGGCGAAGACGCCTCCTCGGAAGAAGTCGAGTCCAAGACGAGATCAGCGTCGATGAAGGTGTCGAAGCTGCATTCAGGCGCAGTCTCCGTCATTGTTCAGAATATTGAGCTGAGGTGTTCTTCTTCTTTGGCTCGTTGTGGTGGTCGTCGTCTTACTGGTTGTCGTCGTCACGAAGTCGTCGTCGAAGTCGTTGTCGTTGTTGAATCAAGGAGATCTGGGTGAGGCCTGCACCTCGAGTTGGAAAGGAAAACGGGAGTTGTGTCGGACGCGCGCACGTCAAGGGCGCTGCCGACGAGCTTGTGATTGGAGGTCGACGGAGTTTGAGGCGGTTTGAAGAAGAGTTGAGGGACAAAAGACAATCACTGAGAGAGAGCGAGCGAGAGAGAAAAGAATAGACCCGAGAGAGAGAACAGAACGGTGACGAAGAGATGAAGAGCCCGAGCCTTCTCACTACAGTCGAAGAGCAAAACCAAGGAGGCGGCGCGCGGCGTGGTGATGGGGAAAATGAGCGAGGGCTCAGGAAGAAGGGGCGCAAGCTACCTCCATCCCATCACATACACCCCCCGGCCCAGCCCTTCCTTGGGAGACTCCTATCATGCCCAAGCTAGTGCACGACAAGTAGTGCGTTTTAACTTTAGGTTACCAATATAATTATTTTGAATTCTTCGCATTTCGAAGGGCAAAGATATGACGACAAAGGGGGGAGCGGCAGCATGGACGCACGGCACCAGCGCGCCGCGTCGCCGAACGTTTGTGCTGCGACTGCTCATGTGCTGCAGCTCAGCTGCATAGGGGAAGCCCGCGGTACGGTTAAGGAGAGCAAAGGGAGGGTAGGGAGATCGGGGGGCCACGAACTTCAGGCGGTGCAACATTGACAAGCCACCGTCCCTCTAGCTCTACCACGCACTCTTCTAAGCGAGCCGAGTTAATCCACACCACATACAATCAAGCAAGCGCGCGGTCGGACTGAGCACGCTAAGTAGCCACTGTTCATTGTCCGGGCAAGATTCGCTTTCTTATTATAGCATATTTCCACGGCCTTTTCGAATCAGATACTACGAACTGCACTACTTTAGCTAGCCGTCTGCTCTCCCGAATTGGTTTTCAACACGCGCACGGTCCGCCTTCATGTGGTGGTAAACTTGGTGACAGGAGCGGTGACAGAAGTCACTGACATGTCTGTCTCGCCTTCACGGTGAACAACATTGAAGAGAGATATTGACTTGTTGGAAGCGGTGATGATGGCGGCCGTGGTGGAATTTAGCTGAATGATGTAGCTGATGGCGGAGCATGACGCCTTGAGGAGCGGGCCGCCCGTGGCTCACGCACGGATATGTCGTCAGCCATTTGAGGGCCGCTCAAGCACCTCAGCAACGAAAAGAGCGGCGGTCCCCCCTTTCTGACCTCCTCTCCTCTTTTCTTGTTCCATCTTGATCACCGACCATCTAAAAGGCGAGCAACGTCGCTTCTCTTCCTCTCCCGCACGCTCTTTTGATCTAGGTAGATCTCCCATCGAACATCCTCATCATCGCACAAGATGACCACTTCTTCGTTCAAGTTCCTCTCGCTCGCGGCCCTCGTTGTTGCCGCCGTCAATGCCGCCACCGTCATCACGCCGACCTCGCTGACAGCCTGCCAGAACGCCAACATCGCTTGGAGCGGTGCCCAGGGAAAGGTTGGTTTCTCTCACGTCGCAGGTACTTCTGCTGAATGACAAGGGTCTGACAATATCGAACTCACTCTGAGCCAGGTCTACCTCTCTGTCCTCCAAGGCAAAGACACGTCGCAGAAACCCATCAAGACTTTCCCAGAACAGGATGGCGCATCTGGCAGCTTACTTTGGGCGCCTGTTGATATCAAGCCCAATACCGAGGTCACAATCCAGGTAAGTAATGCTGACTATTTATGAGCCGGTTACTACGCTTAACGAGGCCATCTTGTAGATCAACGATGGTAGCGGAACCCCAAATTATTCGAGCCAGGTAACGGTCATGCCAGCAGTTGGCGAGTGAGTAGAAAAGGACCTGTGCTCAGGTAAGAACGAGAGCCGTCAAGGCTGACGACACATCTACTGCGTGGCAGTTGTGGAAACGTGGAACTCCTCGGCGACGGCACCAGTGGGCCCACGACTTCTGCCTCGAGCACACCTGGCGCTTCGGCCTCGAGCACCAGCTCTACGACAACCAATGGTCAGACGGACACCAGCAGCACCCAGTCGGTCAACGGCCAGACGACGACTTCGACCACCCCGAGCAAGCCGGCAGTGCTGCCGCCGAGCCAGCCTGGTGTCCAGGCGTCTTCCAACAAAACGGCGTCTTCCACGACTACGCATGCCAGTGGTGTCGCTTCGCCCGTCATGGTTGGCGTCGAGACAAGCATTGCCGCCGTCCTTGCCGCCGCCCTGGCCCTCTTCTGATCTAGTTCTCCAGCCGCTTCTCCCCGACGATCTCTTCAAGGCCCTCTCCCTCCCTCCCTCTTTATTATCTAGCCCCTCCTTGACAACAAGAGACCCCGTTCCTCCCTTCTAAATGCACGTCCTCACCTATAGCCTCTTCCCGAGAATACCAAAGAGCATCTTGGTATTTCTCGTTGGATCCGCCACCTGTCCCGTTCTCCGTGACAACATGCCTCTTGACAGGCCCGCTCTTCTCTCTGCGTCTGCTGCTACTGCTATTCGGTTGTTGCTATGATAGGGACTTCCTGAACAACTATGGTACATGATTCGCCTCACGGCGCCCTCTTGGCGTCGTCGTTGATCTTCTCGCCCTCGCCTGCGCCTTGACCCATGCCAACAGTCGACTGCGACTCCCACAGGTCGGCATAGAGCGAGTCGCGCATCGCCAGCAGCTCGTCGTGCTTGCCCTGCTGCACGACGTTGCCGTCGCGCAGCACAATGATCAGGTCCGCGTCGCTGATGGTGCGCAGCCGGTGCGCGACAAAGATGGCTGTCCGGTGCGTCTTGAGCAGGCTCTCGTTGAGGTCCCGCATCAGCGAGGCCTCGGTAAACGTGTCGAGGGCCGAGGTGGCCTCGTCCAAAAAGAGAATGTCCGAGTCCTTGAGGAGCAGACGAGCAATCGCAAGCCTCTGCTTCTCGCCGCCGGAAATCATCAGGCCGCGCTCGCCAACCTTGGTGCCGTAGCCGTCGGGCAGGGAGCGCACAATCTGGTCCACCTTGGCCCGCTTGGCCGCCGCGTACACCTCGTCGTCGCTGGCGTCCAGCCGGCCATAGCGAATGTTGAAGAGAATGTCGTCGTTGAACAGCGGCGTGTCCTGGGGCACGACACCGATGGCCCGTCGCAGGCTTTCGAGGTTGACATCGCGAATGTCCTGGCCGTCGATGAGGATTCGACCCGACTGGGGCTCGTAGAAGCGGAAGAGGAGCCGGAAGATGGTGGACTTGCCGCACCCAGACGGGCCCACAAATGCCGTCTTGAGTCCGGCGGGGATGACAAAGGAGCAGTTCTTGAAGATGGGCCGGTCGGGGTGGTAGCCAAAGGTAACGTTCTCGAAGCGAATCTCGCCAGCCTTGACGTCGATCGGGGGTGCATCGACGTTGTCCTTGACCTTGACCTGGACGTTTTCCAGATTGAACATGGCCTCCATGTCGACGAGACTCTGCCTCAGCTCTCGGTAGACGGTGCCGAGAAAGTTGAGGGGAAGCGAGAGCTGGAAGACGAGCTGGTTGACCAGGACGAGATCGCCGACGGTCATGGTGCCGTTGACAACGCCCTGGGCCGCCAAGAGCATCATCAGTGTCAGGCTCGACGAGAAGATGAGGCTCTGGCCGCTGTTGAGGGCCGCCAGGCTCGTCGCCACCTTGACGCTCGACTTTTCATAGTCGGCCATCGCAGCGTCGTACTTGGCGACCTCGTGCTTTTCGTTGTTAAAGTACTTGACCGCCTCGTAATTGAGGAGCGAGTCGACGCTCGTCGTCGCCGCGCGATTGTCTGCTGCGTTGGCCTCCTTTCGGAAACGCGTCCTCCACGCCGTCGTCCTGATGGTAAACCAGGCGTAGGCGGCCATGGTCACGGCCGTCACGGCCGCAAAACTCGGCCCACACTTGTAGCTTAGAATGCCACACACCATAGAGATCTCGAGCGCCGTGGGCACGATGTGGAAGACGATGGACGTGAGGAGAAAGGAGATGCCCTTTGTGCCTCGATCGATGGCCCGAGTCAGGCCACCCGTCTGTCTTGAGAGATGCCACCCAAGGTCGAGCTGGAGCAGGTGAGTAAAAACGTTCTTGGCCACTCTCCGAATCGATCGCTGCGCCACATTGGCAAAGACGGCGTTGCGAAGCTCTGAAAAGGCAGCGGCGCCCACCCGGGCGAGACCATAGCCCAGAATGCTGGCGCCCGCAACGACGTAGACGGTGTTGGGGTTGGACATGTCCAGAGGCGCATTGACGGCGTCGTTGAGGCTGTCGACGATGGCCTTGAAGAAAAAGGGCACCTGCACGTTGAGCAGCTTGCCGCCGATAAGGAGGCCGAGGGCCAACAGCACCCTAGTCTTTGTGCCCGTATCGCCTGCGGGCCAGATGTGACCTATGAGCTTTTTGACGATGGTCCAGTCAGCCTGTCGCTGCTCCTTGACCGTAGTGTTGGGCGCTTTGTTCAGATTGAGCGGGTCGTCACCGTCGAGCTTCTTTTCAGGCGTTTGTTGTTGCTTCGTTTCGGCAGGGGGCTGCGCCTGCTGCTGCTGCTGCTGGGCCATGTGCTGGTACGAGCGAGCTGAAAAGAAGGCCGAGGGGAGAGGCTTGCCTCTCGTCCTTGCTATCGGCCCCGGAGGCTCGGCGGCTCTTGACGAATACGGTCTGGCGATGGTCGATCTGATAACCTTGTGCGCTGATGAGGATGATGATGAACAAGAAGACGAAGATATTGACGACGGCGAAGAAACGAGTCTCCGTGCGCTGACAATGGGAGCGGTGCGCGCCGCCGCATGGACGTGACGTGCCGCGAGCATCCTCGCCGTTGCCGTCGCCATCGTGTGCGGATCGTCCTCGTCCCCCTGCGCAGACGGGGTTAAGGGAAGGTATTCAATTCACTCTTCTGAAGCACCTCATCGGTGCTCAGGCTCCAATTCTCCCTCAAACCACGTGGAAGACTTTAGTGGAAAGACAAAGTGGAGGGAACGCGCCTGCTTTCTTCCCGTCTCTCTGGAAGCCACAGGGTGCACACACACAAAAACGACGAGCTCCAAGATGACGACGCCGGACAAGACGAGATTGGCCGAGGACGTGGGCAGCCTCGAGATCTTCGGGACGCCCTTCTCGACGTTCACGCGCAGCATCACGATGGGCCTCGAGGAGATGGGTCTGGGCGGGCACTACATCCAGCACCCTTTCACGCCACATTCGGCAGAGGTCAAGAAGCGGAACCCACTTGGCCTTCTTCCTGTCCTCATCCATCGGCCCGATGCCATCTACACGTCGGCAGAGAACGCAGTGGTGTTGTTCGAGAGCAACGCGGTACGGCGCTACCTCGACGACTTCGTCTACCCGACTGTCTCGCGCCACGGCAAAAATCAGCATGCGCTGACGCCCCCACTCCCGGGCCATGGCACCACCCAGGACGGCGTCTTGCTGGCGCAGGCCGCCGAGGCGAGGGCAAGAGTCGATCAGTGGGTCTCGATGGCCTCCTCGACGCTCTTCCAGAATGTCGAGTTTGGCGTCGTCAAGCCACGTTTGGCCATGGAGAAGAACGGCGCCGACGACGCAACGGTATACACGGCCCTTGAAGGTAACATTGACAAGATGCATGCCGTCCTGTCCAAGCTTGAAGACCTGGCCAAGCGAGACCCGACACCGTTCCTGTGCGGGAGCGAGATTACCTGGGCAGACCTTTTCCTGTACCCTGCACTGGCCGACTTGAGGGCCACCCCGCAGGTGAGAAGCGAGTGCGCTGGACACAAGAGCCTTACATGCGCGCTAACCTTGGCCCCCCCCCCCCCCTCTCTTTCAACGCAGGGCGACGTGATTCGCGGATCAGACGCAAGGTTTCCCTGGATTGCCGCCTGGTCCGACCGGATGGACGCCCGCCCCTCTGCCAAGAGCACCTACGAAGGCACTTTGGCCTCGCAGCGCAAAAAGTGACAGAAAGTGTGAAGATTGTATTGAAGATGCTGTCTGAAAATGAAAACAAAAGAACAATTGCTTTCCTCTCTCAGCGACGCCGCTTTGCTCTCTGCTCCTTTTTGGCCTCTTGGTCCTCGTCTTCCTCTTCTTCTTCTTCGGCAGCCTTGCCGCCTCCAGAGTTGCCCTTCCTCATCTTTGTCCCGACCTGGTCCATCTCCTCCCAGATCTCATCCTCGTCATCGTCTTCTTCCTCGCTCTCTGCCCCCTCTCCATTGCCTTTCCCGGCTCGAAGATTATCCTCTGCGCTTTCCTCAATCGTGGGAACCTTGCCGTCCCAAACGCAAGCCACGGCAGCTGGACCGCCGGTGAAGACAGAGGCGATGACTTGGCCCCTCTTGTTGGATACTGCCGGCCTCTTGACTGGTTCCTTTCCATTGGCCTTGACCTGCGCAACGGGAGGCGGCACAGTCGAGTGCAGCCTGACCATACGATCCAGCGATGTGCTGGCCAGCAATGGCAATGACGCATGTGTCTCCCCCTTTGCCCCACTCTTGGGTTCAGCAGCCTGGGGTGCCGGTAGTGGCACCAGACCCGAGATGGCGCCTGTGATGTCCTTGTAGGAATACAGCGTCTTTCCCCTCGACCACTCGACTGCAAACAGCTTTCCAGATGTGTCCGACACAAAGATCTCGCCGGGACTGCAGCCTGAGGTCATCGTCTTGACGGGTGAGGCATCGGGGAAGATGTGATGCTCGCTCGTGTGCTTTCGGACGCCACTCGAAGGGTGATAGACGCGGACGAGCCCAGTGCGAGTGCCCACGACGACGTGGAGCTTCGCGGGTATCGCATCGGCAGCAGTTGCCTGCTGCCTCTTGCCCTCTGACAAATCATCCTCGTCTTCCTCGTCGATGCCCCTGACAAAGTCGAGGCAGACGATGTTGGCCCGTTGTGGCAGCGACAGCGCATCGTTCGGCAGCTACAGTTCCCCCCTCTCATCAGCTGCCATTCTTCAGGCTCACGCACTCGTCAAAGAGGGACAAGACTTACATTCTTGGCTCGCCAGATCTCGCCCCAGACGAGCTCCTTGTTCTTTTGCCGTGCTTCGGCCTGCCTCTTGCGCTTCCTCGCCTTTGCATTCTCGCCCGCCACCTTCGCTTGCGCGTCCTCCGCCACTACTTCGCCCGCTGCTTCGCTCCCTCCGTGCTGGCCATCGACGTTCTCCGGCCCAGGCGCCTCGCTCAGCGCTTTGTTCAGATCCCACAGGCTGAGCGGCACCTCCTCGCCGCCGTACGCAAAATGCGTCGGGTCCTCTGACGCTCCCTCGCGGTGGAAGACGAGCTGCTGCAACGGGCCGGGCAGCTCCAATCTGACAACTTCTGCCTCCGCCAGCTCGACGCCTTGCCCTACTACCTTTTCCGCCTCCTCCTCCTCCTCCTCCTCCTCCTCCTTGCTGTAGCTTGACGCAAGCGGGAAGAAGGTGAAGGCGCCCGACGAGGCGCACGCCACGATGCCCCGCGAGTGGACCGCCAGGCCGACCCAGCGCTGCAGGCCCGGCTTCATCCTCGGCTCGTTCAGCGTGACGAGCAGCCTCGCCCCAACCTGCCCCTCTTCGACGACTTTCACTGTTTCGGCTTCACTCTCTCCTTCCTCGGTCGAAGACGAGACGGAGACGACGTCGATGGTCGCATCCCGCCTCGCAATAGCCAGGACGCGCTGTCCGTCCGCGAGCTGTCCATACGCCAGCTTCTGTGCAGCGCGCTCAGATGACGATGCCTTCTTGCGACCTCCCCGGATCGGCACCGGCTCGTACGTCGCAGCAGAGCTCGATGGTACCGAAGACGAGGACGAGGACGAGGACGAAGCGACGGGAAATTGCACGAGAAAGACGTCGCCGTTGGTGTCGGCGGAATAGAGGTTGTAGCACGACTGGCGGTCTCGTTGCTGCTCCCGAGCTGCTGCAGGAGGAGCAAGAGCGGCCGAGGTCGCCGTCACGTCCTCCATGCTTGCATTGGAGGAAGAGGCATAGGTCGACATCGTCATCGTCCCTCTTCCCTTGTTCGTCGACTCTTCGATCTGGAACGTAGAGGAAAAGGCAAGACGTCGTCCAAGAAACTTCTCACGCCAGAAAGAAAAACACAAAATCCGCGAAAGAGAAAAAATAAAATAAAAATCAAGGTTGGTCCACGGGAAACGTGACGGAAATTCGTGACAATTTCTTGTGCAGCGTGGAGACATTAGAACAGAACCTCATGGTTCATGAGACGTACGTGAGAAGATAGAGAGAGAGATGGTAGAAGCTCTACATTTGTCGTACAACCGACTCGCAACGAATAATTGATAGACGGGGAAAAGTATTCATCAGAGGACATTGACGTATCGTTTGTTGATGGGCTTCTTCTTTGCAGCGCCTGCAGCCGAGCCCGTGCGTGGCGGCCCTGGCGGGGGAGTCGGTGCGCCGCTGTTTGGTTCCGAAATCGTTCGTGAGGCAGGTTGAAGCGCCGGCGGCTGGTTCGGATCGGCCAGGTTGGATCTAGCGCGCGCGACAGGAGGCGGAGGCCCGCCTGAGCTTGCTGCCCTGCGGCCGACATCGTACTCACCATCCTCGCTGATGGTGGATGATGCCCTCGACGACGGCGACGAAAGTTGTGAAGGAGGGTCGACCGACCCTCGTCGGGGTGGTCCATTGGGAGGCATTGCGCTGCTAGGCACCGAAGGGGACGCCGTTTGTGCCCGGGGAGGCGGCGGCGGTGTGGCGGCGGCTGCACCTGTGTCTCCGGCCTACAGACGTGAAGAAAAGGTTAGTCTTCCTTGGCAAATGTAGATCAGAGTGAGCAAACATACCTTCTTGTTGACCCAGCGCTTGAGCTCTTTGTCATAGTAGAACGACGTCTCTTCGCCCAAGTGAGCCTTCTTTGCCTTCTGCTCCGCTTCACTCGATGGCGATGATGCGTCTCGCCTCCAAAGTCTGCCGAGCCAAGACGAAGAGGCCTGGGGCTTTGGCTCTGGCCTCTTCTCATCGGCTGACTTGTCACTTGCCTTGGCGCCAGTGCTTGCTTGGTCCTGTCCTCCCTGTGAGCCACCAGCGCCGTCATTGTTCTGGGCCGACTCTTGTTGCTTCTTCCTGTTACTCGCGTTGCCGAAGCCAAGATCCTCCTCGTCGTCCTCTTCTTCAACGACGGCGTTTCTGCTCCGCGTATCGCCAGGATTCGGCGCCGGCGAGTAGCTATGGCTCGCGCCCATGGCATCCATCGGGGAAATGAATCCTTCAACGTCGAGGCCGGCACGGAGGTCGTCGTCGACATTACTGATAAATTGCGGTTTCTCACTACCGTGGGCCTGGTAGCCGTACCATGGCACATCGCCGCTTTGGCCTTGTGGGGTGTGACCATCATCCTCTGCCTGCTGTCCCCAAGGTGCACTGCTCGTTGGGCCATCCGAACGATATGGGCCTGCGTACATGTCGGCGTCCGAGGAGTTTTCCGAGGTGGGCCCCTGTGCGCTGCTGCCACCATAAGTGCCCTCTTCGCCGAGGGCAGTGTTGCCAAATGCCGCGATGTGACTGCCTGCGCTCCGGCTGCCACCCTCGTTAATACCCGGCTGCGGCCACTCGCTGTAAGGATCGCGAAGCTGGCGCGTTCCCTGGGCTGAGGCAGCTCGCACGCTTGGCGGCCCCGACGACTGGGAAGACAGCATGCCGGAGCGTGACGCAGGCCGGCTCTGGTTCACGTTTGAGCTGAAATCGGCAAAAGACTGCACGCGCGACACGCCGCCCGACATTGCGTCTGGCGTGATGGCGCTGTAGTGTGTAAAGGGTCCGATGGCTCCGCCCTGGTGGCTGGGCGCCTTGCTGAGCGTTTGTGACGAGGATGATGAGGAAGTGTCGTCCTCGCCAGCAATAAATTTGGTGAACCTTCCTTCAAGGGCACCCCAAACGCCATCCATCGTTGGCCGCTTCATGTTCTTCGCCATCCACTTTCCGCTTCCATCGAGCGGTGGCGCGCCGTTGAGCCGATCCGAGAGCTCCTGGAGCTGAGCAAAGAGGCGCGGGTGGAAGTAACGGTTCATCTTGCCGGCCTTGAGGATGTTTGTGACGGCTTCGCAGTACTTTTGCGCCCCCTTGGTGTCGCCCATTTCGGCGAGCAGGTAGGCGTGAACGACGCGGTAAGCCTGAAGATGCGCCAGTCCATGGTACGGCTCGCTGCCCTTTGCGACGGGCTTGAGGCTGAGGGCGAACTCGTAGATCTCCGACATGAGGATGTGGTCCAGGTCGCAAAAGTACGACGAGCTTGCCGCCGGGCAAGATGCTCCAAGAAGCGTCATGCGGACCGCTGGGCCGTCATAACCGTCGAAGGCAGAACTCTGGGGTGAGAGAAGGTAGCTGCTCGCGGGCATCCAAGATAAGTGCTCGGTCCAGAGTGCCACAATTTACTAGCAAGGAACCTACCAGACATGTGCAGCCTCATGCCACCCAGCAGAGACGAGACCATCGCCAATGGCTGTCAGAGAGACTGAGTCACCAGTGCACCGGTTTGCCAGAATTGTTGCAGCTGCTCGTCGCCACTGTGGCACTTTGTCCGTCCCCACTGCTGCACCGCCTGCGAGTTGCTGCTTCGGCCGGAATTGGTCGTAGACTGAGGGGATAATCGTGATGTTTAGATATTGTTCTTTCAGGACCAGTGGCTCATCACTTACTCGAAGTTGGGCTTTGGCCCGAGAAGAGGCTGTATGCCACCTTGAGCCCTTCACCGTCGTGGTCGAGCGCAGCCCCGCTTCCAGATGCAAGGCCAAGCTCAAAGTCCATAAAGTCCAGCACGACCTTTCTCCACGTCTCTTTGTCGAGGCCGCTGGCAATGATGATCGCGTGCGTCCACATCTTCTCTTCGAGGGCGAGCTGCACTGCTGCCTCCTTTTGGCCTTGCATAAGGAGGTCCTGCATCTTCGACAAGAATGACGGGCGCAGCTCATAGGTGTGCAGCGGCGCAGCTGCTTCGTGCGACACTGGCGCTGACCCTCGCTGCGGCTCGTCACCAACGAGGATATTGCGGGCAGCTTCGTCGAAAGCGGGGTTGCCCACCATGTTGCCGTCCTGCTCGAGGAGAAGGATGAGAATCCTCATAAGGACAATGCGGTCTTCGATTCGCTGTGCTTCAGTGACCGAAGCGCCCTCGCCGTTGCCTCCTTCGGCTGACCCATCAACGTCCACTGACGAAGCTGTCCTCCTCAGGTATCCGACGCCGCTAGAGACTTCGCGCACTGCTTCATCAAGGTACTTGATCAGGGCAGCTTTCTTGGACTTTAGGACGCTGCCAGCACCTGTGGCCCTCGAAAGCGCCGTCGATGGCGTCGTTCCGGATTCGAGGGCTGGCCCAGGGAACTTCAGGGGGTCCAAGGACCTGGCAAAGGTGGTCGAAGGGACCACCGAGCTGAGCGTCCGAATCGTAAGCTTGGAGGGTGTGCCACCAAAGCGACCGTAAGCTGCGCCATTTCCCAGAGAATCCTGGTCTGCCGATGGGAAGAAGGTGACGAGCTTGCCGCCTACACCAAAGCAGGCCAACGGAATGGTCGCCCCTCGTCGCTCTTGGGCCACATCAGGCACTTCTCCTCGCGAGACAGCCGGGTCCAAGGGCTGGTAGGCAGCAGAAGAGGGCGCACCTGTCGAGCTCGACGAGGGTGCATATGGTGAAGTCACCGCTCGGTCACCGCCATCATACGGCGTGGCAGCAAAGTAGCCCGATGAGCCTCCCTGGCCCTCGAACGCTTCGCCCAGAGACTCGCCACGAAGGCCCTCGGGTCCCGAGTAGATGTCGACCTCGCCAGCAGACCGCGGGGCTTGTCCATGGGGATCAAGGCCGGAGGAAGAGCGATTGTAGGAGTCCTGAGTGAGGGTGCCGCTGCGAGCGAGTTTGCTGTCTTGGCTGTACCGTCTCTCCCCATTTGGTGAGTAGACGTTGGTCGCGAAGCCAGAGTACGCATCCTCCCCTCCAAGCTGCTGCTGCTGCTGGTTTGAGACCGGAGCGTATGGATCTTCTGCGGCGGCACTACCTGCCCCGTACTGGGGTGCATACGGCGCAGCTTCTGTGCTGCCAGGGTACGTTCCTTCGCTGCTGGCTCCATACTCTCGCGGGGCATAGGGGTCGTAAGCGGCGCGGGGAGCAGTACCGTACGTGCTGTTGTAGTCGGTCGGGACTGCATATGGGTTCGCTGTTCCCGTCGGTGTGTACTGATCGTTCAAGCCTGGGCCATCTTGGAAATTCGGAGATGGAGCAGCGTATGCGTCGGCAGCTGCTGCTGGGGTCGGGTCGTAGGGGTTGAAAGTGCTTGCTTCGTTGGGAGTCTCGCCTCCCTGTACCTCGCCATAGCCGTGGGTCCCGTCGCCGTACGCCTCTTCACCATACCCTGGATACCCACCAGCTTCCTCTGCCCCGCCGTACGACTCGTAGCCTGCACCCTTGAACACTTCTGAATCATCAAAGGAGGCGGGCTTTGCTTCATATTCGTGCCCTGCTTCGGCAGATGGTGCCGGCTGGGTGGGTGTCGCGACCTCGCTTCCGCCATCTTCAGCGATTCTCAACCCTTCGAAGGCTGCTTGCACGGATTGACCCTCGGTGTCCTCGACGAAGAGCGCAGGGGCGGCTGCTTCCGCCGCTTCTCCAACACCAGCCTGCTCACCTAGTGTCTTCGCCTCGTTCGTGTCGCCCTCTCTGTGCCCTTCATTGTCTGCCTCGGAAGCTTCGCTTGGGGCTGAAGAAGCTGCTTGCTCCAGCGAGTTGACCCACGATGACTTCTCTGCCTCTTCGCTCTGACCGGGCCAGCCAGCCTGGGATGGAGCTGCCCCTCCGGCGGCCACCTCGCTGCCGGTGGTAGCAGGTGCAGGAGCAGGTGCCGATTCTTCCTCGACAGGTGCCTGGGTCGGTTCGGCCGAAATTGACCTCTTCGGTGGACCTTTGGGAGGTGGGGGAAGAGATGATGCTGCAGTAGAGGGTGCCGCGTAGGCATCTGCCTCTTTCGGAGGAGCCGAAAGAGCATCTTGCGAGGGAGCTTGAGCCTGAGCACCATAGTCCGAATAGCCGCTCTGGACCTGGTCGTACTGATCGTACGGCGCGGTCGGGATGTCATTCTGTTGGTCCTCGACTCCGGTAAGATAGCCATTAGACTCCTGTCCTTGAAGATGGCTGTAAGCCGATTGACTCGGATCGTACGCCTGCGGAGGGGCTTGGTATGCTTGCTGAGTGGGATCGTATGCTTGCTGATCTTGCCCATATGTCTGGGCGGCTTGTGCATCGGCACTATATGGCGCTTGGTATGCAGGATCATAGCCGGTGTGCGCGCCGTCATAGGTCGCTCGCTGATTGCCGTCGTACACCTGACTGTCGTATTGCTGCTGACTGGGATCTTGCGTGTATTGATAAGCTTGCTGATTTGGATCATACTCCGAGTAGTAGCCCTGACCGTTTGCGTTGGGGTCATAAGCACCCTGCTGATAACCATTTGCATCATACGGCTGCCCTTGTTCTTGATAGCCGCCCTGGGAATAAGTTTGTTGTCCGCTGTATGCGCCATAGTCCGTCTGCTGGGCGTACACTCCTTGCTGAGCGTAGTCTCCTTGATGACCATACTCTCCCTGCTGGGTGTAGCCTCCCTGCTGGCTGTAGTCTCCCTGCTGTGCGTGTTGATCGTAGCCGGCTTGTTGTGGGTCGTAGCCTTGCTGAGAGTAGTCGTAGTTGCCATTGTAATGCTGGCCGTTTTCCTGATATGCTCCCTCCTGTGCTCCATAACTTCCCCAAGCATCTTGCCCTTGCCCATACTGCTGCTGCTGATCGAGGTCTTGGTCTGCAGTGAGCCAATCGTCGGCACCTGCAGCTTGATCGGCAGCAAAGAGCTTCGTGGGCGACGAAAGGGTGAGGTCATGGCCAGCAGACGGGATCTCCAGGGTGTTCGCTGCGCCATCGCCGTGCGGTGGGGCCTCAGCTTCGTCCTCTTCTCCCTCTCCGATGGCATTGAGCGGCTGGGCCACGTTCGCGAAGGCATCGTCGCCGCCGCCGAGATCAGGGCTCGAGATGCTGGCGAAGGGGTCATCGGCACCTGTGCCAAAGAGGTTGGCTGCATTGGCGATGCTTGGCTTGGGCGCATGCCGAGCTTTGTCGGCCTGCGGCGCCGTCGCCGTCTCGTCGAGCTGCACCTGTGGCTGTTCTGACATGCTGCACACCCGCTTCCTCGGTTCGTCCGCGTAGACTGGTCGCTAGCTCGCCTTCTCAGATCTGCAACTTCCAATGCTCCACTTTGTTCATTGGCGTGCCACGTAGGTGTGCCCGGTTCGCGAAGAAGCCTTTTCAAAAGGCTCGCTCTGGGGCTCGACGAGGTTTGGTTGCGCTGTCTGACTTGCAAGGAGATCGTCTCAGGTGATGAGGAGTTTGGAGCCCCGACAAACCGAGCGAGGAGGGGCGAGCCGTCAGACGTGGGGGCGGTAGGCTTCACAGCGATGGCCCCGGTCGGTTTTGCCCACCCAGAGTGTAGAGTTGCACGTGTCAGGCTAAATAGGCGGCGTCCTCGGGATCCGGGCATTGCGACGTCCGGGCGCGAAGATGACGCTCCTGTTCGTCGCCATTGAGTCTTTTCTCCGACTCTCTCGGACAACGTTCGCATCAGCGATTGAGATCGAGAAGGATGCCTGCTCGCGATGGCAAGTCGCGTGCCACGGTGGCGACGGTCGACTTCGACCCCTCGCTGCGGTCGTCGCTGGTCCACCTGCCCATGGTCCTGTATGCGCCATTGCTCGAGCGAGGCGTTCCCCCGCAGTCGATCGTCGTCGAGCTGGTTCGAGATGAGGACGCAATCTACGTGGGGTGGTCAGGCATGAGCGCTGCCCCACTCTCAGCATCATCAGGGGCCTTTTCCTCTTCCTCCCAGACCGATGCCTCATCGGTAGTCTCACTGTCGACGACGCTGGCCTCGACGTTTGAGCCTCCGCTGCAGGCGGGCACCCAAGTGCGCATCACCCTCTTGCGATCGCCCCCCTTGCCCACGGCCTCGCGCATCGATGTCACACCACTCACGCCCGACGATTGGGAGGTGCTCAGCCTCAATGCCGACGATGTGGAGAGCAACATGCTGGGCCAGGTCCGGGCTGCAAAGATGGGCATGATCATTGCCGTGCATGTAGGCAGGCAGGGCAGAACCGTCTGCCGCTTCAAAGTTGGTCCGTGTCGTCTTCTTTTCTCGCCTCTTTTCGCTTGAGCTGGTGCTGACGGCAAAGCCCCGTTTTCTTTAGAGTCTTGCACGCCGCCGACTCAAGACGTGCGAGCGCCGTCGCAGCCTGATTCGTCTTTGGCCCGGGCCGTGAGACTGAGCACCGATACCGAGGTCGTCATTGCACCGCGAACGAGGGCCATGGCTGATGCTGCGGCACAGGCTGCAGCAGCGGAAGAGCACGACATCTCAGCGTCGACGAGCAGAGGTCCAGCTTCGAGCCCGGCAGCTGCATCGCAGACGCTTTCTCGCAGGCTGTACAGGGTCCTTCCCTCATCCTTTCTCGACAGGAGGGCAGCATCTTCGGCAGTCGTGGTGTCCTCAGAAGACGCCGGGTTGCTCTCGACTGCGTTTGGTGGTTCGGCAAAGGAAGGAGGACGGTGCACCATTACAAAGATGCCGTGTCCAAGCGCTCCAGATGTCTCCAGTGAAAGGCTAGGAGATGCGAGCTCGCAAGGCAAAGGTGGACCACGTCAGAGCGATGCAAAGGATTCACAAGGGTCGGACAAGCCATCGGAGGGTGGTGAAGAGCAACAAAAACAGCAACAACAGCAGCAGCAGCAACAGCCACCAGCTCGAGCGACGATGAGCGCCTACTTTGCGGTGGCAGCTCCTGACTCCCTGCGAGGGCTCGAACGGTGGCCAAGGAGGCACGTCTGGATCTCACCGCAGGCCAGGACGGAGATGCATCTTCAGGACTGGGATCTCATCCGGTGAGCTCACTGAGTTTGACGGCGATAGATTGAACAGGCAGCTGACTGGCAATGCAAAGCTTTTCGTCTCCCTCGCCCACAGGAAGTGCGACTCGACCGCAGCAGATGCCAGTAGATGAGAAAAGCGAGGGTGGGGAGGAACAAGAAGACAGCCTCGCTGGCATTGGCGACATCTTGGAGAAGTGCACAAGCGTAATCGAATCGACGCTGCGATCGAGGGCCCTGGCGGATGCTCGGATGGCAATGGGGGAATCGACGAGAGCCTCGCACGATGGTTCCACCGGTCTGCTCCTGACCGGCGGGCCAGGGTCTGGCAAGACATCGCTGGCCAAGCTCCTTTCACGTCGACTGTCCCGCACGCCGTCGCTCGTGTCGCCCCTCTACATTGACTGCACGCCACATGCCGAGGAGAGGCTGCCAGCGCTGCGAGATCTCTTTTCGCAGTGGCTCAACGCTGCTGCCTGGCACGGCCCCACGCTCCTCATTCTCGACAATATTGACCGCATCATCCCAGCCGAGGTCGAGCACGTCGACAGCCCGAGAGCTCGACAGCTGGCAGAGGCTTTGATGGCGAGGGCACGCATCGTCATGAAGGAACACCAGGTTTTCGTTCTCTGCACCGCTCAGAGCAACGTCAGCCTGCATCCCTTGCTCATCTCGAGCCACATCCTCTGCGAAACGGTGCAGCTCAAGCCGCCCAGCAAGGAGGCGAGAAGAGAGGTGAGCATTACAACCCGGCATTCATTGATCTTCTTCTTCTTCCTGCTGACCTGGCCAAATCCGTCAAGATCATCGTGCATCTCATCGAGAAAAAGACTCGCGGAGGCTCGCTTCGGCCGCGAGATCTCAACCCGGTCATGATCGCCACACAGACGGAAGGCTATCTCCCTGCCGATCTGCGAGATCTGGTTGAACGAGCAGTCCACGAGGCTGCGATACGCTCGGCAGAGGAGCTGGCATCAGCATCGGCAAAACGGGAAGGCGGTTCAGCGGAATTCGACCTGACAATGGCCGACTTCCATTCGGCCCAGGAGGGCTTCACACCTCTATCGTTACGCGACGTGAAGCTGGAGAAGTCGACGGTGGCCTGGTCAGACATTGGTGGTCTGCACGAGACGCGGCGCGTGCTCCGCGAGACGCTCGAATGGCCAACCAAGTACGCCGCCATCTTTGCCAGCTGCCCACTCCGCCTGCGCTCTGGCTTGCTGCTGTACGGATACCCAGGATGTGGAAAGACGCTGCTGGCGAGTGCCGTGGCAAAGGAGTGCGGCCTCAACTTCATCTCCGTCAAGGGCCCCGAGATCCTCAACAAGTACATTGGTGCCAGCGAGAAATCGGTGAGTGCGACCCGTTGTTCCTGCCATGAGTCCTTTGCCGCCTGCTAAGGTGGATGAATGCATCTTGACAGGTCCGAGACCTCTTTGACCGAGCGCAAGCAGCCAAGCCTTGCGTCCTGTTCTTTGACGAGTTTGACTCGATTGCGCCCAAACGAGGCCACGACAGCACGGGTGTGACGGACCGGGTGGTGAACCAGCTGCTGACGCAGATGGACGGTGCCGAGGGTCTCGACGGCGTCTACGTGCTTGCCGCCACGTCTCGGCCGGACCTCATTGACTCGGCGCTGCTCCGGCCAGGCCGCCTCGACAAGTCGCTGCTGTGCGACATGCCGTCGGAGCAGGACCGCATCGACATTATGCGGGCCGTGTCGAGCAAGGTGCACCTCGACGAGAGCGTCAGCCTGGACAAGTGGGCCCAGCAGACCGACGGCTTCTCGGGCGCAGACCTGCAGGCACTCCTCTACAATGCGCACCTCGAGACGATCCACGAGAGCATCGCGGCGGCAGGACAGATGCCCGACGCCAGCAGCAATGGAGCGGCAGTCTCGGCCAACGACGGGTCCGAAGCAGCCAAGGAGAAGGACAAGAGCAGCGACGTCAAGTTTGTCTCGTTTGGTGGCGCAGCGGGCGCAAACAAGGCGACGCTGAGCGGGGCAGAGCGACAGGCGCTCCAGCGGCGCATCGAGCTCATGCTCACCAACGATGCCGCTTCCGCCGCAAAGCGAAGGGCACCCGTCAACGCGAGCGAGACGGACGCGTCTGCCGAGGCTGTGGCGAGGCGGGCAACAAAGGAGAAAGCAAAGGTCAAGGACGAGCACCTCCAGCGCAGCCTCAAGGCCACGCGACCGAGTGTGCCCAAGGAGGAGCAGATGCGGCTGCGGAGGATCTACAGCGAGTTTGCGGGAGAGCGAGATGGCTCCTTTCCCAATGGAGAGGGCAGCCGCGAGGTGGGAGCGCGGGAGAGCTTGATGTGAAGTGCTCAATCAGTCCCAAATTAAAAAGCAATGCAGACAATTGTTTACACTATGCAAGCTGCCAAGCGTCGTCGAGGAGTGGTTCTGCGCCGTCCAGCAATTGGGAAGGACATCTTGCAGGGCCCAGCCCCTTTCTCTTGGTCGAACTGACGAGCTTTTTGATGCTTTCAATGTCAAAGGGACAACCCATGACGTTTGGAAATCGCACTACGCGCAAATGAGTAGCAAGTGTCACTGGGCAGTGCCTTGCAAAGTAGAAGAGAGAGGGGTGAAAAGACTACTCACTGTCCCACTTTTCTGCGCCGATGGGATAGGAACCGACCATTGTGAAGCCTCCCGCATCTTGCAGTGCTCTGTGTGCGTAGCCGGCAGGGAGAAGCAGCACGTCGCCGGGCTCTACGTTGATGGTGGTGCAGCTGCTCTCGGACGACGGCCCCGGTCCTGGCCTTGCGCGCTCGTCTGTGCCACCCAACTGGATCGTCGCCGTGCCGCGCACAATGCAGAGGAGCTCATGCGTGGTCTGATCCGGCTATTGCTCAGCACACCAGTTCTGATGCTCATTGCAAGTGGTGCAAGACTAGACCCACGGTGTGGTAGTGCGCCTGCTTGTACATGCCGAATCGCCACGATGGCTCCCACCCGATGCTCTCCAGCCGCCTCTCGACCTCGTCTATGCCTCCGTCTTCTTTCAAGATGGGCTGAATAAGCTTCGGAAAGAACAGCGCCGGGAGACCATGCGGTGCAGACATGGGCGAGTAATCGTCCGTGGTGAGGAGGATCGCCGTCATTGTGCCATTGTCTGTGTCGGTGACTTGACCGCCGGCTGAAGCTCAAGTGGCCTTTAAAGTGGAGTAGGTTGGCCTTTTCTAGTTTCGTTCGGGACTCGGGACGGTTCTGCGCGAAAGAAAGTGCCACTGTTGGCGGTGGGGGGCGCATGAGGCACTACTCTAATTCTTCTTCCACGCTGCAGCGACGAAGAGCGAGGAACATGGCGTCAACGTCGACGTCAAGACCGGGACCGGGACTAGAGACGCGGGGCAGGAGGCTACTGAGCAGTCGGACATGGCAGACTGCACTAGCCTCGACGACGGCCTTGACCGCGTCGTTCTTGGTCTCGTCGGCGTCGACGCGCGAAACGCTTGTCTCGGTGCTTCTCCTGCCGGGCCTGCTTCCGACGCTGATCCTCACAGCCCTCGCGCCGATTCTGACGTCGCACGTCATCGGCAGCACCCGCTCTGCGTTTATTGACAAGGGTTTCGCGGGGAGGGACCTTCTCAAGGCCACGTCGGACCTCGTCCCCGAGTCGGCCGGGCTGCCCACGAGCATCCTCTACCTCTTGCTCCTCTGCCTCTTTGTGCCCTTTCGCTACGGCGCGGCAGCGGGGCGAGGCGCACATCTAGCGGGAAAGGGCGACGATGTGTGGGAGGCATGGGAGCTCGCGAAGAGCAACGCACCCGATGGAGGATGGTCGGGTGCCATGAAGGGCCGGCGAGGCTTTCCCCATCATGAGGTGAGAAATGCTGCTCTCTCTCTCTCGAGAGTATCGCACTGATCTCTTCTCTCAAGCTGGCAACATACCTCTCCTCGCTCCTCTCGATTCTCTCCTCGGTCATGCTGGGCTTTCTGGACGACGTCTTTGACATTCGGTGGAGGCTCAAGATGCCCATCCCTCTTCTGGCCAGCCTGCCCATGCTCGTCGTCTACCGCGCGGGCAGGGGAGGCACCTCGGTCGTCGTCCCCGGCTGGCCTGCCTTTCTCCGAGAGATTCTCGGCAACAACATCGTCAATCTGGGTGAGTTCTTTTGTTGCTGACAAGGCCACCATCCACATTGACAATCGATGATAGGCCCTCTCTACTATCTCTTCATCCTGCTCCTCTCGACCTTTTGCGTCCACAGCATCAACATCCTGGCCGGGATCAACGGCGTCGAGGTCGGCCAGGCCCTCGTCATTGCTCTCTCGCTGTGCATCAACGACATCCTCTACCTCGATCCAAAGGCCGGTGAGCCCGGCAGCTTTGCCAGCATCGAGCTGCGCGACCGCCACCTCTTCAGCCTCGGCCTTCTGCTGCCCTTTTGCGGCTGTTGCATCGGCCTCTTGTCCTGGAATCGGTGTGTGCCTTTGCTGCCCTCAATCATCTTCTGGCAGTCAAGTGCTGACGAGATCATGGACAGATACCCGTCGCTCGTCTTTGTCGGGGACACGTTCTGCTACTTTGCAGGTCAGGTCCTCGCCTGCGCCGGCGTCCTCGGCCACTTCTCAAAGACGTTGCTCCTCTTCTTCGTCCCCCAGCTCTTCAACTTTGCCCTCAGCCTTCCTCAGCTGGCCCACCTTGTGCCGTGTCCCCGCCATCGGGTGCCCGAGTGAGTCCAGGCTCCTGGGAGCGTCATTATCACGTGCATTCATCTCAACATCACCCTTCTCCACCACAGTGTTGATTTGGAGACGATGCGGCTGCATCCTTCCATTGCCGTCTTCCCCAAGGAGAAGCCTGCTCGACCCATCACCGTCCTCGTGCTCCGTCTCTTTTCTGCGCTGCGATTCGTATCGCTCGAATGGGAGGAGGCAGAAGAGGAGGGCAGGCAAGAAAGACAAAAAGGAAAGAAAAAGAGACTGGCGAGCACGACGAATCTCACGATTCTCAATGCGCTCCTCGTCTTTCGCGGTGTCGAGACTCGCAGGTCGGGTAGCATCATCAAGCAGGGCAGTCGGTTGCGGGGGCCAGCCATCACGGAGCTCGGGCTCTTTTGGCATGTCATGATTGTCCAGATTGCCTGCAGTGCAGCGGCCTTTGCTGTGCGATACTGGCTTGCAGCTATTGTGTTTCCGTGATTGACTTCGGTAATTGATAGATAGATGAAGTAGTAGCCTTCCCACCCTGGAAGAAGAAGGAGGATTCGAGGTTCGAAGTGTGCCAAAGTGGATTTGAGCAGGCAAAGGCCGAGAATCCACGTGAAGAAGCCAAGGTCCCAAGCGCATGAAGCTCGGCCAATTGTCGGACCGACGCATTGCCCTTTTTGGAACGGCGGCAGAAAGTTTCTTGCGCGCGGGGAGAGAGAGAGAGCGAGAGGCCACTTTGGCCCTGGGTGGGGAAGAAAGGTCGAGCTACATACACTACGAAGTACGCGCATCTGTAGATTCAAGTGGCTTTCTGTGGTGCGCAAACCGCAGGCTTCTCGCTACCCTCGCCTTCGGACTTGGCCTCCCTCCTACCGAACGTCCACCGAGGTCCGATCGAGGAGGGGTCAAGGTATAATAAGGGACACCAACGAGCGAGCCACCAAACGCAGCAGACAACGATGCTGTTCACTGCCAATGCTCGCATCGCGGTCTCGCGCTCGGTCGTGGCCCTGGGCCGCCGCCGTGCACTGCACCAATCCGCAGCACTGCGCAAGCCACCCGCGCTCGACTCGCAGCCAGTCAGCGGCAGCGCACCAGCCCCGCCGCCGCCGCCTGGGCTGTCGCCCGAGGCACGCAAGGCGCCAAAGGAGAGCGGCACCATCTCGGCCGTCTTTGCCACCCTCTCGGGCGGCTCCCTCGCCGAGTCGCTTCCGCCGCGTTTTCTCGACGTCAAGCGCGGCCTCGTGCAGAGCCCTGCGCATGCAGAGGCGCTCCAGCGGGCGTGGACAGAGGTGCTGTCAAGCCTCGAGGGCGAGACGGACGAGATCATCGCAAAGGGCTCGGCCCTCATCCCGCAAATCCACTACCCCGGCGACGACGTCGTGGAGCATGCCAAGGTGCAGGATTGGGTCGACCAGGGAACGCTGGACAATCTGAAGAAGAGGGGCGCCGTCATTGTCAAGGGCGTCGTGGAGCAGGACAAGGCGCTGGGCTGGAAGCAGGCCATCCGGGACTATGTCAAGCTCAATCCTCAGACCAAAGGTGGGTGGGTTCGCGGTTGGAAGTTGGAGTATATGCGCTTTCATGTCGACTCACATCCACCCTCTTTCGTGCTCAGGCTTCCCCGATGACAACCCACAGGTGTACGAGCTGTACTGGAGCAAGGCCCAGCTGGCTGCCCGAAGTGAGCCTTTCTTTTCAGTCTTATGACGGTGAATGACAGGGTGCTCACCCTTCTCATTAGGTCACCCGTCGCTGCTCAATGCATCGCGCGCGATGCTCAGCCTCTTCCACGCGCCAAGCCAGACAGAGGAGCGCTCTGCCTTCTCGCAGACGCCCCCACCCGAGCTGTCGGTCTCGCTGCAGAACCCGCTGACGTACAGCGACCGACTGCGGATCCGCCTGCCCGGCGACAGCACCTTCGCCCTGGGTCCACACATCGACGGCGGTGGCGTGGAGCGGTGGGAGGACCCGACGTTCCGAGGCTGCTGGTCCGACATTCTCGAGCTGAAGCGGGGTGCCATCGACTGGACCTCGCACGACTCGTGGAGCCTGGGCCCGGCCGCGCAGAGGCTGGGAGCCAAGACGGACATGTACAACGGCCCCGGCGCTTGCTCCGTCTTCCGCCCACTCCAGGGCTGGCTGAGCATGAGCGAGACAAAGGCCGACGAAGGCACGCTCCGCGTCCTGCCCCTGCTCACCCAGTCGACGGCCTACATCATCCTGCGTCCCTTTTTCAAGCCGGTGCGGCCTCGGTCTCAGTTTGCCACGCAGCGAGACTATCTCCGTGCCGACAACTGGACTTTTGACCTCGACGACCCCCACTTCCCCGGCTGCACGCTGGGACGCAACATTGAGCTGAGCAACGACACGCACCCGCACCTCCGCCTCGACGACGCCATGACGAGCATCCCCAAGGTCGAGCCGGGCGACATGGCCCTGTGGCACTGCGACCTCGTCCATGCCGTCGAGGCCCAGCACAGGGGCGCACCGGGCAAGGACTCGAGCGTCATGTATATCCCTGCCATCCCGCTGACGCGGGCCAACTTTGACTATGTGCGCCAGCAGAGGGAGGCCTTTGAGGCCGGCACCCCGCCCAGCGATTTCCCCGGCGGCGAGGGCGAGTCGAGGCACAACGGTCGGGGCACGCCAGTGGATATAACCAGTACCATTGGACGGCGCGCCATGGCTCTCGACGCTTTTGCCACAACGAGCGACATGCCCGACGCAGAGCGGCAGCTGATTGAGCTCTGCAACTCCCAGGTGTGATCTCCTCCTCCTTCGTCTCTCTCTTTCTTCTCTCCTCTCGTCTCGTCTCGTTTCCTGGGGCTTACTGTGTCACGAGTGTATGCTATTGCGGTGCAATGTCTAGAAATAAAAAGATGTGACCGTGGCGATATTGTACTGTACAGGATGCGGCTACTCAGTGCTTTCTCTTCTTGCTGCTCTTTCCTCCCTTTTTGCCGCCGCCGCCGCTGCCACCGCTCGAGCCCCGCTTGCGGCTTCCGTTGATCCGCTCGACCTCCTCCTCGCTCAGGCGGAGGGTGCCCCTGTTGAACGTGCCCACACCCATGCCCAGGCCCCGCTCCCTCGTCCTCTTTTTCCGGTCGTCGTCGCGCGTGCCGAGGATGAGATCCATGCCGGCCTGGTTGTTGCCGACGAGCTTCTTGACGCTCGAGTGGTAGTTGCCCAGCTCCTTTGCGCGCTCCACCTCTATATCGAGCTTTTCCTTCTGTGCGCGCCGCAGCCCCGCGCGCATCGACGCTGGCATCTTGCCCATCTCGGCCGCCTTGTGCGCCGACTCACCCCAGCCCCTACCCACGGCGGCCCCTCGGCGTGCAGCCGAGGACGACGAGAGCTCCATGAGGCGCGCCAGCGTCTCGTTGGACGACAGGTTGCGCCGCGAGCCCTCGGCGCCCGTGCTCGCGCCTCCAGGCGCAAAGAGCGTCGTCGAGAGCAGCCTCGACAGCTCGCGGTCGTTGGACTGCATCGCCTTTTCCTCCTCTCCCTCTTCTCCACCTCCTGCTGCCTCCCCAGAGCCTTCGCCTTCGCCCTCGCCTGCGTCGGCCTTTGCCTTGCGCTGCGCCTCCTTGGCCGCGGCCCGTGCACGGCGGCCATACAGCGTCTCGGACGACTTTTCCTTGTGCGGCATATCGACCTTGGCAGACATAAAGGACCGCCAGCCCTTGCGGCTCTCGTCGCCGCTGCCCGCCGCGTCGTGCGAGAGCGAGATGGGATTGGAGGACGAGGACGAGGACGATACAGTCGGCTGACCAAAGACGATCGTCTCTGGCTCTCGCGCCTTTGCCTTTGGCTTGGAGCGTGGCGGGAGCTTCGCGTCTGGCTTGGGGGCCGGACTGGCTGCGGACGTGCTGGGGCTGGAAGTGGAAGTAGCGTCAAGCAGGCCGGCTTCGCGCGCCTTTTCCTTTCCCTTTGTTGCGAGCTTCGTTTTGGCTGCTGTGGATGACGGACGAGCGGATGCCGATGCCGGCGCCTTGACAGCGCCAAAAGAGGACGCGAAGTGGGCTTCGAGCGCTCGAAGGGCGTCTTCCTTGTTCTGCTCATCGTCCTCGTCGTCCTCCTCTGAGCCGGAGGCGGAGCCGGAGCTCGAGGCGGACTCTGAGGCGCTTTGCCGCCTCTTTTCCTGACGACGACTCGCCGGCCCCGCCGCCTTGCTTCGCGACATCCCAGCCTTCTTGAGACCATTCGACATCGCCACCCTCGCCGAAATCTTCGACATGATCCTCTTCCTGGTGATACGTGTGTCTGTCCAAGCAAAGCAAAAGAAAGTGGCATCTCCAACCCAACTCGAAGATCCAAAAAAATCTTCCACACGTGCCGCGAAGCTGAGAGACAGCCTTATTTTCTTTTTTCTCTTTTTCAACGGATCGGGTTCTTGAAAATTTCCGGCTCCTGGTCGGATGCTCGCTTTTTGTGGAGCAAGTGAGAGGGCAGGACAGGGCAGGACAGGGCAAGGCGACACAGCAACTAAATGAACAACCACCACATCAGGCGAAGAAGCAAACACAGCTACAACAGCGCAGCGAGACAGCCATGGCCGAGACTGGACTGCCGCTCGGCGCAGTGTACACGGGTGCGACGGCGACGTCGCTGTCCGAGGCGCGCAAAAAGGCAGAGGCATCGCCCGATGGCTACATTCCCTCGGCCTTTAACCCGGCGACGTGTGCCCAGAAGGGCTACTGCACCGTGGCGCGGGACCGCGTGCCCGTGGGACAGAACAAGATGCCGACGGCGGATGCGCGCGAAAAGGGCGCGCAGCCGCCGAGTGCGACGACACCGGGTTTCCAGCTCTACTACGAGGTCCACGGCACGGGCCCACGCAAAGTCGTCTTTGTCATGGGCCTCAACAACAGCTGCTTTGGCTGGCTCAACCAGGTCGAGCACCTCGCCAGGGACCCCAGGTACTCGTGCGTCGTCCTCGACAACCGCGGCTACGGCAACTCCGAGACGCCCGCGGGCAGCTACAAGTGAGTGAGGCGAGGCCCTGCTGCTGCTGCTGTTCACTCGACGAAAATGCTCACGCTTCACATGCGGCCTTCAAGAACATCGGAGATGGCCCTCGACGTGTTTGAGCTCGTCGACTTTCTCGGCTGGAAGGAGGAGCGGCAGCTGAACCTCGTCGGCATCAGCATGGGCGGCATGATCTCGCTCGAGATGGCCAAGCGTGCGCCGCGGCGCATCGCCTCGCTCACCCTCATCAGCACCACCTCGGGCCGCGGCCACGGCGAGAAGCGCCTCTCGGCCTCGCTGCCCCCCTGGACGGGCATCTCGACGATCACACGCATGATTGCCGGCCGCACCCTCGGCTTCGACTCGGACGAGTACCGCGTCAATGCCGTCTCGGAGCTCCTCTTCCCGCCCAAGTGGCTCGACCAGACGAGCACACGCAACGAAAAGACGAACCGCGAGAACATGCAGGCGACCTTTGCCTTTCGCTTTGGCTTCACGAGGCGCCAGACGCTCTTTGGCGCCCTCAGCCAGGTCCGCGCGGCCTTGACCCATCGTGTGCGCGCCGCCGAGCTGCGCGAGATCGACGCGGCGATTCCCCAGGTGACAATCGCCACAGGCGACGACGACAACCTCGTCAATCCGCACAACTCGGTGCACCTGGCCAAGCACATGCAGCGCGCAAAGCTGCACCAGGTGCCCGATGCGGGCCACGCCATGACGCTGCAGCTGCCCGATGTCATCAACACCATCCTCGACGAGGCCTTTGACGCCGCCCAGGACCAGCTCGACAAGGGCTTCGATCGCGCGGCGTGAGGAGAACCGTGATATAGCACAAGTATAGCTTAGTACAGTCTCGCTTTGATAATAGATAGAGTGGCCCAGAACGGCGTTCTGGTAAGATCACTTTGCCTCGTCGTAGCTCGAGAGCTGCGTGAGAGAGAAGAAGAAGAAGAAGAAGAAGAAGAAGAAGAAGAAGGAGAAGGAGAAGGAGAAGAAGAAGAAGAAGAAGAAGAAGAAGAAGAAGAAGAAGAAGAAGAAGAAGAAGAAGAAGAAGAAGGAGAAGAAGAAGGAGAAGAAGAAGAAGGAGAAGAAGAAGAAGGAGAAGAAGAAGAAGAAGAAGAAGAAGAAGGGTGAGTCTAAGAAGGCTTGTCAGATGCAGGCGCGGTTCTCACCTCGATGAGGTTGCCGTCCGGATCGCGCACATAGACGCTCAGGATCTTGCCCAGCGCCCCCGTCCGCTCGACGGGGCCCTCCTCGACGTCGACGCCACACGCCGCGAGGTGGCGCCTGCACGCATCGATAGTCTGGCCACTCTCGAGCAGCAGGCAGATGTCCTGCGAGCCGGGCTTGGGGTGTGTGGCCTTTGGCTCAAATTCCTGTCCAGCCTGGTGCAGGTTGATCTTTTGCTGGCCAAAGGCGAGCGCCTGCCGTGGTGGGTTGCTCGAGAATGTGACGGCGCGCATGCCCAGGACGCGCGTGTAGAAGTCGACGGTGCGCGGCACGCTGGCGCACGTCAGCACGACGTGGTCCAGCCTGCTGATCGAGATGGCCGCCGTCGTTGCCGCCGCACCTGCCGCTCGAGAGGCCATCGTTGATAAACCAACCCTACCAGGCACTGTTGCGGAATGGACAACCGTGCGCACACGCAACTTTCACTTGCTTGATCTTGCAAAATACAAAGGCAGGCCGCTCCACATGTGCTGCCCAGACTAAAGATTCCTTTACGACGGCCTCCCCGCTACTACTTTTTATTACTACTACGACGTCTCTGCACTGATCACGCGAGGCGCCGCTCATCCCGGCCTCTCCGTCATGCTGTGCTCCATCGCCCTCGTATCGTAGCTGGACCCATTGCACACACGCGTGGGAGGACTACACATATCAAAGCACCCCAGCATGAGGCACCAGAAGCACGGCGCGACAACGACGACGATCCAAGGTGAACCGGCCGCGATGAGGACCGGCGGGGGGTCACGAGGCGCGAAAGGGCCAGCTTCAGCGGCGGCTTCAGCGGCGGCTTCAGCGGCGACTTCCGCAGCGGCCGCATCGCTGCCCATCGACATCCTCCTCCTGATCCTCGGCCACCTATGCCGCATCTCGCCGAGCTGTGCCGTCAAGGCGCTCCTCGTCTCGCCCTCGCTATCCCCGCTCGTCGAGGCCGACGTCTATGGCACCGTGTCGCTGATGAGCGTCGCCGGCCTCGTCTCCTTTGAGGCGCTCCTCCGCCAGCGGCCCGAGCTTGGCCGCCGCGTGACGAGCCTCTGGATCGCGCCGTGCCGCCAGAGCAGCGACCTCATCACCATCCTCGCCCCCATCCACACCGGCCGCTCCTCCGAGGCCAACCAGGCGCGTGTGCAGGCGCTGGCCAAGTCTGTCCTCAGGGCCTGCCGCCGCCTCCGCCACCTCGCCCTCGACGGCGGCTTCCTCACCCCGCAGGCCGCAGAGGCATTCGGCACGCCCTGCAAGCCAGCCACGCTCCTCTGCGTCAATGCCCACAGCTTCCTCGGCCACTTTTCCGCCCCCATCTTTCGCACCGTCAACCGGCTCGAGGTCGTCGACACCACGCTGGCCGTCGAGGAGGTCGACGAGATCCGGCAGATGCCCGGTGAGAATGAGAATAACCCCCTTCTCCTGATTATCTAAAGACAATCGCTGATTGCTGAGAACAGCCCTCCGCCACTTTCTGTGGACCTCGCCGCGGGCCCAGTCGGACGTCAGCCGCGACGTCTCGGTCCTCCTCCGCATCGTCTCGCCACGCACCAATGCCTCGGCTGCAAATGCCGCTGCTGCTGGTGCTGCTGCTGCTGGGGCCGGCGCTGACGGCGTGCTTGCCTTGCCGCCACCCGAGAGGACACGGGTCAACGACCGGCTGACGACGATATGCACCGCGACGTCGCAGGCGCGCGCCGCCAGCCTCGCCTCTTCCTTCCGAAAGGCCATCTCGGGCACCATGTCGTCGCTGCCCTCTGCATCGGCGATGCCGACTCCGACAACCTACCATGCCTACCTGGCCCAGCAGCAGCAGCACAGGCCCGACTATGTCGACTCGGGCGCCGCAGAGAGCAACATGGTCCATGTCGCCAGCGGCGTCCAGCTCCAGACGAGGGCGCTCCACTCTCTCGCCTCCATCCGACTCGGTCAACACTCCTCGACGCCGACGTCCTCGTCTTCCCTGACGGCTTCGCTCCGCAAGCTCGCGCTTGCCAAGGGCGGCAGCACAGGTGCAGCAAACGAAAAGCAAGACGCAGGAGACGAGGAGGAAGGGGAGGGCGATGAAGGAGAAGAGGAAGAAGGTGAAGAAGAAGAAGAGGAGGAGGAAGAGGAGGAAGACGACGAAATCGTCGTCGAAGAGTGGGAAGCACTGCGCGACGTCGTGTGCCAGCGCAAGAATTCCCCTGCTCCCCTGACCTACCAGCCTCGCTACACTGGCCAGGGCGGGCCGACGACGTACAACCACCCAACCTATGGCTCGTCGATGTGGGCGAGCGACATCATCAGCGGAGAGAGCAGCGCCAACACGACGAATGCCACCACGACGAGGTCCAGCTCGCCCCCGGCCACGACTGAAATCGACGGCGGGCGCGCCCTCGAGAGAGTCTGGATCCGATGGAGGTCACAGATCGAATCTGGATACCTCGACTCGTGCATTGCTTAACTGCGTTGCACTCTTGCTTCACACACACACACACCTGTTGTCCCGCTCTCTTTCTCCCGGTTCCAGCCTCATTCTTTCCCTGCCCCTTGTGTATTCTATATATAATTAGACAATTGCAACATCAGACTGTCCCTTTATCAATCGGTCGATGTGCGGTCTGCAGCCTCGGGCGGCTTCTGCTCCTCCGACGGTGGCACCGCGCCAGCCTGCTTTGGCTGCTCCTCTGTCTCTGCCTCGGCCTGAGGAGGTGTCGCTGTCTGCGCCTGAACCGCCTCCTCTTCGAGCGCCTTCTGCTTCAGCTTCTCCTCCCGTCGCTTCCTGATGCGCTCGTCGTTGATCTCCTTGCGCCTCGCCGCCTCCTTTTCCTTTTCCAGCGTCGGATCCAGCTCCTGCCGGATGATGCGCGGCATGAGCGTCGCAAAGGTCAGGTACGACGTGTGGCCGCGCATGTCTGCAAATGGCTTTGCATAGATGCGCACGCCGCCCTCGTCTGCCGCCGCGGCCGCCTTTGCCTTGCGCGAGGCCGCCAGCCTTCCATTGGCCTTGTTGGATGGGCCACCACCACCACTCTCGGCTGCTCGGTCGTGCTCTATGTCACCGTGGTCGTCTTCATCACCGCCATCGTGCGGCCGCTTTGTGCCGCGCGATCCTCCAGCAGCAGCAGCAGCAGCAGCAGCAGCACCATCGCCTCCTTCCTCCTCCTCGTCGTCGTCGTCTACTGCCATCTCATCCTCGTCTCCAGCTCCGTTCGCCCCCGCCTCCGTCCCTGCCACATCACCGGCAAGCTTGGCCTCTCGCTCCCTGCGCGCCCTCGCAATCTGGATCTCTCTCCGCCGCGCCTTGCGCGCCTCGACCTCCTTTATCCGCTCAATCGCCTCGCTGATCGGCTTCATCTCGTGGTACTGTCCCGGGCCCACCTTGACGCTCATGTGCGTCCGCATCAGGCATTCGTACGTCTCAATGTCCGTCCATCTCGCCGCGGCCGCTTCGCCCCCCGCCTCGGCCCCCCCTTCGCTGCTGCTGCTGTTGCTGTTGCTGCTATCAGCGCCGGCAGCAACACCGTCGACCTCTCGGAGCGCGGCCACCGTCTTGAGGACCTGCTCGACGCAGGGCGAAAAGCAGCAGATGCGGCAGGCCACGTCTCGCCGGAGCGCCTTGGCGGCATGCCGCACCGCGTCCCAGGGCGCAGGCACGTCGAGAAAGACGGCGTCGGCGCAGTCTTCGAGGCCGAAACCGTCCTTGATGACGTTGCGATGGCGCAGCGAGACTGTCTTGCCTCGGCTGTGCGGATGCGCTGTCGTCGTCGTCGTCGTCGTCGTCGTCGAGTCGCCCATAGTAGGGACCTCGGGCTCGATCCTGTCGACGAGGCCGTGCGCGAGGAACTCCTGGTAGGCCTGCGTTGCTCGGCCTGCGTGGAATTCAAAGGACCACACCCGTCCCTGGCGCGGCGAGACGTGAGGATCGGGCGCAGTCCCCAGCAGGCCCAGCATGTCTCGCTCAGCCTCGTCTTCTGGCTCTTTCGCCTCCGCCTCCACCTCTTCCTCCTCTTCGTCATCATCGTCGTCGTCGTCATCGCCACCGCCGCCACCGCCGCCACCACCACCCTCGTTGTCGTCTCCGTCCTGCTGCTCCCTACCTCCAGCTTTCCTCCCTTGGTTCCTCTCCTGCTGCCGCCTCTTTCTCTGCGGCCCGCCCTTCCATCCCCACCCGCCCGTCTGCTCGTGTTTCCTCCCGACGGTCCTCGCCAGGAAGTGCGTGAAGCTGCCACTGCCCGTGCCAGCCTCAATGACGCGCGCGCCCGGTCCCAAGCCCAAGTGCGCAGCGATAAAGGCCATGTCGGGCGCATACAGGATCTGCGTCCGGTGCGGCAGCGCCAGCGTCCACATCTCGGGACTTGGCCGGAGTAAGAAGACGAAGCCGCGCCGGTTTCGCGAGGCCAGCTTGGCGCCAAAGGGAAGGCCGATCATGGCGTCGTGCGAGAAGCAGCCGTAGTTGTTGAACAGCTCCGCGCCGGGCGTCACTGTGAGCGGTGTCGGCGTTTTGTCGCGGGACTGGGGAGATGGAAACGTCAGATTCGAGCACATTCAGTACCATCGTTGGGTTATGAGAAAGAATTGCAGCTCACCATCCAGACGATGACGAGGTCACCAGCCGAGATGAACTTGGAGCGCGAGGGTGCCTCTGCAGCTCTCGTCGACTCCTTTTGTTGCTGATGTTGAGGAACATGCTGCGTCACCGCTTGCTCCTGTGCCTGTGGCTCCTTCGAGCTGCCCGCCTCGCTCGTGGGGCCCGCATCGCCGCCAGCCTTCGTCCCTGTCTGCTCCATCATGATGTGCAGGCCAGACTGCAGTGGACAGTAGTAGAAGCTTCAGCGCCTTCACAAAAAACTTCGAAAAAAAAAAAACTCGAGCACTACACGTGAGGTGACTTTGCTCGCTCGAGCCAGCCTTGGGAAGAAACGTTCGTATTGACAAGATCATCACCAAGTCGAGACGGTTCAGAGGAGGATGAGCTTGGCAAGTCGGTGGGCGACGACGGCGAGTCTGCGCTGCTGGAGGTATCCAGCACCGCTGTATACCAGGTCTTTGCCGCTTGCGCTCATTCAACCAAGAATAGAAAGGGCCAGCGTCGCCGTTCGCTGCTCGACCTCGATCTCGAGACCGTCGGATCCAAAGACACAGAATGGCGGTATTCTGTCGAAGCTGAAGCCATACGCTGCCCTCGCACGCCTGGACAAGCCAACCGGGACCCTTCTCCTCTTTTGGCCCTGCGCATGGTCTCTGGCCATGGCTGCTCAAGCTCTCCACACGCCGCCGACGACACTTGCGTGGCAGACGGTCCTCTTTGGCACGGGCGCATTCATCATGCGCGGCGCTGGCTGTACGATCAACGACATGTGGGATCGAAAACTGGACGCCAACGTCGGTGAGTCAAGCTTAAATATGGAGAGGAGGAATCAAGCTAACAGGCCAACTTTGCCAAAAGAGAGGACAAAGTCGAGGCCGCTCGCTGCTGGTGACATCACGCCCTTTCAAGCTCTTGTCTTTCTCGGCGGACAGCTCTCGGCAGGACTGGCTGTCTTGCTTCAGCTCAACACCTACAGGTGAATGAGATGAGGCTGTCTCTTTCAGGCTCCCTTGCTGACACAAGAAGTCAGCATCCTTCTCGGCGCATCTTCGCTGTCTCTTGTTGTCATCTACCCGCTAATGAAGAGAATCACCTACTGGCCTCAATTTGTGCTTGGTGAGTTCTCATCTGAGTAGTTCTCCTGAAAGTAGACTTTGTTTAACCCATCGGACTAGGTCTTGCCTTCAATTGGGGTGCACTCCTCGGCTGGTCCGCCCTGGCCGCCTCGCTCGACGCAGGCGCCCTGTCGGTGGTGCTGCCCCTGTACGGGGGCAGCATCCTCTGGACGCTCGTCTATGACACCATCTATGCACATCAGGACCGCGTCGACGACGTGGGCGCAGGTATCAAGAGCACCGCGCTCCTCTTTGGCGAGCAGACAAAGCCGATCCTCGCCGCCTTTGCCGCCGGGCATCTCTCCCTGTTTGCCCTGGCCGCCTCCAAGATAAACCCTTCCTCCTTCTCGTCCACTTCCTCGCTCTTCGACACGCTCATGACACATCATCCTTGTGTGTCCGTCTCGCTGGTCGCGGCTGCATCTCACTACGCCTGGCAGCTGTGGACCGTCGATCTGAACAGTCGAGAGGACTGCTGGGCCAAATTCAGGTCCAACGTCGTCCTTGGCTTCCTGCTCTGGGCCGGCTTGGTGGCCGACTACTATCTTGTCATGTCCTCGGAGGCAGAGCCTCAAGCGAGACTCGTCAATGCTGATGATCACCAAGTGTAACTCTACATGTAAACTTAATCTCACGTCCTCTATCCGGGCCTTGCTTTTCCATCTTCAGTCATTGCAGAAATCGTTATATACAGCACTTTCCCGGTAATGAATGGACGGTACATAGGGAAAGGGCACAATCAAGAGGTATAAGCCGGCGGCGCTTCAGTCGTGGGGTTCGTAACATTCGGTGGAGACGTAGCAGTTGTGGGCGGCGATGCGACAGTCGTCGGTTGGGATGTGACCGTGGGCTCAGGCGCCGCTGTTGGTCTTTGTGCACCCTGGTTCTTTCGGGCGCCCAAGGCCGACAAGAAGTACGACGGCAGGCCCTCGCGCTGGTCGCTGGGGCCCGCTGGCATGCTCGAAGGGCCTGCTTCGTACGAGCCTGGTGCTCCTGCCCCTGCTCCTGCTGGCGTGCTGGTGCTGCTATACTTTGGCTCAGTCTCGTTGCCCAGGGCACTCGGGTATGCTTCCTGGCACCTCTGCGACCTCGTTCGCTTCTTCCGGCAGACGAGGAACAGGACGAGGGCAAAGAACAGCAAAAAGGCGCCGAGGACGCATCCGAGGACAACGCCGAGCTTGGCTCCGCCTGACAGACCAGAGTGGCCAGGGCTGGGAGAAGAATACGAGGGCGTGAGGCGCTTGCCGTCAGCGGTCCAGTACTGGTCGCAGTAGATTCCTTTGCTGTTGATCAGAGGCGTCTGCTGGCTGGGCTGTACATTCGAGTTGGCTACGGTGCCCGTCTGATTGAAGAGGTAGACGAAGAGGTAGGTCCGGTCCTTGGACGGGTCATTGGTATACCATGCCGATGTGTTGAATTGTCTCTCAACACCGCCGTCCTGGATCCAGTACTCGCCCGACTGATTGAAGAAAGTGACGCCCACATCCAAGCCAGAATTGCCGGGCGCTGCGTCCCGCCAAAGGTAGGAGCCGTTGTACAGCGTCGGCGCATCGAGAGAAGCATTGTAGGACAGTGTGGCGACAACGCCGTCAGAGGAGGCCAGTTCCGCGGGTGTCGGCACGACGAAGAAGCTGAGCTTGATGCAATTGGTGTAGTTGTCGTCTATGATCAAAGCTTGCGCTAGCGCGAGGAGGAGCAGGGGGATCGATGTGAACAGGAGTGTGCTCTTCATCTTGACAGAGCCCTTGAGGATGATGGTAGCGGACAGGGAGAGGGGGAGAGAAGGAAGTGGGATCGAGGACCGCTTCTTATGCTTCTCACACGACGGGAGATCCACCTTAGCCGCCGGCCAACTTACCCGACAGGCTCCCTGACATGAATTTTACAATGCCAAGACTCCATTAAAAGTGCTGGTCACAGGTACGCTTGACGCTTTTTTGAAAGCGAGGACGCCGATCGACGGTTGATAGATGCGGAGCCCTTGAGCAGAGCACAGGTCGTGCTGGGCCTCGCAATCTTTTCTCTGACCGCGGAATCGCACAATCAAAATTGTGACGGGAAAGTGGGCCAAGCTTCGGGTAGCTGAGGATGTCAAGTCTATGACCTAGCCTTGTCAGGCGTCCCACCAGAGGATGATTGATGGCTGCGCAGAATGTCGGAATCCAGGAACGGCGCTAAACTACAGAGGTGGCCTTGGCCGGCTTTATCCACCTTTTTCTTTACAACTCCCGTCTAGACTCCACTGCTACTACACTACGCACTACTCTGTTTCGAAAGTGTCATTTCTCCCTCTGCATTGCTGCGACGTCGGAACGGAGCGGAGCGGGTTGCTACCGTGTTGCAGCGAGGCATCAGGATGGTGGCGCTGTATCTCGTGGGCGCATTAGCGGCGTTAAATATTGCTGCCTAGACGATTATCCGAAGACCGCCTTCTACCGTCAGATCTCTTTCAGAGAATTCTATGTGACTGCAAAGCACCTCTCATGTCTGTCGTCACATCGGAAGATCTGAGTAGCAGAACAAAAGGCTTTCGAGGGCAATTATTGCAGCCGGCCTTGCCTCCAAATGTCGATTGCGGCAGGCTAGGCGCGCGCCTGCGCACGGTAGTAATGCACTCGGACCAAGACAATTTGACATGACACGCCTGCTACATTGCACGGCTGTCTGATCACGAAAGATCTCCTGCTGGCTATCCTTCGAGGGGACCAGTCAGCATATAAGAAGGAGGACGTCTGAGGAGTTGCAACAGTGACCCGATCTCTTCGCCAAACGTTTCCCAACATCCTATTCAAAGTCCACTTGACGCAAAGAGCCTCACGAATACAGAAAGACGCACATTCGCCTCCTCAGCAGAACCACATTCTCCTGGCTCACCATGGTCGTACCGTCCGATCTTCCGCACAGTGCTTCTGTGAAGCGTGGCGACATCCTCAAGTCCTCCATGAGCAACTCAGCGTCCCTCAATGACTCAGTAATAGGCTCCAAGGGCACCGTCAAGGGCATGCTATGGTGCTACCTTCGCTTCCTCTTCGTGACGTGGCGCCACGCTCTCATGTCGGTGTCACGCAGCTGGACCGACCCTATGGTCATCTGGACGACTTTTGCGTACTCAGCCACAACCACCGTCATACTTTTCTTCATCCTCGTCTTCGCCATTGCTATCAAGCTCCCCATTGGGCGACGTCTCTATGAGAGGCTCACAGAAAACGACTTGGGCCTAACTACTGTCAATTCTTGTAAGTTTGCGGTCCTTTTTAGTAAACTTCATCTCTTGTTTCGCGCACTTGCTGAGTTGGTGTACAGTTTACCCTGAGATTTTCTCACAAGCGCACAAAGAGGTCTTCAGCTCAGCCTTTACCTCGATGTCGAAGCGGCGAGCGGATAGCAAGAGCACAGCATACGAACGCAATTTCAACCTCGATATCGCCAAGCTGCTTCTGGTTGTATCGGCACTCATGTACGAGCGCCAGAGGCCCTACCCGGTGGGACGCAACGAGCAAAATGCCGTCATCTGCGACAAGTTCGTGATTGATGTCGCCAGAAGCTATGGCCTCGAGTACGTGGCCATCACTGACGTCGGAAGCATCAGCAGCGCCATCTGCGGCGCATTCTTTTCGCTCAATGACAACTTCATCATTCTCGCTTTCAAGGGAACTCAGCCCGACGATTTTCACGAGTGGGCCACTGACTTTAGTTGCGACTGGACGTTAGCGACCGAATACCTCCGCGGTTACAGCTATGTCCACCGTGGCTTCTACGAGGCCCTCTTCCCATCTCGCCTCGAAAAGGGGACGTTGCCCTACGATGTCATCCGTCTCGCCCTCATCAACATTGCCCAAAACCTCAAGGCTCGTCGCCGTCAGACACCCGCAAACAACGATGGTGGTGACGTCCACTCTGGCACCGAAGATCCCAACGAGGTCCAACCAATCAACATCTACGTGACGGGGCACTCGCTTGGGACGGCCACTGCATCAATGTTCTTTGCCCGCGCCATACAGCGTAGTGGCGATTTTGGACCGCCTGGCTTGATCGAGATCGACGATGCCTACCTATTCGCTACTCCTATCACCGTCGATGTCGCTTCGCATGCCGTGTTCAACAGCGACATGCAATGCAGGTCCGACGAGCCTCCTAGGACGCTTTGGCGCATCACCAATAAGCGCGATGTCGTCGCCACGGGTCTGCCTTGCTTTGGCGAACGAGCGATCTTCTCTACGGCCAGCGCTCCCAATTCTAGCCTCAACTTTTGTCATCTCGGCCAGGAAATCAAGTTGTGCGATGCTCCCGCCCTGTCCAGGCAGGGGCCCGGTACTCTGCTCCGGAGCGGGACTCGTGTCAAGATCGTCAGCGACAAGGCCTCACAGCAGCCGGGCATCACTTTCAACAATTACAAGGGAAAGTGGGGCGTCTTTTTGCGTTACGGCGAGGACATCCCCCTCTTTGGTCGCATCGCACAGCACTGTCCCGCTTTTTACTTTCGTTCGCTCAGCCATGTCAGGACGACAGCGAAAAATGAGTCGCTGCCAGAGGCAATCTTTCATCTGTAGAGACTCACGTGTCACCTTCTCCTCCGTCACCTCACCGGTACGGTAGACGACAGCACTTCAAGCCAATCAGGTCCGGAGATTTCAATTTCAGCTCTGACCACTTCGACTTCCACCTTCACATCTTCCTTGAACCATCATCCAATGTTTTGACAGCACCACACTCTTGACAACCATTGATCGTGTAACCACCATACTCCCTAACCTCCACCAAAAGCCCCGGTTGTAGCAACTTTTTTCCCCTGTCGAGCAATAAGCAACACGGTCACACACAAGACCAGATGGCGAAGGCAGTCAGCCTGCGACGCGGCGAGATCAGAATTGGTGACATATAGCCAGCCAGCGGGTTTTCCCTTTGAGCGTCGCCTGAGAAACGCTAGGCGCGCGCCCCCGCTCGCGCACGGTGGTAGCCCGATGGCACGGGAACAATTGTAACTTTAAAGTCCCTGCTCTACTGCACTGCTGGGCTTTAACTTTACAGATATTGTGCCGACTGACTTCCCGTGGTGAGGTCAACAACATATAAGGAAGGGGCATGAAGGTCTGATTGAGTGACCCTACCTTTACGTCGAGCTTTCTCCTAACATCTGATTCGGACCTCACCTTTGCGCAAACGGTGTCCCGCGCAACACCACTCACTCGTCTCCTCAACGAGAGCTGGTACTTCCTCTCTGCCACAACCATGGCGTCCTTCTCGCAGCAGGGTTCTTCTGCTGAGCGTGGCGACAAGTTCAAGCCTTTCAAAAGCTTCTCAACGCCCGTCGATGACTCAAAGACACCTCCCAAGGGCACCGTCCAGGGCAGTATATGGAACTTTCTCCGTTTTCTTTTCAGGACATGGGGCGACGCTTTCATGTCAGTACCGCACAGTTGGACCGACCCCACGGTCATCTGGACTACCTTCCTTTACGCAAGGACGACCACTGTTATTCTCTTTTTCGTTCTCGTCCTCGATGTCGCCATTAAGCTTCCCCGTGGTCGGCGCCTCTATGAAAAATTGACCGAGAACAAACTGGGCTTAACGCTTGTAAATTCTTGTGAGTTCAACCTTGATGCAAGTGTGCAAACATATCGAGCTTGTGCTTAGCTAGTGGGCAGGCTACCCTGAGATTTTTACCCATTTGCAAGAAGAGGTCAGCAACGCAGCCTTCACGACGATGTCAAAGAGACGAGCGGAGAACAAGAGCACGACGTACGATCGCAACTTTGACCTGGATGTTGCCAAATTGCTTCTGGTTATATCGGCGCTCATGTACGAGCGCCAAAGGCCCTTTCCTGTGAACAGCGACGACCCAAACGCTATCATCTGTGACCACTTCGTTGCTGACATCGCCCAAAAATATGGCCTCAAATACGAGCCGGTCACCAATGTGGGAAGCAACAGCAGTGCCATCTGTGGTGCATTTTTTTCGCTCAATCACAACTTCATCATCCTCGCCTTCAAAGGAACTCAACCCGACGATTTCAATGAATGGGCGACCGACTTCAGCTGCGACTGGGCGGTGGCCCCCGAGTTCCTTCGTGGCTATAGTCGTGTTCACCGTGGCTTCTACGAGGCCTTGTTTCCTTCGAGACTTGAAAAAGATAAGCTACCATACGATGTTATTCGTCTCACCCTCGTCGAAATTGCTCAAAGGATCAGGTTCGGCCGCCCTCAGACTCCTCCTACTAGCGACGGCGGCGACTCTCCGGCCAGCAACAGGGGCCTCACTGAGGTCCATCCTATCAATGTCTTTGTAACGGGCCACTCCTTAGGCACAGCCACGGCGTCAATGTTCTATGCACGCGCCATCCAGCGTCCTGGCGATCTAGGACCTCCCGGCCTGATCGAACTGAACGATGCTTACTTATTCGCTACGCCTATCACTGTCGATGTTACTTCACATGCCGTCTTCAATGGCGACATGCATCCCAATTCGGATGAGCCTCCCAGGACGCTCTGGCGTATTACCAACAAGCGTGACATTGTCGCCACGGGCCTGCCTTGCTTTGGTGAACGGGAGATTTTCTCATCGGCCAGTGCCCCCAATTCCAGGCTCAATTTCTGCCATCTGGGGCAGGAAATCCAGATGCGTGATGCACCGGAGCTGTCCGAGCAGGGTCCCGGCACCCAACTTCGTGGAGGATCCCGCGTCAGGATCGTCAGCAGCTTGGCCTCGCAGCCGCTGGGCATCAACTTCAAAGACTACAAAGGAGGGTGGGGCGTCTTTTTGCGCTACGGAGAGTATATTCCCTTTTTCGGTCGCATGGCACAGCACTGTCCCGTTTTCTACCTCCGTTCGCTCAGCCATATGAGGATAACTTGGGAGAACGAATCGCTGAAAGAGGTTCCTTTCCATTGGTGAAGTTTCTCGCATCTCTTTCATTCGTCACCTCATCTCTAGGAAGTAATCCGATAAGCCAGTCATCTCCGAGTCTCAGCTTCAAGTTCGACGAATTCATGTTCCGTCGCCGACACCTCTGTTCACCATCGACCACTGTACAGACAGCCCCATATCCCGACACCGACAGTTCATACAGCCTGCGGAAGTCACCAAGGAATCTCACCATAAAATCTCTACAATACTGTTAAATCTGTCAAATATTATATCAAGCTCACAAATCGTCTCTGTAAATTTGTCGTGGGTACAGGCACAGACGCGCTTGTGTCCACCAAGCAGAATCCACACCGACAGCGAAAGTGAAAGCGCTGAGAAGGAGAGAAGAGAAATGACATTTCTTCGCATCTATGTGGATGGATCCGGCGCACAAGAAAGCCCCAAGATCGAAATGAGAATGAAATAGAGTCTTGGTGAGAATGAGAGGGAACCCAAAGAGAGAGTGATAATCAAGCTTGGGCACACTGCACGCCAGGACCGCCATCAGGGCCCTCCTCGTCGTCGTCCATGCCGCCAGCACCGGCACCATTGCTCCTTGCCTGCTTCGCCTCACGCTCGTCAATGTCGTCCATGACGACGTCCTCCACATCGAGATCCTTTCTGCCCTTCGATGGCTCCGAACGGGGCGGGAGGGCCTGTTCCAGGAGTGCAATCCTCTCGATCGGGATCGAGTCGGGGAATGTGACAGAGAGGTTGACGTAAAGATCGCCCATCTCATGGTGCCTATACGAGGGCATGCCCTGGCCACGGAGAACCTTCATCGCACCTGGCTTGACAACCTCGCCCGCCGGCAGCTCGACGCTGAGGGCACGCTTGTCGAGATGCTCGATCTGAATCTTTCCACCGCCCAGCGCTGTCAAAAGGTCGATCTCAACATCGGTCACGAGGTCGTTCTTCCTTCGCTTGAATCGAGGGTGGGGCTGCTCGTCGACAATGATGACGACGTCGCCCGGAATGGTGTTGGGAGCCTGGTCGGCAGCCTCCTTGAATACAATCTGTTGGCCATCTTCCATGCCAACGTCGATCCTTGCCTCGAGGACCTGGCGCTCCTGAGTGATCTTCTTGCCGTTGCATTGCTTGCATCGGTCCTTTGGTGCAATCTGCTCGCCAGCACCCTGGCAGTCGGGGCACGTCTGCTGCATCTGCTGGACCATGGGTCCCAATTGTCGGAGAACGACCTTGATACCCTGACCGTGGCAACCTTGACATGTCTTGACCGATCCCTCCTTGCCTCCACGACCCTCGCACTTGGAGCACAGAATGTGCTTTTGCAGTGCCAGCTTCGTCGTCTTGCCAACGTACAGCTCTTCCAGAGTGACTTTGACGCGATGAACGAGGTCCTTGCCTTTGCGAGGTCCTCGAGGCCCTCGTCCTCCGCCACCACCGAAGAAGCCGCCGGCTCCGCCGAAGAGCTGCGAGAAGAGATCCTGGGGGTCCATACCGCCGCCCATGCCACCGCTTTCACTCAAACCTTGCTCGCCGAAGCGGTCGTACATGTCACGCTTTTGTGGGTCAGACAGAGCCTCGTATGCAGATGTCACCTCCTTGAACTGTTAGGGCAGGAATTCGGTCAGTATAGCAGCTTGAAAGTGAGCTATATAGAAGCATGGCTCACAAGCTCTGGATCGCCTCCCTTGTCTGGGTGAAGAGCGAGAGCCTTCTTACGGTATGCCCTGAAATTGCGATGATGTTCAGCGTCAAAGCCCTTTTTAGCAAAGCTCGTGGACTCACTTCTTGAGATCGCTCTCCGAGGCATCGGGCTTGACGCCCAGCAGGTCGTAGAACTGCAAGGATATGATGTTAGCAGAGGGCAATCGGCTGGATCAGTTGAGCTAGACCAAGACGAACCTTCGTCTCCCTGGGGCAACGGTCATGGTCAGCATGACTGGTTTTCATTTTCCCCGAAAATTATAGCCACTCACTTGACCATTTTGGTATTTCTCAGAGAGTTGAGATATCTATGTCTGTGAGAGCTACCTCAAGGAGAGCACCACTCCTCTTCGTCTGCCTTTTTAAGTGTCGATCCTGATGATCTCAATGGCCGTTCTGGTCGTCGCACTCGTCGGTCGTCCTGCGGGCTTAAGCGTGGGTGTTCGTAGTCTGCTCAAACGACATCAGTGCCCCTCGTCTTTCCTCTACCCCCGGTTCACCTCGGCGTCTGTGAGCAAAAATTCTGGAATCCACGTGGAAATTACTAACTTTCTAAAGAGTTCTGTCCGAATTCCGGCTTTCGCTGAACGCTCACGTGCCCTTGCAGCTCAGCAACGCCTGCTCTTCCTCACCCCGATCTCTTGGGCCACGGAGCAAGTCTGGTGGTGCGCAACGAAGAGGCAACGTCTGGCGAGCGACCGCAAGAGTCGGACCGTCAGAATTGTATGCTCCTGGTGTGGCTTTAGTAACTGCGGTTTTCCTTTTCCGACGAGAGGAGTCTCACCCATACCCTTGTGCTCCTTCCCAGCGCCGTGTAGAGAGTGAGGCTGCTTCGATTGCTCGATCGTGAGTTGTCAGGTCCTTTTCTCTGATTGACATCGGTTCTTGCTGTTTCTTCCCTTTTCTCTCGCCTTCCTCAACGGAGACTAGCTACATATTGAGGAGAGACTGACCGAGATTTGACTTCGATGGAATCCTGATTAGAAAAGCTCGACCATGGCCCACCCTGGTAGAAGCTACACTGCTCCAACAAGGCAACAAGGGCAGGGTCGAGCCATTGAGTATGGACGATCGCAACCGCATTTGGAATCCTCCAGCGCTACGGACTCTACCTCCGCCGAGCAGCCACCTCACACGGGCAGGCCTCCTCACGATAGTCCCTATCTCGGAATTGGACACCCACCTAGTCGAGGTTACGCCCCTTCGCAGAGGTCAGATCCGTATGAACATTCTTTCCCCCAGAGGTGGAGCTCGCCGTCACATGAGGATAAGAGTCGATCATCTGAGTATGGTTTTCGGCATGTGCTGCAAAAGCAGCCGGATGTGAATGCACGGCACCGCTCACAGGAGGATCGATGGCGAGGCAGCCATGTCGACCATGGCCCGTACCAGTCGCCTAGGGGAGATTCGGATCGACAAGCCAAAAGCACTGAGCAGGACCCCCAAACTCACCACGACTATCTTGAGACACCTAGGCATCCGTCGGCTGAAACACATTCAGACCCTCAACCTCGACCACCACCACCAGGGCGCCCGCCAAGACCTCCTCCTGGATTGACCGCAAAGATCTCTCCACCGACGCAGACCAAGGTCTCCTTGCCAGCGGAGAATCTTCCTGAAGGAGGAGCATCCTCTCTTAAGCTTGCGCCCGGCCCTTCAGGAGAGGAAAAAGGTAGACCAGTCCAAATCAAGATTCATAGTGCTTTCGGGGAGGACACAGACGACGAGAATGAGGGTGAGCGGTCGTTTCTCTTCCTGCTCTGTCTCCGTACCTCTCTCATGCAACAGTCTTTAGAAGCGAGCTCGTCGACACCAAAAAGATCGGTTGCATCAGCCAGTGCTCGCGATAAGCCGTCGTCCACAATTGAACCTGACCTCGGTGTAGGCAAAGACCACCGAAAGATGGCTGCTCTCGTTTCAAACAAGAAGGTTGGCAGCCCGAAGCGCAGGCAAGGGCCAAAGCTTACTTACATTGCAAAATCAATCAGTTCACCTCGCACATTTCGCGGTGGAATACAAAGTCGGAAGAGGTGCAGGCCATCGTTGAGGAGAAAGAACGACGAAAAGCGGCAAAGGCCTCGTCTGCCAATGCAGAGCCTCTCGGCGCAGGCACTCAAAGCAACACAATTCGCGAAGAGCCTGCAGAAGGAAGACGCGCCGACGACGACGAGGATGATGCTGAAGTACCCGTCGATTTTGACTTCCTTGATACCGAAAGGCGCTTGGCGTGCCTCTTGTGCCAGCGGCAATTCAAGTCAAAAGACATCTTGCTGCGACATGCAAAGGAGTCTGACCTTCACAAGGTGAGTTGAAAGCCTCCTCTTCTTTGATGGAATGGTCCTATTCAACCACACCGCCTCAGCGCAACCTGGAAGATGCGGCGACGAGGAAGCAGGGCAAAGCTCGCAAAGCCGGCAAGACCGAGGCGCCGACGGCGATGCGACGCGCAGGGTTCGCCCCAGTCGCAGAGGAATACCGTGATCGCGCTTCAGAGCGCAGGGCCATTTTCGGAAGGGAGGAGGTAGCGGTGCCGACCAAGGCTGCCACGGCTAAGCAAGAAAAAGAGAAGCAAACGGCCCCGCAGGCTGAGCCTGTAAGCGCTCCTTTAGATGAGAGCAACAAGGGTGGAGCCATGTTGGCCAAGATGGGCTGGTCGACAGGAATGGGCCTTGGCAAGGAGAGCTCTGGACAGGTAAATTCAGTCGAGGCCAAAATATACAGGCAGGGAGCTGGACTGGGGAGCAGCGAAGGCAAGAATGCCGAGGAGGAAGGACGGAAGAGGCCGAGGGAGGGCAAAGACGCTTACGTCGACGAGGCTCGCGAACGAAGCCGTCAGCGCCTCCTCGATGATAAGTAGCTTCAATTATACAAGACATCTTCATACCTTTCTGTGAATGCAGGCCGTGTCGAAATGAGCTGTCTTGTGAGCAGGTGTTTGTTTAGCCGCTGTTGGGAAGGGCAGTCCTTCTCATTCGGAGCTCAGAAGCCTTCAGCAAGGACGACCAAGAGGGTTCAAGTAATATTTGTATTGGCATTAGCAGTAAGAAAAGGAGAAACAGAGAAACTTGATCCGGTGAATGCTTTGAGCAGGAGTTTAGGGGGTAAGTTGCGTTCCTACATCGACATGGACCGAAGCCGACTTCCGCTCTGCGAGGGCTCTCGTAGCAGCATGTCGCCCCTGCCGGACTGCAGCTCATGGTCTCTCCGCTCGGCCGCCACGATCTTCGATTCGCTCAGCTGGGCCTTTGGATCGAAGCCCTTTGGCGACTTGAAAGTGTATCCAACGAAGGCGAGCTGCTTGCGCATCTCGAGAAGGTGCTGACCTTGTGCCTTGTCGCGCAACATTGGGTCCCGGGGAGCATCGACCGGAGGAGGCTGCCCTCCTTTGGCGGCCTCGGCGGCGCCAGGCGCGGGCAAGGGTTCGGCTTCGATGTCGTCTTCAAAGTGTTTCGTGTCGGCTGGATGGGACAGTGCGGGCTTGAATGGCGCTGGACTCTTGTGAATCGAATTCCAGTCGATTCCACGGAACCAGGGGTGAGCCATCAGATCCTCGACACCGTCCTGGAGCCCTCCTGCGTTGGCCGTTGAGGCACCGGGAGCAGCAAAGCCGCTCCGCTGACGGGATCCTTGCAGAAGCGAATTGGGTCGGCTGACACTGGCAGTCGACGTGCTTCCCAGCCGATCATCCCTCTCGCAGATCAACTTCGAGATGAAGTCTTGGGCCTCCCTCGAGACCTTGGGCCTGGGCGGGAACTTGAGCGTCTGTCGCCAATTGAGAATCTTTTGCCTCGTCAGATGCCTTGACTTGGACACGAACGGCGGGTAGCCCCAAAGCATCTCAAAGACAATGACTCCCAACGACCACCAGTCGCAAGACTGGTCGTAGCCGTATCCTCGAAGCACCTCTGGCGCCATGTAGTTGTTGGTGCCCACAACAGAGTAGGCAATCTTCTTCTTGTTCTTGTCCCGCCACGTCAGAACATGGGTCAGTGGTGTTCCATCCTCGTTACGATCGCTCATGACGTCGTTGAGTTCCTTGTCGTTGAGCTCGCCGCCTTTGGTCGTCGCTGCTGTAGCTCCTCCCCGCACTGTTCCCCTTCCGCCGCCTGCAGCGGCCCTCTTTGCCGCCGTCGAATCCTCGAGATCGATACCGTGTTTCTTGAGGAGATTACGGCGCTGCTGGTCGTAATAGGCACCATCGTGTGCCCAGTGGAAGCTCTGGCACAGACCAAAGTCGGCTAGCTTGATGTGGCCTTGCGAGGTGAAGAGGAAGTTGTCCGGCTTAATGTCTCGGTGAATGTAGCCAAGTCGATGAGCCTCGTGGATGGAGAGGATCATCTCGGCGACGTAGAAGCGAGCAAAATCTTCGGCGAAAATGTCTTTTTCGATCAAAAGATTGAGCAAGTCGCCGCCACCCATGAACTCCATGATGAGATAGAGGTGGTCGACATCCTGGAAGCTGTACACGAGCTTGACGATCCACTTTGCACTTGCGCTGGCGCTGGCGCTGGTCATGAGATCCCTTTCTGCGCGAACGTGACCCTCCTGACCTTTGCGCAGCATGTCGGCTTTGCGAAGCTGTTTCATGGCGAAAAGCTCGCCCGTGCCCCTCTCCTTGATCAGCGCAACGACACCAAAAGCACCGTGTCCGATCGTCTTGAGCCTGATGAAGCTGTTGACGTTGACGCGAGCACGAATATCTCGCAGATACTCGGTCTCGTTCGCCATCCACGCGGCTCGGATCTCGTCCTTGGCCGACTCTGGGATCCTAAGACTGGCCAGCTCAGCCTCGAGACCGGCTCTTCGCGTGTCTCGGTCCCTCGGCTTCTTCAGAATGCCGTAGTAGAGGTTCTCGAAGAAGATCTTGGCCGCGACAGACTTCTCGACGGTCGTCAGGCTCGGCCGCATTGCAGCACCGGCATTGGCAGCCAAGGTGGCATTGAGCTCTTCTCCGGCAAGCGTCCGATTTTCCTGCTTGGGCGTGACAGCGGCAGCAAGATTCGTCGAGGACAAGGGCGCGGCCGAGTCTCGAACAACCATCGAGGTAGGTCGATTGTCAAAGAGAGCATTGATACCAGCAGCACCGCCGGGCAGACCGTCAATCTGCCCAGCCTTACTGGCACGCTTATCGGTCGTAGGGGATGTGGGGGAACCCTTTGCTGGCTTGAACAAAAGGTAGTCAGGCGCGTCCTGAACAATTGCCGCAGCGACGTCTGGCGAAGGATTGACCACCATTGTCCCCCCCGTGTTCGACCTAGGCATCATGTTGGGTCGCGCTGCTGGAGGCGGAGAGGATGCGCCTGATGCTGGGCTAGGTCGACGAGGCGATGGCGAAAGGGCAGGCGCCAAGGGCGGAGCCAAGGCCGTGTATTCGCCACTAACCTCTTCTTGGATGCCAGGGAAGCCCCTACCTTCACCAGGCGTCCTTGGCGGTTCCGTCGAGATGGTGCCGTGGCCAGCCGTGACGGTCGTGGAAGTCATGGTGCTGGCCGTTGTCGCGCTCTGACTAGGGGCGCCATTGACGATGTGCAGAGGCGGCCTTTCATTCTCCTTGATGATGCTCTCCTGGTGCAGAGCAGCCTGGATTTGAGCAATGGCCTCTGCCTGATTCCGTGCCGCCTGGACACGCATGGCTTCTTTGCAACGCTCGATCCATGCCGGATCGGCGACCTTGCCCACACCATCTCTGCCCCACCTCCTCAAGATTGCCTCGGCCTGTTCAGCATCGCTGGCGTGGGCCGCGTGGATAAAGCCCTGAGGCTTCCCGACCATGTCGACACTGATGCGCTTCTTCTGTGCCCGTGGTCCGTTGATATTAGGGGCCGTCGCGGTAGAGGCTTGGTTGCGGGAGTCGGCCGTGTAGAAAGATGCCGGGGAAGGCGTGCGCTGCTGCACTTGTTGCTGCGGGCCTCCTTGGTTGGAAGCAGCGGGAAGAGGAGCGAGGGGCGAAGAGCGGCTCAGGGGCGGGCCTCCAGCAGAGAAGAAGAGATCATCAGGGCTAGCCTGCTGAGGGATCGAGGTGTTGCTCGTCACTTTCTTCAAACCTCCTGTGGCTTTGCTGAACGTCTGCTTGAAACGAGAGGGTCCTCCGGCGGTGCCGGGAGGGCCTTGGGGGTTGTTGACGAGCGACATGATGTCCCAGAAGCCCTTGTGCTGCCGAGTGACTGAGTTAGCAAATCTGGTCACAGCGTCGATCAGAAAGGAGATATGTCTCACCATGAATGCGCTGCCCTTTGCGGTGCCCGACCTCATTCCAGCGTCATCGCCTGGGACTTGCGCGTAGCCCCTAGCGCCATTTGCTTGGGGACTTGCAAACCTAGACGAAGGAATGGTCGACATACGCGGCCGCACCGTTGCATTCACGTCGCCTGTGCCGGCAACATAGGGTGTGGGGTTGGACAGCGAAGGCCCACCGTCACGCTTGAAGCGCGAGGTCGCTCCCGCGGGGTAGTAGGCCGGTTCTGCAGGTCCTGTCGGGAAAGCATACTGCTGCGGGAAATATTGCTGCTGCTGCTGCTGCTGCTGCTGCTGCTGTTGCTTCTGTGGTGATGAAGCCCATCGGGCCGAGGGGCTCACAGGAGGGCTCGAAGGCTGGAAGAAGGCTTGCTGCTGGTACGCGGGCTGAGCAATGTACGAAGGGCGCATCCGCTCTTCGTGCTCGTACCACGCCGCTTCTCGATCGTAGGCCTGCGGAGGCTGAGGCAAGGGCCGGCCCGACGTCCGGACGGCGGCCATTGCGAGCTGCAATAGGAGTCGCGTGAGTAGCGTGTACCAAGTCTGGACGAGGCGAGGCGACTCACCTAAGAGGTTAGGGGAAAGGGGGTTAATCTAGGTGCGACAAAGAGGAGAGAAAGAAAAAGGAGAAAACGAGCAGGTCGTCAGGTCGTAACGGGCATATAGATGGGAGAGTGAGTAATGAGATGATGGCTGGGATGAGTGAGCGAGCAACAGAGGGGACTGATGATGGAGAGGCTAGCCAATTTCAGTACCCGCCGAGCGCGCGCAACCCCTTAGCTCTAATCTCAGGGGACCTGTCTCACAGCGCCTGCATGCCCTATTTTTTTCCAGAATAACACTAAGACAAGCAAGCCGGCAACGTGGCCCTTTTCCTCGCACGTCCCCGTAGCCGCGTCGAACATGGCGCGCTCCTTCTCCGCGTTCATCGATGCCGTCAACAGCCCTGGAGTGGATAGGGGCTTGCCGGGTGCGATACTCTCGTCGCCTGCGGGGTCATCAAGAGGAAGCTTATGACAGTTCGGATCGGAGCTTTGCAGCAGGGAGAGGGTCAAGCATGCGGTCGCCGGCTTGAAACAATCAAGAAAATGGTACAGAAGACGGTCAGACCCCTGCTCGAGGCATCTACTGTCATCAATGACTCCCATTTCGTCATGTTGCGTTGCGGCAAACACAGCGTTAGGTAGCAAGATGGGAGCGCGAAGCCAAACCGATATTCTCTCGTGAACATCTTTGGGTCTCTGGCTTGTCAAGAGCCATTCTTCCCTTTTAACTTCCTGAACGTCGGCTCTGCTCATCGTGAGATCTTGCTAAAAGACTTGATCCGGACCGGTTGAAAACCCAGAGCGACTGAGAAAGCGAGGACTTGTGTCAGGACTGCTCCCTAGCCAGCTTCTTCGTGCCTCCGGCTAGCTGTGCCAGACTCTTGCGCAGGTGATTATTTGCGCTTGTTGCCCGAGTGGCTACTTCTTGCATTGATGCAGAGCAACAAAGCGACGCCTTCGGCCAGAGTGCGAGCGACTCCAGGCAGTGAGCAAGCGGCATAGAAAGGGCGACGACACTTTTCGAGAGGGCTAGTATACAGGCACGAATACATCTCAAGCCTTTGGTTGTTGTTGCTGTTGCTGCTGCTGTTGCTCGGCCACTTTCTGTAAGGCCTCTCAACTCTTTGTTAGCACATCTCTTGCTTGCCGCTCAAACAGGAAAAGGCCAACGCACCACCATCGACACGTCTCGAACAACACGCATATTGTCCTCCTTTCTCAAAATCGTCTCCTGGAGCTGATCCAGCTTCTTTCCCACAAATTCTACCTTTTCCCGGTACATTTGCTTTGCGTCCTCTGTTGACTTTTCGACGTAGTAGCCCGTGCCGACATCGACAATGACCTTGTTCAGATCGCTGAGCTTGCCAGGCACGTACAGGCTCGATGTGAGCGGGACGAGCGTCTCCTTGTCCTCGTTGGAGGGATCGATGGAGTCAACGGCCTCGATGCACGTCCGGAACCGGTGCTGAGCTGCCTTGAGCTGGCCGTACGATGCGGTGAGGTGCTGCAGCTCGGCCTCGAGCTGGCGTCGCACATCGGCGAGCTGTAGGAAAAGCCATCAGCACCCCATTCGTTCAGAGTAAAACAAATAGAAAAGGAGCGAGAAAGAGATAAAACATACCTGGGCCAAATTGAGGTCGCCCACCTCGACACTTCCCTGCTGCTGGGAGGCCGACATGCCCCTGCTCTATTCGCTCGTCAGGACAACGTTGTCGTTGATATGACCACAACTTTGAGAACGACGGAAATCTCTGTCAAGAAGAAGTGCGCTGCACGTGGTTTTTCACGCTCGGGCCATTCTAATTTATCGAGTGTTGCTCCGGAGAAGGCGGGTGGAATCTGATCGGCACAGGCAACGACCAGCAGGCAACCATCTGTTCGTTGCCAAACAAAGGATACGATTGAGGAGTGGCGGAGCAGAAGCAGCAGCAGCAGCAGCGGAAAGGAAGGCAAGATGGCAGCGGCGAAAGGGACCAAAGAGCTCGTCTCGCTGCTCGAAAAGTTTGGGACATGCGAGGTGGGTCATTCCGGGTCGATGGAGGAAGCCATTCTAAGCCGTATGCTGACTTTGATACGATGTAGATTGCAGACGCTCTCGTCAAGCTCAAAAACCGGTCGGGAGGGCACCTTCCTGGCATCTTTGCGCATGCGCCTCGGTCAGATAAAGCGGGGCTCTCGACGGGCATCTGTGGGCCGGCCTTTACCGTTGAAGTGAGTCCTCGTCTCCCTAGTCCTGCAAGCCAAAGGGGAAGAGAAAATTGGTCTGACCGAATGAATGATCAGATGGTGTCCCAGGCCGATATTGATGCGCCCAAGCCAGATAAGCACTTTGTCGATGCGACCGAGGGCCATGAGGGCTGCGTCATGGTCATCAGCGCGCCGCCCGAGACGCGCTCCGCGATCTGGGGCGGCCTTATGACGCTGCGGGCCCAGGCGCTGGGCGTCAAAGGCGTCGTGCTCGACGGTCGCTGCCGCGACCTCGAGGAGCAGTGGGACTCTGGCTTCAGCATCTTTGCGCGCTCCCACTCGACCCTCGGTCAGTCGCCGTTCACCAGACCCTCGCGTCTCCAGGTACCCCTCTCGATTGCCGACCCAACGGCACCGAGCTTTCCGCCCACTACGGTCGCGCCCGATGATCTCGTGCGGGCAGACGTCGACGGCGTCGTCGTCTGTCCCCGCGCCGATGTCCTGGCCGTCGTCGAGGCAGCGACAAAGGCGCGCGAGATCGACGAACGGTGCAAGGAGGATCTCCTCCGGGGGAAGGGCGTCAAGGAGACGTTTGCCAAGTGGCGCGGAAAATAGAATTTTGATGCACTCTACTCTAGCATTGTTGCTGCTGCTGCAATTCGACTACTCCTAGAAACGCCAAGCTGGAGATTCGACGTTTGCGACGGTGTATTTGCTACCGTCGGCGCTACCCTGGTGGTCCGAGCGCTCGTTGCGCTTGGACCCCTATGAGGCCCACTACTTTCTCTTGCAACGCCCCTTTATTTCTCTTTATCTAGTTACATCCTTTGCTATTTGTCGTCTAAGCGATGGTAAGCTTCGACGGCTTCGCCATCACCGCAATGTACGGAGTTTGGAGTCACCTCAGCACTCAAGGGCAATTTGGGCGAGCTATATCGTCCCCGGTCGAGCTCTTCGCTGACGCTCGACCTCTTCGATGAAGTCCATCACCTCGGTCAAAGCACTTCCTCAACTCAGTCGACGACCGCGGGCATGCCGAGCGCCCAGTGCTCCAGATCTCATTACTACAGCTTGCTCTTTGGTTGAGGTTCGGCCTGCGCTTCGGCGCCCTCTACTGCCTCGCAGATCTGCAACCAATATCATCAGCATTTAGCGCGCTACCATGGGCCCACTTCAGAGGGAACTACTCACGCCATCGACGGCCCTCACGGCCCACAAGGAGCCTTCCTCGGAGCAGAGCCACTCGAGCCCGGCGCGGTGCGCGTCGTCGGCGGCGATGCTCTTTTTCGCCTTGAGCAAGCCCCACACGTGGCTCGTCACCTGGGGCCCGACGCCGCCCTGGGCCCGGAGTGCAGCAATAGCGACGAGGCTCGTCCGTAGCCGGTTCACCTCCCAGCTTGGCTCCTCGTGCCCTGCCACTTCTGGGTTGAAGCGGTGGGGCATGCTGAACAACGGGCCGTATTCGCCTTCGACGATAAAGACGGGCAGGTCAGGGTGCGAGTGGCCGAGGATCTTGAGCAGCTTGTCCGAGTGCGGCTGGTAGATGTCGTCCCACAGCTCGTAGGCGGCGCTGTGCACTCGTGCCAGCGTCTTGCCGCCGTCATTGTTGCCGAGCTTGCGGCGCGGCTGCGTCTCTGTGAGCGCGCGCGCCAGCGAGTCATCGGGCCCGGCGGCATCGACGGCAGACCGGAGGGCAGCGAGGTTGTTGATGACCTTGGGAATACCGATGAAACCGATGCACTTGAGGCCTGTTTCACGCATGAGGAGCGCGCGGTCGAGCCGCTCATGCGCGCCAGACGCGCCACTCATGGCATGTCGATGCAGCGCTTGGAGCGAAGAGGGCGAGTTGAGCGTGAGGAGCGTCGCCGTCTATGCGTCAATCCGTCCACTCTTAGCGCTCTTGTGCAGACCAGGACTGTAAAGAGAAGCAGACTCACCGAGAGGCTCAGCCACTCGCCCCAGCCGAGACCGCGAGCCGCGGCGTCGCTCTCGAGCCCTGCAAAGTGCCGCTGCAGCCGCGCGGGGTCCGACGGCGCCGGCAGCGGGTCTGCGCTCCGGCCGGGCGCCAGCGTCACGCCGGGCCGCAGCTGCGAGGGCCGCGCAGGGAACGTGGGCTGCTTGAGGAGCGTCTTGAGCGCCGGCGGCAGCGAGGCTGACTTCTTCGACATCGGCAGTCCAGTGCTGTGGAGAGGAGCGAGGTGGTTGAATGTGCGCGAATGGATCTTACGTTAGAGAGGAGAGAGCTCTGGGAAGGAAACAAGCTCCCGTTTTTATTTCCCTGTGGAGGGACGAGAACGGGCAAAGGGACTTTCCGGAGCTTCGGCTCTTTCCGTCGAATCTCCCTTTTCCAGTCTTACAGCCCAGACAAACAATGATTGATCGAGAGAACAGAGGTAGTTGTAGGATACAGACATCATCCACGGGCGATGTGAGTGAAAAAGAAACAATTTCAAGCCTTGCGGTACTTTTCTTTGCCGACGATGCGGACCTTTTTCGAGTCAAAGTAGTCGCTGTGATGGGAGATGCGCGAAAGTGTTAGCTTTATGCGGCTACCCAAGGACATATGTACCCTCCTATACTGACCTGATGCGGAAGCAAGCAAAGACATCGATCTGCTTGAGGCTGTCGAGCTTGCTGATGAGGTTGATCAAGACGCTGTCGTCTACAGCGCGGCAGAAGCTCACGTCAAGGTGGCGCAGCTCCTTGCAGTGCTCGGCGATCATCTTGAATCCCTCGGCAGTGATGAGCCGGCAGGAGTTGAGATTGAGATTGACGAGCGTCCTACCCGAGTGCGCGACCAGCGCACGAATGACATCGTCGTCGACACGGAGGCAACGCTCGAGCGAGAGCGTATGCAGCGACCCGGGCTTCGTCTGTTGGAACAGACGGAGGAACGGCAACTTGCCCGGAGGCTCCTGCGCCTTGCCCTCGGTGTCTCCTTCGTCGCGGCGCTGAGGCTCTTGCACAGGGAGTTGAGGCTCTTGCTCACTCCTTGTCCCAGCCTGAGGAGATCCGCTGTCATCTTCATCGCCTCCTCCGGCCAGATTGCCCACCTCGGCCCAGACATCACCGCCACCTGAATCGCCCTGGCCCTCACTTTCTTCGAGGTAGCTATCGAAGAGGGCCAAGTGCAGCTCGGTAAGCGAGTGGCAGTATGGAATGATGCCCTCGATGATTGTGCGCTCGGTCAGATCCTCGTTGCGAGAGAGGTTGAGCATCTTGAGATTCGAGCCTACATTCTTGAGCAGCTCAATGACATCGCCGTCTTCCAGGCTCTTGGGCGGGACTCCCGGCGCAGACACGCCAGGGTCCGACACATCGAGGTAGGTGAGTTGGTCCTTGTATTCGTGCAGCGTCTTGAGACATTCGCCGTCGAGCGGCCCGATTTGCGCCAGGCCGATCTCGGTCAGGTTGGGACAGTGCTCGACCATCTTCTGGCAGCAGCCCAGGTCGAAGCGGGGCGACTCGCGAATCTTGAAGCTGGTCAAGCTGTGGCCAACACGTTCAAAGAAGCGGTGCCAGGCCTCCTTTCGCACCAAGTAGGGTCCAAACAGCTCGACGCGCTTGAGGCTGGGCAGCCGCGTTGACCAAGCGTCAATGGCGTCGTTGTCGAGCTGGCCGCAGAGCTGCAGATTGATCTCCTCGAGCCGAGGGCAGACCTTGGGGATGAGCTGGAGCGACTCCGAAGTGAGCTTGGAGCAGTCATAGAAGCTGATGGTTTTAGCCTGCGGCTGCAGAAAGAGTTTCATCGTGTGGTCGTTGAGCGAGCGAGCCTTGGAGATACTCTTGCTGATGGCGTCCATGTTCTGGCCTCCGACGCCCAGGAGCGCCTCGACGTTCTCAATGTGGTGCGAAACGATACCGATGCACAGAGACTGCAGGGAGGGAAGCTGGAAGACGTCGTAGATGGGAACCTGCCTTGCCTGGCGACGCACCGCCGGCTTCCTCTTGGCTGGGCCCGGCGATGCGTCCTCGGTGGCTGCCCTGCTCGACTCGCCCGGCCCGCTGGGAAGCGCCGAGAGGGGTCCTCCTTTGTACTTGGGACCACACTTGTGGCAAAGGCCCCCGTGCGGTGTCTGCTTCCTAATTTTGTGAACGACATCATTAGCTTAGAGGCGCCTTTGCATACACACCCACGCGATACACTCACGTATACTTGGTAACGGTGAATTTGCCAGTACACATGGGGCAAAAGTCAATGGAGCCGGGTGCTGTGTGTCTACGTGAGGGATTGTTGGCAGCAATCGTCGGCGGTGTGGGCTGCTGTTGCCGCTGGGGCTGGGCCTGGTCGGCCTCGTTCTTGGACCTCTTCGTGGCAGGTACTGGTTCCTCGTCGCTCTCGTCCTCCTCGTCAAAGTTCATCGAGGAATGCACCTTGCGACGAAGCGGTGGACGTGCAGCTCCATCGGTCGGCTTGCTTGAGGTGCTCGGCCCAGCGCCCGCGGGACTTAAAGGTGAAGGTGGCTGGAGAACAGCAGAGGACGACGATGACGACGACTCAGCCTGCTGCCTACGCTGTTCGGCGAGCTGCAGGCTGCTGAGGCCCAAGGGGTTGGGATCACTGGCATCTTCCTCCTGGCGACGGCGGTAGCGGTTTGTGTTTGCAATGTGGATATTCTTCTCCTGTAGCAGTGCAATTCCACAGCTCCTTCAGTTCTCTCCACTGGCGATTATGACTCGCTCAGCCACCAAGCAATTGCCCACCTTTAGGAACGAGGTCAGGGCCGAAATGGACCCACGGACCTCGGAGTTGCTGCCTCCCCTCCTACGGTTCGACATGGCGATGCCTTCAGCTTTCCAGAAAGAGAAGAGTAGGCCAGTCGTAAGTCCCTGCTTTGCGAAGAAGCCGGCTGTGGTCCTGAGAAAAGAGCAACGAGGGAAAAAATTCGAGATTCTCAACGCGCTGAATAATGAACGGGCCCGAGCGCGTTGAGCAGCCCTCGTTTTCCAGGGCCGGCGGATTTACACACAGCTTCAGGTCGGCTTTTCTTCGCTCACCACCATTCAGCTCTCCTCATCTCCGAGCTCGAGTTCGAGTTAAGACACATGGCCGTCATTCACACTGTCATATTCGGCTACAAACCCGAGGTTTCGCAGTCCGAGCGCGATGCCATCTACCAGAGGTTCCTCGGCCTGAAGACGCTCACCAAGGACGTCAACGGCCAGCCGTACATTGTCGACATCACCGGCGGCAAAGAGAACCTGTCGAAAGAGCAACTTGCAAAGGGCTTGGACGCTGCTTTTATCGTCACCTTCAAGAACTTTGCGGACAGGGACTACTACGTCAACACCGACCCTGACCATGCAGCCTTTGTCCAAGAAGCTGGACCAAAAATCGCCAATGGTTACGTCCACGATTTTGAAGTTTGAGAGAACGAGTCAGCGCCGCCAAAGGAACTTTGTCTGAGGCTTTCCCATAGACCGAACTGGTAGACATGCGGGCATCTGCTCAAGGCCAGGCATCTGCATAGGACGGATCGACGCAAAAATTATTCTCATATATAGATCTCAGATCCCAGAATTTGATGCACCGTCCCCAGGTCCAGGCCCTTTCCAAACGCTCTTCACGCAGCAAAGACGTCTCTCGGCTCAAACATCGCGGGCGCCGGCCTCTCCTACGCGAGAGGAAAGCAACAGCAGCAGCAGCCGTGATGGCACCTCCTTCCCTCTCCCCCTGAACATGCTCGGTGTCAAATTATTGCCATTTCTGTTTGCACGATTGAACGAGGCCTTGATGGCTTCCCCGCGTGCTCTTTACGCCTGCTTGCCCTCGCTTTGAAGCTTGGCGTAGTAGTTGTCGCCTGGTGAAGAAAGAAGAGCGAGTGAGTAAGGTAGAAGCCTAAGCAAGAATAACAGCAGACACTCACGACGCTGAACGGAAGGGAGGTGGACGCCGTACCTGAAATTACGCGAGGAAGGAGAGAAACAGGTCGTAAAGTCAGCAAAAGGCGAAATGTGCTTCACTGGATATAGGGAAGCGCACCAGTAGCCGTAGCCGGCGACGGTGCCGCCGCCGAGGGCAACGCTGAGGTCGAGAATCAGGCGCTTGCGGAGCTTGCCCGTGATGGCGGGGAGTTGGGCGACAGGCATTGCGTAAATCTGTTACTGTAGCGGCGTCTTGCTTCGTCAGTAGCTGGATAATATAAAGGGCAAAGATGGCAGAAAAGATACTGACGAGAAGCCTGAGGGGTCGAGATTGAAGGGAGTGAATGAGAAGAGAAGTGAGCGACGACGAATCAAACGGTCGCGAGAGGACCCGAAAAGACACGTGGCATTTCAAAGCCTCACCAGCTTCTAAAAACGCGAACATCCGTCTGTCTGCGCTCTCTGAGAAGACCAAGACGCGCTTCTTTCAGCGAGGCCTCCTGGCGATCTGGACAAGATGCCGCCTACTCGAGAAGACAAGATTCTCATCATGACGACGGGCTCGAGGACCGTCCGTGCTGTACTGGGCATCAGCGAGCTCTTCCAGAGGCCCAGCGTCGAGGTTCTGACGAGGGCGGGCCTCGTGCTTGGAGAAACCAAGCAGTACCTCGTCGGCAAGGACCTCGACGCAGCTCTTATGGAGCCGGGGTCCGGTGACAAGTTGCAAGTAGTTTGGCCTCTGAGAAACGGCCAAGTGCACGACTGGGATGCCATGGCCGCGATCTGGTGCGTTGGTCACTTCACTGCCATGGATTGATGGCTTGTTCAGCTCACAAAGAGACCAACAGGCACCATGTCGTATTGCAAATGATGCCCATCCGCGCCTCTCGAAACGAATCACCCCTCCTCGTCTCACTTCCTGCCCCATTCACACGCGATAGCCTTGCGCGTGCGACTCAGATCCTCTTTGAAACGACGAATTGCCCCTCGCTGTCCGTCACAGAAGAGGCGCTGCTTTCCATGTACGCGGCCGGCTCCACACAAGGAATCACCATCGACGTCGGCTGGGACAGCTGCGCAGCGACACCAATCTCAGACACGGCTGGAGTGTTGACGCATGCCATCACAAGGAGCGGCGTCGGCATGCGTCACGTCGCCCTCTGGCTCGCTCACCTTCTGGCCAAGGACGAGAGCGTGGTGCATGCGCTAGCTGCTCTCGCTGGATCGCAAGGCTCGTCAGAGGAACAGCTCTCCCGGAGGCTCTTCAGACTAGCGAGCCATTTGATCTCCGAGGGACACGTTCGAGCCAAGACGGAAGGTGGGGACGAAGGAGACAGGCGGGATAAGGATGGAGAAGAGGAGGTCGAATTCGACGTCGCCGCTGCCCTCGTGGCTGGCCGCGAGAGAGCAGCGATCGAGGAACAGGAGCGGAAGAACAAGGCTGCGTTGCAAGGAGAGCACCACACAGCGCCGTCAGGAGGCGCAGCAGCGACTCAGAAGGGCGCAACCGACTCAGAGGGGGCCGTCGAGACGACATTTGAAGGGATCAGGCTCCGTATTCACCCGGCTCCCCTGGGGCAGGCTTGTGAACCGTTGTGGGATCCTACGGTGCTATTGTCGCTTAAGGGGACCTTGGCGGAAGCTGCTTTGCGCTCATTGGGAGCCGAAGACGTCGGCAGTGGAGTCGCTCTCAGCGAAGACTGGAGCACCTGCCGCTCGGTGCAGGATGCCGCTTTCGCCAGTGTCGACCAAGTGACAGAAGCATCCACTCGACCTGCACTTTGGGAGAGCGTCGTCGTTACCGGCGCTCCTGTCCGATTGGTGCCGAACCTGACTCAGGCCGTGAATCAGGCATGCACTGCCTTGCTTGCCTCCTCGGCCGCTGCCGCAGCCTCCGCTGGCGTGACTGGCGACTCGACGCCCATCGCTCCCGGCCCTGGGGGTGTTATTCTTGGAGGAAGCGGCCGAGACAGTCCCAACCTGCTGGGCATTGCCTCTCGCGATGCTGGCGCCGAGGGTGTCGCGCAGCCTATCAACGTCCGAACGCTCCGTGTGCCCGACTACTTTGCAGAGTACAAGGACCGCAACGACCTGGCCCCGTTCCTCGGCGCAACCATCTATGCCAAGTTGGCCTTCAGCGACCCATACGGACGAAACACCGTCTCAAAGGCAGTGTACAACGAGCGAGGCCCAGGTACCAGCTTCGCCGTTCCCGCTCTGTCATCATAGAGTGTCTTTCACCTCTGTAACGTAAGAAACAATGTAATTTTATCGAAGAGAGGATGATATCTGTCCTAAATTTATACTATCTTCTCCGCCTGCCATTACACCGAGCGAACCGCCAGCCGTTTGAAGTATGGCTGCCTAGATCGGCACTCTCACGCACGGGCTCAGGGTGCACTTTCTCAAGGCTTCACGCCATCGAGCTCGTTGGCCTAGAGAAGGGGTTTGACGAGTCAACAGATAGACATGACCACAAAATGCGGCTGACTCACCTTCTTGATAGCATCGCTTCCCGAGGCAGTGTGAATCACGACGGCGGGGTTCTCCTCGTCACCGTTCTTCTTGATCTCGTTTCCGCGCTTTGTGGTAGCCGTCGCTTCGCCGTCGACGACGTCCAACACCTCGCCCTTGGGGTCTATTGATGGGGTTTGAGCGTGCTGCAACCTGCTCTTCTTCACGCACGAAATGTCACTCACGTCCCTGTCCCCACTTCCACGACACTTCGTCACCCTTGCTCAAATCGTGAGGATCAGTAGGCATTTTGCTTGGTTTTCTTCTCTCCTGATGTAGGCGTGATGCAAGTTCTCATTGTGTTGTTCCCCTCTTCTTATACAGGCAGTGGATCCATTGCTTGCGTCAGCCAGCCTGCCAGATCCGTCGTCGATGTCACATCCATCCATCCAGCTTACGTACTACTCTTGGGCCACCCAAGATGCGTCACTTGCGAGTCTTAATTTCTGAGCCCTGTCTGCTCGATCAGCCTGTTCAAGACACGTACAGCTACAATCTATATTCGTCACCTTCTTTTGCGTCACCGGCTGCTCTCGTCCGCGGATGCACTTTCCATTTTCTTTCGTCCGCGTGGCTTTTTACCTGAATCCACCCCTCCCCGCACAGACAAAGCAGCCCAGCATCGGCCCCGGCAACCATTTGACGTCCGGAAGATTGTTCTCGTCTCATCACCAGGCAACGCGGATCAGCATCTTCTCCCTTTACTACTCCATCCCTCTTTGATACAGGACTCAAACACAACTGATCACCAAGCAAGATGCCAAAGGACGCAGCACCCGACACGATGCCAGAGCTGGCGGCAACGACCCTCTTTGACGTGTCCGGCAAGGTCGGCCTCGTCACGGGCGGTGGCTCGGGCATTGGCAAGAGTGAGTTGCTCTGTCGAAGAGACACTAGTCTTCTCCCCGCTCATTTCATCAACCGTCTTTCTATTCCTTTTGACTTTCAGTGATGGCGGCTGCATACATTCGCAATGGAGCCAAGGGTGAGTTGCTGTCTTGTCGTAAAGCAAAAGAAGAAATCGACTGAAAAATCACTCTTCCAGTCTACATCGCCTCGCGAAAGCTGCCCGAACTCGAGAAGCAGGCTGCAGCCCTCTCTGCCTTGTCCCCCAAGGGCAAAGTCAGTGAGTCAGAACCTCTTTCTGTTTCGTTGAAAAGACAGAATGACTGAAGCGACGCGCACACGCAGACGGCCCCGCCTGCATTCCCCTCGAGGCTGACATCTCGACAAAGGCGGGATGCGACGCCCTGGCAAAGCAGATCAAGGAACGCGAGTCGCAGCTCGACATTCTTGTCAACAATGCCGGCCTCACCTGGGGCGCGCCTCTGACCGACTTTCCCGAGGCAAAGGGCTGGGACAAGACGTTTGCCATGAACGTCAAGTCGCAGTTCTACCTCACTGTTGCGTGAGCCTCTGTCTGCTGCAATTGTTTCCCCGCGTTCGTTCTGACACTTGCGCACACAGCCTTCTTGACCTCTTGGAAAAGGGAAAGAGCAACGAGAGTGAGTCAAAGGTCGACCGTCGTATATCTCCTGTCGGATTAACAAGTCTCTCTTTCTCGACAGACCACGCCAGCGTCATCAACATCGCCTCCGTCGCTGCCTTTTCGCCCCTCGCCGAATCGGGTCTGGCCGCCCCAGGCCAGGGCACCTGGTCTTGTGAGTGAAGACGTATTGAACAGAGAGCAATCGTGATGTTGAAACCGCATGTGCGCAGACCAACCGTCAAAGGCAGCGTCTGTGCACCTCACCCGCACCATGGCCAACTCGCTGGCCGAGAAATTCATCCTCGTCAACGCCATTTGCCCCGGTGTCTTTCCCAGCAGGATGACAGCCTACGGACTGGCTGAGAACAAGGACATTCTCGAGGGCGTTCAGCCCACGGGCCGCATCGGCTCGCCCCAGGATATTGGCGGCATGGCCCTCTTCCTCTCTGGACGTGCTGGTGGTCATGTCACTGGCCAGGCGGTAAGCTGTCTGTGCTGTACCTCTGTGCGTGCCTCGGGTGCTCATATTTCTCTCCCTTTGCTCAGATTGCCGTCGACGGTGGCCAAATGCTCCAATTCATGCCTCGCCTGTAGACACTAGCACCTCTACCGCTTTCCTTGGAATTCCACTCGGCGCTGATGGCCTGAGAATGCATTGATATATGTTCGATTTGATGGAATAGTGTACAGCTTTGCAGTAAAGTCGGTAAAGAAGACCCCCGGACTACTTAGGCGTCCTCGACGTATCTGTCTTCCAGAGTCAGCACCTGCTTCGCTGTCAGCTCTCGATGGGCTCGATGCTTGCTCACCTCTTTCGGAGCGTGCGATACTTCTTGAGCGAGTAGAGCGTTTCGGTCTCTAGCGATGGAGAGTCAGCCATGCATCCATGCATCCAGTCAAGAAGTCACTACCTGCTGAGGTAAGGTGAGTTACTTACCCTTTCTCACAAACTCGCCCAGGGCAAGCTTCTCCTCGATTTCTTTATCGTCGGTTAACGCTGCAAAGCGCCGAGTCCTGTTGCGCCCGTCGAGCAGTCAGCAGTCTGGAAGAGCAGGAAGAGGCAAGGAGAGAAGAGAGAGAGCGCACTGACATGGATTGCAGCTTGCCGATGAAGTTATAATTTGGGTCTGGGTACTCTCGCTGTGTGGACATGCAACCTTTAGTGAATGAATATTCTCTTTTGCGAGGGTAAAGGGTGGAGAGCACTTACGCCGAGCCGATGAAGCGTCTTGTAGAGCCCAATGGCGCGGGGACGAAGGTGGTGTCCGACGGGCGGCATCGTGTTGGTGGTGTTGTTAGAAAGGTGGACAGGACCTCCACAGTGGTCAGACAGGTCGGTCTTGGACAAGGACGCGGGACCGGACTGGTAAGCACGCGGAGTGGTAATACGACGACACTGCCTTTCATTCTGGCCCGAAGACCATTGCTCAAGTGTCTTTTGCTGTCCTTGCTACAGTTGAGCTACCGCTTCGAAGACCAGTCGTCGCAGCACTGTAGGTCAAGCTCGTCTGACCTCTCTGCCCTGGACAAGGCACGTGCGCTGGCGCCTCGAGAAGACCAGAAATAATCGAGGGTTCAAATAAAGCGTGCCTCAACCCCCCCTACCCAACACTGCCCTCTTCTTCAGCAAAAACCATGTCGGGAACAGGTGCACCACTGGACATTGTAGCTCTGCGGAAGCGGTACGCGGCCGCGGGGCAGGAGCACCTCTTTCAATTCTGGGACGACCTGGACCCGGCGTCGCAGGGCACGCTGGCCAAGCAGCTCACCGAGCTCGACATCGAGCGCGTCAATGCCGTGTATGCGCGCGCCATCGAGGGCGAAAAGGAGGCCGCACAGCTGGCCGGGAAACGCGCACAGCTCGAGGCTCCCCCACGGCAGAGTACCGTCTCGGTCCAGGCGGGTAGCGACGAGGAAAAGAGGCTTGCTGCCGTGGGCCTCGACGCCATCGCCAGCGGCAAGGTCGGCGTGCTCCTCATGGCCGGTGGACAGGGCACGCGGCTGGGATCGAGTGCACCCAAGGGCTGCTACGACATTGGGCTCCCGTCGCACAAGAGCCTGTTCCAGCTCCAGGCCGAGCGCATCGCCCGGCTGCAGAAGCTCGCGGCCCAGCGGGCGGGCAAGCCAGAGAACAGCGTCGCCATCACCTGGTTCATCATGACGTCGGGCCCCACGAGGAAGCCCACCGAGGCCTTCTTCCAGGAAAAGAGCTATTTCGGACTCCAACAGGACAACGTCATCTTCTTTGAGCAGGGTGAGCACAACTGCTTCTCGCCTATTTGGTACAAGACTGACAAGAGTGTCCAACAACAGGCACGCTGCCCTGCCTGACAATGGACGGCAAGGTGATGTTGGACTCGCAGAGCAGTGTCGCCAATGCGCCTGACGGCAACGGTGGCCTCTACTCAGCCCTGCGCCGACCTGTCGGCGCGGCGAGGCAGGACACCGTCGTGTCGCTGCTCCAGTCCCGCGGCATCGAGTATCTGCATGCATATGGGGTGGACAACTGCCTCGTCAAGGTCGGCGACCCCGTCTTCTTGGGCTGCTGCATCGAGAAGCAGGTCCAGGCCGGCGTCAAGACTGTTCGCAAGACGGAGCCCAAGGAGAGTGTCGGCGTCGTGGCCAAAAAGGACGGCAAGTGGGGCGTGATCGAGTACAGCGAGATTCCACGGGAGCTCAGCGAGGCGCGCGACGCCGATGGCCAGCTCACCTTCCGCGCCGCCAACATTGTCAACCACTTTTACACGACGTCCTTTCTCGCAAAGGACGTGCCCTCGTTTGAGGCCGAGATGGCCTTCCACATTGCTCGCAAGAAGATTCCCTGCGTGGACCTCTCGAGCGGCCAGACGACAAAGCCCTCGACGCCCAACGGCATGAAGCTCGAGCTCTTCATCTTTGATGTATTTCCCTTTGTGAAGGACCTCGTTGTCCACGAGGTCGAGCGCAACGTCGAGTTCAGCCCGCTCAAGAATGCGCCGGGCACGGGCACCGACGACCCGCAGACGAGCAAGCGGGACCTGCTCAGCCTTCAGCGCAGGTGGCTCCAGGCCGCTGGCGCCACCGTCGCAGATGAGGGAGCTGGCATCGAGGTGGAAGTGAGCCCGCTAGTCAGCTACGGCGGCGAGGGCCTCGAGGGCGTCAAGGGAAAGACATTTGACAAGACGCAGATGATTGACTAGTTGTTTTATTGATATCGTCAAATGCATCCCCTCTCCTTTGGCAAATACGATAGAAACAATATCTAGAAGGGTAGTGAATGGAAGGCTTAGGAAACCTTGTGGAAAAGATCCTTGTCTGCATCGAGGTAGTCAAACGCCGACAAGGGCACGCCCTGGGTCCTGAGGATGCAGTAGGCCGAGGAAAGATGGAAGTGGAAGTTGGGGACGCAATACTTGACGATGTAGTCGTACGCGGTAAATTTGAAGGTGCCCATGCTGGCTGTCACCATGAGGACTTCCCGCTGAATGTCGCCGTCCATGCTGCTAGGACTCAGCGACTCGAGGATCTTGAGCGTCTTGTCAATGCGCTCATGCAGCTCCGCCATTGATGCCTCGTTGTCCTCCATCTTGGTGGGCGGGTACCCGGCGACGCGCACGGCCATGTGCTTGCATGTGTCGCTGCACGACTGCACCTGGTACGTCAGGCTGTAGCCCCAAGTCGCCCTTGTGCTCAGTCTCGTCTGTATTAGAGGGCAATGGGGAAGTACGCAACTCACGGACGCATGTCCTCAATGAGGCGGTAGGTGATCAAGTCCTTTTCGGGCACGGGCTTCGTCTTTGCGAATTCCTCGGCCTTGTTGAGGAAGAGGTGCATGTTGCGCAGGCCTTTGATCATCATGGGCACGCTGGCCTGATAGAGGGAGATGCTCGTAGCCATTCTTGTTCTTTTGAGAGTAAGGTGGGGTATTGGTAGAAGCCTCTCGCTGAGAATGAACTGGGACAGGACAGAGGAAGAAAGGAGGGCTCGAAACCAATCTGGATCTCTCTGGCTTTTAAGTCCGGTCTGTGCTTCTCCCAGGGACAGGCGCATTAAAGGTGACCCAAATAGTCGCGCCGAGAAGCTTGTCTAGCTCCGTGCGTGCGGTGGCCCGTGCTTCTTTGAGCGACGGCACGGATCCAATCATACTGTATATTCCACATAGTAGTCGTCAAGAGCAACAATTTCATCCGAGCGCCAGTGATTCCTATTGTTTTGCGCAGAAGGAGGAAGTCCAAGTGTCCCATCTTCCGCCTCCATTTTTTACATCGGCTTTCTTCTCACTTGTGGTCACAATCATCGTCGCTTCTAGACTTGCGCCTTCCTCGCCTCACTGTAACAAATACGAGGCAGAGTGGGGAGGGAGATGGCCCACCAGAGTCAATTCACGCCGTCGACAACAAAGCACGCGCCATCGTCGTCAGAGATGCACCTCGCCGAAGACGAGGCGGCTGTCCTCCTCCTTGGCTTGCGAGGGAGTGGAGGCCCGGCTTCCTCATCTTCTTCGCCACAGCCGCAGCCGCAGTCGCAGCCATCGTCGTCGTCTTGCTCAGGGGACAGCGCTGTTGCATCGACGAGTAAGGTCAAGCTTGATGAAACGGAGCCGCTTCCCAAGTCTTCGGGCTCGCCGTGTGCTACACCCGTACGGGTCATTGAAGGGCGCATGAGGCGGGCATCACTGACTAGGAGCCAGTCCGACGAAGATGAACGTCGGGTTCGAGGCCGGAAAAGCGTTAAGGAGGAAGACGGGAAGAGGACAGACGAGGAGGAAGAGGAAGGAGACACTTCAAGCAGTGCCGATGCCCATCTCCGACGCGGTTCCCGACACAGGAAACAGGTGGAGCGGCCCAACATGGTCAAGACGCCTGGCGCGGGGCTTTACAAGGGCACTTCGCACCGCAAGAGGCACAGCGGCGGACACGCGAGGGGCTCGACGGCGGCCGCCAAGGCGGAGTTGAACGGGGTTAGTGTGTCACGGGCGTACAAGCGTCAAGGCCCAAAGAGCACGGCTGACCTGACTCAATTGCAGAGTAAGGTGAAGAAAGACGTCGTGGACAAGCCTGAGGGGCAAGGATCCATTGCCGGCATGGTAGTAGGGGGAGGAATAGAAGATGCCAGGGTAAGGGCTTTGCACGAGGCATCGATAGACGGCGACGACAGAACCGAGAGAAAACCGGTTTTAGAGAATGGAGGCGGCGCGCATGGGCCGAAGATACCGGTCAGGGCAGGGGAAAGTGGGCCAGAAGACCGACCAATTGCAAAGGTTGCCCTTCAGGCTGAGGACGCGAAACCCATCTTCATCAAGAGGGAATTTGTTCCTCCAAGACCGCTGCGCGTCAAGCAGGACCAGGGTCTCTAGTCTGTCACACCTCTCTGATTCTCAGACATGATAATAAAGGGTCGCTGTTGCCTTCTTCTCATATTGAAAGTCTCCGCCGTAGCAGAGATGCTCCTACTTTGGTCACACAAGACAATTCTGGGCGACTCAATAATCAACGGCTTCGAATCGAGAATTTTGGGTGAACGCTTGCTTGCTCGCGTGGCTGGCTTGTGCGCGCGCGAGCTTTATTAGAGTGGTAGTAGTAGTAGTGTCAGTCGCCCACGAAGCTGTAGAACCACCACCGATCGGATATTGGGTCGGTATGGAGGGCTTGTGATATCGAGCGACGACTACGTGACGCCCAAATCAGGACAATTGTAGACCATGGGGCTTCCAGAGGGGCAGCACGAAGCGGCCCCTACGCCGACGCCGGTGGGGGGCAGATCGTTTGCTTCGCCAGCCATGGTCCGCATCCTCTTGGCGCCCGCTGGGCCCGACGTGACCCCCGCCGAGTTCGACAAGTGGTCGGCTGCCGTCAGAAACTGGGAGAGTGTCAAGCTGACCGAGCTACCAAAAAGCCAGACGGGCCGGCCTGGACCTGGTGAGTCCCTTTCTTGGTCATTTTTGTTCCCCTCTCTTCTCCGTGCGACGATCCCAAACCTCTCTGACTTGGGCATCTACAGCGACGGGCAGCGCAATGGCGAGGACGGGCGAGGTGCATCTCTCATTCATAACGTCCTATGACCCTTCGCATTCCTTCTTGGCGCCTTTCAGTATGCACAGGCAGGTCCTAGGCGTGCTCGGACTGGGCACATCGCACAGCCAAACGGACCGAGAAGCCCTCGAGAGGGCGCCCACCGCCCTGCGCCAGCTGCACCCAAGCGCAGTCGTTCATCGTGTCTTTGCCTTTGACACGGGCGCGGCCAGACCGCAGACGATTGATCTCAGCTCCATGACGAATCCGGGTGAAGCAATCGAAGCAGCTGGCAAGGGTGAATCGGCAGTGTCGGCGAACGGGTCTGCAGCGAGTAGCTCTAGGCCAGGGTCCAGCTCAAGCTCACGGTCGAGCTCTTCCAGCTCAGGCGCAGGGTTCGGCGATAGCGGAAAGAGCGGACTTGTTGTCTTTCCCGCTGTTCGCAAAGACATGAAAGATGTGCGCTTTTACCTCAAGACGCTCATTCCTGACTTCGTCTCGTCGCTCCTCGATGGCGTCCACCAGATCGTCGAAGGGCTCGAAGGTACACCACTGGAGACGCCTCGAGAAACGCTTGACGGGGTCGTGTCGAGCACCGCTCCGAGCGCTCCTTCGGCCTCCTCGTCCACTTCGTCGGCTCTATCCGCGGGCCTGGGCGCAAACGTGAGCACGGCAGCGAGCTCGGCGGCAAGCCGTGCCTCGGCTCTTTTCAGCTCCTTTGGCTCGTCTTCCTCCTCCTCTTCTTCCGCAACGTCGACTCCAAATGAAACCTCGACACTGTCCTCAGCCTCTTCGATGATATCCTCGTCGTCTTCCTCTTCATCGACCGGCGGCGATTCCCCTTTGCGCAAGTCGACGCTTCCTTCGACCAGTGCTACAAACAGTAGCAAGCGCTCAAAAACAGGCCAGAGCATCGTCAGTGCTGGCCCAAGGGGCCAAGGACGAATCGCAAAGGTCAAAGCAGACTATCATCTCCTTGCAGGCGACCTCTGGTCTGCCTTGACCACGTATGATGCGTGCATGGCCCACCTCGGAAAGGAGAGAGCGCTGGCTGGAGGTCAAGACTCGGTCTGGTACGCAAGTGCGCTCGAGGGCTGGGCCGTCACGAGGGTCCTCGTGAGGCGCATGGGAGGTCTGGTGGAGGAAAAGGTGAGGATCACTACTCGTTTTCGTAATTATGGCGCTGCATGCTGATCTGCTTCTCTCTGCCATCCTCCAAAGGCTCCTAGCTTGACGCTGCCCTTGGGAGGGACTAAGGAAAAGACGGCCAAGGAGAGGGAAAAGGAGAGGGCAGCGGGTCTGGTAGATGAGTTCGCATTCAGCAAGCAGTCGTGGTCCGACGTCGCAGAGGCCTGCTCGCTGGCCCTTCAGATCTACACCAAGTGCCTAGCCCCTCCGTCGTTCCTCCTCGAACCAGCCAAGTCGGTGACGAATGAAACGCCCCGCGACTACACGCACCCTCTGATTCACACCAATGCTTGCTTGTCCTATTCAAGACTCCTCTTGGCCATTTGGGCCAGCGGAGGTTGGAACGGGGAGACATTTGATCAGCTCCTATATGGAGGCGTGCCGCCCGCGCTAGCCGAGACGACAAGGCCCACGCTGGCCGTCTACACGCAGCACTCGACGGCATCGTCTGTACAGAGGAGCGACATTGCATCGCCGGCCTCACTGGCTCTGACACACTCTGCCCGGGCGCTCAAGGCGCCCGATCAGGTTCACCTTCTCTGCTCTCTAGCCAGCATCTTTGGCTGCATCGGCTTCGCCAGGAGGGAAGCATACCTTCTCCGACAGCTGCAAACCCTTGTCGTCTCTCTACTGGCAAAAGCGATAATCCAGCAGCGCAGGCAGACGGCCGTCGCCTCGACTTCGCTTCGCAAAACTGCACTGGCAGCCGCGGAGGAGCGGCTGGGAAGCCTTGTGAGCCAGGTGGCATGGGAGGGCGCCGGCGAAGGCACAGACTCGGTCTTGGTCTTGGCACTGCAGACATGCGAGACTTATGGCGTCAACGTTGATGTCTTGCCGCTCAGCAATATTCCTTCGGACCATATTCTATCCCGCGCAGCATCGGTAGATGGGCGAGGTCCATCCGGAGGCTCGTCTTTGAGCTCACCGCTGCTCAACCGCGGCAGTCGGTCGTCTTGGGGCGCCAGCGCCTCATTGGACAGCATCATGTCACCCACCGCCTCTTCGTTGTCAAGGGACACTGCAGAACCGACGTCATTACAAGACGAAGCCCCCTTTGGATGGGCCGAGCAGCAAATCGGACTGCTCAAAGAGACAGTCTGCGTCGCCGAGCTTCTGTCAGACAACATTGCAATGAGCTTCTTTGCGACGCTGCTCTTGCGCGACTTTCATTGGTTTCTCTCGAAAGATGAGCAGGCAAGAATCGTCAGGGGTCTGCAGCTCGTCACCAGGACGGCGAAGATGCAGGAGGCGCGGGAGCTCGAGGTCTCGTACTGGGGCCCATCTGAGCCCGTCTGCGGTTTGATCCTCGAGCCGATGCGCGACGATCAAATTCCGAGGAAGAGGCCTGCTGGAGAGCTTCGTCGTGGTCGTGGATCTGGCGCAACGGCGAAGGGTGAAGAAAGCACTATCTACAACTCCTCGTCGTTGGCACAAAAAGCCCCAGCTCAGAAGAAGGGCGAGGGTAATGTCATCGTCGCCGAGGAAAAGGTCGGGTTCCTTGTCACGCTGCAAAATCCGTTCGAGATTGCCCTCGAGCTTACTCAGATCTCGCTCGACACGTTTGGCGCCGACTTTGAAGCAGATGTCTTGCACAACGTCAGCGTGCCCCCGTCTTCTTTTCATACCATCCGCTTGAGCGGCAAGGCAAAGGAGACGGGGACCCTCGTCGTTCGTGGAGTCGATCTGACGCTCGCCGGATGCGCGCCAAAGACGTTTGCCTTTACCCAAATGGATAGCAGCAACGAGAAGCTCTTCATAGCCCGGCAGAGCGAGATCGAGGACCGCAAGACTCGATTGAAATCCAGTGGTCTGGACGCGAGGCCATCCATCGTTGCAGCTAAGCGTCACTGGCAGACACATTCCTCAACGAAGCCAGATGACAAGCCTGCACCGCCGAAAAGGCTCGCAGCGAGCAAAGCGGCTCGTGACAAGTTCCTGGAATGCCAGGTCCTACCTGCGCAGCCAAGGCTGACAATCCAATCGGTCGGCGTGGCTGTCTCATCAGGCGCCTCTTCTGCTTCGATTACCGTGCTTGAAGGCCAGGCGACAGAGCTCAAGGTCCGAGTCCGTAACGAATCCTCTTCTCCCTCGTCTTCGGCAGATCTTCCCGTCGACTTTCTACGTTTCACGCTGGACGATGACCTGTCGGCGAATGCGCGTGATGTTCTAGCCGATGGAGACCTGCTTGCGCAGGACGCTCACGATGTCGAAGAAGATCTTCTTCAGAGGCCTGTTCTATCGTACGACGTCGAGCCGCGTTCGGGTGCCCATAGGATTCTACCGGGCAAGAGTAAGGTGCTCACGCTCAAGCTTCGGGCCAAAGTGGACTGCACGAGGCTGTCTATTGGTGTAGAGTACGGTTTTGTAGAGGGAGAGGGGAGAGGCGGGCTTGAGACAGAGGAAGCGAGAGATTTCTTCGTTAAGAGCTGCAAAGTCGAAGTGGGCATCTGCGTCTTGCCCATCGTTAGATTGGGCGAGCTCGAGATCTTACCTTTGCTCCAAAAAGAGAAGGAGGAAGATGACAATTGGTGCTTGGTGAGCTTTGGTGTGCAAAATGTGCACTCTCATCCGGTCAAAGTCGCCTTTCATGTCAACGGTGAGAAGCCCCCATATCCTCCTTTACAAAGCCTTGTGAGCTGACTGTTTGTCCTCTCCGTACAGACAACGACGACAGCGACGATTCACCCTCCGCCTCTACTTCCACGCCACCGCAGCGCCGGGAAGTTGTACAGGAAGTTTCGCCTTCATCGACCATCCGACTTTCGATCCCTATACGTCGCCTTGGTCTCACCAAAACCGACCTGGCGCAAGCGATCCCGAACCTGTCCTCGCACAGACAATTCATCGTGAGCCGCATCAAATTCACAAATGCCCAAGAGCGGGAAGCAAGGAGGCGCTTCTGGATTCTGAGGGCTCTCTGGAAGCGCTTGGGGTTCTTCTTGGACCAGGGGCAAGGCAAGCCGGGCTGGACAGACGTCCGAACGGGTGCAAAGGGCGACCTGGGCTGGGATGGGCTCGCGGCATTCGGGGAAGAAGACGAAGACTCAAGAACAAGGACCACAGTTCTGGAGAGGTTGACTAGAGAGCCTATGAGTGTTCAGCTAGAGGTTCGCTCGCAAGGCGAGGTAAAGGTGGAACAACCGACGAGACTCGTCGTGCGTGTCAAGGATCGGTCTTCGACTAAAGAGGAAAAGAGGGTGAGGATGAGGTACAGGGTCATCGCGCTCGGTCCACCTACGCGACGCTTCTTCAATGACGAAGGCGGAGCAGATGACTCCCCTGAGGGCCGGAGGATCTCATACGACGAGTTCAGAAATCACCAGGACACCCACCACGGTGGTGGCGCAGGACAGCGTCTCGGGACAAGAGATGAGTCGAGCAGGGCAGTAGGCCAATACTGGTCCTTTCTTTTCGTCACCGACGGGTCATGGAGCGGGTACCTAGATTACTCGCCAGGCAAGGGCGGGCAAGAAGCTACTGTGGAGCTTGGCGTGCTCTTCTTGGCCAGCGGAACTTTTAGATTTGCCGTTACCGTCGACGAGGTGCGGTCACCACGTCCAGACCTCCAGTCAGCAGCAGAAGAAGAGGAGTTGAAAGGCGCAACGAGCGAGATCGTACAGGTTCTCGTCTCTGACGACGAGGACTAAAGTATTGTAGAAGCCTCGATGAATTCTAATGCCCAAATCTGCAAAAGCATCTTCGCTGTCTTAATGACTCATCTAGAGGGCGTCTATGACATTCAATGGTTGTTCGTAATGACGGAGGAGAGACTGGGTATCTTAGGGCCACAAAGCCTTGCATCACAGCAGCTCTCCCTCGCCCTCGTCCTCGCCGAATCCTTCGCCGTCGTCATCGCTCCAATCCACGTCTCCACTCTGCATTGCCTCTTCTGTTGCTCTTTTCATCTCGTCTAAACCCGTCACGCCCTCCAGAAACGTCGAATCGACATCGTCGAATGCCTTCTTCAAAAAGCCATCGAAGCCATCGGTCCGGTAAGCCTCGACGACGGCCTCGGAGCAGGCCGTGCACTTGTCAAAGGCCGGTCCCGTGATAAGCATATTGTTGAAGTTTGCGAGAAAGCCGCGAATCTGATGCGGGACAAGACCGAGGCACGAAGATGAGGCGGGGGATGCATTGGAGCTACTTGTGGCGGAGGGGGAAGACGAGGGTGGGGCCCAGGCGCTGTGGAGATGACGGTGAGTCGTGAGGCTTGATTAGAGGGAAAAGGGCAAAGACTTACCCATCCTTGTGCTGAAGAAGTGACACCATCAATTCCACTGCCGAAGCGCCAGCAAGACTGGCCAGACCAGGTCTCGTCACGGTGCACATTTGGTCGAGGGTTCGATCGGTGAGTGACTGGAGCAAAAGAAAAAGTCGATCAATCGGCGAGCTTTGACAAGAGGAAGATTGCACTTACGTCGGCAGGTGCTACGACGTCGTTGCAGAAATAGCAGCCAAGCCTCGGTGATTTGCCCTCTTGTGCGGGCACGCCATGTCGCATGACGAGAAAGGTGTCGAAGCCGAGCGCAGCATTCAAAATGAGCTGCAAGCAGTGGCTTAGCTTTCGCACAATTATCAGGCACCAAGTGCGGACCCACCTTGCCCTTTGCTGCACCGAGTAAGGTCGGCAGCCATCGGGACTCTCGCGAGTCCATCAGAAGATAGACGACGTCGTGCTGATCGAACAAGTCTTCCAATGCCGCGATCTCCTTCTTTGTCTGCTCGACACTGGCTTCAGGAATTGGGTGCCCAGGCATAGGGATGGACATTTGGATCCCAGTGGAATTCTACGGAAGATGAGATCGCGGTCTCTCTGAAGAAAGAAGTGACTTGCGACTCACCACACCAGGGTAGATCTTTCTGAGCTTGTCAGCTGCACACTTCGCCTTTGGCTTGCCTCCCTCGAGGCAGTCTTCGTAATCAAATAGAGGCTGTCGGACGGGATTGGAGAAGGAAACTGTCGAATTGTCGACCAACGTGATACTGCGCACGCCCCAGCCCTGCTCAAAAAGCGTTAGATAACCTGTTAGAGCCTCGTCGATCTTTTGATACTTACCAAGAGCGTGCGAGCCACGTAGCATCCAAGGGTGCCGGCGCCCAGCAAGAGGCATCTGGTAGTCTGAATCTTCTCGAGATTGATCTCGGGGAGGATGCGCCACCGCATAAGCTTCAAGTTGAGGTCGACTGCTTGATCTGCGAGCTTTGTGGGATCCATGAGCGGGCCCAGGTCGGCCATCTTCGGACCCAGCTTGCCGGCTGCGTTGCGTTCCCACCCAACAACGGACGGTTTGCTTTGATCTTCTGTCTGTGCAGAGAGGGGCAAATTATCTGGGAGGAGACGTTAATTCTCGATATAGACATCAGGAGAGCTTACTCACTGCCTTGAAAGACGAGCTGCTTGTCATCACGTTCCGTCTCTTCCATAAAGACGTCCGCAACGACGCTCCGACTCGTATGCACATCAAAACTTGCCACGTCGTCCTTCCAACAGAGAACACGTATCCTCTTGACTCTGAATCGAATGGCCAAGAGCGTCAAGAGATTCCGAAGGGGCCATCCGGGCGTTGTCGGGTGAGGTGATGGATCAATGAAGCCGACCACCCGTTCCTCGTCGCTGGCTGCGTTCGCAAAGAAGCTTTCAAAGTCCATAATACTACCCAACGACGCTTGGCCCTTCGATGTCCTTGCGAGGAAGAAGCCGGCATTGGGGGTCCCGCCAAGCGTCACTCTTCTTTCGTGGACTTTTTGTGCAAATGAAGCGAGCTGTAAGGAGGAGAAGAGCTCGTCAGGCCACGATCAGGAAACCATGCCCGATGAGCATCGCACCTGCTCGGCTCCAAGCACATCCAATGCTCGTCTACAGCTAGGTTGTTGCCCCTGACCGCCTTGCTCCGTGACGAATTGCCAATTGGGTCGGGCCACGAGACTAGGAAAGGCAAACCAATGGACGAACTTGTACTTTTTCAGATCGGAGAAGCATAGCACCATGAACCTGGTGAGCTCCTCTACGGGGTCTTCGGACGTCAAAAAGGCTTGAAGCATCTGCGTTCGAATCGCTTTGTGAGTGATGATCAGCTTGTGCCAGAGTAATCGCGTGACGCACCGAGGAGCCCAGGTCGTTGAAGATAGCCGTCTTGTCGGCTTTCTTGAAATCCTCAATCGTATTGAAGTTCTTGAGTGTACCTTTCGCAAGAAACCCATTGGGCGGGATTGGTCTCCGATCCGAAGAGCTGTACATGACAGCAGTGTCGTGTGAGTTCATGACTGGGGAGAAGAGAGAGGAAAGGAAGGGGCAGAAGGCGCACTCACCCATCGACCAAACTTATGCTCTCTCCATCACAGCTGATGCCACTTGCCAGAGCGATGTCTTCGCCGGTGGAGCGGTCCTTGACTCGTTTGCCAACGCCGTAGTGCCCCTGTACCTCAACGGCCTCATCGGACAGCTGCAGCCGGTCAATCTTGAGCGCTGCCAACGTCGTCCAGAATGAAGGAGAGATGGCGGAAGAGAATGGCGTAAATTGGACGATCTGAGATGCCGAGGTGGAAGCCATCTTGCCTTGCGTTTCCTCTGTACCACTAAAGAAGTCCAGAGATTCCAGGCCTTGGCTCGATGCAGGTGAGGAGAAAGGGAGCGGACAAGGGAGGTGGGGACGCACACACCAACACTACTCTAAATCTAATTTCACCTCCCTAGCTCAGCTCAAGGTTTAGCTGACTAAGCACGCACGTACGATCCTTTCTGCAAGCAAGCAAACATCTCATGATCGATGGGTGAGAGAATACACATTGAAAGATCCCGTGGTAGAGATTGAACTAGTAGCCACCGCCACCTCGGTTGAGTTGGGCCAGACGGTCGGGGTGAATTCCCGTTGGTCTACCTGGCGGAGGTGGTGGCATCGACGGAGGTGCGCCAAATCCAGGTGGAGGCGGTGGCGGAGGCCCAGGCATGGGCGGCCTCGCAGGAGGCGGGCCTGGAGCTGGAGGTCTCATCATGGGAGTTGCTCCACCATACGCCCGACCAGCATAGGGATTCGGCGTTGCTCCCGTCGGTCTCGTGGCGTAAGGATTCGGCGTAGCACCCGTCTGCATGGCCATTGGCGTGTATCCTCCCCCGGCTCTCACCGTAGCTGGTGTCCGGCCGCCTGCTCGCAGACCAGCACCAGGGGTCGCAGCTGCTGGTGTTCGCCCACCTGCACGGAGGACACGCGTCGTGTACTGCGTCTTGAAAGCGTTACATAGACTCATGACATCGGGCAACTCGGCCTCGTTGAGTTTAAATCGTCCCGGCAGCGCTCGAACGGGCCATCGCTGAACGGGTGCCTCTCGGTTGGCTTTGAAGCCCAAGATGAAGACGCCAGGCCTCTTCTTGTCGATGGCAAAGCCGTATTGACTTCGCGTGGGATTGGCAAGGGAAAAGTTGGTCAGGTAGCGATGAAGATCCTCATCTGACCCTTGGTACTTTTCGCTCGACATGAGCATCTCCACCATCCTCGCCATAGGAGCGATGTGGCTGACGAGCAGCTCATCGAGATCCGAGTACGAGGCACCACTTGCCGTACCACCATCTCCACCGGAAGAAGGGTTACTAATCCGTAGAATTCTGCCGACTTCTGCGTCTGGATCCTTGTCCAGCTCAAGGACATCTAGATGCTGGTAGACGCCCTCATCGACCTTCCAAGTCACTGCGAGATGATCGACGCCCTTCGAGCTTGGTCTCACGATTGCTGTACCACGAGGCATGTTGGCCAGATGCTCCTCAGCCTGGCCTGCTTTGAAGTTGTGGAAGTTGGGGTGCCGAATCAAACGAGCTCCGCGAGCGTTCTTCTTCCGTTGACGAGCGATTTCGGCCTCCTCGCGCTCCTTCTGAGCTCGGACGTGATCGAAGTAGCGCACATCGACTGCCACTCTCCTCCGCTCGGCATCTTGCTCCTTCGCCAATTCTAGGTGCGAAGGCCTTGCCGTCAGCTCTGCACGGATCTGGGCGGCGTCGACATCGATGATCTGCGCCTTGAGCATCTGCTGATGTTTCACGAGATCTCGGATGTGCGGGGGCCGCTCGCCCCTTGCAACATACTCCTCTGTGTCAAATGGCCGCAAATACTCCGCGTGAATCGTGCCTTCGATGCCAGAATCGAGCCTGACACTGACATAATCTCGCGTGATAGCGACGACCTGCACGTTGACGAGGCGCATTGTGTCGAAAGTCGCTTTTGTCTCCCCGGTGAGCATGGTGAGAATCTCTTCGTTGTTCGGGAATACAAAGTCTCGCCGCTGCTCCACGAGTGGGTGCACGAGCTCGCGGGCGACCATCTCGAGGAGAGAAAGCTTACGCTCGCGCTTTTCGCCTCTCCTTGCCATTTCGGCCCAAAGATTGCGTTCGTAGTCGGCCATGTCGATGTCGCCTACCTTGCTCTCTCGGCCTGGGTCCTCCATCAGCTCCTTACACCAGGCTGAGGGATGTTGGCCCTCCTCGCGGTCCTCTTCCGTCTTGCGCAGTGCGTCAAAGGCAATAAACCGCGCATATTCGTATGCTTCCGGATGGATTCTTGTCGCATCCAGAGCGTCGATCTCGCCTTGCATCCTGGCCCCCTCCTTGTTCCGTGATGCACGCGTCGGCGCAACGCTGCGCACAACGAGGAAAGCACATGCGTTGTGCCACACGTTGAAGCTAAGGATCTGCATGTCTTTGCTCAGCATCTCCGATTCTGGTGCGCCAATCAAGAGGGCGGCGCGATTGACGACATGACTGCCGAGCTGGGTTGTGATGGCTTTCAGCAAGGCGTCCGCCTTGCGTGGACCCAAGCCGGCCACATAGCGCAGTAGGTTGGCGTAGTTGGCGTCAATGATTGCGCGGTTGATGTCAACACAGACGGTATTGACCACGGCGACGAGAGCGCGTTCGAGATAGTGCAGCAGCCGTTCGCGAGGGATGAGGTGCTGATAGGTGTCGTACCGGAGAGCCAGCAGGTCTTCGTCCGAGAGGGCTGCGAATTCCTGCAGTGGCGACTGAATATAGCGAGCCAACCCAACGCAATATCGCGCTAGCTTGCCCAGTGAAGGGTACTCCTCGGCCGCTCTGGAGCTGTGCTGGTAGATCCTCGCCACATCGTCGTGGCAGGTGACAACGTCTATCTGACACAAACCCATGTCCTCTACTGGCACTTTCTTCCGCTCTGCGATGATTTTCACCGCTTGTGCGACGCATTCCTGGACTTGCGCTCGAAGCATGATGGTCCGCGGCGAGAAGCCACTTACGACGACGACGTCAGGTCGTCTGCTAACAAGGAGCTCGACAAAGTCTCGAGAGGGATGCCGCGCACTTGGGTCTAGCGCCTCGGTTGACTCGGGCTTGGGTTGAGCGATAGTGTCGTACTCGTTGTGCTCGCGGAATCGCCCGCCTGAGTCCAAAAAGACCGTTTGAACGCTGTCCCTTCGCGGGTCGCCATTACCGTGAGACACAGCCAGAACTTTGGGAAAGCCTTCCTTTTTCTCGTCCTCTTCATCGTCCTCTTCATCTGAATCGTAATCCTGGCCGTACGACTCGATGTTCTTCCGTCGCAAGAGCTCGCGACGAGCCCTCATGCTCGTCGACTCATACGGCCGTCGATCCAATCTGCTCGTCATTGTCACCTCGCAGGTGCGCCCGAGGAACTCCAAGCACTCTTCCCGCAGCCACTCGCGCACCCAGAGCTTACCAGCGGGAAGCAGAAAGGAATCACAAGCTTGCTGAATAACATCCTTGCGAACATCGTTCCACTCCTGGCTGATCTCGCTGAGCTCGTCGCTCTTGTAACTGTTGAGCAGCATGTTCTCGAAGTCTCGCAAAGCTTGCGGAACGATACCGACATCGACTGTGACCAGGAGCTCCTCTTCGGCCTGGAGGATCATAAGATATTGAGCTGGTGCCAGAAGCGATTCAGCCTGGTTGACGACGGTGAATTGGCCAACAGGCTTGTGCCTGAGGAATTTGAAGTTGTAGAAGCGATGCTCCTCGTCGATCTTGTAATGGCCTTGATCGGTGGGTTCGACACTGATGACGCCAGACTCGCGCAGAAGTCGTCTGGCATGTCGCTTTAAGACGGGGTCCTTGCCTATCTCATGGGCTAATAGCGTCTTGGCAGAGTCGAGAGCCTGCTGCGCGGACATGGGTCCCTTGTCGAGATTCACGTACTCATCGGCAAGCGCAAGAGGGGCCTTCGACTCGTCTTCGGTCAAGTGCACCTTCACCTGAGCCGCCACATTTTCGGCAAGCTGGATTGATGAGATGCCGAATCGCGTGGCCAATGATGAGACAGGGGTGCCCTTGATACGCTCGTAGGTGCTGACCACAGTCGGCCGCTTGAAGGCGCCGGCAGCGCCTTCTTCGTTGCCCTCTGTCTCTGAAGACTGCTGAAGCGCCTGTACATCTCTCATCTTCTGACCGTGCCTCATGAGCAGCCACTCTGACACGTCGGCAACTTCCTCGATGCTCTCAGTGGCCCTAAGCATCCTCTCGAAGATCGCTTTTTCCTCGACGTCAACTTGCTCAGACGAGGCGAGGCGTCGGTAGGACGCCGCAAGCCCATCGCGGCGGACCAGCAGTGACTTGAACTTGAGGCACGCTGCAGTGAGGGCAGAGAAGTCTCTTCTCTGAAGCAGCTCGATGATGGTCTCTTGTTGCCCCGGTAGCGAGACCCGCACCTCGAATTCGTCTGGTCGATGGGCGAACAGGTACATCCCTTCTCTTCGATTGTTGATGATTTGCTCGACCATGTTACGTACGCATGTAAACCAAGCATCTCGATATTGAGCCTGTTCGGCATTATCGTCGAGAAAGAAACGGTTGCTGCGCTGGGAGAAGCGTCGCGAGACCCATCGAGTGCACTCGTCGAGTTCTTCGGGAGTGAGGGTCCGCTCCAGGAGAAGTAAGCCTTCGTCGCCGGGCAGGGCGACCTGGAAGCGCTCGGGAAAGTCGGCGCGCTTGATTCGATCATCCTCATCGGTCATCATGCGAGCTTTCATGGCAGAAGGCTCGAAGATCTGTGCAGGAGAGAGAGAGTCAGCAAGGGCAAGATGAGGGAGAAGGGTCAGTCAGCTCTTGGTACTCACGTCCTTGAAGCCGGCCTTCGCGCCACGACGCTCTTCCGTAGGCACGATGATGACCTCACCGTCCTCGTCCAACGCCTCCTCGCCCTCCTCGTCGTCCTTGTGCAGAGCGAATTCGTACTCGGTGCCGTCACCAAAGACATCATTAAGCTCTGCCCAGGACTCGGCATCGATGCCAGCTCTGTTAGGATCAATGCTCCCGAACCCAGCTCTTCTCGCGCGACGAGCTTCCTTCTCGGCTTGCTTCTGTTTCCTCTTTTCCTCCTTGCGCTGCTCCCTCTCGCCTTCGGAAAGGTCCTCGTCCATTTCGTCGCTTTCATCGTCATCGATGAAGTCTTCCATCTCGTCCTCAAACGCAGGGATCTCATCTCGCCGACCTCTTCGAGCTGATGCTGCTTGAAGAACCTGAGCTGCTGAGGGCATGTCCTCGTCATCGTCGTCGATGGCGTCCCTCCGACGACGAGCAGGGATCTCGTCCTCGTCATCATCGTCGTCGAACATGTGTTCGAGGTCGCGAGGCTTCTTCGCCGCCTGCTCCGCATCTTGACCATCAGGTGAAGCCGACTCTCGACGGAGGCGCTTCAACCTTCTCTCATCCTTGTTGCGGCGCAGTCCCGTGTTCTCTCCGATGAGGTCTAGGTCGTCCTCGTCAAGCATCTCGTCTTCCTCTGTTCAATCGCTTGCGGATTCAGGTTTGGTCTAGAGACGCCACAATTCGGTCCTTCACTCACCCTGCTGCTGGCGTTGTCTCCTCCTCTTCTTTGCCTTTCTCTTCTTTCTCTTGCGTCGCCTCTCAGCATCGTCGTCGCTGTCTCTGTCTTCATCGGCGTCGTCATCGTCAATGAAGCCCTCGGCGATCCTCTTGGCCTCCTCGGGGTCATCTTCCTCCTCCTCTGAAGAATCGCCTTCCTCGTCAGATCCGATGATGTTCCCGCCCTCCTTCATGATGTCCTCGCCCTCTTCTTCATCGTCATCGCCTTCCTCTTCGCCGCCAACCTCAGAGGGAGCGCGATCACGCTGGGAGGGCGCAGGCGAATCAGCTGCATCACCCTTGCCATCGCCAACGGCCTCTCCTCCGCCCTCTTCATCGTCTGCGAAGCGAGCCGCGGGAAAGTCTGCCTCGTCACGGTCCATGGCGAGTGGATGATCGAGGCAGTCAGGATGGACCAATTTGCTGCCTGTCGTTCCAGCTTCGAGCGAGCGCAAAGCCAGGCAAAGTCAGTCACGTGTCACTCTTCGCAATCCGTCATTTATAGAGGGAAACCCGTCAAAACGCGTGTGGGCGTGGAGAGGGACGCGACCCTCACCAAAAAGTTCGCGAGAATCGCTCGAGCGTGAGCAACACACAACAGCACCTTGATGAGCATCAATCTCTGACAACCGTCGCTCGTTCTCGCCTGCTCCTTTACTTCTCTTTTCTTGTTTTTAATCCCTCAATGGTCGTCATAACACGACCGAGGGATGTCTCGGACCCATTCTATCGGCCACAGTCGCAAGACTACTCTCACGCCTACTCGAGCATCCTCGCCTCGTCTCGACGTGCAGCAGCTTCGACGTCCTTCTCGAGTGGTGACCTGGCAGGCTCCTCGACGGTCCTGATACTTTCTGCACTCGACGTTGACGCCCTTTGCGCGACAAGATCGCTCGTGTCACTCTTCACAGAAGATGAGATTGCGTACCGGGTCGTGCCCGTAGACGGATACTCGACGCTGGACAGCATCGTACGGGAAGATGTCGTGGGCAACACCGACGTAGGTCTTTCACATGTATCTGAGACAGATGTCTGAGGAGGCTGACATGATCGAGTTATCAGCTCCACACCGTCGTCTTCATCAATTTGGGCTCGTTGCTTTCTCTGCCCAACTACTTCACCACGACTTCGAATCCGGATCCCGACGCGCATATCTTGCCACCTCTGTGCACAGTCCATCTCATCGACTCACACCGGCCCTACAACCTCGACAACCTTTTTGCCACGTCGGAGCTCGTGGAGAAGATCTGCGTGTGGGATGACGGAGAGATCGAGGAAAGACTAGGCAAGGAGGCAAAGGCGTACGCAGAGCTCGAATTCTACGACGACGAAGACAGCGATAGTGATTCGGAGGATTCCGAGACAGAATCAAGTGCAGACGAAGAGAAGGACGAGGATGAAGAAGAGGACGAAGATTCAACACGGCGGAAAAGGCGGCGAGGAGAGGATGGGGATGATAGGCAACAATCAGAGGCAGGAAGTCAGAGACCAAGAAGACGGCGGAAAAGATCCAGACCGAGGCGCATCGATCCAGATGTCGCAGCCAATTATCGTGCAATTCTCTCCCGATATTACAACCGGGGGACATATACGAGCATGAGTGTTGCTAGCATCATGTTCATGCTCGCCGAAAAGCTCGGTCGCAGCGACAACGAGACGCTTTGGCTCGCTATTCTCGGCCTCACATCACAGTACCTCTCGTCAGCGATCGCACACGGACATTATGATGAGCTCTCGTCTGCCCTGGCCACCGATGTCGTCGCTATGAACAAGACGCCCGCCAACATATCCACCTCGCAAACCGACAAGCTGCTCGGCAAACCAGTCAATGCCGATGACGGCCGCATCCGCGTCATTCCACAAGAACTCAGATTCTCCCTGTACAGACACTGGAGCTTGGAGAACAGCATGTACCACTCAAGCTATGTCGCTGGCAAGCTTGGGATATGGAGGGAGCTTGGGCTGTCAAAGCTGCGTGGCCTGATGGCCAAGATGGGGTGAGTTGCATGTCACACAGAGAATAACTTCACTCTCCTGACAAAGTATTTTCCCTGTGCAGCCTCTCGCTTCAGCAGTGTAGGCAGACGTACGAGCACATGGATCTCGACCTTCGGGAGACGCTGTGTTCCCGTATCGAATCGATCGCCCCCGAGTACGGCCTCACGGAGTGCGTCTACCGTTCATTCCTGCGATCATTCGGGTACCGGAGCACTCCTATCAGCGCCGGGGATGCGGTCGAAGGTCTAGAGGCGCTGCTTAGTGCAGCGCATGGTGTCCGCGTTGAGGTGGATGCGCCAGGCCTTACCTTTGGCGGCGTGGGTGCGGGTGTCGGCGGCGTCAGCGGCGCATACGAGGCCGTTGTTGGGAGGGGCATGGGCGACCAGGGCAGTGAGCTATTCGGCAGCCGTCGTCTGTGGAATCTGGGCCCAGCTGGTGAGGAGGGGTGGGGCGACGACAAAGAGAACAGAGCACCAGACCAGCCGACTACAGAGGCAAAGGAGCCGCCGACCCAGCAGGAACGCACGTCGACTCGTCAGTCGAGCTGGGTGCGCAACTACTTTACAGCGTACACCGCCCTCGACACGAGAAAGACGATGAACGTGCGGCTGCTCCAATCGAGCCTATCGCTCTCAAAAGCACTTCACCGCGCCGTCGTGTCCCAGGGTGTGGCACTGATCGACAAGCAGGCAATTCGAACACTTCGAAGCTTCAGGCTAGCCATTCTCCAAGACGGGCCCCAGCTGTCGCTCTTTACGGATCCCAACCTCCTCATCCGGCTGGGCTCCTGGCTCATCTCCGCTCTGCGAGACATTCTCAAACAGCAAGAGGACAGCCGACGGCAGAACAAGCGATCGAGGTCGAAGAAGGCAACGGAAGAGGCCGCGCTGCCGACTTCTTTGCCCTTTGTCTTGGCCGCACTGGATGAGACGCGCGATCGATACATCGTCGTTGGCATCAACGGGAGCCGAGAGTACGGCGACGTGGTGAGGAACCGGTTTGGCTTGGCATTCCAGGAGGCAGCATCCAAGAGCGGGGCTAGGACGAAGCACGATCGCTTCGAGACGTGCGCAGTCGAGGTTGGCCGGGAGGACCTGGCGCAGTTTGTTGAGTCTATTCATGCTGTGGCGTAATCACATCAAGCATTTGCTGTATTCGAATCATATCATTTCTGCCGTAACCTACCGAGCCTCTGGGCCTGCGTCTGTAGCAAATTTCCCTTTTGCTCAAACTGCGTCTACCACATTGCCAGCGGCGGAAGATATCTTTTCATCTCAACGAAGTCTCTGCGAGGGACGACAGCCAGTCCATGGGCTACACGACGTCGCTGCCATCCGATCAAGATCCACAACGATGAAGGCGCCCTCGGCGTTCGGTAGTATTTCCTCCCGCCCTCCTACAGCTCCCTCCTCTGCAGCACCAATCTATCAACTTCGCCACCAGAGATTCAAGTCGCACGACCTCGACTCGCATGACCCAAACTCCAGCTTGGGAGCCAGCTTGAGATGGTCACGCAAATTTCCGCAGGGCCGGCATGAAGCGCCAACCACTTCTCTTTCTTTAGCTGATTTGCGAGTCAGAGAGAAGAGCCCAGGTGACAACGAAGCAAGTGATTCCGTGCTACAGGGGAAAGAGCCAAACAAGAGAAAAGGAAAAAGGTGGGGAGTGTTTAAGTGGATCCTGACGCTCAGCGTCTTCTCGGTGAATGACAGTATACGGTCGGAGGCAGAAGCATCAGGTCGCTGACTTGCCCGAAGCTCCTCGTCTACGGAACTGCAGGTATGGCATGCAGCCTCTTGGTCTGGGCTCGAGGCTGGCGTGGGGCAGAAGTGAGCATGATCGTCGACGTAGACCTCCTCATTCGTAAGTGTTCTGCTCTTTTGCGTTCTTTTCCTTTTTTTGCTCTGGCGCAACGCTTTACACTCACTCTACTTACCACGGCAGTCCTCTCGCTTGCTTGCTTTATCTGTCTCTTGACGTCGATAGTAGGATTGAGCGGCAGCCTTCTCAACTCTCGCCCTATCCTCGCGCTCTACACCTTTCTTCTCTGGCCATGCTTGGTCTCGAAGCTCGTCGTGGGGTACATCTCTTACAAGCGGGCCAATTTTCGGCTCGACAGAAAGCTCAATATGGTCTGGAGTCGATATCTGACGAACCTTGATCGCCTGAGGATCCAGGAGAATGTACGTCTGCAGTGCGATCGTCGTTTGAGAGTCATCTGATCCTTTTTCTCCCGTTTCAGCTTCAATGTTGCGGGTACTACTCTCCATTGCGTGAGTATATCGTCGCCGAATTAGAGTCCTCGCCCATTGACCATGCTTTCGAGACGGCTCAGACCAGGCCACCTTCTCGCGCATGTGCTATCCGCGCACCAACCTACCAGGCTGCAAAGGCCCTCTCTTCGCTGCCGAGTCACTCTCACTACGACGCCTGTACCGCGCCACATTCAGCCTCGTCTTTGTGCATCTCGTCAACATTCTCGTCTCGCTCCTTTGCTCAAACCACGTCAATGTTAATTTCGGCAAAGGCCTCACGCCTCGCCGATACAGACTCAACGGGACGCATGTTGAGATAAATGCCGCGGGAGCGATGCGGGAACTCGACGACCTCGACGAGTATAGGAGGAGGAGCATGAAACGTCAACTTGGTCTGGGGTTAGCCAATATGGATCGCGATGAAGCGCTGAGGCACCACCAGGAGCGGGAGTCGCTACATTACAGTTCTTCATGATTAGATGGTCAATGATACAGATGTTGACAAGCTCAATGCGTCATGCGGTAAGCCCGGCGCCCAGACCCAAGAGAGAGTAGTACCGGGCAGGATGAGCCTGTTCGTCGATCCACAGAATCCCTTGCCCCAGACTGAGATCGTCGAGGATCGCTCTAGCCCTCTGTCGAGTCCACTTCCCCTTGGCCAACTCTGGGCAAGGATCCAGGAGCCCATCTTCTGTCACGTACCGGTTCCCGACCGCATCGTTGAAAGCTGCCGTGCTAGACGAGGACGAAGAGAGCAATCCGAGCACGACAGACGTGTCTGTGTCGAGCTCTTTGGGGACAGATCTGACCATCTTTGTCCCAGCAATGTCAATGACTTCATACCCGCTTCCCAGCGGCTTGAGGACGGCAATCGACCTGACGACGTCTTCCTCGGTGATATCCCCTTCTTCCCCCTCCTTCTTGCCCCTCGAATGCATGACAGCCCGAATGAGGTCGTCCATCCTGATCAGGCCGCCATTGTAAGGCCGCGTCGAGACGCACACGTCGATGATCTGAATTCCGAGCTCGTACTGCCAGTCACCCAGCCCCAGGACGTCGTTCCACATCCTCCCCAGATTTCCCAGCCCTCCCGGCCCAGCCCTGCCGCCGAGCGGATCGACGCCGATGGCGGCGCACATCTGCTGGAACGCGTGGCGGAAGCTCGCATCGCGCTTGATGTCGCCACGGTGCCGTGCGGCAAAATTTCGCAGGGCCGACGAGAAGGTGTCGAGCTGCGCGTGGAGCTCGGTGAGTTGCGACGAGGTGAGCTCCGAGGAGAGGCTGTTGTACTGCAGCGAAGTCGCAGCGGAGCGGTCCAGGGCTGCCAGGCCAGGGCCGCGGCGCATAGTGCAAAGCGCTCGAGGTTGGAGTCTCGAGATGGTTGTGGAGCTGTGAGTCTGATCAGCTTTCCTATTGCAAAAATATGTGCTTCAGTACTCCGGGTCCCAGACGGCTCCCACTACTCCTGCACTAGTTCTTTCACCATACATGCCCTCTCCGGCATACATTGGAAAAGCTCACTTCCTGCGTTGGCAAAAACATATTTGGATCCGAAGATCCACCTCGTCTGAACATCATTGTCATCCTTCTGCAGGGGCCTGATATTCTTGGTCAGTACTCGAACGACCAACACGAAAATACTTTTGCAAACTCACAATGCTAATCTTCTCTGTATCGTTCGAAGTTTAAAGTATGCTACCCGAAGGTGCAAAGACTACAATGATAGCGAAGGGTATGGACGTCTTTGCAAATCGAGGTGGATCAAACTGGAAAACTTGTTCAGGGCACGCACGCGTCGGCGAAAAATTTAGTTTTTTTTTGCCGCGCTGATGTTGTAGACGACAACGACAGCGATCGGGACGACAGAAGGAGTGAGTGTTTCCTTGACCAGTGGCTCTGCGTAAAATGCTTGCTCAAGCTGTTGAGCAGTGAGCAGAGGCTTTAGGGATCGGGACAGAGACAGAGACTGGGACCGAGATCGGCGAGACCGCGATCGGCAGTGGGGAGGCGGTTTATTACATCGTCCAGGTCCCGACTACAGAAGCAGCAGAGAGGCAGACTGGGGCCGAAGTGGGCCTAGAGGCGACGAATGGCGTGAGAGGGACTGGGAGGCGCGCGACAGGGAGAGGCAGAGGGAACGAGAGCGCGAGAGAGAGAGGCAGAGAGACCGCGAAAGAGGGCGGGATCGAGATCGCACGAGGGAGAGAGACGATGAACGCGATCGTGATCGCGATCGTCTCCGCGAAAGGGATGAGGGAAGAAGGCGAGACGTCGAGATGCAGCGCAGACCCTCGGACCTCGGAGGAGACCTCGAGGGCGCCTCACCCCAGACATTGAGCGCGGGCCAATCGCCCGTAGTCAGAGCAGAGGAAGGAACGACAGTGCCGGGAGCGAATGTCAAGGTAGAGAGAGATGCCGAAGGCCGTCGAATCAGGAGCCGCTCTCCTGCATCTGGGAAAGGTGAGGTAATTTACGATCTTAGGGTCATCCAGAAGTTGAGACTGAGACTATTCCTACAGCCTCACCTGGCTCAACACGGGGTTTGAGCCCTTCGCAGCGCTCATCTCGCCCTTCGATCGATGAAAGTGCCGACATCAGGCGACGCTCTGGTCCATCGACACCAGTGGATGTTGCAGGTCGATCGGCGATAGGACGGCCGCCACCGACAGGCCCTCGGGGTCTCTACAGCGGCGGCCCATCCTCCGGCAGGAGGCAAGAGCCACCTCCAAGGTCCTTGAGCCGCAAGGTAGATCTACAAGGGGCCCCTCTCGCCCCTGGTGGGTTCCCTGTGATCAGCCAAGAAAGCCCTCTTCTTCAGGTTCCGGACGCCCCCCGAGGTTCCATTACTGCTGCACCACCTGCATCATCGTCTACACCAGCTCAAGATCCTTTTCGCCCGAATCAGGGTCCACGAGTCTCTTCGTCAGGACCTTCGACTCCCTTGGCCTCAGCCCCTCCTGCTGCCGCCACACCGACTTCCAAGGTACGAGCGCCATTCACTGCCTCTGATTTCCCCTCGAGCATCAATCCGGAGCTCGAGGCGGAAGTGGCCAACCTGTCCTCTAGCCGGCTGGCTGCCTCGTGTTCACACAAGCTGCAGTCGACTTCGGTCGCGCTCCGCGCAGCCTTGGGCGAGCTTGCAGAGGTTGAGGTCGAGCTTGCGGGTGCCAGACTCAAGACGACAGTCACGGAAAATTCGTTGGACAAGCTCAGAGAAGAGTTCGAGGCCTACACAGTAGAGGCTGGAAGGGCCGAGGCTAAATCCATCTCGGAGCCATGGTTAGTCGATGTGTGAGTTCTTGGGTGGCGAATGCTGTATCATTAGTGTCCTCGTGGCGAATGCAATTCCTGAATGCAGGACAGACCGAATCTGCTATGAGATCCACTCAGCAGCAGCAGATCCCCAACGCTTGTTGAAAGCCCCACTGGAGCAACCTTCATCCCCTGTAACAGCTATCCAGCATTGTCTCGCCCCGGCCGTCGTTCCATCTTTGCCTTTTGACTGTTCACTGTGACAAAGACTCCTACAAGCGCCATGCTCCAAGCGCCCTCGGGCGTCCTCTCGAGTAGGTACGATCTCATTCACGTATGTAGATAGAGCAGAGTCCCTTAAGGGGCTCTCGATTTGTCTCCTAGCTTGTTCCGCGACGAGCAGACAGAGAACAAGAGATCTTCCTCTCCGAGTATGCTCTCTTGGCCAAGCCCCCTCGGGAGTTTGTTTGACAAGTGACATAAGATTCATCTCCACCTTCTGACTCGCTCAGTCCGGCTCAGCAGCAAGCGAAAGAGCAGCATATCGGTTGTATCGCAAGAAGATCGAGATTTGGCACCTGTCCAGGGCGTGCATGCCTAACAAATGCTAATAATGGCAATAAGCATTTCCAACATAATCCCTAATTCATTTTTGTTGTAATCGCCGCGGAAACAAGGAACAGAGACGTGCCAAAAGAAAGGAATCATTAATGATGGTGCGGTAAGACAGATTTAGGTCTGTAATTCAATTCGCCCTCCTTGCTCACCTTGCATGACGACATGCTCACCTTTTTTGAAATCCACTTTGGACTCAACAGCAGATAAGCCGTGAAGCGTATATAAAGGTGCTCAGCATCAGCTCTCGAGCGCGCGCGAATGACGACCCCCGAAAACTGGACAGACAAGATGATGGAAAGCAATAACAGCAGCATTGGAGGACTTAATCCGGTCGAGACGGCCAAAGAACGACGGCGAAGACAGACGCGCCTTGCGCAGAGGAGGTATCGCGCAAAAAAGAAGGAGCAAGCAGTGGCAGCCACAGGTGACAGCGCTGGGCAGATTTCGCCATCGACTGCTCAGCAAAAACAATCGCCATTCTCTCCAAGTCTGGGCCAGGTTTTCTCAGAGGCCGACGTGCAGGAAGCAAAGGATTTCTTTGAGAACCTCGCTGCCAACTCTATCCTGGCCAATGAGGCGGGGCCATCAACAGTGTCGCCGCCGTCCTCTGCTTCGACCGTCGAACAGGGGCCTGGCTCAGCCGAGCAATTTTGGCAGGCCTACGTCAGCGGCACAGCAATCTCCACGACGCCCAAGTCGACGATCGAAGAGATTCCTGAACCCTCGAGCCTGGTCAACCTTGACGGCATTGCCTCTCAGAGCGACGTCTCACTCTACCAGCTAGGCTCCGACCGCAGTTCGTCGAATTTCAACTCGTCGACTTCCGAGTCGTCTGGATCGTCGCACACGACGGGGAGTCCGCCCTCACCGCCCTCGGACGATGTCATTGCGGCGACGGAAGATGAAGCAGCCAAGACCAACGGGTACATGGGCATGGCCCTTGTTCGATCACTCATGATGAGCCAACCGGTTATCAATCGCGGATACCGATTGCTGCAAATGCCCCAGGTCGATTTCCTCCGCGCTTTTCTCGCAAACGCCTTTGCGCTCGGCTATGTGACCGAGGACTTGGAACGGTGCAAAAAACCAAGCCGAATGCAAATTATCTGGAGTAGATCGTCAGTGACGCTCAGGTCGACGTTGCCGCGAAACATGCTGCCGACGGAAGAGCAGCTGACGCACCACCAAGAATACAATCTTATCCTCGACTGCCTGCCTTGGCCATCGGTGCGCGCCAAGGTAATCAAGCTCATCCACATGGGCGTCTTGGATTCCGACGACTTCAAAAAGGACCTCGTTTGCGCTGGCACGGGCGAAGGGTGGATGCGAGCCAGCTTCCGCATCCATGGCGTCAGTGCCGACGACGACTTTGCTTTCAATGGCGAGGCCGCGCGCGAAATCACCATGGACCCGGAGTCCTGGGAGTGCGCAGAGGACTGGATCCGCAAATATTGGTTCATCATCAATCAGGACATTGTCAGGCGAACGAATTTCTGGCGAAGAATTGACGGAAAGCCGCCAATCAGGCTGCAGCTACCTGTCGCCGAGGATTAGCTGTCCGCCTTCCTGGTTGTTTGTACGATATCGATCTTCCCCGGCCCTGACAAAATGTCTGTACCTCTGACTACAATTGTATTACCTTTGACCACCATTCATTCAGTCTCTGCTGGATGAACAGATCGGATCGGGGCGGGGGCCTGCATCGAATGGCTCGGAAAGCTAGCTAGCTGCTGGCTGAAGTGGAGCAGCGCGCCACAACTCTGACGTCTTTTTCCTGATGATTTTGGACCCTTGGAACGTCTGTCTCTCAATGCATAGGCTACGATCAAGCCGGAACGCCAGCCAGCCAAGGGGTCCAAGCTATGACGGTAGGCTGCCTGCTGTACATAAGCCTGCACCCGCCGTAGTCTGCGTGGGGAAGTAAGAATTGTCAAATGATGAGCAGTTGTGCAGTTCTTCCTCGCACCCTCAAACGCAGCATTGATCGTCTTCCTCTGCTATATAAACGAGCGATTGTTCCCACCTTTGCCTTACACAGCAACAACTTTCTCCGATTCAACCCCACTCGCACATTCACGACCTCCATTCTCAAAATGTCGGACAGCAAGGACGTCATCACCGCCTACTCCAACTATGACCCGAACAAGCAAGAGCAGGTAAGTCGATGCATACGCCCTTCCAGAGCCAGAGCGCTAAGACACACTCTATCTCCGGGCGCCAGAACCTGCCTGGCTTGGACCAGAAGATGGACCCGCTGGCCGAACACGTCCTTGTCGAGAAGTGGGACAACAATGGGAAGCCATACTTGGAAGAGTACAAGGGCACGGGCAAGCTGGCCGGAAAGAGTGCCATCGTGACGGGCGGCGACAGCGGCATTGGACGCAGCGTGGCCCTCTTCTTCGCCCGCGAAGGCGCCAATGTCACAATCAACTACCTGTCCGAAGAGCAGGAAGACGCGGAAAAGGTCGTGGAGCTCGTTAAGGCCGCTCCCATGGGGACCAAGGAACTGCACCTCGTCCCTGGCGATTTGCGCGATCCCAATTTTTGCAAGTCGCTCATCGACTCGCACGTCGCCAAGTGGAAGTCGCTCGATGTGCTCGTCCACAACGCATCCAAGCAGATCAGCGTCAAAGACATTGCCGACATCGACATTGCCAACGTCGAGTCTACATTCCAGTCCAACATTGTTGCCGCTTTCAGCCTGAGCAAGCACGCTGTCCCGCACATGAAGCGCGGCAGCTCCATCATTGTCTCTGGCTCCGTCACTGGATTCAAGGGCTCGGCCGACAAGCTCGACTATGCCTCAACAAAGGGCGCTCTGCACTCGTTCAGCCGCAGTCTGGCACAACAGCTTGCCCCCAAGGGCATCCGCGTTAATGGTGTGGCTCCGGGTCCTGTCTACACGCCGCTCCAGCCAGCCAGTCAGTCAGCCGAGAAGATGGACGGATGGGCGGTAGGTGTGGAGCCCCTACACGGCCGGCCAGGGCAGCCCGCCGAGCTGGGCCCCTCTTACGTCTTTTTGGCCGATTCGGGCGCATCGAACCTCATCACGGGCTCCACGCTTCACATCAACGCCGGCGTATGGATGGGTGCGTAGTCCTCAGCGGAGCCCAAGACAAGACAAAACACACCAAGCTTCCCTCTCAACATCGTCGTTGAAAAAAAAAGACATTGTAGCACAGATTCATCTACCTATTTCTAGCCTCTTTCAAATCGTAATCTCTTCCCTACTTCTCATCTTCGGCTTCGTCGTAATCCCCGCCCCTCCTTCCCTTTACGCCACGCGAGGAGACCGCCTTGTTCGGGTCCCTCGCCGTCGTGTAGCCCGCAGCAGTCGAGTTCTTGGCGTACTTGTTGTTGCTGGTCCCTGCACGTCCATGTCGACCCGATGAATAGCCGGGTCCCTCGTAATACATTACATCCTCTGGCCGGTTGAGGCTTGGCCAAGCGACGTACTGAAGGCCTCGCTGCGTGATGGCGTAGAAGCTCACGGCTGCAATCGTAGTAAAGGTCGCAACGATCGTCGTGTGTGACGTTCCCCAGTGGGAGAACAAACTTGGAAAGAGTATGCCCACAAAGACAATTGTGGCGGACAGGAGCCAGATGTAAGGGAGCAGACGGATGAAGAAGGCCCGCTTGTCGCCCTGCACGCCCTTTCGTGGCGTCCACGCTCCTGTAAAGAGGTCGTAGGCATCTTGTCGAGGGCCATCGAAGAAGTTGTTTCTAAAGTAGCGAGTCATGCTGTTGACGCCGTCTTGAATAGCACCCTCGGTCGAGCGCTTGCCCGTCCTCGTAAAGTCCGTCTTGAGCGCACCCGTTCCTGAGTAAGCTTTGCTGATCACGTCTGCGTGGTCGGCCCAGACTGTCGCAACTTCGTCAGCAAGCGAGCTCCTCGGTGAAATTACTAGACGACAGTCTTACTTACCATTACGGAAGGTAAACCAGAACTTCGGCTGGTTTTCGAGCGTCTCTCCCTTTGCAAGAATGCCGACGGCGGCCAGCTGCCTTTCCAAGACCCATTTGGCAAGAGTGCTTTGCACAACATTGGTTCGGTCTGCGGAAGAATGAAGAGGTCAGCTGATGGCAGCCTGTGCCAGAAAGTGAACGTCCTCACCGAGGCAGTCCATGCAGTTCGTACGGACGACAGCGCCTTGCGTCGAGAGCACCTTGCCGCTTTGAGTCTCGTCGAAGAAGAAGTAGCTTCGATCTGTCGTTAGCTCAGAGGATCGATTGAGGTTTATCAGTGCCAGCCAAAGACTCACTCGTCCCTCTTGAGGCCCTTCTCCTCCAGGCGCTGAATGAGGCCCATGACGCGATCGAAGCGCATGCCCTTGCATTCATGGTGGAAATCGTAGTAAGTGTAGTGCACTTTCGGGTTGTTCATCTGGTCAACCGCTCGCTCGTAGGCGTCCTTGACAGGTTTTTCGTAGCCCTTTTGGTTGACAAGATTGACAAGGTGATTTTCTCCATACAGCTGCACCTGCTGCTGGAAATGAAGCGCGGTCGACTCTGCGCCCTCCTCGCGGTCCATGATGAGCAGGTCGGGCTTGTATCGCAGGTTGTTGACCTCGGCCCAGTAGACGGGCACACTGCCTCTGGTCTGGACATAGCTCATTTTGATCTGGCCTCGGATCGCCTCTGCTCCTTGGACCGCGCCCGAAGGGAAGTCGGCAATGATGAACTGCTCCGTCTCGTTGAAGTTGCTCACGTTGCCCTTGTTGTCGATGCCTCGAGAAAAGTACCGAGTCCCCGCCCTGTGGCGCGAACGACGGGCAATGACACCATACACGAAGCTCCTCGAGTTGATCGTCGCAACCTTGGTTTCAAAGAAGCCAAAGAGGATGGGCAGGATGAAGCGTGAGAGGTCGGGGCCTCCGGACTCAGTCATGTCGATGAAACGGTTCTGCAGGTATCGGTTCCAAAAGAAGCGCTCGTCCGTCTGGCGTCCTTGCCGTTAGCTTCTGTCGCTCTTTTGGCTGTATACGAGAGCAGGCCACACTCACTCTCTTCCAAAGCGGGGCGCTGGTCTGGTATTGGCTCGATCCCTGTCGTTGGAAGCTGCTGCCAAGATCTACGCCGTAGCTGAAGTAGAGAGGCGCGCTGAACAAGTGGCTCTTGAGCAGGTTCAACAGCATCTTTTCCACCGGGTGTGACAGAAGGCTTGGCTTGGCATCCTTTGGAACGGGAAGGAGTCGGAAGTCGGTGGCGAGAAAGACGGGAGCGCCCAGGCCTGGCACCTTGATCTCCTTGCGCGACGTGATGACCACGAGGAAGGTGTGCAGGTGCAGCTTGATCAGGCCGATGATGCCATGAACGTCCATCGCCTTGCCGCTCGTGGCACCCTGAGGCACCGAGCCTTCCAGGTGGACATCCCCATCAGCCCGGTCAATGACGAGGATCTCCGGCTTCGAGGCAGCAGCATCGACGGGCTCGAACGTGTACGCATCTGCGCAGGGTCAGACAGCCGTCAGGACAAATGAAAGCAGCAAAGCAAATTTCAAAAGCGACTGTGAAGACCTACCCTGGGTGATGTAACTATAAGGAGCAGGGCAACGTGGTGAGCAAGGCTGCGATGTTAGAAGACGAAATTGGGCACAGAGAGCCAGCCAACTCACAGCCGGAAGCCTTGCCACAGGGGCACCTGCGTAGAGGACGACGACATTCTTCTCTGGTGCCGTTAGCAGGAGCGCCGACGAAGTAGAAGGGTCGAAACGAAGAAACGGATGAACGCAGGAGCCGGAGCGAGCAGCACTGTGGGGATCCGCTTGAAAGCTCAATCTGCCGACAGCAACCTCCGTTTCAAAAGCGCCCTAAAGTCGAAGACGCGTGGCTGGAGAATACGACTGCAACGCTGGACTATTCCGGGTCACTCAAAAGAACAGGTGTTGATGATGCGAATGCAAAGTATATGTTTCATGCCTTTGAAGAGTCTGTACTGGGATCTTGCTCTGCCGCTGAGTCTCTCGGCAGCATTTCGACAACCTCCTCTTCTTCACCCTCTTCCTCTTCTTCCTCTAGATCTTCCAAACCGCCACCCCTCTGCATCTTTCTTCGCGTCACTCTTCTTCTTCCGAAAGGATCCCTCTCTTCCTCTCTCCTGCCCATGCAGCTTTGAAGCGCCCCAACCACGGTCCTCAGTCCTGGAATGTTTGCGACTGCCTCGCGACCAGCTGACTGCGTCGCGTAGTACATGGGCACGCCCGCAGCAATGAAGCAGAGGGCAGCCGCGCCTGTATAGAAGACTGTCAGATCGAAGAGATGGGCAGACTGACCGAACGGACTCACCCTCCAGTGGCGCAGAAAAAATGGGCATGAACAGCAAGAACAGGGCCACAGCCGAGAATAGAATGGGTGTTGAGAGCCAGGTCTGACGAGAGGTAGCAAGTCAGCGAAAGATGCGTGAATGAGTTGCTTGGACATTCACCTGATAAGGTCTTTCGAGGTTAGGCTCCTTTATGCGAAGACTGAGAAGACCGCAGACGGTGAAGAAGTAAAAGAACCAAGAGCAAACGCCGTAGAAGTTGACGAGGCTGGCGAAGCCGGATCCAAAGAGGACAAAGAGGATGATGAGGAGTGCCTGGAGAATTGTGGCAGCGACCGGCGTGCGAGTTCGATTATTCAATCGCCCAAAGACTGTCGGCAGATACCCCTCGCGGCCTGCGACATAAACGAGTCGAGAGCTTGTGTAGAAAGACCCGTTAAGGGCTCCAAAACAGGAAAAGGCGACGAGAAAGGCGAAAAGCAATCCGCCTGCCGTGCCAAAGACGGCGGAGCCGAAGTCGAGAGCTACGGTGTTGGTTCGGGAGACGAGAACGGGGGTCAGGACTACAAAGTACGATGTCACAGTAGACAGAAAGATCAGCACTACGACGGCAAGGCTGCTGTGAATGACACGTGGGAGGTCCCGGTTGACGTTCTTCATCTCGCCGGCCACGTAGCTCGTCTGATCCCAGCCATCGAAAGCCCAGAGACCGCTGTAGAGAGCGAGCGCGTAGGCGCCAGGGCTCGTCGCTGAGCCTTCGAAAAGGGAAGAGAGGCTGCTAAATGCGTGGGTGGAAGCCTCAGGCATCTTGCTCCTAGTCGCCTGAATGATGGCGAGAATGGGAACGGCGATGAGCGCTGTCCAACACGCAAGGATTAGCTCAGTATCCTTATATGCAAAGGAACGCAATATCGTACCTGCGAGCTTGACGATGGTTGTGGCAACCTGTGTTCTCGTCCCCAGCTTGGCACTGAGGGCATTCATCACTGCAACAATGATGACGACGGCGACGGCTATGAGCTTTATGCTCCAGTCTGGGATTCCTTCAAGGCCCTTTTCATGAGGGTCCGCCGTGTCGCCCGACGTCGAGTGGTAGAAGACTCGCGCCATGTATTCCCTGCGTGGGGAATGGTCAGCACAAGTAAAGCGGGAGCTTCCAAAAAGGCAACCTTACCCAAAGATGATGGCGATGATCGCTCCAGAGCCCGGCTATAAGTGTGATTCAGCTCCTCGTCAGACCAAAATCCTTAGACTGCCTTACCTTGAGGCAGACAATCGCTGACCATGCGAAGAGATACGCGCTCAGCGGGCCAAATGCGTACTGTTCCATAGTGAGCTGAGGTCTGTCAGACGTTATCTCCTCATGCTCACATTCAGATAGGCCTGTGCTCCTCCATTTAGCGGAATCGCAGCTCCGAGCTCTGCAAAAGAGCTATCATATCACATCGCCGTCAGTTGCGCGATCTTGTCGAGGAACGACCGGCAAAACAATTCACCTAGCGCCCGTCCAGGCCAAGACACCACTGACGAGCCAGACGACCAGGCTTGACCCTACTGAGCCCGTGTTGAGGGTCACAACGCCTGGCGACGAAAAGATTCCGCTCCCCTAAGTGGGGTATGAGCGATGTCTTTCCTGAAGTTCAAAGTGACTCACAATCTGCACGCCGACTGTAAGAGCGATGCCTATAAAGCGCATCAAAAGAGCTTTGTGAGATCGCTGCATGGCTACGGAAGGGTGGTGATAACAACGCTCACCGTCTATCAAGCTCATTCTTCTTTCGTCTCTCCGACCTCTTCCTGAGCTTCTTCTTGATCTGGCCCCCATACTGCCCTCGGGTAGCCCATACCCCAACCCTGACGAGCCCGCGCCATATCCGGTAGAATCGTCGTCGTAATCCCCATCGCCGCTCAGACTGAGAGGAAGAAGGTGATCTCGATAGCCAAAGCCGACCGACTCGAACGATGCCCGAGCGATGTTTGCCGACGATGCCGACCGAGCGCTCTGAGGCGAATCCTGCGCCGAAGCAAGCTGCACGTCGGAAGCGTCGAACACAACTGGACCGTCTTCATCGTCTTGGTCGTCATCATAGTCGCCCCCAGCTACCTTTGTCTCATCTCTCTTCGGGACGATATCATCGAGGATAGTCGAATGGTGGGGCTGCGACGAATGTAACGACGATGCCTCGTCCTCAACGCCCTTCGTCGCAATGGCTGCGGCTACGGGGTCATTGGACACCATATCATAGGTTGTTCTCGTCCTTTAAAATTGGCTCCCTGCCTGCCTTGTCAAAGCTTGTAGTCGGTCAACGTCAGCAGAAAGACGCAAAAGGGATCAAAGAAGGTGTGTTGTGTGCATTTCGAGGTGCCAAATTTTAGCCTCAAGTCTCAGCCAGACGCGATTGAGATTCGTCTTTTCAGGCTCCGGCTATTTCAAAGCTCAACCCTATCGACTCATCGCACTCACAAGGAACGAATCCAAGGCGTAGACGGCCCAGAGCAGAACCGCTGTCGGCTGGAGACGGGACTGCCTGTCTCCACTGCGCGTCATAGACCCCTCATGTCTTCGTATACGACGACGCTCCCTACGCTCTCGTCCGAGGTGATCCTTCGCATCCTGCTCCACCTCGACGATGCGCGCGATGTGACGAGGGTACGACAGACATGCCGTCGCTTGTGGGCGATCGGAGGTGATGGCACGGTGAGCAGAGCAACCTCTTCTCTTTACTATGTGTCGAAGTGATGCTGATTCGGTCCAATTTCAGCTTTGGAAGTCGCTCTTCGTTCGCACCTTTCTCTCGCCACCGCCGAAGAGGGAAGGGACGGCATCCCGCAAACGGCCTGCCGAGTTCATCGATGACACGAGGCCCTCAAAGGTAGCTCGGACGGGTAGCGACAGGCCACGTTCGATCGCGTCGCTGCCGATGATGCAGCGAGCGCCTCTCGAGATGCTGGGAGTGCGACAGGGGGACGAGGAAGAGGACAAGACCATCGACTGGCTTTCCCTCTTTCGCATTACTTCCAACTGGCACGGCGGCCAATTTGTTCCGAGGAGCCTCCATCCTCCAACGACTTCCGAGAAGCAGTCACCGCAACGTGCCTCGTCGAGCCGCCAGACGCCATTAGTAACGGCACGATCGGCGGCGCGGATTCCCAGTCGCCCAAGAACGCTCGTTGACTCCTCTTCGCGCTTTATCTTCACGACTGCTGGCTCCCGTGATGGAAACGAAGACGAGGAAGACGGCTGTCCCAGCGTGCTCGTGTTCAGCGTTGAGAATGATGTCACAGATAGCAGAGAGCCTCAGCGGCAAGAAGCACTGGCCAGCTTTCGCTCGCCCTCGCTGGCGAGACGACTTTCACTTTCGAAGAAGCGGGCGGATGGCATTGTTGTCACGGCCATTGCTGTAGATCGGGCAGCAGTGTCTAACTCCTCAGTGCGACTCGTCGTTACGTACTCAACTGGGCAAGCGTCTCTGGTTCGCTTCCAGTCCCAGTCGAGAATATCTTTCGTCGAAGAAGCCTTTTTTGACGTCTCGAGAATCGGAGCCGGCGCCCCGGACGAGATCGTGTCGGCTTCCTTCCATTGGCCACTGCTGGTCACATGCACTGCTAAGTTTCTCGTTCGTATCTGGTCGTTCAGGAGCAGTAGTCACGATCACGTCGATGTCTCGCGATGCGAGGAGATGACAACATACTCTTGCCACTGGCCCGCCTCGTTTCGTCTGGAACCAGTCGCGACACCCTCAGATGCCACTGCCAAGGCCAGCTATCGACTGAGCATCGCCTTTTCCACACCAGTCTATCCGATCGGATGGAGCGTGGGCTTTCAAGAGGTACTTCTCAGACCTTCGTCTTCCTCGTCTGGCCACTATTTCACCTCGAGTCGATCCGCCATGGCCAAACGCCCACACGTGGTCACGCGCATTGATTCGCCGTCAAAAGTCAGAGACCCGCGGGGCAGCAAGTCGCTCCCGATGCCTCGGGCCCGCCGCATCGATTCAGAGCAGCTGGGCCGCCCGACGGGTCTCAGCTACGAGGCGCCCTTCGTGGTCGTGGGCAGCAGCGACAACGGCATCTCCGTCTTTCGCGTAGTCGACGACGACTCCAAGCTTACGGTCGAGCACCTCACGTCGCTCCAGGGTCACACTGGAAAGGTATACTCGGTCAGCCTCAACGAAGGCCGCTGTGTGACGGGAGGAAGCGACGGGAGCGTAAGAGTGTGGAAGCTGGGCGATGAGCAAGCGGCCCTAGCTGATGCTGCCGGGATCAGCATCGACGCCAGCTGGAGACCAGGCATGGGAAGTCTCGTCACGCTTCGGTCTCCCGGTCTGCGCTCCCTCGGCACCACCTCTTCCTCGACTCCTGCGTCTACCTCTTCGTCTCCACTTCCTCACCACAGAGCCAAAACGCTCGCCGACATCCTCAGCGAAATTCGCTCCTCTGCTCACTCCGACAGCGGTAGATCTGGTCCCGACAGACAAGCCATCATCCGATGGGTTGCCAGCGCCTTTGATAGAATCGTCAGCGTCACCTCTGCCCGCACTCTACCTTCGTCTTCTACATCTCCCGCGTCATGCCGCGGCGAATCGCACGAGGCGGACGAGGAGCAAGTTCAGGTCTGGAGCTTTTCTCAATGAGGGCATTTCTTTGAGGGCATTTCCCTTCCTTTTCTCTCATCAATTGTATTTTTACATGCCAACTTGCGGGAATAGTCGTTGACTCATTATCGGTACAGTTGTCCAACTCTTTGAAGCCTTTCTCGGGCCTCTCTGTCCTGCGGCGGTGAGCTCAGACGTATAGGCGCAAGGACCGAAGTGACGACAGAAGGCGCATTGTCTCTCTGTCTAGCTCTTGCCCTCGGCCCCGATACGGCGACGAAGCTCGAGCACATCCGAGCAGCTCAGCCATCCTGCTATTTTTTCCATCACAGATGCGCCTCCTACGGCCTGTCCCGGTGACCCTCCTCGTCCCAATGCCAGGTCCTCAGCGTGCCGTCGTCACCACACGAGGCCAGCAAGCTCTGGGCCCTGTTCCACTTTGCACAGTAGACGACCTGGCCAGTCGTGTGGCCCTGCAGCGTCTGCAGGCACTCGCTGCTCTCCTGGTCCCACAGTACCACCTCACCGTCCTCTGAGCCGCTGGCGATGAGGCCGTTGTGCGCGAAGCTGGCCCTGACAAAGTTGGCCCTCGTATTCTGGGCGCCCTTGAAGCGCTGCAGAGGCTTGAGGGTGCGCATATCGTGCAGCATGCTGCTGTTGTCCTTGGACGCAGTCAGCATCCGCCTCCCGGACTCGTTGAGCTCGACGCTCGTCACTTCGCCCAGGTGGCCAAACACGGTCCGGACGCAGAGACCAGAGTTGAGGTCCCACAGCCGCACGCTGCAGTCCTTTGACGCAGTCACTGCCAGGCGAGCGGCAGGGTCAAACGTGACGCTGCTCACGCCCAACCCATGGCCGGTGAATGTCTTGACGAGGGTAGACGATGCGACGTCGTACAGTCGCACGACTTTGTCGTAGCCACCCGTCAGGACCTGGTTGCCCTGGCCATCAAAGGCGCAGCTGTACACGTCACCCGTCGATTGTGAGATGCCGCCGGTATGGCCCAGGGCGGTGCGAAGGCTCTTGCTCTCGGTGTGCCAGATCTTGACAAGCGAGTCACCTCCGGCCGATGCAACCAGGTCGCCAGATTCGGTAGAGGCCACATCCCACACCCTCGAGCCGTGCTCCAGCACGGCTTCCTGGCGGGCCGAGGACGTGTGCCACAGACGGACAGTGCCATCGGACGACCCACTGACGAGGGAGCGCCCCTCAAGGCCGACCCAGGCGAGCGCCTTTACGTTTCTGCGGTGACCTCGGAACGTCGACATGATGGCGTTGGGGCAGACGAAGCTCTCATAGTCGTACAGGAGGCTCGATAAGCGTGGAGCTTTAGTTTGAAGAAGAGGACGTCATTAGCTCGAATATACAGCGGGAAGGCCATGCGCATACACTCACCCTTCTTGGGATGGTAGCGAGCAAACTCGACCTGGTAGGCCACGGCCATGTGAAGCAGGCTCTTGAGCCTGTGTGGGGGGACGTACGGCGCAGGATGGTCCTCGGTCTCGGATCGATCTTGCTCCAACAGGCCGCTGAACTGGGCCACGAGGGCCTCTCTCGCTGGCTGGATCCCCTCCCAGGCTCGAAAGGAGGGCGAGTCGCTGACACTCTTTGCTGAGGGAGGCAATGGCACCTGTATCAGCCACGAGTCGATCGAGATTCCCAAAGAAGCAGAAGGTGACACTCACAGCTGAGAAGGTAGCACAGGTCGCGGAACTCCCCCTTGAATGGTTGGTAATGTTCAAGAGAGCGCAAACGCTTGTTAAGAAAGGTGAAGGCCTTCTGGTATTCTCTCTGCTCCACCAGCTCCAGAAACTCCTGCTTGAAGACGGCATACTTGAACGCATTGAACGACCGAACGAGGGGCTTAGCGAGGAGCTTGTCGACCTCGTCCCATGCGCCTTCGAGAATGGCCTTTTTCAGCTTGCGGGCGTCTGCACCTGCCTCGTCTCTCTCGCGTGCCTTGCCACTCCACTCCTCGGCGAGAACCTGGCGGGTGGCGCCCATGCCCTGATCCTCCAGGTACTGATCGATGAGCCTGAGCACATCGTCGCGCAACCCTGGCTCGTCCCACTTGAGCAGCACAGACTGCTGCGAGGCCTGCTCTGCAGTGAGGCCCGATGACGGCGCGGCGGTGTTTGAATACGAGGCCGAGTGCGGCGGTGGTGGCCTCAACCCGTGCAGTTGCAAGTTAGCAGGTACCAGGTTCCTCGCTTCGGCCAAGAGGACCTGTTTGCGCTTCTTCCACGCCTCCTTTGTATCGTCGCCGAGCGATGCAGATGCCAGCGCCTCCTCTAGACCAGTTGGATCTGCTGCCGCCGCTGTCGTTGCACTTGAAGCCGGGTGCGAATCGTGCGCGACCTGCTTTGCCGATGAGGATGACGACGAGGACGAGGAAGCAGGGGCTGAGGCCTGGTGGTTCTGCGTCGGCGTTGCCTGCGACTCCTCCATGCTCGACAGAGAGTAGGAGAGCGGCAGCGACGACTGGGCCCTCGGCGTTGACGGCGCATTGGCCTCGTCGAGGAGCCTTGCTGACGTCGACATGGCTTGCGGCTTTACCTTGTTGAAGAAAGAGAGAGGGGCCTGCTGCCTCGCGCTAAGTAGCCAAACGGCTGGGGACGACGGGTGAGCGAGCATCCGAAAAAGAAACAGGGCAAAATGCGTGCATGGGCCATCCCCTCCTGGCCCACTCACTCCTGTCGCTCGCTCGCTCGCACGCACATGAAATCACTGCCGTCCGAATCAACTGCTAACGACTTGCCGGAAATAGAGGAGGAGGACGCCGGGCTGCGAACACCACCCATTCCTCCTCTGAGCTCACCAGATGGCCCCTCCGCTGGCCCATCGAATCTTCCCTTGTCCTCCATCGATTCGGAGCCAGTGCCAGTCCATTTCACCCTCCTGCAGCCTGACTGGCCTCGGTGGCTCTCCTCTCGGATCCATTCTGCTTTTCAGTGGCAATGCTGCGAATTTGTCGAGGGGCACAATGCGCTGAGCCGGGTCAAGGCTGAAAAGGGTGAGCATGGGCCTAAGGAGGGCGAGTCGACGACAACGACGGCGAGCAAAAAGCGAAGACGGACGTCTCGGCCCTCTGTCACTCGATTTATCTGGCGGCAGAAGTGGATCTGCGTGCACTCGCGATCGGCGGCGGCGTCGATTAGGACAGAGGAAGCGGTGCAGGCAACATGCCCTGCCCGGTTCGAGGCGATCCTCGGCGGCGAGGGTCAAGACGAGGTCCATGTCGTCTGGGCCTTCGACCACGCCAACCACCCGGCCGACGAACAAGTGCCACTGGCCCTAGCCATCGAGGAAGGGAAAGCCATTGCACAGGCCGAGGCGGCTGCGTGCAGTATGGACAGGTTGGCAGCACTACCTGCAGAGGTGATGCGGCACCTTACCACGGCGGGCGTGTAGATGGAAGGGAAGAGAAGGAAGGAGGACGATGTCGATATCACGCAGAAAGGCGGCGGAGAAGGCAACAACGATGGGATAAAGGACGGGTCAGATCGGTCGTCTGAGCGCACACGAATCCCTATGCCGCTGAGAGACTACATGCGCAACGCAATCCGAAGGGGCGAAACATTTGCAGCGTTTCAGGATGATCTCGCGAAAGGCGGACTCGCCTGCATTGGCTACCTGGGCTGGGAAGCCCGGCTCAGCCGAGGCGATTTCCACAATGCTGTCCAGGCCGTGAGGTCCAAGCGCAAGGAGCAGGGAATCGACGTGACGCTCAAAGAGGCCGAGGCAGGCATGGACCTCAAGTCGAGAATCAAAGCAGATTGGCCCGCGCAGGTGCAGCCGCCCGTGGAGCTGCTCCAACGGAGCATTGCCCTTGTCAAGGCCGTCAGCGCGGGTCAGAAGCTCGACGACGGTGAACTTGGCAGGAAACGTAAGACGGAGAAACGGCCAACAAGGCTGCAAAATCTCACAAAGCTCTGCGACGAGCTCGACGGCTGCAACGAACTGTTCCAGGCCGTAGTGCAACGGTACGAGGAGGCGCCCTCCGGCGACGCCAGGTTTGCAAAGTACAGGGCCGCAGAGGCACGGGCAACAGAGACGCTCAGCGACCTCATCGAGACCGTTGTCACCTTTCGTGAAAAGCTCAAGGAGGCCCTGCTCAAGAAACAGCAAGACGAGGAGCATGGGTCAGGCAGCGCAGAAGCCTCGTCTCCTCTGCCACATCCACACGCATATTCACATCACAATGGAAATCGCTCACCACTAGCATCCACGATCCCTCATGTAGCTCCACAATAATGTCACATCTATCGCATTTGCCCCTTGACCTCGCACCGCAATGAGGTTTCACACGACGATATGGCCGCTTGATGAGCAGGAAAGGAAGGGATCAAGAGATAGAATAAGGAGAATGAGGGAGAGCGCGTGTTCGGTGTGAATTGACTACGATGGACCTCTTAGATGTACTGCGAAAGCCAGCGGAAGCCCTCGCCGTACCCTTGACGCATGACGACGGAGCACATGAACATCTCAATCGGCCGAATGTCCTTGAGTGGCACCTTGCCCTGATTTAGGTTCACAGAGGGTCAGCATATACTCAAGAGAAGAGAAGGCAGATGCGGCAGACGGAGACACACCTTTCCTGTAGTCTGGTACAGGCCAATGGCTGCCCTCAGGTCCTCCTCCGACACGGCCCTGGGTGCATCAATCTTGTTTCCAAGAATGAGGAAGGGGACCTTGCTCAGCTCCTCGATGCTCAGCAATGCATCGAGCTCGGCCCGCGACTCGCCAAAGCGCTCGTGGTCTTGAGAGTCGACCATGAAGACGATTCCGTCGACCTCTGGGAAGTAGTCCTTCCACAGGCGGCGCGCCTGCTGGTGGCCGCCAAGGTCGTAGGTGGTAAACTTGACAGAGCCGATGGCCAGTTCTTCCGAGGCTGCGAATGGGAGACATTTTTAGTAGAAGGAAGGCTTCCTCGGGCGACAGCGGACTCACTAGGGTGCAGCGTCGGCTGTAGCGTGGCGAGGCGGTCATTCTTGAGCATATGGAGCAACGTCTGTGCCAAAATGATTGAAAGATCAATAAAAGTCCTTCCCTTGCGATAAGACTTGGGAGCAATCGCTGCCAACTCACAGTCTTTCCTGCGTTATCAAGGCCCAGGAAGAGAATCTTTGCGTTCTTGTGCGCAAGACCCAGTTGAGCCAGCACGTCCTGTCGTCCACAGAAAGGGGCATGGAGCGCAGGATGAGCATTTGTTTCTTCTTCGCGCGCATCAAAAAGTCACCAGGCGCAGGCGCTGTCAAGGCGTTCTGATACTCACCCAGAACCAGTCAAGAATCCACATGTTGACCTGCTGATGCGCTTTTGCTCTCTATCTTTCTGCCTTGCTATTCACGATAAAACAATCCCTTGGGTGGACCTCGTTGGCAGTGGCTCCAAAAAGTCGGGGAGGCTCGGTGGAAAGTGAAGGTTCCGAAGAGGAGCCAGGCAGGTTAGCCTTGAAAGCTGACTTGGCGTGGCGAACACTGGCGCTGCCACGCGGGCTGATTAGATAAGCAACGGCTAAAGTTCCCAAAGACAGCTCCCTCCACCCAGATCAGCTCATTTCTTCTCGCGCGCACGGGGTCGGTGGCCATGCAAAGAGCAGCTCGTCTTTTCTTGCGACCCCTATCTGTTCCACCGCTCTCCAGACCGAGCTCTGTAAAGTTTTCCAGTCTGAGAAGAGCAAGGACAAGAATAGCGAGGACGCAGACAAGTGGAACCCAGACCGGTACCATCTTTGCGCGGACCTCCTCCACCATGGCGGCAACGGCAGCGCATACAAACGACCTCATACACGCCTCGTCGCCGTACCTGCTGCAACATGCCCACAACCCTGTGCAGTGGATTCCTTGGTCGCAAGATGCCATTGCGCGGGCCAAAAGAGAGGACAAGATGATCTTCTTGAGCATCGGCTACATGTCCTGTCACTGTGAGTCCTTCCCGTCCTTCCTCCCCAAGGGAACCTGCGCCGATGGCTGACAGTCCAGCTATCTGACAAGGGTGCCACGTCATGGCACATGAATCTTTCGAGGACGAAACGGTCGCCAAGGCCCTCAACGAGGATTTCGTTTGCGTAAAGGTTGATCGCGAGGAACGACCAGACGTTGATTCGGCTTACATGGCCTTTGTCCAGGCCACCTCGGGACGTGGCGGTTGGCCACTCTCGGCTTTTCTCACTTCGGACGGCGAGCCTCTCTTTGGTGGGACGTACTTTCCACCTCCGATGTTCACCGAGCTGATCGAAAAGCTGGTCGGCCTCTGGCGCGACGAGCGGGAAAAATGTCTAAGGAGTGCCGGGGACATTGCCGATCAGCTTAGGGCCATGTCACGGAGCGGCGTTTCAGGCACGGGATGGCAAGACTTGCCCGACGTGGCTGTGGTCCAAAAGGCCGTCAATCATTGGCTCCTGTCGTATGACTCACGCAATGGCGGTAGGTTGTGTCTGCTTTTCAGGCCTTGACTAGCTTATTCATCCTTCTCCTTTCCAAGGTTTCGGTGATGCGCCAAAGTTCCCGTCGCCTCCCAATACGTTTCATCTGCTCCATCGCTATGCTGTCGCCAGCTCATCGGATGTGCTGGCCGCGGCAGGTGCAGGTGTGGCTCAAGGCAGCAAGGCTCTTCAATCATCCGTCTCGACGCTGGCCCGTATTGCTCGAGGCGGTATCACCGATCAGCTCGGCGGTGGTGTGGCTCGATACAGTGTCGATGACGAATGGAAGGTCAGTTCCTCTTTGCCTGTGCGTTCAGCGTAAGACTGATGTCATTTTTCTGCACTTGCAGGTCCCACACTTTGAGAAAATGCTCTACGATCAAGGCCAACTCCTACAGTGCTTCGTCGAAGCTATTCAGCTGACGTCTTCGTCGGATGCCGAGCTGACCCGGGAGCTCAAGGCGACCGTAAAGGGAATCATCGACTACCTCGAGCGAGACCTTTCTCATCCCGAAGGTGCTCTCTATGCAGCCGAAGACGCAGACAGCCTTCCGACGCCTTCCGACGACCACGCCAAGGAAGGGGCTTTCTACGTTTGGCAAGCCTCAGAGGTCGAAGGCGTGCTGGGCAAGGAGACCCCGGAGCTCAAGGTCGCCATGGCCCAGTGGAACATCAAGCTGGACGGCAACATCGACCCCCGTAGCGACCCTCATGGCGACCTCGTCGGCATGAATATGCTCCATGGCACAGCTAGCATTGATACGATCGCAGTGCAGCTGGGCCTATCCAGGGACGAAGCAGCTGCCCATCTTGAGGAAGCACGTCGGAAGCTTTTCTCAAGGAGGCTGCAAAGACCGAGACCGCAGCGTGACGACAAGGTCATTACTGCGTGGAATTTCTTGGCCATCAGCGGCCTTTGCAAGGCCAGCGAGGTCCTCTCGGCAGAGGAGGGTGGTCAAAGGGCCCTCGAGATGGCAAAACGGGCGGCTGCCTTTGTCTTGTCGAAGATGTGGGATGGCAAAGTTCTCCATCGGAGCTGGAGAGAGGGTAAGCTTGGGCCGGAAGGCTTCGACGTCGATTACGCCTTTGCTGTTCAAGGGTGAGATAACGAGCCGTTGTTCATCTCTTGCTTGCGAACACCTGGGCTGACCTTCGTTCCTCTCCCAGACTGTTAGATCTGTACGAAGCAACTTTTGATCCATCGTATTTGCATCAAGCGTTGGCGCTACAACGGTCCCTCGACGAGCATTTCTGGGATGCAGAAGGGCCCGGCGGCTATCTCATCTCGGCTTCGCACACCGACGGCAACATCCTCGGCCGCCAGCGAGGAGACCAAGACGGCGCAGAACCAACGAGTAGCAGCGTCTCCGCACACAACCTCTTGAGGCTCTCCTGGCTCATCAGCGATCTAGATCAGCGCCTCGGCATCGACGCAAAGGAAAGAATCGCAAAGTGCATCGCGTCGAGCAGCTTGCTGCTTCAGAGAGCCCCCCATGCCATTGGAACGAGGATGACGGCGTGCTTGCACGCGAGGCTGGGCCCTGTACAAGTCCTAGTGGTGGGGCCCAAAGACGCCGAGGAGACCAAGGCGCTCATCACGGCGGTTCGGAAGAGATTCTTGCCAAGGAGGGCACTTGTTCTCGTCGACACGACCAAAGGTGCACAGGGAGCCGAGAATGAACTTGGCGAAGAGCTGGCGCAGGGAAACGATGCCGTCAAGACGACATTGGCAGGCCTGAAGGAGGGCTCTTATGCGACAATTTGCAGTGACTTTACATGCGGTCTGCCCATCACGAGTCCTGATGAACTGGATTCGCAACTTGTCAAATATTAGACTCATGGATTGTAATTGCAATTGATGGATGATGCCCACCCTCACAGCTTCGCCTGAGCACCGCGCTCATTGAGAAACTTATCGATGGACTCAGCCCAAAATTCCGGGCTGAAGTAATCATGCCAAAAGTGACCGTACTGATCCGACGGCGTCGGAATGCGCTTCGCGTGCTTGATCCCTTTTTGAATCAAGTCCGACTCGGAGAAGGCCACCATTCGGTCGAGCTTGCCATGGATGATAAGCACAGGCAAGCTGGCCGGCACACGTTCGAGCACGCCTCCTACGTTGACCGGGGCAATGGCGCCGGACTGGAGAAGGATGATCGACTGTGGTCGACGGCTGTCGAGGGCCGTCTGAATACGACTTTGGAAGAGGGCGTCGTTGGACGAGAGAAATGTCGGGTCGTACTGGTACTCCATCATGGTGGTTGTGATGATTCTCTTTCCTTCTTGCCTCGACGATGCCTGCGAGGCTCTCTCCATTCTGCCAATTTCGTTCCTAAGCTTGGTTGTGCAAATTAAAAAGGAAACCAGGCCTGCCAGGACTCACACTGGCTCCATCTTCTTTGGGTGGAAGTCGCCACGGGGCATTTTCGTCATGGTCGCGGCAAGCACTGCTCTGGAGATATGTATGCCCATGAGGTCAATTCCGCCTTCCGAAGAGGGCTTGGCATCGTCGAGGGTGAGGAGAACCTGCGTAATGAGGCCACCCATGGACCAGCCTAAGAGATTGATGCGCTTGAACTGCGGCCCGAGACTCCCAACAACGCGCAGCACATCGCGACCCATCAGCTCCAGCGACAGATCCTCGTCCCAGTGGGGAGGTGCCTGTGACTCTCCGATGCTGTTGGTTCACCGTCTTGAGCATCAGCGGCAAAGCGCGGATGAGGAGAAGAGGGAGCCGCGAAGCTTACCCGCGATGATCGACGAGAAGTACCGTCCGGCGTTTGCCAAGCTCAGTCGCGAAGGGGTACCAGTCTTCCATTGTGGCTGACAGGCCCGTTATCATTCTGGTGTCACCGTCAGCCAGTATGCCACCTGAGACGAAAGATGACAGCTTGCAATACTGAATCAGGCAACTCACACGAGCGGCTCTGTCTTTTGATGCTCGGCACCAAGAATCCGGTAGGCTGACTTTGTGCTGCGGATCTCTTGTCTTCAGCGTCATGCCAACGGCGGCGCTTCTTTGCAGCAATGCTCACCCATCCTCAGACTGGAAAAACTTCGTCGCCATCCTTGAACCTATGCTTCGGTTCCTGGAGGATCTTGAGGAAGGCAGCTAGCTATCTGCTCCCCACAAAGGTAGCCGAAAGCTGTCCTTTCAAACGCGTCCTCCACCCTCAGCGCGAATTTTTCCGGCCTGTAATTACTACCGACTTGCGGCGGTATGTCTCAGTCAAAGAGCGCCAATTTCAAGCAGTGGAGTTCTTCGTACGAGAACGCGGCAGATTCGCGCCCATCAGACCATGATACTTTGATGATTGTGAAACCGGCTCAAAGCAAATTTGACAATTGCGAGCCTGGAGAAAGAGGTACAGCATGCCGCTCTCTTGACGAGCGAGCGAGGTGTGCTACGTGGGAGGTGCTAGAGAAGAAGTATGCTACGTGGAGAGTGTGAGAACTTGAAAACGAGTCATGTCTTTCCGTCATCATGGGGCAAAGTCCCTAGGTGTGAGATTTTCTCAGGCCGTGAGGCCGTAGACTGCAAGAAGCTTGCTGAAGTTTGGCGTGCCAAGACCGCTGGCTGGGTCCCAAGACGTCTTTGCAGGGAATCCAAGATTCGTGCTTCCACAGCCGTTGGACGTGCCCGTCGTGAGGTCGTTGAATGCGCTTGGCTTCGCGTAGATGTTTGGGTTGAGCCAGCCCACATTGCCCTTTCCAGCCTTGCGACGGGCATCGTTGAGAAGCGCAACGATGCTGGCAAACGTTGGTGCTGACGCCGAAGTACCGCCGACGGTCTGCTCCACGCCGCTCGATCGAACAACGTACATGGATCCCTGAGCGCTGACGTCGGGCCACGCACGACCCGTAGTGTTGAAGTCACCGGCATCCTGCGTGCCGAGAGCGGTGAGGTACTGCGGGACGAGGGTATTCTGGAACGAAGGTCGGGGGAAGATGTTGCTGAACGCTGCGCCGCTGTAAAAGCCAGCAAGCGAAGGGTCTGTGGGCATCTCTGGCGCAAAGTTTTGCGTAGCACCCACAGACGTAATGTAAGGGCAACCGCCAGGGTACGTGGGAACGAAAGGAGGGCAGGTGTCGCCACTCTGGCCACCGACACCGTTGTCGCCCGAAGAAAGAACGATGGTGGTACCGAGAGCAGTGAGCTTCATGGCGGCGTTGCACATTGCGTTTGCTTGTGCGGGCGTGCTGCCGCTTTCGTCTGCGCCGTAGGAGATCGTGTAGACGCCCGGCTTGCCGTACTTGGCGTAATTGTTGGCAATATCACTGAAGGCCAGTTGGAAGATGTCGCCCTGTGTAAGCTGGTTTCCGTAGTTGTAGAAGGTCGACTTGAGCGGGTATGTCGCTGCAACAACGGTCTCCGTGTCAAGCATCGCCTCAATGCCGGGAAGAATTGGGAGGTTGAAGGCTCCTGCGGTGTTGATGACGGGCATCTGGTACGAAGCAGCATCGGGGCGGTACGACTTCAAGAAGCCCGTCAGGTCCGACTGGGAGAATGACTGGCCGATGAAGCCAGCAATGAAGACGTCGACGGTGCTTCCAGGCGCAGGCTTGTAATTGACGGTGCCATACAGATTGCGGAGGCAGGCGGGCGTCACCTTGGCCGTGGAGCAGCTTGCAGGAGCCTGACGGCGTTCGAGTTCTGCCAACATTTCGCGCTTCTCGGCGGGTGTGATGATGTTGCGCTTCTTGATGGGCGAGACGCTGGCGACTGCCAAAAAGTTTGTGAAAGGCTGGACGAGGCTGTGAGGGTATTGTGAGCGGTGCATGATGGCTGAGAATTTTCGAACGAGGCACTCACTGGACAGCGCTAGAGATCTCCTGCGGGATGGTGTAGGACTTGGTTCGCGGAACAGTCTGGCCGTTGACCTTGTACGAGCTGAACTTGGCTCCAAAGAGCTGAGCGGCTTGTCCAACGGTGGACTGAATCGTGACCTCATCCTTGAACACGTTGTAACTGACAGCTGAGTCGGGGATGCTCTGTGCCTTGAGGTAGTTCTGTACCGCCGTCAGGGAGTCTTGCGAAGGAGCGGCATACGAAGAGACTTCCTCGACGCTCAGGGGGTTGCCGTCCGAAGCGGCAATCTCATTCATGCGAGCGGCGAGTCCGTCCAAATTAGCCGAATTCAGATGCATAGTGAATGTGTAGGGTGTCGAGGAGACTGCATCTCCGATAAGCTGAAAGGCATTGGGAATAACCGCGGGTGCGTTGAGCACCGAGCCGATGAGTCCCGATGGTGCAGCGGTGACGATGCCAGCAAGGGCAGCCAGGAAGGGAGCGTATTTCATGTTAGAGCTTGCGGAACAAGTCCTCGAACAGGTGGGGTAAAGGGGATAGAGGGGGAGGTGGGTGAAGAGAATCGGATGATCTCTCACACCAACACTTCATTATATAGCACTTGCTTATCCCATCCCAAGGAGGCAGCTTGGCGGCATCATCCGGCAGTGTCTTTGGAAGGACGTTACCTTATCGCAGCTCTAGAAGTCTTTCAGCGGTTCGCTGTATCATCCTTCTAACGCCGTTTGACACTAAGACAATTCTGCAAATAAATCGATGGGCGCTAGCCAAATAAATTGATATTTCCTATTTGGGATTTCTGGCCGAGGTCCCCACACTACCTCAATCTTGCAGATTTTGGATTCACAAGGACAGAGTAAGAGGGCACTTGCGGAGCTCTGAGCCTAGTGACCGGCGGATGGTCCCGCTGCGACACTGGGAACCGGTCTCTGATCCCACTGTGAAGTCTCAGCTAACTCCCGAGGCCAGGTCTCATAAGGTTTTTGCGTGTCCGTCTGCTGCACAGATGGTGTGCGATGGCAAGACCATTACTTTTCTTGTGACAGGCGCTGCCCTGGTACCTTGGATTACATTTGCTTCCACCGCCACATGGTTCCTTCTTGCCTCCTCACGTCACAGTGCTGTCCGGCCGACTCTCTTAAAATGCAATTCTACGCAGGCGTTACTTGTCGATGACGAGCTCGCCGACTTCGCCGTACTTGTCCCGCCGAAAATCCGGGCCCTGCCATCGATCGGTTCTTACTCCGCTACCAGCTCCGACATGGTGCGAACGTGCAGCGTTTATGGTAATTAGTGGGTCAGGGAACCTCTGAGAGACCTCGCTTCTGTTGTTGCTGTCGCCCATACCCCGAACCGCCTGGATCTCATGAGAGACGGATATACAGAAGGCAATTCACAACCCCTCGCATTGTTCAGTCCTGTGTAAAGTCACCCTTCATGAAGCAAGCGTCGATGCTGTTCTAGAGGTACGTTGATGCAAGCTAGGCTATTTTAGTACTATATCTTCTAAATTTTCTCTTTATAAACGGGTGCGTTGATAGTGTAGCGGTTATCATTTTAGCCTTCCATAGTTTACATGTATAGATACATGCTTGGTAGAGCTGAAGACCGGGGTTCGACTCCCCGTCAACGCATTTTTTTGTGGAATTGGAATTGGCCCACAGATTTAGGAAAAGACGTGTAGTCCCTATTTGTGATATCGTTGGAAAATCGTCGTCGTCGGAGCGTCTTTGAGCCACGTGTCTATCGGTGCACGGCCTATCCGGTTCACACGCGTGCTCCTCCCCGAACGAGCCTTTGGCTCGTCCTTGATGTACTTCTTCCTTTATCTAAGTGCTACTCAATCTTATTGGCAACACCCTCGACTTCAGCTACGTCTGAGAGGGCACCGATCGGTGCGCGCGCAGCGCGCAACGATTGTCGGCGATGGCACCGATCGCGGAGCGATCAGTGTCGCCGAAGGGAGTGATCTCCCTTTGAAACAGATCAGGCAGTTCGGGCGTACTATACAGCCCCAGCCGGAGGCCTTCGCTGACGCTCCGGCGCCCCGTTGAGGATTCGCAGCGATCCCAGTACTTCCTCGCTAATCGTACGCTCCGCCGTGGTCGCCTCCGGCGACCACGTGGTTACCGCTGCGCCCGAATTCTCAACTCACTTTGCTGTGTCTGCGCACAGAGCATCGTAGTTGGTCATGATTAAGACCGGGCTTTGGCTTTCCTTTACCGAAGCTGCCTCACCTGCTCACGCTTATCTCTCCTGCTCTCTTACGCATCAAAAGTAAAGGGATTCGTGAGAGTCTCTGAATTGATTCGCCGTTTCATGATACATTTGGCTTCCACTGACCGAGTTACGCCGCTAAATGTGGCGTCGTCGGAGGGCGGTACAAAGGGAGAAGGAATTTACAGAGAGAGCGGCGAGTGTTAACCCTCAATTGCCGGGGTTTGGAGAAAAGCGGCTTGCAGCTCTCGCGCAATCTTGATTTTAGGAGCGCCAGTGCTAAAGTGAGACGCCGTACCAGAGCTTTCCTTTGGATTGGACCAGTGGTAGTAGCACAGACAACATCTAGTTTCCTACATTGAAGGTTGAAGCTCGAGGGATCTTGCCCAGGTCGGTCCGGTTGCTCCAGGGTTTCATGTCCGGCAGCTTTTTCCTCTTCTTCTGAAGCCTTTCGCTGACGTCGAGGACTTTCTGAAAGACTCGCAGAAAGTTGCCGCTCGCCAATCCCGCCAGCTCGTTCTCTGACCAGCCGCGCTTGGCAAGCTCCGCAAAGAGGTTGCGGTACTTGGACACATCGTCGAGGCCCTCGATGCCCGGAGGGAGAAAGCCGTCAAAATCGGACCCGATGGCGACACGACTCCTGCCGGCGAGTGCCGCGACGTGTTCAACGTGGTCGGCAACGCGAGCGACCGTCTGATCAGGGGCCGAGCCGACAAAGTCGGGCAGAAAGGGGATGCCGCTGAGAGAACGTGTCAGTGAGTCCAGAACGCAAGCAACAGAAAACACCATGCAGTATGTTTTGGTCAGACTCACACGACTGCTTCGTATTGCCCCTTGCCTTCGCTGATGGACGTCAGGATGTCATCGGGAACATTACGGATGTGGTTGTAGATGGAGCGGGCGCCGCTGTGGGAAAAGATGACGGGGGCCTCTGACCGCGCAAGGGCCTGGCGGGCTGTGTCATCGGAGGTGTGGCTGAGGTCAACGATCATTCCGAGCCGATTCATCTCGTCAATGAGTCTTAGTCCGTACGCCGAGAGACCTCCGTGAAGGGGCGCACTCGTTTCGTTGGTTGTCGAGCCGGCACTGTCCGCGAACGCATTGTGGCAGGTGTGCGTCAGCGTCAAATACCGCACGCCGAGCTCATGGTAGAGGCGGAGCGAAGCGAGGGAGTTGCCAAGCGAATGTGCACCCTCGATGCCAATCAGGTGTGAGATCTTATCGGAGGCAAAGTTGGAGCGGACCGACGCGGGCGTCGTGGCCAGGGCTACATCTTGGGCAAAGTAGTCGGGCAGGCGCCTTGTCAGGTCAATCTGCTCCAATGTGTCGCGCACAGAATCAGTGGGCGAGAGAAAGCCGTCGCCGCCGTCGCTCTTGCACTCCACAAAACTGCGTATATTGGTGGCCCGCTGCGAGAGTCAGCGTCGCGCAGGGTCGACTTTTTTGCTGCTGCTTGTGCACTCACGCAATGGAGAAGAAGCCGGCACTCTTTCCCCTGCGGAGTCGGTCGAGGTCCACGGCGCCTGGCAGCGTACCCGAGTAGTTCACTTTCGACAGGTTGTTGGAGTACAAGATGCGCAACACAATCGGCAGGTCGACGTGCAGGTCGATCAGCGGGTGCTTCGACAGGACGGCCTTTTCGTTCCGCGTCAGCCGCACGCGGGCATGATGATGCATGGCGACTCTCAGTCCGACGACTCACCTCAGGAGAAGCTTCGAGGAGGAGCGGCACCAGCAGTGAGCGCAAGGCAAGGCCCACCTTGGCGGCCAGCTGAAAGGCGAGCATGGCGTTCTATTTCGAACGTGCTGTTCCGATTTCTCCGCTTTTACCTTTTTGTTCAGTTAGTGTCGTGTAGTACTACTACTACTGTGTGAGGTGGAGAGACGTCAAGCCAAAAGCAGCAGAGCCAATCTCTAGCCACTCAAGACGGTCGCGCTAGTAGTAGTAATACTTCTGCACTTTCCCCACCTTGCCGATCCGACACGGTCCAAGGGCCGCTTCACTTTTCGAGACACCGTTTCGAAGGGCCGCGAAAGAAGAACGTTCGTTGTCGGGTAAGGTCCGGCAAGATGCAGAGCTCCAACGTTGCGGGCCATGTGCGGCCATTGCCGTCGCCTTCCTCGGCATCCACGTCTGCCTCGCCCTCGACGTCCTTGCACCACGTCTTTGCGGATGCGAGAAATCCGCACATGCAATCACACCTCTATGCTTCCCAGTCGTCTTTGTCGTCACCCTCGCAGCAGCAACAACCGCAGCTGCAACACCACTCGCAATCGCAGTACCACCAGCCATATCCGCACGCGCATCACTCGATGCTTCCGCTCCAGCAGCAGCAGCAGCAGCAGCAAAATTCACAGCCGCAGAACCCGCAGCATACTTATATGACACCTGCCATGTATGCTGCCCACCATGATGCAACAGGAAGTCGGCCGCCGACATGGAGGTCATCATCGGCTCAGCAACAGCAGCAACAGCAGCAACAGCAGCAACAGCAGCAGCAACCACATCAACAACAGCAACAATCACAAAATCGAGGTTCGTTTGCTGTGCCATCATCGATGGGTGCGCCCATGCCGTTCGCCTCGCAGATGCGCTTTGCACCAGCAGCTACATCCAGCGATGGACCATCCACACAAGCTGCTGAATGGTCGGCGCAGCGCCCAAACAGCGTCGCGATCCGACCGCAAGCGTTGCCGCCGCAAGAGGTAGTCAATGGTGATCCTAACCACCTCGGTCCCGCTCCGCTGCGCAGGGGACAAGCTTGCAAGGCTTGTCGGAGGCGGAAGCTGCGGTGCGACGCCGTGAGGCCCGTCTGTGGGACCTGCACCAGGTCCAGAGCCGCTGCTGCGTCGGCAAACCACGCCTCGCCGGTGCCCGATGGCGACTGTATCTACGACGATGGTCCAATCACTCTTCCCTCTCTCTCTTCTTCGTCCCCCTCTTCCATTGCACCAACAGCGGCAAACGGCACGTCAAATGCGCATACGCTCGGTCAGCAGAGGAGGGCGAGCGCCAGCCACACGTCGCCCTCCTCATCCACCTCGTCGGTCCCTCACGAACAGCTACCGTTTACCCGGCCGACGGGTGAGGAAACGATCAAGAAGCGAAAGAAGCGCAAGACACTCGACGATGCTGCTGCTGCCGCTGCTGCTGCTGCTGCTGCTGTTGCTGCGTCTTCCTGGCGATCAGCGGATACCTATTCGCCTCCTTCAGTGCCCCCCACGGTGCCCGTTGCGGGCGAGACGATTGAAGAAAAAGCCGCAAGGCTCGAGAGGGCCGTGCGATACCTCGAAGGCCTCCTGGAAAAGTCGGTGATCAAGGACGAACTCGTCGACGAACCAGATATAGCGACTCAGCGGAGCGAGAGGGAATCGCACGCTGGGACAAGCAACGGCACGAAGGGCAAAGGACGAGAGAGGGGGGCGACAATTTCGACGCCTGCCATTCCCGTCTCTCGACTGCTGTGTATCCAGGAGGACTCGGGAAAGAAAGAAAACATCATGTTGCGATATACGCAGCGCTCAGCCGCAAAGACGTCGTCGCCATCCACGGGTCAACGAGACTCGCCCGAGCTGCCCTCGTCGCAGGACCTCTTCGGCCTGGGCGAAACCGAGGTCGACAAGGAGGCCAGGGTGCGAAGCGAACTCAATCACCTTTCGGAGAACGCGTTGGGTCAGCCCGACCCGATTCGAGAGATTTTCTTTCCAGGATGGAGCGTCGATCTGCCAAGTTTGGATACGGTGTTGACCCTGTGTGAGACGTGTGAGTCCTACAAAGCATTTGTCCCAACCTCTTTCCTTTCCACGGCGCTAATTTCGGCTGCAGTCTTTCGTCTTCACCCGCTGCGGAGCCTTGTCTACAAGGAGTCATTCATGTCAGGATGTGAGTACCATTCCAGAGCTTCGTGCATGCCTCTTCAGATCGTCTGATCGATCGGCCCAAAAGTGAGACGACCGCCTAAGCATCCCAACCGGCCTCACGACTCCCTGATCCACGCCATCCTGGCCGCGACCTTTGACATCTCGCCCTTGTTTCAGACGGCTCCTATGCGCGCGTATGACCGTTCGCAGGGCCAGGGCGACCACTTCTGTCTCATGCTTGGCGACGGCCCAATGCGGGCTAAAGACAACAACGCCCTGTTTCCCGATGGCAGCTTCAAGAACTTCCATCTGGCAAAGGCAAGAACCAAGGTTGAAACGAGTCTCATTACCGAGTCTCGCAATCCTCTTGACTGGATCTTAGCCTGCATTCTTTCGACTTATCAGCTATGGAGCGACGCTCGCATCACCGAGTCCTACTTTCTCAGCGCCACCATCTCCCGATCGCTTGCCCCCGCTGGCCTGGACAAGCTGCCTCACTTTGTCGAGGAGGGCGATGCGGCAGAAAATGCTCCGGGTCTGTTTGGCGTACCCAAAGGCATCGAGGAAGACGAAAGGCGGATGGCCCTCTGGCATACCTTTATCATCGACATGATTACTGGTGGTTCAATGCGCTTCTATGAGAACTGCATCTCTGAGCAGGCTGTCACGGCAAATTTGCCAAACAAGGTCGAAGACTACCAGGCAGGCAGGAGCGGGCCGCCCAACGAGCAGACACTTGCCTCGCCAGACCTCTTCAGGGTTGGTCACCTGGACGACTTTACCCTCCACATCAAGTCGTCCATCCTCGTTCGCCGAACAATGACGCTGCACTGCCGCAATCAGGCCGGCGATGCAAAGCATAAGAAGCCAGCAGCCCTTTCGCTGATCGACAAGAGCATCTCGGAGCTGCTTGCGGCCTTTCCCCCGACCGATGACTATTCCCAGCCAGAGACATTGTCGGTCGATCGGCTCATGGCGCATGGCAACGTCCAGCTCGCCATGATCCACCTCCACGAGCCGTATCTCAGCATGGCCTACCCGGCATCGTATTCAAACCAGCGCGTGCAGCTGGGCGTCCGCAACATTCTCAACGTCATCCGCCAGCTTTTGGGCTCCCATCTGAATTTTGCCCTTTTGCATGCGCAGCTCTACATCGTCTGGTCCGTCGCAGGCCGAATGCTGGGCAAACACCTCGAGCATCTCAACCGCAGCGGCGCAGAGGGTGGAGAAGGGGGAAAGGCGCTCAACGAAGGAGAACGAGAGGAGGAGCTGCAGAGCGTCACGCAGAGCTTGGATCTTATCATTTCTGCGCTCCAGCGGGCTGGCGAAAAGAGTCTCAAGGCCAAGAGGTGCTATGAGCTTTTGACATACATGCGCAAGGGCTTGCTGAGCGAGAGCGTCCTCTAGTGAGTCGGGTGTGCAACCTCCTTTTATATTTCACGAGCGGTCTACTGATTTCTGTCCCTCAAACAGCGAGCTATTGTACACGGACGGTGTGATTCCGGCCGAAGAAGCCGACAGTCACCGGGCGAGCGCGACGTCGGACTCTCAAAGTCAGCAGCAAGACCTCGATCTGACGGGCTTGTCTGGTGGTAGCGACAGCAGCGGTGGGGGAGGTGCCGCGGGCGCAGAAGCCAGCCTCGACCTGTCGCTCATGATGGATCCGTCTGCCGGTGACATCAGCTCGACGATTCCCCGGCATCATCAATCCCACCAACACCCGGCCGTTGCAGCGGCTTTCTCGTCGTCGAACCAGAACCACAACATGGTCTCGCCAGACATTGTCTGTACGATGGGTTTCGATTCAGCCAATCCCTTTTCGTCTGTCAGCAACGGGAGCCACTATCATCATCACGACCAAATACAACCCCGCGCTCAAGGGCAAAACCACAGCCAGTGCCACGGCAACGGTCACGGGCAGGGCGACGTCAAGGTCGAAAGCGAACAGCAATTGCAAGACATGATGATCGATCCAAGCGTTCATCTCTCTTAAAATCCTCCGGGTTCCCTTACCTTTCTTTGCTTTTCCTTGTTGGCCACACTTCGCTCTTTCGATTGTACAAGAGTATACTCAGTCGTCCAAGGCACTCTCCAGTCAAAAGCTTCCTGTGAATAGCTGCGATTTCGTTGTACTCTAGGCACTCCAACAAGTTTATTCATTTGCCTTCGCTGGCATTCCGATCTACTTTGCCGAGCTTATTCGGACGACAGAGAATGATGCGAAGAGAGAGTAAGATGCATACTGTAGACTGTAGACTGCAGACTGCTAATTGGTACCCGAGCCCTGAGCTGCCCGGGCAAGCCTTTGTTTGAGGTCGCCGGCTCGAGGACTAGCTGGCGAGGACGGCGAGGAAGGAATGTTGGTCGCCGATGCTGTACCAGCCGACGGGGAAGAGATTGGTCCCGATGCTGCACCAGCTAAAGCAGGCTGCTGCTGTTGCTGTAGGCTTTCTTCGAGTTCGCCTGGCTCAGGTACATAGTCCCTTTCGACGATCTCGACAAGGACGGCTCTTCTGATCCATCTCCTTCTCCTGGTATACCTCCCCATACCGGCCTTACGGCTCATCTTCTCCCACCCATTATCGCCGTACTGCCATCCTTCGGCATCGACGTCGAGCAGAGTCAGGTCAGAAGGCAGGACATCGGAAGTGGCCGTAGACGATTGCCGCCGGTCCTTTTTGGTGCCGTTGCCGGCAGCGGCCGTTTCGGTCGTGGTGCTCGACGCATCGTCATCGACTGTCGAGGAGGCACTGCTGGCAGACTGGGAGAACAGGGTGCTCGAGATGGAGCTCGATCTTCTCGCACCGTTGGTCGAGGAGAGCGAAGGCGAACCCGGCGGGGATGACGTGGACAAAGACTGATCGGCTCCAGTGCGACTGGCGGCCAGGACAGGAAAGCCGTCTCTTCCCGCCACGGACCACTCGGCGTCGATCCACTGCCATCGCACGAGCCTTCGGACGTGCGACCGTGGGCTTGACGACGTCGGCGTCGGCTTCAGGGTCACACGGGCAGGAGGGAGTGAGAATGACGAGGGAGGCGAGACCGGGTTGTTCGATTCGTCGGACCAGCTGGGCCTCTCCTGGGGCAGCAGCGCGGCCGTCCAGTCCAGTCCGACCCACCAACGCTGATTCTCAAAGACGGTGAACTGGTAGACGACATCCTCATGCCTCGTAATGTTGTCTGCTGCCCGTTCCTCCTTCTTGGAACCCTTCTTGCTCTTTCCATCTAAGACGATGCCCTGTGCAGCCGAGTGGAATGGATCACGGTCTGCATCGGGACCAAGGTGTACAAAGTGGCCTTCGTACCCAGTCGATGTCCAGCTAAGGAGGGCGATGGTGTTGCGCGTAACTCTTCGGACCATGGCGCTGCGCCAGAGTGCATGCCGGATCAGGGCCAGCCAGGGCGAGCACCAAGTCAGAGCGAGGGTGCCAACGACGAGGAGCAGGTGCCGGACGGAAAGCGAAAAGAGGGGAAAAGGCGGTACGATAGTGAGCCCTGCAGAGGACACGCGCGAAGATGGCGTTCCAGGGAAGAGCAAAGACCAAGCGCGGGCTTGGACAGGTGCAACGTGGGCCACATAGAATGTCCTTGCCCTCTCAAGATGGACGGTGGCTTGGTCGACGCGGGCAAAGAGAGCGGGAGACTTCTTCTCGAAGAGGTCGACGAAATTGACAAAGTGCTGTTGAGCATGTGGAGCCACCACAGCCATCAATCGTTGAAGACTGTGACGGAGCCACGACCCTAGGCCCAGACCAATGCGAGGAAGACCCAGGACGTCCCAGAGGTCGGTGCCAAAGCAGAGAAGCCAGATGGGCCATGTTGTGACGAGGAGGACAGCCACGGTACGTGTTTGGGCAGGAGATTGCCAGTCCAAGAGCGAAAAGACTGGCCCAAGAGCCGTCGTGGAGAGTGTCGAGACAAAGTCGGCGAGGACAGCGAGGTCGGCAAGGGTCGCGTTGATCGAGTCCGATGAGGCCACGCGTTTGGCGGCTGGAGCAGAGGGCGCTGCACCGTAAAAGGCACGCTTGAGACCATTGTAGGCAATGACAGTCAAGAGTATGGCCTGTGGTGCGTAGCGGAGCGTCTGGTAGCCGTAAAGGCACAGTGCCCACCAACCCAAGACTAGAAGAAAGCTGTGAGATGCTGTGCCCGGCCCGCCGGTCCAGGTGGCCAGCCGAACAAGCTGAGCCGATGCCGTCACGAGTGGTCCAAGAAGCACAAGGAGCCTGATGAGCGCTGTCGGGTATTGCGACAGGATGCTAGTGTCGGAGGCAGCCAGGTCGTGGACATGCCAGGAAGTTGGCCGCAGGGGCTCGGCTGCCGGACCTTTGCCGCCGGATGTGGTCCCAGCCCCAGGCGACCGCGTCGCAGCAGAGGTGGCCATTTCGTCTTGCCTCTGTTGCTGCCTCTGATACTGTTTGCGGGTGTTGCGCGCCTCGTGGACTGCGGACAGATAGACGTCGTTGATCTAGACGAGTTACGTGGTCAGTGCTCCACTTTTCGCACTTTTCGCACCTGACCAGCACTCACCGGTAGATCAACGGCTGCCATGAACCACGGTTTGGAATGGAAAAAAAGAGGCCTTCTCTCCCTGCGCTCTGCACTGCACACTGCAAGACTGAGGGGAGGGGAAGGGGACGAGGGTAAGAAGGAAGAAGAGCGACTAGCTGTCGACGGATGAAAGTGGGGAAACCGAAGCCGAATCCGACTTTCACGTCTCATTCATTCTTAGGCCAACACGTGGCGAAGATTGGTACCTCACGGTCAGCATGACTTCTTTGCAACCTCGGATAGCACCCTATCAGTCCGCTGGAGCTCCACTGCCTCGGACGTCACAATGAAGCGATGAAGGGGGCGGAGAGATCGAAAAGTACAAGCATGAACAGGTATGCCCTTTATATCTACACAGTGGTTGAGACACGTTTAAAGATGGTACTCTACGAAGCGTCTGGCAAGTAGTCCTCATAGTCTGACTCCGTCAGCTCGTAAGCCCAATGGAAGAGGGTCTGACGGACTGTAATGTAGAATGAGAAAAAGGCCTGAGAGACAAACTCGAAGGTACAACTTACCAACTGGGGACACACTTTCGTCGTCCCAGGTCGCATGCGATCGAACAATCTTGCTGACTAGGCTCCTCTTGAACCTGCCTGCTGGTCCGCACGCTTTTTGCCATCTTCCAATCTGCCTCGCATCATCCTTGCTCCTCCTTCCTAGGTAGAAGCGAAAGTACCACTGCCACCATCCCCTAGGATCCTGCCGCTTGATCCAACCATTATTCTCCCATTCCTCCAATGTCTGCCCTGCCTTGACGCCGTATCGATTGACGGAAGGGTCGTAGTCTGGCGAAGTCAGCTCATGACTAGCATCAAGCTCGGCATACCACGATTCAGGGAACTCGGAGAGATCGTCAGTCGACTCGAGCTTGCGATGGAGTACAGCAGATCGATATGGTCGAAAGGCGGTCCCACCAAAGACTCCACCACGAAGCATCTCCTCTGGTGTGACGTTTGGTCGAAAGTGTCGGTTGGCATTCTCAAATATGAGTGTTCCTTTACCCTGCTTGCCGTCCCGAGGCGGCTCACGAGAGGGAAGAGGCTGACGCGGAAAGTCATTTCCTTCTTCGTCGCTCTCCGCATTCGGGTCACCATTTCCCACTGGATCGCCTCCTGGTGCCGTGGGATTCTTTAGTCGCTTTAGTACATCAGTATATGAGAGCGCATTTGTATGCATGATGCTGCCCCTTGGCTGCGCGTCTCTGCGCCTGCGGACCCTCCTGGATTTCGAGGACCCGCCTTCCTCGTCACTCCCCTCTCTCGAAGACGAGGGCGCCCATGCATCTCCTCCTTCAGAGTCGTCGGTGTCCACCTCTTCGTACCTCTTGCGGCCTTCAGCGTGCCTCGCCGACTTGCGAAACCCCTCCCTAGGGGGAGGTTTCTCTCGCTTTGGTTGGCTCATCTGCTTGCGCATCTCCTTGTTGGTATCCGACTCATTGTATGAGCGACGTGGTCGATCGGCGAGTCTGGAGGAGGATCTTGAAGGCTCGGCATCTGGAGTCATTTCAGACGGCGACCGTTTTGACGCTCGAGCTCTCAGGGATGCCGACGTTGGCTTTGGTTTCTTCTCCGACTAAGAAGGACCAAAATCAGCCCCGCATTTACCCTCGCGACCTAGGCCAGACACTCACCCCCAGTCCTAAGCTCTCCATCAGCTCAGCGTTTGCTCGCATGTTCTCGAGCCTTATCTTTTCGTAGTCATCCTCGTCTTCGTCCATCTTGGCCTCGTTCCTATCCTTCTCCTCTTGACTTGTTGGTTGTTGCCGTGCAACTTCTCCACCTACGCCAGACAGTCCTTCGAACGCGTCCAAAAAGCGCGAGCTTACCTAATCGATTCCGCTTCACGTGAGCAAGAGACGAAGCGCCATCCATCCATTCCGACCAAGATCGATTCTTCCTTCGTCGACGACAAAAGCCAGGCCCTCACGATGTTTTGCGCAAGTAAGTGTGTTCCTTCTAATGATTCTGTAGAGCATCATAGCTGAAGCACAGGCCTTCAAAGTCTCGGGCGAACCACCAAAGGTCCCCGTCGTGTCGAGAAAGAGCGGCCTTGTGTACGAAGAGCGGTTGATCAAGGAGTACATTTCGCGCAATGGAAAGGACCCAGTGACGGACGAGGAGCTCAGCGAAGACGACCTCGTTGAGGTCAAGGCCAGTGAGTATCGGTGAGGGTGTTCGCCCGAAAAGATGAACAACCTATCATAAAAACACAAATATCAACTAGAAGGCTGTTGATGAGCTCCCCTTCGGGGTGTGTTGATTATACGTGATGCGTAGCTGATCGTGGATTCTCTTATTTGGCCTTATTGGGTGCACCTTACTGATACGATGAACGAATCTCGCAGACCCAAAGACCGCCGCTCCTCGACCACCAAACCACAGCTCGGTGCCGTCGCTGCTAGCCTCGCTACAGAACGAATACGATGGCGTCATGTTCGAGATGTTCGAGCTGAAAAAGGCCTACGATAACGTTCGTCAGGAACTTGCCCATGCCCTATACGCCAACGATGCTGCCAACCGCGTCGTAGCCCGGCTGATGTGGGAAAGAGACGAAGCGAGAAGCGCTTTGGCCAACATCAAGGGTACCTTGGGTGCAGGCGTCGGGACAGCAGGGACAGCGGAAGATGCCGAGATGGTCGATGGAGCGGGAGCAAGAAACGGGGCAGAAGCTGGTCTTTCAGAGACCGTCGTCGCGAAGATTGATTCGACGCATCAGAGACTTTCGTCGCAGCGCATGGCGCGGAGGAAGCGGAAAGCCGCTATCCCGGGTTATGCCATTGCAGGCGACGTCAAGGCATTTGGGCAGTCCAGCGTCCTCTCCTCGATGCATTCGACCAAACCACCTGGAGTCTCAGCACTTGACATTTCCATCGACGGCAAGTATCTCCTGACGGGCGGAAACGATAAACAAGTTCAGATCCTGGATCGAACAACGGAAAAGACGGTCGCAACACTCAAGGGGCACAGCAAGAAGATTACCAGGGTCGCCTTTGCGTATGGAGCTCCTTTCGATGACGACGACATTTTCGGGCCGCCGCTGGCACAGAGCAAAGCGGGGGCGCCCAAGTGGGCCATCTCGGCAAGCGAAGACAACACGGTCCGAGTGTGGTCGTTGCAAGGAGAGGGTGCGAAAGTCTCATACGCGCTCGCCCACACTTTGACTGGCTACAGCGCAGCCGTCACTGGCCTTTCTGTGCACCCATGCGGTGACATTGTCGCCTCGGCCTCGAAAGACGGGACGTGGGCTGTGCATGATTTGACGACCGGCGCAAGACTCCTCCACGTCGAAGCGCCGGTCGGCGAGAGCGCTGAAGAAGCAGAGGGAGGCTATTCCTATGCCTCTTTTGCATTCCATCCAGATGGCCTCCTTGCTGCCTCGGGTACCGAAGGTGGGGCCATCAGGATCTGGGATCTCAAGACGGCAACGAAGGTCTCCACTTTCCGACTCGGCTCTTCTCCCGATGGCCCTGCTGGCCTTCTGGCCTTCTCAGAGAATGGCTTCAACCTCGCAGCAGCTTCGCCAGGCTCAAAGAGCGTGCAGATTTACGATTTGCGGAAGCAGGCCGTCTCTGGCACCATTTCGCTCGACGAGGAGGGTGACTTTGTCAAGGCCATCGCCTATGATCCTAGCGCTGCTTTCCTCGCCGTTGCGGGAAGCGATGTCCGAGTGTATGCCAACAAGACGTGGGAGCTGCTCATCAAGCTCGAAGACAATGCCGCCGAGGTCGCAGACGTCGTATGGGATCGGACTGACGGGGCAGTCATTACAGCGGGCCTCGACCGTTCCGTGAGGCGATTCGCAGTGGTTGCGACTGCTGATCAGTAGACGTTCTCTTCATTCTTGCTCGCTTCTTCCTCCCCCTCTTGTATCCTTTCACTTTGCAGACGAAACAGAGAAATTCAAAACTTTCTCTCTCCAAAGGATTGTTCTATGCCATTGCTCAGGGAATCTTCTCTATCTGGATAAAGCTTCCCCCGTTGCCTATCGAGCGCCCTGACCCTTTGTCCATTCAGGCCTTCCTGCCCGTCGAAGGATGATGACGAGGCTCAGGCCAAGCGCAACTACAGCGGCTCCCTCAGTGACTTCAAATACCGCCCTGAAGCACTCTTCGCCGTACGGGCAGAGGTGAGCCGGGGCGCCCTTTGGAACATGGGAGTCATAGATGCTGTTTCGAAACCGCACAGTCAGCAACAGTGGCAGGAACACGAATGCAGGGTAGCAAGAGGGAGAGACCCACCTTCCGAAGAGAAGGTTGAAGATGTTGCCAGCAATGACCGGATTGAGCGAGACGATTCCCCAGTTCTGGCTAAAGTGGCGCAGACCGAACCATTCAAACGTCAGGACGGGGCACAGCCCAAACCTGTTCCAGCGAGCGGATTCGAGTGAGAAAAGAGGGAAGAACGTGAAGGAAGAGGTGGTGGACTCACAGGGTGCCGTACATCAGTCCAGTCAAGGACGAGACAATGATGAGCTTGTCGACGGTGTCAATCGTGCCTGGTGAGGCGGCCAGACCCTGTGATACAAGCGCGAGGATGCAGACAGGGATGAGGAGCCAAACCCGTTGGCGCGGCGAGCGGGTCCAGGTGACAAAGACATCCGATAGCAGTCCTGCTCAAGGCACAAGTGAGCTCCAAATCCTTCCGAGCTCTTTGGGAAAATCCAGACTGAAGCTCACCGATGGCAATTCTCCCGATAGCGTTGCCCAGACTGATTGCGCTGACCTGATGCGCTTGGAGCTGCTGGACGTCGGCCGGCGTCTGATGTCCCTGGGCTACAATTTCATCTCTTGCCGGAATACTGTGGATGGCGTCCAAAGCCTTGTGCAGAGCACCCAAATTCGACTCTGGATCGATGTGGTGAGGCTTGTTGTATTCATACAACGTTTTTGTGATTGTCCCGATGTTCTACAAAGGCAAGGCGTGAGAGGTTTTCAAAAGGCAGGACCTGTGCGAGGTGGACTCACGTTGATGACGAGGAGGCCAGTGCCGCTAATGAGGCCCATGATGACGAAGAGAAGGATAAAGTCAACCTTCTTCATGAGCTTCCATCCCGTAAGATCAATGTGCTCATGATGGCGTTTGGCCCTGGACTGATCCTGGTGCTTGCTGATGCTAGTATCGCCCCGCGACAGATTGTCTCGAGACGATGAGCCCAACAGACCCTGCCTCTCCTCGAATCGGCCATCTCGACCCAGTGACCCTGCCTCGTTCTCAATGTCGTCTTCGTCCTCTTCTGTTTCGCTCGTGCACGAGCCTTCGTCCTCGTGGGGCTGCGAAAGATGAGCGTAAGCCCGGCCGCCCACCTCGGACGACGTTCTCCTTCGTGTGTACGCCAACGGACGACGGATCGAATCTTCCCCTTCCCCGTCCTCATCATTGGCGCGATCCTGACCCAGGCTTGAGCTTCTCCGAAGAGTCGCTGACTGTCCGCCTTGATTGGTAGCGCCGTCTATCGCAGCCCTCTCCGTGGCAGCTGGGATGATCCGAATGACAAAGAAGCCAACCACAAAAGTCAAGCTGGACCCAAAGGCCAGCAGGAGCAGATAGTCGCCCGTCTTGCCGGGGAAGAGGGTGTGGGAGAGCGATGAGTAGAAAAACGCAGAGAGACCAAATCCAGAGAGGACGAGGGCAGTGCAGACGCCTCGCTAAAAGAAAAGCCCGATGTCAGTCTATGGCAAGCAAATGATGGGAGTGCATCCCCGAAAGACTGACCCGTGCTTGGCTCCAGCTCTTTGCCTGCGCATTCATGGCGGCCGTAAAGGCGGCCGAGTTGCCCAGGCCGGTGAGAAGGCTCAGAACCGCCAAGAGTCCGATGGATGGCGTGGAGGGAAACGTCTTTTCGTACGACGTCGACAGGCCGCCATAGCCGATGAGGACCAAGACGGCGCCGACGGCGAGCGCGCTTTGTGATTCAAGGTCAAAGCGAGGACAGATTAGACCATCTCGCGCATCAAAGAGGGGGAGGAGGAGGAGGGGGAAGAAGAGCGAAATCAGAGTAGGGCCCGGCTACTCACACCTTCGGACCTCGTTTGTCAACAAGTCGGCCCCAGAAAGGTCCGCTCAGGTAGACACCGACATTGCCCATGACGCCCACGATGTTGATCTGGGTGCTCGTCAGCGCGAGGCGCTCCTGGAGCTGGGGCGAGTACGACGAGAAGCCATAGTTGGAGCCGGCGCTGAGGGCGACGAGAAAGGAGCAGAGGAGTGAGGCCCCACGCAGGAGCTTGACCGAGGTGGGTTCGTCGTCTTTGAAACCCCCACCTGGCGCCAGGGCGCTGCTCGCAGAGGCGGACGAGAGCCGGCGAGTCATCTTTCCTCCTTCTGCTCTCGAGTCCCCTACCTTTTACGCGCGTGGGAGTGCTTCAGATAGTCGGGAAGGTCACCAAGAGCGTGCGTGGGTTCACTTCGGTACACCGAGCTGAACAGCGTAGCGGGGGCAACGGCGGCAGCGTGATGGTAGGTAAGGTGAGTGAAGGGGTAAGATCTCCCCCTCTCCACTCCTAGCGTATTATTATTCACCACGGACCCAAACATTCGTGATTTGAAATCCGGTCCGGTGCTGGTCTTGTCACGAATCATATTTCAGGAAAAGATGTCAACGAGGAAAACAGAGACGATGAAGGAATAAATGAAGTCAAGGGGGAAGAGTAAGTAGATGAGGGATAAAGCAGCTGTCCACCCGGGCTGATTGGCTGGCAACAATCGAGCCGCTCGGAAAGGATGCCTGCGTAGCTGGCCGAAAACACAAAGTAATCAAGAATACGGCTGGTGGCTGCCAAACGGTCCGTTCCATGACGCCTGCTGCTCCTGACCACCCCAGGACGGCAAATGCTGGTTGCTCATCTGCTGCTGGCTATCGAAAGGGCTAAATCCACCACCACCACCACCACCAAAGTGCTGTCCCTGTTGGGACTGGTGCTGCTGCTGGTGCTGTTGATGGTGATGGTGGTGTTGCTGCTGCTGCTGGTGATGCTGCTGCTGTTGCTGGTGATGCTGTTGCTGCTGTTGACGCGCAAACGACATGATGGCAGGGTCCGAAAATGGCATGCCATCGATGCCGCCACCGCCCTGGCTGGCATTCTTGTGTACCGTGTAGCTGCTCTGAGCCCGGCGAGCTTCAGCGGCAGCGACCAGCTGGGCAAACGGAGGCTCGTTGGAGCTTCCGGTCGCAACACTGTTGCTGGCCGATTGGTCCCGACCGAAGTAGCCACCATTCATTCGCTGATCCATCGATGAGGGCGTCTGAGCCTGGTGCAAATGATGCAGCGAAGCCTGGCCTTGAGCAGAGCCACGCTGTAGCTGCGCCAGGAAGTCGTTGCTAGCATTACCGTTGACATGCTGCTGCTGTTGCTGCTGCTGCAACATCAGACCGGGCGGTCCACCGCTTTGCTGCCTCGGCCCAAAGCCAGGAGGAGGCGGAGTGCCTGCGCCAAAGCTTCGGTTCACGCCCAATCCGAAGTGCCCATTGCCCATAGCCAGTGAGGACGAACCAGGTCGTGTCTGCTGTTGCCCGTGCACATTGGCCTGCATGCTCTTGTACGCGTTTCGATTCGCTGCTGCAACATTGCCAGCGTTGCCGTAGGAAGCGCGATTGTCGGCGTGGAGCCAGCTGACATCAGGCTGTCCGTCATTATGTGGCGGATGCTGCTGCTGCTGCTGCTGCTGCTGCGACTGAAGTGCTGCCTGATCCTGCTGTGCGTGACCATTGCTCGTCAACGCCGCGGCACCGCCCCTGACAAAGCCCAACAGATCGTCGTGGGTCTTGAACGACGGTGGTCCACTCGGTGTGCCCACGAACGTCTCCGAGTCTGGCCTTCGCGCAAAGCCGAATCGCGATGCACCCTTCGATGGGCTGTCCGCTTGGCTTTCGTCCTCTCTTGATTCCCTCTCTTCTTCGACTGCCGCCTCTTCCGCTTCCTTGCGTTCATCCGACAGGGTCCTCCGCATCTCATCGATGGCTGCAAAGGGAGACGCCTTGCTTTGCTCCTCTGGCGACTCTTCGATGCTCTCACCAGCCCCGGGAGCAAAGGGGTCGAACGAGCCTGAGTAGGTGGGAGGCTCAGACATTCCCCGGCCAGGAACATGTCCAAGGACCGACAATGGCTGAACGCCAGGTGAGGGAACGCCTGCAAACGGAGCAAAAGCGCCCAGGTAGCCCTCGTTCTCCCTGTCCTCGTCGGTGCCCATCTTGTCGGCCAGCCTGTCCTCTTCGAAAGTGAAGCTGAAACCTGCACCATCCTGAAACGACTGTAGGACCGCATCCAGGTCGGAAAAGGCCGACTTCTGTGGCCGGTCGGCTTCAGCTTCGCGGCGGGCTCGCATGTCATCCAGGAGTGCCTGTGCCGTCGACGAGGGCTGGTAAGACGAAGGAGGGGATGCACTCGTCGACGTCGAAGATGGCGCAGACAGTACTGGCTCTCCCGATGGCGTTGCAGAGCGCGAGGGAGCTGGCAGTCCAGGCGGAGGTCCGTTGCTGGCCACTTTGGCGAGACCGGGAGGGGGCGCTGAAGCACTGTTGGAAGCAGGTACGGCAGCCATCGCTGGCGGCTCGACTGATTCTGAACGCCCTCGCTGCATGGCGCTGGGCCCCTTTGGCACTAGCCCAGGCGGTGGCTTTGCAGCCAGACCCGGGGGCACTTGCGCGGCCGGCGATGATGGAGCAGGCGATCCCGGTCGAGGAGCAGTCCGACCTTTGGGTGCTGTGGGGATGCTTGGCTTGGCTGGCGATGCTCGTTGCTGCTGCGTTCCACTTTCTCGCCTTGCCATGGATGCTGACAAGGTGGGGAGATCCGAGTCCCGGATGGCATTGTGCTGAGCAATCGATGAAGCTTGCGGAGGCGCACCGCCTGGCTTGCTCGACGCCCATGACGCCGTCTTTGGCAGCGCAGATGCCTCCACAGAATCGGGGGCAGGGGCAAGAGAGGAGAGATTGACAGAAGCCGACGAAGCAACGGGCGAGGACTGCTGTTGTTGTGTGTTTGCCTGGTCCACGTGCGCGTTTTGATGCGCCTTGTGGCCTGCAGCAAACGATGCCGGGGCGGGTGTTGTCAATCGACCTCTGCTCTCGGCGTCCTTTGCGGCGTGGCGCAGCGTCGTGAGATCTTCCTTTGTAAACGAGTCTGCTTCTTCGCCAGGCTCGTGAAGGTAGGTGCAGATGGCGTTGGTACACGGCAAGTTGCGAAGGTACGTCGTGCAGTACTTTGTCGTTCCATAGCTCGCGCGGATCGTCTTGCCGTCCGGGCCCTTGCTCCCATCAATGGCAATGATGGCTCGCGCTGCGTCCTCCTTGCGCACATACGTCACGTACACGCCAATGGCCGACTCAGTGGTCCCCATCATCAGCTTTGATGCCGTTGTCCTCTTGGAGATGAGAACTTTAGAGATGCGCCCATATTGCCCAAAGAAGTCGTTGGATCGAAGTGTGGGAATGAGCTGCAGAGCGAGTTCGTCGTCAGCAAATCCACCCCCCAACAGACTTGCTCCACATTCACTCACCTCCTCCCTCGCCAGCTTTGGATCTAGACCGACGACATAGACGAGGTTCTTTTGCACCACCCGAACATTGGCCAGATGCTTTCGGTTCATCTGCTCCAGCTCCTTCTTCTCTCTTTCCTTTTGCTTTTTCGCCTGTGACAGCCGCTTGATCTCCTCGGCCGTCATGGGCTTGAATTCGACGGCATTGTCGGTGTATTTTCGTCGGCAAGCCGGGCAGCGACCATTCAAGTTCTGATTGATATGATGCCAGCAGAAACGACAGATCTGTGGAGACAGGGAGTCAGCTAAGCCGAATCACGGGAGAGCAGCAGTGAAGACAAGCGGACGGGGATCAGAGATACTCACCTGGTAGCCGCAGGGACAAGGCTTGAAGTTGGCATCTGAGATGTCAATCTCTTCCAAGCAAAGTGGGCACTCCATCGTCTCCTGTATTTGTGAACAAAGGGAAGAGTCAGTACAAGCAATCAGAAAGACTTCCTTCATCAGGAAACCTACATCCTCGTCGCTCCAATAAGCATCCTGCAGTCGGTACTCCTGAGCTTGGTTGGTATCGACCTTTGCCGGGGCTGGCGGTAGCCCCGCAGATGTCTCTACTCCCGAGGCAGTGTTGTTCGACGGCCCGTTGTGAAACGCCGCCGAGACAGTTCCCGAGGCGGCCATTCCGAGCGGAGGAAAGGGAGAGCCACCACCACCTGACGAGCTTCCTCCGTGGTTGTGGTGGTGATGGGCGACGTGATGATGAGGCCTTGGGGGTGCCATGGCGTGGTGAAAGAGGCGAGAGGGAGACGAGGCGGTGACGCGGTGGCGATCGACGTGCTTGAGGCAAGCTGCGCCGCTGGCTGGCTGATTCCAACACTGCTAAGGAGGACAGTCTGCCCATGCAATGAGACTCAATCGATAAGCTGGGGCTGTCGCGGTTGGTGACGTGCGCCTCAAAAGTAAGAGGCGCGCTCTTCGGCGGTCTTTCAGCAGACACGGGGTGGACGCCCTTCGTCGTGCAAATCGTGCGCGTGAAGCAGGCCCGACTCGTCCAGGTTGCTGATGACGCCGGCGTCTTAGAAGGGCTAGAGCGAGTGCAGTGTGTGGATGGAGCCAAACTGCTGCAATTCTGCCCTTGAACCTCGCAAGAAGGCGCTCGAAATAGGAAGAATGGTGGTCGCGACGGAGATGAGGACCATCTTCACACGCACGCACAAAAAAAAAAAAAAAAAAGAGAGAGCGAAAAAACTCGCCACGCGTCTCTCTCTCTCTGCCAGTCAGAATGCAATGAGGGCAAGCACGACTGACGTCTGCTTCTCGCCCTCTCAAAGTCGAGACCGAGGGTCAGCTCACAAAAGAGACCAGGTATTAATTTCGAATGATACACCACACTGCACATGCTCTTGCGCGTACGGGTCTTGTACTGCTCTCAGGGCCAGTGCATGGATCGCCACAAAGGAGGCTGCTGGCTGTCTCTTTGCTGGTGCACGGCCCTCTCCTGCGCGCAGCTCTCCATCATGACGTGACTTGGGAAGGTGTGAAGCCTCACGTGTTGTTCGCAAGTTGCGTTGCTGCCTTCTGAGATACCGATTGCGATGTGGCACTGGCCCACAATGGCGAGCAGGACATGCTCTTCTCCAGTGAGCCTACATGAGGGAGCGATGACGGTGGACGCGCGACGGCGGCGCGCCAAGTTTAATTATCCAACATTGAGCGGCCACCACCACTACCAACAACCTAATCTGCTTCGACCTCGGAACCACACCCTTCCCCCGTCCTTCGTCGACAGCGAGCGAGAGTGGCTTGCGGACGCACCTCTGGACAATTTCATCACGAATGTACGCTGCCTAGCTCGCGATTGATGCGTAGCTGATTGACGGGCATTCAAGGTCAAGCGACGAATGAGCGACCCAATCCCTATGCGAGACCTCAATGCCGCCGCACAGGGTGGCCATAGCTGGAACAGCTCGCTGAATCAAGGGACGAGGGACGACGACATGACACCCATGTCTGCGCTGCCACCGCGCTCGTCCTCGGCGCCACGGTGGGGCTGGCGCCCTCTCCAGCGCCAGGCCGTTTCCTTGTTTCTCTTTGGCCTGCTCAACAACAGTCTGTACGTGGTCATCTTGACTGCAGCTCTGGAGCTTCTGCCAAAGGGCGTCCCCACAGGCGTCGTTTCCTTTGCCAACATTGCGCCCGCACTCATCGCAAAAGCAGTCTGGCCTTACGTTCTCCGGGGCAGGGTCCGCTATGCGAAGCGGATATGGAGCTGTGTCGCCATGAGCCTCTGGGGCATCTTGGTGAGTGTGTCCGTCCTTCACTCAGACAGAAAGAATCCTGAAGCTGACCGCCTAATTCATCGCACCAGGTCGTGGCCCTCTGGCCCGAGCTCTGGACGAGGCTACTGGGCATCTCGCTCGCCTCCTTCTCGTCGGGCCTCGGCGAGCTCACCTTTCTCCAACTGAGCACTCGCTACGGCCAGAAGGGGGCGGGTCGAGCCATTGGCTGGTTCTCGAGTGGTACGGGTGCCGCCGGTCTCGTCGGCGCGTCTGCCTGGTGGATCGTGCGACCGATGGGCGTCAAGGCAGGGCTCATCACTCTCAGCTTCATTCCCGTCCTTATGGGCATCACCTATGCGTTCATCCTCCCCAGCCCCGAGGCCGTCAGAGCAGAGCTGGAGCAAGAAAAGGAAGACGGTTACACGCTCGTTTTTGATAACGAGCATGTCGATGATGGTGGACAGGAGCCCGTTGACGACGTTCGTGTCAACGAAGAGGCGCAAGGTGAGGGCAGGAGGGGGTTCAAAGGCGCACGGAAATCGACAGACGACGAGGAGAGGAGAGAGGACGAGGCGGAAGACGCCGCCCTCCTCGCCGTCTCGCCGCATGCCTCCAACATCAGCTCGGACGGAAGCGATCTTCAGCAGCAGGCGCGCACGTCGGTCAAGCTGTCTGCTCGGGACAAGCTGCACCTCATCAAGCCCATGTTCTTCGTCTACATCTTTCCCCTGGTCCTTGTTTACTTTTTCGAGTGAGTGAATGCACCATTTCGTGTTGCATCGGAGAGCTTACTGTCCCCAATTGCCAGGTACACAATCAATCAAGGAAGTGGGTGGCGCTTGCATTGGGTGGCCATGCATTCCTTAGCTGACCCCTCTGCCTTTCACCAGTCGCACCCACGCTCCTGTATCCGTTACCGACAAGAGCAGAGCACCCGCTGCTGTCGCTGATGATCAAGCAGCTCAAAGACTAGTGAGTTCTTTGTCTTTGTGGAAGAGGCCCGCCATACCTGACTCTGTCTGTGCTCGCTCTCGTCTCACTCTAGCTATCCACTCTAGTAAGCAGTTCCGTCTTGCACTCGACAAGCTCCATACATACGCTCATACCTTCTTCTCTCTCTTCACGCAGCCAACTGACCTACCAGACATTCGTCTTTCTCTCTCGGTCGTCGATCTCGATCCTTCACTTGCCCGCCATCCCCAAGCGGTATCTCTGGGTGCCCGCAGTGCTCCAAGGCCTGCTCATGCTCGTCCTTGCGACAGAAAGCCTCTACGCCTGGTTCCGAGCAAGCATCGCGAGCCCGCTCGTCATTGTCCTCGTGTGCGTCGAAGGCCTGGCCGGCGGTGGCGCCTAGTGAGTCCTATCTCGGCCTTCTGCCCGTCGTAGCTCTCTTTCTCTCTTTTGCCGAGCTGCTTTGGCTTCGGGTCTGACACGGTCAAACTCCTTTCTCGAATCAGCGTTTCGGTCTTTTACCAGATCGGTACCGAGGACGACGAAGCGGCGGTCCGGCTAGGAGAGGGAGACGAGATTGGCGGCGAGATGAGGGGCGAAGAAGGGGCCGAGGCAAGAGCGCAGGCGGAAGCGAGGCGAGCGCAGGAGCACGAGTTCCGCATCGGCTGTGTCGGCGTGAGTCTTGTCTGCTTGCTCTTTCTCTCCCACTTGGGCCGGACGCCACTGATCAAAGAGCTGTGGGATCCTCCCTGCGCAGGTCGGCGACACGCTGGGTATCCTCATTGCTTCGCTCCTCTCGATGCCTCTGCAGGTTGGTTTGTGTGATGCACAAGTGCGCTCGGGCAGAGAGCTGTGCAAGCAGGTGTAGAGGACAGGGCCGGATACCGCCTTCTTCTTGCAATAGAGAAGAGAGATGCGATCACACATCGCAGATGCAATCAATGTCACTGCCTTTCACAGTCTGCTCAGTAGATCGAGAGCGCAAAACTCGGCACGCACATGGAGCTAGACTCAGTCGAGGTGGGTAAGGAGAGAGGCTTGTGATTTTTAGGACACTTAGTTAGTAAGCATTTGGAAGGACGTGAAGACGAAAGGGAAGGAGTGGGAGAGAGAGACTAATAGGGGGAAAGAAGCTTGGGATATAGCGAGACGTAGAGCCGGAGAGGTCTGCCTCTGAAGTTGGCCCAGAGGCAGCCGTCTTTCTTTCTGGGTCTGTCATAGTCGTTGCTGGCGTAGCTGTGCTGAGGCAGGCGATCCTCAGAAGACGGTAAGGACGCCCAGGAGGAGAGAAGCAAGGACGGCAAAGGCGCCGTAGAGCTGGACCGGGCCCTGGACGGTGGCTGCGCCGTTTGCACTGTGCGACGTAACGTTGCCCGCGGCCGAGATGGAGGCGGTGTGGTTGTTGACGCCCACGCCGGCCGAGAGGGTGCCACCAGAGGAGCTGCTGGACGTGGTGGGGATGGTGGAAGTGGTGCTGCCGCTGGTGCCGGCCGTGCCCCCAGACGTGCTCGTTTCGGTGCCAGCTGCTCCACCGGCACCGACACTGGTCGCGTTGGTGGTCATGTTGGCAGCGCCAGGGAACTTGAGCTGGTAGTCATCGCCCATGATAGGCGTGCAAACGGTCTAGACGCAGAGACGTAACGGTCAGCGATCACATATTCGACGGTAACGGCATTGAGCAAGACAAAACGCACCTTGAGCATCTCAACGCCAGCGGCCAGCTTCTCTTGCTCGACGTCCTTGCAATTCTCCATGACACACTTGCCAGCCTGACGCGAGATACAGAAAGATCGAAGCCAGGTTAGCAGGGAGAGGAAGAGATGTGAGTCGGCGCCCTTCTGCAACTCACGGCATCGACGAAGGATTGTTTCTTGCAGAAACAAGATGAATCGGCCAATCCGTTGCAGCCAGCAACTCCAATGCTCTTGCTGGCGCATTGGATAAAGCACGGGTCGATGCCAGCGACGCCGTCCTGGCCATTGCCCGTCGCAGAGTCAGTACTGCCGCCCGAGCTGGAGGAGCTTGCCGAAGAGTTCGTAGCAGGCTGAGATCCAGTAGTCTGGGCCGAGACTGCGCTGGCGAGAACGAGAAAGAGGGTCAGAAGGAGAGCAGCGATAGGCTTCATCGTGTGTCAATCTTTGGTTGTCTTGCTGATGATAACTGTTGGAAGGAGGAAAGGGAGAAGGAGGAGGAAAGAGCGTTAGAGGTGATCGCGGCGGTGCGGTGAGGTTGGCAAAGGGGCTTTAAGTCCTCAAAAGAGGGTGACCGCCAGCGACGGACTTGGCTACTCCGCCCAGGTTTGGGCGCAAAGCCGCTCACTCATGCATCTTCTCTCCCTTTCTTTCTTCTGAAAAGAGAGAGGCCAAATAAGAGAGGGGCTTGGACGACGAGCGGGCCGCTGTGAATCTCCTCTCCAGAGTCCGAAGCGCACGAGGCAAGGAAAAAGCGGAGGAGGGCAGTCTGTTGTGCATAGAGATTGCCGCGCCCGTACCTTGTGTTGGCGAGCAAAGGAGAGCCCCTGGGCGCAGAGATGAACGGGCTGTGCCGCGCCTCACATCTCGTGAGCGTCCGCGTTGTGAGTACCAGCGAGGCGCCTTATTGAAAGGGGGCACACCAGGGTATGGCAGCTTGAGCATCACGTCATCTTTTCGTCACCGCGCCCGCGCCGCCGGTGGACCAATTACGTACTGAAGGTAGCCGCAGACGCTGGGCGCCGAGGTCTCTTCAATATTTGGCGCAGACAGAATTGGACCATAGTGGAGGCGGCCACGCGAGCGATCGGAGATTACAGGTGCTGCAGTAAGGGTGAACAAAAGGAACCCCCTCTCCGTTTCAGCCACCATAGGGCACGTCGATCAGCAACGCCGGCATCGCTGATGACACTGTCCGAGCGTTCCATCAACAGGCAGCAGGAATAGGGTCTCGCTTCGAAACAGGCAAGACAGAGGAAGAAAGTCTGAAGGGGTAGAAGAGGCGGACAGCGTTATTTTTACGAATCGCCAGCCTCCCTTCTCATGGGACAGACTGCTTCCAGACTCAACAGTAAGCACACACCGACCAATAGAGAAGCTGGGGAGAACAAGCGAGGCCCAAGATCTCGTTTTTTCAAGCGTCATATAGGCATTGAAGCGGGTCACGCGCGCGAAGAGCAGCGACGACGAAACAACAGCAATAAGCTCAGAGCAACGGGTCCACGATTCTCGGTCAACCGCTGGAGGGCAGTCTCGTCTGTAATGGGAAAGAGAAAGGCTTCCTTGTCGTCTGCGTGCTCTTCTTCACCCGGTGCTCGCCCGACATCGCCGATTGAAGATGAAGGAAGACGAAGTCGTCTCCAGCGAAGGAGACTCGTCAGCGAGGACGACAGCCTGAGCAGCTCGACAGGGCCAGACGCAACTGTGACCTTGCAGGATGAGGGGCACAAGAAAGCGTCCACAAGCTCGCGCAGCCGCATGAAGGGCAAAGCGACGTGCTGCGACGAAACCGCGCACGAAACGGCCGACGACGACGGGGATACGACAATGCAAGTAGACGAGAGCGAGGTGCCGTCACCCAAGCCTATTGGCTCCTCTGGAAACGACGGCTCTGTCAGTCGAGCCAGCCAACGCCTGAGAGACAAGGGCAAAGCAAAGGACGAGTTCATCTCAAATGCACCGCCGGCCTCCCAGGCATCGTCCAGGTCAAGCACTTCTGGCGATCAGTCAACGACATTGGCAGACAGCCGTCAACACCCTCACTCTTCGCCCTCGCTGCCGGCGCTCTCGGATGATCAACAGACAACTCTACCGCTAACGCATCCAATCAGCCGTTTGGCTGACGCCAATCGAGGCGGACTTAGACACCCTGCCATCACCAGTGCTCTGGGCAGAGCAGCGATGGGTCGTGCTGAGCAGCCAGGCATCATCGCTGGGACCAATCGTCACAGTCGCGGAGGGTCAGAACCATACAGGACGAGCATGGCCAGAGGTGGCCAGCACGAGAGCGTTCATCAAGAGGGTCCACACTCTATTCTCTCGGCCCTTTTGGCAGATATTCTGGGCCTCAACGGCCGTCCGGCCACAGCTGCCTCTGGAGCACCGACGGGAAGCGCCGCCTCCCCCTCTGGTCTGATGAACCCCTCGACCACAACGTCAGGTCTGACATCCGGAACACCTTCGACACCACCTCAGGGAGGTGCCGGACCCTTCGAATCTCAGCGCAGACCTCGCAATCCCAACGTTGGAGGCACATCGGTCATAGTCCAGGGCGCCCTCATCACCAGGACAGCGCATTCACAGGGTCAAAATGCGCAGAGGGACTCAAGCGAGCAACGTTCTCAACAACACACCAATGAATTCGCAAATGAAGCGCAACAGCAACAGCAACAGCGACAACAACCGCCAGGGACAGGAACCAGCTGGTCTCCTCCACCTGGCACTGGACCTGCAGCTCAAGGACAGGGAGGCGAAGGAGTGGCCACGATTGAGGAACAGGCCGACATGCTCTCCAGGCTCCTCTCCGTCGCAACCGCTGCCACGGCTTCGTCGCTTGTTTCCAATGCCCTCCTGGCTCAGCCGCAACGGCGACCGCCCTCGGTGTCTTCTTCTCTATCCCAACAACGACAAGAAGGATCGTCCTCGTCCCTGCATCGCACCCAGTCTCGCTCCTCCGTACTGTCCTCGAATTCGGCTGCGAGGTGGAGCAACAGGATCTCGTCCATTGTCGAAAGAATCTCGGGCATTGGAGAGAGAATCTTTGGTAGTCGAAGGGGAAATGGAATGGAGGCTTCAACGACGTCCAACGTCCCATCGCAGCAACTTCACCAAGGGAGCACGAGCACGGCAAGTGATGAGGAGGCACCTTCTGAGAACTCGCGTTCCATCAACAGCGTCTCCTACATGCTTCGAGAAGCGATACGTGAAGGCATCGAGGGTCCCCGGATGCGCCGTGCGAATCCTTCCACGAGAGCGCCATTGCCGACTCGGGACATTACGGAGAGAGCCTCTGTCGATGGCAGTGCCGCAGGCTCCGCCGTTCCTCAAACCGATTCTACTGTCAATCCAGACGCAACAGAGAGAATCAGACGGGTCGATGCCATCCTCGATGCCGTCCGTCAGGGCTCGCAGGAACGAGGGGAGCCAGGCAGCTTCGATCGCTTCATTTTCGACCTGGCAGAGGACCTCAATGTTGCCGTCCGGGGTCTTCCTTCATCTTCAGAGCCACCAAGAAGCGTCGTGGCCGTGGCCGAAGGCGAGCAGCGTAGGAGACAGGATATCCAGGGCGGCCAGCTTTCGTTTTACCGATCTTTTACCTTCCCCGCTGCACCGCCTAGAGCCCTTCCAAGGAATGATGGGGAGACACACGCAGGCGCGGGAGGTGGTCCACCTTCTTCGGATGGCAACGTCACGTCCTCCCCGCCTCGACCTCACTCTGACCCACCGCTCTTTCCCTGCATTGTGGTCGGTGTGCGCAGCCTGGATGCAGCCGAGCCTGCTCTGAACGAACAGACTGCGAGACAGCCTACGGCGAGTGTCAACACTTCCGCAAATACTGCCGCGGCTTCGACCCCTGATGCGTCTAATGATACGACCCAAGGTGCGACACCGGGAGGAACCACTGCGCGACCTGAACAGATTCCGTCACCGCGCTTTCTTCTCTTTGTCTCTGGCGGTCACTACCCCTCGTCACACCCCGTCTTTCACGCCTCCTCCGAGGAAGCAGGTCGCGATCTGATGATTCTCATGGAGTTCCTCGGAGCCATGGCCACGTTCCAGCACAAGCCTTCGACAGTGACCCGCGAGCAGATCGAGCAGAGCGATCTTCGTGTGGTCAAGGGAGACCCCATCCAGATTCTAGACTTGCTAAAGCTGGGACAGGTGACGGAGAACACCAGCGAAAAGTGTCTCATCTGCCTAGAGGATTGGAAGAGCACAATGACGATGCCCAACCAGGAGGACGAGAAAGAGGTCGAAGTCGACGAAGAGCGAAGGCTCCTGGGCTGCAAGCACCTCTTCCATTCTGCGTGCATCGGTGAGTGCTGTTCTTTTAAAGTCTATGGGCATCAGACTGACTCTGTCTCTCTCTCTCTGCAACGCAAGACCAATGGCTCATCAACAGCAACAACTCGTGTCCAATCTGCCGCCGGCAGGCCGTCTTCGCGCCTGGCGCACCCAGACCCAGCGAGCATCCTGTCGTGCCCCCTACTGCTGCTGCCGCTGCTGCTGCGGGTACTTGAGCAATTCTACTACTCACGCCCTTCACATCCTTTACTTGCATCTCCAACACACGCACTCACATGCATACAATTCATCATTTCTAAACCACCGCGTCTGAAGCAACACATTCCACTTCGTGACGTGACAAATCACAGTGACAGAAAAGAAGACGTCACTGCACGGACTCCTCCACTTTGTGCTGCCTTCTTACCAAAGCTCTGGTTGGTGTTTTCGACTCAGCGCGAGAAGGAAATGCGCTCTTTTTCTTGAGCTCTGCTTCCCCGATTTCCTCTCCAGACGTCTCACTTACGATGCCGCTCAAGCCTCTCCTTCCTGTCTTGGGCTTCGTCTATGCGGGCCAGGCCCTGGCCGCAGCAGTCTTTGTGCCGCTGAAGACCGAGAAGTACTACGATCTGTGCGGCTCCCTCGGCTTCCTTTCCGCCTTGGCCTTTTCGCTCCGCAACACACCCGTTGACGTCGGCAGCGCAAAGACGGCTGCCTCCTCCGTCGTTCAGGGAGGTTCAGCAGGAGGAGGAGGTCTGGCTGGAAGGATCCTCTCCTCCTTTGGCATCCGCTCTGCTTCCGCCGTTGGTTTGTCCTCGTCGACGGCCGCTTCGGCGCTCGCAGCCGATCACTGGACCTCGCGCCTGATCCTTAACCGGCATCCTCGACAGCTGATCGCAAGCGCCCTCGTTGCATTCTGGGCGGCCCGCCTGGGCACCTTTCTCTTCCAGCGCATCCAAAAGTCCGGCAAGGACTCGCGCTTCGACGAGATCAAGCAGTCTCCGCCCAAGTTCTTCGGAGCATGGATGATGCAAGCTACCTGGATCAGCTTGACGGCGCTACCCATCTTTATGCTCAACGCTTTGCCTGCGCGCTCTTTGCCTGCCCTCGGCCTGCTCGATGCGGGCGCACTCCTCGTCTGGAGCGCCGGATGGGGCCTTGAGGTTGTAGCGGACCGCACCAAGTCGGCCTGGCGAGCAGAGCGTGACGCCGGCAAGCACTCGGAAAAGTTCCTCACCCGGGGCGTATGGTCATGGTCCCGCCATCCCAACTACTTTGGCGAGGTGTCGCTCTGGACGGGTCAGGCACTTTTGGCGCTTCCGACGCTGCTCAAGAGCAGACCAACCCTGCTAGGTCCCTGGGCTCCCTATGCAGCACTGGCCAGCCCGGCACTCGAGTATGGCCTCATCAGATACATCTCTGGCGTGCCGATGCTGGAAGAGGGCATGGACAAGAAGCTCAAGGATGACCCCGCGTACAAAAAGTACAAGGACGAGGTCCCCTGCTTTGTCCCATTCATCGGCTCAAAAGACTGATTCTCTCGTCGAGCTTGGAAAACCGTCTTTTGTACATCTGCCATACATGGTCTACTGCTCCCTCCGTTTGGAATGTTATGGGTCTCTCGTTGGTCATGTGTATGTCGCGCTCGACTCACTGCTACCCTACAAGTCTGAAGTGGCAGCATGCACAGCACGCAAGCTTATGCCGGCTTGGCATGCCTCTGAGCGCCTCCCCAACCGCAGCTCGACAAGAGCAGCGACGTCATCTCGGTTCCACACCAAGCGCATCATACACTCTACTCGTCCCTTAAGGATCTTTGCGTAGTTGCCTTGTGCCATTCCTTCGGCGATGAGAAGCCGCGCCAATGATCAAATAGAAAAAATCGCAATCTCTAGGAATGTGACGGAGGCTCCTTGCTTTTAGACTTTGACTTTTTCCGCGGACCCCCGATCCGATCACCCCCCTTCAAACACGGTAAGGAGACGAGCAGGATTCATGTGTAAATTGCGCTTGAAAAAGGGAATGATACATGCACTTTGTCTTTTGTGGTTCGCTAGAATTGGGATTGAAGAGCAGGGAAAGATGCTGTTGACTTGAAACTGGGGCGGCGAAAGTGGGTATTGCCTGTGGTGAGGAGGAAAATCCAGCCGGTATATTCGATGAAGGATGTGGTCGTGATGCTGCTTGATGATGAAAGATTAGAGGGGAGAGAGAGTGGAGAAGATGGTTCATGCTGCCATTCGTGAGTTGCCGTCCCATTTCGCAGTGCTCAGAGCTTGTCGTTCGGTAGTAACGCCAGTCACCTTGAGCTGAGGAACATTCGCCGAAGTCATGTTCTCCTTGCCGGCGTTGCTTTGCTGTTGCGACGAAGAAGACTGAGCCGTGTTGCTGGGCGCCACCGAAGAAACTTTGTTGCTAGCTGCAACAAGAGGGTCGTGAAGCGAGTTGAGGCTCAAGGGAGTAACAGGCATGTCGCAGTCCTCTTCCTCCTCTTCCTCTTCCTCGTCGTAGTCGCCGTCGTCGTCGCCTGACATGCGTGATGGAGTCGAGATCATGCTCGACGGTGTTGTGCACCGCGAGCGCATCGACGCGTCATCTTCATCATCATCGACTTCGGAAGACCGGCGAGGCGTGCTGAAGCTCGAAGACTGCTGCTGATGGTTGGCCAGGTTCGTCGCGCTGACACTCTGGGCGGGCAGTAGGCCCGTCATGGCGGCAGCGACCGTGGCACGGCGGTCGGAGGGGCAGTTGATGTAGTGGTCACGAACGTGGAGAGAGGCTTGCGAGAAATGCGAAAAGCTGTACTTCTTGACGAGGATGCTGCTCAACTCCGATGCATTTTCCGCCAAGTAGTTGTCGATGAGCTTGGCAGCGTCAAGAGTGTCCTTGTCCGATGATGCCGAGTCAATGGCGGCACTCTGGGCGTCGCAAATGCAGCGAGCAAGAAGTAGCGCGCCGTCGGCGAGGTGCGAAGGAAACACACCAATGAAGTCACGCTGAAACAGCGTCGCTTCGACGAGGAAGCGCGCCACCGACATTGTCTTCTGGTCTTGCGGCTGGTGGAGGAATGACAGGCGGAGCCATGCCTCGGGCGTGGGGAAGCCAAGAACCCAACCGATCGTCGAAAGGACGTGACCTTCCATCTGAGTGAAGGCAGACTCTTCGTAAGCGCTGCAGCACATTTGTGCGAGCTCAGCAACGGTGGGTACACGGTCCTTGGCGTCTTCAAACTTGGAAGCGATAAGCAGCGCCGCACAGCCGACGAGCTGGTAGTGACGCTTGTAGACGATTCGCTTGGAGACATAACGGTCGACAATGTTCATTGTCAGGAAGAGCGTCTCTGGTCGAAGCCGAAAGGTCTGGTGAATCTCGACGATGAAGTCGACGAGGTAAGGACGCATGAACCATCGCAGCTCGGGCTGAGCATCCATGAGCTCGACGCAGGCTACTGTTTCGGTCTGAGTTGACGGTCAGAAAGATGCCCCTAAAGATTTGTTTTGATTGACGACAGTGACTCACTTCCATGTGGTGCATATGTGCAACAATGTCCTCCTCATACTCAGGTTCCTCGATGATGGAGCGCATGCCAGTGCCTCGGAGCACGTCGATGCTCTGAAGTGTCGAGGCCGACGTCGAAGCAGCCATCTTCCGCTTCTCGACCTGCTTTGACGCTGATCGTCTGGCAGCGGCACTCACGGCAGCGGCATGTTGTTGTTGCTTGACGGGCGAGACCCTGGATTGCCTGTTCTTGGAGCTGCTGCTACCGCTGCTCGTGAAGAAAGAAGTGCTGTCCACCGTTGTGTTGGCGCCAAAGCTGACGTCGTCCACCGTTCCACTGCTTGTGGACGCGGTAGAAGTGGAAGAATTGGAGGAAGATGAGCGAGCCCGACCGTAAAAGGATGAGTTGCGGTGAGAAGACGACGAGGAGGAAGAGGCAACAGCTGGCATCCTGGCTAATCTCGTACGTTATGGTGTCGCTTTCGGAAAGAGTCTGTGGAAAAGAGCGTGTTTGAAGGAAAAAGAGTGGTGGCGATAGACGTCGCAAATGGGTGTTGGTGAAATGAGCGTAAGAAAGGTCCGGACAGGGACAAGGAGAAAAAGGAGCGTAACGGTGGTGATGGGAGCGATCAAGAAGGGAGAAGGATTAATGAGGGGAAGAGGGAGACATAGGTCAGCCTTCTTATTACACAAAGCGCTACTGGTGGTCCACCGTCATTGCCTGGCGTCCTGCCCCGTCTCATTCGGCCCCTGCACAATTCTGAGCCTTGGAGCGATCGAACCACCGAGGCAGGCTCGCGAGAGTGCATGAACAAACAAAGGCCCGAATTTCTGCCACCGATGCAATCGAGTGCGCCTGCGCCAGTCATTTTACTCACCGATCAGCGTCAAGACAATGAAAAGCACTTGCTTGGCACGTAAATATCAACGAGGCTCGCAGCTCGCCGTTCTACCAAACCGACGGGTAATTGTATTGGGGCCGTCCGTGCGCGTAGGATCGACAATCGCCTACCGCCGCGAGGGACGACGAGGGAACAACAAGGGGTAAGAGGGGAATAACAAGGAGACAGCAAATGTTAGCACAAATCTCAAGCAAGAAAGCGATCATGTATCACATACCTGATAGAAGCACGACTTACTACTGCCTCCTAGTCTGCTTAATCTGTATCTTGTCTGGCCCGCGTCTGCACCGACGGCTGCCGATCCGGTTCTGTGGTTTCTAATGGAATGTCCATGTTTATTGAATGCGAAATCACGATGAGGTATCCAATCCGCAGGGTAGTGACGGTGAGGGCGTTGCAAATGGCGCATGCAGGGGATGTCGAATGGAGCAATGAGGGGGGCGGGATAGCCAAGGCAAGGGGTGGATTTTTCTTTTGTCAGCGTCGTGTTACACCTCTTCAAATAAATCACAATATAAAAATTCTTTTCGACGCGTCTCGAGAAACGACCAAGCCCGTCGGTTGGTAGGAATATGATGCTGCGTCGGAGCCCGGGCTGTCGCTACACAGTTGGGGACGATAGAAGACACATGTCTCCGCGTCCGCCAATACGGCATGTCAAGGACTGCTCCTGTGCGCAGGCCGCTGCTACTCAAAGGCCAGCAAGACGTGCTGCTCGTGCCCTCACTTGTCGTCACGATCTTTCCTCCAGACAAGCACATATCTCCGATGACGCCGTCTGCCTTTTCTCCTTGCTGCTTCTCTCGGGCTTCTTCTTCATCACGACACTCACGGACTGAGATGTCCCGATTGACGGGAGGAGGTCGATCGCGTTTTTGTTGGCGCCAGCTGTCGGCTCCGTTCCTCTCGCGTGATCTCGAATCTTTTTCTTCACAGTTCAATGTCACCCTCGCCGAACTGTTGCTACTCCTGTCGTCACTGCGATTGCGACTGTCGTGCTCGACGGTTGGTATGGACAGTGTCTTTTTCGCGTCGAGAGGAGAGTGTGTTCGGGTCTGAGGAGGTAAAGAGAAGAGCAAACCCAAGCTCGCTCACACCCGCCAGTCAGATCACAAAGAAGGTCGGGCCGATCCTTATGATGATTTGTTTGTGATGTCTGTGCGTCGTGCAGTTCTGCAAAACACGGGGAGACGAGCAAGACCCTTCTATATTGATCTGCCAAGTTTCCAATTATTCTGCTTCCCGTACAGTAAGTGACTTTACACAAAAAGGCAATTCCGTATAAATCGATGTCCAATGTGCTCTCTGTCCTTCTCCCAAAGTGGCTCTCGGACTCCAGAGGGAAAGAGGATGCAGGCGCCGATGCAACCACTCTCCGCCACTTTGTGGCTCATACGCCGGGTCTTCATGCCCAGCATGCACAAGCTCACGGGCAGATGGCAGGCGTCTGGGCAGCTGCAATCCAACGGAAAAGCCAGCGCGACAGAGGGAGGGTTGAAGACGCGGCACAACGGGCAAAGGCACCGCTTGTGGACATGCGCTTCCGCCTCGATCTCCTTGCTCTTGCAGCAGTGTACGTGCGCTGCAGATGTCTGTGATCTTTGACAGGAGCCGGCACACGCATGATCATGTCAACAGCGCCAACGTTCTGAAGCAGATAGTGATTTTTAATGATCAAAGAAGCATGAGAAAGCCAGTCGGGAAGATAGTCTAGGCTCGGTCTGGCTCCCGGAAAGAGGATTTGGGAAGCCGCTGTCCAGAGTAGTGGGACAGAGCACCAAGAGGATCCGAGCTCAAAAGGAGGCTGTGCGTCCCGTTGCAAAGATATCATCTCCCAGCGGCAATGCAAGCACCTCAGCTGTGAAATGAAGAGTCGCTACTTGCATCACAGCTGCGCTAGGATTTGTTTACTTTTGTGCGAGTGAGTGAGGTGCATGTGATTTCGGAGAATTTGTTTATGCGTTGGTGCTGATATCACACGCACCGTGTCGAGATGTTTACAACTCTTAATATCCGCTGCGAAGCATCAAGAAAAAATACTAATGTCCAGTAGTACTCTAGCATCTATTAGATAGCTAGCGTGATCGTCGAACGATACAGCAAATTTGTTTCACCCAGGTACCGAGTACCACTCTTTCGGGAACAAGCCGTGTGATCTCTCAGAGTTGAAGCGCCACCGAGCGCGACGGGGCTCCTTGGTATCAGACCACACCGGGACAAGCATCAGGCATAGGCTGCATTGGCTCCTTCTTACCAATTGATCGCCTTCCAAGACCAGCGCTGACCACGCGGTCACGCCTGCCGATTGAGCATGTCGGCAGCACATCGGCATGTGCGACATCAAGTGTACCCTTCTTCCAGACTGATGTCCAAACAATTTCAAGCTGTGCTGAGCTGATGCTTGTGGCTCGCCCTATGATAGCCGCGGACATTGGCAATTGCTTCCCTTCAGACTTGGAAAGGGCCCGTGTCAGGACTCTTGCTTTGGCGTACGATCTACTTACCCAAAAGCCGAGCCTGGGTCTCGCCTGATCACCCGACACCGCAGCGGCCTCAACGTCTTACAATCACAGCTCCGCTCTCCGTTCATGACCATCTTCCGAGAGGCGGCCGGGAACACCTCTATTTGTCAGGTCACGGTCTAGAGCTATCTCTGCGCATGAGAAGGACTGCACGACGGGCCAAAGTGTTTAGTCCAGACACGCAATTCTGAGAGACGGTTGCCAAGGTCGCTCCAAGCGGGAAGCAATTTCCCCAGACTGCGCTATCGTGGATCACCACCAATTTGCACAACTTCTAATTGATCACCCGTGGCGTGCCGATGTCACAGTCACGAATAAATCTCTTCATACTTTTGCCGGAGTGTTGAAAGGTCAGCCACAGCACTTTCTGCAAGAGAACAAAAAAAAAGATACACGTACTCACAGGGCCTGTGATACAATTCAGTATCATGAGCCACCAGCAGCAAGAGCTAGAAGTAGTAGTACGTGTACGCACCCTTTACGTACGTGACAAGTAGAAATGATCTCGCAGACATCGTCTCGCTAGTCGTGAAGGGCCTGCATGATGCAAACCCCCTTGCAGGACCCTACCTCTTCTGCGCAACCCGCGTGCGCGTGACGCGACCTCACGTCAGGCTCCATCGTCCCTGCATATCAAACAAAAGAAAAAAATTGTTTGTTTGTTTTTGCACCATTCACTTTACCGCAAAAACTCTTGCCTTTCTATTCTCGGACTTCTTGATGTCTTGTGATCTCTGCACAAACGCAGGTGATGAGCAACGCGGTAGAAGCTGCAGTACGTAGAGGTACGGCACAGTAGTACATACAGCCTTCCAGCCTGCAGTGTAAAGAAGAGCCGATGCGAGACAGGTGAGGCGCTTGTGGCGGCGGCGGCGACCTTGCCGAGGTGCGTGTGCGCCAAGCAAGAGCACAGCAGTGGATGCTGCCGAGAGCACATACACGTACTTCCACACCGGCAGGGTGCTGCTGCACGTTGTTGGCATCGCCGTGCATGCGCGCACGATGGACCAGTCAGGTCCGAGACAGTGTCCATCGCCGATCTGCTCCACGCCAAGAGCATTCGCCCTCTTTCTACGGTGCTCGCCATTGTCACGCAAAGACACGCCGCAGTCTCAAAGTCGTGGGGTGTGCTGATGCAGATGCAGGTGCAGATGCAGTTAGCAATTCGAACGCAGGCAGACACATGATCGATTGAGACTCTTGCATTGCTCTAACGCAGAGCGACGATCGACCGATCGTCATCAACCTCGAAGAGGCAGTTCCTTCTCGCATTGTCTTCTAGCTCAATGCAAAGAAGGACAGAAAAGGCTGACTGACTATGAATAAAGGCAGCGAATTAGAGGATGACATTATAATCCAGGACGTGCTGTTCCGTCTCGAGGAAGAGTGCGTCGGTAGGACCCTAGTACTAATTATTATCTACAACGGGGATGCTTGTGTGGTCACTAAAAAGAACAGATGCGAAGAGGAGTGTAGAAAGAAGAGAGAGAGAGAGAGAGAGAGAGAGAGGAAAGGCCCAGATGCTGAGAAGAAAGGATGAGAAAGAAGAGGCAGCATAATGAGCAAGGGCAGGTAAAGGAGATCAGATGAGCTGCAACGTCCACGAAGACGAGGGTGACGCTTGGTGGCCCTGCAGGAATCGGCCCGACAGGAACGCGAGTCCGTCCGAGACGCGAACGAAGAGGAGCGGAAGCCTCATGGCGCGGGCACCGTCTGGCCCGGTGTCCTCGTTCTCGATGGCAGGAGGCTGACCGAATTCACGACTAGTGTCAAGGAGCTCAGCGAGCGCAGGCAGCGAGGCGGTGACATCGGATAAGTTGGGGCCAGCAGAGGTGACGCGGAGCGATAGAGGTCCCAGGTGGCCCACCCAGACCTCATGAGCGAGTCGATCATCGGATGTGCTCGACGGAATCAGCGACGATGGCGGCGGGGCAGCGTCGGAATTGGAGTAGTGGAAGTCTTGAACGGTCATGAAAATCGAATGCAGACGGTCGTCAAGCGTGGGCTCTGCCGCCAGCATGGGCAGCGGGGTAACAGGCAACGGCGAGGCAGCCAGATGAGCTCCCCCAAGACGGGTACGATCCTGTGCATTTGCCTCGATGAATGACGCTTCGGTGCGAGCTGCGAGGGAACTTGGTCAGCCTCCCACGTACGTGCAATGTGAGCGGCGTGGGAACTCACAGATGGTGACAACAGTCCAGCAGAATTGGTCATCCAGCACGTCGACCTCGGGACGACCGGAGAGACCTCCATTCTCATGCAGGACGAGAGGTGGTCGGGCGTATCCGACGGGGCACGGCAGGTTGCTGCTGCCCGTGCCTCCTGGCGATGTGGGCCGTCGAGCAGGTAGGGGCGCGGACTTGCTCTCCTCCCAGTGCTCATCCCTTGACGGCATGCCAGTTGTCGAGCTGAGACGAGCTGCGGCGCGTTGACGGACTGATTCGAGCGTGCGTGCAAAGGCGAAGCCAGAGCTCTCCCTTGCGGACGCTCCTCCCTGTGTGCCCTCTCCAGCAGACAACATCTCAAAGGCAGTCGAACACAGATAGGCTCGCGACGACGAGAAGTCACACTCGAGCTCGAAAGAATCCCTCGGCTGACCAGGGACGCGGTGAGGCGTGACGTGCATCAGTGTCACCTTTTGCATCTGGATGACCGGCCCTCCCACGGTGCTATTGGGATCGGGGAGCATCGGAGTGCTAGACTCGACCGCACCCGCAGCAGCACTACCTTCCCTCGATGCATCTCTCTCGGCGGGCGTTGTGTCGTCTTCGCCGTCATCGCGACGTCCATCCTGCTCGACGACTCGTCGACTAGCTTGCGGTTCAGTGCTCGCAGACCCAGCCCACTTGACGCTTCCGCCAAAGAGCTGGGCGCGAGCCTGCTCGCGGTCCCTGCCACAGATCTGAAATCTGATCTTGTTGCCCTCCTGGCCCTCGTGTCTACCACCCATGATGCTCGACAGCTCGACGCGGCCCTTGTCGACCTTACAGATGAGCATGGGGTCCGAGCAGAGGTCTGTGGCGACGTCACGAAGGCACACAATGCTCCCGTAGCTGATGCCCCAGTCGTCAGAAGGAATTCCGCGAGAATTTGCGCGGGCCACGGCAGGGTCGTTGAGAGGGCGAGCAAGCAGCTCAAGGGCGAAGCCCTCCCAGCCGTCCTGTCGAGCGACGAGTTTGCGAGCGCTTGCTGCCGTCCCATCGCCGGTGGGTGCCTCGACGCTCAGGTACTTGGTCCGAACCGTTTGCGAGTTGAGACGATTGTAGAAGCACACGAGCGAGCCGCTGGCAATGGCGGGTGACGCTGCCCTCGTGCGCACAGACTTGCGCGCGGGCTTGGAGATGACATTGATGGGCGCCGTGTGGAACGTCAACCAAGCATTGCTGGGAATGATGGGTTGACCTTGCTGCTGTGGCTGCTGCTGCTCCTGATGGGAAGAGGAGGCAGAAAGGCCACTTGGGTTCCATGGGGAGACAGCACTGCCGTCGTTTCCACGGATTCGTTTGGACGCGGTGCCCGCGGATCCCTTGAGATGGGCGCGCAGCAGGTTGACCTGCAGCCGGAACACCTTGCTTCTGCCATCGTTGAGGGTGCCGACGTGCAGCTTGCCAAAGCGTGCCTCCCTTGTGCTTTGATCCAAAGCAGCTTCATCTTCTCCATTTGCACCTCCCACCAGATTGGCTGCCGTTGCCTCGGAGCGACCGGTGGATGCCGAAGACGACGACAACGACGACAACGACGATATGCCTGGCAGAGAGCTGGGCGAGGGCGACTCGCCAGCGACGACGCGGACAGAGAGCCATCTTGTCGGCCGCAGCGGCCCCATGACCCGCACCAGCGGAGGCGGGCAGAGGAAGCGCTTCTCGCTGCCATAGCTCTTTTGGGCAATGTTGGCAAACATGCACCGGATCGTCGTCACGGCAGTCTCGCCCTCGACGGTGGAGTCGGCCCACCGACTCAGCAGCTCGGCCTTGGCCCGTATCACATTGTCGCGGACCCTCTCTCGCCTCTGGTCGGGGCTCAGCTGCGACCATGCCGAGGCATTGTCAAATTGCGCCTGGTTCCATTCATTCTCCATGTCGTCGGATCCTGCCTCGGCTCTCTTGCGATGCGAGCCAGCTGCTGCCTTTTGCGTCGACGACATTCGAGGCGATGCCTGGTGAGGGGGGTACTGTGGGTGCTGAAGAGGTGATGGCCGCGAGTTGTCGGTCCACCTAGCTGTGTGCGCAGGTGTATGCACAGCTGCATGCGCATTGGTGCTTGAACTCATGGTAACCTCCGACGTTGTTGGCGAGGCCCGACTGTGGTAATGCCAAGGACGATTGTAGTCCTGTGTATGCCGCCCTCTCCCAGTCAGCAAGCCTGGATGGCGTTTCTCATTGGTGCACGTTCTGACTGAAACGATACTCACAGAGCTTGGCTGAGGAGGCGAGGATGGCGCAACGGACTCGGGCGACTGGGCCGCCCGCATGAGAGAGGCGACAAAGGTGTCGGCAGCCCGGTGCGGAGTTGCTCTTGCTTGGCGCCGCTCACCGTCGTAGCCGAAAGACACCTCGTTGTCGAGGTAGGCGGCGCGATTGGAAGAGTGTGGGTAGATTGCACTGGACGAAGACCGAGGACTAGCACTAGCGTCAGACCTCATATCATGAACCAGGCTGCTGGGAGGGGGAAGCTGCCGTTGTGATAGCTGGAGTGGTGGCAGCCGTGAGGGCGAAGGGGGGTGGGGACGAAGATGGAAGTGACCATCGTCCCCCTCGAGTCGTCTCCGAGGTGCGTCGGCTACCTCCTCGTCATTGAGCCAGCTGCTCGAGCTCGCTAGTCTCGCTCGGCTGCCAGGCATGCTCCTGCTGCCACTGCTGCCACCGCCCGCGGAACGCGCGTCCAGAGGTGGCAGTGATGGTAGCGAGCCCCCCTGAAGAAAGCGTGGATAGTGTTCTCCATGCTGGTGGGCCGGATGTGTGGGAAGCGGTGTCGGCAGCGGGGGTGGCAGCAGCGGGGGCAGACTGGGAGGGCCAGGGCCAGAGACGATGTTGCTGAAGCGCGCGTTGCTGGGCTCGCCCTCGCGGCTCACACGAGCTTCGGCGGGATAGGGAAGAATGGGCCGCGAAGGACGAAAGCGAGGATCTTCGCTCTTCTCATGCTCGCTGCTGAACGTCCTTCGGAAGGGGACATTGGACTCGTCGCTGCTCTCCGCCATCAACAGCGAAGGAGGCAGGCGCGTGCTCATCTCCAGGTTCCTGTGCGTACGAGTGAAGCCTGACGAGGGGAGATGTCGCGGCGGCGGCGACAGCGTCCTCGGAGAGGGTCGCTGGTGGTGGTCAAAGTGCTCGCCCATCACGGCCCCATTTGTGCAGCCGCTCTGCCAGTGGTAGACGCCCTTTTTGTTTTATTCCCTTGTCGTCTTTCAAAGCCAGCGGGATCCGAGGTCTGCGCTCCCAGGCTTTGGCACTGGGTCGTACGAGAAGACAGAGCGGAGAGGGGCTGGGAAAACAATGGCGAGTTGAAAGGGGAGTCCGAGCGTGGGACTCAAGAGGGAGCACGCGCGTATTTTGCCCTGGGGCGTGCGAAACGAGGTGCGGTGTGCGTCAGGTGAGCAAGAAGGAAGTCACCTTTGCTTCCTTTTCCTTCCCTTTCCTGTTCTTTTCTTGGTCGACGAAGGGTCGCCCCTTGGCGACGAGATCGAATGGACGTGCAGCCAGGCTTGGGCGATTCGAGACAGACGCGGGGATAGCAGAGCGCAGGGAGGACGTCGGAGAAGAAACGAGGCAGAGAGCAGGTAGACCAAGGCTGACCAGCCGGGCCTGGACGTGGGAAAATTGAAATTCTTTTTATTTTCCTGCCTTCACAGCCTCTGCCTTCGATTCTATGCACAGGGAGCGAACAAGAACCCTAGCCCGTTTTCGCATTAATTTAGATATGTAAGAAAAGGTGTGCCCGCTCATCGTCCTTCTAGCCAAATGAAGGCTCTGGTCTTGCTCAAAACGAGCCGCGGCTTCAGTCTTGTCAATGGCAGCTGCGAGGGCGGATCCGAATGTCAAGGACCGGTGACGCGCTCGGGGACCGTTCGGGGTGCGTGCGCGCGTGTGTTTGCTGGTGCAGCTCAGCAGTCGTCGTGACGGTATCGGTTGCTAGCGCGGGTCTCCGCGCGGTAGCGCAGAATCCATTCAAAAGTTCCCACAACAAGGGAACACTCGCATCGGATTCCAAACATCTGGCCCTCCTCCATGAGCCTGCTTTCAGTCACCGAAGGCTATACAGAGAGCTAAGCTCAGAATGGAAACAGATAATTGCTGCTCCTTATCAATATCCAGTGTTACTTGGGCTGGGAGTATGCACTAACTCAATATGGCTTTGCGCGATGGGGCTAACGGTACTAATTCGTACGTAGGGCAGCAGTGGTCGGTGGAGGTGGTGCAGCATCTCCGATTCGACTCGCGATTCTGCTTTGCCCGTTTCTTTCCCCACGGTTGCCACAGTCCATACAGTCCAACAAAGTCGTCCAAATATCTGCCTTTGTTTTGTCCCTTCTCAGTCAAATAAGTTGTCCCAGCTGCGAGGCCTTGCGCTTCTGGGCCTGCCATTCTTTCCGGCTCGACATGTGGCATCGCGGACCGTCATGCGGGCGAGCATCCCGCAGTACGATCTTTTATTTTCCGATGGTGCCTGGCCCTGTTTTGCTTGTTCCAATTACAAATTTAGTATTGAAATTACATTGCAACCTTCTTCGCCGGATGGTGGTTCCAAACACAGGTTCCTGGCGATGCGCAACTGTCCTACATATTCTTTGCCTTCAAATGGAGCAAATTTGTGCACGGCTGGCCAGGAACAAACTGAATTTCTTGCGTCTCATTTCCTTTGTCGAGGTGGTGGAAGGGAATGCTCAAGCAAAAGAGAAAGACGCTTGTGCACGACCGCTGCGGCTGTGATGAAAGCAGGCGCCGACTAGCGCTACGCTGCCCAATTTCCAAATGCCGGCAGCATGTGTCATCCACACCGGTCCGAGCCCATCGTAATGAGAAGCCTTGGCCGGAATTACATAAGGTGAGATCTCGGTGCGTCGCTGATTGTGAAGGGCTCTGTCTCGGGCGCTCTGTTTTGCCCCCTCGGCTTGCTTATAGTCGATAGGGTCTGCCGTCGTTCGATTGAAGAAATCTCAGCTGGGTTTTTACAAGAGTACGAGAGAGGATAGGGCTGTCTATGTTTGTTCAAATGCTCACTTGCGCATCCTCAATTCGATTGGTGTACGTATTGGCATAGGCAGCGGGTCACAGAAATTTGCCAATATGCGACCAAATGCTGCCAATGCCAGGAGATGGAGCCTTTCACACCTGCTGCTGCCAGCGAGTAGCCCGCGGTGGTCTCTTCGGTTGAACTGGCTGGGATGCTCGAGTCGCTGCAAAGGTGCCAATGTATTCGTACGGTGAGGTGCCTTCTCTGAGATGTCTTTCGAGAAAGTGACTCATATCCTCGACATATTCCGCTTCGAATTCAGCACCGCTTCCGACTACCTTTCCCTGATTCACCTGCCTCGTTCCCAAATATACTTCGGAAGCTAGGCTGGCTGGAATGATGCTTGCTCTTGGCAGTTGCAAGGTACAACGAGACTTCACGAGAAGCGCTGTATGACGGCGCGGCTTTAAGGTGCTAAGAATTGTTACAATTGTTTGGCCTTCTCACAGCGCTGGACATCCAGCGCACATGCTCTTACAGCCCCTACTGAAGTGCTACAAGGAGCTTCAGCTGGCTTTCTGACACCAGACACCATGCCCATCCGACCTCGCGCCGTCAACATGTGACCGGTGTAATTGTGCGGTCAGCGCTCTCTTCGACCGTCAATCTCGGCCGAGCGGGCGTAAAGGCAATCCACGCGATGTTCAGACACAGTGAGGATCTGAGCACGCAATTTCATTTCTGATGTCGCAAACTAGCACGCAATTTAAAAGCACGCAATCGCAGAAAGTGAGTGTTGATGTTGGAAATTTTTGTCATTTCGAACCCCCGGACATTGCAGCGCCAAACAAGGCCCGACATGACAGGCGAAAGAAAGCACGACAGTTGGCGGAGCGGTGGTGGCACTTTCTGGGCTGAAGGCAGGGGAGGGGGGCCCTGGCCTTCATATAACAAGAGATGAAACTCTCTACCTCTCCTCGAAACACCACCAACAGCGCCATCAGTGCCCCGCTCTACCAGAGAGAGGACGTCTTTCATCGTCATGCAAGCACAAGGCCCTCTCGCTCCAGTGCTGGAGCAGCAGCCGGGGGCATCGGCCTCTCAATCCCGTAGGCGCCACCGGGCTTCCATCTCGATGGGCAAGACCCACTTCAAGCTCGCCCCAGGACTTGTGCAGCCACCTACATCGCCGCGCCAGCCCAGGACACCGTCGACGTCGACGCCATGGTACCTCTCATCTGTCGATGAGGCAAGAGAACACACGGAAGCGGCAGACGTCTACCATCGGCACTGGAGATCCTGGGTCAACGGCGGCAGCAAAGCAGCAGCAACAGCAACAGCGACAGCAGCAGGGACCTCGTCGTCATTTGACGAAGTGCCGCGTGATGCAACGCTCCCCATCATGTCGCGACTTCCTCTGCGCCCTGGCGAAATCGATGACATCGCAGCGAACCCCACTGGGGGTTTGGACCTCGACTACCTGCGTGTGGATGACGACAGCGAGGTGCCGGGTACGCACACCGAGCGCGCGGTCGCCTCCGAAAAGGGTCTCACCTACACGCGGGCCCGCCTGCCCGTGCTCGATGAAGAAGGCGTGAACCTCTGGAGGTCGCTGCACGCTCTTCGGCCTCTCAGCGAAGATTATGCGGACGGCTACGGACAGCAGGAGACGAAGTCAAAGGCTGCCAGATCCATCGCACCGCATCCCATCTCGGCCGACATGGACGAAGCCCAGTGCCCTGCATTTGCAGACTCGTCGAGCGCCTCGTCGGCTCAGGCGCTCGCCCTCGTCAGACGCATGTTCAACTGGTCCTCCCTCCCGCAGCTGCCCTTGGACGACGAGCACACGTTCTACGGCGTCTGCTTCCGCTCGAAGCGTAGGCATGGATCCGAGAACACCACCTTTTACGAGGACGATCGACGGGCACACGAAGAGGCCGTCGATGCTGGCGGTCTGCTGATGTACTGGTACGGCCGTCCAAATGCGACGACGGGCCACAATCTGGCCATGTGCATCTGGACCAGCCGTCAAGACGCCCTTCAGGCCAGTTCGCTACCCCTCCACGCCAGGGCTGCCGCCCACAGCCGAAAGGCCTACGAGAGCTTCGAGCTGCACCGCTTCGCCGTCCGCAAGGTCCGTGGCGAGTCGAAGCTCCGTCTAGAGGAATGGCTCGAATAGACGAAACACGTCCTCCTACATGCTCTCACCAACGAGAGAGTCAAAGAGTGACCCGACATTCTTCTCTAGAGCTACCAATATCCAATGCATTTTGTACTATTATTATCAGCACATAGGTCTCTCTCAAATTTCAATGTGAACATCAACAGTTTCTCTTCTTCAAAGAGTAAAGACAGCAAGTAATTGTGATTGGCGCACACTCCTTGTGCTCGAAATAGACAAGTGAGAGGGCGAGGCTTTATAGCGATGAGACGCTGCTACCAGACGGGGCTGCGCTGGAAACAGGTGAACTTGCCGCTGCGGTCATGTGCTGGTCGAGTCCGCATGTATAGAGCTTTGCAGTGAGGCTCTCTGCCCGTCGGCGAACGTCGTAGAGAACGACGAAGAGAACTGTGAGCATGGCAGCTTGCTGGTCCACCTGAGCCCGCAGGAGAGCATTCTCGCTAGAGTTGGCGAGCCGAGCAAGATCAAGGTGTCAGTCGGTTGATGCGTAGCAGTCTCAAGCTGCCTCTACTCACCTTTCCAAAGCCGATCGTGAGGGGAAGACGAGACGTTCCTGCTCTTCATCCTCTACCTTTTTGTGTTCATTCGGAAAGTCAGAGCTGTCCTCCGAAGAAGATGGTGAGGCATGCTGGCGAAAGCGTTTTCTATTACGGCTGGGACTTGCATTTGGTGAATTGAATAGCCAGGATTTACGATACGACGCTCCTGCAGAAGAGACAAGGGTGGCAAACGATGCTGAATCCTCACTGTTACTGGCGAAGTCTGAGTCAAAGCACGTCGTGTCGCCCTCTGCGCCTACGCCTTCCTCGCTGTTCCCGAATTGCAGGTCGCTGGAGAGCAGCGCCGTGTCGCCATGGTCAATACAAGAGGGTTGTTGGAGATCACGCGAAGAAGGAGTATTTTTGCCCGATTCTGCCTCTACTTCTCGACCGAGCGTCTTTGGAGGTGTTGCGTAAGGGCTCATGTTACCTCGAGAGAGGCAGTCGATGGAGGCACGGTGGGGCGTGGCGCAGTCACCGCAGACGTCTACTCGGGGGTTGCTGTCGCCTTGTTTGATCATGCTGAGCTTTGTAGAGTAAACGGGTGAGGGAACAGCACCTCTACAGAAGCTTGTGAGGAGGGGAGAAGGAGCATGGAAGAAATGAGGAAGACGTAGGTCACTGATTTGCTCGACTTTTAGGGGAAGCCAGTGCCACCGTCGCGCTTATCCAACGTGCTGCGTGTATGTTGGCGCTGTAGATTCTCTTTTCCCTAAAGAATGGGCTAGGGTAGGCCAGGGGGTCACTTAGAGAGCAGCGCAGGAGAACACACAGGCACAGCGCTCGGCTTGCTCTGTGTCTCTGAAACATTATCATCAATATCAGCTGTCTGTCATAAGCTGCTGGGTGAACCGACGAGTCTCGTCGGCGTCAGCTATATTTTAAGTAGGCCCACCCCAGACAGAGGCTGGAGCGTGGCGCGCGCTAAGAGATGGGCCAGGGCCGCGCACGCGTCGGCGGCCGCACTATTCCATTTCGACCATCACAGAGAGAGCGAGGCTGCGAGCAAAATAAAGGAGGCCAGCATGGGATGGATCCCCTCGCTATGGACGACGGCACAGGCGGTTCTCAGCGTCTTTGTCCTGGGCGTGGCCAGCACGGCAGGGCTGCTGTACCGCTACCAGCGATCGCTCGTCTATCCCTCCAACTTTCCCCAGGGCTCACGCACTGACGTGCTGACGCCCGACCACTTTGGCATTCCCTACGAGGACCTCAGGCTGACGACGCCTGACGGCGAGACACTCCATGCGTTTCTCATGCCGCAAAAGACTGCAAGCGAGAAGGAAAAGGCGAGAGGAGAGAACCTCGACCCAGACGAGACGGTCAAGAGGCGGCCAACGATTCTCTTTCTGCATGCCAACGCAGGCAACATGGGCCACCGCTTGCCGCTCGCCTCGGTCTTCTACAAGCGCTTCGGCTGCAATGTACTCATGCTGTCCTACCGCGGCTACGGGCTCTCGACGGGCCAGCCGTCAGAGCAAGGGATCCGCATCGACGCCCAAACGGCTCTCGACTGGATCAGGAAGCACGAGGCGCTACAAAAGACCGTCATTGTCGCATACGGTCAAAGCATCGGAGGCGCCGTGGCCGTCGACCTTGTCTCCCGAAATACTAAGAGTGTGAGTGGACTAGTCTTGCGATCGTGAAAGAAAAAAATGGCTCATTTCTTCCATTTCCCTCACTCGCACACAGATCTACGCCCTCATTCTCGAAAATACGTTCCTCAGCATCCCAGAACTCATCCCCCATGTACTCCCGCCCGTCCGACCGTTTGCGTTTCTCTGCCGCGAATACTGGCCGACGGGCGAGTCAATCAAGCTGATCCCCAAGACGACGCCGATTCTCTTTCTAAGCGGCCGAATGGACGAGCTGGTGCCCCCGTCGCACATGGACGCCCTGCTTGCGCGATGTGCGAGCGATGTCAAGGTCTGGAAGAGCTTTGCCGAGGGGACGCACAACGACACGTGTGTCAAGCATGGCTACTTTGAGTCCATCGGACTCTTCCTCACCACCTTTATCGTCCCGCGCACCGCGGGGGGAGCAGCCGCAGCTGCAGCCGCTACGGCAGCCTCGCCCAGTCTTGTCACTGGCTTTGCGCTACAGAAGGACGAAAAACTCGACGCGCTCCGCATCATCGAGACGGGCCAGGGGACATCGTCTCGCTCCAGGTCACATTCAGGAAGCAGGGCAAAGCTGGCAAGGAGTGCATCGACCGGAAGCTCGAGCAGCTCGGACGCACGACGCAGAAAGACAACCGCGGCTACTGCTCAAGGCGAGAGGACCCATGACTCAGATGCAAAATGGGTCGAGATGAGCGCAAAGGACGCAGAGACAGCTGGGCCTTTGACATGATTCTCTCATCCTGAATCAAATCAATCATACAATGCAGCAGCAGCAGCCCCTCCAAGTCCGGACGTTTGCTCGAGAATGACAGACAATGAGAAAGTGCTGGCAGCATTGCCGAAAAATGAGTGCGTAGGTCATAGTGCCATTTTGTTGAGTGGACGTACGAGAAGCCCGAAGATGGAAGTGAAGGGAACAGTAAGGGGAGGAATGTGATGATGGTGACCACAGCCAGAATCGCTGCGCCGCTGAGATATGGATGTGGACCTCTTCCTCCTCTGTCGTTTGATGCTAGTCTACACGAAGCCTGCCACGTCGAATTCGAAGTGCTCCTCAGCTTTAAGCCGAGGCGGCGACCTTCTTCGTGGCGACACCGGTGCGGAAACCGTTCTTGGCGCTGTAAAGACAGTGTCAGAGCCCGTTCAATAGACAGGAGACAAGAGTAAATACTCACCGGCGAGGGACGTCCTTCATGTGGCGCATACGGCCAGTGCCCGTCGTCTTTCTCCTCTTGGCCTTCTGTCCCCACTCGTACGAACGGATCTTGGCGGCAGGGTAGCCGCACGACGCGCACGTCTTGTGCTGGCGGTGGAACGAGCGCTTGTTGCAGCGACGGCACAGGGTGTGCGTCTTGGTGTGCCGCTTACCAAACGAGGTCGTACCCTTGGTCACTGTGGTGAAAGGCAAGTCAGTCGTCTGTCCTCTCATATCTCGGTTCTCCCTCTTCTGCCGTCAAAGTCCTTCGCCGGATTTCCTCTGTCCAGAATCTCCCGAGTCGCTTCCCTGCTCCAGCGTCGTATTGTACCCATCGCAGGATTCGCTTTCATCATAGGGCTTTAACGCCAGATCGAACATGAGCACCGCCCTCCCTCGTTCAATAATGGTGCGACATTTCCCCCCTACTCCGATCGCAGCGACATTCCTTTCGCCGGCCTCACGATAGAAGAACATCCGCTTCCTTCAACAACAGGATACTCACTCTTGGAACGATCTCGAGCGAGGTTGTCTTGAGGGTTGAAGAGAGGTCAAAATCTCGAAGGTGTCCTTCAGTCGCAGCGAGCCCGGTGCGCGCGCAATCCACGTGTTTCTCCGGCCGAAACTGCGGCAGGCTAAATTTCAACCCATCCACGCGTGACATGCGGTCCAAAGGCCCCCCCTTCATTTGGGCTTGGTTTGGACGGCAGACCTTCTCGTTTACCAAATCTCGACCAGCGATAGATCAAGGTGAGCATCCTGTCGTTGGCTTCTGGAGAGCAGGAAGACGGTGGGCGAGACGAACAGGTGGACGTGCAGGCGATCTGGATCGATTCGCGATGTGGGACGCGGCCAGGGAGGGGAAAGTGGCGGCATGTGGCACGGAGCAGATGTATGCTCCTATAGCTCGCGCTGGGTGCACAGCTCTCGCTGAGGCCATCGCAGACGGAAGAAGCGAGGCATCGGAGCTCCTAGTGGGGGTCAGAGTCGTCTTCTCCAGCGCTGCGAAGGCCGAAGACTCGGAGCTGTCGGAAGAACGGCTCCTGAAGAAAACACGGAAGCTGTCCAATGGGGGGAAGATCCAGGTCGGGTTGTTTCGGCGAGATGACCATCGAGCCTAGAGGATGGAAGGACGAGGGGGCCTTGGGGCTCTTGCGGAAGGTTGGAAGCGAGTTAGGAAAGGCGAAGGAGAAGGAAGCCTGGTCTTACAAGAGGGAAACTATGGATGAAAACTGATCATAATTCTGCACCTCCAGATGGCACCCAAGGCAAAGAAGGCGACATCGGACAACATCAACAGCAAGCTCCAGCTTGTTATCAAGAGTGGCAAGGTCGTGAGTGTCTCCTGTATCTTCGTCGGCGCAACCTAAGCTCATCGCGACGTTACTTTGTCTTTGCAGAGCCTCGGCCTGAAGTCGGCTCTCAAGTCGATGCGCAGTGGCAAGGCTAAGCTCGTCCTCATCTCGGCCAACACTCCCCCGCTGCGCAAGTCGGAGCTCGAGTACTACGCCATGCTTTCGAAGACCAGCGTTCACCACTACCAGGGCTCCAACGTGGCTCTCGGTACAGCTGCCGGAAAGCTCTTCCGTGTTGGGTGGGTTCTCCCTCTTATATTTGGGGCCCAGAGCGAGTACTTACATTCGTTCACAATTCTGCAGTGTCATGACCGTCCTCGACGCTGGTGACTCGGACCTCCTCAGCACCGTCGCTGCCTAAGGGACGAGAGAGGGGATTTTTGTCGTTGGCGTTTCTTTCCACAAAATAAGAGGGACACATACACTCTCGCGCTTGTACATTCTAGGCTTCACCAGCATGGCCATCATCACCACTACAATCACATCCACGCATCGATATGCTAGTAACTTTTGGCTTGTGATTCTGTGTGCCAGTGTTGACTGTGAAGAGGATGCGCTTGGATGACGAGTGCAATGACAGAAAGTGACGATATGAATAAAGCTCAACCACGTGCCAATGTTCCTGATCACGCAAAAACCACAGAGGTTGACGCCTCGCTGCGTTCATCATCGCTCATTTCAATTACTTTTTTTGGACGGATCGAGAGGTTGCTCGCTCTCTTTATTTGGATCGACACAGGCTGGCTTCGAAGGCGTATTGACATCACAAGAGCACGAATCCGACGTCAGCAAGTGCCAGATTGATACGTATGCTGGGCTCGTGCAATACTCAAGGAGGCTAGATTTGTCCTTGCAGCTGTTCGACAAGCGCGGACTTTAGCAGACATGTCTCCGCCACAGGCCATGTCCCAGGCGGACCGACAAGCAGGTCGCCCTCAAATGCCGGACTTAGCATCGCTGATTCCTCCTTCGTCTGCGATCACCACCGACGCCCTGGTGACAGCGCCGACACCTCACCTCGAGACGCCACCTGGCGAGTCCAAGGCTTCTTCCTCAGCGAATCCTCTCTTTCAAGCGGCCGCCGCCGCCGCCGCCGCCGCCGATATACGCCCCGAGGAAGACGACTTGAACGACGACGAGCGCGTAAAGATGGCGTCAATGACACTGCAAGCCTCGGGACCTGGCTGGGCGCTACTCCCCCAGCGTCGAGCTGCAAACCTCGACCTGAGCCACACCGACCCCATCAAGGGCTGCTCCACCGCCACCCCCACGGCAGTGGTGGGCTTGGATGGAACCGGACGGAACTGCAGCGCCGAGGACAGTAGCAATGGCAGCAGTACAACCAGTATTGGAAGCTCAAGCTACGTAGCCAACAGTCAGGGATCGAGGAGCAGCAACGGGAGCAAAGACGTCGTTCTGCCGACCATCAACAGCAAGCGAAAGGTGGATGACTCGGACTCGGACATGGAGCCGCTTGACCACACGCAGAGACCGGATGAAAAGATCCGATGTACGAATGGTCTCGATGCCAACAGACGGCCACGAAGCTCGAGCTTACACGCCTTGCAAGTCGACACTCTCTCGGCTCCACGAAGCGGTCGTTTTGCTGACTCGAGCCCGGCATCGGCCCTCCGTCATGTTTCTGAGATCCCCGCTGAAGGTGCTGGTCTGCGCGGCTCAGACGCTCATGTCCCTGCCGGTGCTGTTGAATCTTCGTCCGGCGTCGACTCGCTGATGAACGACGGCGAGGGTGCGAATGGAGCCCTCGCGACGGCTCCGTCCGGCTGGAAGATCGGCAACGCCTCATCATTTGCTCCCCCAGCGGCCAAGAGACTCTGTATAAGGCACCAACGCATGGCCGACGAGGGAGTCACTGCTAGGCTTCAACGGGTGAGTTTTGTCGCATTGTTTCTCTCATCACACGCACATCGTCTGGATGCGGTCTACTTTGTTGCCTCAAATTCCTCCACGGCCAAAGAGACCGATCTCGGGATATTTTGGTGGCTCGACCATCATCATGTCCTGATGCATCGTGCAATAAGAAGAGGGTACACCCCTCCTCGCTCAGTTTGAGGCCTCGATCAGCCTCTCCGTAGGTCGTGCGCCATAGAAGAAGCGTGTCACTCTAGGGTCGGAAGCGCTTTGTCATGTCTTCTTCGCTGACACTCTTGCACCTTTACACAGTCGATTGACTCGCTTCCGTTGGCCGACCAAACAGCCGTGAACACGGTGTGGTCCTTGTTCTCGTCGTCGCCCCACCCAAGAAGGGCATTGATGCTCCAAGGTCTCTTGACCATGTGCTGCTTCTCGCAGCTCTCTCTCCTCTCATCGGAGCTGGCCCTCGCCATTCGTATCGACCCATTCAGCCTCTTTCCCAGAGAAGTCAGCCTCAAGGTGCTTCGTCACCTTGATGCCATCAGCCTAGGCCGCGCAGCTCAGGTTTCGCGAACTTGGAGGAGCCTGGCCGACGATGACCTGCTATGGAGAAACATGTGCGAGCAGCACATCGAAAGGAAGTGCGAGAAGTGTGGTTGGGGTCTTCCGTTACTCAACGAGAAGCGAAAGAAGGCGCGCCAGCTTGCTCAGCCCGGCAGCTCGCGCTTGTCGACATCTCCAGCACCAAGCACCAGCCCGGCCGCGAATGGAACTGTGTCTGCGTCAGGCTCGCTGAAGAGGAGCATCACGGCGGCGGCCAATGCAGCTGCCCAAGAGCGACATGCCAAATCAACAAATGCGTCGAGGAGCAGCAGCCCATCCCCCACAGCAACGGTGGCGGCCACAAAGACTCAACAGGCGACCACGAGGCCGTGGAAGTCTGTCTACTGTGAGAGGCTAGCCATTGAGCGCAATTGGCGTCGTGGTCGATACACGACCAAGATCCTTTCCGGCCACACCGATGGAATCATGTGTCTTCAGTATTCCGAGTCCCTTGCCCACCCAGCATTCCCAGTCGTCATCACTGGCTCTTACGATCGAACCGCACGTATCTGGAACATGGAGACGGGCGAAGAGCTGAGGGTGCTGCGCGGACACACGCGAGGCGTGCGCTGCCTTCAGTTCGATGAGGCCAAGCTCATCACAGGGTCCATGGACCGGACGCTGAAGATCTGGAACTGGCGTACGGGCGACCTCATCAGGACCCTCGAGGGCCATACGGAAGGCATTGTCTGTCTCCATTTCAACGAGGACACACTGGCTAGCGGCAGTGCAGATAGCAACATCAAGATCTGGAACTTCCGCAGTGGCGAATGTTTCACGTTGCGAGGCCACACCGACTGGGTCAATGCTGTTCAGCTATGGACGGGAAAGCGGTCTCGCGACGCGCAAGCCCAAGCCACGCGCACCGATTGGAAGTCAGGAAAGGTTGAGGCTGCGCCAGCAGACGAGGATCACGCTCAGAACCGAGATCGCAAGTCAAATGACGGTCAGCCCCCCTCGTTTCTCTTCTCGGCCTCGGACGATGGCACGATTCGTCTGTGGGACCTCGAGGAGCGCGAATGCCTCATGTCGTATGACGGTCACGTCGGTCAGGTGCAGAGCATCAAGCTGGTTATGCTCGACGATGAAGCCGTGAGAAAGCTAGCTCAGAGCGCTGGCGGCGGGCCGGGAGCAGAAGATGCCGACGCGATGCGAAGACGAGAGATTCGAATGCAGCGCAACGAGCCTCAGCGCACGCGGGCCACCTCTACTGACGACGACCATGAAGACGTCGGAAGAGAAGGGGCCGAGGGCGAGGCGAGCACCTGTGGCTACAACCCACCTGCCGTGCCCGGTGGACGAGCGGCCAACACAGGCTCGGCACCAGCAATTCCCGACCACTTTGCATATGTCGCCGCTGCTTCAACTTCTTCGTCGCCATCAATGGGACGCCGACGCGAATCTGTTGCTAGACCATCGACGCCCCGAAGAAGGATTGACCCCGCCCTGCTTCACTTGCAAGACCGCCTCTGCAAGGCTGGCCTCGTCGCGCCGCTCCCCCTCGACGCCGAGCTGAGCGACTTGGAGGGCCCCCTCGCGTACGACTACGTCTCCTCCTCTTCCGACAAAGGTTCCCATCACCGTTCTGCCCCTCGCCCTGTCCTGATCAGCGGCTCACTCGACAACACGATCCGCCTCTGGTGCGTGCGCACCGGCCGCTGCATCCGCACACTCTTTGGCCACACCGAAGGCATCTGGTCCTTGTCCCTCGACAAACTCCGCATTGCCAGCGCTTCGCACGATCGTTGCATCAAGACGTGGGACACCGACTCGGGCGCATGCAAGCAGACGCTGGTCGGACACCGAGGCGCCGTGACGTGCGTCCAGCTTGGCGACGACAAGATCGTCTCTGGCAGTGACGACGGTGATTGCCGCATCTGGTCATTTGCACCGAGATCCGAGTCTTCCTGAACTTGGTCCATTTTCGCTTTTGCGCCTGTCTTGGTCCCTACCCTACTTTGCTGGTCGCTATTTCCTTCCCCCATCTCAATATTGTTCGTGGGATTCCTGTCACTGCCTCTACCTTGTCCATAGGTAATCTTGTCTGTGTCTCTGGGTTTTTTTTTCTATTCTCCAGTTCTTTCAATTTGTATATTACCATGGCCAACACCCACATCATGAATATCAAAGCTCTCTCCTCTGTATGGTTGGTTATCATCTGCCCGGAACCTTAAGTTGCCGCCTGCACGCGCAATCGTGTGAGTCGGGGATTTTTTCGCGCATGCCTACGCGGGCTCCCACAGAACGAGGCTGTGCTGGTTAGAGAAAACACGAGACTTTCCTGCCATGGTCCCGGCTTCACCCCCTGTCGTGGAGGCTGCGAAAGTGGGCTGTTTAAGGTCACGCTTGTCGAGCACGGGTCGTTCTTGGCGGCGACGGCGGCCTCTGCTCTGTGTGACCGAGGCAGAATGCTGTGAGAATGCGCCGAGGACAAGCTTGTCTCGCTGACACATAAAACTTACGCTCGAAATGTCCGCCGACGAGAAGAAGGAGGACCCGTTTCAGCCCTGCTTCCCACGTCCGAAATTTCACACTAGTGACCGAGCCCGTTCGCTAGGGTCTCCCCCCTGCCTGCTCTCCCGGTTCCACAAGTTCTAAATGGAGCACTTGTCAATGGTGTGTCCAGGACTGACTGCTTGGCAAACCGCCGAGGGCGAGCGATACGTGACTCAATCTCCCTCGCGACACGCAGCACGCAGACACACTCTCTTTTTTCGGGGTTGCAGAAAATAGTAAATGCTTATCCGCTACCTCCCCGGCCTTCCTCCCTCTCCACATAGAGCAGTAGTGTCGACGTTGCCCCCAAAAAAATTTCAAAGCAAAGCAACAAGGGCTGGCAGAAAGAGAAGAGAGGAGCGAGAAACAAAAAGAAAAAGAAAGCACCGCCTCTTCTTCCGAGCCGACCGAGGTGGCGCGCGGACACCGAGGTCAATAGGCTTTTTTCTATTTTGTCTCGCTGCGATTCTTGAATTGCACCTGCTGTTTTTCAACCCGCTTCTGCCATCGGGTCTTTCGAAATTGTTACTACAACCTGCATTTTCTTTTTGGCCTTTTTTATTTATTTTTTCTTTCTCCATCCTTTGGTACGAATCATCTTCTCCGGATACGACGACGACGCCGACGACAAGAGCAAGGCTTGGAATGACGAGGTGGGCTTTCTTTCTTCTCTAGATACCAGAACCGAACCGGCCTCTTCGAACTTGCCTCTGTTGCTAGCTCTTACCTGCACAAGCGAGAGGGCGATCGAGGAAAGCGCACGGTAGCGAGGAGAAGCCGAACAAGCAGAAGGCTGTGCCAGGTGCTCCACGCTGCGTACCGCATCGCTTCGCACCGCACGAACGCTTCACTAGTCAACACCAGCCTTTGAACAGTCACGGAAAAGGAGAAAGAGAGCAGCGACAGAGGGAGAACGCGAGGGAGAAAGAGAGAGAGAGAGAGAGAGAGAGAGAGACGGGGAGAGCGAGGGTAGAAGGGAATGAAGCCGTCCAGGACGCTTTCTCGACAGCAGCAACCGCAGAGTCAGCCCGAGGTCAATCTGGCAGTCCCAAGAAAGACGACGATGGCGTCTCCTTCCGCTCTGGCCGAAGGGCCTTCACCGACGCAACTGGCCTTTGCCGTGGCTCATCCGATAGCCTCTCTCGCCAAGATTGCTTCGGACCATGGCCTCTCGCACGACTCGGGCGTCTCTTTCAACAGCAACTCACTCCCCAAGGCCAAAAGACCGAAGAAGGGCATGTCGCTACAGCAGAACTTGTCGACTTCCCTGGCTGTGCCGCACGGAGAGACAAGTGGCTCGATTCCCGAGCCCAGCACGAGCAGCAGCGGCAGCAGCAGTCTCGACGTCACCGCCATCGACGAGGGAGCGAGCACCACAAAGATGGTCAGTGAGAGTCCTGGTACGACGGCGGCATTTGACGCCCGCGACGACACTTGGGCCGACGTGGCGCGGCATGTCAAGCCCTTTGGCGACACACTGAGACATGGTGAGCCTTTCTTCTCTGAGCTTAGGTTGAGCATGCAGAGATCGCTAAGACGCTGACCATCTTGCCAGATCGACTGCGCTCCACGCTGGGAAAAACGGAGCTGAGCCAGCACTGCATCAAGCTCATTGACATCTCCGTCACGACCCTCAAAGATGGCCATTTTGACGTCGCCGCCACCGCCACCGCCGACGAGCCTCGCTCGCCGCTTGACTCGAGCCTGTATGAGGCTCAGACGGAGCTCCTGAGGGTGCTTGGTAACCTCTGCATCGATGACGACGTCAACAGGACCGCTCTTCTGGAGGAAAAAGGGTGGAAGAGCATCGTCGACCTCTTGGAAATGATCCTGGAGCACAGCAACGGGCGCGCACCGACGTTTTCCATGCAGGTCCTCACGCTACTCCGAAGCGCGACAGGTGCATTGCTCAACATGCAGCTCGACCACAGTGAGACGCGCCTGGCGATGCGCAGAGACATCTCGGCGGTGCGCACGCTACTCGCGCTGGCCACCAGCCAAGCAGTCTACGTGCCGGGCGAGTGGATCGAGGAGAAGCTGCTGAGGGACAGGGTACCTGGTGGCTGGCAAGACGCAGGCGCAGTGGATGTCAAACCAGAAAGCGAGGAGGAGGAAGAGATGAAGGTCATGACAAAGATGGGTGCCAGCATCGTCACTTGGGCGTGGAAGATCTTGCAGGACATTTGCACCAGCGAAGAGCAGGACAACAAAGGAAGCCCGGACGCCGAGGCCACCGATGATGCTGCCACGGCTGCTGGCCACGGTCAGGGCCATGGTCAAGATCCACAAGACCGAGTCGACACTCCCTCGACGAGACAGGGGAGCGACAGCGATAGCGAAAAGCCAATCGAGGCTCTCGTTGCAGCTGGCGCTGCCCACCTGCTCTACCTGCCCCTCTTGTCCTTCCTCCCTCCCGCTGCCGGGCCGGACCAGGAGGCAAAGACGGGAGATGAACCAGAGTCAGATCTGACGGCAAGGTGGTATGCCGACGACGTCTCGGACCTCATTGATTACGACATCGACATTGTCCAGCTCGCCTCTGAGCTCATCGAAAGCGCCGCCTTGGATTCGGCTTCATTCCGTGAAGAAGCCCTCTCCTCCAAGTCTCACCCTCGCCTCTCCAGCTCCGACGATCGAAGGATGCGGACTGGCCGATCGCCGGCGCGATGGCACTGTGCCCTAGAAGCCATGATGGCCATTCTCGACGAGGCAGATCCCCCGCGAGAATGGTCGACAGAATCGCTCTCGTCTGGCCACAGCGGCCCTCCGCCTCCGAGTGAACCCGAATCGGCACAGGAGGCTTCGTCTACCTTTTCGCGCACCAAAGCTGCCATGGCTAGAGCCATTGTGGCTGTTTCTGGCGAGGACGCCAACATGGCCAAGCTGTTTGGAAAGGGCGAGCAGGGAGGAAAGAGCTGGTTCATCGAGACGCTCAAACGGTGGATGGCCCGAAACGTCAGTGAGAGGGACGATCTTGTGAGCACAGCCATGCTCAGCATGGGCAACCTCGCAAGGACAGACGACCACTGCCTCGCCCTCGTGCAAGACCACGGACTCGTGCCCCCGCTCACCCAGCTCATCACCCCCGACGCCGACATCAAGGTTGCCCACGGCGTCGTTTCGCTGCTCAAGAATCTCTCCATCCCCGCAGCCAACAAGCTCGTCATTGGGTCCGAGAACAAGGCAGTCACGCTTGTTGCTCCTTACCTCGGTCCGGCAAAGGACCACGTCCAGCCGCTGCAGTTCGCCACCGTCGGCCTCCTCAAGCACCTCTGCTCGGGCTGCACTGAAAACTCGCTCAACTTCGTCACGGAGTCGACGACGGGAAGCAAAGACAGCGTTCTGGACTCGCTGCTCGACCTCGTACAGCGGTCAGACGACGTGCCGACAAAGATGGAGGGCACGCGCATCCTCGTCAATGCCATCAAGACACTGTGGTCGTCCAAGGAAGACGCTCGCTCGTCCATCACTGCTCATACCAAGCTGCAAGCCAGGACTCGGCTCGTCTCTGCTGGTGTAGCAGGCGCGCTCTGCGAGATGGTCAGGAACAGCCCCAAATACCCCGTCCTCGTCAATGAAGGCATCATGTCGCTAGCGCTACTCGGGAGCGAAGGCAGCAAAGGATCCCGGCTCGTGGCCCGCGCCTTATTGGCCGATCCTACCGAGGGTGTGCTCGACGAGGAACCAGAAGCCCTTGCATCAGGCGAGCAAGGAGCAGTGGCGTCGTCACCGGCCAAGTCGCTCACGACCCCTGCCACCGCCCAAAGCCGGAAGCCACCGTCGCGAAGACCAACGAATGATTCGCTGGCGAGCAAGTCGTCGCAGCCACCGCCGCCGCCGCCGTGCTGTGCTGACATGGTATCCAATGTCTTGGCCCGTCGGGACGCGAGGATGCCACCGCAATTCGCCAGCAATGCGTGCAGCCTCATCTACGGCCTCGTCGAGGCCGACAAGCGGTCTTCAACCTCGTCCACTCCCACCTCTGCTGCTACCACTACTGCTGCTGCAGTAGCCTCAGGACGGGATCAAGACGATCCATTGCGCAAGTTGCTGTCCGTGCTTCGACCCAGCTTGATCCACCTTGCAGACCAGGGTCCCCAAGAGAGCCTCGAGAGTGCACAGAGAGCCCTCAAGGCTGTGGACGGCGCTCTCTCCTCTCGCGTTTAGAACCATGCTGTCCCTCTTCCTCATTTCTCCTCCAGTTTCGTACATACAAATGCTGTTCCCCTTCTCAAACACACCTGTAAACCTCTCTTTCATTTCAATCATTGGCTTTCTCTCCTTCCTCTGCGGCTTGTCATCAACCCTCATTATGGTGCGGAGTACAAGTCGGTCTGCCACGTGGTTTCCGTTCTCTCCTTTTTTTTTTTTTTTTTTTTGGTGGACAAGATTCTTCCTGAGCCCATTGATCATCCCATCACTTTACCATGGCTTCGACGTCAGCGAGAGGCGCACTTCGCCTCGTCGCTTCCATGCCAAGGAGTGTGGCGGTGGCAGGACCGTCTGTATCGAGAGCGATGCCGCAGGCGCGCGCAATGGCAACGTCTCGGCCTCGGCAACAAGCTGACGACGACAGCACACCAGCGCGATCGCATCGGTCCCCCTCGCCCACCACTTCGGGCGGCCCGGACGTCGAGCCGCTGAGCGGGCAGCCTCAGAACGCGAGCACAGAGGCGGCGCTGACGCGTGGTCAACGCAGCGCACGAGACATGGCAGACTTTGCCCAGGGCTTGATCGACCCGCAATCGGCCCAACAGCTTCAGGCCCAGCAGCAACAGCAGCAGCAGCAGCAGCAGCAGCAGCAACAGCTGCTGGCGTGGCGCACCCCGACGCTCAACACCGACGGACACTCAGCTGTGCCCTACACGCCAGAGGCTCTCGCACAGCGGACAGACCCGCTGCTGGAGGCATTTGTCAACAATCTAATGCGCGACGGCAAAAAGGCCCAGGCGACGTCGCACATCTGCGACATGCTCGACCACCTTGCCCAGGCCTTTCACGCGGACCCGCTGCCGGCGCTGCATGCGGCCGTCGAGGCTGCCTCGCCGCTCGTGCGCATGCAGACGCGAAAGGGCGGCGGTAAGAATGTGCAGGTGCCTGTTGCGCTCCGGGCCGAGCAGAGCCGGAGAAAGGGCATCGTCGCCATCTTGGACGCGAGCAAGAAGAGAAACGATCGGAAGCTGGCGACGAGGCTGGCAAGGGAGGTCATTGCCGTCCTCGAGGGGACGAGCTCGACGCTGGCAAAGAAGGAAGAAGCACACAAGGTCGCCATGTTGAATCGCAGCAATGCCAGCGTCAGGATCTAGGTCCGCCTCTTCTTCACTCTGCATGGTTACTTTTGGAATTCATTCATTCATCCATCCATTGGCTCTCTTCAATCTCTGCTTTGTGCGACGCTGGCTTTTCTTCCCTTTTCGGCTGGCCTCTATTTTGTCTGCGAGCAGGGCTCTCCGAGCTGCTCGGTTGATGACTCGCTGGGGGATGTGGCTCCAGCCTTGCTCGTGGCCTTCTTCGCCCTCGGGCAAGAGATCGACCTCGCACTCGCCCCTTCTCGCTTCCTGCACTCGGTCAGGGAGCAGTGCGCCCTCGACATCGCGCACAAAGCCATAAGAGTCCTCCTTCAGTACTGCCACGAGTTCCGAGGCTTTTGTTGAAGTTGAGCACCTCAGCAGGACCTATGCTAGCTGTTCAGCAGAGTAACACAAACAAAATGGACGATTTCCGGGGGGGAACCTAGGTGGGGATTTCCTCACCTCTTTCTCTGTCCAGGATACATAGTTGACACAGTGGGATACGCGCTTCTCGCATGTGCTCTTTATGGCGTCTGCTGTCTTCCTCTTGTACGCGGGTGATGGCGAAGAAGACGGCGGTGGGGAGGAGGAGGCGAGGAGCGAATCGAGGAGCCGCTGGCTGACGACGCGCACCATCACTCGGGCTGGTGGCCGTTCTTGCACTTCGACCTTGGTCTTCTCCACAGGAGCCGGCGCAACCGGCGCTGGTGCGGTGGCGTTGGCTTTTGTCAACGTGCGTCGAACATGGCGAGGCAGAAAGGTCGGGTCCATCGTGTCATCGTCGCTGCGTTCTCGGGCTAAAAGAGGAAGGAAGGCGACGCGACTTCGCACCAGTTTTTTAAGACTCGCTTCTCTTACTCCTCCACCGGGCGGGAACGAGAGCTCCTGCGACGACGAACCGCGCCCATGGAGAAGAGGACATTGGTACCGAGACGGTGGTGGCAGCGAGGCCATGCCGACCATGGCTGGCTCAAGTCCTTCCACACTTTCAGCTTTGCTAGGTGTGTTTTCTGCTTGTCGTCGCCTCTAGCCTTCCTTCTGTCATGTCTAACAAGAGTACGAGGACAGCTACTTTGATCCGGCCTACATGTCCTTCGGCCCCTTGCGCGTGATCAACGAGGACCGGGTTGCACCCACCACGGGCTTCCCCACTCACCCGCACGCCAATGCCGAAATCTTCAGCTACATCATCGAGGGCGAGCTGACGCATCGAGACAGCATGGGAAACGTCGAGACGCTCCACAGGGGCGAGGTCCAGTTCACCTCGGCCGGCACGGGCATTCGGCACTCCGAGTACAACGCCCACAAGAAGCGCGAGTGCCACTTTCTACAGTGAGTTGCCTCGCGCAGTTCAGTGATGGAACGCAACATGCAGAGAGGGAAGAGGAAGCCGAAAGAAGCTGAGCTGACGGAGAGCTGCTGGTGAAAGAATCTGGTACATTCCCTCAGAGAAGAACCTCGAGCCAAAGTACTACACGCTGCCGCAGACGTCCGACGACGAGAAGCGCGACAGGCTCCTCACACTCATTCGATCCTCGACGACCTTCACCGACGAGGAGCTCAAGAAGACAGGCCTGCTCGCGCAAGGCAGAGCCATTCCGGCGCATTGCAATCTCACGACACGGGCCTCGATTCTTTCTCCGGGCGCAACACCCCTCCGGCACCTTGTCGGGTCAGAGAGCGGCGTGGACGAGCATGGCGTGGAGAGGTGGATCTACGTCCATGTGGCCATGACAAGCGGCTACAGGGACGCGAGGCTGTTTCAACGTAGCATAGCGCTGAAGACAGAGGAAGGACAGACTCACGACAAGAGGCTGAACCACGCCGCAGACTTCTTGCAAGGGGTGTACGATGGACAAAGGCCCTTTTGGTCCCCCTCTGCCCCCTCTGGCCGCAAACAGCAGCCGCGTACTGAGCTCGCAAGCGATCGGCCCAGGGTCACGCTGACGTTTGCACAAAGTCTCGACGCAAAAATCGCGGGCGAAGGTCGAAAGATGCTACCGCTCAGTGGGCCCGAGAGCATGATCATGACGCACACGTAAGTCTCTGTTGCGGCCGTCGAGGCGTGAAATGCGCGGAGATACTCATGATTCTACGCGCACATAGGTTGAGAACGATGCATGATGGCATCCTCGTTGGTGTTGGAACGCTGCTGAATGACGACCCCCAGCTCAATGGTGAGTGGACAATTCCTTTGGTCTTTTCACGCCCGCATCATGCAAATTGACTCATCTGCTGTCCAGCCCGACTTCTGACGCCTCTCCCCCCGCCCTCGAAAGAGAGGGCAGTCCCGGTTGATCAATGCCCGAGGCCTATCGTTCTTGACTCATCGCTTCAAATTCCGCTTGATTGCAAACTCATCACCAACTTCAGAAACGGTGTCGGAAAGGCTCCCCTGATCGTGCATGGATCCTCGGATGCTTCATCGGAAAAGGCGCAGAAGCTCAAAGAGTCCGGGGTTCAGCTCGTGGCCGTCTCGAATACGAGGAACTGGGAAGAGGTCCTCCGATCGATCAAGGAGGAGGCTGGGCTGCATAATGTCATGGTGGAAGGAGGCGCTTCGATTATTTCCTCGCTCCTGGAGCAGGAGCATCTCGTCGATAAAGTCATCGTGACCGTCTCGACAAGGGATGTGGTTGGTGAAAAGGGCCTTGGATACGGTGCGGGGCCGTCGTGGCTCCGGACTGGGTCACCACAGTCGCCGGCGAGGAACTCAAGCGACGCGAGCAAGAGCAGCACGATGCATTCCGTCACATTGACACCAGAACCCTTCGGAAAGGACCTCGTCTTTGCTTGGTCACGGTCGGCCCCTCTTTTGGCGACTGCGAGGGTCCGTGTGAAGCTGGCCTCGATCGACAAAGAAGAAACACTTGAAGAGGGCGACGGCATCTTCATCAAAGGATGTCGAATCGGGCAGGATGAGATCGCTTTGGAGAATGCAGGAGAAAGAGACGCCGAGCTGTGAGAGTCACCGAGCCCTCTTGATTATTCAAACCTTTCTCATGCACTTTCCTCTCCCACACAGCATCCTCTTTGACGTCGAGCCCGGGAATCAAGACGCCAACGACGACGACGATGATGATGATGACGACGAATGGGATGACTGATCGATGATTCAGATGAAATGAGAATGATCTGTAAGATCGTGTCTACATTGAATACCCGGTACAGAAATGAAAAGCGTCTCTATGAAAAGTTGTGACTATCGCTCCAAGGCGGTGTAAAACGAGGAGCATGAGGTGACAGGAAATGCACCCATCATCACTCGTCGTCGACGAGTCTTTGGAAGCCGGCTGGACGGATATGTTCAGATCGAGATGCCACTGTTCTTCAGACGAAGGAACAACTTACAGTCATCGGCGCTAGCCTCCATCTGTTCTGTCAAATCGGTGACTTCGAATGCCGGTTTGACGCCCTCAGTCTTGACATCCTTCGTCAGCCACCCTTTGTTCCTTTTCTCAAAGGCTTCAGGCCTGCGATCGAGAAGCGTCTCCAGCTGCTCGTCCGAGATGATCTGACTGTCCTTGTCGGCCAATTCAAATTCGATTCGTTCGGCTTTCAGAGCTTCGAGCATATCAGCCCATTCCTCAGCTTTGCTCTTGTCGCTTCGCAGAGCGCCCGTAACACCTCCTCGGGTGCTCGTGAAGGCATTTGCAGCTTCGGTGGTCTCCTTGCTGAATTGATCGCCGGAAAGAACAAGGGCGGACAGCTCCTGCTTCGCAGAGGCCCGCTTGAGGATCTTTTCCTCCGCGGTGTCGCGCGTCACGAGGCGGAAGACGAGGACAGGCTGGTGTGGAAAGTGGAAAGCGAGTTCAGTGAGGAGAAGTGAGACTATGGGACAATCAAACACACCTTCTTCTGTCCAATTCGATGAGCACGATCCTGGGCTTGTCGATCCATTTGCGGGTTCTTTTGGTAAAGTCAGCTCGGATGTCCCTTCCATAATAAAGAAGACCTACCCAATCGGTGTCGTAAAAGATGACCGTGTCAGCCCCAACCAAGTTGACACCCAAGCCACCCGCCCTAGTACTGAGCAGAAAGAGGTTGCAAGCGTTCGGACCCTTTCCATTGTTGAATTCGTCCATTAAGGTCTTGCGGTCGGAAATGGCGGTATTACCATCGAGCCTGAGCGTGTTGATCTTCTTGAAGTCATTTGCCCAGTCTTCGATGATGTCGAGCATGGTAGTAAATTGGCTAAAGAGGAGAACCTTGTGACCGCGGACGAAAAGGGCGTCGAGGAGCCGATTGAGCATTAGCATCTTGCCACTGGCATTGATGAGCCGATCATCGAGGACGAGCTCGCCAGTCGTAGGATCGCGGGGCCAGTGGAGCAGAAACGGGTGACCGCAAACTTTGCGAAGCTGCATGATGGGGTTGTTGAGCTTCATGTTGTTGATAATCTTTTCGCCGTCCCGTACACTGCTTTCTCTGCTCATTCGTTGGACATCCTCAACACTGAGAACGGCCACGTCATCCTCGTGCTCCTTTGCCCGGCCATGCTCCATGCGGTCCATAAATTGTTTCTCGGTCTCGTCGTCAACATTATAGCCCCCGGCATTGCCATTGTTGTTCAGAGCTGAGCGACGGGGCTTCTTCGTCTTCGGTTCGTGACCGCTACCGTTGGATGCGGAGCTGCCATTCTTCTTATAGTCGTTCTTCGCCTTTGCGCCCGCAATACCCGACCTGACATTGCTCTTGCCTTTGGCCTTCCCGTTGCTCTGCTGGCCTTGTTGCTGTTCGATGCCGTTCAAGGGCGCGTCCCATCCCTCACTGCTCTTCAGGGTGCCCATTTGGTTGATGGTGCTCCATGGCATGCCCGTCATTGTCTCGAGAAGTCGAGCTCGAATAGAATTATTGAGTACCTCGTCGTAGAAGTCCTTCTGCTCCACGGTCAAGGGCGCATACAGGGTATACTCCTTTTTGGGCGGCAGATCTCGCTCGACGTCCTTCTTGTGCCGCTGCAGGATGAAAGGTTCGAGGATGCCGCGAAGCTTTGTGACGATGCTCTCTGACTGCTCGCGTGAGAGAATCTTTGCGGACCCGCCTTCGTCCTGGATCTCGGAAAAGTCGAACCAGCTCTCGAACTCCTCGAGATTGGAGAAGATATCGGGGAGAGCAAAGTTGAGAAGTGACCATAGCTCGGCGAGATTGTTGTGGACAGGGGTGCCAGTCAAGATCAGCCGATTGTCGCTCATGTATTGCTGATTCAGCGTGGTTGTAAGCCTGCGTGATGGCGACTTCAGTGTGAGCGGGCGTAGACATTATGGAGAAGGAGAAAGGAAGACCCACTTGGCATCTTTGTTTTTGAGGCGGTGCCCTTCGTCCACGACGATGAATTTCCACCTGACTGCTCCGAGAGCCCTAGCATCATTGATGGCCAGCTCGTAAGTGGTCAGGAAAATGGGGAACTTGATGATGCCCGCCTCGTCCTTTGGCCTGTAGTTGTATTTGTTCAAGGTATGCTTTCGCGAGTTCTTGTCCCCGCCGTGGTGCACGATGGGGACCAGCTGCGGAGCAAATTTGCGAATCTCTGACTCCCAATTGTGAAGCGTTGAGGCGGGGCAAATGACGAGATATGGTCCATATTGCTTGCGACTTTTGAGGTGGCAGATGAATGCTATGGTCTGGAGGGTCTATATCAAAGAAAAGAAAGTGTTAGTATGCCGAAGATGCAGCGCGAGGTAGACGGCAGACCTTGGCTCACTTTTCTGCGTTTTCAGGCATAGACAAAGAACAGGAAGCAAGATCAAGGTCAATGAGTCATTGTTATTATCGCCACCGCTTTCACTCACCCCAATCCCATCTCATCAGCCAAGATACCATTGATGCCGTTCTCAAACAGGCCGACGAGCCACTCCACACCCCTCAGCTGATAGTCCCTCAGCGTGGCACCGGTCACGAGTGCTGGCTGCTTGAAGGAGGCTGATGGCTTCGTCAAGTCCTCTGTCGCCTTAGTACCATCGGTTTGCTCGACCTTCTTTGCGCTTCCATCTTCAGCTTTTCTCTTCTTGTTCGCCTCATCGACAGCGTCTTGCCCCAGCACGTCCGTCAGCTCGTACCGATTCTCTTCGCCCTTTCTCTTTTGGTTCGTCCGGGTGTCTCTTCTTCGAAAGTCTGTTTCGCCTGCCACCGCCGTGCCCTCTCCTCCCTGTCTCGTCGTCCTGCCCTTTGCCCGCCCTGCGCTTGAGCCTCCACGATCGTTGTCGTGACCATCAGCTCCCTTCGCTTCCTGCTCCTCGCTCTTCTTTTTAGCCTCTGCCTCGGCTCGCTTTCGCTCCCTCATTGCTCTGGCCGCGTTCTCTTTCTGCATCTTCTGGCTCAGAATCTCGCTATACACCTTGGACTTGCGCAGCAGCGCACTCAAGCGCTTGAATCGGGGATCCTCATTCTGGTCGTAAAGACGAGAAGGCGTCAGCGCTGGGCAAGATGTCAACAAGAGGGAGGGAGGACACTCACTTCTCGCTCCTCGTCCGAATCAGCCTTGCTCGTGACAGGCGTGCCGACACCGCTGTCGTGGCTTTGGCCCGCTGTGCCGTTGGTGTGGCCATTCGACTGGGGCTGGTGCTGCTGAGCCGAAGCGGCCTGTGCAACGCCATTGTCGACGACCGTCATCTTCCTCCTGTGCCCACCGCAATCTTCTATCCACCCTTCTCTTAGACGAGGCAAGCAAGAGCACGCAAGCAGGAAGCAACGAGAGAAGGAGAGAAGGCGAGAGAGAGAGAGAGAGAGAGAGAGTAGGAGCAAGCTCGATGTAGTTGTAGTTGTGAGCGTTCGCAGCGAATCATCCTCTTTGTCAGAATTCCTCTTTCTCGATTTGCGTCACTTTTCTCCGCGTTACAACGCGTCAAGAAGCGTCAATGAACACGCCGCGATCGGCCACGCGCCATAAATTCTCTAGGACCCTCGAATGACAGAATACCTTTAGCGAGAGGCTTAGTGGGATCGGGAAGTTTGCATGACAGGCCCAGCAGGTCGAATGCTTTGATTATTGTCCTAATCATAGCTCTACACGTCTTGGCGAGCCATTGGAACCGGTGGCAGATTAAAAGTAAAGGAAAAAAGGAAAGGAGAAGAGAGGGACAGAAAAGGTGACCGAAGGCGAAGAGAACAGAACGAGGGAATTAATTAATTAGCCAGGCTGAACGAGGGCCGGTGTTGGGTGGGCGCGGAGGCCCCCAAGGCGTGGGACGTGTCTCTGAGAATCGAATGGTGGCTAGCTAGCCGGGGATCGTAGAGCCCGTAGGAGCGCTGGACAGGATGGTGTGCCGTCGTTGTCACTTGCAAATCGAGCTGGTTATCACCGATGGACGTCGACCGCTTCAGATGCGAAAAACTCGACGAAGCTTCATCTCTGCTCGGCTTCCAAGCACCTGCATCTCCTCCACCGCCTCCTCCACCGCTGCCGATGATGCCGAGCGCATTGTCAATTGCCATCTTGGACGTGCTCATCCTTCGACCTGCCCGTTCCATGCCGTCCCAAGCACCGCCAGCGGCTCCTCCTCTCTGCGAACCGTAATCTTCGCTGTTGTTCCCGCCATCGTCATCTTGGTCATCATCACTGCCGTCTTGGTCGTTTGCGTCCTCGAGCTTGGATCTCTGCAAGTGCCGTGAGCCTTCATCGCTCCCTCGACCATACTTGCGCTTCCCACGCTTATCGTCATCGTCGCCACGCTTCTCTTTTCCGCAACCCTACGGAGATTGCCATTTCAGTCAGCATTGTACAAGCAAGCATAAGATGTGGAAAGAGAGTGGAAGAAATTCTTAGAGAAGAAAACTCACCTTGACGGCGACGTGGCGCTTCAAAGCGTCTTTCCTGCTGAAGCTCTTGCCGCAATAGTCGCACGGAAACGGTCTGACGCTCAAATGACCCCGTTGGTGCCTCTTGAGATCGTGATTCCGTGCAAACCTGGCGGGACACTCTGAGCATGCAAATATGCGCGGTTGCGTCGAGAGCACCCTGGGCGCCGATCGGGGTCGCTTGCCGCCCGCCATGGGTGCAAAACCTCCATAGTCGGGCGCTTCGCCATGAGACTGATGCTGCTGATGTTCGTGCTGCTGGTGCTGTTGCCCATACCCTTGTCCTTCTTGGTGCATGGGCGAAACGGACCGATTCTGGCGGTGATGTGGGTTGTGCGACTGCTGGTATCCTTCACTGATGGGAATGGACAAGTCGCGGTGGTATTGGTGTTGGTGTTGGTGTTGGTGGTGGTGGTGATGCTCATGCGGATGGTCGCTGAAGCCGCTCCACGACGGGTTCGATGGACTACCGGCAGATGGCGCTCGATGCGTGGGGCCCCTGTAGGGCGCATCGGTAGCCGTGGCGGGAAGAGGAGGAGCGGATGCATATGCACCGTGGTTGGATGAGGGCGACTGCTGCTGCGTAGCACCGGCCCAAGCGGAGTCTTGATGGTGCTGCTGGGGCGAGGCACTGTACTGCATCTCGGCGCTTGCTGCGCGCGGGTCATCGTGACGGGGGTGATGGTGACCACCGGCACCCCAGGAAGAAGACGAAGGAGCAGGGCCGGCGGTGGGAGCAGAGGCGGTGTGCGACGACCACGCCGGTGAGGCCATAGACCGTGGTGAGGCAGGCGCCGCGTGATAGTACCCGTGGCCGTCATCAGACAGCCGGATAGATGCCTGCTGACCAGAGGTGTAGGCCGGGTGCGTCATGTACGGCGACGGCCCGCTTACAACCGCACCTCGGCGGTTGTCGACGTTTGCGGCGGTGTTGTCATGGTGATGCGCAGGCACGGCGCCCATCGACGAGATGCTGTGCCTCTTTCCATCGAGAGAGCCCAGCGTGATGCTCGGTCGCTTTTCATTGAGGAGCGAGGCATGTCCAACGGAGAAGCTGGGCCTCTTGCCATTGGCAGGTGATGGTCCCCTCGACGGCGCATCTTCTGGAGGCAGCTTCATGGGTGGGAGGGGGAGCAAAGGCCCCATGCTGGCCCCACTGACGGCGCCCCGTCGCATGGGCACGGCTGCGCTCAGAGGTGGGAGCGAATTGTCGTCATCGGAAGCGCTGATGGCTCCCTGTCGAGGTTTTGGCGCAAGTCGCGGAGAGATGTAGGGCGAGGATGGATGCGAGGAGCCGGCATCATCGTCAAAGCTCGCGCCCTCTTCCATGCTGACTCTACTTCCGCTCGCCTCGCCTCTTGCAAACATCGTCATCGATGGAGGCGACTCCTTTTCCCCTTGCGCGCGCGCGCTTTCCCTGCTTTGGTCTCGCCGTTGCAGTCCCGCGCTTGGAAGGATTAAGGGTTCCTGACAGTATGGCTTGGCGGAGAAGCAAAAAATAAAGGGAGGAGGTAGGGAAAGGGGGGCGAAGAGGTAATAAGGAGGAAATGAAGAAAAAGAAATCAGAGACAATAGACAGGATCTCCCTCCTCTAGTCCAGCCCTCGGTTGAGTCTTTTTCCGGGGACGAAAAGCTGCACCAATGATGGCAGTCAACGAGGGAAGACGAAGCTTAGGCGGAAGTCGGAGAGGGAATTCTACGTTGGTGTACTCGGTCGTCGTCGCTGTCGCTCGATGGAGAGAGAAATTAACGGGGAAAAAGGAGCGTCAAGCTGCCGCCCCATTTGCTTGCAGACCGCGGTTCTTTCCCTTCGCCACAGTTGTCTGGACTTTTTATTTTTTTTTTACCTCCGGGTTTCATAATCCATGTGGCTTGATTTGAAAATACGCTTTCGATTTCAAAAAAACAAACATTCTAATTGCCATGACAAGACATGCCCTGGATGCACATCCTCACGATGCAGGAAGGGATCATGATGATGTGGGTGCCTGGGAAGGCCGACGTTCCTCATCGATAAAGCCAAACGCAGTAGTAGTTACGATCTGGCGATTGGGAGCTAGGGTGGGAAGGCCGCACTATACGTGCTGAGATTCAGGCAAGCAGCAGTAGTGTCGCATGGGACTACTGTGGGACGTATGAACCTCTTTCATTTAATTTTTTTTGTGGCTGTGGGCCCGTCAAGCCACAAAAGTCGATCGTAGCCTCCCAATCTGGCAGACGAGCGGAAAGCAGGACTTCCCCACTACACACTGCAATTGTCCATTCTTCTGCCGTTAGAGCTCATTATGCATTTACAAGCGACGGACGTGGATTAAATGACTACTGGTCAATAGCAGTGAGACATCACATCTGTCGTCATTGTTGTCGTTATGAGCAGAAGGCTTGGATCGTTGAATAACACCCTCTTTTCTCCCTTGGTGGATTTGATCGCGATATCGATGCGCTTTCACCCGGACGCCTATCTCTGTTGGCTGGTGCCCCCTTGCACCAATTCGCCTAGACACTGCATATATTGTATATGTGCTGAGTCTGCTTCAATTGTCCTGCGGAAGTCTCGCCTAAACTTCGTCTATGCCGTTGCAAAGAATCCGATCAAGCTCCGCTCACGGGTAAGTGGGCAGCGTAAGACCTCATCCCTGTTAAGTCACTTGGTCAAGGTAGTCGGACGTCTCACGTCCTGGCCCACTGCTTGCTCTGGTGTTTTCTCTTCCTATTCCGAGAACATGCACGGGGATATTTTAGTCTGTCGACCCTTGATAAGATACCACTCTCAGGTGTTGGTCGGTGGCCCGGGTCATCGGAGACTGTGGCCTCTCTCGCCCCTTTGGCTCGGACTTTTGAGAATAGCTGTCGGCATGAAAGTAACGACTTCTCTGCCTGCATCAGGGTATTCGCCGTTCCCTTCCCTTCTCCACGTCCACGTCGGAGGGCAACGGAACATCTGGCTGACGCACTTCTGTTTCGCTGTCAATGGCACGACTTGTGTGGCTCCGAGTGGTAGACAGCTCAACTCCTTCATTCTCTTCGCTATCGTCGCTTCAGAAGCACAGCACTCTCGTCACAGCGAATGGTACTTCAGAGCTCAAGCTATGTGTGTTTTGCGGCGCCATGCGGCTCACTCGCTTCCAGAGAGTACCTCATCATTTGGAGAGCTCTCTTTTGAAGGCCCCACGATCCAATACTGAAGATGGGCAGCCACATGGATATCAACGGTACCCGAGCAACTGGCTCACCGGTGAAAAGGGTAACATTGGTGCGCTGGAAAGAGATCGCTCTGCGGAGCGCGAGTGAGGCGAGTGACTGCGCCGTGTGATGATGATGCCCCACGGGTTTTTTTTTTTTTTTTTTTTTTTTTTTTTTAAATTTTTTCAACTCGGTCCGAATGAGAGTGCACGCCCCAAGATCAGCTCCGGAGAAGCGCGCTAGGGCTCCTTTTTATTTTTATTTTTATTTTTCTTCGACACTCGCTATTCCACGCCCTGCTCCTTCTCCACTTTGGGCCAACAGAGACGATGAACAGGGCAGCGACATCGTCCGCGGCCGGATCCCTCGGTAAGCGTGGGACGCACCATGCGAGGCGGCGGCAATCGACCGTGTCTCCTGCACTTCGGCAGGACCTGTCGGAAGGAGGCGAAAACGATCCGCTGCTCGACGCCGAGGCTGCAGGCGACGATCAGACCAAGGTCCTGCCGGATCGATGTGCGGCCGAGGTCATCTACCCGCTCGTCCACACGGTTCGCAACGACGTCAAGACGACAATCGATGCCTATCTGGATTGGCATGAGCTGACCTCGCTGGAGCTCAATTACTCAATCGTGCGGCCACTGGCGCTCAAGTACAGCCGCTACCGGCAGCTGTCGATGCTGTTTGTGCTCCTCATTAACCGGATCCAATTCCAGCGCGACGCCGAGAGGGACGTGGCGATGCAGGCCGTCAACCAGACGAGAGCAGCCCTGTGCGAGCTGCTGGCCATCAAGCTGCTCCGTACCTTTGCACACGACGGCTTCGAGCTCGTCACCGCCCTCGCATACCCCTTTAGCCCCTTCCAGGGCGCAGATGAGGCCACGACCGCCGACGAACTCGTGCCGGGCTATGAGCAGACAACGAGTGCCATGGAGCTGGCGATCATGAGCAAGGCCAAGAAGTTCCTCAAGAGTCCCCTGGCGCAGCGCTGCATCATGGGCATCTACGAGGGAAGGGTCGTCCTGTCCTACAAGGCCCAACATGCCATCGTCGACGACAGCTACAAGAAGAGGCCACTGGGCATCTACGATCCATCCAAGGCGCCCTTTCTCGACCACTACCGGCTCCGAGTGCCTCTGGTGCGGTCGAGGATCGAATTTGTCAACTTCTGCCTCCTGCTCCTCTTCTACGTATGGTGCCTGTCGCAAAAGGGCGAGATGCACTGGACGACGGCAGAGACAATTTTTACCATTTGGCTCTTTGGCTTTGCTCTTGACGAGGCGGCGCAATTTCAAGGTGAGCAGTGTTTAAGCTATTGCTAGCCCAGCTTTCCCTCTCATCTCATCATCCCCTCAGAACACGGACTCGGCATATACGTCACTTCGCTGTACAACATGCTCGACTTTACCTTTTGCATTGTCTCGTTCGTTTGGCTCGGTATCAGGATATCGGCCCTGGTGCGCGGCGATGCTGGGCATTCCAACCTGTCGTTCGACACGCTCGCCCTCGGCGCTATTCTCCTGTGTCCCCGCGTCGCCTCGGTCCTCATTCAGGACAATGTCATCCTGCTTGCCCTCAAGGCCATGTTAGCCGACTTTGCCTTTTTCATGGGCTTGGCTGCCGTCTGCTTCAGCGGCTTTCTCTACACTTTTTGGAGCCTTAGCGACCGAAGCGAATGGACGGCAGGCAAGATCATCTGGATCATGCTCAAGGTGCGTCGCTCTGCCCGAAAGGAATCCTCTCGGCAGTTGAAGTGCTGACCGTCTGCTTCCCTCCTTGCCTTCTCCCGCTTTCGTCTCCTTGCCCCTTTTCCTCCTACCCCTCTCGTGGTGCTCGGCTCCTAATGCCCAGGTCTGGTTTGGCAACAGCTACGTCGGCTTCGACACGGCCGAGTCGTTTAGCCCCATCTTTGGACCGCCTCTGATGGTCTTCTTTGCCGTCATGGCCAACTCGCTACTCCTCACGATTCTCATCTCGCTCCTCTCCAACACCTTTAGCGTCGTGTCTGCCAATGCAGCCGAGGAGGCCTTTTACCAATTTTCCTGCAAGACATTTGCGGGCATCAGCACCGACGCCCTCTTTAGCTACGTGCCGCCACTCAACCTGCTCGCCGTCGTCACCATCATGCCCCTCTCGTTTGTCCTGACGCCGCGCTGGCTGCACAAGGTCAACGTCGTCCTGCTCCGTCTCACCTCGTGGCCGATTCTCCTCGTCATTCGCCTCGGCGAGCAGCGCCGGAGCCTCACGCACCTGATGGGCCTCGAGACGACGACGGAGCGGGCAACGCACATCATCAGCTGGCTCCCGCTGCCCCGGAGCGGCAAGAGCGACAAGGACATTGTCGAGGCCGTCTTTTCGAGAGCCAAGACGAGCCCGCTGGACGGCGAAGGATGGGAGCGGTGGGCCGAAGAGGCTGCCGTCCAGGCGAACCCGGAAGACGGCGCCGAGGAGCAGCGCGAGGCAACGCCACCGTCCACTCCACAGAGGCGTGACGGAAAGAGCTACGGAGCAGCACAGTCCACGAAGCCGCTGTCGGCCTCAACGTGCCAGGGCGACGGCCCGTCTCCGCCACCAGCGGCTGCTGCTGCTGCCGCCGCCGCCTCCTCGTCGTCGTCTTCAGGGCAAAAGGACATGCGCAGGAGCAGGACATTTGACGTGGGAGAGAACATGCAACGTCGCAATGGCACCGTGGACACGTCGAGGGCGCTGGGGTCCCTCTCGAGCCCGCTCGCGCGCATCTTCGGACGCACCAGGACATTCTCGGATCAACACGCGCCGATGGACATCAACGCGGGCAACCCGACCACAGGCCGGCCGCGCAGCCAGATCGAACGCGGGAATGAAGGGGCAGAAGAGGGTGCAGCGGGGCCTGCGACTCGGGACCTCATCCTCAGTCTCATGGAGAAGATTGAAAGGCAGGAAAAGGCCCAGCAGAGATTGGAGGATCTCCTGCTCAAGCTGGCCGAAGATCGGGGAAATCTCTGAACAATGTTTGTAAAACTCTCTTCATTGTGGGAGTGTCGCAGGCGATGTATAAAATTCCCGTATTATGAGAACATGAAGAGCTCGTTCTGTCATGAAAGAGTCCCCAGACTGAGGCGTCAGCAAACGAAGAGTAAGTAGAGTCATCTCCAAGTGACGCACCTTCTTCTTTGCCTGCACCTCGGCGATGCCGCCAACGAAGTGCTCATGCGAGAGCTCGGTGGCGCCCTCGCGCAGCGCCAGCATACCCGCCTCTACGCACACGGCCTTCAGCTGGGCGCCGTTCATCTCGTCGGTGCTGCGCGCCAGCTCCTCGTAGTTTACGTTGCTGGCCACTGTCATTCGTCTGCTGTGGATCTGCAAAATCATGGCCCGGCCCGCCTCGTTTGGCAGGGGGAATTCAACTTTCCGGTCCAACCTGCCGGATCTCAAGAGGGCAGGGTCCAGGATGTCGATTCGGTTCGTCGCAGCAATGACTTTGATGCGCTCATCGGAGCTGAAGCCGTCCAACTGGTTGAGAAGTTCGAGCATGGTACGCTGCACCTCTCGATCACCGCTCTTGTCGCTGTCGAACCGCTTTGTTCCAATGGCGTCGAGCTCGTCAATGAAGATGATGGCCGGGGCCTTCTCCTTGGCCAGTTCAAACGCATCTCGGACCAGCTTGGCGCCGTCGCCGATGAACATCTGAACAAGGGAGGGACCAGCCAGCTTCAGGTAGCAAGCATTCGTCTGCGCTGCACATGCCCTTGCCAGCAACGTCTTTCCCGTTCCTGTGGCGTTTGAATAAGCGAACTTTCCATGAAAAGATGAAGGCAAGGCACTCGATGAAAAGACTAACCTGGCGGTCCGTACATCAAGCAACCTTTCGGCGGCTTGATGCCCAGGTTCTTAAACTTTTGCTCCTGTTGCATCGGCAAGACGATGGCCTCGACGAGCTCCTCGATCTGCTTGTCCAGGCCTCCAATGTCCGTGTATGTCTCGGTAGGCCTCTCATCGACCTCCATAGCCTTGACCCTGCTGTCGTATTCGGCGGGCAGCTTGTCGAGAACGAGGTAGCTGTCCTTATTCACGCCGATGAGGTCGCCAGGCCTGAGCGACTCGGGGGGGACGAGCCCGATGAGGGGAAGAAAGATAGTTTGCCGGGTCGAAGTCTTGATCACTGCACACTTGCCCTTCCTTCTTGAGTCCAGATCAACATTGGCGCCCTCCTCTGAGTCTTCATCAATGTCCGGGTCAATGTCGAGGATCTCGACGACATTGCCGACAAGGAAAGGAAGAACCTTGTTCTGCTTGATCTTATCGGCGTTGTCCTTGATCTTTTCCTTCATGGCCCCTTGCTCGTGCATCAGTCTCATGTGCTCCGACCGCATCACCTTGATGTCATTCTCCAGCAGTCGGGTCCGTGTCCTGATCTCTTCGGCCGTGGCGTTGAGCACCTCGTCTGGGAGGGGCTCCTCTGGCTGCTGCTGCGCGTCTGTCATTTTGGCATCTGTCTCTGCTGCTGCTGTTGCTGCTGCGTCTGGTGCAGCAGAGGACGAGGCCGGGTCGGCGGGCGGTTGCGGTTCCGACATCGTTCGCTGTTGTTTGTCAAAAGTGATTGAAGTTCGCCTTTGGGTGTCGAGATGGAGGACGCCGCGCGTCTTCTAAAAGGGCGCCACGTGGCATTTAGACTAAAGTTCTGGACCCAGCTCGACCCTTCGATTTTTTTGACCCTCTTGTCCGATGTAGGCGCTCTCTTTGTTCCACTGAAAAGAGCAAAAGGACGACGAACACGATGAGTAGTACGGCGGCACCGTGCTACGACCTCGAGGCCGCACGGACATACCAGGAGCGCCCCGTCATGGCTGAGCAGCTTGCTGAGCAGTTGAGACCGATGTTGTCGGGCGGCGATGTCTACTTGCGGAGACCGTCCCCACCAGAGGAGGGCGGTGGAGAGGGCGATAAGACGGATCCCTTCGAAGAGAGCACACGCCTCTTCAACTCGGCGGCACCACTGGGAGCATGGATCGTCGTTCGTCCCAAGAATACTGCCGATGTTGTGGCGTGAGTTCGACGTCTTTTTGTTTATGGCCTTTAAATCGGGTTGAGTCAGGCAAGCTTATCGGACCATCGGACCATGACAGGACAATCAAGTTCTGCCGCACACACGGCATCTCGCCTTCTGTGCGGTCTGGTGGCTTCTCTACCGCTGGGTGGTCGATCCAGGGCGATCTGGTTCTTGACATGCAGCTCATGGACAGCATCCAGATGATTGCACCTGGCCGCTGCGGTGCAACAGAGGAGACATCGCCGGCCGTTGGCGTTAAAATGTCTACGAGCTTGGATGCTCCTGCGTCCAAGCCGGGAGAGCCTCTCCAGGGCTCTGCACTGCCACAGAAAGATCACAGAGAGGCCGATGCGAAGAGTCGAGCCTTTAATGTGTCCGTGGTCGAGAACGGCACCATCAAGGTTGAGACGAACTCGGCGGGCGTGATTGACCGAGAAGCACACGGGCCTGAATACAATGCCGGTGCGAGGTCAACCGCGCGTGGAATCACCATGGACGGCTCCAACCGGAGAAGAAAGGCGGGCGAGGCTTTCCAGACGTCTCCAAGGATGGGTCAAGAAGAAGCATCGGGCTCGAGACGAAAAGTGCTTGAGCAGGACCGTGATCCTGAGCAGGACCGTGATGCCTTCCCTCGAACGAAGAGCGGAGACAGCGGTGCAGAGGCCGATGCCGAAAGCAGTAGCGGAAGCAAGTCATCTGGAAAGGACAATGCAGAGGGAGGCACGCCATCCTTCAGTGATGGCGGCGAACGCACGGGCAGCGGTGAGAGCCGATCGGGTGGCTCAAGAAGTCCAGAGAGGACGACGACGCCCTGGGTCGATCGCTTTCTTGATTCTGTGCCAGACGGAAGCAACAGCTCGAGTGGGAATTCGAGGAGTGAAAGCAATACCGGCGTGGCGAGCATCGACGCCGATTCGGAAGACCCGCCACGCAGGCCAGAGGTCATGCCGAGCAGCCCCGAAGAAGCCAACCTTCATCGACCCGATGGCATGCAATTGTTCGAGCACGAACGATGGCAGAGGCATCATCAACCGCCAGGATCCATTCCCTCGGGATCACAAACAGTCCTTCCTGAACGAGGAGGCTTCATCTGGACGGCGGGCGACAACAACGGAGCACCTGCCACGACTCGCTCGCTGGGTGATGACCCCGTCTACATGGGCGGATCCACCTTTGGCGACCTGCAAGCCCAGCAGTACGAGTACCAGCAGAATCGCACGGGCGTGTCGCCGTTTCTGTCCCATGCTTCGCTCTACGATGCACCTGCCATTTCGTCGTCGGCTTCCGTGCCTTCGGCACCAACAAAGTCATCGTTGCCGCCTGGCATCCACAAAGATCGCTACATGCTCTGTTCATTCGGGCCAGGCGTCGGATGCAGAGGCATTGACAGCTTCACCGACAAGGCGGGCCGTCTGAGTGGAATGGATGCCAGGGGGTCAGCAAGGGGCAAGGGCAAGGAGAAGGACTTGCGAGTGAACAGCAACGGCATTGACATTGTTGCTCATGGCGTCCCTTACCATGTGCCTCTCTCAGCCTATCCGGTCGGCTCGACGGTCATGACCACGGGCGGCTTCGGCTACTTGGTCCGCGCGTACGGGCTCTCGCTCGACAACGTCGTCGAAATTGAGCTCGTCTTGGCTGATGGCCGAGTGATGACCCTGAATGAGTCTTCAAAGGCCCGAACAAAGGAGGAGGCAGGTGAGCTTCCCGAGGGTCATTTTTCTTTTTCAACCCTGGCTCACTTCACCTCTCTCGCGTAGACCTGTGGTGGGCTGTCCGCGGTGCTGCACCTTGCTTCGGGGTCGTGACTCGCATCGTCGCCAAAGCCTACCCCGTGCCGAGCGTATACGCGGGTAATCTCATCTACCCCATGAACCCCATTACCGCACCCTCGCTCATAAGGCACTGGCGTGACTGCCTCAAGGGCAGTGGCGACTCGGTGCCAAGAGAGCTCTACTCGAACCTCATCCTAACCGCTGGGCCCGATCAGTCATCGGACGTGATCGTGATCCAGGTCTCCTACTTGGGCGACCGGGCCGATGGCGAGGCCTTCGTCCAAGCGCTTAGCTCCTGGACGGGAGAGCGGGTGCTGCTCAAGGACATTGAGGAGCGCTCCTTTTTGTCGCAGCAGGACGGCGTTGCCCAGGTGCTCAAGAATGGCCAAGGACGACGGTGGATGGTGCGGGGCGATCTCGTATCTACCCTGACCGACGAGGTCATTGCCGACACGGTGGAGCGCTTCAGCGGAATGGGCAACTTGGCCGTGTGGCTCTTTGAGCTCGTGGGTGGAGCGGTAGAGGATGTTGAGGAGCACGAGACGTGCGTGGGCCCCCGTCAGCGGGCTGCCAAATTCACTGTCGGCGCCTTGCATCAGTGGTCGGGCAAGGAGGAAGACGAGCAGTGTGCGAACAGTGTCGACGGCTGGGTAAAGGACGTCCTCTCCAAGGTCAGCATCGGCGGGCCTTATGCATGCTTCCTCGAGCGAAAAGAGTCGAGGGAAAGGGTCGAGGGATCGTTTGGCAAGGACAACTTTGAAAGACTCTTGCAGCTCAAGAGAGACGTCGACCCTGAAGGATTCTTCAGGCACACGTTTGGAGCAGGTCTGACAAACTTTGTCTGACAAGGCAGAAGCGATTCATTCTCCTCATTCCCTTCCTCTTATACATCAAGCCCATGTACCATTGGTTTTGTTTCATTTGTTCTCTCGCCAGCGAATATACTATCACTTTACACAGCTGATCAATCAGGCCGAGAGAACCTTGATGTCGACAGGGACATTGTTACGCTGTTGTGTCTCAAGTGAGTCAGTATCCTTGTGAGAAACTTCTCTCTTGTTGCTAAACATACCGTAGCATTGCTGTAAGGGCAGACATCGTGCGCCTTGTCGACGAGGGATTTGAGGTTGTCGAGGTCCTTGCCCTGGGCGCTGGCCTTGATGACGAGCTCGACGGCGATGGCAAATGGCTTGTTTCCCTCGCTGGGAGGGCCAATGGAGACGTGGGCCTCGCACTTTGTGTCCTTTGGAATCGAGCTCTTGGCCTGCGACGTGACGAGGTTGAGAGCCGAGAGGAAGCAAGCAGCGTAGCCCATGGCAAAGAGCTGCTCGGGATTCTGCCCCTTGCCGTCCCCGCCGAGTTCCTTGGGCATGGCCAGGGTCAGGTCCAGGGGCTGCGGGGCATCGAGCAGCGACGTCTTGCCGTTGCGGCCCTGGCCAGAGGCCGACGCGTGGGCCGTGTAGAGGCTCTTGGAGAGCGTCGTCACGCTCCGTCGGCCAAGGGCGACCGAGGGTGCCGAGCGCGCCACGAGGCGGGTAGAGAGCATGCGGGTCGAGTTAGCAAGCATTCTGGCTTTTGCAGTCTGGTCTGATCACTGGAGGAGGGGCGTGTATTGATGGCGCTCTGGTGGGATCGGTTGGAAGCATGGGCAAAACTCGCCAGTTTTTTAAGTGGAGATCTACCTTCTGGGCGAGGGCGGCTGGCATTCGGACTTTTGTGGCTGTCGATTGGTGGAGGTGGATGAACAGGAAGGAAGGAATCACGTGGCGGCTCTCCCGCACCGGTTGCTTCAGAAGCACTAACGCCTGTATGTGGGATGAATCGGAGCAAGCAAGCAAGCCTGGTAGGACGCTGCTCGGAGCACCGTGAACCTTGCTTTGATGACTCCAAAGTCTTTGAATTGGTAACTTGTTGAGCTTGATGGTCCGAGGGGGAGCGCGAGGGCTGTCCGAATAAGCGAATTTCAAAGAGAGACTATTGCCAACCTCGAGCAACGAGCGATGCTTCACGGAAGACCGAGTCTGGCCCCAGTTCACGATGGGAGGAACAACGGCAATCTTTACAAGCTGCCCCTTTTCCGCAGAGCAAGAGTAGCATAAACCTCATGTGCTTGCTGCTCCCTGCGGGTCCACGGGCCTCCTATCTCGACGGAGTTTTAATGTATCCGCCCTGATCAAGTGTCAGCCTCGAGATTATTGCTCGCGCGTGCGCTCTGAGAGGAGGTCATCCGTTCCGTCCCAATTTGGTAATAATAGCACGATAGCGGAGACAGGAGTGCCATTTCCGCCGGCCAAAAAGCTCCCATTGACAGTCAGAAGCGGGATCGACGGCACAAACATGGCGGTTCTCGAAATATATATTAATTTCCATAGTTGACCGCCGCCGCCTGTCGCCAAAACCGCCGCCATCTGCGCTCCGAACCGTGCTGGCATGGGCATTGAGCACTGTGCCGCATATACCGCTGCCTCGGACACATTTTGCTATTTCGAAGGAATGACATGTCTTGTCAGAAGCCAAAAGTCAGCAGGAACGACACGCGCGACTCAATCAACGTGGGCCTGCCGAACGCACGCCCGATCCCCTCTGCTTCTATCGAAAGATTCTATTTCGGCAAGCTTTCACGGTAGTGAGAGAAGAATTCATTATTTACTTCTTCCCCTTCGCCTTTGCTTTGGAGCAGGCTTGAGCACCCCGTGTTTTTCTCGTAATTAATGTAGAGCTCACACCGCTCGCTCGGAAGATGAGCAGAGGAGCAAGTCATGTTAACTTGCTCTGCAGAAGAAGAGAGAGAGAAAAAAACAGGCAGGGGGGAGAGGGAGGGAACGGGCCGAGCTGGGCAGGGGTGAACTCTGGAAAGCCACCACTGTACGGCTCACCCCTCGCAGTAAGTGAAAGTTCTTTTAAAATTTCGGCCAAGAACTATTCTTTCCCGGGTCGCATTAAGATCCTGGACTATTCTTCACAGAGGGTACCTGGCATAACATGCTCCCGTTCTGCCACCAATTTCCGAGGTGCAGATGCCAGATTTATTGTATTGGGCCTCGCCTCGCATGCATTTAAGTGACACTTCCTGAGAGGGTCAGGCACTACAATACTACTACTACAATGTCGATTGTCTATTTATCGCCCTGATCCCGCCGTAATACAGCATCGAGGTCGATCAGAAAGACGCTGGAGGTTTGACCACGAAGCCTTGAAATTATCACGTATATCTCTCTTTTGCTCTTGCTCTCTCACCTCCTCCCCATCCCCCTCCCAAGCTCGTTCCCCGACCGTGCGTGTTCGCGACCCCGACGCTCGTTATCCACACTCTTTTGCCTCGTCATCGTCTCTTCTCCCCCCTTTTCTTTATATAAGGCCTCGCCTCTCGATAGATTCCGTCTGCTCTGTGCCTTTCCTTGAATACCAGCAGCAACAATGTTTTCTCGTCTCGCTCTCGCCATCGGTATCCTTGGGGCAGCCGCCTCCGTTCAGGTCCAGGCTGCCGGTGCCGCCAAGTACCTGCCCCCGCTGTCGGACACCGTCATGGCCGACCTGGCCAAGCTCGATCCGTCGCAATACGAAACGTTCCACCTGCAGAACGCCTCCGATGCCCTCACAAAGCGCGGTCCTCCCAATGGTCTCCGAGGGATCCAGGAGAGGTGCACGACTAGCCACTGCTACGACTTCACCTTTGATGACGGTCCTTACAACAAGTGAGTGGAGACGGTGAAGTTCTCACAACAAATCACTAAATGAGGTCCTTCAATTAATAGCATGCGTAACATCGTTGACCACGCCACGGACAACGGCATCAAGGTCACGTTCTTCGTCAACGTCAACAACTACGACGTGAGTTGAATGAGCAATAAATCCTTGCTGTCAAGGTCTCTGACATCGAGGAAACCTTCCAGTGCATCTACAACCAGCAGCGTGTTTCCGACCTTCGCTATGCCTACGGCAAGGGCATGCAGATCTGCAGCCACACTGCCACGCACCCTCACCTCAACGACCTGACGCACGCCCAGATCGACCACCAGGTCCAGGGCGTTGAAGACGCGCTGTGGAAGATTCTTGGTGTCGTCCCCGCCTGCATTCGCCCACCCTATGGCGAGGCCAACGACGATGTTGTCAACTACCTCAATGACCGCTGGGGTGTGAGTACTGGCTCTTTGAAAGGAAAGACGTCTTAAGACCATCAAGGGAAGCTGACTTGGGCCCACAGTACGTCGTCATTAACTGGAACTACGACTCGGGTGACAGCACCGGCTCCACCACGGCTCAGTCCAAGGCTGTTCTCCGCACGATCAAGTCGCCCAAGCACGCAATTGTCCTCATGCACGAGACCGTCGACACTACACCCAACAACCTCTTCCCCGCCGCCATCAAGATTGCTCAAGACAACGGCTACACGGCGGCCAACCACCAAACCGTGCCGCAGAGCCTTGGCTTCAACGGATACAAAGTCACGGGCACCCGAGGCAGCCGAGACTCTACCTGGACGTGCAACGGCTACACACCCGGCCAAGGCTAGGTTGTCTCTCCCCTTCAACTTTTTCTTCTTCCTCTTCCTTTATCTTTTGCTCTGGGAGCACAGAAGCTCGAGCAAAGCAACCCACACACACGGACAGTGATGCAATGATCATCTCACTCCTACCCTATTGCCTATTTACGTGCGAGTAAGCCTGGGTGCGTGTTGTCAGCTTGATCCGATGCTCGCAAGTGATGCGAAGCTCCCCTGAGCTATCGATATTGAGTGAGAGCATCACATTTTGCTTAATCAGCCCCTGATCACACCCTGCACACCAACTTTGCCGCACGAGGAGTCGAAAATAGTTTCAATAGAGTACAGTGCTGTGCTTACGGTTCTCAGTCGTATTCAGCTTCGCCACCGCCACCCTCGTCCTCGATGTCATCCCCTTCGCCATTGTCGAAGTAATTGTCTGCATAGTCGTCTTCTTCCTCGTCCTCGTAATCGTCCATGGGCTCCTCCTCATCGGGAGATGGTGACCGATCCGGGGGAGCCTCTCCGCCGGTCTGCAGTCAAGGCGCGTGTCAGCATGGTTTGAGGGTCAGAGAAGGAGAGAGGTGATCTGCTGAGATTTACCTCGAGGCGCTCCAGCATTCGTTTCCAATCCGTCCGCTTCTTGGACGGGCCAGCTCCGTCGCTCCTCTTCCCATCGGCCTTCTTATCCTCCCCGTCCATAAAGGCCTTCCATAGCCCCCTTGGAAAGGCCTCCCTTTGCATGTAGGCGGCCTCTCTGATTTTGAGCGACTGCGAGCCGTTCTTTGCATTGTCCCGGTGGTAGCGATCCGAGAAGCGTGGCACCTCGCGCCGCCGTTTCTCCTCTTCGACGGGCCACCATGATGTGTAGCGCTGCTCGGACAGGAATTTGAGCTGCAGCGCAACCGCCCGCTCCTCAAACGGCGTTGCTGGCGATAGCACCGGCTTCTCCTCCATTGGCTTTTCGCGCACATATATACGACCTGTCAGCCAAGCTTTTTGCAGCGCACCTCGAATCGAGCAGGCTCAGAGAGCAAAGAGCCCACTCACAGGATATGCCTTGCTTGGCTCCTTGTCCATCTTGGCGAGCTCCGCCCAAGTGAATGCGCCCATTGGAGGGCCATTGTCCCCTCTCATCCCGCCTCCGCCGCGTCCACCACCGCGCCCACCGCCACGGCCTCCTCTCGCCGCCATAGTAGGTGAGGTAGGTCTTTCAGCTGCGAAGCTCTCGGTGTGTCCACGCCCGCTCTCCAAAAAAAAAAAAAGGGCGAAGATGGCGCTCATGAGGTTGTGATCCACGTGGCACATCTCTTCGAAATTTTTCTTGGCCCCAGACTATCTTCGGCGCTCTGTCCTTCCCGCCAGAAGCATCAATTTAGATTAGCAGCAGCAGCAGCAGCAGCAGCAGCAGCAGCAGCGCAGGGGTAGCGGGATGGCGACGATGGCAGTAGAGGTCCGTGGTGGGGGCCATGCCGGTGGAAGCACCTGCCGACCTCGCTCGCTTTCTCCCGCTGCGCTTCTCCCACCACCTGCTCCTGCTCGTCTGCTGTTGCGATGCAGCGCCAGAGGATGCGACAAGGCATTTGCCAAGCCGAGCAAGCTGCTCCAGCATGAACGGACACACACGGGTGAGAGGCCGTTTGCATGCCAACATGACGGCTGTGGAGCGTCTTTTGGGAGAAAGGACCATCTGGATCGGCACGCGCAGACCCACCTCGACGAAGACGACGACAACGACGACGACGACGGGCGCGGGGCCGCAACGATGAGGAGACGGCCCTTTCTATGCGAGTACAAGGCGGGGTCCGTCGAGTGCGGAAAGAGATTCTTGACCGCTCAGCATCTCCGGCGACACATAGACGAGACGCACGATGACGCACGAGCAGTTGGCCAGAGCACAACAGACGACGAGGACGACGAGAGGAAGGCTGTGGCAGAGAGCGGGAGAGGCGGTGACGCTTCCTCGTCGGTGATGGGCCAGCACAGCATTCCTGGGAAGAAAAAGCGAGGGGGCAAGAGAAGCAGAGCTGGGGGCGAGGGTGCCTATCAAGTGAGTCTCTACCTGAGTGGTTGAGCTCGTCGATCTTTCTGGTGGCTGACTCGAGTAATTAAGTGCGACGTGCCAGGCTGCGAACAGAGCTTTACAAAGAGGAAGCATCTACGCACGCATATTGCTGCCTCTCACGCTATCCGCGTTCCTGTTCCCGTCCCAGCGGCCGCCCAAGGAGATGGCGAGGACAGCACCAGCCCGCTGTTTCCATGCACGCATTCGGGCTGCCTCAAGCAGTTTCCCACTCATTCGAAGCGGGCCGCACATCTTCGAACAGCCCACGATGCTCATCGGTACATGTGCACGCTGCCGCACGAGAGTGGCGACGTCATTTTCTTCTCGACATGGTCGGACCTGCAGCGCCATCAGCGCGACGTCCACCCGCCTCGGTGCCACTGGCCAGGTTGCAAGGACAAGGTCTTCAAGACTCGAGAGAACCTCAAGGCGCATCTTCGGCGGCATATGGAAAAGGAGAGGCACCTGCAGGATCAAGGCCTTGTCCTCCCGCCCTCCTTCTCCACGACTTCAGGTCCAACCGGACGGGTAGCTCAGACATCGATGGCATTTGAGTGCCCGGATTGTGACAAGGCTTTTGCTTCAAAGTACGCACGCGACGTCCACACCAAGACGGTGCATCTCGGGCAGCGCGACTATGCATGCAAAAATGCCGGCTGCGACAAGCGATACGGCCACAAACATCTCGTCGTGCGCCATGCGAGGGTCTGCCCCTTTCAGCTTGCCCAGGGCGATTCGAGGGCAGATGGCAAGGGCGAGGGCGAGAATGACGAGGACGAAGCGGACGACGAAGAGGAAGCAGCAGGGGGAGACGAAGAGGACATGGACGATGACTTCTTCCGGAGAGAGGGCGGCGCCGTGCCAGAAGAGAGTGCGTCGAGGGGACGTGTACGCAAGCGCAAGCTCGACGCGGGCGAAGGCGCGCCCAAGAGCTTCCTGGTGGACCTCTTGACGGGAAGAGGATACGGCGCCAAAGCCGCGCCAAAGAGGCACAGGCTTGCAAAGGGAAGAATTCTGGCCTGTCCCTGGTCCAAGATCAGCGCGGAGCTGGCCAAGCGAGGGGACGAGACCAGCAGCAACAGCAGCGCTTGTATCACTTGCGACTATCGGTTCTCGAGAGTGTATGACGTGCAGCGCCATCTCGCCTCCAAGCACCAAGTCGATCTTTCTCAGCTAGAAATTCGAGCGCTGCTGACGAGCGAAGAGAGGCAGGCATTGCCCAATCCACGTCCCTCTGGCTCGCAGCGAGATCAGACCTTGTACACCTACGACGATTCGGACGATTCAGACCGAGAGAGCACCTAGACGAGACCACTCTACCATCATGTACAATCATCATCATTACCCTAATATTACACTACCATCAGCAGCATCAGTATCAATCGGGGACATTTCTGAATGTCGTTCATCTGCAGGACCTGAGACACTTGGCATTTCATCAGGAAGAAACACATGCCCAGATGCGCTTCGAAAGGGGAAGATGCGGTCCAGCATCTTGCAGGACTGAGTGCTACTACTGTTACTGGTACGAGGGATACTTGCGCGTGACATGCCAGGAAAGAGATATGGGAAGAGGGGAAGTGGGGAAGATAGGACCGGGACTGGGAGATTGAGCTAGCAAGCCAGAGGTGGGCCAAGAGAAAGAGAGAGAGCAGAGAGGGGTATATAGCTGCTGGGCCGGAGGCGATATGTCGCTGTAGGTCTGTTTTCGCTTGTGTTTTCATTGCATTGCGTGGCGAGGTCGTAAATGCATTCGCTTGAAGGGCGAGTGTTCGTACAAGGCGTACCGTCATTGCATTCAGAGGCCGTAATTGCCATATGGCATTGCATGCTGATCCGTCTGGCCACCCATATGCGGCTGATGGTGTTGCTGTGGTGCTTGCTGCTGGTGAGGGTGGCCTCCCTGCTGAGGTTGTGACTGCTGTTGCGAGACCGGCGGCGCTTGTGCATGACTTTGTTGGTGATGATGCTGCGACTGTTGCTGCTGATGGGGAGGATATGCATAGCTGTGTCCTCCCATCGTCAGCCCGCTCATGTCGCCGAGATCAGAGAGTCCGTGCATGGCTGGATTTAGTCTCGGGTCGGGGTATGGAGCCATGCCAGCGTACTGCTGCTGATGGATAGGCATCGAGTGTTGCTGCTGAAGGTGGTGCTGCTGCTGTTGTTGTTGCTGTTGCGATTGCTGCATCGCTTGTTGAAATTGGGCTGTGAAAAGCGGATAAGAGGGTTCAATTACCAACACACGCGCTTCTCGCAAGGCAGGTCATGCTCACGCTTCTCCTCCTCCTGCTCCTCTCCCTCGTCTTCATCGTCGTCGCCATGCTCGCCCTCCTTGCCCGCGTCCTCGGCGAGCGAATCAGGCTTGCTGAGGCATCTCTGGATCAGTTCTCGCCCTTCATCGGTCGCGACTATCGGCTGCAGCTTGGGCGTGGTAAAGGTGTATACAAGTCCCGTCTGCGACACGATGAGCAGAAGCACCTGCGTCCCTGTGAGAGTCGCCAGCTCATAGGCCTGATGCGAAGAGAGAGAGGGGGAGAGGTGAGCTAATCGCCTTTGCACTGATCAGTCCCAAAAGGAGCGCCCGCGCACCTTCTTCATGATGCCAGCCTTGCGCTTGCTAAAGGTAATGTGTCTCCGACTGTCGTCCTCGATAAACTCGATGCGGATCTTTCTTCTACCCGTGTGCGCGTCGCGTTCGCCCTTTACCTCCGCTAAGCCTCCCGCTCTCGATGTTGAGGCAGCAGCAGCGGCGGCGGCGGCTGCTGACGTCGAAGTGGACGCTGAGGAGCCAGAGGTGGAGGAGCTCTTGGTGGCCTTGGTGGTCGCCCGGCTGCTTGCCCTCTTGCGTTTGCCGCCGCCACTAGTCGCGCTCTCGTCCTCGTCGCCTTCGTCGTCGTCGTCGTCAGAAAGGCCAGTTGCGATGTGGCCGGCGCCGAGTACACCGGCAAAGGCTTCTTGCTGCGCCGGGCTCGCCAGCTGCAGCGTGCCATAGGGCATCGTGATGGGCTGTGACGGAGGCCCCTCGGCGGGCGCGACAAAGGCAGCCATGCCAGGGTTGAGATGATGTTGGTGTTGTTCTTGTTGCGGCTGAAACAGCTGGTGGTGCGGAGGCTGATGGTGGTGGTGCGAAGACATGCCCTTCGCCTTTGCGAGGACCGCAGTCGTCGTCGTCGTCGTCGTCGATGCCGGTTTGGTGGGCGAGGGCATCGAAGGGAGCAATAGAGGGTTCGCCCCCCTTTTAAAGGTGGTGCCGTGGGCCCGAGCTTTGGCTGAAGGAAATGAAGGGGTTGGAAAAAAAAAGGAAAAAAGAGGAGAAAAAAAAACCCTTGCCCAGTGCTGTGTGCGTATGGTGTGTCGAGGAGCCAAGAGTGATCCAAGCCAGCCTCCTGTTCTTCCGATCTGCTGCGAGTAGTGCGCAAGGTGCGCAAAGTGCTGTGGGAAGCTATCTCGCTGTTTATGCGCGATGTCGCTCGGCGCAGGTAAGAATGTTCTTTCACGACGCCCGCAGATACTGGGCCTCCGAGGTCGATGGCCAAGTCAACTTCTATGGACGCGCCAGCAGCAGAGGCTTAGCGAGGACTGGACGCGAGCTTTCGCGTCCGGGTCGGTTGCGAGTGTGCGGGTCGATCGGGCTCCAGGAAACTTGCGCCCACAAAGGGTCGCCTCGACCGATTTGGAAAGGAAAGGAGGAAAGGAGGCAACAAGCGACGCAGACGATAACAATAGCGCAGTAATATAATACCTGCCGCGGTACTAGGCAAAGAGGAGAGAAAGGCGAACGAGGAGACAAGCCACCAGCCTGGCTCATGTTGTGTTGTGTCTGCAATAAACATCATACCTGCAGCACGAGTGTACCGAACAAAAGAAAATAACGGCCTCAATCAAGCTGCAACAATTGCCCACGTCCCGGTTATGCAGCCGACTGTACTGTTAAATGCCTGGTCTTTGCATATACGATTAAGCGCCTTGGAAAAAGGGTTCACCTTTTTTGCCAGGCTCGATGGAGCTTGTTTTCCTCCCCCCCCCCTTTTTTTTTCCGACCGCCCCATGCAACATATCACCTCTTTAGCTTTTATTTTGTTCACCTCCCTTCTCTATCTCCAAGCTGCCCGCTTCTCTGCCCAAAGCCCTTGCAAGGAAAAACATGCATGCAATATCAGTCTGCAGCCCGCCTTTTGATAGGGGGCTATATGTTCACTAGCTTAACTGCTGGCCTAGACTTGCGTTTTTTCCCCGACCGACACGACATATCATTTCTCACGGCTGAGGTCCGTGCAGCCCCATTCTCTCTCATACACGTGACTGTAACCTCCTTTTCATAGTTGCAAATTTTAGCTATTTTGATCCCTTTTTTGTCATTTTTTTTGGATTGTTCGGGAGGAAGCAAGATCCAAGAAGAAATTGGACGCAGCGACTATCGGCAAGCAGCTGTAGGCCTGTGCTGTCTGACATCATGTTTAAACGCATCACCAAGCACAACGAGCGGCTCGAAAAGGACCGAGAAGAGGGCCTGGCTGTGGGCCATGAGGCGCCACCAGAGATGGCTATCGATGACGACAGCGACAGCGACAGCGAGAGTGAGAACGAGGCCGAGATCGACGATGACGACAAGCACAGCGAAGGTTCCAATTCAGGGAACAATGCAAGCAACGAAGAGGACGACCAAGACGACGAAGATGGGCAATCGGATTCGGGCGCAGGCTCCGAGGCAGAGGAGGAGGAGGAGCCCTTTGCGATCACACGAGCGCTTCAAGACCCGATTTACACTCGCCCCGATGCACCGCTGAAGAAGGGTCAGCCCCATCGTTCCTGTGTCATCTGCCCCCTCGCCGCCCTCAAGGATGACGCGAGCGTCACTGTGCACCTCAAGAGTAATGTGAGCCCACATCGCCGCACCGCTCATTGCTCGCAAAAGTACCCATCAGAACTGACGATGCCTTTGCATTCTCTCCAAATGCGACAGACCCATCATCGAAGATTAAAGCGTTTCACAAACAGGCTTGCCAAGCTGCCCGACAATGGGAGAAAGACGCCAGAGGAAGGTGGCACGGATGCGAAGAAGGTGGTAGCAATGTGCGATGAGATCCTGAAAAAGCAAGAGGAGCAGCTGGCCGCCAAGAGGAAGGATAAAGAAGAGGGTAAAAAGCGAAAGCGGGCCGAAAAGGTCGAAAAGGTGAGCTTGACCTGCCAGCGACCTGCAGCATCAACTCATCGTCGTCAACTACAGAAGAAGGCCAAGCGGAGAAAAGCGTCCGAAGAAGCAGCAGGAGGGGAGCCGACGCGGAAAAAGGCAAAGAACAAGAAGCGCAAAGATCGGGCAATTGCCAAGACAAATGTCGAGGAGAAGGAGTAGAAGCAAGTAGACAATGGCGCCACAACAGGGAGACAAGCTCCATAACACGTACAGCTTAGCCCTCTTCTTGCAAGGGTAGACTACGGGCACCCTTGCTCTTCTCCTATCTTTCTTTCAATCGGAAGCGGGCCTAGTCTCACCTCCCTCCCTGAAGGCCGTGGGCGACTCTCAAAAGTTTCGACAGAGCAAGCAAGCTCTCGTACTATCATCATCACCATAGACCTCTATCTCTCCCTGAACGGCAATGGGTTCAAGATCACCATAATATTGTGCCATAGCAACATACAAAATCTAATTTCTTGGCTGAAAGGCCGGTCCGGTCTAGGCTCGCCGCCCCTTTATTGCGCTCGCTCTGCTCCTGCATTGGATTTAGTAAAGTAAAGCTGCCCGTGCTTGCTCTTGATTAGACTTGCCTTTTCGACATTTTCCATCCAGGCACAGACAGCTTCATCTCCCTTTCACCTCAACTAGCTGTTCTGCCAAGGGTTTTAGTCGCTCGATGCTGCGAGCCTAAAAACGGCTGAGCAGGCAGTACAGCAGCAGCAACAGCAGCAGCAGCAGCAGCCAAAGAGCAAGTTGTCAGCTTCGTCGGAGCCGTCGCTCTTCAGTCGCGACAACCTTAGCAAAGAGCTACTACTAGTAGTAGTATCAGCGGGGCACCAAGCCACACCCCCTGAGTGACCCAAAGGGGAGACAACTCCGCCGACTAGCTTGTCTCGACGTGCAGTTCCCTTGCTTCTCGTTACTCCATCTGCGAGACTCAGGAGCTTCATAAGGAGGGGCACCACGGTCCCCTGGTTGCCCGTTCACCTCCTTTGCGCGCTTCACCACCCTGGTCTCCACCATGGCGTCGACGCTCCAGCGCATCTCCATCCGGGCCGCCCAGGACACCTCGATTATCTCCGGGGCGGACCCGACCGTATGGCAGAAGACTGATCCACTGCGTCTCTTCATCATCCAGGCCGGCATCATTATCATCTTCACCCGGATCCTTGGCTGGGGCTTATCAAAGATCCGGCAGCCATCCGTCATTGCCGAGGTCATTGGAGGTATCCTCCTCGGCCCAACGTGAGTAGCAAGCTGTTTCGACACAAAGGTTCTTCACTTGCGTTGCTGAGCCTGGAGGAGCCACCCGACAGAGTCTTCGGTAGGATACCCGGTTTCACAAACCACATCTTCCCCACGGCGTCGATCCCCGGTCTGAATCTGGTCGCCAATCTCGGCTTGATTCTCTTTCTCTTTCTCGTTGGTCTCGAAGTAGACCTCCGCATCATTCGCAAATGCGTCGTCTCGAGCACAGCCATTTCCGCCACCGGCCTCGTCATTCCCTTTGGTCTGGGTACCGCCGTCTCCTATGGCATCTACAAGGACTTCATCGACCACGAAAAGGTCTCCCTTGGCCACTTTCTCCTTTTTACCGGTGTCGCCATGGCCATCACCGCCCTACCGGTCCTGGCGAGAATCGTGCTTGAGCTCAAGCTGATCCAGACGCGCGTCGGCGTCGTCGTCCTGGCTGCTGGCGTGGGCAACGACGTCGTCGGCTGGATCCTTCTCGCCCTTACCATCGCCCTCGTCAATGCATCCAGCGGCCTCACGGCCCTCTACGTCCTCCTTGTGGCCATCGCCTGGTGCCTCTTTCTCTTCCTCGTCGTTCGTCCAGCATTCATCTGGCTCGCTCGACGCACCGGCTCGTTTGACAATGGGCCCACGCACTTTATGATGACAGTCACCATTATTCTCGTTTTTCTCAGCGCCTTTCTGACCGACTGCATCGGCATCCATGCCATCTTTGGTGCCTTTGTCGTCGGTCTCATGATCCCTCACGAGGGCGGCTTCGCCGTCGCGCTGACGGAAAAGGTGAGTTGATTGGGCGTACCACCAGCGCAAGACGCCAATGAGGGGTGCTGACACGACAGACAGATCGAGGATGTTGTTTCAGTCATTTTCCTGCCCCTGTACTTTGCCCTCTCGGGCCTCAGCACCAATCTCGGCGACCTCAACACGGGCCTCATTTGGGGTTACACCATTGCCATTTGCGTCATTGCCTTTTTCTCCAAATTCGTTGGCTGCGCCACTGCCGCTCGCCTCACGGGCTTCACCACCCGCGAGTCACTGGCGATTGGCACACTCATGTCGTGCAAGGGCCTCGTCGAGCTCATTGTCCTCAATCTCGGCCTCCAGGCGGGCATCCTTGACCAGCGCGTCTTCAGCATGTTTGTCGTAATGGCCCTTGTCTCGACGTTCCTCACCACACCCGTCACTCTTCTCTTCTACCCCGCTCACCTTCGAGTCTCTTCCGACGATGACTCGTTGTTTGGTGGACCGGCAAAGGACCGTCGAATCGAGGATAGAAGAGTCAAGGACAAGGGAGAGCAAGGAGGTGGCGATGGCGAGGATGGAGAAGACAACGACGGTGGTCTTGGAGGAGCACTGGGTCTTCGGCTGGCCAGTAAAAAGGTCCTCGTCGTCCTCGACCGCTTCGACCACCTGGCCGGCCTCCTGACGCTCGTGCAACTCCTACGACCGTCGCAGCTGCCCGCTTCGTCGCGAGAGGCTGCAGCCTCTTGCGACGGTGTGCGAAGGCGAAGGGCGAGGCAGGAAGACAGCGATGTTTCCGAAAAGAAAGCCGAGGAAGCCGAGAGCACATCTGGCCATGATACGGCTGACGATGTGGCCCTCCCTACTGTGTCCAACGGGGAGGCAGACTCTACCGATGGCGGCAGCGGGCAAGACGATGCCCACCACCGTCCGGACTCCGATCAGCACCACCACGCCACTAGCATCGACGCATTGCGCCTTGTCGAGCTGACCGAGCGAACGTCTGCCGTCATGAAGGTGGCTGAGTCGGAAGAGACGCTACGAGCCGACCCTTTGATCAACGTTTTCAAGACATTTGGCCATCTCAATCGACTGCCGGTCAGGTCGACAATGGCCGTCGTTTCTTCGGATGAATTCTCTGCTACCGTCGTCGGCCGAGCAAGTCGGGAGAGCTCCAACATGATTGTTGTTCCTTGGAGCATGCCGACTGTCCAAGCCGTCACTAGTCCTGGAGGAGGCGGGGGCGGCAACACCGGATACTTTTCCTCAATCGGCAACCCATTCGAGAGCATCTTTGGTTCCTCGGGTGGCGACATGACAGCGCCCGCATCGACTTCGAATCAGTCGCCGCCGCATCAGGCCAACTTTGTCCGCAAGGTATTCCAGACATCTCCTTGCGATGTCGGCGTCCTCGTCGATCGATCGATGGCATCAACACGGGCGACGCCACTCGTCTCGAGGCGTCAGCACGTCGTCATGGGCTTCATGGGCGGCCCCGATGACCGAGCAGCGCTCAAATTGGTCACTCGCATGTGGACCATCAACGAAGAGCTGTCCTTGACGGTGCTGAGGCTGAAGCGCGTCGAACCAAGCCAGGCAGGCGAATCGGCCATTGCTAGCCTTCCGCCTACGCTCCAACACATGCACTCAACCAGGAGAGAGGCCAGCGGGGCTGGTTTCAGTCTGGTGCAAGATACCATGTACCCAACTGCCAATTACGGCGCTACGCCCCTCGAAGCTGCGCTCGAGGACAATCTGGCAATTCAAGAGGTGGAGACTCTCCTTGCCGCGGGTGGCTCCGCTCCTAGCTCCACATCGACGCGCCTGTCCATGCAGGTGGTGGAGACGTCGAGGCCCTTGACGGAGCTTGTGCGACACACCAACGAGATTCAACCGACGCTCGTGGTCGTGGGTCGTTCTAGAAGACTGCCAGCGATGACGCACCGCGACGAGCTCCGATACCTGCTGGCGCGAGGGACCATTGATGAGGAGAAGGAGAGTGGCGAGGACGCAAATGCGGCTGCTACGGCGGACCCGGTGGCGGAGAGGATCCTCAACGGAGAGACGTGCAAGGTCATTGGAGAACCGGCAATGGCGGCAACGAGGCTCCTCAAGACTCAAGCTCAGATTCTCGTCGTTGCTAGCGCCATGCGGAACCGCTCATCTGCGGCTGGTAACAACTTGCACGCCGCGACGACATTCCTCTCCGAGGCCTAATCTTCGGGCACTTTCCCATCTGTGCTTGTTTCTGTAATACCAGCGACGCTCTTAACGAATAACGACGACAACACAATGTCCATCTACCTGTTCTTAAGCGACCGTGGGCGCTCTTTGTCCATTCATAACCTCAGTCTTCAGTTCTTCCTATTTGCTTCTGATTGATTTCTCTCGTTTTCTTTTGAAAATTCTTTCTCTCCACTACAAGAAGAGCCTCTGCAGCGGACCGAAGTGGGGCATGTGGTCAGCAAGTGGCAATCGGCACAGGGCGTGCAAAAAAGACTCACGAAAGGGTACGACGGGCTGTGGAGGAGAAAAGAAAGCAAGAATGCGGGTGTGAGTGTTGACAGAGACGACAAGGGAACTTGATTTGGCAAAAAAGGAGGTTAGGCAGGAAGAAAGCGACGACTCACTTCTTGATGCGGAAGACGTAGAAGAGAAGACTGAACGTGCCGAGCAAGATGGCCGACCACACATAGACGCCAGCGCGCTGTCGGACCGGATCCCGCTGTTTGGGCACGAGAATCGTGAGCGAGACCGTCGCAAAGGCCAGCAGGCCGTCTGTTCATGGAGAGAATCTCGTCAGCGTCCAAATGAGAGAAGGATTATGAGCAAACAAGAGCAGAAAAGAAGAAAGACACTGACAGATGATGGCGACAATTTGCGTTTCGGCCCCGTACTGGTTCTGAAAGCCGCTGGCAAAGTACTCTGGCTTGCCGCCTTGGCCCATCATCATATATGGCGCACCCCGGATCCCATTCCACATGTGCCCAGCACACATGACGGTGATGGTCGAGAGTGTGGCAACCTGGATGAGGACCCCGAAAGCGCCCGAGGCATTGAAATGGGACGAGGAGAGGCGGGGCAGCACGACAATGAGAAGCGTCGTGAGCGACACGGCGACCAAGGTGGCTGTCAAGGCAAACTTCCAAGGGAACGGTGCGCGGTACGGGACGTCGACACCGATCTGCTTGGACAGCTCTGCGGCCACGTCGCCGCCTTCAAAGCCAAGCCGGTTGAAGTCGTACTGCACCGGCTCGGCGTTGGGCCCAAGGCCGTGCTCGCCCGTCGTGGGCGGAAAGTACAGGAGCACGGGCGCATAGGACAGCCCAAGCTTAAGAGGCGTAGTGTAATGACGTGTCAGAGTTCTTTCTTTAGGACATATGAGAACAAAAAGGCCCGGCATCTTCTCTCACCTGCTGGAAGATTTCTCTGCCATCCTTGAACTCGATCTGCGAGAAGACGTGGCGCTTCTCACCCCCTTTCACTTTCCGCCAGCTCCTTGCGACTGCCTCGTAATTTGGCTGGAAGTTGAGGCAAGGCTGGCAGGGAACGCCGGAATCGACGGCTGTCAGGAGCGCAGAGACCGAGTAGTCTCGTGGGACGCCCGTCAGCGAGGCAAAATCTTGCGCGTCTTTGAGCTGGATCAGATTGTTTGGCGAAGCTTTTGTACGGGCGATGAAGCCGGCCAGCTTCGATGAGGCGCCATCACTGCCAGATTTGCGTGCTGCCAGCGCGGGCGAGACAATTAGGGCCAGAATGGCACAGAACAGGATGACAAACGATCGCATCGTCGAGGGTCGGTGATGGCACCTTTGACTAGGCACGTGATGTTCACCTTGTCGTCCGCGATACAAGGCGGGCTAAGTGACAAGCGTCGACTGTCGATGACGTATACCTAAATCCTGGCCGACGGGAGAATAGATGAATCCAGTCGTAGACGGTCTGGAATAGCTGGACCCGTAGGAGAGACGGCAGTGCTTGTCGATGGAAGAACTGCCAGCTTAAATTGCTCATAGTGCGCCTAGCTTGACACGTGGGAATGGATAGATCTACTTGCGTGTTGTGGCCCGTGCTGCAATTCAGATAGAACTTTTCTTCCATAGTCATGGTGTCGTAGATAGGGGAAGAAGCGACAATGGCGGCCAAATCTTTGCCCTTTCGCGTCTGGGCGGCGGACGTCTCAGAATACGGTGCAGTCTCTGTGAAAGATGTCGTTGAGGAGCTTCTCCCAGAAAACGAATGGCAAATGGTGCTACGATTTGTTCGGCCCATCGATCAGATTCGTGAGTCTCGCTACTCTCTTGTCGCCGGGAAGATGTCGTTCGCTGATACAAAGAGCAGGCGCCCTGGCAGGAAAGCTTCTAACCAGGCTGGTACTTTCAAAAGAGCATGGCTGCCAATGGGACGACGTTCGCATAGCGACGACACCCGAACGCCGGCCTTTTCTTGCACACCCGTCGCCCAACTTCGACTTTAATCTAACCCATGACGGCGACTGGGTCGCCATTGCCTTCACGCCTGCCACAGCTGCGCCCTTTCCATCTTCGGGCCAGAACACACAACTGGGGATTGATGTCATGGAAATTGCATTACCGCATTATGAGTCCTCCGTTCTGGACTTTGTCAAGACAATGGAGATGACCATGACGAACGCCGAGACAAGCTGGGTCCGTAATGTTGCGCTATCGGAATCCTCTCCATCAGACACCGACCGTGAACGGCTGCGGCGCCTCTTTGCCCTCTGGACGCACAAGGAAGCTTACACAAAAGCCTTAGGCCTTGGCATGGGTTTCGACTTTCGCAATGTCGAGCTCCGTTTCTGGGATGTTGACCGCAACCTTCTCCACGTCAATGGGCAGCTGAAGGACGATGCGTATTCATTCATGTCACTAGACCTGCCATGCGGCGGCCGCCATAATCTGGGTGAGAATACGAGCGGGCCCTTGAAGGGAGCAGGGACCGGTCAGGGCTCTCAGCTCGTCGTTGCATATCCGACGGCTCAGCAGCGGCCTGTGCCTATGACGTACAAAGAGGCAAAAGAAAGCAGCCTTCTTCACATCTGGAATATGCACGACCTCGTCGAAGCTTCGAAACATGCAAAAAATCGATAGCATTTACTCTGAGTGGTGTGTGATAATCTGCTGTGCATGCTGACTGCGTGAGAATATGGTATTGGGGATGAATGTAGGCGCTCTAATCTTGAACAGCACGACTGTGGTTGAAGGGAAATGCACCCGATCACGGGGATTACCGCGGGAGCACAAGGTTGAGCTTCGCTCTGTCGAGGAGGTGTATGCATAGGCCAAAGTCGCTGGTGTCATCAAGAAGCCAGGAGTGATCAAGAGAGAAGCACATATCCTTGCTGCCCTGTCCCGAAGAGGCTGACGATGCCGTTTCATCCTTTGCACTATGAGACACCACCCTTGGTCCGGCCCTAGACTCTTCCACGACGCTCCGAAGAGAGGGCGCAAAGCTTGTCTTCTTCTTAATGAGCCGCGGTCGATCCGTCGTAAGCGTGGTCAACTTGGCATGAGGCATTAGCGGCACCAGCGGTTCAGCACAGGGTGGCAAGGCAACGCTGGCATCTTTACCACTGGCGTGGCTTCGAGGAGGCGTCTCACTGAGGTGCCCATTCTCGTGGCTGGCACCGAGGAACGCCAGAGGAATGGCTGGTCGACGTCTCCAGCAGTGCAGAATTTGCGCATCCCTGCTATCATCGACAGCGTCCTCATCAGACTCTTCATCGGTAGAGCCAGAAGAATCGAATGAGCTGTAGTTGTGCTCTGATAAGGAAGAATTAGGTGATGCCGCTATTTCAGCTTCGTTTTGTGGCGTTGTGGCATGTCCGATGACATCTTGGCGTTCTGTCGTACTCGCCCCCATCCAAATTCTTGTGAGCACATCGCGGCTCCAACTGCGAAGCCTCTCCTGGCGGATCTGCTCGCCCGGGCCGCGTTGCAGGAAGCCCGCCCCGACCTCGTCGAGTGACTCCTCTCTGTGGCATTCGCAGCCATCTTCAAGCTTTTCCAGCCCTGGCCTCGCAGGTGCCCTTCCCCTATCCTCAATGGTGGGCGCATTGGTACCGCTGCGTACGGTAGGCGAAAGCTTGGCTGAGGCATTTGGATCTGACAACGAGTCGCTTATCGTCGTGTCTTCCGACGTGTTCTCGCCCTCATTGGCCCATGCTGTTGCACAATTGATGCTATGAGGTAAAGGAGCGCCAAAGCCCAAGTCCTTTTTCACCATTTCGTCGTCCTGGCTGCCAAGATCAAGGAAAGTCGACGCAAAGCTGAAATGCTCATCTCGAGTTCTTTCATCCCCCGCGCTTTGTCCACGGGTCGAATGGCACTCAATTGCCGTCTGGAAGGTTTCGCTCGAGATGCGACGCTCTATGCTCGCTCTTGTGTCGCCCTCGTGCTCCTGGAATCTTGGCAACAAGCGACCCGGTCGAGAGTTGGGAGAGCAGCCAGCGTCTTTGCGACCCCTCGTCAGCGTGTCTTTCGCTCTCGAATTTTGTTTAACTATGGGCGAGATCGGGGGAGAAGACGCGGCAGAGTTGTTCATTGAAATTACAGGTTGCTTTGGCCAGGGATGAGCAGTCTGCAACGGCTTGTGGGCGAGTGTCTTCTTGTCAAAGTATGACTTCTGTCCCACCGAAGAAAGGTGAGGGAGAATTAGTATACTCTGGCGGTAAGCATACGGGTCCACTTGGTGCGGCGAACTGTTCATTCTCTTCAACGGCAACGTAGTGGTTTGGCATTGACGATCCTCTGATGTCATTGTTGGAGTTGGAAACAGTAACGAAGGCCTGGTCTCGCTGGATGGAGGTGCATGATTCCGCTGACGGACGTTAGTTGTGAAATCATTTCTGAACAGTCTCCGAGAGTCTCGCCAGAACGACGGAAATTCCGTCTGAGCACCATCGACTGGCGAATGCGGTGATGAGCATGGTTTAATTTCGTCGATGTCAACAGACGACGGCTGACGGTCCTGCGAAAAGACAGCTGCAAGCTGGTCATAGGAATAGATTGCGCTCCAAGGCCGCCTTTTCCTGTCTGCTGCCCCTGTCTGTGGCCTTGGAGTAGGATGAAATGACTTGTATTCTCCACGATTCTCGTCGCAGCCATTGCTCATGCTGCGTGGATTGGGAAATTGACCGATGTGGGCTTCTTGCATGGATTGCGACAGAGCGGGCCAGACAAATGGCCTGACATCACCCCGTCGATCGCTGTTGACTAAAGCTCCCTTGGTCGACGATGTGGAAGATCGAATGAGGCTGGAAAGGCGCCGGGCGATCTTGCGAGGGACGAGGTGCGCCTTCTCCCTTCTTGTCCTGGTTGTGGCCGGTGGGATTGCTCCGTCGTTGTCGAAGCCGGAAGCCATGACGGACGAGGCAAGGCACCGGTGGCTGCCCTTAGTTCGTTGAGGAAAGGAGGATGATAGAGTACGACGGCAAATTAAGCGAGAGACCGAGAAGGGGGAGAGGGGGGGGGGGGGGGGGAAAGAAAAAAAAAAAAACGCAAGATGGAGCACTTTGGCGGATGTGTCGGTTTCGCTGGCTTGACAAGCAACAAGATGATGAGCGTTTCCGATGAGGAAAGAGGAAGACACACAAGACATAAAACCATCATATCCATGTCCTTCAGGGCATGTCTCTAGTGCATGCACGGGGCCAAGCCCTGTGTAGCCCATCGTACACCAGCCGCGCAAACTTCGTCACATCACGCCACGCACGTCAGAATTCGATTGGACTAGAATTGCCACGGAGACCTCATCGACTACTTGGTGCTGTTGGTGTTTTGAGAAGGCGAGACAGGAAGAAGAGACTATGAAGAATGAGGAGGGTGACAAGAAAATACATGGTCACGAGGGCTTCTACACTACGAGGAGAGGAAAAGATGATGTGAGGGACAAAGACAAGAATGTGGAGAGGAGATAGAGAGATGAGAGCATAGGCGACGAGACGTCCATCAGTCCCCCTTGGTGAGCTTCTTGAGTAGGCTCGTCATGCTATTGGGGAGTGGAAGGACAAGATCTCGCGGTCAACAAATGCTCAGAATGATAAGCGCTTGAGGATCATCTCACCTCTTGAAGCTCAAAGGCTTAACGAGATAGCCGTCAGCGCCCATGGCGAACGCTTGTCGCCGGTCCTCGTCGGTGCTCCTACCCGTGAGGGTGAGAATCTTCGTCCGGACCTGGGCTGCGGGCCTGGAACCTCCAGGCGTGGCCACCAATGGCGCTCGCCCTCCGTTTGCTCTCACTTCGGCTCGGAAGCGCTCGGCTTCAATCTTACGAATCCTTGCCGTCGCCGCCATTCCGTCCAGCACGGGCATCGAGAGATCCATGAAGATGACGTCAAAGTGCCGTGACGGGCTCTGTTCAAAGATCTCCACTCCCTCGAGACCATTGGTGGCCTCGACAAAGTCAACGTCCATCTTGCTCAGATAGGCAGCCATGAGCCGTCGGTTGATGTCGTTGTCCTCGACAAAGAGAATCTGCAGGCGGTGCTTGGTGAGCACTGGCGGAGTCTTGTGCGACGGCAGAGCCGTTTTGAGAACAGCGCCCTCTGCGCCGTCGAGGCTGATCGTCGACCCAGGCGTGCCGGGCACCGAAGACGTCTGCCCGGGCCCCGAGCTTGCGCCCAGCTGCTGTTGATGGTAATGGTGGGCCCCAAAGTAATCCTGCGGCTCGTTGTCTGGCAAGACGCGGGAAGAATGAGGGCTCCGCAGTGGTGACATGAGGACGTGACGCTGAAGTCGAGGCTCGTGGTAGGTGATGCTCCTTGTCGGCAACAGAGGACGTGTGTGCTTGGTGGTGCTGCTGGGACCGACAGTGTCTGGCCTGGGTGTGGTGTCGACCGAGACGGGGCTGCCACCCTTTTGCAGCCGTCGATCTTCGGAAGAATGCCGCCGGATCAGGGAGACCATGTGCTGACCGTCAGGTGGGCCGGGCGAGATGTGGTGTGATGTCCTTCTGAGGTCGGCTAGATGTGGCCGTCGAGCCGATGCGGACCTTGAATGGGGTTGGTCGGCCCAATTGACAGTGGCTTTTGGCGTGATCGCCGTCGGCGTGGCGTCTACACCGGGAGCATAATTCTCCACATCTTCGTCCTCGTCATCACTGTCGCCCTGACGGCCGTCGTCCCTAATCCGTCCACCAATATAGCTGCCAGGCCTGGAGGAGCTACTGCCTTCTCTTTCAGGTTCCCAGCCGTTTCGAGGCGAAGGCAGGGGTGTCGAATGCATCGTCTCCTCCGTCAGGAAAGGCTCACCCGCTCGGGCACGCTCAAAGCATTGCAGGCAAAAGTCCGTCACCGCTTCCAGCTTGGCTGGGCCAGCTGGCTTGAAGAGCAAGCGAGCTACACCTCCGGCCTTTTGGTATGCATCGCATGCCGCTGTCACCTCGGCGTCGCCGCGGGCGCCCGTGAGGACGATGGCCGGCGGCAGAACTGCAGCGCTGTTCTTTGCCCTCCGAGCCTGAATGATCTTGGGCAGCAAGGTGACGTCATCATTGATGAGGACCAAGTCACCAGCCGCACCCACACTCTCCTCGACGTCGTCCTCGTCCTCGTCCGCAACATCCTCGAGGAGGAATCGCCACCAGTCGACATAATAACTGTTGAGAACCTCCTTGAGGTCGCTGTCTCCTCGAGAATCGCTCTTGAAGCCCAGCATCGTGATTGAACGTTGACCCTCGACGTTGAGCGCAGGTTGGTACGTGGTACCCTCAATGTCTTCTGGCTTGCACAGCTCCAATTCGCATGTGACGCGAATCTCAGTGCCCTGGCCCAGCGTACTCCAGACATCAATCTTGCCATTGATGGCCGGACTCTGGACGATGCTGTTGACGATCGAAAGACCAAGACCTGTTCCCGGACCAAGGTGATTCTCCTGTGTAAAGGGATGGAAGAGTTGCTCCTCAAGAAAGGTGCGCGAAATGCCCTTGCCCGTATCGGTGACACCGAGCTCGACGACGACGTGAGTCTCGGTGCTCTGGACCTCGCGCAGAGATACATGGACGAAGCCGTGGCTGGTGAACTTGAGCGAATTGCCGATCAGGTTCATCAACACCCTTCGAATCCCTCCAGCGTCGCACCGGACAAGCCAGCCATCCTTGCGCATCGATACATCGATGACGGTTTCGACGTCGTGCATGAGTGCCTTGCTATTGTTGCTCAAGCTGGTCGACGAGGGCGAAGATGACGACCTGGAGGAGGCAACCGAGTCGGATCCCTTTGCATAGGCACTGCCAATGCCCGACGACTGCTGACTCTCAAGCTTGCGGGCCATCTGTCCAATGAAGCTGCTCTCGCACACCTCTTGGACCAGTCGGACCAGATCGCTCCACTGCGACGGCTTAGACGCCGCCTGCTGGCTGCTGTGCATGTTGCCGCTGAGCTTTGTGAAGTCAAGGACGTGATTGACCAATTCAAGGAGAGATTTGCCGCAGGCCTCGACCGTCTCGAGATAAGAACCCTGCGTCGAGTTGAGCTTCGTTTCGGCCAGCAGCTCGGCGGCGGCCAAGATGCCATGAAGCGGAGTACGGAGCTCGTGGGAGATATTGGAGATGAAGTGGCTCTTCGCCTTGTCCGCCAACATAATGTCCTTTTTGAGAATAGCGCTCAGGATAATGGTACCCATTGCCCGAAGATACTGGAGCCCCGAGTCCTTGATGTCTTCCAAAGTCGGACCGCCCTCCGAGGGCTTTGAGTAGGCGCACAGGAGGGCGAAGGGTTGCTTGTTGAGGCCAAAGATGGGAACCAGGAGGACGTTGGACATGCCCGGTGGCAGAAGATGGCGAAAGGGCGCGGGCGCAAAGGGATAGTAGCAACCGGTGCGGTGGCGTCGAAGGAATTCGGCGACACGAATGTAGTGCGCCAAGGGCACGGGCTGATCTCGCCCCGCCGGCGGTGTGCACGTCTCCGAGGCGCCCAAGACCGCCATCGCGGGTACCGTCTTTTGCCCGAGCTTGCCATCATCAGCACCATCACCCATAGCATCGGGTGACCTGAGCGAATCGAGCGTCACCGGATTGTCAAAGCTGACGAAGGGCGTCACATCGGGATTCTGGTACGGACTAGGGAAGAAGATCTTGCTCCCACCGTCGTCTTCCTGCGGCGACGAAACGACGAGCTCAAAGTGCGACAGGTCGAAGACGATTGCGCCCGATGCACGCAGGGCCTCGCGCATGCCCTTTGCCGCAAAGGCATACACTTGGTGGAGCCCGTTGCCGTCCTCGCCTCCTTGCTGTTGCTGCTGTTGCTGCTGTTGCTGCTGTTGCTGCTGTTGCTGCTGCTGCTGTTGCTGTGGTTGCTGATCCTTGTCGTTTCCACCATCTGACTGCTCCAATTCGAGACACTCTCTTGTGAAAGTCTCGATCGAATGCTGCATGCCATCTCGAAGCCGTAGTTGAATCTTTGGTATTGAGAGATGCGGTCAGCTGTACTGAAGACCCAATCTGACTTGCTCCCACAACTAAACTCACAGTGTCTCTGATGAGATCCATCTCTCGCATCACGACTCTTGCAAATTCCTTGAGAGTGTGGCGCTGCCGGGGGTTAAACTCGGTCCATGGACGATCGTCGATGATGCAGAGACTGCCAAGATTAAAGCCGTCCGACGTTCTTAGAGGACTTCCTGCGTAGAAGCGAATGTGGGGGGGACCTGTAACCAAAGGGTTGCCCGCGAAACGCCAGTCCCTCTCCGCATCGAGAATGACCAGAGGCTCGTCGGTGGTCTGAAGGATGGCATGTGAGCACAGCGAGCAGTCTCGGCTCTGGGCCACGCGCTGAAGCCAATCAGGCGTGGTGAAGTCGCTGCTCATCGACCCTACCTCGGTCTGGAAGAACTGCGTCTTTTCATTGACCAGACTGATGAGGACCACCTTTGTGTTGAAGACGAGCTTGACCAAGTGTGCGATCCGATCAAAATTGACATCACCCTTGAGCTTGGGCGGGCCGTACCGTCGCAATGCCTGCCTTCTGTCGGCCTCGTCCGGCGGCAAGATGGCCGGCAGATAGCCGTGCTTCTTGTAGAAGAGCTCCACACGCTTGCCGACGTTGAGGTAATTCGACAGGCTCGGGCTGCTATTCGTCTGCCCAATGGCACCAAGCCGTTGCAGGGGCTTGGAAGCCGATGTTGGGCCTGCACCAGCTGCAACAAGCTCGGAATTAGTGCGAGAGCGCGTGTTGCCGCTGGGTACTGGCAGAGCTGCCGTCGGTGGCTCTATGTTAGGATCTGACCGATTCCGCGCTGCCGTCACTGTCGAGGAGGGTTCATGATACTGCTCCTCTGTCATCTGCCCACCTAGCGAGGGGACGCAGATGGAGCCGCCGCTGTTCTCTTGTTGAAGTCCCACCATGCTCACACTCGGATAGCTGTTGCTATGTGATGTGACAGCGATGTTGCCATGTGAGTCTTGAGAGCGTCGCAGGCTCGATCGTCGCCTCGCTGCCCTTCGTAGAACATCCAAGCTGCTCGATGCGAAGTCTTCTCCCGAGAGTGACCTGAGCGGTCCACTGACCGTGATGCCGGCTTCTTCGTGGATACGCCCTTCCCCGCTACTTGGACCCGCGTGCACCACTTCCACAGGACCTAACTTAGTGCCGCTTTGGCTGCGACGGAGCAGCGAGATCCCCTCAGGGGCCGATGTCCAGGCGTGTTTTGGGATGTCGTCCTTGTTGTCCTCTAAGAGCCCCGGCTCCTGGACTGGGGTGGGCAGGGGTCTCTGCGTCTGCTGACTACCTGCTGATTTTGATGGGGCGATGCTGGGAAGAGAAGCGCTGTTCGCCAGCGTCGAAGGACTCGCAGACGAGGAGACGGCCGGGCCGGGACCGACTGTGCGATAGCCTGCCCCAAGGTTCAGATCGCTCACCTGGGTGATGAATGTCGGTCTCGGCGCAGCAATTGACGAGGATGGTCCGCTGCTAGAAGATTGCGAGGGTCGTGAGGTTGAGGGTGACGAACGCTCACCCTCTCTGACCGAGGATGGGAACCAGACCGAGTCGTCCGTCTTGGGCTTGGGTCTTCTCTCTGAGGGTGTCCGCGAAAGAGTTTCGACTTGCGAGCTCGACCTCCCACCACCGATGCCGAGATTTGACGAAGCAGCTACCGAGCTGGGCGACGTCGAGGCCCTATTGTCGTTCATTAGCTTCTGAGCCGTGTCGCCCAGGGTGGCCGCCATGCCGATCTCGGGCGCACTCGAGGTGACGAGCTGGATGACATTGAAGGGATCGGTAAACATTGTCTTGGAGCTTGACAGCGAAGGCTGGCCGCCCGTGGCTGCCGTGGGATGCGAGGGACCGGCAATGGCTTTGCGGTCTGCTTGCTTGTCCTTGGCCGGAACAGGAACGCTGGCCATGCGCTCTCGAGGCGAGGGGGGTGCTTCAGCGCTCGTCTCAATTGCATCTCCGAAGAGGAGGGCACTGCTGATGGTCTGTTGCGGCGGCGGCGGCGGCGGCGTCGTCGTCGTCTTGGACTGCGCAGCCAGTGCGGCTGGCATCGTACGTGGGGACACAATCGAGGCGGCTGCAGCAGAGAGCTTGCCATCGATGTCTGCCTCGTCAATATCTGGATAGGTGAGCGAGGGCCTGCGTATCGAGCCAGAGGGCGAAGATGGATCTGAAGGCGGTTGTAGCACCTCTTCCGAGCTGATGACAGTCGACGCGCCCGGGATGGCGTTTGAGCGTCCGGGAGGGTGGGGCAGCTGCACCGGGTTCCACCGGCCTCGCGCGTATGCGTAGACAAAATTCGCCCAGTCGTAGTTGCCTGCCCGTGCTGGATCTCTTTCCCAAGGTGCTGTCGATGACAGCGATGATGTCGACGGCAAGGCATGCGAGTCGGCGGATGAGGGCTGAACAGCATTGCTCTTGCCCAACAGCGCCTGCGCAGCAGACGAAGAGGTCTCGGCGACTGGGCTGGTGGCCATGCCAGATCCCGGAAGCTCCCTGACAGACCCTTCCGGCGGCGACATCATGGGCGGGACACGCACCTGATCCCAAAGCGTGGCGCCCTCTGCAGCTGCTTCTCCCTCGGCCGATGTCAATGTTGCCGAGAGCGTTGCGGCTGATGATGTAGAGCCATGCGCCTGATCGCCTGTGAGGGGCGGCGAATCGACGGCGTCTCCGTTATTGCTGCCCCCTGCGCTGCTTTTTGGAGTCCTCGGAGCTGCCCAGGAACCCCTCCAACCCCCTGCCCGTCGGACAGCCGAGGAGCCACTCATCGCATTGGCCCCAATCGAGGATCGAGCCGAAGTCAAGCTGTTGGCGACCTGGAATTTGGGCGAAGCAGGTGCTGCCGTGGAGGTCGACTGTGAAAGCCTAGCTTCCTTGAGCTTTGGGCTCGTCGAGGTCGATGTCAGGGGGGTGTGCATGACCGAGGCCGAAGTGGAAGAGGGTGAGACGGCTGCGACGCCATCCTGTTCCTCGTCGCCTCGCCCAGGCCCGCGCCGCAAGGCACCGTCTTCAGAGGGCGAGGAAGTCTCGCCGTCAGGACCCATGCAGTTCGCGCGCTGAAAGAGCGTGATCACGACCGAGAGGAGTGCGACGGGGAAAGACCGGGACGAGTGCTAATATAGGCTTGCAAGCTGGCCATGCACTACCGCTTCGCTGAGCTTGGCCCTGCCCCTCCACGCCTCTGTTTCTGCACGCCGGCTGTCTCTGTCCACCCGCTCCTTTGCCTGTATTCTTGCAACGGCTCAAAGGTAAGCGGTGTACGATCGCGCAGGAACGGCGGTTTGTTAGCTGGTAAGAGGGTTTGAGGTCGGTGCTTGGATGAGACGAGAGGTGGAGAGACGAGACGAGCAATACAAAAATGACAGTCCGGCCACAATTGTATTAAAATTACCATCACATTAATGATATCTCAGAATTGGTTAGATCCTCACCGCCTGACTGCAACGAACCAGGCTAGGCTTGCCTGCGCTTATTCAAAGGCCGCAATCACCGGGCCTCGCTGTGGTGGCGGTCGCTGCGGTATCCTATTAAAACATGCTCGTAGCAAGAGCGAGACATTCGTCCGCTCCAGGTGCTGAAGGCGGAGTCGTGGCGAGGAAATCGTAGATGCAAAGAAAGCATCAAAAGGGAACAGTATCGGGGACGCGGCGGCCAAACGATGTATAACGGAAGTAGGGTTGCAAACCTTCTTTCTCTAAACCCTGGCAAGGGACGACGGACTCGAGCTTCGGACTTGCCTTAGACAGATGTCGTACATCGATGTCCTGAGCGGGCAGCAGCGGCAGCAGCAGCAGCTTGCACGCGGAGCCTTGTCCTGACCAAGGCTTCCGCCAGCGCTTTAGTCAACGAAATGCGACGGCAGTCGAGCTCCGAGGGACCATGATGCAAAGAAGACCAGGACACAGGGAAGGGCAGTAGTGCTCGGCTATCTCACAAGAACATTCATTCCAAAGCGTACGTTGAGTGTCACGAAAAGGTGCTGGCGAGATGTTGCTAGCTGCTGTAGAGGGTTTGCCTGTTTTGTTACTCTCCATTTGGCAGCACGCTGTCCTCTTTCATCCCATACAACTGTTTCCTTTTGATGCCTCGACCTCATTCGAAGACTGCTTTTCTTCCGAGCCTTCTGAGTAGGTGATCCTTCAGCACCACGGAGCGAAACCTTCACCCGACTTTTGGCCTGTGACAACGCCCCTGCGAGAAGCCGATTCAATTTCATGGACACAAAGAGATCGACCGTGCCAAGCTGTCCCGTTACAAGGGGACAAGGAAAGGGTGGGGGTTAAGGGTGGAGAGCGAACAGGGCGCATGGATTTCTTTTCAACGACCCGGAATCCCAGGGTGGGAGCCGGGACATTCGGAGTAGTACCTCTGCATAGCCTTTGCAGGCCATCTTTTCAAATTTCGATACTGCTCTAGCGCCTTCTTCACTTTTTCTCTCCGTTCGTCGCATCACTACACCTACCTACCTTCGACCTTCCCCCCACTCCTTTCCACCTCGCTCCATCCGACGTCTACTTCAGCGTATCGACGGTCTCAGTGGTGGATCACGTGTGGAAAGTGCGCCGAGGTCCTGGTTTCAGCCGAATCACGCTTGGGCTGAGAGCAAGCGAACAGGAAGACAAGGAGGATAAGAAAAAGCAAGGGAAAATTATAGAGAGAGAGAAAAAAGGCTGCCCGTATTCGAGGAACCACATCGTTCATCGACGGCATCCACGACACAGCAGTGGTACGACATGACATCGTCTGTCGGCGGTCCTGAGGGAGGTCCTTCGTCTGCTGGCCCATCCTCGCCCTTTCATCAGCTGCCGCCATCCCATCCACAGCAGCAACCGCAACAACAGCAGCAGGGCTCCTCGCACGGCAGCAGCGCGACGGCCGCTGCATCGTCGTCGTCTTCTACCAACGCAGCGTCCAACGAGACTTTCAACATGGGCTCGTTTGACTTCGGATCCGATTTTAGTCTGCCCACAAGCTTGGATGAGCTGTCCATCTTTGGCGCCGTTCCTTCCAACAACAGTCAACAGACGAGCCACCCGGCATCATCGACGGCGAGCGGAGCGACCGTTTCCAACCAGGCCAGTCCAAGGCAGCCCTTTTCCCCTCGGATGACAAAAGGGTCTCCGCATCGGATGCAGTCGACGGGCAGTCGAAATGGAAGCCCACATCCACTCTCAATGCAGCACGGTGCTGAAAGCGACGCGACTACGACGCGAGGCAGCGGCTCCGCCCTGAGCGATGAGGACTTACAGGGTCTTCTTGCCGCCATGCAACAGCAGCAGCAACAACAATTACAACATAGAGAGCAGCCGCAGCAACCGCAGCTCTTTCAACACCAGCCGGCACATCAGCGACAACAAGCGACTCAGATGCTCAATGTACACGCGGGCACTCAGCTGTCCGTAAGCGACCTCGAGAAGCTCCTCGTCGAAAAGGAACAGGCCGAGAGAGTCCAGCAGCTCCAGACGCTCCTTCTTCGCCAGCAGCTCGAGGCTCTGTCGCGGCAGCAGAGCTCTGGCTCCGATCATCCACCCAATCTGTCGTCTGTCAACCTGGCTGCGCTGCTTCAGCAACAGCAGAACCTCCTCCGCAACACGAGTCAGCAGAGCCCGACGGCGCCTTCATTCGGCTCCTTTGGCGGTGGAAGCGCGGCTGGTAGCCTCGATGCCTCAACGTCTCAGGCCTTCTCGTCCCAGGCGTCTCAAAAGGGGATGCATGCCATGTCACAGTACGGTCTCATCACCCCACTCAGCTCTGGCGCCTTTAATTCTCGTGATACGGCCGCCCACAGCCAGCAGCAGCAGCAACAACCCTTTATGTCACCCCTCAAGATTCCTGCCGGCTCGCAGCCCAGCGTGGTGGACGCCGGCCGTGTCTATGACGCAAGTGTGAGTTGGATCTCTTTCGATGTTTGTGTGCTCGTCTTTGCGTACGGCGCTCATATTCTCCTCCCTTTTCGTGCAAACCCTTTTCACAGATGGTCAATGGCGCATTTACGCCCCTAGAATCGCCAGCTATCACGCCTGCCAGCGTGTTCTCAAATGCGAGCAACGCCACAACGACAGCCGATCTGTTTTCGCCATTAACATCACCTGCCCTCCGGCCCCAGTACTACGGCTCTTCGCACGATGCAGTCATGGCCTCGCCCCTTCAGGGCCCGGTCCAGCCTGGCGGCGCAAAGGGTGGCCGTCTCAGCGGTCGGGCAAGGACAAAGGCGCCGGGGATGAGCCCTCACTTTGGTCCGCAGAGCAAGAATGCGACGCCAAACGCTTCGCCTGCCCTCGGACCTACGAAGCCTGCATCCGTGCCTCGCAAGAACCGAAGCACTACTGCAGAGGCCAGAGCAAATCGCGCACGGCCGTCACCGCTCGTCAAGCCGAGCCAACCACCGGCGTCTGTGGCTAAATCGAGGCATCGGGGACAATCTGGCTCCAGCTCCGCTGGCCTGCCCAGTCCTGCATTCGCAAGCTCAGCTAACACAGGATCGAGGCGCAACTCTGGCTCGCAACAGCCCCCCACTGAAGGGGACGCGTCCAACGGCGGAGCCTCTCATTCTCGCACGGCCTCCAACCAGACACAAGTCAACACGTTCACCTCCATCCTTGGGAGTGCCTCCAAGCCGATGGATGCCTCGCCTAGCGAAGGGGCTGCGTCCACGCCGTCCCCCATCGATTTGTCCAATTCTCAAATGCCACCCCCCTCGAGCAAACCAATGACGCCGAGCAGTATCATGGGAATCCAGCAGCAGTCCCAAGGTCGGGCGTCGTCGAAGTCGAGCAGCGGGAGCAGCAATGGCAGATCGAACACCTCATCGACGGCCAAGGGCGGCAAGGGTAGCAAGCCCTCTGCTTCCTCGGAGAAGAGTGTCTCCTTTGCTCAGGACGGTCACAAGAGAGTATCGAGTGCGAACGGCGAGAAGACGAGCAGCACCAGCCCAGGCGCCCTGGCTAGCATCCTCCCCGGGGGCATTTCGCCCTCTGATCGAGAGTCGTGGATGAACATCAAGTCTTCGGGCGGCGGGTTGGAATCGAGAAGGACCTCGCACAAGGCTGCCGAACAAAAGAGGCGAGACTCGCTCAAATTCTGCTTTGACGAACTTCGGACAATGCTACCTGCCATCACACTGGACGATGAGGCACCCGGGGGATCGAGCCTTGGTCCCGACGGGAGAATAGAAGATGAGGAGCAGGAAGTGTTTGACATCGAGCAGGTGGGCGATGCCGAAAGCGCTCGAATTGCAAATCGTGCCATCAGCAAGGTGGCTCTGCTACGACACTCCAATGAGTACCTTATCCGCCTCAAGAGCCGCCTAGAGCGGAGAGACGAGGCCTTGGACGCGTGCCGCAGAGAGATTGCCGAGCTGAGAAGGCGCTTGGGCCTCCCGCAGCTCGAAGAAGGCTTCATGTGCGTTATGGAAGATCAGACGTTTCCGCAGCAGAGGCCATATGGAGAGGAAGACTACAATGATAACGAAGGGAACGTCGACGGCAATGGGCTGCAGCAGTCACAACAGCAGCATAACACGGCCAGAGGCCACAATATAGAGTCGACAGCTGCCCCAATGACGCACGATGACGACAAGATGATGGCTGGCTTTGTACACGCGCAACACCACGCTCAACAACATCATCAGCCGATGGATGCCGCCGCTTTTAGCTATGCGACATCGGGGACTTCGCTTGCTCACAACAACAACATGGACATGTCTTGATGCCCATTACTTGGCCTCTGTTGGATCCCATTCTCTAGTAATTTGCTAGGATTATCCTCTGTCGCTCCGTTTACGTTGTTAAAATCATCCAGGAGGATTACCCGACACCTCTTCTTTGCTCACAGTTGGCCCACTTGTAGTTGTTCACCGTTGTCCTTCTTCTTTGCACACAATGTTGAACAGTATCAAATTCTTACAGAAGGCTCCAACAGTACTGGTTGAAGCAGAGTAGCCATTTGCTACAGAGACGATGATCATCGGCTGCTCCCTCGGCCCCTCTTCCTCGGCCCGCCTCTCGTCGTGCGACCTCTTTTTGCACCACCCCTGCTCGTAAATGCCCTCGCTGCTCCCTCTTGCCGAGCCTCGCTGCAGTCCGACGACCAATGTCCTGCCACGGGGCGTTACGTCAGCCGGTGATCGATGTAACGATACGAGTCGCTCTAATGAGACTCACCCTCTTGGCCACAATTGAAGCACGTCCCCACGCGTTTGCTTCGACCACCTGCTCCTCCTCTGTCGTCATAGTGGAGACCCTCGTCTTCGCTGTTCTCATTGTTGTACATGTCCACGTCGACTGCGTGCGAATTGCGGGCTCTTCCGCCCGCCCCTCTCTTCCGAGACGGCGCTACTGATGGTCCAGCTGAGGCAGCGTGCGCCGAGCAGTTGCTGGCCCAATGACCCTCGCCGCCGCAAGTGAAGCACGTCCCAGACACTGTCCCGCTCGGACCGCCTCTTGCAGAACGACTGCTGCCACCAACACCATTGCCACCAAAGGTAGCCGCACGGGAAGAGCCTGTTGCGCCATCCGACTTTGGCTGGGGACAGGCGCTTGCCCAATGCCCTTCTTCTCCGCAGTTGAAGCAGCTCTGCCCTGCTAGGTCTCTAGTTGGGCCCTGTGCAGCCCGTTGTTGTTGTTGCTGCTGCTGCTGCTGCTGCTGCCCTGCGTCAGTACCCTCGTCCGCCCATGCGAAGAATTTGCATCGTGTGCGTCCGCTCAGCTTCGGACAGGTGTAAAAGAAGCGTCCCTTGTTCGGACCATCCTTGAATACTTGATTCCGCTTAGCCTCCTGGCCGCACTCGCACTGAACCTCGTTTGACGCTAAGTTGCTCGAGGCGTTCATGATGCTTCGGTAACGATCCATCGTCGAGTCCGTCAGACCTCGAGCATTGCTCTCGTCAAGAGAGCCGGAAGGCCGCGTGTACGGAGGAACCCTCGCGCCAGATGTAGCAGCCTCATCGCACCATTCAAAGAACCCGCATTCGGTCTCGTCGCCCTGCTGTTTGGGGCACCTCCAAAACATCCTTCCCTTGTTTGCCGATTCCTTGATAACTTTTCTCTGAACAGCGGCCTGACCACAGCGGCACATGGGAGTGTGAGCGTCTGCTGACTCCCGCTCTTGGACGCGGTCGGCAAACGAGGTTGATTGACCAGGGTGGAATGTTTGGGTCCGCAGCGGCTGCTGACGGGGGGCTGCAGCTGGAGCATGGGAAGGAACCGGGACATCGTCATCGTCTGTGGAAGTATATAATTGTGAGCTCTTCAGCAAGATCTGGCCGTGCGCCCTTCGCTCACCGTCATCAATCTCAATGACCTCAATCTGAGCATTTGCGCTGTTCGAGGAAGCAGAAGATGTGCCCATTGCACCATGATTTCCGCCACCTGATCTGATTCTTCTTGCGTCGTCACCTGGCCCAGGTGCAGAACTTTCGCCTCCCGTCTCAACGCCATCGAGAACACTCCACAAGTCCTCATCATCGATTACTTCGAGGTCATCGTCCAACGAGAGTAAATCGTCTTGTCGAGGTTCATTAGCAGTGGAGGACGCAGCCGCAGCCGCCCATTCAGGTGGCGCAGGTGGTTCTTCGCCGCGAAGGTATCTTGCCATTTGCAGAATGACCCTCTCGATGCTACCGTTCGCCTGCGTGTAGACGGCACGATACTCTTGCAGGCTCTGCTGGACCATTTGTGCCTTGGTCGTTTCACCCTCGCAGACCTTCGTCATGGCCTCTTCGGTCTACACATGGCGAGACAACAATCGTGAGGACGGAAGTATATGGGAGACGACTTGTTGACTCACCTCTCGGCGTAATAGGGGCTTGCACAAGCTCTTATTGCCTGCAAAGTTGATGTCGTTGTAGCCCATGACAAGGCCCATACCAAGCGTCGAGGGTACAAGGTACTTGATCCTCCCCTCCATCTGTGCCATGACGTATTCTCGCTCGATAATCTTTGCAATGTGCTCTGCAATCGTCGCATCCGTGCCGATGCCATTCCTGTCCATCAGCGAGACAAGGTCGGCTTCCGTCAGGAGCTTGGGCCGCGTCGTCTCGCCTTCCTTCATTGTCAATTCCGTCGGCACGAAACGCTCACCCTCTTCGAATTGTGGCAGACCTGGTCCGCCCCACGTCTCGTAGGGAAACACATCGAGGAAGTTGCGCACTTGGACAACAATGCCTAGTCAAGTAGCAAGACTTCATCAGATCGACTTGATAGACCTTTAAGAATGAGAGTCAGACGTACCAGTGGCCGTAAAGAGCTCGCCGGCAATCTTGAGGTCAATTTTTGTTTCCTCGCCAATGGCGTCCTTTGAGCAACTTGCCAGAAAGCGTCGAGTCACATACTCGTACACCTTCTTGTCATCCCCTGTGAGGCCGTTTGCATGGGCGGTCGGATGAATGGGCGGATGGGCTTTGTCGTTCTTTTGCCCATTTCGAGGCTTGTCAAAGGCACCTTGATCGTCGAGCAGCTGACTGGCAAAGCGGCCCCAATCAGAGTCGCTCCTCTGTTTTCCGACCAGCGTCTTGAAGTCAAATTGGGCGTCGTATTGGTCAGTCTCTGTACGAGGATACGAGAGAAAACCTCTCTGGTACAGCTTCTCTGCAACCTGTGGTCGGATGAATGCGTCAGTTTGGTGCTGCCGTCGGTCACAACCTGAAGATGACGCACATCGAGGATCCGTTTGGGAGCCATGTGCAGGAGGCGACCACCCGACTTTTGCAGCTCGACAGTTGTCAGTGGCCGTGGTTTGCTGCAAAAGCATGACAAGTCAGCTTGCATTACAAAAACAAGTGCAGCTGGTGTACCCACTACTTGCGCGTCTGCTTACTCGTCACCTTGATGACAGTAGCCTCTGGGTCGCTCTTGCACCTGTCAAAGATTCTCTTGACCTCGGCCTGCACAAAGAGGTGTTTGCGGGCCCAGTGAAAGGTCACATCGATGGGAGCCTTGCGGTGCATGACATGGATGTACCAGAAGGGCTCCGGGACAAACTCGCTGTGCTTGATGTACTGATCCACGACAAAACCCAGGGTTGGAAACTGACACGGACCTGTGTACCACCATCAGTGGAGGAAGGCTTGAACGGGGCGCTCCGAACAGGATCTCACCGTAGCTAATGATCTTCTTGTCAAGCTCCTGGAAATGACCTTGGAGCGTCAAAGTTTGCATGCGGGTAAAGGCTGATCCAATGCGCAGATCTAGCTCGATTCTCGCCTCGACGGCATCGGCGGCAGCCCAATCGAGCGCCACGGGATTCTGGGCGGCATGGTGGATCTGACTGTAGTGACCAAGCAGGACCAGTCAGCCATCGGGAGAAGGCGAGAGCTGATCGGAAGGCTCACTTCGCAATGATGGCGCTGAACCTCGCTCTTGTCACTTCAATATCCCTCTTCACCCTCTGGCACTCGCGCACGACCTCTGCGCCGATGTGTTCGCCTTCGCGATCGCAGTCGGTCCAGATCATGAGCACATCAGAGCTTCTAGCCTCGTCCTTGAGGTTCTGAGCAACCTTTTTGCAGTCCTAGGAGATGGAGAGCGTGGGCAAGCAGTCGTCACAAAGGACGCTTTTGAGCATCACCTACTCACCTCACTGACAAAGGACATGATAGGCGCCTCGAAGAGAGCCGTGGGGCTGCAGCTTTTCCATTTTCGGTACTCGTCGCCAAAGTCGTTGCTCATGAGGTGGCCACGGACACTCGTAACGACCATATCGACCCACCCATTGGCCCGATGCCTCCCAAATGACTGGCCAGGGGGCATGCGGTATCGGAAGCAGAAGTTGCGACAGAACTGGTCTCGGCCAGGCCGCTGCGTATGGGGGCGCTGAGTCTGACGTTGCCAGTCTGTATGCGCGCTGTGTGGTACTCACATTCTGTAGCCCATTGCCGCTGGACAAGATCTCCGAGATGGACTTTGCAATCGAGGCTGCGAAGTTTACCCACAAAGGTCAGTCTCGCCCATGCGGAAGCAGATGAGGGCAGGGCGCGCAGCAACAGCTGAGGTAGCAGCAGCAGCAGCAGCAGCAGCAGCAGCAAGCACGCAGCACGTACGTACGTTTCTCAGCGACGCAGAGGATCTTCATCTCCGCGCAAATCTCTTTGCCGCCGCATCGCAGTGGCCTGAGGTCCTAGCGGCTACACGAATCCCGTCTGGTTGCTCGTGCTCGACTCTTTGGCCTTTTCGACTCTTCTGCCGGGGCGTCGGTGTTGGTGGATTTAGCCTGTCAACGCGTACGGTCCAAGACCGAGAGCCGGAGCGGAGGTGTTGGATTTTTCTCTCTTTTGTCTCGCGTCAGACCGCGTCTGGATCGTGTTAATTCCGGCGGCTTTGCTCGCAGCAGCACAGCAGAGCGCGTGCGCACGCTGCGCCATAACCGCTGGAGACGAGGAACCGGCAGGATGGGGGCGGTCTTGATGACTGGACTGGACAGGGGCGAACCCACATCTACGTAGTCTTTCCCTCTCGCTCTGTCTCTCTTCTCAACGTCCAACATGTCTGCTCCTACTACTGCTGCTGCTACCGCCTCCGCCGCTATGCGTCACCTCCGCGTGGCCGTGCTCGACGACTACCTGGGTCTGGCCTCTAAGCACTTTGCCCACTTTTCCACGCCGTCTGCTTCCACAGTGGCCAGGGCGAGGGCCGATGTGACCATCTTTGACGACACGCTGCACTCTGTGGATGCGCTTGCCGCGCGTCTGCGCCCCTTTGAAGTCGTCTGCACCATGCGCGAACGCACGCCCTTTCCTGCGGCCCTGCTCGAGCGGCTGCCCAACTTGCGCCTGCTACTCTGCACGGGCACCCAGCACTCGCAATTCGACATCGAGGCTGCATCTGCGCGCGACATCATTGTGGCCACCGCCACGGGCCGCGGTGTCAGCCCCAAAACGGGCACAGCTTCGTCGTCGGCGTCGTCGTCGACGTCCCCTGGACGAGACATTCGAAAGGGACGCAGCCACCCGACGACGCAGCACACATGGGCGCTGCTCCTCTCGCTCGTCCAGAATATTGCCCAGGACGACGCGAATCTAAAGAGGTCTCCACCGTCGCAGCAGCACAGCGCGGCGTGGCAGACGACGACGACGACGCGCCTCGAGGGAAAGACGCTGGGGATCTGCGGTCTCGGTCGGCTGGGTGCAGCGACGGCGCGACTCGCCGTCATTGGCTTTGGCATGAAGGTTCTTTGCTGGAGCACGAACCTGACGCAGGAACGGGCCGACGACGCGGCGTCGAGCGTCAACTTGCCCGCATACAACAAAGCCAGTGGCCAGCCGACATTCGAGGTGGCCGCGAGCAAGCGCGATTTCTTTGCGCGCGCCGACATTGTCAGCGTGCACTACGTCCTGAGCCCACGCTCGCGCGGCCTCATTGGTCAAGAGGAGCTCGGCTGGATGAAGCCTACGTCCTTTCTTGTCAATACGTCGAGGGGCCCCCTGGTGGACGAAGCTGCCCTCGTCGACGTGCTGAAGCGTGGCACCATCGCCGGCGCGGCCCTCGATGTCTTTGACGTCGAACCGCTTCCTGGCGACAGTCCCTTTCGCAAGAGTGCCGCCGAGGGCTGGAAGAGTCGGCTCGTCATCACGCCGCACATGGGCTACGTCGAGGATGACATCATGAACACCTGGTACCAGGAGACCGCGGCCAACGTCGACAACTACCTCGCAGGCAACGAGGTCGCCGACCGTCTCAATTAGCAATTCTCTGCTCCGGCAACACACACACACACACACCCCACCAGGGCTTGCTCCTGCTGTACATACTTACGAAGTGATACAATTACGAGAAAGATTGCTATATACACATACAGAGAGACAGAGATATAGAGATATGGTCAGGGGATCTGAGTCTATTCTTATGAAGGCTCAATCGCTTTCTGTACCTTTCCCAGGCTGACAGACAGCAAGTAGCTGTAGCACTACACCACAGAGAGATAGGTATACTGGATTTCAAGAGGGGTAATAATAAGAGTGTATGTGTGAGATCGCTTCGTACTTTACAACACAACGACAGAAGATCAGCAGCCACCGCCGCCACCCCCACACCCTCCGCCGCCTCCGCCGCAGCCTCCGCCACCACCACCGCAGTTGCCGAAACCGCCCATGGCCACGAAGCCCACGCCGCTGTAGGCGGGATAGCCAGAGCTGCCCATGGTCAAGCGGTTGCTTTCGATATTCATGACACGCGCAAATCGGTCGTTGATCATGGACGCCTGGCCACCGAGGCACGCGCCTGCCCCCACAGTATCGAGGCCGCATTTGCCAGGGACAGCACCACCTGCTTCATGAGCGGCAGGGATGTAGAGGAAGGGTGCCATGTTGGCGTAGTCGCGCTTGAAGGGATTGTCGTGCTGCTGCCGGCCATCTCGAGTACCGCTGCCGCTGCTGCTGCTAGCCGACATGACCTTGACGCTTTTCTCTTCGGTCGTATCTTGCTTCTCTCGCACTGATTCACTATCTTCTCCCACCTGTACAGCATTGTGGGCGCTCGGGTGTGTAGGAATGGATCCTTCGGGCGCCTCCTCTGCAGCCTCGCCCGCATCGTCTTCATCGTCGTCATCTCTCGCCCTTGACTTTCCCTTGAGCTTGGAGAGAAGCTTCTTGGCCGTCGCAAACTTCTTTCGGTGCTCCGCGCAGCCGCACCACGAATACGGCTGGTCATAGAGCTTCCGCCAAAGGTCGGCTGTGTCCTGGAATGCGTCGCCCAGCCGGCCCTTTTCGACTTTGTCATCGTGGTCGAGAAAGCGGCCGAGCAGCCGGAAGCAGTCGGTGTAGTAGTCTGGGCTGAGCTGGTGCGTGTGCCAGGCCAGGTCGATGTCGAGCGTGGGTGAAATGAATGCGGTGGGATAGCGAAAGGAGAGATTGAGCCAGCCATGGTAGCGCACGATGGCATTATCGAGTCCCTCTTGGAGCTCTCTGCTCGGCAGCTGGCCAGAGAGCCAGCCGAGGCTGTCCATCTCGTCGACGAAGCCAAATTGGCGCTGGACGGCCGCGACGAGATCGAGCGAAGCTGGACTCAGAGGGTGGCTGTCGATGTAGTAGCTCATCATCAGGCTCACACGCCTGTGCAGCTGCTTTCTCTGGGCCTCATCCAGACCCGGCGAGAGTCGATCATAGATGGACTTCGAGATGGCTTCGATGTCGTACCGCTCACTTTCAAAAGCCGCTTGGGGTGTCGTGGCCTTGCCCTGCTCGATCTTTCCAATGACATCGACCGTAGAATCAAAAATCTTTTTGCCCCTGGCGTCCTCGTTCGTGCCCGATAGCTTACGGTTGCTCTGAACTAAGCGATAGAGAATCGGGTTGTAAGGGTCCTTGTGAAACGGCTTGCCGTTGGCCTTGCTGAGGACGCCGCCACGCATGCGCCAGCCGTTGGTGTCGGAGCCGCGAGAGCGCCAGACATTCATGTCATCAAAGAACCGTTTGCCCAGCAGCGTCTCCTTTCGGATCAGGAGGCTGCACGATGGACATTTGATGCTCCAGTCTGGCTGGGCTGCCTGCTGCCACGAAAGAGGCTGCTCCGCCTTGCATGCAGAGTTGGGGCACCGCACCACTGTTCCCTCGAGCGAGACTGCTTCCTGTGGCGAGGGTAGCGGCTGTGCATCGGCACCAAAGGGGTCAAAGGCAAGACCGGTCAAGCCTTGCCAGTTTCCGCGAGCGTCGTTGGCAATGATGTTAATGCCGTCGCCCTCGAGCCGCCGTGCGAGTTTGGCAAGAGGGAATCGAACGCGGAGAAGCACGTAGCGCGTCGGTACAAGGTGTGCGTCTTCGATGTACCGCGATGGATTGAGCATGTACGAGTCTGCGGGTAAAGGGACAGGGAGGAGGACGAGGAGGAGATGATGGACATGTCAGCTGCGCCCGTGCACCCGGCGAAAAGAGAAACCAAGAAACATCACTCACGCCAGATCAAGGCCACGTCGAGGGGCGGGAGGAGATTGTCGGGTACCTCGAACGGTCTCGGCTCGGGCTCATCGTCGAGCTTGTTCAGTCCGTCTCGAGAGAGGCCAATAAGGTGAGGCGTAAGGATCAGATTGCGAAATCGAGGCCGAGGATCGGCACGGGTGTTTGTGGGCGTCAGGACCTTTTCAAGGTACACTTCGAAGCGGTGCAGAGCCCGGACCAGAAAGGTGTTCCAGAGGCTGGCGCTGTTGGCCTCGTCGTCAAAGGCTGGAGGCGACCCTCGCTCCGTCGTTGATGTTGAGGGGGCCAAAGGCAACGACGACTCCTGATCGCTCTCCTTTTCCGAATAGGCAGGTGGCGCATCTCTCCGCGTCGTCTCTTGCGAGGCACGTCGGCGAAGCGCCTGGAACGCGGCGAGAAGGCGAAGGTGGTGGCGCAAATCCTCGCCGGCAACAACGGGCTCATGGGCATAGTAGCCGATATGGAACTTGCCTCCTTTTCTACTGTAGCCCACCATCTTGCTCTTGAAGGAAACAATCCAGTCGTAGACTTGCTAGTGATTGTAGCTCAGGATGCTGGGATGCGTGGGGAGCTGGCTCATTGCTGGAGAGCGAGAGTCTTTATAAATACAGTCGCAGTCAGCCCGTGTTCAGGAACTGACGAGATCGTTATCCGTACCTCGCGGTACTTGGCCACGCTCTGATTACTTTAGTCTGATTTTGCAGTTGAGGCGGTGGCGGCTAGTCTTTTTTTGTGCCCTGTTGTGACGTTGCTCTCTCTCCACTGATTAGGTCACTGCTCATGCGCCACAAGGATACAGCCGCCCGGTGCTCAAAGCATACCGGCGGGAATACTCGTTCTATGCCTCTTTTCGATGAAGCGATCACGGCTCATCCCGGCCTCTATCTTGACTCATGTGCTCTCCTGTTTCCGCCGTGTTCCTGTTTACCCACATCTCCCTAGACCCTGGCATATCTTGCCTCTTCGCGTTCTCTTGCCTTTGCCCGTGAACGTGTGGCTGGTACAGCCTCCTGAGTGGAGGGTGACGCAACCATAGTGATGGGAAGAGTACAGCCACCCATGCTCTATATACAAATCGACATCGGGTGCACAATGATTTGCCAAGGTCCGGTCGAAAGGACGCTTCATCTGCACCCCAAGTCGGGCCATGGCTTTCTTGATCAGTATCCCGAGCACTTTGCCGCCCAGTTTGTCAACGACTTTCTTGGTTGATGGTGTGACCGTTCGTCTTGAAATCAATCAAGCAAGCTCGCCTTTCTAATATCCCGCCTGAGTCGAGCTTCTCTTGTGTTGGTCTCGACACTCGACGCTCACGGAGCGGCGCGCGGATTCCGTGGAGACGCGTCCGTCTTTGGAAAATAGAAGAGGAAGATGGCGGGGTAAGGCCATGTCCCCAGCGACAACCACCATGCCGACGGCGCTGGCTGCTAGAATGGCGAGGCGGGGCTGCCTGGCCCTGCCTCTTCTTGAGGGGAGACTTCTCCAAAGCAAGCAGCGGCATGGTATCACACTGAGGCTCCACAGCACCAGCAGCAGCGAAGCAACCGCCACGTCGGTCCTCGCAAACAATGTCGACGCAAATTCGGCAGACTTCGAGGCCAACCGAGCTCACATGAGCGGTCTCATTGCGGATCTGGACAAGCTGCAGGGCCGAATTGCGCTGGGAGGACCCGAAAAGGCAAGGCTGCGGCACGTCGGCAGAGGAAAGATGCTGGCGCGGGATCGCGTCGGTGCGCTCCTCGATCCTGGTAGTCCTTTCATCGAGGTGGGCAATTTGGCAGGGTGGAACCTGTACGAGTCCGAGGGCGAAGATGCTGTTCCTTGCGCTGGTGTCATTGCTGGCATTGGTCTTGTGGAAGGGTGAGTTACCTTGAGCAGGCCGAGGAAGAGTAGCAACGCAACATCATCTGAGATCAGCTCCCTTCCTCAGCAACCAGACGATGGTCGTAGCAAATGATCCGACAGTCAAGGCTGGCGCATACTACCCCATCACTGTCAAGAAACACCTCCGAGCGCAACGGATCGCGCGCGAGAATCGGCTGCCGTGTGTCTATATGACTGAGAGCGCCGGTGCTGCTCTACCATACCAGGCCGATGTCTTTCCCGACGAGCTGCACTTTGGCCGCATCTTTGCCGAAATGGCCCAGATGTCGGCCCTGGGCATCCCTCAGATCTCCATCGTGCACGGCATATCTGTTGCAGGAGGCGCCTATGTCCCCGCCATGGCCGACGAGACAATCATCGTGAGAAAGCAGGGGACCATCTTTCTTGCTGGTCCACCCCTTGTCAAAGCGGCACTTGGCGAGGTCGTCGATGACGAGGTGAGTCGTCGCGAGTCTCAGTACAGGACAGGTCCTTTGAGCGCTCACACCTGATGCTCAGACTCTCGGAGGGGGCGAGATGCACTCGAGCGTCAGCGGCGTGACGGACCATCTGGCCATCGACGATGCCCACGCCATTGCCCTTGCTCGCTCCGCCATGGCCAACCTGGGTTGTGCCTCTTCCTCTTCACGATCGGGAACATCACCCACTTCGCCGCCGGTTGAAGAGCCACTGTACGACGCCTCGGAGCTTGATGGCATCGTTCCCCCCTCGCTGCGCCAGCCTTTCGAGATGCGCGACATCATTGCCCGCCTTGTCGACGGATCTCGCCTTCATGAGTTCAAGCCCCGGTACGGAACCACGCTCGTCTGCGGCTTTGCCAAGATGGGTGGCCAGCCCTGCGGCATCCTTGCCAACAATGGTATCCTCTTTGGCGAAGCTGCCAAAAAGGCTGCCTCGTTTATTGCCCTGTGCAACCAGCGCGCCATCCCACTCGTCTTCCTCGTCAATGTCACCGGCTACATGGTCGGGGCCCGAGCTGAGCGCGAGGGTATCGCAAAGGACGGCGCCAAGATGGTCAGGGCTGTTGCATGCGCAGATGTGCCCAAGCTCACTGTCATTGTAGGTTGACCATGATCCCTTTTCCTTCCCTCTTTTCCCCTCTCCCTCTCCTCCGTCGCGGTGCAAGGCTGACTGATGGTCGCATACAGGTCGGCGGAAGCTACGGGGCCGGTAACTACGGCATGAACGGACGTGCATACTCGCCCCGCTTCCTGTGGGCCTGGCCAACGGCGCGCGTGGCCGTCATGGGCGGCGAGCAGCTCTCGAGCGTCATGTCTGGCGTCTCCTCGTCCTCTGCAAACGGCGTCTCGGACCTGGCAAAGAAGATCGACGACCAGAGCTTGCCCCTCTACGGCTCGGCGCGGCTCTGGGACGACGGCATCATCCGTCCGCGCGATACGCGCGCCACACTCGCCCTCGCCCTCGACGTTGCCTGCCAGGGCAGGGAACGCAGCTGGGACTGGCAGAGGCGGAGAAGCGGACACGTCGCCTGGGACGGAAACGGTTACGGATCGGGCGTCTTTAGGTGAGCGACGACCAGCTGCTGCTTTCTATCAAACTTTCCTAGGAAAGGGGGGGGCTGATGAATTGTCATTACAGAATGTGACACGATGGGAAATCCTGCCTTGAGCGGAAGATCACACATCTACAATACGTCGTGCTGAGAGAGAAAAATGTCCATATACAATGTTACAGAAAGCCTTTCGCACAGAGGCTCACGTTCAAGCGGGAAGAAAGGATAGTGAGAAGAGCTGGCTCATCAGCCGCCCCATTCGTAGCTCTCCGTAACAACATTGATCTGTGCCGAGAGGTCGCCCTTTCGGACCCTGCTGGGGTCAATCTGCCTTGCCACGAGGCTCCTCACGAGCGTGCCCAGACTCTGAGGTCCACAAGTGGCGACCAGCACCCTGCCTGCGCTGTTGTGAGCCTCTTGCCGTATGATGCGGTCCAGCTTGGGGTAGCCGGGCCGGGCAAGCTCGGCCACTACGCGCAGGTCCATATCCTCGTGAACATCGAGGTCGATGGGTGCGTCAAGGTGCGACAGATTCGTTTGCAGCTCAGCGCCACCGTGGAATTTCTCCTGGCCACCACCGGGACCGACGACTAGGTTTGCAGTGGATGAAGCGTCACCGTGGAAAAATTCGGAGGCGGGTGGGGTCATGGCGCCAGAGACGTACGCGTGACGGCCATCTGGTGTCCTGGATCTCATGTCCCAGGAGGAGGGCGTCACATCGCCAGGCGTGAGTGTGGAGGAAGACGGCTCCATATAGGGCGTCGACGTGCCGCTGTAGTCGCCAAATGGCGGAAGCTGGTGAGGAGGCGGCATGAGCTGGTTGCGCGAGTAGAACGTGTCGGCGCTAGATGGGTCAGCTCGAGACTGCTGACGAGAATGGATGCCTATGGACCGATCGCCCAGGTCACGCTCCTCAGCAGCAGCATTGAGAGGGTCAAGTGGCACTTCTTGGTCGTGTATCGCCCTCTGACTGGCCATCTGCATAGCCGGTGATGACAGAGGTTGTTGTGGTTGTTGTTGTTGTTGCTGCTGCTGCTGTTGCGACGGACTTGCAGACTGCATGCGACTCGCTCCCTTGCCCCGGCCGGCGCGCTTCATCGTCGCCTTTCTCGTCGCCGCTCTTCTAAGTTTGCCCTCCTTTCGCAGTCTCTCATTGATGTCCCTCTCGGCCGCCGACGGTACGCTGTAGTCTTCGCCTTCGAACTGTGTGAGATCGTGCGCATCGTATTCGTACTCTTCCTGCTCGGGACCTTCGGTGAAGCGGGCCTGCTGTTGGTAGGCGCCGTCGGAAGAAAAGCCGCCGCCTGGGTGGATTGCGTCCCCGTGCATCGACAAGGTCAGGTCATCGCGCGAGACGGGCAAGGAAGAAGGTGTGGATGGCGCAAAGGGCGTTCGTGGCGGTGAGAGCTCGTAATGCGTCAATGGGGCTCCTCTTGCTCGGGCCGGGGCTGCCAAGTTGTTAAAGTGCGTCACATAGAGCTCGACGAGGAGCTGTTCTGGCGAGACCATCTCGATGCACCTGCGTAAAGCCGATGCGATCCATTGCAGGTGCGAGAACTCGCGAAGCATCCAGACGAACCTGATTCTCTGCGTCTGAAACTTGCTGTCCCGCCTTGTCGCGCCCGTCATGGCCGCGCAGAGGTATTCGAGCACCGACATGCCAAAGCTGATTCCGGAGCCACCACAGATGATGACGACGGTCGAGTGAATACCCCACCGGGTCCTCTGGCTTGACCCATACGGACCATCGACGATGGCGCGCAGGTGTACACCCGTCGTCGTCTTGCGTACGCCATTGGGTCCGACGACCTCGGCGGCCGCTTGGATCTGCGCTTCTCTCGTCCGCAAGACGTGGTTCCAGAGGTGAAGGGTGAAACCCTTTCTGGCTCGGAGCAGCAGGACAATCGTCCTCTCCTCTCCCCTTGCCTTTGCCAGCGGTTGGGCAGACTCCTCATCGGCCGTGGAGACGGGGTAATTGATGTTGGAGGCTGAAGCAATCGTGAATGGATGGCTCTCCCAGAAACGAACGGCAGGCACGTTGAGGTTAATGTACTGGCCAGGCGCCCAAGAAATTCGGTTTGGCGTTCGAAGTGTCAAGCGCAGCGTTTTCCCGGGCAACAGTTGCACGAAAGCAAACCCTGGCTTGATGAGGGCGGCCACATCTGCGGGCATCGCAGGTCTTGGACCCCTCCTGGGGATCGGCATCGTGTCGCTCGTCATGTGTCTGGTGTGGTGTGAGTCATGGCTATGCTGCGCGTAGTGGTCGGCCATGCTGTGCGGCCTGTCGGTCGCAACCCCAGCTTGGTCTTCGAGGGTGTATCGAACAGGTCCCGAGGACTCTTGCCCGAGAGTCGCCCTCGTGGCGGCGTGTGGCGCGTCTGCCGGATTGTAGCTGTCGATGACGTCCATGACGGGGTCGTAGCGCGCGCTATTCGATGTCAGGCGGCGTTTCGAATCGCCGAACTCGTCGTGTTGCCAGGCTCCAGGGCCCTCTGCCGAAGAGGGCGCCAGCGTGGCTCCTTGATGGGGCAGGGGAGGCACCGGTGAGGCCGTCTTAAACGACTCGCCGTGCATCGTCTGGGACGAGGCGGTAGAGAATTGGCCGCCGTGGGCATTGTGGCTGTGGTACCTCGTTGCCGATGAGCCATAGCTGCCCTTTTCGCTGTTGCGATGTGCCTGGTGCGACAGATTAAAGGAGCCATCAGAGTCAGAGGCGGCAACGGCAAATTGAGGTTTGCGTCCAGCAAAGCCCAGGCCATTGATCCAGGCCGTTCTCGTGGCCATGCATACACGCTCGGCGGCCCAGTAGATGAGCGTGGCCCACATCCAAGCACCCAGCGGAGGGTGGTGGAGCCAGGCGGCCACCATGAAGCCGATGACGCAGATGACATGGACGACATAGAAGATTTCGTAGTATCGGGACCGCATTGGGCTGATGGAAAGGAGGATGAGAAGGGTGAAGAAGATGTAGGACTGGAACGGAGGTGGGTCAGCTATCCTTTCGCGTACACGGAGCGGAACAGCCATGATCCAGCTCCAGCGCCGGATCCACGACGACGACGACGACTCACCACAAAGCCCCATCGGAATCTGGTCCAGAGAAAGACAAAGGCCCAAATGTTGGTGCCAAAGGCTTGGTCCTTGTCGAGCTGGACGCTCCAGAGGACGACGTGTGCGGTGGCAAAGGCCCAGAGCACCCTGCCACCCCACTTGTGCATGAAGCTGAGCCGGTCAAAGCCATAGCCACCAAAGATCTTGAGTGAAAAGATGGCGAACGGCACCTGCCGAAGGGCCGTGACGAGGATGAAGGGCGTCAGTGCATTGGTCATGGCCCCCGTGCGGCCGCCGGCAGTCCACCAGGTCCGGTAGGGCAGCGTCAGCGATGGTGCCGTCGTGGTGACGGGATGGTACTGGCCGATGCCCCATTGGAGCCTTCGGTACAGGCCCTGGGTGTTGACGGGCAGGCTGTTGTTGGGCCAGCTCTCGGAGAGGTCAAACATGCCGGCCGAGGGTCGGATGTAGTCTGCGCCCACAAAGGTAAAGATGACGGGGACAATGACGAGGGCGGCCAGGAGAAGCATGCGCCCAAAACTGGGAAACGTAAAGATCTTTCGCTTCGTCGGCACGCCCTGCCGATGCGGGGCCGACGTGTTGAGGACCTGTGCCGCCACATTGGGGGGCAGCGAGAGGCCGAGATTCGCGGTGCGGGCTTCCTCCTCCTTTGCCCTCTTCTCTGGATCCGACTTTTTCCCCAGCTTGACCACCCTGCTCTTGATCGCCCACCGGTTCCAGGCGGCGCCGATCCACGTCTGGTCGACGAGGCCGAGGTGCTGGAGCAGGGCGGCAAAGACGAGGATGGCGGCCATGACGATCCAGGTGAGGTAGAGGTAGCGCTGCGAGGGGACGCTGAGCATGTGGGCGTTGAAGTATCCTGCCAGGTACGTGCGTCGATTGTCGTCCTGCGTTGCGCATGAGCCCGTGCAGTACCCGCTCCCGGTCCCCTTTGCGGGAGGGACATAGACGGACGCCATCTCGCTGCTGCCCGGAGACCGACACGCAGACACACTCTCTTCTCTTTTTCTAATGAGGCGCTGTCCTCATGGATGCCTCTTTGACCACAGATTTGGCCTCGGTCGAGCAGGGAAGGATTCGCGTGCGTCGGGGTGATCCGGCCGCGTTACTGTCGTAGCCAAATCGGGTGAGAGAAGAGAGCCAGTCAAGACTTCAAGCACCGTCTATGCACGAGGAGCGGGGGTTGCCAAGACAGAAAAGAGCGAAGTGGGACGACTGGGGGGGAGGGGGGGGGGCGACGACGACGGCGGGGGCGGCGGGGGCGACGATGACGAGCTATAAAGAGGACGAGGAAATGAGAACGGAGAGTCAAAGACAGGCAGCGTAATGAAGAAGGGAAAGGGCCGTTGTCGTGGTGGGGTCCAACCTCGCACCGCACCTGCCGAAGGGGGCCGAGCCACCAAAAAGAAAAAAAAAAATATTTATATTAACGCTTCAGAATTTCGGCCAAAGAGGGGCCAAGATCAACGGCGCCACACGAGGAGCTCCGACAACAATGTGCAGGCGGTATAACAAACATATAGGTGGCTGCTAGCTTGTCTCGCTCCAGTCTTCACGATCTTACCCGCGGCAAGCCATGTATTGTACAGTGCTTCGAGTACGTGCTGTGCTGTGCCAGGCCGGCTCTGCCGTGCTAGGTCGGCTCTGCCGTGCTCCCCTCCCTTGCGTGGTGTCGGCAAATAATTTAGAAGATTTAGGGTGCCGCATCAACCTGCATCTTGGCAAGGCGCTTTCGACTTTTACTACACTAGCCGTAATTGTTGTGTCGAGACGCGCCCAATGGCGGGCCGCGTCTAGCGACGAAAAGAGGACAACAACGACACAAAAAAGGGGGTGCTGAGACGGCAGACGGCATCATTGATTACGAAGATGACAGTGTAGAGAGGAAGAAGTACCTGCTATCAGCTGCCGGGGGCGCTGCCGCTCCCGCCCGAAGGATCGTCAAAGAGAATAGACATGGCGCCTTCGACGCTTCCGCCGGCGGTCAGCAGCGCGCGCAGGTTGGCAGCGCCGTCCGTAAGGCCCATCCCCTGCCGAATTGTAGGTACGTTCTCTCTTGTCAGCTGTCAAAGTGTCTCCGTGTTTCTGTTCATGGCACGTGGCCATGGAACGCACCTGCATCTGCGCCAATTGCTCTGCGTACCGCTCCTCGGGCGGTCGCGAGTCAGTAGGCGGCCGGCCAAAGCCTCCGAATGGGTTGGCTCCCCCTCCGGCTCCACCGCCCGCTCCTCCGAGGATTTGCTGCAGGCTGTTTTGGCGTCTGTGAGCACGCATACCGAGCTCAACCCGACCACATTACTCACAAAGCGGGATCGAACATGCCAGCGCCGCCGCCGCCGCCGCCGCCGCCTGGCGCAGGCCCTGCTCCTCCAAGGCCTGCAAATGGGTTGGCGCCAGCCTGCTGGTTCCCTCCAGCGGCCTGGCCCTGTCTCTGCTCTCCCTGCTGGGCCTGTCCAAAGGCGCCTGGAGGGGGCCACTGCTGCCCCGCTCCCTGCCCACCCATGGCTCCCGGCGCTCCGAATCCACCGAGGCCGCCAAGGCCGCCAAGGCCTCCAAGGCCTCCTGCGCCTCCAAGGCCTCCTGCGCCTCCCATGGTGCGCGAAAGCTCCGCAGCCCTTTGCATGCTTTGCGGATCCAGAAGAAACTCGCGGAATTGTTCGGAGCGCAGCAGCTCCCTCGCACCAGGAAGTGAAGCCAGCTGAGGGTTTGAGGCAATGATCTGGTCGATGACCTCGGGACGACCGAGCATCGATCGCATGTGGTTGCGGAACTCATCCGACTGCATGGCCGTCATGAGCATGTTGGGATCGTTCGGATTCAGTCCCGTTCCCCGGAACATTTGATCGCCCAGCTGGGCCATGTGTGGGCCTGCAAAGTCGGCTCGGTTCAGCGCCGCCAACGGATCGCTTCCGTACGCCTGGCCCGCGCCAAAGTTGGCTGGGATGCCCTGCGCGGCAGACGAGTTGGTGGCGGGGGTGGTACCGGAAGGTGCAGAATTGCTGCCGCTCGTCTGAGAGGTAGCAGGGTTGCCCGTTGTAGGCGCCGAGCGAGCAGCACTTCGGACCATGTGCACGGTGTCTGGTGGTGGCGAGAGGCGGTTAGTGCCAGTACTTTCCACTCGCCGCCTCAACAAAAAAAGGCCACGCTCTTTTCTACGGGCATGGCTAGACACTCACGATTGTTTTGTAGCTTGTAGCTCTGCAGTGTCTCCTCATCTTTGAGCACCTTTCCGCTGTAGATGAGGCGCTGCGAGTCGGCAGGGACGTCGCTCCTCGCGCTCTCGATCTTTTCCTTGAGCGCGCGCACCGTCGCATCGAGGGCGATCTCGACCGTCAGCTTGATCTCCGACGGCCCCTTGATGTTGACAGTAATGTTCTGTGCTCTTTCGTCTGCCATCTTGGTCGATGTCCCTTTGTTCACGATCGTTGCTATCGTGAGAGAAATCTTCGAGGCCGCGCGACGTCAGCCTTACCGTGTGCCTCTGTGGAGCTCTTGATAGACCCACGTGGTTTATGATCAATTGCTTACGTAAGTGAATGCGCTTGGGTGCGCCACTGTCGCGAAGCTGTCCGGCTTGGACTCAACGAGCTCCGGCTCAAATCAAGGTGAAAGGATCCTCCATCTGACCATTTCTTAAAGGCACAAGGCTTGCGAGTAAATCAGCCTGGCAACAGTGGCTTCAAAGTCTTTGTCACTATCTGAGCTTTGCTTTAAATGAGGGAAACGAGTTATGATTGCATCCTTTGTTGCGCATGTAGACAAATCGCCCATCACGCATCGCGAAGGGAAGGGAAGATCTCGTCGAGGCCCCAGCCTTCGAGGCCCCTTGCCCTTCTTCGGATTCTTCGGCCGACGAGCCATCCTGCGGTGCCAAAAGCGCTCACAAAGCCCAAGGCTCGCAGCACAATGGCTACGACGAGAGCACGTCGGACCGCACTGTAAAAGGCGCCCAGGGCCATTCCCGACCAGTTGACGGATCTCTCCATGCCTGTGCCAATGCCACGCTCCCACCCTCGAACGACGGTTCGATACCGCCAGCCAAAGACCCAGATCCAGAAGTTGACATCAGGGTAGCTGAAGCGGGGGAATACGCTGGTCATGCTTGGCGCCAATGCCGTGGCCTGCGGTGGCGGGCTCAAGTGGAGCTCGTCGCGAATGTGGCCAATGATGTTCCAAGCTGTGGGGACAGGCTCGCGTATGAGATCGGCCAGACCAGGTAATGGTGCACCGTCGGAAGGCTCTCGAGCATCTCCAGAGGTCGTTTGCAAGTTGGACGGATTCGCAGCAAAGGTGGACATGTGGGAGAGAAGGTCGCTAAAGTGATATTTAAGTGACCGTCGTCGGGCAATTAGGAGGAAAAGATCGCAGAAGTGCCACTCACAGTGTCATGCCAAGGGTCAGGCCCCAGAGTCTCAGCTCTGGACGCTGGCCGTTTTCGTCGAGGGAGACCTCAAAGTCATCGAGACCCTTTTCACGTCGGACCGTGGGACTCATGGCCATGCTGCCTACGTCCTCGTCCTCGCCTTCTTCCTCTTCGAGTCCCTCAGCAATGGCAATGGGCGTATTTGGAAGAAGGATGCAGCGAAAATCCATCTTGCCCACGAGAGCACGGAGGGCCCAGCGGACAGCAGGCGACTTTGGCGCCAGGCGAGACGCAATGTCGACCGATGTGATGCCCCAGCGAGGCGAAGGAGTGTAGAGGAGCGACAGAGGGATCCAGTGGGCAGAGGCCACCTCACTGGGCTGTAGGTCGGGGATTGGAGAGAACGGAGATGTCTGAACAAAGACTTTTTTCGTCGAAACGTTAGTGTTCCAAGCATGTTGTCTGCACAGAAAAGCATAAACTCACCATAAGGACTCAGGACCATGAGAAGCCTCTTTCCCAGGCTCGTCGTGATCTCGCGATCGTCCAGCTGGCCCACGCAGCAGAACTCGCGCTCGGCCAGGTCCAGGCCAACCTCTTCCCAAGTCTCCCTCATGGCCGTGTACAATCCGTTTTCGTCGCCGTCCTCACGCCGGCCGCCTGGGAAGGCGACGTGAGCAGACCACTTGTCGCCCGAACGCGACGCTCGCTTGATATAGAGGACCTCGGGCGTGCCGCGTTGCACCCATGGGAGGGAAAAGAAGCGCTGCAGCGTCTGGTTTGTAGCATCGGGCGACGTTGGAGGAGCGCTCGAGCCTCGGGAGTCGACGCTGGACGGAGGAAGCGTCTGTGGAGACGAGGACGGCGACACTGGGGGAGGCTGCTGAGGCCGCCCGGCTTCTGCTTGCCCAGTCAGCTCGCCGGTGGATAGTCCACCGAGATCGACAGCACTCTCCGTCGTGAGGCCACTTGCTTCAAGGAACGAGGCATCGCCGGCCGACAATGCCGAGGTCGAGGTCGAGGTCGAGGTCTCGGTGCTCTTCTGAAGCGTGTCGGTGCTCGTCTCTGGGCCGGCGTAGCTTTCGCCAAGGGCTTCGTCGTCGTGGGGACGGCGGCCTATATGCGCGCTCTGGTCCACTGCAGTGCCAAGACCGAGTCCACTTTGCAGCATGATCCTCTCAGCCTCACTCCCAGGCAGGGGCTGGCCTTCGCCATCGTACTGCTCAGCGAGCCACTCGTCGTCGTCTGGATGGGGTCTGACGCGGATAAGGATGGCCACGCTCGCTCGTCGCGGCTGCGTAGGCGGTGAGGCAATCGTGCGGGCCACTGTTCGGTTGATTCGTGTCAGCGCATGCGAGAGCCGAGGAAGAAGTGAAGTGCCGGAGTCGGAGCCAGAGCCGGAGCCCGATGCTGGCGCCGGTGCTGAGCTCGACATTGTTTGGCGATGCTGTGATTTCTCCCCGACGTGGTACCTTGTCGCTGCGTGAGAAAGATGTGATGCTGGAACTGCTTCTACTTGCGGTCGAGGTGGCCTGATCCCTTTGCTTCTGGTCGTTGGGCTTGTCGACAGTTGCGAGGAGCACGAGCAAGTGAAGCGAGGCTTGAGGTAGGGTGCTGACCGGAGTCCAGCAGCAAAGAGGACGGGGATCTTGCCTGGCTAGTCTAGACGGTCGGCCAGCGACTCGAGCGCTTCCCCGACAGTCGAAGCAATTGTAAATCTTCGAGAATGAGGCAGACAGGTGAGCGTCGCAACTTGAGATGAAGGTCGTGTTTGAAAGACCCGACGAACGTCCCCGGCCGACGCGCTACGCTACCCTCTGCTACTCCCATTAGACTAACCCTCTATTATCACTTACAGCAGCTACTACACTTCTGCTGCTAGTGTAGCGCAGTAGAAATAATCGCGGTACAACATGATTTTTCGTCACTCTCGATAATGATGTATTCCAAACGGTCACGCATCTGCTACAAAGCAATACGACACTCAGGCGAGGTAACCTTCCTTGACAAGGAAGCTCTTGACATCGTCGCGATTGCGCTCCAGCCACGAGGCCTGCATCTTGACGTTGTCCAGCCCTTGGCTGTAGGCCATTGCGTACTTGCTCCTGTCCTTGTCGGCGAAAAAGGCGACGACATCGTCGTAGTCCTTCTGGCTTGCAAACGAGGAGAAGCTGTACTCGAGCAACCTCGAGAGGGTGAAGTTGCCGCTGAACCGGCGGAGAAGCTCATCGTAGTGCTCCTTGGTCGTCTGCCACAACATTCGACGCGCGGCCGGGTTGGCAGAGAGGGAGTTGAAGAGGCTAAAGGGTGAAAAGTCTCTTCGATGAGCCAGCCAGAGAACCACAAAAGAACTTGCGCAGCAGCAGCAGCAGCAGCAGCAGCAGCACTCACTACATCATATCCTGCTCCTTGACCTTTGTGAACATGAAGTCGACGGTCTTGGTGAGGAGCTTTTCGTCCTGAGCGAAGCCCATGCCCATCATGGCGGCAATCTTGTGGATCGGTGTGGGCGGGTTGTCGTACACCTTGAACAGCGTCTCGTATTCCTTTTCGCCACCGGTGCGAACGACGTGGATAAATGTCGTCTGGAGCAGGTCGGGGTGGACGTGAGAGTCGTCGCCGCTGTCCATCAGCGGCTGGAAATTCTTCTTCATCTGGCCCAGCACCCATTCGTCGTCGGCAGCCGCAGCGGCCCCGATGACGGTCGATCGGAGCTCCGACGTCTCCGAGTCCTCGCCATCCTTGTACTCAAAGCCGACCTTCTTGGCCAAGGGGCCGAAGAAGTCGCGGCGGAACTTCTTGATGGCCGCGCGAACATCTTCGGGCTCCTCGAACCAGGTGCTGCTGAGCTCGCCGACGTTGCCGGCAGCAGCACTGTTGACGAGGTACGACTCGTCGCCAGCGAGGGCCTTCATCAGCGACAGGGCGCCGGACGTCTCGCCGTAGCCGTACTTTGCGAGGGTGAATGCATCGCCAATGAGGCCAACGCGGTCCTCGAGGCTGTACAGGCTCTCCTTCTTGGCCGCGTCGGCACCGAGCTTGGTCAGACGGTCGGGAGAGTAGGCCACGCGGTAGACTCCAATGGTGCCGCTGTTGAGCTTCCAGTTGGAGTTCTTGGCGTCCTTGATGGGAATCTCGAGCTCCCGCTTTCCGTCGAGCACGAGGTCGCGGTCGATTTTGCCGTCAGCCGTCTTGAGCATCAGGGGCACATACCACAGCGTCTCATCCTCCTCGGGCTTGAGGTCCATGAGGAACCGGTTCTGTCGCACCGTGATCGAGTCTTGGTTTTCCGTCACCGTGATGACGGGGAAGCCTTGCTTGAGCACCCAGCTGTCCATCATTTTTGTCACATCTTTGCCATACACCTCGCTGATGCCCGACCAGAGGTCCTTCGTCTCGGCGTTTGCGAACTTGTGCTTGCGAATGTAGTTTGCCACGCCCTTGAGGAACACATCCTGGCCCAGCATCTCGGACAGCATCCTGAGGACCGAGGCGCCCTTGGAATAGGAGATAGCATCAAAGATCTGATTGATGGCTGACTCGACGTCGTCGCCCTCGAGCGGTACCTCGATCGGGTGGCTCGATCGCCGGGCGTCGAGAGAGAGGGCACGGTTGAGGTGCATGACGATGAACTCTGACGCGCTGTTCCACTCCGGGTAGCACTTGTCCAGAATGATGACCTCGCCCCTGTGGACGTTCACGGGCGTCTACGTCAGCTCAGCTCCCCTTATGCTCCCAGGGATCGCGGGCAGCTGACTCACATAAGCGTGGCAAACGACTCGTTGAGCCACAGCTGCGTCCACCAGGCAAGCGTCGCCAGGTTGCCAAACCACTGATGGGCCACCTCGTGGCTCTGCACTGACGTCGTCCTCTTCTTGCTCTTCAGACCAGACTTCTTGGGGTCAAAGAGGTAGATGCTCGTCCGTCCTGTGATCAATCCAGCGCTGGTGAAGATAGAGTAAGTCTCGTCTGCTGTTCAAAGCTGGGTAAGTAGGTTCCACTCACTTCTCCATGGCCCCTTTCAAATTTTGTCGATTTTGGTGTCAGCGACTCTCGGATGGAGAAGTTCGTTCGTTCATTCAAAGCTTGAATGAAACCCGGCTGCACTCACCTGCATCGAAGGCTGACGCAACCAGGGTGTCGCACTTTGGCATCATGAATGGGTGCTCGAAAATCTCCTCGTACACGGGTAGGATCTTCTTGGTCACTTCGAGAGTCAGCTCGAGCTGGTGAGCGTACTCCTTGGTCGAGTAGACACGCAGGGGCACGGTCCTTCCGTCCGACGACTTGTAGCTCGTCTCGACCTTTTGGAAAGGCCCGTTGGCCCATGCAACAAGGTAGCTCGACAGCAGCGGCGTCTTGTCGAATGTCGAGATGGACCAAGCGTCAGACGAGGCATTGCTCGACTCCGTCTTTCCCTCGGTTTTCCCCTCCATCTTTCCTTCCGTCTTGCCCTCCGTCTTGCCCTCTGTCTTTCCTTCAGCCTTGGGCGCCTGTACCTCGAGCTCCTTGTGACGGAGAAGCTTTAGGGCGTCGGCAAAGGAAATGTCCTTGACGCTCGTCTCGGGCATGTTGGCCAGTGCGACGGTGTCCTTGCGGTGAATCATGCGAAAGGAGTAGGTGGCCTTCATCTCAGGTTCGTCAAAGCCGGGAAAGGCGCGACGGGCAGCCGTAGGCTCGAACTGAGTCAGACCGTAATAGCCGCTCTTGCCCTCATGCTCCCACGAGGATCGATAGTAGCCCATCATGGAGTCGTCGAGGACGCCCTCAAAGGCGCAAGTGATCGTCGCCTTGCTGCCCTTGGGGAGCTTGGAAGCCAGCTTGGCCGTAGCGCGTTCATGCTTGGTGTCGACGTCGAGCGAGAGCACGCTCTTGCTCTCCGTCTTGAGCGCCTCGCTGGCCACGATTGCCTTTCCGAGGCCCAGCTTATTGCCCACGTTGAGAATCAGCTTGTCCGTGTCTTCGTGCACATCGACATCGATGGCGACCAGGCCGCTGAACGTGAGCGCCTCGAGGTCCGAGAGAATGAGAATGTCATAGTGCGAAGGAAGCACGTTGCGTGGCAAGCGAAAATACTTTGATCCGTCTTCCCCCTTTGTCGTCGACATGGTGGTGGTGGTGGTGGTGTGTATGCTGGCGGCAGGAGTGGGAGAAGTGGTGGTGGAAAAATGAGACACGAGGCTCCGAAGACGGCTGCTGACGCTGGACGTCGGTACAAGAGGCTTGGTTAGGAAGATGGAAACGAGGAGCACGATGAGCGATGATAGGAGAGAGAGTCGGAACAGACCCATACCTTTGTCAATGCGGAGCGGGCCGAAGCAGGGGAGGCGGCCGGGACTGCTGCTGAGGGAGACAGAGAGGCGATGGTGATGAGACGTCGGTGGGAAAGGAGCTTTAGTGGCCTTCCAATCCAGGTGTTCCTTGCCAGCATGGTCCACACGACAACGGCCAATGCGCACCGTTTTCCGTCTGGTATCACCACGTGTCGTGGACCAAAGTCCGTCTCAGCTGATAACCTTGTTAGCAAAAGACAGAAGTGGCTACATGCGCGACTTTCTTATCTAATGGTGGTAAGTCTTGCACCAAGCATTTATCTCTCTGGGCCCAGCTCGACGATGAGGTTGTAGTGTAGCAGTAGTAGAAGTAGTAGTAGGAATAAAAGAATCCAGAAAGGTAGCTAGTAGTAGCTAGTTGTAGCGTCGAGAGGCGAGTACCTGATTACATAACTCGCCAGAAGTTTTCCCGGTCTCCAAGTCACTTGCTCACTATCCGACTCACCTTGATCCTCAGCCATGGCTTCCGCAAAGGGCCCGACGTCGGATCTGATGCAGACACTCGAAGACGGAGAGGAGATTGAACCCGCCAAAGACATCGATGAGGATCAGGTCGGCGTCAAGGTGGACCCCGTCGACGAAGGCGAGGCCTGCGTAGCCCCTGACCAGTTCGACGACAAGTACCAGTCGTCCCGCCTCGAGATCTGGTCCTACTACTTCTACTACGTGGGCGAGAATGGCCTGGGGCCGTTCAACTTTGGCCCGACGGCCTTTCAGAACCTCCTCTCGATTGCGGCGGGCGATGCCGACAGGGTTCTCTTCTTTGGTGCGCTACGTTCGACCAACTCGGCCGTATTGCTGGCCAATGGCGTGAGCTGTGCCATCAACGTTGTCCTCTTCCTTCTCATTGGCAGTCTGGCCGACTTTGGCACTTGGCGACCACTGATCCTCATCTTCTGGACCGTCGTCGGCTTTGCCCTCTCGATGGCCTGGCTCGGTGTGCAAGACGCCAGTCACCTGGGAGCAGCCACGGCACTGTACATCATTGGTCTGATTGCCTACCAGATGTGCCTAAGCTTCTGGACGGCCGCCTTTCCCAGTCTGGCGAGAAATACGGTGGAGATGCGCGAGGGTGCCAGGGCCTTGACGCAGGGCGAGATGACGCGCAAGGAGTACGACTGCCTGGACATGATGCAGCGCAACCGCATCAGCAATGTCGCCTTTGCCGTTCAGAGCGCCGGTGAGCTCGTCGTCCTGGCCATCATTGTCGGCATCATGTTTGCCGTCGATGTCGATGCGAGCCAGGCAAACAACAACCGGGGCCTGAGCATACTAATTGCATTCACCGGTGCCGTCTGGCTTCTCTGCGCCATTCCCTGGTTCGTCGTCGAAAAGTACCGGCCGGGCCAGCCGCTTCCGCCCAACACAAACATCTTCAGTGCTGGGTTAAAGCAGATCACGACGGCATTGCGGGAGATCTGGAAGCTCAAGCAGAGCCTGCTCTACCTTGTCGGCTACTTTGTCCTCAGCGATGCATTGGCGACGACAGTCACCGTCATTGGCACGCTGCAAAACACCGTCTCGGAGTTCAACACCCTGACACTCACCTACCTCCTCATCGTCGGTATCGCTGCTCAGTTCATCGGCATCTCGTCCTTTTGGCTGGTCCAACGCCGCTTTCAGCTGTCGACAAAGGTCATGCTCAACGTAGTCATGGTCGCCATCGTCCTCCTCGATGGATGGGGCATGATCGGCATCTGGACGCAGCGCTTCGGCTTCAAGAGAGTCTACGAATTCTACCTCTACCAGGCCCTCTACGGCCTCTTTGTCTGCCCCTGGTACAGTTACAGCCTCGTCATGGTCAGCGAAATCACGCCCCGTGGCAGGGAGTTCCTCTTCTTTTCCCTCTTTGGCATCGTCGGCAAGACGTCGGCCTTTATTGGGCCCATTTGCTCCTCCGCGATCATCGACGCCAGTTCATCGGGAAACAAAAATCTCCCATTCTATTTTCTTTTTGGCCTCAGCAGTCTCAGTCTCATTGTGCTCTCACTGTCCTTGGATCTAGAAAGAAGTCGTCGGGAGCAAGCCGACTTCCTCAAGGCCCAAAACGATAAACTCAGCTTGTAGCATCAGCCTCGTCACCTTGTATGTACTTCATCCGTCAATTTTTACTCTTTCTTTCATTGTTTTCTGCAACTCGCATGCCATCGATTGGTGTCTTAAGCGGCTCCGACTGCTGCTGCTCTTTGCCACACGGCGTCCTGCTCGGCCCTTTGCCGCCGGATCAGGGCAGCCCGTCGCTGCATCAGGCGGCCTTGGAGATAGTCTTGCACAGAGAGCGGCGAGACGACGTTGCCGCTGCCTGCTTCAAATGAAGGGTCGGAGCAGGGCGGCCTTGTCGCCTCGTCATCGCCCCCATCACTGGCGCTCTTGTCCTTGCTCTTCTTGCTCTTGCTCTTCTTTGTCTCGTCTTCTTTCATCGCTTTGCCTTTACGTTTGCGCTCCTCCTTCTCCCGCTCCTTTTCCTCCCTCTTTCGCTTCTTTCTCCCCTCTTTCGACTCGGCTGCTGGTTCTGCTGCCGCAAGGGGAGGAGCAACTGGCACCGGTGATTCTTTGCTGGAGTCCGGCGCGGGCGAGCCAGACGACGGACTTGCGATGCCCAGAATCTCGTTGAGACTGACTGCGTCACTGCCATTCACGAGGCGCTTTGCGCGGAGGAAGCGAGCTCGGTGCCTGCTCCTCAACAGTGAGCACGCGCACATCCTCTGTGGAGAGTAAACATCTGTACTCACGCTTGTTCGATTGGCTTGTGCTCTACCTTGGCAACACCGCTGTCCTCGGGCGCCTTCTCCTTGCCCTTGCCCTTGTTGCCCTTGTCGTCGAGCCTCTCCTCTTTGGCCTTTCGTTTTTCCTCTTTGCGCTTCTTCTTGTCATCCTTGTCCCTCTTTCTCTTCTTTTCCCCCTTTTCCTTTTCTGCTTCGCCGGCCTCTTGCGACTTATCGTCATCGTCATCGTCGCCGTGCACGGCACCCTCTCCGGCATTTGCGCTCGTCGCCGCCTTGTTGAGCCTTTCGAACAAGCTTCCCAGATCACCACCCCCACCGATCCATGCATCAACCTTTCCGCTGGCCCTGGCTTCGCGCTCGTGGCGTCTGGCGCCGATGCCCTTGTTGTCGAGCTTGAAGGCCATCGTCACGGGCGCGCTCATGCCCTGCTGCGATGTGCCCAGGCCCTGGCCCGCCTGCCAGCCCATCGATGCGAGCAGTCGCTGCCCCGGAAGCGCCTCGTTGCCCGACCACGCGGCGTTGCGGCCCGAAGCCGAGCCTACCAGGCGCTGTTTTCGCTTGTTGTCCGACAGACCCATGGTGATTGCTCGAGGTCCGTTGCCCGTTCAGCGTTGTCGCGACACCATGAAACCAGAAAATTTCAATTTTTAAAAACCAAAAACCAAAAATCACAAAAAAAAAAAAAACCTAACAATTCGGCCGAGGTGACAGCGACGCCGTTCCGCTCTAGCGGGCAATTTTTAATAATCGACATTTGACCACGTGGCAAAGACTGACCGCGAATTCAAGCGCAGTCCCAGGCAGGCTACCGTCTACTTGGGGGAGATCAACGCTCTGCTATTTCAAGAGGTCCGTGAAGGTATGATGACGAAGGGTGGAGAGAGAGGGGAGGAGGACGGGGAATGGACAAGAGGTATTTGGAAGCGACAATGGATGGCAAAAGCATGTGCATGCAGCTAAGGGAATGAAGACGAAACGCTACGGAAATGCGATGACGAAAACAGCAGCTTAGGCGCTGGCCTTGTTGCCGTTGCCGTTGTTCGAGTTGCCCTGGTTGTAAGAGCCAAACGCGAAGTTGCCGTCTCCTGCCTGGTTGCCCGAGAGGAAGTTGAAGCCGTCGTCCCGCTTGTACTCGAAGGAGGCACTGCGAGGGTGTAGAAAGAAGTAGAAGAGAAAGAGAAAAAAAAGAGTGGAGGCGGGGTCAGTCCGGAAATTCCGAAAGCTTTAATTAAATTTGACTCCGCGACTTCTACCGCTGCATCCTCCTCACTCAACCAGCCATCCGAGGCGCTCACTCACCTGTTGCCATCGCCGTTGTCCTTGTTGCCCTTGTTGTAGGAGCCGAAAGCAAAGTTACCATCCCCGATGGCATTCCCGCTGCCGAAGTTGATGTCCTCGCGCTTGAAAGTGGCGCTGCGGGAACAAACCGTAAGCTTTTCTGGTCTGCCGTCGACAGGCCCCTACAAAGAAGCCGCTCACCTGTTGCCATCGCCGTTGTCCTTGTTGCCCTTGTTGTAGGAGCCGAAAGCAAAGTTACCATCCCCGATGGCATTCCCGCTGCCGAAGTTGATGTCCTCGCGCTTGAAAGTGGCGCTGCGGGAACAAACCGTAAGCTTTTCTGGTCTGCTGTCGACAGGCCCCTACAAAGAAGCCGCTCACCTGTTGCCGTTGCCGTTGTTCTCGTTGCCCTTGTTGTAAGAACCGAAAGCGAGGTTTCCATTCAGGATACCATTGCCGCTGCCGATCTCCTGGCGCTTGCTGGCCGAGTTTCCGTCGCCGTTGCCATAGTTTCCGCTGTTGTAAGATCCTGCATGCGCTCGGCGTAATTAGTCACTCCAGATCCGAGGAAACGGTCGGATGGACATGGCAGCCGGGATTGTCTCCTGCGTAGCACTCACCGAAGGCACCGTTTCCGTTCAGCAGCGAGTTCTTGCTGCCGAAGTTGACGTCGTCACGCTTGAAGGTGGCGCTGAAGGAAAATAAAATAAGATTCAAACTCAGATGATGAATGAGAACGCAGTGTGCGGGAGACGCAGACTCACCTGTTTCCATTGCCGTTGTCCTTGTTCCCGCTGTTGTAAGATCCAAACGCCAAATTGCCGTTAAGGATGCTATTCCCGCTGCCATACTCCTGACGCTTTCCGTGGTGGTTTCCGTTGCCGTTGTTTTCATTGCCCTGGTTGTAAGAGCCGAAAGCGCCGTTGCCATTCAGTAGGCTATTTCCGCTGCCGAACTCCTGACGCTTGCCGGCCTTGTTCCCGTTGCCGTTGTTGGAGTTGCCAGAGTTGTAAGAGCCGAAAGCAAAGTTCCCGTCCCCCCCAGCATTGCCAGAAAGGAAGTTGAAGTCGTTTGACTCGGGTGCGGAGGCTTTCTTTTCGCAAGGATCGCCGCGCTTGCCGGCGGAGTTACCATTGCCGTTGTTCTCGTTGCAGCTGTTGTACGAGCCGGCAGCGCCGTTGCCGTTGCCGATGGAGTTGCCGCTGCCGAAGTTGATGTCGTCACGCTTGAAGGCGGCGCTGCGGAACGAGCAGAGTAAGTTTTCGAACGAGCGGAGTAGGGTAATTCCGCGTTTTTATTTTTTATTTTTTATTTTTTATTTTATTTTTTATATTCTTTGTTGACGGAGCGGATCACTCACCTGTTTCCATTGCCGTTGTTGCTGTTCCCGCCGTTGAAGGAGCCGAAACCAAAGTTCCCGTCGCCTACGGCGTTCCCGCTGCCGAAGTTGATGTCTTCGCGCTTGAAGGCGGCGCTGCGGAAGAAAGAGAGTAAGATAAACAAAGCCTTCCGCATTTTTTTTTACTCGACACGGCGGGATTGAGATCTCACCTGTTTCCGTTGCCGTTGTCCTTGTTTCCGCTGTTGTAGGAGCCTATCGGGGGGAGGGCGGGAAGGTATAAGCAGCAAGAAGTGACGAGGACCGTAGAAAACATGCACTTACCGAAAGCGACGTTCCCATCCAAAATATCATTGAAACTTCCGATGTTCTCACGCTTGCTTGCGGAGTTGCCGTTGCCGTTGTTGGAGTTGCCCTTGTTGTAGGATCCTGCGGCAAAATTGCCGTTTCCTACCTCATTCCCGCTCAAGATGTTGAGCGACTCCTGCACTGCCTGAGGGTGGGCATCGCAAGGAGCGACAGGGGCAGCAAGGCCCTGGTGGGCGATGGCAGCGAGGGCGACGAAAGCAAGAGGGGTGAAACGAGTCATTGTGTGGGAGAGAGGGGAGAGAGGGGTTGCTAAACGAAGGTGATTTTTAGAGAGAAGAGGAGATGGGGATGGTGGGACCGCACCGTGAGAAGGACGGGCTCCTTTTATTTCCACAAATTTTTCTATACATGCACCCTTCACGTTCCCTTTGTCGTTGCACTTTCCCCCCCCATACCCCACTCACCCCACCCACCGTGGCCAGTGAAAGCCGAGAACATCAGCATCAGCTTCAATCTACGGTGAAGCGGTGACTCTTGCAGAGCCCGGCCCTGGCCCTCGCTGATCGATGAATGCAATAGGCTCCTGTTATGGCAGCTAGCCTTGGCACTAGATGCACATTTCAAGAGTGCGGGACTGGGGACTGGAGCCTTGGCCTTGGCCTTGCAGAAGAGGACACGACGAGGCACCGGAACGTTCCCCTGTCACCATTGCACAGGAGCACAGGAGTACCAAGTCAATGAAGGATCCCTCCCCCATTTTCGGCCGCGTGGGCGCTAGCATCGCGCAAATTAAAAAGTTTCTTTTTTTTTTACCCCATTCACAAATAAACAGGCTAACGCATCATCCATCGCGTCACTTCATTCTGTGGAGAAAGGTTACACCAAGATCGACTGCCCCTCGACGTCCTGTCACCTCGATGCTTCGCATCTTGCACGCTACTGCACTGGTTAAGCGAAAGGAACAAGAAGGCTGTGGACTTCTGTTGTTACTAGAGGCAAAGGTGACCCTTGTTTCGTAATTGGCGACTTGGGGGGTTGTCGCTTCCCCGCAGGCTTGCAGAGTTCGAATTATCCCATCGGATGATGTGATAATGCGGAGGGATCATCATGCTGTCCGAGCACGCTGCATTAAGTGTCGTGCAACGAGCACTTTCAACTTTCGACTAGGTGCATTCGCAGCTTCGCAGCGTGACAGTAGTAGTAGTAGCTCGCAGCGTAGACGACGGTTTATGCAGAAGAAAGCTTACATTAGATCACGAACCTGACGGACTTGATTTCCCCACATCTGACTTTCAATTTTTTAATCAGATTTCCCGCACCCTCGAATCGGTGAAAGAAGGTGGAACCTTCCCTCATCAGATCCGTCAGGAGCCTTTTTATGTTACCGAGGCGGCATGCATGCATGTATGCACGCTCTCTCTCTTTCTTGAAATTTCGGCTAGATTGGAAGCTAAGGCAAACAGAAGCTCCGTCAAGATGCAGGCAGAAGGGCGATCACGGCAGTAAATGGGACAAAAATGGCAAGCCCCTGTGGAAGGAAATAGAAGCGCCCCGCATTAGATCTCAACTTGCGGGTAAAAGCGTAGAATCCGCCTCAAAAAGGTAAGGGGGTACTCGGGGGCACTGTTCCGATGCAGGTAAAAGAGCGCATCCTGATGATGTTGTCTCTCTTTCAGACTCTTTCTTCCTCGATTGGCCCGCGCTTTCATGCAGCTACGGTGATGACCGCTTACGCAAGGTCGTATTTCTCTTCGCTAAATAATTGAGGGTTATGCACTGCCAACCTGTGCACTGCTAACCTGTACCGTACAGAATAAGGTCTTGGGCGGACTCGTAACAATCGAAAGTCAAGCACGTACATTTCGAACCTGTGTTCGACCGCTCACAGCAGCGTATGTCGACATGGCGCGAGAGCCAATGATTCGCACCGTCTCTCTGTATCCTGCCGCCGTAGCTAGGGGACACAGAGGAGAGGCCCAAGATGCAAGAGTGGGTCGACCTTGACAAAAGGTGGCCTTTCCCAGGAAGGGCGGCGCACGTGGGAGGTAGTCGCTGTTGACGCGTGACCTTCTCTCTCATCGTCCTCAGGGCTAGAGAATGAAAGCAAATCTAAAGAGGTGAGCATGGGCTGTGCCATGTGGCCTCAATCGTCGCGTCCGGACGAACTCATAAGAGGCCGAGGCACGACGGCGTCTTGCAAATTTCACCGCGACCTTATTTTCTCGTCGCAAGAGTCCGGCGAATCAGTCTGCTCCTCGTTTCGTCGGCGCGCGACCTACCATGGATGGCAAATGGTAAAGCCGGTGAAACTCGCCGGCTTTGGAAATCAGCAAAAGGTAAACCTTGAGGCCAAGATTATCGAGATGCTGGTCGCTTCATGGCTCGGTCGCCCCTCGGTCCAAGGTGACGATGCCGTTGACGTCAGGGTTTTTGCACCTTTGGAAAGAGAGAGGAATAACCTGTGATTCATAGGCCAAGGTGCGGAGTGAAGATCGAGGCCAGTGGAGGGGTGATGGAGAAGGATTCTGGATAAGAGCGGAAGCATTGTCCGAGCTCGCAAGCAGCTCATCTTTCGCAGACTCTTGAGTGAACGACGAGGATAGAGTATGCCGCCATTCAAAAAGACCGAGATTCACTCTTCCATCTTTCCTGGGGTTGGTGCTGGCGACGGTGAGGATGAGGCAGGTGCGAGGACGAGGGCGACGACACCGGGCGCTTCGACTGTTGTGCTCACCGAAGACGCAACCTCGACTGCTTTTCCCAGCAAGGCAAACTCGTTTGACGGCCAAAGAGGCAACGAAAAGGAGAAAATCATCCTTGTCACCTTTGATGACAACGATCCTGAGGACCCCTTTAATTGGCCGACGAGCAAAAAGTGGATGATGGTGAGAGATCCATCTTCCAGACTTGAATCAAACTCGCATCTCTGACTACGGAGCTCTGGGCCCTGCAGACGGTTCTGCTCTGCTCCATGACAATGATGATTGGCCTCAGCACCACCGCTTACAGCTCAGGGATCAACAAGATGGCTGCCGAACTGGGATTCTCCGTCGAGGCAGGACAGGCCGGTCTCACGGCCTTCAACGGAGCTTGTGCCGTGCTTCCCCTCTTCATCGCTCCCCTGTGCGAACTGACAGGCAGGCGGTGGATCTACCTCGGGGGCTTCGCCGGATTCACCTTCATCACCTTTGGACTGGCGTTTGCCCAGAACCTGGCCACGATTATTATTTGCCGCCTTCTAAGCGGGAGCTTCGGCAGCATCGGCACAATCCTGGTCGGAGGCACACTTTCCGATATGTGGAAGCCAGAGGACATCTCAGTGCCCATGTCGCTCTTCACCTTTGCCGCCATCTTCAGGTGGGTAGAGAAGAGCGCCACTGTGTCTGTGGCGACATGTGACTTTCACGTCTCTGGATTTTCGCACTCTCTAAACTGTCCTACGCCTCCTTCTCCATGGCAGCACTATCTTTGCGCCGACGTACAGTGGCTACATTGACCAATACCTCGGCTGGCGATGGATCCAGTACATACATCTTGCCGCCTCTGGCATCGTCTTGCTCCTCGAGGTCATTACCCTGCGCGAGAGCCGAGGCGAGGCAATTCTGCGCTCGCGAGCCAAGCGCTTGCGGAGGGAGACGGGCCAGAAGAACCTGCGCGCCAAGGCCGAGCTCGAGGGTGACACAATCGGCCAGCTCTTTCGCCATTCGAGCCTGAGGGCGATCAAGCTCTTCGCGTCGGAGCCAGTCGTCGTCTTCCTCGGCCTCTGGATCGCGCTTGCGTGGGGCACGACGTTTCTCTTTCTCTCAGTCATCTCCATCACCTTTGCCGACATCCGGGGCTGGTCCGAGGGCAACGCCGGCCTGCCCTACCTGTCGCTGGCCCTTGGCTGCTTCTTTACCTTTGGCGCCGGCCTCTTGCAAGACAAGGCCTACGACCGCAACAAGGCCAAGAACGGCCACGGGAGCCCCGAGGCTCGGCTCTACATTGCCATGGCCGGCGGCTCGATGCTGCCCGTGGGTCTGATGATTTACTCGTGGACCGGGCCCTTTGTCTGGGTCCATTGGTTCGGCCCAATGGTCGGCCTCTTTCTCATCATCGTGGGCATCTACTCGATCTTTCTCTCCGTCTACAGCTACACGGCCGACGCTTATCCGGCCATTGCAAGCTCAGCCATCGCAGCCCAGGGTCTGATGCGCAACATGCTCGCCGCTGTCACACCGCTCTTTGCGTCGCAGATGTTCAACGGCATGGGCGTCCAGTGGGCTGGCTTGCTTCTCAGTCTCGTGGCCCTGGCCCTTACGCCTCTGCCCTTTGTCCTTTTCTTAAAGGGAAAGACGATTCGGCAAAAGTCCAAGAATGCCGCTTCAGACAAAGACCTTGAGCAGGAGGAGAAACACGGGCAGGCGTAAATCTCGTCTTCTATTGCCCAAAATTGCATTTCTTTTCATGAATGTGTGCAACGGCGAGTGTCACGGTCAGGACCTCATGATGATGCGTTGCCGCCACGGAAGATTCCATCAAGATGATGCCAGATCTCGCCGCCGTCGTCAGGGGCGCTGTTGTCAAGGCGAAACAGTTGTGTGTCGAGATCGAAAAGATTGGTGATATCCGCCACCGTGGGAGGAGGAGGAGGGGCTTGATCCCGCTGCTGCTGCTGCTGCTGCTGATGATGATGATGATGATGATGCTGATGATGAGCACCGTGGGGTAGGTCTGCGCTCGACGTTGGGGAGAGCAGCGAAGATGAAGGAGGAATGGAAGAAGAAGGTGGGTGGGGAAGGGTATAGGAAGGAATGACTTGCTCGTTCATCCAAGGAGAGCATGATGCGACTAGCGCTTCGAGCTTGTTGCCGGCGCCTCTGCGCTTGAGAGTCATGATGGCAAAGGTGATGAGGCCGTGAATCTGAATGCGCTCAGCTAGCGAAGGCCGAGGCGTGCATTGAGCCACTGCGCCAAGCAACAGATGCGTGATGAGGACCAGTGCGGCTTGCTGGGTCCGATAGAGGAAGACGGCTTGGTTGATCAGAAGCATGCCTGTAATCGCACGAATTGAGCTTCAGCGGTCAGTCTTGCGCGTTAGAAAGGCAATTGCAAGAGGGCCTCAGTGGCGCCTCACCTTTATCGACACCTCTTCTCGTGACATCGAGGAAAAGGATAGCCACATCCCACGTTCTCGTATCCGACAGGCCGTACTGGCTAGGATCGCTAATGCTCAGGGCCAAGAAAGGCCGATGGATGACAAAGAGGCGGTGCCAGAGGGTGCATGAAAGCAATATCGGCAGAAATGGACTCTCTTTGCGTCTCCCAAAGGCGTCGACGATGAATGTTTGTGCACCTCCATTTGGTCTACTTTGCTCTTCTTCCGGCCGCAGCCACGGGGGCCTCCGCTCAAGAAGCTGCTGTACTTCTGCGTCAAAGGCCAGCACGTCCGCATAGCTCAGATGGCCAGTCAAGGTTGACGTTGCCGCCTGGGCACATAGGTCGCTGAACCTTCTGGCAACATCGGAAGCCTGTACGAGATAGTCCCACGGATCTTGACTGCCGTTGATGACGAGCTGGGGAGGCTGCGTGTCGAAGCTGTTGGGGTGGATGCTGTAGGAGCCATGCTGTCGTGTCCCAGCCCAGTCTCTCGAGGTGAGCATCCACCACTGGGACCTACCAAGCTCCCTTGCCCTCCTGTCTCTCGAGCGAAGCGTCTCCACGGCCCACTCTCCGCATGAGTGGTAAGCAAGCGTGGGGGCAGGCTGCTGCTCGTCTTGCTGCGCCCACAGCGCTTCGTCCTCCTCCATCGACCTGAGTCGGTCCAATCCTAGCTTTCTGGCAGCCCTGATTGCCAGATCGATCGTCTGTACCATTCGAAATGATTCTCCGCTGGTAACAGAGGGATCAGGACCTTATATGCAGCATGTCCAACGAGACGAGAAGCAAGGGAGAAAGAAAGAGAGAGAAGAGAGAGAGCACACTCACTGTTCGACAAGATTGTACTGATAGACAACCAACGCTTGTACAGCCAATATTGTCGGCTGCAGGTACAAATCACACGCCATGAGAGCGGAAAGACCCTCATCGGTCCAGTGTCTGACCAGCGCTTCGATCTCTTCGGATCTAGTAACGAGTCCGAGTGAAATGGCGTACGAGGACGGCAGTAGGTCCAGGGTCGAGGCGGCAAGGAGCAGAACGAGCGCCAGCAAGTCATTCTGCTCGATCTTCGGCAGCTCTTCAGCACCTCTTCTCACCGCATCAAAATCGATGACGTGGAGACCACCAAAGCAGAGCTGATCTTCGTAGATTTGGGCCAGATTAAGAGCTTGGGAGCGGCTCGGGAAGCTGCGTTTCGGAGCACTCCTTCGTTCCTCTTGATTTCTTGCGGGCGAGAAAGTATCGGCCTGCGTGAGCTCGTTGATTAAGGCCTGAGGATGTCATCGTGAGTAAAAGTGCCCATGACAAGCTCCTGCCTCAAGTTGCTCACCACGCTCTCGGGATGCGGCCTCGTGCGTGGGGGTTCATCAAACTGGACTGGGTGAGACGATGGCGATGAGGCTAAGTCGCCACCCCAGTGACAGCGATTAGAGACGCCTCTTTCACGACATGGACCGCAGGCCCCTCCATCTCGGGCGCCATAGCCGTCGCACTTTTTCTTCCGCCGCCGACACTCCGAGCATTGCTTGATAGGCCTGGGGTGTCTCTGCCGCCTGGTGGAGGAGCTCATCATGCTCTTTTCGTGCGATTTCGGAACCGCCTCTCTCCCGATTGCGAGAAAACCCTTAAAGCCCTGCTTCTCAGCCTGACGATCTCAGCACCTCGTCCTCCCGAGAAGAGCTCGTACGCCTCTGGCTTCCTTGCTCGTTCGTCGGCGAAAATTTGGAGCAGATCCCGAACAATGAATGCGATATCATTCACTTGTGGTCCGCGACGCCTTCACCCTCCCCGCTTTACGTCAATATGCGCTCCTTGGAGTATTTTATTTTCGGTCTGTTCCCGTCACACGAGCTCCTGTACTTTGCTACGTCTCTTTGTCGTTCGAGCTACCGGCGCAAAGGTCGCATGAGAAGCACGCAACGAGGCTTCTCAGTGCCAAGAGAGAAGAAGGAGTGGAAGACAAATATTTTTATTTATTTATCGGCCGACGTCGGCTCCGATTTATCGGCCGAAGGGAGAAACCATGGTGCTTCCGACCATGGTTTGCCTTGGAGGAAGATGAGCTGGAGGAGGGCTCTTCGTTTCCTTTAAAGCCACCTGTTTGCGTTCTAGGAGCTCTCAGAGCCCTTCACTGTCGTTCCAAAGCATCTCATAAAGGAAGAAAAGGTCAAATAGAATGATTTCCCGCCCTTCGAACGAGACAAAAGAGTCCTTTAACGTCGGCATAGAGGAAGAGGAGAACGACAACAGCCAAGGACAGATCCCAAAAGAGGCCTACTACAGCCTCATTGGCGGCTGGCTCTCTGTGTTTTGTGGCTTTGGGTGAGTGTGGTGCTCCCCGCTCATGAGTGTCTGTAATAACAATGAACTCCGGCGTTCCCAAAGGTTCATTAACGCTTTCGGGGTTTTCCAAGCGTACTACGAGACATCGTACCTCCCGCAGACGAGTGTCTCATCCATTGCATGGATTGGCTCCGTCCAGACGTTTTTTCTCTTCGCCTCGAATCTTGTCACAGGCCCGCTCGTCGATCGTTTCGGACCGACTCCCATCAGCTTTTTCTATGCAACAAGTGTCGCCGTGACGTGTATGATCGTGTCGTTGTGCACTAGATATTGGCAGCTGCTGCTGGCACAAGGCTTTATGCTTGGGATCAGTCTGAGTGCCGGCTACGTTCCACCGTTGACCTGTGCAATGCGGTGGTTCAAGAATCGTTACCCTATGGCCGCGTGAGTCGGCCGGAATTTGTGGCATAGGACGAAGACTCACGCAAGTCAATGGTTTTCTAGCGCCATTGTGTTGACCGCATCCTCGATCGGAGGCGTGGTATGGCCTCTCATAGTCCGCCATCTACTCGAGTCGGTCGGCTTTGGATGGACCTGGCGCATAATAGGCTTCATCGATCTAGTGCTTCTTTCGCTTGCCGTCTGGCTTCTGAGCGCCCCACCTCTCGAGGAGCGACAGTCACCAGTCGTTGCGACATCGACCAAAGACGATCACAATGGCCAGCAAAAGAGATCCCTCTTCTACCTCGAGCTCTTGAAGGACAAGCCCTATCTGTTCCTCGTCCTGGCCAATCTCTGCGCGTATTTTGGCCTTTCTTATATACTCTTCTACTTGCCGACATGGGGCGCCTCAGTCGGTTTCTCTGATACCCTCCAAGCTTATTCCGTCTCGATTCTCAATGCGACTTCTTTCGTAGGACGGCTAGTCCTCCCATCCGTCATTCAAAAGTTTGGCGGTTTGAACACGACACTGGCCAGCATGTTTGCCGCTGCGGTGCTCAATCTTGCAGGTATCGCAGCTCACTCGTCTGCGGGTGTCCTGATGGTCGGTGCTTTCTACGGAATTGGTACGTGCAGCATTTCATTTTCCCCTCGATTCGGTCTACCTCTTGTTCATCCCGTGTACACAATTTTAACAGCAATGGGAGGCGTGGCCTCTTTGCAACCCCCTACCGTGGCGTCTTTGGTCACAGACCGCACCAGGCTCGGTGCGGCGGCGGGGCAACTCATCTCCGCCTGTGCCATTCCAAGCCTGTTAGGACCGCCAGTCTGCGGCTGGATCATGGCCAGTGGCGGTCTTGACCGTCCGAATTACAAGGCAGCAAATGCCTATGCGGGTGGTTGCTACACCTTGGGAGTCATCTTTGCAGTGAGTGCACTCCTAGCAAGCAGGTACGTTGCAGGTCGACTCAATTATCCTCACAGCTTCTTGCCAAACTGTCCAAGGATAGATCACTCACTGCGGCCGTATGAGGAGAATGAAGGGATGTAAAAAAGCGGAAGTAGAGAAGAGTAAATAGCGAGCCCTTTCTTGCAACACATATAGTGAAAAAGTGGTCCGAGTAGATGTATTAGAGCATGTAGCTAGACGAGCGGAGGGCTCAACAACCTAAAGGATGGTATAGTGACTCTTTCGATGTTCCTGTCCATGCTGATGCTGATGCTGATGCTGATGCTGATGCGACTGAGTATGACGATGACGATGACGATGACGATGACGATGACGATGACGATGACGATGACGATGACGATGACGATGACGATGACGATGACGATGACGATGGTAACTGAGACTGCAGATCAAAGAATTGTAGGAATAGGGGTGTGAGGCTAGTGAGAGCCAACGAGCTGATAAAGGACGCGGCGGACAAAGCCCGAGAGGTGCTTGGGGTTTTGAGAATACGTGCCCATAAGGAGGGACAAGGCTGTGCCTGTCAGGAGGACATCGCCGCCGGGGACTAGGGGAATCCATTTGCGCTTGCGTGCCACGCTCCAAGCGCTCTCCATTCCCTTTGACAGCACATACATTGCCAGCTCCGTCCGTCTCCGACTGTGCTCGACCAGGAGCGACAGGCAAGTCGCGAATCCAAAGGCCCACTGGGGAGTCGTCGACATAGCCAAGACCCGCAGCCAGTCGGGTAGCTTGATCGAGGCAGAGTCGATGCGGCTGCGGAACGACTGGAGTACCGTGTAGAGCGAGTGCCAGATAGCGACGTAGAAGCCCAAAAATGACGAGGAGCGAAGAGATCCAACAAGGGATCGGGCGGCGACTTTGAGAGGGCTACGACGGAACGAGCGCATGCGCAAAAAGATTGCGGGGACAAAGTACAGCGTCGCATATACAGGCAGGATGCGCCACGAGACGCTGAGAAACCGCGAGACAGGGCTCAGCCAGGGCCGATCCTCCCACGGCTGGGCGATTGCAGAAGGGACGTAGGCAAGTCTGTCGCCGCGCTTGGCGCTTTCGAGATAGGTGACAATCTTTGCCACGTTCGAGCCTGTGATGCCCTTCAGGTTGTTGCCATTCGCTGCGACGGCAGGATACCGACCGTTGGCAGCAGGTTCGGGAATCGTCTTGTTGGGAAACATCTCCAGAAGGTCTTCGACGGCGACTCTTTGCCCGTTCTGCACGGCGCGATGGACCTTGAGCATGGTGGGCGTCTGCTGCGCAGCGCCTTTAATCCAGGTGTAGTAGCCGTGAGGAAGAGTTTCTGGCTGATTCTGATGCGCACATACAGAGGTGAGTGTCAACATTCGAAATTGGGAGAGCAGGCAGCCCACTCACCAGATAAGCGTACATAATCTGGCCGCATGCTAAGCCGAAAACCAGCGTAGAGCCAAGAGGAATGTTCACGAGGCCACGATCGTGGGCGAGGTTGTAGGTACCCTCAAGGCCTCGGACGAAGAGCTGCTGCGCCAAGCCAACGCGCTCAGCAGGATTGCGCTCGACGAGAATAGCCGCCCCGCTGATGGCACCAGCGAGGTAGGCGTGCCATATCCTGCTCTTTGGGTCTCGCTTCCATCGGGCAGTATCGCGTAATGCCGCCTTGTCCTCCAGACTCTCTTTCTCGTACAGAGGCGTACTCGTGCCGCTGTGATCCGCGTCATGATTGGTCGAAATCGGCGTGACGAGGCGCAACGAGTGGAGGACAGCCTTGTAGAGGGCGACCCAAACGCCAAAGACGAGGCTCAGGCGGATATTCTTGGGTCCAAAGGCACTCTTGACAATGGCCATGAGAACCAGTCTCCTGCCACACAGACGGAATATGAGTCCTTCACCCCCAGAAGGCCCAGCAGCGGTCAGGAAACGTACCTCTTACGAAAAGCAGCGACCAATGCCAAGGCCAAGCTGGTCGTGCCGTTGAGTGTGTAAGTGAAATTAAAGCCTCGAAGTCCACTCCTGATGACGTGAATAGCCAGCCTTTCCCAGTCGTCGGGTCGCCGAGCTTCTTCGTCGGTGGGCCTCCAGATTTTGCGCTTGACCGTCCGCACCTGCTTTTGCAGCCGACGGATACTCTCTGCGATATTCGGCATGTCCTCGTTCTCGCCTCCGCCCCACCAGGACCTACGTCGAGGATGGCCTAGCTCGCGCGCCGAGGAGCCATGATCGGACAGCGGTGGGGTGGGGGGAAGACGAAGGATCGGCGCAAAGTCATCCTCCTCGCCTTTTGTGGCGGTCACCGGCGAAATCAAGGGGAAGCGGCCGGGCTGCGATGGCAAGGTCTCGTTGCTGATGACCATCTCGGGCCAATCAAGGACACGTATACCGATGTAAAGATAAAGCAGGGTAAATATGGGACGAAGGCAGGGAGTGAAGCAGGCCCAAGAGAGTAAGCTGGCCTTTTATCCTTGAAGCCTGGCAAGCTAGCTCGTTTGCGCTCTTCCCGGGAGGGAGTGGGATGATTCTTTTGCCTGATGCCAAGTCGATTTCTTGCCTCGTTGATGTAGTGGGCTTTGACTGCTGCATTGTTTACCAAAGTCTTACTTGCTCTCGTCTACGCAACTTGATACCGGCGCAGGTTGGTCTCAGACATGATGACAAACCACCGATGGCAGGTGTGCCCACTTGCTAGACGCTCTGGACCATTCATTCGGTTCGACGAGAACGGATCCGTCTTTCAAGAATAGTTGGTGGCTGATCGCGGCCAGGACGAATTTTCGGTCAGGGTGAGACAAAGTCCCGACCGATGCAAGTTTTCCCGAAATTCGGCTCTATATTGCTCTAAGTCTAAGCTTGCGCCCACTTCAAATATAGCGCTTTAGTCGGAACTATTCAGGAAGCAGCCAGTCAAGACAATGTTGAATCGCAAAAGGTCATATGTGACTAAATTAGTGTACTAGGCAAGTCATGGTTGGTGGAACCGTCTCGTCTGCATGGCCTAGCCAGATAGATTCTCAGGACGCTTTGAGAGACGGACTGTGAGAGATAGCCAAGAATAGATGTCGAATAAAGGTCACCGAACAGTCACCATCCAAATGGCCCGAGCGGGGAAACGCACGTGGCCAGGTAAAAAGTGGAGATGGACGCGACGCTCTCACTCAATGCCTCTCCATTCATCATTGCCATGGACGAAGAGATCTCGCAATTTGTCTCTATCACGGGGGCTGACCCTGAAAAGGCCAGGTCTGTACCAGAGACTATTCAGCTCCGTACTGGCGCTCACATTGCCGATCGTGCCTCGACAGATTCTACGTGGAGTCCGCTCAGGGTAATGTAGAAACAGCCGTGTCGACCTTCTTCGAGAGCGAGGCTGGCACGACTGCAACTCCATCTCATGCAGAGGATGATGCCGATGGCTTGGCTGGTGAGTTTGAAGTTCTACTCGTGCAATTCAACTCACACTCTGACTTGGATATCTTGCCCTTGAATCAGAGGCGGCCATCTCCGAGGCAACGAGCGGTCCGAGGACGTTGTCAGGCGCTCCTGCTCCAGGCCTGCCAAGTAATTGGCAATCTCACGCTGCTTCTTCCAACTCGCAGCCAGCACGGTCTGGTGGCATCGCTAGCTTGCGTGATTTACGTGACTCTGCCCAGGCCCCGCACGCTGCGGAAGAAGACGGAGATGACGATGAGAAAAGGGACCGTGACCCCGCCCACTTCTACACTGGCGGTGAGCGCAGTGGTCTGAGCGTGGAAAATCCCAACAGGAGAGCGAGGGGTGGTAATGCCCCCGACATAGTACAAGATATTCTTCAAAAGGCCGCTGAGGCCGGCCAGCGAGCTCCCGACGAGGACTGGGGAACCGGGGGGGTAGCCGCACGTGGCGCTGACGCCCGCCAACCTTCCTCGTCGAGCTTCCTGGGGACGGGAAGGACTATTGGCGACCACGGACCACCTTCCGACGAACAAGAGACTGGTGGCAGCGTACCTGGGGCGCTCAGTCAGACCAAAGACGACGATGGCGAGGACGACGATGACTCGTCATCCCTGGAGCCCGTCGTAAGGCACATTACCTTTTGGCAGGACGGTTTCACCATCGAAGATGGGCCCCTTTGTCGCTACGACGATCCTCGCCATGCGGAGACGCTAGCGGCCATCAACAACAAGCGAGCCCCGCTCCACCTGCTCAACGTTGCCTTTGGCCAGCCCGTGGAGCTTCGTGTGGACAAGAGGACCAATGAAAAGTATAAGTATACACCCCCTCCACTAAAGGCCTTTAGTGGGTCCGGTAATCGTCTAGGAAGCCCGGCGCCGGCAATGGGAGGAGCAGCTTCGGCGTCGGCCTCATCTTCGGCGGTTGCCTCGGTTCCCCAAAGTAGTTCGCCTGCGACGCCGGCACATTTCGAGGTCGACAGTAGCAAGCCTACGACGCAGGTTCAGATCAGGCTCGGCGACGGGCAGCGCCTCATTGGCCGCTTCAATCATGATCACACTGTCGAAGACATGCGACGCTACATAAATGCGTAAGTCTATCGATTCGTCCAAGATCTATCCAGTCGCACGGTGCTCATAATACTCTCATTATTCTATCCCCTGTCATAGATCCCGACCCGGCATGGCTACTCGCGGCTACACGCTCCACGCCTCATTCCCACCCAAGGTCCTCGAGGACGAGAGCCTGACGCTAAAGGACGCAGGTCTGATCAATGCCGTTGTGATTCAGAAATGGACCTAAGCTGCATTTAGCTCTCAAATGAAGAAAAGCCATCAAATTGGAATGTTGCCAGCCAAGACGAGAAGAGGCAGAGATGACAGTGAAGATCTAGTCGCGCAGAGGGGCTTTCGATCTTCTTTTCCGTCCCCTTAAAAGCCCAAGAGCCGGTGCATAGTCACAGACTGTCGCCTGTTTGACCACCCGTTTGCAGTTGCTATTCGTCGGCTATGACTCAAACCCAGGCAATTGGGGCAAAAGGATTGCTCCTTGCCATGCCGGTGCTCTTAAGACCAACGTTCATTCTTCGCAAACATCGCTGCCTGTCGGACTGATTCGCCTCACAAATGAAGGCACTCTAAAGCTTGCTCTGCCTCTTCCTCTCCTTCCTCCGTCTCTGATCTTCTGACCTCCCGTATGCGATCTTTCTCTCGCTCTCTCTCTGTCTCCCTCTTTCTCTATGTCGTGATTGCGGTCATCTATCATCCGACGATTGACATTGCCGACGTTGTTGTTCCTATATGGATAGGAATGCTCTGATCAGCACGGCAAATCTCGTGAAGAAAAATAGACACGGCTCAGAAACTTCAGGTTGACGGCATCAATGGGCCCAATGCGGGCCCCTTGAAATAAGCGAAGAGGTGCCAGAATATGTGTTTGAGCGCCAAAGGGACTGATCCCTTCACCAGGCGCGTTCGTCCTTGCCGTCCACGGGTCCTGGCTTCCAAGATGCTGCTTACCTTTAGGAACTTGACATCTTCAAGCCATATGATGTTGGAGCGCACACGCCATTCGCAACGAGTGAGGTTGCCAAAATAAATTGTTGAATTGCACGTGACAAGCAAACCACGCGAACAACCGCAGCGTGGCCCTTTGACCGCACGACTTCGAGTGCTTCCTCGAGCTCTTCCAGAACGACTTGCCTATTCGACATCGCTAGCAATCATGGCTGCCGCAAACATCTCCAAGAAGAGGAAGGTGAGCTATCGAACGCTTTGTCGGATGAAGCAGGGATCGGCGGGCGAAGGGGAGGCCAGAAGAGACGATGAGCTAGGCTGACCAGAAATCGTCTTCTGCAGTTCGTCGCTGACGGTGTCTTCACCGCCGAGCTCAACGAGTTCTTCACCCGCGAGCTGTCCGAGGAGGGGTACTCTGGCTGCGAGGTCCGTGTCACGCACGCCAGGACAGAGATTATCATCCGAGCCACCCACACCCAAGAGGTCCTCGGTGACAAGGGTCGCCGGATCCGCGAGCTCACCGCCCTCGTTCAAAAGCGCTTCAAGTTCCCAGAGAACTCGCTCGAGCTCTACGCCGAAAAGGTGCAGAACCGTGGTCTCCACGCCGTCGCGCAGTGCGAGTCGCTCCGCTACAAGCTCCTCGGTGGTTTGGCTGTCCGTCGTGCCGCGTACGGTGTCCTGCGCTTCGTCATGGAGTCGGGCGCCAAGGGATGCGAGGTCGTTGTCTCGGGCAAGCTTCGCGCTGCTCGTGCAAAGTCGATGAAGTTCACCGACGGTTTCATGATCCACTCCGGTCAGCCTGTCCGCGACTTTGTCGACGAGGCTGTCCGCCACGTTCTGATGAAGCAGGGTGTCCTCGGCATCAAGGTCAAGATTATGCACGGCTGGGACGCCTCGCACAGCGGTGTTGGCAAGCCTTTCCCTCTTCCCGACGCGGTCACCATCCTCGAGCCAAAGGAAGAGGCCCCCATTACCGCCCCCGTCTCAGAGTCTCGCCAGGCTCCGGCAGCTCCCATCGGTGGCGTGGCTCCTGGCCAGGCACTTCCAGGACAACCGGATGTACCTGCGCAGGCTCAGCAGGCGCAGGCCGAGGTCAACAACATGGGCCAGTTCTAACGAAAATGGCTCTTTGTGCTGGCCAAAAGGCAGAGAGGCTCGATCAGACGCCGACCTCCTGCTCCCCTTAAGACGTCTCTCTTCTCTCTCTCTCTCGAATCCAACCTCCAAACTCCCCATTCCACCTTTTTGACACATTCTCTTCCCATTTCATTGTACGATGACTTCTTTCACACCATAAAAAAATGACAAGCATGGGCATTTCATCTGTTTCTTGTTTGCTCCCAAGAGCCAGCTGCTACTCGGCATCTTCTTCCACTTGACTGCCACGCGAAGCAAGCGGGATTATAGAGAGCTGCGGTTATACCAACGAATCACTCTCATGCCGGGAAGAATACATGCACATGGGGGAGGGATGGGCTTTTGGACGACTCGAGCAGGCAGGCGATGCGACGGAGCAGAATCAGAGCGTTGCACGACGCCTGAATGGCCTTCTGAGCGGGAGAGGCGAGTCTGCGAAGACATGGTGCCAGAACAAGACAAAGTTCGAAATACAAAAATGTTGCGAGCCGGGCCCGCAGAAATGAATGGCGAGGAAAAAGAAAAAAAAAGAAAGAAAGCAAAGGGAAAGGAAAAGGGAAAGGAAAAAGGAAAAGAAAAGAAGAGAGCATCCTCGTTTGACCTCCTCCCTTCTTCTCGCGTACGCTTCCCTTTTCCTCACTTCTCCTGACCCTCTTCTTCTCGTCGTTCGAGGAGACATTCGCACATCTTTCTAGTCGTCGATCGGCTACACTCCCTTGACCCGTCTGGACAGCTTGACATTCCCTTGTGCTTGTGCTTGGTGACTTCGGCTAAGTTCGAAAAAGGACCTTTTGCGAAGCTTGGGAGCAGCATATACGCACGACAAAGGTGAGCTTGCCATCTTTCTTCGCCTCTTTCAATAACGCGGGAGTCCGAAACGAGGCTGAACAGCATCCTCACAGACCCGCATTGATCATCGGGTCTCCCTGTCTAGTTCGCTCTCAAAGTAGCAAAGTCTTGGTGTCTCCGGAAGCGCGCAACGAAAACGGCCGACATGTCGGTCGCAAGCAAAAACCCCTTTGCTCTCCTCGGTGACGAGGATGGGCCAGCTCCTGCCGGTGCTGCTGCCGCCGCTCCGGCCTCTGCCAAGCAGGCCGACGCTGCACCCGTGAAGAGAAACATCCCTGGTGCCGGCGGCAACAACGCCAACAACGGCACTGGCCGCCAGCAGGCTAACGCTCGCGGTGCCAACTCGGCTGGACGAGGTGGGGCTCGCTCCAGTCGCCAGACCGAGGCCGGTGCTGGTGCTGGTGGTGACGAAGAGTCGCCGGCTCAGCGAGACGGACGCAGTGGGTTTCGTCCCGGTTCCTGTTGGTGCGCATCCGCCGTTTACTCATCTTCCTTCTTCACCATTTGCACAGGCAACCGGGGTCGCGGCGCAGAGGCCCGAGGAGGACGTGGCCGTGGTGCTAGCGGCCGTGGCCGCGGCCGTCAGTTCGACAGGCACTCCCAGACGGGCCGTGAGGATTCGAACAAGAACCTGCACCAGGGCTGGGGAGGTGACGATCCCAAGCGCGAGCTCGCCGTTGACGAGAATGCTCGTGCCGACGCCGCTGCAGAGGGTGGTGACAGCGTCAAGCCCTCCTCGGACGCTCCTGTCTCTGGCGAGGCAAACGGCTGGGACGCCCCCGCTGAGGGAGGCGCCAAGACCGGCGACGCCCCCTCGGCTCCCCTCGCCGCAGTCGAGGAGGAAAAGGACAACACGAAGACTCTTGACGAGTACCTGGCCGAGCAGGCTGCCAAGCGCGCTCAGATTGGCGCCAAGAAGGAGGCTCGCCAGGCCGACAACATCGACGCCTCGTCGCTTGGCAAGAAGGTCGAGCACTCTCGCGGAGAAGACTTCTACAGTGTCCAGAAGGTGCGCATCCAGTTTCCTACTTGCACCCTTCTCTTTTGCTCGACGTGCTCACCGTTCCTCTTCTTTTTCTCCGTTGCAGGAAATGAAGCACCGCCAGCGCGAGAGGAAGGAGAAGGCGACGCTCGAGATCGAGCAGACTTTCTACACCCCTCCTGTCCGTCCCTCGCCTGGCCGTGGTGGCGCCCGTGGTGGCGCCCGTGGTGGCCGAGGAGGCGAGCGCGGGGCCGAACGAGGTGGCCGCGGACGTGGTGCCGCTCGCGGCGGCCGAGGCGGCCGACCGACTGGCCCTGCCGTCAACCTTGCCGACCAGAGCGCTTTCCCTACGCTGGGCAACTAAGCGATCTTGACCCGTGGGGGTTATTGCGCACGATTTTCATTCAGTCCTCGTTGCTCTCAACCCAATCCAGAGTCTGCCGCATCCCACTCCCACCTCGCTACCCTCTTCTAAAAGCTCAAAACAACTCTCTATCGTTGTCCTTCTCTTCTCTTCCTATAAAAAAAGACTCTACTCATCTTCATCTTCTCCTTGGCTCTCGTCGCTGTCCGACATCCTGTCTATTCCTCCCTCTCCCCCCCTCCCTCCCTTCTTCTCTCCCTCTCACCCTCTCTTCCTCTCTCTCTCTCCCCCTCTCTCTTTCTCCCTCGCGCGCTTTCTCTCTCTCCATCTCTCTCTCTCTCTTGTGTAGTGACTCGTGAGCGCTATTTTGGTGTTTCTTAAAAGAACGAACTGACGGCAATCATGACGTCTCACTCTTCCTTGTGTGCAGCAGGGCTGGACCTGCTTTCTCGCTCGACGCCAATCCTGTTGACCAGGACAAACTTTGTCCACCAGACAAGCCCCTGGAGGATCACCGAAGCGTTCCAAGCCAGGGTGTCTGAAGCGAATCTCTGTCCTCCTCTGCCTCTTGCACCAATATTTGATCTGACATTCTTCGAAAGAGAAGTTCAGAAACAAGTCAGCCATGGTTGGCAAGCGTGAACATTTGCTCGTTGGGATCGACAAGAAGAAAGTGGCCTAATTCGGCGTCTAAACATGCGTGCATGCGAAGCTCCGTATCTCAGTCACGCTCATCAAGCCCAGCGCGACTGTCACTCATCCTCTCACCCGAGACGCTCAAAGGATCCTATTTCAGTGCCTTTGCGCCTTACGTCTCTTCTGACCTCTGACGTGTCTGAGCAAACATGGGCCCGCTCTTCTCTCGACTTGAAAGGCTCTGAAGCAAGAGTTTTTCCTGAAGCCGAAGGCGAAGTGTGGGCGCACCAAATAAATGCCCCCAAATTCGAGGAGCGCGATTGGACGGCAGCTCGCATCCACCCCCACCCTTTCTCTTATTTTTTTCGCACTATTTTATTGCAATGTGTTCCCCCACCCCACTCGCACCCTGAGAAGAGAGCAAGAGAGAGGGAGAGAGAAGACGCGGGCTAGCCGAGCATTTCGCTTCTCTCCTCATAACAACGACAATGACAACGACGGCAAAGAAGCCCGAGGTGGTGCTGCGGAGCACCAAGCCGCCGACTGCCAATGAGGCGACCGTGCTCAACAAGTTCTCGCGCGAGGTCACGCAGAGCCCAGAGCGAGGAGGGGCGCAGGCAATGTTGCATGCCGTGGGCCTCAGCGTCGACGACCTCAACAAGGCCCAAGTGGGAATCTCTTCCGTCTGGTGGGAGGGCAATCCCTGCAACAGTCACCTTCTTGAGGTTGGTTGACAAGCTCGTGTGCCCTCGTGGATTGTACACCCACATACGCTCGTCTGCTGAACGCTCCCCTTCCCTTTCCCCTCTTTTTCTTTTTCTTTTCTCCTTCTTCTTTCTTCTTCTTTCTTTCTTTTCTCCCCCTCATCAAAGCTTGGCAGAGACGTAAAGGAAGGCTGCAAGGCAGCCGGGCTCGTTGGCCTCCAATTCAACACCATTGGTATCTCCGACGCCATCACAATGGGCGGGCAAGGCATGCGGTTCTCGCTGCCCTCGCGCGACATTATCGCCGACTCCATCGAGAGCGTCATGGTTGGCCAGAGCTACGATGCCAACGTCTCCATCGTCGGCTGTGATAAGAACCCGCCGGGTGCACTGATGGCTGCGATGCGCTACAACCGCCCTTGTCTCCTCGTTTGGGGAGGAACCAGTGCGTATTGTTGGAATGGACGCCGAGCCACCAAAGAAAAGGAGAAAGGAGAAGAAAGGCTGAAGCTGACCGACGATCTCATTTGATCTAGTCATGCCGGGCTTTCACCAGCGCGACATCCCCCACATGGATCGCAAGGCCGGCGACAAGTGCCAGATCTCCGACAACTTTGAGGCCAGCGGAGCGTACATCACCGGCAAAATTACAAACGAAGAGAGGCTCGATATTGTTCGCAACTCTTGTCCTGGACCGGGCGCCTGCGGTGAGTGCGAGAGGAACGCTGTGCGCACTCGACGGACGCTCACAGCAACCTTTGTTTCGCTCTGAAATGGGGCTGAATTGGACGAAAAAAAAAACGCAGGCGGAATGTACACGGCCAACACCATGGCCAGCTTTCTCGAGGTCACGGGCATGTGTCTGCCCGGCACATCGGCCACGCCTGCCATTCATCCGGCCAAGCGGCAGGAGTGCCTCCGTGTCGGCGCTGCGGTGCGGAGGATGCTCGAACTCGACATCAAGCCTCGAGACATTCTCACGAAGAAAGCATTTGAGAATGCCATTGTCCTCATCAACGTCCTCGGCGGAAGCACAAATGCCGTGCTTCATCTCCTCGCCATTGCCCGCTGCGGTGACGTGGATCTAACAATTGACGACTGTGAGTCCTTCTCTCTCAGTCCACGTCCTGCCAGCGCCAACGAGTGGAGCCTTTCGCTGACTCTTCTCCTCCCCCTCCCCCTCCCCCTTCCCCTCCCTCACTTAGTCCAAAGAATTGCAGACAAGGTATGCTTAGACCCACGTCCGTCTTACCCCTTTCCTGCTGCTGTACTGACACTCGATACCGGACAGACGCCATTTCTGGCCGACATGAAGCCGTCCGGAAAGTACCTGATGGAAGACCTCTTTCGGGCTGGCGGACTGCTGCCTTTGATCAGATATCTGGCAGACAGGGGAATGCTCCACCTCGATGTCATGACGTGCACCGGAAAGACGCTCGGAGAAAACTTGGCCGATGTGGAACCGCTCCGATTCGACAATCAGGACATCATTCTTCCGCTCGAGCGGCCCCTTAAACCCATTGGCCACCTGACGATCATGCGAGGCAGTCTGTGTCCTGGAGGTGCAGTTTCCAAGCTGACGGGCAAAGAAGGCCTCTTCTTCAAAGGTCCCGCCGTGTGCTTCGACGAAGAGCGAGGCGTCAACGAGGCAATTCGCGACGGCCGCATCGGCCACGGCTGCGTCGTCGTCATTCGTTACGTCGGCCCCAGGGGTGCGCCGGGCATGCCCGAGATGCTGGCGCCCACAGCGGCCATCATGGGCGCGGGCCTCGGCAAGACAACGGCCCTCATCAGTGCGTGGCTGCTGGATGGTCCTGATCCTGCCCTTACTCTGCTGACAAATAGTCTCTCTTGTGCTCTTCATTTCTCTCTCTTCCCTCCCCCTCTCTCTCTCTCTCTCTCTCTCTCTCTCTTTTGCCCCCGCGCCCGCTTCTTCTTTCTTGTCTGCAGCTGACGGACGCTTCTCAGGCGCCTCGCACGGCTTCTGCACGGGCCATGTCGTGCCCGAAGCAGCGGACGGAGGACCTATCGCCCTTGTTTGCGACGGGGACATTGTCACAATCGATGCCGCCACTCGTCAGATCAATCTGCACGTCGATGAGGCTACTCTCAACAGCCGGAGGCGAGAGTGGGAAAAGAGTGGCAAGAACCAGCTGCGAGTCAAGCGGGGTGCCTTGGCAAAGTACGCGAGGCTGGTCCACAACGCTTCTGAGGGAGCCATTACGGACCTGTTTTGAAAACGGCAAAGAAGCCGTCAAAAGTCTACAAATGCAATTTTCATGCTCCACTTTCTTCTTTGTCATAGTCTAGATGCCCAGCTGTCTGGCGTTGCCAGCGAGGCGATGCGTCTGGCGGCTCCCTCGTCTCCGTTGCAGCTTCGAACGGCCAGGGCACACCATTCTGCGAGAAAGGAAGACCACAAGGTGTCGGGAGGGAAGCTGGCGTCAATCACGGTCCTCTCTGGCGCAAAGGAGGACAGCGTTGGAGGAGGAGGAGCTGGTCGCGCTTCGACCAGCTCTAGCGAGTGAGAGGTAAATGCGCCAGGACGAGGGGCTGTGATGGGCGGCTTTGCCTTGATAAATTCTCGTGTTCGCTCGTCGAGCGTCGTTGTGCGTTGAGGACAGAAGGAGACGAGAAATTCGAGTGGTTGCTGCGTGGGCACAAACGACGACGGCAGGTTCTCGTCGCCCAGCCGCACGTCATTGGCCGGTGGAGGCTCCTGCTCCCAGCCGCCCATCCTAGGCATTCTCGATGAGCCCCGCGGAAGCTGAGGGAAAAACGAGGGGAATGCAGCGGCCGATGAGCGGGGATGGCTGAGCATCGTCTGCAATAGCCACGCAACATCTGCCCCCGATCCGTACCCCAGCGCTCCGTGAAACTGTTTTGGCGAGACAGAATCAAGCGGGCGTTCGAGAGGCTGCTTCAGTACGACTGTCCTGGCAGGTCGCATAGAAGTATCCTCCTTATACACTCACGGTCCCTGTCTCTCGAATGTAGTCACTCAACATCCCGAGGCTCATACCAAGGCCGGACAAGAGAGCAGTCGATGAACCCTCAAACGGCATCACAGTGACGGTCCATCCCCTGTTGAGGCTTCGTGCACTTTTCCTGCTTACCATCGACTCGACTCCCTCGAGGCCGGCCTTGTCAGCTGCCGCCATGGCGTCCCTGCCCTCGTCTGAAGATCCTAATGCGAGGGTGACCTCTTGCAATGCGGCCGCCACGCTGCTCGGCGTCGCTAGCCCCCTCGCCTTGAAATCGTCCACGTCCGACTGCAGAGCCACTAGGGCGCTGACTAGATACGCGGCCCTGCGCCAAGGGTCCATTTCCTTCTCGCCTGCCTCGTCCTCGTCGCAGTCGGGCACGAGAAAGGGTGCGTCGAGGTAGTGCATCTCCCAGTACTTCTCCAGACCATCGCCAATCAACCTCGTCCCTGCACGCAACGAAGCAGCGGATTGGTCCTGTCCATGCAGACAGAGCACTCTTGTTCGTCGCGACATGGTCCGTGTAGGTATGTTAAAGGGCCGGCGACCGTCGTCGTCGTCGTCGTCTCCTCCTGATCAATGGTCTGCTGCAGTGTCAGACGCGCGCTCCACGTCCCCCGTCGAGACAGGGTTCGGAGGCCAATCTATCATCAATCGACTGAGTCGACTGAGCGAGCGAGCGAGCGAGCCCTCCACGCAAAGGGGGCCCGCCCCCCAAAAAGGGGACTTGTGCCTTTCTTTATCTAGCGCGTCCCAGATTTATCCTCTCCAGTCCACGTCCTGATTCGATGCACAGACAATAAAGGGTGATAGCGACCAAGAGAGCAAGCACCCTTTTTCGAGGCTATGGTCGGCTGCAGATTCGATGTGTTCGCCACTCTGGCGATCACTTTGGCCTGCCTGGTGTCGAATGCATCCGCGTGGGGAAGCGTAGGCCACGAAATCGTTGCCACAATTGCCCAGACACAGCTCCACCCTGCTGTCCGAGCGCATCTGTGCAACATCCTGCCTCGACATCTCACGAGCTATCGGAGCAATTATCCACGAGGTGGTGCCGAGCAGTGGGTCTATTCTTTCTCCTTCGCGCTCATTTTCCTTGCTCCTTGCTAGGTATTGACATCTCTACGCCCCCTGTCGGCCTTTGCTTCCCAGTTGTCACCTCGCTCCCCTAGCACCTTGGCCGGACCGCGTCCGGTTTCTCTACCCTTGGTCGGGCCACCTCCACTACGTCAACCCAGTTGGCGATCTCCCGCCTGAGTACTGTACCTATGGCGACACCGGCTGGGCCGATCATGGTACCGGGAATGTCCTGGAGGGTGAGCAAGAGCGGATGGAGAAAAGACTGTATCTGTGCTACCCAAATCAGCCCTGACGCGTTTTCCTTCAGCCCTCGTCAACTACACCGCTAGGGTGGCACAGCCCTCGACGCCTTCTCATGATGTCGAAAGAGATGTGGCTCTGCGCTTCCTGACACACTTGATGGGAGACGCGCACCAGCCACTCCACCTCACCGGCCGAGCTCGCGGTGGCAACGACATCCAGGTCCGTTACGAGGGACGACAGGCAAAGTTGCACACCGTATGGGACAGCCAGCTGCTCAACACACAGATCCGCGAGCTTTCCAACTACACGATGAAGCTGTCCTCGTCACGGATCGAAAGCGCTTTGCAAGGCCGCAATTATGATGCATACATTCGCTGGATCTTAGCAGAGGGCATGGGACAAGGCACCGACAAGCCTGGCTGGTGGGCCCAGGAAGGGCTGCAGTGGGCAACGTGCCCAGACAGTCGAGTCGAAATTAGGGCTTCACCAGAGACGCCCTCGTCATCCGCCGGCGCCCACTGGCTGCGCTCAGTCAGCCCTAATACGGCTCGACTGGCACGACAAATCCTTACCAGCTTCTCGACGAAGGCTGCAAAGGAGCTCAAGAAACACCCTTCATCTATAGGTAGTGCCATCGACGACACCGACCTGCCCATTTGCCCTTTTGCTTGGACTAAGCCACTACATCCGCTTGTATGCGAGTACGCATTTGCGAGCCCAGTCCCGCGCCAAAACAATACCCACCCAGATCCCCCACCTGAGCTCGACGTAGCAGAGTACAGGGGAAGAATCGAAGACGACAAAATCATTCAGAAGCAGCTCGCAATGGCTGGATTTAGGCTTGCTGCCGTTCTCAACTCTGTCCTTCTCAATGAGGCCCTGGCCATGGAGGGCGGCGACGACGGCGATCTGCTCCTTCTGGCCCCTGATCAATTTGTTCTTGTTGATTCATTGGCACCTAGGGCCCAAGGACAACTGTCAAGCCTGGCGAAAAAACGGCACAAGTCGGCTCAGTCGCCCATCATGTCGCTCGTCACCGTGACGTTGGAATCGATTGCCGAAGTCATTATTCTCTCAACCGTTGGCTACGTGCTGGCTCGTCAGGGCGTCCTCGACAAGAAGACCCAGACAAAGATCAACAGGCTCAATGTTTCCTTCTTCACCCCCGCGCTCTTGTTCTCCAAGGTCGCCTTTACCCTTGATCCAGGTCGACTAGCTGAGCTACTGATTGTGCCGTTCGGCTTCGTCATCGTCACCCTCGTCTCTGCCTTTTCAGCCTTCCTTCTCAGCTACATCGCCCGGCTCTCGAAAGCCCATCGTAAATTCTCCCTCGCGTGCGCCATCACTCCTAACTCAAATTCGCTTCCAGTGGCTCTGATGCAGAGTCTCGTCGTCACCGTACCCCAGTTACACTGGGAGGAAGAAGGCGAACCAGAGGACACCGTCAATGGCATGCTGGGTCGTGCCCTCACCTACCTTGTCCTCTTCTCCACACTGGGCATGTTTCTCCGTTGGAGCCTTGCTGCCAAGCTTCTTGCAAGCGTGGATGATGAGGTGCACGACGATAGCATCCATCGTGCCGAGAGTGCCAGAGACTGGGATACTCCGACCTCGCGACCAGCCACAGGTCGCCTGATAGACTACGAGGATGACTCACCGGGCTTGGAGGCGCCTTCAAAAATTGCCAGAAGGCCAGAAATCAACATTCGTCGACCGACGGAAGAGGGCAGTGGCCTCGATCCGGTCGCACCTACTTCTCTCACCGGCGAGACGCTTCCCGAAGGCCCTGCAGGTCGAAGGCCGAGCAAGTCTCGGCAAGGCCCGCCTGCCTGGGTGAGGAGCTTTCCAAACTCGCCCACTGCAAGCAGCGAAGACTCGGAGCCAGACAGCCAAGCGATGCTCTCTGACGCGGAAGAGCAACGGCGAAACAGGATGTCCGCCATCAAAAACTCTTTCCGAGCTGTCGTGGTTCGCCCGTGGAAGGCCTTTACTGGCTTCATGACGATGCCCTTGTACGCGGCCGTGATGAGCCTGGTGGTGGCCATGCTGCCCCCCCTTCAAAAGGCCGTCGGCAGCTTCGAGCCCTTAGTCGGTGCCCTCGAAACGGCCGGTGCCTGCTCGATTCCCTTGACGATGGTTGTGCTCGGTGCGTACTTTCACCAGGAGACAGACAACCAAACGCTCCAGCGACAGCAGCAACATCCCCACGACCAGGACCAAATTGAAAACGGGGCTGCGCGCAACACCACCGACAGCAATGCTTCAACGCTCGTCAGCGGGGCATCTGGTGCGCACAAGAGGCGCTCATTCCCATGGATGAAGAATCCGTGGAGCTCGGGCGCTTCGAGCGAGTCTTCGAGTGACATGGGAGGCGGGCAGCAACACTGGAGCTACGATGAGAGCGTGGCAAATGCCTCTGAAGCTGGCGACCACGAAGAGGAGCAGCATCAAGAGGCCCAGCGCAATGCTAGGGTCAATTCCCTGCCGTCAAGCAATGGCTGGCTGGGCGCTCTCCGACGTCGCGATTCGGCCTTGACGCACGAAGAGGTTCGGGCCAGAAAAAAGAGATCGATGGAAAGACGGACAATCATTGTCGCAGTCGCCAGTCGGATGATCCTTACGCCCTTAATTCTGCTCCCTGTTGTTGCGTGGTACGCCATTGCGACGAGATGTGAGTTCGGTCATTCTTTGTTAGTGAAGCACGTCGCTTACTTGGCCTCCTTTTTCTATTATTTCATTCAAAAAGACAACGTGTTGGTTGTTGCTTCATGGTTCTTCTCTATGGCTTCGCACTTACTGAATTTTTCTCCCCTTTAGCATGGACGACCCTGTATTCATCACTTGCGCGTGTCTCATTATTGGCAGCCCTCCGGCCCTGACGCTGGCGCAAATCACGTCGCAGAATGCGCACGGAGACGGCGGTTTCGAACGACTGATAAGCAAAACGATTTGTAGGTCTCCATCATCGCCATCATATCCCCGTCTTCGGCTTATCTGACGCTTCTCCGCAGTTGTCAGCTACGCGGTTTTGGCGGCCCCGACGACGGTCGCGCTCGTCCTATGCGCTCTCTTGATTGCCGAGAATGATCACTAAGATTCATAAATGTGATCTTGATGACACAGATGAAAGGTGTAAGAGAACAATCAATTGTTACCAATTGCGACCCCGGAAGATGTGCCATGAGCCATGGAGGTGCAAGGTCCAGGCTATAGACCGCAGCAGACGTATGATAGAAGACAGGACTGGACGGAAGTCCGCAATTTGCTGGGCAGCTGGCTGAGCTTGAATGTTGTCTTACAACCTCGAGAATCTCGGCAGACGTCTCCTTTCATCTCCTCTACGACAAACATTCCTTCACAAACAATCGCTAATGGACCTCTAACGTGCACCATCAGTCAAATCTTCTCTCAAAGCCCCCAAGCTTCACTGGGTCCTCGAGCGCCCCTCTCTGCTACCGTCACTGTTCCGGCATTCATTAGAGCCTCGAGTGCATAGCCTAATGAAGATCCTCAAGCTCTCGTTCCTCGTCATATTCTCTCTAATTCTTCTCTCTGCCGAGAAGGGCTGCAAGAGCATCGAAAGCAGCACAGCCAAAGACTTTCCCAAAAGAATTCCTGAAGAAAAAACTGGGTCCGGACCGTCGAGAGTCTTCACTTCACTGCGTTCTGTGCACCTACATCGCCGAGGAAAACAGAGATCGAAGGACTCGACGAAGCTACATTTCGAAGGTAAAGGAACGTTCGTGAGTTGCCTGAGACCATGTTAGTGCACTTGAGTCCTTGAATCTCACAGCTTTCCCAGTACGACCCTTCGGGCCCCCTGACGGCTTGTCTTACCAAAGCGAGCAAGGACGATCTCATTGGGGCTCTAAATGGATCTCAATTCGATGCGAAGAAACACTGTGGCAAGCAAGCCGAGAGTGAGTCGTCATCCTGGAGAGCTCTCATACTGGACGATAGTGCTGACTGCTCTACTGTTCCACATCGCGTGTGACAGTCTGCCATTACGACAAATGCGTTAAAATCAGCATTGTCGATCTGTGCCCAGAGTGCCCTCATGGCAATATCGACCTGAGCCAGCGTGCATTTGGGCAGCTTGCTAAACTCAACAAGGGCTCGATTCAGATAAGATGGCGTTTTCTTTAACTATGTCAGCTTTTTCGGTCCTCCCTTCTGTGGCGCGATCAGACAAGTGCGCTTCTTCGCTAGGCTCCTCAGAACCGAAACAGTAGTCATTACACATCAATGCTTTCCATCTCTGCCGGTGCCGTTCCTCCGCCTTGCGCTGGAACAAGCAAGCTTATTTGTCAGTGCAGTAGTCGGCATGAGGAGGCACAGTAAGCTACCTGCAGGTCATTCAGTCCAGCATTCACGACTTAATCCTTAGAGTCGAAACCCGGTGTGCAGTCAAGGAAGCGAAGCTATTTGCCAGGCATTCAAGGGTACTCGCGACAACAAAAGCACACACCAATGCCGACGCCCCGCGCCTTTCAATGCATCAAGCTCCTCAATTTGGCTTCTCAGACTCGATTGCTTCAATCAGATGGAGGCGACATGGTGTGATGGTGGTGACCCTGGTGTCGAGATACCTTTGAGAAAGGACTGCAAATCGTCAGCATAGGTTGATGCAATCTCTGTATAATCAAGCAAGCTCACTACGGACTGCTGGTTTCCTACACCGAATTGCTCTTCATTTTGCTCATCTAGTGGGCGGCGCCTCCTTTGAGAGCTGTATGATGAGAATCAAATGCAGGTAAGTAGATCGAAGAGATCACTGAGGAAGAATCGTGAGACCAACCATAGGGATTTTTAGGGTCCTGCTTGGCCTCAGGGGTGCTCACGAGCTTGTCCTGGAGAACATTGACGCCGTAGAAGACGATGCCACCGGCAGCGAGGAATGGCCACATAGGCCTCAGGATGGGCGTCGAGTATCTATGACACACATATCTTTAGTGAGCCATATCGTCTCAAGCTAGATCCGAGCATAAAATGCTGACACTCACGCGCGAAGGCCGAACATGGTCTCTAGTGAGGTCGATCTCAGGGTTGTCAATGAGAGGAGGATGCGATTCGTAGCAAGGGAAGAGGCGATGGAAGAGGCGCGCGAGCGACAGTTCGACTTCTCCGACGCCAACCGAGGGCCACGTGTTTCGCGTCTTCGACCCTCGACCTACACTTTTACTCTTCATCGACGACGAAGGCGCTATTACCCATCGACCATGACGAGCTCGTACCGCCGAATTGACACGACTGACCCGAGGAGACATGACCGGGTCCGGCCGATGAAGCTACCAGCAGCCTGGCTCGATGATTCCATCGACGTGTATGGTGTGTATATCTATCTTTCCCTCATGTCCTTCTCTTCCCCATGTCCACACTGCACCGAGCGACCCCACAGCCACTGATGAGCCTTCCCGATCTTGCTCATCGCAGGGTTTATCCTTTCGTCCGTCACAATGATCAGCGGCGCGGCGATGATCACAAGGCTGCCATCGCTGGCATGCATCGGCCTGCTCTTTGCTTTAGCGAATTTTGCCCACGACAAGCCTCTTCAGTCCAAGAAAGAGTCGGCGAGCCAAGGTGGACCAGTGATGGGTATGATGTGAGTGCATTTCGTGTCTCGCCGAGCTCGCTGAGCTCGGGACACAACGCCGTGAGACTGAAGATGTTGTGAGCAGGTTTGCTCTCATGAGCATCTGCATGATCTCAGTTCAAAAGCTGCTCGGCAGCCAGCCTTTGTACCAACAGCTGGGAAAGCCAGCTCAAAGCACTTCTCTGTAGCGCTTTGTCACAATTGCAAGCTAAGCCAACACGTCTCCTGAAAACTTCTGTGGCGACATGGACCCGAAGCCCGCTTTTGACATATGTGTCGATGAACTACCATACAAGAAATGATGATGAACCTCGCATCAGCGAGCCAAGCTGTATTGCGAGGAGGGAAAACGAACGTGCGCAAAGGAGAAGCAGGTGCCGTGGAGGAACACCGATTAGAGACCATAGGGCTCCAGCTTCGAGTTGACATCCTTGAGTTCGTTGGAGGCGCTCGAGATGGCTGCAGCTCTCTTCTTGGTGGCAGCCACCTTACGCTCCTGGTACGCCTGCTGCTTGACCTTCCTCTTCTCTTCGAGCTTGTCAACCACCTCCTCGTACTTCCATCCCACCTCACTCGAGACTCGCTTCAGAGTCGCATACTTGCGACCGGGCTTGAGGCGAAGGACACGCAGGGCCTGAGGAATGACGACCTTCTTCTGGCGGTCAAAGGGGGGAGGAACACCCTCGTAGAGCTTGAGGCGCTCCAGGGCGGCAGCACCACGGGCAGTCTTGTGAGGAACCATGCCACGAACGGACTTGTAGAGAATGCGGGATGGGGCACGCTCATGGAAAGGACCAGACTTTGAGGGCTTGACCAGGTGTCTCTTGTGCAGGTATGCGTGGTACTTGAGCTGTAAGGGCGAGCAAAACGCCTTTAGCCGTGCTGCTTTACGAGCTCCTGTAGCCTGTGAGTCAACGACTCACCTTGTTCCTGAAGAAGCTGCCCGAAACGTTGATGTGCTCGCATCGGACAACCGTCACCGCCTGACCCGACAGAATTTGCTTGGCCAGGATGGAAGCGAGACGGCCGAGGAGATGTCCCTTTCCGTCGACGACGTATGGCTTGTTCTGCTGGAGCGACATCTGAGGAGAGAGAAGCCAGGGATAAGCTTCTGAAATTGCAAGTGGCATCCTCTATCGGCTCCTTTGTCCGCGTCCCCGCACCGCCGACATCACCTCCGCCGACTGATCAAATCGTCCCATATGTCTCTCCCCTCGACATCCTCGACACGGCCTTGCGCCACATCTACTCACCTTGTCGTTGTTGGCCTTGAGGATCGATTCCGAAGCAGTCGCAGACGCAACAGTGTTAGGAAGGCCACTGCGGCTTAGCATCACGTGTTTTTTAAATTATTCAGCCACGTGGGAGATCTTCTCTGAATTCTAATGTCCTGACTGAAGCCAAGGTCGTTTTCCTGCTCTCTCTTCGTCAACGACAGCACTCGTAAGGACAGGTAAGTCGTGTCCGGATTGTGTGAGCGGGGGGGCGACGAGTACGACGATATGCTGCCCTGTCCTTAAGTGGCGTACTCGGCGGAAGAGGCGAGACAGGGAAGACAGAGAGGTCGCATGTGGCGACAGTGCGGACTCGGGAGTGCGGAAGGGTTGGAGGAGTCGCTAGGTCGGTTTGGGGTTTTGGGGATGCAGCCCCCCGGCCGCTGGATGTTGGAGTACTGTGCCAAGGGACTTGTAGATGACGCAGTGGTGCTGCTCCAGCGTAGCAATGGTCTTTGCAAGCCAGCATGCTGACCCTGGAATCCTTGCACTGACCTGCAGCAACAATGGCCGCCACGAGGATTCCCATTGTCAAGAAGAGGACAAAGAAGTTCGCTCGCCACCAGAGCGACCGCTTCAAGTGCGTTGGCGAATCATGGCGCAAGCCTAAGGGTAAGTTGACTCCTGCTAGTCGCTCTGAGGTCGACTCTCATGACTGACAGCGCCTGCCCGCGATGACGCTCAGGTATCGACAGCTGTGTTCGCAGGCGCTTCAAGGGCAAGATCTCGATGCCCAGCATTGGTTACGGCAGTAACAAGAAGACGCGTCACCTGATGCCCAACGGCTACCGTCGTCTCGTCGTCTCCAACCCAAGGGATGTTGATCTCCTCCTCATGTGAGCCCTTTTCAATTTCTCATTTCCCGCAGTTGTGTCACGGACAATGCGCTGACCAGCGGAGCATTATTAGGCACAATGGCTCGTACGCCGCCGAGATCGCCCACAACGTTAGCGCAAAGAAGCGTATCGACATTCTCGAGAAGGCCAAGGTTCTCGGTGTCAAGGTCACGAACGCCAATGCTCGCGTTCGCGCCGAGGAGGCTTAGATTGGATGACCCCTTGTACACCATGTGTCTTTTTACACTCTCTTACCATGAATCACATCGGCTTTTTATATGAAAAGTATAGGCTTGCTTATCTAAAGAAGGGTCCCTGATGCACTGGACGATGTCGTCATGCTTTTTTCCATCTTCTCCACAGCGGTAGGTAGCACCAACGAGGAACAAACGGCTTCGGGTTCTGACGCTCTCTCACGACCACCAAGGCAGCCATGGTGAGCACCCGAGGTTCCAAAGGGAACAGGAAGATCGATGAGATGCTGGAGAAAACGGGTGGTGAGCGCCACGATCTCGAAGACGGCGAGGCGCAGAGCAAAGGTACGGCAGGGCACGCCAAGGATGACCGCATCGAAAGCGACGAAGCAGCGAACAGGACTAAGGCCAAGAAGAGAAGCGAGCCCGAGACTACTAGGAAAGAAGAATGTGCGAGTTCAAAGAGGAGTAAGATTGAAGAAGACGACGCAAAATTGATGGCCAAGGTCAAGCCAGGTGACGAGGAAGGGGACGGTGGCGAAGAGGGCGTCAAGTGGAAGGTGCTCGAGCGCGGGCACATCTTCTACTTCTACAGGCCCAAAGTTCAGCCAGCAGACGGGGCCGAAGCGGGCAAGGCAACCGAGTCGATTGATGGCGTGCAAAGTACACACATGTGAGTCCAAAGACGGAGTGGCCAGGGTGCAGAGGCGAAGGGGTACAGTCTCTGATATTCGATGTATGACGAAAGGCTTCTGCTCCCAAAAGCGAGCGAATCGCCTACGACGCCGGTGTCTGTGGAGGGGCAAGGGCAAGACAAGTTTCAGAAGCCTTCTGCTACATCGGGAGAGCTGGCTCGGAGGCAAGGCGTAGGATACCGTTTGATTCGTCTGGGCAAGAAGCGCATGCCGGCACCAGAGGCCGCCGTGGCTCGCGGTTTAGAGCCTGGAGGCGTTGGAGGCGATTCGCAGGAGGCCATCTGGGCGTGCGTCTCAGACATTGGCCCGGACCCAGGTACGCTATCAGGCGAGATGGGCGAGAAGAGGTATAGTACCCGAACCCGGGGAGACAGGCTGGTTGCGCCTAGTCGAGCAGTAGGAAGGGGCCACTATCTCATCAGCGTCTCGCTCCGAGATCCGCCATCATCAAAGCAGGTTCGCCTTTCCTATGCCCTTTCGCACCCCAGCGAGGCTCAAATGGGCAGCGTTCAAGAGGAGCTCGGTTTGGAGCAAGAGTCAAGCGTGATACTGCAGATGAGGAATCCAACGACCACAGACGGCTCCATTGGTCTAGAATCCGCCGATAGAGTCAAAATGAACCAAGGGGAGCTCGATCAGACCTTTGGCGGAAGTGCAGGCAGTCAAGGTGCGACCAACTATGCAAGGCCCGAAGACCTGTCGCTTCTGGATCGCGAGGGCGTCGAACTTCTCATGATTCGAGAGCGAATCCAGGCGCAGCACAGCCTCAAGACAGGCGCAGGCGACAGTCAAGGCAAAGGTGAGCAGGTTTCTTTTTGAAAAATGGATTTTGGGGGTGGTGTGTCTCTTCTCGACGCCAGATTCGAGGATGAATCTCACAAATTCTTGTAGCCCTCCAAACAGCAGCTAAAGCAGATGGCAAAAGGCTCTCCGTGGTCGATGTACTGGAAGAACTCCAACTGAGTGCAGAGGAGAATCCACCACAGGCTCTCGAGGGGCAGTGGATTTGAGCGAGCCAAGGCCTTGTCGCATGGCCCCAAAGGAGGGCTATGCACAGTACAGTACAGTATCGTACTGTGCAGTACAATAAAGGCAGATGGACGCTTACGGTGCGTCTCTTAGCCGAGAGGCCCATTACGTGTCCTATCTTGCCTCTAAGCTGCGTGCAATGCAGCGTTCCAATCGCCACCGTGTCCACGAAAAGACCTCATGTTCCTCTATGGAAATGTGCTGATGACCTACAAGAAGAGAGCAATAGGAAACGCGATCATATTTTTAGTTTAGAGAGTGTTGAAACAAGCGAAGGCGTACGCCTACTCTTCGACCCTCATCATTCTCATAACTTCTGACTGTGAGTAGAGATACAAAGATCAAAGAATGACGATTATCGGCGCATTTGCTGCTGCTGGGCTACCGCGTACTGCGGATGATGTTGCTGTTGCTGCTGCTGCTGCTGCTGCTGGCTTGGATGCATCATGCCCCCGTGCGGACCAACCCCTTGCGGAGGCGCCTGGCTTGCCACCGAGCGAGCACTCTCGCGCTGCTGAAGTGCCTGAAGCCTTTCGGCCGTCCTCTGAGCTTCGTGAACGATCTGTAATTTGAGATTAGCGGGGCATATCATGTTGATTGTGCGTAAAGGGAAAGGGTGCACTCACAACGGCTTGATTGACCCAAGCACCGTGAAATGTCTGCGCTCGTCTGAGCTCTTCTGTGCTGAAGCCTCCGTTGCTACTTGTGGACATGCCTTCGCCCATGATGGCATCCAAGTCTCTTGCCTGCGATGCCATCCATGTCTTGATGTGGGCCTGCGGGTTCTTTGCAAACGCCGCTAGGAAATCTCTTGTCGAGCTCCGATTGGCAAGCGTCTGCGCAGCTTGGCTGATACGATCGTCAAGTTCCGCCACTTCTTTGCCTCGCACATCGAAGCCCTCCAGGACCTTTTCTTGGGCCTTGCGCAGACCTTGATCCTCGACTTCGATCTCGACATCGTAGGCTGTAGGATGCTTGTGTTCATCAGTGTCCGTCCTGATCCAGTATTCAATAACGACGGGCCCGGGTGGATGCAGATGGCGGTTGACGACCTCGGGAATATGGTGAAATGCGATCTTGTCGGTGCGGAAAATAGAACGCAAGGGGTCATCACAAACCACAAGGCGCCGATCCTCCTCGGAGAGGAGCTTGCGATCCTTGATGTAAGCCCACAAGGCCGTTACGACGGCCTGACGTGTCTCCTCTCGAATGTCGAGCAAGCCAGCCAGCTCTGGAGACAGGGCATAGCGCTCGGGAACATGGTTGAGATAGAGGACAATCCGAGCCTTGACAGGGATTGAACCGGTCCGTCGAATCTCAAAACCATCGAGTGCCGGCTCTGAAGAGGCGACAATGGGTGCCTCCAGACCACTGCCTAGTCCTGGCGCAGCTGTCTCGCCGCCCACGGGCGCGCTGGCACTGTGGGGAGCCACCGTGGGCGTCGGCCGATGCCATTCTACAATGTTTTCACCTGCGGGATACAGCGCCGGGTCACGAAGCAGCTCGACAACGGCGGAACGGATGTGGTTGCTGAATTTGTTTGCCCCCACTCGTTGCTGTGCGGCCTGAAGGGATTGTGCCGCATTGGCCCTGGATCGGAAGGTGGGCTCGAGGAGGCGACCCTCGACGCGCAAGGTCCATGAGGGAATTGCATCTGCCTCGTCCCCCGAGGCTGCCTCCTCTTCTCCGGCCTTGGCGGCTTCGACGCTGCCGTCTGCTTGATTCTCTCCCTCAGTATCCTCAATTTCTGCATCTGCGTCCGCACCCTCGCCGTCTCCATCGCCCTCGCCAGTCTTTGCCTTGGTCGCCGTCAAGCCCGACGACTTTGCTGCTCTTCTTCTCCTATTGGCATCGTCGACTTGCCATGACTGATTGGCGCAGGTGTTGCTGAGAAAGATTCGCAGTGTCCTCCGCTGCTTTGCTGAGTTGCGCCCGAGGGCATCCTGCACCTCAGCCCTTTTACGAGCCACTGTCCAGTCGAGGCCGCGCTCGACGCGGACCAGGTCGGCGTAGACAGCGCTCTCTGGGATGCTCCTCGTCACGCTTAGTGGAAGAGCGCGCGTAGTGGGGCGTCCGCGCTTGGCCCCACGGATGCCGCTTCCCAGCAGGTTGTCTGACTGAGCACGCTTGCGCATCGTCTGAGCCTGCTGCTGTGCGGCTGCAAGCGCTTGAGCTTGAGCTTGCGCCTGTGCTTGCGCTTGTGCCTGTGCTTGAGCGTGAGCATGGGCTTGAGCCACCTGACTTGGATGCAGGCCTACCATGCCCTGCGCGGATGGACCCATGCCCGATGGCCTTCGAGCGTGAGGTGGGTGCGACGCCATGCTGGTTTATGGATGCAAGAAGGAGACGACGACGCGTTTTATTTTTTATTTATTTATTTATTCAGTCACAGCATTTCCCGCTTTCCTCTTTCACTGCTACACAAGCTCAACTCCATTCTGATCCTCGATAAATCCTAGATTCCGTTGAGATATGGTTTGTGTGGTATTGTACAATATTGCAAAACTAGAGTACTACTTGATTGCAGACAAGATGTCGTCTAGTACTTTATCGGTATGTCCAAGCTTAGGCTTCTTCTTGTTTCCCCGCTGCTCCAATCCCCGCGGCGGGCTATCTCGTTCAATTTGCTTCTTTTGCAAAGTCGCCTGCCCATGCCTGGGAAGAGGATCTGGGCAAGGCTTGAGATTATCCTTCAGCCAGACCTTCCACTTGCCTACACTCTTGCGAAAGAGACCCAGGTTGAGTTTGCGGACGAAAAATCGTCCGTAAGGCGAGCCAAGGAGTAATTGCTCGTGCTCAAGACTGATCCTGGCAATTTTTTCCTGTGCAGACAAAAGCGGTCGTCAGACTTGACTAAGAGAGTGTAGATCTTTGCTTGCTCTCACTTTTGTGAAGCCATCGGTCCTCTCCCACAACGCATCGGTAGCGCGGCTGCCGAATTTATCGTCTGCAAGCCAGTGAAGCTCGGCGCACAGCTTTGCCGTGATGTCACTTCGTTGCTTGAACGTCGTTGTCGGACTGGCAAGAGCCGAGAGCAGAATATGAACACCGATCGGAGAACGTGAGATGGGAATGATGCTCTGCTGCTCCATGAGGCTTGGGAGTAATGTGAGACAGTCAGCCTTGATGACCGAAAAGGACTTTGTGAAGCGGAGCGCAGACTCACCTGCGTATAACAACGTCGTTGGACGGGTACGTCAGCCGGCAGATTGACTGGAGGAGCAAGCTTCCTTGAATCTTCGGCTCCGTCAAGGAGCGCGCCGATGACGACGGTCCGTCTTCAACTCGCGCTTGCACACCTGTTTGAAACGCAGCCCAGTCGTCCACCGTCTTTACATTCAATATGACTGGCACCACATTGCTCAAGCCAGTCTTGTCTTCGAGGTCGAACCCGAATGCGCAGAGGACGGCTCGAGCCACTTGTCCATCGTAAGAGTCGTCGTCAGCGAGTGAGTTAGCTTTGGTCCCGCGCTTCTTCGCTGCTTTTCCCTCCTTTTCTTGCTCCGAACTACTGCTGCCTTGATTGGATTCGCGTGCAAAAGTGATGGCCCCACAGCGCTCGACCAAGGCTTGCAGGACGCCCAGTCTGCCCGCCTTGACCAGCTCGCTACCGCCCTCTCTTAGCTCTTGCAATGCTTGAAATAGGGGGCTGGCGTTCCCTTCCAAGGACTGCTCTGGGGTAAGATGTCTGAGCACCTCAGCCACGACGAAATTGGCCACGACGTGTGAGCCGAGTCGACACATGCGTCCACGAAGGTAGACGACCCAAAATAAATCGTTGGTCTTGTCGGAACATATGGCGAGGCAGCTTTGTAGAAAGAGCGAGCCCACCTGATCTCGCAGCAATGTCTCGATGTGGGCCGATCTGTCCATACTCGACAGGCCAGAGTCTGATTTTTGGCTGGCAGAGACCAGACCATCGAGGGCCAGGTCAAGAAGGGACGTCCTGCCATGTCTTGAGGCGACGCCAAGGAGAATGGCCAATGTTGGACTCGCCGAAGGGCTACCACTCATGTCCTTTATCGTTCTACCGTTCAAATCTTGGCTTGCTGTGGCAATGACATGCTGCAGAACGTCGGGAAAGACAGAAGGTTCGAGACGGGCACAGGAGGAAGCCTCGTGGGCGATGCGAGTTCGAAATACGGCACTCCGCTTGGAGCGCAGTGATGCAATACCGGTCGTGTTGCCACTCGCAGATGTGCCTGCGCTGTCGAGGCACTGGCCAGAAAGGACGACAAGCCAGGTGCGGACGATGTGCGTCGCAAAAGGATGCTGCATCATTTCCACCACGGTAGGCAGCAGCTCCTGACCGATCATTTGCTTGGTGTGAGAAATCAAGTGTGCAGCGAGCAGGTCCCGAGAGAGCTCCTCACCTCGGTCAAATCACTGATGAGCTCGTGTGCGGTGCGAAGGGTTCCATGACCCGACTGGTCAACTGTGCCTGATGAAGGCATCGGCCGGCTGAGGCTCGATTGTTGTCGCTCTTCTTGGGTAGCCACACCCTGCAATGCTACTAAGATGGATTCGAGGACGTGTGAGCCATAGCGATGACAGCTCAGCTTGAAGAGGCTTCCGAGAAGCGAAGGGTCTGTCAGCACCCGAGCGCCTCTTCTCTTAATCTTCTGTTCTGTTCGTGCGCCACTTACTTTCCCATGAAGCCATCAGCCACGATGCGAATATGTCTCGGAGTCATCGTCGTTATAAGGTTCTCCAGAACGACACTCGTGTCTGGGTCCGTCGCCAGCTCAAGCTCGTGGCCTCTTGCCTCGGAGAGAGCAGCGTCGCGGAGCCTCGTTGCTTCCTTGGAATGGATCGACGTACCACCAGCCTCGTTTTCCTGCTCGAATAGGTTCTTGAGGGCCGTGTTGGCACTCCGCATATACTCTTTGAGGTCGGCCCCTACGAAGCCAAAGGGTGCAGTGTCATCTTTTGCGTTCTGGATGGGTAGCATCCAGCCCGGCTCTCGGAAATCCTCAGGCGCCCTCGTTGCCCCTTCGTGCATCGGCACTATTACCCCTGGCTCTTCTTGGTGTTCGACCTCGGCCACGATATCTCCCTTGTCCGTCCGAGGGCGCTTCTTGCCCCTCTTACGCTCTTCTTTCTTTTTCACCATGTTTCGTCCAGTCCTCAACGCGGTCTCAGGAAAGGCCGAACGAAGAGATTTCACCATATAAATTTTTAAAGCTATGACAATATTCGGGAATCGGGCAACGTAGCCTCTGTGAGACGGGTAGGTTCTGTCATCTACTGGAGCGAGGCTGTAACGCTGCGTTCGAGTCCGTAGACACCATGGTCGATGCTGTTTCTGCAGAACGTTTGTCGAAATCACAAAGGGAAGAGGTCCTATCGGCAATTAACAACATACATCTGGCACTCGCCCCTCGCATCGCCGTGCTGAGCAGTCCCGATGTGGGCCAAGCCCTAGCCCCAAATGGCTTCAGTGACTTTACCGATCTCCTGAGACCATTCCAGGACTCCATCGAAGGCGGTGAGTTGCCCAAGCGCTACATCGGCCGTGTTGGTGCACCTCTGCTGATGTGAAGACCTGGGTGGTATGGGCATGGGCCAGTGTCGGTGAGAACTTCGCAGCTCGAGACGCGCCTCTGCCAAACATTTCCCCTCAGCTTTGACGGCCTCGACCAATTTGGCCCTTCGTCGTCGTCATCGTCGTCATTGTTCACGCCCGCCGATGCACTGGCAGCAGACAATGCGGGTGACGGTGGCATCGAGCCTCCTCCAGCCACCCGTCGGTCTTCAACTGCCGCAAGACCAGAAGTTTTACTCGACGCTATCAGCTCAAAGGTTTCAGCTCGTTCACGGTGGCTCGATGAGGATGTGGACGCCGTCGGCTCAGACGGGCGATCCGAGGCTATTGAAGATAGATTTGATGCCGATGCGTTTCGGGAAGCACCGCTCGAGAAACTGACTCCTTGGTTCGCCGAGTCGCGCGACATGGTGTTCCGCGCCAGGAGCGTGAGCGAGCACGAATCATTTGGACACCCCGTTGCTAGTGGGTGGGACCGTCAGGTTCTTGACACAGAAGCTGCTTGCACACAACTAACGCCATTTCTGGGTGCTTCAAAGTTCTGTTGGTCGTTTCGGCTTCATCGACGGATCCGATGAATGCCTTCGCCTCGCTTTTTGAGGCATCGCAGCCACATGTCACAACTGCCTTTTCGAAAAGGCCTTACATCGACCCCCTTGTGCTTCGCTACTATGTGCTCCTGCATGATGTCTCGCAAAGCGGCCCCGATCTGTCCGAGTGAGTCAATCTACTTCGGAAGCCTGCACTTTAGCCGAGACAAAGTGCCTAAATAATCCCTTTCCAGGTCCATCTCGCTGCTCGAGAATGTTAAAAAGACATATGGCTTATACTGCTGTCTGCTCCCCATCAACTCGGCAAATTCAACAGAGCGCTCTGAGCTGTTAAACAAGTCTCCAGGGATCTCGGACATCTGGCAGCGGGCCTTGCAGAACGATCCCAGAGCACCGCTTCGTCGACCAAATATTAGGACACCTGCCGAAGCCGAGCATTCTTCTGGATTTGCCAAGGGTGAAGTCGAGTCCGAGTCCGAGGCCAAGCCCGTGCCAATAAGAAAAGGTCGCGGACTGATAATGAGCGAGGACAAAGCGAAGAGGGACGAAGGTCGATGGCGCACACCACCGGGGCGAGGAGATGACGTTGGAAATGAGGATCACTTGGGCATGACGTCGGAATCAAAACAAGCGTGGAAGTCGTCACTTGCTGGCTCAACGAAAGAGTTCGACAGCTCATCAGACACTCAGAGATACGGTCGGCTCCTCGACGACGACGATGTAAAGAGGATCAAGGCTTTTGTCCGCGAGCTTGCTGCGCAGAATATCGTACCATTTTTGGAGCGATGCGTCAGCTTGTGGAACGAGCAGCTAGCGGCATCTCGCAGAGGTCTCACGGGTCGCCTTTTTGGTGCCGGACGCAAGCTTTTTGCGACTGCCTCGAATCGTGGGTCACCGACCCAGCCGACGCCCAGCTTTGCAAACATGGGCTTGTAAGTCAATCAGCAACTTCGAATTGACGCTTTCCAAGCTGACAACGGTACCTGTCTCCACATTTTGCTGCCAAATAGCTACCCTCATTCGAGCCTAGAAGCTCAAACACGTCGTTTGGCCGACTTTGCCTTTACGACGAGAGATTACAAACTGGCAGCTGCCATGTACGACCTGGGACGAAAGGACTACGCCAACGACAAAGCCTACAAGTATCTTGCGGGCGCAAATGTGAGTGATGATGACTGACTAGCTGAGGAGAGAGAACTTGGTAGCTAAGGCGACCGACAGGAAATGTTTGGTCTAGCCCACCTGATGATGATGCTCGGAACGCGCACAAACCCCGTCGACGTCGATAGTTACCTCTCTAGCGCCTGCCATAATTACACGGTGGCGCCACGAAGGAAGGGCAGCGCGCTGCAGACCGACAGCCTTAGGGCCACCTTGCTCTTCTACGAAGCCTATCGTGCACTATCCTATTACCGGTCCGCGCCCACCGCTCTGGTCAGGACGGCAATGGAGGGATCTGGGGATTCGGAGAATGACATCGAAGTGGCGGGAGCCTTGCTCTTAGAGCAAGCCGCAATCTGCGATATGCGTCAGTCAGGTCGTCCTGCGCTTCGCAAATGCGCTCTTCACCTCATCATGGCCGCTCATCGCTACGGGTCCTGCGGGCAGAAGCACCTCAGCTATCGGTGTTTCTGCGCCGCCGCAACTGTCTATCGGGGCCAAAGACGATCTCAAGGTGCCATTGACTCGGTCAGCGAGGCCGAAAGAGAGAAGGGCGGCTTGGCAGTGCAAGGAGGAGACAAGAAGGAGACCGAGGATGGAGGGACGCATCTGTTTGACATGGTCGCTCGCTCGCAAGGATCTCGAATGGAATGGCGTCTCATCGAAGACCACACCGAACATCAGCTGGCCGAGCAGGCCAATAATGACGGGAACGTTGAGCAAGCGATTGCTCACTTCTGGCGTCTCGTACGAAGACAAGGGCGGCATGCGGCACAGCGGGGCATCGATGAGGATGCCAAACAGCATGCCATCTACCTTAACGGCCTTCTTACTTCATGCAAATACATCAGCAGGCCACTCGCCGATGTGTTGGAGCATCATAACCTTCCTCTCTCACTCTCTCTAGTGGACAAGAAGAGCTCTTACATCAGGACATCGACGAAGTCTCTTCCTCAGGATCCAATGTGGCGAGTGTTTTCGAGTGTCGCTAATCTCGACACAGACGTGGCTTCAAGTGCCAGCAACATGGTCACTGTAGACGAAACTTTTGAGGTCGCCTTGGCTGTCGTCAACCCTCTCGCGATACCTCTGATGTTGAACGGATTGACTGTTGAGTTCGACCGCTTAGACGGTGTTGCGGTGGACGGTAAGCCTCTTCCGGTGAGAGTTGAGACCGTGACGCTCGAACCTCGACAGCATCGCAGCTTCTCAGTCGCCGTGAGGTCGCCCGACCGGACCGGTTCATTCCGTTGTGCAAGGGTCCGGTACACCCTGCAAGGACAAATTAACATCATTGAGGTTCTCGACAAGCATGGGCGAAGACTCAATGATACCAAAGCTCAGCGCTCGTCTACGGACCCGATATACGCGCGGGACGAAACGCTCACCGTTGTCGTTCACGAACCCAAGCCCAAGCTCGAAGCGAGACTTACCTCCGCTCCTGGCGTCCTGGGTCTGGGCGAAGAGGTAAAGACTTTTGTCGAGCTGCACAACGCGGGCAAGGTACCCTTGCGTAATGTTGTTGTCGTGGCCAGCCGATACGATGTCATCATGAGCTTCGAAGCAGCTCAACAGCTGTCCGTAGAGGCGATGACGGGAAATGACGTTTTCGAATACGAACCGATGATCGTCGAGCTTCCAAAGGGCGAGCTTGGCCAAGGGAGCAAAACTTCATGGCCAGTCTTGGTTCGCGGGACCTGCTTAGGGCCTTTCACCATTCGCCTCGTGTTCAAGTACGAGGTGCGTTCTCGTTCTTCTTCCTTTCTTCGATACTGGGCTGACCGCTGGAATCCGCTTTCATCTTTGGAAACAGGCCCTAAACGGAGGAAAATATCAGACATGGCTCGAGCATCACGTTCGTGTCGAGCCTGTTGTCGACATCGCCGTACACGCTGGGCCGTCGCGTTGCCAAGACTCAATCACGTACGACGTGAGGCTTGATGCGGTTAATCTAAGCCCTTCCGGCGAGAGGGTCACCATCGATCACATCTCCGTTCTCAGTCCCTCATGGCGTGCTGTCCCCGCTCACAGCAACAATGATCAAATGAAAAGCCTCGAGAGTCTCGAGTCTCGGCAAGGACGCAGTACGGCTTTTACCGTCTCTCGCTCTGACCTTATTGCATCTGAAAGAGAGGCGTCCAGGTACACCGGCGAGCACCTGAGCGCCCTCCTCTTAGGTCGCGACATCGACAAGTCTTCGAAGCCGCCTTCCTTGAAGCTGACGACGACGAATATCTCAAGCAATGGAGCAGAAGCCACTGGTGTCACACCTTTCGTCACCCCAGCGAAAAGAGAGTGGCAGCGCACTTGGCTTGCTCGACAATTTGCGTCCATACCAGATGAGCTTCGTCGACGTATTTTTGCGTTCCATCAGCCGAATGATGTCGATATCATTGCACACTGGACCATGTCAGCATCCAAGCGGCAGGGACAAGTCTTCGTATTCGGTCTACAGCTTGGACCAGGGTATGATCACTTTCACGACATTCTGGAGCATCCCAGTCAGAAGGGTATGCGAACTATCTATGCTCAGGCAGCTCAAGAAAAAGTGAGGCAAGCATCATTGAGTTATCTCTTCTCCACTGACCGCGGCCCGTATCTTTCAGGCTGCTATTTTGAACGACTTGACAAGCAGCAGGCTGCACATTGAGGAAGAGCCTATCGTTCTTGATATGGAGTCTCCAGCTTCGCTCGTCCACGATTTTGAGAAAATCAGGTGAGAGCTTGTAGTACATCTAGGCAGTTGAGCATGACACAGTCCTGAGCTCCGCCGCGATTTCAGTCGTGCTATCTTCACGGTGCCACTGCTCGTTCGCAACCTCTCCTCCGTTCGCTCGGTCGAATTCACCCTGCAGCTGGATGACGGGGCCCACACGGATCAGCAGCGAGCCTCGTGGATCGATCGTCTGACCTTTCGCGGCTCTTTAGAGCCCTTGAGCCACGTGATTTTGAGCGCAAAGGCCAGCGTCTGCTCAGCCGGACGCTCAGAGCTGGGTGCGATCCTGGTCAGAACCTTTGTCAAGGGCCCTGACAGGACGCAAGGCAGCGTTAGCAGCATTATCAACGAGTTCGCCCGTTGGGAGGAGTGCACACGTTCCATAGATGTCTTGCAGCTGTCCCGATGATCCGTCCACACTCGTAGTGTAGCTTTGACCTGAAAACCAATTGACGCTCCATGTTCATCACGCGTGCGCTCGGGCCAGATGCGCGAATTTTTCTCGACAAGTAACAAGCAAGAGTCCGAGTCCATTTCTTCGCAGACGCAAACAGTCAAAATCATGCATGGCCCTAAGAGAAAGCTCAGCGACGGAGTCCAACAACGACAAAGTAAACGCACCAAAAAAAGCGGAAAAGACAGTGGCCTGAAGAATGGACAAAACCTCCTGAGAAGTAACGGGGCGGGGGGGCCCGGCATCTTTCTGACGTGCGTCCGAGGTCGCGAGAGAAAGGCAGGCCTCGAACTTATCGATTGCCTCGAAGAGGTGTGTGACCGAAAAGATTTTCCCCTCCCTCGCCTTCGCAAAGTATCCAGTCTGATCTGTTTGCGCTTCCTCCAGCTCGTTGAAACGCTCTATCCGGGCGTGGAGCCGATTGAATGCGATGAACAAAGGACAAATAACCTTGACGAGGTCGACTTCGACGCACTGCATAACGATGTTGGAGCTCTAGGGTTCGACCGCGAGAAGGCCCCGCAAATGACCAGCAAGGACCAAAGAGTAGCCACGGTAGACGACGACATCGAGGAACAGATTCAGGCTGAGCTTCGGTGTATGGGAGCCGCGACCTCCGGGCTTGACGCCGAGTCGAAGCAGGGGAGCAGGAGGAGGACCAAGGCGCGGTGGTTCGACGTTGTCGAAACAGGCACAGACTGCCGTATGTCCATTCGCTGGCCGTGAGAGACATTCACTGACCTTCTTGCCCGGCAGTCACCTTCATCGCGATAAGCCGTCCACTGTGTGCCGTGCGATTGACGTACGCCTTTCTGGATCAAGTTCGCTCCACTGGCCAAGCGCGATGTAAATTCGTTCAACGTCTCACCCCCGTCGTCGATGTCGTCCGAGCAAACGCCGGTGAATTGAGCAGCCTCGCCAAACGTGCGCTTAGCCAACACTTCACTGTCGATGAGTCGCTATCTGTGAGCTAGCTTCACCTGTTTTCAACGCACCTACTCAATTTCTATTTTGTATTTCCCTTCCCACCAGTTCAAGATCGATCCTAGGCTTCGCAACCACGACGTAATGTCCAAGGCGGACATTATCCGAATAGTCCTCGCTGCGATGCCCGATCATGGCGACCACAGGCCCCAGCTCACAGGGGCTCAACGTCTCATCGTCGTTGAAGTGTACAAGGTGAGGAGCTTCAGAATTACCTGTCAGCAGATGTGACGCGCTCATGTCTCTCTCTTTCTTCCTCTACACTTCTATAAGTCCGTGCTGGGCGTGAGCGTGCTCCACGACTTTGAAGGATACAGGCGTCTGAATCCTCAAATGATTGCCGAGAACACAAGAAAGACGCACAATGTTGCGGAGGACGACGGCAAAAGCGGCAACCCACCAAGTCGTGTGGCACTTTTTAATTGCGAAGCAAGAGAAGAGAAGAGAGAAGAATGCAGAGACTAACATGTCATTGCGCGGAGAGAGATCAAGTAATGAGAATGCGATTGGAGTTCATTCCGCCACCACGGGCGGAAACCTCTCTCGCCATCGTATCTGCATATACTTCCGCTCGATATCGGGAGGCACTATTTCACCTATGCTTGACGAGATGTTGCTACCCCGATGTCGGTAAGTCAGGAAGTGCCAATGGCTTTACGTCATCCCAAAATTCGCTGCCCTTTCTGGTCTCAGCGATGATGCCCATGCGAATGACAAAGTCGCCAAAGTCTTCGCCTGGGCCCCTTTCCTTGGCGAATCTCTCGAGCAAAGGCTCCAAGATCGTGATTGCCTCTGGCAGCGTGACCGATTCGGCATACACCTTGTTGACACGAGTGCCTCGCTTGTTGCCGCCGAGAAGCATGACATAGGTGCCAGGTGCCTTGCCGACAAAGGCGATGTTGGCCACCCACGGTCTTGCACATCCATTAGGACATCCCGTCATCCTTGTAATGATCTCTTCATCAGCGATGCCCAGCCGTTTAACAATCTTGTCAAGATGCTCGATGAGATCGGGAAATAGCACACGCTCGCTCTCGGCCATAGCCAGACCACAGGTGGGGAAAGCCACGCACGATCTGGCGACAAAGTTGCTGTCAGATGACTGTCTTTCCTTCCCTAACACAGGCTTGAGAGACTTGACTTACGAGGCAGAGAGGGCGAGAGACGACTGCTTCCATAATGCCATGTTGTACTTGTCAAGATGAGCTTCCACCATCGCCTTGATACCCTCTGGGATATTGCTGAGAGCCATGTGTTGGTTGGGTGAAAGGCGAAGCTCGCCTTGGAACCAGTCGGCTTTGCACAGTTCTCGAATGCCGGTGCGGAACGGAGCGCCAGGCTCGTCCTTGATCCTTCCGTTTTCCAGCCAGAGCATGCATGTCCACTTGCCGTTCATCTGCTTGCGCCAGCCGTACTCGTCGGTGTTGGCGCTGAATGCGTATGGTCGTGCAGGCTCCAGCTCGTATCCCAGTCTTCGCTCAACTTCGGCCTTGAAGTTTTGAGGACCTTTGAAGTGATTGTCAATGGTGTACTTGAGTCGAGCCTGCTTTCGGTTTGCACGGTTGCCAAAGTCTCGTTGGGTGAGCATAATGTGCTTGCAGCACTCGAGCGTCTGGTCAGGCGTGACGAAGCCAATAATGTCGCCAAGGCGAGGATAAGTGGTCTTCATGCCGTGCGTGACACCCATGCCACCACCTACACTGACATTGAAGCCAGCTAGGTGGCCATTGGAGTCAGCAATAGCAATCAGACCAATGTCATGGGCAAAACAGTCGACATCATTCCTAGGAGGCACCGCAATGGCGATCTTGAACTTGCGTGGCAAATAGTAAGGGCCGTAGAGGGGCTCATAGTCGCGCAATGCACCGCCCGTCAGAAGCTGTTTCTTGGATTCTGTCGGCTGATCGAGCCAGATCTCGTGGTAGGCGTCCATTCGAGGCAGCAGATACTCGGAAATCCGCGCGGCAAAGTCGTAAGTCTCCGCGTGGAGCTGGCTAATGTGCGGGTTTGGCGAGCACATGACATTGCGGTTGACGTCGCCACAAGCAGCAATGGTGTCGAGCATGGCTTTATTGATGCCCTGCATGGCTGCCTTGAGCTGGTTCTTGACAACGCAATGGTACTGAATTGTTTGGCGAGTCGTGATCTTGAGCGTGTCATTTGCATAATCACTCGCCACCTTATCTAGCTGCAGCCACTGCTCGGGTTTGACGACGCCGGCCGGGATCCTACAGCGGATCATGAATGAGTAGGCTGGTTCGAGACCGGCTGCCTTTCGCTCGTCGACAGTGTCTCGATCGTATTGCATGTAGGTGCCGTGAAACTTTGTCAACTGCGTGTCGCTCTCGGCGATGGCGCCCGTGCTCTTGTCTGCGAGACCTTCGACGATTGTTCCGCGCAGAAAATTGCTCGCAATCTTGATATGTTCATTGGTGATTGGCTCCGGCTCTGCCTCGACGATCTCGATCGTATCGACGCCCAAGGCCTTCCAGAGGAGGGGCTCCCAGACCTTGTAGCCCGTCTGATAGCCGTCGGCATCTTGATCGTCACCCAGACCGAGTGGAGCCATGCGGACCGCACCGAGAGCCTCGAGGCGAGCGTCCAAATCCTTGCCTGGCTTGTTGTAGTAGTGGGCATCCTCGGGCCGAGGCCAGTAATGACTATCACCCATGGCAAAGACGGAGAAACGAACAGACGAGGATGAGGAAGGAGTCTCGTCGCCTTCTTTGTTGGCTTGTCCGCCGTCGCCCAGAGAACTTGGGGAAAGCTTAGATAGCGTCTTGAATGTTTCCCTGCCATTTTGTGGAGCTTCACCTTGGCCTGCTGTGCTAGTAACAAAGGTGACGTTCTTCTCCGACTGGAGCTCCTCGGCGACAGGGAAGTCATCCATTGCCAAGATCCTTGCGGCGAGACCCCTTGCCTTCGCCCTTGCGCAAAGCTTCCTGGCCACCTTTTCCGCATTGCCACCGTCGCTGGCGTACAGAATAAGAAGCGGTGGTCCATCCATAGCACCGACGAGGGCATCGTAGGCTCTCTTTGCCTTTTCCCTCTGCCTCTGCCGAAGACCGGATCCCTGGCTGCTCGACAGATCATAGGCGAGCTCAGGGGCTGCATTGGCAAGTTGAGTGAGGTAGTTCTGTCGGTCAAGAAACGCCTTGAGCTGTTCGCGAATCCGTGGGGAATCGAGTCGGAACACTTGCTTGCCCCTTGCTTCGGCGCTTGGATCCCAACGGTACAGCGGCCAGTATCCTGAATCGACAGCAAGCTTGGTCTCTCGCAGCACGTCAAGGGCCGGTGTATCCTTCGCATGGTAAGGTACGTAAGCCAGTACCACGGAGGGACCGTCAAATTGGTCGGCCTCAATTAAAGCCTGGAGAACCTGCATGTAGTCGGCATACACAGCGGTGCTAGCCACGTATACGCCTCCGTAGCTCATCGCATACAGGCCCACGTCCTTTTTGCGCTTGTGGGCTTCGACCGCGTTGCGTTGCGAGTAAGGCAGGCTGTCAAATATCAGCATATTGACGTTTCTCCCGCTGGCAATGACATGGTGGACGCCACCCATGCCAACATCGTAGGCCCAAGCGTCGGAGCCTACTATCCAGCGGCTTTTATGCGCAATATGGTGAGCCAGCGACTTGATCCGTGCCATGACTTCGGTGTTCGCGGGCGCACCATGAAGAAGCGACTGGAACTTGGCACCGACGGCATCCGAGCGAGCGACGCTGTCGCCTTTGTCCGCCAGCCACTGTGTCATGACGTCGAGAAGATCCGCGGGCACACCCGAAGAGGTGGGATGCCGGACGATGTGTCGAACGGCATCCAGGAGCTCGTCACTGTCCTCGAGTTGTGCCAGGACCTGCCCAAAGGCGTACTCTGGGCTCCTTGCGGCAGGGTGCGGGTCATCGTCGCGAGTGGGGGCATTGATGATGGAGAGTCTGGCGGCAAAGAGCTGTTGAAGGATGACGTTGTAGGCTTCCTCGTGCTTGGGCACCACGGTAGCGGCTGCGGGAAGGGCGTGACCATTGGAGGCGTTGCTCTTGGCAGTCGACTGCGAGCGAGCTTGCGTCATGCTGCGACCTCACTCCACAGCCTTGAGATGAATGGTGATTTTGAAAGCTGGATTTCGATAGCTGGCAGTCAAGTCAAGAGGAGGATGACTTTCCTGCCTCATTCTTCTCTCTCTTCTCTTTTCTTTCCCTTCTTTTTTTTTTTTTTTTTTTTTTTCACACCGGTTGCGCAATTTCCCCAACTTATCTAATTGAGAATTGAGGGTTGCTAATCAAGATACACGTGGTGTTGCTCTTTGCTCATTGGGCCGACGGTCCGCTCCATCACGCTCCCCTTTGCTTCCAGGCTCCGTCATGGTCACTACAGTTATTGCATATTAATGTCATTACCTTTTGGCGTTAAAAGGGGTGCGATGTCCAGAATACATGACATAGCCGTCGTGAGGGCCGCTTTTGCTCACAATTCGAAAGGTATCGGCAAGGAGGCCCATCCCCCCTCCTCCCCGCCCCCCCCCCCGCCTAACCCTTTCTCCTGTAGTATCGATCTATATCTAAGCACAAAGATCCTCAAGAAAAATGACGCTGTGTTCCGCCGACGAGGCGGCACGAACAAGGAGTTCATCGTCAGCGAACGTCAACACCACCGCAAGCGCTTCTGCGTCCACGTCCACGTCCACGTCCACGTCCACGTCCACGTCCACATCCTTTCCCACCTTCAAAGCCACGGCTACAGCAGCCACCACAGTCACAGGCTTAGACCTGGCACGGATGCTCCCCTCTGGGCAAAAAGGACGGAGAAATGGTCAGCCCTCCTGTGGCTTGCCAATGGACTGCTCGTCGTCCCTTGCCACCCCAGCATTTTGCCCTTTAGGTTCTCCGAAAGGCGACCACATGACAAGTCCTGACGAGGACCTCTTCGGTCGCGCCATTTTGATCTCGGCCGCAGGTGCACATGTTGACGAGTCTGCGGGGAAACCCCTTTCAGCGGAGAGTGGCAGCGTTGCCACCCCAAGATACGATCTTAATTCCCTCGACGAACGACCGTTGGCATGCGACAGCTTTCTGTACGCTTGCATCGATGTCGGCCGTGGCCGTGGCGACGATGGCGGATCATGCTCGTTCCCCAGTGTCACCGCTGCTATTCCGAGCTGCACCTATGTCTTCCTGCCAGCAGTTTCATCGTCGTCATCGTCTCCGACTCTAGCCCAAGCAGAAAAACCGGGGGAAAAGGAGGTTCAAGCCCTGCGCAGCGACCGAAACGCCAGTCGTGGACGACCATCGAGTGACATGATCTCTTTTCCCCGGCCCGCCTACATCGCGCCTTTGGCTTCACCCTGGTCTCTGAACATTTCTTCACTTGCTTTCTCACAGCCCAGCAAGCCAAGTGGCGACATGTCCTCTTCTTCAACCATCATAAGTCCACCTAAGGAGGCGTGGTCCTGCGCACGGGAGGCGTCGAGCGGATGCGACAAGACCTTGCCACCCACACACGATCATGTACAAGAATACAATAGGAAGAGAAAGAAGAGGGGCAAGAAAAGCTGGAGGGGCAGGAGGAGCGAAACAGACAATATACCTGTCAATGGACCTTGTCAACCGCTGACCACTTCGTCCGCGGTGAACAATGCCAGCTTTAGACAAGTAGCTAGCCCTCGTCTCGACGACGGAGGTCGTAGCCCTACCGACGTATCCGCGCATTCGTGGTTGAAATGTAGCGAAGGTGCGTGCGGAGCCGTCGGTCTGTTTGAGGTGGACTGTCGCAGGCTGACAATGCTCTACGTGATCAGTGACTTACTCGGCGAAGAGCCGTCGCACGTCGCCCAAGAACAACATGCAAGATGATGTGCCTTCCCACGGTTTCCAATTGCCTAGGATTCAGCATGTCAAGAGACCCCCCTCCAGCACTTGTAGATCGCACGACGAGACCGAGGCCAGCTTTCACACCGCTTCGTCAGCTGACTCACCCCTTTTCTCACTCATTGGGCCACTTTCTCAAAACCCCGACGACAGCAACACCAAGTCGATGCCCCAGACCCGGAATCTGCCATGCACTCGCTTTCCGCTCGGTCACACTTCCGCACACACCGCCTCGTCCTCTTCGGTGGCTACAGCACCTGACGAACCCGTCTCCCAGATTGATGGTACGGTGGACTTAGAGACGCCGCCTCAGTCCATTGAGCCCGCGCGAGACTTCCATGAGTGTCGTTCGTCTCCTCCTGCGAACCTCGGCAAGGTAAGGAAGAAAGATAATGCCGTCGACACGAAAAGTCAGGGGCGGATCAATGTCGAAACGTTGCCGCTTTATCATTCGATTCCGAGCTCACAACGAAAGGTGGGATGTGGGAAAGGGGTCACTGTCGGGGAGAACGACATCTCTACGCTCAATACGGAAGCCACTGTCAGGCACGCCTTCATGCCAGGGAGGGCTCTTGATCTCTGCGTCAAAGCAAATGCCTCAATCTCACATGGGTCGGCTTCCAAAGGCGCTACCACAGAGGAGAGCACAATGCAAAGCTACGCCAGTATTGCAATCTCGCGCCAGCAACGGAGCCGATCTTCCCTGCTCCCAACGGCAAGAAAGACGAAAGTCGACAGCCAAGCTGAGCAGCGCGAACGGCTTCGCCGCACCATCGAATGGCGAGTGGCGAGTGCATCGGCAATGGCACCAAAAACTGGCATCGCCGCGGAGAGCTCGCCTCTCTCTTTATATGAAAGAAGGTGGATCAAGGTCAATGGAGATGAAGCTTTATCCTCGTATTCGGCTCTGCGCATCGACATACCAACATTGGCGAGCTACAGGTACGATCCCGTCGCTCGTTCTTCCAATGAGGTGAATGAGGCGGAAGCCAAGGAAAAGATCAAAGGAACAGCGGACACTTCGGACAGCATCGCTCGAGGCTATCCCTTACTCAGTCAGGATATAACGGCACGACGGCTTTGCTGGCTTGGCGAAACAGCTCGTACGATCAATAAGATTGGAGACACCCATCTCACCAACTCCCAGTCACAGAAGAATGAGCGGCGATTGCACAGCCTTGCCTGGTTGGACCTGGAGGCAAGAAAATTGGGCGAGACGAGACATGCATGGTGGTCTCCTACCCATCGGAACAAGTTGCAATGTGAGACTGCTGTGTGGAATACTCTCTCTCAACAGTGTCCCTCGACGGACCTTGACGCTTGTGACGTCATCGCAGGTTGTCCGACTCCGCCCATTCCTTCCTCCGCTCAGCAGCAGAAGCGAATTGAAGCAATGACCCGGATCAGAGGATCAGGGCGCATGCGAAGGCGTGACTCGACAGCGACGTCAAATTTCGCTTTCCAGTTTCAAGGCGAGCAGATGTCAAGCGGAAAGTGCAAGCAAATACAGCGTAGAGATCCCAAGAATTCCCAGAAGGACTTCCAACGACTGCCGTCTTCTCTTTCGCATGCGAAAGCAATCGACGCGCAACTGGTCTCCGTATCCCTCAAGGGCACCGACCACGATGCTTCCGTACCCTTGCACCCGTCAGATTTGGGCGAAGCTTCACCATCTGACGGCCTAGAGTCAGACCGCACCATATACGAGCTTGCAGGAAGAGGCTTTTCTCGAGACACTGATCTGGCAAAGGAATTACAAGAAGCTACAGAAAATGGTTTCCGCATCTTTTCGAGACCAGAGATCAAAACGCAAGCTGATCAGTCGTTTATGCTTGGATTGAACTCCCTTTGCGATCTCGAAAAAGAAGCAATCTTGGAGTTCCTCTCTCTTTCGACATTTTCCTGGGACAATCTACAGGAGTCATCGGTAAGTGCCACCATGTCAGACCTCAGAACACGTCTTCGATGGCTCACTTTCTCATTCAAGCCGTCTGTTCAGGCCGAATACACCACTCAGTCACAGTTCGAGGGCAGAAAAGCTCGTGGAGGCGGCTTGGTTGCCGAACCGCGGGCAGACGGCCTCTCGAGAGAAGAACTCAATGAGATTGAAGAGGCACTTCTCGATGAGCAAAGACGTCTTCATAGGGGGCTCGGACCACACCAAGTTCGAAGAGGCTTCAAGTCGACGCGTGCTCACCACGCTACATTTGATACTGTGCCATGCAGTCAGAGACCGTCTATAAAGATCCCCTCGATTTCCATGGTGCACTCTCGTTCTTTTCGACAAAACGGGATCCAAGCCTTGCCTCATCCGTCTTTAGCCCCCACAACTTCGGTGATAGCCCCTCTTCCCATCGGAGCACATCCAGACGCCAACGTCATGATGCACCAGCAGACGCAACATCAAGCGCTACTGGCAGCCCAAAGTGGACCAGGACACAGCGAAGAAAATATGCGCGTAACGTCTGACTTCGGCTATCCGTCTTTGCTAAAAGAGCCAATCAGCCAGCCATTTCAGGATGGAAGACAAGGTGATACTAGCCATGGTCGAAGTCTGGACGACGCTGCCCTTAGAGGGACAGGGCCGCGCCAGGATCGCTTCTCAGGAGTCATAAACCAACTATTCCGTGACCCGACCGCCAAATTTGGACATTTGACACCAGTCGCAACAGGGTGCAAACACCCCCCAAGCTCACCTTTACCGAGGTCTATGAGGCAATTGCAGCACCATGGCCTTGAAGGTCTGTTCTCACCTTCCCAAGAGGAGCTCTGGTCAGCGTCGATCGCAAGAGTTCATCAGCATCTCCGGCAGCACCGCTTACAATCCGATTCGGTTGTCTCAAACTCTGCGTATGACAGAACCTTGGCGGAAGGCCAGTGGTCGAGCGGCCTGGTACAAGCTCGGACTGTGGCAAAGCGTGGTGCTCCTGGTCATAAGTCTACATCCGCTCAACGTCAATTGCCCTCACCGAACACGACCTTAGTGAAAAGATGTGAAACTTGGCCAGAACTTGATCCATCAGCTCACCTGCTGAATTTGTCGCAGATCGACATTTCCTGCTCTTTCGTTCAGCAGATGGACATCACAAGGTTAGAAGCAGCCCTCATTGCCGAATTTGCTGGCCACGGAGCTCAACAAGTTCGTCAATCACCGTCCTGCATCGAATTGGGGCTTGAGCTTCATCCGCAAGAAGCTCACGGCTCACCCACGACCAATTTGCAACGATCTGTCGACAGACCTTGTCCTTTGTTCTCAAATGGAACTTCTCCGGTGGCGTCAGAGGCTAAATCTACCGCCAGTCGCGCTGAGACTTGTTCAAACGTGGCAGGCTTGGAACAGAATTCATATCAGCAGCAACCTCTGCAGAGCACAGGGGACGGAGATCGCAAGAGTCATCCGATCAAGTCCCACAATGTGTTGCGTGAGGATCGCAGGGCTGGCTCACTCAGAAATGCCTCCCCAAGAAGCTCTTCGTGACGGGTGTCTCCTTTCCGTGCGCTTCACCGCATAATACCCCACCGTGCCGCAATGCACCATCCTTCCTTTCGTTCGCGTGAGTGCCTTGCTTACTTGGTCTTTTCGTGCTCGTGATGTTGACAATAACATCACCAAAGACACCGTCCTCGACATACTTCAAAACAGTGTCCTCGCTCACCAATCTCGGCAACTGACTCTTACATTTTGATTGATCTCCTAGATTTAGAGCACAGCACAGCGGGCATGGCTTTTAGCGATTGTCTATAAGAACAACTCATGGACGATGAAGAAGTGCGCACTTAGAATACAGGTGTCGATATGAGAAAGAGCTCGTGCTCGTGAGCCTTGATCCATTTAACTATGGCTTTGGCAGCAGCGACGAGGGCCGAGTGAGACAAGTGTGGGCTCGTTACCATATAGAGTTCGAAAGTCATGGTAGACCATGCCAGAACCGCCTCGGAAGAGGTAGCTAGAAAATGCATCGAGGGTGGTAACGCTCGAGGACGCTTCGTTGCCTTCCTCGAGGTGCTCCTTTCTTGTGAGGTGTAATGCAGGACACTTTTGGGGCGGATCGGCGGGGTACCCGGTCGAAGATCTGAACCATGAAGAGGGCTTCCTTCCACCACTCCTTTGTCATCGCCCCGGTCTGGTGCTGGGGCATCGGCATCGTTTCCGTTGGCTTTGATCATTTCCTCATCTTCTTCTTCTTCTTGCCGCTTCCGTTCCTGGATGCCAAGGACGCGATCGTGAGCAATGCTATACAGCGTCATAAGTCTGTGGTGAGCCTCGCTTTCGAGGGAGTAAGGGTTCTCAAAATCGGGCGATGTCGCCAAGATATTGTGACGCCATTTGAAGACAAAGTGTCGCAGCCCCGCCACAGCCAGATCATCGGCGCTGTAAGTAGCGTCAGCGTTAAGAGCCGTGGCCAATCGTGACAAGATGCCACTACCTCGGAGCTTCTGAAGATTGAGGGTCAAACATTATCAGCAATGCTGGGGAGAAGAAGGAGGTGAAGGGAGAAAGGTATTCAGAATTCTCACCTCGATGATGTGGCTCTTCCAGGCGCTCATCTCCGAGAAGCCTTCCTTATTGCCGGTCACAAGGACCAGAGCGAGATCCAGCGATGTCTCCACACCGTCGACATTACCGTCAATAAAGGTGACATGGGCATGCACGAAGCCTTGCGGGGCGAACTTGGGTAAACAAATTGGGATCCAGCTCTCCGTGCCGCTTTCCCGCATTGCCTTTGTCGCGTACACCGTGTTCACAAGGAGGTGGCAGTCGGCGGGGTGAACATTGTGTCTTTTTGGCCTCGCAAGCGTGACGATACGCTGCCCCGAAAGAAGCATGGCATAGAGAACATCTTTGGGGCGAGCGTCGCCCTTTGGTGGGACAAGAGCCAAGCCGACATCGTCTCGCAACGTAGGGTCAAGCTTGAGCGTCTGGATGGCGCTCAAAACTGTAGTCATGTCTCTCTGGACGTGACTGACCATGGAGTCCAAGATACCATCAGTCCCCTCGAGGAGCCTGCGAAGGTCAAAGCCGGCAGACCGGTCGAAATGGCGCTGAAGTTGCGAGGCAGAAACGATGCTCAGGATAGCTAGGTGCAAGAGATCGAGATGCTGTCGCAGCGTAGAGTGCGCCTCTCCCCAGCGCGAGATTGCCACGAGAAAGAGTGGCGGGCGAAGAAGAAAAGCGATGCGAGACTTTGCAGGAAGTTCGAGGACTTGCTTGCTCATTTCGTGGAGTTTTTCCGACCCCAAAGAGGCATAATTAGAGATGAGGGCTTGGACAACACCGCAACGTGCTGTTGCTGCGTCATCCTCTTCATCGACTGTAGACGCCTGACAATCTAAAGATCTGCCAGTACGGGCGTCACTGGAAACCGATGGACGAGCCACTGCCTTATTGATGCCTTTCGGTCTGCTTCGGCCAAGATGGCTGAGAAAGACGGGCTTGCCTGCGCTGGTGATGATGAGATACTGTCGCGTCGGGAAGCTTCCCTGGTCGTCACCCAAAGCCTCATCCAGATTTGCGCGCTGCTCTTGGATGTCCGAAAGACGACCAGTCTCCCCACCTTCTCTGAGCTTGTCAGAGAGAGGCTTTTCTCTCCTGCTATTTCGACTCTTAGAGACCGGGAAGGATCCTTTCGGCATCGCCGGCAGAGGGGCTGCCTCTTCTGCCCGCGTTGAACCCTGCGCATCTGATGAAATAAAGGGAGGAGAACCTGCTCCAAGAGCATTGGCCTCGATCTTGAGTGCAGAGGACGATTCCGGTCTTTTGCCCCACCACTTTCTGATCGAAGAAGAAGGGCCAGAGGAGGAATATGATGATGATGATGATGATAATGATGATGATGACGGTGGTGGTGGTAGTGCCGTAAGGGGAGTCTTCTGACTAGCGGTGACTGCTGTCTCAGATCCTTCGTCACGGAATCGTAGCGAATCGAAGCGAAGTGTCGCCGATATTGATGTTAGGGTTGTCCATCCCCACCGGCCGGTGTCTGCTTCTTCGATGTCCACACTCTTGCTTTGAGGGACAATGTCGGCGGCACGAGTGGAAGTAGAGGAGCTTGCAGACGATAAAACAGTGTTTATACCTCCTTGGGTTGTTGGGCCCTCTGGTGCAGCTCTCCTAGCAAGGTCAAGATCCTGGCGGCTGCCGTCATCGACGCCAGCGCTATTGGTGACAAGCAGATCCTGGCCGATGGCGCTCTTGAGCCTGCGTGTGAGGGACTCTACCCCTTCTGAGTCGCCTTGGTGATCGAGACGAAGTAGCTTGGGCCTCGCAGGTGATGATGCTGCCGAGGCTGAGGAAGCTACATCAGGCTCGCCATCATTGAGGTGCTTAGTTGGATCGGCGGCTGTCGCCTTCCCGTGCTCGAGGGCGACAGTAACCGGAGGGAAGAAAACGCTTTTATCGTCGACTTCGGCCTGCGATGAAGACGCGGCGTGAGTGGCTTTCGCCTTCAGCCCGGTTGCCTTTGGCGAAGGCGAAGGCGAAGGCGATGATGTCGACGAGGTTGCTTTCACGAGTGGAGGAGCCAAGGCCGCGGTTGACCCATTGGCTCTCATTGCTGTTCCCAGCTCCTTGCTCGGCCTTTCAACAGGTAATGTACCTTCCCGAGACATGCCACCGTCTCCTACCAAACTCCTCCTCGGAAGCACTGCAACGAATGTTCAGACAGGAGTAACGTTGAGAATAGAGCATATAGTTGTTATCCAGGCGATGGGGCGTGCGTCTTGGGTTTTTTTTTTTTTTTTTTTTTTTTTTTTTTTTTAGTTCTGCATTACGTTTCTTTAGTGTAGTAGTAGTAGTAGTAGTAGTAGTAGTAGTAGTAGTAGTAGTAGTAGTAGTAGTAGTGTAGAGTAGTAGTGTAGTAGTAACCTTTTTCTGGACACAGAATCTTCGACTTATCATCTCACTCACTCCCACCTGCACCATGCTTCGGACGACGATAGCTCCCCTGTCCTTGTTCTTGGCACAACCGCTCAGACAGTCATTGTCCGTACGAGTCGCAGTTGCGCACGGCAATGAACGGTTTCTGCACGCATCGAAACCACTCAACAAGCCGTCCTGGGGAGGCGGCAAGCTCAAGACACATTCGGGAACCTCGAAGCGCTTCACCCCCGTAGGAAAGCGATTGGCAGCCGGCCCAGTCAATATGGTGGAGACATTCGGTGAGGTCTCGCCTCACACTGTCCCTGTTGCAACGTGGCGAAGATATGGTACAATGTTCAAAAGGGCGCAGACGGGCAAACAACACCTGAACTCCAACTTTGGCGCAGCGAGGGGCACAAGGCTGAGGAGGCAAAAGCTTCACAGATCAGGACCGACGGTACGAGTATTGACGAGGCTCTTGGGCGGCAACTAAGTGAGAAATCGTCTCGCCTGAGTGTCCTAGCACAACTTCGCCCTTCACGGAATATCATAACACCGTTCTCCAAAACATCGATTACAAAGTTTGCAGTCTACCGATCAATGGCGAGGCGGCAGTGATCCTCCTTCAAGCATCAGTCCTTCGTCTGAAAAGGTGAAGAGCGGTCTTGTAGGGGTATTCAAAGATGCCTTTGTCTTCGTCGATCCAGGAAATTCCGGCATCGGGCGCACGAAGAAATGCCTTAATTTTTGCTTCGACTTGCGACCACTGGTCGTCGGGCAAGACAGAAATGTAGCTCTTGCTCCGGACACGCGAGCAGACGCCCTCGATCGTGGTGGGAAGCGAGCGAGTGAGATGCACTTCTGGTAGCACCTCGAAATGCGCAAACCCAGGTTGCTTGTACATGGCGTGCCAGCCAAAGTGACGATCTTGACGAGAAGATCAGCCCAGAGAACGACCGTACGCTGAATGCTCACTCCCTCTTCTTTCTTTCTTTCTTTTTTCTTCTTTCTTTGCTGGCTTTTTTCCTGTGGCACTCACATTGAGGAAAGTCGCCCTCGTACTTTTCAAACTCCTCTCGAGCATTGCGAACCCATGGGGCTGCAACGAGAGTGTGAGAGAAGAGAACGTGAAGAGAAGGAAGAGGAGTAATTATGGGGTCAGCCAGAGCAGCACCGTTCAGGCGGGCACATTGCACCTCACCAGCATCCTTGTCTTCAAGATTCCACAGCAGGGCCAAAGTGCCTCCTGGCTTGAGAGCCTTTGCAAAATTGCATAGGGCCTTGTCCCAGTCCTGGCACCAATGCCAGGCTTGAGCGATAAGGATGAGGTCCACCTGGCCCGTGAAGCGCTGCGCCGAATTGAAATCTTCGAAAGTGGCCACTCCCGTGTCTGTTGTGACATCGGCTCCAAGCAGGCCAGATTGTTTCAGTCTGGGCACCAATCCGTCGGGGGCTTGCATGAGCGATCGCTCCAACGCCTCCATCATCGCTGACGAAGCGTCCAGAGCCGTGTAAGAGGCCAGACGAGCATGGGCCGAGGGACCGCTGCAGGCCTCGATGATAACCTTTGTCGCGATGCCCGTACCCGCGCCCAGTTCGACGATGTTCAAAGGTTCGTTCGATGAGGGGCTCTTAACAACCTTCTCTACTACCTCTTCTGGATAAGAAGGTCTAGCCCTTGCATACAGCTCTGGCGGCCACGAAGGGCCAGTTGATTTCGTCTGTGCGCTCATGGTCGTCGACGTAATGCTTGATTGGCGAGGTTGAAGGAGCTTTCTGAAGGCAAATGGATGGGGTTGGGAGACAATTTTCGATCTGGCCGATCTATATATCTGCATGATGCTTGACAGCTGCGAAGCTCAGCTCAGCTCAGCTCAGCTCGGCTTCGAAATCTACAGTAGCTTGTAGCTAGTGTAGTGTAGTGTAGCGTATAGCAGCAGTAGTACTAGCTAGTAGTACGCTGTAGTAGTGCGAGCCAGCCGAGCTGTACGTGGAGCAGTAAGTAGCTGGCTGTTGCAGTGAGATGCGCCTTTTCCGGCAAGGCGGCAAGGTACTTAGCGTGCTCCGAAAAAGCCGGGGTGACCGCCTGCTCCGATTCGGGACACGGAGATTCTAAGCAACCAGTCTCGACTACCACAACGCACAGGGGAGCGGAGGAAAGAGGGCGGCCAACCTAAAGAAGAGAGAGGTCACATGGCACTTCCCAACCTTCGGCGCATCTTCAGCAGCTCGCGGACGCCACTGCAGGAGCGAGCCGTCTCGCGACAGGCCTTTTTCCGGTTCGTCAGCTTCCTCGCCAGTTGCGTCTTTATCGCCCTCCTCAGCAGCCCAAGGAGGAGAGCTGTCCTCTTGGGCGTGGGCGCCACGACGGGAGTCTCCAATCACTAGCCTGCCTAGTGTGGTCCCAATCGACAAGCATGCACACCGTTGTATCGGCAAATGCCGTCGTGGTAGGCCACAAAGATCACGTCGATGCCATTCTCGTTCATGCCGGCAACGTGATCCTTGGAGGCAGTCATGGATCCATCTCCGCGTACAGACTCCCCGAGGGCGGCAGCAGCGACGATCAGGAAAGTATAGCAACGGACAAGGCCACAGCTGAGCTAGCGTGGGCGGTGCGGCTATCAAAGAGTTCGAGGGTGGTCGAGAAGCTCCAGGTGATACGCGAGGCCAACCTTCTTGTATCCCTGTGCGACAATACCGTCGCACTTCACGAACTCTCTTCTTTGCCAAAGCTCAATGCCGGTGCGAACTCGTCGTTCAACAGCGGCGGACCAGGATCGGTGCAGAGCTTGCCCCTCTTACCTGCCGAACATTCAATCCATTTGAGCCAGACAAAGGGCGCTGTGGCCTTTCTCATCGACACGTCCGTGCAGAAGGGTCCTTCCAAGAACGGGTCTGGCGATGCCTTCGGCTCTCAGAACAGACGATTTTTGGGATCCAGTGCATTCGGACAGGCTTATAGACCCTCAGACGCCACTCTTGGAAGGAAGTTCGGCGCACTGGCTTCCAGTAACAAAACGCTGCCGGTTGGCCTACGAGGCATGGAAGAACTTCAGAGGGATAAGGAAGAGAGACAAAAGTGGTCGACGATCAATGCTAGGCTCGCACTTGCCACTCAGGGCAATGCCGAAGGCGCCACTGTCATGACGCTTGTCACAACACTCGTAGTCGCTTGCCGACGGAAGCTGGTCATCCTTCGATGGGTGGATGGGTCGTTCTGGGACACAAAGGTGAGCGTCTCTTGCTTGTACCAGCTGCACGTCTTTGAAAGCGTCGCCTTTTCTCCTGAGCTGAGGTGTTTTCTTTCATGGATTCTACTCCCGTCACCACAGGAATTGGCGCTGCCTCACACACCTCGCTCACTCGCCTTCCCAAGTCCGACGACGTTGTTCATGGGTTATAGCTCGGCTGAGTACGCGATCCTCACCGTTCCTCTTGCCTCGTCCTCATCGGTGGCCGATCTGATCGACTCCAAGCCATTGACGGCAATCCTCGACGTGCCAACTTCGAGCACGTCTGGGCCTCGTGTAGACCTCTTCGAATGGCGTTGTCAATCCCTTACCATCCCGCTGCTTCCCGGCGGTGCAGAGCTAGGCCCCGGTGGAGTGCGGGGCAACTCTGCGACGCAACCTGCAGCGCCCACATCTGCGGGCGGAGGGATGGCCGCCATGGCTGGCGCTGCTTTCGGTGGTCTGGGCGGATACATTGGCATGGGCAGCAAAGCGAAGCCACTCGTTGTCCAAGTCGAGCAAGGAGAAGTCCTGGTGTGTCGAGACGGTGAGCTCAATAAATAACAGGATCGGAAGATTGGGATTGCTAAACGTAATGCGTTTCCACCGATTCGCCAAAAGGTATGGGTGCCTTCCTGAACGAAGAGGGTAAACCGACTAGGCGAGACGGTCTGGACTGGCGGGCTACGCCCGAGGAAGTCGGTGCGTTGTCTACCTTTGGCTCTTGTGGCTCCTTTCTTACCCCTGTAGACCTTGACAGTTTATCTCAAACCCTACGTCTTCTCCCTCTTTCCAACGGGAGCCATGGATGGCGGGTCGCCCTCCAATCTGCCGCACATTCAGATCCGATCGGCTAAGACCTTGGCAGCAGTTCAGACGATGACCTTTCCCCCGACATGGCCTGATGGCAGCCCCGTCCAGGCTGGTTCACCACCCTCAGTCCGGCTGCTGACGCCTTCGAGAAGCGGAGGAAAGAGCCCCATTTACGTAGCCGTCGAACCAACGGATAAAGGTGCGCTGGAGAGAGTCGGTTCATCGATCTGGCGCTTGGAAATGAAAAGCTGGAGCAAGCAAATCGACGAGCTTGTCGATACTGGTGAATATCAAGAGGCGCTGGCGCTTCTGGATTCCATCGACGAAGTCCTCATGGAAGATAAGGTGGGTTTTCCCCCTCCTAGCGACATGAATTCTGGTCGCTTCTAAAACTCTTTTCCTTGATCAGGCAGAGAGAAGGGCGCTCATAGTGGGTCTCTACGCTGTTTCTCTGTTTGTCGCTGGCAAATTCGACGAGGCGATCGAAGTCTTCATCGAGCTTGAAGCCAACCCAGCAAAGGTTGTTGCCCTCTATCCCTCGGAGATTTCAGGATCCCTGGCAAGAGAACAAGACCAGTGGTTCGAGCTTTTCGGAGGTCGACAGAGGGTCAACGCGCAACGCGATGGCGCTTCCGAGATGAATGTCACGGCCTCTACTTCCGTGCCAATTACCAAGGACCGCTCGAGATTGACAGGTCTTTTCGGGCGGCGACCTCAGAGCCTCGTTGCAGCAGACTCGCTACCCAGCTCCAACTCCAGCCCCGCTAAAGGCCCTGCTGGGCATCTCAAAGCGGCCGGCACATACGAAGATGACGCCTGTTCGATACAATCAAGTAAGTCTCGTAAGAATGTAATCGAGCAGCCCGAGGCTACCGTCAGCAAGGAGGAACAAGACAGGTATCGAAGATCGACTGACGCGCTCAGCCGCTTCTTGGCCGACCGTCGAAGAGTCTTCAAGTCACTGCTTGAGACAAAACCAGATCACTCTCATCACCAGATGCCACGCAACGACGAATGGCTTCTTCAAATCCCTTCGAAACCGCTCGAGGTCCTCGATCTTGATCAGCTGGTCGCTGTAGCGCAGACTGTGGATACTGCCCTTTTCAAGACCTTCCTGTTCACAAAGCCAGCTCTTCTCGGTCCCCTCTGCCGTTTGGAGAATTATTGTGAGGTGGAGCAGGTTGAGGGTCTTCTTATGGAGCGCAAGGTCAGCTGTCTCGGGATAAAGGAGCTCTTAAGATGGAAAAGTCATTAATTCATTCTACCCACCCGGACAGAGATTCTCGGAGCTCATCGCCCTATATGGAACCAAGGAGCTCCACGAAAAAGCACTAGATCTTCTTCGCGAGTGAGTTCTGTCGTCATCTTGGACGAGATCCTGTGGACTCAAAAGGTGTTGCCTTTCATCCAGATTTAGCAATGAAGAGGACGATGTGGAAGAGAAGCTTGGTCCGACCATCAGATATTTACAGAACCTGGGACCAGAGCACATCGATATTATTCTCAAAACCTCGCATTGGGTACTAGACGTCAACAGTCAGCTTGGCATGGAAGTGAGTGTTACATTTTTGAAAATTCTGATAAGGAACTGACACAATCTCCAGATCTTCATGGCCGACGCGGGCAAGGTATCGCTCCTCCCACGATTTTCCATCGTTGCCGACTTAGAAGAATTCAACGAGGATCTTTGCCTGCAGTACCTGCGCCACCTGATTTACGTCGCGGGGGAAGGCGATCCTCATCTTCATGAGAAGCTCGCCTTGATGCTTCTTCGTAGGGCCCTCGAGCAGCAAGAAGCCGACCAACGCAAATTGAAGGTAGACCAGCTTCTAGCTTTTCTCCACTCTTCCCAACAATACCGTACCGAACGCATACTCAGTCGGTTGCCGGCCGACAATGGAGATCTTTTCGAAGTTCGAGCTTTGCTCTTAGGAAGGCTAGGCCAACATGAGGGCGCCCTCGGCATATATGTGCATAAATTGGGAGATCACGAAAAGGCCGAAGCTTACTGCGTTCGGACTTACGAAATGGGTCAGGCCGAAGACGTCTTTCTCACGTTGCTTCGCATCTATCTCCGCCCAAGAACCGAGGACGAGGCAAATCCCGGCGATTCTCTCATGCTTGCGCTTGCCCTCTCTCTGATTGCTCGACATGGCGCTCGCATCGACTCGGTAGCCGCCCTCGACCTTTTGCCTCCCTACGTCAGCTTATCCCAGGTTACACGTTTCTCAAGCAAGGCCTTGCATCAACTTGAATCCAAGCGCAACCATAGTGCCATTACCCGACACGTCCTCGAAGAGAGAGCTTTGCAGACCAGCGAAATTTCGGCCGTGCTTCATAGCAGGCGTGTGAAAGTCACAGAAGCCAGATTGTGAGCTTAGACCAATCACTTGGATTCTGACCATCACTGACTTGAGGACATCTGTCAACAGATGCTCTCGCTGCCTGAAGCGTCTCGGGAACAGTGTCATCGCCGTTGGTACAAGTGGGGATGTGTATCATTACTCTTGCCGTTAAGTACCCTCGATTGTTCACGACTTCCAAGGCTCAAGATTACAAGAAGTTGCATTCCATGAAACTAACCACTGAAGGAGAGGATTAAATTTGTTCCCGCTACCTTCATCCAGGCGTCAGTGTAAAGTTTCAAGCTTTCAATCAGGATCCTTCCCTGTCCGCATGCCGAGACGGCCTACTTTGTTCCTTGCTTTGCCTGATGAACGAAAATGTCCTTCAAAGGCAATACTGCTAAGCACTCTTGCCGTTGATGGCGAGGAGCTCGACGTCGAAAATTAGTGTCGAATTGGCAGGAATGACGGGGGGATAACCACGCTCTCCGTACTGGTGGTGTCACGGCGGCTTGAGTTATCTTTGACCATCTGACCCGCTAACAATGGCACTCACAGCGTAGTCGGGAGTGGCGGTCAGCCTTGCCTTCTGGCCAAGCGAGAGTTTAGGAACTGCCTCATCCTAGAATCTCAGCGGATTAGTTGTTTGTCCCTCCAAGACTTTTAGTGAGATCTCACCCAAGCCTTGATGACCTGACCGACACCAATCTTGGTCTGCCAGAAGATCTCAAGTTCAGCGCTCACGAACACGATACAGAGCCCACATGTTTCTCTTACCTGGAAAGGAGACTTGCGGTCGTAGGACGAATCAAACTTGGCCCCAGAAAGCAGGGTACCGTGGTAGTGAATAGTTACAGTATCACCAGGCTTGGGGTAATTCTTGCCATCTCCGGGCGAAATTGAGTCGATGGTGACACCCATTATGATGATTATAACCGAGGGGAAGAGAAAGTGGTGGAGTAATTGCGGGAAGCGAGACGAGCCTAGCATTGTAGAACGAGCGTGCCGATTTCCCGCTCGCGTGGAACAATGCACACTGCGCAACATTACGCAATTTTCAATCCTACAAACTAAACGACGCTCCTAAAACGGACACATTGCACCGTTCGTCGTTGGTAGTCGAATCGCATAGACGTAGCGCAGTGTGATAACAGTAGAGCGGTCAAGGAGGTGGTCGCTGTAGAAGAACAAATAGGATCCGAAGGCGAGAGCAAATCGTGAGGTCAGCCCACCCTTAAAGAAGGATTATGCACCCTGTGAGTAAATGTAAGAAGACTTCGTCTAGCAGCCTCGAGTCGGAAAGCTCACACAGAAGCTTCCATCTGACAATTAGCACCTCGCCAACGACAAGAAGTTGCGTGGGTATCTGGGAAACTGAACAGCACAACTGAGCCTACCGCGTACTCACAGCCAGAGCAGATTGCGGAGAGCTAATTCAACGGCTCCAAGAATGTCACGAGCACGGCTTTTGGAACCGTCTCCTCGGATCTTGCAACGGCATTAAAGAAGAGCTGAACCAATGCCTCCGTGAAGAGGTAAGCTTGGACCCCCATTCGTATATCGCTTTCTTATTGACCCGTTCTACGTAGCGCATTGCCCGTACTGCGAGAAATCGCGAGGAATCGCGAGCACAACGTGAAAGGACCCGCCACCTCTGGAAAGCCATAGAAGACCAAAGCTAGCTAGCTCTGAGGCGTGTTCGAGATCTGAATTATTCGCCTCACAAGCCCATCAAGCTAGGGTGTATTGTTATCTTAAAATTGTACAGTACAGTACCAATTTGACAACCAGGCCTTGCTTCCTGTCATCTTCAAATTATAGCATCTTCCACCCTGATCTTGACTCAGGGAAGATACGTCGGTTTCAAGTAAATTCATCGTCGCTAAGTTGAAGAGAGGACGTTTTGCAAAAAGGGGTGCACGGACCAAGAGCTTTTCTAGGTAGCGTGCTATTAGGGAAGGAAATCATCTCTCACCACCAATGTCCTCCATTCTGCGCTTCCCACAACGCATCTCATCCCCCCGTACGGCCCCGATCACCCGTCAATTTTCGTCCATACCCCCTTTCTATCCAACACTGCCTGTCGAAATCAGGGATGGCTTTGCCTCTCCAGAAAATCCTCCCGACATTAGAGTCGACCACCTCATTGTAGGCGGAGGTGTCGTTGGCCTGGCTGTAGCGCGGGCGCTGACGAGACGATGGCCGGACAAGACCACCTTCTTGGTGGAACGCCATGAGCGTGTAGGAGAAGAGACGTCATCACGTAATTCCGAAGTGATACATGCGGGCCTCTATTACCCTCGAGAATCGCTTAAAACGAATCTCTGCCTGCGAGGACGAGATCTGCTCTATGATTATTGTCGAGCGAACAAGGTACCGGTCAAGCAGCTTGGGAAGCTCGTTGTTGGGCCGCCGACTTCAAAGGAGTATCTGCAGGGCGTCCTTGCACATATGCGATCCCTCGACCAGGAGAAGGATCAGAATTGGGGCTCGAGAGTCGTTGACGGAAAGAGAAGCGCTCCTCCCCTAGTCCTGCTTAGCGGGAAAGAAGCTAGAGGCATCGAACCGGACTTGGGAGAAGGGGTTGGGTGGGCATTGCATAGTCCAAAGACGGGCATCGTCAATTCACACGAGCTCATGGCCAAGTTAGAGCAAGACATCCTTAACTCAGAAGGGGCCGAGATCGTGTATGACACCGCTGTCGTAGGCCTAGCACCCAGTTCTGCGAGCCTAAGAAGTACCACAGGAAAGAGAGGAGGCGACGGATCAGAACAAGGCTGGATCGTACAGACGAAAACCGAAGGACAGATCGACACTCTCTTGGCGAAAGTCGTCATCAATGCTGCTGGACTCAACGGCCCCGCAGCCCTAAATTCCTTGCTAAGAGACGGATATCTGAAAGGGGGCAGAGAGGATCGCATTGGTGCATGGATTAGCAAAGGAAACTACGCCAGCTACTCCAAATCCAAAGGTGGAGTCGACAGAGTCAGTCGGCTCATCTATCCAATTCCCGATATGGGTAAATCGCAGAAAGCGCTCGGGCAGCATCAGGGGTTGGGCAGTGAGTCAATCTATGGTGGCCTTTCAAGCTGTAAGCAAGAAGTTCTCAAGCCCTTCGTCAGCACACCTCACCCTTGACATGGACGGAAACATTCGCTTTGGACCCGACACCGACTGGCTCTACCCTCCTAACACGTCCTCGGATCAGATGCAGGACTGGTGGTCTTCCAGCTTGGTCGCCCTGCAGCCGTCGCCTTATTCACAATCGAGATTGAGCGAGGAAGAACGTCTGGATGCGATGCATGCCAGTGTCTCTTCCTTTCTCCCGGGAGTCTCGCGGCATGGGCTATCTCCCGACTATGCGGGCCTCAGACCAAAGCTTTGTGCACCCGGTGATGGATTCCGAGACTTCGGGATATTATGGCATCGCAGCGAGAATCTGGGTATGCAGACAATCTGGCAGGAAGCTCTTACCCGAGAGGTAGGGAAAGGCGACCCGTTTTGGCAAGGACCGGAGATAGCGCAAAAGGAGCGAGGTGGAGCGATGGTCACGCTTTGCGGGATTGAGAGCCCTGGATTAACATCCAGCTTGGCCTTGGCAGAAATCGTTCTTAAGCTCGTGGGTGCAAAGATGTGGGCCGAGAAAGTAGATGATGTCAACCACCCCCCAAGACCAAAAGGAGCAAGAAGCGAAGAGCTAGGTGCTCTAGAGAATTGGGCATGAAGACTTCCAAGGCTGAATGCTGCACAGGCACAGCAATCACAGCTTCAGAGTCACATAACAGGTTGGCTTGTAAGCTTTGACATGGCATTTTTGGCGTTTTTTTACAAATTTAACTTTCCATTTTGATTCTAAATCATCGCGTTTAAAAGCATAAAAGTCTCAAAAGGAAAAAAAGGCACACTTACCTGACAAAAACCCGAGTTTGATCTCATCAGAAAAAAGACCGTTAAAGAAAATAAGATATATTTGCTACATTACATGTCTCAACTAGGGGAATTATGTCGATCCGTCCATTCCGCTGATATCTATGAACTGTACTTAAGTATCTTGCTCTGCGGTCGGCGAAGAAGCGGTCGCAGCGATCATGCGATCGAGGAGAAATCTCACGACCTCTTCCTGATTATTCATTTGTGCCTCGCTCATCGGGCCTCTGCCTGCGGCGTTGACGACATCCCAAATACTCCTCCTTTTGGCTTCGTCCTCTTCCTCACCATCCTCGTCTTGCTTTGAGACTGCTATCCCTTGTTTGTTACCCTCTGTTTGCGACGCTAGTCCCTCGATCGTATCGATGAGAATTCGTACAACCTCGAGTTGTCCATTGAGAGAAGCCCAATGCAGCGCCGTGTTTCCGCTCTTGTTAGCTCGTAGGAGATAGGCCAGCGCAACGACTTCCTGTTCTCTTCCTTCTGCTTTTTGCTGCAAGAGCAACTCCACGAGACGTTTGATGAGACTGGAATGTCCATTGGCTGATGCGTAGTGCAATAAGGTGTTTCCCGTTTCAGGATCTTGTATCTGCCGAACGAGGTCGCCCATCGTAGCACCCGTTAGGAGAGAGCGAGAAGAGTGACGTTGCAACAGCGCAATCAGTTCGTCGGTGTCGCCAACCCGAGCCAGGAGAATAGCGTCCTCTACATCGTCTGCTGCCAGGACCAATAGGCTCCCTTGCGTACCGTCGTGCATTGTCTCTTCTCGAGATTTCTTTGCCCTTGAAATGACGCGAAGGAAAAAAAAAAAAAAAAAAACATGAGGAATCCAGGTTCACGTGCACCTGTGACTGATCCGACTCCCGATGTGCACCCAATGGCGGGCGTCGCTTTTCCTCCTGAGGAGGGATATGTTTCTCCACGATCGTCAACCCAACAGGACAGTGATCCATTGGGGGCTTTCAATTTTGTGTTTGCGCTCGACAATGGGATTGAAAAGGAGAGAGAGCAACGAATAACAATTGGTGACCTCAGAGGGATAGCTTGAATGAGCAACTAGTCATAAAGGACACCGCTTCCTACTTGAGAGCCTCGAGCACATTGCCTGCCTGGGTGACAGTAACATTCGGGGCGGCATCCTCGACGAAGATCTGCGAGACAACATTGTCGTCTACGACAGCTACGTATCGCTGCGAGCGGAATCCGCCCAGGAGACCTGAGGCGTCAAAGCCCAGGCCAACGTCCCTAGTGAAGGCTCCAGTGTCGTCGGCAAGGATGTGAACGATCGGCGAGTTGGCTCCCAACTGAAGAAAAATCGTTTCAGCTCCAAGCCTCTCACATTCTTGACTTGAAGTCCACATCAAAAACTCACCTTCTCTTTCCAAGCCTGGGTCGTGAAAGCGTCGTTTACGGCAACAACATAGATGTTCTTGATGCCTTTCTGGGTGAACTTGTCCGCTTGCTCGACATAGCCAGGGACGTGCGATGAGCAAGGGGGCGTGAAGGCGCCCGGAACGCCCACGATGAGATTCTTTCCCGAAAGCTTGTTGAGGAAGACTGTTCCCTCTTCAGGATTGTCTTCCTTGAGGGCGACGGTGGAGGTAATCTTGCTGCCAGATGCAAGCGCCTTGTTGGTTGCTTGCTTGACCTTGTCAACAAGTCCAGCCATTGTGTGATGGATTAGCGTGAGGATTAAGGTCAGTGGGGCTGATGAGGAAGAGTTAGGACAAAAATTTCGTGCCATTTACAACCCTCCCCCCTTTTTATATACCCTCAAAAAGCAACCCTTTCGCTCTTCTTTGATGGTGTGACCTGGCTCGTTGCCTGCTTCTAGCTTTTCATCCACATCTATAGCCAATAATTGAGGGTTGTCGAGGGCTCGAGGCCCACAACTTCTGTCCCTTCGATGTGGAGAACCCACCTGACGTTATTTTGCAGGTCCGTGCTCGCGCTTGAAGACCAAATGCCGGCTGTAGCATCAGATTCGGCAGTAGCGAAAGGGCAGAATAATAGAGGGTTAAGGCGCTTAGCGGAAGAGGGGCGCACTGGGTGATCTCTCGCTGAACATTTGCAAAGCCCGGCAGGTCGAGACGTTGCAAAAGAGACGGTTGGCGCCGATGCGATGTGCTGTACAGAAATGATACAATTATCAACACTTAAACTATATTCAAAATTAGTAAAGGAATAATAAACGAAGAGATTAAGCAAAAGGAAGTCGGACCTTCGAGCTCTAGCTCTTCTCCCTTCATCGAACGCTACTTGTCACTGATCTGAGGCAATGTGCAGCACAGCCAGTGAAGATACAAATGGATCGAGCCGCTTTCTCCGCGATCTTGACAGGAGCTGCTGCGTACGTCAATTGCACCGGAGACCTGAATGTCTGCTGAGGATGTTGGCCTTTGTTCTGTCAGCATACATTGCAGTCCCATCCGCTTCAGTACGCCTCGAAAATCATCTTGAGGGTTGCGCTCGTCAGGGAAGGCCCTCGATATGTAAGCAAATGCATAGGGGGTGTGCATGATTTTGGCGTCCATTGCATCGCGGATGAGGAATTCAGTCTGCAAGATGTCGTGCAATGGGGCCAGAAGCCATCTTCGCCCGAGAGCATCAGCCCTCATACGCGCACTAGTCTTCTAAGCATCTCCAAGCGCGATCGCAAGGATCACATCCTCTTTCAATGGACCAGCCTGGAGTCTGAGCACAAGGGTAAGCTAATGCGCCGAAGCTCTGGTCGTCAAAGCGCTATAGAGATTGAAAACCTTCTAGCTTGTGAAGTATTGCTGGAAGGAGAGCCTTGGGCCGAGGAGCCTCTTCTGACCAAGAAACCGTGCACGTCGACGAGCGGTTCCGTAGCAACAGTACCAGAATATTCTCTCGCTATCGAATTAGCAGGGCGTCGGCAATCCGTGAACAGTGTCAGCACAGAAGAGAGGTCTGTAAAAGACCTGCCGTGAGTTTCTACGAAGAGGCCCGTCCTTCTCACAGCTCACCTCTTCAGACTCGTAAATTTCTCGACAGTGATTTAATGAATACAGTGCGTAGCACAAAGGAGGCTCCAAGAGATGCAATGTGCAGAGTTATCGATCTCGCACGACGCCTCGATGAGTTGGAGCTTGACATTTTCGCCCCATTCCTGGCGGAGGGACCGACTGGGAGGAACCTCATGCACACGAGGACAGCTCAGTAGGCTTCGTGCCAAGAACGTGGGGTGCTCAATGAAGAAAACACTTGCGTGTTGCACCGAGTAGTACAGACGCATCTCTGTGCCATGGCAAGTCTTGAATGGTTGCAGAAGCTCAGAGGTATCAGGTCAAAGTGGGACAAGAGAATGGTGAAAGACAATGCAGAAATGTTCGCTTACAAGGACAAGCATACGTAGTACTACTACATCTAGCTAAAGACTCAAACAGGTTCAGCATCTGCGTACAGTACAGTATGCCAAGCGGAGCGAGAAACTCGTCCAGCCAACAATTTCACAAGACTTCCAAAAAATGCATTTTGAGCTTCAAGCAGTCTACAGGATCATCGCAAAAGTCCCATGACCTTATTAAGATAGTCCGAGCTTTGACAACGGCTTCGTTCTAGCCGATCCAACTCCTTCGTGTGGATGCCATCCAAATAAATGCAAAGCCTCATGCGACACTAGGTGAAGAGCCAGGCAGACATTGGACAGATGTCTTTAAAGTTGTTTTCTTTTCGGAAGAGATATCGAGAGTACAATATGTTTGTCTAAAAATGTCGTGTCAAGCAATCACATCAACTCGCCTCCTCTTCCTCCCATCTTCAGCAGCCGTCTCTTGATTGGAAAGACTAGATCGGCGCTGATCTTTTGCCTCGTCCTCGGTGTATACCCTCACAGCGTGCAGAATGGCACCCCCGGTGCTACTTGTCATCATCTCCGGGTGCATTCGCCCTGGTAATACCTGATATTTGCGCAGCCATGGCTCCGATACGCTAACGTTGATGAGGTTGGGTAGCAGGCGAAGGCGAGCATGGGCCTCGATGAGTGGCTGTACGAAGGGCGAGTGAATGACGATGTTCGCTGAGCCAGCGAGCTTGGGTAAGAGGCGCTCAACAATCGACGTGGGTTCGTAGCCACAGCAGATGACGAGGGCATCCCACTCTCCCCTTAAAAAGTCTCCTCGAAGCTTGAGAAGACCGTTGAGGGCTGCTTGCCTTTTGCGCATCCGTTGTCGATCACGATCTGTAGCTGGGCGACCCGTTGGAGTTGTTATGGGCTCGCTCATCGCAGTCTGAGGTATTGTGGAAGATGTCGTCGGCGTTCCGTGTGCAGGGCTCCAGCCCTCGTCTATCGAGGCCCAATGCAGCGATCTCAGGACAGGGTCTACGACCTGGCTAGGCAGGTTGAAGTGGGAGAGCAGGTCAAAGGCGGGTGGAGAGTCGGCATCGTTCAGGGCCAACAACCTTCCCTCACCCCCCATTCGCTCTAGCATGGCGCCTGCGAGCAGTCCTCCCACTCCATCGACGACGAGATATCGACCGCCAGGGGCGATGCCAGCGAAGCTCAATGTATGGGCCAGAGCGTCAAATCGCAGACCCCGCACCTTTTCAGAGTCTTTTTCGAAGTTATATTTTGCGAGCGTTGTCAGAGTTGAAGGGATCGGAGTGAATAGGCGCAAATGCTTGGCCTCTTTCTTCAAGGTGTATTTCTGTTGCGACCACGCGGTGCGTTGGGCGAACGACGTCGAGCCTTCCTTTTGCTTCTGCACAATGTCCTTCCCTTCCATGCCTGCTTCTTTCAGCGCCTGAATGTCTAAGTAGGTGAGGGCCTGTGCATTGGCGCCATCGTCGATATTCTCGTTTGTCGCACTCGTTTCCTCTGTCGAGCGGGTGTAAAAAGAGGTCAGTTTTTGCAGGAGCAGCAGATCATCTTCGCCTCTCACCAAGTTCATCAAGATTGCTGCTGACCACAACGCGTAAAGCACCGACTGGTCCAGGTCCGATCTCGAAGGTGAGTCCAAAGGGCAGACCGATGATGTCGTCGGCCCGAAATGAGCCAAATTTCCCAAGCGAGACAAGCTTGCCCGGGTGCAACGTGACGGCCTTGAGCTTGTCGTTTGGTAAGCGAAGCAGGAGAGCTTGTTTAGCAGGTATGTGCGTCAAGCGTCTCCTGAGAGCGTCTGAAGGCAGCCCTCCTCCCCCATTACTCTTGCCTCTTGCCTGTCGCGACAATTGCTCCATCGTCAAAGATGATGGACTTTGCTGAGGTTGCTTGAAGGTTTTGAGCGCGGAATTGAAACGAAATTGAGGAAAAAAAAAAATTTAAGGTTGGGGAGCTGATGATTCCCGAAAAAAAAAGAGAATTTCTGCGACAACTACAAGATTCGAACTTGTGCAGGCAAAGCCTAAGGCATTTTCCTGGGTTAGAAATTTCAATGAAGTCTTCTAATACCTCCCCTTAGACCAACTCGGGCAAGTTGCCTCTATATTCTTACTCTAGAAAATAAGATAGTATATATCCCCAAAAATATCCAGGAAGGCTTTTGCTACAAAATTCCGTCTGATGCGAGCGAGCAAGGTGATGATGCACCCTTTGCACTGCTATGATACTCCAATTCAAGTCGTTCAAGAGTTGCTGGATTTTCTTTTCCTGTGAAAAAGACTCTTGCCTTGAGCTCACGCATTGCAGCCCTCGGTCGTCACTTTCTTGTGTCTCTGTTCCGCCTGTCCATAATCCTTTTGTGGCGCTCCTCCCCCCCCCCCCTTTTTTTTTTTTTTTTTTTTTTGGGGGGGGGGGGGTTGAAAACTTTAGTTGGAGCAGATCAGAAAAAAAGTTCTTTCGACGCACAACCAAGATCAGAGCGCCGAGCATGAAGCTCAACGCCACGGACCTGCGATATCTCGACGCCGATGCGTTTCGGGTGCTAAAGGCCGTAGAGACAGGCTCAATAACACACGAAGTGGTGCCTACGCGGCTCGTCGCACAGATATGCGGCCTCCAACACTCTGGGCTTACCAAAATCATGGGTGATCTGGCCAAGCGAGGCCTCGTCGGACGAGAACGTAACATCAAGTACGACGGGTATCGCCTCACGTACGGAGGATACGACTGGCTTGCCATCAAGGCCATGAGGGATAACGGAAGCTTGCTCGGGGTCGGGACAAGGGTCGGCGTGGGAAAGGAGAGCGACATCTACTTGGCCGAGTCGATTGGCCCACCAGGTGACGACGATGGGGAGAAAGGGGAAGGAGTCTCTCCGCCAGCGAGGACAGTAGTGCTCAAGATGCATCGTCTGGGACGAATCTCGTTTCGCAAGATCAAAGAAAAGCGAGATTACCTGAGCAACAGAAAGACCTCGCCTAGCTGGATGTTCCTCAGCCGCCTGGCTGCAAAGCGTGAATGGGACTTCATGCAGGCTCTCTTCCAACACGGGTTCCCTGTGCCCACGCCTCTGGCACAATCCCGTCATTCAATCCTCATGTCGCGCATCGATGGGTTCCCTCTACGGCAGATAGTGGATCTTCCCCATGAACACGTGGCCTCCCTCTACGGTTCGCTCATGACCCTCATCGTTCGATTGGCTCGGGCTGGTCTGATACATTGTGATTTCAACGAGTTCAACATCATGGTGCGTGAGATCAGAAGGGACGATGACGGCAAAGAGAATGCTGGAGTTGAGGACGATTACGATGGTGATCGAAGCGTATTTCAGCGAGGCCTGCGACTGCGAGGTCAAGATCCGGAGGCAGAGCAAGATTATGTGCTCAGACCTGGCGAGTGCATAGAGAGAGGCAAGGGCTTTGAGAGGATTTACAGAGCCCCAGCGATCCGCCACGATGACGATCGAAATGATGGCTTCCGGAGCGGTGACGACGATGAAGACGGTATAGACCAAGACAAGGGCGAGAGCGAAGACAGTTGGGAAGGAGAGGAGAGCGATTCTGACGTCGGGGATGGAGCTAATAATGAAGGCCTTCGAGTAATTCTCAAGGACGGCTCTTTGATCGAGCCTATTCTCATTGATTTTCCTCAAATGATCAGCGTCGAGCACCCCAATGCTGAAAAGTGAGTGACTAGCACTAAAGAAGAAAGAGAAGAAGGGAAAGGGAGCATGTCACTAAAGAGACGCCATCACACTCCTAGTTACTTTGACCGCGATGTCGACGGAGTTCGTTCATTCTTCGCCAGGCGTTTCCGCTTCCACTCCGACCGTTATCCACGATTCGCTGATGTCGTCGAGTCGCAACGCGGCGAACGACGAGAGAAGAGAGACAAGCTCGTTTCTCGCAAAGTCAAGGCCGGTCTCGAGCTTACGAATCGTGACAAAGGCAATTTGGGCCTGGAATTGGACGTTCTGACGAAAGCGAGCGGATTGGGGGGCAAAGGCAAAGGCCAGAATGTGCTGGACACGCATCTCACAAGCCTCAATATAGCTCAGGACGATGACGAGGACATGGAAGAGGAGCAAAGAAGCGAACATGAGGAAGCCGAATTAGAGCGGCACGAGAGTGCAGAATATGCAGAAAGATTAGAAGAGGTGGGACAAGAAGATGACTTTGTCGATGAACGAGGCGCTCTGATCAAGATGCGAAAGGACAAGATTCCTTCGAAAGGAGCCGCTTTCAAAATGGCTGCCGATGGGGACGAGAGAGGCGTGCAACTTCGCCTGCTTTCAGAAAGTCAGCGTCGTCAACGTAAGGATGAAAAGCACCATGGCAAGAAGGCTCAAGCGACCAAAGTAGGCAGGCAATGGCGAGGTGGCGGTGGCAAGGGGAAGACGAGCGACAGGGCCCTCATCAATAATTCAGTGCAATTCTAGACCAGCGTGGGCAACCATCTGGCGAGGCGTGCTAAGGAAGCTGAGTATTTATACAACGTCGAAAAAGGCGCAGATTGTAACCTGTGTGGCAGTGGCGATGCCTCGTCCATCCTTGAGCGGAGCATGAGCGCAAAGATGAGCGAATCTTGCCGGCATCTCGTCGATGACCCTCTTGGCATTGGCCGATAGATTCACTGGTGGCATGCACACGGTTTGAGCAGCAGAAGGCAAGGCCGAGGAGGGAAAAACCTGCACTTACGCTCGGAACCAAGAGGCGGCAGCGGCTCTACGCGTACTTTGGGTCTCGCATGCCCCCACTGGTCAAAGACGATGGCAAAGATGATGGCCAAGCGTGCTCCTCTGCTCAGAAAATCCAGGCTCAGTCATAGGGTAGCGTCAAGAGGTGGTCATTCTCTCTCACTTTGAGTTTTGTAAGACTAGTCTCTCGCTCACGCGGGGATCGACGAGCCGACGGAGGCTAACGGTGTCGAGCTCCTGATGATCAGAATATAGACCTCCAAGCCCCATTGTCTTGATGTGCCTTGATGCCAGGTCTGGGTAGCTCGCAGCGACCAGGCGCATCAACCCGAGACGCGAACGAGCGAGGCTGGGTAGCGTGCGCAAGGAAAGCAGGAGCGCTCCGAGGTCCGCCTGTCTAATGACTCTGTGATCGAGGCCCGTCCAAAAAGTTTGTCAGACTGTGCTGATGTACAACTTCTCCTTTGAGGTTGTCTCATTCAATTCTCACCTCTCAACGTGCCGTCTTCCTAGGGCATCTCTGATCTCGTCGCAGGTTCGAAATCGAAGAGCATTGATTCGAGGGCCGGGCTTAGCACCCTCTTGCTCCTCGACCTCGACCTCAATGGCAAAGTCCCCCAAATCACCCGGCAGGATCCCCTTCACTGTAATGGTCCGAGCGACAAGGTTGGGCTTCGTCTGTCGAATCGATTCCGACGATTTCAAAGACTCGAAGTCGATGGTAGAGAACTCAGACAAGGCGTCAAGCTGCCCTCCAATACGATGGTCTTAACCTTTGGTACATCAATCCTCAAGAGCAACCATCACTCACCAGTTCCTGTGTTCTGTGCTTCCTCTCCTCGAGCTCCCGGACCAGCGCGTATTGCCGCTCATCTCTTGAGGCCGTTTCGACCTTTGACATCTGGTTGACCTCCTCATCTACCTTGGAAGCCGGCCCCGAACCTTCGACTCCAACTGACAAGACGGGCGCGGAGACTTGCGGCTTGTCTGGTGGAAGCCAAGCCAAGAGCTTTTCGAGCGCAGATTGTCTCGGCTTCGTCAGAATTATTGCTCTGTGCACATTGGTCAGGGCTGCTCGCTGCGAGCAAGTTTTCCAATTGTAGAAAGCTAGTACTCACAAGGTATCCTCGTCGAGGCCCTGAAACTCTCTTCGCAATGCTTCAGACTGATGTAAATCGAATTGTTGCTCCCTCAAATCGGGACCTTGGCCGCTTCGTGTGTCCTCCTCTTGAGCTTGCTTCTCGAGATCCACTATCTCGTTCTCAAGGATTCGAATCTCTGCGAGACAACGCGCAGCATCATCTCGTGAGGCCGACTTTCTCCCCCTGGCCTTTGCATTTGTCGACAACTCACCATCAGCCATGCGAGTCGGGAGACGGGCGCCGAACTCTTGCGGAACCATGGATGCCCTTTCAGCCATTCCACGGCTCCTCGTTGGCGATGACGGGCTTTCGTCTGGCTCTGTGCCGCCATTTGCTTGCAATGAAGAGGAAGCAAACGAGTCGGACATTAGTGGTGAGGGAGGGACCCGTGTGGCGCGCTCAATGCGACGCGTCTAGCTTTTTTTTTCCCGCGCCTGGTTGCTGTGTTGCTTCCAGGCATTTTAGTGTCATCTCGTCGCTCCAGACGAACAGAGTTTACATTCACTAGACCATCACGAACCCCGACACAACTACGATAATATCCCCTCTGACCTTCTTCATGTATTTTCGCAAGTTTAGGGCTTGATGCTGGAAAATGGGATGAACGTGAATGGTTTCGTGTAGTGACACGGAGGCACCTGCGGACGTCTGTCCAGAAGTGCATGAAGCCTCCTCGTCAATCGCGGTAAGTTGCAGCCTCCTCCCAGCCTCATGTCGAGGGTCAATTTGTCTCTTACTTACTCTTCTCTTGTTTTCCTTCAATTCTCAAAAGCGAGCACTTCGAGGGCTGAATGTCAAGAGGCGAGGGCGTGAGGTATCGCAGGCGACACTCGCGGCCTTAGGCCATGCCCCGAAAAGCACCTCACCTTCAACGTCAGCCATTCAACACCCGAAGGCCAGTACGAAATCTGATTTATCAAGACATCCCTTCTTCTTCTTGTAGAGTCCGATGTGTCCTATTGTTTTCTCTTCTAGACCAACGTCATGTGACGGCGCCTGCGACAGTGCTTCCTCCATCACTATTGCTTGCTCGACCCGAGCTCTGTATCGAGTCATTAAGCATCCTCAGGCTGTGTCTTGCTTGGTTCGAGTCCTGCGCAGGCTTGAAGATACGAAGGGTCCGGTAGGATGTTGCTTGCTCGGTCCCAGGTCGCACCGAGTCTTGCCCTAAAGCCCGAGGGCGTCGCGTATGACACGCCCTATGCCATTAACAGACACCGCCTCTTCGAAAGTCTATCTACTTAAAGAGAAAGCTGAGCATCGCAAACCATCTTTTGTCCTTCCTCAAGAAATCGACCTTGAGAAGATGTTAGTCTTCCTTCTCTTTGCGATTTTTGCTCTTTCTGTAGCGGCAGCTCCCCCGAAGGCAAGGCACACGGGTCAGACAGCCAACTCGCAGTCATCAGCTTCGCCGATCTCAACTGTATCGCTCGATCTTAGGCTCGGTCCCGCCCCTCAATGCGATGACTATGGCCATTCTGTCAGTAGAAGCAACCAACATGAAGCGATTGAGCACTTAGGAACGCAGCTTCAGTCACCAATTCACCGGCACTTTCATCCTCACTCCGAGCCCTATGCATATCAGGGTGATGGACCTCGCCAAACGCTTGAGCATGATTCGTTTCGGAATTGTCCGGCTCTTCATCCACAGGTTCGCCATCAAGATAATCCTCGGCTTGATCTCTACGGGAACCCGCTTGATGCTTATCACTACCAAGCGTCAGGTCTATTTGACGACTCGCCAGATTTTCAGCCAGTTTGTCAACAGCTTTGCCAGCTGATTCAACAGCACGAATCTCATCTTGGCACCCACGCTCATCCTTATTCCAGCCATCAGAACACCGAGCACACTCGCTCGCAGATTGACCCGCAGCTTCATCGGGCGCATCGGCTTCAAGAGGACGATCAAGCACGGCAACGCTTCACGCCTTCTTCAGAGAGCATCCGGCATCGCTACCAACATCTTCAAGCTCATGAAGGCAGTTCTAGAGTAATGCGAGCCGAGAAAAACATTGCGCAACATGCTTCTGGTACCCTCATTGGCAGTAGTAATGCGGAGACCCAACGAAATGTGCAAGAACATCATCGAAGCGGCGTAAGGGAAAAGGGTCGTGAAAAGGCAAGAGATAGAGGAAAGAGCCTCTTTCAAGGACACAGTTCGGCGTACACAGGGGATCAATCAGCCGGGCAGATGTCTGCGCACCGCCTGTCTCCAACGTCTCTGAATATGCCAATTCCCGGTATACCCTCTTGGATCCCATCTACTCACGCTTCCCAAATTCACAACATTATTCAAGAGTTGAAAGAATATCGTCGGGCCTTTTTGCGAAGACGCGACATACAGTTGCGCGCATCTCTCGCCCTTCCATACCGAGAAGAACAGCAAATGCTCATGAACCTCCGGAGCAAGCTGAAAGAGATAGAGGTCAAAAACCTTGATACACCCAAATCAGAAGAAGAGATTGACGAGCAGCTTGAGCGAGCAGGCGAGCTGATGGACTTCGCGAAAGGCGCAATGGGTCTCAGCAGTCGACTCGACGAATCGGACAGAAGCTTTCTCCATGCACTTCTCGGTAGGCTAAGGTCTACCTCATCAAAACCGGCGCAAGAGGTGAAGGCGCAAGAGGTGACAGCGCAAGAGGTGACAGCGCAAGAGGCGACATCGCAAGAGGTGAAAATGGAAGCTTCTAAGCGTATGATATCATGTTTGCCACTAGAAGAGGAAGTACAATGGATGAAGACAAAACTTGGGAGCCTGCAAACTCGTTTGGCGCACACAAGCCAAGAGAATAACGTCGCAGTGAGGGAGAAGGCATCTACACTCCTAGATATTGCGATACAGGCCTATGAGGACAACGACCCCTCGATCGGAGATGAAGAGCGAGAAATCCTAGGAGGAATCTTCACTAACATAGTGATACGAAAGAAGAGCCAATTGGATACGAAGCGACGCTCCTCGAAACTTGGTTTGAGACGTAGCGGAGATTTGAAGGCGATGCGAGATTGATTCATTATTATTTGGAATTTTGTCAAGCGTGACAGACTGAGATGACAGAAAAAAGGCTGTAAATGAGAAATCCATCCGACGGACGTGATAATGACTGCGGGGCAGTCGTCGCGACTAGCCCCTCGACGGCCATGACATGCGAGATGACGGACGATGCTTGGCCAGTCCGAGTGCTATACAACCAAGCAGCGCGATGCTTCCTGCAACGCAGACACCTCGAGTCACTCCTGTCGGCGCAGAGGGCCATCTCAAGTCTTGTCGATGAGGTTGCCTCCCCGTCATCAGACAAGACGGCCTTTCGGATGCAGCTCGTGGAAAGGCTCGTGATTCTCCGCATCACCATCTTGGCCACCCTCTACCGTCCTCCTCCGATCACGAGTCCCACTGTGACGGGGCTCGAGAAGCTCCTTTCATCGAAGGAAGAGGCATCGCTCGCAAAGGACTGCATCGAACTCCTCTCTCAGGAGCCAAATGCCTTCGTTGCGCGTCTTTGGTACTCTACGCTTGGCATATATCAGCGATTCTCGGTCCTGCCTCCAAGAGCTCCTCCACCGAGACACTTGGCGTCTGGTGGTCTGGATCGGATTCAGTCTTCGGTCGAAACGCAATCCACGGCCTTAAACCTCCCGGCAGCTGTCGTAGCAGCCGTCGTCATGGGTGCGTTGCGTATCGATGAGGAACAGCGCAATGCAGCAACATCAGGCCGACTGGACGCAAAGCCTCGATCGCTTCTGAGTCGAAAGGAGGCTCAGATGAGAGGCACCGATCCGTCGCTTGTCGCTTCAGCGCCAGCGGATGGGACACAGGCGGGCATCGCTTCTGCGAAAGCTATATGCGAATGGATCTTGGCAGCCCACTCTGCCGAGGGCGACTGGCCAGCAGGCACCGCGTCGCTGTCAGACATGCAGCGAAACCACCTCCGTGATCAGCACCATAGGGTGCTAACATTGTATACGCTCCACATTCTGGGCTCGCGGCTTCATCAGTGGGAATATGCGGGCGAGGTCGTTCGCTTGGCGACGTCCGTTGCGCACGACGGTGCAGAAGAGCACGTCGTTCAAGAACGCGCTGAATTGCTAAGGCAGCTTGATTCTGCAAAGGTGCACATTGAGACGAGGGGCGAGCGCAGGCGCGCGGCAAGCGAGCAGGCGAGGGCCAAGTGGGACGAAGAGAAGAAAAGGCGGGTGACCAGCAGCGTCGGTGGCGGCGGCGACCCTGGACAGGCGCAAGAAGGGACTCACGCCCAAGTCCAAGCCCACGCACACGCACATGCACACGCCTCGATGGAGAGGGCAAAGGTAGAGGACGCGAGGAAGAGGGCCGACAGGTCAAGAGAGAAGAGGCCGTCTAGCAAGAGAGTGAGCAGCGCAAGCGGCAGCAGCTCAGCCGGCAGCGAAGACGAGAGGGCCAAGAAGCCCCCCAGCGCGAGCACTGTAACTGACGCGACTCTCGGCGACTCGTTCGCTGACAAGCGCCAACACATTGCCGGCCATGCCTCGAGGCTTTCTTCCGCCAGAGGTCAGGAGGAGCACCGGGCCACAGTGCCCGCTCCATCGGCAAAGGGAACAAGCCGACATCAAGACGATGAGGCCGAAATGCGGCTGGGCATCTTTAGACGGTTGCTGCGGGCCAATCCTCTTGCTCTTGTTCGCTACCTCTCGGCCATTGTCGCAGCACTCTTCATCCTCCGACGAGCATTTATGCCAGCTAGACAACCGTCTGGGCCGTCTACTATCACAAGCTCCTCTTCCGACGCAAGCCAAAGGACAAGGGATAGGCTCAGACGCAGTAGGAGAGAAGAGCAGGGCTTTGTGTCGAGAGTGATCGCAAAGATGTGGGAGACACTGCGGATGGGCACCTCGGTCACCTACTTGTAGTAGTCTTGCCCCAATTCAATGCAGCTTTGTCACATTTCATCATTATCATCATCAATGTCGTCATCGTCATCGTCGTCATTGTCCGCAATGCGTCGCACGGGAAAGGCTCCTACGTCAACCTTGTCCGGCTTGACGAAGCCGCCGTGGCTTGGCTTCGCACTGAAGTAGCGGTGTCCTTTTATGCTTCCGTCGTTTTTCCCCACTGGCTCGTCGTATTCGATGCCGATCCAAGTGCCTGGAGCAAAAGCGGTGGGGCCCACGAAGCGAATAGTGCCCCGCCTCTCTCCTTCGATGACCTGGCAGCGAGCGCCTGGCTGCGCGTTTGATGGCAAGTCGGGCACATCGTTGACGTCCGAAGTAGCCGAAGCAGCTGCCTCACCGAACCGACCCATTTTCATCCGTTGCTTGTAAGCCAAGACCGAGTCTGCAACAGAGAAGAGATGGCCTTGTGAGCGTCGAACCTGTTGGTGTGAAGGAAAAAGGAGAGAGCACCTTGACGCTGGGCGTAGACCTCATCGTCCATCTCGTACTTTTCCACCTTTTCCTCCTCTTCCTGTCCAAACTGATGCCTGATTTCGCTCGCGCGCGTGTCGAGTACCTTGAGGCCCATTCCATCTCGAGCGCCACACTGCTCCAGCGTCATTGACGCCTCGCAAGAGAGACCATCCGCGGCAAAATCGTGGACCAGTCCGGGCCTCGCGTCCGCGTCATCGGTGCGGCCCGACCACAGGGAAAGTCGCTGAGAGTCGGACGGGATGCCACTCAGCAGTTCGATGCGAGCGCAGACCTCTGACAGAGCGCTCGTCGAGGCAAGGCGCCGTTCGGAAACGATGGGCACGGTAGGACAGTGGACAACGAGGAGCACTGTCGGCATCGACATGGTGGCTCACGACGAGTCAAGGAGCAGCGGCAGGGTATTGAAAGGAAGTTGGTCAAGGATTCATGGCGTTATCATGTCTCTGGAGAAAAAGAACAGGGCTGAAAGAGAACGTGGGAGGGAACCAGAGAGATGTAATATTGTTAAGTGTAAATTAGACTTGAGCCTGAGCCCACAAAATAATAGAGGGTTAGCAGAACAGTCGGGTGGGATGGACGCGACGGACAAGAGTCCGGGCACCCTTGATTTTCGAGAGCTAACGAGTCACTTTCGCAGGAGGAAGAAGCACAGGCGGCGATTTCACGACTACCACCACCATCATGACGAGCCGCTGGACACCGTCAAGCTGGCGCACGAAGACTGTTGCCCAGCCTGTGCAGTACCCTTCTCAAGAGGCTCTGTCGGACGTGACAAAGCAGCTTGTGTCGCTGCCCGGTCTCGTGACGCCGTACGAGATTCAGTCCCTGCGCAGGCAGCTGCGAGATGTGGCCCAAGGAAAGGCCTTTCTCCTCCAGGCCGGCGACTGTGCCGAGCTCTTCGCCGACTGCACCCCGGCCAAGATTGAGGAGAAGGTCAAGCTCCAGCTGCTGATGAGCCTCATCATCATTTGGGGATCTCGCCTACCTGTCGTTAGAGTCGGTCGCATTGCAGGGCAATACGCGAAACCAAGGAGCAAGCCAACCGAGACGGTTGTGTCGGAACGCGACGGTTCGACGAAGCAGGTGCCCAGCTTTCGAGGTGACAACGTCAATGGGTTTTCACAGGACGACCGCATCCCAGACCCGCGACGGCTGCTGAGCGCCTACTTCTACAGCGCAGCCACTCTCAACCACATTCGCGCCTCTCTGGCCTCTGGTCTTGCCGACTTACACGCTCCTCTGAGCTGGACAACCGCCCACGTACGCTCGCCTACACTGGCAGCGCGCTTCGAGGCAATCGTCTCGAATCTGACCGACGCCCTCGACTTCATGCGTGTCGTGGGAGCCGAGCAGAGCCAGAGCGTCCTTCGCAATCTTGAGACGGTCGACTATTTCTCCAGCCACGAGGGCCTGATGCTCGAATTTGAAGAGGCTCTCACCCGATCAAGCAGCATCAGTAGCAGCAGCATCAGTAGCAGCAAGAGCAGCAGTAATACTGACAATAACAAGAACAACAATAAAGCCTCCAACCATCATCCGGTCCATACGGGAACGGCATCGACAGAATACTACGCGCTTTCTGCGCACACGCTCTGGATGGGCGATCGTACTAGGGATCCAAATGGTGCCCACGCCGAATTTTTTTCGGGCATCGCAAATCCAATCGGAATCAAGGTAGGGCCCTCCATGACGTCTCAGGAACTGCTCGACCTCTTGGCAAAGGTCGACGGCAGCCGCGGCCTCGACGTGGGCCGCATCACCCTGATCTGTCGTTTCGGCCGGGGAAAGGTAAGTTTAAGTTGCGCCCGCCACCGTACATTAGAAGTTCTGGATCTCATCCTCCTTTGGCCTCTCCAATCCAAGGCACCCAGCCTCCTGGGACACCTCATCGCGGCCGTCCAGGCTTCGCCCTGGGCCACGTCGGTCATCTGGTGCTGCGACCCGATGCATGGCAACACAACATCGTCGCCCTCGGACCCGAGAATCAAGACGAGATCCTTTTCCGACATTATTACCGAGCTCAAAGAACAGCTCGAGGTTCACTCTTCCTGTGGTAGCCGCCTTGCCGGCGTTCACCTTGAGCTTACCGGCGAGGTTGATGAGAAGGGAGACAGTGTGACTGAGTAAGTCCAGCGCTCTTGCGGTCTTGTATGAAATCGACTACACGCACTCACCCACAACCACATCAACGCAGGTGTACAGGCGGGGCCATGAGTCTCGAAGACGGAGACCTCAAGGCAAGATATCGGGTGAGAAAGATGGGGCAGCGTAATGCCGCGAAGAAAAACTTTGCCTCTGTGCTCATGAACTTGCCCTCTAGACACACTGCGATCCTCGTTTGAACCTGGAGCAATCGCTCGACGTCTCCTTCCTTCTCTCTCACGCACTTAAGGCGCAGAGAATGGGAAGGTCGCCATTGGCCCCCTCGCCGGGTGACGATGGCCGTCTCGGCGCTGCGGGCTTCGGCGGTCTTTTGGATGCCTCGGGCTCGAAAGACTCTCACGAAGTCATCTTCCAAGAGCTCCTCCGCGGCCCCATCATCTCGGGGAATAAGGTACAATCTTGACTAGCTACACTAATATAATGTGCCCTCTGTGCTTTAATGTACAGTACAATACAGTACATGCGTCGCTTGTCTCGCGCCTGCACCGAAAGTGAGAAAGGACGAGCAGGAGGTCGGAGATGGTTTGAGCGAGTCACAAGGCGAAATTCTGTAAAGAGTAACATGAAAATCTAAATTTTAAGACTCGATTCGGGCAACGCGGGGCTGCATTGCCTCGTATCTGACTGCGCACGGGCTATGCGAGCAAGGCTCAGCAGGCCACATTGCTTGCACACCGACGTTGTGGGCGACGACATCTCCTTCTCTGAGAGCAACGACCAAACGAGACAAGCCCAGGAGCTCGCTAGCATGGAAGGACCTTTGATGACTCCATCACAAGAGGGAATCGGGCACCCGGAGAGCAGCCCGACGAACAGGAGGAGGCCATTGGAAAAGCACGGCGTGTCGTGCCGCTTGTGCCTTGACGAGATCCGTGGAGTGCGATGGACCTGCATCAATTGTCCCTGCTGGAGCGTGTGCTCGGGCTGCTTCGACACAGCGGCAGACCTCGATGTGCACCCTTCGCATACCTTTGTCAAAATCCACTGGGCCGGTGACGTCTTTTCAACCTCTCCCTCAGCGGCGCAAACGATGCCTGCGATCCATCTCGACGTGTCGTGCAAATCATGCGGAGGAACCGTCGTAGGCGCTCTCTATCAATGCGCTGTGCAAGAGTGCCAAGACAAGGGAGGCTACACCATTTGCCAGGATTGCGAAGCACTGCCCATCGACGTGCATCCAGCCTCTCATCCGCTCATCAAGTACAAGCTCCCTGTGGGGCTCTGCCGCGCTGCCGTTTGTGGACCTTCTGAGAAGCAAGCTGGGAAACTTGATTCTGACACAAAACAGCGGTTTCGTTTCCTCAATGCCAACGGGCAGATTCGAACCGTCGTCGACCTCAGTGCTTCCTCCGGCCATGACGCCGCTTCCTCTGATCAACAACGTGTGCCGTCCCCGCTGCAGGTCGACTATGTCTGCGACGGGGAGAAGCCATGGGGAAGTATTGTGAGGCCCCTCGAGATTTTCACAAAATCGTGGCATGTCGTCAATGTCGGATCGAGGCCTTGGCCCAAGGGGTTAAGCCTGCAGCGAACATCGAGAGCACAATTCAGTCCGGCCGGTTCTGATCGCATCCTGCTCCATCGCATGCCGCTCATGTCGGGCGGGCGCTATGAGGTCAAGATTCATGAACTCATGGCACCGAAGCTGCCGGGGACCTATGTCGAGACATGGAGGATCGTCGATGAGACTGGCTGGCCCATGGCCGGCCCTGCGGGTATCTCGGGCAACGAAGCGGCAGCGTTCGAAATCCGGCTGGCCGTGGCCGAAAAGGAAACCACGGCAGAGCTGGCAGACGTCCACGGCGGCGATCGCTTCTATGGATTGTCCGACCAACATAGGAGAGTCGTTGTCCAGACGGAACCGGGAGTTGACGTAGCCGAAACCCCTGACGCCGACTTGCTGCAATTGACGAAGGGCGAAGAAGAACCACATGCAGCAGCAACAGACTGGAACGAGAGGGTTCTAAAGAGCAGGGCTCGACGCCAACAGCCTGGGGTCAAGGTTCTGGCCACCAGGATTGAATGGTCGACGACTGCGCAGGATCAAGAACCAGCCTTCGGTTATGGACAGCTCTTCGCATTCCGATGGTTGGTTGTCAACGACGGCGTGGAGCCATGGCCGCCAACTACGCAGCTTCAATGCCAGTCACGAAACGCCAGCTTCATGGGTTGGATCGTCGATGACACTCATGCACAGGGGGAGTGTGTCCAAAGGGGTCTGATAGGAAGCGAAAAGCAGAGTGCATGGATCTGTCTCAAGGGACTGCGAGGGCCTAGAAGCCCGAAATCAGCACAAAAAACAAGAACGAGGGATGAAATCGAGCGCGAGCTTGCATCTTATGCAGAGATGTGGAGTGTTGTCAATTTAGACAACAACGAGGCACTGCCAGGCGATTTGGTCTTGAAACTCCCCGGCGACGAGCGATGTGTACGTAGAGTACTGTGCGACGACGGTTCATTAGATGAAGAGAAGGAGAGAGCGGAAGGCCGGGACAACGTTGACAATGTCGACTTCCAAACGACACTCTGTTGTCCACTGAGGAGAGATTTCTCGCCGATTCAACAAGAGTCCAAATACACTTCAAAGGGAAAAGGTCGAGACACTGGTTCAAAGGTTCACATCATCGAGCAAAGGTGGCTCGCTCACAACCAGGGACATTCGTACTGCCTTGCACGTCCGCCAGACTCTTCCCAGCCCACCGAGAAGAAGCGATTCGTAATTGAGGAGGACGAGGAGTACGAAGAAGCAGCAGAAGAAGAGAAAGACGGAGGAGGAGGAGAAGTAGAAGGGAAGGGGAACAATCAGGACAGGGATCGATCTAGCGAACTTCAGTCTCCGCAAACGCTTTGGGGCGGTGAAGCATGTACTTACGCCGAGGTACCTTGCACCACTGCGCCTCCTTGCGAAGGCCGCATCGGAAGTGAAGAAGACGGCGGACAATCGGGAGAGCGTGCGAGTCCAGTGAGATCGATGGTGACAACCTTGCAGCTCGATGACGGCGACAGCAATCATGAGTCGGAATTCTCTTACGTCTTGCTCGATGATAGCGAGAGAGTAGAGGGCTAATGCGATTACGCAAATAATCGGACATGGTCAGTTCGCCGCGAACCCAAAAGCATCATTGTTGAGCCATCGACGGGGTATTGCGGGGATTGAGAACGCAGCCGGAATCTGGATGACCTTCAAACTTGCATTGATGTTCGCTTTGTGACTGAGCCCGAGCATAGAAGATCGATCACAGGTCCAAAAGAAAAACAACAAACAGTAGCGTTCTAAAAGAATGACCCCGCCCGGGTTCGAACCGGGGACCTTAACCGTCTTTACACAGCTCAAACGAACGCTTATGTTAAGATTACGCTCTAGCCAACTGAGCTACGCGGCCTTCACTTCAGACCGGCAAAAATTGATGGTATAAAATCGTTTATGCTTTTTCCCCACGTCCGAATGTTCCGGTGCCTTTTCTATGCTCATGGCCTCTTTTAGCAGACAGGACGTGCCTCTACTCTCAAGCCTTCCCTCAGTCAGTCAGAACAGGGAAGTGAGGTTCGGCCAAGCTCTTGTTGGCAAGCACATCGCATCTGTGCAAGCAAACTGCTTGCTTCAGAGACTGTGAACGATCTGTGACGAAGAGTAGTCGAGGGACAGTTAGAGGGCATTGCAGAAGTGAAGGACGAACGATGATTGTTCTCTCTTTCTCGTATGATGTAGCTGTCCGCTATCGTGCATTTGGTGAAAAGGAGCATCAATTGAAATAACAAGGCAAAGACATTTGTGTGAGTTGAGAGAGGAATGTCCCGAAAAGGCGAATGCAAAGGAAGCGAAGCTACTGTACTCCGAGGTGGCGCTTTGAACGCTCGTAAACGACATAAGAAATTGACACGGCTGGCACCACCTTGGCTAAAGTGGGAACTAGGCCACGGTAAAAGCCGACGACGCCCTCGTGACTGTACGTCTTGCGAAATGCGTCGGCGAAGCCTGTGTAAGTTTGCGGGTGGGCGGGTGTGCCGGCTGCTTGCAGTCGTGTCCGGACCAGGCTTCGAGAAACGTAGCGTCAGCGAAAGGATCAGAAAGTGGAGATCCAGACCGTGACTTACTTCAAAGGATACACAGTAGTGGCGCCCACGCTCCCGCTGATGCTTCCGAAAGCGAGCAGAGCCAGTACGCTGGGCTCCTCTCGACCGGTGTACTTGATCCAAAAGAGCTTGATGCCCTCAAAGGTCGACATGTCGATGGCAGAGTACGGGAAGACGCCCACCAGGCCGGCGGTCAAGCCTCGGTAGTAAGTCCTCATCCCGCCGTTTCGCCACATATCTCTGGCGGTTGCAACAAGGAGTTGATTACCTTGCTTTTGGCCGCCCTGCGACGACATCAAACGAGTCTTGAGCGTCTCGATGGGATAAATGGCTAGCTGGCTCGTAATACCTCCGATGCCACCGGACATGAATCTGCTCGAACCTGAAATGTCGCGAGAGTCCGAGACGCCATCGACGTACTTCGCAAACGCGCGCTTCGACATCTCATACGACAGAAACTTGATAGCGGATTCAGGAAAGATCTTGAGGCAGTTGAGACCGTTGCCGATCCAAAAGGCCTTGAGGCCGCCGCCCTCCTTGTAGAGTGCAAAGATGGCTTGCCCGAGCATACCGGCACCCCGTGAAGCAAGCTTTGTCGATGCCTCGACCGGAGTTTTGGCCATCGACGCCGAGACCTGCTGAGTGGCGGGCATCTGTGCACTGGTGATGAGGTAAATCTTCAGCCGATCAAAGGGCGCTGTTGCCGTCCGAGAGACCGCGCCGGCAATTCCTCCAGCGAGAAGGAATTTGATGGCCACATCGCCATGGATCATGTCTGAGTCCTCCTCTTCCTCCCCCTCTCCCTCCAGTTCTTCGTGCTCTTCCGGCGCTTGGCTTGCCTGCTGTTGCGTCTTTGCCGGCGTCACTGCATCATCAGATGCATTTGGCTCGTTCCTCGTCGTAGTGGTCGCTGCTGCTGTCATCGTCGTTGGTGCAATCGGACTTTTCTTCTTCTTTTCCTCGCCAGCCAGGCTAACTTCGCCGTCGAAGCTCACAGCAGTCGCACCATGGCGCTCAGATTTGCCCCATGACTCGCTGAATTCCGCAAAGATGCCCTGAGACCCAAAGAGGCCAAATGCTTTTCGTACCTGATAAAATCGGTAGATCTGCACAGCAGCAGCAAAGTCAGAAAGAGAGCCTGTCCACGACAGTAAGATTACACTTACCTCATTGACGGAAGGCTTCCGAGGCAAGAGCAGCAAATAGTCGCGAAATTGAGGAAAGGTGATTGACGACGGATATTCGCCTTGATGTTTCGAAGATGAAGCTAGACTGGCGATGAAGTCCTCCAACGCAGCTCGATGCAGCCCGATGCCCGCTCGATCGAGAGCCGTATTGATCTCGCTGACGTCGAGGCGCATGTCGCCATTTCTGTCCAGCTCGACAAAGATCTTGTATAGCTCTAGAAGGTGTTGAACGATTGAGCCGGTAGCAAAAAGCTGCCAATCCATCCTCGTACTCACCTCGCTCCTTTTGCTCGGCATACCGCAGAAAGCCTTCCCACTCAATCTGTCTCTGTCTTCGTCCTCCATCATCTTCTACAACGTGACCTTTGCCCACCTTTTCATCTCTTTCCCTATCGGCCTGCCTCTGCTTTTGACCCACGGCAGACAGACCCCAAACGCCGGAACCGATCCAGCCTGCTTCGCCCTCGTGATCCGAATGCAGATCTGTCGTTGAGGAAGGTGGTGATGCCGACGAGAAGAGTGATGTGACGGACGATAACAGAGAGGAAGGTGACTCCTCTTCTTTGCTTTCTTCCGAGCCTGTCCCTAGGCTAATGAGATCGACCAGTGTTGCCTTGAGGCCAGAGGCCGGCTCCTTATCTTCGCTGCCTCCGAATCTATGATAGTATCGAGCCAGGTTCCACCACTCTGATCCGCTCGAATTCGCTCCTGCTTCCCTCTCGGCCAGCTTCCTCTCCTTCGCCTCCACCTTTGCCCTTTCCCGTTCGAGCTCAGCACGACATTCCCGACACTGAGCCAAAAGCTCCTTGGCGTACGATTGTCTCGGCGGGCTTGGAGTGGGCGCGGTGCCACTACCACCACCACCACCGCCGCCGCCGCCGCCGCTGCTGCTGGGTGTCGTGGCCGAGGGCAACGATTGCAGCTGCGAGGTGGTCGTCTGAGATGAGAAGATGTCGGGATTTACCTCGCTGCTTCCTTTCTTTGCCAGCGAACCTCTCGCATACACGCCTCCGGCGCCGTATCGAGCGCGCATCGCGCTCCTGGTCCATTCCTCCTTTGCTCTGCCGCCCGCCAGGGCCGACTCATCGTCTTTGTCGAGCAAGACGTCAAATAAGCCTCGCAGCCGAATCAATCGGGCTTGTGGTGGCTCCTGAGCTCGAAAATCCTCAAAGGTCGGACGACGCTTCTTGCGCTCTTCCAGTGCAGATGAGGCCGCATTGGAAGCAGAAGACGAAGGCGAAATCCAGGAGGACCACAGGCGCGACGAGGCACTTGTAGGGGCAGAGGTTGACGTCACAGGCCCCTTGTCAAGCGAGGACGTTCCTTGCTGATGGCAGGCGTTCGCATCGGCGTTATCCGACGTGCTCGCGCTTGATGAGGCTGGCGCTGGCGCTTCTGTGGAAGGAGCTGATTCTGGGGAAGAAGAGGGAGAAGAGGGGGAGGAGGAGGAAGAAGAAGAAGACGAAGAGAAAGAAGAAGAGGAGGAAGAAGAAGAAGAGAGAGATGATGGCGATCCTTGCGACCCCGAAGACGAAGCACCCGGTAGCCCGCTCATCTCTAAATTGGAGGAGGGAGGAGAGAAGCGTCGCAAGGCCTTGGCTTGACGTTACCTGTTCGTCTCAGACCCAAAAAAAAAGGAAGACGAGAAAACGCGCACGGCGATTGGTTGAACGCGTGCCGCCCGCTCGTCCTCGTCTGCCCTCCTCTCTCCATCTGTGCCATTTTCACCATTTCTTCCCTCGTGGACACTGATCACGAGAGCTTGCAATGCTAGACGAGGAGCATTTGGTGTGCTCCCACCAGTCCCGTCGCCACCTTCCATGTTAGTACCAGAACGGGACGAAGCGGCAAGTTCTGCAAGTCTCAGGTGGGGCACGTGGCCAATAGCATGAACCTGATTTCTCACAATAGTGACCGTCCGTCCTTCAGGCCTCTTCTGACAGTCGTTCCCAGGTTTCTTGGACGTATAAGACCGTCACTAGAGCTCATTCATAACGTCTTTGCTGAAAGCGGCTTAAAACACCACGACCTGGCGCTTGACTTGGTCAAAAGCGCGGCGGCGCGTTTGCGGCAAGGCAAGCTTTCTGAGCCAACTCCACAGAGCGAGAAGCCAACCAAAATTTTAGAGCGAAAATCAGAGGAGGCCCGAATCACCACGGATAAGGCGACCACGCGCCTTTGATCAAAGAAAGCTCTATGGCTGGCGAAGTCAGAGGCGCGATCGAACGATCGGATGATGGCCCCGAAGGCCGTGTGCAGAGCGAAGCGGCCTTTCAGAGACCAAAGATGGAAGACGTGGACGAGCAGCCGCACATTCAGTCGCAATCCCAAGGCAACGGAGCCAGGCCGAAAAGAGACGCATGCCCTCATCTCGTCGTGCTGGGCGAAGGATCACGAGCACGCTTCACTGGTCTCGTCGAAGGGAGAGACGATGGGAGCCAGCCGCGCTTGAACGAGGTGCTGAACAAGTACAAGCTCGGGCTGCGATTTGGTCGTAAAATCAGAAGAGGCGAGGTCTGCACCAATGAGCATGAAGGCGATGACGAGCAGCGGCAGGTCTCTTACGGCGACGACGAACTGCAAAGGCAGAAGAGAAGAAAGGTGAGACCCGCCTTTCATCGTGGCCTCACACGAACACGAAAGTTCACGCTAGTACTCAGATGCTCTCCCATCCTTGCTGTGCAACGTGCGAGACGACACTCCATCGCCCATTTCTTTGCCTCGAATGTGCAGAGCCCGCCTGTTTCTTCGTCGAGAGGGGTATCTCTATGCACCAGAGCAACTGCATGCGCTTGCATCTGCAACAAAGTAGCCATGCACTAGGTGAGCGGCTGGTCTCTGCGCTGTAAACATGATGAGAGCTGACTGGTCACGCTCAGCGTTTGACATTTATGACGGAACTCTTTATTGCGCTCGATGCGATGACATCGTATACGACGACAAGTTCGATCAAGCTTACCAAGAGGAGAAGGCTAGAGTAGCCACAGCGTCCCCGGCCAAAAGGGCAGCCAGAATGGCTCTTGCTGTCGATCCAGCAAAGAACGGGCAAGCTCTTACTACCTCTGCTTCACCTGGTGCGTCACCTTGACTTCAGACCGCAAATTTCCTGCTGATCCACACTTCGCAGCTGAGTCAAGCGACTCCTCACTCTGCAGAGGTAAGCAATTTTGGATCTCCTCGAGAAAGACAAATCTAAAAGCATGTCTGCAGTACCTCGGGGCCTCTACAACCTCGGCGCAACGTGCTTCATGAACGTCATTCTACAGTCCTTCGTCCACAATCCCCTGCTCCGGAATTACTTCTTGTCAGACAGGCACAACGTCGCTCTTTGTCCCGCTCGCGAAAACTGCTTGGCATGCGAGCTGGACAAGCTTTTCAACGAAGTGAGGCCAGCCACATTCTCAAGCACTTTACAAGCACTGACCTACAACTTTTCCCCTACAAGTTCTTCTCGGTGGAAGACCGGCCTCGAGCCCCATTTGCTCCGACGAATTTCCTCTTCTGTGTCTACCTTGCCAGGGAGTCGTCCGAGATTTCTTCGGCCGGAGAGCACGACGCCCACGAGCTTTTCATAAGTGCCTTGAACAGCGTCCACTCGGCTCTGATGGCTGTCGGCCGGGAGCCTAGCACTCGCTCGAACAATTTGCCCATGTATCCCTTCGGCGATCAAGCACATGGACTCTCTGCAAGCCGGAGTGGAACCGCGAGCAGCTCGAGCGATGGTGGAGGGCAGGAAGCCTTTGGAGGGGCCTTATCGAGCCGGAGAGACTGGGGATTCAATTCCGATATCGTCTGTCCCTGCGTCGTCCATCGGACCTTTTCGGGCATTCTTCAGAGCGACGTCACTTGCCAACGTTGTGGATGGCGATCCAGCACTCACGATCCCTTCCTAGATCTCTCGCTTGACATCCGCACGGCGAGAGCTCGTACGCTATCTGCTCTGCACAATGCTGCTGAGCAAGATGCCACGCTCAACGACGATGGCTCGATCAAGAAGAAGTCGAAGAAGGTGAGGGAGCGCGAGGAAAAGGAGCGCAAGGAACGCTTGGCACGCGAAGGTAGCGGCATCGACGACGAGCAGAGCTTGAATGAATGCCTGAGGAGGTACTGCGCAAGCGAGAAGCTCGCCCAGAGTGATTACAGCTGCGCGCAATGCGGAGTAGGCAGTCAAGCTGTTAAGCAGCTCAGCCTCTGCAGATTACCGCCCGTGCTCTGCATTCAGCTCAAGGTGTGCATTGCTTTCCCTTGCTGCTGAGACGATCCTCATTGCTGATTTCTCTAAACCGCACAGCGCTTTGAGCACAACACCACCACGGGGACGAAGATCGAAACACGCGTCAAATTTCCCCTGACACTCGATGTCAGAGACTATTGTACATCGGCCTTGCGCGAACGACTTGACGAAGATGGCTCGGCGCCCTCACCGTCGACGATGGCGGTGGACCCGGACTCGTACCTATACGATCTCTTTACCGTCGTCGTGCACGAAGGCAAGCTCAACACGGGCCATTACTATTGCTACAGCCGTTGGCGAAATTTGGTGAGCCGTCCGCGACTGCGGTTTCTTATTGCGCTGAAAAGACCGCTGATTCACACAAAGTGGTATATCGCAAATGACGACTCGGTCCGCCCGGCCAAGCTGCAAGATGTTCTCTTGTGCCGAGCCTACCAATTGTGCTACATGCGTCGCTCCTTGCAGAATATTCGCCAGTCTCCTCCTTCGTCGTAGGAGAATTCAACGTCGCGATCTCTGAGCCCGATTTTCTAGAAGGCGGATCACGAGTGGTATCACAATGTGCACTTTTTGATCTGATTGCTCAGTGGCAAACTCCCAGATGCATACGCAATGAGGATGGGGGAAAGGAAGAGGGACACTGTCATCACCAGCCCCATGAGCCCGGCGGTCTCGCGTCATTCGCAGGGTCCTCGTGGGCCTGACGTGGCGAATTCATTCCTCCGAAAGATGCTGGAGAGGTCACCGTCTCATTCACCGAGACTGAGTCTGAGCTTGAGCCTGCAGCAGGGTTGGACGTGGAGATAGGGCTCAGAATCGAGGTGGCGCTTGCTGTCCTCGCCGGTCTCAAGAGTGGTCGAATCTGGAAAGAGCGTCAACCTTGGGACTCTATGGTGCTTGGGAACAAAAAAAAAAGGGCTCACCATCTCGACGAAGAGGGGTACCATGTCCGGGATCACCTCAAGCGTTGGCGGTTTCGGCGGCTTGGCCTTCGACCTTCTCTTTTTCTTGAGGGCCGCTGGTGACTCCTCGATCGGAAGCGGCGGCAAGTCTTTATTTTGCAAAGTCACCGTGTTGTTTCGCACAAAGGCGGGCACTGTCGAAGGAGGGGGTTGCCATCTGGGCGCAGGAGCACCTAAGTCGTCTTCTGAACCAGGGCTTAAGCGCCTCGACGGCGAATCATCGACATCGCTGTCACTCGTCTGCTCGGTCGAAAAGCTGCTTCGACGGGTGTCATCTGCATCTTCCCCCTCTTCTTCTCCCTCATCATCATCATCGTGATCTGGCCTAGCTCCCTCGTGGGCGTCTTCTGCGTCCTCTTCGGCTTCCACCTCCTCTACTTCATCCGTAAAGGCATCACCAACGCCGAGATTCTCTACCATGGCCGAGACGAAGGCCGTGTCATCATCTGGATCGAAGCCAAGCTGCGACTGAGGTCCGCCAAGAAGCTTGCTGGCAGCTCCTTCGACCTGCTTATCGGCCAACTTTCGCTTCATCTTGAGCTCCCGAATCATCTTGAGCCGGTACGCGTGCACCACGACCGCATCAATTTCCGCCAATGCCTTTCGCCGTTCCTCACCGCCAGCCGGCAAGCAGATCTCAAGATCCACCTCGCCGATGCCTCTGCGCTGCGAGCCCGTCGAGACACCCTCCATATCGGGGCCTCTGATGAAGTTGATGAAGAGCTCAATCCAGTGCATCAGTCCGTCAAAAAGTCCCGAGCCCTTTGAGTGTACCTGGTGTACGAACGAGTAGAATCGCCCTTCGTGTCGCGCAACAAGATCGATGAAGATCTGAACAGTCTTGCCCGGATCTGTATAGCTCAGCTCCTCGTTCGCTTCTACGGTCTTGATAAGGTCATTGATGAAGGCCTGTAGATCACTCAAGCTGTCGGCGATGTTGGCCGCCTTGTAGACCTGGGCGAGCGGAGAGTAGAATATGGTGACAATGTCCTTGAGGAGGTCCGAGGTGACGCCCTCAAAGACAAGGCTGATGAGCTGCTCTTTGTCTCGAAGCCTTGTCAGGCACTTGAGGAGAACGTGCAGATCTTCGTATAGCCAGCCTTCCTCGTCAACGGCGCCCGGGCCTTCGTCGACATCGTCGCGTCCAAGATTAGATCGGTACTCCTTGTACAGCTCGTAGGCCCGGCTACTTCTCACGACACGATGGACCTGCTGCCTGGTCAACGCTTCGGGAGGGGCCGTTGTGGAGCTGTATGCAGGAAGCTTGTCCGTCCGGAGAATGGCCGTCATGAGGTCCAGTCGTTCTCGCTCCGCCTCCTCTCGGAGCATCGTCTGAATCTCGACTGGCGCATAGACATAGCAACGGATGCGCTCGCAAAGGCCGTCGTCCTCCACCTTTGAGGCCACGCTATTGGCCAGCTCGCCCAGCTCACGCGCCTCTTCCTGCAAGTTGCTCGTGAACATTCGCTGCAAGAGGCTGCGCTGGCCAAATGGCTGGGCCAGAAAGACATCGAGCACAGCGCGGACCATGGCGACAGGATTGGAAATGCGAAGAATTTGCCGGAGGACAAAGTAAGGCATCAATCCATGGATCCGTTTTAGCTGTGCAAAGAGGTCCGACGAGGTATCGCTGCCGACAAAGATGCTGAACAGCGTCGAGGCGAGCGTGATGCGGCCCCACGAGAGCAGCGCTCGATAGCTTTCGGGAAGATCCTCAACCTTGGGCGTAGCCTTGATGGTGGAAAAGATTCGTGTGAGGCCATCGCGCTGGATCAGGTCGGCCTTGAAAGCGTCGAGATGCTCACGCAACTCCGTCACTCTCCGGCTGGCCTCGTTATTGAATCTCGACGCCTCATCATCACGTATCGCATCCAGGGCTTCGCGGGCCAAACAGTCGCGCTCCTCATCGCGGCTCAAGGTCGTAGGGTCGCTGAGGAGAAAAGAGTAGAGCGTAGGCGATTCGGAGATGGCGGGATTGTACAGGAGGGATCGAAGATAGGCACGCAGCGTAAGTCGGTTCTTCTCCCTGGCCAGCGGTCCTTTTGGCATGGCATGAGCACCGAGATTGGGCGACGAAGGCACGCTCGCGTGCGACGTTCTACTCTGAGGTGAACTTGGAACAGGCCGCACAGGCGGCACACTGGACGGGCGGTGCGGCGGTGAAAAGGCGCCTGCCTCGATGCTTGACCGTCCGTCGCTCTCTCCACCAGTCCATGAGTCGCTCTCGTCGAGAGCCAATTTCCCAATCTGAGGCGTAGTGCTGTTGACAACTTCCTGTTCATTGATGCCGTCGAGGCTGCTTTCACTCGTGTGCAGATGGCCCTTGACCTCTGTCTCCCTTCGGTCCTTGCCCGGGGGCCTTCTGATGCCCTCGTCGGGGTGCTCCATGCGAAGTGTATCGGCCAACCTCGCAAAATCACCGTATCTCCGACTGACAAAATGGTCCGGCTGACTAGGTCTCCTGGTGCGAATGATAAACTCGTCGTGATGTCTCGTTCTCCCCAGCCGACCTTTTTTCGTGGTCTTTGTACGGACACCGATGACATTGACGTCAAATGTACCGGCACCTGGAGCGTTGGGAAAGGGTCCTTGATGCCCAGGCATCGTGGCCCTCAGGCGCTCCTGGGCCGCAATCATACGGCCACGGTCCTGCTCAGCAATTCGCAAAATTTCCTCGCTGCCTTGGCCACCCTTGACGTGGATAGCAGCGCCCATGAGAAGTACTGTCCACTTGCTCGCCTTGCCAGTGATGCGTCTGCGCTTCGTTGCTTCATCACGGTCGTCTGTCCCTGAGATGTTGCGCTCGAGGAAGCGGTCGTAGAACACTTGCACCTTGTCGGCGAAGAAGTTGGGAGGCGCCGAACGCAAGAAGGGAAACGTGAGGACAAAGTGATGGAAAAGAAACCTCAAAAAGGGCAGCGAAACGCCCTGGCTGCTCTGTGATGGTCGGAACGGCGGGCCGAGGAGCGAGAGCGCATCTGTGTTTATGATCAGTAATTAGCGCACAAGAGTGCAGTCCTTGTGCTGCCTACGACTCACCGCTGCTTGACAGATATTTGAGTTCTCGATCCACTTCGAGCTTGACCAACGTCTTTTTGAGATAGTGGGCCCGAAGAGGCGTAAGCTTCAAGGGATCGTCGGCGTCTCGCAGTCTCGGTATGCGTCTAGCGATGGCTTCGACCGAGTCGCTCTCTGCCTTTGACTCATTCTGCTCGGGTGCCGCGAGGTGGCCCGCCTGACTGAAGGCATCGGCAAAGGCGCCTGCCTGAGAGTAGGTGGAAACCAAGGGCGTCTTGAGGTCCTCCATCTTCCACTGCTCCACTCTTGAGGTGACGAGGGATGTTGGAAAGGAATGTTGTTGAGTCCGTGCCTCTTGCGCCGTAATGACAGCTGGGACTTGTCGCAATGCTCAGAGTGAGCGCGGAGGCCGTAACTGTTGCGCTGTCGGTCCGCCTGATACTCTATGTCGTCCGCCGACTTGAATGGGTGAATCGGCCGTCCGAGGGACCACGGACGCTCTACGACGTTCAAACTGGTCAATGCGTCATCGACGCAGGCACACGTGATCTAAGCCTCAACAAGACAGACATTTTTTCCTCACTCCCTTTCTTCTCCCTCTCGCTTTCCTCCTCTCTCCACATCAATCGACCGGGAAAGAATAACAGAAGATGCGGACGCAGACAATCCTCTCCGTGACAGGTCTTACGCTCCTGACGGGCGTCGTCGGCTACGCGGTCTATTTTGACTACAAGCGAAGAAATGACCCTGCATTCCGATCGGCGCTGCGAAAAGATAAAAAGAAAACGCACAAGGCTCTCAAGAAGCAGTCCGAGAATCACAAGAGGGAGGTGGCAGCTGCCATCGAAGATGCCGTGAGAAGTGTAAACGAGCCGGGTGCGCTCCCCTCGGGCGTCGAGGATAAGGAGAGAATGTGGGTTCTTTTCTTTTCTTTTCTCTCTCTCTCTCTCCGCGTCAACAGTCGGGGTTGGCGCGTATCTGGCGGAAATGGATATACTGAACTCTTCTCTTTCCACTACAGCTTCATGCAGTCGGTGCAACAGGGCGAGATTCTCCTTGCCCAGGGCTCTCAATTCTACATCCAGGCCGCCAAGAGCTTCTTCCGAGCCTTCAAAGTCTACCCGCAGCCCATCGAACTCATTGGCATCTACCAGAAGGCCGTCCCCGACGAGGTGTTCAATATCATCATGGAGATGGTAGCAAAGGACGTGAGTTGCGCATGACACCCTCGATCCTGCCCTTGTTTGTCTCGTTTGCTTTGCTCATGATTCCATTCAGGCCGCCATCAACGGCGGAGGACCATCTGCGCCCGCCAGTATGGACCCATTTGCCGCCCTCGCAGCCGCCGCTCGAGGTGCGCCCACGAGCTCGAGTCTCGAAGAGATCGACGATGACTCGCCTGCCAACAAGGGCAGTACTCCACCCAGCGGTACGTCATCGACCAAGGGATCGGCCAGCGCCCCAAGCGTTAGCTCGGGAGAGATGGCTGGGGAGACGAGCAGCCAGGAGTGGGAAAAAGTCAGCAAGGATGGCGGTGAACACGGCGCCGAGCCAGCAAGGGCAGCAGCCGCGACGGCAACAGCCACGTCCTCGTCCGTCGAAGAAGCAAGGGAGGTTGGACAGTCCGCTCATGAGCTCGCCAGCGGCTCAAGACCCGAAACGGCCCCTGCCGCGGCTCATAACCCAGTTGCGGAAGAGACTGTCTCTGAGGAAGGAGGGCGAGCTGGCGATTGAGGGGTACTGCATGTGCACACCCGCCGACCGCCTCCAAAGATGTAGCAGAAAGTGAAATTGCAGCATGTCGGTCTTCACCTCTACTTGTTGATTCGATCTTCTTTTCATTCCCAATCGAGGTCGTCGTCGTCTGTTTTTGAGGCTGTTGAACTTTGAGCAAATCCAATGATGGGCCTTGACGTTGTGCCATCGCTGATCCTAATGGCGCCTGTGCAATCCAAATGTCCAAATGTCAGCGGGCGCTGAATAGCGTGACAACAGTGAGGAGCTCACCACCCTGCGCAAGCCTCCATTCAAGCGTCTTTGTGGTGAATCCGTCGCTGTTCCCTAGATCTTCGAAGCCAGTGATCCGGTCCTTCACCTCGGCGCGGCGACCAAAAACGACGAGCTCGGGAAGGACCTTGACACCGAGCTTCTCTACGAGAAATGGCGAATCAAGTACTGACATCTTGACAAACATTGTCCCGGGATGAAGAGAGGCCAACATCTTTACAAATAGAGAGAGAAAGAGAGGCACAATTAGATTCCTGGTGAGCGGCAAGACCACATGTGTGTCTGCACATGTGTGCTGTGGTTAGAGCGCTCACCTCGAGATGCCGTCCCATAATATCACACCGCCTGAACTCCTTGTGGTAGAAGTGGACTACAATTGGCACACCTCCCTCCTTGAGTTCGCCTCCTTTGTCTCCGAGAAGCTGAATCAGCTCCTTTTCGCTCGTCGGTTCCGTCACTCTCCCCAACCCACGAGGGGCGTCTCGTTGAGCTTGAATCTCGGCCATTTGAGACCTCAGCTCCTTCCATCTTGCCTCTCGTATACGACCCATTGCTCCTCCTTGACCACTTTCATCCTCGAGCTCTCGCTCTAGCTCGTCAAATAATTCCGAGTCACTGGCAATTTCGCTCTCGTCGTCTGCTTCGCCTCGAGATCTTCGGCGCGCTTCTAAGGCGCCGTGGAGCCTGTTGTGCAAAGGCGTCGGAGAAGACGGACCTGGCTGTTGATCCTGTTCGAGTTTCGACATGCTGGTCCCTTCCCTTCGGCGTTCTCTGCGCGAAAGAAGAAAGAAAGAGAGAGAGATGGAGAAGGGAGACACACACACGCGCACAAACGCACGGAGCGCGACCTGAATAAAGCTGCCTTCGAAGTAAGCTTTCTTCTTCGTTCACGCGCCCCAGCTCGGCCGAAGCTGCTTGGGAGGTTGTTTCTTTTCGTCTAGGAAAAAAAAAGCAGAAGAGGCGCAGTATCAAACCATCAGAACATTCATGTCGCCGACGCCGTCGCCGTCGCCGTCTTCTTCTTCTCCCTTTGAAAACTCATCGCTCCCTCCTGCCGCTCCAGTCGAAAAGAGAGGGAGCAAATGGGAGGCGACGCTCCGCGAAGAGGAGACGATCCAAGCGGCTGCCATGCCGCTAAAGGATGTGCCAAGCTGCATGACTCTTTTTGATAACTGGGCCAGCTGTTTTGGTGCGTCTCTCTCTGCCTTCGAAGTCCCCTTTAATTTCCCTCCTAGAAACTGACGTGCTCTACTATTAGCGCTTGGTCCACAGATCAAGGCCGTATACCGATATGGTTCGCTGCAGGACTGCAAGGACAAGCTCGACGATTTCAAGTTCTGCCTCACAATGAAGGGTCAAAACCCAGAAGAGAGACGTGCAACATGGATCCGGAGAAGGGCAGAGAAGTCGGCTGGCATACGACTGACAGACAGCAGCGAGAATGTGTGGCGGCTACGAAAAGATCCCCTCGTCAACCCCGCGCTTTGCGACCCTATCTTCCCCGTCGATGACACCACTACTTCTCCTTCCACCAGCACCATCGCAGCTGCCGCTGCCGACAGAAGCAGCACAAATTCCTGATTGCTAGTGAGTAGCTTCGTCTCAAATGAGGAGATTAGAAAGGGAATACTCGGAGACGAATGATTATAAAAGACAAAACAATCAGTTCTGCTTCTGATTCGAGGCTCTTCGCATGGCTTCGCTGCGGAAACTTCATTACCAAGCTTACCATAAATGACTCTTCATTATTTCCCCCTCTTTCTCCGATACGAACCTCTTTTCTGGAATATTTTGCTGACCCAAACTTGTGAGCTCGTGTGCAGCTCTATGCGGTCGCTCGATGGCACTACGATGCGATGGAAGCAGCAGCAGCAGCTTTAGTAGCACTAACAACAATATCGACAACGACCACGACAATAACATCATCTACAACGCCAGCACCAATACGTGAGTATCGTCTGTGGTGGCCTCAGCAGGATTAAACAAGTTTATCCATTCTACGAGGATCCCTGGGCAAGACATCTGCGGCTGCTGTTCTGCGAGAGGAGGAAGCTCTGGTCTTCGGATTTTCCCTGGAAACATCTGGAGTTATCTCAGCCGACCTCGTCGGTACCCGCCCGCGGAGCTCTTCTTGCTCGGCTTCGCCATGTTGCCGCTGCCTCTTGTACAGTGGCTACCGTGCAGATGGTCACGTCCGAAATGCAGCCTCGAATTACTCTACCGAGGAAACGAGACCTGACAGACTAGGATTTGGGCATGTGGCGCAGTAGCCCTGCTCAAGGAGCCAGAGGTCGGCTGGTAAAGTCTGGCTCGAGGGGTAGCGCCTGCTCAGGCCCAAGGATCACATTAATCTTCTCTATGAATCCCCCACCTTTTCTCATTGAGGGTGCTTGCCTGTGTCGATGTATTTCCATGGCTGACTTGGAGCACTCGACAGACTTCAGACTTGTCTCAAGGTGAGCTTCATAGGCGAGCAATAGACCGAGGCAAAGATGATACCATCCCAATATTCGAGCACGGTGAGCAGCTACCCAAGTGGGTGCTGCGAAAGTGAGCCACCGCTCAAACATGCATGTGAGTGGGAGTAGGACCACCCTCTGAGTTGTGGTCACAACGCTGATCTGTATTTAACGCAAAAGCACCAGCTGAGCCTTCTCTTCAACGTTTACCGGTCTCGATCTTTTCTAAATTTCGAAGCTGACTGACTTCTTCAAGACAGGATCATTTTCAGCTCTTTACTTTACTCACCAGAATACCCATTTGTCGTTACGCTACCTTGATAGGTCTATTCATTAATGTATTAGTACAGTACATCATGTCGTCTGACGATGCTCCTTGAGGTACGCTCGCCTCTTCTCCTCCATTGCCTCGGGCCCCGTATACTGTTTCAGGCAATCCTGGAGCTTGCGGTGCTGGTCCCGACAAGCCCATGCCACGGAAACGGTACGTCCCGAAGAGCATTGAGCAAAATCTGACGGGACGTTCAAGTTTTAGCCCTTGCTCCAGGCTTAGAATGCATCGACACAACAGCTCACCTTTGACGACATCGTCACACTTCTTGAGCGCTTCTTGCTTTGTCTCCTTGAGCAGCGCGTCCTCCTCACGGTTCGACAGAGCGAATGAGGCCATTCCTTGTCAGACGACTGCTTGTCTTCCTGTGGCAGGCGCGAAGGATGAAGAACCTGTAGCTGGAGCACGGGCAAGTGAGAAGAAGGAAAGCCGTCGTTGGTTCCTACTAAAAGCTGTTCACGTGTTTTTTACTATCATTCGGACTTCTTACCGGTAATTCTTTCTTGATCCTGATCTTCTCCTCATCACCATAAGGAAGATAAGAGCAACGGCCGCCCCTGCAACATGAGTCGGCCAGCTTCGCCTTCGCTGCTTTACAGTCTCCGGCAGGCTCAAGCGCGGATTTTCAACACCAATCCGCCAGGTCCGCCGTCGAATCCGGCGCTCCGAACGGGGAGCAAGGTCCTCAAGAAGCGCCTCGTCGGCCCCTCCATGTTGCAGTACTACCCACCGAGCCTCAATCTCCGTTCTGTCTTGCGCATTGCACCGAATGCACTGAGACCCGAGGACGTGGATCCAGTGACACGACTAATCGATCCGCGAGAGGTGCAGAGATTAAAGGATGTAGAGAGAAAGAAGATGCTGGGAAAAGGACCGCCAAAGAAGGGTGAGTGTGTTCCTTCGGCGTGTGTGGGAAACCAAAAAGAGCTGCGGCTGACTGTTGCTTGGTACCTATGCACTCTCAGGCGAGGGCAGAAGAGCGGCCATGAAAGGCGGAAAGCGAAAGTGATGGCTATTTTCCACTCGCAAACGCAACGCAAAGCAGGAGGATTGTATTATTAGTCTTACATCGAAACTATTGTCAATCAAAGGCACCATCAGAGATCTAAAGAAGATCGGCAAAGAGCTGCCTGATATTTCTCAGGCCGAGAAGATAACCAGAGTCTGGTCCTTGGCCTGGTGTGAGGCTGACATGGGCAAAGTCGATGAGCCTGATGTCAACAGCTCGTTTTCTGGGCAAGTGCGCCGGTGCAGGAGGCAGATGGACGTCGACAATATCGTCCCGTTGACCTGCTCTTCGCCCTGGGGGAGGAGGAGAAGGCGAAGGACATGCAAGACAAGACCTGAGCGTGTCGGTGTCGCCCTCGTAGATGATCAATACACTACCGCCCCGCACTCTCCATTCAAGCTGCGAGACGAGGGTGATGACGTTGTCCAAGGCGGTGAGAATATGTTGCTCGATGACTTTTCTCGTGAGATCCGCGTCAAGCTGTGGCAGGCTCACAGGAGCTTCTTCGGCCATGATGCTTTTGACTTTGACGGCATCACCCCCCGCAGGCCTTCCCATGAAGAGCCTCAGACCAAGCGCCACCTCTTCGGGCCCCTTGATACTCTTCCCGAACTTTTTGGTCATCTGACTGAATCGGCCTAGACGTTCATCCCAACACTGCCAGCCTGTAAGTCTTAGCCCGAGCTGGCCGCTGGTAGTATGTTCGCTAGCTTCCTCCATTCTCTTGCGCTTCTCGGCACTCGCCGATTCGTCCCATAGTTGCTGCCCCAGCTTGACATCGAGTACGTTTGGCCTCTCGAAGGTCCTCGTGAGATTTTCGAGGATGACGGCCTGCTTCACTTCTCCGACCCCTTCCTCTCGAATCTCTACCGTGCCATGAAAGGTAGGGAAATAAGTTCGGACCTCGTCGAGCGATGATGAAGCGCCTGCGATTGCAGCTTGATAGAAGTCAGCTTCGGCGCGCTTGCACGTCTTGATGACAAAGGCGCCGTCGCATAGCGTCTGCACCCCTGCTTCGTGGCCCGCCACTTGGGCGGAGAGGGACTGCAGCGAGGAGTGCGAGATGATCTGCGGGTCTGTCATATTTCGTCTCTGAAGTCGGTAGTGCGAGAAAGCGGGCGCTTAGCTTCTCTACTACTACTACTACTGCTACGCTAAGTCTTGGCAGGTTCGGTAGCGAAAAAGAGAGCTTGGGGGACGCGACAAGGGTGATCTACCGACGGTCTGCGAGAGATCAAAGTGCAAAAATGATTTCGCCCGGGTTCGAACCGGGGACCTTAACCGTCTTGACACAGCTCATGGGAGCGCTTATGTTAAGATTACGCTCTAGCCAACTGAGCTACGAAACCGTGTCATGAGGATTTGTGGAACTAAGCGTAATAGGAACAAGTCAGACAGGATCCCGGTAAGAAATTCCAAGAATTGTTAGGACTCTGCGAAAGAACAGCTCAAGGTTGCACGGTAAAATTACACATTGGAATGGCAGCTATTGGAACATGACTTGAATGGCTGAAAGAAGAGGACAGTTCAGCACATGTGTCGCTGCTAAAGGTAGATCAGAGACTGGACTCACTATATGTCTTTACATCAGGGTCCCAGAATGACCAGGTTCCCGGCTCTTCCCTAGGACGACTTCCGGGTGCGGCAGAAAGAACGATACCTTCGGACTTGTCGATGGCTCTTGCTTGAAGCTTGAATGCGATGCTCGAATAGGGCTCTGCCGCCACGACGAGATACTGCCAAGCTCGGTTTTGTGGTTCGATGTGCTGTTCGAATGTACTCATGAAGCGATGCATTGGCTTGACACCCTCCTTGATCTCTGGAAGTTGAATCTGAAACAGCATACCGACTCTTCCTCCGACGTCTTCGCGCGCGCTGTTGTCTCCTGTCGGCAGGTTGATGAGTGGCTCGCGCACCTTTGTGATCTTGAAACCCGGCGAACCTATGCTGAGAAAGTGCTTCTTTTGAGATTCGGTGCCTGGGCCAGTGAGGAGGCGCTGAGCGTCGGCGAACGAGTTGCTCAGCTTTGCCTCTCGCGCGGCTCTCCGTGCTAAATTTGTCTGGTGCTTCTTTCCCTGTGTATGCGCGAGATAGGACCCTTCGTTGGTGTGCAACGTAAGGCACAGCCGACACTCGAGCGATCCGAGGTGATTGCGTAAAATGTAGGGATCCTGTAGCAGGTGTATAGAGGATTGGATGAGATGCAGGATAGAAAATCAACTTTTGCGCAATCCCACTGACCTTTGCAATGTCGATGGTCTCGAGCGCCAACTTGCGCAGCCGCTCCCTACGATCCACGTTCGCCTCGCTAGCACCAGCCACACCGGCGCCTTTGTTTCCTGCTCTGTTTTGATAATCTGTGCATCGTCTTGGTTACTTTCCTGTCCGTCATCAAAGCAAAACAAAGTCTTATAGCTCACCCATGCTGGATGCCCTCTGTATGAGCGCAGTCAGTTCGTGTCGTCGCAAGAGACAAGAGGTCCACTTCAAAATATAAGACTAAATAAAAATAAAAACAAAAGTCGCGACAGCCTGATTGTCCTCGGCCGACTTCGTCATCCAACAATCTCCCAGATCTGCTACCTCCTCTTCCCTCATCATCCATCTCGAAGTAGTAATGTCAGACACAGAATCGCCCGCGCCAGGGCAAGGGAAAGACGCTTCAGGGCTAGACGGGTCCTCCGCCTACGCGCAGCAGCCTGCAAAAGGATCGCCCAACGACTTTCTAAAGAAAGTCATCGGAAAGAACGTCATCGTTCGTCTCAATTCAGGGGTCGACTACTACGGTGAGTGTGGGCTTTGCAGTAGCGTTCCAGCGACTCTTTCAGCTGATGGGTGGCTGCTGCAATGACAAGGCGTATTGAGCTGCTTGGATGGTTTCATGAACATCGCACTGGAGGACACACACGAAGTCGTGGCGGGCGTGTCAAGGAACCGGTACGGCGATGCCTTCATCAGAGGAAACAATGGTGAGGTCCTTCCAGCTGTGCAAACATCGTCAGCCCAGAAGGTTTGGTGGGATCAATTCTGGAGCTGACGTTTTCCTATCAACAGTATTGTACATTACTGCGAGGGATTAGGAAGCATCGAAAGGGTGTTTTTGGACAGCGCTTTCTAGTTCGACTGAAGGCGCATCGTTGCCAGATCTATCTTCACATGTGTCCACATTGGACCACTGGTCCAAGCATAGCAATCAATGACCTGCCTCCCACCTCTTTTGAGCTTCGAATAAGCATGTCATCGACTTTTGAGCATGCCCGTGAAACGCGCCACGTGGCACTGAAATGGAAGCACGAAAAGTGAGTGTCCCTCTTCGTGAACTTCGACATCCAAATCGACCAGCATGGCTACGGGATCTGACGTTCGCGATATCCTGTCGCTGCCAGGCAAATCTGCTCAGGCATCCGTTTCCGGTGCAGGAGTCTCAAGCAGCGGGAGCGGAGGCGGTATTGTGTCAAAGAGGCACCATCCGTCAAAGGCGGCGAAGCCAAAGATGGACGGTATTTCCCGAGAATTGTACGCACTCCTGGGCGACAACGCACCAAGCCTGTCGATGGGCCCTGATGGGCCCTTGGGAATCGCTAGCGGCGCGCGAGGCAAATTCATGCCAAAGTTTAAGAGAAGGCCTCAGAAAGCGCAAAGATGGTAGGTTATTACTCGTGTCGTCGGCCCGCTTGGAAGCAGGGCCGAAGCTGACGACTGTCTATTCCAAGGGAATGGGAACCGTTTCAGAATCCGGCAAGGAAGGACAGCCTGGTGCTACATCACTGGGTCCAAGCTTCTGAGACGGACCGCCAAGGCGAGATAGAAGGAGAAGCGGGTCCAAGCAGGCTGCCCAAGCGAGGTGAGCCTTTGGAGATAAGACGTCGCAGTCGAATGTGCAAAGTTCACAGTCCCAGTCCTCAGAATACCAGTTTGCAGACCTCAATACCGGTTCTGGTGTCTACAGCTACTCAAATGACGAGTACCACCAGCACCTACGTGGTGCGTTTGTTTGTTCTCCAAGCCATCGTCAGACAGCATACGCTAATTCTTTTTGCATCTCAAGACGACGACTGGACGAAAGAGGAGACCGACTACCTGATCGACCTGTGCCATTCGTACGACCTTCGCTTTATCATCATTACAGATCGATATGAGTGGCCGGGAAAGGAGCGAAGCATGGAGGATCTCAAGGCTCGGTACTATGCCATCTGCCGACGCTTGATCAGGTCGCGAATTAGCACAGATGACTTCGAGACGCGCTCCGCACTTGTCCTCACCTACTCCTTCGATCGGGCGCGGGAGGTGGAACGCAAGAAGCACGTTGCAAGGCTCTACAGCCGCACGCCTGAGCAATTGGCCGAAGAAGAAGCATTATACATCGAAGCGAGACGGCTGGAGCAGAATGAGGGCAGATTCGCCGCCGAGCGAGAGGAGCTCATGCGGCTTTTAGGAGGCTGGGAGAGGGTGCCAACGATCCGAGCAGAAAATATTGCTGCAGCAGGGGCTGGATTGGGCGTCACTCTACCGGGCTCTTCGGCGGCAGTAGAGGAAGCACTCGAGGCGAAGCGCAAGAGGCACAAGACGGAGGGAATCACTACCCCTGCTGGCGCTGCGTTTGTTGATGATGAATCCATGACCGGTGGTCCATCTTCTTCAATGGCTGCGGCTTCTTCCACGACATTGGCCAAGGCAGCACTGTCCTCAAAGCAAAAGGCTGAGCTCAAGACGGCGCAATTCGACGAACAGCACATGATCTCGCGCTTCGACCCCAACACACCGCCGCCGACGGGCGCATCGACGTCGATCTCTGGACCGACCTCTGGCGTACCTACTGGGCCATCGCTGCTTTCGCAGACAAAGCTGCCTTACCCACACTTGGTGGGGGTCGCATCAAGTTATCCGCCCGTTGCGCCCAGCGTCATGAACCCGTCTTCATCGCACGGTGCTTTCCTGCGCTCCCAACGCATGCTTGTCCCACGCACGTCGATTCTGCAACGCGCCACGGATGCAATGAAGGAGCTTCAGCCTAACGTGGGTCCACGGCTCATCTTCCCAACGGTCGACAATGCCGAGAAGTGGGAGGGTCTATTAGGGGCAGTCACAGCAGGATTGGAGATGAAGAGGCAGCTCGACCGGGTGGAGAGCGAGCTTAGGATTCTCAGGATGAGGCGGCAGCAGGGTCATGGTCAGGGGCAGAGCGAAGGCTCAGTGCCGCCAGGGCAAAGCGGATCGCTCAAGACGCCCACGCCTGGACCAGAAGGTCCATCTCCCTCCCAGACTGGTGTGAGTCAGGTATCTGTTGTTGAATAAGTCCACCGTCTTTTGATATTACGCACCGTGCTCCTTGCCGCGAACATAATGGGGAAGGGATTTTGATTTTTGCAAGAAGTTCTCATTCGTCCGACGAGGAGGAAATTATCAGTACAAAGAGCGAGCGAGCGAGAGTCAGGGAGGGAGGTAGCCGAAGCGAGATTGTTTCGTGATCATCCAAAATAAGAACCATACTGATTATTGTTCTGTTGGTTGTGATTGTATGCGCCGGGGCTGAAAGCTTGTTGACCCATCATCATCATTTGCTGCTGCTGCTGTTGTTGTAGTTGCTGTTGTTGCAGTTGCTGTTGTTGCAGTTGCTGCTGCCGCACGTCTCCGAATCCGCCACTGTAGCCCGTCATGGCAGACTGCATACCAGTACCTACGCCTGTCTGCTGTTGCATCTGCACGTTCATCGGCTGCTGTTGCTGTGAAAAAGGATTATTGAGCAAGATTCCTGGGCTCGGACGCTTGGAGGTGAACGCCGTGGATCCAAGGCTTGTGCTTCTATTTTGTTGCTGCTGGATGACACCACCCATAGCAAGCCCTCCATAGGCCACTTGCTGAGGCTGATAGGAGGGTGAGGGGAACCCTGCCCCAAGATGTTGGTTCGTTGGAGGTAGGCTCTGGTTCCCATTAGCATGCGCCCATGGGTTGCCCGCGGGCGAAAATGGAGCCTGGTGCTGTTGCTGATAGGGCTGCATAGCCATGGGCGATTGCACCTGCTGACTTGCCGCTTGCATGCCTGCCCATGGATTCATCTGGAGTGGCGGTTGAGGCGTAGAATCCGGTTCCTGTTGTAGCTGGAGCAAGTCGTCAAACACAGATGATGATGGCGTCGCATTCGTTGTTTGGGATGTCTTTGAAGAAGCGACAGGGACCTGAAGGGATGACGAGGCTCGGGGCGGGATCGAGGCCGAGGCGGGACCGGGTCTTGCGACATCGCTTGCTTGGGCTGGTGTTGTGGCAGCTGAGGAAGATGCTACTCGATCCGGCAACCTCGGCGCAGGCGGCGCAGGTGATACCGAAGCGGCCCTTGCTCTCGCCTCAGCCCAAGATGCAGGTATAGGAGCAGTCTTTGATCTCGAAATCGGGTCGGAATCGCTCAACGCCTCTGGCAACCGCCTCCTCGACTCTCCGTAGGCCACGCCCGAGCTTCGTGCAGGGTTTGGAGACGGTGGAAGCCGAAGTGACGATGACGAAGCGTCTTTTTGCGGGACAGGCGGCGGTTTCTTTTCCATGAATTTTCCCTTGTACTTGTCAAAGATGAATCTTTCCAGCTCGCTTCATTGTTGATGAACACCGCCAGTCAGCTCTACAATGGATCTGCCAACTGCCTCTGGAAAAGCTTTTCTCACCTGTTACGCTCGCCCTCGTCGACATTGGCCGGCGGCCGATTTCTCCTCTCGTCGGGATTCCATTTCTCGTTTGACTTGATATTGCCCATTTCCTTCATCCTTTCGACATGCTCCCTCGTCCATGTATCCAACGTCAAGCTCTTGATCTTGCTGATATGCGTCCCCATCTTTCGATGTACGCCAGCACACTGAACACAGACGAAGATGCCCAGATTCCAGCTCGCCCATCGGGGCGCCCGACCGCGGCAATCGGCACACACATCGTTCCCCGGCTGTTTGACCAGATCCAACAGCTGGCGCTGGTACCGCTCCGACGCGGCTTTGGTGTTCATCTTCGCGTGTAGAAGGTGCCCCGCGCGCGCTCTCTCTCTCTCTCTTTCTCTTTCCCTGCTCCCCTCTTTTCGTTCTTCCTCTCCCTCTCTCCCCTACTTTGCCTCTCAGCGAGATCCGCTTGGCCTTGTCGTTGATCGTCCTTTTAGGTCGCACAGCCGATCCCTCTAGCTCTCTAGTGCGAAGTTTCCGGCGTTTGCTCTCACTGCAAAGCTTACCTGGGTCGGTGAAGAGGAGAAGTGACTTCGATAGAAGTGACTTCCCTGTGATGTAATTTAAAGTCGGAACACATGAGCCTTGGACGAACGCAGCCGACACGTGGATTTGCCCTTGGTTGTAATTTGTGCGGCTTACGCCTGCTGCTTGCCAAGAGCCGCCGGCGAGGGGGCGGCGGCTTCGGACGTCCGTCCCCTCGACAGCTCACACCGTGGTCTCTATTCACGAGATCGGATTTCAAAAAGAGACAGTGTTTTGTCTACAGCTTCTGTATCTACATGTGGTTGCCCCAATTGATGCGGACTATCTAGACGCGGTGAACAATTGCAACGGCTAGGTCGTCGTTGTGGCTGATCGAGACGAGGAACTTGGAGCTGCCCGTGCCGACGAGCTTCCTTGCTACCTCGTCAAGCAGCACGCTCGGCGCGCCATTCTCGTCAGGCCGAATCTCAATCGACTTCATCGAAGCAGCAATGCCTTGTGACTTGATGCCCATCGACTTGAAGACGGCTTCTTTGGCGCAGAAGCGGCCGCAGAACGAGGCGCGTGGGTCTGGCTGCGAGCGGCAGTAGGCCTGTTCCTCCTCGGTGAAGTTCTTGTCGACAAAGTTTTCATTTGCCGAGGGGAACGTCGAGATCTTCTCCACGTCGATGCCGAGACCAGCAATGGGCAGGTTCGCCATCATAACCTGCAGCTGCTCCTGTTGCTTAACGGCCTCTGGTGCTTTGGAGAGGGCGGGAGCTGCAGGAAGTGCCGCCTCGAACAGCGGTTCCTTGAAGACATAGGTGCCATTTTCTTCGACTGCACGGGCACGGACGTTGAGCAGGACCTTGTCTTCAAGCTCAGCAGGGTAAGGTGGCGCATCCTTGATGCGCACCAGGTCGTTTCGCGTCAAGGCCGAGTGCATCCTGGCGTATGTGCTACCCTGGCGGAGTTGACGCTTGGCCTTGTACGATTCGTAGTCGGTCTCGTTCAGACGGGCAAAGAGGTGAGACGGATGCAAAACCATGGCGATGCCGCCCACCTGCCCAAAGCCAAACGAGGTGAGGAGACCAACGTTGAGGTCGCGCGCTGGGCGCTTGATGGTCTGCGAGGCATACAACAGATAGCTGAACTCGCGTAGTTCGGGGCTGATGTCGTCAGCGTTGCGATTGCCGGGGACGGTGTGGCTCTGAATCGACTGGATCAGTCCATTGAGTGCCCAGCCAGCTGCTCCGCCCTTGGCGTGACCGCAGAGCCATTTCTGCGCAATCGTTGGGCAGGCGTTGGAGCGCGTGCGGCCAAGGTGCTCAAACATCTTGTGGTAGACGTGCGACTCGTTCTTGTCGTTTGCCTTTGTCGACGTGCCGTGCATGCTCACGACGCCAATCGAGTCGCCATCAAGACCCCACTGGTCCAGACGCGCCTTGAGCGTCGAGGCAGACGAGAGGACACCATGACCAGGAGCCGGGATTGAGCGGCCTTGCTTGTCGGTGTGCGTCGAGCTGTGGGCGATGACGGCCTGGATGGGCAGGCCGGCCTCGAGGGCGAAGCGGGCTGAGCAGACAGCCTGCACGGCTGTGCCCTGTGATTCCATGAAGCCGCCTCGAGTCGTCGTCGTCGGTCTCGACATTTCCGACGGCTCGCGTCCGGCCAGGGCCTCCTGCTCGCTCGAAATGGTGGCGCCCATGTTGGCGAATTCGAGCGCTCCTTCCTCCGAGTAATCATCCGAGCCGCCAACAAGCATGAATTTTGCCTTGCCGCCCAGGATGGCCTCCTTCGCCACGTCGAGCGACTGCAATGCAGTGGCACAGGCGCCGACAGTCGATAGAATGGGGCCCGCTGAGCTCATCAGCAGCAGGTTGCACCATCCTGCGACGGTGTTGATGAACGTCTCCTGGAGGATGTCCTTTTGCACATCGAGATTCATGCGCCGGTCCTTGAACATCTGACCCAGGGCCATCTGACCACCCATGCCGCTGCCGATCGAAACGCCGACCTCGCTGACGTGGGCGTGCTTGTAGAGTTCGTAGGGGTCGGTGATGCCCGACATGGCCAGGGCCTCGCTGACGGCGACCAAGGCCCACAGCGAGGTGCGGTCAACCTGATGCAGGTCTTCGGGGATACCAAACCGGCCAGCAAACCAGCCCGTGGGCAGCTGGCCCGCCACAGTCCTGCTGAACTTGTAGGCCATTGGCACATGGATTCTGGCGCCCTTCTTGAGCTGCACGAGGGAGCCGCCGCTGGGGCTGTCCCAGACGTCGACCTTCTCGCCGTGCTCGAGCTTGTACTTGACGCCCTCCTCGGCCGACACATCGAGGGGCTCGAGGTCGTGTTGCAGCTCCACCTCCTGAACGAGCTGCTTCTTGTTGGGGTCATAGCCGCGGAAGAGCTCCGGCTCGACGATGCGGACGCCCGAGTGGTCGAGAATGTCCTTTTCGTAGCGCTGCTTGACCTGCGAGTCAGTGACGGGCTCCTCGGTCTTGGCGTCGACCCAGCCGACATAGGGCTTGCCACTCTTGAGCTTGCCATCTACGAAGCGGATCATGCCCATCATCCAGGCCATCTCGATGCATCCTTCGATGGTAAAGGTGCCGTAGGCCTCCATCTCCCAGCGGGTCCTCGACGAGCCCCATGGCCCCACTTCGGCGAAGCCGGTGACGACAATGGTCTTGTCCAGGTCCACCTCGTCGCCGGCCAGGAGGCCGTGCCTGTTCTTGGCCAGCTTGACGGCGTCGGCATGGGGACCGAGCTGGGGAAAGTCCCAGCGGAAGTTTGCCCTGGGCTCGACCTTGACCGTCTGATGGAGGGCCTCTGCCGCGGCGCCCTTGACCACCTTGAAGTCGGCCGAATTTTCCATGGCAATGGCGCGCCGACGGGCGGACTCGTCAAAGATCTTGGCGCGGATCGTCGTCATCTTGGCAGCCAGGTCGGTGATGCGGGTGAATCCTCCCGAGAGATCGGCCACGATGGGCTCAACCTGGGCAGTGGCCGTCATGACGGGATGGAGGCAGCCAAGTAGGTTGAAGCCCATCTCGACGGTGGAAAAGGTGCGCACACCCATCTTTTCAATCTCCTCGGCCGTGGCATTGTTGCCGTCCATGAGGCCGGTGCCGCGGACCCAGCCAATGATGCAGCCAGTGATGGAAATGTATTCGGACCAGCCTTCGCTCAGCGAGCGGTTGGCCAGCGTCTCGAGGGCGACTTTGCTCTCCGAGTAGAGTCCTCCGCCGCCCATCTGCCCACGGTTCGGCGACATGGGGTTGAGGCAGACGGTGGGGCGGGTGCGGAATCCCCTCGTCTCCTTGGCCACCTTGATGTGGCCCAGCAGGCGGACCAGGTTGGTGAGCATGGCACGATGAGCGGCCTCGGACTTGTCGTTGATCGTCTCAAAGCTGCCGGCGTCTGGAATGGCGGCAAAGGGCGCGATGCTGTCCAGGTCCAGCGCAAGGTCGTCGTAGATGTAGTTGACGAGGGCCTCGGTGTCCTTCTTTGACGCCGCGTTCCAAGGCACCACGGTGAGCTGCGACGACTTTGCACCGACGGACTGGTAGATGGACTGGTAAAAGGAGACTTGGTTGCGATTGTACGAGCTCGTGGTCAGGACAACGCGAGCACCACCGGCCAAGAGCCCCTTTGCGACCTCCAGGGCGATTGATCCACGACCCGCGCCCGTGATGAGAACATTCTGGCCCTTGAACGTGACGCCGTTCTTCGAAACGTCGTCGAGGATGGAGAGATAGACGCCGGTGAGCTTCTGGCTGTTTGTAAACTCGCCGCCAACCTTGCGCTTGATCTGCAGAAAAGGCTGCCGGTCCGACTCGAGGGGCACCACTGGCTCCGACAGCATCGGTGCTCGGGCGTTGGAGCTCAGGCGGCGGGTCCGCTGGTGGCGGGGTCCACCGAGACGGCCCTGCTTGCTCGAAGCCGCGGGACCGAGACTGCGGAAAATCTCGCCGTAGATGGACTTGATGGTGCTCTTGTTGAAGCGCGAGACCGACGGCTCGTTTTTGATGAGCGTCCACAGGCGCGACATCTGCTCCTTTGCCGCGTCAATGTCGACCTGGGGCCCGACGCGGGTGCCTGCGGCCATCTCCTTGACATAGGCCTCCATCTTGCGCACGCCGACTCGCTTGACTTCGGAGTAGACGATGTTGCCCTTGGCGTCGACAGAAGTGTGGGGAGCCGTGGGCGCATAGACCTCCTTGTAGGTGGCCGGCTGCGACATGGCCTCTCTGCAATTTTCAATGAGCATCTGGCCAAACTCCTTTGCGAGCGCATAGGTGGGCCCTTCGTCGGCATCGACCATGTCGATGGTGTACTTCATGAGCTCGAGGAGCGTCTCGTCTGCGCGCGACATGAGCGTCAGCGACTTGCGCGTCACCTCTCGGTCGACGGCCGTGAGGCGACCGGCAATGATGTCGCAGTACATGTTGAGGGCATCCTGGCGGGACCAGTTCCAGTACGAGGCAAAGTTGCGAGCCTTGCGTGCATCGAAGCGGGGCATGATCATGCGCGTGTACTCCTCGGAGTGCTCGCTGTAGATTGCATCGAGCTCGCTGCGCAGGTCCTGGACCTCCTCGCGTGTAGCCTGGGCCAGACGACCAGCGGCACGTCCGTCGGTGCCAATGTAGCGTTCGAGGATCTGGATCTGGCGGCGGGCGTGCTCGTCGTGGCGCGACTGCAGCTTTTCGAGCTCTTCGCTGCTGATCGTGGCGCCGCCGCCGCCACCACCGCCACCACCACCACCACCAGCGCCGCCCCCACCACCCTGGCTGAGGGCTACGCCGGCCTGGGCACCATACGCAGTGACGACACCGTCGAGCCAGGCCTTTGCTTCGCCCTCGGACCCGAGACGCTTGGCTGGCTCCTGTGTCAATGCGACGAGGAGGACAGCCTCAGAGCGGCCGGGACCGAGTCCCCAGCTCTTTTGGAGATGGGCCTTGACGGCAGCCAGGTTGAAGCCACCGGGAAGCTTGCCTCCCACGAGGCGGGTGACGAGGCCGCTGGTGTACTTGCCCAGGGTGCCGCTGTAGCCCGAGTTGAGGGCCGAGCCGAGTTCCTCGACGGGCAGCTCCTCTGCGCGCTCGGGCATGCTGCCAAACTCGGCGAGCAAGTCGGCCTGGATTTCGTTTGCCATGACCGACTTACCGCCAGTGAGATCCTTGATCGTCTTGCTCGGCGTGATGTCTGCAATCGGCTTCTTGAGCTTCTGGGCGAGGATGCAACGGACAGTGTCGACGGCCGACAGGGGCACGTCGGGCACTTCGCTTGCCGAGCCTCCCGAAGACGGTGCCGGAGCGGGTGCTTGCTGCGCTGGCGGTGCTGCTGGTGCTGGCGCTGCAGCAGGTGCCTCGGCTGGCTGAGAAGAGGGACCAGCCGAAGCCGAGTCATCGAGCTCGTCGTCCATGTCGGCAAAGGAGTAGTACAGCGGCTCCTGGTCCTTGGAGTGGCACAGCATGACTCTGCGTTTGCCCTGCGCTTGGTCCTTTCCTGCATAGCGGATCTTGTGGGTGCGCGAGGCCATGCCGACGAGCGTGGGGCTCGGTCCAAACTCGACTAGGCGTTCAAATGCATAGGGCTCCTCGAAGAAGACGTCCTGGGTCTCGATCCAGCGCACTGTTGTGGTTACCAAAGGGTCAGTGTGAATGACAGACACAAGAGCACGTCTGAAGAGTAATAACAACATACCGCAGCTGGCAAATTGAAAGGCAAGGAGCTCGATGAGGAGCGCCCGGCAGAGCTCCTGCTCCCGTTCGCTCGTAGCCCAGCCATCCTTTTCCCAGTTCTTGAGAATCTTGGCCAGTCGGGTGCTGCCTCCGCGCGTAGCCTCATAGACGAGCTCGGTGTATTCCCTCGTGAGCTCAAAGGGCCTGGCGACGAGATTGGGAATGTATTTGCCCACGAGCGTGCGAGGCTTGATGGCGCCCACACGCTTCGAGAGGTAGGAGCGGAACTCAGAGACACCACCCCGGAGGACAGAGGAGTGGAAGGGCACGTCGATTCCAGGCAGGGGAATCGTCGCCTTTCCGCGCTTGGGCTCAATGCGACCCTTCTTGGCCTCTTCGGTGGCCGTCGTGTGCGCCTCGGTCACAATGGCCTCGAGCGCCTCGCGCAGCTTGGCCGGGTCGGCCCTTTGCAGGACAGACATGAGGAAAGCAGTGGAGGTGGGTGAGGAGGTGGGTGGGGAGGGAGGTGGATGATGTGGGTGTTGAAATTCGCTGGTCAAGGAGCAAGGACGACCAGAAGACGACGGATGGCCAACGTCGAGCTCGATGAAGAAAAGGCAAGACTCGATCAAGCCCACCTCCCTCCACTGCTGCAACACGCTCTAATATTAACATTTGTTTCTCAGCCCCAGCAGGCAGTCAGATTGGGCAGGAAAGCTCTCCCAGCATTCTTTCCCCATCCTCCTGACACTACACACACACACACCGCGAGACTGCTACTGCTGAGTAAAGGCGCGGGACAGCAGCCACCGAAGACTGGCTGGCCCCAAGGCTAGGCTTTGCTCCATCCCAAAGGCGGAGGGAGGTGCCTGCACAGACCAAGTTTTGGAAATTTTTCCCTTTCTTTTTGGGGGGCCGCCTCAAAAAAGCTTTGGGACTGGCTCACGCGTCGTTTGTTTTGGGCTCCGGATTATTTCCGTGCCGGAGGGAGGCATGGAGTGTGGTACGGTGCTGTATAGTAGTAGTAGTACAACGAGGTCCAATGACTAGTACATTTGTTGTCCAGATGCGTACAGGGCCAAGCGAATTCATCAAATCTGGCTGGGGAAGCGGCCAGTCCCGTGGACGACGTTGGTGAGCGTTTTGATTGAGCCACCCCCCCTCCAATCCAACACGGACGGACGGACGGACGGAGCGTGGACACACGCACCCATGCACCGGCCAGTCAAATTTTAGAGTGTAAAATTGCTGCTGCCCGCCTTCTTCCCCTCCCTCTTCTCACCTTCCATCTCGGTTTCATTCCCATCTCTGTTCGTCAGCACTACGTACATCAACCTCTCAGCACTGACGACCACCATCACGCACCTCACGATCTCTCGCCGGGCTTGGAGCTAAGGCACGGGCCAAGCTTTCTTCAGCACCAATTGCCCCTTACCCCCCCCCCCCCACCTACACCATGTCTCTGACCTCTGCCAAGGGCTCGTCCGACGACAGCTACGTCGACGTTATCTCGTCGCCCACGGGTGACAGCCCCAATGGCGCCGACGCGCGGCGTCCGATTCAGCTCAGCACGGCCTCGACCCAGGTGCGCATCCCCGTGCCCGTCTCGCCTTACGAGGCCTGGATTGCCGCTGTGGTGCTGCGCGACGAGTTTCACCGCAGCCTGGCCAGCCTGCAGTCGACAGAGGAGAGGGATGCGCTCGCCGTCAAGGACGAGGAGGCAACCGAAGAGGCAGACGAAGAGCAAGACGAGACAGAGTCGAGGGCGAAGGAGCAAGCAGCGGCCAAGCGAAAGGAAAAGGCCCAAGAGGCCCGAATCATCTTGACGGGCAAGTTTCTTGGCTTCCTCGCCGGCAAGCTCAACGCGTCGTCTTCAACAAGGGGCACATACGAGGCAAAGGTGCTCCAATGCACCTGGCTCTACTTTCAGAAGCAGTTCCTCGGCGACACTGTCGACATCCACAAGCTGGCCGCTACCCTCGACGTCGATGTTCGCTCTTCGCTTCTCAGATCCTACTACGAGGCCCTCGTTCTTGTCGAGGCCGACATCAAGACGCCCAAACTGCTTCGCCTGGCACAAGACGGTGGCGCCGAGATTTTCGCCCTTTTTGGCGGCCAAGGCACCAACGAGGTGAGTTTTAGCTTATTTTATTTTATTTTATTTTTCTTTTGCCCCTCTGGTCGCGCGCAGCGACCGGCCGGCTGGCTGGTCAGCCACGCACACACAACCGAATCAAAGAGGCTATCTATCATTTTAGCTGCTTGGGAACCTCGTTCAGATCTCGATTTCGGAAAATTTAGAGCTCACACGTTTATCTTCGCAGGTCTACTTCAACGAGCTGCAAGCGCTCTACGACACATATCGACCCCTGGTCGAGTCGGCACTCGCAGCGGCCACACAGCAGTTGGAGTCGCTGGCCGAGGAGGCAGCGCTACAGGGCTTCAGCAGCTACTATCTCCATGGCCTCGATGTTCTGGGCTGGCTCTCAGGTCGCCAGGCCAGACCCTCGGCGAGCTACCTGGGCAGCATCCCGCTGAGCCTGCCCCTCATTGGCCTTACCCAGCTCATTCAATATCTCGTCGCATGCCGCGTCAGCGGGGTCACACCTGCGCAGTTTCGCGACCGCATCAAGGGCGCCACTGGTCACAGCCAAGGCATCATTTCCGCAGTCGTCTTGGCAACTTCCGACTCTTACGACAGCTTCCAGGCGAATATGGTCAAGGCGCTCGCCCTGCTCTTCCACATCGGCAAGCGTGGCCAGGAGGGCTTCCCAGAGCTGACCATTGAGCCCGCACTGATCAAGGACGCCATCGAGGGGGGCGAGGGTGAGCCGACGCCGATGCTTTCCGTCACGGGCCTTACCCAACCGGCACTGGAAAAGTTCATCAAGAGTAACAACGCTCACCTGGCCGAGGGCCACAAGGTCGGAATTTCGCTCTTCAACGGGCCTCGCAACTTCATCGTCACCGGTCCGCCCCGTTCCCTCTTTGGTCTGGTGGGCAGCCTCCGCGCAAAGCGTGCCGAGACGGGTGCCGATCAGACGAGGGTACCCTTCTCCAAGCGCAAGCCCGTGTTCAACATGCGTTTCCTTCCCGTCGGCGTTCCCTATCACTCCAGCTACCTCGTTGGCGCAACGGACAAGGTCTGCGACCTCGACTACAAAGGTGCCGAGGTATGGCAGCCGTCGGAGCTCAAGACGGTGGTGCGAAACACCTTTGACGGCTCGGATCTCAGCAAATTCGATGGCAGCCTCGTGAGGAGCATCTGTGACCAAATCTTTGTACAGCCCATCTACTGGTCGCAGGCGACCGATGTACCCGCGACGACGACGACGTGCGTCGACTTTGGAACGGGCGGCCTCTCGGGTATCGGCAGCCTCACAGCCCGTAACCTCGAGGGAAGGGGCGTTCGGACCGTCATTGTGAGCGGCTTCCACCCCAACAGCGCCGAGCTGTACGACGTCGTCGATATTCGGAGGGAAAAGCGCTGGGTCGACAGCTACACGCCCAAGCTCGTCAAGACCAAGTCAGGCGAGATCCGCATCGACACGCCCATGTCGAGGATGCTGGGCAAACCACCGATCTGCGTCGCCGGTATGACTCCGAGCACCGTCCAGGCCGGCATCAATGCCGCCGTGGCCAATGCCGGATACCACATTGAGCTGGCGGGTGGCGGTCAGATTCGTTCCAACATGCTCCGCAAGCGAGTCGAAGAAATCCAACGGCTTACCGAGCCAGGCCAGCCCCTGACGCTCAATTGCCTCTATATCAACCAGCGCCAGTGGGCCTGGCAATACCCGCAGTGGCTCGAGATGCGCCGCGAGGGCCTGCCCCTCAATGGTTTCACCGTCGCAGCCGGCGTGCCTTCGACCGAAGCGGCCAAGACGATGCTCGACGGGCTCAAGCAAGCCGGCATCGAACACGTTACCTTCAAGCCCGGCAGCGTCGAGGGCATCCGTCAGGTGTGCAGCATTGCGGCTGCCAACCCGACGATGAACATCCTCTGCCAAGTCACTGGCGGCCGAGCCGGAGGGCACCACAGCGCCGAAGACTTCCACCAGCTCGTCCTCCCGACATACAGCTTGATTCGCAAATACAGCAACCTCGCCCTCGTCGCTGGCTCGGGCTTCGGCTCGGACGAAGACTTCTGGCCTTACTTTACCGGAGACTGGTCGCTCGACTTTGGAGCTCAGCCTATGCCCTTCGATGGCGTCCTCTTCGCCAGTAGGGTCATGACAGCCAAGGAGGCCCACACCAGCGACTCGATCAAGCAGCTCATCGTAGATGCGCCCGGTGTCGACGACAAGGACTGGGAAGGCACATACGAAAAGGAGACGGGTGGCATCATCACTGTCACTTCGGAGCTGGGAGAGCCCATCCACAAAATTGCCACGCGCGGCATCAAGCTCTGGAAAGAGCTTGACCGGGACCTGTTCTCTCTCGACAAGAAGAAGCGGGAGGCATACATGGCTGAAAAGAAGAGCTACCTCATCGACCGTCTCAACAAGGATTTCCAGAAGCCGTGGTTCCCCCAGCGGAACGATGGCTCTGCGGCCCAAGATGTAGCCGAAATGACATACGAGGAAGTCTCAAGGCGACTGCTTCGCCTGCTCTTTGTCGCTCACCAGACAAGATGGATCGACGTGTCGCTGCGCAACCTCGTCGGAGACTGGCTGCGACGCTGCGAAGAGCGCTTCGCCGGCATCGAGACCAACGGCGACAAGGTCTCGCTGCTCCAGAACTACTCTGTCCTCGACAAGGAGCCGGTCGCGTTCCTGGACAAATTCTTTGAAGAGTACAAGGATGCAAAGACGCTCTGGCTCGCCGCCGAGGACGTCAGCTACTTCATTACTCTGTGCGCCCGGCCTGGTCAGAAGCCTGTTCCCTTTATTCCAGTTCTGGACGAAAATTTCCCAACGTACTTCAAGAAAGACTCGCTCTGGTTCTCCGAGGACATCGACGCCGTCTTTGACCAGGACCCGCAGCGAGTGTGCATCCTGCAGGGACCCATGGCTGCACGCCACTCAAAAATTGTCAACGAGCCGGTCAAGGACATTCTCGGCAACACCGAGCAGGGCCTCATCAGGCGTCTCCTCGATCGGTACTACGGCGGCGACTCCTCCAAGGTGCCCACAGTCGAATACCTCAGCAAGGCCGCTCCTGCCCTTGATTCTGCCTCTGTCCTCGCTCATCACGGCATTGGCGCCTCAAGTACGCCGAATGGTTCGCGCATTCTAAGAATTGCCAAGAATGTGCCCGCAACGGAGGAATGGCTCGAGGTCGTTGCTGGTCCGAGGCCAAGCTGGCTTCGTGCTCTCTTGCGCTCCGTTTCCATTGTCCAAGGCAGCTCGTACGCGGACAATCCGATTTCGCGCATGCTCGCTCCAAGGCGCGACCAGTCGATCGAGATCTCGTACGCGGCCAATGGTGAGCCGACCGGCCTCATTGTCCGAGGTGCAGCGCGCTCGTTTGGACATCACGATGCCCAATTCAGGGCCATTGAGATCCTCAAGCGCCAAGACTCGAACCTCATCGACGTCATCATGAACGAAGAGCGACTCGGGGAAGCGGTCCCCCTGCACCTCCAGTTCCGCTACCGGCCCGACCAGCCCTTTGCGCTCATTCACGAAGTCATGGAAGGCAGGAACGACCGTATCAAGTCCTTTTACTGGCGCCTTTGGTTCCACGCCGATATGCCGTCGAAGAAAGAGCTTTCGATGCGCCGCGAGCACGTCAGCCCAGTGGCTAAGCTCGACTCGGACGCCATCATCCGCTTCTGCCAAATTGTCGAGAACCGTAGCGAAGCGTTCCACTTGGGTGGACAAGCGCCGATGGATTTTGCCATCGTCGCTGGCTGGCAGGGGATCATGCAGGCTCTCATTGGGAGCACCGATGCAGACCTGCTGAGTCTTGTGCATCTTAGCAACAGCTTCAAACTCGTCGACGGAGCCAGGCCACTGCGCGCTGGTGATGTCTGCAGCGCCAAGGCCAGTGTGCAGAGCATCAAGATCACCGACACGGGCAAATCGGTCGCCGTACGCGGGACAGTACTACGGGAGGAAGAGGGCGAGATGAAGCCAGTCATCGATGTCGTCTCGAGCTTTTTCTTCCGTGGCCGCTTCAACGATTTCGAGGGTTGCTTTGAGCGTGTCTCGAACGAATACCAAGTCCTGATTAAATCGGCACCCGATGTCGCTGTCCTCCTGGCCAAGGACTGGTTCACCTGGACCGGCAGCGAGCCCCTTTCGCCCAACACGACCCTCGAATTCCACGTCAAGAGCGATGTCCGCTTCAAAGACAGCAGCACCTTTTCGAGTGTCGACGTCGAGGGGAACGCCTATACGCGCGACTTCAAGGACGATTTGATCCCAGTCGGGCTCGTCGAGTACAGCGCTGACTCCGTCTCGCACGGCAATCCCGTCATCGAGTACATCAAGCGCATTGGTGGCTCGTCGACTGCGCCTGTCCCGCTCGAGAATGGCTATTCGCTGGTCAAGTCGGCCAAGTTCAAGGCACCTGCTACCAATGAGCCCTACTCCAAGGTCTCTGGTGACTATAACCCAATTCACGTCAACCCGTACTTCTCGCAATTTGCCTCGTTGCCCAGCACAATCACCCACGGTCTCTTTTCGTCGGCCGCCACGAGGCGCTTCGTCGAGGACATTGCCGCAGAGGGTCATCCGGAGCGATGCCTGTCGTTTGAGGCGAACTTTACCGGCATGGTCAATCCCGGGGACGAACTCGAGGTGCGCCTGCGTCACATTGCCATGAGCAACGGCAAGAAAGTCGTCAAGGTTGAGACATTCAACCAGCTTGGTGAGAAGGTCCTCGATGGATCGGCCGAGGTTGCCCAGCCCCCGACGGTGTACGTCTTCACCGGTCAGGGAAGTCAGACGCAGGGTATGGGCATGGACCTGTACCAGACAAGCGAGACTGCCCGCGCGCTGTGGGACGAGGCCGATGCGCACATGCGCGAGACGATGGGTTTCAGCATCCTCGAGATCGTTCAAAAGAATCCGACGGCCAAGACGGTGCATTTCGGCGGTGTGCGAGGTCTGGCGATTCGAGACCGGTACATGGCGATGACGTACGAATCCACCGATCCAACTACGGGCAAGACAACAACGATGCCACTTTTCCCCGAGATCACGTCGGCAAGCCAGTCGTACACTTTCAGCCATCCTCAAGGCTTGCTCAACGCCACGCACTTCACACAACCCGCCCTGGTTTTGACAGAATTGTCGGCATTTAGGGACATGCAGCGCCGCGGCCTCATCGTCGACGGCGCACCCTTCTGCGGTCACTCTCTGGGCGAATACAGCAGTATTGCAGGAGCTGGCGCAGCATTGGACATCAAGGACCTGTGTGATATCGTATTCCTGCGAGGTCTCACGATGCAGCGTGCCGTTCAACGCGACGAACAAGGTCGGTCCGACTACGGAATGGTCGCGTGCAACGCTGCGCGTGTTGGCCTCTCCGACCAGGCACTGACCGAAGTGATTCTCGAGATTGCCAAGAGGCCAAATTGCTTCCTCGAGCCGATCAACTTCAACGTCGCCATGGTTCAGACTGTCGTGGCCGGCAACTTGCTTGCGCTCAGGACGCTGCAACTTACCCTTGACAAGATTGCAGAGTTCGCATAAAGAGCTTTTTTTTCTTCGTTTTCCTTTTCGCTCTCTTCCCTCCTACCTTGTAGATAGCTTGTGACATTCCTCTGTTCGTACCCCAGTCATTGTTGTTCTTTTCCGTTCCTCTCCGCTTATAGACACTAGAGCTCGAATTGGGAGCGTCATTCTCATTCCTTTGGAAGTACAAGTACAGTACTCCAACGAATCAATCAGCTCCTTAGAAAATTGTTCATGGGACCCTTCCCTGGTTGACAAAGAGTGGAGTCTCAACCTCCTTGGCGGACGAGTACTTGATCAGCCAACCGAGCACCTCTTCGTGCCATTTGAGGCTGTTCTTGGGCATGCGGACCCAGTGATTTTCATCTGGGAAATAGACGAGCCTTGCGTCCACGCCTCTGCGCTTGAGCGCATTGAAAGCCGAAATCCCCTCGGTCTCAGGCAGCCTGAAATCCTGCCCGCCGGCAACGATGAGCTGGGGCGTGTGCCATTGCGAAACGAATCGTTCCGGGCTGAATCGCTGGTAACCGTGATCATTCTCCCAGGGTACCCCACCGAATTCATGCTCGGGGAAGTAGAGCTCATCGGTCGAGTACCTTTGCGTGCCTTCCTCAGTCAGACACGACCATTCTCCTTTGCAATGGTTGACAAGACTCACCAGGTGGACAAGGTGGAAAAGACGCCATCATGGCATACAAGGCCCTTGAAGAGTCCGTCTTCGTTGTGCCCATTGATCCAGTTGATCATGTAGCCGCCGTACGAGGCTCCGGCGGCGACGACTCTGTCCGAATCGAGGGTCTCGCTGAAGCGCTTTAGGATGTGCTTGGTTCCCAGTCGGATGTCTTCAAAAGGAGTCGAGCCCCAGTGGTTGAGGATCTCCTCCTGGTAAGCTTGCCCGAAGCCTGTGCTCCCCGCCGGATCAAGTGTAATGACAAAAAAGCCCTGAGCAGCAAATACCAGAGGATTCCAGCGCGTGCTCCAGCTATTGGCCCAGCTCCCTTCTGGCCCTCCATGGATCAAGACAGCCAAGGGGTAGGCCTTCTTGACGTCGTACCCGGGCGGCTTGATGATCCAGCCGTGTGCATCACGTCCTCGGCTACCGGGGTAGCTAAATTGCTCTGGCTCCGGCCCGAGGTCCAGCTTGGAAAGCCCTCCCTCTTCGGCAAAGTCCGTCAGCTTGATTGCTTCGCCATGTTGAGCGCCCAAGCTGTTCTCGAACTGATCATTGCCGTTTCGGAGTAGCCAAGCCTCTGAAGGCCCCCGGATCGAAGAGGCCGTCACGAGGAGCGAGCCATCGGCGAGGGCTTCAAACGAAGCGGCGCCTCCCTTTTTGGTGACAAAGTCCGGCCTGATGTTCTGCTGACCGAGGTCGAGACGGTAGATGACATCCTGCTCCTTATTTTCGACGATGCCCAGCAGTGACTTTCCGTCGGGGGAGAAAGAGACGGTGGTTGGCGAGAGGTCCCAAAAGGGCTTCTTTGATAAGTCCTGCCCCTCCAAATGGAGCGTCTTGTCTGCCTCGTATATGGCGATCTTTCGCCGGTCGGACTCGAAGCCGTCAATGTCCATCTGCAGCCAGACGATCTTCTGGCCGTCTTGAGAAAAACGAGGTGAGGAGGTTGCGCCGTGTTTGCCATGCGTGAGCTCCGTGGGTGCGGCAGTTCCATCCAAGGGTGCAAGATAGATGTTCTGTTTCGTGTGCCACGCAGCATGCACGCTCGGGTCCCTTGCGGTCCAGACGGCGTGGGTGCCGTTGACGTCGTAGTCGCCCTCATCTCCAAACGGTGGCACAGGCGACTCGAGCGCAGTGCCTTTGAGCAGGTTGCGAATCTCGCCCTTGAAGCTCCACCCATCGGCTGCCGGGTCCAGGTCGACAGCGAAGAGCTGAGAGCGCTTGCCAGGGTACAGCCAGGTGTCCCAGTGCCGGATCATGACATCGTCAAAGACCTTGACTCGCTTCCATTGGGCCACAGCCTGAGAGTCGTCGTGCTCTTTGACCTTGTATAGGTCACCATCACCATACACCTGGGCCGAGAAGACGAGGGTGAGACGGTCTTCGTGCCGCGCCACTTGGATCGTGTCAATCGGTGCCGGAAAGGTAGCTCCTTCGACGGGCTCTTTGCCGCCGTCATCCTGTGCGAGATCGTGCACGACAAGTCGGTTGTCAGAGGATCGAACAAAGGCAACATGGGTGTCGGAGAGCCAGAATGCATCAGAAGCGTTCCGTGTGACGATGACCCGTTCCTTGCCGGGGTCTTTGAGGTCGAGGTGGTACAAGACGCTGTCGAAACTGTCCCCTTCGAACGAGTAGGTCCGAGCGCCAATAATGGCGGCGTCGCCCGAAGGGTTCGCTCTTGCGATCCCGGGGCGAGGGGCAGCGATGAGGCGCTTGGGGGTGAGGATCTCGTCCGAGTCAAAAAGCGGTGCTACGCCCGTCGCCGAGGCCAGCGAGGCCAGCGAGGCCAGCGAGGCCAGCGAGGCCAACAGCAAGGAAAGGAGGGCGGCCTTCATTGTGTAGTGCCTGTTACTTGTCGCAGTGGGCAAACAACGAGCAGCAGGTGGTGCCAGCCAGGGGTGGGGGGTTGAATTAGCCTCGCTTCCATTGCGTGGCGTGCAATTAATTGCCGTGGAGGTTGATCAACCTCCATGTCTTTTCTATGCAGCATCTGTGTCGTGCTGTTCTCGGACCGAGAGCCTCTTGTCGAGCAGAGCCTAATCATCCGCATGTCCTTTGCTCGTCTCTCAATGGTCGCCCTTCGCTGTCAATAGTCAATGTCTTGAGTTGTCCAGCTATCGACTGCAATTAAAACACATGCTTCCCCTGCTCTCCTTGATCCCTGCAAGCGGCTCGACCGCCATTTTGAGAGGAGAGCCCACTGCACGATGCACAATGCACAACCTCATGCGGTTGCTCTTCTCTTCTGTTCTACCCTTTTCGGGACTCGACGCAGAAAGGGTATCGATGGCAGAAAGCTCAAAGCGTAGCTGCTATTGTCTCCTGCCCCTCGCACGGTACTCTTCCCGCAAAGCCGGTTCTTGCAGATGACTCTTTGTCTCTTCCAGTGTCAGCAAAGACGCATGGAGGCCAAACTGGTCCCAGTCACCACCAATGCTATTCTCTGTCGATGTGAGTGCTTTGTCTGAATCGACGTTTCCCCGCCCCCCGACGCGATGTTGCAAGTCCGATCTCGGAGTCGAGGACCGGACCGGAAGAACCCCACGGTCGTATTTTTAAAAAGTCTTATATGAATCAAGATGTCCTTCCTCTCTGCCTTACCCCTCCCGCCGCTCCCCTCTTTCTTGCAGCTATGGCAGCCTTTCGACCGACACTCGCTGTCCGCAGTGGACTTTCCAACATCCTGAAAAAGCGGCCAGACGATGTAGTCTTCACGACGGCGCTTCGCACGCCTATTGCGCGTCTTGGAAAGGGCTACAAGCATGCTGTATGTTGTACTTGCTTGCCTCCTCTCCCGATTTTTTTCAGAAAGGCTGACTTTCTGAGTTTTGCTTTTCTTCCAAAAGTACCCGGAAGAGCTGCTCGCTTTCGTATTGCAGCGAACAAGAGAGAGACTCGAGGCCAAGGGTGTCGACATCAAGATCATCGAGGACATTTGCACCGGCACGGTCCTCATGGAGCTCGGCGGCGCAAAGAGTGGCAGGCTGGCGGCCCTGCACGCCGGCATGCCCATCGAGCACGCTTACAGGTGAGAGAGAGAGAGAGAGGCCACTCGCCCGCACGAAGGCAGGGTAGTAGAAAAAAAAACAGAAGAGAGAGCTGACATGTCCCGAGGGAACTGGTGCCAAAAGCACCGTGAATCGACAGTGCGCGTCGTCGCTGCAATCCATCACAAATATTGCCAACTCGATCAAGTCGGGGGAGATTGCGTGCGGCATTGCGGCCGGTGTTGAGTCGATGACGCGTGACTGGGAGACAAAGGCGATTCCCGTCAAGATGAGCGAGGCCATGAAGAAGAGCCCCAACAAGGATGCGCGCGACTGCCTCATGAGCATGGGTCTCACCTCGGAGAATGTCGCCGAGCGCTACGGAATCGGGAGGCAGAGGCAGGACGAGTTTGCAGCCAGGAGCCAGCAGCGGGCCGAGCAGGCGCAAAAGGACGGGCGCTTCGACGAAGAAATTGAGAAGATCGAGGTGCGATGGATCGACGAAGGCGGCGAGGAATCAACGAGGCTCGTCGACAAGGACGAGGGTGTGCGATGGGGCACCACGGCCGAAAAGCTGGGCAAGCTCAAGCCAGCCTTCAAAGAAAACGGCACCTCGACGGCAGGCAACAGCAGCCAGGTCTCGGACGGTGCCGTGGCGCTGACGCTGGCAAGGCGAGACGTGGCGGAGCAGGCTGGCATGGACATCCTGGGCAGATGGGTGGGAACGGCCACCATGGGCGTCAAACCAGACGTCATGGGCATTGGCCCGGCCATGGCGACGCCCAAGCTGCTCAATCGCTTTGGTCTCAATCCCAGCGACATCGACCTGTGGGAGCTCAACGAAGCCTTTGCGTCGCAGGCCCTCATGACCATTGATCACCTTGGGCTCGATGAAGACAAAGTCAACGTCAAGGGCGGTGCCATCGCCCTCGGCCATCCCCTAGGCGCCTCGGGTGGAAGATTGGTCACGAGCCTTCTTGCCGAGCTGAGGAGAACAGGAAAAGAGACAGGTGTCGCAACCCTCTGCTGCGGAACAGGATACGGCAAAGCCACCCTAGTTGTAGCCGAATGATAAATGACGCTCTTTGCTTATTTTAATCAATCGATCAACTCGAGAGACAACAATGGCAGGCTATGTAGATTGGGCATGGTCATGGTGAAGAGTGAAAAGTAAAGAGCGAGACGGGGAGGAATTTTCAAGGGCTGGTGGCCTTTGCCTTGAGCTGGGCCAAGCGCTGCGAGACACCCTCGGCAAGCTGAGGGTTGACGACGCGGAACTGCTTGAGGAGCTGCTCGACGATGTAACCACGCTTGACCTGCAGGCGAGTGGGACAGGGAAAAAAAGAAGGTTGAGCCAAAAGTAAGAAGAAGGGGACAAGTCAACAGAATGTCGGCAGGCAGCTCACCATGCTGAGAGCGCCCGCCCAGTTGTCCATGAAATTGGCCTTGTCGTGATCCGAGAGAACCTGTTCGAAAAAGTAGCGCGGCTGTTCATAGTCGATGTCCTTGATCTTGGACGAAAAGTGCTCGACCTTTGCTCCCGGCTTGAGATTGACCTTGGGAAAGACGACTTGCTTTTCGTACCGGTAGGGATCCCACGAGGCCGGAAACATTGGCCGATCACCTTGGTTGCCCAACACGGTCGAATGGCCGTCCCTGTCAAAGTTGGCCACGGTCGACAAGGGGCAATTGACGGGAATTTGGGCCGCATTGGCGCCCAGACGGTAGCGGCCGGCGTCGTTGTACGAAAAGAGGCGACTCTGCAGCACAGGGTCTTCCGAAGGCGCCCAGCCAGGGATCATGTTCGAGGGTGAAAAGTGGCTCTGCTCGATTTCTGCAAAGTAGTTTCTAGGGTTCTGGTCCAAGGTGAGCTTGCCAACGTCGTGCCATACGGCGTCGTACCAGTCCTTTGTCAGATCGTTGACGTCGTACCGGTAGGCGGCTGCTTCTGCCTCGGTCTTTGTGCTGAATTGAATCGTCCAGGAGGGAGGCTTTCCATTATCAATGGCTTCGTACAGGTCCTGTGTCGACCATTCCTGGTTTTCGCCACCGAGCCTGGTCGCCTCGGCTGCCGTGAAGTTCTGAAAAGAAGAGTATCAGTTGACTGACAATGACAGAGCCAAGGGAACAATGACCCGCTACTAACCCGGACTCCCTGGTCGGTCGAGAGTCTGACCTTGACGTAGACCCAGCTGCCATCGCACTGAACCAGACGAAACGTGTGGCCAGACCAGCCGTTCATGTGGCGGACACCCATGGGTGTTCCCAGATCACTGAACAGTCTCTGTCGTTCCTCGGTCCTTTCACGTTAGTCATGTTTTTTGTCCGACGTGGGCAGCAAAAACTCACAAACATCTGGTGAAGCGATTCGGGATTCTGCCAAATCCAGTCTATATCAATTAGGCGCGAGAGCAAAGAGGACAGAAGCAGTGAGTAGCAAGCAGAAGAAAGAGAAGACGCAGAAGAAACGGGAAGACTAACCCATGAACATGTCCTTGTTGCGGAGATGCGTCGCTGGATCCGTCTTTTGCGTGTGTATAAATAGGGGAAACTTGGTTGGGTCCTTTCATGAGATGCAGTCTTAGCAGACAGCGGGCAGAGCAACAGAGAAGGCCGTGCGACGCGCAAACGTACCCGGATGAAAAAGATGGGCGTATTGTTAAAGACCCAGTCGAGGGTGCCGCTCTTTGTTCTGATCTTGCATGCGAATCCACGGGGGTCGCGAGCCAGGTCTGGCGATCCCGAGGCCCCTCCAACCGTCGAGAAGCGGCAGGTGGCTGGGTGCTTCTGTCCCATCCTGAACTCGGGCGAGCACATGAATTTTTCGGCAAAGTCCGTCGTAATTTCGACGGTACCGTGGGCACCCAGACCGCGGGCATGGACGACGCGTTCGGGGATGCGCTCGCGGACAAAGTGGGCCAGCGTGTCGAGGAGATTCGTCGACTGGAGCAGCAGGGGACCACCGAGGCCTGCTGTCTGGTAGGAAAAAGGGTCCGAGGCTGCGGCGCCGTTTTCGAGCGTAAAGGTGAGCTGGTTGGACTGTGCCTCGGACGACTGCATCTGGTTGGTTATGATGGAGAAAAAGTCAATCGTCTTTTGCGAAGCACGGCGTGCGAGGCTGGCGAGGCGTTGCACGCCGTCGCTTCGCATGCTGGCTGCGTCAGCCATGGGTAGGCAGTACGCTAGCACCAGCGTGACCATGGCGGCACCGGTCTTGGTTCTCATTTTGTTTCTTCTTTTCGCAGAGGAAGTGGTGTCTCGAGGCCGGGTCTTGCAGTGTTCGAAGGGAGAGGCAAAGAGTGGGGTCAAGGCAGAAACGCCTTCAGAGGAGAGTCGGGAGAAGAGTAAGGACAGGGGTGTCTTTTGGGGCGGTCTTGCCTCGTCCGAGCCCTGCTCTTCTCTTAAGGCCGTTGGACTTGAGCCCGGGACGGCTCACTCCATCGTATTGAATAGCAGCAAGAGCCCCGCGGTGAGCGTGGCCCGCCATTTGTATCGCAAGACCGATTTGTCGCTCCGTCAGATAAGACTGATTCACAACGTCTGCATTTTGATTCGCTGCCCTTACTCAGCGTCTGCTGTCACGAGTGGCCGCCGTGTTGTCCTCTTCTCCTTTTCTCTTTCGCCCTCAATGTCTCCCTCTCTCCATCCACTTTCCCCCCTCTTCTCACACACACACACACACACACACACACACACTTCATCTCGGCTTTAGAGTTCGGAGCAGACAGCGTCACTCAGGATCCCCCTGACCCAAATGGACCTCCGCCCTTGCCAGCTGGTCCCTGAACTGTATCGGCGCTGGCCATTCAGGGACGGCTCAAGCGACACGGGCCGCTCCAACTGATTGATTGATGGGTGACGGGTGGCTTGGCTCGAGCAAAGCGTCAGATACACAGTCTCGCGGGGCGTCCGTCCTCGCTTACCCCCAGAGCCGTATATCGAGTAGTGCTCCAGCTACACAACATGTGCGCATGTACTATACTACGTTCTGTACGTATAGCTGCGCTTTAGACTACTACTAGCTAGCTAGCTTCCGCTCGATAGATCTTGGCACCGTGCCCTTGCGGCGCGGCATTGATGCACGAGGTTTCTCAATGCCGAGCAGGGAAGAAAGAAACGATTTATTGCACAATGCCCTGAATTTTTGTACTAGATTTGTGCTTCTTCCAAAAGCCCTGTATAAGAAAATAGTTTGAACTGCTGGTGCTGAGCTTGAAAATGTCGAATCGGCGGCAGCAATATCCCAGGGGAGGGGCTTCATGCATCGGTGGGCTCTCTCCACCAGCTCCATCGACTTTTTCAGTCGTCGCCGTCGTTCTCGTCGTCGTCGTCGTCGTCGTCGTCATTGTGTCGTCGCCGCCGCCGGTCATGGTCGACTATACGCGCGTGATGGCGGCCTACGCGCAGGCAAGCGCAGAGCAGAGGACTGAGGAGTACTACAGCACGGCATCGCCACATGTCCTCTCTTGGTTCAATCCAAACGACACCACGCCGGGCAACTGGAACGGGACACACGTCGAGGGCAACAAGTCGCTCGACTACTCCGACTTCCTCTACCAGCAAATCGTGGCCAACAACATCGCCGTCGCTGCCCTCACACTCTACATCTGGGAGTTTATCACAACCCTCTACGACGAGGTGCAGCTGTACCGTCACCGCAAGCTGTCGTCGCCTCACGTCATTCTCTTTGCCCTCATCCGCTACGGCACCCTTCCCGCCCTCATTCTGCCCACCTACTCGACTTGGCACAACTTTCAGAATGACCCCGACGGCTGTCTGCAGCACCAGCAGCTGGCCATTGCCGCCGTTCAGCTCATCGTCGGCATGGTCTTTGCCTGGCGCACAATTGCCATCTGGGGAAAGGACCGTCGCATCGTCGTCCTCCTCGGCTTTCTCGTCGTTGCCCAGTTTTCCGCCTCCTTTGCCCTCCTCTGGTTCTCCGAGGAGAAGCGGCTGCCCAATGGCGCATGTATGCCCGTCCCTTCGCCCTCTGGATTCAACCCTCTGCCCTGGTTCTACCTCACCGCCATGGCCTACGACGCCGTCACGATTGGCCTCTCGACGTGGAAGCTCTGGCAATTCTCTGCCCTGGGAAGGCCTCTGGAGCTGCAGCCGCGGACCATTGACGCCTTTCGCGCACCAATCAAGACGGCAAAGAAAGTCAGGGACCAGTGGGCCTCCTTTTCGCCGCTCCTCGAAAAGCTCATGGGCAGCGGCCTTGTCTACTTTACCATTGCCACGGCCTTCAACGCCTGCAACTTTGCACTTGAGATCAAGCAGGACCTGCACGCCAAATCGCTCGTCGCCCTCTATGCGCCGCTGATGTGCATCCTGTGCCAGCGTATCATTCTCCTCGACGTGAAGGCCCTTTACGGTAGCAGCCACGACTCGGGCAGTCGGGAGCGGTCGCTCGTCGAGCGCGTCATGCGCGACCACCGCAAGAGCTGGGAGGGAGATGACCTGCCTGCGAATCGTCCCTTTGCATCCTCGACGCTTCGTCCGTCGTCGGAGCGACCGCTGGCCCCGACGTCGCCCTCGTCTTCTCCTTCGGAAAAGGAGACGGAGCATACCGCAGTCGCCATCGACGAACCCGTCGATCCGAGCGCCGTCACGTTCGAAGGCATGCTCGCTCACCCGCCCGCTGCTGCCGATCATCAGAGGAAGGCGCAGTTGCACTGGTGGAGCAGAAGAAGGGACAGCGCATCATCGCGCGAAGACGCACCATCTCACTTGCCGTCGTCGACACAACATCGCGCCGCGTCCTCGACGTCTTCCTCATCGAGCCGGCCGCCGGTAGAGATGACGGGCGAGCAGAAAGCGCTGGCGCTTCGCATGGCCGGTCTCGACGACGGTAGCCAAGCGCAACCCAATTAAAACATGAACATTTCTTTTCTTTTTCCTGCCACTGGCCACCGGCATGGCCTAGTTGGACATGGAACGACACGGGACTCGCATCAACACAATTCTCGGCGCATCTTCATCTTCTCTTTCCTTTTCCTCAGCACACATTCCTCACTCTCACTTTCTAAGCACGCCCCGTGCTCCCTTGTTGTGCAGCTCACACCGGATCTCTCCTGCCTCTTTCATCATCGTCCCGTACCGCCTTAATCTGTACCGCATCTGTATTTCTTCCTTCGGAAATAGGAAAAAAAGAACAAGCCTCTTGATCCAGAGTCTTTGGTAGTACGAATCTTCTCTCTCCAGTCTCCCGAAGAACATCGAGGAGCAGAGGGACACGGAATTAGGCAGCAGCCGTGAGCTGCTTCTTGAGGGCACCCGATGAGTTTGCCTTTTGCAGGTCATCGTTGCCTCCCAGGTGGGTGCCGCTGACAAAGATGTTGGGCACGGTACGCTGGCCCGTCTTGTCGGCGAGGTAGGCCTGGATCGCGTCGCCGTCCTCGACCTGGTCGAGCTCCACGACAGTCACGTCCGACTCGGGCAGGTCCGAGTGGCCACCGAGCGTCGTCTTGGCCTGACGGCAATCTGGCAGAGGGAACACAGAGAGAGAGGTCTGCTTGTCAGCCAACTGGAGACCGCTGGTGTCAAGCAAAGGTTAGTGCCACAAGAAGACGTACAGGGGCACCAGGACTTGGAGAAGACGACGACCTTTGTCGACTTGATCAGGTCCTCAGTCTTTTGCTTGACGGACATTGTTTAAAATTGAAGCTGGTGCTTGTTGGTAACGATGGTAGTGGTGGCTCGGTGGCAATGGCCGTAGCGGTGATGGTGGTTGTGGTGAGGAAAGAGGATGTGCAAGTGGAGACGGCATCCGCAATGGCGTGACTGAGGGCAACCCTTCTAAGTCCGAGCAGGTGGAGATTCTTCTAAGGCTCTTTTTCCTTTTTTTTTTTTTTTTTTTTTTTTTTTTTTTTTTTTTGGTTGGGTCGGACTTTCGCCTCGGTGGTCTTGTGGAGTGCGTTATTGGAAGAAGGTGTTCGCGCAAAGCTTAGGATCGGACAGCGCACGCCTCCTGGCGAGAGTCAAAGGGGCGCGATGGCGTCGTTCAGAGAGCTCAAGAAGCAGAGGGAGGCAAAGAGCGGCGTAGCGCCGAGGAACAGACTGCAAGCTGACACCAAGAGAGGGGCGCCATCCTCGGCGGCTCTCGCAGACAAGCCGGTGGGGGATGATTGTCACACGACGGCAGAAGCAGGACACAGCGAGACACCACAGGCACTTGATGCGGCTATTACACGGCAGAGCCAGCCAGATCTCAGCGAAGTGGGGTCGAGGCTCGACGAGAATAGCGACATCGAGGTGGACATGGCCGGCGACAAGGGGCGCGGCCTCTTTTACAGGCCGCAGATCAAGAACGACAGCAGCATCACAAGGGGCACACTGCTTCTGCGATTGAAGCCAGACATCTGGGTGCCACTGTCGTCGAGGATTGCCTCGCACTGTTATCGCTGCCTGGCCCCTGCGAACAAGCCTGCGGCCTTGGGAGACAAACAAGGCGAAACGAAACGCGACCTCTTTCGATGCAAGGGTTGCCGCATTGCGCGATATTGCGGCGAGTCGTGCCAGCGAGCTGATTGGCCCTCGCACCGCTCCGAATGTCGGGCATACAAGAGGGCATCATCCGTAAAAGGCAGCGACGTCGAGCCGGGAACATCGGTGCGCATGCTCGCCAGGCTTGCCGCGGCCAAGAGCATGGACCCGAAGCTATGGAGGCGAATCGAGTCGTTGCACTCGTATCGCAGCGAGCAGAACAAGGGAGGACTCACGTCTGAAGCTGAGGCAGCCTTTGCGACCGCTGCTTTCCTCTGTTCCCCTCCTTCATCGGCAGGCTCCACTAGCGACGAAAAGCACCAAGCAGAGGTCTTGCACGAGCTCGGCTTTGACTCGTCAAGGGATCTCCTCGATCTAGTCTGCAAGGTGAGCAAAAGTCTGCTTTGTGCACGGTCTGGTCTGCTTTGATTCAACATTCACCTGCTATGTCCTGCCACGCTCAGCTCAACGCAAACTCGATCACTGTCACCGCCTCTGACCTGGCGCCCGTGGGCATATGCCTCAGCGTGACGGCCGCCATGCTCAACCACTCGTGTCATCCAAATGCCGCCGTCGTCTTTCCAGACGGGCCCTCTACTTCTGTCGAGAGCATGGCTGTTGTGGCCATTCGCGACATTGCGCCAGGTGAAGAGATTGTGACGAGCTACATCGACGTGACGGACGGCTTTGTCGCTCGCCAGGCCCAGCTGCAGAGGCTCTACTCTTTCCAGTGCGCCTGCAAGCTTTGTCGACGTGTCTCAAAAGCGAGCTTCGTCGACGCGCGAGAGGCGCGGTGGTGCCAAATGACGAAGGAATGCACAGGCTGGTATGCCAAGGCGCAGCGAAGGTGTACAAAGTGCCAGAAGGAGCATCCATACGACGAGGACGAGGAGACAAAGCTCGAAAAGGCAGTCAGAGAGGCCGAAGAGGCTCTGCAGAAAACGAATGAAGAAGATTCCATGACGACGTGGCAAGGTGTGCGAAGGCACGTCAAGTCACTCTCAGGGTCCTTACCGCCGTCCGCATACCCTCTGCTTTCACTCCTGAGAGCTGGCCAGACGGCGCTAGTGACTCTCGCCTCGACGGCCCTGGATACAGGCATGGGTGAGCGTGCCCTCGACCTCTTCGATGAGGCCACGCGCTTCGCCATGCTCGTCGTGGCTGGGATGAATGCAAGGGGAATCATGGTCGAAGGACATCCAGCGAGGGCGATTGCGATCCTGACGCTGGCAAAGCTCCTTCTCACCGACGTCTACGAAGCCGTGGCAAGTGCTCCGTCTTCGAAGGCCCCATCAGGTCACGGTGAGACCTCCGTCCTTGATCGGCCTCCTGCGCTACCGCCAAGGGGACTGCAGCGGGTCTTGACGGGAAAGCAGATACTGGAACAGGCCATCAAAGAGTTGACCATCGGCTTCGGGCGTCAAGACGGGGGTGGACAACTGACACGGCTTGCAAAGGAAATGATGCGACACCTCGATGATGAGCTCAAGCTCTTTTCGGCAGGGGCTCGTTTGCAGCAGTAACACAATCTTGCCATGTAATTGTAACAAATGCTGTAATGATAACAGGCAGGCATGATGACACGATCACGATGTATGCTTCTAGGTCCGACCAGGGCCGTTCTCCTCATCGTCGCCCCGCGCTCGTCTGCGCTGCTGTCGTTCCTCCTCTTGTTCCTGGTGCTCACGAGCCACATGTGGCCCGAGCTTGTGACCCGTCTTGGGAAGGTGGCTGCTGCTGAGTCGCCAAGACGCCGTCGAGTTCCACGTACCGTCATGCTCAAAGGCACCAATGCTACTGCTTCGGACCGACGAGGTTGAAGCAAGCCGACCAAAGGGCACTCTCTCCCTAATTTCACCACCCCCACCGCCAGCGTCGTGCGAGGAAGCACGTCGCTGCTGCCGTCTGCTCTCGTCCTCTTCCCGTCGCCGGCGCTGGCCCGCCTCAGAAGCTGGTCTGCCGGGCGCGCCTGCTTCGCCCGCCTCGTACTCTGCCTCGCCGCCGCCGTCGTCGTCGTCGTCGTCGTCATCGCTGTATGCGGTCGACTCTCCCATGGCCCCGTCTTGGGAAGAGTGCAAGAACCGCGCATCATCGTTGGGTGCTGCAAAGCTGACGTCGTCGGGAACGTCGCCCTCCTCTCCCATGAGCTTGATGTTGCCCACGCCTCGCCAGTCCAGCAGGATCTTGAGGGCAGGAATGGCGAGCGTGTGGCCGACGAGGGAGCTGAGCACCAGCGCATAGATGAGCGGCTTCACCAGCAGCCGAATCGTTGCAGCCTGGGAGTCCGGTGGTGCATGCGCCTCGTCAAACTTGTCCAGCACGAGGGCGCTGTAGAAGATGGAACCAGCTCCAATGGGACCAAAGTAGCCCATAAAGACAGTCTCGCTGGTCGAATGGGCGATGCGGGGGATCCAGCGGTAAAAGACGAGGAGCGCTGGCAGCCGACGAAAGGCGAGGACGAGGGCGCAGAGAGCAAGAAGCCGGAGCGGTGTGAGCCCGTGTGGCAAGTCGGCAAAGGACTCCCAGGGAATCGTGGCGCCCACAAAAGTGAAGAAGATGGTGTTGAGAAGCAGGTCGAGGACGTTTTGGATCTCGTCGTCCTCTGTCTCTCGGCGGTACCAGTCGTCCCAGGTGAGAGCATTTCCCGCAACAAAGGCCGCAAGGAGGTCGTCTAGCGAAAAGTAGCCCGCCATACCGACGGTAAAGAGGCCAACGGCGACACCGTAGCAGAGAAAGGACTCCTGGTCGATGAGGTTGTTCCGCGCGCTCCACCGCAGGACTCGATTGGCCGCTGTGCCAATGACTGCGCCAAAGACGATGGCAACGCCCACCTCGTAGAGGAGGCCCTCGAGAAACCACTTGATGAGCGCTTCTTTTGTTGTCTTGGCCTTGATCAGGTTGACGGCCAGGAGGAGAAAGGGCAGAGCGAGGCCGTCGTTGGCGCCCGACTCGGCAGAGATGAGGTTGCGTAGGCGTGGGGAGACGTGCTGGTCGGCAAAGGAGCCCTTGACAATGGCGTTGCTCAGCACAGGGTCCGTCGGCGTCGCGCAGGAAGCGAGAACGAGGGCGGCGAGGATGGGGAGCTGGGGCACGCAGAGCATCGTCAGGCCTGTCGTGACAAGCCACATGACGGCCATGACGGGCACGACGAGCATAAAGAGGGAACGAAACTCTATGTAGGGGTACTTGTAGGGAAGCTGAATGCCCACAAGCACCAGCTGAATTCCAATGACGATTCTCGAGATGCCCAGACCGAGCTTGTCCAACGGTTCCTCCTCCGACCCGGGCTTGCCCTGCAGCTCTACAGGGAGCGCGCCGGAGCGCTCGAGGGCGATGCCGACAATGACGGCCAAGGGCGCCTCTCCGAGGAAGAGGCGTTCCTTGATGAAGAAGGACAAGGTAGCATAGATGCCCAGAAAGCCACCTAGGGCCGACAAGACCAGATTCAGAGCCGTGTTCTGGATCTCGATTCCCATGGTCTTTGCTGGAGATGTGAGAGAGAGGGAGAGGGTTAAGGGTTTCTTCCTCTTACCCTCCACTCGAGCTTTGATTAGACTAAAAATCTCCGAAAAAGGGGCGGGGAATGGATCTGGATGGGCGCGCGACTCGTCATGGCTCCAATGACCCTTCCCGAACAGTTGTCGAGATGCCAGACAGCAGTAAGTCGGCCAGACAAAGATCGTAAGGGAGAGTCTACCGTGGTTGTGAACACTCGCCAGCATACACGGGAGGGGGGCAAAAAGTAGACGGTCTGTCATTGATTGTCCTAGCAGGCGACAAAGGGGTGGTGTCAACCGTGAGAGAAAAGGAAGAGCGAATCTCGTCGGCTACTGGCAGGCGGCAGCGAATCGTTCACTCTAGACATGACGTATATGTGCCGTCAGGAATTACAACCAGACAACCTGATGAAGGAAAAGGGGGGCAATCGTCAGTTGACGCGCACCGTAGCGGTGGGTGATCCAGAGTGACTCGCCGCTGGTGTCGTGGCTCAGGTCGCAGTCTGCCTCGTCCATGCATCCGCGCAGACAGATACGCTTGTTTTTTGGCTCGACTACTTGAACGTAGGCGTTGTCTGTCAATGAATGGCCAATCAGTGCACCTTGTCCCCTGCTGCAGTCACAAGCCCAGAAAGCAACTCACACCCGGCCATGTGGCTATTCTTTGGCACTCCACGCTTGTCTGTTCCGCCCAGCGCATCGTACTGGCCCCCATCGTCATCGGAGACGAGCACACCTGTCGCTTCGGGGTTGAAGCAACCCGTGATCTGGATGTAACTTGCCTTCCCTTGCCCTTGCTTTATGTAAGGTCCGTCGATCCAGAAATCCTTTGCCTCAGGAAGTGTGCCCTGGTCGCCCACTGCCACTGCTTTTGTGCAGAAGACCTTGGACTGGTCTTGAGCCTCTGCGTCTCCGATCTTCAACATGGTGACAGGAAGGACGAAGCACTGTGACCGAGGGTGAGTCTAGTGAATAGGTGCTTGCCCGCTTTCGCCTCTGCATCTGTTCTGCTCACATAATTATCCTTGGTAGGTGCATTGAGCGTCAGGGAGGCCAGCTGCGAAGGCTCGGACTCTGCACACAAAGCCAGTGAGGCAAGAGACGCACCCACGACGAGGAGGCAGAGTGCCCACTTCATGTTCCTCGCAAAATTGTGGCGTGAGGAGGGACCGGAAAAGGAAGGCAAAACCTCAGGTGATGAAAGGGAGACGATGATGACCATCGATAGTTGGTCGAGAAGAGGGCGGTGTAGAACGAGAACGAGCACGAGCACGAGTGAGCGCCCGTTGCCGGAGTCGAGGTTCCGTGTGGCATTCAAGCACCGCTCGAGCGCCGCTGATGAGGCACGCGCAAAGCCCCCGGCGCAGCCATACCTCTGAAATCAAGGCATTGGGTGACAGAGCCATGATACTTGATTCTCCTAGGTAAAGATGCAGGGTATTGTTATAGGGGAGAAAGGTTCCTGGTGAAGGAGATCACATCGAGAAAAGAGGGGAAATAATGGTGAGAGAGCGTCTGCCGCTCTAGTTGGAGCAGCCGTTATAGTTGCCATTAGGAATGACCGTCGGGCAGCCTGTAGATCGAGATGATGTCTTCATCAGCCAGACATAACCAATGCAGCCACGCATGTGTTGCGAGCTACTCACCGCTAGTGTCGTGGGAAAGGTCGCAGTCTCTGGCGTTGTTGCAGCACCTCAGGCACGCACGGTTTGCCGCGGGCTCGAGGAGCTGGACGTACGACTTGTATCCGGCGCAGGCGCTTCCAGGCGGGTTACCGTGTCCGCCGTCGCCGCCGTTGGAGTCGTACTGTCCACCTCCATCGCTGGGGATGACAGTCTTTGCCTTGCTGGGGTCGATGCAGCCCGTGATTTGCTTGTAGCTGCTCGTCGTCTTGATGTGGGCCGATTTGAAGAAGCTGGCGGGAATGCTTCCCTGGTTGCCCGTTGGGCGGGTGCAGAAGGCCTTGGCACCATTGGACGTGCCGTCCTCGGAAGCGCCCACGGTCTGGCGCTTTGCCGGAAGGATCAGGCACTGTCGATGGCGGGTCAGCAGACGGCTCTACCACAATGACTGGATGTACACAGCTGCTCTACCCACGTAGTCATCCTTGTTGTTGATGTGGACAGTCGACTTGGCAGCCTCGGCCTGACAGACGAGAACGGCCGAGAGCACGAGAGCGGAGAGGGCAAAGAGGTTGAAGTGCATCGTAAGGTATCGCAGTAGTTGCAGTAGAAGACTGGGCGGAGGCGGGGTCGGAAGAAGAGGAGGGTGGGGAGAGGCCCACTTCGTCCCTCATCCCCTTTATATGTGCATCAAGGTTCTGTTTGTAAGTCGCCAATCGAGATCGAGATCAATGTAAGTTCCATCGATAAAGCTGTTGTCTAACAACAACATATATCGTCGCCGCAATTCGAATGCAGCTCAGGAATGCAGGCTACACTTAGCGTAACGCTGCTGCCCTAACATACACGTATAAATAATAAAGATGGGCTAGATAATTGTGACTTTTCTGTGCGGCGACCACCCTAGGAATGGCTCCTTTTCCCACTTCAGGCTTGTGTCCAAGCCGATTGATTCATCGATGGTCTCACCAACCAATTTTACGCCGGATTTGGTCACCTTGTGAAGGTATCCGTCATTTCGGCAGTATCCGCTTTCCTCCTGACTCGCTCTTTCCCACTTGGATATGCGGGGCCAAGTGAGACGAGACAAGAGCGATGCCTAGCCTGGTCTCATCCATGTGGTGAAGTGGCCAAGGCACAGAGACAATAAGGGACGGACGCAACGGCTGAAGCCGTCATGCACATGGCACTTGATCTCATTCGCCCGATGACGTTAATTGATCACCGTTGCGCCAATGTCAATCTGCCTCAAGCCAGGACATACTACTACTACTGTGACAGTCTTGAGTGCGAGCAGAATGCGGGTCTTGGATTCCCGTCGGTAGGTACGGGAGCTCGCGAGGCGCTGAGGAATCGCAGAGGGGAAACCGAAGCATGGTGAAAAGAACGCGGTCGGGCTTCCGTGGACCCGACACATCCAAAATGCGTGGCATGGATTACTTCGTCTATGTCAAACGTTAAGAAATCTTTTCCGCAAGGCCTTCGGGGTCGCGGCGTCGCGTCCTACGCCGATAGATCTTGGTGTTGGACTGCTATGGCCTAGCGGTGGCAGTCACAGAGGTGTACAGCACGATGCATGAAAATGACCAAAGCAGCTTCGAGGAAGCATTTGTGAAAGGTATAAAGGTTGGAGTGTTCCAATGGGCTGTTCATCGCCTCAGCATCAGAAGCAGCTTTCCTCTCAGCAAGTCTCACCATGCAGCTCATCCCCATTGCCACTATCTTGACGGCCGCCGCCGCTGCTGTCTCAGCGGCACCGGCTGCGGAGCCCGCTACATCGTCATCCTCGCACGGTCAGGTCAAGTGCTACCAACCTCTTTCGGGCGGAATTCTCTATGCGAGCGGCGAGCCGTTGAAGCCGCTGTCGACAGTTGGTGATTCAAATCTGCTCAAGGAGCAAGGGATTAAGCAGAGCTTCACCCTGGTGAGTACTTTCCTCGACTTATCAACATCGAAGAGGCACAAGATGCTGATGGTCGACCGCTAACGAACAGTACAACTGCACGGCACCGGGCTACCAAGCTCCGCGCTACCGCTCCTACGGTCTACTCAAGCCAACAGGCGATGGTCCACAGGGTGACAACTGCCTTGGCGCCGTCTCCTCTGCCTCAACTTCCCGCGTTCGTCTGCAGAAATGCGCCAAGTACCCTGGCCAGGCCCTTGACAACCAGTGGTTCGAGTCTGGCGACGACAACCTCCAGCTCACGGGCAAGCCTTCCGGACCATATGGCAATGCTACGGCGCGTGCCAGCCTCAAGTTTACTGGCGAGATCGTCGAAGTCACTAACGAAGATTACGGCCAGCTGCCCCAGTTCCTGGTCGAGGACAACTAAACTTCTTCACCTAGTCCTCTCTTGTCTTTTGTCGTGGTTCTCGGTCTTTTCTGCATCCTGCATCCCTCTTCACAAAGCTACTTTAATGAGCATGGATCTACCTTCTCATGGGGCGGGAGTCGTGCTTGTCTTGTTCCAATTGCACTGGGAAACCTGTGGATGTAAGACAGCCTCTGCAAGAAGACCTCGGGGAGAACGCCTGTCAGGGAGCAATTCGAGAGCAAAGCCGAGCTTGCATTCGCTTTTTGGGTGTTGTGTTGAAAAAAAGTACTACATGTGGATCATGAGAAAGAGATGATGACGACGATGTGCATGCTGGGCGAAGCATATCCACCGACAGACGAACGAAGCTCCTCGATCCTCGCTGCCGTAGGTGGACTTTCCCCGCCTGAGCCCGAATAGTGAAACAGCTTATCGGTACGACTTTTGCCCTGTAGAAGATAATTGTCAGAGGGCATGTAGAGATCGATGATCCCCGTTGCATACTCACTGCGTGCCCTGGCACCGTGACCGCCGAACTTCTTGGGCTCCATCCTCCTGGGGTCGGCAATGAGAAGGGTTCGGTCGTAGGCAACGAGGGTCTGACGGAGCTCGAGGGCCGAGCTGGCGTCGTAGTACTTGGCAAAGTAAGCGACGAGGGCCTTGGAGATGGCCTGGCGGAGAGCGTAGACCTGCGAGACGTGACCACCACCCGAGACGCGGCAGCGGATGTCAACCTTGGAGAACTTGTCCTCTCCCACAACGAGCACAGGCTCGTAGATCTTCCAGCGCAAGTTCTCGGGCTCAATGAGGGTGATGGGCTGACCGTTGACGCGGATCAGTCCCTTGCCCTCCTTGCAGTAGGCCACAGCGGTGGCCGTCTTCTTCTTGCCGAAGCAAGACACGGCGGGAGCGGTCGACATGTTGTGGTATTGAGGGCGATTGACTGTGATATCGAGTCAGCAAGGTAATCCTAATCCTCCCTTCTCTTCTGGTTTCCTTTTGTTCCTCTTTCTGCGGCACAGTTTCCCCCCTAGCGTCGTGCTCTCAACGTCCTTCGCTCCTGCAACGCTCTGCAATGCTCACCTTGTGCTTGCCGTACCGAAGTCGTTCAAGTCGATGAGAGGCGAAGTCGCGTCGAGAAGGGCAGCTGTTTGGAAGCAGCTACAGCTCGGCCGACACTGCGGCCAGAAGGCCTTAAAGTCACGTGTTGCAGAAATATCTTTTCAATTACGTAATCTTAGGTAAGCTTCGTCGACCTCCGAACTCACTCCTTCTTTCGATTGAGCGAATTGTCGTCGCCGATCGATTTACTAGGAGGGAGGAGGACATCATGTCGATGCTGCTCAGAAGGGTATACGGCGAAGCAAGGCGACGTGCCGTGCCGTCGCCGTCGACGACGAGCATGTTTCTGCATTCGACCCCGGCTCTTGACCCATCATCACCAGCGGCTGTCGGCGGCGAGGCTATCGCATCAACATCGGCGGCCACCTTGGAAATGGCACCCACGCAGGTGTGCCATGTCAAGCTCAGCTATCTTCACCCCTCCACCAAAGTCAAGCCGGCAGTAGTGCGATCCGGAGATCTGAAGACGGGCTACGTGCGGCCAGAAGCAAAATTTGTGCCGCTCTCCGCGCACGTCTTTGACACAGAACCGAGACGAGACATCCTGCACGCCTCGGTTGTCTACTACCTCGACTCCCGACGCTCCGGCACAGCTTCGACAAAGACGAGGGGCGAAGTCAACTTCAGCGGGAGGAAGCTGCGGCCGCAAAAGGGATCGGGACAGGCTCGGCTGGGCACAAGGTCCAATCCGCTCCTGCGCAAGGGAGGTGTCATCTTTGGTCCAAGGCCACGAGACATGTCCAGTAAACTTCCCAGAAGGGTCCGAGAGCTGGCTCTGAGAAGTGCACTTTCGGCCCGCTGGCGCCTGGGCAGCCTGCATGTCGTTCCTTCGCTGGTGTGGGATGCTCCACCGAACACGACGGGCAAGCTTCGCAGGCAGCTTCATGCCAAGGGCTGGACCGACGTTCTGTTCCTGACTGCCCCACGGAACCCTCAGCCCTCGGATCGCACCCTGAAGACGGATGCGAAGCCGTCGGCTGCGGATCCTGTCTATACGCCCGAGCAGATACAGGAGCACGATATCGAGGTGGCCAACTTCATCTCGGCCTCGAGCAACATTCCACAGACGAATGTGATCCGGCTCGACAAGCTGACAGAAGACGCGCACAAGCAGGCACGCAAGGCCGAGGACAAGAAGAGGCCAGGCGAGCTGCCCGCGTACGAGGTGCTGAAACGAAAACTTCTTGTTCTCGATCTCGGCGCTGTCGAATGGCTCGAGGAGAAGCTTGGTGGGGCCATCTTCCATGAGGAGGGCTTGCTCGAGGAGCTGCAGGCGGGCATGGAGCAGCTCGGTGGCTTGCAGCAGGAGAGCGGGGACGAGGCAGAGGACTGGACCGACGAAGAGGTGGCATTGGAATCCGAAGCCGCACAGGTCATCGCCGACGGACTCCAAAAGCCGTCATAGCATGTACATGTATTACAAGCAATGAGAATGCTGAGACTCTTGTCTGAGTCGAACCAGGCAGGGTATTCCAAAGCGTGCTGCAGGCCATCAGCGCTGGAAAGAGAACGGTTTGCTGGTTGCAGTAGTCTAGTGTGTAGTAGTAGTAGTGTAGTAAGGAAAGGAAGGACGCGACGAAATTCCAAAAAGTAGCAGCGCCACGAACAACACTACAACCAACACCGTCTCCCCGACCTGGGAAGGGAGGGCCGCCCAGGCATGAGCGAGGCACAAGGCCCGGAGGTCGTCAGCTGCCCAAGCTGCTCCCGACAGGTAGCGTTCACAAAGCTCAATGCCCACCTCGATCAGTGCCTCGCTGGGCAGGCTGCCACTGCCTCGGGCGCCGACGAGGGCAGGGCTGCACCAATCTTTCGCCCTGCGATGTCGGGTCAGAAGCGCAAGGAGCATGATCCACCAAGCGAGAGGCGCCCGAGAGCAGAGTCGCAGGGTGGTACACACGTCACCAATGACGATGCAGATGGCCAGAGCTCAAAGAAGCGGGTCAGGGCGGAAGCGGCGGCGGCGGCGGCGACGACGACGACGACGACGATGACGACGACGCAGCCATCGTCGTCCTCCAAAGACAGGATGGAGAACGTGGCGCCGTTGGCGGAACGACTGCGACCGAGGACACTCGAGGACTTTGTCGGCCAGAAGAGCATCGTCGAAGGCCCGCTCCGATCGATGCTGCGCCAGGCAAAGATTCCAAGCATGATACTCTGGGGACCACCCGGGTCTGGCAAGACTACCTTGGCGAGGATCGTGACGAGGAGCGCAAACGAAGCAGCAGCAGCAGCAGCAGCAGCAGCAGCAGCAGCAGCATCGACCAGCAGCACCACCAGCAACAGCGGTGGTACTCTTCCCTTTCGGTTCGTTGAGATCTCGGGGACGACGGCCACGACTGCCGACTGTAAAAAGATCTTTGACGAGTCCATCAACCGGCTGCAGCTCACGGGACAGCGAACAGTCGTCTTCATCGACGAGGTGCAGCGCTTCAGCCGGGCTCAGCAGGACGTCTTTCTTCCCGTTGTGGAAAAGGGACACTGCATCCTGATTGCGGCCACGACCGAGAACCCGTCGTTTCGGCTACAGAGTGCACTGCTGTCGAGGATGCGCGTCTTTGTCCTCTCCAAGCTCAGCCAGCAAGAGTGCTTCGAGGTGCTCCACCGCGCCAGACGGCGGGCCAAGGAGACTGGCTACGACGACCTAGAGCTCAGAGTCGACGACGATCTGCTCCGGTGGATGGCCAACGTCGCTGACGGAGACGCGCGCACCTCGATCAGCGTGCTCGAGCTGGCCATCGACTACCTCGAGGCTGGCGCATCGACCGAGGACAAGATTGCCAAGCTCAAGGCAGCCCTGCAGCGCAACCTCCTCTATGATCGCACCGGCGACGGGCACTACGACACCATCAGTGCGCTCCACAAGTCCATCAGGGGCTCCAATGCCGATGCCGCACTCTACTGGCTGGCACGCATGGTGGAAGCAGGTGATGTGAGCTTAGCGACGGGTCTTTCTTTCCCTGCATCAAACACATGGCCACAGAATGGGCTGACTTAAAGAGCGTGGCTATCCAGGACCCCCTCTTTATTGCTCGGCGTCTCATCGTCGCTGCTTCGGAAGACTGCAACACGCTGGAGGCGCTTCAGATGGCCACGGCCACGTACCATGCCTGCCAGGTCGTTGGCCTGCCTGAATGCGGCGAGAACCTGGCACAGTGCGTCGTCTTTCTGGCAGAATCACCCAAGTCGACGCGAGCCTATCGCGGCTGGAAAAAGGCACAGGCACTCGTCCATGGCAGCTACAACTATCCCGTGCCGATCCACATCCGCAATGCCCCCACGAGGCTCATGAAGGATCTCGGCTACGCCAAGGAGTACCGGTACGAGCCCAGCTGGGTGCATCCTGTTCACCAGGACTTCTTTCCTCCTGAGCTCGAGAGCAGCCGACTGCTCTCCCCGCCCCCACCTGAGGCCGAGGAGCCAGGTCAGCGGCCGCAGCTGCAGAGAGACGATGAGCACCTGGACATGGAGGAGGAGGAGAAGGAGCAATCTCAGCGGCAAGCCCCGCCATTGATGAATGGTCAGGCCGGCATTGGGCCAGGGAGCTGCCAACGCATCTTTCAGATTGGCGCGAGGGCCGCCGACCTCGATCTGCTCGACGAGTGGGAGCATGAGCACAACGATGGCAGGCCTTGGAAGGGAAGAAGGGCGCTGATGGTTCGCATTCGAAAGGAGGGCAAGCCGGTGGAAGACCGAACAACGACGGACGATGATCGTATGGGAGACAAGCAAGCTTGACAATCAATTCCTTCTTGCTGGCCCGGCTCCCAATGTATTCTAGAGAGACTTGAGAATCCCAACGACTTGCGAGAAGAAAGAGATCGATGCCTGTTCCCATTATTGATTGCTGCCTGGGCGGGCCTGCATCGGCATTTCATCTCCACAAACAGGCCGGGGGTTCTAGCAGGGAGGTAGGCTTTCACGGCGACGCGAGGAAAAGAGAATCCGAATTGGATAGAAAATAAAAAAGAATACGCAGACGGATATGAAGGGGGGGGGTGAGGTCATCCGAGGTTGAAAAATGGGCACAAGGGCACTTGGCCTGCCACTCTCCCCCGCAAGAGGACGTGAAGCGAGAGGCAAGCGGCTTTCCTAGTTATCTCCCCATCATTGAGTTCCTCGGTAAGATTTCCAGTCGCAAGCCCGGAATTATATATAAGCAATCCACTTGCTCATCCACCTCTCTGCATTGCTTCCCTCACCTTTTCCCGTTCCACCACCGAAAAGCCTATACATACTTGTCAAGATGTCCGACTTCAAGGCGCAGCCCCTCTTCGATCAGATCCGCGATGGCCTCAAGGGCATGGATGACAAGGAGAAGAAGGACATCCAGAAGAAGGTCAGTGACCCCACTGTTTCTGTCTCCTGCCCCTCTCTTTTCCTCCTCGAGCTCCGGCTGACTGACGCCTCTTTCAATCCATCCAGACCAACGGCGTGTTCGAGATGCACATCAAGAACTCGGGCGGCAAGGAGCTCGTCTACACCATTGACCTCAAGAAGGTGGGTATTTCCGCTCTCAGATCACACCTCCACTACTTGAGAGATGGCTCTTCTGACGTTCATCCCCTCTTTTCTTCCCTGTGCTGGCAGAACGCCGAGGCGTACGAGGGCCCCGTCAAGCAGGGCACCAAGGCCGACGTGACGATCAACACGAGCGACGACACCTTTGTCGACATGGCCGACGGCAAGCTCAACGGCCAGAAGGCCTTCATGTCGGGCAAGCTCAAGGTCAAGGGAAACATCATGCTGGCCACCAAGCTCGACGGCGTCCTCAAGGCCCAGAAGGCCAAGCTCTAGAGGTCCTCGTCCTGCGTCCTCTTGCCCCTTGCTCCTACCAGAGCGTTTGTCCTCCCTCTTTAGTTTGTGAAATAATTGAAGTGGACAGACTCTTCAATGCTAGGTCTATCAAAGCGTAATCTTACTCTTTTAGCAGCTCTGTGTGATTCTCAGAAGACGGGGCCGACGGGAGGTTGGGGCGAGAACGCCTGGCAGCACACCTGGCCCGAGCGGGTTATTCCAGGGTGCGGGCAAAGAAAGTGACAAGAGGGCGCGGAGAAGCTTCGAGCTCGCAGGGCTGGCCGCGCCCTGGGCGAGATGGGCATTTGACTGACGGGCGACTGTCAATACGTCGCCCTCTCAGGAGGGTTTCTCGTTCCATAATGAGGCTCCTCTCACGTTTCTTTCAGAACAGCAAGGGTGCCATATCCCACAACCACGAGCGCGTGCCCATCCTTCGTGTTCACGAGCCTTCAGACGATGACGATGACCGTGATGCGACCGGCCGGCAATCTGCCTTTGCAACTCCTCCTCGTCCCAGCAGTAGCAGCAGCAGCAACGAGGAGAGCGTGGTGGGCAACGTCGAGGCACTCGTTCCTCACCCGCCGTCGTCCTGTGAAACAACGGGCAATGTCGAGAATTTGTCGCGATCGGTTCGTCAGGTCGCCACGGACTCGCAAGTCTACACACACAGGCGAGGCAACTTTGGCCTGCTCTTTATCACGTTGGCCCAGCTCTGTTTCAGCATCATGAATTTGTGAGTGCAACACTGGCCGCAATCACTTGGCCTTCCCATACCGGCTTAGTATCTGAGGCTCTTGCAGGCTCGTCAAGGTGCTCCACCAGACGCAGGACATCTCGGCCTTTCAGATCATCGGCGTCGAGACTTTGATCGCATACATGGGCATCCAGGCGACGATGCTCTACCTGCGTGAGCCTGATCCGTAAGTCAAACGAACCTGGTTCCAGCGCTCTTGCCGAGTAGCAGCTGCAGAAGGAAGGCTGAGGAGACGATGAAAAGGTACCTCGGACCACGAGGAACGAGAGCGCTACTCGTCTTGAGGGGCATCTGCGGCTTCTTGAGTACATTGGGTCTCTATCTCGGCCTCAAGGTCCTGAGCCTCGGTGATGCGACGACGATCTTCTTTCTCTCGCCATTGACGACCGGTACGTTGCTCCTCTGTACTTGGCCTTCTCTGTACTCTCGTTCTCACACTTCAAGGAGGGGAGTACGACAGCCATTCTCGCCCACGTCTTTCTTCACGAGCCTCTGCGCCTCACCGAGGTTGGCTGCGGGCTATTCAGCCTCGTCGGTGTTGTCCTCATCGCCCGACCGGACGCCTTGCTCGGTGACGACACGCCCAGGGAGCGCAAAGATTGGGAGCATGCCACAGCTTCGCAGCGCATCGAGGCTGTCCTATTTCTCCTCATGGCTGTCGTAACGACGAGCACCGCCTTTATCACGATCCGAAAGCTGGGAAGGGAGACTACGTGGCACAACATCAACTATTTTTCCCTGTTTTCGTGGGTGTGCGCCTTTGCTTCGATGCCCCTGCTTGGCGTCGAGTGGGTGTGGCCCGACAGCACGGCGTGAGTGGCTTTCCCATTCCTACTTGCTTTACTTTTATTGAGCACGGTTGCTCATTCGCGATGCCCCTCTCAGATCCGTCACACTCCTGCTCCTCATTGGCGTATTCAGCCTGGCTGCTCAGATCCTTCAGACGCTGGGGTGGGTTGCACCTTCGCTTGCATCCTGTTTGGGAAGGGCAACGCCAAGCTGATTGTCGACACGGAACAGATTGCAGCACGAGAGGGCAGGGCGAGCAGCGGCGCTGACGTATTCGCAGCTCATTTTTGCCTATGTGTGGCAAGTCACGATCCTCGGTGACGGCGTCGAGCTGATGAGTGTGTACGGCACCATGATCATCATCACCGCGGCCGTCGCAGTCACGGTACGTCCGTCACAGGCACAGCGACGTCTTCTTCTTATTTGCTGACTCATCCTCAGCTCTCCAGACCCGAGATGGTCGCAGCGCCTTGAAGAAGACCTCCCTGCATGCATGCGAGGCAGACTAGCGTCTTTGTTTTTAATATTGTTTGGTCTAAAAAATCCGAGTTGAAACCCACGAGGTCTAAAAGTTCTTACCGTGTAGACTAGTCACCATTAGTATTTCGGTCCTCTGCCCTTCTTCCAGATGACCGACTCGCCGAGCGTCGATCTCTTGTCCCGGCTCGCCTGGCCTGGCCTGGCCTGGCCTGGCCTGGCAGCCTCGCTAGTCTAAACTAACTGTAAAGGAGAGAAGAGAAAAGAAAAGTGAAAAAAGAAAGGAGAGAGCCAAATTTAGGCTTGCAAGGGGAAATGGGAAGTGCGAGGAAAACCTAAATCAGGCCAGGGCGACTATCATACTGGGCAGAGCTCTTTGGCTGGCTATCTCAAAGGAGCTGGAGCTGAGGCCTCTAGCGCCGCACACGAGCGAGGTTCGTCAAGCTCGCCTTTAAGCGCGGATCCGAGCGCCTCCCTTGTTCCCACCTTCATCACCTTGCTCGCCGTCGCTGACCCCCGGCCCGTTGAATTTGACGGCTCCCACCGATTCAAGGCAAAAGAAAAGAGTGCAAAGCACAAAAGACGGCACAGATAGGCAAGCGCGTATCGGCCAACGCCGCGCCGCGCACGACTAGCGAGCACTTTGTCGGCAGAAACTTCTTCTCTGGAGACCGCCACTTGCTACCTCGGCGCGTTCACTCACAATCGCCACCAGCTAGACCTTTGCAAGAGTACACGGCTTCAAGTAATTGTTCGAGGGTGAGTTGCAGGAAAAAAAAAAAGAAGAGAAGAGAGAAAACAGAAGGGAAAGTGCTTGGCAGCCGGTCCCATGACATCTGTCCTCGTGTTGCTTTTGTCGAGATTAGTGGCTGAACTCGCCAGATTTGCAGCGCCGCCGCAAACCAGCATCTCGACAGGACACCTACCCTACCCCCCCCCCTTTTCTCCCTCCCTCGGCCCGTCCTAGATCGTGCCCCTCGCAGCACCACCAGTCCCTTCCTCTCTAGCGTTCCCGATCGCCCCTCCTCTCCCTTCTCCCACAAGCGTGGCTTCGCTGGGCAATTATTGAGCCAGTCTCCATCGCCTCACAAGACGCCCCGACGCGATAGAGTGGCTCGCGGGCTGGTGGGCTGGGAATTGGAAAAAGGACAAGTCTCGAGACGGCTGAGCATCGATCCTTTGCTCTCTTTCATCTTCTCGTCGCTCTATCCCTGACCACAGGTGGCGTTGGACCGCTCCCCGCTAATATCGTACGACGAGGAAGCTAGGCAGAGATAGAGAACACGAACATGACGACGGTATACGACAGCAGCAACAACGGCTTTGGCAACTCGCCAACGTCGCCAAACGGACCGTATCCTTCCAACAATGGAGGCGGCAGCAGCGGCGCGGGCGAGGGCGGCGCAGGCCGAGCAGGCGATCGGAGCAGCCTGCTTGTCGGTCGCAGGCTCACCGCTGCCAGCATGAACAACCGAAACACCAACAGATATAGCGTTACAGCCCTCTACAGCATGGCCGCCGAGCAGGACGTCGAGGTGGAAGATGATCTGGCAAGAGGTGAGCTGGTTCCATTGGCGGCTTATCTCTTTATATCACTCTTATTCATCCTTCCCCCCGCCAAGCGCAAAAACGTCTGCGAGAGCTCAAGGGGAGAATCTCTGCGCAGTCAAAGAAGAACTTTGTTCTGGAGAGAGACGTCCGATACCTCGACAGTCGCATCGCGCTCCTCATTCAGAACCGCATGGCCCTCGACGAACAGTCAGAGGTCGCCAGCACACTCGAGGACAACGAGTCGGTGCTCGGCACGGCCCTCGACGACCGGCGGATGCAGCAGTATGGCAACCTCTTTTTCCTCCTCCAGTCCGAGCCGAGGCATATTGCTGCCCTCTGCCGGCTCGTCAGTCTGGCCGAGATCGACACGCTGCTGCAGACGGTCATGTTCACCCTGTACGGAAACCAGTACGAGAGCAGGGAGGAGCACCTCCTACTCACCATGTTCCAGTCCGTCCTCTCTGCCCAGTTTGAGACGGCCACCGACTTTGGCTCCCTGCTCCGTGCCAACACGCCCGTGTCGAGAATGATGACGACGTACACGAGGCGAGGACCAGGCCAGAGCTTCCTCAAGGACGTCTTGGCCGAGCGCATCAACTCGCTCATCGAGCACAAGGATCTCATCCTCGAGGTGAACCCGGTCAAGGTGTACGAGCAGATGATTGCCCAGATCGAAGAGGACACTGGCGCAGTACCAGCCGACCTGCCCAAGGGCGTGCCCCCCGAGGTGGCCCAGGACAATGCCGACGTGCAGGCCATCATCGCGCCCCGGCTGACGATGCTCATGGAGATTGCAAACAGCTTTCTCTCGACCATCATCAACTCCATCGACGAGGTGCCATACGGGATCCGGTGGATCTGCAAGCAAATTCGCAGCCTGACGAAGCGAAAGTACCCCGACGCCACCGACTTTGCCATCTGCTCCCTCATCGGCGGCTTTTTTTTCCTCCGCTTCATCAACCCGGCCATTGTCACACCACAGGCCTACATGCTCGTCGACGGGCCGCCAGCCAAGCACCCCCGACGCACGCTCACCCTCATCGCCAAGATGCTGCAGAACCTGGCCAACAAGCCGAGCTATGCAAAGGAGCAGTACATGATGTCGCTCAACCCCTTTGTGGAGAACAACAAGACGAGGATCAACCAGTTCCTCAATGCCCTCTGCGACGTCGGCGACTTCTACGACACGCTCGAAATGGACCAGTACATGGCGCTGTCCAAAAAGGACCTGCAGATCCAGATTACGCTCAACGAGCTCTACGTCACCCACTCGCTCGTCGCCCAGCACCTCGACGTGCTGGCGCCCAACGACAAGCACCATCTCCGCATCTGCATTGGTGAGCTGGGCGCCTCGCCCGGCCAGGTCTCGCGAAAGGAGAACCGGACGCTGGAGCTGCCCCTCTTTTCGCGCTGGGAGACGCCGATCCAGGACCTCACCACTGCATTCATGTCGGAAAACAACGTGACCCAGAACGACATTCTCTATATGGAGACAAAGTCAATATTCGTCCAGCTGCTGCGCTCCATTCCCCAGCTGGCCGAGAAGCGGCCTCTGAATTTGCCCCTGATTGCCGAGAGGGCGGCGACGACGAAGGACGCGACGCTGGTCCGCAAGGGCATCAAGGTCAAGGAGATGCTCCGCGAGCTCGAGGAGCTCAAGGTTGTCGACCGCAGGGATGGCTACAGCCTCATGACGGACGAGGTGGCCAGCGAGCTGGCCCACCTGGGCAACATGCGCGAGAGAGTCATGCAGGAGATGCGGAGCCTCGAGAGCGTGTACAAGACCATCGTCGGCCACAACAACTACCTGCGATCCCAGCTCGACACCTACAAGTCGTATCTGCAGAATGTGCGCATGACCAGCGGTGGTGGCAAGGAGCGGCCGACAGGCGGCGTCGGTGTGGTGAGCTTCAACGGAAAGGAAAAGAAGCCAGCAAAGACACAGGCCCAGGGGCCATTCAAGTTCACCCACGCCCAGATGGAAAAGGAGGGCGTCATTGCATCGAGCAGCGTGCCTGTCGAGCGGCGGCCCTCGATCTTCTTCTGCATCGCGTCGCCCCAGCCGGGCAGCTTTGTCATCTCGCTCAACTACAAGGGCCGCGAGAGGGCCATTCTCGAAATGGACCTGACGCTCGACGACATTCTCGAGAAGCAAAAGGACGGCGTTCAGATCCTCGACCTCGAGTACGTGCAGCTCGATGTGGACCAGATCCTGGCCCTGCTCAACAAGACGTTTGCCAAGCGCAAGTGGTAGTGGCTTTTTACAATCCCTTTATACCTTCATTCTTCTTTTTCATATTCCTCCGCTTCCCTCTATTTGTGTGTGTTTCTCATCTTTCTCTCTCTTCTTCCTTTCCCCCAAGTCCGCTGTTCGTCTGCGTCGACGGCGTCTCGACGATTTTCTCCTTTTGTGTCTCCAATAGTTGTCCCAATCCTGATTGTCGGTGTTTTGTAACTCAGCCCGACTGAATGACCTCATCGCAATCCCCAATCACAAAAGCGTCGGGAGGATATCTGCGCGGATGCATCCATATCTGTGCCCTAGCGCGTGTCAGGTACAGTACGTGCATGCACGCGAAGCTGCTTGCTTGAAGGGGGGGGGGGGGGGGGGGGGGCGGGGGGGGGGGAAATCCATTCCGCGTGTACGTACGGTGTGCACCGTGCGCGCGCTCGCGCAGAGGCAATGCGAAGAAGTGGGAAAGTGCCTTCTCTCCGTCTGGCCCAACGAATATTGCAGGGCACGCTCGCTCGGTCTCAGCGCTTTCTCCACAAGGACACCACCCACCGCCTAGGGCTTGCCGATTGGGCGAGCATACAAGCATGCAGCCGCCACTGACGCCGATCGCCACGTCGCTCGACGATGTCGGGGGGCTTGGCCTGAGCCTCGACAAGGCCGGCCTGGAAGACGACAACGACGACAGCGGAGCCGGGAGGCGCGAAGGAAAGGAACAAGAATCAATCGAAGACCTTGTCAAGGCAGCCTTTGTCACGGGTTACCAGAGCGCAGTCAGCTATAGCGCCGATGTCGAGTTTGGCGAGTTGCACAAGGGCACCCTGGGCCCCGAGCAGATTGTCGGCCTGATTGCAGAGGGCTACGCGCCAGAGGAGATTGGCTACCAGATTGCAAAACGGGACAGCCTCGTCGAGCAGTTTCGCCAGCTTGTGCTGACGAGCATCAGAGACATGGCCCTGGGCTACACGGTCTGCCAGCTCGCGGACCAGCTTCTCAACGTGAGTGCTTGCGAGGCGCTCTTCGCTGTCCCGTGAGGATTTGGCCCGTGCTGACATGAATGTCTTTGGGGGAAACAAGGTGGCGCCACTGTCGAGCGATGCGAAAAAGGCCAGGCTGACAGCTGTCCGGAACCGCATGGCCGAGATGGACCGCGGCCCACTCACGACGACGACGCAGCTACCAAAGTACAACTACGAGGCAGTGTACGAGTACGTCGAGGCCGAGCTGCACAATGGCGAGCTCGTCGGCGACCCAGCGTGGATCAACGACGAAAAGAGGCGCAAGAAAAAGGGCGTGTCCTGGAGAGATCGTCTGGTCAAGAGCATCGCCATGCTAGACCAGGCTTTTGACGAGGCCGTCAAGCAGCTCGACTGGACGGCACTTATGGGGGCTGATGTCGATCTCCTTCGCGATGCCAGGCCCGAGGAGTTCAGCGATGCCGCCGTGCACATCTTCCGGCAGATCCCGGCGCAGGTCGCTCAGGGCCCAGCCCGACCAGATGGTACCACCACCACCTCCGTCTCTGCCTCTTCTTCTAGCACACCCGGGCTCTCCGCCCAAACAATTCGCACCGTCGGCCGTGCCTTTCGGACGGTGCTCCTCGACGGGTGCAAGGCTCGCGGCAACGAGCATTTTGCGGCTGGCGAGTATGTGCTGGCCGAGGACGCCTACCAGAAGGCCATTCTCGGAGGCACCAACGACCCCGCTGCGGCCGTAAACCTCGCGCAGGTCCTGCTCAAGCTGGAAAAATTCCGATATGCAGAGAACGCGGCGACGATCGGCCTCTATCAGATCGAGGCTGCGTCAGGCGGCTTGCAGCATGGCGCCTCGGCATCCTCGTCCTACTTTGGTACCAGCGAGGCCAGACAGCCGAGGCAGCACGAAGCCAGTCGAGCGTACCGAGGCACTGACGTCGAGCTGTTGGCGCTCAAATACAAGGCTTTGATTCGACGAGGGCGCGCAAGGCGGGCCATGCTTGAGCAGCTTGGCGGACTGAAGAGGGCCGAAGAGATCGAAGAACGCACTGTAGAAGTCGACCTCGACCAAGAGGAGGAAAAGGACGAGAAGGAGCAAGCCGAAGAGAGAGGAAGGATGTTGTTGGGCGCGAGGAGCGACTTTACCAAGGCCATGCATCTCGATGCCAACGATGAGGTTGCGCGTGCCGAGCTGGCGACTCTTGCTATCGATCCTCGCCAGCGCCGTCCCTCTGAGCATGGGGCGCATGGCCTCGCCTTAGCAAGCCATACCGATGCGACTGGAGAGTCCTCATCCTCTCCTCCTTCGTTCTCATCTCTTCTCCAACGAGGCGGCAGCGAGCCGGCAATACCGAGCTCGAGCCTTCTGTGATTCGTTTTCCCTTTGCACCCCTGTACATTTTTTTTCTTTACCAGTCATCATTACCAGTCATCAGCCTCAGAATAATGGGCCATGTATCATTCCCAGCGCGATCTCAGGCCAGGGCCCTGCAGGATGCAGGCCCCTGTGCGATATTCACGGCGTCTGATGCAAGAATCAGCTTGTTTGTCTGTAACCACTACTACCACCGCCTGCTTCAGCATCACTCTTCAGAGACAGCACCTTTTCCTTCAGCGATTGTCAGCCCTCGCTTACCTCCTTTGTTCCTCTAAAGCGCTCCTTTTTTCATGTCGTCTTCGATCCCCCCAACGGGAACCTTTATCCAGCCTCAGCAGCAGCAGGCTAGTGAACGATCTGTCCTCCTCGCCCGAGGCCCTGTCCCCCACGATCAGCACTCGCCCCTGACTTCGCCTTCATCAAGTTACACGGGACGAAACAGTGCTTCGGCAAAGCGCAAGCGACCGCGTCGCGCGAGCAGTTGGTTCCCTTCCTGCTGTGGCTCTGACCCTGCCCTGTACGATGACGACGGAGCAGGTAAAAGGAAATTGCCGGTCGAGTACCAGAGCAAGCTTGTCATCAAGCATCATGTCCCCACTGTCAGCCATCACATTGAGATCTGCACGCCCCCTCCTTCCTCTCCACCTCAAGTCATTGTGAGAGACTTCCCCTCTCTCTCTATTCGACATACAGCTGATCAGAACCTTCTTTTTTCTTTGTCCAAAGGACCTGCCCCTCCCTCTGCCCTCGTTTTCCTCGGCGGGCCACTCTTCCACCACGATTTTCTCTCTTGGCTCTCAGGCCGTCTTTGCCACGCCCACTGCCGCTGCGTACGGCGACGCAGCCACCGTGACGCCGGCATCTTCCGCCTCGACCAACTCCTACTCGCGTTTCCAGGACGCAGCCGAGGGGCGGCAGGGCCGACTGCGAGCGGCACCAGCGAGCGCACAGACGCTTGCCAGTCTCACTGCCTCCCCGCCAGATGGCCTGCGCCCGGTTTCGTCAATGGTGGAGATTGGCGGACGCCTGGCGAAGGGCGTGCTCACCAGCCGTGAAATTTGCTGCGAAGAGATTCCACAACGGCGAGGAGCAGACGAAAAGCGCAGAAGGAGGCGTCTCGGCAACATCGAACACTATGATGAGAATGTGCGAGCGTACCTCGGTGCGCTTCAGCATCCTTCCATGGATGGCGACCGCCTCGATCGGGAAACCCACAATCAGCAAGCAGAAGCAGAAAATCCAGAAAAGAGGCTCTCGACTGCCTCGACGCTGAGCCGGTACTCCTCCCAATCAACGGGAGGCGACGGCGTCGACGACAACAACGGCCGATCGAAACGACAAGACCAGGCCAGCTTCGTTTCTGGCAAAGTCTCGCACTCTTCGATAGAGCATTCAACGTCGAGACGACGCGCGACAGCTTCGTGCACCTCGTCTTCGGCAGCGTCATCGATGATCGAACAGAGCAGGAGCAGTGGCGCCCTCTCGGAGAGAAGTCCGCCAATCGGAGACGTCCTCTGCCAGTTTCCCAGCCTCGTCACGCTGCAGGGCGACCGCAAGTTGGGCATGGCAAGCTTAGTCGGGGGCGCCACTCGACTGAGGGGCTTCGATGTTGATGACAGTCATGACGACGATGACGTTTACGGGAAAGGAGAAGAAGTAGATAGGGCAAGCATTACTTCTTCGGACATTGAAGGTCTCCTTGTCAAGGCGGGCACGGTCTCGGATCGCGACAATCAAAGTCCTAGTCACTCAACTGACTGGCAGAATAAGCTCGTTCCGGAGAACAGTATGCAGTCTGAGACGCCGAGTAGGGACAACATGCACAGGCGCAAAGAATCGGGCGCACACTCGCTGCGCTCCATGAAAAGCGTCCGGACGCTCAAGAGAGCCGCCAACGACGACGGCTCCAGTGCTTCTTCACCTGCCGCAACACCCCGTCACAGCCGCAAGAGAAATGCGAGTGTCTCTTCGGCCAGATCGTCCAGTGGAGCTCCTCGCTCTTCGCCCCCCGAGTTGCCCCTGCCGCCGGTGCCAGCAACAGCAGGGGGAGGAGGCCCACAGTCGGTCAGAAGGGCCACCGTCGGCACCTCGGCGCCTTCCTCCTCCTCTTCCAAAGCCGGCGTCCTTGCTGCTGCGCACCAGAAGCGGACGACGGCACCTGCCCGTGTCCGGCTCGAGGCCTCCGCCGCGGCGCTCCATCGGCAACGAGCACAGGGGCAGTTCCCTCACGCCGGTACTTCCTACTGTCGTGCCTCTCCCAATCGTGGCTCCTACTACGAACAGGGACAGTCCATCGCACTGTGATACCTCTCCTCTCAGCAATGAGCATGCCAATCTGGCCGTTACAGAGCGACTCGTCAGGGCCAGAGTGTTGAATTGTAAGATGAGCAAATAAGAAAGGAGGTGGACCCTTGAAGGCTTCTTGAAATTCTGATTCGTGACGTGAAGTCATAGCGCGCCTGTGTCAGCCAGGCTGGTGGAACCTCCTCCGGGGCAGAGCACGTCAATCGATCGCGCCGGGTACGGTGGAAGGGTCTATGTGTGCGTCAATATGGGCCGGGCTGACGTAGACGTCTTTGAAAGCGCTAATGCTTAAAAAGCGAGGATGTCAGGCTGCGCATTCTACTCCCTCACAAACGCGCGCACACACCACAATGTCAGGAAACACGGAGGAATCTGCCCGGTTCAAAAAGGTCAATCAGACCGTCGGCGGGGTGAGTTGGGAGGCCACTCCTTGTTTAAGTCACCGTGCCACTCTGCTAATGCTTGCGCTCGCAATCAGGGCGACACCAACAACGTCGTCGGAAACACAAATGACGAGGTTTTCAAGAGCTTTGGCGGGCACGAGCAAAACGTACAGAACGAGCCTCGCTCGGCCGACTCGGCCCGAGAGCGCGACCTGCAGGAGAAGGGCTACACGGACAGGGCCACGGACAAGGAGCTCGACGAGACGGAGGAGCTGCGGGCGAAGCTGAGCAAGAGAGGCAATGCGCCTCAGGAGGGCGCCTCGGCGTAACAGCATCTAGCTCTGTTGTTGTTTTGGCTCAGATTCGCCAATATCATCACCACTACTGCACTACAAATATACAGTATGTACTGTATGTACTGTAAATGTCTGTGTGAAAGTGCGCTCGTATCGGACAGGTCTGTGTCTTCCCAACGAGAATCACCGTGCGCGCAGTTGCCAGGCTGACTCGGGTACCGACTGCTTACTCCGATGTAGCAGCTCAGATTTTGGGCTGAGAAATACAGCTAGACGAGGCAAAGCAAGCCAAGCAGAGCACGGGCCGCTTCAGTTTTTTTTGGCGTGTGTGTGTGTGTGTTTTTTTTTCTCTCTTTCTGGACGGGACGGAGATACTTGGGCGCGTTGGCCCGCGGAAACGCAAACGTTGGATTTCCTGATCTCGGCAGATGCAGGCATAGAGGGGGCAAGCCGAGAAGGTAAAGCTTCGAGATGCTTGCTCTACGTACTCTTGGCAGATAGATGCAGGGCAGGTTTCTTTGAAGCTGGCTGAGGCGAGGATGGGTGCTGCGTGCGGAAGGAATGCAATCACATACTAAACGTAGTCGCTGTACTTACTAGCTGTACTTCCTTCACACTAGTGTATTTGGGGGCCAAGCGGCGGCTTGGGCGGCGGCGCTGCGAAAGCACGCAGAGGGGTGAGGAAAAAGAAAAAAAAATAAGTCGAAAAAAAAAAAAAAAGAGTGGCAGTAGAGGCAAGGCAGGGCAGACTCAGCCCGCGCAGGCTAGGCACAAGACACGACACGCTACGGCGTCAATCACACTGGACCCGGCTCTCCACCACCATCGTCCCCGCCTGGTGCTCGCCACCAACCACTGCCACCTTCAGCAACATTGACCGCGGTAGCTTGGCTGGGCTTGTCTAGGCTCTCTGTCAGTCTCGACGAGCCTGTGCAGCGAGAAGACGGGCAAAAGGACGACGATAGGGACGCGCACGCCCTGCCCCGCGCATCAAGCCTGTTCACATTGCCCTTGAAGTGAGACTTGTCCGACGAGAGAAGGTCGGAGAAGCAAGCGATGCCGCTGGAGCAGATCCGGCCGCCGTTTTCGCCCTTTATCAGCAGTGGCAGCGGCAGCAACAACAGGGAACAAGCAAAGGCGAGCTCGTCGAGAAAGACGCTGGCCGACTTGGATTGCGGCGGGCTCAGTCAGCTCGACCCTCTCTCGTCGACCACATCATCCCTGGACGACGAGGAAAACGACGAGAAGAGCGATGCAGCCTCACCCTTATTCTATACCACTGCGGCACTGCCGAGGAGGCGAGCCAGTAGTGCCATGCAGCACCACGACGGGGGAATGAACCTGCTCAAGCTCGGGGGTGTGGGTGGTGTGACCAGGTCGGGCAGTCGAGGGCGAAATTCGTCGTACAACCTCTTCACGGCCTCTCCAGACGCCGACAAGGGCGATGAGGCTAGGGACAGACTCGAGAGTGATGACGATGACGATGATGATTACGACGGAGACGCTGGGCCCAGCTTCAGGTCTCGCAGGGTCAGATCGCTCGACCCAGCCGTAACTGTAGGGATGCACCACAGCACCAAGCACGCCTCTCGAGCGCCGCCAGCCGATACAAATATTCACTTTCGGTCATCGAGCTCCGACGTGCCATCTTCCTCGTCTCGCACATCAACTTCGTCGTACTCGGCGGCAGCATTTAGCCTGAGGTCTGTTTCCAACCGAAACTCGGTCAGCTCGGCCAGCTCCGAGTCGTCCTCAATACGCTCTCACGGCTTTGCTGCCGGTCCATCGTCGATGTCCTCTGATGGTGACGAGTCATCCAATGCCACTGCGATACTGGTCGGTGGTGAAGGTCACGACACGGACCCAAGCAGCGGCAGCGGCAGTAGCAACAGCAGCAATAACAACAATGACAACAACAGCAGGAGCTCCAGCAGAGACGCTTCCGTTGGTGGATCCGCTGCAACGATGGTCGACGACTCGGATGCACCGGGCTTTGAAAATGGAGAAAACGAGGGCCACAGTCGAATGACGTCGTCCTCCACGGCCACGTCAGTGTCAACGTCGAACGTCGGTCCGGGCATCAACCGAATCAGATCAATTGGGAGAGGTGGGACACCGAGGCAGGACGCAAGACCTCTGTCAGACGAGGTGCCGGGGCCGAGCGAGCGCCAAAACGGGCGAAGGAGCAGCGGGGCCGTAGAAGGAGAGGAGAAGAGCGACGAGGACCAGGGCAGCGATGGGTCACTGGTGGAAGGGACAAAGGAAGAAGAGGGAAACGAGACGCTGCGGCTTCTTCCGAGCCTCTCTACGTCGTCATCCTCTTCACAAACCCAGCAGCTTTCGCCGTCGAGGTCGACCCCTTCGGAGCACTTGCCGACCTCGCCCGAGACTCTCGTTACACCGGTTGCGAGATTGGAGGCGCGGCCACCACCACCACCACCAACAACAACAACAACAACGAGAACTACCCCGATAGATGCGACAGCGACGAACGATGCAGCGTCCCCTTCCTTGCCATCTCCCTCCGTAGCGAGCAAGCCTGACATGCCGTTCCAGCCGGCCATGCCTCGTAAGCACTCGGGCGTCTACGCATTGCGAACTCGGTCCCAACAAGGCGGCGCGTACGGCAGCTTCTACGGAGGCGGCGGTGGCAGGGCGGCGGCACGAGAGATGGCCCGCACCAATAACTTCAGCTACGACAATGCCCCTTTCAGCGTCCTCGAAGCTCGCAAAAACGGGCCGTCATCGTCGAGCAGGCCAGCCATGTCTGGTTATTCACAGCCCGGCTCGCCCGTGACCCAGCCCGGTTTCTCGCGCGCGTCACCCAGCTTCGGCCCCTACTCGTCAATGACTGACGCCAGGCTCCAAGGTCCATCTCGCGCGATGCTCATGTCGCCCATCGCACAAGCTTCGCCCGATGCGCCTCAAAACGCCTTTTGGCGGCAGCCAGCGGCTGTTGCGAGCCTTGCTTCTTTCTCCGACATTGCTGATCTGGTCGGCGAGAGCGCCATCTCTTCGGGTACCCCTCCGTCCTCGACAGCACCGCCTTCGGAGAACGAGAGTGCGCCCAGCCGCCAACGCGGTTCTCATCGTCCGGGTCTCGTGACCCTGGACCTCGCCGAATCGCCTTCGTCGTCGTCACTGTCTTCGCTCCTCGAGACGCCGCCTGGACCAAGCTCGCTGCACGTCAGCTCGCCCACGTCGGCCGACAGCGGCGCACGCAGCGGCGTGGGCTTGGGCATTGTCAATGCATCGCCTGCACGACGACCAGAAAGGCCAGGTCTCACGAGATCGACGACTGCCCTGGGCACCCAGGTCCTTCGGACACCCACGACAGAGGAATGGACCCGCTTTCTCGCAAGGCAGGGACTCGATCCGGCCATTGTTGCGAGGAACCGAACGAGTACAAGTCGAAGCAGTCGTCCATCGCTTCCACTCGCGCCCAGCACCGATCTCGAGGCGGCTGATCGTACCCTGGAGGGAGGAGACCATGCCAATGCTCAGATGCTCGAGCAGCTAAAGCAGCTCGGCATGAGCCGGGCTACGTCGAGCCGGACTGGGTCCCTCCTTGGCGATGGCGCCGATCTCGGCAGCGTCAAGGAGGACGACGAAGACGACGACGATCTCGAGATGGATCAAGACAAGGATGGGGAGGAGTGGGAGGAAGGCAGTGACGGCGGCATGAGCTCGTACAGCAACAGCTCTTCTTATGAGAGGATGCGTGCACTGCATGAGGCCATCTCTCGCCCTCCCTCTCGGCTCAGCACTCCTCCGCCGATGAATCGCATGGAGCTCGCGGCCGACGAGCAAGAGCATGAAGATGATTTCATCCAGGTCAGTGCCATAGCGCCTCCCAGCGAGCGTCGGTCGATTAGCGATTACGTCGTCGTCTCCGATATCGGCCGCGGCGCCTATGGCTTAGTCAAGAAGGCCAGGCTCAAGGGTCCCAACGGTGAGGTTGTGGGAGATGAATTCTGCATCAAGTACATCATCAAGAGCCGCATCCTGGCCGACTGCTGGAGGCGACACAAGATACTCGGACCGATCCCCGTCGAGATCCACGTCCTGGATCAGCTTCGACGGCTGCCCTACACACCACCAGCCGTCTCACCGCCGTGGAGCGCTGAAAGGATGTTCGGCGTCGTGCCGCACAAAGGCGAAGATGCCACTTTGCACCACCCGTCGCTGTGCCGGATGCTCGACTTCTTTGAGGACCACGAGTTCTACTACCTTGTGATGCCTTGCTTTGGCTCAGGCCAGGACCTATTCGACTACGTCGAGTCGCAGCCGCACGGCCTCTCCTCGTCGCAGGTCCGCAGCATCTTTGGGCAGGTCGCAGACGGACTCCGCTTCCTGCACGCCAACAACATCGTTCATCGCGACGTCAAGGACGAAAACGTCATTCTCGACGGCAAGGGCCACGCGCAGCTCATCGACTTTGGATCGGCGGCCCATGTCCGCCCAGGAAGGCTCTTTGACACGTTCAGCGGCACGCTCGACTACGCCGCCGCCGAGATCTTGCGCGGTGAAAAGTACGGAGGCAAGGAACAGGACGTTTGGGCATTGGGAGTGGTGGGATACGTGCTCTTATGCGGAGATTGCCCCTTCTGGAATGGCGAAGAAGCTATCGAAGGCCTCAGCGAGGGAAGCCGTGCGAAGCTTTCGCTCATGCATCGTTGTGAGGACGTCGAGGCACCGGACGAGGCTGAAGAGCGAAGAGAGGAGAGAGATGGCCAGAAAGACGGAGGCGGAAGGCTCGTTGATGCGGCCGACCTCATTGCACGGTGCTTGGAGCTGGAGCCGACGGATCGTCCCACAATGGAGCAGGTTTGCAACCATCGCTTCCTCGTGGGCAGCGTCGGCTGGTCTGGTAGGCTGGGATGGCGCGAGGTAGATCCGTAGATGCTATAGCATATTGTATTTTTTTTTCCCTTTCCTTTCTCAACCGGCTCCTTAACAATGTCACGAAGTTAACGGTCTGCGTGCCCTGCTCCTCTTCCTACCATCGACAAGATCCGTCCATCTAGAAGCTTCTGACATTCTCCACCCGCTCGAAGGCGCCCTCTCGACCTTCGCAATAAGCTGAACAGGACGGTGTTTGTGCCGTCGGTACTTTTCCATTTTGTTGTGCGGGCAGCTCTTGGGTGATCCTTTAAATATGTTGCTCGTATGGCGTTACACGATAATTTCTCCTGAGAGTTCTCCAAGAAAGCAAGCTCTAACAATACTGAAGAAGAGACTAGCACTGCATCTGATTGAAGCAGACGATGGGTATATGTGGCTTGAAAGTGAGGACCTAATAATGGACAATGGAGATACCGAGAGAGGAGAGTACGAGGCAGAGGATGAGAAGTCCAGTTGGACTGGGAGAGAGGGAAGACCCACTGCTGTGCTGGACGGATCGACTGGTGTCCACTTTATCGTGGGCTGGGTGGCAGACGCCCCAAGGGCCAACCACTGCCGAACGACAGTGTGTTTCGGCAACGTACTTGTAGCAGTCGAGCACTATTGGGATAAATAAATGCATATCAGCTCTTGCTCCCTCGCTTTGTCCCTTTTGAATCCGCGCAGGAGCGTAGGAGGCACTCACTATCGGCGTAATTTGTTGTCTCACAGATGGGCTCCAGGTCGGACGAGTTGCTGCTGGTTTGCGCCTCGGTGCTATTGTCGCCTACTACCAGTTGCATCTCCTGTAAGATACCACCCACAGCAGCGCAGCAGTACGATGTGATGTCGGGGTAGCTTCGGCGTTGCACGAGCTTGAGCATGGGAAAGCTGGGGGAAAGGGGGGAGACAAGACGGAAGGGGATACTCACTAGCTCGCGCATTGGCCCTCTGCGGCATCCAAAGGGAAATTGGACTCGGTACTGTCACAAGTCCCGTTGAAGTCGCCTTGCGAATCTGAAACATTGACGTAGCGCTTCTGCGCTTGCAATGACCAGTGTTGCAGAGCGTTGCCGCGAGCTACAGCCGAGGGATCCGGGGCAGGCAAATCTCGTGCGAGGACGTGATTCCAAGAAGGAGTCGGTGTCATTGCCGGAGGCAGGAGAACTAAGTCGGCGTAGCAAGACTTTCTGTTATCTGGCCCACATTGATGTGATGCCGTGACGGGGAGATTCTTTTCCTATGCTCGCTTTCGACCTTTTTCACGGGTTCCACTATGCCACGCAGAAGAGGGCTGGTTATGACGGTGGTTCGAAGAGTTGAGAGAGGTGGGTCATGGTCCACCCAAGAGGACTCGTAAGGGACTTAAGAATGGCCAAGAGTGAGCACCAAGAACGGAGTGCAGACTGCTTTCCCACATATAAAGCAGGTTTAGCCCGCGTGCTCTTTGAGGCTGACCTCACAAACAGATGAATTGCATCTCTGTCTGCCTGTTGGAGGCTGGGCTGTTACAGAGGCGGGAGCGTTGCGCACTTTGTACAGTAGAAACGTGCATATTATTAAACGTTCGCCGAGTTAGATTCTCTTTTGGCCTTGGCAAGGACTTGGCATCATGACCCGGTCCGACTCCCTTTCTTTCGTTCTCAGAAAGTGAAGTTCGCGTGCTTGTATGATTACTAAGCTGCCAACTCACAGTGAGAAGGGCTGTGAGTAGCTGTATACTTCTTGTCTTCATACTTGTACGTACCCAGGATCCGTCCTCAATGCTCAGAGCGCAAAATCACTGACATCCACCTTCTTCGACCCTCTTCCCCCTCCTAGACCTTGAGATGGCATCGTCGCTCACGCATGGCGGTGTCGGGTGCCAAGGGCCATCATTGCACAGCGACCCGTTTTCGTCTTCATTGGACCTCGGTGCTCGGATGGGGGCTCTGCCTTCATCCATCTTCCAATATTTCCACTTGCCCCCTGCTGCTTCGGCAGCAGGGGGCTTTTTTGCGTTAGGACGATCTGGCCCTGTCTTGCGCTGTGAATGGATGCTGTTGTGCTGCCCTAGTCTTGTATGTATTGCTGTGGCCCTCCTGCCCTGCTTGCGGTGCGACTCGATGGATGGACAGTCGAGACGCCTTGCGTAGCATCCTGATCCTGAACCCTCAGCCATCGACAGCAGTACGGATGCTCAGCCAGGGATGCCACTTGGCGCTGCCGCTTGGCAGAATGTGCGTTGCAGTTGTCTATACTTCTCAATGTGACTTAGATACTACCACTACCACTACCACCAATCGCTACTGCTATCACAACACATCAGCGCTCCCACTCGACAGGGCCAGCCAGCGAGACGCTGCGCTTTGATCTGTCACGTTCTGTCATTGCCAGGCTGCGGCCCTTACCTTAAGAGGGGGAAGGGGAACATGCCACGTGTTCTAGCCTCGGCTCTGGACTAAGGCACTTGAGAAGAGGGCAGGAAAAATTTTCATTGCTGGCAAAATTTTGGAGCCTTTTTGAAGGGCTGACGTTGCCACCAATCTTTCTTCCTTCTACCACCGGTTCATTACCTTACCTCTCACACCACCACTCTCACTTCACAATGGGAAAAGAAAAGGCTCACGTATGTGTCTTGCTCTCATCTCCTCTCACGCCAGCTCTTTACTGACTCCCTTCAACAGATTAACATCGTCGTTATCGGCCACGTCGACTCCGGCAAGTCGACCACGACCGGCCACCTTATCTACAAGTGCGGTGGTATCGACAAGCGAACTATCGAGAAGGTAAGCGAGCCACGTCTCCGCACTTTATAGCGCAGGAAACTGACACGAAGATCGCTGCAGTTCGAGAAGGAGGCTGCCGAGCTCGGCAAGGGCTCGTTCAAGTACGCCTGGGTTCTTGACAAGCTCAAGGCTGAGCGTGAGCGTGGTATCACCATCGACATTGCCCTCTGGAAGTTCGAGACCCCCAAGTACAATGTCACCGTCATTGACGCCCCTGGCCACCGTGACTTCATCAAGAGTGAGTTGTTAAATGTAGTACTGTCGCCATCAACAAATTACTCACCTCGTACAATTTTGTTCCTCAGACATGATCACGGGTACCTCGCAGGCTGACTGTGCCATCCTCATCATTGCCGGTGGTACCGGTGAGTTCGAGGCTGGTATCTCCAAGGACGGCCAGACCCGCGAGCACGCCCTGCTCTCGTACACCCTCGGTGTCCGTCAGCTCATCGTTGCCGTCAACAAGATGGACACGACCAAGTACTCGGAGGACCGATTCAACGAAATCATCAAGGAGACCTCTGCCTTCATCAAGAAGGTCGGTTACAACCCCAAGACTGTTGCCTTCGTCCCCATCTCGGGTTGGCACGGTGACAACATGATTGAGCCCACCACCCAGATGCCCTGGTACAAGGGTTGGTCGAAGGAGGGCAAGGACGGCGCCAAGTCGGGCAAGACCCTCCTCGAGGCCATCGACGCCATCGACCCCCCCAGCCGCCCCACGGACAAGCCCCTCCGTCTCCCCCTCCAGGACGTGTACAAGATCGGTGGTATCGGCACAGTGCCCGTCGGCCGTGTCGAGACCGGTGTCATCAAGCCCGGCATGGTCGTTACCTTTGCCCCCGCCAACGTCACCACTGAGGTCAAGTCGGTCGAGATGCACCACGAGTCGCTCCCCGAGGGTCTCCCCGGTGACAACGTCGGCTTCAACGTCAAGAACGTCTCGGTCAAGGACATTCGCCGTGGCAACGTTGCCGGTGACTCGAAGAACCACCCCCCTCAGGAGGCTGCTTCGTTCAACGCCCAGGTCATTGTCATGAACCACCCCGGCCAAATCGGCAACGGTTACGCCCCGGTTCTTGACTGCCACACCGCCCACATTGCCTGCAAGTTCTCGGAGCTCCTCGAGAAGATCGACAGGCGAACTGGTAAGGCCACCGAGACGAACCCCAAGTTCATCAAGTCTGGTGACGCCGCCATCGTCAAGATGATTCCCTCGAAGCCCATGTGCGTCGAGGCCTTCTCTGAGTTCCCTCCTCTCGGTCGTTTCGCCGTCCGTGACATGAGGCAGACCGTTGCTGTCGGTGTCATCAAGTCGGTCGAGTTCTCGTCGGGCAAGGGTGGCAAGGTCACCAAGGCTGCCGAGAAGGCCGCCAAGAAGAAGTAAGCCACTCGATGGCTCTAGAAGCGATGTGATTCTCTTCTCTCTTTCCCCACGTTCTGTGGTGGGAAGGTCACTAGATCCTTCGCCCAAACCATCAATCTTCCTTTGTCGCCCGCGATGGGCTGCCGCGGAGTTTGCAGCTCAACAAAAACTTCTTGTTCTCCCCCTACATCAATCACAATGTCGTTCCCCATCTTCTGCTGTTTTGATTTGACTGAAGAATAGTGTTGTCGCCGAATGCTTTGTTACTGAGTCATCAACTGTTCTTTCACGGCTCGCGATGCTGAAATTCGACCCCCACGTCTCGGAGATGATCCTCGTCCACCGTAACAGACTGGTGTTGGAACAGCTGAATAAAAAAATTCGGCCCAATTTTACGCTACCCACTCCGGAGATTCGGTTCAGATCCATTCCGATTGGACTCCGAGGCGGATGGTGCCTCGCAATACAGGAGCACTTTGCCGAATCCGAGCGAGCAGGAAATCAGTCTTGGACACTGAAAGCTCAGCACACTTACCCCAGAGCCATGAGTCTCCTTGCCCAACCTTGCCACTGCCCGGCAGCACCATTTCGGCTAAATTGCAAGGGGGAAAGTAAACATAATCGAATCGAACTGACTCGTGACCCATGATTTTTCGAGTGGTCATCAATTCTTTGTGATCTTGAGTTTCCGTGGTTCCCCACTTCTTTCATAATTTGCACGCTCACGCCGTCGATGGGGGACGAAGAACGGCGCGATTCGATGGAAGCGACACCGTCACCCACGGAGGTGACACATGAGGGACCGAATGATGTTGAGAACAACGAAGTGTCGCCGAGCGAAAAGGAAAGAAAAATAGAAGAGGTCATACGGTCCAATGACGAAGACGAGGGCTATCCAGAGGGTGGTCTCCGGGCTTGGTCCGTAGTTGCGGGCACCTGGGCAATGATGGTGAGACAGTGTTCTGCGCCCGCTCCGATCACCAAGAGCTAATCGTATTCGATCCGCAGGCTTTTAGCTTCGGCTACCTGAACTCATTCGGCGTCTTGCAAGAGTTCTACAGCAGAGACTACCTCAAGGAGTATTCACAGTCGGACATTGCTTGGATCGGCGCCGTCCAGGTTGGTTATCTGCACTGATTGCACACTGAAGCGAAGCTGACACTTCCCGCCCCCTTTGCAGTACTTTTTCATCTTCTTCATGGGTCTCTTTGCAGGTCGTGCGTTCGACCTCGGCCTCATGCGGGTTTTCCTGGCCTTTGCCATCCTGCTCTTTTCTTTCTCGCAGATGATGCTCTCGCTCTCGACAAAGTACTACCAGATCTTTCTCTCAGAGGGGATAGCCCTGGGAATCGCCTTTGGTCTTCTTTTCAACCTGAGCGTATCGGCGCCCACGCACTGGTTCAAGCGTCGGCGAGCGACCGCAATGGGTGTCCAAGCAAGCGGCTCATCCATGGGCGGGGTCCTCTTTCCCATCGTCGTTCGGAGACTTATTGACGAAATTGGGTTTCCGTGGACGATGCGCTTCATCGGTTTCCTGGGCCTCTTCTGCCTCGGCCTCTCCTGGTTCCTCATGAAGACACGCCTGCCTCCGCTCGTCTCCTACCGCAACGGAGGGTGGCGGCAGGTCCAATGGGTAGACCTTTCGGCCTTCAAGATGGGCAGCTACACAGCCTTTGTCTTTGGCTCGACACTCATCCTTTTTGGTCTCTACACTCCGTTCACCTACCTCGACATCTTCACACGCACCTACAACATCCCTGCTGACGGCTACTGGCTCTCGATTCTCAACGCCGCCAGCATCTTTGGCCGGATCATTCCAGGTCTCATTGCCGATAAAGTCGGTCGCATCAACACCATTGTCCCGCACACGATCGTTGCCACCATCTTCCTCTTTGTTTTCCCGCTATTCACCAATGTGAGTCACCGTCGATTCCGCTTCTTGCCTCTTTTTGTTCCGTCAAAGGCTGATCGCGGGGCCATCTACAAGCTCTCCATGATTGCATTCACGCTCATCTTCGGATACTGCTCGGGCTGCTACGTCAGCCTCATCCCTGCCTGCGTTGCCCAACTCGGCCCCATCCACAACGTCGGAACTCGTTTGGGCGTAAGTGTGCCTTGCCCCTCCCCTCCTCTGCTCGAACGCTCAAAATTGACACGACTCTCTACCTCTCCGCAGATGCTCTTTGCCGTCTCCTCCATCGGTGGGCTCCTGGGCACGCCCATCTCTGGCTTCATTCTCGGTGACTCACAGCCGTACAACTGGTGGGGTGCCTTGGGCTATTCTGGCGCAGTCGTCTGCGTCGGCGTGGCTTGTCTTGCCCTCTCCAGGATGCTGGCCGTCAACTGGAAATGGCGAGCGAAAATCTAGTCTACATCATTAATGGCAGCATCCTAATTCGCAAGCAATGGACTCTTTTTTGACATTTCTCCTTTGGTTTTGTGCGAGTGATTATGCTAACAGGCGTTTTACGAGTGTAGTGACTCTGATGTGGGCTCGAGGAAAAGATTAGTGTAGAGTCGGAAAGGGAGGGTATCTAGAGGGAGGAGAAAGATCGGCAAGCTGATTCACTTTGCCAGATCCTTTTGGAGCATCTCTACGACGAGTGGATCAACGTTTGCCATGACTGCGTTGAACCTCTGGGGGTCTTTGGCTTGTGCGCGATTGAGCGTTGCCGAGAGAAGCTCTTGCAGCCTCGTTCGGAAGCTCGGGTCTACGTCGGACAGGTTGTTCAGCCTAGCTTTGCCGGGGCTGTTGTCTTCGAGCCAATCGCCGTCGTCATCGAGGCCCAGCGAGAGGGCGGGCGATGGAGAGCGGCCTCTTGCCTGGTAGAAGTCCCCGCTGGCGCTCCGGTGCGAGAGCGGCGAAGGAGGCGGCGCATTGGGTGCACCTCCGATAGACGACGAAGAGGAGGCGAGATCGGACGAGGCCAGCTCGGACAGCGCCTCGGTCCACACGGAGATCATCTCGGGCAACGCATCGTACACCTCTGGCTCCCTCGATGGATCCGCGGCACCCAACACGGCTGCAAGACCCATGCATGTGATGCGTCGACGTCGGCTGGAGCTCATGTTCTCGAAGCGCTGACACCACAGGAGCAGCATGGGCTTGATGATCTTGCTTGCCACCTCGGATGGCGACGAAGAGATGCCATCGAGACGCGCAGATGCAGAGTGGAGGAGTTGCATGAACATGTCACCACTTGAGACGAAGGCCAGCCTGGCAAGGAGCGAGACAAAATAGGCAGACACTACGGCTGCCTCCTGTTCGACCAGAACACAAAGGTATCAGCGCAGGGTGGATGAGAAAAGAAAAGAGCAGACGCACCTTGACGCAGAGAAGCGATCCGACCAGTGCAGCCAGGAGACCCGTCTGGTCCACCAATTGAGGCCACACGTCCTGACCAGCACCAGAAGCGGCGAGTGACTGAATGACAATGTCCAGCGTAGACAGAGGGTGAAGGATGAGCGGACTCATCGGGTCCGCAATGATCGAGGTAAAGGCAGAGAAGATGTTGGCGCCATGATGCTGTTTTGTGAATAATATGTGAGCGCAATGGAGGGGCTGATCTTGCAAACACACACTCACCGCTAGCAGCTCGTTGGGAGCCATCAGAGCCGACTCTTGCACAACACGACATGCTTCGGGGCAGAATTCCGGCTGGTTCATGTACTCTGGCAAGAGAGGCAGCAGCCTGAAGAGGGGCTCTGTCATCGTCGGGCTAGAGCGAAGGGCCTTGATCCACAGCTCAAAGGCATCCTTTCCCAGCAGCGTCGAAGTAGCAGGCTGAAGACTGTCCCGCACAATCACCTCGACAATGCCATGCAGCTGGTCGCCGGACCCTTGTCGACCTTGCGGGATCAACTCGACGGAGCGCACGAGCTTACCGACAAACACAATCACGCTCGGTTTCGCCTTGCAGTCCGGATCCTCGCTGCTCCAGAGTGGCGGAACGAGCGACGCAAGCTGGTCCACGTAAGGCGCCACGCGCGGCCCCAATCGCTCGAGAAGAATGGCTAGCGCATTGGTGCACGTCTTGATGCTGTCCATCTCGTGCAAATCCGATGCGGCGGCTAGCTTGGCCAGTCGCGTCAAGGCAACATCGACGTAAGGCTGGAACGCCTCTGGGTCGAATTCGAGGGCATCGGCGAGGGCCGAGATGGATCTCGCCGCGGCCAATCGCACCGCTGCGTCCGTTTTGTCTGGCACGTCTTCCAGAAGCGAAACGAGGAGCCCATACACCGAAGGTCGTTGCGGGGGATGAATGTGATCGGACCACTCCCAGAGGAGCCATGCGATTCTCCTCCGCATAATGACCCAGCTTCGGCCTGCATCGACATCCAATGACGCTTCTGGGACCAGTCTTTGGCCGGCGACGATGGAGAGAGATGCCTCCTCGGGCAATTCGTCCCTACATCGACCCAGAGCCGCATACAGAGCATCCCTCCTCAACAAGCTGTCCAGGTCGCCAGCCGGTGGCTCGCTCGAGCAAGCCTCGAACTTGGCCCAGATGTATTCGCCCACGGCTTTTGCCGGCTTCGTCGATGACGCCAAGACCATCAGCGTCCGTTCGGCAGCCGGACGCACGTCGATGTCGTAGGTCTCGGCCTCCTCGTTGACGGCCCAGTCTTCGGCGTCCGCCTCCCACGCCTCCAGGTCTTCTCTTGACAGGAGCATTAAGCGGCCCATCAGAATGTCCGCGGCGTCCTGGGCAAATGACCCTTGAGCGAATGGACCTGGCAGCGAGTCTTTCTTCCATTCTTCTAAGCTTTTGCGCAACAGGGTCAGCGCCTGGACGACGAAACGTCTTGGGTGTGTCTTTACAAGCTCCTCTTCTTGTCCCACAGCGGCGTTGTACTCTCTTGCCTGCACCCAGTACCACCAGATCACATCTCCCCACCCTTGCCAACTGGCTGCCTTTGACCGCTCTCTCTCCAGCAGCGCAATGTAGAACTTGCCAAAGCCGAGCAGATGCTTCTGCAGGTTCGCCAGAATCGGCCCGGCAAAGTTCTGCATGTCGATGCTGCCCTCTTTGCCGCTGACGAGCTGAATAAATGCTAGCCTCGCGTCCCGCAGATTCTGCAGCATCCCGGGCGTCGTCCGGAAAAAGTCTTGGGCGAGGTTGGGCGCCAGGCCGCCGGCAGCGGCCGAGTTCTTGGTGATGGCGCCCATGTCGGCCACGGCGAGATGTGTGACGGCTTTCAGAAGGAGTTGGCAGGTGCGGATCCTCTCTGCGAGAAAGGGCGACGAGGCCCATCCCTGAAGGTCCGATGTGGAAGCAAATGTCTCGGCAAAGTACTGGTGCAGCATGGGCGCCAGCGTCGGGAGCAGCATTCGAGAGAGCTCCGTCATCCTAATCTTTCCAGCGAGAATCCGAACGGTGCCGAGCTCCTTGAGAGTCCGAGCACAGACGTCGGACGCGCGGAGGAGAATGAGCCGGTTGCGATCGAGGTGGTGCGACTCTGTGGCGCCATTTGACAGGGATTCCGACGCAGACAAGGACGCATGGGCCTCCACCATGGCTCTCTGCAGGTCCTCGAACAGCGTCGGCCATGCATTGGGAAAGTCAAGCCGGGCGATCCTGGCCACAGCCACGCTGGCCTGGAGCGCCACGACGCGGTCCGGTTCGTCGAGGCAGCGAAAGAGGCTCCTCCGAAGCTCGTCCTTTTTCTCCTTGGGAATCGTAATCGTCACGCGGTTGACGACGCGGCTGCGCCAGTACTTGTCGACGCCATTCTTGAAGCGAATGATGGCCAGTGCGCGCATGGCGCTGCACCGACCCTCGACGTCGTGCGCAGACACGTCGGAGCCCAGGCCCATGGCCGCTTTCTCCTTGGACAGCGTCGCGACGTCAATCTCAAAACGTCGCTCAAACGCCACGTCGAGGAGCAGCGACCAGAAGCTCGGATAGGGCTCCAGGTCGGCCAGGTAGTCGGTGGCCCGCGAGAGCGTGGGGCCATCGGGCGACGTCGCCTGGAACAAGACGGGGAGAAGCGAGGCAAACGTCGGTTCCGGCAACGAGGTACTCCTGCCCAAGCCAGAGGGCCGGGGCACGTACGATGGATCGTGTGCCATGCCGAGAGACCCCATTCGCCGCTGGCCACCTTGTCTGCGCTTCTTCTCGAGCGTGTAGGTAGGTCAGCGAACGTTGACTACAACAAGTCGCGAGGGCGTGCGCGCGCGCGGTCAAAGCACACTTGTTCCTTTTTGTTACTTATTCTTGCCCGCCGCTCCACGTGAGAGTGCATTTGGCGTTCCGAATAGCCGGGTCTTCCGTTGACGTTGATGGGTGGAGATGCATACACTGGACCACTGGACTCTTCCACTTCACACCACAGGGATTACATGCACTGAGAAAGGATGCACTGAGAAAGGGATTGTTACATTGCAGTAGCAGCCAAGGCCACTAGATCAGACATCGTTTCATTCTCAGCGGCCCTAGCCCACCCGAGTCCAGTCAAAGACGGTGCCCCTTCCAGCGCCGCTCGGGTACTTCTTCTTGAGTCCCTCGTCGAAGGCTCTCGGAGCAGGGAACGAGCTCGCGGTGGGGAATGACAAGTGACCAGAAGTTGGCGGTGGCGAGGGAACTAGGAGAGAGAGGAGAAAATGTCAGCATGTGGTAGTGGGCTTGACGAAGATTACACACTCTTTCCTGATGGGGCGGTAGAACTAGCAGTGCCATTTCCAGTCCCGTTGCCGACGGTACCAAACCCATTGGCTCGGGCCACTGGCTGTAGGCTGGCGCGAGAGGACGGGGCGGGTGGAGCGGCAGAGGGAGGTGGGGGCGCAGCAGCCGTCGGCGGTGGCGCTCGGCCCGGAGGCGGTGGGGGAGGTGCGGCAGGAGTACGAGATGGAGGCGTTGCAGGTGCACGAGATGGCGCTGGCGGAGGTGGCGCAGCCGGAGCACGGGATGGAGCCGTCGGTGGAGGAGCCGCTGGGCCACGCTGAGGAGCCGGTGGAGGCGGCGCAGCTGGCATCCGCGAGGGAGCCGGAGGGGCACGGGGGGGAGCAGGCGGGGGCGCACTGGACGCTGCTGACGCTCTGGGGGGCGGAGGGGGCACGCTTCTCGTTGGGCCCGCAGTTGATGGCGACGAGGGAGAGCCTCTGCCGGGTGGTGGTGGAGGCACGGTCCGACCAACAGTCGAGGAGGAGGACATTGGCCTCGACGGTGGGGGCGGAGGCGCAGCACCACCAGGTCTCTTTGGCGGTGCAGGTGCCTGTGGAACGGTTCTGGCCGGGGGAGCCGGGCTCGATGATGCTGGAGGAGGAGGGGGAGGAGGGGCCGGAGGAGCTGCCGGTGCTCGGCCGGGCAGGCTCGGAGGTGGTCTCGGCGGAGGAGGTGCGCTGGTCGGGGCAGGTGGTCCTCGCCCAGGAGGCCTTGGTGGCGGCGGCGCTGTTCGTGGAGGCGTGGCCACGCTGGAAGCAGGCGCGGGTGGTGGTGGCGGCGGCGGGGGCGCCCCTCCAGGCCGTTTAGGTGCTGCAGGTGCCGGAGGAGCAGGTGGTGGTGGTGCAGCCGATCCAGGCGGCCGAGGGGGTCGGGCTGCGGGGACCGTAGGAGGCGGTGCGCCTGGCCCGCCACTTGGCTTGAGTTTGGGCATACCTCCTGCGAACAGCCCAGCGAGCGCAGGAGGGCCACCTGATGATGGAGCTGCAGCAGCCCCTCCTCCCCCGGGAACGGGAGGCGCCTTTGCCAGGCCAGAGCCTCCACTGCCTCCACCACCACCACCACTCCCGCCGACCGCTCCTGCTACTGCCGGCTTCGATCTGTCATTGGTTTGCGTCTCTGTGGTACCAAAATGGAGGAGGGCTCAGCTTTAAGCTCAGTACATGCATCGTCGAGATCTGCCGACTCACTCTTCAGACCCTTGCCCTTCCTTATTTGCTCTTGTAGGGCCGAATCCATCCTGCAAGCGGTGGTATGTCCAAGACTCGAACGAGCCTCTGTCTCTCTCCTCTTAAGTCAGAAAGGCGCGCTGAAGAGGGGTTGGAAGTTATGCACGACTGGATGAATGGACTGGGAAAGGGCAACAAAGAGGTACGCGGGTGGCAGTGATTGACGGCTGAGCCTCCACGTGGATTGGATTTGCGAAGGGCGCAACCCAGGCTCAACCAAGTGGCTTGTGCGTTTTGAGCGACTCTCTCACTTCCTTGACCAGAGTGGCAGCCGGCGACGGCGACAGCGATAGCGATGGCAATGGCAATGGAGACGGCAGCAGCAGGACACGGGACAAACGGGTCCGAGGCGCTGCATGCACTTGCGCTGACGCGAGCCCTCGACGCGACTTTGCGGAGCCTCATCGCCCAAGTGGGCGAAGCACTTGCGGCCCAACGCCGAGCCCTGGTGCTGCACAACGCCAAGCGCGGCGCCGAAGCAGGGCCATCTGTCGCGAGACCAGCGCTGCTCTACACCAAGCAGCTCAAGGAGCAGGCTGAGCGCTACAACGGTCTCGTCAGAGAGCTCAAGTACTGGATCGTGAGTGATGTCATTCAGCACGTACCACACACGACGAAGCTGACCTTCCGAGACAGACGATTGCTCGGGATGCGCTTGAAGCGGAGCTGGAAAGAGCAAAGCTGCGCGAGGCCGAAGAGGCGATGAGACTGGAAGAAGAAGCGAAAGTCAGACGGGCACAAGAGCAAAAAGAACAGGAAGAAAAGGAGGCGCAAGCCTTGAAGGAGCAGACGAGCACATCAGATTCGAAGCAGGAGCCGATGCAGGTCGACACAGACGAGAAAGAAAAGCTCGCAGAGTCGGGTGCCGGGGCAGGAGAAGGGGGCGAGGGCAAGAAGGAGGAGCAAGCCACGACGGAAGCAAAGGCCCCAGAGACCATCCGGCTGGATGGAGACGATGACGAGGATGACGATGTTCCGCTCGCTGGCTTGACCACGGCCACTGCCTCGGATGCTCCCGCACAGAAGAAGCAGGAGACATCCGGCCAAGATTCAATCGACTTGACCGACGACAGTCCGCCGGTGAAGCAAAATCAACTCTCTTCCAGCGCTGCCGCGCCTCCTGCTGCAGCTGCGTCTTCATCGACACTCGCGAGCGACCCCGCAGCCTTGCTCGCATCGCTCACTGGCATCCCTCCTTCTTCGTCGAAGCCAACGACGGCAGCGGCCTCGTCTTCTTCCACGCCGACTGCTGCTGCTGCTGCTGCCGCCGCCGCAGCGCCAATGCCGTCGATGGCCGACAACAACTTCCCGTGGGACTCGCTCGATTTCAGCAGTCTCGGCCTCGACCTCTCTGGCGCCTCGTCGGGGCTGGGCGCCGAGAATAGCAATATCAGCAGCAACAGCAACAACAACAACAACAATAGCAGCACCTCGTCGAGCAACCCAACGCAGAATGCACTCATGGGCGCCTTTGACGGCAGCTTCGGCGACGCGTCGCACAACCATGCCGGCGCCGACGGCAACGGCAACGGGACGGGCGCATTTTCGGATCTCAGCATGCTCGACTTCTCGAGCTTTCCGGGTCTAGATGGCAGCAGTGGCAACAATGACGGTAGCGGTGGCGCCGGCGACGGAGCCGGCGGCATGGGCGGAGACATGATGGGCCAGATTGACTTTTCAAAGATCCTAGAGACGCTCCAGCAGCAGAGCCAGAACCAAGATTAGCGGCGCGGCCGTGCTGCTTCAGCTCCAACGCCATGATGTATTTCTATCTTATTCAACCGTCGCCCACCAAAAAGTATTGAGTGAAGGAGAGACATTGTCATTGAGAGCCATGGTCATGAGGGTGGAAAGGGGCAAGAGAAGGGGGAGAGAGAGATGGGATAGCTGGTGTGACTGTGAGATGACTTGACGGACCGTCCGTGCTGGAGAGAGGGAGGAAAGGGGATAGGAGAGGAGATGGAGCGCCGCGAAAAGAGTCTGGGAATGAGGAAGATGAGCGGCAGGAAGAGATAGAGAGAGGGGGGGAAAGAGGGGAGAAAATACACATGAGAACCGATGAGGAAAGAGGGAGAGATTGTCAAAACATCAGAGATGATCGGCGTTTCGCTCAAAGCGACGGTAGGTGTAGCCCATAAAGGCCAGGTCCTTGTTGTCTCCGCCTGCGCCGCCGGAGGTTGTGGCGCCCGGCTCCGCCCCCGCGGGCATCTCCGGCACGTCGTTGTAATCTTCCACCGGGAAGTAGCTCGTGTCGGTGATGCTCTTGAGCGAAGGCACAAACGGCGCCTCGATGCTCCGGATGCTGTCAAAGTCGACTCCTGCAAAGAACGAGTGCTCCCGCAGCTCTTTGGCACCACCGTGCGAGCCAAGACGGTGTTCGGCGGGACAGAGGAGCCGCTTGATGAGGTCAATAGCCTCGTGCGAGAGATGGACATCGTCGGGGAAGGTCCACTCCAGGCCCAAGATTTTCTTGTACGTCTGGTGGGCATTGTCGGAGCAGAATGGTGGGTAGCCGCACAGACACTCGAACATGATGGCGCCCAGGCTCCACCAGTCACACTCCTGGCCGTAGCCCTGCTGCAGGAAGATTTCGGGCGCAATGTAGTCTGGCGTGCCGACGGTGCTGTAGGCCAGCTTCCTCCGATTGGCCTTCCACGTCGCAATTGTGTCCTTGCTCGACAGGGTGAGGGTGATGCTGTTGACGGCCACCGAGTTGCGCCCAGACTGCTGCTGATTCTGCGGGTTGGCCGAGTCAAGCAGGCGCTGGTAGTATGCGCTATCGTGCTGCTTGTGAAAGCCCGTCGAAAGGCCAAAGTCGGACAGCTTGATGTGTCCCTTCTGGTCGATGAGGATGTTGTCCGGCTTGATGTCGCGATGGATGAAACCGAGCTTGTGAATCCCCTCGAGCGCCAAGACGCATTCAGCCATGTAAAACCTGGTCACATCCTCGGAAAAGGTGTCGTACTTGATCAACATCGTCATGAGGTCACCGCCGGGAAGGAACTCCATGAGCAGATAGAGAAACTGCGAGTCCTGGAACGAGTAGTAGAGCTGCACGACCCACGGAGAGTTGGACTCGGCCAGGACATCCCTCTCTGCTCGGACGTGGGCCAGCTGGTCCTTTTTGAACATCTCTGCCTTCTTGAGCGTCTTCATGGCGTAGATCTTGCCCGTGTCGACCTTTTGGACGACGCGAACCTCTCCGAATGCGCCCTTTCCAATCACCTTTACGGTCCGGAAATCGTCGAGGCCCAGCCGGGTCCTCCTGAGGCGCAAGAACCCAGACTCCTTTCTCCCCAGCGAGGCCAGCTGCCTCGCCTTTCGGTCATCGGAGAGGTGGACGCCGTCCGGTGGGTTCGCCAAGCGCTTCTCGAGCTCGACACGGCGGTTGCTGCGCTCAATCGCCTGTTCGACAGCGACCTTGTAAAAGTGCTCGAGCTTGAGCTTGGCCCCTGTGGCAGCATCGAGTGTCGTCTTGCTCATTCCCGCGGTGCTCCTCTCGAAATAGACGTAGTCTGCGCCCTTGTCGCTCGCACTCGATGCCGCAAGGCTCCGGTTGCTGTCGTGGCTTCCGTTGGGCGACGACGTTGATTGCACGCCTTGCATCGGCTGATCCTGTCGCTGCTTCTGCTGCTGCTGTTGCTGATAGGCCATTTGCTGCTGCTGCTGCTGCTGCTGTTGCTGTTGTTGTTGTTGCTGCTGCTGGTACTGCTGCTGCTGTTGCTGTCCCGGGCTGACTCGGCCGGCACCATAGTTGGGACTCGGGCTGCGATTCACTGGGCTGCTCGCGCCACCATAGCCCTGTCCCTGAGGAGCATACAGACCCTGTTGCTGCTGCTGCTGCTGCTGCTGCATCTGCTGCATCTGTGCCGCATGGGCTGCCTGGACCTGCTGCTGGTGGATCTGAGCGGCCTGCTGCATCGCTGGATGCTGGAGCTGCGAAGGGGGAGCCTGGGCCTGGGCTGCCAGTGCGGCCGCCTGGATCTGCGCCTGGAGAGCGGCCGACGCCTGGGGCTGGTACTGCTGCTGTGCGTATGCTGTGTAGGAAAGGGCAGCCAAGGGAGGAGTCAGCACCAGGTTCAGCGTTCCATGAGAAGAGCCATCTCGGCAAAACAGTTCAGTTCAATGGCTCACCCTGATTGGCAGCAAAACCGCCCTGGCCGGGAGTGAAGCCGTACTGTGGCACACCGCTGCCGCCGCCGAGCACAGGACCACCAGCACCGCCGCCGCCGCCGGGGGACGCTGCGCCGCCGTAGGCGCCCTGAGGCGCATACTGCGCACCGTACGCGTTGAGCGAAGGTTGCTGCACCTGAGGCATGTGCTGATACCCTCCCGGGCTCGGCGGAACGGGGCTCAGTCCACGCAGGCCGGCTCCTCCTGCTCCTGCTCCTGCTCCTGCACCACCACCACCGCCGCCGCCACCACCTGCTCCATTTCTATAAGCCATTTCTGGACTCTTTCTTCTTTCTCTCTCTAGATGCTCTGAAGTCCGACGCTTTGATGCGAGGGTCGAAGGCGGGAGGGAGGGAAGAAGCAAGTCGGGTGCACAGCACTCCTGAGGACGAGGGACGCCTTGCGACTGGCTCTGCCAAACGAAGGAGAGGAATGGGATGGGTTCTCGTAAACGTCAAGCGTCTGCTGAGGAAAAATAAGTTGTCGGTCGCCTCGAGCCTGTTGCGAGGAGTGAGCGGAGAAGGATTCGGGCTGAAGGGAAAGCGAAAGCGAAAGCGAAGGAGAGATCCAGGTAACGTCGACTGAGATGGACAAAAGTCAAAGTTGGCGCTCGACTATTCTTGCTAGCGGGACGGGGGTGGGAAGAATTGAGGTTTGAATATAGACTATTGAATTGAAAGTCTCTGCTCTATTGTTGGCCTTCGCTTGGCTGGCAAATTAAGCATCGCAAAATGACTTGAAAGGCAAGAGTAGGGCTAGGACAGGCTAGGACAACCTTGAACCCGGGAGCAGATTCGAGCATCATGCCTCCTGATATCATACAACTCCGTTCCAGCCCAGCTCAGCACGAACGCCCAAGTGGGTGAGATGGGCCGACGGGGTCTCGCTGATTCGGACAACGAGCTTCTTTGCCCGAGGCGCCGCTCCATCTCGCAATGCCTCCAACCCCCGCCTTTTGTGCGCCGTCAGCACCATGCAAAGTCTTTTTCAGCTAAGAGGACCGTGTAAGCTCACCTGACACCAGCCAAGCCATCTTCCACCAGGTGAGGCCGGACAGAGTTGAGTTGGCTTGTCCGAAGCAGCTCGTCCAGATCAGCCATGACCTTTGTCGCAAAGACGTCGTCGCCGTAAAAAGTCGTCGAAAAGCTGATGCGATGGACGACGACTTTGCGCGTTCCCTCTGGCAGACCCTCGCTCTTTGGATTGCCAGCCAGGCAGATCATCTCTGCATCGCCTTGTCCCCTTTGCCTTGCAATTTTCTCGCACATTGTGGCCGTTTTTGACCCAACGCAGTCGAGGACGTAGGAAAGACCATGGTCCCCGGTGATGTCGTCGATCTTGGAGCTGAGTTCTTGCTCGCTCAGGTATCTGTCCACACATTCGGTGACGCCGATACTATCTGACGTCAGATAGTCGAAGTTCGATGGCGAAGCGATGGCAATTGTCCGCAGCCCTGCTAATCTCGCGAGCTGCGCCATGTAGATGCCAGTGATTGAGCCTCCACCGTAAATGCTAAGAGAAGAGAAGGAGAACCAGATGTGAGCTGGACATGAGGCGGTGGCCTTCAGCGCAAAGGCTGATGCCAACTCACAGAACCCAAGGTGCGCCTTTCTCCGGTGTGTGTGCCTTTTCACTCGCGGCACCCTCGTTTCCCTTTCTTGGCATCTTGCCCCCACCCAGCGAGGCAGGCCTATTCCACTGGAAAAACCAGTAGGCAGCGATGGCTGCCGTCACGAGGCCAGTGCCAAGCGTGGCTGCCTCGTCGTCCGACACGCTGTCCGTGTCGTACGACCCAACGTGGGTCCGTCGGGCGATGCAGTACGTCTGATAGGCCCCTGCCCGGACGTCGCGCGAGTCGGCGCACGTCCACACCCGCTGACCGACGGACAAATCCGTCACGTTCGCGCCCACCTCTTCGACGATGCCTGCCACATCTCGCCCCAGGACCCAAGGCGTGTCGGGGATGCCAAAGTTGTACAAGATGCTGTAGGGACCAATAGGGGATCAATCTCATGGGGCACATGGGACACAAAAGGACCACAAAAGTTCAGTTCATGCTCTAGACGCACCTCTTGAAATCGACGGGGTTCAGGCCGGCGGTGACGTTGCGGATCAGAACCTCGTCGGGCTCTTGAATCTGCGGTCGGGGCCACTCGTGGTCGAGATCGAAGCTGCGCTCCCACCCCTGGTGTTTTGACTTGATCAAGAGGCCTGAGCCCGACAAGGGCGACGTCACACCCTCGGGCGAAGGCGAAGAGGGGGGCGAGTCATCAGGTAAAGATGCAGAAGACGAGGCAACGGGCGAAGCTGATGTAGACGGAGTCGACGCTTGCACCTTCTCCACATCGTCCCATCCCCCACCTAGGACGACGTCGTGCGGCGAGGCGACAAGGGCCAGCGCAGCGGCTCTCTTGAGCTCCTCGAAGTCGCCAAGACCAAAGCCACCCGTGTGTGTAGGAGGCGAGACGGACAGCATCTCTTTCCACTTTACGGGAGATCTGCTACTGGAGACTATTGCTCAATGGGAGGAGTCGACCAAGGTGAGTCAAGCCAACCGGTTGGGTAACAAAAAAAAAAGAAGCATCCTCGCTCTCATTGCTGCACCAATCGGTCTTTGGACACGGTCGCCTGGGACTGGCTGACAGAGTTGAAATGGCCACCAAAGCACGTCATCATTGAATTTACGGCTTCCCAGGATGGCGAGCACGCAACTTTTGCGCGCTAAGGCGACCCGCCACTCTTGTTTTTCACCACGCGAGCGGTAATCTGCGCCTTGTTTGACAGGCTATGGAAGCTGCCGCGCCCGACACACTATGGTGCAATAATGTGTGCGTGTGCAAAAAATGCTAGGAGGGAGCAGACTGCTGGGAGAGGGAGGCTACAAGAGAAGAGAGTGGCTTATAAGGAACAACAGGCGTCCCCGCTCCTTCTTCTTGACGAACCTACCATCCCCATCCTGCTCATCGTACGCTCCTACTGCATATCAGAATGGCTCCCACTGCAAGCGCATCAGCTGTGCCTCCGCCTCCGGCGTCTGCCAAGGGCGCCTCTCGGATCCAGCCGGATCCCGAGCTGGTCTCGTACCCAAGCTTCAACGCACGTCCCAAGACGCCCGAGGAGTACTACGAGCGTGCCAAGCAGGTGGCTGACCTGCTTCACCAGGACGAGGCGGTGAGGGACCGCGGAAACGTCGTTCCCAACCGTCAGGTGCAGCTCCTCAAGGATGCCGGCCTTGTTACCCTCCTCGGGCCCACGTCTAAGGGCGGCGGTGGCCAGACTTGGAACGAGGCCTACCACGTCGTCCGTCTCGTTGCCCAAGGCGACGGCTCCCTCGCCCAGCTGCTGGGCTACCACTACATTTGGTTCTGGGCCGCCGCCCTGGTGGGCACCGACGAGCAGCGCGCCAGGCTCGAGGCCGAGTTCACTGAGAAGAACTACTTTATCGGAGGCGCAGTCAACCCGAGGGACAGCGATCTCAAGGTCCGACAGCACCCGCAAGACAAGGCCAAGATTGTCTTTGACGGCAAAAAGACATTCTCGACGGGCAGCAAAGTCAGCGACGTGACGTGAGTATGAAATTATTCCTCTTCCTCCCCGATTGAGCCTATTTCTCCGTTGCTGAATGAGAGAGAATGTGATGGCGGACAGGATTCTCGAGGGGTCCTTTGAGGGAGCTGCTGCCGATGCGCCCCACGTCTTTGTGCCAGTCCTGTCCAAGCAACCGGGCATCGTCTATGGCGACGAGTGGGTCGATGTGCTCGGCATGCGCGGCACCCAGTCTGGCGGTGTGACAATCTCCAATGTCGAAGCAGACTGGCGCGACGCCCTGGGCTTTGTCGACGGCAAGTTCACGCCCTTGGGTCCGTACAACACCCTGAACCTGCCCGCAATCCAACTCGTCTTTACGAGCTTCTACCTCGGCATCGCAGAGGGTGCCCTCCAGCGTGGCATCGAATACACACGCAACAACACTAGGGGATGGCCCTACCAGCCCCACCCGCCCTCGAGGGGAACGGACGAGGTTTACATCCAAGGTTGGTTTTCTCTTCCTTCACACACACACACCGTCAAAAGAGAAATCGCTCACACTTTTCCTCTTACCTTGCATCAACAGATGGCTACGGCACGCTCCAGGCGCGTCTTTGGGCCTCGTCTGCGCAGATTGCACAAACCATCAAGCTGGCCTCCTCGATCCTCGGCACGAACCCGCGGCAAAATGTGACGGCGGCGCAGCGCGCAGACTTGGCCGTCCAGGTCGCCGCTGCCAAGGTCAACATTGTCGACTTTGGTCTCGACGTCACCTCGAAGCTCTACGAGCTCCAGGGGGCTCGGAGCGTCAGCGGCAAGTACGGCTTCGACGTCGCCTGGAGGGACCTGCGCACCCACTCGCTGCACGATCCCATTGCGCACAAGCGCGCAGAAGTCGGCAGGTACGCTCTCTTTGGCCCCGGCCAGGATGGCTGGCCTACGCCCACTTGGTACACATAAAAGGGCCAACGTTTCCTTCTCTCCCTATGCGGCTACGAGGGAAAAAATGCTTATTGTCTGCCTTGAGACTGTATGGCTGTCAAGGGGCTATCAGAAAAAAAGTAAAATACATGTGCTATGCGGATGAATCGATCGCCGTCTCGTCCGAGAGTGGCACCCGGCTCAAGATGATCTCTGACTGCTGGCATGAGACACGGCTGGGTGGGCATTTTGTGATAGAGGTGCCGTATACCAAGAGTCGTTCAATGAAGAAGCAGAAGAGGAGGGGGAGGACGGAAATGGTGACTTGGGCGAGCACGGAGGTGATGAAGAGGACGAGGTGGCCCTCTGACGGCGAGGCGAAGGCAGAAGATGCAAGAAGCTCGTCTGCGTCGTCGTGGGTGCCGTAGTATCTTCTTCGGTCACATGCTGTTGCTGATCTGAGCAAGAATGGGCACTTGGACCAGAGGATGAAGCTTGATCAGAGGACAACGTGGTAGAGGCAGACGATGGAGACGAATTCATGTCCAGGAAAGACAGGGCTGTCTCGTCTTGCGCCGTCATCGAGGGTATAGGATCAGAGGATAGCGAAGCGCGCGGGGAACGTGGCGATCCGATGCTTATGGGCATGTCTGCCGTCTGCTCGTCGGGCTGTGTCGATAGTGGGTTCTGCCGCTCGCCGACGTCACCATGATTCAGCAGTCTGTTAAAATTCATAGAGAAGATCGGGTCGTTGCGCAGCGACTCAGACGCATCCGTCTGCAGCGAGCTGCCGGAAGACGACCGTGTCGCAAGGGTGGACCCTGGGAGCTGGTCTTCTGGGCTTCGATGACCGATGTACTCGCCCGCATGAGGCAGACTACTAAAATCTTGCGCGGTGAGTGTTTCAATGTGAGGACGGGGCTCGCCAAATGTCCACCTTCTGTTCCAACCTGGGTTGCTTAATTGGCGACTTGGAGTAGACGAGCTGGCAACGTCCTCTGCTCGCATCACCTCCGAGAGGATCAAACTGCTGTCCTGCCTTCGATGATGCCTGTCGGCCTCCTGTGGGGCTGTAATGTCTTCCTGTTGCACCCATCCCGCAATCAGGGTATTGTCTTGCCCTTCTTGAAGGCGGCGAGATCGTTCAGCGATCCGCTGCTGCTGCCTTGTTGAGCGGTGTGATGGCAGACTTGCTACTGTACGCGGACCTCTTGCCGGTGTTCTCGGCTGTCTCTGTTCACAAGGTTGAGAGGGCGGCAATGGCGGGCAAGGGAAGGAAATGCCAAGTGCACCACTTTCGCGACTTCCTTGTGCCACCTCCCCTTCCGCCTCCTTGTATCTTTCAGATTGCTCCCAATCTCCTTCAATCTCCTGTATTTCTTCGAAATTTTCTTCCTCGTCACCCAGCACATGCTCTCTTTGAAAGGCATTTCGCGAGCACAGCGGTGAGAAAGACGACTCGCTCGTCGAAAGATTGGGCGAATATTCCTTCTCATGAGTGTTCCACCATCTTCCACCGTCGCTGCGCTGACTACTCCTATCTGAACCCGACGACCTGCGTGAAGCAAAGTACGAACTTTGCTGCCCGCTCGCGGAAGGCGCTGTCGAGGAACCCGAGTGCTGCTCATCTCTCGCTGTACTCGATGGACCACTCGAGGTTCGGGTTGCTGACCCCGATAACTGGTCGGAATCACGAGGCTCCTTTTCGGCTTCCGAGGCCCTCTGAACTGTCGACAGCGTCGTGTCGTTGACCCCGAAAGGACGAGAGGCGATTGGTTCGACATCACGGCGCATGTCCGCGAGAAGATTAAAGAGCAAGGGTCCGAGGCCTTGGAGGTACCGGACATCCTCGTAGCCAATCACACGCTTGGGCGAAGTGCTCCAGGCCCCAATCACGAAGGCAACGGCAGGATTCCGGTCTTGAACACTGTCAGCCTTCTCCGTCATGGCGCCTGCACGTTGGGGCATCCATGTCGATGTTTCCAGGCTTGCATCATGTTCGCGTTCGGACTCGGGCATTCTCGCAAAGGGCACCACGAGCCCCGCCCAAAACTCCTTGCTTCTGCCTTCCCCGCTGCAAAAGGGATTTGGCTTGGGCCGAAAGTTGCTGCTCCTTCGTCCTGAAGATGGATCGGCCAGCTGGAAATAGTCAACACCGCTGCTTTCGGAGCCCTCGTTCCGACCTTGACATTGTGGCGATGAATAGAAGGGCTCTGTCCTGTTCTGGATCACGAGATAGGTCTCTCTTTTTGTATGCTTGTCCTCGGACCCGCCTTTCTGTCCACCCCGGTCTGATGGGAAGACGTAGACAAAACGATGTTTCACGTCATCGAGCTTCTCTCCTTCTCTTCTCGTCGGGTAGCTGGCCAGTGTCACGCATGCCGGCTCGCCGTTTCCCTCGGACAATGTGAAGGGCGTCGAGTCGCTCTTGTTGATTGCATCAAAGTTGCTCTCGACGAGGTAAGGAACAGGATCAGGACCGCCTGCGATCTCAACGGGCTTGTCTCCGAGCTCGACGGCAGCCAGATATACATTGTCCATCCCAAGCGCTACAGCCGCGATGCGCATGACGTCGTCGAGTGCCTTGGCGGCGTCGATAGACACCCGAAGGCCCTTCTTTCGGTGAAGCTCATCTTCGACGCCGTGGTCATTATCTCGGTCGGCGGGGCTAATAATAGTCATATCCCGACTTCGCCGCGGCTTTTCATATCGAACATTGTTGATCGCTCGAAGAACCTCAGGAAAGCTGTCGGCGAGGCGAGCAATCTTCGTACCCCAATGCCGACGGTAGTGATCCTCAAGCAAGGCGCCAGCCTCCCGTGCTACGTCTCTGAGCATGTTCATTGGGAAGAATTCGTCCTTGTCCGGTCTCGGTTTGCCGTCAAAGAGTGACACGGTTCCCAGCGGCATCCCATCTGGCGATGTGATGGGGACCGAAGCATAAAATCCCATTCCACGCAGGCCTGAGCCATTTCTGCGAAAGCGCCAATCTGCTTGCGCATTACGGATCGTGACGCCATTGTTGCGATTGACTGTTTGCGGTAGACATTGCTTCAGCACGTACCGCCACGAAGCAGCACTGGGGCAATTGGGACTCACGGATGGTGTGCGACGCCATACTCTTTGCGCGACGAAGCAGATGCATCTTGCAGAAACCGTCTTCCAGAAGATCGAACATGTCCGTCTCATCTACCAGGGTGATAGTAGCCTGCGAGCAGTCCCACGCCCTGCGACATTGTTCAAGGCGGGACGAGAGCTGTGCTACTCTACTACCGGCAAGGTCATACGGACGCATCCGATATAGGCTCCGCAGTCTCCTCGGTTCCCAGGGCGGGCAGCCACAGTCGAGCGGCTCTCTGAGGAACGGAGTGGCGTCTGGCACCTGTTCCAGCGAAGGTACATCCGTTGGCTGGGCTACTGGGCCCGACACATCGATCTTGCCCGCGTAGTACTCCTTGCCAAAGTCGGCAAATTTGCGCGGCGAAGGTTTCTTGCCGCAAAGCCCGATGCTATGTCTTCCCTGTATGCAGCAGCTGTACAGGGTGCTGTCGCTGAAGAAGCGGCGACCAAACTCGATCTTCTCGATGCGAGTTTCGATGCCGCTCCATGTCGCGGTAGCTGCGCAGCCCCAGGCCAGTCCATGCTCGTTAAGTAAGCCTTTGTATGTGCCAATGGCGACATCATCAGCGTCGAGGGAGGACGCTTGTAGAAGTGCAGAGGCTTCATGTTCGTCATTGCGCCGAGGAAGAACAATACAGCTTTTGCTCGCTTCCTGGCTCTCCAAAAGACCGTTGGGTGTCACAAATGAATCAGTGTAGCTCCTTCGAGAAGCTTTGGTCTCGGAGAATGACTGGAGCGCAGGGCACCGATAAGAGACACCGGCTTCCGTAAATAATGACGATTTCCTCCGCCTCAAGTCCGAAAAACTCGTCTGTGGCGACGCTGGTGTAGAGAGCGCTTCACTCGTGTCTGCGCTGGGTAGCACTGGTGAAGTACACGGCAGAGACGAGCGTGAATGTGATGACGGCAACGAAGAGAGTGAAGTCGATCTGGGTCGAATCGACGATGATGAGCACGAGTCGGTTCTTGCCCTTGAAGATGAGGCCGAATCGCCCTCGAAATACAAGGTGGGTAGCAACGGAGACGGTGGCCATCGCTTGGGCGACTCGTCCGGCATAGTCGTGAGGGAAATCGTGGACTTGCATTGGGAACTAAGATCTCGGAGGAGATCAACGTATCTCGATGAGGTCGGCCCCGAAAAGCCGTCGACAAGGGGGATCGTCTCTTCTATCCAGGAGATTGGCCAACCGACGACCAGAATTGAAGCGAGGATGGCCAGCTCGTTTGTTGGCTTCGGGAGCATGTCGCTGATCTCGCGCCGGGCTCTGTAGCATTCAATGCTCTCTTCACGGCATCGCTTCTCCCAACCCTCAGTTTTGCTGACTTCCCGTCGGCCTGAATCCGGGTAGTCATCATCACCGAAGAGGGCTCGACAAGTAGCGGTAGCCTCAAGCGACGCAGAATTGTTTTCACTGGTAGGCAAGTTGTGAGAGTTGAGACCGTGACAATGCTGCTGCCATTGCTGCTGAACGAGGCCGTCAAGATGCGAGTCTCTGCACGAGGAAGGGCATGAGAGCAATGGAAAACGGTTGCCTGCAGCGCTTGATTTCTCCCTGCTCCGAGATCCTTCAAGCTCTTGTCCGGCGAAGAAGTAATTGAAGAGATCATCCCCATTTGGTCTGTCCAAAGGCAGGAACGTGAAGGGGGGAGGCAGAGGGAGATTGTCCGAGCAGCTCATGACGGAAAAAAAAACTTTGAAAAAGGCGAAGTCCGACCGGCGAAGAGACTTGACGGCGACCTGTCACAGTATGTTGGAAGTGCAATATTATGATGTCGACCAGCGACAATGTAAAAGAAGATGTAGTTGGAAGGGATAGAAGGAGCAACAACGACGAGCAAAGGGAGCGAACGGGAAAGAAGAAGACAGCTGCCTTTATATCGACGTTGCTACAGCAGCAAGAGAGGTCAGACAGAGTCTAGTCCAGCCTTGCAGCGCACAGCGTCGATACATCGTTGCGCGTTGGCAGCATGCCGCGCCCCAGCAAGGTGGGACTAGCGTCGCCATTGCACATAGCAGCTACATTAATAATGCATTGAATGTCGCGGTGCCGCAAAACAATGGCGGAACGGACATATCGACCTCCCAGCAAGCGCAGCAAGCCAGGACGGTGTCTTCGACGCCCACTTAGAGATCAGTCCTGACCCATATTCGAAGACCCGATCTCCATCTTCTTGTATGTGGTTTACTCAACAGTCGCGGACCACCCGGGATAGCGTTCTGCTTGCATGTCGGTGTATTTTTAGCAGGGAGGTTTAAAGCGTTTCTAATGAAAAGCTCGGGCTTCAAGAAGCCTTTACAAATTAAGGGGAAAAAGGGGAAAAGTGTAGTCAAACAAGCGAGGCAATTTACAGCTGTGGGTTGGACAACCAACAGTAGTGCAGCTTGGCTGTTGAATCAGGAGGGAAGCAGGTCGGGCGGGCAGGCGCGCGAAAGCTTTCATCAGCCTTCTTGTCCATCATCATCTTCTCCGCTCCGCGGCGCGCCTTTCTAGGTTCCATCGCCACCCCTCTGTCACTCTCGTGTCCACAGCGCCAGCAAAGTCGAAAACGTGCGTCCGCATTGCTTTCCACCGAAGCACTCGCGTCTGGTGGCTTTGACCCCCGGGCCGCCTATTTACTTTGAAATCTCTACGTTTGCTCTTGGCACTTAGCCACACAATCACCTTGCCAAGTACACTCTCCGCGCTTCTTCTTCCTCTCCCTTTCAGGCCAGCCGGAAGTACCCCTGTGATACACAAAGAAAGATCTCTCGGGCCATGTGTGAGTTTCGGGCAGACGTTTAAAGCTGGCGGGCCAAGCTGACGAGATATGCGCCACCAAACTAGCTCGACAACGCCGTCCATCTGGTGGTCAAGAAGCCGTTCTCGCCGCTCTCTCCGACGTAGTCACCGTCGCCCCCAGCACTGGCGAATATTCTCGAGGGTCTGGTCCCGCAGTCATCCCAGACTCCTCTGCAGCCGCCTACAGTGGCGCGTCACCAATGGCTGCAAATGAGCAGGCGCCTGCGGTGCCCACAAAGGAGGACTTCGATCCCCTCGGGCCCGCTTCGCGAAATCCTAAAGCACCTCCGCCAGTCGCAAAGCATGGCATGGGGGCCAAGTTTGCCAACGCCTTTAAGCGCCAGACGGCCGAAGAGAAGGAAGCAAAGAGGAGGGAGAAGGAGAAGAGGATGAATCGCGAGATTGGCAAGAGCGCATACAACTCGTCCCGCATGGATGTCATTGATCGACTCGATCTCTCGGGCCTCAACGGCAGCTTGTTCCACCACGACTCGCCCTATGATGCCTGTTCGCCTCACAATAACCGCAACTCGAAAAAGGCCCCCGTCATGGCCTTCGATCCGAACATCGACCCCATGACTGGCGCGCCCATCAACCGGGGAGGCGCCTCCAACGCGCGTGCTGGCAACCGTCCTGGTCTCTCGCCGCTTGCAGCAGCAACAAGGCGGAAGATGAACGACAATGCTGGCGAATTGGACGATGGCAAGGACGCTGGGCTCAACAGTAGGACAACCACATCCTCGTCCAATCCCAGCAGGCGAAGTCAAACTGCGCCCCTTCCCTTGCTCAACATTGACGATACCACTTTTCAGGCAACGCCTTCAGAACTTGATGGCACCGATGCTAGCGTGGCGTCGCACAGCAGCGTGGACCGCGACGTCGATGCCGAGCGAGCATACCACAACCAAGGCTACTTCCACCAAGCTTCGACGACGAACAAGGGACGAGCGGATGCCGCCAACCCGCACGCAGACATCTGGGGCGTGTCATCAGAGCCATGGCAGGACTTTGCACAGCCAGCTTCTCGCAGCAACCTGGGTGCACCTAGTGGCGGCTCGGGCCCCGCCTCGGCTGCCTCGAGCGTCTTCGATATGGAGGCTGTCCTGACGGGCAAGGCGCCCGCAGATGCGAAGATCGAAGACATGGGCGTCGGCGAGCGCGCTATGGGAGACAACAATCACAACGGTCCAAAGCGGTCAAAGAGTCTCATCAAACGCATCAAGAGTGCACGGCAGTACGGCAACGTGCCCCCACCTGATGATGACGTCGTCGAAATGTCCGGCATGTCATCGACTCAGTCGGCAGCCCGCGCCGCCGCCCAGCGCCACAACAATCGACAACATCGCCATTCTCCCTCGGTGCCGCAGCCTCCTTCGATGCCCAGAGCCCATGATGGCAATCTTGGCCGAAGCGGTACCCTCAGGGCTGGTTCGGGCAACGGCGCTAGCCCGCGCCTCGACGAAGACGAATACGAAAATATTCCTTCCGCGACGCAGAGCTACGACGATCCCGCATTTGCCTCGTCAGCGGCTCGCAGCGGAGGCTCGTCGCCAGGCTCTCCCGGAGCCGCGAACATGAGCCGGAGTGGAAGCATCTTTGGTCGGTTCGGGCGCCGGAACACAAACACAAACGGCGGCGGGACAAGCCCCAACGGCCACGGCCGGTCGGCAAAGAGCCGGGAAAGGGAGTCAGCTGCCCTCGGCATGGCTCGTTGAAGAGACTCCTACACAGCGCTCGAATTTCTCCTTTCTCGTTGTGCCTTGCCTTCCTCATCTACTGTATGTAACTAAGCCATCTCTCTCGTTCTCTCTCCGGTCCTCCATTTGTCTATCTATTCTCTCTTCTCTCTGCTTGCTCATACTGTCTTCTTCTCCTCACCATCTTGTCAATGTCGAACACAATCCTTCCTTTGCCAATTTTATCTTCTTGAGGTGTGATTATTGGGTAATTAATACAGCATGTAAGTAGGGAGAGGAATTTTGAAGAGCGAGAAGCAGAGGAAGCGATATTTGTACAAAGAGGCAGGCCATTAGATAGTGAGATCAAAATGTTGTCGACGTCTTCAAGGCCGGAGCCGGTCCGTTTGCCATGCCGAGGAACCGGAGTCGGCTCCGAATAAAGAGTGTCGAGAAGAGGTACTGAGACAGCTGGGCGTCGTGCAAGGGCAAATGCCTGTACCCGCGCTGCATCGAGCCGAGCGGAATTGTATATGCAGCCAATGTCGTCGTTGAAGAGGATGTCGACGACAGTGTCGAAGATGGATTGGTAGCAGCTTCGGATGGGCCACCACTCCCAGCGCCTGCCTCACTACTGCCTGCGCCCGTCTCGGCTGTGACATCGGCCGTGCTGGAACTAGCAGTCGAGCTTGCCGGCGACGAGTCGTCTTCGCACACCTCAAAGCGGACGAATACGAGATCAAGCAAGCCTCGTGTAAGCGTCTCTGTCTGTTGTACCGAGTCCAGGGCGATTGAGCCCCGGCTGTTGGTGAGCTCTGCCTCGAGACTCTCTCTAAGGAGCTGACAGGCGACCGAAGAGCCGGCTGGAACCTCGAACTCGATTGACAGAGTCTGATCCCAGATCGGGTTGAAGCCATTCCCATAGATGGTATAAGTCCGGGCCCTGGAGATGGTTCGGGATGGAGGAACGTTCGTTGGGGTTGAGCTCGACGGATTGGAGTGCTTGGGAGCAGTAGCAATCGGCACCTCTTCGGAAGTCACGCCAGCGAGCGGAACCGTAGGCATTTGTGGCGAAGAGCTGTAGGCTTCCTTGATGAGTGCCTTGATGCCCATCGACTCAGCGTCTCGAGCATTTGAGGGTCTACTGCCGGAGACAGAAGCCTTGGTTGTTTGCCTTCCCCAGCTATCGGGCAAGCTCAAAGAGATGGCAACGAACGGGTCGATGACGTCGCCATCCTCACACTCCTTATCCTTGGCAGCATCCCGGAATCGGGGCAATTGCTGGGCGGACACGACTGTGACATCCAGCGCCAAACGCAGCCGAGCACCACCAAAGTTTTTGAGATCGTCTCGGTTCCGCAGCGCGTGAGGCTTTAGCACGTAGCCACACCGACCGTTTCGCGAAAAGAGTGCTTGGTTCATCTCGAAGCCAAAGTCTGAAAGAGGACGGGTGATTAGCCTTTCTGTGAATGGCACCGGAGCACGGACTAGATCCAAAGACATACCCAGGGTCTGCCAGTTGAGAGCGACCAGCTGACAGCCGGTCGCCCACATGTGCAACGGCAAAAAATTTGCGCTCGCATGGAGCCGGGCGATGCTCGACATGCTCGGATAGACACGGGTCAAGTGGTCGAGATTGTGCTTTGCGAGGTCCTCGGGCGCGCTTCGAGCGTACTTGATGGCCGTTTTTTCAGAGATGGAGATCATGTGCTCGACTGCGTACTTTTCTTTCTTGTTGATGCCTCGGTGCTTAACACCAACAGTATAGACGAGGAGTGAGGCAAGAGCAGTGGACATCAGCATCTTGTTTTGCGCACCGCTCGCGCCCTTCGTGGTGGAGCCATAGAGGTCCGTTTTGGCTTCCTGAGCATGCCTCCGCTTAGCCGCCACAGAGCGGACCAGATTGCGTCCTTGCGAAAGAAGGTTGTCGCTGTCGGAATCGGCAGTGTTCGTCGCCGAGGAAGAGCCCGCATCGGCCAAAACGGCTTCCTTAACGACGTCGCTTGATTCACGATCGGGGTCCACGAGGAAGAGATTTTTGGCCTTGACGAGAATCTTTCCCTTTAGCTCTTCTGGACTTGGCAAGTCACTCATTCCATCGCGATTGGCGAGCTTCGCTGTCAGAAGCTTATCGCCTAGGGTCGTCTTAAGAATCTGAGCAATGACGTCTTGCTGGGCAAGATCGTTGTGAACCTCGAGTGAGAGGATCAACGGGTAGGGCGAAGCAACAAATGCATAACGGCCGATGGCGACGATGACATCGCGAAAAGGAACCTTGCTCGTAAGCGTTCGCCCGTGCGTGATTTGAGGCTCGTTGTTGGCGCCATCCCAGCAGTCGAGTTCCACAGACCTGGCGCCTTGCTGAAGGGCGCGTATGTAGCCCTCAACGGTACTGTCGCCCTTCCACTGGCCACCGACGAGGTACGTGTTGTGGCTCGAGCTGATAAAATACTCGCTCAGGGGTTTTGTCATGTCCTGCGTCAATTTGTCTGCGCCGGAAACACCGCTCAAAGGCTGGGCTTCACGAGAGCCGACAGCGAGAAGTTCTTCAGTCGTCTGTGCTGAGGCCCGCGTCTTTTGCTCCTCTGCTGTTGGAAGCGCCTTCCTTTTAAGCCACTTGCTGCATGTGGCCAGCGGGTTGTTGTCGGCGAGGACTGCATTTTCCGATGATTTGAGGAAATTGATGAAGCCGTCGAGAACGACTGCCGACTTATCTAGGTCTCGGTACTTGGAGAAGAGCAATGACATGATATCGTCTCGCACCTCTTCGTGACCCTGTTCGCGTCTGACAAAATCAGCAAATGCGGCCTCGCTCATGCTACAGGTGCTTCCGTTGCGCTGCAACCCTTTTCGGCGTCTGTCCAGGTCCAGGTGCGCCGCGGTCCCTTCTTCGACGTCGCTTGAGCCACGGTCAAACGTAATGTCGGAAAGCCTGATAAAGATTGCCTCGAGATCTTCTCGCCGTTTGAGGAAATTGACGAAGCGTTGAAAGGCTTCAAAATCGAGGTGGCCCTTGGCATGGACGTCTGCCTCAGTAAAGCGCACGCGAAGCTCCATACGCGAGCTCTCGATTCCTAACCGACGACAGAGCCGTACCACCTCGTTGAAGTCGAGCTTCTCATCTTGAGACGCATCGGCAGCCTTCCAATGCTGTCGCAGCCATACATTCTGGCGCTGATCGAGCATGTCGACCCCCGACATGAGGAGCTTGCGTTGGTCTTGCATGGCCGTCAACGTGTCTCGCCACCGTCCCAGCGACTCGTCGGAGAGGGCAATGAGATGCAGAGCCTTGTAAATGCCACCGGTCTGGTAGATGATGGAGATCCATCGCGGCTCGTGCGCCGCTGAGATGGAGAGCGAGGTACGGCAGGACGAGGCGTCGGCGCCCGTACGGACCTCTCGAATGGACTCAAGGTTCACCTTATTGTTCTTCTTGCTTTCCCACAATATTTGACCACGGTCAGCATCGAGACGAAAGATGCGCTGCATGACTTTCTTTTGGGTGACCTTGAGCATGGCTTCGCCCTTGCGCAGCGACTCAGGAACAATGTCTGCCCCAATCGCACTTCCTTCGGCTGCGGGTTGGGCAGCCGCGGATCCTGGTGTGGCCGATCCACTGAGAACATCTCCAGACTGATCAGAGGCTTGAACATCGGCAGAGTGTGCGCTGACCTTGTCACCACTCGATGAAGAGATAGAACGTCGGTGAGACGAAGAGCCATCCCTCATGGTCTTGAAAGTCTGGCTGGCTTCCCTGCGTAGAGAATACCTCTCTTGCAGCGCCCTCACGCTTTGGCCTAGTGTCTGACCGACCCCAGCAGGCGCCCGACGGGCGTCTTCGCTTTCGCTGCCCGATGGTGTATGATCTGCCTTGGTCGAAGAGGGCGCTCTTGCCTGATTGCGCCCTGCTGCAGCTGTGGAAAGGGCGGCGTTGAACTCGCCATACGATGTCGAAAGAAGCGCTTTCAGGTTCTTTGTCTTGCTCGTCCGTGGCGGCGATGACGATGAGAGGGGCGCCTCGTTACCCGAGCTTGACCACGCTTTCTCGGAACGCTTTCTGTGCTCTCGCCTTGCCCTCTTCTTGGTGGAAGTGGACGAGCCGGCGTCTTCGTCATCCCCTTCGTCTTCATCTTCGTTGTCGCGCTCGCCATATTCGCTGCTCTTGTCGCCGCCGCCTGAAGCTGGAATGGCCACAGCCCCAGACTTTGATTCCTTGGCCACCTGTGCATCGTCACTCCCACGTCCGGCCTCTGTCTCTATATTCGCTTCTGCCACGTTGCGGGCAGCGAGAGCCGGTGCTGCCTTTGGTCGCTCTGCATCACCCTTGCTCGTGGCTTCGTCTTCTTTCAGCCCCAGCCAGTTTCGAGCCCATCGAGGAGCCCAAGAGTGCCGCTGTGCCTCGACACGGGAAGCGCGGCCAGACGCACGCTCGTCCTGATTTGTCATTCTCGCTCCCAACCAATTTGACGCCGGCCACTTTGGCTGAGGTTTTGGCCTCGGAATTTGCTCTAGGGGATGAGAGGGCGAGAATAGTGGAGGGGGGCAACAAAGCTGAGACAGTGTGCTGGATCACGGTGGATTACACAGCATGGTCGGCCGCCTTCTGTCGCTGCAGCACGTTGGGCGGAGGACGATTAGAGGGGCGGCGAGACTGAGTTACTGCGCTCGATTTCCTCGGTCTTCCTCTTCCCTCGGTCAATTTTGCAGGCAGGGTATGCACCGGGGGAGAGAGGCGCGAAAGGAAGGACAGCAGCTGTGTCGCCAGTTGAGGGAAGGCCGCCTCTTCGAACTATTGCGCGACACACGCTGGAGAGTTGATCGGTGGGGATGGATTGGTCGTATATAGTCTGAAAATAGCAATGTGTAATGAATAAAGATCAAGTCCAAAAATTCCGAGCTGTAATGACCGCGTGCGGCTCGGTGGGCGTAAATTCAACGCCCAGGTACGGACCAGGGCAACTCATCGGTGCAATTCGACGTCGAGGTCAGCTATGCAGCGTCCACGAGGACAAGCAGGTACCCTGAGCCGACCACTTTGACTGTTGAAGTGCTGAAGAGCATAGACCATGAGGTCTGCCTTGCAAATAACAAGACGCCCTTCCCTCTCTCCTGTGCTCAAGTGCTCCATCTCCCCTCCATTGTCCTCTCAGATGAGGCGTCTTCGCAAACGCACAAAAGGTGGGACTTTCCCGTTTTCTCTTCTTTCCCTTCCCTCACAAAAACAGTCAAACAGTCTCTCTCGATCAGTGATCCTTCTTTCTCTCAACTAGATTTCCCTTCAATTCACACACGGCTGGCCCGTTCTCTTATTCTCAAGCTCAGTCGTCAATACGTCCAACGACCTCTCTCAGAAACACTAGACCATACCGTCAAGATGCAGCTTTCTCCTCGCTTCTTTGTTCTTGCATCCCTCGCCATCGCCGCCGTCAGTGCGCTCCCGGCCCACCAAGACGGTGGCGACGTGTTCTCGTTCGAGTCAAAGAATGAACAAGTCAACGACGAGAGCAACGGTGTCGGGTTGCACATCAACAACAACATCGGTCCCTCCAAGACGATTCAGCACGTCGACGCTACTTCTTCGGCCAAGCTTCACCAGGCAGCAAGCCAGGAGACCAAGGTGGCTGGCGGAAAGTTCGACGACCTGGGCGACCTCAACCGTAGCGGCGGCCTGCCAGCCTTCATGTCCAGCCTCAACATCCGCGGCGGCGAGCAGCCCGAGACGCAAAAGGCCGACAATGGCACCGTGCAAGGACACAAGGCTCTGGGCGCATCCAACAAGACCCACCCCACACACGAGGCCGGCTTCCCCGGGGCACAGAAACATGAGACCAAGGCGCTCCGGACGTGGTTCGCAGAGTACGTCAAGGAAAACAAGCAGGGCAGCAAGATCAACTGGGTGCCCCTCATCGACGTCATCAAGGACCCCAAAGTCAAGGCTGACCTGAAGCAGATGGTGACCGGCAACGGCACGGATACTGGCAAGGGCAGTGGCACGGGCAAGGGCATCGGCAACAGCACAGTGCCCCTCACCACCACAGACAGCTCCCCCACGATAAGCGCAAGCGACTCTTCTGCCAGCTCCGCCGACCCTGCGGACGCGTCTTTGAGCTCGAGCAGCAGCATTGCTTCCACGACTCAGAGCTCTTCAGCTGACGCAGAACGCCGCGCGGCTGCCCAACCCACGTCAGCCCCCGTCGTCTTCAGCAAGAAGTCCGACGTCAACAACATCCGTGACCTGACCGGCATCAGGCCCCTCGAGGACATCGTGGGCCGTGACCTGCACCTTGGAAGCAAGCCGCGATTTGTTTAAAAGACACCTCGTGCAGTTGGTCTTGCCCCTTTCCTCTCTGCTGGCGGACAGGGAAAGGGCCGGGCCGTGACAAGACTATGCGAAACGAGAAGCATGATTTAGAGCCGAGAGAATTCAGTTTGCCCTTCTGTAGATCTTGTCGCTGTCTTGTAAATGAGTCCTTTGCGCTGTCGCTACTACTCCCTTGAGAATATTTCAAAGACCCATTCTCTGCGCCTCCGTTCTCGGAATCTTGGAGATCCCATAGCTGGTCAATGCCGAGTGATGGAATTGCTGCTCTTCGATTGGTGTGATTTGACGCATATTCTCGCTACATCTACTCTGTCTCGACGTCGGTTGTCTTCTTCTGCTGTTGTGAGAGTCAGATCAGGAACAAGCACGACAGCGAGCAAGCAGCGCCAGACAGAGAGACGCACCTTGAAGAAGCTTTTCCTCCTCGCCTCTCTCTCCTCTCTCCAGCCCCTCTGGCCGTGGCCTGCATCTCCCTCAAGCGCGACGCCGTGCTGGGCGGCCTGCGCGCCAAAGTCGGGCGCGCCGTGTGCGTAGGAGCCTGTCAGCGACTTCCCTGCGGCGTCAAAAGTTCCCACGAGGGCGGCCAGCGCAGCACACGACCCAAACATCATGGGAATTGACCGAGCTACAGAAAGTTTATGGGGTCAGTAGGAAAGGAGAGGAGAGGGGTAGGGATAGGTAGGCCGCTCACCATTGGCACCCGCAACAAGACCGGCAGCACAACCTCCGGCTGCGCCGTTGAACGCATCGTTCTTCTGTCTCCTGTTTGCGACAAAGGAGTCGGTGAAGGAAAAGATGCCGCCCATGGCCGTAAAGAGGGCAATTGTCGAACCGGTCCTGGTAAAGACGCCCATGGCGCCCTTGTCGTGCGTCTGAATGCTGTTCTGGATCGCAGAGACAAAGAGGCCCGCAGCGGCCGAGCCAACGGCAGCAGACATGCCATTGTTCAGCGCAGATCGCTCCTCGTAGTTCTCCGGCTCGGTCTGAGCCTGCTCGACGGGCGGTGCCATGGTGCCGGTGTCGAAGATCGAAGATTGGAATAAGAGCGACGAACCTCGCGCTTTGCCTTTCCTCGCCTGCTATAGCTGGGATTTCCAATAACCACGTGTCGATTTGTCTTGGACCACTTCGTTCTCCCACCTTTCTTCCCACTAGCCACGTACTGAGCCTGACGCCAACTTCTCTAATGTAGGCAGTCAGGCAGGCAGGCAAACAGACATGCATCGGACAATAAAGCTATCGAGCTCATCGAGACGGCTAAACGGCTCATCCTTGGCCAAGAGGGGAAGCTAGGCAGCATCATTGTCCTTCCCAATCGGAAAGACAAAAAAGGCACATGACATGGCGCGTCGATTGTGACGGATCAAACTTCTACGGTGGTGGGACTCTCCAGGGTGAATGATTGAATAAAAGCTCCCTCACCCTTCAGCCACTACCTTGCCACCAACCAGCAGCTCCTCGAGGTGGTTGGCAACCCCACTTTCTCTTCTCGTCAGGACCTCTGGTAGGTCCCTGCACACACCCTTCTTTTGCACCCGTCAACTTTCCCCCTTTTTCTTCACCGTTTCACGACCCATTCACCATGACGCCCGCTGACGTCGGCCTGGCGCTGACAACCCCCAGTCTGCTCGATGATGGTCTCCTTGGATCGCAGGGCTGGTCTCCCTGCACGAGCTTTTATGGAGACGAGGAGGGCGAGGACGAGGAGCAGCACCACGAGGTACGGGTAAATGACTGGCCAATGCCGCCGCTTCGACCCACTTCGGTGACCAAGCCGCTCTCGGTCAAGAAGCGCATCGTGTCGGAAGCGTGGCCTGCGCAAGGCATGGATGCGCTGGGCATCTTCATCGAGCAGAAGAAGCTGCAGCAGTTGCCCCACCCCAGCCATCGCCGCGTCAACTCCGAACCGTTTGCTCTTCAGCACGCGTACGTCGACGACGGCGACGAAGAGGACGAGGAGCCCGAGGAATACCCGTTTCCGCTTATGAAGTCGCCCCCTGCACGCAACGAGCTGAGCGAACAGGAAAAGCTGGACAGACTCAGGGCCAGCTTTTCGCTCCTGGCGCTCGATCGCGCCGATCCTCACCGTGGCAGCTACTACTCGCCCGAGCACGGCGCACCGAGCCTGGCCGAGCAGATGGCGTATGCCAGTGGGCTCGGCTCGCAGTGCGACTGGTCGTCTCCAAGCAGGACCGGGCAAGCATCGTCGGACGGATATCTGAAGCACAAGACTTCCTTTAGCCAAGAGTCGAGGAAGATGGCGAGCAGGCATGCTGCCATGGCCAGACGGCCTACGCATGACTCCATCGACGATGTTGTCCTCCAACCTGGAAAGGGTGCAGAGGTGCACCGGAGCTGGACCGTCTACCTCAGGAATAAGGAAGCCAAGGCGCAGATGCAGGAGCAGGACCAGGACCAGGACCAGGAAGCTGACACGCCATACCGACGGTGCAATACCCCTGCACGCTCCAGGGCGGCCTCAACGATCGTCTCTTCGAGTAGCAGCCCTATACTGGGCGGTCTCCTCGCCGCTGGCTCCTTGGCAGCGGTCGGAAAAGCCCAATCGTCTTCTGCCTCTTCCACCTCCTCTTCTTCGGCCGCCTCCTCTGCCTCGTCCCGCTCATCGCACGACACCTGTGCCACATCTGTTGAGGTTCATCAGCAGCAGCATCAGGGACACAGCAAGATTGCAGGCAAGATAAGTCCAATCGAGGTGGAGAAGCTCTTTGAAGGCCAGCTGGACAAGCTCACGCGCCGTTCCGTCTCTTGCTCGCCCGACTTGCCCGAGCGTTTGCGACAGGACTTTGGCAGCCAAGCATCGTCGCCTGCGACAACGACTCCGCCTCAGCTGCACTTTGACGACTTTGGCCACCTATTCCAGGGCTACGTCGACGATGAAGAGCCCGAGCAGGACCAGGAGGACAAGCTGTGCCAAGCCTCAGTTCCACAGACTGACTTCAGCCCAGCAATCCCGACTCCTCACATCTTCACGCCTGGACCCATGGAAGCCCTGCCGTCTCCCACGGCCGAGAACTGGACCAAGAGGCCGTTGCGACATATCAGTGGTAAATTTCTCGCTCCCGAGTCGCACGCTGCTCGTCCACCGCTGGCTGCATCGATGAAGAGCATGCCCGACAATCCGCGCTTTACGATGCCAAAGTCGGCTTCGACGGCGTCGGTCCTTTCACGCCCGCGCCCCTTCTCTACGAGCACGTCTTCGAGCGCCCTCTTCGGCCCCAACGAAGACGTCGTCGTCGTCAACGTGAAGAAGCGCGGGCTCCGGAGGGCGTGCCCCACGCCACCTCTCCAGGGTCCCACGCCGCCGACACGCAAGACCTCGTTGGAACTTGCAGGTCGCTCCGAATCGAGGCTGAGCCACAACAGCATCGAGGTCTTCTACAACGAGAGTGCAAAGGCCCTGCCCGGCGGGGAAAAGACGAAGACAAAGCCAGCGGCCAAGGGCGTGCCCGTGTCAAATGTCGCGCTGGGAAGGAAGCCTTTGAGCCCAAACGGAGTAGCCCAGCTCAAGGAAGCCAGCCGGATCAAGGCTGTCCATCTCCAACGCCGTCGTCCCGTCCCTGCAATTGCAGTCGACGGTGGCGAAAGCGTCCCCCGTCAAGCAGCACGAGCACCGGTGGATGCGAGAAGGCCATCGATCCAGTTTGCGCCCTCGCCCATCAAGGACAAGTTCCCCACGTTTGACGAGCTGCCCGCGAGAGTGGTCGTCGAGAAGAGGAAGATGCTGCCCTTTAAGCGCCCAAAGAAGGCGTCGCGCTCCGAGCCTTGTCTTGCGCAGCTCTCAAGCTCGATCACCGCCTCCTCGTCGTTGAACAATGCCTCGTCTTCGTCGGCCTCGCTTCCGACCGTGTATGTCGCCCGCACCTCTTCGCAGCGCCGAAAGGGCCTGACCGGCTACGAGCCGACGGAGCCGCGCAACCTCGCGCTCGCCCGCCTCGGCTTTGGTGCAACGGGCCCCACGAGGAGCAGCACCGTCCAGGCCCTCGCCGATGCTCCCCGGCCTCGGCATGGCGAGCTTGGCGAAGAGGACGACGCCGGGCTGCTGATGCTGCCGCCCTTTCCGACGCCAGAGGGCTTCGTCCTCGTCGTCGAGGAGACAGTCGTCACAGAGGAGCACATCGTCGTCCCTTGCGCACCGTAGGAGTCTATTTCCGCTGCTCTGCTGCTTCCTCATTGAAATTGCGATTTCTGGAGACCCATCGTATTCTTCTTCGGGCCAGACTTTTGTCTTGTGTTTGCATTTGCGCCGAGGAACTTACTGATGACTGAGCTGCTAAATATGCCTGTCAGTTGCAAGGGCGCCTTGGAAGCGCGACGCACAAGAAGCTGGTAATGACAATTTTTGACGCCAAAGCCTGCAGTGTTGCCACTGAAAGAAGCCGCGGAGTTGTGCACTGTACGCCGTCAATTCCTGATACTGACTGAGAAAGCTTCTCCTCTCTTCTGCCCACCCGTCAAAGAGAGAAAGACCAATACAGAAACAGTGGAGAGAAGGGACGCTTCTTTTCATTCCTAGTGAGCAGGGTCGGACAACCACAGAATGATAAAGAATCGAAGAAAAAGGAGATCGGGACGCCTCGGGAAAAGAATCCAGTATGCTGCGAGTTTTTATTTTTACGTTGATGGTGTCGGCGTAGGAGAGGGAGGTCGTAATGGCGGAGATGAAGAGGTAAAATGCATTGGCGACAACGACATTTAACCAGAGCCACCCTTGTAGACCTTGCCGAAGAGGAGCTCCTGGAGCTTGTCGTATCCGGAAAGGACACCGGCACCGGCGATACCACGGAGAATGTTGGCACCAGCACCCTTGAAGAGCGACTTGGTGCCCTCGGTGGCAACGATGGACTGGGCGGCGTGGAGCATGTTCCTGTAGTGCGTCTTGGAGCCCGAGGTCATCATCATACGACGACGGATCGAGTCGAGAGGGTACGAAGCGAGACCAGCACCAGTCGTGACAGCCCAGCCGAGGAGGAACGAAGCCCAGAACTGGCCCTCGAGAGCACCAGTGAGGAGGACGGGCTTGAGCGAGTCGTACTGGAAAATTGGGGGGAAATTATCGTCAGACCAGAGAATCTCAAGAAAAGCATTGCGATAGACCAATAAAACTCACCATGCCGAAGTAGAGACCGCGGTAGACAACGATACCGACGACCGAGGGAACGAAGCCACGGTAGAGACCAGCGATACCGTCCGAGGCGAGCGTCTTGCGGTAGACGTCAACGAGACCGTTGAACTGGCGCTCACCGCCGCCCTTGGCAGCAGACTTGGCGTCGTTGGCGAGACGAGTACGGGCGTAGTCGAGCGAGTAGACGAAGAGGAGCGACGAGGCACCGGCAGCACCACCCGAGGCAAGGTTAGCACCGAGCTCTGTTGGGAGGAAGGGTAGTATACCGGGTGTGAGACAAGTTGGCGGCGGCTGAGTGGGAGGAGGCGAAGAAACTCACGCTTGATGTAAGGGTCAGACTTGGGGACCTTGAAGAGCGACTTGAAGAAGTCCTTGAAGGCGAAGTTCAGGGCCTGGGTGGGGAAGTAACGGACGACGTTGGCCGTGTTACCACGCCAGAGGGAGACGAGGCCCTCCTGCTGGTAGGTGCGGGCAAAGCAGTCGCCGATGCCCTTGTAAGGCGAAGCGAGGCGGCCCTGCTTGATCATCTCGTCCTGGTTCTGGATCAGGAGCTTGACTCGCTCAATGGGGGCAGCAGCCGTCTTGGAGACGGCGGCGGAGACACCACCCATCAGGAAGTCGGTAGCGAAGCCCGAAAGGCCCTTGGTGCCCTATTGAACGTAGAGATTATGAGCCTGCCATCCTCATCACAACAAGACTCTTGGGGGCAAGGCTCACCGTCTTGGAGGGGTCCATCTGGCTTCCACCGGCCTGCGACTGCGGGGGTGATAACGGAGAGATTGTTAAGTCAAAAGGCCCGGAGCCAGCTGCAAACGGCTCAGACAACCCACCATGGTTGCAGTCTTCTATAACGGGAGAGGAAGGAGTAGAGGAAGAAAAGCTGCTGGTCTTCCCGATGGAATAGGGTAGAGGAAGAGAAGACTGAGTGGTGGTTGAGGGAGGAAGGAAGAAGATAGGCACGCCTTGTCTCTTAGAAAATTTTCTCTCGTTTGCCGAGGCGTTCCGCCTAGCCTCAAGCCCAGCCCGGGCTGGCCTAGCTCAGGCAGGCAGAAGGGCGGATTCAAAAAAAAATTCGACGCGTGCACGCTGGCGAGCAAAGTCCGACCGCCTAGGGAGGGGGTTCAGATTCCCGGTCTCTTCCTCTAAAGGGTGTTTTCGGCTTCACTTTCTGGGGACAAGCTCGCACTCCTTGAAGCGCTAGTAGTAGTGTAGAACAGCAACAGTCATGATTGCAAAGGGAGGGTGGGAAGCAGCACCAGCGTAGCTGTGATGACGCATATTGCAAGAGCAGGCGATGCTGGGCTGACGCTGCGGATACCGGAACAAGACATGAGCAGGCTCCAGGAGAGCGCGGCTAAGGGTCCGGCTCCTCCCGGATCGAATACCTAGACCCCGATCTGACACTTTGTCACGTGAATAAAAGCGGTTGTATTTGTCATTCGAGGCAGGTCAGGCTGAGAAGATTGAGAAGATCCACTTTTTTTTTTGGGTGTGTAAGAGAGAGGAAAAAAAAAAAAAAAAAAGAAAGGGAGGAAGAGAAAAGACGGCCGCAATACAACACCGACCAAGGAGGAGCAAAACGACATGGCTTCCAGCGAGGCTGACGGCGCCCAAGTGGCTGTGCAAGCCCAGGATGCAGGCGTCGACGAAGGTGAGGGGCAGGCTACCGCAAGCCCGACTCATGCAGCGCTCGTTACTGACAAGGTCCACAGAGCTGCTTCCCTTTGAGCTCTCGCTCTACTTTCCGCCTCGGCCGCTCTTGCCCGCGGGGCACGTTGCTGCTGGGCTGCCCGAGACGCCGGCGCCGCTCAAGGTGGCCGTGACGCCACAAGAAACGCTCAACGACCTGCGTATCACGATCACGGACAGCCCAGAGGGCTACTGGCTTGGCGCCTTTTGCTTTCGCAAGAAGGCTGTCAAGGCTCCCTCATCGACTACCACCAATGGCGCTTCCACGCCCGCACAGCTGGGCGATGTCGTCGGCGAGTGGGTCGAGCTCAAGGAAGTCTTCGAGGGCGTGCCCAGGGATCAGAGGGAGCTCTACATCGCTCATGGTAAGTGTCTCTGATTGCATCACTAAAAGGCTTGCCGTGCTGACACGGCAGTCGCAGTCGCCTTTAACGAAGCCGAGGCTCGAGCCCACGTCCAGAGGCTGCGGGAACTTCTCTCTGGGGGCCAGTCGGACCCTTCGACGATTGGTATCGACGGGGGACTGAGCGTGCACGATGCCATCAAGAACCCCGAGCTCTGGGAGGCGGAGCGCGAGGCGGGCAAGAAGGTTGCACCAAAGAGCAAGGAGACCAAGCCAGACCCGTCGACGCAGGAAAAGACACCCTTTTCCGACTGGGCAGGAGTGCAGGAGGCGACGAAGATGGTCAATCTGGTGCCGCCGCAGGCAAGAAGCGAACGCTCGTTCCCCCAATGCCTTCGGCACCTCTCTGTGGCCGCGTGGAACCCTCCCCCTCACCATCTTCGCATTCAGCAGGGGCACCTGCTCTACCTGCACGTCGTCACACTCGAGGGCGACACCCTCTTTGTCACCGCCTCTTCTCAAGGTTTCTACATCAACCGCTCGACGGCCGCGCGCTTCGACCCGTCGCCGCGGCCGGGCAACGAGTCGTTTGCGTCGTGCTCTCTCTTCGATGTCCTTTGCGGCGTTTCACCACTCTTCTTGGCAAACTTTGCAAAGCTGTTCCAGGACCCGGCGTCACAACGAGATTACTTCGCCGTGGTACCCGTCAGCAATTGCCTGCCCGCTCACCCCTGGCTGGCGCGGGACCACGCGCATTCGGCCGACTCGCTTCGCAACCAGGCTGCCTACCTCCTCACGGGCGCCACCTCGGCAGATGCTCTTGACGGCACCCGCGACTGGAACGATGAGATTCAGTCGACGAGGGAGCTTCCGAGGTCGACGCTGGCCGAACGTCTGATGCGAGACCGCGTCCTGAACCGTGTCTATGCCGAATTCTCCCTGGCTGCGGCGCGCGCAGTCCCGCGCGTGGCCGCCGGCGAGGTGCAGGCCATGAACCCGATGGACGCTCCCGAGGCGCAGATGTTCATCGTCAACAACCTCTTCATCTCCAAGGGTGTCGACGGAGTCGACATCTACCCCCACATGGGCGGTGACGAGGCGGCCCACGTCGCCGTCAGCAAGGATGTCCAAGGCATCCGCATCCTCAACAACCTCGACGTCGAGGGTCTGTGCTTGCTCGGAACTGTCGTCATTGACTGGAAAGGACAGCGGTGGGTCGCTCAGACTGTTGTCCCAGGTCTCTTCCGGAGGCGGGACGATGAGGAAGAAGTGGAGGAGGAAGGAAAGGAGAACAAGGACACGGAAGACACAGAGAAGGAAGGAGAAGAGAAGAAGGTCGACGGCGCAGAGAAGAAGGTCGACGCCAAAGATGACACCCAGGTCATCTATGGAGGCGTCGAAGGGCCAGAGATCATTCACGACGACACGTCTTTCCACAACCTCTTTGGCCGCGTGGCTCGCACCTTGCATCTGGCCCTGCACAACGTCAAAGACGCCAAGGGAGACGAGCACTCGCTCTGGCTCAGCGTCGACTCAAAGGGGCTGCGTGGCGCCGACGGGAGAAAGTACGCTCTGGACTTGGCCAGGCTTCACCCCGTCGACATCGAGTGGCTCGAGAACGACATGGAGGGAGCTGTGATCAGCGGTGACTCTGCTGAGCTTATCTCGTCATCGGAGCCAAAGGAAACGTACCCGCATCGCATGACACTCCTTCGGCAGGAGCTCCTCGAGATCCACTGGGACCACGAATTCCGAGCTTGGGCCAGGGAAGAGCTGGCGAGCAGGCAACAAGGAAAGAAGGAAGGCGACAAGGAGGAGGAGGAAGCCCCCAAGCTCGACGCCTCGAAGTTCTCCCTCTCTTTCAATCCTGATGCTTTCGTCGAGTTCAAGGCCGAGGACAAGCCCGCAGTCCTCGTCGATGATGAGTCAGACCCATCAGTGGCGGCCGTTCGCAAGGCTTCTAAATTCATTCGCGAGACCTCGATTCCTCGGCTTGTGACTGATGTGGCTACGGGTCTCCATACGACGCAGGATGGCGCATCGCTGACGAGGCAGCTCCACGCGAGAGGAATCAGCATTCGCTACCTTGGTCACGTCGCTAGGCTCTGCCACCCATCGCAACGCGGAAAGCTCAACCAAGAGCTTCTCGAAAAGGCTGGTCCTGGCGTCGAAGGCTTCCTAAAGCCTTTCCTGACCATTGTCCACCACGAGATGGTCGTACGAGCTGCCAAGCGGATCTTGCGCTCTCTCGTCAAAAACGTTGAGCAGACGCAGGTGGCCGCCTGCATCTCCCACTTCCTCAACTGCCTCCTTGGCAGCTCCGTCGAGCCCATGCCGTCTGCCGACTACGCTCCCTCGCCTTTCGCTGGTGCCGACGAGGTGGCGCCTGCTTGGACAAAGTTGACGCCAGAAGCGCTGAACAAGGACATCGAATCGCAAATCCGAAGGCGGTATCGGTACCAGCTGCCCCGGTTGTACCTCGAAACGGAGCTTCGCAAGCCCCAGCTTCAGCGAGACGTGTGCCAGCGGTGCGGCATCCAACTCAAGCTGCGCGAATACTCATTCGAGCGCGTTGCCCTTGCTAATGGCCACGCATCGGAAGACTCGCAAGAAGAGAAGCCCGTAGAGGGTGCCGCTGCCAGCGCTGGAGGCAGCAACACTGCGAGCAGCAAGAAGAAGAGGAAGGGCAAGGGCAGCGGCGTCGCGAGCGCAGAGGGCCGACAGCGGACAACGTCGTTTGAGCCAAGCGATGTCCTCAACCTCCTTCCCGTCATCAAAGATTCGACGCCCAAGAGCACCTTGGCTGAAGAGGCTTTCGAGGCTGGACGTATCTCGATGGGACGCGGCGACCGGGCGCTTGGCGTCGAGCTCATGACGGAAGGTGTTGGCTTCCACGAGCAGGTCTACGGTGTCGTCCACCCCGAAGTGGCCCGCTGCTATGCAGTCTTTGCCACGATCCTGCACCACTACGCTAGCGTCATTGCGGTTGAGACAGCCGAGAAGCAGCGCCAGGCGGTAGCAGAAGGAGGCAAGGCAGAGGACGTCCAGCTTCCTGAAATCAGCGAGCAGGTCTCAGTGGCAAACGCGCTTCGGTACCAGAGGCAGGCTGTCACCGTGTCCGAGAGGAGCTTGGGCTTGGACCATCCCGAGACGCTTGCTCAGTGGGTCAACTTGGCTGTCCTTGAGCGCCTCGAGGGCAATGTCGACGCATCGCTCCGCTGTCAGCAGCGCGTCTTGGACCTCTGGTCCATCATCTATGGCGCTGACCACCCAGAGTGTGTTAACGCGCTCAACAACATTGCTCTGACGCTGCAGAACGCACGACGATTCGACAGCAGTCTCAAGGTGTACCAGGCCGCGCATGAGCTGGCCCTCAAGCTCTTTGGTCCCGACTCGATTAACACGGCGCATCTGGCTCACGAGCTGAGCCAGGCGCTTACACTCTGTGGCGACCTCAAGAAGGCGCTGAGCGTCGAGAAGGAGGCGAACCGGGTGTTTGAAGCCCGGCTTGGCAAGGACGACAATCAGACAAAGGAGAGTGAGGCGCTGCTGAGCAACCTTGCTGCTTCTGCCGTCAGAGTGGCCAAGATGGAAGAGGCACAGAAGCAGCGAGAGGCACGAGGCGGAGGATTTGGCCTCGGTCAGCTGCAGAGCGCGCGCGGAGCAGCAGGCACCAGTGCTCAGAGGATCGCAGGGGCGACGAGTGCGAGGACTGGCGCAGCTGCGGCCGCCGCGACCGCATCAGCGTCGATCGCTACCCCTAGACCCGACATGTCGGACCGAAGTGTCGACGAGCTAGTCAAGTTTATCCAGGGCGGAAGCGGTGCAGGCCCCGGCGCGGGCGCGGCTTCGTCGGCAAACCAGTCGTCGTCGTCCTCCTCCTCTGGAAACAAAAAGAAGGCGAAGACGGGCATGAAGCTCAAGAAGCGGCATTGAGCGTCATTGTAGAGACTATTGCTCGTTTTTTCCGTTCTCTTCGCCTTCATCCTACTCGAAAAGTCAAGTCCTTTCTGGGACAAGATAGCATACTTATCGTACCATCGTACTCTATAAAAGCAGTCTGCGTCTTCTTTGCAATCTTCATTCACCTCTCTTCTCTCTTTCTCTGTTTAGAACAGACAGCTGCAATTTGCTGCCTTCCTGGTTACTGGTGCGATGCTAAGATTCTAATCTACTGTACATGAGGCTCAATGCCTAGCCGGGCAAGCGCCTTGATCCCTTCGCCCTTCCAAAACGTTGGCGTCCTGTTCTGGGGCTTCTCGTCCAGTCTTGGTTTATCGTCGTCCTCTATGACTTCATTCGTCCTGGCTTCTTCCCTTTCATCTTGTACGCCCGTCTGCTTGAGGCCGCCAAAGAAACCCAATCCGCCCTGCTGGATCCACGCGCTGACATTCTCGTGCCTCTTTGCGTGCTCCAACACACCGATGGCCTGCAAAAGGCTGTCGTCCACATCCTCCTCTAGCCCGTCCTGGGTCCGCCTTCGGAAACGACTGGCCTTCTCTGCATCAAATTCAGACACGAGGACGTGATTGTATGGCTGCAGCCTGGCCTTGTCGGCGCTGTCGTCGAGCAGCAAGGTATTGTGTGGTCCCCATCCTCTCCTCCCGGCCTCGCCCTGCCCAAGACCATTCACGACAAAGTCATCCGCCCGACGCGCACTCCTTCGAGCAGCACCCCTCAACATCTCGTTGATCGTTGTCGATGATGAATTTTGGCTCCTCCCCTCCTTGAGGAAGCTTTTCAGTATCGCATCCTGCTCTTCCTCGTCGTGCTCATCATCTGGCGAATCGCGGTCCTGCTCGTCCCTAGCCTCCGCCAGCAAGCGTCTCTCGCCCTCGTTCCCTGATTGCAGCCTGACGTCGTGCTGGTCATCCGTCGTCCGGTTCAGGGCAGCCCAAATAATCTCGAGATCCTTTGTGCTCGGCGCCTTTCGGCTGTAGTCCCGCCTCGGCAGCAGCGTGTCGCGAGCCAGCACACGAAGGAGCTGGGCGGCTTGGTCGGGCGTAAAGATGGCGCGCGTCATTGCGTCTACATTCTGTGGCTGGGCAGACGACCAGACGAGCAGGCGGAAGTTGGCCTGCGGAGAGCGGATGGGCGGGTGCGGTGGCTCGCCAGATGCTGGTCGTTGCCAGAAGTGGGACCCGTGGAGTTGGCGACTGGGCCCCAGTCGCCCTACCTCACGGTCTGACCACGCTGCCATGCGAGCTTCGAAGAGGGCGTCTTCCCTTCCATCATCCGAGTTTCCCTGTTCCTCTACGCTGTTGTCTTCTTCAGACTGCTTCTCCAGCTCCATAGCGCCCAAAGAGTCGTCCAAATCGGCTCGTCGAGGCGGATCACTTGACACAGCTTCCCATACCGTGTCGGGAATGCCAAGGCAATACTGCAGGAACACACGCAGATAGGGCCTCCTCGTTGGTCTTTGGCTTCTCGATTCCATGTTCGTGCGGCCAGACCCGCGAAAGACCAGCGTGCCGTTGAGGTCCAGGACGAGGAGGGGGAGGTGCGCATCGATTGCGTCTTCACCTTCGAGAAGCTTCGCGTTGGCGGAAGCCTGGCGGAGATAGCTGAGACGAGGTTTTGTGCGAATAGAGGCTGCTCTCTTCCCGCTTGGACGAGGGTAGCTGTGGGAGCCGCCAGCTGAATAATGTGCTGGCCGCTTGTCTGCACGGGCGGATCGACCCGGACGGGTACTTTCCTTCGACGATGAAGCATCCGAGCCGTACGTCCTTTCGCAATGATACCTCCTTGGCCTGTCGTAAAAGCTGTTGTGTTGAGGGTAACGGTCATTGTGCCACGATGAAGTGGCATAGAACGAAGGGTTTGCCATCGGCTGCTGTTGGAAGGACGGACCACCCATGGATCGCGGATCAGGCCCATACGGAGCCCAGCCCTGATGCGGATATGTCGGCGGGGCCTGATACCGATCCGGCCCCGGTGCTTCGTAGCCCTGACCGTATTGGTACGATGCAGGCTGGTAGTACTGCTGCTGCTGGTGATACTGCTGCCAAGGCTGCTCGTAAGCATGGGGACCCGGTGGGAAATGATCGCTGTACGCATGAGCATCTCGATCTGATCTCCGCCGCCAGTCCCTCTGGCCACTGCCTCGAGACATGTCGATAGTCGTCACTGGCCTCTGAAGTGTATTGCACAGGCGGAGGAGACCTCGCGTTCGCATTCCCCCACTTTATGACCCTATCACCTTTTTCCTACCTTCCTCCTGTCGCCGTTGTTGTTGTAGAAGTCGTCGTCGTTGTTCAGTCGGCTTCCAACTTCGTCCAGGAAGAAGCTCAAAATAAATTGACGGCTTCTCTCGCACACGTGAATCTAACCCAATTTTTTTGTGTTCGTCCCTCGCGCGCCACACCTTCTTTCTTCATTGCTCCTCTCCATTCGACCTCGACTCGACGACCGACGACCGACGACCAGACCATGGCGCCGCGCAGCTGCTCGACGTGCCAGACAGCCCGGGCTGTGCTGCGTCGGCCCAAGACGGGCGCGCTGGTCTGCCGTGAGTGCTTCTACTACATTTTCGAGCAGGAGGTCCACCAGACGATTGTCTCTGCTTCGCTCTTCCAGCGTGGTGATCGGGTGGCCATTGGCGCGTCGGGAGGAAAGGACTCGACGGTGCTGGCGCATGTGCTCAAGACACTCAATGACCGGCACGACTATGGCCTGGAGCTGTTTCTGCTGAGCATCGACGAGGGCATCACGGGCTACCGCGACGATTCGCTCGAGACGGTCAAGCGAAACAAGGTGCAATATGGCCTCCCGCTCAAGGTCCTTGGCTATGACGAACTGTACGGCTGGACGATGGACGAGATCGTACGGCAGGTCGGCATGAAGAACAATTGCACCTTCTGTGGTGTCTTTCGGCGGCAAGCCCTCGACCGGGGCGCGGCCGCCATGCAGGTCGACCATATTGTCACGGGTCACAATGCAGACGACATGGCCGAGACAATCTTGATGAATGTGCTTCGAGGCGACATTGCCAGACTGGAGCGGTGTACAGAAATCTGCACAAAGGGCCCAGACCCGCAATCGAGCGTGGGCCAAGACGCAGAGGGAGGTGGGTGCGGCAACCACAACGGAAACGAATTTGGGGGCACGGGCATCAAGCGCAGCAAGCCGTTCAAGTACGCCTACGAAAAGGAAATCGTCATGTACGCCTACTTTAAGAAGCTCGACTACTTTAGCACAGAGTGCATCTACTACCCAAACGCGTATCGAGGTTATGCCAGAGAGTACCTGCGCGAGCTCGAGCAGATCCGACCGAGCGCAGTCATCGATATCATCCACAGCGGCGAGGCGCTCCGCGTGGGCGGCGAGGTGAAACGCATGCCCCAGCGCAACTGCCAGCGGTGTGGCTACATCTCTTCCAACGACCTCTGCAAGGCTTGCCTCCTCCTCGAAGGCCTCAATCGCGGCGCGCCCTCGCTGGGCATCCACTCGTCCAAGTCACGCTACGTCAAGGAGGCCCGCAAGGGTGACGACGAAGGCGAAGCAAGCCTCAAGATCGGCCGCAAGATTCCCATGTTTCAGAGAATAGACTCATCGTCGAGCACACCAGTCGAATCAACATCGTAGAGTTAATTGCCCTCCACGCTTATAAGCTACATCTGTGCCGCTGTATTTTATTAATGGCAAGCTCCTCTCTTTCTCTCGTCTGCTTTTTTCTGTCTCTTCTTGCATCTTCTTTTCCTACAAGAAGTCCGCCGTGATGTCCTTGCCAGCCCATTCGGTCATGTCCTGAACCCACTGGGCGACATTTGGATGAGCGTTCCAGATCTCCTTGACGACGGCGGGGCCGGCAGTCTTGGAGTAACCGTAGAAGCCATAGACGACAAAGTCGGCGTGCGACGGCAGCTCGCCGCCCTCGAGCCAGCGGGAGAAGGGAGGGGCACCCCTCTTTGACTCGGCCAGGGCGCTCTCGACGAGCTCGAGGGCGGCCTTGCACGCTTCGAGGTGGGCCTGGCGCTCCTCGGGCCGCATGGCGCGCATCTTGTCCAGCTTGGCCTTGCCGCACTTCTCCTCCTCAAAGTAGCGCGCCGAGGCGGGATCGAGGAGGTCGTAGATGCGAGGCCGGGAGAGGGCTTGGATGCGCGGGCCAAAGATTTTCGGGCCCCAGGTGTTGAGCAGGCTGGCCAGGGCTTTGCTGGCGGCGCCGTTGGGAAAGAGAAGGCTGCCCTGCGGGTGCTTCTGGGCGAGGTACAGCGCAATGGCCCACGAGTCGGTGAGGTGCGAGCCGTTGGACAGCTCGAGGGTGGGCACCGTGACGCGGTCAGAGACACGCTGGGCGAGCTCCGTGCGGATCTGGTGAAACGTCCGCCGCTGTCGGTCATAGCCGATATCGAGCAGGCGCAGGGCAAGGACCGTCTTGATGCACTACACCATGGCAATTGCGTCGTATGCCCGTCGGCGCGTCAGCTCATCAAACGGTCAAGTTTAGGGGAAGAAGAAGAGAAACAAGGACGACGGTGGGTACTGACGTGTGGGGAAAAGGTCTGGCGAGCCCCCGGCTTCGACGTGAGGTCATACAGGACCAGCCCGTCGGTCGAGCTGCTCATTGCCTCGCTCGTGACGCCCCTGACGCCCATCTGTGGCCTGGCTTCGGTGGCCGTATTGGTGTTGGCCGTTGAGCCAGTCGCCTGCGCGGCCGGGCTGGAGAAAGTGGAAGAAGACATGAGGGCGACGTCGACTCGGGGGTCCGCGGGACCAGCTTCTTTTGGAATGATGCCTTCGAAAGCAGCCAAATCGGTCATGACCGACGGCTTTGGAATATTTTGCTAGCTGCAGCAGCCAACTCGGGCTTCAGCCAGCTAAAGGACACAGAAGCGCAGAGAGGGAGGAAAGCGAAGTGGTGCTCGCCGGTTAGGAGGACCTCTCTTATATGTAGGTGTGCGAGCCCACACGGCCAATTGCTGAGAGCCACATGCATGCACGCGGGTTTATTTTTTGCTCGCACGGGGTCACTTTGACTCTCGATCATCAGATGATCGCATCGGCCGGACTCATCTGCCATCGATCTCCAGCCATCTTGTCGAGACTCGAGAGGAGCAACCAGTGCTCCTTTCAATGTTGAATTCCTCTCATCGTCCTTCTTTGGGCTTCGACATGATTGATGAATAAAATACGTGGGTGTGCTATTGAAACTACGCTGGGATGGATACTACTAGGAGAAGGGCTCACTGGGGTCAAGAAAAGAGAAGGAAAAAGAAATTGGAAAAATCACGACAGAAGTAGAATCAGAAATCATCTTTCGCTGCTCCTGCTACCTGCCGACTGATCGAGGAGGACAGAGAGCGACGAGGCAGACTTCCAGCTAGGCAATTCGCTGGAAAATGTCCTTCGGTGCTTTGCCTTGCGTTCCTGCGCCGACTGGCCCACGGCTCCGAACACGCCAGAGGAGCTTGAAGATGTCGTCGTCATGGGCGCAGACGCCTTTGCATTGAATGGCGAAGTGGCTGGTCGACCGGCGGCATAGCCCGAGGGCGCAGCTTGCAGCGACCTGGGACGAGTCTTTCCGCCCCCGTTCTGCAGCAGGTTATTGCTGAGCGCCGTCGAGGGTGTCCGTGGGGAGGCCGTCGTTGGCGTATTCTCGACATAGTCGAAGGGTGAAGGCAGTGGTAGGGCTCCTGGCATGGACTTTGATGGTGACAGCAATGCAGCCTCGGGCGACAGAGAGGCAGCAGGAGCAGGAGCCCGTATTTGCTCACGTCGCTCAGCCTCAGCGGCCCGACGGTCCGGCTCCGACGGCTCCTGTCGCTCTTGCGGCTCTTCCCTTTCCTCGTCGCTTTCGCGCGTAGGACCGAGTGTAGAAGCTTTGGTGCTAAACTTTTGGATAGACACAGCGGGTGCAGAGACAACTGCTTCCTCAAGGGCCGTTTTCTCGATCCCGGCCCTGGCGCTTGTTTCGAGATTGAGACTGGGTGCCTTCTTCTTCCTCCTAGCTCCTAGGCCACCACCGCTAGCCGAGGAAGGCGACGAAGAAGAGGAAGGGCTTGCTCCATCGATGGCGCCTTGCTCCCGCTCCCGCTCTCGATCCCTCTTTCGTTGCTCTACCGCTTCCTGGAGCCTTCGCTGTCGATTCGACTCGTCTTCCTGCGCCTCCTTGCGCTCTTCCTCGAGCCTCATCCGGGTCCAGTCCTCTTCGTCCATTGCCTCTTTGCCCCAGCCCTTGGCCTGAGGTTTGTACTCGCCGTGGGCCGCTTGTGGATTGTCGCCGGCAGACAATGTCGTGGCCTCATTCAGGGCCAAAGCATTCGCAGACGCAGACGCAGAGGAAGTCGAGACTGAAGCTGACGGAAAGTTGGCCGCCATGTTAGCCTCCCGTCGCTTGGCTGCCTCCTTTGAGAGATAGCGCTCCCACTCGACGAGCTGGTAGATGAGGCTGCAATTGGGGCTGATGCTCGACGAGAGATCCTTGACCATTTCGTAGCAGTCGTGCATGCCCGTCAAGTTCTTGGTCTCAGCAAAGGGATAGCCAAGCGCAGCAGCCTGCATGACAAAGGCAATAACCAGCGTCGCGCTGCGACTGACACCGCACTGGCAGTGCACGAGGATACTCCCGCGCTTCGCCTCGTGCTGGGCCGAGAATTGGCCAGATGTCAGATCGATGCCCAGAGCTTGAGCGATGATGGAGCAACCAACGACGAAGCCGCCCGTCTCGACGGCAGCGAGATCCATCTCGTCGTGGGTCCAAGGAAGCTTGACGTATCGCAACTCCTCCTTTCTGCCCGACGATGGGCTCGGTGGGATCTTGAGGGCGATCGCATTGGGAGGAAGAGCAACGGCGGAGATGGGCGAGCTGGAAGACGAGGTAGCCGCCGTCGTGGTGGCTGTCGAAGAACTCGTCGTCGCCGCCCTCGCGCCCTCGCGCGATGACGACGATGGCGACACTTCCGAGTCGTACGCCTTGTACATCCCATGTGCATCGTCGGGCAATGCCAGCGTCGGGCTTGGAGGGGTAGTGTCCTCGGAATAGATAGAGCGGTGCGATGATAAGGGAGATGTCGTGCGCGAGCCAGAAGCTCTGTCTTCCTCGTCCACGCTCATTGAAGCTAAGCTATTAAGCTTGAGCCGGGCCAGCTCGCGGTCATGAGAGAATTCACGGTTCTCCGTAGGCGTCATCGATGTGTCAAAGAGAGGCGTGTCGCTCGTGTCGACGAATTCATCCTCATCGTCGCTATCTTTGTCCATTTTGCTATTGCGCCGTTTGTTCGTGATGGCCGAGGAAGAGAAACGTGAAAAGAGATTCGGCGTCGACGTCGTATTGCGCAGAATGGACGACGACGGGGTGGGCGGTTGAGTCGGACTGACATCCCCCCGATCCCGTTGCTGCTGCTGCAGTTGCTGCTTCTGGTCTCGCTGGAGCCCAACGATCGTCGAGTCTGTCCTTGACGTCGGCAGCATCGACACGGGACGGGCCCTGCGAGCCCGCTGGTCCTCTGTGTTTTCCAACTTTGCTGCGATAGGGCTATAGGGGGGAGCGAAGGCCGTCACGGGAGTGAAAAAGACCTCGTGCGTGGCCGTCATGGGTGTGTCCTCGACGACGTTTGCCACCGCAGGCTTGATGCTCCTCGTTGCACTTGTCGGCGTCGTCACCTCGCTCCTCCTTCTCAGCTTGAGGTGCTCCTCAAAGCGGCGCGAGAGGTCGAGGCTGGACGGATCCTCCGTGACGCCCTTTTCAAACTGAAATGGGAGCGTCGTCTCCTTTGCGACGTTGAGGATAGTCGTGATGCCCCGATCGGCAAGGCAGCGATCGTCACAGGCATTGAACTCGTCGCCGAGGAACAGGCCAGGCAGCACCTCGACGGGCCCGGCCGCATAGACAGATCTGGCATGCTGAAGCGAGGAGCCATTTCCCGAAAGGATGTGCTCCGAAGGATCTTGCCAGATGGGCGGCTGCCGTGCTCCTCCAGCAGAGGGTGATGGCGAGTTAGCCGTAGGAGCCATTGCGGTGAAAGACTTCTTCGGGATGATGAGGGCAGGTGGCGGCGCTCTGAAAGGGACTCGACGGGTGAGTACAGTGGGAAGAGCTAGAAGAAAAGATGGAAGAAACGAGACAAGAAAGAAACTCACATTCTCAAGCCAAACGGCACACTGGGCCTCCTTCGAGGCGCACCTCGGAGGTTGTCCCGAAGCTGCTTGTTTTCCTCCTCTTGTTGCGATGGGAGCTGGTGGCCGCCCTCGTCACCCTTTTTCAATGGCGGAATCGACACACTTGGCGAGCTGGGTACTGAACGGCTCGAGAAGCTTCTCTGGGGAGCATCGAGCGCGCTGTTGTTGCCGGCTGCGATGCGCGAAGAGATGGCGCTGCTGGGAGCAGCGGGGGCCACGATGAGGCTCAGCTTGGCTGGTCGCTTGCGTGGCCGGTTGAGCACCTTCGTCGGTGGACTAGTGCTCGTCGGTGGCGGTGACTGCTCCTGCGCCAGCCGCAGGGGAAACTGCCGGGGCGCAGGGGGCGCATCCAATGTCTGCCTTGACGGACCAGCCGCGGCAGAGGCCTGACCAGCCTGGCTTGTCAGGACTGGCCGGGTATTTGTCCCGACAAAGTCGCTGGCAGCCATGTTGAGGCTGACGGGACCGGCAGGCGTGACTGGTGTCAAGCTGCTGCTATCATGGCTCGTCCTCGAAAATAGCGCTGGTGTTCGGTCCCTTGCAAAAGGCGGCGGCGATTTGATGGATGGCGGCGGCGGCCCTTGGCCCGGACCGGCCGCGACAGGGGCGGTAATGTCTTGGCTGCCGGGCACGCCGCCTGCTTGCGTCTGGCTCCCAAAGGGAGACTCCATTCTGAGATACGTGGAGGCGTCCGAGGAGAAGCTATGTCTCCTCGACAGCTTCCGTCGTTTCCTAGCACTCCCCTCCCTCAGGACACTGTCTCTTGCTTCCTCTGAGGCGCCGTCTCCTTTCGAGTCGTCTTGGAAGCAGGAAATGGAGGCAAAGATAGGCGAAGAAAGAGGCTGACTATGCCGTGTTGCGAGCTTGAAAGTTGCTCGGTGTTGCCGGTGGTGCGTGTAGGTGTGCCAGTGTTGGTGCGGTGACGTATGCGTTGGCGTAAGCGTATATGTCGGCGTAGATATGGGCAAGTTCGAGTAGGTAGGTGTCGCTGGAAGGGATCGCTTGAGCATCGATGGGATTTGGCAAGGGTCGATGGTCGTCCGTCGAAGGTGAAAAGGGACCAGTTCGACAAGACGGATGGTCGCTTCTCCAAACTGCTCGACTGGAGGGTAGAAAAGGCGAGAGACGTTGGGGCAGTATCACTGGGGAGAGAAATCACCAGCGACAGCGTAAAGGCGGGGCTGAGCTTATGCTAGTGCCCAGAGTCCGAGAACGATGGCCTGAACAAAGAGGGAGATGAGAACTCGGCCGTGATAAGCCACGCCCACCAATGCAGGAGCGGCTCACCAAGGCTCTTCCTTTTCCTCTTCAAAATTGATCGATCACTTGAACGTCCGTCTTCGAGCGAGCAATCAGAGAGGCACGCTTTCGGCAGAATGACGCGGCACGGTGCGGCGAAAGAGGCGCAAGCGCGCGAATATGCGAGAAAGGTGAGAGAAAGAGAGGAGCGTATGCGTGAGAGAGAGGGGCGCGAAAAAGTGGTACGCGAAAGTACGCGCGGGGCCGGGAGGGCGGGGCTGTGAGCGTGTGACCTATGTCGGTCAAACTTCGGGGCTTGTTGTCGCTGGAGATGCACGGATGGATGCTTCCTCGTCGCCCTCGTTGCTCACAGGAACAGCGGAGTTGCCCAAGATCAATTTCGTGTCCCTTTGTTGCTGGTGTTCTGGCGGATTGAGCAGAAGACGACTATGACGCAACCAAGAGAGGAAGGGTGGCGGAGGATGGCTGTGATGACGCTCGCAGGGCTCCAATCTAGTAGGCAGCAGCAGCAGCACCAGCGACCCGCTCGGCAGCTTTACCGCCTGCTTCACCACCTGCTTCAACCCAAGGCGTGTGCGCGAGTGACGATGAGGTAGTCGCAAAGAGGTACCTCATATTTCCTGTAACGACTCTTACGGCAATATGTGTACTCTGCCGGCACTAGTGTAGTAGTAATGTAGTAATAACAAATACTAATTTGGTAGCCCAGCTTTCTCTTTGCATGCGACGGGCTACTTTGACTGTGCCGTTAGCTCTGTACGCCCACAGCGCGGCCTTGGCCCCTCAATCCGAATTGGTAGTAGGAAGCGCTTTTTTTCTTGTCTTTTACAATTAAGAGTTTGCGGCCGTAGTTCTCTTTGTCTTACAAATACTGGGCTTTAAGTCCGCGATGTCTACCGCGCTCCCTCCCTCGGCCTCGAGCTGGTGGCTTTCAAGAAACTTTCGAGCACATGGTCGCCCGACAATTAGTTCAGGGCCGAAGTCGTGCCAAGGCACCTACAGGTCCCAGTCTAGCTCCGCGTCCAGCTCCTCCTGCGTCTTTGATGTGTTCCTGATGGACCGATCATGTGTACGATTTCCTCCAAAGCCCTCGTCTGCATCTCCGTCGTCTTCTTCCTCGTTGAACCCTTGACCTTCTGCACCAGGAATTTTGGAGTGCTCGATGGCTCCTGTCGCAGTCAAAAGCAGCTCGATGTCTTTTTGATCGCATAAATGTCAGCGTGGTCAGGAACCTCCGCGTGCTTTTCCGCTCACCTTCACACTTGGTCTTCATGCCATCCAAGCCCACCTCAGGGCGCAGACCTATAATCTGTCGGTGCAGCTCGCCGTTTCGGTAGATGAGCAGTGTTGGCAAGTTACGGTCTGGATAATTAGGTATGCACTGGAGATCTCGAGAGTCAGTAGCAAGAATGGCTTTCTACAAGCAGGGACCTCCCACCTTGTCTCCGACAATGCTGACGAATTTTGTCGCCGGGTACTTTTCTGCGAGAAAGTCCAGGTAGCCTGCCAGAAGCGTACATGTCTCCATGCTGGGAGGAAGGTACTGAGCGTGTGGACGTGCCTTCGTGGCTCACGCTCTGCCAACTCACCCATCTTTGTAGAGAAAGCAGACGACGCCAGTGCCTTTCTTGTCGCTGTCGCCTCGTGTTTCTGCCTCCTCCTTGCTCGCTTCAGTCACTTCTCTCGCATAGTCGGGTCGTCCAATGGGGTACACTCGCCCGAAACGTGCCCTTTTCCTCTCCTGCGCAATGGCCGCCAATCGTTGTTTCCTCAGGGCAATAAGCTTCCTCTCCTCATCGTCTGCCTCCCCTCCCACTCCATCCTCCTCGAGCGCTCGATCGATGTCTGCCAAGCTGGCGTGTCTCAGAGCCTCTTCGCGTTCTTCTGCTTTCGTCGGTGGCTCGGGCGAGGGGCTCCGCGAGGGTGGCTTCTGAGGGATGATGCCCCTCGCTCGAAGCTCATCATGACTATTCATGAATTCACAATGTCAGTACTCGGACACGGGACTGGCTCTGTGCGACACTTACAATTGTGTGTCTTCATTTGGATCGACTTGAACCTGCATGCTCTTCAGTGGCTTTTGTGAGGCCCCTCTTACTGTGAGGCGCGGCTCGTTGTTGGTCGTTGTCGACTCGTCTGAACGTCGCTTCTTCCTTTTTGCAGTGGAGGGCCCGAGCAGCGGTTCACGTGACTACATCTTCAGATGCTCCTCCGGTCAGCTTTCCGCTGTCTCTCCTCGTCCTTCGTGATAATTAGTTATCATCAGGATGCACTCGGTGTGTTCTTGCAGAGGAGCTTGAGAGTCAGATCACCCGGTGGTCCAAAAAGTCATGTCGAGTCTCTGCCCTCACCGGGGTTCGCATCTTTTACACTGCTACAGATCTCGTGTCGTCCTCTGCGGAGAGCAGTTGGCGAGACGGGCCAGGTTGGTGCCAAACAGCCCTTTCTCTCTTTCGTTAGGCACACAAAATCATCCTAGTTGCAGTCCTTTCGTCCTTCTATGAGGTAAGGAGAGGTCTCTTTTCCCTCTAGTCACGCAGTAGTCGTGACGAGAAGAGGAGGATGCTTGTGCAACAAGAAAGCCGGAGCCCGGGTAATAAATATAATCAGATTGAAAGCCACACACGTCAATCCGAAGAAGAAATAAAAGGCTAGATGCTAAACTTCCGCTTGCCCCCGCTTCTTGTCCTCCCCCTTGCCCACCAACAACCGCCGTAGTTCCTCTTGCACTTTACCTTGCACAGCCCCCCCTCCCCTCGATCTCGTGGCTGGAGTCTCTCCGACACATTACTCTCTCTTGGACGTCACGATCCCCGGAGGATTCTGTCCTTTTAATTAAGTCCCACAGTCGCCCTACTACGCCTCCCGGCAAACCACAACACTGTCTTTCGCTGAAACCCACACAATGTCGACTCCAGCCACATTGTCCTCATCATCTTCTTACACGGGTCATCTTACCAATGGTGACCCACGCCTCGCCAAGGCCTCGTACAAGCCGACTCACCCCGGCTCGTTTGAGGTCACATTCCGCGAGGGCGAGTACAACAGCTGCCTTGTTGCGCTCAAGGTGAGAGTGACAAGTGGGGCCGTTGCTCTCTTTTCTCTCTTAAATCCTCCCGCTTTGTGTTTACTGAACGAAAACCCTGTCGCTATTCAGAGCTTTCCTAAGGGCTCCGTCATTGCCATGATGTCGCACGCCACTCCCTCCAAGACGATCCGATACTCGACCGTCCAGGTCTCGGAGACGGAGCACATCGAACTCAACAGCGAGTGAGTCCCTTCCGGCAAGCAGAAGATTTGACGAAGCGCTGACATGCAATGCGGCTGCGCCACACCTACACAGCCTCCTCTACTGCAACCACTCGTGTTCGCCCTCTGTGCACTTCAACGTCTCTGGCCCGGCCAACACGTGGAGGGCCGAGGCGCTGCGAGACATCCACGAGGGCGACGTCCTCGAGTTCTTCTATCCATCGACGGAGTGGGACATGTCGCAGCCCTTTGCCTGCAGCTGCGGCGCCAAGGTGAGACGGTGCTGGACAGATGATTGTGCGAAGAAGAGGATCGGCCCGCAGCTCATCACACATTTCTTCTCGCTCTGCAGAACTGCCTCTCGAGCATTTCGGGCGCCAAGCACATCCCTAGCGACGTCTTGGCTAGCTACGTCGTCAATGACCACATCAAAAGGCTCAAGGCAGAGCAAGGCCAAGCGCAGCCTTGAGGTGCATGTCAGGAAATGCCCAATAACAAAAAATAAAAAGGGATAAGGAGGAGGATCAAAGCGACCTTCGTCTCCCAAGCCTCTTCTCAACATGTTTGTTCTCATCAAGCAAAAGGAATTGAGCAGGAAGCAATGGCTCGCTTCCGGAAATTTGCCGGCTCTTGGACTTGAGTTGACTTGACTTGTTGAATCGCACGCGTGACAGTCGATGACAAATAGAGGTGGAGAAGAGATGCGACCCGATTAGAGCTCCTTTGATCTCTCCCATCAACCAGAATAAAAAAGAAGAGACCGGAGACTATGGCAGCACGACGATCGCTTGGGCTGTTAGTGCGGCCATGCACAGAAAGCCAAAGGTCGGGCTTTTCGCCGGCGGGGGTCGCTTCGAGGTCAGGTGCAAGTGTCACGGCTCGGGCAGTGCCTGTGGCAAGATGGAGTAGCACAACAACGGCAAGGCCCATTGGCACTCGCGCCTGTCCCGCCTCCGTGGCTGCCGCAATGGTCGCTCCTATCCGGCGGCCCTTCTCGACCAGTGCTACACGCAGGCAAGAAGCACAAGAGACAGAGGAAAAGACGGAGATGGACAGCGGAGAACAGGACATTCACGATATCCTCACAAAGAAGTTCCAGCCCAAGCAGCTGCAGGTGCAAGACGTCAGCGGTGAGTGTTTTCTCTTCGCACAGCCTCACAACCACTTCGCCGTCGAGGGGCATGTTCCTGGATATGAGAAGACGGATTGAGGCGCGGGCCAAGATCTTGCAATTTGAGGAGAGAGGCTAACAGAGACAAACAGGCGGGTGCGGCTCTTTCTATGCAATCGCAATTCAGTCTTCCGCCTTCAAGGGACTGACGACGGTGAAAGCGCATCGTCTCGTCAACGAAGCGCTCAAAGACGTCATTGCTGGGATCCATGGCCTTCAAGTGAGTACCCTTACGATCACACATCCTCAAGGCGGCCTACCCATCTGCAACTCGACTGACATAGTTGCAATGTCCGTCCTCCAGCTGCGTACCATTCCTGCAGACGACTGATCTTGCTCCTGTAAATGCTTGCGACCTTAATCATAATGCTCTCATCTCGGTCTGCTCTGCTGCCTGCCCAAGACTACCACTCCTCCCCTCTCTTCGCCCTGTCTTTCGTCACGGCTGCCCCGATGAAACTAGTCACGTGATTTTCGCCTTTTTCCGAAGGATGGAGCGTCGCCGGCAGCGACCGGTTTCGAGGCGAGCTGGAAATTTTGTGCAACACGTTCTATCTACCACCACTCGCGATCGCTTCTCCTCTTCTCGTTACTTTCTGCCACGAGAAACCCTGACAAACCAGCAACAATGGCCTTCCAATCGCCCCTTTTCTCTCAGCTCAACGGCATCACGGCCAAGGACGCAAAGGTCGCCCGGGCTTTCCCAATCCATGCGCCTGCCGAGGCTGGTGAGGCGCCAAAGGGTGTCGACCTCTTTGCCCGATTCGCCTTTGCCGGCGCTGTTGGCGTGAGTACTAGAACTCGTTGCCCTTGGCTAATCCTTGACTAATCATTTCCCATTCTTCCTTATGCAGTGCGCCATCACCCACGGTGCCTTGACGCCCGTCGATGTCGTCAAGACGCGAATGCAGCTCGAGCCTGAGGTTTACAACAGGGTGCGTTTATGAACTGGAAAGAGAGAGCCACTTTGCGAGCATTTGCTCATCCCAATGTTTTCTACAGGGTATGATCACCGCTTTCCGCCAGGTCGTCTCCAAGGAGGGCTCCGGCGCTCTCCTCACTGGTCTTGGTCCCACAGCCGCCGGCTACTTCCTCCAGGGTGCTCTCAAGTTCGGAGGGTGAGTAAATGGGCATTCGTCTCTTTGAACATCCTGCCCCCTTACTCAAAATGCGCTTGTATTGTCCAGTTACGAGTTCTGGAAGAAGACTATCATCGAGCAGCTCGGCATGGAGACGGCCGTTGCCAACCGTGGAGCCGTCTACCTCGCCGCCTCTGGTATCGCCGAATTCTTTGCCGACATTGCTCTCTGCCCGCTCGAGGCTACCCGTATCCGTCTCGTTTCTGAGCCCGGCTTCGCCAACGGTCTTTTCGGTGGTTTCGGCCGCATCGCCAAGGAGGAGGGTCTCAAGGGCTTCTACTCAGGGTGAGTTTTTCTCTCTTCTTCTTCTCTTCGCCTCGCGCTGACCTCTGTTCTTTGCAGCTTCGGTCCCATTCTCTTCAAGCAGGTCCCCTACACCATGGCTAAGTTCTACTTCTTCGAAATTGCCTTCGAGGCCCTCGTTAAGGCGACTGGCAAGCAGAAGGAGCAGCTCTCCTCGGGCGCCATCACCGGCCTCAACCTCACCGGTGGTGTCATCTCCGGTTGCTGCGCCGCCTTCGTCTCGCAACCTGCCGACACCCTCCTGTCCAAGATCAACAAGACCAAGGCCCTCCCCGGCGAGACGACCACTGGCCGCCTCGTCAAGATCGCCCAGCAGCTTGGTCTCCGTGGTCTCTTCGCCGGCATGGGTGCCAGGTTCGTCATGATTGGTACCCTCACCGCCGGTCAATTCGCCATCTACGGCGACATCAAGCGAGTGCTTGGCGCTACTGGTGGCTACGGTGAGTCTTTTGATCGAGATTTTTGGACGCTGTTGCTGATCTTGTCGTCCCCCAGAGCTGGCCAAGGCGAAGTAAAAGAGCAACAGAGGCCGAAGTCTCGAGCAAAAACCAAAATTGCAATTTTCTCACCTATCTCCCACCTCCTCTCATCTCCTCCTCGTTCTCCTCGTCACCCTCTACCTCCTCGTCCTTCGCTGACCTATCTAGATCCTCCGTCTTGGGAAATGACCATGATGCTCTTCTTATCAGGCGTTCTCTTAGTCACGTGAAGTTGGGCGCCGCTAGCGGAGTCTCAGAGCGGAGTCGCAGAATCTAAACTTGAGCCTTGGGAAGACGAAATTCTTGGCGTGGCAGATTGTAGCACTTGCTCTGCAGCATTCTTCCCTCGGACTGCGCGCCGACTTGTCCGGCGCACTCCTTGGGACGTCAAAAGGGAGCCAATAAGCTACTGATTTGCCAGACGCAACACGGCGACAGGAAGAAAAAAGGAAGGGAAAATTGCATTTAGTCGCGTACGACCCTGCGGCCTCTTGCGTGATAGAGGCACCTGTACCTGAACGGACAAAGGTTTTTTAGGACCTACTTAGCCACTGCATTGTAGTCGCAATGAGTGTGGGTGGGATTTAGTGTCAAGTGTCGTCCCTCTGAGCGAGTCGTGCTTATCTTCAATTTGCAAAGCGGGTGGCGAGACAGCCAGAGACCGGGGCAGCAAGCCACTGTGAGAGCGGAGAGAAAGACGCGGTCTTCAGTTGTATATAGACAGCCGCGGTGGGCAGACCTCGACGCCTCTTGATCGCCCTCTACGCCCCGCCCTCTCTCGACTACTACCATCTCTCGCGGCAAACATGGCGGACACAGACGTCAAGTCGACGTCGTCCAAGCACGACCAGGACGTGGGCGAGAAGAACTACAACGACAATGTTCCAGCCTACGAGGGCGAGCACGTCATTTCGCCCGACGACGTTAACGAAACGGGCGAGGAGGAAGAGCTCCACCGCGCCCTAACCCCGGCCCAGATCTCCATGATTGCCATTGGAGGCAGCATTGGAACTGGTCTGATCATTGGCACGGGCTCTGCCCTTTCGCAGGGAGGTCCCGCTGGTTTACTCATTGGCTACACAGTCATGGGAGGTTCGTGCAGTGCAGCAAAAAATCATCGTGTAGCAGGTCGATTGGGTGACTGACCTCTAGCCCTCTGTCCCTTCCAGCTGTCTGCTGGGTCGTTCTCACGGCCTTGGGGGAAATGTCTGCGTACATGCCGAGCAAGAATGGCTTCCAAGGTCACGCCGCCCGTTTCTGTGACGAGGCTCTGGGCACCGCCGTTGGCTACAATTACCTCTTCAGTAAGTTTTGCGTCAGTCCCTCAAAAGGCCCCTGTCGTGACTGACCCTCGTCTTCGCAACAACAGAGTACCTCGTCATCACGCCCAACCAGATCAATGCCTCTGCGCTCCTCATCTCCTTTTGGCGTCCCGACCTGTCCGGAGGTATCTTTATCTCCGTCTTCATCGTCTGCATCGTTGCTTCCAACCTGTGCGGCGTCAAATTTTTCGGCCACGTAGAATTTTGGATGTCGTTTGCCAAGATCGTCGTATTGACGGCCATCATCCTGGGTGGCTTCATCATTTCACTCGGTGGCAACCCAACAGGGGACCGCATCGGATTCCGTTACTGGAACGAGCCGGGCGCTTGTGAGTTTGTTACGGTCTTGGGTCCGAGAATCCAAAAACGCGAATTGACAATGAGGGGTCTTTAGTCGTCGAGTACAAGGCCGATGGAGCCAAGGGACGCTTCCTCGGCACCTGGAGTGTCATGTCGCTAGCCCTTTTCGCCTACATTGGCAGTGAGCTGGTGGGCGTGTGCGTGGGCGAGAGCAAGAACCCTCGCAAGTCGATTCCCAAGGCCATTAGCAAGGTCGTTTGGCGTATCCTCTGGTTCTACATCTGTGGTGTTATTGTCATCGGCATGCTTGTTGCCAGCAATGACCCACGACTCAAGGCAAAGGGAGCCGCCAAGAGCACCGCTTCGGCCTCGCCCTTCGTCGTCGCCATCATCAGCGCAAAGATCAAGACGCTTCCCTCAGTCATCAACGGTGCTCTGCTCATCTTTACGCTTTCGGCCTCCAACAGTGACCTGTACATTGCTTCAAGGACTCTGTATGGTCTGGCTGTTGACGGCAAGGCGCCTCGCATCTTCCTTCGATGCAACCGCATGGGCGTCCCATATGTGGCTCTTGGCTTTTCCAGCCTCTTCACCGCCCTCGCCTTCCTCAATCTCTCGAGTGGCGGCGGACAGACATTCACCTACCTGACATCAACCGTGAGCATCTTTGGCGGCATTGCCTGGGCAGGCATTCTCTTTGCCCATATCCGCTTCATGGCCGGTTGCCGTGCCCAGGGCGTCTCTCGCGAGTCGCTGCCGTACAAGGCTCCGCTTCAGCCCTATGCATCGTACATTGCTCTGGCGATCACGATGATCGTCCTCATCTTCAAGGGCTTCACGGCTTTCCTGCCCACGTTTGACTACAAGAGCTTCATCACCAAGTGAGTCGACTCCCCTTGCGCACCTTTTTCTCCTCCGATTGGGGCAAAGATCAATGCTGACCGGGGCGTTTGTTCACACAGCTACATTGGCTTCCCCGTCTTCTTCGTCATCTGGCTTGGCTGGAAGGTCGCATACCGCACCAAGTTTTACTCGGCCTCGGAAATGGACGTCATCAATGGTGCCCGCCGCTTCGACGGCCTCGACGATGGCAAGGACGAGTCAGAGGAGATGAGAGTGGCGCCCTGGTGGAAGAAGCCGCTGGTCTATGCAAAGAACTTCTGATCAACCTCAATTCAACTCCGTTTCGTCATTTATCCACTTGCAAGAATGCATGCTCCGTGAACATCAAGAATTTGTCATTTGACTCAAAATGCTGTGTACCAACCACACATGTTGTTCAGAAGAAAGCGGTTGTAAAGGCAAAGCGATGACCGTGTGATTATGATGGAGAAGAAAGGGCACAACGACAATATGGGATGAGCAACAAAAAAAAAAGAGGGTATCTTGAGATTGGTATCCCTATCTTGACGACTAGGTGGCTCCCAACGGATGAGGCATCGATAATGCCATCGATAAAAGAGGGTTGGAGAAAGACAAAGAGGGCGTGACGGCCTATTGATCGGGTATAGGAGAGGGGGATATATGGCGCCATGCGGAAGTGAAGAGGCGCACTTACGCAGCCGCCTCTTCCACAGAAACAGCAGAGTCAACGAGCTTCGACGAAGGTGGAGTCGGTAACGCATCTTGCCCTTGCCCTTGCCCTTGCCCTTGCGTCTCGCTTGATTTCTCTGGACCATCTGTCTTTGCGGTTTCTTGTAATACCACCACATCATTCTTCTTTGGCTCGTTCCCTTGACTGACACTCCTGATCATTGGTTCTGCCTCGTTCTTGGACGCGTGACCATTTTTCCCTCCTCGCTTGTTCGCACTGGGACCTGACGCTGATCGCTTTCCATCATCGGCCGCCTTTGATCCAGCGGCACCCTTTCGGCTCGGCGTCGTTCTGCTTCGCCTCACGCCCGCCTTTCCTCCAAATAAGGATGAAGGCTCGCCTAAGCCCAGCTCCTGGACTTTGCCCTTGTCCGCTGCCTCTCCCGTCCCCGCCGACGACATTGGACCTTCGCAAGATGCGCTCTGCTGCTGCTGCGTGTTGTTGCCTGGCTGAAGATCGACGCTCCTCCTCTTCGATGTTGGATCCGGCGACGCTGCACCTCCTTTACTCCTCCTCGCAAACAATCCGCCCTCCTTTTTCTTGTTCGGCGTCGACGTGGCGGAGCTCCTGGCAATCTTTGCACCTCCACCTTCGTGCGCCACGAGATCGCCCAGCTCCTCATCGCTCTCGCTCAGCTCGGCGACATCGGGCTCGATGCTGGTGGGCTGCGAGACACTCGTCAGCTCCGAGGGGTCGACATTTGTCGGGGGAGGCGCTGAGATTCCCAGCACAAAGTGATCCTGGTGCACAATGAGGAATTCGAGCACCTCGACTGCAATCTTGTGCTCCATGGGATCTTGGAGGTGCGACGGGTGTGAGAAAATGCCCGGTTGGAAGATGACGGCCAGGTCTGTGCAAATTCGATTGCTTAGAAGGGGATCAAGCGCGGTCGTGTATGAAGAGTGAACTCACTGCTGGCGGGCATACGATTGACATCACTCTTGCGAGCGAAGACGGCCAAGAGATCCAGGACGTAGAGGAGTAGATATTGGTTTGCGGGCGGCATAGACGTGATCAAAAGGCGATACGTCTTGGTGGCTGCCTCGACATCGAGGGGCTTCTTGATCATGACATTCCTGAATTCGCTGTAGAGCTGCAGGGGCACGATGGGTTCCTGTTCACAACGTTCTGCAGTGAGCAAATATTTCCGCCCATTTACACGAAGTCATGTCTCTTTATTGTCACTCACTGGCATTTGGTTAAGGTAGCGTCGAAGCACACTGGCGGCGTCGTGTACGCTGTACTTGTCCCACTCAACGCCCTTGCCGTACCTGGGGGGCGTATCAAAGATCTCCTGGAGCTCTCTCATCCGCTTCTGCGAGCCTGCGATTCGAAAAACGCCCTCGACCTCAGTGGCTGCGTAGCGGAACACATCCATCAGCTTTCTCAGGCCGTCTGTTTCGTCGCGGGCCTCCAGCAAAACCCACCATTCTCCTTCAGAAAGAGCCCGACTTTGGCGACAATGACGGGCACATATCCCCAGATGTACTGCTGCCCATCCTCGCCCGCCATCGAGATAGCCACGCTCGCATACTTGAGCGACCTGCGCAGGGGCGACCCAAAGACAACTTTCTCATCTGTTCACGCGGCCGCATCGTCAGTGGACTGAGACTTTTGGGCTTGTGAAGCCCGAGAGGACATTCTCACCTTTGCGATCCTTGTTGAGCATCTTGACCTTTGTGAACGCGGACCACTGCAGGAGTTATCAAAAGGGCGGTGCGGTCAGTTTTCAGTGCATTTTCCCTCCCGACAATTAGGCCCCTCTGGCCGAAGCAGACTGACCCATGCTTTGAGACTGGCCTTGGTCGAGTCCTTGTCGTCCACTGGAATCGACGACATTGTGCGGACTTGTTGTTGCGCGGCTGTGCTTTCCAGCACCCTGCTTAAGTTGTTCGGTGTGAATTGTCCGATTGAGATGAGGAGGGTGGGCAAGGGAGACAGACGGGCGAATGCAACAACTGAGCGGCCACGCAAACGGCTGTTTTGAGCTCCGGGGCGCCGCAAAGATTATTGGGCAAAAGTGGCGTTAATAGGCAACGTGACGTAGTCGCCGTCGTGCCGTCGTCGTTTTCGTCGTCGTCGTTGTCGCCTCGCAAAACTGGAACTCAAGATGAGGAAGCGGTTCCAAATCGCGCCGGCTCTAGATGCGCGTGAGAATGTCTCAGGAGCGGCGCTCTACGTGCATGAATCGGCGGGTTGGAGACGATTGCTGCTGCGTCGGTCGTGCGTTTTCGAACGAGCGTGAGGAGCGGACGTCGAAATGCGTCGTAAAGTAATTGAAACTTTTACCTCGTCCTCAGCTCCCTCTCTCTCGGTCGATGATAAACGAGGAGAATCGGGAGATGAAATAAAAAAAGAAAAGGGACAAAAGTGGCGCGCCGCCGAAGGATCGAATCAATAGAAATGAGTGTAGAATGCAGGAGTGAAGAGTAGTCGGCCGTCGGGGGGCAGCAGATTGGAGAGGGGTCCCGTGCGCGCTATCTGGGGGGAAGAGGAGGGAGCGACGAGGCAGAGTGGGGGAGCACGTATCGTTTGTGTCGAGACGAACAACCCAGCCAACTGTCGCGCCGGGCAGGTGATTGAAATTAAGGGGACCACAGGCTACACCCCCAATTAGCGCGCACATGTCCAAAGGGCGATGAGCAGGGAGGGCGCCGATCTGTGTGATCTGTGCGCGCGCAAAACAATGAACAAGTTTCATTTACTAACACCACGACCTTAATTACTTCTCCCACCTGTGAGCCTATCAAGGAAGGGAGGAGCCAAGAACAATTAAAAAGAGAAGAGTCGGAAGACGAAAGCGTCTCTCTACATCTTATCCAAAGTCAGGCGAATGTCTCGAGAGCTTGCACCAATGTAGACCTTGACGTCGCCCTCGGGCTTCCACCAACGCTGCTTCTCGCTGTTCCACACGGACAAATCGTACCGGTTGAAGCGGAACTTGATCTTCTGTGTCGCGCCTGTCTTGACCGCAAAGCGGTCAAACTTGCGAAGAACCTTTGGAGGCTCGCCCGCCGAGGACGAGAAGCCGAGGTAGACTTGAGGCACCTCAAAGCCATCGACTTGACCCACGTTCTTGACGTTGAAGGTCAGCTCGTATACGTCTTCGAAGAGCCAGTCGGGCAAGGGCAAAGACCACTTGCGATCGTTCCAGTCGCTGCCGCCACCCGCGAGCCATTTGCCAGAGGCGCCAGCATAGTGGAACTTGGTGTAGGACAAGCCATGGCCGAATGCGTAACGTGGCTCAATGCCAGCAGAGTCAAAATGACGGTAGTCGATGTTGAGCTTCTCGATGTAATCGATCTGGAACGATGTCAAGTCTCGATCAGCTGGAATATTTGTGCCAGACTGCAGCAGAGCCAACTAACCTGAGATGTAGCGGTGTCAGGCTCAGTGAAATACTGGACGTCGGCAGAATAGTCGGACCTCTTCTTTGCAATCGTGTATGGCAGCCTGCCCGAGGGGTTCACATCACCGTAAAGGATGTCGGTGATTGCATTACCTGCTTCCGCTCCTGGGAAGTGGGCATGGACGACGGCCGTGACATTTGGGTTGTCGATGAACTCCTCCAAGTCCACCTGGCCCGGCGCGTTGATAACGACGATCGTGTTCTTCTGCACGCTTGCCACGCTCTTGATCAGCTCCACACCGTTGCCCCAAAGGGTGAGATTGTTCCGGTCGCCCGCATTGGCATCAACGACGATGTAGTTCTCTCCACTGTCGGCGTACACAAAGACGAGGGCTGCCCCAACGCCAATTTGGTCATCGGAAATCTTTTTGGCCTGGTCGAGGTTGAAGTTGTCAAACGTCCAGTAGAAGCCCGTGTTGTCTTTTCTTGCTCGAGCTTGCAAGGCCTCGTATGGCGTGATAAAGTAAGAGTAATCAGCCGTTCCTGAGCCCCAACCGATCCCAATGGTGCCATCAAGTGTACCAATCATCGGACCGCCGCGGTCGCTGTAGAAGTTGGCGCCTTGCCTCAGGGGACCGGCATCGCTGCCTACAACGGCCAGCTTCTTGAGCTTCTCGCCCTGGAGTGGAAGTGCGCCGTGGGTGTTCTTGAGGACGACGGTACCAGCCGCGGCAACCTCCCTCGCAACGCTTGCATGCTTGTGGGATGTTACCTGTTTGTGCTCGCCGTAGGTGGGGTCGAAAGCATCAAAGTTGGGTCGAGGATAGTCCTTGCTGTCCTGTCCCAAAAGATACCATGCGGCCAGGATCCTTGTACCCATATCGTCAAGTCTCGATGCCTCGACGGACTTGTTCTGGACAGCCATTGTCAGGTTCTGACCCCAGAACGAGCCTTTGTTGTCCTTTGAGCAGCACTCGACCTGGCCAGGCATCGTCATGTCCAGTCCTGCGTTGGCCGAAGCTACGCCAGAGTGCTGTGCACCCCAGTCGCTCATGACGAACCCGTTGAAGCCAAGCTCTGTCTTGAGTCTGTTGTTGAGCAACTCGCTGTTCTGGCATGACCAGGAGTTGTTGTTCAAATTGTATGAGCACATCACCGACGAGACACCCGCCTGGATAGAGCGCATGAAAGGATGCAGGTAGATTTCACGTTCGGTACGGCCGTCGATGTTGGATGAGTAGGTGTTTCGGTTGATTTCCTTTATCGATCTCTAAGTCAGGACCAGTGCCAGTCATAAGGAAAGAAGGGGAGACGCACCTGCTCGTTTGCAATGTAGTGCTTTGCGCACGCCTGCACACCAGCATCTTGCATGCCCTTGGTCGTGTGAAAGGCAGACTCGCCCGTAAGGTAGGGGTCAGCGCTGGCCATCTCCCAATTGCGGCCTCCAGCGGGCGTTCGTGCTGTCATTTCGGGAAGAGATGGCTGGGTCAGACAGCTGTCGAGGAGGCGAAGCCTCATGAGTGAGACTCACCCATATTCATGCCGGGGCCAAGGGCGATGTTGACACCCTTTGCACGGAACTCTTCCCCCATTGCCTTGCCCCTCTCGTACGCGAGCTTGCTCGAGAAAGTCGCTGCAGTCGTTACTCCAGCCGGCCATACTGTAACTCCATCGGCGAACCTCACACCCAAGGGCGAGTCTTCCAGGCAAAGGCCGGGGAAGCCGACACGCTTGTTCGGCGAAATGGTACCGACGCAGCGAGGCTTGTCGCCCAGCTCCCATCCGGCGCCAGTGACGAGGGCAACTTTTTCTTCGAGCGTGAACTGCTTGAGGAGCGCTCTTGCCTTGTCGGTGGCAGACTTCCATCCGCTGTTTAGGCCCGTTCCTGCGCCCGTTGTTTGTGGCGTCGGGTAGAAGGGCGGGGAGTAGTAGACGCTGTCGTTCGTTGCTTGAGAATTGACTTCGGCAGGCTTTGCTCCTTTCGTCTTGTCCACAGATACTGCATCGCTCTTTGTCTCTTCCTCGGCCTCATACTCCTTGGGTGAGTATACCGCCTGTTTCTCCAGACGGTCCGCACCTGAATCGGTCTTCAGAGCGGCAGGGAGGACATGCTGGCTAAAGTGGTGGTAGCCCTCGCGTCCGACTTTGGAGCATGTCTCGTTCGCGCCATCGTGATCTCCGCGAATCCAATCGAGCGGGGGAATGAAGCCCTGATCGAGGATGCCGTGGCTGTGACTGTACCTTGACGATGTGTCTGCGGCGCCTTTCGAGGAGTAGTGCTGCGAAGCAGATGGGTGCTTGAGGGCCAGCTGGTCACCACGTCTCTGGTTCGGGTCGCGGCGCACTACGATCTTGGCATCCGTGACCGCCTCGCCGGACAGAATAGCCAAGATGATCGTAGCTAGGATGGAGGACAGCTTCATCTTGCAAAGGTGGAAGCCAAAGCTGCTGATTCCAAGATCTCGAGTCGAATCGACCCCAGTAAAGGAAAATTGAGGAGAGGGAGACGGGGAATGAGGAGATCCGGGGCCAAAACAGGCAGGGGCAATCCTTATTTAGCACCCAGCGCAAGAAGGAAGAGCTAAGGAGGAAGATGAAGGAGATGAGGTACCGAGCCACCCATCGCTAGCGAAACAGGTCAGGAGAGACGCAGGAAGCAGCGGTGGGTGCGGGCTCGTGCGCTTTCCGACCTAGCGTTAGCTTGTTGTTGCTTGCTGCAAAGAACGTCGAAATGACTGCTTAAAGTTGTTCTCGACTGCTGCCAATTTAGCGCGTCCCTTCTTCCCTTTGACCCCTTTATTTCCCTCTTTCTCTTTCCCCCCGTCATGTTAGCCATGCGTGACCTCACTGAAATTAGCTCATTCCCGCACACATCCCTTGGCTGCTTCCCCACATCTTCTGGACCTGATTGTCGAGCACACTGAAGCAGGCATTAGTAGTCCGTCAAGGCTTCAATCATGGCCTAGCCTTAGCTTACTAGACCCGATGCGTCATGTACTGTACCAAAGAGGCAGGCTAGACTTGGGTCCAAAGGCTGTACCTGACCTGCATCCCCCACAGGGGCCATTATTTTGCCAGGTCAGACACTCGACGACTCAACATTGTAGCACGTTCTTCTTTTACTTCTTTTACACACGGACATACAGTTACAAAACCCTAAGAGGACAGATGGAAAGGTGGGGGAGAGAGAATGGAGAAAGGATGGAGGAGAAGAAGAGAAGCGAGCAAGGTGAAAAGGGATCAAAGGAGATGCTCCAATTCGGAAATGAGGCTCGGCTCCAGATTCTGGATTCCCATTAGCTCCACAACGGCGGCCTCTTCGTTGCTTAAGAGACCACCGCCGCTGCCTGCGCCGGTCAGAGACCTGTTGCTGCTCGACGGCGCAGATGCTTTGCTTTCGTGAGATGTTGTGAGCGAAGAGAGAGAGGCTGAGGTGCTCTTAGTCGAAGCAGACGCCTTCTTTGACCCTGCAAGATCCGTCATGCCCATGCCGAGCAGCGCAGGTCTTTCGAAAAGGTCCCTTTCCTCGCCTAGGAGCCTCATCGTCTCGACGAGCCTTCTTGTGACCACGCCAAAGGGGTTTTTGGAAAAATCGACGTGAACCTTCATCAGGCGTTTGACCATCCTGAAAAGAACTGAGATGTTGCCCGGCGCTCTCTTGAGTGACCGCTTAATCGAAGGAGGACAGGCGTACACGAGCGAGAAGAGGCACAGGGCGATTCGTTCGCAGTAGCCCAGCCGTGCCTCGGTCTTGAGCATGTTGAAATCAACGTCCGACACGGGCAGGCATCGGATAAGCAGCTGACCGAGGTGCAGCAGCTTGCCCTTTGGAATCCATCGGCCGAGGGTTGCTCGATTCTTGTCCGGTTGCGCCAGCCTCGAGAATGCTTCCAGGGCAGTATCTGCGTGGTGCGGTACCTTTCGCATGACGGGCTGGAGCGTTGATGTCCTAGGCTGTCCATTCGACGTGGCTGCGGAGGGTGGTGGGCCGGGAAGCGGCACCTCACCGTATACAGTGCCTTGCTCAGCTTCAATTTCGTTTGCCGAGGCAATGAAAGAAACCATGAGATCGAACAAGGACACGACGTCCGGCCGACTGAAATTGGCAAGGTCGGTCCTGTCCCCGGCCAGACAAGCCGTAATGGACAAGACATCCTTTCGTATCCGCAATGCTTCCGCCGGCGTAAAGACGGTCGATTCTTGTGCTTCCTCATCATCCGTCCCCGTCCCCATCTCGTCATCGGTAAATGCTTCGGCCTGTCTAGCAAGTGTCTGCCTCTTCATCCTTCTCCTTCTCTCCTCGGTATCGAGCGCGCCAATGATCCTCATCAAGAGGTGGAAGAATCGCGTCTCGCTGTTGAGAAAGTGATTGTTGTCGGCCATTGTCGAGAGGTTGCGCAGAATGTCGATGACGCAGAGGGCTACTTGTGCGCATCGAACTGTCTCGCGCTCTCGCTTCATCTGAGTCCAATAGCCTTCCACGACTTCAACTTCGTCGTGACCTTGCAACGCGTCTTCTCCGTCTTCGCTCTCTGATCGAAAGCGATTGAACAGACTGGTCTTCTTCCTCGTGTCCCTGCGCCACATTCGCGCTTCGTTCTCATCTTCGAGCGCTGATGTGATCCAGTCGAGATGGGTCATCGCATCCTCGTCTCCATCATCCATACTCCCATTGAGTGCCAATGCAGCCGAACCATTTGGACCTGCTCCATGGACAGGGTCGTCGTCATCGAGAAGGCCATCGTTGAGTGTCTCCTGCTCCACCAAGTGACCGAACGCCGCCTCCTCCAGCAGATCAAGCAGCTCATCGAAAAGGTCCTCGCACAGGCTGATGAGGAGCTGGAATGTCGGCGCCTGCACGCCGGCCGTGAGGATGAGGAGTGCGTTGAGAGCATACGACACTTCAACATCGAGCCGGCTACGCAGACTCATTGTCATGCTTTCAATGTCGACAGAGCCCAGCTCGCGGACGCTTCTCGGGAAGCGGTTGCGGCCAGCCAAAAGCGGTCCCAGCTGCCCATCGACATTGTCAAGGTCCCAGCCGCCATGCGAGCGCAGGTCTCTGCGGATCGGCATATACTCGATCTTGTACTTGCTTGGCTTGGCAGGAGGAGCAGCGGGTGCCAGTGGAGGAGCCGATGCCTGTAGATGCTGAGTGAGCTCTCCGACCGCTGGTTGGACGAATGGTGACGACTGTCCGGCATCACGCTCCTCGCCTGCACGCTGCTGTTGTTGCTGCGGCTGCGACTGCTGCTGTTGTTGTTGTTGTTGTTGCTGCTGCTGCTGCTGTTGTTGTTGTTGCTGATTCTGCTGATTCTGCATCTGCTGAAGGCTTGGCGCATTGAATGGAAGCGAAGACGGCGTTGGTGGCTGCTGCGAACCCTGCTGCTGCTGTTGCTGCTGTTGCTGCTGTTGTTGCTGCTGTTGTTGCTGTTGTTGTTGCTGCTGTTGTTGATGTCGCTGTTGCAACTGCTGTTGGGCAGCCGCAAATGCGAGTTGCGCAGCAACGACCGCTGGTTGGCCGGCTGCCTGAGCCTGGGCTTGTACCTGAGCAAAGACCTGAGCTTGCATCTGTCCCACCAAATTCGCATCTTGTAGTGCCAGCGGGATCGAGCCAGGAGGCTGATTTTGTACGTGGGCTTGGCGAATTGCAGTGAATGCAGCTGCATGCTGAGCTGGGGGCAAGGTTCCACTGTGTAGCATCCTCACGGCCTGCTGCGCCTGCGCAAAGACCTGCGCGGCAATGGGACTTTGTGGCGGAGGCCCTCGCTGCTGCTGAAGCTGACTTTGCTGCTGCTGCTGTTGCTGCTGTTGCTGTGGCTGAAGAGGAATTGAATGTGGAGTCACTGGCGTTTGCGGCTCGTTCGCAGCAACAGCAGCAGCGGCAGCCTTATTCTGCGTCGAGTTGGCAGTTGACTTTCTCTGCCGTTTAGTTGGCCTCTTTGTCTCAGTTGGCGTCGAGGCCTGAGGCGTAGGCGTTGGAGTGCCTGCCGGCGCTTGCAGGGGTGTTGAAGGCGGCTGCACCTGGGGAGGCCCCATTGCCTGCCCTTGCCCACCCTGCGGCTGACCCGACTGAGCAGAGACTTGAGCTGCGTGCTGAGCTTGGGCTTGAGCTTGTATCATGGCCATCTTGGCGGCATTCTGAAGGTATAAATAACGATCTTTCGCTTGTTCCTGCGTGATCTTGCCTTGCTTGATGAGCTCATGAAGTTGATTCATCTGATGGGGCAATGCGTTCTGCATCTGCGACGCTTTCCGAGCCGCTTCTTGGGCTGAGGCCACAATTGCCGAGGCACTCGAGGGCCCAGCTTGCTGTTGCATGCCCATTGTCTGCTGTTGCTGCTGCTGCTGCTGTTGTTGTTGCTGAGGTAACCCCCCAGGCACTCCATTCGGCGCCGCTTGAGGAGCGCCGTGCTGAGACGTCGGTCTTTGCGGAGTCTGTGGCTGTGACTGTTGGGACTGGGACTGCGGAACAGCTTGCTGCTGTTGCTGCTGAGACTGTGGCTGCTGTTGCTGTTGCTGTTGCTGCTGCGGCTGCGGCTGTTGTTGGCTTTGCTGCTGCTGCTGCTGCTGTTGTTGTTGTTGTTGTTGTTGCTGCTGCTGCTGCATCTGTTGCTGAACACCCTGGCCTTGACTCGCAAGAAAGGCATTGGCGGCGGCCATCCCTCCAGCGCTTTTCATCTTAGCCAGCCAAACCTCTTCGAAGCTAGCAAATCTCTCGCGGTAGAAATTGGCCAGCATAGGGGCGACGAAAGGTGGGAGCGGGACGCCGTTTGGATTTGTCTCATTGACCCCCGGCTGGTGGTTGGGCGGGATCGGTGCGACTGCGAATCCAAGCCGCGCTGCTACAATGGCCCAACCTGATGGTTGCTGCGAAACACGAGCGGAGCCCTGGAAGGAGAGGACCATCCCGAAGATGGCGCCCATGTCCACCGTCCGCACCTCTCCAACTGCGCCGTTAGCCGCGGGGCCTGTGAACGTCGTCGACATGTCAGGAGGCAGTGGGGTGCCCCTCGATGCCATGAATGTCCGCACAGCTGCCACGAGATCGGATTTCCCTGGAACGCCTGCTTGATGCTGCTGTTGCTGTTGCTGTTGCTGGGGCTGTTGCTGGGGCTGCTGCTGCTGCTGCTGGTCTTGACCCTGCTGGGGAATAGGACCGTTCGTAAAGGGCTGTCCCTGCTGCTGCTGACCTTGCTGGCCTGAGGCCTGATTTTGTCCGTGACTTTGCTGGCCCCACTGCTGGGCTCCCTGTTGGCCATTCTGCTGTCCGCCCTGTTGTCCAGCGGGCTGTGCGCCCCGCGGGCTCTGGCTCTGGCCCTGACCCTGACCTTGACCTTGCTGCTGATGTTGCTGCAATGCTTGCATACGTTGCTGTTGGGCGAATGCCTGCAAAGCTGCCAGCTGTGCCTTGTGTGCAGGGTTGGTGGAGTCGATGTTTGGGCCATTGGGCAGCTGCCCTTGAGCAAACGGTGAAGAAGCCGCAGCAGGAACGCTATTGCTAGGGCCCGCAACAGAGCTCTGGCCCTGGCCTTGGTTTCCTTGCGGAGCAGTCGCCGGCGCATTCGTCTGCCCCTGACCTTGACCCTGACTTTGTGGTTGGCCTTGAGCCTGGCCCTGGCCTTGCGCCTGGCCCTGCAGCTGGGCCAACAAAGACTGAAGGTTGAGGCCGGGTTGTTGCTTCTGAAGGGCCTGGATCGCTTGCGCCTGCATGTACTTGAGTCGCTTCATTTGCATCGCCATGCCCTGTATCGTCTCGTTCTTGGCCGGGCTATCCTCTTGCGACTGCAGCCCTTGATACTGCCTCTGAACGACTCCGATTTGCTGCGTGATGACCTGAAAAAAAAGAGACAAGTTTTCTCTTAGCTTCTATAGATGAGGATGTACGGCAAGTTTGAATGGCTCACCTGCAGCATCTGCATCGGATTCTGAAGGACGGCATTGTTTGCGGCGGATGCCCCTCCATCGTTGCTCTGCCCCGGCTGCTGGTGCTGCTGCTGGAGCTGTGGCTGCGACTGTTGTTGCGACTGCTGCTGCTGCTGTTGTTGCAGCTGGGGAGGTATCGGCTGTCCAGATCCGCTATTCAGCATGTTGAAGCGATCTTGATGTCAATGCGCGAGAAGTAAATCGTCGACGGTGATGGACCAGAGGAGATGCGACTGAAGTCGAGAAAGGCCGACACCTTACGAGACGCAAGACCAACGAAGACCACGGTCCTGCCTCCCGCGACGCGGGATGCTGCCTTTGCCGACGGAGAGCAGAAGACGAGCCTCTCCCTCGCTTGTGACCACTCGCCCTGGCCAAAATCTCCCTTCTTTGCTTCGAGACCGGCGGCACCACAGAGATCCAGGACGGTTGAGAAGACAAGGGAGGATTAGAGCTGCATGCACGACGCGTCGAGAGCCTGCTGCTGCTGCCTTGACTCGTCACTATTGCTGGCTGGCTGCTGCCACTTGGCGAACCTGGCCGGAAAGGGCCGTCGTCCAGTCTTCTGAATTCGACAGGGACCCCTGCTTCCCTGTGACGCTCTCGAGCCAATGGATGTCGCGCGCTTGGCCTCTTTCGATGCAGAGAACGAAGGTGGATGACGCCTGTTCTTCCTCGTCCCTCTTTAGCGTTTCGACGATTCTGAAGGGAGACAGACGGATGTGTGCCCTGCCAAAAAATGGCGGGCTTCCCCTCGCTGAGATCTCAAGCTCGCGATTAAACACGTGGCGAAAAGCCGCTGATCAAAGCTGAGGCGGCCTTATGCGATTGATTCATTGCGAAGGGAAGGGGACGCCGACAGGCCTTTTTCCTCTCCTCTACAAACGACATCCGACCATCATATGTTCGCTTCTTCGGCTGCCAGGTCAGCGCCGCGGGTGCTGTCCAGCACCCTTTCGCGATCCGGAGCTTCCCTCCTGGCACGTTCGGGCGGGGGTGTTGCCTCGACTTCTTCGGTAGCAGTGGCTGCTGCCCTGCGATCGAGTCAGCGTGTAAGGAGATACGCAACGCCCAGCGAGGACAGCAAGGATCCAGAGCGACGACGGGGAACGAGCCGAAAGGATTTCGAAGATGGCGTCGAGCAAGGTCTCCGAGAGGCCAAGGAGAAGCGCACATCATCAGAGGAAGCCGATTTGCCCAAAGCATTGAAGGGCTGGTTTAGCCAGGAGGGAGCGAAGGACAGCGAAGGGACCAGCAAGAAGGCTGCCGAGGATGGGTCAGAGGAGGAAGCTGGTGGCAAGGAAAACAAGAAGAAGAAGGCGGGCGAAAATGACAAGCAGGGGTCACCTTTGGGAGGTGCCGGTGGCGGGGGTGGCGGACCTCAAGAGGTCCGCATCAATGGCAATACTGCTATCGCCGCCATCATTGCGACGTACGTCATTTATCAAATCACCTCGCCCAGCTCCAATGCCCGTGAGATTACCTGGCAAGAGTTTCGCACCGCCTTCCTCGACAAGGGCCTCGTTGACCGCCTCGTCGTCGTGAACCGAACAAAGGTCAAGGTGTACCTGCACTCGAACGCCACCGGTACCATGTACGGCAAGGAGGCCTCTGCTCCCGGTGGCAACGGTCAGGCCGCTTATTGGTTCAGTGTCGGTTCTGTGGAGGCATTCGAGCGCAAGCTCGACGATGCTCAGCGGGAGCTCGCAATTCCGACGAACGAGCGCATCCCCGTCGCCTACCACGAAGAGATCAGCACCGCCAGCACACTCCTTCACTTTGCGCCTACGCTCCTCATCGCCGGCATCCTCTTTTACATGACCCGGAGAGCAGCGGGGGGGATGGGCTCGGGCGGTGGCGGTGGCGGTCCAGGAGGCATCTTCGGCATTGGAAAGTCGCGCGCAAAGATGTTCAATCAGGAGACCGACGTCAAGACCAAGTTTGACGCCGTCGCTGGCATGGACGAGGCAAAGGAAGAGATCATGGAGTTTGTCAATTTCCTCAAGAAGCCCGAGCGGTACGAGAAGCTCGGCGCCAAGATTCCACGGGGCGCCATTCTCTCGGGTCCCCCGGGTACCGGCAAGACGCTCCTGGCCAAGGCCACAGCTGGCGAGGCTGGTGTTCCTTTCCTCAGCGTATCTGGTTCTGAGTTTGTCGAGATGGTGCGTTATGCCATTTCTTTTGGCCCGATGTTGCGGACACTTGACTGACTCGGGACGCATCCTTTCAGTTTGTTGGTGTTGGTCCTTCGCGGGTGCGAGACATGTTTGCCAATGCCAAGAAGCACGCACCGTGCATCATCTTTGTCGATGAGATTGACGCCATCGGCAAGGCGCGAGGCAAGGGTGGCAGCTTTGGTGGCAACGACGAGCGCGAATCGACTCTCAACGAGCTCCTCGTTCAGATGGACGGCTTCAGCACAGAGGAGCACGTCGTTGTTCTTGCTGGTACCAACCGTCCCGACGTTCTGGACCCTGCTCTTCTTCGGCCTGGTCGCTTCGATCGACACATCAGTATCGATCGCCCCGACATTGGCGGACGGAGAGCCATCTTCATGGTTCATTTGAAGCCGCTCAAGCTCGCCGAGGGTACCGACAAGGAGATGCTGGCTGAAAAGCTGAGCACCCTTACCCCTGGCTTTTCGGGCGCCGACGTCGCCAATGTGTGCAACGAGGCCGCCCTCATCGCTGCCCGTGGCGGTCTCGCAGCTGTCGATGAGAACAGCTTTGACCGTGCCATCGAGAGAGTCATTGCTGGCCTGGAGCGGAAGACGAGGGTGCTTTCGCCCGAGGAAAAGAAGATTGTCGCCTATCACGAAGCGGGCCACGCTGTCTGCGGCTGGTATCTCGAGCACGCCGATCCTCTTCTCAAGGTCAGCATCATTCCACGGGGCGTTGGTCTCGGCTACGCCCAGTACCTGCCCAAGGAGAGGTATCTGTTTAGCACCGAGATGCTCATGGACCGAATGTGCATGACTCTCGGCGGCCGTGTTTCGGAGGAGATCAACTTTGGCAGCATCACGACGGGTGCGCAGGATGACTTGAGCAAGATCACAAAGATTGCCTTTGAGATCTGCGCCTCGTATGGCATGAACTCGACGATGGGACCCATCTCGTACAAGCCCGAGCAGGACTCAATGCACAAACCCTATTCGGAGAAGACCAACGAGATGTTGGACCAAGAGGTCCGCAAGATGGTCAGTGAGGTACACCGTCGCACGACGGAGCTTTTGACAAAGCACCTCGACGCGGTTGAGAAGGTGGCGCAGCTGCTGCTCAAGAAGGAGGTCATCACCCGAGAAGACATGCGCCTGACGCTGGGCAAGCGGCCTTTCAAGACGGCAGACGAAGCGGACGAGTACCTCGACAAGAAGGGCATTGGCATCCAGCGAGGCGAGACGAGTGCACCGCCGCCACCGCCCGAGGACTTTCCTAGCCCCGGTCTTGCTGCCAAGGGCGACGAGCCCAAGCTGTAGCAGTGCTTCTTTAATCTCTCGTTTTGAACCACCTCTCTGTTCCGAGTCAATTTTCTAGACTGTCTCTCTGTGCGCAATCTATGTATGCTTTCAAGGATTTTCGGAGTCCGTGATCGTGATGAGATTGAGTTGTGATTATGTTACATTTCGTGCAGCCGGGCTCCCAGCCGTGCTCGATCGATCATACGCTTCGCGGCGGCTTTCAGCAACAGCGGCGTCCTCCGAAGACGTAGAAGCGCAGAGTCTAGAGAGCTGGAACAATGACGTCCTTTGCAATAGTCCTCGCAAATACGATGCCGGCCACGAAAAAGCTGACGCCCCAGGCCACGGCCTGATTACCAGCTCGCTTCTCTGGGTTTGCGATCTCGTCTCGCCAGAAACGCTGGAGGAAGTTTGGCTGGGGTCGGCTTGCGCGAGGGGCAGCGGCCGACGATGATGGGTGGCCGCGAGGCTTGTTGAGGAATCCAGGGCTGTGCGTGCAAGCTGCCGTCAGTCCGTGTACGGTCTGCTCGTTGTCCTTCAATCATCACTCACTCCATTTTTCGCAGTCTTTCTTTTGCCTCGGGTGGATGAAGGGACCACAGAATGTCGAGAGCGGAGATGACGAAAGGCGACGAAAATTTTCACGTGATTTTCTCCTCTCTCGCAAGCCCTTTTCTTTGGCCTCTTCAGAAGGGAAGCGCAAGAATGTCCGCAGATTTCTGCTCACGTCTTGTTTCTCCTCCTTCAGCAACAGGAAGAACCCCCTATTGGTGAGTTTTCCAAGGCGAAATGTCCCATCTCTCTCAATGATGAGTCCATATACTGGCACCAGTCCGATCAACACATGACGGATAACCAACTTGCCGAGCGGTCATTATACGCAGACCGCTCCTGATCTCCTACCACCCTTTCATCGTTGTTTCGAAGAAAGAGAGGCTGACAAGATGCCCCGCACAGCCAGAGGGCCGCACGCCATGAGGCTGCCTCTCAATCCGAGAGCGTCTGCGCTCTTGAGGACGCCGGCAACGACAAAGACAAATGCCTCTTGGACCCGCATGCTTGCAACGTCAACGTCGTCGTCCCCTTCAACGATGGATGCCGAGAATGTCGCCCATTTCTCGCGCCTTTCTTCGCAGTGGTGGGACGAGAAGGGTGAATTTGCGCTGCTACACGCCATGAACCCGGTGCGGCTCGATTTCATGCGGGCAAAGATGCAGGAGGTGGGCGAGTGGGACGAGACGAGGGAGCTGCTCCTTGCCCGTGAGAGGGGCGATCGGGAGATGCAGGTGCAGAGAAAGTGGGAACAGGGCGGCAAGTGGCTGCAAGGGCTCAACACGCTCGATGTCGGGTGCGGCGGCGGTCTGCTGAGCGAGGTGCGTAATGACATCTCTAATTCTCCTCTCCTCCCATCAGCTCATTGAATTCTGTTACCTCCTTCAGTCGCTCGCCAGGTTAGGCGCAAACGTGACGGGTATCGATGCGTCACCGGAGAATGTTACCATTGCCAAGCTGCATGCTCAACATGACCCAAGCTTCTCAAAGGGAACACCTCGCTACGAAAACATCATGGCCGAAGACCTTCTCGCTCGCCGACGCAAGCAGAACGAAGAAGGCTTCGATGTCGTCTGTGCAATGGAAGTCGTCGAGCACGTCAAGGAGCCTGCGCTCTTTCTTGAGACGCTCGCCGATCTGCTCAAGCCGGGTGGTCACCTCTTCATGTCGACAATTGCACGGACGCCGCTGTCCTACTTTCTCACCATTCTCATGGCGGAGCAAGTCCTCCGTCTGGTCACGCCTGGCACCCACAACCACGCTCAATACATCAACCCCTCTGAGCTCGTCGACTTCTTCTCGACCAAAGTACCTTGGATCGGCCAGACGCAAACGCAGTCTCAGCCAGCCCGAATTCAGTACGAGACTAGGGGGGTGGCCTACCTTCCGTGGAAGGCCGGCTGGGAGCTGGCGCCAAGGGGAAGCGGGCGATACGGAAGCGAATTGGCAAACTACTTTTTCTGGGTCAGAAAGCCCCTTGCTGTAACATAAAAGATACTCTCATACCCTTGTAATAACAGAACGTCCGGTGTCAGTATACTGTTCTCGCCCCGCTCAGTGTGTCGTGGTCCTTGGGCTGGCTCGTGCGGCGTGGCTTGGTTGTGTGTGCGAAGCTCTGTTAGGCTTGCAGACGCGTCCATTGTTCTTCTTGTCTCTCTTATCGGCCCTAGCATACGACGAGTCGTGCCGGCCTTCCTATACCCACTTTCTCCCCTCCTTTGCCGCAGGCCCCTGTGAGGAACAGGACCCACGCCGCAAACGAGCGGGTGGGGCGCCAGCATGGCGACGGCACGCCGCTCACGAGGGACAGACAAGGGGCTGTCCGATGCAGCGGCGGCCGCTTCTTCGTCTCCGCTGCTGGCTGTCCTGCTCGTCACTTCGTCGTCGCGGGGCGCCTCGTTGGCCTTTCGATACCCGCGCAAGCCAAAGCTCTTTCGAAGATACAGCAAAGTCCGCTACTATGGGCGGCGAATGGCAGCAGAGGACGGCAGGCGGGCGGGGGCTGGTATGGGAGGAGAGGAGGACCTGGTGGGCGAAGACGACGAAGAGGCGCAGGAGGAAGAGGAGGACGAGCTGAGCGAGGACGAAGAGGAGGATGAGGACGAGGAAGACGGCGATGTCGATGAGGATGATGAGGAAGACGAAGAAGATTTGGCAATCGAAGAGAGCGAGGATGGGCTCGACGAAGAGGAAGATAGGAGCGATGATGGTGGGTTGAGGCGGACGAAGCGAAGGAACAGCTCCGCCGGTGAGGAAAGACGTCTGTCAGGGTCCAACACGGGAGGTCCTTCGCTGGTCAAAAGAGCTCTCGAGAGGTCTCGAGACGTCAATGTAGGCCTTGGAAGTGGAGCAGGCGTAGGGGGCTCTGGAAGCGACTTGGACGATGCTTTGAGCGGTGGTTCAGCGGCAGGCGGCAAGGACAGAGATCGAGAAACGACGGCCGATCACGCTCAGCGCAAAGCGCGCGCACAGAAAGCCTACCAAAAGTTCCTGGGCTACGACGTCGACTTCCTGGCCTCCGTTCTGGCACCTCGCAGGGAGCTCTGCCATCAGAAGTTTGAGCTTGTCATTGACGATCTCGCCTTTGTGGGGCATCCTGTATGCGTCGATGAGGATGGCCGATGGGATCCTGACGCAGAAGACATCGAAGATGATGCAAGGAGGGGCCGCGACCCCAAGAAGAAGCCGACACCTGCAACGAGCGGCATCCCAGAGGGCGATGAAGACTCATCGAGCGGCTACATCATCCACGATCCCTACGAGGACCCAAGGGAGTCTGCGAAATCATCTGGCTTCTCATCGTCGACGTCGTCGTCCATGACACTCTTCCATCTCGTCCTGGTTCTCGACAAGCCCGATCCATCGCCCTACATGCCTCGCCTTGACCTAACATCCTGGCTACAATTCTTCTACGACAACATTGCTTTCAAGATGACGGCGGCCCTCTTTGCCGAAGAGACTCGGTGCCACTACATCTCGAGGGAGAGCGAGAAGCTGAGCCTGCTCCGAGAGAGGTGCATGGACGATGGTCAGTCCTACACCTCCTTTCTGACCCACTCGCTCCACGTCTCGTCGCTTGCCCGGTGTCTCAAGCAAGTCCATCTCTCCATCTCGACATCGTCCAACGCCTTCGTCACGATCAACGACTCGATCGACGCGCATCTGCAGTTGCCACCGTTGCTTCACGACCCGTCCAGGATTGCAAAGGTGGCCGATGTTGAGACACAGGTTGACCTCAACGATCCCATCTTCATCGAAGCGGCCAACAACGGCCGCACTGACGCTCAGCAGAGGCCTTCGAACCTCGGCGATGTAATGCTGCAGGAGTGGACAAGGACGACGGGCCCACTCTTGCTGCCGTGGCAGACGCTTCTACTGCTTAACGATCGCTTGGGCAAGGCTGCCACGCATACAAGGGGCAGGGCGCCGGCCGCTGGGCCAACGGCTATCCCCATGGCAGCCACAGCATCGTCGACCGCAGATGCAGAGACGGCAGGGGAGGAGTCTGACGAAGAGAGCCTGGCCTCCTTTGCTGGTGATCAAAGCCTGGATGCCTGGGCACGAAAGTTCACCCGTCTCTTGCGGCCCACCTTGAGCGGCGTGCCAACGTGAGGATGGATGCTGTGATATATTGTGGCAACCTGCAGCTAACTCTTTGGTTCTCACAGCTTTGCAGAGATCGCGCACCTGCTCGACTGGGACCTCTACGAGGATGTATACCCTATGGTGCGCCACCTGATCTACTACCGAGAGGCTCGCGTTGTCGACGTGCCCCGCATCCAAAACACCTATTCTATCTCACCGCTATTAGAGTTGGAGAAGCTGCCAAAGCTGAGTATCTCTTGGTCTCTCCGATTCGCCAATGCCAAGACCCTCCCCCCGTTGGTCAGCTTCCTGGCGAATCTGTCGTCGGGCCTCAGACCTTTTCACCACCTCATGCCTGCCAGAAAGGCCGAGGAAAAGGGGCTATGCCTCGACTGCCTCGTCTGGTTACTCCGACACGAAGTCATTGTGCAGATGCACGTCAGACTCAGGCTCGTGGCCAGCGAAGAAGTCAAGCGAAAGGCGGCCGCGGCCAGAGCAGTGAAGCGAAAGAGAAGGAGCGAGATCAAGGAGAAGAGAAGGCAGAGGGAAGAGCAAAGGGAGAAGAAAAGAGCTGCAAGAGCTGCAAAGCTTGCTGCTCGAGCAACGGCGGCAAAGAATGTGGCGCCGCTGCTTGTCAAGGCTGAGGAGCGGCAGAACCAGCGCGACCAGCAAGAGCAGCAGGAACAGCACGCCTCGAGATCGGCGCCTGCCGATGTTCCCGGTGATGCTCTCGGTCTGGATGTCAAGCCCAAGGGAAGGGGTCGGAGCAGAGAAAGGTCACTCTCCCCATTTGTCGAAAAGCCTCCACCGTCCGGCATCACGACAGTAATGAACGCGAGCATGCTTGAGTCGTCGCCGTCATCCTCTTCGACAGCCCCGAGTAATGGCGCTGTTGTCTCGCCATCTGCTGCTAATGGATCTGCGATTGCACCAGCTGCGACGAACAACTACACTCGTGGCCATTCTCGCAACAGCAGCAGTGCTCACACAGTAATGACAGCGGCGATTGTAGCAGACTTGGACGCTCAGATTGCCGGCGATGAGCTCAAATTCGAGAGAAGACCAGTGCTGCGATCACGATCACCTTCTCGGGTCTTGAATTTGGCAGGCACCAGCTTAGGATCGTCATCGGCAGCTCCTGCCCGAGGATCGTCGTCGAGACCATCTACGCCCAGAGGAAGAGCCGTCAATATCCTGCATCACCATTACCATGGGCATTCTAGGACGCCCTCATCGTCTTCTTCTGGGGGCGCCGCTCCTGTCGGTACTGTCTCTTTCTCAGGCGGCCCGACTGCTGGAGGCGGGCTTCCGCAAAGCGTCCCCCTCTCGACTCATCCGTCGACGACAACGCCGACGACAGGCGGCGCGGCGTTGAAGAGGGGTAATCCGAGGCGAATTATGAGCAGGAGCCCTTCGCGAGCCAGGCTCAGAGTCACGGGATTCGGCGAAGAAGAGCAAATCGAGGTGGAAGAGGGTGGCGAGGACGACGAAGCAGCATTGGGAGTTCCCGAGGGGGGAATGATTGTGGGAATTCAAGATGAGGACGCAAGGAGATTAAGCTTAGTCGGTGAAGAGGACAGTGGCGCGCTGGGCCTAGAGACCGGACAAGAGGAAGATTCCGAGGAGAGCTCAGCCGAAGAGGAAAATGAAGAGGAAGAGGAAGAAGAGGAAGAGGAAGACGACGGCGAAGGAAGCGAAGCAGAGTGGTGGGAGTGGGACCCCAAAGCAAGCATCATCGGTGAGCCAAGCCGAGCGACACGCGAAGAGAATGAGTGGATCGCAATCATGGTCCAGGACAGGGACGCACAGCTGGCGCAACGCTTCTTCAGGCTGCTCCCTTATCTCAATGGCAAGCACACCGTCGACGAGATTGTCTACCGCGAGGAGATGAGGCGGAGGGACTTGAGGTCCGTCCTGAGCGCCTTTAAGGATGAAATCATGACGTTTGTCCACCCCTAGGGCCGCTTCGACCTCTTGACTTCTCTGACACATCTCCATGTCCAATTTTGTACATCATCATATGCATCAATCTATCATCACCATTTGCCGAGCACAATGTTTGCACCGGCAAATCGGAGTTGCATCCGGGGACCAAACAGGGTCTATTGAATCGGTGGCGCACTTGTCAGCAAAGCCACTGATAAATTCCCAAGCGATGAAAGAAAAAGAAAAAAAAAAGTTCACTTCGGAGATGGAGCCCTGAGAAAGGAATCAGCCCGTCGAGCCACCTGAATGATGCTGTCTGTTCGTCATTTCTTCACCAACGGGCTATGGTACAGCCACGGCAGCTCAGCATGGCGCAAGCCATTGCTCGTACAGCTACGACCTGCAAACGCGTGCGAGCTAAGCTTGAGACGGGTCGGTGGTGGTAGTGCCAGACTCGCGCAACTCTTGTCCAGCTCTCTTCCCTTGTGCACCTGGATCGATCAATGAAAGTTGGCCTCCATGCTATGCTCTTTACCGCTACGATCTCAAGCGTGAGATAGCGGCAGAAGCACGCTAGCCTCCCTCGACTTCCGGCTCAACGACGAGACCATACGGTAAAGAGCTAGGTCGTTGGCCGACCCGGCCTTTGAAACACTGTGTCCCTTGTGGCCGTGTCGACAGTAGTTCAATGGCAGCGCAACTTTGTTCTCATGAGCAACAGTACCTGGAGCGAAAAGAGGGCCTCGCCCTTCGGGCCTGCCTCGGAGGGCAATAAAATCGACCGATCGAATGATTCTTAAAATACGAGATCGAGGCTAAGCTCTCATCCAGAAGGTATCTATCAATAGAAATGTTGAGCTCAAAGCTTGAAAAATCCACTGTGACGTTTAAACGCATGTCCAAAAAAGATAGAAGAGTAGTCCGAAAATCGAGAACGGCGAGCGCGTGTCGTCGGGTCAGTGGTGAAGATCGAGCGTACGCACAGTTCAAACCCCGAAACAGGGACATGAATGCGTGACCACGGTTGTTTCTGTTTGCTTCATCCAACGCTGGCACGTCTTTTGTTTGCTCGTTTTTCCTCTCAACAAAGAGCAAAAGGAAGAGAGAGGACCAAGCCGTTGCCCAATTCATCGGTTGCGAGGGCAAGAGGCAAGTAGGAAGAACGAGAGAAGGACCGACTTTCATCCAAGACGCGATCCTTCTCCACTCTACTACGCCGAATCGAGCGAGCGCAGAGGGCGTCTCAAATCTTCGACACCTCAACCAGAATAGAAGGGAATGTGCGAAGGCCGCGCTGTAGGAAAAGCCGATATCCTGCAGTCCCTGGTGTAGTCGCTTGTGCCTCAATCATGACCGCATCGTCATCGAATCCTGCGTCGCAGCCCGCCATTGCGCCTCAGCTCGAGGAGAAGATCGAGGCGGTGCGGAGCGAGAAGCTGCTGGCTGATGCAGAGCGGCGGAGGATCGCAGTCCGCGCCAAAAATGAGAAAGCTAGGCGAATGGTGCGACGGCTCGAGAGCTGCGATGGGGTGAGTGCCTTCGTCAGACAGTGGCAGAGACACAGGAGGCTGACCGGGCCCTTGGGTTTTCTTTGTGAAAAGAACATTGCCGATCTGCTTTCACAGGCATCCGATTGCCTCCGCACGCTCGTCGATGCGACGGCGCATGAGTCGGCCTATGCTGCCCATGCCGACGTAAGGAGCTACAACGAAAGCGAGGATGAGCTTCGCAAGACGTTTGAGCTTCGCGCTCAACAGTGGTTCGCTACGCTTCACGAGGTTCAGCTCGGGCTTCGGTCTGCCGTTCGCAACCTCCGAAAGGCGCAGATGGAGCCAACGCAGAGGGATATCTCTGCCGCCGCTGGCGGTCCCGCCTCGTCTTCCTCGTCATCATCTTCCGTGCCTGCCTCGCCCGCGCTCAACCACGTTGGAAAGGCCGAACGAGGCCATGGGCTCGGCATACACACCACCGAAGCAAGCCTGTCAGAGTCCTCTTCCTCGTCGCGCTCCTCGCTCCTCGACGCCTTTGTCGATGTCGGCCTTAAAGGCCCGGATCTCATCGCTGAGGACAAGAAGGCAACCAAGTCGTCGTTGTTGCATGACACGAAGCTTTCCCTCTCGGCGTTGCGCATGCAGGAGCACAGCTGGCAGCAGCTCGCAGAGGCCCTGGGCGAGATTGCAGAGAGGCGCCAGGCTGGCTCGCGGTCCAGTAAAGGATCGCAACGGGCCACCTCTCTTCCTAAAATGAGCCAGGGTCAGAAGGAGCGCGTGCGCAGTCTGGCAAACGATCTTGTGGCCGCAAAGGACAGCCAAGACTCGCGGCTGATGTCGGCCTTGCTCCAGATGGGCATTGGTCCTACGGACGACGTCGGCACCATGGCAGACTCGATGAGGGCAGATAGCGGTCGGGCCTGAGCCGCATCAAAATTCGCTCAGATCATCAGCATACACATCCTAATAAGCACCATCTATACATCTCTCTTTCTCAGCACACATTACAGCCCAGTATCTATCTTCTCCTTGTACCTTCGGCATCACTCTTTTTTCATAGCTCTCACATAAACATCCTTATTTCTGCTACAATGACGCTCTACCAAAGTGACGCTGTTTTCCAATGACTCTCTCACCCCTCTTGCCATCGTCGAGTCGTATGGAAGACGCCGCCAGGATGGACAATGGCATCTAGCGTGCGGTCGTCTTCATCTGCCGGCACCCTCTGATCAGGCGGAAGTATCTGCTCCTCGAGGCTCAATGCGACCGAGGTGGGAAGCTGTGCGCCTGTTTCTCGCGCGAACGCATCGGCACGAGCAAGGTAGCGATCGTAGTAGCCCTTGCCGTGACCTAATCGGCCACCTTGAACGTCGAAGGCAACGCCAGGTGCCAGGATGAGGTCGAGCCCTTGCCCGCCCGTTGATTCATCGAGCGCTGCCGAGTAGTGTCAGCCTCTTACAAGCTCGGTGTCAGGCCTATGTGTTGCTCTTTTCTCACCGTCTTGCCGCCCGTCAATCTCTGGTTCCCTAATCCCCCACCGGTTGCGGACCATAATCTCAAAGTCGGCCCAGTCGCGTATCCGGAGCATCTTCATGTCGTTCTCAAAGGCGCCCTTGACGCCGGCTTCGGTCGCAAAGCGGGGCACATACAGCTCCTTTTGTTGCAGCAGCACAGACCGGCAGATGTCATCGGTGCGTACCTCGGACGTGTCCGTGTTCACATAGACGCAGACCCGCTGAGCGCGGGTATACGTCGGCGAGGCGAGGATGCGTGCGGCGACTTGCGCGGACTGCGCGGCGAGCGAGGCTGGCGCGACAGAGGCGAGTGTCGACGACATTTGTCGGCGCAGCTGCCGCTTCAGGAGCCGAATCGAAGGGGCTGCGGTGCCGGCGGCGGCCGAGGAGGACATGGTGCGAGCGCTGCCGATATAGTCGTCGGCGTCGGTGTTGGTCATGGGGGGATGGGACAAGGCAGTGGGGGAAAGAAAGTAAGAAATTCACGTGGAGGTGTTGGTCTGGAGAACGAGAGCGAGATTGATTCCTCACAAAACAACCGCGCTCGCTTTCCATCCGGTGCAACCACTCTCTCTTGGCGGTGAGGGGAAAGCGGCGATGAAGATCAAAGTCAAGCACTGGACAGGTGTCGCGTATTGGGTATGGGACCTCAAAGACCCTGATGACATTTGCGGAATCTGTCAGAGCGGCTTTGATGGCTGCTGCGCCAACTGCCGGGAGGGCGGCGATCAATGTCCCCTGCGTGAGTAGGCTTCTTCTCTCCCCTCATTTCCCTCTTGTTGTCATGGGCCGCTAACTATGTCTGCCACGGCCGCTCAGTGTTTGGAAAATGTAGCCATATCTTCCACATGCACTGCATCATCCGGTGGGTCGACTCGCAAAACCAGCAAAACGAGCCAAAGTGCCCCATGTGCAAGCGTGATTGGCGTGAGTGTGCGAGCCGCCAGAACGGGAGTACTGGGACGAGGATGGAAGCTGACAGCTGCGCTGTTTGCCCACAGAGGTCGTGCCTGCAGGCAAGGATGGCAAGGAAGAGTCAGAGGCAGCGGCAGCGACAGCGGGCACGGCAGATACCCGCGGCGAGGACAGCCTCATGGCAGACGGCAGCGTCAGCGGCCAGAGCGTCACCTCTTGAGCCGCTGTGCTATACTGGGGTAGAAGAAATGGGGGCGAGTGTATCTATAGTTTCTTGTAATTGTAACACTTGCTTGCTTCAATGAGACATTGGCAAGATGAACAAGCGGCGCTCTTGCTGCTGTCCTTGACCTGCTCTGCCATTTGGGGCAGTCAATCAAGGCGACGGTGTGTTTATGTTGGGAGAGGGAACTACCAGCTCAGGCTCTCCTGCATCCATCTTGTTCATAGCTATGAGGGCAATCAAGACTGTTCACAGTAAAGAAGGATGATGCTGCAATTGTTCAGATTAATGTGCGTCCAGAGACGATGATGTTGATGGTGATTATGAAGTTGTAAGTTGCACAAACATGAAGGTCCTTTGATGTGGATGAAAGATTCGATGAGGAACGACCGCCATCGTCGCCAGGAGGATGAGGTCAAAGTTGGCGTTCCAGCATCTTAGGCGCAAACGACGTCGTCGCCGGCGCCATCCAGCTCCGTCGTCTTCGCGTTGACCTCCTTGACGTTCTGGTACATCGCGCTCTGGTCAGCGAATATTCCGCGAAGGAAGCTCTTCTAGAACGGAGGGAGGAAAGCTCACCTTAGAGGCTGGAGCGGCCTGGCAGTATGGCTTGACTTTCTTTCCGCCAGTGCTTCTCGTGATTGTAGTCTTCTTTGCTCCAAACACAATCTCCGTCGTCGAGCCGTTCTTGGGCGCCGTCTCAAAGACGGAGACCTTGTCTCCGTTGTTGAAGAGGTAGTTCTTGCCATCGTAATAGCAATCTGCACCGTGTGCATCAATCTTCACATCCTGCGAGGCACCGAGGCAGTGCGTCGTCGACTCGGTGCACGAGACGCCCTCGTAAAAGAGCTCGCAGGGGTTGTTCCAGCCCGACTGGTTGAGGTACTGGCGCGGTTCGAGAAAGGCGGAAGAGTCTGTGTCGATGGGCAGCGAGTAGGTGACGAATGCCGTCAGGCTCGCCGAGAGGAGAGCAGCGAAAAAGAGCATCTTCGTCATGGTTGCTGTGCTGTGAAAAGGATGGCCTGTAGATTCGGTGGGATGCGTCTTTGAAAGAATGTGAGAACAAGCAGCGATTTCAGCAAAGCAAATGAGTGTGTCCTGGGTCTGGTCGAGGGTCTGGTCGATGGTGGTGATGAACCAGGCTTGGCGACTACCCCGTCATGGAAACATCTGCCTGCATGCGAGCGACCCCTCTCTTCCTCTGCGGTTGTACAACAGTAAATGACTAGACTGCACTATCTACTTGCCTCGAAGCGCAAGTAATGCGAGCTGTGCGTTGATTTATTTGTTTTCCTGAAATAGGCGCACTATACGCAACGCAAGGGTTCAGAGCGAAACGCAGCTCTATATTCCCGCCCTCTCTCGCCCCTCAGCCGAGGTTGGGCAGTTTCGCGGTAGGGCTGAGGGAAGAAAAAATCGCCGATTTTGTTTTTGTTCGTTGGGTTTTCTATACGATCAGTGGCTGCTGCTACTGCTGCACCTGCAGTAGGTCAAGGTATGGATCGGCAGGCCAACAAAACATTTATAGCAGGGGACTTGGACAGAGCGAGCACGACGGAGAATGACTGATCATTGCTTCTCGATGAGAGGTGTAGGAAAAAATAGTTCTTTCGGGACAGCTGGCTCGTCGACCTTCTCGATTAGTAGTGGCCGCACTCTGCATCGGCTTTGGGCTTGTATTTGGTCTGCGACTTGCCGTCCAGGGTCCAGACCTGTGAAGAGAAAGAGCCATGTCAGCTCAAGTCTACAGACAGAAGGGTATGAATCACACACCATCGTGTCGTCTCTGAAACGGCAATTGATCCAGGGGTGATCCCTGCTCCTCCGAATCGTGCTTTGGTCCGCTCCAAAGTAGATGTTGACCGTATCGCCGTTTTCGCTGGTGATGACGACGCGGGCACCGTCTGAGAATATGAACGTGTCTCCATTGCGTCCACACCACTTTGTCACCGTGTTCTTGACATCAATCTTGTATGGGTGAGACTGGAGGAAGAGACAGTGGGTCCTGTACATGTTGCAATTTATCGGTTTGTCGAGGTCTTTGCAGGTGTACCGATCGGTGTTGGGGATCAGGTAGGGGATTAGCGACTGTTCGCTCGGCATCTGGGATAAGAAATGTGGGATGTTAAGCGAGTCGCGCTTAGCGATAGTGGCAGGGCTAGCGAAGGCGATGCCTCCAAAGAGGGACGAAGCCAGGAGGAAGAGGACGGTGAGCTTCATGGTTGGTCGTGGACCCGGCGTTGGGAGACTGAATGGTTCGAAGAGCTGGAAGGGACAAGTCGATGAGGTTCGTGAAAGGGGCCTCAGAGGAGGGAATGCCTCCCTTTATAGCCACTTGCTCCTTGTTCGTACAGCACAAAAGGGCCGCGCTGAGCTGGTGCCCAAATCCGAGCAGTCGTCGTTCGCAGCGGAAGTCAGAGGGAAGGCACCAGGATATAGCGGAGCAGACGGATTGACGAGTTGCCCAGAACCTGGAGCCTCCGACGACCAAGCGACATCGACAGCGGCCGCTCTCGCTTCTGAGCGGAAAGTCTTACCGTTGAACCTCTTCGCGGCGACGGAGATGAAAAGTAGCTGACCATCGTTGCTGTCATCGGTTTACCGAGAGGACAAAAGGAGCTCAGCTTTTTGCTTCCTCTCCTGTTTTGTCCTTCTTTTCCTCTTTTGCGTGCCGCGCGCAGCTCACTCTCTCTGCCGCGCCCGCTTTCCATCTCAGAGCTTGTGCCGCGCCAGCGTAGCCCTGACAGCGCGGAGCAACTCGACAATGACACACGCGCGAATCGAGGTGCGCTCTGAATTGCGCGGATCAAGGGCCAGTCAGGATTGCGATGCCAAGAGCGGAGCGCAGTCTTTCGGGGAAAAAGGGAGAGAGAGAGAGAGAGAGAGAGAAAGAGAGAGAAAGAGAGATCTCCTATCGTACAAATGTTGGCAAACTGTCTTGCTTGAATGTGCTGCGTAGGAGGAGCATTGATTACCAAGTCTGCTTGCACTACTTATGACGATTCTGTTGTTGCTTTTTGCCGTTTCCATTCGGCCCGGTAGTCAATAAGGATGTACGTCTCATCGAGAATAGGCACCTTAAGCTTCTTGGCGCGAATCGCAGCGCGAACAGCCTCGCGGCTGATGACAATCGTCGGCCCTTGATTTCCAAGCGTGCTTCCAGCTCCGCCACTCCCTTTATCGCTGCCTTCTCCATCCTTCTTTTTCCTCAACCAAAGCAGGCCCAGCTCCGCCAGCGCAAACGCCACGTCTTCTGTCCTCATCGATGTGGCAGTGGCCAAACGCTCCTGCGAGAACTCATAGCCGGTCCAGTCCGAATCTGGGTCTAGCCTTGCGTCTTGCTGGATGTATTCCTCTTCCAACGTCGCGCGTCGCACAACTTCGCCATTTGTTTCTCGAGTCGTGCTCGTAGCCGACAATGGACTCGTATCCATAAGACTCTCTCCAGCAGGTGTTCGATCTGGCGTCCGACGCTCCACCTTGTCTGTCGACTCATGGCCTTTTCCCAAAGGGGTCGAGATGGACGGGGAAGAAGAAGAACCAGCAGCGGCCAGTTTGGAAAGCGAGGACATTCGTGGCACCTCACCAGCCCAGCCCTTGGAGGCTCGCCTTGCCTTTTTTGCCCGTTGCGCTTCCTCTTCACCGTCGTCGACGCTGGAAAAGAGCCTCTTGGTGGCAAACGGTCCGTCGTGATGAGCCGTTGCTAAGCCGAGAAGGATGCTGCGGATGCGAACGCAGGCACGTCGCTGTCGCTCTTTTGCTAAGGCTTGCTGGTTGCTGGCATTTTGCGCGTGCAGCTTGCCCCCGTGACGAGTTGCAGATGCATTGTATGTCGACGGAAGCAGAAGCGGACTGATGTCCGGAGCCGTATCGTTGTAGGCCAATGCCAGCGTTCGCAGTACAACAGCAGACCAAAACGAGACATAGCCCTTGAAGCCAAGATCAGACAGCGGTCGCTCGGGCGTTCCAGCAACCTCCGTCAAGGAAGAGAGGTAGTAGCTGAACTCGATCATGAGTGTGCCGTAGTTTCGCTTCTGATATGGCGGGAACGTAATGATGCAAGCGAGGTTGTAGTCATCGTAAGAAATCTTTTCCTGCGATATGGCGATTTCGTGCGTGAGCGTTGCCTCGTCAGAGCAGATTCTCGAACGTGTGTGTCGCTCACCTTGGAAAAGTAGCCGATGACGTGGTCAAATTGGCTGGTGGCCTCGGTCAAGACGTAGAACATGAATGGCTCAACGTCAAAGTAGATAGTCTTGTGGTCGATGAAAAGCTTGCCGAACAAGGACAGATTTTGACAATAAAGCTGCGACGGGCGTCAGCCTGGGTCTGGAAGGGAAGATGGTGATCCGCTCACCTTTTCCTTTTCGCCATCAACTTCCCAAATGATGAGTGCTCCTCTCTGGTAGGCCTTTCGTCCTGGGGGGTGAGTGTATCGGCAGTCCTTCTAGAGCACAATATCGTTAGAAGATGTCACTGACTGTGTAGCCTGATCGACTCACCTTGTGAACGGCATAGCCGGCGTATGTGCGCATGTACTTGAAGCACCCTTCACACACCCACAGGTTCTTGATTGGGGGCTCGTCTGATTGCTGAGCACCGTTGACAAGAGCTGAGGACGCGGTTGGAGCGGGGCTCATGACGGATGGAGCAGGTGTCGGGGCGAGGGTAGATGCAACAGCGGTGTCCGCAGCGCCAGCCGTGGGTATCTGCATCGGCTCACTTGAAACGCTCGAGGCGGTTGGAGAGGCGGGCAAGGACGATGCTGGCATTGATGCGTGGTCGACGGAGGCCTGCAGCGCCGGTGCATCTGCCGCACTATTCGAGAGGGCTCCTCCGATCCCACTTACTGCCGGCGCTGACGCAGACACGATGCCGGCCTGGGCAGAGGTATGAGGAGACCCACCACCATTGGTCGCCGAAGCAACACGCTCCAGCGCGGATCTGCGAGGCTCGCCACGATGATGACCGCCTCGGCCACCACGTCTGCCCCTCGTCGCAGAATCAGATCGGTGCATTGTCGAGGTTGCGCCGTTGGACGTCGAAGCAGAGGACGAGGTGGTCTCGTCATCCTCGAGGACGTATGGGCTACGGTACCATGTCTTTATCTCATAACTGCCGTGAATGACACTGTTCCCGTGCTTCCCGCTTCAGCAAAGTATTGAGGAAAGTGAGCATCGAGTATAATACTTACTAGTCAATGTTGCGCTTCGCCACCTTCTCCTTGGTTCGTCGAGACGTCTCGCTGCCAGCTTGGGCCGTCAGAGGCGACGGTAGAGGAGAATCCATTGAGGCGCCGACTTGATGAGTCGGAGCAGCAGGAGCTTGGAGGGAGAGGTTATGTGACGAAGAAGCCTGCACGAGGAAAAGAGAAGGGCAAGAGGGACACTTGGGTGAGCAACTATATCGACCCTCCCCGCGGCAGCCCCGCCAGCGACGGAAGCAGATTCAACGGAAGCTACCGTGCCAGTTGCTCACCGTATGTCTTGGTGTCTCAGGACCCTTTTGCCTCGTGGATTCAAGACTGACACGCGATGGTCCAATAGAATCCTGGCCGGGAACACTAGCACCATTTTGGGCGGCTGCTTCCCTAGGAAGGGCGAGGGGATCGTGCAGCGACATTGGTCGGAAAAGTGACCGTCCTCGCGACGCGCTTGGGCTCTCAATCTATACTCATGCGCCGAGATACGCCAGCTCGGGTCTCTTGCTCCTTACTCGGATGTCGGGATATTGGCGATGTTCGCAGATCGCGGTAGGAAGACGGACTGGGAAGCCCCGACTGTGATCGCTTGTGAGCTTGCTGGAGGCGCCACCGTCAAAAGCGCAACTTTCTTTCTTCCGCGAGGGTGCCACAACCTCCGGCTCGAATGCGAGAAAAAAAAGCGTAAAAAGGTTGAGCGGAAAACATCGGTGCGTCCAACACGTGGCTGTTGCTCCTTCTACCTCCACTGGAAGCTCTTGACGTGATGCGCCTTCTGCATTGACCTCTGCAGGCTGCAGCATCGCTCCCTCGCCGTCTTCGATAGAACCGCTATGCTTGCTCGAATATCGGTCTTCGGCTTGCTGGCGCTCAAGGCAGCATCTGCGGCGGCAGACCGTGGCCAGCTCGTCTTCCAGTCGACGGATCCTGCGAACGTCCCCGAGAGGCCACTATATGGCAGATTTCTACATTTCACCGATATTCACCCTGACAAGTTTTATACGCCGGGGACCAGCGTCAACGATGCCTGCCATGGCAAGAGCAAAGCATTTCCGCAAGAAGGTCAAATGATGTGCCAGGACTATGACGATACAACGATGACGAAGAAGAAAAAGAAAAAGAAGAAGGAACGCAAGAATCGAGCGGGATTCTGGGGAACCGGCATTAGGTTAGGGATGACCCAGATGCAGAGACTGGCTGCTTGCTGATCTCGCTATACGGGCTTTTGTAGCGTGTGTGACTCGCCCACGAGACTAGTCATAGCTACGCTCGACTGGCTTGCTCGGAACTGGATGGTGCCTTCAGAAGAGGATGCCAACGTGTACTCAGAAGGCGTCGACTTTATCCTCTGGACCGGCGATACAGCGAGGCACGACATTGATTTTACGCATCCCAGAAGTGCCGAGGAAATCTTTGGCTATAATCGCTGGGCGCTGGAGGAGGTTGAGAAACGTTTTCCTGGCGTTCCCATTGTGCCTAGCGTCGGCAACAATGATATCGTGGGTGGATGCGGAGAGGCAAGCTGATGAGGCCCTGACACGCCCAATCCCCCTCAGATCCCGCACAACATCATGTTTCCCGGGCCAAATCAAATGACAAAGGCATTTGAGGAGATATGGTCCAAGCACATTCCCGAAAGCGAAAGGGACGCATTTCGACAAGGGGGTTACTTTTCGACCGAGGTCATTCCAGGCGAGCTTGCCGTCATTAGCCTCAACACCCTCTACTGGTACGACAACAACGCTGCCGTTAGAGGATGTAAAGGAAAGCAGGACCCTGGCTCCTTACATCTGGTGAGTCCTGCTCTACCACTGGCTCCTTCAGCCCCGCAATTGACGTTCTTCTCCGCAGGATTGGCTTGAAAGCAAGCTGATCGAGCTCCGAAATGCGAGCGTCCAGTCGCACCTCATTGGCCATGTTCCGCCTACGGCTGGCAACTTGTTCCCCCACTGCTACGATCGCTACACCGACATTGTGCTTCGCTATCAGGTGAATTGCTTCTTCTTCACATGCCTCATCGCTGAGCTAACTACCTTCGGCTTGATCCACTTAGGATAGCATCGTTGGTCAGCATTTCGGTCATATGAATATAGATTCGTGGTTCCTCCAAGAAGAAGGGGCACTCGCCACCGAAGACGAAGCGTTCAACTCTTGCACCGCTAGAGCAACCGAACGTCCACCTTTCCACGCCGAAACGCTCGCGTCAGATCTTCAAAAAGAATTTGACAGCATTCCGACTCGCCAGAAGGCCAATCTGGACGCATACATGCCCTTCTTTGTTGCGCCAAGCGTCGTACCCACTTACTATCCCGCTGTGCGTGTCTGGACATACAATGCGACCCGAGACCCATCCCCACCGGCAATCCCACTGTCCAATGAGCAAGCGTCAATCGATTCCGAGGAAGAGCTTGGAGGAGACGATGAGGAAGATGCAGCCTGTACCTCTCTTCCACAAAAAGTGAAGATTCAAAGGAGCCACCGTCGGCCAAAGCACGGCAAGAAAAAGCACAAGAAAAACGCTCACCTTCCTCGGCACGTTGCTGAGGATTCTCCAGCGCGGAAAAATGGCTATCGGACGATGCTGGGCTACAGCCAGTGGATTTTGGACATTGATCGGGCCAATAGAGAGGATCAAGGGCCAAGCGAGGAAAAGGGCGTGGAATATCAGCTAGAGTATACGACCTACAACGCAAAGACGCTCTGGAGCGAATTTCGTGAGGAAGGGACAGGACCTAATGCGCATGTTCCCGTGCCCAAGGCTCTTCTGCAGAAGCAGCTGGATAGGCTCGGACTCGACTCGCCGGACGTCTCGGCCTCTCGCACATCGTGGCAGTCGTGGTGGCGAGGGAGGAAGGCGAGGAAGCACATCAAGCGATGGACAGAGTACGGCCTGCCGAGCATCACGGTGGACCACGTGCTCGAGTGGGGAAGGGAGCTGGCGGCGTCAGCTGGCAGCGGCAAACGCAAGAAGCGTGGTGTTTGGAAGCGATTCGTCGACCGAATCTACACAGAGAGCGGAGCGACAGACTGATGCTAGATTCTGGTGCATGCAAAGCGACAAAATGATTGACTTCTACAAGTGATGTGTGCGAGAGTGATAAAAAGGTGTTAAGAGCAGCAAGAGCATCTAGCCGGAAAACGAGCTATGATCCTGATCCAGCCATCGTGCAATTCTTGACCATGTAGTGGAGCGCTCGGGCTCAAACCAGTCAAAGAGCGTAAAGTCGTGAATCCCGTCCAGACACTCGTCGAGGATCACGACGCGGTCCTCGCCGCCCACGTCAAAGTATGACTCTTCCTTGCCATTGGCAGCACCGTGGCCGTTGGCACGAGTCTCACCTGCGGCATGCTGATTATTGCATTCCTCTTCGTGTTTGTCGTTGCCGAGCTGGCTGACAAATCGATAGCGCCGGTTCTGTCCGTTGTGCTTCTCATCTTCCATGTTTACAAAAGCCGAAGTAGACGGGTACGCTGTCAAGTGGTGAGAGGGACGTTCGTTCTTGCCCGTTTCATCTTTCCCGTTCGGCTTCCCTGCGAGCTTATTGAAAGATCTCGACGAGGAGGAAGAAGCGGATGAATGAGCTTTCTTACTATCCTCTATGTCCCTCTCTCGTTGTTGCTCTTCTAACGAAAAGGCCTGCCCATGCGTTACACGAGAACCTTTCTGCTGATCGGCTTCGCGGACCTCACCCTCGATCAGAGGGCTCCCCTCGCCCGCGGCTGGATTCGACGCTGTCGCATTGGCTGTGTTTTTGAAGGCTCCTTCCGGCGACGCGGTCTCATCGTCAACCTGCTCTGATCGTTTCCATTGTTGCGCATCTTGTTCCTCTTGACTGCCCGCAGCTTGTGAGGCGGGGTTCAACCTGCTAGGTCCTCTCTTGAAGGGGGTAGCCTTCATGGACCGGTACACGGCCGGTTGCTCCTCCTCTACCCCGCTCTTGCTCTTCATGAGCTCCATCCCGCCCCCCTTGGGCGGGCCCAGCGGGGTGCCCAGGGGCGTATTCTGAGCGCTTGGCCACAGTGTGACCTCATGTTCCTCTGGTCTCGGATAGCATAACCTTGCGGCCATCTCATACGGATCCTCGTGCCTGCTGGCCTCACAGCCGACCAAGAGAGGCACTCGCCTTCGGGTTCCACCCGCGAGACGGTGCGCTAGAGTCAAGTGCTGATCGTGCGAGATCTCTGCTGTGCCAGTGGACACGTAGATCTTCTTGGGAAATCCTCGAAAGCCCCAGTCAGGCCCCGAACCTCCCTTGTCAGGGCTGAGCTGCAGTGAAATAGAAGAGAGGTAAGGATTACGGTACGTCTCTCTCGCTGGCAGCTTGCCGAGCAAAGCGCCCACGGCCGTGTTCCGAAAGGATACCGAAGGGCTGATGATGTCGCAGTAATTGTTGATGACGGAGGTGCTGAGTTTGTTTGGCGCATTTGTTGGTCCCGAATGGGAGCGCGAGGTGTCGGCCCAAGGAGACAGTAGGAGCATCGCGCCGGGCATTCCATCGATGCCTTCGTCTCGAAGATAGCGACACATAGCCAGTGCCAAGTTTCCACCTGCGCTGTCGCCTGCGACGACAATATTTTCAGGCTCGAAGCCGCACTCGCCGACCAGGTATCGGTAGCCCGCTAGAGCGTCGAGAAGAGCAGCGGGGTAGCTTCCTACCTCCGGCCTTCCGGGTACGCAGAGCCGATAGTCGAGGGAGAACGATCGTTTGCAGTGACCGCCCGTTGACGTGTTGGGTGCAGGACCTCCCTGCGGGGGGTGAGGGCTTGGTGGGGGGCCTTTGCCATTCTCTGGCGTGACAAGATTGCCATTGTTGGACGCATGTACCCGCGAGGAGTACAGTCCATCGAGAGCTTTGAGAAGCTGAACATTGACAGCCGAAGTCACATCTTTTTCGTGAGCCGTCCCGATCCAGTAGGCGCCGCCGTGGAGGTGGTAGACGACCTTTTCGCCCTTTGTTGCCCTTTGGCCCACACCCCCACCTCCATCCCTCTCCCCGTACCAGAAACCACAAGTGCGTGCGGGCTTGAGACCTTGGACGTGCATGGCCTTTCTCACCTCGCCTCGCACACTGGAGTCCTCCAAGGCTTTAACCCAAACGAACTTGCACCGAAGCGTCTTGCTGTGAGGCACCTCTTTCGTCAGGTCACGAGAGAGGGACGTATGTGTGCGGAAAGTCAGCCTGGTTCCATGCCGGTACAGCTTGACCAAAGTCGACTTTTTCCAAGTCCAAGTTGGCCTCGCTCGTCGGCTTGGGAAGAGCGAGATGAAGGCGAACCACGGAAGGAAGACGAGACCGATGGAGAGGCCAAAGTAGACATAATACATGATCTTGTATGGCTGTCTTGACCAGATGGGCGCGTCCAGGTCGTACTCGGACATCTTTCCGATGCCCTGGTTAGGAAAAGCGACGATCGGAAGCAGAGGACGAGACGGGACCGAGTTTGCCAGATGTGGATGCAGAGCGTGCAGGTCTGCCACTCTGCTCTTGAGAGGCTGAAGCCGTCCTCCCTCTCGTTGCCCATCCGGCCCTCCAGTCGCCGTCGCAGCAACGGGTGTATCCGTCTGCTCCTCATTCTGCAATCCAGGCACCTTCTGCTCTGATGCACGCCTGTCGCCAATCGTATCCGATCTCTTTTGTGATCGACTCCGCCTCGACAGAAGTGGGGGTGACTTTGGACCCTCGGAGCTTGTGCCTTGCCTCTTGAGCAGCCGGTCGTCAATCGAGCCCAAGCTCGGAATCAGGCTCCTTCTCTTCTTCGGCGACTGACCATCTTGCTCTGCCAGTGACATGGAATTGGTGCGCTCGCCAACAAGATAGGATTGTTGAAAGACGAGGTCGGGCCTGCCTCGAGTGTTGAACACCCTTACGCCATCGTCATCGTCCTGCTGTTGCTGCTGCAGGTCCTCATCATCCGCCTCCGCCTGCGTCGGTGATCTGGTCGGAGGCTGTGCCTCCAAGTCCGACTCCCTTTTATCCCGAGCCATTGCAATGCCGTCGAAGCAATGAAGGAGGGAAGGATTGGAAGTCTGATCGCGCCACTCCACTTTTGGCAGGCATTATCATATAATGTGGCAGTTATCGGGCTTTGCCGCGGACATCGATTAAAGCCGGTCAAACCTCGCATTGACACAAGCCATTGTCATTCTCGGTCTCCTTTCCTCTCTTTTTGTTCCCAGGGCGAACTACAGGAGAGCTCTGTCTGACATTACGAGGCTCTTCAAATCCAGTTCTGAGGCAAGAATGGTAAGAAGCATGTAGCACATTCTCCTGCTATGGTTTGATCCTTCTCGATCGCTGGTTTTCGGAAATTCGGCGCGCGTCAAGCGAACGCACTTCTTCCAAATGAAAACGCGTCGTTGGCAAGACCAACAACCATCACCAGAAAGTGACGATGAGCGGGGACGAGACGGAGGAAGTGGGGTTGATCGATGTAATCGAGAGAGCCGAGGAGCTCGTCAAGGTCCGTATCATAGATTTCGCAACCAGCAGGAGGTGTTTGTTGGCTTACCTATGAAGTCTTCCCTAATAGGCGCGAATGGAGGACAATGACCCCTCGCATGATTGGCACCATGGTGAGATGTAGCGATCCTAAGAAGCCTAGAGAGCGCCTCGTTGACATGCCAGAGAGCCCGAAGTCCACAGAGTTCGCCTCATGGCGCTGTCACTATCGAGGTGTCCATCACTGGCGCATGTAGGCACCATTGACCCGATTGTTCTCGAGCTTGGTGCACTCTTTCACGACCTCTGCGATGCAAAGTACCTTCCTCAAAATTCAGCCACGGGCCCAACGACGGCAAAGACTGTTCTCTCGGACTTCTTTGAGCCTTTCTTGGCAGGCGGTCTCGTCAACGCTGAGCAAGTGCAGTGCATCTATCACATCGTCGACAGTACCTCGTGGAGCAAGGAAGAGAAGAGACGAGCAGCCAAGGTGGGCGAGGACGAAGAGGCAAAGTGGCAGAAACAATGCGGCGAGTTCCAATGCGTAAGCGACGCAGATCGTTTGGACGCAATCGGGAGCATTGGTGTGTTTGCTAGTACCCTTTTGCCCTGCTCTTTCTAAGCTCACTTCTTGCTACTTTCGACGCGGTACATCCCTATTGCCCACAGGGATCCTCCGTGTCGCAGCCTTCAGTGGCGCGAAAGACCGGCCGCTTCATATCCCCCCTGCAAATCCGGCCCAGGATTCCGTCCCGCCCGCAGAACAAGGCGAAGGGTACAATGGCAGCGCTGTTGCACACTTTCACTCCAAGTGCGCCCAATGTCGATTCCTGCGCAGAATACTTGCTGAGAATGTATCTTTCCACAGGCTTCTCAAGATCAAAGATGACCGTCTTTGGACAGACATGGCACGGTCCGAGGCGAGTCGAAGACAGTCAATGGTGAATTTGTCAAGTGTCTGCAATCACTTCCTCGCCTCGCTTCGCTGACTCATTTTCGCTCTTCCGTTCTCCTAGATGCAATCTTTCCTCACTGAGCTCGACCTGGAATGGCTTGTTGCCGATCAAGGTGCCCAGCTCAGCTTGCTGCAGGAATGAATAGCTATGAGCATCACAATCATTTCGAGTCAGGCATGGTGTGTGCGCTCCGTGCTACGCCCACGTGAAATTTTCAACACGTGTGCTGTCTCGCCACCTTGAAAGCTTTTTTTCCTCATCTTCTTCTCGTCACTTTCAGCCCATCTACTCAATCACTCTCTCTCTCACGAAAAATGGCTAGCCTTCCCGACTTCTCTGCCGACACTGGTCTCTCGACCCTCGAGAAGTACTTGAGCACTCGCTCGTACATTGACGGGTGAGTCTTGATTTACGGCCTCGACGCTCAGCAGGGACCGAGAAATTGGGAGGAGAGATGCACATATGATGAACACTACGCTTTGGTCCGTGTTTCCGAGCCCAGCGGCTTAAGACCCCGCGCCTTTTTTGCTTTGACGAAACCATACTTTTCCAAGCTATCTGATGTGAAAGGAAGTCTTCCGTTGTGAAGAGAACGAAAGTACGATAATGTGCGAGGGGCGGAGGGGAACGGTGCAAGGAGCGAATACCAAATAGCGAATATGTTCCCAAGCTTACACACCCCTTTCTCCTATATGCAGCCACTCGCCCTCGCAGGCTGACGTTGCCGTCTTCGACAAGTGCAAGGCTCCCGACGCCGAGAAGTACCCTCACGTCGCTCGCTGGTTCCAGCACATTGCTTCGTACGAGGCCGAGCACCCCAACCTCACTGGCGACAAGGCCCGAGCTGCCGCTCTCCTTGCGTGAGTTTCCTGCGCTCTCTCCATCATAACTTCGCATCATCCTGACTTCTTATCTCATCAGCCCTGCGCAAGGCTCGACTATCACCACCCCCGCTGCCGCTGCTGCCGCCACGGCGGACGACGACGATGACGACGTCGACCTCTTTGGCTCCGACGAGGAGGAGGACGCCGAGGCCGAGCGTATCAAGGCCGAGCGCGTTGCCGAGTACAACCGGAAGCGTGCCGAGAAGGAGAAGGTGAAGGGCAAGACCATTGCCAAGTCGGTCGTCACGCTCCAGGTCAAGCCCTGGGATGATGAGACGGACCTCGATGCTATGGAGAAGGAGGTCCGTGCCATTGAGAAGGACGGCCTCGTCTGGGGCGCATCCAAGAAGGTTCCTGTCGGCTACGGCGTCTACATGATCCAGTTCACCCTCGTCGTCGAGGATGACAAGGTCTCCATTGATGAGCTCCAAGAGCAGATCCAGGAGATCGAGGACTACGTTCAGAGCAGCGACGTGGCTGGTGAGTCTTCTCATGTCGCTCTCCCATCGGTCCCTTTACTGACTAGATTCTTCTTTGTTTGCAGCCATGCAGAAGCTCTAAATAGAAGGACTGTCTGTTCAATGACCGCAGACGCCCTGTCTTCACCGTCTCTCTCAATTTTGATTGACGTGGAACTTAAAAGAAGCACTTCAGCCCCTAGTCATATAGTTGACTCTTGTCTGATTGCGGGGTGAGTAGGTAAGCTTTCTCCTGTACAGTACTGTACATTGGTTGTGGTAGAGTCTGCTTTGCGGAGTTGGGCGTCTCCTTTCAAAAAGTCCTTCTGTCCTCTTCGAAGAGAGACGAAGGGATAACGCAAGATCCTTCACGGATCCTCGACCTCATCGTCGGGATTCCTGAATCCGGGAGGATCTTCTCTTGCCATCCTGTTCTCTCTCGCGGTCCTGTTGGCCTCTCTAGCCTCTTCTAGTTCTTGCCTGCGCTTCTCCTTCGCTGCGGACACGTCTACGTCAAACACATATGCAAGTTCATCTTCCGTTAGGTGATTGCCCATCCCGCCGTCAGCTCCTTGCTCTAGTATCGTTGCTGCTGCTCGTTGGCTGCTGCCCTCGCCTCGATCGTTGGAAGAAGCAAAAGCCCCACTCGCCCCGCCTTTCTGTACGTCCTCTTGCAAGCGACGCCTGGCAATCTCGACAATCCTCGGCTCAATGGTGTCCTTGACGATCAGACGGATGTTCGTCGTCTTGGAGCCCTGTTGACCAATCCGATTCAGTCGTCCTGAGGCTTGCTGCTCCAGTCCCGGCTGTCACCCAGAGTTTGTCAGCATTACCGCGCAATCTAATCTAGAAGCAACTCACGTCGAGACTAGGCTCCAGGAAGTAAGCGACTGATGCCATGGTCAGTGTAAGGCCGGCTGCACCCTCCGATTGACGCATCGGAACGAGCATGACGACGATACCGTCATCGTCCCTAAATTGCGCCAGGGCGTTTGCTTGTAGCTCGGGCAGCCCGCTGAACGCGACGCTGACAATTGGTTTCGAGAGGCCCAGCAGTGCCTCTGAAACGAAGGAGAGGTACTTCTTGAACATACTGAAGACCACAATCTTCACTTTGGGGTCTTCCTCTCTCCTCTTTCGAATGTCGCGAACGAGGCCTGAGATCTTGGCTCCAAACCCGGCAGCATCGTCATCGACATCATTGCTGCCATCTGTGTTCGAAGGTGCCACGGCGATGACCTCGGTGATGTCGCTCCTGCTAAAGGGCGCACGGCAGAAGGGGCATCTAGCTTTCTTTGCGAACTCCGACTGGTCACCACCCATGCCACGGTCAAGGATTGAGTCGTAGCCATTTTCCCTCGCCGACTTCCAGCACTGGACGAGGCATTCGTAGCAAGCCGAGTGTAGGCATGGCAGCATGCCGGGAACGAGAATCGCATCCATGCATACGATGCAGGACCGACCCGTCTGCTCTGCCTCTTCTTCGCCTTCTCCAACTGTCTCGCCCTCTGGATGCTTCTGGTCGTGGTGACCAATCTCGTCCTGCATACGGTTCCGTAGGTAGAGATGCTCTCTTTCAGCCTTTGCTAGAAGCTGCTTAGCCGCTGTCAACTGGCTCAATGATGTCTCCAGCTTCGTCTTTGGCACCAAATGCCAGAACTTCTCCTCCAGGCCCTTGCGCACCTTGCCACCACGGAGGCGTTGCTTGATTATAGTCGGAACAAACTCTCCTTCAGTACCCCTTGCATTCGACGTAGATCCCGAAGGTTCATTGGCTCTTGCTTTGGTTCTGGATTTCGAACGAGCTGTTGACATCGACACAGCCATCGCTTCTGCCTCGGAGTCGATTTCTTCGTCTTCGCCCACATCTTCTCTCGTCATTGGATGATATCTGGTGTCTTCTTTGTCGATCTTAGCCCCTTCAACGACCTCCTTGTCGAAAAAGAGTTTCGTCATTCTCTCGGGATCCAGCTTAGGCATATGCTCGGGCTCTTCTCCAAGGAGAGAGTCGCACCAGTACAGCGCTTCTCGTGGGCGCATGATCGAGCTCAACTTCCCAGCATCGTATTCGTCGTCATCACCAGTCGTTTTTGTACCATTCGACGCTTTTGATCTCCCTTGCTCCTGTTGTGCATCGATAATCTGACTGCAGACAGTGCGGGCCTCTCGCAAATTTTTCTCAATCTCTCTCTGACTCCAGACCGCGGGGCCGCCCTTCCACATTCGTTTCTTCTTTTCCTCTTGCCGCGCATGGTGTCCATACGCCAGCGTCAGGATCAGCGAGACGACCTCCATTCGACGACTGTGAAGCTCTGCATTGCTCTTTGTCAGGAGCCTATCGAAGAGCTGCTCAAACGTAGCTCTCTTGCTTCCCGCGCCATAACCAAGAGATTGAGATAGCTGCGGGTGAGAAATAAGCTGTCTCAATGACCAGAAGCCAGTCTGATCAATGCTCGAACGTCCACGGACGAGTTGGTGAGTGTACTGTGCCTGGATGTGTTTGTACTCGCGCTCGTAAATTGCCCTTTCTAGACCTGTCATCTCCAATTCGAGGTCTATCGTGGTGTTGGGAGGCAGATTGAGCTGTTCCTCGACGTGCCGACGATCGTGGCGCCACATGATCTTGGGCAGAGCCCGGCGCACCCTTCGAATCGCCTCAGGATCGCCTTGTCGGAAAGGATTCGCAAGCACCTCCTGAAAGACCTTCTTGGAAGCGAGGTCTGAGTCGAGAAAGGTGTACAGGCCAAAGAGATCTTCTAGTGAGCGAGAGAATGGCGTGGAGGTTACGATCCATCCGATAGACCTCCAGAGCGAATTGACCATCTCAGCTGCATGACCATTGCTTGTCGACACCATCTGGGCCTCATCAAGGATAATCCGGTGCCACTTGACCTCCAAAAGCGGTGAGATGGCCCTCACGTCGCTGTGCTTGCTGCTTTTCTTGGATTCTTGCAGCTCCCATCGAAGGTCTTCGTACGTAGCAATGACGATGTCAGCATTGCAGAGTATCTCACGCGCTTTCCGGCGAATCCTGGCCCTATCTTCCTTGGCACTCCACGGGAGCGTGCGACCGCGACGCCACCGCACAACATCCCTGTTGCTCGGACTGCGCCAGTGTTTTCGAGTTTCGTCCAGCCATTGCTCTACAAGTGCAGTGGGAACGATGAGGAGCGTGGCTGGCGTCGTAAATGGCTTGTTGTTGGAGCTTCTGAGCTTGGAGATGAGCTCGGCAGATCGAGAGCGATCAAGCTGGTCGGGCGTCCAGGGATTGGTAGCAATGGCTGCGAGCACAACAATGGACTTTCCAAGACCCATAGTGTCGCACAGGCAGCCGCCGGCCTCTATGTCCCTGCATTCGTAGCGCTTCTTGGTCGTCATACCAGTCGTCATATCAAAGTAGAAGGAGGTAGGGCGCGCTTCTACCACCTCGACCCCGTTCGCTTCCACTGCTTGCTGATTTTCATTGACGGACAATTTAGCCCTTTTGGCTCGCGGGGCGGGGCTTGTTCCGCCGACGGACTTCCTGGACCTCAGAGGAAACCACTGGGGCAGAAGCAGGCCTCTGTCTTCGTCGACGCACGTCTCCTTGCTCAGCATCCACGCCAGCGCCTGCTTCTGAAATGGCATCAGCGGTGTGATGATAGCATCGCTCGGCTCCCTCATTGGATAGTTGGGGTCTGGACGACATGCCTCCAGAGTGCTCTGGAGGGTGTTGTCAAACGGCAGTGATAACGGGTCCTCGCTCTCGTTGGTGTCAATTTCCCGTCGCTTGACTTTCCCCTTGACAGGATGTCCGCGAATGCCAAGCGGTGCGGAATCTTGTCTGTAGAATGTCTTCGGAAATCTTGAGAAGTACGTCTGGTCGTCTGGATTGATTTCCACGAGGCCATTTGGATGCTGTGAAGTGGGAATAAGCTCTCATTCACAGCTTTCAAGAATGCAAAGAATGCTCACCGTCACAGCATCACTGATAAGCTTGCTAATAGCCTTGGCGGCAGTGACGAGCTTCTTGCCCCGGCCGATACGTCCGTATACCTCATCGACAAAGCCATCGTCTTCTTCTTCTGTGCCGTACTGAAAGGCGTTGTTGCTGAGACAGAGGTCCACTTGCAGTCTTGCAAAGATTTCTGGCGGCGGGGCAAAGGGAAGTGGGCAATAGTCCCAGTGCTTCCAAGTGACCAAGTCACGCCATTGTAGCTTCGGCGTTACAGATAGACCGGCATCAATGCGACGAGGAACCGCTCGGCCTTCAGGTGTCTGGCTTTTGGGGCCTGTGATGTTTTCATGAGGCATGAATGGCGCTCGTAGCGTCATAGTTCCTCCTTGAAAGGTGAGGACGTCCTAGTCACGTCCGACTTCAGCATGGGTGAAGAGATGACCTCAACCGGAAGCACACGCACCCGTGAGTATGCATCGCTTGCGATTGACAAGCCTTTGATCTGACTGAGATTCTGTTGCAGCGACGAGATTTAGCAAGTGAGGCAGCCTAATAGAGCACGAAAGAGGTCTTCTCACAATTCTGCCGACAACCATGCCGCACCTGGAGGTGAGCTTCAGGTCCTCTATGTCTTTTTCGCTAGCATTCGCAAATCGACCTGCACAGTGCGATCAGAACTCAGCATCCGGTAGAGAAACAGAGGTGGAAAGTCACCTACCTTGAGTCAGGCTCTTCAGCCTTTGGTGATAGGCTTCGGTCTCGACAGAGCCAAACTTGAACTTGGGAGTTATGAAGTTCCTCGCAACATCCACCGGCGGAAAAATGACGATGCACAGCATTCGGTCCTTCTTGTCCTCCACCAGCTCGCAGTCAAGGGTATAGCTGCTGCCGGTTGCGATTGCTTCCGACTTCCTCTTCTTCGACGACGGTGTCGTTGTTGTCTTGGCCAGCGGTGAGGAGGAGCTGGCTATCTTGGGTGGCCCTGATTTTACTCCAGATGTTCCCCTAAGGTCCTCGTCATACAAGGCGCGTTCCCTTGCCCGTGCTTCCTTGACAGCCTTTTCCCTGCGCTCTTGCCTCACCCTTGCGCGATCTGCCAAGATCTGCGCCCCATTTTCCCGATCTAGCAGTTCCTCACGCTCCTCCTCGTCCTCGCTCACGTCCATGCTGTCTGCAGCGCTGTATGCCATGTTCTTGAGCTCCGGATGGCGTGTCTCGGCCTCTTTGACCATCTTCCACGCTTCAGCTTCGCTCACGTTCCGTGGATAATCGGACCAAGACAAGTCCGGCATGGCTGGCTCTGCGTCGGGAAACCATTGCGCAAAACTTTCACGAAGGTATGTGAAGCTTTCCGCCTGGAAATGCTCGTCGCTGAGGGCCAGGTCGAGATGGTAGAGCGGGATCGGTCCCTCGTCGTCTGCCGGCTGCTCTTCGATGCTGACATCTTTGGAGCTCGAGCTTGTGCTGGAGGGATATGCTTTAGGCCCTGTATCCGTGGACTGGGCCACCGACCCGCCGGTGCTGCGTCTGGTCTGCATCCTGGCCATCGCGCCACCGTCCCAAACGCCAAGCTGATCCTCCTCCTCCGTTTTCAGGCGCGCTGAGCCAAGACCAAGAAATAGAGAGAGGTTCGAAGGTGTTGGTCAAAGTCCTTTTTTTGTGCACGGGCCGCGCGGTGCGCTTATGTAAATCACGGCCATTTCTCATTGGACATGGTGCTGAAGAAAAGGAAGATGATGATGATGGTACAAGGGAAATGAAGAGTGAAAGCTTAGTCTACCTGCGCAGGCGACTCGTTGCCGCGAAGAATACAGTAGCAGCAGCAGCGCCCGCGAAGGCACCTCCGATCCCTGCTGACCAAGGCGAAGGATAGCCCACGACGGGGCAAGTGCCGAAGAGGGCCTTTTTGCTTCCTTGCCAGCTTGGGGCGGCCCACCAGGCCCATCCCCTAACCTGACGAGCGTTTTTTATCTTGCCTGCCTCCCACCCTTCGAGGATTTGATCCATCTCGTGGGGCGTCATCGTCGCTAGCTCGTCCACCGTCCATGCATCGCAGACGTCGATCATCCACCTCATTCTCTTTGGACCCTGCTTCTGGTCCGGAGCCCTCTTGCGCAGCATCGCTCTAAGCTGACCGACTTTCTCGATGGCCGGGCCGATGTTCTCTGGTAGAGCCCGCTCGATTGTCGCTCGCGTCGACGCGGCGATCCTGGGCCCCTTGCCGCCGGTGGATACCATGACCTGCAGTGGGCCCCTCCTGATCAGGCTGCCAAAGTAGAAGTCGCATTCGGGCGGCACATCCGCGACATTGACTGGGATCTTGTGCCGACGAGCCAGCTCGCAGATGGAGCGAGAGAGGTCGCTATCGTCAATGGCCGTCAGGATCATGTCGTAGCCCTCGACGAGAGCATCGCCGTTTTCGACTGAAAAGGTCTGGTCGAGGTAGGCGTCGACGACCTTCTCCTCGAAGATGCGGTGCTTCATCTCGGCGCCCAGGCCAGAGTGCGGGCACATGACAGTCAGATGCGCATCAGCGTCTTTCACGTTGACCAGTCGACCTTGTTGGAGGGAGAAACATCAGCGATCTCGGTGCAGTGAGAAAGCCAGATTTCTCATGTATGCTCGAGCACTCACCAGCTGCCACATTTCCACCGCCAACCAAGAGAACCTTCTTTCCTTTGAGCTGCCAAGCGATGATGAGCCCGCCCCCAGGGCATATCTTTGGGTACTTTTCCGCCATTCTGGCTTCCTTCCTTGGGCGTACGTTGTCGTCGTCGTCGTCGTCGTCGTCCGTGAGCTTATCTTTAAAAATTTATTCTTGGTTTAGAAAAGGCCGCTTCCCCGTTGGCTGCACGGCTTTCCTACCAGAATGCATGCTTTTTCCTCTCCGCTTGTTTTTGTTCATTTCCAGCTTCAGCAAAAAAGATACATGGACATTGACACAGAGCGATGACAGGAGGAGGGATACAGAGATTAGACTTCTTCAAAGGACGAGAGGGAGACTTATTGCAAGGTACAGGAAAGAGGAGTTCAAAGAGCAAAGCCCACAGCGGATGGAGGTCTGCTATTCTTTGGTGGAGATGGGGCGGTCGAATTTTCGCTGAGATCAAGTGCCAGACCGAGACCTAGGCCAAAAGCAGCTTCGAATGAGCCTGCTGGTGGGTTCTGAAGGGTGGTCGCGGACGGACGCGGAGGCGTCTTGGGCTCTAAAGAAGAGCGACGGCAAGGATCAGGCTCCGGGGCAGACGTCGTGCGCTTCATGGGAGGGGCTTGTTGTGGTCGTCTGCGTGCAGCCGACTTTGGCGGTTTGGGCGGCGAGATAATCGAAGGCTGCCTCGACTTACGAATTGCGCTGCCCTTGATGCTTGGCAGACCGAGGCCCAGCCCCAGATCGTCAAGGTCAAGGGGTAGGCTTAGGTCCAATTCTAGATGTGGTGAAGAGGCGCTCTGGCCTCGTGGGATCCGATAGCTCGAGGGCGTCGAGAGGACATTGCCCTGCTGTGCCGGCGACGATTTGAAGTCCTGGCCGCCAAGCTGGTTCTTGCGCAGTTGCAGCGGCCGCGTGGGCTGAATGCCTGCCAACTTCATTTGTGTCGTGGCATTGGAACTTTCGAATCGATTGCCACCAGAAAGGCGAGGCGTGTCGCAGTCGTCTTCGTCTTCGGCCTGGGAAGCAAGGCCTCTGATTTCTGCGGGCGAGAAGAGATCCGAGCTTCGCCTTTTGGCTGCCTTTTCAGTAAGTTCCCTCATGTCCAGCTCATTGCCAAACGACGTAAGGCCGAGACCATCCATGCCGAAATCGAGGATGCTCGTCGAAGTCGTCATGACGCTGGCGAGACTTTGACCGGAGCTGAGCGTCGATAGTCCGACCCTGCTCGCACGCTTGTTCGTGCCGCTATTACTGCTGCTACTGCTGCTGCTCACAGACGATGGCCCCGAAGAGAATGAGGAGGTTGAGGTCGAAGAAGAGCTCCACGGCGATGGAGCGGCGCTTGTTGGCGAAACGCTGCTGCCGCTGCTGCTGTTGCTACCGCCACCGCTGGAAGATGAGGGGCTGGCGCCGCCCAAGAAAGTGGCCTTTTCAAATGTTGCGCTGGCTGAGCTGGCAACCATGATCTGCGCCGACTCGTTCTCCGAAGCATCCGAGTCCACACTGCTGGCCAGGCTCGAGCTCGACAAGCTTCTGGCAAATCCAAAAGGCTCGTACTCGTCCTCGTCCTGCGACAGTGTCGCATCGAAGCTGAGTCCCAAAGAACTCGAAGACGAACCATCACTAGTCGTGCTCGTCGAGAAGCCGCTTTGAGACCGATTCCTCGTGGACTGTTCCTCCTGCCATGGATCATGCTGCTCTTCGAGCATCTGACTGTACGCTTCTTCTTCCCGAACTTCCTCGTCTTCTTCCTCTTCCTCTTCGTCGTCGTAGTCGGGTTGATCCTCTTGACGAGCGGTTCGCAGGACCGAAGGGCTGGGCGTTTCGCCTTCAAACGTGTCCTCCTCACCCGCGCCGAGGTCTGGCGTTGGTGGCATGACGTTGACAAGAACAGGTTGCGGTTGGAGTCCCGGACGAGGACATCGACCCTCTTGCGAGCTTTTGAGTTCCAGAGACGAGGCGGCTGCACCGAGCTTGGACGGTGAGTGAGACTGAGGACTGAGTCGAGCAGAGTCTGACATTCTGGGGCTGCTGAGGCTGACAAGCTTGGGGCTCGAGACGCCCACCACACTTCCACCGTGGTTGAGTTGGACCCTGCGAGCGACGAGGGCGGACGGCGAGCCCCAGTGGTCATCACTGTTACCGTCTTCAAGTGTCTCGCCGAGCTTGGGTGTCTCGCCTCCCCCATTACTCGCTTCGCGCGTTCTCCTGTCCTGGGTGCTTTGAGGCTCCTCGTACACGACCCCGCCGTAGATGTCATCCTTGCCATGCAGGCCCAGACCAAGGTCCTCGGAGCTGTTTGAGAGCGTTGACGAGGGTGCCAGGATGGCTTCGAGATCCAGCTCGTGCGTGGTCTCGGGCAAGCCAAACATGGTCGAGAAGCGAGGTGGTCCAATGTCGGTGGCAGCCTCTTGGGCACCCACGCTTCGACTTCGTCTCCGGATTCTGTGGCTATCTTGTGGAGCAGTCTTATTCTTCGTCGCGCTCTCAGAGTGCGTGGACACGTCCTTGCTCTGCTTCGTTTTCGCAGCTGAAGAGGAGGTCTTGTTTCCAAAAAGTCCCTGCTCAACTGCCTCGGCCAGGGTCGTGGCACCCAAAGGCAAGCTTGGCATCTCTGGTGAATTGACGGGGTCGAAGCGCTTTCGGCTCTTTGAGCTCGTTGACTTGGGAGACTTGGGAGACTTGATGCCGATGCCAGCCATGTTGCTGGGCGTGGGCGAAGAGGAGGATGGAAGCGTTGGAGATGCGCAGGACGTTGCTTCGTTGAGCTGAAGGGGCATCATCGATTTGCGAATGGCCCCCTTCCCGACGCTCGAAATGCGGCTGATTGGTCTAACCGTCATCGTGGATGACTTCCCTCCGTTACTACTACTGTTGCTACCGTTGCTGCTGTTGCTCCCGACTTGTCTCAACATCCTCTCCCCTCCCAGTCGAGGCGAGACCGAAGCCGGCATGGGAGGCGGAGGGGCAAAGTGCTCGTCCCTCCAGTAGAAGGGTTCGTTGGCGGAGCTGGAGAACGAAGACTTGCCCAAATGACAGGCATTCTTGCTCCTCACTTCACGCAGAGACGGCATGCTGTGTTTCCTGCCCAAGCTACGGTCTTCATCGTGCCTTTCCAATCCTGAGATCGATGACGGGGGAGAAGACGAGTTTGCGGAGGACGAGGAGGACGAGGAAGAAAGCGCAGGCAGATTTTGAGTCGCCTCAAGCGGCGTACCGGGCAGTGATGAGGGACCATTGAGCTGGTAGGCGTAGCATTGCGCAGCCTCGAATGACTCAATGTGAGGAGGCGCACTCCTGGGCTGGTCATCAAGCGTCCTCATCAAGGGCGAAGTCGAGACGGCGCCGCCATGCTTTGTGATCTTGATGCCATGCATGTTGCTGCTTCCGTTTTGTGCACGCTTCCAGGAAAAAAATCGTGAGAGGGAGTTGGAGCTGGCGTTGGACCCGCTTCGCCCAGGCTGCTTGCGAAGTTTGACGGTGCTATTTCGACTAAGACCAGCGGCCTCGCCGAATGTCGGTGAAGCAGAAGAAGCCGACGAGCCGGAAAAGGTAGATGACGTGGGGGAGGGCGCCCACCCGTCGTCTTCAAAGACGGACTTGGTATGGGCGTGACCATGGCTTCGCGGCTGTACGGGCAAGTCGATAAGATCTGTCTCGTCCTGATCGCCATCCGCGTCCGCAAACGCCTCGAGCTCCGGCGTGGCCTCGGGGTAGTCGTGGGTTTCGGACATGCTCTCGTGTTCGTCGAGCCAGGTGGGTCCCGACTCGATGCCCATCGCGTAGGCCGGGTTGAACATGGCCAGGCTTGCCTTTGACACGGCGTTGACCTTTTCCCGTTTGGAGGCCGTCCGGTCGAGCGACGGACGCGTCATGGTATTCACTTGTCCTGGAGGGGTTGGTATCGTATGTGGTTTTCGCGTCGAGAAAGGTATGCTAGAAAGACTGGGTACTGTCAACGAATGAGTGGGTGAGAGAGGGAGCGTGTGATAAAGGTGGGAATCAAGCCTCGATGCCAGCAGGGAGGACTCGACGAGTGGGGAGCGGGTGATGAGAAGGAGAGCAAAGGGGAGACGTCTGATAGCCACGAGCAGGCTTGCGAGGGACGCGAACGGAAAGGAAAGGAAAAAAAGACAATCATGATCATCGCGTCGATTCGGTGCATCTTGTGGGTATACAAGGAACCCTGCGCACGGGTCTCGTCAAGTGGGCGAGCCTAGCTGCAAGCAACGAGCGAGCGCGGGATGGACGAGCATTGATCAAAGGGGTTCGCGAAGCAAGGGGTCGACGAAGGCACGGAGACGCGTCCAAAAATCAAAAGGCCTTAGTTCCGTGACGGATTACTTGCCGCGTGACAGATTTGATGTTGTCCGTATCTGCGTCTAGCTCCCAGCTCCTCACAAGCTCACTGTGAGACAGTCCACAATCTGTGTTTGATCTCGGCAGTGGACCAACACGGCAGTGAGAGAGCCTTCTGCAAACAGTAACTCCTTTCGCGCGTCGATGACGATGCTGTGCTCTCTCCTCTGCGAGGTCTGAGCATAGACGAGGGGACCGAAAGATGCAGATGAAGCAGGACTCTGACGCCACGTGACTGCAGGAAACATATCCGCACCTCGCACGGGCCTCCATGCCCGTCATGTTTCCTCATTGCTGCCATAATGCAATGAAGCAGACCCTCCCTTTTGGGTCAGCTGTTAAGGCTTGAGCGAGGGTAGGAACAAAACCTACTCCATTACGACAACTCCTTTGCACATTTGGAAGGAACAACGGATCCTCAAATCACCTTTGAATATGAGCTACTCACGAGTCGTCATGCGTGCTGTCGCGCCCACGAGGCGCTCGGCAACATCGTTCACACGGTCATACGCCACCGCTCCTGGAAGCGGAAGCAGCACCAGCGGCAACTTTGGTGGAGTAAGTCTCTTTTTCATCGTCCAAGCTCAGGAAGCCTTCGCTGATGGCGATCCTATCTGCAAAAGAACAAAGTAACAGAGTCCAGCCCGTCGACTGAAGGCCGTGGCTCAGTGCAGGCGCGACTAGCGCCCATCATCGTAGGCGGCACGGTCCTGGCTGCGCTGGCCTGGAACTTCTTGGTACCGGGAAAGATGGAAAAGGTCGGCGTTGATTCCAGCGCGCCCAAGGAGTCTGGTTTGACCGGCAAGACGGCCGGCCACAAGTACAGGTCTTCTGCGTCGGTGCTCTCCGTCACCCCGAAGCAGAGCGAGCAGCAAGAGCAGTAGTGGCAGTAGTGTAGTAGTAACTCGTGTCCGCCCAAGGCTAATGATCATCGAGTCGAATCTCAATTCAAATGAGTCAAGAGAAGAAAAGATGCAGGCGTATTTGACAGGACGTGCTCTCCTTCCGTGTGCGAGATCACTGCGCGCTGCTGCTGGCATTGTGGAAGGGTTCTAAGTCAGCGGCAGCAGCCATGAAGGCGTCCTTGTCCAATGCCGGTGCCGCTTCTACGCCGATCCAAGATGAATTACTGTCTGCTCCGAATGTGGGCGAACGCTCATTTGAGCCGCCGACGAATGAGTAGGGCGATGTAGCGCCGCTGCCCCTGGAGGACCCTTCTGCTGCTGTGCCTGACAACGAGACGTTGAGGACGTTCTGATCTTCAAGATCGGCCACAACTGCTGCCTGCTGCTTCGTCGCCGCCGTTCCTTCCATTGGTGTGAAGCCGAGTTTGTCGCTCTTGAGGCCCCTCCTGCCAGTGCTCCTCATCACCACCGGACTGTTGCTCCCACTCTCTGCGCCGCTGTCTTCCGCATCGGTGTCAAAATAGCCAAGAGCGCCTTCGACACCGATACCTTTTGTCCTTGCAAATAGAGATCGGGGCGAATCGGGAGGCGAGACAGGATTGCTGCTCTCTCCTGCTGAGAATGACGTAGGCTGTCCTCCTCCCTCCTTCCTCGTTTCTGTCGCCGCGGCTGCTGCTGCTGCGGCAGCGGCGGCAGCCTCTCTCGCTCGCACGGTGCTGACCCTTGCAAAGGTGCCGCCCGTCCTCGTCCACTCCTCGGCAGCCTCTGCCTGGGATCCCGACGAAGCGCTCCTCGCGCGGTGTCGCAGCAATTCCTCAGCATCGTAGGCGCCAGGCGGCAGGAGCGGCGCGGGTCCTGGCGTTCTTGGTGTCGATGTGTTGCCGGTGGGGAACTTGCGAGGGCTGGACGCATCAGGACGGGAGTCGCTCCGTCTGCGAAGCAGTGGCTGCTTGACGCGCACCCTCCTTCTGCGAAAGCCTGAAGCGACCGATGGAATCAGCAGCAAGGCCCATTTCGAGGCCTGGACGCTGGCCTCGCTGCCCACTCACCCAGGGTCCGGAAGACTGCGTAGCCCGCAAAGTCGACGAGCGTGACAAAGATGACGGGCGCGACGACGAGAAAAGCCAGCAGTCGGAAGAGACCCGGGAGTGGGGCGAGAATGGCAGGCAGAGGAGGGTGGAGAAGGAGTTGGAACGTGCTGCTGTCTTTCCCCTGCCGATTGCTGGAGAAGAGCGACGACGAGGCCCGCTCCGCCTCTGCCAAGAGGGCCTGAATTTGGCCTCTGGCATTGTTTGGCAGCGCCATTGGAAAAGGCTCGTTTGTGTCGCTCTGTTTCGTGTGATGGTACGTTGCGACCACAGCGACTACTGCTACTATTTGTCTGGGGGGATGTAATGGATTATTTACGTTGGCACGAGCGCGACTTTCGGAATAGGATTGTCTTGACCTGTCCGCAATTTAGGTGCCGACTCTAGTAGCTGTAGCACTAGCGATAGTGGTCACCCTTCGCTCGGGGCAACGCCATCAAAGACGCAAGGAGAAGAAGGAGGGGCGACGACCAGCGAGGTGACGCAGGGCTCACACTTGAGACGAAGGCGAGGACAGAGACGGGAAGAGATAAAGTTCAAGACATGCGCCTGCCCAAACCAGCGTTTTGCCTCATTCCAAATCTCACACCCGTGGAGCCCCGGTCTGGCGTCCGGTACACACTACACTACACTACACTACTAGTACTACACTACGACTACACTACAGCTCTAAACTAGCTCCTGCTCCGTGGTTTGCCCGATCGAATTTTCATTCTGCACCCTTCTCGGGCTGCGTTTGCTCAATCGACAACAAAAAACGATCGCCTGGCTGGAAGCAATGCTGGCCAGCCTGGATAAAGAGCCTTCCCATGGCCTGCACTTAACAGCTGGCCAGTCCTCGCTACGTGGAGAATATTCAATACGAAGTATACATGAAATTTGGCGAGACAGGCGCAAGGAAACTGTTTCCTCGACCTTGTTGCTGTTGTGCATCGGCAGTGGCAGATTGAGCCTCGATTGACATATACACTACACGATCTCGCCGCTCGATACCAAGCTTGATTTCGCTCGGCGTCGAATATGGGGCAAAAATGACGGTAAAAATTAAAGCGGGAATTGTTAACAATTCGACAACGACAGGACTCGAACCTGTGCGGGCAGAGCCCAACAGATAGGTTCGAACACTCTCTAGAGAGATGTATTCGAATCTGTCTCCTTAACCGCTCGGACACGTTGCCGGCCATGTTGGTTTGGATCAACTGTAACGTAGATGTACTCTAACATCTTAAGATTCGGAGTGGGGTTGGGACGAGAGGGCGAGGGGACGTGCTACGCAGGTATGACGTCAGCGCAGCGCGTCATCGGCCACCAAAAAAAACTGACGCCTCGACAGAAGTGACTTCATCGCTGCAGTAGGTGGTCAGTATTGTCTTCAATCGGAGTGCGAATGTGCTATTGGGGAAAGCCACATCCTAGCCAGCTGCGATCCTGCCTGTTATACAAGTCTGGCAGCACAGCGCCGCGAGAGGAAAGGATAGCATGCTGGGTTGTCCGTGGGCGAATGAGTCCTCGGCCCTAAGGACAGAGCGAATAGTAATGATACAATAATAGTCTAATGACTAGAAAATCTGAACTGATCGGCTCCCCGTGTCCGTTTGCTTGCCTCTTTTTCTGACCTCGTAACCCGGAAGAAAGGCGGTGGTGACGACGACATCGACATTATTGACTTCGACATCGAGAACCCTGACTGGACCAAAACAAGCAAGCGGAGGCCAGCCGCTCGACGTCGCATTACACTAGTACATCTATCACTAAGGGGGGAAAAACATCGTCATCGGTGGTTTATTTTTTGAATACTTCCGTCGACCACTCAGACCAACGGCTTCATTCTCCACCTATCCTCACAGCCGACAACGCTCGCTCTTAACGTCTCCTCTTTCGTCGGACCATCGTCTTACAGCAGCCAACACACGGACACTGGACACCACGCTGACCCGTCCACCAGCGAAAGAGAAGATCGCAAACGCCGATCTAGTCAGCGGTTGAGACGCGCGCGCCCCCTCATCTCAAAGGACCAGTTCAGTCTAGCACAGGAATCAAGGCCCGACAACCATGGCAGTCCTGGATCAGTTCAAAAATTTCATTCGCCATGGGAAGGCGGCGCGAGAGGGGAGTGAGGTGAGTTCATGCTCCGAGTCTTGCTCGCTTTTCTCCATGTTTGTGCCACACGTCCGTCTGGCAAGAGAGCGGTGAAACAGGGCTCGGCCGCGATCGAATGATTATTGGGACCTAGAGCGCTCACACCTCCCAATCTTGTTTCTCCTCGTTCTCTTCTATTCTCCTTCAAAGGCAACTGGTGGTATGACAGGAGCATCTCGAGGTCAAGGTGGCGGTCATGATCGAGCAACAGACACAAGTGGTGGCTACCACCTGGAGAAGGGCGCACCAGCGTCGGCACAAGTCACAACCGAGCCTTCCAACGGCCAACACTACGGCACTGGGTCGGGAGCAAAGACAGCAGCCAGCAGCGCAGCGGCCGCAGCGACGGGAGCGGCGGCGTCAAATCAGTCGTCGGCACCGATGGCCACGACACCTGGCAGCGAGTCGGCCAGCCGATATCAGCAGCAAGCAGAGGACATCGTCGAGGAGGAGAGACAAGCCTCCGAAAAGCTGCCGCAATACCCCGGTCTCTCGGAGCGATTCCAGCTGATCACCAAAATGGGCGAGTGAGTAGACCCTCCCGTCGTTCGCTTCTCGTGTCTGATTGCCCTTCTGCTCATGCGCTGATGTCAAATCACTCTCGGTAGCGGCGCATTCTCAAACGTATACAAAGCAAGAGAACGCAAGACGGGACAGAAGGTGGCAATCAAGGTCGTACGCAAGTACGAGCTTAACAGCAACCAGGTGCGTTTCTTCTTTGCTGTGGCTTGTCCCTCTCTCTTCTCCTCTGCGAAGGTTTTGGTGATGGCTGTCGGTCGGTCAACTGCGTTTGGCCCTCCAATCAGAGCGTCACCCCTTTCTTTATCCTCCCCCTTTTCTCTCTCCGTCTCCCTGGCTCCCATCCCACCTTTCGCCCGCCATTAGTCTTCCCCACAGGCGGCGATGGTCCACTCCTACTCTTCCTCTAGGTAACTCCCGACTGACTGACTCAACCTCCCCTTGGAATCTCCTCTCCTCGTCACCCCTCCCTCCGTGCTCTCCCATCCCGCACCCCTCTCCATCCTCGTCGCCGATGGTCGTCGTCGTCTTTTCCTTCGCTTCGTTCCTCCTCCTCCTCCTCCTCCTCCTTTTTTCTTCTTCGCTCTTTCTTTTCTCCTTGACCCATGCTCGATTCGTCACCGATAGGAGAACCGTCTTGACCCCAACTTCAGGAAGAAGAACCGAGTTACGGAGGTCAGTGAAACGGTGCTTCTATTGGTGTCGGACCGGCGGATATGGCTGTGGTCGGCTCAGGCTGGAGTCAGTAGGCTCGGGGGACGCCCCGAGCTGACCTCTTCAGCTGTTTGATCCGGTGTAAAAGCCTCGTTCCCTGGATTCGAAATGCTTCGTTTCCTTCACCGTTCAAAAGAGCAAGTTCTGACTCACGGTCTTTACCTCCCCCTTCTTCTTGTGCTCTGTTATGATGTGTTCCGCTTCCCTTTGCCCCATTTCCCTACCGTCGACGACGACGACGGCGACGGCGATTTTCTTTCTTCTCCACCCTTTCTTTCCCTTTCCCCTTCCCCTCCCTCTCCCCCTCGTCCCATCTTTGCTTTCTTCAAACAGAGAGCAAACATTCTCAAGGAAGTGCAGATCATGAGGAACCTCAAGCACGACTCGATTGTCCAACTACTCGAATTCTCGGAATCGCGCGATTATTACTACCTCGTCCTCGAGCTGCTCGAGGGCGGCGAGCTGTTCCACCAAATTGTCAAGTTGACGTACTTCAGCGAAGCCTTGGCGAGGCATGTTATCCTCCAGGTCGCCCATGGCATTCGCTACCTTCACGAAGAGAGTGGTGTCGTCCACCGAGACATTAAGCCGGAAAACCTCTTGTTCGAGTCGATCAAGATCATTCCGTCCAAGATCAACAAGGCGCGGCCATACGATGAGGAGAAGGAGGATGAGGGCGAATACATGCCCGGGATCGGTGGAGGAGGAATCGGAAAGGTCAAAATTGCCGACTTTGGTCTCAGCAAGGTCATCTGGGAGGAGTCCACGATGACGCCTTGCGGCACAGTTGGCTACACAGCGCCAGAGATTGTCAAAGACGAGCGCTATTCTAAGTCGGTCGACATGTGGGCCTTGGGCTGCGTCCTCTACACACTCCTCTGCGGCTTCCCTCCGTTCTACGACGAAAGCATCTCAGTCCTCACGGAGAAAGTGGCCAAGGGATACTACACCTTCCTTAGCCCATGGTGGGATGACATTTCATCTTCCGCCAAGGACCTCATTACGCACCTCCTCTGTGTCGACTCGTCGAAGCGATACAGCATCGACGAATTCTTGGCACATCCTTGGTGCAACGTCAAGGATCCCGTCCCCGATCTCAACTCAGCCGACATTGCCTTGGCAAAGGCAAGCGAGATGCCGTTGGACTCGCCGTTACTGCAGTCGATGAAGAAGGGCGTCAACGCGCGCGCAGCCATGATGTCGCCCGGTATCAACCAGCTCAAGGAGGCCTTCGATGTCACCTACGCCGTGCACCGAATGGAGGAGGAAGGCGCGAGAAGAAGGGGTCCAGCAGGACAGGCGCCGCTGCATGGCCTCAACGAGGAGGAGGAAGACGAGGACGCCGATGTGGAAGAGACGGCGAGAAAACACGGCAGCCAAGCCGCGAATGCGATCGAGCAGCACCGCGAAGCAAAGCGGGAAGCTGGCCCACCCAGCACGGTCAGGCAAGGCGGAGCCGGCGCCCACGTCTCATCTGGTACTCGAACAGCGCAGCAACCGCAGCAGCCGCAACAGTACCAAGGACGAGGTGGCGCGGATCGTAAGCTGGCGGAGGCATCTCTGTATGATGGCCGCGCAGGGACGAGGGATCGAGGCGGATCCAAGAACAAGCGGGGCTTCGAACTCAACATGGGCAATGCTACACTACTGGGCCGGCGAAATAAAGCAAACACTCCCTTGGGCTCGGCGCCGTCTGGCAGCATCGGACAATTTATGGACGCTCACGGTCAGCCGCCCGTCGACGGTGCGAGTGCACATGGTGTCGTGCCTGGAAGCCCTATGCGTGTCGACTAAGCCCCCCTCCCCCCTCTCGGCAAAGCTCTCCACCCCTTTCGCGTACGGTACAGTACAGTACATTGATGACGGCCCCTTCGCACTTCATAACGAATCAACATACACCAATCAATTCGGACCCCCTCTCTTCATGCCTAGCCAAACTAATGTCTTTACGTCTGTATCACTTCACACTATCCTACTCCTCCTTTCTCAGCTTCGAAATTCATCTACATCGCGCAGCGCTTCTCTCTGCTGTCGTCGTTTGCTGCGAATTATTCGAGTGGGAGCATCGTCACTACATGCTTACAGCTTCTTCACGCCTTCAAAAGTATCTTTGAGATCATCAGAATCGGCATCGTCATTGTGAATGTATAGACGATGAATGTATAGACAGAGAAGTCGGGGGCTATGGAAGCTGTGTCTGTGTAGTGAACAGGAACGGGACAGGCGAGATAATGAGACTAGATCCAGACCTGGAACTCCTCATCGGTGATCTCGGCGCGGAGATTCTCCACCTTTGCATCTGGCCCGACTTCGATGGAGACTCTGGAAGGCTTGGCTGCGTCGACTACGACGAAGTCGTCCTTGTTGTCAGCCTGGCTTTGGGGAGCAGATTGGATCTCTTCGCCTGTCGCCTCGTCGACATCGCTGACGCGCGACGCCTTTGGACTGCGAGAACGCTTGCGTCCGCGCTGAGCCGTCTCGTCCTCGTCATCACTGGCACTGCGCACCGTCTCATCGTCCGAGGAAGCGACGTTGTCCGTGGCGGAAGAGGCGGCAGCATTCGCGGACCAGAGGCCGTCGATGTTGATCGATCGGGTGTTGGCGTCGTAAGTGACGGAGATGTCCTTGGCGTTGACTGCGCTGCGAGCTGCTTCCGAAGAGGGGAGAGGAAGACTGAAGACAAGCTTTTGAGCTTGTTCTGTCTTAGTCTCGCCCTTCTCCTCTTGCTGTTCTTCTGTGGCGCTTGCTTCGGCTTCCTGATCCTGCGTCTTCTCATTGTCGGTGGTGGCTACCTGCTCCTTGTTGGCAGCAGCTTCGGCTTCAATTTCGGTTTGGTCTTTAGCTGTCTCGACTGGGATCGACCTGGATGGCACTTTGTCCTCGGTCTTGTCATCTGCTTTTGCTTTGCCCTTGTCAGATGAGTGTTGAGCTTGCTGCTGGCCCTCCTCGTCAACGCCAAAGATGCTGTCAACGACGAGGTCCATGAACCCGCTCAGGAAGTCGTCCTCCCACTGCTGCCTTGCCGCGTGACGGGCCTGCTGACGAGCCCGTTGCGCTTCTTCGTAGCGCCGCTGCTGCTGCCTACGCTCCTCCTTGGCGACGGCAATGGCGATCTGGCGCCTCCGCTCGTGCTCCAGCTCAGCCTCAAAGTAAGCGGCGGCGGCCGCGGCGCGCCTCTGCCGTTCCCTTTCGCGTTCGCGTTCGAGGGCGAGAGCACGCTGTTGGCGCTCGCGTGCCAGTGAGGCGGCGGCCGCAGCTTGCTGTTGCAGATGTTGCTGTCGAGCAGCGCGCTCAGCTCGCTGGCGACGACGAAGCGTCTCCTCGTGTCGTATTACATTGAACAGATCGCCTGCGTCAAAGTCGAAACCGAAAGGGTACGACGACTGCCTTGAGGACGGTCCGCAACGCTGGCCGTAGTGGTACTGGTGGCCGTGGTGAGGGCGACGGCTGGGCTGGCCTCCGTAGACGAAGCCTTCCTCGGGGATGATGAAGAGGGACATTATAGTCGAGGTTTATTGGTTGCTAAAGTGCTGAGGAGAGTAGAAGGGATTATTGTTATGATGAGGGAGATGAGAGAGGGCCATCGCAGGTCCTCCCTCTTATATGCCTCTTCGGCGCAAGGCGCTGAGTCCATATCATCGCTGACGGGGGCAGACGTCGTGGCCCTTCGTCGTTGTTCGACGCCGAGATGTTGCCAGAAGCTTCGCTCCACTGTGGCCTCGGCCCTGAGCTTTATTTCGTCTTTCTACTATTTTCCATCCACGTCTCTAAGTCTAGTTCCGACTTCCGAATTTTCGGAAATTGGATGTCCTTATGTCCGGACCACCACACCCTGGCTGCCCGTAAAAGACTTGGTCGACGTTGTCGTCAACATGTGGGCAAGCTCACAGTTCTTCACTTGCTGCAACTTGTCCATCCACTTTTGATAGATAATATGAGACACTCCATAGCCAGATCTAAGCATCTCGTCGATGATGAGTTCAGCCTTCTGCGCTACTTTAGCAGATGTTGTCGAAAGCAGTTCAGTTTGGGCCCGTCGATTCGCGTAGGCCAAGTGATGCAAACAAGGCAGCCTGAGGTCAGGGAGAAAAGGCTCATCGCAACTGCTCCATATTGGCAGTTGTGAGATCATACAAAGCTTTGGCTTTTCGGTATCTTTTGATGTACAAGCTCGCAGAGAACAACTGGTGAGAGTGCGTGTTATCACGACCTCTACCTCGATGCCCGTGGGCGGGGGACGACTCATCTCTATAATCCTCGATAAATGTACCGGCATGCAGCGCAGAGAGAGCTAAGCGTTCTTGAGAGTGCATATGAGAACGACGATAAACGCGCCGGGTGCCTTCGACTCCGATGGCAAAAGACCGTTATCGCTGCAAACACCGTTACGCTCCAGGCAGCAGCTTGGCTTCATGCGCAATGTCTGTTTGCAACACTCCTCATGAACCTGCCCTCGGAGAACCGTGAAGCAACAGTAAACGTTTGAAGCTTACGGGAACCTTTCCTGGCGAGTGTACCAATGACGAAGTGTGCTCCCTAGGGCTGTGCGCTCCCTTTCTCCCGATGAGCTCATCAACATTCTCGGGTATTCTGCCTTCGGCACCGATTGTGCGGGGTTGCGACGGTCATAAGGTTGACCCCCAATACTCTGTCGAATCGAGAGCGGTGTCTATGAATGCCAAGGATGAGAAGCAAGGTCAGGTACGCACAGACAGGAAGGCTCACGGACGAGCGGCGACTTGTCTAGCGCCAATAGCGTCTGGAGTGTCTATTACGCGTCGGAGTTCCTGAACGCGGGCGTCATGCTGCCAAAATCCCACTCTTCAACGGTCACAAAGTACAGGCTGCCGTGATGGTGCCGCTGAGCGCCTTGGGCAACTGGTGAGGGACCAAATAGGCTATAAAGGATGGACCAAAAAGAGGGCGAGTCCCAATCTCACAACCCAACTGCCCATCTAATCTTCTCCAGAAACAAACTCGAAAATGGTCTGCAAACTTGTCGCTGCTACTGCTGCCACCCTCATGGCTCTTCCTTTGCTCTCCGCAGCAGCTCCTGTTGTCGAGAAGCGGGCAGGCATCACATGCCAGAAGAAATTTGCAGGTCATCTCTACGCGTACACCTTGTCGGGCCAGCCTCAGCAGAACCTCACCGTCACGTTCGACAGCGAAAGCTTTCTCAAGGTCGACTACACCGCCAAAGCCCAGCCAGTCTATACGCAGTTTGTGAGTTTGGTGCCTCTGATCACTGAAACTAGCGGTGTGATTGACGACTCAGGCCCCAGGATGAATGCTGGACGGATGGCTGGAACAAGGACGGCTACATGTACGGCCAACTGAAACCCGTCGGCGCTGACTTCCAGAGGACACCTCACTGCTTCACGGGTGTCACTCCCGGCTCCGAGCCTACTGAGATCAATGTTCAGGCCTGCTCGTCAAGCAACGATGCCCTCCTCAATCAGCAGTGGTGGATGGCGAATTGGACGCCCACCAACATCTTCACCGTTCGTCTGACCGGCAACCCTAACGACGGCTCTCAAGTCCTCCGCAACAATGTCATTGTCGACGATGCTGGCCGTGTTCAGGAAAAGACGGAAGATGGAGAAGATGTCATCGAGCTCCAATTTGCCAACATCGAGTACTACTAGATTTGCAAACAATCTGCGTGCCGCGAGTGTTTTCTCTTCGTCTTATCCCTTGCTTAGTATCGGAAAACACTTCATCTTATCCCTTGTTTAGCATCCAAACATGTTCAAGGTTGCTGCCAGTGCATATGTCTGTCCCTCCCTTTCATTCCCATGCCGATTGCCATGCTGTGACCCCTCGTGAAGACATCGTCACGGTGCAGTCACGTCTAAAACTGAGCGCAAAGAAACACGTGGCGAAGGTGATCCGGCAATTGCCTTTTCACAGGCCGACCGATCAGATGGATCCGGTCGCCTCTGATAGGTGGTGCTCGTCCGTCTCCACTCTGAGAGCTGATCTCCGCAAGTGCCGGTCGTCGATTTTCGTTTTCAACACGAGCACATCGGACAGAAATTAGCAAATAGGGCCATACCCATTGGCATTCCTCTTCTTTTCTTCCCCGCCTCCTCCTTTCTCCACCATCGACAACAGTCATACCGAGCAAGCGAGCAAGCATCATGTCGTCTGGATGGATCAATACCGAGACGACGGCGACGATGTCGCGGGAACGCGCCAACCCGCCATTCGACGTGCGAGCCATGTCGATTGCGCACCACGGCTCCGAAAAGGATCTCAAGCTCAAGGAGAAGTTCATGCTCGAAATCTCGCGTGATCCGGCTTACTACGCCGTTGACATCCACGACCTGACAAAGGATCAGATCCGTCAGCGAACATTTGCTAAGATTCAGTCGCTGGTCCACAATGTTACCAACGAGCCCCTCGAGGTGTTTCAGAAGCGCATGGAGGTTATTGGCCTCTTCGACCCAGGCTTCTGGACTAGATTCGGGTGAGTATTTTACGCCTGTGTCGCCGCCAGCTCGGAGGCGTCGTGTGCTGACATGATGTTGAAACACCCCCTCAGCGTTCACTACGGCCTTTTTGTCGGCGCCATCCGCAGCGCCGCAACGTCCAACCAGTTTAGCTACTGGCTCGAAAAGGGTCTGATCGCGTGCAAGGGCATGTTTGGCTGCTTCTGCATGACCGAGCTTGCCCACGGATCCAACGTCGCCGGCCTTCTGACGACGGCCACTCTCGACGAGGGTACAGACGAGTGGGTGATCCACACGCCCGACCTCTCGGCGACCAAGTGGTGGATCGGTGGCGCGGCCGAGACGGCCACGCACGGCGCCGTTTTCGCCCAGATGATTGTCAAGGGCAAGCGCTATGGTGTCAAGACATTCATTGTTCCGCTTCGTGACCCCAAGACATTCCAACTCCTCCCTGGCATCAACATCGGCGACATTGGTATGAAGATGGGCCGCAACGGCATTGACAATGGTTACGTCCAGTGAGTGCTTTTGAAAACTCTCACTCTCGCATGTCCCCTCTTGAGTGTCGACGGCTGACTTCTTCACCCCCAGGTTCACGAACGTCCGTGTTCCCCGCGCATACATGCTTATGAAGCACACGCAGGTCACACGCGAGGGCGAAGTGAGGGAGCCGCCGCTGCAGCAGCTCACCTACGGAGCTCTGCTCCAGGGCCGTACTGCCATGGTGGCCGACGCAGCAAACTCGGCCAAGAAGGCCCTCACAATCGGCGTGCGTTACGCCGCCGTCCGTCGTCAATTTAAGAGCTCGCCTGACGCGGAGCTCGAGACTCAACTCCTCGACTATCCCATCCACCAGCGGCGACTGATGCCGCTGCTGGCCCAGTCCGTTGCATTCGGCTACACGGCTCTCCAGATGAACAAGCTCTTTGAGGAGACGTCGTCGGCCCTTGAGGCTCTCGAGCCCGGTGACCCAAACCTGCAGGCGACGATCGAGCTGCTCAAGGAGACGCACAGCACGTCAGCCGGCCTCAAGGCCTTCTGCACGTGGGCCACCCTGGAGTCGATCGAAAAGACTCGCCAGGCTTGCGGTGGCCACGGTTACAGCTCATACGTTGGCTTGGCGCCCATGGGCCAAGACTTTGCCGTGCACTGCACGTGGGAAGGAGACAACACCATCCTGGCACTCCAAAGCGGCCGTGCCCTCATTGCTGCTTACAGTGATGCAAAGGAAGGAAAGAAGCTCGCCAGTGGAAACGCCTACCTCAACAACCTCGAAAAGACGCTCAATGACAAGTGCACGGGTGAAGCGCAGCTCGACACGCTCGATGGCATCGACCAGGGGTGGGCTGCTGTGGCCGCGCATGCAGTCAAAAAGGCCTACGAAGACTTTGAGGCGCTGACCAAGGCGGGCCGATCGCGCGACCAGGCGTTTGAAGAATGCAGCCAGTCGCGCTTCGTCGCTGCAAGCGTCCACACATCTGGGTACATTTTCCGCCAGTTCCGTGCTGCCGTCGAGCAGGTCAAGGAGGGTAAAGACGGTGTGCGAAAGCATCTCGAGATCCTCTGCAAGTTCTACGGCCTGTGGCAGATGGAGGAGAAGGCTGCCTTCTTCCTTCGCTCTGGTTGGCTCTCACCGGAGCTTCTCGACAAGGTGCAGGCCAAGGTGACGGAGCTCTGCGCCGAAACGCGCAAGTTCGCCATTCCTCTCGTCGACAGCTTTGCCCTTCACGACCACACCATCAACTCGCCGTTCGGCCGCTACGACGGCGCCGTCTACACGTCGTACTGGCGTGCCGTCCGCCGAAACAACCCACAGGGCAAGCACTCGTACTGGGAGTCGACCATCAAGCCGTTCTTGCATCGTGAGGACGCAGAGTTCGAAGACGTCGACGAGGCCATTGGAATCGACGAGGAGATCGAAGAGATCAAGCAGGTGCGTTTACATGTCCTTTACCTTTTGATACTTCCATTGCTTACCCTTGTCGACCTGCACAGGACCGTGAAGAAGCAGAGGCGGAGGCAAAGGAGAACAAGGAGCAGGAGTAGGAGTGACTGTCTGTGTTTCTATCGATACCGCACGATGAATTTAGCTCTCTTTCCCGGATCTCAAATGTGGTGTGCACCAGCCTGCCTTGCCTGCCTTGCCTGCCTCTCGCCCGATCTCCCTGTCTGCCTGCCTCCACTCTGCCTTTTGAGCCACAGGGCCCTCACACGTCTTTTTTCTTCTTTAGTTCACGCGCGTCAGGGCAAAAAGAGTGTGGGAAAGCGACTGCCACCCAGCTCCCGTCGTTGTAAGAGCAATCCTCGACTAACCAGCTTGCCCGAAAGACATGGGCGGGAGGCCCGTGATGCAGTGATGGAGAGCACAGGCGAGGTGGACTACTTCTCTCAACGTCGCGGTTCAGTAAGCCGCTACGACGATCCGCCACCAGAGGATACAGTCAGGCAGGCGGCCGCTTCGTCTTCTTCCTCGACTGAGACAACGGCGACGACGAACAACACGGTCATCACCGGTGCATCCACCAGCGCCAGCACCGTCGATGCTGCAGCTGGCCAGCCGCGCTCCGCAGATGCAACAATGATGGTGGCGTCGCAGCCGCCCATGACCGACTTCGACTCTTCCTTTCTGGCCATCGCTGCAGCTGCGAGGGCGCAGGCCGAAGCATCGGCCTCTACAAATAGCGCCTACTCCTCCGGTGATGTGCATCCGCCTTCTGTACCTTACTCTGGCGCATCAGCGCCTTTTCCCCTCCGGTCCAGACACCAGCGCACAGCCGTGCTCCATGCACCTTCGGAGGACCCCAAGGCAGCCCGAAATGATATAGAAGCCGCAGACGAAGCCGATGCAGAGGAGCTGTCCAAGACGAGGTGCTACTGGGCAGTCCTTTCGACTGCGCCAACTTCTTCGCCAATGTCCTCACCAGACTCCTCGCCGACGTTTCTCTACCTCGACCCCGTCTTTGCAAAGCACATGGGCGCGCAAGCCGAGGCGATGCTTGGCACCAGTTTCTTTGACTACATCCACCCCGAGGAGAAGGCAAGGGCCGAGGTCGACATGCGCAACATCATCGACTCCAGAACGCTGTTCGGCAGCGTGTCAAGGTGAGCACGCGCCAGTTGTTTGTAGAGAAGGGTGCAATAGGAAGGGAGATACTGAGAGCCTCGCAGGTGTCGGTACTCGAGAGTGCCGCGAATTAGGAGAATGCTTGGTGCAAAGGAGCCCCCGACGCCAAAAGAAGTCAAGGCATTGCAGGGTCAACAGGCTGACTTTATTCCCATCGACATTGTCGTCAACTGGATCGGCGCCGACCTCGCTCTGTGCTTCTTCCACGCCATCATTGGTGAGAATCGCGTCTGGACTAGTCCGACGAGCCCTGTTGCTGACCCCTCCCACAGACAAGTCGCCCCAAGACAACGACGAAGAGAGGAAGACGGAGTGGTCGAACTGGTGCGGGATGCCCCAAGGGTCCTTCACGGCAAAGGATTCGCAAGACCTCTGGTCCAACGTCCGCAGCGTGCGCAAGCTGGAACCGAGTGTGACGGGGCCCGCCTACGTATTTCAGATTCTCTCAGCAGACTCACTGCCCGACGTCCTCTTTTCCTGGCCCCCACCGCGGCTCTACCCTCAGGGCGCACGCGAGAGGCAGGACAGGCATGACACCCAGGTCAGCTATGCAGACGGGTCCTACTTCCCAGACGACTTTGCCAAGCTTGCCCAGGGTGTCGACTCGCTCAAGAGGGAGCTGAGCGACGCCAACACGAGCTGCACGCGTCGCTTCCGGGCAAAGCATACTCTCACGACAGACGCTATGCTGAGAGGAGTCGAAAGCGTCTTGATCCCGTATGGCTCCATCGTCTTGGCCTGCTTCGGCACCACGTATGCCCAGCTCGTCGGCGGTCTTGATTCTATGGGCGCCGTTGCACCTCGACAGCCTCAAGCTGCACCGTTGCAGACTGCAAGCCAAGGTCGCCCATCGGATGCCTCTTCGCAAGCTGCCTTTTCCGCGTATCCGCGCAAGAAGAGCAAGACCTCCTTCTCACCCGAGGCCGCCACGAGAGCGGGAGTCGCTTCCTCTGATGATGGCTCGGGCACCAGTGTTGCTACACTCGCCGCCGTCGCCGCTGCCGCTGCTGCACAGACGAAACGGTGCGAGAGCTGCGGGACGAGCAACAGTCCGGAATGGAGAAAGGGTCCCGACGGATCAAAGTCGATGTGCAACGCCTGTGGCTTGCGGTATTCGAGGTCGATTGCCAGGGCTCGTAAGCGCGAGGAGCGCGCAAGGATAGCGGCTGAAGTCGCGGCGAATGGAGGGGTCATCCCGCCGCACCTTCGCAAGCAGCCAGGTCAGCAGCAGAAGCAGAAACAACAGAAACAGCCAAGACAAAAGGAGAAGCACAAGCACCTCGTTGAGGCAGATGAGAAAGAGGCGGCGATTGATTCGGCACCTCACAAGTCTCGACAGCATGGCAATGAAGACTTTCTCAGCAGCACCGCCGGTGCTTCGTTCGACCCAAACGTCTCGCAAGGTCCAGGCGGGCCTCTGGACATGGCTCGCGCTGCTGCCCAGGTTGCTGCTGCTGCGGCTGGCCTTCAGTGAAGGCAGACAAGTCATCCATATATTGTGTATATCTTTGTAGAAGTAGCCCTGTATCTTTTCTTATTTTACTCATACACTGTATCAGAGCAACCGTAGCTCTTCTTTCGAGAACATACCTATAGTACAAGCGGCGTCTTTCGAATTAATGAGGGTATAAGTCACCAAGTGAGTGTGGGTCAGACGGCCTTTCGACAAGTGGGGCACTGGAGCCGGACGTCGAGCCAGGTCGAGATGCAGCGTGCGTGGAATGCATGATGGCAGGGAAGCCGCTTGGCGCCGCTGCCGTCTGCCATGTCTTCGCGGCAGATGAGGCAGCAGGCGTGGTCTTGAGCGGCTTGCCCTTCGACGATGGTTCCCTTTACGTCACTGGAGAGGAAGCTGGCATTTGGCAGCCGTTCAACGACGGCCTTGACCCGCGTCGACTCGGCGTGCATCGCCCTTGCCCCGTCGTAGAGGCTGATGGACGTCTTTGCGAGCTGCCAGGCCACCAGCGGCAAGTGGACGAATTCGTCACGCCTCTGTCCGTGACGCGAGCTGCTGCTGCTGCTGCTGCTGCTGGGAGCCGGAACGAGGCAGGAGAGGAGCGCGAGCTGGTTGAGCAGCTTGATCACGTCGATGGTGAGGCGCAAGACAGCCAAGCGCATGTGGCGCGTGCGCGGCGAGCACGACTCATCAAAGGTGGACAGGTGCAAGCCGATAAAGTAGGCCGCCGTGCCGCGCCAGAGGTGAGCGGGGAGCGCCATCACGTCGGTGGCGAGCACGAGGGCAATGACGCCGTTTGTTCCGGCCCTGCCAGGGGTGCTGAGAGCGTCGAGGACATGCAGCGCGAGGGTGCCGTCGAGGACAAGTAGGAACACAAAGAAGAAGGCCAGGCGAAGGTGCGCCGTAACGCAATCGCTCGTCTTCAGGCGCTCGATGCGGCGCTCGTAGATGCCATGGAGAAGCTTGAGTCCTCGGACCGCGAGAAGAAGGGGGAGCAGTGCAAGCGACGAGGAGGAGGGAAAGAGGCTGCTCAGAACGACCTCGGCCGTCATGACAAAGGCGCCCAACGACGGTCGCGTTGACGCGGCGCCCGTCAGGCTGGCCATCTTGGGTGAGGGCGTTCAGGGAATGGTAGCGATGAATGGCAATACCATGGCACGGCACTCCTCTGCTACAATACAGCGAACATGTCAGAGATATAAGAGGCAAGACAGGCCGCTCGATCAGCCAGCCCTCTTGTTGCTAGAATTCGTCGGCAGGGTCATGCGTCCGCGAATGTGAAAAAAAAAGGGGACATCGAACTTCCCAAATGCTTTGCTATCGCTTGATAAACCTTTACGTAGCTGTTCTGTGCACAAAATGGAGACAGTGACGGACTCAGTTGCGCTGAAGTGACGCAAATCGAGGTCCGAATAGGAAAGATAGGGACGATGAGCGCCCGTCGCGAACCTTACAGTCACGCTTTGCTCAGCATATGAGGACTACAGCACTGCCCGTCAGCGACGGCACGGCCCTTCCGAGCCGCGAAGCCACTGACTTTTCAGACTTTCAAAAATAGGCTTACAGGCACAAAGGCCGCACGGAAATAAAAAAAGCCATGGAGCAGCCCAGGGAGGTGGATAAAAACAACCAAAAAGGAGATTAAAAATACAGACTAAATTAGCTTGGGCGCTGCGTGAATGCACAAAGGCGAGCAAAGCTTCCGGCAAGCGCAAAGTAAACAATCACCATTGCTCGCTTCCTCCGTGGCCCCGCGTTTTCCTGGGGAACCGCCGAAAAGCAGCCGCGGCTGGATGCGAGCATGCGGGGGTCATGCTTGTGGGGAAGGCAGATCAAATAATGATGGGATGAAAAGGGAAGGGCACGGCTCGATGAGAAAGGACAACGTGCGTCTCTACAGAAATTGAAAGTTTCAATCGTTTGTTTCGCTTTCTCACTTCTCCGCGTCCATCCGCATGCATTCGCGCCTGTGCATGGCGGAATTCTGGTGCAATTTCGAGGCAAGATCGCTCCATACCATGATGGCTTCTAGCTTTACCATGTTCGAATGGGCTTGCGCGCAATCCATGTGAACTATTTAGCTAGTGTAGTGGTAGTGGTAGGACCGTCTGTGACAGCTTCATTGCTTGTTTTCTGTGATGTTTTTGGTATGGCTAAACAGTCGCCTCGAAACGCTAGCTCCCTTAGCCTCTACGCGGCCAACGCCGGGTGATGCTTGGGATCGGACCTTTTTTTTTTCTCCCTCGTCTATTTTCTTTACGTCTCAAGCTGTATCCTCCAGACTCCTCCTGCACCGCGTTAGTGGGACGTCGGCGCAGTGCCTGACTTCCCTGACATGGCCTGATGACGAGCACAGATCTCGTTCTTTAGTTCTGGGCCCAGTCTATGAGGGACACAGCCAAGAATTTGGATTCATCGCAATGATGCCGTAAAGCAAATACAAAATGAATCCAGTGTGGATGCGCCGGAACGGCAAAATTTCCTTCGTTTGTTATCCAGAAGGCACCATTTTGAAAGGCCGACTAAGAAAATATGCATTTCATTTTCTTTTCTGCTGCTGCTTGCGGTTTCACGAACCAAAAGAGAGACAGAGAGTGGAAAGAGAGAGAGAGGGCCAATGATGAGATGAGGGCACCCTTGTCCTCTGGTTGCCAGAAACAAATTTTTGCCGTCCCTCGAGCAGAGGCAGAGAGATAGGGAGCACACGCGCGCCCAGACAACGCTCTGAGAGCAGAGAGGGGCCCCCTTTCCTTCTTCGTGGATCTATCCTTCCCCGCAGCTTGCCTCTCCGTCTTCCCCTTCTTCCCCACTTTTGTCGGCTTCGACGCATCCCCGCCGTCGTCGCTTCTTCGTTCGTTCTCGCCAGCTCCCCTCCCCTCCCCCTCTTTCCTTCTCCCCCTTCCACCCCTTTCCTCCTTTTTCTTCTCCCCCCGGACGCTAACCCCCTTCCCCGACTCTCTTGCCTAGCAGGAGCAACTTCGCTTACCCTATCGAAAATGGCTTCGGGGAGGGCCTCGGAGAGCTCCTCGAGGCGTGACCTCGTCGGGTCGACTGGCGCAGGTGGCCGCAATACTCCTTCGGTCGCGGGCAGTGGCCGACGGGGCCAGGCCATGTACCAGCCGGGGACGCCGATCGGATACCTGGCCGCCAGGGGAACGCCATACGAGAAGAAATACTTTACCAAGAAGCTCGGCTTCTGCTGTCTCTTCCTCGCGCCACCCATCTTCCTCGTCACCTTGGCCATCGCCCTGGTCCCCGTGCTGTACGCCATTGCCGACCATGCGCTCCATACGTCGCAGTTCCACGTCCAAAGCTCCAACATCACCTTCCCCACCAACACGAGCTTCCCGCTGACGTTGGGGGCCCAGGTGAAGAAGACGGGCATCTTCCCGGCCCATCTCTACTTCCGCAAGCCCATCCAGGTCTATTGGAACTCGGTGCCGACGGCTGAGAGCCCGATGCGCGAGCTGCACCTCGGCCAGTTCAATCTCGCCCACGTTGGAGCAGCTGCAGGCCATGCGACGGTCAACCAAGTGAGTAGCTGGTCCTGGATCCATTGGCTGTGGTGGCTTGTTTGAGAAATGCGATAGAAGGATGGAAGGATGGATCAAGATATGAATAGACGAAGATCGGATGATGGATGATGGATGATGGATGGATGGATGGATGGATGGATGGATGGATGGATCGTCGTGTGGATGGGTGGGCGGATGGCGATGACTCCAGGGATGGGCAGAGACGAAACGATGATGGTGTACAGCAGGCGTGCTGACAATTCCACACTTCCAGGCAACGACGTTCTACATTGCCGACGAGGCCGGCTTCGGCGAGTTCGCCAAGTTCCTCGTTTCGCAGCCCGAATTCACCTGGCGGATCAAGTGTCCAGAGGTGCATGCAGAGGCCTTCAGCTTCTTCCCCACCTACAAATCCTTGCCGCTGGTAAAGGACATCGTTATCAACGGCCTCGACAACTTCCACGACCTCACGATCATCGACCTGCAGCTGCCAGGTGACGATCCAGCCGGCGGTATTACGACGGTGGCGACGACGACGCTCGTCAACCCCTCGCCGTTTGGCATCGAGGTCGGCACATTGGAGCTGGCGCTCTACTACAATGGCCTCTTCCTGGGGCCGGTGTCTGTCGATGGATTGAATCTGACTGCGTGAGTTTCGATACGCTCTTTCTCTCTCCTCTGGCGGGAAGGGGGGGGGGGCGCTCGCCCAAGTGAAGAAAAAAACTTACCGTGACCAAATCTCCATCTACAGCGGTGTCAACACGATTACGCTGCGAGGAAGAGTGCTCCCTCAGGCCGGCAACATCACCGCCCTAAACATCCTCGGCGACCTTTTTACAAAATACATCAACAGCGTTACGTCCGATGTCGTCGCGCGCGGCATCAGCGCCCGTCTGGCCAGTGGCGAGGTCGTCTCCTGGCTCACCGAGGGCATCACAGCCCTCGAGAGCCACATTCCCTTTGTGCCGCCGCAGCCGATCGACCCGATCAAGGGCATCACCATCGACTACATCAGCCTCGTCTACTCCACCGAGTTGCCGTACAACCCGACGCTGTTCTCCAACTCGCTCGTGGGCACATTCGGCCTTCCCTTTGGCTTCTCGCTCAACATTACCCAGCTCCAAACGTCGCTCGACATCCTCACCAATGGCGCTGCCGTCGGTACGGCCATCGGCGACTATGCGCCCTCGAAGACCAACATCCAGGTCCTCAGCGGCGGCCAAACATCGGGTGACATTGACCTCTCGCTCCCGCCCACGCAGTTGACGCTTCCCAACACGTCGGTGGCTGCGCGCGAGCAGCTGATCGAGTTCCAGAACTCCTTCACCTACTCGAGCGCCTCTGCGTTCCAGGCCAAGGGACAGGCCAAGGCCCTCACAATGACGCCCCTCGGCGAGATTCTGCTCAATGGCATCGACTTTAACGTCACGACCGGCCTTGTCGGTTTGGCGGGCTTGACCAAGTACCCCACCATCATCAACTCAGTCGATGTGACGGGTGGAAGTGCTCAGGCCATCGATCTGGCCGTGCAGTTGAGCGTCGTCAACCCATCGAATCTGAACCTGTCGACGGGCGACGTCACTTTCCAGCTGCTCAACCAGCAGGTGCTGGGCACGACGACGCTGCCGAACCTGATTCTGAGCCCGGGCAAGAACACCATCAATGCGACGGCCATGTTCGACCCCAACCAGGCGCCCATCGGTCTCGAGACGTTGAACCGCTTCATCTCGGGCCTCGACACCAACTTGAATGCCTCTGGCTTTGACGGATCATCGCCCGTCGAGTCGCTGGCCCACACCCTGTCCGGCATTCGACTCAATACGACCCTGCCCGCACTCAAGCAGTCGCTCGTCCAGGCCGCAAACGTCACCATTCTCGACACGACGGGCACCGTTGACGGTGTTGCCAACTCCATCGTCCAGATTCGCAACCCCTTTTCGTCGGAGCTGACCATTACTCGCATCGTCGCCAACGCCTCGTCGCACGGCATCTACCTGGCCCACATCGACACCACCCTCAACTTCCCGGCAGCGGGTCGAGCAACGTCGCCATCGCCCAACGTGCCCCTGACTCTGAACCTGTTCCCTCCGGACCTGTTTGGTCTCTTGCGCGCGCTCGTCGTCCAGTCGGGGCAGGACCCTGCTTATCTCGACGGCCTGGTCCAATTGGCCGGCTACACGCTGACGCCGACGACCAATGCCGACACGGCGGCTGCCTCTCGCAAGAGATCCTTTGAGGGAGCGGATTCCGTCGATGACTCGTTTGTCTTTGAAGACGACGACGCCATGGCCCAGCAGCTCATGGGCGTCGGCTCCAACCAGGGCGTGTTTGCCGATGTGCCAGAGGGCTTCGAGGGAGATGAAGAAGAGGGAGAAGGAGAAGACGGACCCGGTTTTGTGAAGCGGGGAAAAGTCATTGCCCCCGCACACGATTCAGAATTTGGAAAACGCGCTAATCTTTATTCCGGCTTCGATTTGACCCGATACGTGGGTCAGGCCTTCTCCGTAGCGGAAGCCGATCTGACCATCGTCAGCGATGCCACGATTGGCGAGTATGGCACCACGCTCACCTTCAGCCAGCAAAATGTGCCACTGGGAACCGACGAGACGCTGTTCAAGCTCCTCCCACCGTTGGCTCTGCCCATTGTACAGAGAATCGTCGATGTCGCCGTGCTCAACATCGACCGTGTCACCATCACCGAGGCTCGCCCGACGTCCTTTACCGCTCAGCTCCAGGGCTCCCTGACCAACTCTGGTCCCTTTGACGCCGTCGTCTCGTTCCCATCAGGCCTGTCCATCTACTGGCAGGGCCAACTTCTGGTTCAGACCGCTTTCCCGAACATCACCTTGACGGGCGATCTCGGCGCTTCGCTCAACGTCCAGATCGAGGGTCAGATTCCAGATGTCGACTACTTCACCACCTTCTTGAAGTCGGCCATCACCGACCCAGCCTTTGAGTGGACGATCCGCGGCGAGAGCCTCTCTGTCTCGGCCATCGGCATCGTGGTGCCAAATGTCACGATCACCAAGAATGTTCAGCTGACGGGTCTCAATGGCCTGACGGGACAGGTCATCATCAACTCCTTTGATGTTCCCTCCAATGACCCAGCCGGTGGTCTTCATCTGACGGCCGTCTCCACGATCAACAACCCGGCCCAGGTCGGTGTGGCCTTGACCAGCTTTGGCACCAACATCAACATGGGAAGCGACCTCGTCGGTCCGGCTGCCGCTGACGGCGCGTTCACGCTCCAGGCCCTGGCCGTTACCACGGTGCCCTTGACTGGTCGCATTGTTGCGCAGACGACCGACTCTGGCTTGGCTGCTCTTTCGACGATCTTCACCCGCTTCGTCCACAACCAGAACACGGGGCTTACCGTCTCGGGCCAATACGCTGGCCCGTCTGATGTCGTCTGGCTCAACGAGGGTATCAAGGCGCTCAACGTCGATGTCCAGCTGCCCAGCCAGGACTTCCAGGTCATTCGTCTCATCTCGCTCAACCAGCTTGCCCTCTACTTCACTGTCCCCACGGCATTCAACCCGCAGACGGACTCGTCCAACACGACGGCCAACTTCTTCCTTCCCTTTGCCTTCCCCGTCGACATCACCCAGGTCGGAGGCCCCTTCACGGCCAACTACCAGAATACGGACATGGCGGTGCTCAACATTCCCACGTCGCCTTCGACGACGGATGTCGAGGCGAGGATCTTGACGCTCATGTTCCAGAACGTGCCATTTGCTGTCATGTCACCCTCGAGGCAACTCTTCAGCCAATTCGTTGCCGACTTCACCAAGGCGGAGCAGGTCACGCTCAACCTTCACGGAACGGCCACGGCAACGACGAACACGGCAGCAGGTGTCCTGACCATCTCGGACATTCCCTTTGATCTCAACACGAACCTCTTGGGTCTGCAGAACCTCAATGCTCGTCCGGCCAATGTCTCGAACCTCGATGTGTACCATGGCTACCCGACGTACCTTCAGATCAACGTCGACACGACGCTCTACAACCCTTCGGACACGACCGTCGGTGCCGGTGACGTCACTTTTGCGGTTCTTTTCCAGAACAATGTCATCGGTCAAGCTCTGATCAAAGACATCGTCCTGCCACCAGGCGATGTTACGGTGGCAACGCAGATCAACTACATGCCCTCTGGAGAGACCAACATTGCTTCTGGACAGCTTCTCCTGGTAAGTCATTTTCACTCTCCCTCATCAGTGTCCATGTCTGCTAAAGCTCTCGAGAACAGGAAAACTACGTGCAAAATGTCACCTCGGACACAACTGTCATGGGAACGACGCAGACGACGCCCATCGCCTCGCTCGTCCAAGGTCTCAGCGGCATCTCGCTCAGTGCCCTCATCCCTGCTCTCGACAAGCTTCTCGTCACCTCCACGGCGCTCGAGGTGCCCAAGGACATTGCTCAGACGGGCATTGCTCAGGTGCAAGTCACGATTGCCAACCCATTCACAGCGACCATCAACATTATCCGTCTGCAGGCCGGCGCCGTCTTCCAGGGCATCACCATTGGTACGATTAACCAGGATCTGGGCGCGACAAACAACATCATTACTGCACCTGGCCATGAGACGACGCAGTCGCAAACGATCCCGATCAACCTCAACATCGATCCGAAGAACCTTCTTCGCTTCATCGAGGCCGCTGCTGCTTCTGCTGGTGTTAGCCTTGGCCCCCTTCCGCCGTTCTTCCAGGAGGTTCTCGACTTGCCTGACACGACGACCACCATCTCGCCCTACCCTGACGATTCGGCTCCGCCGTGCAACTCGGGACGCGCGTTTGACACGCTGGGCGCCATTCTTGCTCTGCTCAAGCCCTTGGCTGTGTCGATTCCCATCCAGTCGACCGTCAAGCTTGACGATTACCAGACCGGCCTCGACTTTATCCAGCAGCCTGTGCCGGTCGTGACGGACAACACGGCCCTGTACCTCGTCGGACCGGCGGCAGCGCCCTTGATTCAGCTCATTGTCAACCAGTCCGTTCTGACCGTTGCCCAGGCAAATGCCACGGCTTTGACGAACCAAGGTTTCGCCGTCAGCCTCCAAGGCAGCCTGGCCACCGATGCGCCTGCCGATGCCTACATTGAGTTCCCAGACGGTATCACGGTCAACTTCCAGGGCACCGACATTGCCACGCTGTTGCTGCCACCCTTGTGCGCGAGCCCACCCGACGGTATCCCTAATCTCCAATCGTCTGGTCAGCTCAAGATCATCAACGAAGGCGCCTTTGAGGAGTTTGCCTACTACATTCTCACCGAGCCGAACTTCCAATGGTTCCTGCACGCCAACACCGTCAATGTCCGTGCCCTCGGGATCCAGTTCCGCAACACGATTCTGGAGAAGACGATTCAGCTCGATGCATTCAATGGCCTGCCGGGTCTCGTCATCTCCATGTTCCAGGCACCCAGTGATGCGCCGGGCCGCATCAACATTGCGACGCAAGTGCCCATCCCATCGCCTGCTTCGCTCGGTGTCGAGCTTGGTGCGGCCACTTTTGAGCTCTTCTTCCAGGGCTCCGACATTGGTCAGGTCACGTCCGAGTACCTCTTCCTGGCGCCAAAGGCAACGACGCTGTCGACGCTCAACGGCTACCTCAAGAGCCAGGTGGGCAACACAGAGGGCTTGGCCAACATTGGTATCCTCTTCAGCCAGTTCCTTGCCGGTCAGAACAGCACCCTCCAGATTCGTGGTGTCGAGGTCATTTCTCCCGCTTCCAACGGACAGCCGGTTCAGTGGCTCACTGCGGCCTTTAAGCGCTTCACGACCAACGTCATTCTTCCTGGACACATCTACCAGATCATCTTCAGCATCACGCTTTCTGATCTGACTGTCTACGTCTTGAACCCAGCGGACAGCTACACCGTCATTGGCACGAACCAGCACACGGTTGCGACATTCTCCAATCCCTTCGGCTTTGGCCTCCAGCCTCTGTCGCTGCAGCCGAGCATCGTTCTCACCTACTTGGGTGTCGACACGGCAAGCATCAACCTGCCCATGGTGCCTGACCAGTCTGCGGCGTCACACGGACCGACAGATATTCAACCCCTGTCGTTTGGCTTCACCAACCAGAGCATCGTGGCCATCGACCACCCGTCGTTCCAGGCCTTCTTTGCAAAGCTTGCAGACACGACCGATGGTACGTTCGGCCTCAAGGGTGTCACGAGCGTCGTGGCACGTACCGAGATCGGAGATCCTTTGATCACGGGCATTCCCTTCAACGTCACAACGTCGCTCAAGGGCATCAACTCGTTCAACGGTGTCGCCACCCTCTCGCCTGCCGTCGTCGACGACCCTACGCCAGACTACATTGGTATCCACCTCAATGTCACGCTGGAGAACCCGAGCAACCTTACGCTCTACACGAGCCAGGTCAGCCTGCCGACGATCTACAAGACGCGCAATGTCGTCATTGGTCGTGCCACCATTGCGGAGCTGGCTCTGATGCCGGGAAGCAACCTGGTCAATGTCCTTTTCGAGCTCATGATCTCGCCGTTCAACTCATCCGACGTTCAGGAAGTTATTCAGCTCTTCTTGCAGCCGATTGACTTCATGACGGAAAATGCTGCGAATCAGAACATGATTCCGCTCCAGATCCACGGTCAAGTCAATGCCAATCCGCCTCAATCGCCTTACGAGTCGCTCGAGCCGGCACTCACGGGCATCGTCGCCGACACGACGCTTGCTGGTATCGCCACCGATGTCGCCGTCAAGATTCGCGTCTACATTCCCGCCAGTGTCCTTATTCAAGAGCTCGGTGCCATCTTGGGCCTGGTGCCCAACGGAACCGTGTACGTGTATGCCTACCTCGACGCCAAGAACGATCTGCCCGCGGAAATCGACTTTATCCAGCTCGACACGTCCATCGCCGATTACACGAATCCGAGCGCGGGCGAATATGCTCGCTTCGAGCTCGTCTTTGGCTCCAGCAACTCATACACGCTTCCTGCAGCCACGTCGACCGGCAACCCGAGCGTGGCGTCTGTAACCTCGCCAGAGATCCCCAACATTCTTCTTTCCAAGGGTCTGCTCGCATCTCTGCCGCTGCTTGGGCACAACCTCAACATCGACAACTACATCCGTTTGAATCTCAAGGGCCCCAACGGTGCCTACTACATTCCGGGCCTGCACTACATCCAGCACAATGTCGACACCGACTACTACTTTACTTTGCTCGACAGCGGCGACAACCTGGGCATCCCGCTCGACGGCATCAGTACCATTACCGACCTGCTCAATGCCATCGCCGGAGGAAATGGCCTCACTGCCATCATCGATGGTCTGTCCGCGCTCGACCCCTCGAACCAGCAAGGTATCTTCCAGAACCTCACCGGTTTGCTGGGCACTTCGACTGGCAGCATCTTCTGCACAAGTGGAGGCCTCCCGGCGCTATTCTGCGATCCAACGGCTTCGAGCAGCACTACCTCGGCAACGACGAGCTCGACCGCAGCTGTCACAGATCTCGTGGCAAGCGCCGCGGCGCTGACATCGACGATTGCAGCTGCGGCCACGACTGCTGCTGCCACTACGACAGCCGCCGCGGCCTCTTCATCGTCGACCACCGCTGCGGTCACCCTTCCTTTATCTGTCTAGAAGTTCCTTCCGTCTACACACTCTTTTGCATTCTTCTCGTCGGTCCCTTGGTCTATATTCCCGCCTTTCGGCCAAGCAACACACTGCCACTCGACTGTGGTTTTTTCGTCTGGGTTCTGTTAATGTCTTCCGTCGCTGTGACTGCTTGTTTGTTGTTACCACATTGCAGCGACTCTATCTCTCAATTGAAAAGGAAGATTTGCAAGTACAATTGTCTTGTCTGTGGGCATGGCCCTGCTGCGCTGCTACTGCTGCTCTGCGGCTTATGGTGGCGCTCGTGCAAGGAATTGGGAAAAGTTCAAGGTCTGGATAGTTTATTTCTTCTCGCACGGCAAACGCACCGTGGGACCGCGACTTCCGTCTGCAGAGCGCGCCATGCGCGGCCGGGAACGTGATGGAAGCCGGATAACCGAAAATGGTCAAAAAGGCACTGGGGTCAACCCCACGATTTTCCTCAACTTCCCTGACCCTCTTCCATCTCTCTCTTATACACTCTCCAACCGTCTCTCTCTCTCTGCCTCTCATTTTGCCCTTTCTCTCTCTCTTACTGCACCTGAAATCATGACGACGAGGATTGGCCAACTGGCCCAGCACTTGGACCCGCGGACGTGGTCGGGCAAAGGGCTGGCGGCGCACAGCGTCAAGAATGAAAATGACGTCGTCATCGTGGCGATTGGACGGACGCCATTCTGCAAGGCTCGCAAGGGCAGCCTCAAGGATACTCCGTGAGTACCTCCACGAGAGGAAAAGAGGAAAAAAGAGTGCGGCCTAGCTGGTGGAAATGGAACTGACGATGGTGTGATATTGCAACTGAAACAGATTTGACGTTTTGGTGAGTACGATTGAGCAGGTAGAGGGAGTGATTGGCCGGATCAGCTCATACGATGGTCCTCTTAGCTTCTCGAGACCTTCAAGGGCATGCTCAGCACTTCTCAGATTGACCCCAAGCTCATTGAAGAAGTGGCAGTGGGAAATGTACGCAACGAAAACGGAGCCTACTGCGTTCGCGCCGCTGCGCTCGCGGCGGGCATCCCGAACACGGCGCCTACCCTCGTCGTGAACCGGTTCTGCTCGAGCGGTCTCATGGCTGTCCGAAGCGTGGCCAACCAGATCCAGGCCGGTGAGATCGACTGCGGACTGGCAGTGGGATGTGAGAGCATGTCGAACCACGCCAAGGAGGAGGTGGGTCAACGTCTAACCGGCAAGCGTGTCTTGTCTAATCTGAAGGGCTTAATCTGACATGAGAAAGGGTGTTCGTGGCGTTCCTGCTGCGCAGTGGGGGTACTCGCCTGAGGTCAGCGGTGCCAACCAGGAAGCAGCAGATTGCAAGATGCCCATGGGCTGGACATCGGAAAATGTTGCCGGCGACTTCAACATCTCGCGCGAGAAGATGGATGCCTTTGCTGCTCGTTCTCACCAGCGCGCGGCGGCTGCACAAGCTTCGGGCCGATTTGATGCTGAGATCTTCCCCATCACTGTGCCTGTCTCGCTCGATGGCGGCAAAGGAGTCGAAAAGACGTACGCGACCGTCTCAAAGGACGATGGAATCCGAGCCAACTCGACCCCAGAGGGTCTTGCCAAAATCAAGCCCGCCTTCCCCCAATGGGCACCCGCGCAGACGACAGGAGGAAATGCCTCGCAGCTCACCGACGGCGCTGCGGGCATCCTTCTCATGCGCCGCTCCATGGCCCAGAAGCTCGGCAAGCCCATCCTGGCAAAGTACGTCGCGACGGCCGTGTCCGGTCTGCCCCCTCGCATCATGGGCATCGGACCCAGCCTGGCCATTCCCAGGGTTCTCGAATTGACGGGCATCACAAAAGAGCAAGTGGACATCTTTGAGATCAACGAGGCCTTTGCAAGCATGGCCGTCTACTGCGAGGAGAAGCTTGAGATCGACCCAGAGAAGCTGAACGTCAACGGAGGCGCTTGCGCCCTCGGCCATCCTCTCGGTGCTGTAAGTCTTCCCTTTCTTTGGCAACCTCTGAACATCGAGCTGAGAGCATCTATCCCTATTCTTCTACTATTTAGACCGGCGCTCGCCTTGTGGTCACTGCTCTGAAGGAGCTCGAACGGCGACAAGGACGGGTCGCCGTCGTGAGCATGTGCATCGGCCTGTAGGTGTTGCTCGCCCCTATCTTCGGTTTCTTTCCCCCGCTAACCCTCCTCTTCTCTGCCTCACAGTGGCATGGGCGCGGCTGGCCTCTTCATTCGTGAAGATTGAGACTGTATTCATTTCTATGTCGTCGTCCAATGTGAAAACAGTGACGTCCCTCTGAGAGCAAATCACTTCTTCCCTCCCCCTCCCGTACCGCCGCCTGCAGCCTTCTCCGCCTCCTTAGCCTGTTTCAGTACCTGTGTCAGCGCTTTCAAATTCTGGTTCGAGACTTTGCGGCTGAATGTGCTCACCATCTGCTTCTGTTTTACAATTTCGGCGTCCCGAGCCTTGCGCTGCTCAACGCTAAGCCCATCAGCTCTCTTGCCCTTGTTTGCGTCGGCCTGCTTCTTTTGCGCCTTGGCCCGCGCCAGGTCACGCTGGTTACCGCCTGATCACGAAGCACAGATCAGTCTCTCACCCAGCCATTTGTGAAAAGAGAGGAGGGAAGCAGAGGGGGCAAGAAAGCACGTACGTGTCATTGGTATATGCCCCTGAGGAATCCCAAGCGGTCCCTTCTATGTCAACTTCCGCGATAATGTAGGCCCCACAAAGATTGATCGCCTGCCACGGCACGGCCCCAACGGCGACGTTGCGTCGAGTCAATGATGGGGAGGAACAAAGGAGGCGCGAGAAGGTCGCAACTCGACAGAACCTTGAGCGGGCAATTTCAGGGTTTCGGGCGAGACCACGTGTCTTGACAGGTCTACCGGTAATCTGCGCCCGCTCTCAAGACAGAGCAGACAGTAAGGAAGTGGTGTCATCAAGATTGTCATTATTGCTGTGCTGTGTAAATTTGGAGTCTGCTTGGCTTGGGATCTAGATCTGCTGTGAAGGGGAGAGTTTAAGGAGAGAATTCAAGGAGGAATTGGGCAAAAAGGGGGAGGGGGAGATGAGGCCGCGACGGATGCGATGAGAATGGGAGAAGCGCAACCCTATTCTTCTGGCGAGAAGACGACGGTGCCGACGACGTCTCTTGGGAGTTCCTCTTCCAGATTTGGTTCTGAGGACGACGACGAAGGAGATTGCTCGATACTGGCGCAGACATCGACGATCTTTGTTTCATCTTGGTTCTTGATCTCGTGAATACGTACCTGAGCCGACAAATGACCTTGCTCGCGCTCATTCGGGGACGGAGGTGCTGAAGCAGAAGGATTGAGACGAGGTCGGAGGCGCAGAAGTAGCTTCTTTCCCTGCCCAGGACCCAAACCCAAGGTGACGGTGCTCGACACTCTTTTGAGCCGCGTCGTTGCATCCTCTACAGCCTCTTCGGCGTCGCCTGAGGCATTTTGTTCAATCTCGATGGGCTCCTCTGTTGTCTCGCGCGTCTCCGCACCTGCCTCTGAGGGCTGCGACGACGAGGAGGGAAGTGCAATTCCGAGCTCCGTCAGGCGACCCTCGTACTTCTTTACCTTGTCCTTCTGTCCCTTGCGGCTTGCGATCTTGAGCTTCTGCGAGATGTGCTCCACCTCTTCCTCTTCGGCCTTGGACAGGGTGCCCAAGCGCGCATCGCTAGGCTCCTTCGACGTAGCCACAATGAGATCAAAATCGGCGACGGCCGAGCTCAGAGGAACTCGAAGTTGGCGCGTGTCGAGGGCCAGGACAAATGTCCTTGCCTTTGCCGTCGTGTTGCTCACCACAATGCTCTCGGCCTGCGACAGCTTGCCCAAGGCCAATTCACCAAAGTCAAGCCGGCCGGTGGGCAAGACAGCGAAATTGGGCACCTTTCGAACATTCGCCTTGAGCCAAACGGTCTGGTCCTGGTCGCGATCGGCAACATTTTCCACAACGAGGCGTTCCTGGAACTGGCCCGTTAAGCTGGGACTAAAGACAAACTCGACCTCGCGCTTGCCATGGCCTGGTACGACGCCGTAGCGGGCGCTACTGCTGAGCTTGATATCTCCGCTGGCGATGCTGCCGCTTTTGCGGATGCAGAAACGCAAAGCCCATTCGCTCCTATTTTGAATCAGGATGCGCCGTGTCCTTGCCTCTCCTTTGTCAAGCTGACCGAAGTTGATGTGGGGCTGACCGAGCTCGACCAGAGATCGACATGTTGTGGATCGGATCATGAGATCGCGCACGGGAAGCTCGTCGGCATCAAGATCAGCCATGCTGGCAAAGTCGTCGGACCGTCGCAGTCCCTCTCTGTCAAAGTCGACGAGGCGCAAGAAAATTCGACTATCTTGCTTGCGAGCGTTGCCCTGAATGTGCGGCCTTGTGCTCCCGTTGGGCGTATAGACGGCAACGACTTGCCTCTCGGATCGCGCATCTACCGTCAGAACCTCGACAGGTTCCAACCGTCCTGCTTCGATTGCGTCGCGCAGGCCTCGCTCGAGATTAACTTCTGTCCGGACGCTCTGCTCTTCCGCGAGAGGGTTGCCGAGGAAAAAGGTACTCAGGCTGCTGCTCTGCCCTTCAACAGCCGACACAAGCTCATCGAGAGTGAGCTTGGAGACATCCTTAGGGTTCGACAAGACTGGCTCGGCTTTCCGCTTGCCCGTCAAGGCCGGAGCGTCCGCTTTCGCGGACGTCTGTTTGGCAACTTCTTCGGCCTTGTCAGCGGCCGCGCTTCCCTTGCGATGAATGTCCTTGGCCAGAGGAGATGGTAGTCGAGGTAAAGGTGCCTTGGGTTGCTTCGAAGACGCAGCAGCGCCTTTGCTGGGACGGGAAGAAGAAGGTGCCTCGATGGCATCCAGCAATTGGAAACGCTTGCTTTTTGCCGGTATCCTCTTGCTGTCGACCGGAGGCCCTGATGCCAAGTCAAGATATTCGAAGACCGAGATCAGGCTTCGATCCTTGAAAGTGATACCTCGTCCCCAAGTCGCCGTCAGCCGACCTTTAGCTCCCTTCTTCAGGGCTGAGACGAGGTTGATCGTCGGCTTGGGCTTGACCAACGGTGCGGCATGATCACCGTCGCCTCCCCCGTCCCTCTTTTCCTCTCGTTGATGATTATGATGATGATGACGCGATGATGGACCTTGGCCGTCCGTTTTCTTCCCTGCGTTACCAAGCCGATGATGGCTGCTTGCTACACCTCGCCACGTAGCATTCTCTCGTCGAGCTGGAGCTGGCGAGTCTTGACTCATTGTCTCTAGGAAACGCTCCTTGAGGTCGGCACCCGTCCTGCCAGATTTGCCGTTCAGCAGCGTCTTGGAAGATGTCTCTCCTCGCTTGGATCCAGACTCCAATGGCGCGTCGCCAGCTTCGAGCTCCGCGTAACGATTTGGAAATGGAGTCGCTGTTGTGTTGACCTGATCAGGCTGAGCGCTGTCTTCTGCTTGTTGCGCTCGCGTCTGCTGCTTTTCATCTGCACCATTTTTTGGCTTCTCGACCTTCTTGACAAACAGTCGGAGATCCTCTGAATGCGCTGCTAACATCTCGAGCGATAGCTTCTTGTCGGAAAGGTTCTCAATCGAAAACGTCCGCACCCTCGTCGAATTAATGTTGACGTCGCCAAAGTCGATGAAGTTGGAGCCCGTGGGTGTGAGGATACGGTAAAATAGCGAGTGGAAGCTTACGCGCTGACGGTCCACATTTTTGGAGCGAACCTCAAAGATCTGGTCATTGTGGCGGTTGAGCAGATTGGCCACTGTCACCTGCTTGCGGTAGGACTCGTTGACTCGTCGAGGAAAGAGATCGAGCCTCAGCTCGACTGTCTGAAGAGCCGGGATCGCCACTTCGTCCCTGTATGTGCTAAGCACCTTACTGACGAAGCGCACATCGACGCGAGCTGTCAGCTCAGAGAGATTGCGCACTGCAATGTGCTCGGACCGCTTGGTCCCGACGTTTGCCTCTCCGAAGTCGACAGATTTCGGCGAGAGGGTGATGAGTGACGTGCACGTTCTTGTCCTGCACATGACTGTCTTCCTCTCTCGTCCGCCTCGTGAGCGCACACCCGACGACTTTGTTCGAGCATAGTCGAGCGAGATGCGAAAAGCCCTCTCGACTAGCCTTCCCGCCCACAGAAGTTCTTCTTCTGTCGACGACGCGGAGAGCTCTTTTCTTGGTGGACGATAGGAAACAATGACTCGGTATTCGCCTCCAGGCTTGAGGATGAGCTCCTCGAGCTGATTTCGATGAGGCTGCTCCACATTTCTCAGCCCGGAAAGGGCCACGGCACCGCCGTTGTGAGAGCGAACACCAATCTGCTGCCGATGATGATGGGTCGAAGAGGCGTGCGAGTGCTTGGACGACTCGGCTACGCTACCGCTCGCCCCAGCACTGGCGCCTCCAGGCCCGTCGTCAAGTCCATCTGTGCTGCTGATCTCCATGTGGGCGCCCTCGTGATAGTGCAGAGGAGCCTGAGAGGAGGGTGTTGTTGAGCCAGACAGGTTGTCATCGCCGCCTCCGGTCATGCGCTGATGGTGATACTGATGCAAGAGGCCTCCTGCGTGTTGGTGATGCGTAGAGAAAAGACCAGAAGTCGGTCGGCTCCGAAAGGCTCCGTCGCTGCCGAATGCCTTACCACTGCCACTCTCGGAAGGCGGCGGTGGCTCCAGGACCAGACCATCATGAAGCTTCGAGGGACCAGCCACGGGCGAGCCAGGAAGTGAGCCAGCCTGTGAAGCGACCGACGACGCATCGACATCCTTTGACGAATCGTCTTCGACGCCTCCACTGCCAGTGATCACGCCTTGGCTGCTGGATGTCGTCGAGCACAGGTCGAGGACAGGAGGCTCTTCGCTTGGTACAGGTTCGCGAGCGTGTGACGTTGGTGTTTTTCCTGCTTCTTGAGCCTGTGCTTCATTTTGGAGCTGCAGCAATCTTTCCTTTCTCCGCGCCTTTTCTTCACGGTCTTCGTCTTCACCCTGCTTGATATGCGGAGGCTCATCCTGGACAACTTGATCAAACGACTGCTGCAGAAGCTCGGCGAGCTGAAATTCGGCTTCGACGCCCTTGTCGACGCTAAAGTGCACGTCCAGGGCGCCCTCGCAAATATTCTTGAGCACGAGGAGCTGCTTGGTCCAGTGTCCCCCTGCACAATCGCCGAAATCGATGACGTCGCCAGACAAGACCGCCAAAGCACCGTTGTCGCCTGCGGCTCCGAGCATGTTTGCACGAATCGAAATGCGTACGCTATTCGAGGCGTTGTGCATGTTGGTCAATGTGACGACTTGCTCAAAGTCTCGACAGGGCTCTCGGGGATGCAATGCGATGCGCAACCGCATGGAGGACCGCGCATGGAGGATGTGCGGTTTGTAGCCGCCACGTCGGGTCGTTGATGAGGCGGAAGTAGCTTTTTGGCTGCCATCGTTATTGTTCGAGGCAGCGGCGGACGCTTGGGCGACGCTCGATCCAATATCATCGCCATCGTCGTCGGCCGCGTTGACAACATCGATCAGTCTGCCATCGTCGTCAAGGAAGGAGATGGCAGGATCGGCATCGTCAAGCTTAGCTTGCCAAAAGATGTCAATGTCCGACTGGTTGACGAGGACAACATGGTGCTCCTCCTCGTCGCCAACAAAAATGTCGCCAAAGTCCATCGGAATAGCGCCGTGATTCTGAGCTCGCCGTGGGAGAACCTGGCTCCTGAGAGCGCTGTTGTTGCTCGTCGTCGTCGTCGTGGAGGCCGACAGGGCAACGCTGTGGTCATCATCGCTGTCATGAAACGACTGCGAAGAGGATGGCGTTATCTTCGAGGCAGTGTCTCCCAACTGCACGCCCAGCTGAGGCCGACAAGAACGGGCAAAGAAGGGGAGGGAGAAGACCTGACATTGATCGTCGTCACCGCTGTCCTCTTCGCCAGGATTTCCGCTGACAGAAGTGACGTTGGTCGAGCTGTAGTATGAAGCCGGTCTCGAAGACGAGCTCGAGAGGTTGCTCGCCCCCGAAGAAGGCGGAGTTCCTTCGTGTGGTGCCAGCGCTTGTGCCGTGCTTGCTGACGACAATAGATCGCTCGGCAGCGGGGGAAGCGGCCAGGCTCTGATGGTGACAGTGCCCGTCGTGTCGAATGCTGGACACTCGACGGACTCGAGATCCGAGCGGCCGTCATGCAGCTGAGCATCGGCAATGGAGGAAGCCGAGGATGACGACGACGAGGACACTTGCCGCTTGCTTTCATCCGTCGTTCGCGGTGGCGAAGACGTGCCATCAAAGACAGGCGATTTAGGAGGTGCCAAGAAATGGCGACGAGTGGCGTTGGTATCCTTGTCTTGAAGCGGAGCGAAATGGACAGGTCGAAAGGAGACAAAGATATCAGCCACGCCGCCAGGATCGAGGATCAATGAGTCGGCAGACTCAAGGTTGGCCGACATGTGTCGCAGCTCTCGAAGCTTCGACGGCGATAGCCCGTCTGCCATGGCCCACTTTGCCGTGTTGGAGGGAAAGACGATAGCTTCTTTGCCTGTATGAATGCGGATTTGTTTAGTCCCAGGGCAAGGAGAGTCTGGAGGAAAAGAGGGACAAAGTTTCTTTCTCACCTTCAGAAACGACTGTGCGCTTCCTCTTCATGAATGCCAATCCCCGTCCGAGGTCTGAACCCAGCCTGACCAGGACCCTGCTCGACTCATCGACGTTGCGGATCTTGACGGGAAGCAAGCCTGGTGCGTGGTTGAGGTAGACATCATCCAGCAGCAGGCTGCTGGTCTCGGAGACGACGATGAGGGGCGGCCCAGAAACCTGCGATGCGGGCAGCTCTGACCGTCTCTTTGCTGCCTCTTCGCCACCGCCGCCGGGCCTCGAGCTCCTCGATCGGGTTTGCCTCTTGTTCATCTCTGGCGGATGCGAGCTTGGACTGGCATTAGACGGACTGAAAGAGGATGACGGGGCAACGGGGATAGGCGCAACTGTTGTGGGTTGAGGCGTGGGCATGCCGCTGCCCAACATCGATGTCGAGCTCCTCGGTGTGATTCTTGGCCGGCTCTTTGAGGCCGAAAACGATTCCTGCGGTTGGTCGCCCATGACGCGCTCAAATGCGCCGACCCATTGCGAGCTACTACCGCTCCCTTCGGACCGGCCTTCTTCTCCAGCCGCCTTGGAGGCCTCGTAGCGAACCGGTGTTCGGCCGCTCATCTTTCCTTAACGACACTAAAATCTCCCTAAGCGCAGGGAAGGAAAGCGAAGGGAAAAGAATGACGAGGGCGCGGCGAGACGGCGTCGAGACTCAATATGGTCACTCTGTGGCCATGGCCTCTCCTGCCTAGAGATTCATGGTGAGGGAGAGATAAGGCGAAGGAAGTGTGTCGAAGGGATTCGAGACGGAGCAGGTGTTAGACAGATGGGAGAGTGGGGAGAGACCCACGACTCGAGCGCGAGGTGCTGTCGACGCAGCAGAGTCGAAGGGCGTCGCAGGGGGAAGGGTTGAGGGGAAAAGGGAAAGAGAAAGATAGGAAAGCGGTTGATCGACAAGGGGCCGACGGGTTGGCGAAGGTGGCACGACCGGGTTGATGCGAGTCGTGTGAGACGGGCTACTAACCCCTTCCCTCTGGACTCTCTCGACGAAAAAAAGTTCGGACAGGCAGAGTCCTGCCGACGCTCCGGGTTTCATCTGCGCGCGCGTCTGGCTCGCGTGGCCTGTCCGTCGCACGGACTCTTTGCGCCTCACTCTACCTCATTTCCGCTTCTTCTAATTCTACGTCGGTCGTCAAATCTCGATACGCTCAGGCCTTTCTTTCGCTGAGGCTCATGGCCACCCTCTGGAACACTCTAGCCTTTGCAGGCCGGGGGCGATGGGCAGTAGCAGGGCCCAGCAAGGCCACTGCGGTCCGTAGCCTGCCGTCTCAAGAGCAGATGCGACACGCTTCAAGGGCGGCCGGAAGCATTGAAGGGTCGAGGGGGATCGCCAGGCCACCGAAAGCAGTTTCCTCCGAGACCAGACCAGTCAGATCAACGAAGAAGAACGGCAGCCCACATGGGCAAAGACCTGAGAAAGTGGGTCAAGCTGCTGGAGGAAGGAGCAGAGACACAAGACCAGCCATTGAACGGCTGGAACAAAGAGAGTCCAAGAAGAGCCAATTGGATAGTATCAACGAAGGCTCTGATTTCGCTGGAAGAACTACGAAGCGCGCGGAGAAGGCTTGGTCGATGTCATCAGCAGATGGAGGTGAGAGTGACGACCAACACAGAGGGCGTCGTCGCACAACAAAGTGGAGAGAGCGTCTCGAGCACGTCCGAGAAGGGAAGTCGAAAGAAGAAAAGACCAAAGTGGGGGAGCAAACGGAAGAGGACGATAGAATGGAAAAGGAGAGCGAGGAAGAGATACCTACTGGCTCGGGCTTCCTGGGTCGACTGTTACAAAGAGAGAGAGGGAGAAGAGGAGGGACCAACGAGCCAGCAGATTCATTCGAGGGTATCTTCCGAGACTCAGGTGGTGAAGCGAGATCTGCCGTCGCAGCGTCGACCTTGTCGGCGCCCGCGATCCTCTCGCTCGACAAGATCAACGAACGACCAGCGTACGACGCATCACGCGAGAGTCCTCTTGGCCGTTTGGGCCATGCCATTTATCGAGGACAGGCGGGCGTGGGGATCTTAAGCGACGAGGATGACTTCAACATGATTGGTGCCGATGAATCAGGTCGCTCACTCCTCATGCTTCGCCACGATCATCCTCGCAAATACATCGCTGTCGTCGTGGATGCCGACCAACTCATCTTTCTCCCTGATCTGCTTCGCGCAGGAGCCAAGGGAGGCAGGATGGCAGCTGAAGCTGTGAAAAGAAATGTGGCCGACGATGTCGGTGCTCCAGTGGATGAGATCGATGTGCGAATCGAGCTCTTTGCAAATAGTGCCGGTCTTAGAGGTTTTCTCAATGGCACCGTAAGTTGACGAGATCGCTCCTCTCTCTCAATGTTTCCTCCGGCTGACACATGTCCACGCAGAAAACGGTATCCCTGGAAGTCTTCTACGACTTCCTCCTCGGCTTCATCAACTCATCGCCCCTCTATCGCTTCGTCGACACGGGTCGCGCGCTCCAGTCAGCCGACAACAAGGTCCGGGCCGTCTTTGTCGACTATGTCCTGGATAACGACTGCGAGCAGGTCTACATCGGTGGGCTGGGCGACTATGGCTATCGCGCCGAACTCGACAGTCTGAGAAGGCTCAAATTGGTGCGTTTTCTTCCCCAGAGTCCTCTCCTTGCTTCTGTGCCGCTCACGAGATTGCCTTCCAGCTCCACCGCGTGAGCCTCTTGGGCATCCCAGACTACACCCGCGTCAGCCGCTTCTACAGGGACTACGCTCAACGCAAAGTCTCTTGGGCGGGCGACGTTTTCATCCTGAATCAACAGGTTCGTGAAAAGGCCGGCATATAGGGGCAAATATAGCCTTGCCTGGCTGTCCTGGAACGGGTCATCACTTTTACACTTGTAAGCATTGAAAGAGAAAGCTGCATTACTGTACGATACACTGGAACAAAAAAAGAGAAACTGTGTGTGTGTCTGTGTGTGTATGCGCGATAGAGGTGACGGAAGAACGAGGTAGGCTGCTCTAGGAGTATCAGATATAGTAATCTCTTGACGAGGTCTTCAGTGGGCTTCCAGGCGTAGGCGGCAAGGGCCTCTTTGCTGGCGAAGTCGAGGCAAACGTCGAGGTGGACTTCTTCGTCGGACTGTCAAGAAGACTGCGCTTGCTCAGCTCGACGCGAGGGCTTCCCATTAGTGTCTGGATTTCCTCGTCGATTGTCTTTCTCCGCCTCGCACGCCTGGCTGCTCTGGTGTTCGATTCGGGGAGGGGCAGTGGGTCCGGTTCGTTGCCCGGCAAGTTTCCGTACCACGCCTTGCTGCTCGGTTTGTTGGGCGAGGAAGGCATCAGGCCCAGACCTGTCGTCGCCGGCGCGCGATTGTAGCTGTGAGCGCCATAATAGGGCGACGAGGGTGTGGCGCTACCCGCACCTGCGCCGCGCTTCAGAGACGAGTTTCTCGAGAGCGTCTCCATGTCCTGCCTGGCTTCTTCGTCTTTTGCCTCAAAGGCCGATCGAAGACCGGCAAGCTGACCGCCGGCCGAGCCAATGTCGAAGCGGGTCATGGGCCCCACGGCTCTCGATGGGCTTTCCCATCCTCTGTTGCTACCAAAGCGTCCGGGCGAGTGAGAGATACCGTCCTGCATCGGTGGCGTGTCCTTGAAAAAGGCAGGCGTAGGTGCCGATACGACATTCTTGGCCACCTCTGTCAGCGGTCGGATCCTTGTCTGCGCATCGTCGTGGCTGTTGGAGTGCGAAGACGCCGAGTAGGTCGATGCGCCCGACGCCGAGGACGTGGCCGCCGAGCCGCCCTCGAGCGCATCGACGAGGCGCGTGATGATGTCCTGCTGCACCTTGAGTCGGTTCTTCCAGCCCGCTACGCTCCTCTCGAGGTCCGACATCATTTCTCGCTGACCCTTGATGACGCCATTGAGCCTTTCAATCTCCTGGCGGTCCGCCGCCAAGGAGCCAGCCTCGCGAACCGAGATGTCGGCAAGTGATGTCCGCTTCGACAGTGTCTTGGGCAGAGCAGAGGGAGGGGAAAAGGGCGAAGAGGCAGAAGCGTCGTACCTTCGGTGTTCTCGCAACGACCCTCCCCGCTGCAGGGCACCGCCACCGCTCAAGCTTGCGCGAGCTTCTAGCGAGCCACCCAGTCGAGATGCTGCCCTTCGAAGAGGAGATGCGGGCGGCGAGGGGCTCATGCTCTGTACGTGGGCCTTTGCCTCGGACAGTTGCCTCTCGAGGCTGGCGATTCTCGACTTTTGAATGTCGACTTCGATCTGAAGCTCGACTGCATCCTTGGAGAGAGATGACGTCGAAGCAAAAGGAGGAGCCTTCGCCGCGCGCATTTCGGCGTCTTCAGCTCGGTTCTGCAAATTGATGGCTTCGAGCTTGGCCGCTTCCAGCTCTTCACGGAGCAGCTTGATAGTCTCCTCCGACTCATCGCGTTGTTGTTGTTGTTGCTGCTGCTGCTGCTGCTGCTGCTGTTGCTGCTGTGCGCCGGCGCCTTCTTGCTGCTCCCTCGCTTCGACGGCCTCTTCGCGCCGCTTGATCTCGTCTAGCTTTTGCTGCAGCTCAGCCTCGCGTTCTTTGGACGCCAAGGCACTGTCACCTGCCCGGATGGGCGTGGGGCACGGGCTGGGCGTCATTCCGGCTCCCTTCACCAAGTCATCGAAGTCTTCCTGGGCCTCTTTGTCTTCTTCGTCCTTGGCGTTTTGGCGCCCGAGCTGTTTCTTGAGCTCCTTGACTTCTTCTCGGAGCCTCTCCTTTTCCTCGTCGTCCGAGTCCTTGGCTCCTCCCTCCTCCTTGGGGCGGTTGGTGACTTGCTCTTTGGTGACCTCTTGCGCCATTACGACTCGCTTCTCAAGCTCCTCGATCTGGCTTCGGAGCTTCTGTTCCCTCTCTGCAGCTGCGCTTCTCTCCTTCTCCCACTCGCTCTTCTTCGCCTCTTCCCACTCTAGCCGTCGCTTCGACTCGCCTTCCAAAATCTCCTTCTGGATCGTCTCCCTATCCTTTAAACCCTTGCTCTGCGCCACGAGCTTCAGGAGCCTGTTTGCTTCCCTCTCTTCGTGCGCAATGTTCCTCGCCTCATCCCGCTCGGTTCTTAACTTGCTGAAAGCCTCCTCCGCTTCGTCCAGCTCTGCATCTGCGTCATCGAGCTGCACTTGAAGCTCCTTTTCCCTCGCCTGCCACAGCCGGACCTCTTCGCGCCTGGCTGCTTCCGAGGCCTGTCGTGCTGCAATGGCTGAGGCGAGCTCGCGCCGCAGCGAAGAAAGCTCAGCCTCCATGGCAAATGGCTTTGAAGTGGACATGGATGGCGTTGTCGGTGCGGCGGTGCCGGCACCGCTCGGAGCCAGTCGCTGCATTGGACTATCGAGAGACATGGCGGCCGCCAGCGTCTTTTGTCGCTTCGAAGGACTGCTCGTCCCCAGGTCGCTCCTCCTCGCCATCCTTCTCCTCGGCTGGCTCTCCGCCGAATTGTCATCCTGCTCCTCTGCTTCCGTCTTCTTGCTCGTAAGAATGAGTCTGGTCAGGTGCTCGATCTGCTTCTTGAGGTCCGCCCTCTTCTCCTCCATCATGCCCACGTCTCTTTCGACGGCCTCCCTCTTTGAGACGAGCGCCTCGTGCTGCTTCTTTGCGGCTGCATCCTCCTCGACAGAGACCACTCCTCCCCCTGCGACGGTGACTTTGTCGCCGCTGCTGCTCAGTTGGGCGCGCAGACGATCGAGTTCGCGCTTGTAGCGCTGAATCAGGGCCTTGTCATCCATGACTGTGCCCCGCTTGGCCTTTGTCACGACCATCTTGCAGCGCTGGCCGAAGCGGAGCGTGGACAGAGACTCGATGGCATGCTCAAGCCGAGGCGAGAGGGTGCAGACGACGGCCACGCGGGCATTTCCTCCGAGCGACGTTTGCAGCAACCGAGTCAGCTTGGAGTCGCGATAGGGAATGTGGGAGGAAGACGCTGAGGCAGGAATGCCGCCCTGCTCCGAGGCTGCGGCTGCGGCCGACTCGGATAGCTTGGCAATCACGGTACCCAAAGTGAGGAGCGACTTGTTAATGAATGCTCCCTCCTTTCGACGCTCCTTTTCGCTTGCAGCTCTTTCGGACCCAGCCAGATCAATGAGGTTGAGCTGGCTGATGCGGACCTCGTTCTGCGACGCTGCTCCCCGCTCTCGAGACTCGCATGTAAGGATAAAGACACAGTGGCTCCTGCTGCTTCGTTCGTTCCAGTCAGTGGCTGCCTGGTGCCGCTGCCGCTGGCCTCGATCGAGCAGGTCCATGACCTCAGCTGCTGTCGTGACAATCTCCTCGCGCAGGCCAGCGATATGCACACGTCCGCCGCCAGACTCGAGAATTCGAAGGCCGGAGGAGGAAGCGGCCGACGTGGAGACGGTCCGACCCGCCGAGGTCACGGTGTGCGACGTGCCTCCCTTGGTTGGCGAGGCAGGTCGCAGCGATGACGAGCTTGCCGATGCGGCAAGGTCTGCCGACGAGGCCGACGAACCGAGCGGAGCCAAGAGGTCTTTGAGCGTCTCGTTGTAAATTTCGAGGTAGCTGACTCGGAGCAAGAACTCCCTTGAGGACGTCTATGCTCAGGTGTCAGCTTTGTAGCTATGGACGCGGACGAGAAACACTCACCTTTTCGACGCCCTCAAAGATCTGTTCGACGGCCCGGGGAATGACACCCTTCTCAGACCCAGCGCCGCTCATAGTGTGTGTCTTGCCGCTTCCCGTCTGTCCATAGGCAAATACCGTGCCGTTGTAGCCCTTGACGACTGCGTCGACGACTGGCTCGATGTTGTTTGCATACATTTGCGCCGTGTCCTCTGCGGGCGTAACGAGGCTGTCGAAGCGGAAATCGTATGCTTTGTTCTGCGGGTCATTTATGTCAATGGCGGAATTCGACTGCTGCAGCATCGAGGTTGAGCTGTTGGAAGATTGGACCGATGAGGAGGTGCGCTTCGCCAGCGTCGGGTGGTTCTCTGTCGGCACGATGCGGTTGTTGTCCTTGTCCATCGTCCAGAGGCCACCTCCTCCACTCTCATCGCCCGCACCACCTGGTCGAACTCGAACACAGACGACGACGTTGTGGGCAGATGTACCGTCCTCCTCCAGAGGCGCTGCTTCCTGCACCTGGTCCCCAGTCTCCTCTTCCTCTCCCTCGACTTCTCCCTCGGCATCTTCATCTTCACCCCTGACCAACATGCTGGCATCCCCCGCAGTCACAGTCGACATGTCCGCCTCAAAGACATTGCTTTCGTCCCCTGCAGCCTCGACGGCCTCCTCGTCCTCCTCGTCGACCCTTGCAATTTTCGAGGCGGCCGCCGTGGCCGCCCTCGTCTTGACCTTTCGCTTGGCCGTGATGGGCAACGCCTTGATCTTGGTCGATGGCGACGCTTGCGAGGTAAGGCAGACGCTGGCCGAAGTCTTCCTGGTGGGCGTGCAAGGATTACTAGTTGCAAGTCTAGCTTTCTGTTTAGTGGTTGACCTTGTCGCCCGTGTCGGTGAGGAAGGGACCGACGGCGACGTTGACGACGACGAGGTGCTGGACGAAGACGACGAGCACGACGATCGCAACGACGAGAGCGAATCGCACGAAGAGCGTGATGGCGAGAGGCCTGGTCGAAACATGCTGCAAGTGCGTATGGCAAGTGCCTATGACAATGAAAGGACCTGTCCCAATGGATGGGCTGCAAGACTGCTGCTTCCTGAAGCACGCCCATCTGTAGACACAAGTCAACCTCCACGAAATTCGAGGCACGCGTTGGATCACGTGTTGCGCTTTGAATTTCTCGGAGGTGGCCCGAGCGCAGCGCCTGCTCGAAGCCCTCGTTGGGAGTTGAGTGCTCAGAGACAGCCAGTGCGGCGTTGCATCAACGGCGCGCTGAGCTCCTTCAGTGACGACTGTGAGCAACTTTGGCCCTAGTCATGTCACCCAGAGTGAGAGAGGCCACCCATTCTGGGAGCTGGTACGTGTCCAGCGGCAAGAAGCTAGATCAGCAGCTGTCCGAGTGGCTCGCCCAGGTCGAGCCTTCAACAATTCCTAGTCCGCCAAGAAGCGTCATCGACGTCGACGTGGAAGCAGAGAGCAGGGCAACGACAGCTGATGATGGAGGCATAGAGATGCCGGCCAAAGGGCTAAAGGCTGTCATCGCGCCGTGAGTGCAGTAGTCGTCGTCATCCTCCCCTCTGCATCCCATGTCGTGTGATCTGACCCCTCTCGTCGCAGCCACGCAGGCTACTCCTACTCGGGCCCGGCAGCTGCCTGGGCGTACGCCAGCATTGACCCTTCCCAGTAGTGAGCATTCATGGTACTTTGGGCTCACCAATAAGTGAAATCTTTCTGACGCGAAGTAACAGCACCCGAGTCTTTATCCTGGGCCCGTCGCACCACCTCTATCTCGACGGGTGTGCGCTTTCGTCGTGCGACGCATACGCTACGCCATTGGGAGACTTGCCCATTGATAAGGCGACCGTTGCCGAGCTTCGAAGTTCAGGCCAGTTCGAACGGGACATGAAGCTCGACGTCGATGAGGCCGAGCACAGCATAGAAATGCATCTGCCGTACATTCGCAAGGTCTTTCAAGAGTGAGCGCAGTAGTCAGGACTATCAAAATATCGCAGCTGACCCATCTTGGACAACTGCAGCCACGAGATCGGGATTGTGCCAATTCTTATCGGTTCCATCTCGACAAAGAAGGAGGGCGTCTTTGGCAAACTGCTCGCACCCTACCTCGCTGACCCAACGACGCTCTTCGTCACAAGCTCTGATTTCTGCCATTGGCGAGTTTCCCTTCTCTTGCCCTTCGTTGATGGTTGCCCAGCTGACTTGTAGCACTTTCCAGGGGATCCCGCTTTGGGTACACCTACTACAACACCACCTCATCGCCCAAATCGAGCACTACTCTCTCCTCACGCGGAGCAGTGCCCGACACCGCTGTCCCAATTCACGCCTCTATTCGCAGCCTGGACGGCGCCGCGATTAGCCACCTGACCTATCCTCTTCGGATCCCACTTCCTGACCCGACCGCTTCTGCCTCCTCTTCCTCGAATCCTGCCACTTCCGCAGAAGAAAGTGGGCCTAAGGGTGCAGCCGATGCGCGAGAGTCGTTCGCAAGCTATCTCGCCCAGACCAAAAACACAATCTGCGGGCGACATCCCATCGGTGTGCTGCTGGGCGCCTTGGAGGCTCTGGAAGAGAAGCAGGAGAGGCAGCAGCACTATTCGACTGAGCTTCGCTTCACAAGATACGAACAGAGCTCCAAGTGCGAGACGGCCAGAGATAGCTCCGTGAGCTATGCTTCCGCCATTGTCAAGTTCAATTACAAGTAAGAAGCATTTGTTAGATAGGTCGCATTGCCCGGGCTGGTGGTCGAGCGACCCACAAAGGAAGGAGCTCGCACATTCCGTCAATTTCATCACTACGGTACATACAACCAGGAAAGACGGTGAACAAGAGTGGTGAGCGAAACAAGACGAGTGGTATCAAAGAAAGGAATAGACGTAAGAGCGTTGCTGAGAGGTGTCGATGAATAAGGGAGAAAAAGGAGAAAGCAAAGAGCTAGAACAAATTCCACCCCTTCTTCTTGCCGCCCTTGTCGGCCCCACTGCCGCCGCCCCGATCCGCATAGACGTTGCTGAGTGCATCCAGACGCTCCATGACGGCCTCGAGCTTCTCCTTGCGCTCCTGCAGCTCCAAGTGGCGCCTCACGGCGGGGTTCTCTCGCGCAAAGATGGCCTTGTCGAGGTCATAGACAAGCTCACGGTCAATCTCGCGCGGGAAAGCATAGAAGAACTCGGCCAGGAGCTCGATGTTGATGAACATCACGGCCGTGTACGTCAGCTTCTCGCTGACGACGTTGAGGAATGCCTCGGGGCAAAATGCCTTTTGCTCGGGCCCCGACTGGCACCTCCGAGATTTGAGCGCATTGATGCGCCAGGACAGCACAGACGAGCGTTCCGAGAGGGACATGGCTTCACGGGCCTTTTGGATCATTGCTGAGTTGTATTCGGGCCGGAGCGGATCCTCATCATCTTGAGACGAGGCGTTGGCAGGGACAATGGCCTCGCCGGTCGAGGCTGCGTGGGCGGCAAGGCGCTGCCTCGCCTGCTCCTTTGCCGCGGCTCTCCGCCGGTCCAGCTCTTCGACGTAGTCAACGGCGGCTCTCAGCCTCCTCCCTCCGACGGCCTTCTTGATCCTGGCAAGGGCCTCGTTGCACATGTCGAGCTCCCTCTGAACGAGCACCACGCTTCTCTGCCTTCCCGCCTCCCACTCGGGACCCTCGACTTCAACTTCGTACTTGAATGGCTTGACGCAGTTCTCGACCTGATCCGCTGTGAGTCCGAAGCGGTCCCTCAGGATCGCGGCGCTGAAGCCGGCAATCCTGACGGCAGCGTCGGGATGGTGGTTGAATGGCTCAGCTTCGGCGAGCGCCTCGACCTGTCTCCGGATTGCATCGACGACAATCTGCGTCGACTGCCGTCCGATGCCGCTCTTGGTCAGTGCACTGCTCGAGGCCTCGACCTTGTGCTGCCAGTACTTGTCCAGCTCCTCGGCCGTCAGTTTCTTGTCGTCGGTCAACCTTGCCAGCTCATCACGCTTGGGCTTGGGTTCAGTCCAGTACATCTGCGCCAAGATGTCGAGCACCTTTTCATCGAGGGCATGCTTCAGAAGCTGCCTCACTTCGGGCTTTCCAAAGTGCGAGGCAAACTCGTTGAAGCGCATCTTGAGCGCATCCATCGTCTCGGCCACGTACGACTCTGGGCTGATGGCTCGGTCGTTGTACTGCACCTTGAACTGGTAGCTGGCTTCCTCGAGCTCGCGCTGCACGGCGTTCGAGATGGTGTGCAGGCTCGAACCCATGTTCTCTTCGAGCACGCTCATCAGCCGTCGCCGAAGTGTGTCGGTGCCTGTCATGGGCTCCACGCCGGCATTCCTGCCCCGTGTCGGCGCACGGAAGTGCTCCCGGTTGCTGGCAAAGTAGTCTGCCTCGTCGCGCAAGGCGGCCACCGTGACATTGCCCTCCCTGACGCCATCGACGCCCTCGTGACCTGCGCTGCTCTGGAAGAAGCCAGGCTTGTGCTTGTTCTTGCACACAACACCCACATAGCCCAGCGCCAGGGGGTACTTGTTGTTGGTCAGCATCGCAGCGCCGACCGAAGGCTCGACGAGGTCCATCTTTGTAATGACACCAATGGTGCGCAGGCCGAGCGGGTCGACCTTGCGGCTGGCCCTCAGCGCGGGCGAGTTGGCCAGGTCTACATCGGCGGCGCACACGGCCAGGATGACATTGGGCTCCTGAATGTACTTTTCACACAGCGACGAAATCTTCTCCCGGAGCTCCTCGGGCTGGTCCATGCTCGCCAGTTGCACGTAGCCGGGCAAGTCGATCATGGTGAGGTCGGGGACGTGAGGGCTGTGAATCTTGAGCTCGATGGGCGAGTCCGAGACGCACTCCTCTGGCGGCACGGCCATGTTGAGGTCGTAGAGCGTCTTCTGCACCTGGCTGAAGTCGGTCATGCGCCCAATACCCAGACCTGGGAACTCTGCGTATTCGATCTGCTTCGACGACGCACCGGCCGTTGGCGTCGTGTGGATCAGGGTGAGCTCGATCGGGCGCCGAGTGACCATGTTGTTGCCCTTGGGGAGGAACTCGTGCCCGACGATGGCCTCCAGCACCGATGACTTGCCGCTCGACTGCGACCCAATGACGACGAGACTGGGGAGCGTCAGATCGTCGGAGTCGTGCTCGATCGACTTGAGGATGTTGCGAACCTCGATGAGCTTGCGGGTGAGCATCATTAGCTCCTCGCTCGACGAGCCTGGCGTGAAGCCCTGCTGCTTCTCTTCGTCCTGGCCCAGAATTGAGGCAGCAATCGCCGCGGCTCCTACGCCTGGGCCCTCTCCGCCGGGGCCTCCGCCTCCCCGCGCTCCGTCCTCGGTGCCGCTGCTGCTGCTGCTGCCACCGTTGCCGCCTCCCTTGCTCCCACTTCCACTCGTTGCGCTCGCGACGCGGCCCTCAACATCCTTGTAAAAGTCCGAGGCCGACTCGCTGAATCTGCTCCACCCCGACTGGGCTTGCGCCCAAGCTTGTCCCGAGGCCGTCGCGAGCGAGTCGAATGCCTCGGAAGCGTTCTGACCCACGACGGCGAGCTTGTCGCCCATGAAGCCCCTAAACTCATCGACCTTGTAGCTTGCATAGGCGAAGGCGCCACCGCCAGCCGTCAGCGCATAGGCGGGGACGCGAAAGGCACGGAAGAAGGCCTTTGGGACAGCGGTAAAGTTGGACGAGCTGATTGCGCGGGCGTGCATAGTGCGTGTTGTCAGCAGCAGCAGGTCGTTGGCGGCCATCGTGCGTGGTCGAACGGCCCTCAGTGTCAAGGAAGGAGAGTGCGTTGCTGTCGCCGTCGCAGCATGGCGAGGCACCGCGCGTACCGAGCCGATGACGGCACGGCTGAGGGCCGACGACATGGCGTTATATGCGCGCTTTCTCTGCGATGGTGGCGTGAGCAGAAAAGATCGTCGAACGACGCGCGCGACGACCGACTGCTGAGGCCTGACTGCGACGGAAATTTTGGATTCGACGCTTGGGCCAATTCACCCCTTCTTACTTTCTTTGCAACACAACTACTTGAAGCAAGCCAGCCAACCAACCCTCAGAGGGAACAACAGATGGCCGAAAGCGCCCTTGGCAAGCGCAAGGCAGATGGCGACGACGATGCAGGCCACGCTGGAAAGGTGTCCAAAGTCGAGGGCGACAAGGCGGGGCTGATCGACTCGATCCGACTAGGAAGCATCGCGACTTATGCAGCCCGCCGCCCGTCTGCGATGCAACTTCCTCAGCGCCTGGCTTCTTTCAGTTACGATGAACGTCGAGCACTACACCACGACGACCGCTCGATCAGGTATTACCACGCCCCACCACCGCAAGGCGATCTGAACCGGGGTTATGCGAATCTCGTGCAGCGCGACGATACCATCAACGAACACCTGGACTCTCTTTGCTTGGCCTTGATGCACCTGGCCGATGCAAAGGGCGAAGACGAAGAGAGGAAGAGAACAAACGTGATCACCTGGCGGGGCATGATGACGAGGCTCTGTACGGCGCTGTACGAGAAGAGAAGCGGATTCGAGATGAATGCCATGGTCGTGGGGGATACGCTCTATCTCGAGGAGCACGTTGGGCCCAGGCAGGCCGCCGACAAGGCTCGCCAGCAATCTGATGACCGTCAGCGCCGGTTCGCATATTACGGTAGGTACTTCTTCCCAATCTCCTCCATTTGCAAATCTCCACCTCGCTGATGATGGTCTGAACTGTCTTACAGGATACGCCTTCGAGTCTTATACCTGCTTCGAACGACGCACAGGGCCCGCAAGTCCTCGAGAGCACTGGGACGGCGATGTGAACACCAATGTGCAGTGGTGCTCCATCGTCCGTACCAAGCTTGGGTCATCCCGGCTCATTCTTGGCGGCGAAGTCGACGCTGTGGACCCACACGACCACTCCACCTTTGTCGAGGTCAAGACGTCTATGCAGATCCGCAACGAGCGCGACGAGTCAAACTTCGAGTCCAAGCTGCTGCGCTTCTACTTTCAGTCGTTCCTTCTCGGCGTGCAGAGGCTCGTCGTGGGTTTTCGCGATGGTAGGGGAATCCTGAGACATGTGAGCAACTATGAGACGCTCAAGGTGCCGCGCTTCGTCCGCGGTCGAGCCACGGAGTGGGACCCCGTCGCCTGCCTCAATTTTGCCGACGAGATCTTGGTTAGAATCAGACGACGCATCACCGAGGACCAAGGCGGGCAAGAGACACCATCAGTCTTTAGACTCTCTTTTGCTCCACCTTTCGACGAGGTGACCCTCCGAAAGCTCACGCCGGAAGAAGTCTGTGCCGACGTCCACGGCGGCAAGGACGATCCCACGAGGATGGGGTTCCTCCTAAAAGAGTACTACGACTTTGCTCGGGCATCCCAACCGGGTGCGTAACTCAGACGATGACAACAGCAAATGTAACAATAGTACAGATTGTAACTCTATCACAAGACCAGAGCCATCTTGACTCTTCCCCTCTGCGTGCTCTTGTCCTTCTCAACGCCGATCTCGACACGGCATTCATCGAAGATGCCGAGCGTCACGTCCTTCTCGAGACCCGACGCTGCCGAGGGCACGGTCACTTGGAACTTTTCCGCATCAAACTCGCAGTCCTGTTTGAACGTCACAAGACCCTCGAGACCGAATCTGTGCAAGATGAGAGTCAGCGAAAGGTGAAAAAAAGAGAAAGAAAAGAAAGCACTCACTTGTTAACGTAGACGGCGACGCCGTTACGGAACGCTCGGATAACATAGGCCCTTTCGACGAGCTTGATTTCGTCCTTGCCCACCGTCGTGCCACCGCCCATCTCCTCGTTCCTCCTCGCGATGGCTAGACCGACATAGTACTCGACGCTGGCTCTCGACGCCATCTGTGCAGCTCGGTGTCGCTTGTTGACGCCATTGAGCAGCCGCTCGACGAAGCCCTTGTCGTGCAGCGATGGATGCAGTGGCACATATTCGATGGCAGCCGAAAGCTGGCGGTGTGTCAGCACGTCGGCCATCCGTCGAATCGGGCTCGTAAAGTGCGTGTACATGTCACAGGCCAGACCATAATGGCCAAACGAGTCTCTCGCCACAGTGCCCGAACAAAAGTACTCAGCAGAAAGCATGCAACGGGTCGCCATGATTCGTACAAGCGTGTTGAACGTCTTTCCACCGTCGGCTGCCGCCGTGTCGATGCACTTGTCGAGCGAATCGGCCAGCGCTCCGCTCGAGGAGACGTCGAGGTCGAGCCCCTTTCGTATCCTGAGGATCTCTTTCAGCGTCTCAAAGTTGGTCGCGGGCGGAGGAGAATGCCTTCGCAGAACGGCCGTTTGAGGAAAAGCCTCGTAGATCCTCCTGGCAACAGCGACATTGGCGAGGAGCATAAATTCCTCGACGAGGCTGTTTGTCTCGCGCATCTCCTTTTGCTCGACGTCGATGGGTCCCGCGGCTTCCTGGCTGTCCAGGTGAATGCGGACCTCCGGGCTGGCAAGATTCAAGGCACCAGCCTTCATCCGCTTCTCTTTGAGCTTGATGGCAACGTGATTAAGCAAGCGGATAGACTCGGTGATGTCATCCTTGCGTGTCTTGTCGTCCTTGCGGAGCTGAGCTTCTTCATAGGTGAAAGCCGACTTGCTCGCAATGACACTTTTGTGGTACCGCACACTGACCGTGTCTGCCGTCTCTGGGTCCAGCTCCCAGATGACGCTGAAGGCGAGGCGCTCGACGTGAGGACGGAGCGAGCAGAGATTGGTTCCCAAGAGGTGAGGAAGCATGTCGATGCGCTTGTCGACGAGGTACACTGTCGTGCCACGGGATGCGGCTTCTGCGTCCATTGGTGTGTCGGGCTTGACAAAGTAGGAGACATCGGCAATGTGAACGCCAGCTTCGATATTACCGTTGGGCAGTCGCTTGGCATGGAGCGCATCGTCGATATCCTGACATCCGGGTGGGTCGATTGAGCAGATGTTCTCGTTTCGCAGATCGACGCGATCTCGCCACGCCGGGTGGCTTTCGTCCTTGGGAGGCACCACCCATGAGTCGCCTTCAGGCGGAAGGCAGTCGAGAATGGCCTTGCTGAAGGGACGGTAGGGTACATCGTGCTCGAGCAACAAGCTCTCCTGTTCGGCCTCTTGACTTTCAACCTTGCCCAGCGCCCTGACGAAGTGACCATCAGGATATCGCGATGATTCCCGCCAATCGTCTAGACCGACGAGGATCTTCTGGCCAAGAAGCGACGATGCCTGCCGAGTGCGAAGTCGAATGCGAGGAATCTTTCGATCGAGAGGGATTGCAAATAGCGACGTGGCTTGCATGCTCAACAGAGCCGATGTATGCACTCTTGACGAATCGATATGGGCCACGTACGAACGCCAATTCCGCTTTACGATGCCGACAACACGGCCAGTTGGCTGAGCGACACCACCTCCTTCGCTTGCCCCTTTGCGTTCTCGACGAGCCAGCCTCTCTTCGATGTCATCGGCCAGATTGCTTGCCTCTCCCGCCTCATCGTCATCGTCGCCCTGCTCGCCTTCGTTTTTCTGCACCTCATCTGCATCGAGAACCTCATCGGCCTCGACCTTCCATTCGCTCTCGGGCAGCATTTCAATTGCAACAATGTCGCCGTCAACAGCCCGATTCATGGCTTGCCTGCCCACCAACAGAACCGGACGGTCCATGTCGGTTACTCGCACAGTTCCCTCGAGGTAATTGTATGGATTGGCGTTGAAGAATCCAGAGGAGAATTTGCCGGTCGAGAGACCGGCGTTGAGAGCGCTGCTTGGGAGGTGGGGAGGGTAGATGCTAGCCTCTTTCCTCTTTCCGTCCCCCTCATCAGCTGCGTGGTCCAGCGACCTTGACGCAATGAGGTCAAGGAGCTGAGGTGCATTCGCCATGCCCTCGACGTATTCACGGACCGGCAGCGCCAAAATACCATCGGCCTTCGCTTTCGCCACATTGGCGACGTCGTCGCTGAGCATCACAACGTTGAGGGAAGCGGCGCGAAAGTGACCAGCATACCATTTGACCGCCTGTCGGATTGCGCGGTCATTTCGATCGTTGGGCGACTCGTTTGCTTCCCGTACAGTGGCGGTCTCTGCGCTGAAGTCGTTCCAGTAGACCCAAAAGTGCTGTTCCGGCTCGCGGATGAGGGTAGTAAGCCGGTTGTAGAGCTGGAGGCTGCGATGCCGGACCTCGTCGAGTACCGTCTGCAAGATGATGACGTTGGTGAAGCTGGGCACTGGTGATGAGGAAGATGAGCGAATTTTCCCGAGTGTCGATTCCAGCAAGTCCATCTGAGTGCAAGCAAGATTTAGCCCATGTTCGAGGAAGAGACATTGATCAAGACTTACCTGATGGAGTACGACATTAGTATCGAGGACCACGAAATGCCTCCCAAGAGCGTCACCCTTTTTCCTCTCCGCACAACCCATCTCCCCCAGTCCCTGATCCTTCTGCAAAGCCTCGACATTCTTCTGCCGGCACACCTCGCACCCTCTCCTTCCACACGAAATATCATCCCGAAGGTACCTCTCGCGGAGAATCTTTTGCACCTTGCCCCTCGCTGTCTTTTTCAAAAACTTCTTCTGCGAGAACTGCTGCTCTCTCGCGCTAGAAGCCGGCAACGGCCGCTTCTGAATCGTTATCGCCTCCGCCACCATGTCGACAGCAACACCGGCCTTGCTGAAGGCGTCTAGTCGTAGGAAGAAATCAACCTCTCATCCGAAAAACTAAAAAATAAAACAAAAAAGGGCATGATCTTCCTTTTGAATGGCCCGCGCTGGTAAGCTCAGTCACACGTGCGCGCCCAGGCGTCAGTTTCAGGGCCGAGGGGTGAACCTCGATTCGAGATCAAACGCTACCACCCACCACAACTACAGCATTACTGCCACTGCGATCAAGACTTCTGGCTCCTTCTGTCACGATCGTCAACCACTGCGAAGCATTTCAGCGCTGCCAGCCTTCATCTGTTGATCCCGCCCCTTGTCCTGCTACGTTGCACGTTATCGTATCAGAGAAGTAAGCAGAAACCTGCCGCACACCATGACCAGCAACGCCACACCGCCAGCAGGTCAGCAGGGTTCTCAGCAGCCCGACCAGCAGCAGCAACGCCCCTATCAGACGAAGCTGGTCCTGCTTGGTCCCGCAGCGGTGGGCAAGTCCTCTGTCGTCCTACGTTTCGTCTCCAACGAGTTCCAGGAGAACAAGGAGCCCACGATTGGGGCAGCCTTTTTGACTGTTCGTATCCCTTCTTCCCCTCTCTCTCATCTGTGCGAAGAACCCTGTCACTGACGGTGAGGGACTATCTCTATTTCACCACAGCAAAAATGTCGATTGGACTCTGCAGTGATCAAATTCGAGATCTGGGACACGGCAGGGCAAGAGCGCTTCCACTCGCTTGCGCCCATGTACTACCGCAACGCCCAGGCCAGCGCCGTCGTCTACGACATTACGAACTCCGTGCGTCTCTCTTTGGTTCTTGATGAATTATCAGATAGTATGCTAATACAACGTCGACCCTGCAGAGTTCTTTCGAAAAGGCAAAGTCCTGGGTCAAGGAATTGCAGCGTCAAGCCAGCCCAAACATCGTCATTGCTCTTGTCGGCAACAAGGTCGATCTGCTCTCCGAGGAGGGCTCTTCTGCCACCGAGGGTGCCCAGAAGCAAAGTGAAGAGGGTGAAGAGGACGAGGACGACGATGACGACGAGAACGAGACAGTGACGGGCAACAACACGGGATCGGCAGCAGCGGCAGTATCGTCGAAGAGGGCCGTGCCGAAGGAGGAGGCAAAGGCGTACGCCGATGAGGGCGGGCTCCTCTTCTTCGAGACGAGCGCAAAGACAGGCGAAGGCATCGTCGAGCTCTTCACCGAGATTGGTACGTAGCCTCATCTCAGCCCTCTTGACCCGAAAGGAGACTGACAGTGAGACGACACCACAGCGAAAAAGATTCCCATTGACCAGCTTGCCGCTCAGCAGCGCAGCACCTCTGGCCAGGCTGGCCAGGCCGGCCGAGGAGGCAATGCCGGCAGGACGAGCGCAGGCGGCAACGTCGACCTCGGTGCTGGTGGTGACCGGGCTGGACGGGATGCTTGCAACTGTTGATCGGTCAGGCCCGACTCATTATTGGCTCACTTATCTTTCTCCTCCCTCCCCCTTTTCTTGCGACGACTACCTCCTGTAAATAGCCCCTCCTACATTGTCCTCGGTTCTCCTCTTTCACTCTCTTGCGCTTTTTCATTGATACACCTTTTCGATCTGAAGTCATCAAGCTGGAAAAGCACGGGTAACTGAACGAAATCTCAGGCCAGGGGAAGAGAAGGTGACGTTTGACAATTCACTAGGCAATAGAAGACACCTTTAGGGGAGAATGGAGACTATATCTGGGGGGAGAGAAGAGGGGGAGGACAGAAACTGAACATATAAAAGATCGAGCCAAGATCTAGTACTCGTCCTCGATGACCTCGTCGCCCTCGCCGGCGGTGTCGAGGCCAACCTCTTCGTAGTCCTTCTCGAGAGCAGCCAGGTCCTCACGGGCCTCGCCGAACTCGCCCTCCTCCATGCCCTCACCAACGTACCAGTGGACGAAGGCGCGCTTCGAGTAGAGGAGGTCGAACTTGCGGTCCAGACGGCTCCAGGCAGCAGCAATGGCCGTGGTGTTGGCGAGCATGCACAGGCTGCGGCTGACCTTGGCCAGGTCGCCACCGGGCACGAGCGAGGGAGGCTCGTTGCAGATGCCGATCTTGAAGCCAGTGGGGCACCAGTCGACGAACTGGATGGTGCGCTTCGTCTTGATGGCCGCCACAGCCGCGTTGGTGTCACGGGGAACGACGTCACCACGGTAGAGGAGGCAGCAGGCCATGAACTTGCCGTCGCGGGGGTCGCACTTGACCATCTGGTTGCCCTTTTCGAACGAGCTGAACGTCATCTCGGCCACGGAGTTCTGCTCGTGGAAGGCCTTTTCGGCGCTGATGATGGGCGCGTACGTGGCCAGGGGGAAGTGGATACGAGGGAACGGCACCAGGTTCGTCTGGAACTCGTTGAGGTCCACGTTGAGCGAACCGTCGAAACGGAGCGAGGCCGTGATCGACGAGACGACCTGAGCGATGAGCCGGTTCAGGTTCGAGTAGCCAGGGCTCTGGATGCCCAGGTTGCGCTTGCAGATGTCGTAGATGGCCTCGTTGTCAACCATGAACGAGCAGTCCGAGTTTTCCAGCGTCGTGTGCGTCGTCAGGACCGAGTTGTACGGCTCGACAACCGACGAGCTCATCATAGGGGCCGGGTATACCGAGAACTCGAGCTTGGCCTTCTTGCCGTAGTCCTGCGCCAGGCGCTCGAGGAGGAGCGAGCCGAAACCGGAGCCCGTGCCACCGCCGAACGAGTGGAAGACGAAGAAGCCCTGCAGACCAGAGCAGGCGTCCGCCAGCTTGCGCACACGGTCCAGCGTCTGGTCAATGAGCTCCTTGCCAACCGTGTAGTGGCCACGAGCGTAGTTGTTCGCCGCGTCCTCCTTGCCCGTGACGAGCGTCTCGGGGTGGAACAGCGAGCGGTAGGTGCCCGTGCGCACCTCGTCGACAACATTCGGCTCCAGGTCCACGTAGATCGACCGAGGAACGTACTTGCCCGAGCCCGTCTCGCTGAAGAACGTAGAGAAACCGTCGTCATTCTCCGAGGGGCTGCCCTCTGTGATACGTCCGTCGGGAGTGAGACCATGCTCAGCAAGATATAATTCCCAACAAGCATTTCCGATCTGTATGCCTGCCTGGCCGACGTGGAGCGAAAGAACTTCCCTCATGGTGATGGTTGAAAGGTGTAGGAGCGCTCAGAAGTAACGTAGAGCGAGGTGGTGATGGTGAGGAGAGAGGGGCGGGCGGTTGTTTTCGCGCGCGTACGCTAATTAGACTAGGCTCGGCTAATATTTAAACTTCCGAATACAAACATTGTTGTAGTTTTTCTATTTAGTCGCGTTCTTTTCGAGTGTTCTTCACAGGCATGTCTTGTCACGTGTGCCGCGAGGCCAAGTGGCTTCCACTTTGGCAGGCTGGCTGCCATCGCCATCGCTATCATCATGGGGGTGAGTATTTGCGTATGTGTGATTGCCCGACTGAGCTCACAGATGCTGTGCAGGTCAACTGGATTCTGCTCATTTCGCGGCAGGGCAAGGTCAGGCTGGCCAAGTGGTTCACCACCATGTCGCCCAAGGCCAAGTCCAAGATCACGAAGGACGTCACCCAGCTCGTGCTGGCCAGGAGGGTGCGTGTAATTCTACGGCTCACAAGGGCTTTTGTCAAACAAGGGCCAATGCTGACAGGCATGGACCCTCCCGACAGTCGCGAATGTGCAACTTCCTCGAGTACAAAGACACCAAGGTCGTCTACCGGCGGTATGCCTCGCTCTTCTTTGTTACGGGCATTGGCCAGGAAGACAACGAGCTGGTCACGCTCGAGATCATCCACCGCTACGTCGAAATTCTCGACCGATATTTTGGCAATGTGAGTCAGGGATTTGATCTGCAGAAGAAGACTGAGGAACTGACCCTTGTTCTCGATGGCTTCGACGTCCAGGTCTGCGAGCTGGATCTGTGAGTCGGCTGGCACCAGATCGAGCCTAGCACTATTTTTACTGACCCGGGTCCGGTCCCTTGACGCTACAGCATCTTCAACTTCCAGAAGGCCTATGCGATCCTTGACGAGCTCATCATAGCCGGCGAGATGCAAGAGTCGTCCAAGAAGTCGGTGCTCCGCGTCGTGTCGCAGTCCGACGCCATCGAAGAGGCCGAACAGAGCGAGGACAGCCTTGCAAGAATCGGTAGTCGGAGTGGATAGAGGGGACCGCCGGATGAGATGGCATGTGTATTTGTATGGATCAAGAATTCGATGATCTTATAGCTTGGGAGAGAAGAGGCCCAGCAAAGTGGCGAGCGGCCCCAGCCTGTGTGTCCCAGCCCTTGTGTGTTGCTGCTCCTCTCCCTCTGACCCATAGTGAGCAGTGAGCAGCAGTCTGACCTGATGCTTGGTTGTGCTCATTTGCCTTCTGGAACCCAATTGTAAAGATGATATAGAGTTGATCACGATTTCATGGTAGAATTTCAAAGAAACTGGCAAACGCTTAAACGGCAATGCTCTTAAGGACATCCTTGGCAAGCTGGGCACCCGACTGCGGGTTGGCGCCCGTGATGAGGATGCGTCCGCTCGAGTCCTTGTCGACGACGACGTTCTCAGTCCAAGGCTTTCCCTTGTTGAACTTGGCTCCGCGCTCCTGCAGCCTCGTCTCGACGCTGTGAAGAAGTATGTGTCAGACTGAAGTGACTAATGCGGGTTGGCGAAAGGTACACGCCCACTCACAGCCAGGGGACATTGTTGGTCAGGCCAGCCTGCTCCTCCTCCTCGTTGGTGAAGCTGGTGACGGAGCGACCGTTGACGAGGTAAGAGCCGTCACTGAGCTTGACATCGGTGAGCACGGCAGGAGCGTGGCAGACAGCCGAGACAACACGGTTGCTCTCGTAGAAGGCGCGGATGAGGTCCTGCGACTCCTTGCTCTCGGGCAGGCCGATGAGAGGTCCGTGACCGCCGGGGTAGAAGATGGCGTCAAACTCCTTGGCGGGAGCAGGGAAGGCCGAGAGCGGCTTGCTGTTCTTGATCCACGCCTGCGCCTCGCTGTCGTTGAGGAACTTTTTGCTGTCTGCGTCTTCCTTGAAGGCGTCGACCGAGCTCGAGTCCAGAGGAGGCTCGCCGCCCTTTTCACTGGCGGCAACGACCTCGGCGCCGGCGTTCTTGAAGACGTAGTAAGGGTGCGCAATCTTTTCGTTTGGTTTAAAGGAGGGTCAGTGGGTGTCGGGATGCAATGGAGAAGAGCAACAAGCTCGACTCACCTCGGGGAGGTAGTAGCCCGTCTTGTGGTCCGAGTTGACGAGCTTGTCGTTGGAGGTGAAGACGATGAGAACCTTGGGTGCCATTGTGAATGATTCAGAGGTGTGCGAATGTGTTGCTAGTGAAGGTCGAAGAGGGGTGGAAGCCGCAAGAAGCGCCGAAACTTTATATAGAGCCCATTTGAGCCGGGCTTTGAGTCGTATGTGGAGGTTCTTCTCGCTTGTCGCTTGCGTGCTGTGGGCATGCATGCACCACATCAAGCTCACCTGTCACGCAGACCCTGTCAGCTGCTTAAGCCCGGAGCGGTGGTGCTGTGCATGGATCATCGCTGCATTGATACTGTACATACCCTCTCGCCTAGCATCAATCTGATCGGAAGGATAAGAATGACCATCAGAAGCCAGAAGCTAATTGATAGTCGTCGAAAGCTAATTCTTCCGCGTCGCTCGCTCTCCACTTCCACCGAAACACGCACAAAGATGCTCCCGACCAGCAGATAGCCACCGCTTTGGAGAGATGTCCGGCCTGGTGCCGCTTGAGGATTACGAGCATGCCCTCGCTCACCTCCAGCTTGCTCCGAGCTATCCGGCTACGAAGATTGTCACCTCTCAGCAAACGAGGACGTCGGCTGCAACTACGACGCTCTCGACAACGACGACGACGACGACGACGACGACGACAACAGCGCCCACAAGAGCGGGATCTCAGGCCAACACAATCACAGGAGGGGAGACGAGGCTCGATCTACCGACGGAGATCATCCTCGAGATCGGCAAGTGTCTCTTTGATGCGTACCACCTCCCGTCGCCTGCCTGGCTCGCGACCCTGGCGGACAAGGACTTGGTACCGCCGCCCATGTCGCAGACGCCCGACCTGAGGCAGAGCTATGTGGCCTTGCTCCATCTCAGCTCGACTTGCATCGCCTACCGAGCTTTGCTCGCGCCTCTGCTCTGGCGCTCCATTTACCTGCGTCACCCACAGCAGTTTGGCGAGCTATTGGCCTTGATGCGAAATTACCCTTCTGTCTCCGCCGCCAGAGCTCCGTCATCGACGTCGTCGGGAGGCCACGAGCTGCCCTTTCCTTTGCCGCTTATTCGAGAGCTTCATATCCTCGTACCTGATCGATTCCCGGGATTCGACCAGACGCTTCTCGCGGATCTTTTTCGGCGAGGGCTCAAGACTAATCTCACCGAATTGGAGTGGGAGGCTGAAGAATTGCCCGAGACATGCGCTCTTCGAGCTCTAGCTCCGACCGACGATTCTTCGTCGTCGAAAGTCAATGGAGAAGATGCGCATAGTAATCCAATGAAGAACATGGGAGGGCTTGGCGCCGAGGTAGGAGCTGAAGACGTCGTTCGGTGGACTAGAGACGCCCGGAGGGGCGCTCCGTTTCCTGGCATATCTATCGGCCAAACCCTCCGACCCCGTCCAGGCTCAGCAGACTGCACCAGCCTGACGTCTGTTTCCATCGACTGCAAATGCTTTTGGCCGGGACACAAGCTCCTCGCGCGTCTCTCTTCAGTCCGACATGTCCGTCTGACGACGTACGACTCGTTCCTGCTCCCACCTGCCGTTCCCCACCTCCTCCTTTCCCTCAAACAGCCCCTCGCCTCGATCTCGATGGCCACCTCCAAGACCTCGCTCCTGCATACACCCAACCTCATTGAGGCCGGCTGCTTCGACAACCTCGTCACCCTCGACATCTTTCCCGTCACACCGGAGCAGCCGCTCGCACGTGCCATCCGTCGATCAAGGCGGTCGCTCAAGGTGCTGCGACTCGTGCTCGACGTCTCGAGCAACTTTTCCAACTTTGACCAGCTCTGGCGGGACTTGACCGGCGATGATCCCGCCGAGGCAGATGGCGGGCCGATGGAGCGCCTGACCACGCTCCACATGGATCCAATGCCGCAGCAGAATACGGCGCCCTCCTTTGCTCACTTTGTTCAGCATGGCGCTCCTGCGCTCAAGTACGTCAATGGACGACACAAGAACGGTTTTGCTCCAGGCTACGAGCTTCTCACACCCGATGATATCACATCCGCTTTGTATTTCTAGCCTACAGTGCCGTACTATGTCATTGATCAGGATCATTGATGCCCTTCCCCTTTCCCTCTGACATGTGATGTCACGGGACCTTCAGTTGAAGAAGAATACTCTACTCCGTGAACTTCTTTTGCCATTTGCCATTCGGCGTCTTGCTTTTGCTGCTCCGGTAATTTGTGGGAATGGAAGTCACGTTCTTTATGGAACATGAGTCCTTTGTCCGTTCCCCTTTTCTTAGCCAGTTCCTCCATCATTTGCTCCCTTGTCAATTTTTTTTGAGGTCTGCTGCTCCCAGCCTGTCTGATCGGGGCCGGGGCGCGACGAGGGGGCGATATCTTAGTGGGCTGTAACTCATAGGCCGGTATTTCAATCGTAAGATTAGGTTTCTTCCCACCACCGACTGCGAGCGTTTGGCCAATGAAGAGTGAGGATATGAAGAGTATCGCAAGGAGCAGCGTAGCATTCTTCATTTTTGCGTTTTTCGTACGACCTGCTGTCTGGACCCGCTCTGACTTGAGTAAGAAGTCGTACTTGAGATGGCTTATCCTTCTAACGAAATGGCGGCAACCCAGCGTTGGTGTAGAAATGCACGCCCGTTTGCTTTGTTTGCCTCAGTGTGATGTTGTGAGAAGAGGTCAAGAGAGGGGAGGAGTACTGTTCTTATATCTTTGTCCAAGCAGCGACGGAGACTGAGCCTTGTCCCTGAGAGCAAACGGGGCGACGCGCCTACGCCTCGACCCGATAGAGAAGCGAGACGCAGCGAGAGCGTCACCACAACTGAGACGCACCGGCCACGGGGCTTGCAAAGAGTCGAAACAGCCATACTTGTTATTTTTTCTCGAAGAAAACACGATGAGAACATCACTTTATGCGATAATTCTGTTTTCGTGTTTCTTTGTCAGGGTCCCGGGGCGTCGTGGGCGCCCCGGGGCCCTGTGTGCTTTTCGCCGTCGTTGTTTATTTTCCCTCGCTCGTGTTTATATCCCTCTTCCTTGTTTACTAGGCCCTGCTTTTCGGGATAGTTCGCCGTGCCGGACGTACATGAGCACGCCATCCTCTGCTGCGCTGCGCAGCAGGCACAGGGAGTCCACGCACGCCTGCAGCAGGCCCTCAAGTGCACCCTCACGCACGCCTTGTCGCACGAATTCCCAGAAATAGGGCAGGCCCTTCTTTCAGTACTTTCCCTCTTCTCCTCGTTCCAGATTACATTCTGAAAGCCCCTAGTTCGTCCCGGTGACAGCTCCCTCACATCCATCGAGATTGGCACGGAAAAGACCCAGCGCCAGAGACGACTCCTTATCACAGTCGAGACCAAAGCTTTCACAGTTGTCTAAGAGGTACAGAGGGTGAAATTCTCCGTAGGTCCAAGGTAAAAGACAGAATGTACTGTAGATGTTTATGTCCAGTTGACACGGGGCGAACAGAACGTGAAATTGTCCCGTCTCACTTACGTAGCAGCAACACGGCCCTGTGCTTTACTCCAATTGCTCAACTTGCTCAGTAGCTCAGTAAGGCGGTCCTGCGCTCAATTCGTCATTGAACGACACAAGGACGATTTTGCCTCGGGCTACAAACATCTCACACCGGATGATATCACGTCTACCTTGTATTCCTAGGCTACAATGCTGTGCTATGGCATTGATCAGGAATGCTGCTACCCCCCTACCACTCTGATATGTGATGTCACAGGCTTTTCGTGTGAAGAAGAGACCTAAAAAGAATGACGCCACTTTCTTTTTCGCGAAGTCGAGACGCCCTGTTGCTTGCTCTGCTCTGGTGTTTCGGAAGATCTGGGGCGAGGCTCTTTGAACATCGTCTCTTCTGGTTTCGTTCCGCGGGCAAACGACACCTCCTTTGGCTGCTTAGTCAGCCTTTCCTGAGGCTTGCTGCTCTCAACCTGCACGAACGGGGCCGAGGGGGCACCAGGGGCCGATGTTACAGTCTCTGGCATCATCTCTTCATCCATAACATCCATAGCAAACGTCTCGCGAACGAGGAGTGAGGAAGCGAAGAGCAGCGTGAGGAGAGGTATCGTTTTCTTCATTGTTGCGTATTTCGTTCTCCGCACGACTTGCTGTCTGGATCCGCTGGATAGAGTAGGGAGTCGTGCTTAAATCGTCTTTCGTTCAATCGAAACGGTGGCAGCCTAGCGTTGTAGTACAAGCGTAAGCCTGTTGGGTTGTGTGACTTGAGGTGATGTTGTGGGAAGAGATCGAGAGAGGGTAGAGGTGCTGTTCTTATATCTTTGCCCAAGCAGCGACAGAGACTCAAGGGTCTCGTCCCTGACACCAGTCAGGGCCCTGCGCCTACGTCGCCCCCGAATGAATAGCGAGAAGCAGCGAGAGTGTCAACACGACTTAGACGACCGAATAAAGGAGCGAGGCGCACCGAGGGCGTCAATACGATTAAGATGCACCAGTTGCAGCGCTTGCAAAGACGGTTAAACAACCATGTTTTTCCGTCTCGATAAAAATGTGGTGAGAACGCCACTGTTTGCAGCTATCATGTTTGTGTTTTTGAGAGGTTGGCACAGACAACAAGTCTCAGCACCAGTAAAAAAGCCTTATCGCTGCCTAAACCAGAGTATTGTGGCACCGAGGGTGTTTTCCTCCGTAGGTCTAGGATCAAGGCCAGAGAATGAGTAACTTTGTGTGCCGTCGTCATGGGGCGATCAGAATGTTGAACGCCCATTTCACTTTCGCAGCAGAACTCGGCGCCTTCCTTTGCTACAGTTGTTCAGCGTGGTACTTCTGCGCTCAAGTGTGTCAAAGGACAGTGTGTCAAAGGACAAGACAAGGAAGCCCAAGCTGCGAGCTTCTCACACCAAAAATGGATCACATTTGCCTTGTGTTTCTACCGCTCAGATTCTCGCTAATTACAATAGGAATGCCGTCCTTTGTTTTCGATCTCGACCGCGTCTCATAGGTGACTTGATGGACCCTTCGATGTAAAAAGAAGACAAGTGAGGAGGACTCCATACTGATGCTTCTAATCCTGGTGCTCTTTGTCCTTGCGCTTTTTCTCCATGTTTTTCCTTTGGTTATGCTCCACGAAATTGATATTTCGAGAGAGGCTGTCTGGGTCAATGACCTTGTGATAATAATCGATTCCTTCTCTGCCACGATGAAAGTCTAAGACCTTCACCATTTCTTTCACTTCCGTTGGCACTTCTGTGGCGCCGGGCCAAACTCGCTTGAAAGCGCCCGAGGAAGACGGTTCCTCGCTGGGTTTGACAATTTTGCCCTGACTGTCTCGAGAAAATTCGGTTTTTGGAATCGTGTCCTCCCACTCCGGAGGAATGTCTTCGATACCGCCGCCGAAGGCTCCGCAGATGATAAGAGAGAAGAGGAGGAACAGGATGGGAAGTAGCGTAGTATTCTTCATGGTCGAGCTTTTCGTTGGGCCTACTGCCTAGATTTGGGTGATTTATGATGCTGCGCTGGTTGATGTTGTCTTTCCAAGTTCGAGACAGTGGCAAATTATCGTGACTGTATACTGTATGTGCGAGTGCTTTCTCTGTTAACGTTATTATGGTGAATGGGAAGGCAAAGAGAGAAGAGGGAGACCCATTTTATAGCTTTGCGCAAGCAGTAACTAAGGCTCAAGGGTGTTCTTCGTCACAGCAGACGGGGCGCTGCGCCTACGTTTCGAGCGGAATCGAGCCCCAGCGTGGTCATGAATGCGACTAAAATGTCCCAATCAGATACATGTCCAACTCGGGGCTTACAGTAACGCTGGGCCAGCCCATTCTGGGGCCCAATGTTCAAATGTCCAAGATGATGTTGGTCGCGTGTGCGCTCATAACAATTCTTGCTGCTGTGACGTTGGCACAGGCAACAATTTCAGCATTTGTGACCTCTTCTAGTTGCCTGCCAGTCCAAGGTGTTTAGGTTCATCAATGAATGCCTGAGGACAATCTTGCGTAGGGGCCAGAGTCAAGCAAAACGAGCACTAAAGCACTCTGAGGGACAGTGCACGCTCGATAGCGGGGCATTCAAGAAGACGAAACGCCTCACTTTTTGGCCCTCAAGACGGAAGCGCTGCGGCTGAAAGCCGCCCTCTGATTGACGCCCTTCTCTCCCGCCCCGGTTCTATGGCAAATTTCCGCTGTTCTGACTGCGCCATTGGGCACGGAGGCGCAATCTACGGCCCAACAAAGCTCAAGGACTCGCCCATCTCAGCTGTGACATTCGTTACCTTGTGTCTGGACATTTATGGCAGCCCGCCTAGATTACAAAGAAGATCAGTCGTCAAGGCAAGAGACAGAGCACCGCATTCACTCTGCCTCGCTCTTTTCAAGAAATCCGAGGCCCTGCATCTTGAGCTTTCTCTCAAAGTTCTCCAGCCACCGTTTGAGGAGCGGGACCGTCTGTGGGGCCGAGTCTGGGGCAAAGGAGGAGAGATACGAGAAGGCGCTCGAGGCTGCCGGACCGTCAGCAAAGCAATGCCCCCTTGCTGGATGGTGTAACACTTACCGATCTTGGGAGCCAGCGCAAGGGCCATCTGCATCTGCATGGCGGGGTCCCCTGCACCGCTCGAAGCCTTGACGAGGGCCTGCTGCTGGGACTGGGACCCCTCGACGTCCATGCCTGCATCAGCGCCTGCTGGCCCTGCTCCTGCTCCAGTCCCTCCACTACTCCCATTGGGTCCGCCTCGCCTTGCGAGCTCGCCCATCTGCTCATCGACCTGCTGGACCGACTCGATGCTGATACCCAGCGCAGCCGTCGTTGGCGGCGCGGCGCTCGACTGCGATGCGTTGCCAAACGAGTTGGCGGGGCCAGCGCCGGCGCTCTGCGTCAGGCCTCGCAGCCGGTAGATGGACGATGGCTTCTCGTTCTTGAGGCTGTTCAGTTCAATCACAATCTCAGCGTCCTTACTAATGAAGGGTCCTGACTGAAGATGAGCAGCAACGGCTCACCAGCCTAGCAGGATCCAGCGGTCCTCGGCCACGCCGCCCCGCCAGTTGAGATGGACCGTGGCGGCATAGCCTGGCGGAAAGGCCTGGGCACCCGTCATAAAGACAGTGACGTGGTTGATGTTGGCGGCATCCTCGATGAGGAACAGCGCATGCGTCTCGTCCACCTGCTGAGGGGGCGGCAGCGGAAGGCGGCCCGCGACGACGACGGAGAACATGGTTCCGGCCCAGTGCAGAGCAGAGGGGAGGAGAGTGTTCTGGGAACACGATGTGACAGGAAATAAAGATTGGCAGTCTGTGCGAGAGCAAAGGCGACTTCTTTTTGATTCTTGCGGTGGAGGTTTTTCTTTCTTTTCTTCATTTCGAGAAGAGGAGGCAGTAGCAAGGAAAAATAAAAAGGTGAATTCCTTCCAGGCACCATCTCCAAAGATGGTCGAGGCAGAGGCTGGATCATCGACAATGGCAGCGACAGCAGCAGGCAATAGCAGCGTGGAGCCGGTGCACATCACCATTTCGCGCGAGTCGGGCGCAGCGCTCATCTGGACGTCGGCCGAGGCTTCGCAGGTGCGCGCGCAGCATGGCATCGTGGGCCTCCTCGTCGGGTCGCTGCCTCTGATGCCCCAGCAGAATGTCTTTCTGGGCCTGCCGCTGAGCCTATTTGACGAGGAGGTCGTCTATCTCGTCCGGCGTGGGGCTGCGGTGCTCGTGGATGAGGCCGAGGCGCATGGCGTCTCTGCGCAGGACGAGGTGGCGGCGGCGCGGCTGCATGAGGATCGGGCAATCGACCGCGAGGAGCAGCAGCGGAGGGCGAGAGCGCTGGCGCAGGAGACAAAATCAAAGTACGAGAGAGAGATGAAGGAGAAGGGAGCCGCATCCAAGGACAAGAAGAACAAGGAGGCGATGGCGCGTCGGCAGGAGAGGAAGGAAAAGAAGGGCGATGGCAGTGACGATCTCTTCGGAGGAGGAGGAGGGACGAGCCAAGACAAAGACAAGGAAGAGGAGGGAAAGGTCGGTGGGGGCTACTCGATCCACATTCCGACCGACTCAAACAGCATGCCATGGTACCGCCAGAGAGCACCAAAGGCGACGTACAGGACGCTCTCCCAGGCTGCAAAGGCCGGCCTGTGGACCTATCCCCGCACCGCCGAGCAACAGGCGAGGTGCGCCGTCTTTGAGGCGCTTCGCGCAAAAGACTACTACATGAGCAAAGGTCTGCGCTTTGGCGGTGATCTTGTCGTGTATCCTGGTGAGTAGTGTCTTGCCATGAAATTGACTTTTCTTCCCTTGGTTGAAGAGTTGACGCATCCCTGACCCTCGTTCAGGCGACCCGCTTCGGTATCACTCTCACTTCACGGCCACTGTGCAGACGACACGGCAGTCGTCATTCCCTGTGCAGGAGCTCGTCGCCGCAGGACGACTGGGTACGGCTGTCAAAAAAGCCCATCTGCTGTGCTCTGTCCATGGACAAGAGGACGTAGACGACGCCAAGATCATAGCGAGGCGACTCGAGGGCGCAGACGACGATGCACGCACCTCTTCGTGGGGCGATGTCGACTTCTTCAGTCTGACGTGGGCAGGTTTCGGGACATGATGTATAAAGAGAGAGAGAGAGAACTTGCTATGTGTGAAACTTGTATTGAGTAGTAATAGTACTTGTATCCCAAGCTAATCTGACAGCATTCATCGTCCCATCCACCCGCCGTCGACGACGAGTGTCTCGCCGCATACATACTGGCTCGCCTTGCTGCAGAGGAACAGGAGCGGGCCGGCAAAGTCGTCGGGCAGACCCCACCTGCCGGCGGGGATGCGCTCGGTGATCTGACGGAGCCGAGTCGCGTCGCTGAGCAGCTTCTCGTTCATGTCCGTGGCAATGTAGCCGGGGGCGATGCCGTTGACCTGGACGTTGTGCTGACTCCACTCGTTGCTCAGCGATTTCGTTATGTTACTCACCGCCGCCTTGGACGCGGCATAGGCCGGCACGCGCAGGCCGCCCTGGAAAGAGAGGAGGCTGCAAAAGTTGACGATTTTCCCAGACCGACGCGGGACCATGTGCCTGCCTGCGGCCTGGCAGAGGAGAAAGACGGACTTGAGGTTGACGTTGATGACCTGAGCAAGAACAACACCGCCGCCGCAAAGGTCAGCTCAATAATGTCATCCTTTGATTTGCCCGCGCAGCAGACTGGGCTGAACTGACCTCATCCCAATCGTCCTCGGGAAACTCGGTCGAGTCGTGGCGGCGCTGAATTCCGCCGCAGTTGACGAGAATGTCGATGCGGCCGCCCATCTCGGGAAGCTGGAGTGCCTTGTCAAACGCCGTCTTGACCTCGGCCATGTCGCCGAGGTCGGTGATGAGGAGGCAGTGCTGCTGTCCCTGGTCTGTGGGAAGCGCCTCGAGGTAGCTCTTGTTCTCCTGGGCCGATTTCCCCGGACGGACGACGAGGCAGCACGAGGCGCCGGCCTGGGCGAGGGCCATGGCGCAGGCGGCGCCGATGCCGCGCGTGGCGCCCGTCAGGAGCGCGTGCTGGCCTCGCAGCGAAAAGAGCTGGAGGGATGTCGTCTGCGCCAGCGGGGGCGTGGGCTCGCTCTTGAGAGGTTGTGCGCTCATCGTGGCTTCTCTATGTGTGTGGTAAGGGCAGGAAAGGAAGAATGTCGCCTGGGCAAGGTGCAGCAGGCGCGACTCTCTCGCGCTCCACTGCAAAATCAGCGTGGGGGAAAGAAAGTCCAAGCCGGACCGTGCTCTCCGACACGAACCGAAGCTCGGACATTTGGAGAGAAACCGACTTCTCGGGCTGCACACTGTTTCTCTCTGAGCAGTGCTTCAACATCGGGTCAGAATAAGAGGTTCCCTGCCTCCTTCCAATCCAAGGTTTGACAAATGGGCGGCGTACTCCTCGGGCCACTGAGAGCAACCAACCGCGCTTCCTCTTCATGAGGAATTCTAATTGAGGCTCAGAACAGGATCTGTTCTGAGCCTCATTTCATCATATATTTTTTTCTTTTTGCCTGCGTCGTTCGTCAGCTGCTGTGACGAACGACGGGCCCATCCCAATGTGATACAGATGGCATTCATGTGTATCGTGATTATGTAGGGCCCTGTTTGTCTGGCTGCTGTTGTATGTTGCTGGCCGTTGCTGGCGGCAAGCGATAAAATTGAAAGGCCTTCGAAAGCACCGAGCCACTGTGAGCTCCGAGCGCCGAGTGGACCGGCCGTGCGTTAGTGACTTTTTCATTTTGAATAGTTTTCCCTGCACCATCACGACCAGAAAGAAGAATTCTTGGGGGAGGGAGATCAAAGGCAGGAGTCAGACGATGGCCGACGGCTGATGGCGAGCCGACAGAGGGTCATCATCGCGTAAGTTTGGGAGCTTCTTAGCCTGCTCTTCGTGCCAGCTGACGGTCATCCAGCCTCGACCTGGACGCCTTCTATGTGGCGGCTTCGCGCAAGCGCGATCCCTCGCTCGTCGGCCTGCCAGTGGGCATCAAGCAAAAGAACATCCTGGCCACCTGCAGCTATGAAGCGCGACGGCGCGGCGTGGCCAAGCTCGACGGTGTGAGAGATGCGCTCACCAAGTGTCCCGAGCTCGTCCTCGTGGACGGCGAGGATCTGAGCTACTTTCGCGACGTCTCCCGGCAGGTCTTTCGCCTCGTCACGAGGTTCTTGAAGGGTGTGTCCGTCGAGAGGCTGGGCATGGATGAGCTCTTTTGCGATGTCACCGACTTTCTCGACGAGTGGGCGGGGCCTGCTGCTGCGGACGATGACTCCTTCGTTGGTAACCTCTTGCCCTCCAACGCTGCCACTCCTCCTCGGGCCAGCCATGCTGCCAAGCTGCGCCGGGCTTCGCATCTGGCGCTCGAGGTCCGCTCCCTGGTGTCGCAACAGATCAACCTCACGTGCAGTGCCGGGATAGCCTCTTCAAAGCTCGTTGCCAAGATGGCCGGCAATGTGCACAAGCCCAACCAGCAGACGGTGTTTGCGCCTCTGGACGAGACTGCCGACGAGGCTGTGCGCCTGTTCCTCGATCCCTACCCGCTTCGTCAGATCAATGGTTTCGGCTCCTCGATTGTGCGCCAGCTGTGCGACTCGATTGCCGATCCCCACTCGCCCTCGCCGTCGACGATCGATGCGTCGCAGCTCACCGTCGCCCTCGCCCGGCAGGTGTTTGATCGCGAGAAGCTCATCGGCCTCTTTGGAGCTCGCATAGGTAATCGCCTCTGGCAGCTCGTTCTTGGTTCCGACGATGAACCGGTGCAGCCGTCGCCCGAGATCCCGGCGCAGATCAGCATCGAGGACACATACCGTGTGCCGCTGCACACCGAGTCTGCCGTCAAGGCGCAGATCCTAACGCTCAGCACCAGCCTCCTAAGGCGCCTCGAGACGGAGCTCAGGGTGAGCGACAGCGACGACGACTCAGTGCCCGCGCTTCCTGAGCTCGTGCCGTACGAGAAGCCGCTCGATGAGTGGATCGACCGTGGCATCCAGGCTACGATCCGCGACTACCACCGCGTCACCTCGTCGCAGGAGTTGCTTGCAGCGACGGCGGCGGCGGGGCAGCAGCCGTTTGAGTGGAAGCGCTTCCCGCTCAGTCTGCGTCTCTCGATCTCGCAAAAGAAATTTGTGCGCGTGAGCCGCCAGACGCGCATGCCCGTCGACATCTTCGACACGGCCGTGCCTCGACCCCAGCGCGCACTCGTGCTAGCCGCCAGCGTCCAGGCCCTCTTCCGGACGATTGTCAATGCCAAGGAGGACTTTGCGCTCCGGCTGATCAACATTGCTGCCACGGACCTGGTGGCCAAGCGGCCGTCGAGGGGCATTGGCGACTTTCTCCAGAAGCAGCTCCCGCTTGCGTCGCTGTCGGGCGCAGGCGCCGGCGTGGGCGACGAGGACGCTATGGTGAATGCGCCTGCCAAAGAAGGTGGAGAGGTAGCCAAGTCGGCGACGGGAGCGGCTGATCCATCCGTCGCCAATGGGCAGGGCAGCAGCAGCGACCAGAGCCAGGAGCGCATTGACGCAGACGTCTTTCGCCAGCTCCCATCAGACCTGCAGGCCGAGCTGGCAGCGCACTACGGCCTCGACCCGTCCCTGCTTGTCCCTCTGTCCGAATATGAGGAGCAGGAGCGCGAGATGAAGGAGGAAGTGGCGACAGAGGAAGTCAAGGGGAAGTCAAGGGAAGGCCAGGACGCACTCGTCTGCCCGCTGTGCGCTCAGTCGATGCTGCCGTACCTGCAGCACGATCATGCGCGATGGCCCCTCCGAGGCTTGCCGATGGAGGAATGGCTGGACCACGACGACGACGAAGAACAACAAGAAGAGCAAGAAGGAGACTGGCAAGACATGTCCGAGCTAGAGTGACAAGGATTGTTTTCCGCAACTGTACTACTACTGCTATCGTCTAACAAAGAACAAGTGGCATGCAATTGAGCCTGGGTGCATCTTCTGGGCGAAAGAAAAAGAGCGAGTGAGAATCATGTCTATGCACTTATTCGATGCTGCTGCTGCTCCTTCTCGGAGGCGCTCTAGTCTCTCTTGATGTCGCTTGGCTTTGCCCTCACTGTCGCACCCGAATCGCTCTGGGGCGCACCGGCACCCCCATCGTCGTCCCAGCTGTCCCACATGTCGTCTTCGTCATCGCCTAGCGCTGGTGCTGCTGTTGTTCCAGCAGCAGCAGTGTCATCCTTCTTTTGCTCTTGCGCTGCCGAAGTTGTTGTCAAGGGTGAGGGCGACAAGAGAGAGCCTGTCTGCTGCTGCGCTCTCGCATCGTCGCCTGCACCCCGGCCGTCGTGCCGCGCGGGACCGCGGGCCTCGTCCTCGTTGGACGAGCCGCGCTCCGATCTCGGCGGCGGGTAGGCGTGCGGGTCCGTCTCGCCTTCGCCTTCCTCCTCGTCGTCGTCGCTGTCAATGCCGACGAGATGGCGCGAGAGGCCCTCGTCGCCATTCGCCAGCTGGCCATATCTCGCCCCGGCTCCTGCCCCTACTCCTGCTCCCGCACCTGTCCCTGCACCTGCACCTGCCTGTGCTCCTCCCCGTCGTGCGGCCGGCGCGGCCCAAAAGGCAAAGTTGCCGCCGCCGCCGATGCCGCCCTCGAGGTCCTCGTCGCCTTCCCTCTCCTCTTCTTCTCCACCGTGGCCGTCGTGGCCGTCGAGCATCGCGCCCGTCGCCGCGGCATCCTCCTCTGACTGGTACTTTGTCGTGTGTGGATTGTGACGCAGCAGCGAATCAATGAGCCAGAACTGCGGGTCTCAAATCTTCCGTCAGCATTTTCTCGTCTCGTCTGCGCATTAAAAAGAAAAGAAGAGAGAGAGAGAGAGACGAACCTGGAGCGTGTTCATGGCCAGGGGAAAGAGGGCCATGACAAAGAGGACCTGGGCCTCGCGCGCGTGGCCAAAGAGGTCGAGGATCCAGCGGCCGACGTCAAAGAGAAAGGGAAAGAGGGCGAGGAGGAGGACGACGAGGATCTTCATGATGAGCAGGCTGAGCAGGTAGAGGGACAGCTGCCGGAAGAAGAAGGTGAGGCGTGGGCGGGGCCGGCCTCGGCGGAGGAGTCCGGCTGTCGTCGTCGTGCTCGCCGGCGTTGTCGTAGCTAGAGGCTCAGGAGGATGAGAAGATGACGCTCCTGCTGTCGCCTCGCCGTCCTGCGAGATAGATTGCTTGGGGAGCGCCTGCGAGGTGGGGAGCATGGGTGAAGAAGAAGCAGAGGCCTCGTCGTACGTGAGCTGCGTGTCCGTCGAGGCGCGCGGCGTGGCGACGAGGCTGCCACCAGCCCGTGGCCCGCGTCGGCGGCGGCGGCCCAGCACGAGGGGCGTCGAGGTGTACTGGCCCGAGACAAAGCCGGGCCAGCCGAGGACGTCGGTAAAGTAGTGGGTGAGGAAGCGCATGCTGGCATAGATGATAAAGACGCCCAACGTCGTGTCAATGGCAATGTTGAGAAAGTAGAGGCTGCACGGATTCTCCTCGCCCTCGGACGCCAGGCTGCCCAGGCTCGAGAGGGCGACGTTGAGCGTGTGGACAAAGAGCTGGCCGAGCATCTGCTTGGAAATGTCCAGCAGCCAAATCTTCCAGGGACGCTTGGGTCGCTCGCGCTGGCGCTTGAGCACGAGCGTGCCGACGACGACGACGCCCATGAGCGCCTGGACAAAGAGCGCAAACGGCCCCAGCAGCCGGCAGTTGCGGTTCGACGGGTCGTTTGGGTCCGGCTCGGGCAGGCCCACCATCGACGACGAGAGCGGGGGTAGTGTTGCTGGTGTCGCCATTGTCGCTCGCTCGCTCGCTCGCTCGCCGGGTCTCTCCTTTTTCTCTCCTAGAAGCGCCAATTGAAGGTTTAAGCTAATGCGACAGGAGCGTGTCTCAGGGCGTTTCGTTTCGTCTCCACTTGGACTCGTCGACGGAAAAGCTTCCATTTCAGATACACGTCTCGCACAGTCCAGCTTAACTCAATTGCCATCGCACAGGAGATTAAATACACACACACACACACACATCGTTCTCTGTAGCTACTACTACTAGCAAGCACAGGGCCTGTTCTTGAGCATCTCTGTCGCTGCTAGGACCTTGGACAGCGCCGAGTCGGTGCTGCTGTCCCTGCTGCGCGCCTCTGCGCTGATGTGCGTAGCCGCGGCTGCGTCGACGAGCGAGGTCGAGATTGACGGTCGGCGATGCATGCTCGCCCATTGGGCCTGCTCCAGGTCGCCTGCAGCAGGCACTTCTCCCTCCATTCCCTTCATCTCGACCTGCACCTCGTCTGGTGCGGTCCAGTGCAGCAGCGCCAGCGCAGCCTCGAGTCGCGAGAGACCCTCGAGGAGCGCGGGCCGGCCGAGGGTAAAAGTGAGGCGAAACGTGCCCGTGTGTGGGTGCCGGTAATTGGAGCCGGGGGTGATGCTGACTTTGTTCTCGAGCGCCTTTGCCCACAGCGCACCCTCACGCTCCTCCTGCGCCAGCTCGTGGCCGTCGACCTGGTCAGGCAGGAAGCGTTCGAGGTCGACAAGGACAAAGTGGCCTGCATTCGTCGGCGTATAGCCGATCGAGTGGTGGCGACACCACCGTGTCACAAGGTCATACGCCTGCGCCATGCGTGCGCGATTGGTGGCCACAAAGTCGCGGTGGAAGCCCTCGTCGTGGATAATGGCGGCGAACAGGGCGTCGGCGGGCGACGAGACCATGTAGAGCTTCGACGTGGCCTTCATCGCACGGATCAGGTCTCTGTGCGTGTGTGTGTCGGACATCAGTCAACTCGACCTTCCAGGAACATCGGAGAGAAGTGAGGAGACTCACTCATTGTTCTGGCTCACAAATGTGCCGATTCGGAAGCCGTTGAGGCCAAAGTCCTTGCTGGCCGAGCTGAGGACGTGGAGGCGCGCAGGGTGGCAGCCTGCCTCGACGGCCCAGTCGATGGAGAGGGCCGAGATGAAGGGCTGTGTGGGCTGCTCGTCGCTGTGGCTTTCAAACGTCGAGAGGGCGTAGATCTACAGACCGTCATTGAAATCAGCCTCTCGCACACCAGCATACAACAAAAAGGCACAGTGCACTCACTTCGTCAAAGACCAGATGCAGGTCGTGCTTCTCTGCAAAGCTGCCGTACTCGACGAGCGCGCTGCGGGTGTAGCAGCGACCGACGGGGTTGTTTGGGTTGCACACGACGACGGCGCGGATCTGCTGGCCGGGGTGCTGTTCGAGCCAGGCACGCTGCGTAGCCTCAAACCCGCGCAGCGCCGTGGCGCCCTCGAAGCTCGCTGCCTCGGTGCCGTCGCCCATGTCGCTGTAGACGGGCACGCACTCGACATTGCTGCGGCAGCTCAGGTCGGCCTCGAAGCCGTTGTAGTAGGGTGCGGCGATGAGGACGCCGTCGTGTGCGTCGGCGAGGTGCTCAAAGACCTGGTCGAGCAGCGAGCCGCAGCCCGGGCCGGTCAGCAGCTGGTCGGGCGTGACGGGCTTGATGGGGCTGAATGCGGGCGAATTGTAGTGCTTGCAAAAGGCCCTAAACAGGCGCGTCGAGCCAAAGAGCGACGTACCGTAGGTCAGGTCACTGGGGTGGAGCTCGAGGTGCCGGTGGAAAAAGTCGAGGAGCTCGGCCTCCATGAGGTAGTTGTTGGCGATGCCCATGTTGACGATGCCGCCCGGGTTGCGCGTGGCGCAGAAGCAGTCGCAGAGGATGCGGTCAAAGATGCTCCAGAACGGCGTCACCTTGTCGCGGTGTGCGCTTCCACGGCTGGACAGCGCCGGCTTGCGAAGCGTGCCCGGGGCCTCTCTCCTCCTCGTCGCCGTCATGGTGCTGAGGAGCGAAGAGGCAGGCGAGGAGGGAGCAACGCCCAGCGCGGGGCACCCATTGACAGGAAAGCAGGCGGGCGCGCAGCTCATTCTGGTAACGAAACGGAGCTGCGAAGATAACGGAGGAGGGTGTAAAGATAGAAGGAGTAGGAGGAGGAGGGGGGACGGGGAAGGTGCTCGACGGGACCCCTTATCGCCCGCACACGCCCGTCGCTGCTGCAGCTGCAGCTGCTGCTACTGACTCGTTCACACCCTGAAGGGGGCGCAGGCGTCGCCCAAAATTTTGCGGTCTGTGCGCGGCGCGTATTTTTCATCGGCGGCGCCGACCCCCGCGGCCCGAGGCCCGTTTGGGTCAAAGATACACGCATGCTTACATAAGCACGTACCACGCGAGCAAAGTCTCCTCCATCGCGACCTTTGGCCTCGTCGCTCGTCGTCGAGAGAAGAAACAGATCGACGCTCCAGCGACACATCCACAGCCCAGCACAGCCATGGCGTCGGTGAGTGGCAGCAGCCGGTACCATACTGCTGTACCTGGTTTGAGAGAGGGAGAGAAGGTTGCTGACAGTGACGTGCGTAATTTTCAGTTCCAGCCTGTCAACCCGAAGCCGTTTCTGCAGCTGCAGACGGGCAAGCCCGTCGTTGTGCGTCTCAAGTGGGGCGGCATGGAGTACAAGGGCTTCCTCGTGAGCACCGACAACTACATGAACCTCCAGGTGAGTGATCGTCGCAGACACTAGCTTATTGAACTTGGCTCGATCGATGGATGGATGGATGGGTGGTCGGATTGTTGGAAGATCGAGTGCAGAAGGGCTTGACTGACACGAGACTTTCCCTCAGCTGGCAAACACGGAAGAGTTCAAGGACGGCAAGCCGAACGGCAAGCTCGGCGAGGTCTTTGTCCGGTGCAACAATGTCCTGTACCTCCGCGAGGTCAATGACGACGACGCAGATGCCGACGCCGACGAGGCAAAATGAGGATTCATAGACGTATCGGAGACCTCGCCTTGCGGGCCAAAAAACCTTGTACCATTATAGCAATCACGACGCACGCACGAGCCTACTTTAGAGAGAGGGAGAGAGAAAAGGAAAGAGAGAGCGGAGAAAAGGAACGCAAGAGGTGACATTGAGAGAGTGAGGGAGCACCAGAAACAGAGTATCTACCGAGAGAGTGAGGGAGGCAGAATCTACCGAGAGAGAGGGAGGGCAGAAACTACCGAGAGAGGGAGGGCAGAAATTACCGAGAGAGAGAGGGAGGACAGAATCTAAGGCTGTGCGGACCAGGCATCATTGAGGACAGAGAAGACGGCGCCGCCCAGCAGCCTTTCTTCGAGACTGTTGTTGCGGGGCGTGAGCTGTGAAAGTGAAGTTTGTGCACTCTGTCAGACTTGAAGTGAACGGTTGAGGAGAGAGAGAGACAAAGACTGACCTTGTCGGGATGCAGCTTGCCAATGGCCTTCATGTAGTTGCGCTTGACCTGGGCGTCGGTCACGAGCTCGTGCATGCCCACCTTCTTCCAGCCGAGGCCGTCCCAGACGACGTCCTGGAGGCTGGCAAGCAGGGCGCGCACGTTTGCCTCCTTGCCGCCCTTCCAGGCCAGGATGCGGGCATCGACGCCGTCGCGGAGCGCATGCTTTGCCGCCTCCTCGGCCGCCGTCGCTGCATTCTCGGCACGGATGCGCGCGCGCGCAGACTCTTCGGCCTTTGCCACGGCGCGCGCCGTCGCGCGGTCCACCTTTTGGCGGACGACGTCCTTGTGCTGCACGCCCGCCGCCTGCGCGCCGCCCTCCGAGGCAGCGGCAGGCTGGAGCATCTTCTGGCACCGCTTGGCGCCCTCCTGCGCCGCTCGGAGATTCGTCACGCCCGTCGTGCCGCTGCTGCCCTCTTCCTTTTCGTAGCGCTCCAGGAGCGTCCAGACGCTCCGCGCCGTGTCCCACTGCTCGAGCATCTCCTCGGCCTGGGCGCGCCGCAGGAGTGCCTTTGCATAGCCGTCTCGCAGGTTGACCTCCTGCGCCAGCGCACCCGGCAGCGGCGCCTCTCCCGAGGGCCTGTAGAGCGTAAAGGGCGACTTGCCCCCGGCAACAATGAGGACGAGGACATCCTTGGTGTCGGCCAGGACCGCGCGAGCATCGCCGTTCTTGAGCCGTGCGTTGGCTCGGTTATTGAGCAGCGGCACGCGTCGCAGCGACTTTGGATGCGCGTCGAGGGCGTCGAGACCGGCGCTGTAGGCCGTCTCGGCCTCGCCGTAGGCGCCCTTCTTGAAGTGCTCGTTGCCTCGGGCCTTGTGCCTCTTTGACGATTCGACGGCGGCCGCGCCATCCTCTTCGATTGGACGCGCCGTCCGGGCTGCTGCTGCTGCTGCTGCTGCTTTTGCGGCCGGCGTCCTCCTCGCACCAGAGGCAGGAGCAGCTGCTGCAGCTGCTCCCGGTCGAGGCTTGCTGGCCTGCGGGCGAGCAGGAGCCGATGAAGAGGGAGGTGGAGCCTGAGGGTCCATATCCCAGAGATTGCGGGGAGCATCCTCGCGTGGACGACTGCCCTCGGGTCTAGCAGGGAGGAACGGAGGGGCCGGGGCCACCTCGTCGCCGTCATCGTCATCTCGGAAACTCGAGGTAGGGGCCGTTTCTCCTGACGGCTGCTTCTTCGGTCTGCTCTGCTCTTCTTCTTCTTCTTCAGCAGCCGCTGCAGCCTCTGCCTCGACCATCCAGCGCGGCTTGCCCTCCCACTCCTTGCGAGGCGTCGAGCGGCCGTCTCGGGAGGGCACGGCCCAGCGCCGGCTCTTTGCGCGCTCGCTGCCCGACGCCGGGCTGTTTCTCCCACTGCTGGCCGCCGAACTACCTTGGCCGTCGAGATTGTTGTTGTTGCGCTCCTCGAGCGCACGCTGAGCCTGTGCCTTTGCCGTCGTCCAAAAGGCATTGGCCTTGCTAAAGACGCTGGCGCCCAGCTCAGATGCTTGCGCATAGATCTGGTCCGCCTGCTTCTGCCAGTCGACCTGGCCATCCTCGGCCGCGTCTCTCTCGTCCTCCCGCCGCTTCCTCTCTGGGCCATTCCGTCCATTGCTGCTGGCTGGTGGACGCTGGGCGGCCTGCTCCCTTCGCTGGAGCCTCTCTGCGTATCGCCGGTCCTCCTGCTCCTGGCTCGAGTGCGACGGCCTCTCGGTGGCCTTTGATGAAGAAGAAGAGGCGAGCAGCTGCTCCAGGGCCGCCGACTCGTCGTTGCCCGTCCTCGCCAGCGCCTCACGAGCCTCAAATGGCGAGAAGCCCATCTCGACGACCTGGCCAATGATGTGCGGTGGCGGCGAGGCAGGCCGGGGCTGCGATGCTCCCGTCGCCATCGCTGTCGCCATCGCGGCTGGCTTGGCGCGTCCAGGCGGTCCACCGAGCGCTCCCAGGATACCGTCGTCGATGCCATCGTCGTAGTCATCGTCACCGAGCAGACCGGGACCTCTTGACAAACCCGTCTGGGCGGTCTTCATCGGGCCTTCTGACGGGCGCTCCGGTTCTTTTCTCCGTCCCCCTTCCCCTCCTCCTCCACCTCCTCCTCCAAGAGCCGAGCTCTGGGAATCGCCGGGATCTTCAAAGTCGGAAAAGTCAAACGGGTCCTTGCTCTTGGGCTGTGGGGCCGCCGCAGGTGGCGCTGCTGGGCTCGCCTTGCTTCTTGCTGCTGCTGCTGTTGGAGCGCGAGGGGTCGCTTTCTGCGATGTGAAGTCGTCGAAGTTAAAGAAGTCGTCGTTTGACTGGTTCTGCGAGACTGACGGAGACGGTCCTTTGCTGCATGATTCGAGCAAGGTTGTCATGTCAGCCATGGAACTTGCATTGTTAATTGTTCGCTCGATCATGCTCTCACCTGGCTGGCTGGCTGAAGCCGAGCGACTCGAGACCTGACCATGCATCACCGTTGGCCTTTTGCGACTGATTCGCTCGCGTCGGGTTCAGGAGGGAGTGGTTGTTGCTGCTGTTCCCCTGCAGTCTCTGAGCCATCGACAGGTTCGAATTTGCCTTTGGGGCAGAAGAAGAGCTCGCTCCTGCCCCAGATGTAGCCTGACCTCCTCCCCCACCGGCGGCACCGGCAAAGAGCGAGGAAAAGGCATCGCCCGTCTTGGCGGCGCTGGCCTGTGCCTGTGCCTGTGCCTTTGGTGCTTGGGACTGGCTGCTCAGCGAGTAGCCCATCGGCGGCGTGGGCGACGGCGACGGCGATGGCTTCTTCTGCGTCTGCGCGGCCGTGCTGGGCATGGACCTCGTCAGGGCATCGAAGCTGTACGTCGAGCTCTGGCCGGGGGCGCGGTAGGCCGGCGCCGCGGCGCCCTGCTGCCTCAACGGCGGGGCAGCGGGCTTCTTGTCCCAGTCTAGATCCAACAGGTCGTCCATCGTGGGCCTGCTGCTGCTGCCTCGACGAAGAACCACCGCAAGAAAAAGCCGGGGAAGAGAAAAGCAACGAAGCCAACGACGACGACGAGCAGCAGCAGCTCCTGAGCCAGCAAGCACAGCGCGCGCGTTTGTTGATCGGAAGAAGAATAAAGAGAAACAAAAAAAGACCAAAATGCATCAAAAGTCCAACATGTCGTGTCCGCGCCGAGCGACCAGCACGCGCGCTCGTCAATGCATGCACAGGGACAGGGACAGGGACAGGGACAGAGACAGGCACCGAGGGAACAAGGGAGTAGCGTGGGTGCATCGGCGATGGGCCGGGGCAGAGGAGGAGGAGTAGCGCTTGGCGGGCCTTTGTTGAGAGGACAAGACAGAGAAGGGGGTATTCGAGCTAGAGGCGCAGCAGCAGGAGGCGTCAGATCAGCCAATGGACGGCTGCCTCAGGCGCCCGCCTCGCTGCTGGTCCAGCTGCCACCAGACGAGCTGCGAAGGATGGCCGAAAGCCGGGGCATGCTGCCGCCCGCTGCTTCGAACAACAATATCGAGGACCTGGCGCAGATGACGCCCTCCGACATCGACGTCCTCGCTCGAAGCGTCGTAGCGCGCCGGCGGCGGGACCAGGAAGTGTTTGCGTGGCAAAAGCGCCTCATTGATGGAGATGATGGGAGGGAGGGCACCGTCGATCGTTCGACGCTCAAGAGAGCACTATGCCACTTGTCTTGCACCTCGTGGCTGCAGGTCCTCCAGGAGCGCCACCTCGCGCACCGATGCGCCTACCCGACATGCCCAAATGCTTCCAAGCGGCCGCCGCTCTCGGCTGCATCGACGAGCCTCCTACCGATGGATGCGCCTCGCTACCGAATCTCGCTGGCCAAGCGCACGATCTCGAGGGATGACCGCGACGATGCCGGGGGTGAAAACGGCTATTGCGGGAAAAGTTGCTGGCGGAGGGGAGAGTGGGTCACCCGATGGGTCCTGACGGACGCGGGCGGCGAGGCGAGGGGCCAAGAGGCAGCAGCTCCCTTGTCGTTCTCCTCCTCCTCCTCGTCGTCGTCATCAAAGAGCGGCGTCCAGAGCTTGAATCCAAAGATGGGTCAGTGGACTTCTTCGACGGCGGACGCGGCTCCCATCCTCGACGGCGCAGCGGGTGGAGGTGGTCGGTGGGAGGAGATGATCAGACAGTCAAATGGCGCTGGGAGAGAGCCGGAGCCAGATGAGGAGGCGGCGTGGAGGAGCATCGATCTGATGGAAGACATGGAGGATCGAGGTGAGGTGGATCGACTGCCAGACGACAAGGTGCAGGATCGTCAGCCAGCAAGAGCATTAGACGCCGTATCACCTCCTTCGAAGACAACTTCTTCACCAACAACTTTGGCGGCGACCAAGCCAAAGGCTCAAGAAAAGGGAGTTGATCGGTCAAAAGTCATGGCCAAGTCACCAACGGGTCAGCCTGTCGCTGCTGCCAAGAGGGGCAGTCCAGCGGGCCCAACGCAGAACCAACTGGCGGCCTTGCTCGATTCCCTGACCATCTATGAGCGTCCACCAGGCGGGCTAGCTACCGTGCCTGCCTCGACAGCTGAGACAGGAGGAGAGGAGGGCGGTGGGAAAGACGAGAAGCAAAAGCAGCTGGCTCCGGTGGCCCCACACGGCAACGTCGAGGACGACGAGGACGACCATGAGGAAGCAGAAGAGGAACCGCTCAGCGAAGAGGAGCTCGCACGGCGAGCAGAGATTGACATGATGTTTGAGCTCGGCCTGCAGGCGATGGAGCAGGAGAAGCAAAGGGGCACCTGGCAAGACTGACGGACAGGCCAAGCAAGTCGGTGTGAATAAAACGTTAGCAACGGTGCATCTTCTATCGTCGACGCTTCACGGTGCCTCTTCTCCCGTCCTTCGAGGCGTCTTTTCGTGGCCCAAGCGCGCACGCGCTCTCTTTCATTCTCTTGCTTTCCAGTGTTTCTCGTCTGCAATTTTATTCTCCACTTCTTCCGCGCGCGCCAGTCACATCCGACGACTTCTCTTACTGCTACTATTCCAACAACTACTGATCACTAGACAGACACGATGAACATGTCCCGATCTCCCGCGCTCCGTTCGGCGTCGTCGTCGCTCGTCGCAGCCGGCAGCAGGGGTGCCCAGCGACGTGTCGTACTCGCCTCTCTCGCGCCTGCTCCTTCTCTGACCCAGGGCGGCAGTGCCCGTGCGGTGCCTGCGACATCAGTCGCCGCCACGGGCCTTGCGAGGCCGAGCTGGGCGACGCGCGCCTTCCACTGCTCGCCCGTCGCGCTGAGCAGAGACACAAACTGGGTCGACAAGGGCGACATGACGTACAAGGAGCTCAAGCCCATCACCCAGGCACCCACCGGCCAGGAGACGATCATCGACGTCCGCGAGCCCGACGAGGTGCAGGCCGGCATGATCCCCTCGGCCGTCAATGTGCCCCTGTCGGCGTTTGCAAAGGCCTTTGACAAAAACGGCGGCGTCGACTTTGAAAAGGACTTTGCCTTTCCTCGGCCCGCCTTTGACGACAAGGTCGTATTCTACTGCCGCTCGGGCAAGCGCAGTCAGCAGGCCCTCGAGCTGGCGCGCAAGAACGGCTGGTGGAAGTGCGTCTTTCTCTCTCTCTCTCTCTCTCTCTCTTACTCATCCCACTGAATCAAAACTGACACACTTTCCATATTGAAACAGCTCGCGCAACTACAGGGGCTCCTGGCTCGACTGGGTCCAGCAGGAGGATGCTCGCAAACAGTGATGTTACTGTACTTCCTAAAATTGAGATCCTAAAAAGAGATACATGGGGTGGATGTTACATCTATTCGGCCTTGCTCTTGCCCGAAGCGCTGCCCGCGCCCACGCCGAGCTCCTTCATCTCCCTCTCGCGCTTCTGGTCGGCCTCGATGCGCTCGCTGCGCTCGAGCCACCACTCGGAGGCCTGCATCAGCACGACGCCAGCGAGGAGGAGCATGACGATGGTGTTGCCGGCGGCGAGGATGCGCAGCGCGCTCTCGCGCTCGTCGGCCGAGAGCGGGTAGCCGAGCGGGGTGCCCTCGGCCTGCTCCCGAGTCATGAAGCCGGCGTCGACGCGGGACTTGATGTAGTTTTCGCGCTGGGTGCGGATCGAGCTGCGCAGGATCAGCGACTCGTTGCTCGGATCCGACAGCAGCCGGATGTTGGGCACTTGCACGCCACCATACATGCCAATCGAGCCCATGAGGAGCGCTGGCAGGACAAACACATATCAGGGCCGGTCAGCGCAAAAGTTGAATCAAAGTGAAAAGAGGCAGTGGAAAACACACCCAGGCTGGCGCCGTCGAACCACTTGGCCATCTCTGTCCACCGGTGCAGCTTGGCCAGCAGGCCCATGATGCCCAGGCCAATCATGCCGTGGAGCAGCGCCGAGATGGCCGTGGGGCCATTGTAGAGCGTCAGGTAGAAGCGCTCGGCGGCGTCGACGTCGCGCGGCCCGTATTCGGTGTACAGGAGCGGAAAGTCGTAGATGGATGTGATGAAGAGGACGCCGTAGAGGAACGCGACCGAGACAATGACAAAGCCCGTTCGGAAGCCCATGTTCTGTCTCGTCTCACGGTGATGGAAGAGAGTGAGTGTTTTATGTTTGTCGAGGTCCAGGCTTTCTTCTCGTTGGAGAAAGCGCCAGAGATTGGAGACAGCTTCGTGCACGTGCCTCTTATCTTCCCACTGGCTCTTTCAGCTACGGTACCTTTGCCCGACACCTTGACAGTCTGATCGTTGCCATGAACAGAGTATAGAGGGATGGAAAAGGTATTGCTTTCCTAGGAGCCCAAAAGCCATTCTCACGGCCGCATTCCTCTGTCTGAGACTGTGGACATCAGACGAGGCGCCTGAGCAAAGGCTGGCTGCCAGAAAGAAAGATGAAAGCTAGCCACACGCGTCTGTGCCGATGTTCTGTGGCTACCGGCGCGCGGGCCAGAGGTCCTTTTTTGTAAATTGGTGCAGCACTAGCCCTACCCCGAAGCCGGGCGTCCATTTTGGATTTGGGGCCTTGCGTCACTAAGAGCGAGACGGCGAGGCTACGACCGCGCTCACCTCTGCGTGTCATTCTCTCATACACACACACTCTCTCTCTCTTGCGCGCACTCACTCACTCACTCACCCACTCTCTCGACGCCCTTACCCTGCTTCTGCCCTACGTCGGTCCCTCGGTCCTCGTTCGCTGCCCCCTTTGTCGCCAGATCAGATTGGATGTGCATTGCCGGGCGGGACTGGCGAACAGTGACTGCCCTCTCGTCCCTTTCCCCGCGCGACACAGCGTCGCGGGCGGGCCAACGAGGCTCGTGCGGTCAAGTGCACTGTCGAGCTTAGTCCTCCCATCTGGCAATTCAGCGGTGTATCAACGCAGAGCCACCCGTTCGACCATCGCCAAGGACAGATAGTATTCCATGGGGCGGCTCACATTTTGAATTGGTCGCAACCTCAAAGCAAAGGAATAGGCCCGCGCGACACGCCCAATGGCCCCGGGCCAGGGCCAACCAGGCTCGTCTCGCCCAATGCCGGGACCCGGAGAGGAACGAGGAGAGGCAGGAGGCTCGGCGACACCGTGGAGCGCTCTCGAGCTTCTCTCGCAGCAGCAGGACAGAGACGATGCCGGCGCTGAGCAGCCCAAGGGCGCGGCGACGGCGGCGGCGGCGGCGGCTCGGGCCCCCTCGAAGCCCTTGGACGTCGGGGCGCCTCGGTCCAGCCAGCACCATACACAAGAGGCTGTCCACGCTCCTGCGCCGTCGACATCCCTCTCCATGTCGCCTTTGACCAAGATTGAGGAAAAGAATTTGTCCAAGGTGCACGCTTCGCCCGCGCTCATGGGCCAGACTTCCACGGATAGCGAGCCGAGAAGGGTGTCGGACGTCGACAGCGAGAGTGCCATTGATGGTGAGTCTAGTGTCATTCATGGCGGCCGATTCCGAAAAGATCCTGATGCTAGCTGCAGACACAGTCTCGACACCGTCCATGGGCCCGCAGAAGATGCAGAGAGCCTCCTCTACTGGTGGCATCTTTGATCTTGACGCAGAGGAAGCTGCCTCGTCCGAGGAACTTCAGACGACACCACGAAAGAGCAAGCCGAAAGCAACGACCTCGACAACATCAACGACAACAGCAGCAGCGGCAAAAACAGCAGACAGACCCACAGCCGTTGCGTCATCGGAGCAGCGCTCGTCGGGCAACTTCATCGATCCCTTTGCCCATGGCTTCCGGCAGCCCTCGCAGCCTCACCATCACCAACACCGGCCTTCGCAGTCTTCTTCCTCGACGTCGTCTGACTCTGCCCAGAGTTCCCCTTCCAAGCCCACGCATGCAGCCCCTATCCCTGTGCCTGCGTCGGCGAGCTCGACGGCGTCATCGTCGCTTCTGGCCGCTCCCACACCAATTCCAACGGCAATCAGCCCCGTGTCCAAGCACCCGCGGAGTACCTTTGACTCAACGCCGTCCTTCTCCAGTCCGCTTGCTTATGCCTCGACGCTGCCGAGCGAAGAACAGGAGCAGGAGCAGGCCGAGGACCTGGATCTCGATGCGCCTGCTGAGCATGTACCGCGGCCCCTCCAGTCGATGGTCGGTGCGCTGGGAGAGGCACTCAAGGAGCAGCGCTCCGTCTCGCCGACTAACACCATGGGTGTTGCCTCCAATTCATTAAGGAGGGAGCGCTCGACCTCGGCCCGCGCCAGGCTCTTGTGGGACAGGCAGGACACGAGCAGCCTGCAAAAAGCTGCCGCCACCTCATCGCGCTTCGCACCTTCGACAGCCTCTTCGTCATCGTCGGTCTCGTCGCCCTCGCTCCAGAAGGATTCGTCGGCGGTCGACTCACCGATGTCTCCTCCGTCGTCGACTCCGTCGTCGACCGCGGGCGCGCCTGGCGCGAGGAGAAAGGTCTCGGGCATCATGGGCCCACCACTGTCGATTCCTCGCAAGAGCAGTGGCGCTAGCTCCGTACGATCTGGACTGGGCGACTCTGAAAACACAATCTCCATGGGTCCTGGGCAAGGCGACCACGACGACGCCGCATATCCATTGGCGAGGAATCGGTCCATTACCACAGGCGCAAGGCAGCCATCGGGGGGAAGCGAGGAGAACTTTCTTGGCCTTGGCACTTCGAGCCGGTCCGTGTCAGGATCTACGACTGGGTCTAGCGCCAGCGGCGACAGCCCAGTAATTCAACAGCAGCCACTCTCGGCCGCATCGCTGTCGCACTCGTCCACGGGCAGCACCTCGCCTCCTTCGTCCTGGCAAGGCTCCATGACGGGGACGGCGACTGGCGGGCCACAGGCATCGAGACGGATGCGAAATTCGATCTCATCGTCGTCCTTTTCGAGCAACGCACATCGTCGTGCCAAGTCGCTTGGCGGCGCTCTGCTGGGCGAGGCTGCCACGGCCATCGGAGGTCCCGACGGCGTCGATCCCAAGTTTGTCGCTGCTCTCCGGGCCAGCGATGCAGGTCTGCCGAGCACGCCGGTCAGGCAGGAGGCAAAGCCTGCTGGTACCCCTGGAGATACGCCGGCGAAACAAAGAGAACAACAGCAGCACTTTGCCACTTCACCTCGGAATGCCTCGTTGCCTTCGACCCCCAGTGGCTCGGTCCGCCTTCCCTCGTCTGCCTCTGGATCAGCACGCAAGCCAGAGCTGCTCAGTGTCTTGCCCGACACAAGGGTGCTTGCGACAAGCTACCCTTCTGTGCAGATGCCCAGCAGCAGCAAGTCAACAGGCTCGGAGGGCTCGGCGCGCACCTCACCCGCGTCAGCAAAAGTGGCCGCATCTCCAGCGGGTCCGCAGCCGTTGTCGTCGTCATCATCCTCGGGCGTGCCGGAAGGCTATGTTCGGTCTCGCGTGCGGAGTCAGACGACCGCAGCTCCACTGACTAGCACCTTTGCTGGGCCTTCACAGATGGCCGCCTCGCTCTCCCGATCGAGCGCTCCTCTTGGAGAGGCCATCCGTCTGCAGCCAATGCCCAGCTCAGTCCGCAATGCCGGCGACATCTACACGCCTTCCTCACCCCTGATCTCGCGACACGAGCGCCGACTATCGATGGCACAGCCTTCTCCGGCCCAAGGTCTCGGCATCGGCGGTCTCGTGATTCCTCAGACGCCGAATGCTACGAGGAGCCCTTCGCCACTGGGCCCTCTCGATCCTGGAAATGCATCGTCAGCGTCGACCTCGGGTCAGAGCTCACCGGTCGTGCGAGCAAGAAAGAGTGTCGCCGAGGGTCCATGGCAGCGGACGTCGGTCTCTGGCTCTGGATCGGGGCCTGGCTCCGTTTCCAGTCTTGGACCAGCGCCGTCACCAACACCCACGCCAGCTCCTCCGGCCGATCTTGGACAGGACGAAGACGGCAAGCCTCTCTCAGTGAGCATCCCTGCGTTCCGGCCAGACTACAACACACCGTCGTCGGCTATGCCAGCGCTTCACTACGAGGGCTCCCGAGCGGGTGCCAACGCCAATGCGCTCCTGCCGAGCCCGCAGGCCGCTCCGAGAAAGCTGCCGCCTGTGGCTGCGAGAACGCCATCAGCCTCTGGCAGATTTGAGGTGCCAGACCTGGATGCTCGATATGGTATGTTTTAAAAGTTTTTACGAGCAGAAAGTATAAGTGAAGCTGACAGCATGAGCAGACCCGACGGCACGGCCAGCGCCGTGGATTGCCAGCTCCCAAGAGGTACGGAACAGTCGGCTGGGCACCACGTCGAGGATCGATCGCCCCGGTTCCTCGTCCGGGCGCGCTGCGGTCGAAGGCTCGGCTGGGGTACCACAAGCGCCGCCGGCGAGCCAGTCCCAGAGCGGACAAGGCGATCCTCTGCGGTCGAGCGTGTCTGTGATGAACCGGCAGGGAGGCATCGACGAGTACGCACGCATCATTATCCAGTCTCGCAACGCCAAGATGCAAAAGTGGAGAGCAATGGCGTCCAAGAATCCGCGCCAGGCACTCGTGCCTCTGCCATCAAGCGAGGCAGAGGATCTCCTGATCGGCTCCTCTCCGGACGTGAGAGAGAACCTGCTGAGCTCATCAGTTGGCGCTGGAGGAATGTTGGGTGTGGCCAGGGACGACCCGTTGTGGAGACACCAGTCCCAGGCTGGTGCCACGCCCAACGTGTCCCCCGCTGGCTCTCATCGTGGCGACACAGAGGACCAGGAGAAGGCAGAAAAGGCAGCGGGCAACCAAGAGATCGAATGGGTCGACTGGCTCGACGAGTACCGCAGGCTGAAGGAGGCCAAGCTCCTTTCGGAAAGGCAGGGACGCAAAGACGTCGACGCCGACGGAGACGAGGAAATGGCAGAGGCAGAGGCAGAGGCAGAGGAGCCGCCCTCTAAAGCAAAGGCCAGGGAGGGCAGTCCCCTCTCTACGCTGCCCTCGGATCTGTCGAGGAGCCTTTCGACGGCCATGGGCTTCTCTGATCAGCGTTCAGAGAGCGCATCTACCAGTCGGCCGAGGCGCCCGTCGGAGATGCCGACGAGGGCGAGCAAGTTTGCGCAGGAGTCCGAGCTCCGACGAAGCTCGTCCGGTCTCCTGCCCGTTCACGGCGAAGACTACGCCCTGACACCGTGGCTCTCGGCTGCCAACCCTCCTTCGTCGTCATCGTCGACGATGAACCGTCGTTCGATTCTTGTTCCCGAAAAGACTCGGAACCTGTCTCTCTCGCCCATCACAAGCCGCATCACCTCGAGCGGCTCGCAGCAGTCGGCGACGAGCACCGGCAGGAGGAAGAAGCTGTTGGGAGGCAAGATCGAGGCTTGGTGGGGCGCCGTCAAGTCGGGTTTCGGTTCAGGTCTTGGTACGAGCCAGCCTCTGTCCTCGTCACAGGGAACAATGGAGCCCGGACGGAGCTTCTCGGGTGCAGGGACGACGGGTGCCGGTGGAATGGGCCGGCGCGTTATCACGCCTTCCTCGACGAACTCGGACATGCAGATGGGCGCAAACGGCGGCTCGCCCAAGCGCACCTACAAGCGAGCCAGCATGGCTCCTGTCTTTTCTTCGCAAGCGTACAACCAGGCGCATACACGGGCACAGACGAACCTTGCGGCCGACACTGGCCAGTCTGTCCACACGCTGCGGGCCGCGTCATCTGCTCAGAACCTCAAGGCACTGCCGTCTCGCGCAGCCACCATGGATGAGGACACGCCCATCAGCCCCAGCTCCTCGTCGCAGGCCAGTGAAGGGGTGCAGAGCCAAGGTGGCGCAAGCCGACGCCGCCAGCCACAGCTCTCGCTTCACTTTGAAAAGGGCCAGAGCTCGTTTGATGCCGGTCCCTTTGAGCGCATCACTCCGGCCAGAACGACGCCATCGACGGGCGGCCGGTCAAACGTGTCGCGAGCCATCGCTTCGTCTGCTGCTTCCTCCCCGGCTGCTGCTGCTGCCGCCGCCACCGCCGCCGCCGCTTCCTCGTCGCCGTCACCTACGGAGTCCATCAGAATGGCGCCTAGCGCTGCTTCGGTCGCTGCACCCAGAGGAGGGAGCACCAAATCCTGGTCGCCATCTGTGTCGCCCAAGGCCGCTCGACAGAGTCTCTCGGATGCTTGGCACCCACCCCCACCTCCTCCGGCTTCTGCTGCTGCTACCACCACTACGGCTGCTGCTACTGCTGCGTCCGACCCTTCGCAGGAATTGCGCGGCCGGAGTAAGCATCGCAAGAAGGGCCCAGACGGCGAAACGTCATCGTCCAGGGACATTACCTTCCAGTCGATTCGCGAGCACATTCACAACCGCCTGGCTGGCTCAAAGGAGAGCTGCGACAAGGAGCTCCGCAAGATTGTCACGGCTGTCAATGCCTTTGTCGAGGAGAGCATCCTGCAGCGCGAGGAAGAGGAGGAAGAGCAGCAGCTGGAGCGCGAGCGAGAACGGGAGCGCGCGGCCTCGATTGTCGCGAGGCTCGAGGTTGAAGGTGCTGGCTCAGCATCGACGGACAGCGAGGGCGTCTTTACAGTCGACCAGACTTCACATGCCCTCCCCTCTGGCGATGGCGAAGGCGAAGGCGAGACGAGCGCTCTTCTCACGCCGGCTGACGAACATGGCAGCATGCTAGCGACTCCGAGACAGGTCCAGAGTGGGTCCCCCAAACACGACTACAGACTGCCGAAGCCACCAACGCTGGGCCAGGTGCAAGCGGCCGCGGCAGCAGCAGCAGCAGCTTCGGCAGTAGGACCGAGGTCTTTGTCGCGCCAGGCGCTTCAGCGGACACGCTCACGGGACCCGTCTGACTCTCGAGACACCTCACGCTCTCACTCGCCCATGCCTGGCGCCCAGCTCAGCTCCTCGTTGACTCCCGCCGACTCGCCACAATACTCGCCCGCCCGACGCATCCGGCCTCTGCCCACCGAAGATGCTCCTCTGGACCCGTACATTCCCGCTCTTCAGGACATTGTGTCGATCGCAGTCGACGTCATCGACACCTCGATTCATTCACTCACTGCCCGTCCTGGCGCATGTTCAGAAATCATCGCCAAGGTCCAAGACGTGGGAAGGAACTGGGATGAGCACAGCGATTGGCCCGGTAGGGGATGGTACGTCCAGCTTCTGCTCGCCGTTGCAGGTCTCAGCCGGGTGGTTGAGTGGTGGGAGGCCGAAAAGGGCTTTTGGAACTTTGAGGGAGACGATGACGATGCACAGGACGCCGAGCCAATCCGCTTCATCGTGCGAGGAGGTGGTCATCATCACGGTGAAGGCGGGGTAGGCGAAGCATCACACAGCCCTGCACGATTGAGGTCATCGACGGCCGGCTTTGCTGGCCCTCTGTCTTCGTCGGGAATCACCGCCACGGCGATTACGAACACGCCGTCGGCGTACAGTAGCGGTACAAGCTCCCCGGCGATGGAACCGTGGGATCGAAGAAACACGGGCGAGAGTGGCGAGCGTTCGCGTCTGGCCACGGCGCATACACAGTCGCAAGACTCCGAGGTCGCACCCATGGCTGCCACCTATGGGCCGTTCCCAAGAGGGCAAGCTGCCGAGGCCACGTCGACAGAGGCAGGCGTGGAGAAGGAAAAGGCAGCAGCAGGCGAGAGCGCCAATGTCCTCATGGAGCTCAGCCTCGACGGCGAGCGCTTCCTCTATCTCAGTCCAGCGTGGCGCAAAGTCATTGGGTCTGATCCGCTCACTCTCTTCGACCACAGCATCTCGGAGCTCCTGGCTGCTGGCGATGCTTCGACCTTTGCAGAAGCCACCAGCCAGCTGCAGGCAAACGACTCGCACACCGTCGAGGCCGCCTTCAGGCTGCGTGTCGAGCACGAGGCTGTCGCTGCCTCTCTGGGGCAGGACGTGTACGACTTTGGCGAGCAGACGACCTTCTACCAAGAGATGGAAGGCTACGGCATGCTGATGCATGACCGGCTCAGTGGGATGCCCTCGCATACCATGTGGGTCTTTAAGCCCGTCAGTGCACCAGAGGCCGAAGCGGATCTGTCGCCCGCCGCCCACAAACCTTCGCCACCGCCGGCTTCGACTCTGCTCACGACGCATGGCGAGGGAAGCCCGTCAGACGCAGCGGCAGCTGCAGCAGCTGCGGCAGCGCCCCTTGATGCTGCTGCCTTGGCTGCGACGACGGCATACTCGATGGAGCCAATCCTCTGCCGCATCTGCGAGCGTGACATTCCCACTGGCTTCTTTGAGAAGCACTCTGAGATCTGCCACGAGGTGCATCGGCTGGAGATGGAAGTGGCAGAGGCAAACGAGACGCTGGCCGAGCTGAGAAGGTCGACGAGGGTCATCATTGCCAAGCTCGATGAAGAGGGTACGCCAGCCGCCGAGGGAGGAGGCACATCCACGCCCTCGTCGGAGCCGACCAACGAGGCTGGCGGCGAAGAAGCCAAAGACATGCCGCCAGCAGAGTATCGGAGCATAGCGCTCAGCACGCCACCCGCCTCGGCGGCGCGTCCGTCGGCGCTGGAGGCCGTCAATCGGTCGCTTTCGCCCAGACATGCGAATCCTGCTGCCATCCGTAAGATCCACCTGCGCGCCCTCGACACGATCCTCGACATCTTGAGGACAGCAGGCTCGATTTCCACGCCGGGAACAAAGGACGACGCTGCCACATCGGACGAAGGGCCGATCGAGAAGCAGCGCTTGCTTTCGCCAGAGTCCGAGGGCAAAGTCGTCCAGGTCCGCAACTGGCGACGGCCCGCGACGGGCGACGACGCAGCGTTGGACCTGCTCTGTACAGACGTCGAAGCCGCAATGAGGAGCAAGCTCAGCGCCGTCAATCGAATGCTCAACACGATCTTCTACGTCGAAACGGTGCGCATGGAGTGGGAGAGCAGAGTCGAAGCCGTCTTGGCTGGCGTGTCTGGCCCAGAGGGCGAAGAAGGCTCTGTGGGCAGCGAAGGAGGGGAGGACGCCTCTGCAGAGGACAAGGATAGTAGCGCTCAAGGCCATTCCGAGATGGACGCAAGCGAGGAGAGCAAACCCAGTGGAGATGAGGAAGGGGAAGGAGACGACGACGCTGTCAAAATGACATCGAGAGAGCCACAGACGACCGAAGAGCAGGACGAAGTGGACGAGGTAGACGCATCGGCCTTGCTGTTGGAGGAGCCCGAGACGCCGGCAGCGAGTGCTGCGACGCCTGGAATGTCAAAGGCCGTTGCGGCAACCGATGATGAAATCCCTGCTTTGGAAGGGCGCATGGGCGGTTCATCTATCGAGCAGCATCAGACAGCCATTCCCATTCCGACGTCGACCAGACGGCCCGTCGTTGCTTCGCCCGCCGCTGGCCCGACACGCTTGTCGAGGCAGTCGAGCCGGGACGTGCTCGATGGAGCCCAGAGTGGTGGCAGCATTGACTCTCCTCAGCTCCAGGCGCAGCCTCATGCTCACCAGCCACGTCATCAGCAGGGCCACTCTCGCAGGGAAAGTGTCATTGCTTCAGCAATGGACAGGTCACTGATCCAGACGCCGCCGTTGTCGCCCTTCCACTCGCCCTTGGAGATCAACACTCTCACGGACCAGCGCAGGCAACACGCAAATCGACGCATTTCTGTCTCTCATCGGCTGAGCCCGCATCTCAGCTCATCGCTTCCCCTGTCACCGCGCATGGGGCCCATGGCACCTTCGTCGCGGCCGACGGCATCATCGATCAAGGACTTTGAGATCATCAAGCCCATCAGCAAGGGTGCCTTTGGTTCGGTCTTCCTCGCAAAGAAGCGGACGACGGGCGACTACTACGCCATCAAGGTGCTCAAGAAGTCAGACATGATCGCCAAGAACCAGATCACAAACGTCAAGGCCGAACGAATGATTCTCATGACGCAGACGCAGTCGCCCTTTGCTGTCAAGCTCTTTTTCACCTTCCAGAGCGCAGAGTACCTCTACCTCGTCATGGAGTACCTGCCCGGTGGAGACTGTTCGTCTCTGGTCAAGAACCTGGGAGGTCTCTCTGAGGAGTGGGCCAAGCAGTTCATGGCGGAGATCGTCAATGGGCTCGAGCACCTCCATGCCAAGGGTATTGTCCATCGGTGAGTTTCCTGAAATGAGAAGTGAAATGGTGAAGAGTGTCGTATACTGATTGCTGGGCGTATGCAGAGACATGAAGCCGGACAACCTCCTTATCGATCAGCGCGGTCACCTCAAGCTGACTGACTTTGGCCTGTCCAAGATTGGTCTCCTGGGTCGTCAGACTCGCCAGCAGATGGCCACTCGCGGAGCAGGCATGGCTCAAAGCCAACAGCACCAGGACTCATCGTCTAATGAAGGAGGAAGCTCGCTGCCCAGCTCAGCTGCACCGATCACTCCTTCATCTGCGATGCTGGAGCCCAAGCCCGCGACATCGCGCTTTTCGATCCCCGAGACGCCCGTATCGAACATGGCTCAAGCACAAACGTTTTATGTCGGTTCTGCCGGTAATCCAGGACTGAGGAGCCGGATCATGAGCGCTTCAACGGACGCCAGTGATTCGAGCAGCTCAGAGGGGGCGAACAAGGCAAAACCGATGGCCGTGCCTGGGGCGACTACGCCCCTCGACAGTCCGAGCAACATATTCGGTGTCAGCATGCTGCCCGAGCCGGTGTTTGGCAGCAGCCAAGGCCGCACCGTGGCAAGCGTTCAGCAGACGTCCGGACCCACATCGAGTGGATCGGGGGCCCAGCTGAAGAAATTCGTAGGCACGCCGGACTATCTGGCTCCGGAGAGTATCCTCGGGTTGGGCATGGACGACGCTGCAGTGGACTGGTGGGCGCTCGGTGTTATTCTCTATGAGTTCCTCTACGGCTACCCGCCGTTCCATGCCGACACGCCAGAGAAGGTCTTTGACAACATCCTCTCGAGAAACATTGACTGGGAGGAGGACATTGCCGACATTTCGCCAGAGGCCAGGGACCTTATGGAAAGACTGATGAGGACTGACCGAAAGACTCGCTTAGGCACGCAGGGTGCAGAGGAGATCAAGAGGCATCCTTTCTTTGAAGGCATCGACTGGGACAATCTCACAAAGGAGGACGGGCCTTTCGTGCCGCAGATTACCGACCCGGAGTCGACAGACTACTTCGATCTCAGAGGCGCGGTCCACCAAGAATTCTCCAGCGAGGTCGCCGAATCGGTCTCCGCCTCTGGACGCCAGGCGACAGGCGGAGCGGGGCGAGGCGACATGCGAGACTTTGCGCGGGCGATCGACAGACGGAGCCAATTGGTGCCTAGTCGTCCGCCGTCTTCGCGAGCACTCCGGATGCGCCTCGACCGAGCCAAGACATTGGAGCAGCCAGCGGAGTCCGAATTCGGACCATTCTTTTACAAGAATCTGCCGGTGCTGAAGGAGGCCAACGATCAGATCCTGCGCAAGATACGCACGGAGCCTGTGCCTGGTCAGACCCCGGCTTCCGAGGCGCTTCCCGTGACCACGCCCCCGACGATGCCAACCGTAATGTTGGCAAGTACGCAAGCAGGGCCCGTCTCGATCGCCCACTCAGCGTCGCATACAGCCCATGGCAGACATGGAAGCATGTCGAGCAAGGCCGGTCCGGTGCCGATGGGCACGCCGACAGGTGCAAGCGCAGGTAGCGGGAGTGTCAGAGGGCCACCGTCGCCCTCGACTTCCGTCTCATCACACAGCTCTGTCCCTTCGCGATCCACTGCACCTACTTCGCCCTCTGGCTTGCCGCTTCTTCACAAGGGCACAGCAGCCCAAGCTTCCGGTCTCTCGCATTCCAAATCCCTCTCGCGCACGCAGCCGCATCGACGCAGGCCCTCGGAGCTCTCGGCGAGCGCCAACAACGTCATTTCCGTTGGCTCACCGTCCTTTTCGAGCATGGCTGCCGCTGCTGGCTCCTCGTACGGCGCAGGTGGTTCCTCTTCGCTGCTGGACCGCAAGCGCTCGCAGCTGATGGACATTGGTCAAGGAGACGATTCGGAGGAGAGCGGATCGCGAAGGAGCTCGATGCCGAGCCGACTGAGAACGACCTCGATGTCGGCTACAACGGGAGAGAGGCCGGCGCTGGCGGTGCCGTGGCAACAGCAGCGGGAGTCCTCCGCCTCGCCGCAGCATCATGGGCAAGAGCGCCCAGACTTGCCGAGGCTGGCGACGACGACGGGGTCACTGGAGCCAGAGCACCACCTGACCGCGCCCGAACAACGTCCCTTCCCCCAGCAGCAAGCCGCTGAAGACGATTTCAACGGACCTCCTTCGTCGTCGGTGGCTTGCCTCATCGCCGAAGACAACCCCATCGCCCTCAAGATGCTCGAGACGATCCTCTCCAAGCTGGGTTTCGGACCAATCACTTGCGTCCGAAACGGAGCCGAAGCTGTACGCCTGGCCATGTCGGATGTGCGCTTTGCCATCCTCTTTGTCGATGTCCGCCTACCAATCGTGAATGGACAGGACGTGGCGAGGATGGTCAAGAGCACCAGAAACGTGAACAGCGTGACGCCCATCGTTGCCCTCGTCTCCTCGAACAGCGTCCTCGCAGAGCAACAGCAAAGCTTCGACAGCGGTGCGGCCGGTCCTGGACAGGAAAGCTCGGGGACAGGGGCAGCGACGGGATTCGATCCGGCGCTGTTCGATGCAAGCCAGAGCATCTTTGATGCTGTACTCGCCAAGCCCGTCGAGAAGACGGATGTATGCGCTATCTTGCCACGGCTCGGCTTCCAGGAGGTCGCTTTTTCTTCGTCGCATCAGCAAAACCAGCAGACGCAGAGCAGTGCAAAGGTCGGGGAGGAGGGAGAGTGACGACGACGACGACGACGATTTTTAATGATTTCCCTTTTTTTTCTGTTTCTTGTTTCTCGAGACGACGCATTTTCACTCACATATGTTCTATCAGACCACAGTCATCGAGCCAAGTAGCTTGTTCTTTTATAACGTTTCATCCTCTAATATCGATCGTGACTTGCCAAAAAGCAGTGTGTGAAGGATACAGTACAAATACACGGAAGAATTGAAAGATGGTGAGGAAGAGAAAGAGTAGATTTCATGGGGCAGCGGGCTTGCTCCAGGAGTCCAAGTCTCGCATGACCTGGCCAAGCCGCTTGACCTTTTCGGGCTCACTCAACGCGGAGCCCTGTCCAAAGAAGTTTGCAGACGAAGAGGCGGACGCGTCGGTGACCGACGAGGCAGTCTGGCTGTTCACGCTGTTGCTGACTGTGGCGTCTGGCTCGTCGTTGAGGTCTCGAACGTGGGTGCTGTAATCGGCTCTTCGGAGCAGATATGGCCGGAGCAGCCTCTCGTCGATTTTGGCCAGGTGTGATTCTCTCATGTACGATTTCAGCACCTCCGGTTGGACGATGCTGCAAAATCGGCATGTCAGCAATGAGAAACAAGAAGAGGGGCAAGGCTTTCAGGTACGCACAAGAGATTACCGAGCTGGCGGAGCATCTCGAACCGGTCCGAGAGCGCGCCGATACCAAAGGAAGAAACAGCATCTTGGTACATGGCCAGGTCCCTGATCGCGAATCGTCAGTGCTGTTGCATTAGATTATTATTTGAGGCAGACTCACTTAGTAAGCATGATGCCACCGGCAGCACTGATGGTATATCTGCGCAGATGCTCAAGCAGCAGGCCATGGAATGCTAGCCCCACTTCTGTCAGGAAGCTCTCTGCGTTCTTGCCGCCTCCTAGACCGCCTCGAGCCGAGCTGTTGGCTGTGCCTTTGACTTTCTCGAGGGCGTCCACACAGGCAAGACATGGGTCTGTGTTGATCCTCGCAAACGCCAGCTCGTCGTTCTTGGGCGTAAAGTCATTCTTCTTTTGCGTCGAGAGCCTGCCCGAGAGAAAGGAGACGACATTGTCCGTCACTTTCTGCAGCACCGCATCGCACTTGCCCTCGACGCGGAGTAGGACGTGGTTGTTGTAGATTGCCATCTCTCGGCGAATCGTCACACTTGAGCCAGCCAAGGGAAGCAGAGCCGTGTTGACGTAGTGCTGCCAGAGCTGCATAATGAGGTCCGTCTGCCGAACGACGCCCAAATCGGTCAAGCTCGGTAGGGTCCTGCCTCGCGCTTCTTGTGCCGAGGCGTGGGCGAGGGCCGAGTCGAGAGCAGTCTCGACATACGATTTGACAAAAGCCTCTGAAAGCACCTTGAAGAGGGCAAAGGCATTCTTTGGCACCTCTGAAGGAGGTGTGCTCAGATCGACGCATCTTCCAATGGCTTCAGCATGCCATCGAAGCATTCTCTCTGCCGTGTCCAAGCTCAAGTCGCCGTCGCGCTCTTCTACGTCGCCGCCTCCAGCAGCAGCTGCGACGGTCGAGGATGCTTGGTCTCCATCCTGACTCGGCCTTCCGTCTGGCAGAGTCGAGTCGGCAGAGTTCGACGACGCGCTTGCCCCTGCTGCGACTCTCGCTCTGTCGACGAGGTTAGACAGTTTGGAAAAGCCGAATCCCGTGCTCTTGGGTGCGGTAGTCCCCGCCGCTCCACCTTGAGTCGCTCCTCCGGCGGTACTATTGCTAGTGGTACTGACGTTCGCGGCGCGTTCGGCCGTTGTAGCGACCTGAGCACGTACGCGATCGAAGATGGTGTTTGTCGTCTTGGTCTGGTGCGTTGCGCGATGGTAGTTTTGGAAGCGCAAGAGATAGGCGCCGTACAGCTCGGTCAGCGAGCGGGACTCGCGATCGAGGTACTTGACGCCTTCCATGTAGGGAACAAAGAGCTCCTCGACGGCCTGGTCCAGCATGACACCCAGCGCACTTCCCCCGCCCACAGCGCCCGCTCCCCCCAGTCCTGAAGTGCTGCCATTGGCTCCAGCGCCATGGCTGTTTGCGCCCCCCGATGTCTCTCCATGAAGAAGAGGGGTAAATGTATCGCCAGACTCGCCACGTCCAGGGCCAACGATGCCAGCACCTCGAAAATCGTACACCTTGAGGTCGTTTACCAGGGCCAGTGACATGCTTCTGGCCATCTGGAGCGTCCTCAGAAACGCCAGATTACTGTCACCCTCGCGGGCTGAAGCAGTAACTCCGCTGCTGGCGGCGCCTACCTCGGCAGCCTTGTCCATGAGCACCTCAACATAGCCCTGAACGCTCTGAGCAAATACTCGCTGCAGGAACGTGCTCATGACGATGAGCGGATTGGGAAAGACGGCAGAAATGATCTGCGCTTCGACCTCGACGGTCGAGCGGATCTCACTGAAGAGAGCCTGCAGCGATGGTTCGGACTTTGGTGGCAGAGCGTCAGGATCGGACATGGTCAGCCAGATTTTGCTCTCTTCGACGTCCCTGCGCTGCCCGACTCGGTCCTTGGAGATGAAAAAGTCATGCTGGTTGACGTAGATCTGGACGCATGAGTGGCCCCCGTTGAAGTTCTGAAGCACCTTTGCAATGTGCGACATCATCTTCGGATCGGACTTGCGATAGAAACGGTCGAAGAGCTTGAGCATGTCGCGCTCGAAGCGCTCCGAGAAGCGATCGATTGTCTCCCGAGTCTGTTCAGCGCCCTTGATGTCGACCTCGCGTGCGATGGCGCCCAAGCGCCTTGCTATGACGGCCGTCTTGAGCCTGCCCTCCCTGCCGCCCTCCTTTCGAAGCTTCTCCAGCCTGCTCGTGTCGCCGCGCGCGAATTGGTAGTAGTATTCGATGAGGTCATGGGCCTCTGCCGCCCGCGTCCTCATTCGATCAATCGTCTGAAGCTGCTCGCCAATGTGCATGGCCGTCCGACCAACTTCGGAAAAGCGCGACTCGAGAGAGCCAAAGCTCGTCGAGACGCTTGCAAAGTGCGACGATAGGTCGTGGAGCTTCGAGGTGTATGCGCTCTCGGCGACCCGTACGCTCGAGGAGAGCGTCGTCTCCTGAGAGGTGAGCTGCTGACGGAGGGCGAGGAGAGCATCGACGCTGGACTCAAATGTGCGAATAAAGGGACGAGGGTTGAAGGGGCCGGGGTCGGCCTTGGATCTCGCAATGAGCTTCTCTGAGAGGCCTGCGAGGAGGTCCTTGGTGTTGTAGTCCTGCTGGAAAGTTTCGATGCGGCAGAGCTCCTCGACGGCCGCTTCATAAAAGACGTTGTTGCGGCTGCTTGAACGGCTGTGTCCGTTGGAGCCACCAGGGCTGCCCTGCGGCAGGGCTGGGGCAGGCCTGTGCCGATCTCGCCTGGGAGATGCGGGACGGGCGATGCGAGGGTCGTCCATCCTGGGGGCTCCCTCCCAGTCTCGTCAGTCTTGTAGTTGCTGTCGTTGTCGTCGGGGTCGTTGTGCTCTTTCTTGATGGCCCGAGCTTTTCCCCTCGCGCGACACGTGTTGTTCCTAAAGGGCCAAGCCGAAAGAAAAGTGTTGCTTCGGGTGCCTGCTGGTTGGTTTTTTGAGTGAAAGCTTCGCCTCTCGCAACTTCTTTCTCTCACCCCTCTCGCTCCCGGAGTTCAGTCGCACATTCTTGTAGAGAGGTGCACTTGCAAGAGACCGAGCCCACGATGGCGGAGTGAGTCGATATGACCCGCATCTACCCCACCTTTGCTGGCTGTCTGACGCTCTCCGCTTGCCCTTATCATCTAGCCAAGATCCCTGGGCCAATCATGTCCGGGGTATCAATGCGCCCACACCCGTAGACGACCAATCGGACCCCCTGTCAATGTTGAGCCCTTCGACCAACCAGGTGGGCAGCGCCCATCAAGGAAATGGACATGCCGTGCCAGGCCCAGTCAATGGCAAGGCAGCCGTTTTCACGCCTCAGCAAGAGCTCGTTCCAGATCTTGAATCGACGTGGGCTTCTCACGAGCCACAAGCGGAGGCTGAGGAAGGTCACGGAAGCGGACCCTCTCGTTTTCGTGGAGAGAGACAGAGCGAGGTGGAGAGGGACGAGCAGGCAGATTTCAGTGCGACGATGGCGACGGACGATGAGCCCAACGGAAGAGGCGAGATGATCGACGGTGACGAGGGCGAGCTGGAGGCCGAGACGATGCAGCGCCGCGACCTTGAAAGCAGTCAGCCTCAACATTCGGAAGAAGAAGAGGAAGAAGACGACGACGACGACGACGACGAGGCCTTCGTGTATCCAGGGGCGTCTGCACCCGCAGCGGAGGGAGGCGGAGATGCCGGCGCGCCAGCCGTCATTGAAGAAGCTGCCCCTGCCACCCCTGTGGCCCCACGACCGATCGAACTTCCAGCTGTCTCAATGGACTCTAATGCGCCGGAAGTGGACGTCATTCGGCAAGGCGATCAGGAGGCACCTCGAGTTGACCCGATGCCCGTCGACTATGCTCGCCTGAGCCAGCTCTGCTCCCATGGTTCTCTCTCAGACCTCGAGTCGTTCTTTGAGGTCACATCGTCTTCCCCGCCGTCGGGCGCGGGCGTCAGTGCATTCGCACTCGCCAACGAGCCTAACCCGGCCAGTGGCCTCGTGCCACTCCACTACGCCGCCAGAGAGGGCAAGACGGAGATCCTCAAGTGGCTCGTCGAAAAGGCCGGCGCCCTCGTCGAGATGGAGGACCGGGAGGGCGAGACGGCCCTACACAAGGCTGCTCTCGCTGGGAAGCTGCCAGCTTTGACTTTCCTCCTTTCGGCTGGCGCCTCTGCAAACTGCGTCGATGGCGATGGCTGGACGCCGCTTCACAATGCCTGTTCTCGCGGCTACCTCGACATCGCCAAGGTGCTTATCGAGAACGCAGGCGCAACCGTTGATGTCAAGGGAGGAAGAGGCGCTTGGACACCCCTGATGAATGCAGCTTCCAATGGCCACCTGCCTGTCGTCCGATACCTTGCCACCAAGCACCATGCCGATCCATTTGCAAGAAATGCAGCTGGCGAGACGGCCTATGACGTGGCGGCGGCCACCTTTGAGGTCTACATCTGCGACATGCTCGAGACGTACGAGAAGGAACGTTGGGCCGCGCTGAGATTTGCTGCGCCTCAGGTCCAGTCTTCGGCCGCTCCCGGTCAAGGTCCTTACAACCCACTGGCCTTGCACACAACAGTTCCTGTCATCCTGCATGAAAACCAAAGGCTCGACACAAGGCTCTCAACATTGGCGGTGCACGGAGGCAAACCACGCTGGAGTGGGACGAGCGCAGGGCGGCCCAATAAGCCCGACCGGCGTGCCCCAGGCACCATGCCCCCTGGTCCGCTAAGCCCGAGTCGGACGAGAAATGTGCACATGAGGCGAGACGACATTGGTCTCCCTGCCCGACAGGAGCCTTACAAGCTCGTATTGCCAACACGAGGCGAGCAGATTGCGGCCGTCAAACGAGCGCGTGGCGAGGTGGTGGCTGACCAAGGCCAGCAACCCCACGACGAGATGGGAAGCACGCCTACGCCCGACTCTGTCCTTGAGTCGTCGAGGGGATCTAGGGAGAAGGCGCACTTTTGGCTCTCTGAATGGCAGATTGACCTTACCCATCCTCAAGTCGATGCCAATGAGGGATGGCAGTATGCTCAATCTTTTGACGCGCCCGAGGAGCGCTGGAGTGCCAGCATTCCCCCACCATTGGCACGACTCTTGGAGGGTAGAGGTCTCGGTGCGAGCGTGTCTCGCGCCATGACTGGCGGTGTCCTGCCCGGTCCCGGTCAATCTTCGAACGACCAAGAAGCCGTGGCAACGGGCTGGGTACGAAGGCGAAGATGGGTTCGCGTTCTGCGACGGCGACTCGACATTGAGTTTGGAGATGAGCTCGAGGCAGCCGAGCAGGCATTTTCTCAGCTGTCCCTCTCCCATTCCAGCTCGCAGACTACCAGCGTCCTCGTCTCGGCCGCCGTCGTGGCCGCACAGCAAGAGGCTAGGCAGGAGTGTGCCGATCTCGGTGCATCTGCAGACTACCTTGCCCGTGCAAAGGCTCTTGCCGGTGCTACTTCCTCGGGCATCACGCCGGCCGATGTCATGAACAGCAACGGCGAAGGCCAAGATCGGGATCATGATGAGATCAAGAAAAGGATCGCAAGGCTCGACCTGGCAGTTCAGGAATTGCGAACGCATGCATTCGTTGACGATGACGCAGGTCGACAAGTCCTTGCAGAGGACCTCCTCAAGGAGTATACTCTGCAGCTGGGCCAATTCAAACAAGCGGCAGGGCTCGAGCAGGGGAGCGACGACGAGGACGACGAAGAAGATGACGACGAGTTCATATACCCAAATTCTTACAAGGACGACGGCCAGTCAATCATCACCCGTCTCGGCCCTTCGACGCCGACTGGTGTGCCCCAGCGGCAGAGCAGCACACCGTCCGTCTATGGAACCGTTGCACCTTCTGAGGCCGGGACCAGCCTGGGAGCGGCGAGAAGCGCTGATCTAGCCAACGCAACGGAGTTCAGGGTGCCAACACACGAGGTCCCAAATCGTCCGAACATGGGACAGAGGAATCCCTCGCTTCGAGAGCAAGTGCTGCTGCCTCAATGGGAGCACGACGCCGATGCAACCGAATGCAGAGGGTGTGGTCGACGCTTCACCTTCTTCCTCCGCAAGCACCACTGTCGACGGTGTGGACGAATCTATTGCGATGCCTGCTCCTGCCACCGCGCCCACCTGACCGCCTCGGAGCTCGTCATTGACCCTGGAGTCCCAGAGATGCTCTTGTCGGAGTCAAGCGGTCCATCGAGAATCTGCAATCGGTGCGATGCAGAGCGCCAGCTTCCCGAGGCGCTACGGTCTCGCCAAGGCATCGATGCGCTATCGACAGGTGCCGATGTCTCGGCCATTGCCGGCGACATGAGCGATGTGAGCTCTCGTGCTAGCGAGCTCAACGAATGCCCAGTCTGCGGCAAAACACTCGCTGCACTCGGCGATTCCGCCGCTCAGGAAGAGCACGTACGCCAATGCCTTGAGAATGGAGGCGGCGGCAGCGTCCAGGAAGGGCGCTACCTCGTCTACAAGCTCAACGAGGGGCCCATCGTGGGCAAAGAATGCCAAATTTGCCTCGAGGATCTGTGCGTTGGCATGACGATCGCCAGGCTGCCCTGTCTGTGCTACTACCATCGTCACTGGTGAGTTTGTAAAGGAGATTTGCTCCAGGAGAATAGTTTCTGACACCGCAATCTGTCCCACAGCATTGACTCCTGGCTCAGCAGGGGCAAGTCCTGTCCCGTCCACGCCCGTAGCTGGTAGAGACTGGCCCACCTGACGCTACACTAGCAACACTACTAGCTACAGTCGTCTCCCTGTCACTTTTTCGTCTTCTTCATTTTTAAGCCTACCAATGGCTTTGAGCAATGCAACACAACTACTTCTTGATCGTCGAGCTTGCGTCAACATAATGTCCACAGCCGAGTCATCAAGATAAAGCAGAAGCGGCAGAATCGACCAGTGGGGTTTTTAGCTCGCCTTCGGCTTTTGACGCCAGGGGGTGGCGAAATTAATTCGGCTTTCTCGGAAGCATGATGTATGCGCTTTCAGACATGCAATAATATCAGGAAAGCTCGCAGGCTGCAGCAGCAACAAGAAAAGTAGTAGCTAGGCTAGTACAGTAGTAGGGTAGCATGTATTTAGCTCGGTGCGTTTCGTAGATTCTTAAGCTTTCACTGCCTGCAGTATAAGGCACAGCGCTATGGGAATTTTCGGTACATTGACAAGTCCGAAGGCATGAGAGGCAGGCCGCGGCTGGCTGGAAGTGGTGGTGGTTGTGTTCGCAAAGGGAGGGTAATCGAAGACTAATTGCTTGTGGAGATTCTTGACGTTATCTCACTTACGTTTTGCGAGTCCCCACCGGGCACCATTACAACTGCTTCTATCTCCCGGTCCCCACCCCGTCTTTGTCTAATTGTCCTCGCCACTTTCCCATACGGACCGCCTTGACAGTCTGCAGCCATTCAGACTAAGCGGCGTAACCAAGGCAGGGTTCTATTTCAAACCGAAGAAGGAAAAATAAAAATAAAAGAGAAATTGCGAGGAACAGTAGTGAGTTGAGTACGGACAAAGGATGCGTCGCACTCCGACACGACGTGGCGCACGCGGTGTGGACTGCTTGTTCGCTGCATCTCACACAACCTTCCTCTCTGTTTTAGTCATTTTATTATTTATTTCCACCAACGAATCACCTCCCTCCTCCCTCTTCTCGATCTACTCGACGGGAGGCGTTGCCGAGGAGAAGGAAGGGCGAGGGCATCACGACCACAGGCAAGGCACGAGAGGAGAGCGAAAGCATCACGAAGCTGTACACGACCCATATTCACGATCCGAGCGACAAGCGAACTCGAGGGGCTGGCACCTCGCCTCGATCTGGTGAGTTTGTGGGCGAAGCAAATACGAGTTTGTCGGCCCTCTCTGGTCTACTGCTGGCTGGTTGGCTGGTTGGCTGGTTGGCTGGTTGGCGCGGTCCTGCATGGGCGCAAGAACGTCACTACACGGAGCATACGTACTGGCGCTCAGTCGTTTGCTTTTTCTTTGCACCTTTTCGATTGGCCGGTAGGACGGGGCAGAGGGGAGTGGGGCAAGGCCCCAAAGACCAGCCTCATTATTGTCTTTATGAAACTGGACGCGATAAGCACCCCAACTCAGGGTCTCCGTCAAGACGAAGCTCCGCAGCATACAAGCTGACTCTCCCACTCCGTTGTGGTCTTTCTCTCTCCCCTCTCGCTCAGAGATCACGTCATTGAACCGCCCACGCAGATTTCGTCTCGCGCCCAGCGGATTTTCAGCCTGCATAGACCAGCTCCGCACCCCGACGGGCGGACGACGGACAGAGACAGAGGAGCGTCTGCATTGGTACGGCCAACCACAGAGGCGCGCCCACCATGAATGGCGGTTCTCGGGGCGGGGTTTCGTCGCCAGGTCAGCAGAATGCAGCGCAACAGAGTAGCAGTCGGATGATGAAGACGACGCAAAGGGGCAGACCATTTGCAAAGGTGAGTCGAGACGCCCCATGCATATATAGGCGCTTGGCAAGGCAGGTGGATGAGGAGACCAGGGCAAAAAAGCATGTCCCCGTCGATCGTTTGTCGATCTTCGTCGAAGCGCCATGCAGCTGGCGCAGCTCGACGTTGTGCTCGAAGGAAGAAATCCTTTGCATCGCCTTACCCCATGTCCACGGTATTTACCCTTTCTCCCCTCGTGCAGGACACCCACGACCTCTTTGCTACACTCATCGTCTCGCTCAACCTCACCACGCACCGGCAGTACTTCAAGAGCTATCCGAACTCCTTTACAACCGATGAGGCCGCTGAGAACTTGTCTGCGCTCAAGTTTGCCCAGTCCAATCGAGCCCCTGATCCGAACGAACCCTCTCGGGTGGTGACGACAACGACGACAACGACATTTAGCATGAGCAGGGACATGGCCAAGAACATCTGTCAGCACTTTATGGACGCTCGGCTCATCGAGAACGCTGCAGACATGGCCAGCAGCACCTTCAAGGACAAGGGCATCTACGTTCTGACGCCAAAAGGTCTTCATATTCTCGAGCGCTTCATCACAAAGAACGGCATCAATGGCGAGCAGCTGCTCCCTGTCTTTTCGTCGCAACCAATCTGCATGAAGCTGCTCCACCTCGAGCGACGGCCATCGGACGACGAGCTCATCATCAATGCGCCCATCGTCGAGGTCATCTTCCGGCGCTTTGTGGGCATCAAGCCCAACTACCCGCCAGACTCGGACGGCGAGAGCGATCCGAATGAAGTCCAGCCTCTAGATCGGACAGCAGGCATTGAGATGATGGATCTGCTGGACAATGGCACAAAAAAGACCAAATCGTTGCCGACAAAGTCGAATCTCCATCGCCACGTCTTTACGGCCATTGCCACTCTCGATTGGCTGTGCGACTTCACCACCATCTGCGGGCGTGACGAGGCGGCCGAGGTTGCTGCTCATTTCGTCAGAATGGGCTTCATCGAGCTCATTGCCGAAAAGCCGAGGAAGGATGGTGAGGTCAACGATACCGTCGTAGTGCGGGGGGAGGATTTGAATGGTGCTGTTAACGAAGGTGCATTCAGATGTCACTACAAGGCCATCTACGGCATGACGGACCTTGGGAGAGGCGTGGCTCGCTGGCAGGGCTACGATCCACACAGTCAAAGCCAGCACTACACATCGAGTGCGAGCTCGATTCACCACAGAAGTTCGCCCATCCCTGGCCGAGGCACCGACTCGCCCCACGGCGACGACAGCAGGAGCGTGAATTCGTCGTCGCAGCATTATTATGATCTGCGCGGTGCTGTTGGCAAACAGCAGGGTGGCGACTCGTCTTCGCAGGTTGGCGCTCCCTCCAACTCCAGCGGCTCTATCCATGACCGCCAGGGCATCCCCGGCAGGACGAGCGACAATGATCGCTCACTCCACCGCCAGCCTTCCACCTCTGAGAAGTTCAGAAATGATTATGCGGGCGCTCACGCAGGTCCGTTCAGCGGGAGCAGTGCAACCGACACATCATCGTACAATTCCCGGGACTCGAATACAAACCGGCTCAAGCAGATTCTTGAGGAGCCTGCGCTGCGGTCCCTCTTTCGTGAATTCCTCAAGGCCAACATCTGCGAGGAAAACCTCAGCTTCTGGCTCGATGTACAAGACTTCAAGCGTCGCTTCCACACGACGAGCAGCGCCGTTGCTGTGCGAGGATCCGGCGAAAGGGAAGGTGCAGCGGCGGGAAACACCAAGCAGGGTGGTGGCGTTGGAGCCGTCGTCAAGAAGCTGGGGCGAAGCCAGACGACGGGCGCAAAGGAGCAGACGCAGTACGGCCTCACGGCCATGGAACGGCATCAACAAGATCTCATTGCCATGGCCTTTGTCATATACACGACCTACCTCGCCCCGTCGTCCCAGTACGAGCTCAACATCGAGCACAACATCCGCCAGGAGCTCGTCAACTACATGAGCCGGATCTTGAGCGAGGCCAAGGATCCAAAGGGCGAGGGTGTCGAGAAGATCAACGCAAAGGACCTAGCTCAGCGCATGGCGGCCAAGACACCTGGATCAGACATGCGCAATGGCGCAGCCACTGCAGATGATCAACGGTCAGAAGTGCAGGCCGTGGTGCCCAAGGCGCCGATGCATGCGTCGCAACTGCAGACGATGGTGCGCCTGTACGAGCGCATACAAGACCACATCTTTCGCCTTATGGCTACGGACTCGGTACCCCGCTTCATCAAGACGCCCTCGTTCCAGAGCCTGGTACGAAGCGTCGAGGAGTACTCCGAGGCCCTCGAGTCGGGCCGGGTGGATCCCCGTGTACACATGGGTCCGGGCATTGACAAGTCAGTCGTCGAGGCACTGGATCTCGGCTCGGGAGGCTCTGGAGGTCCCCCTTCCGATGTCCCCTATACAGTGTCACCGCGAAGCCAACGAGTCACGTCGCCCTCGAAGGGCAGCAACAGCCGCTGAGATCCGCTTCAATCTTCTTTTTACTTTACCATTATTACCCCCATAATCATTCTCCACTGTCTCTCTCTCCTCTCTCTCTTAACCGTTCTCGTCTAATCTGTTGGTAAAGAGAAAGCGAGGCGGGCCTGGCCACTCTGGTTGGGATCCAGTCTTTTTCTCGTTTCCTTTCTCCCTCTCTCATCTTCCTTCTATTGTTGTATGTTGTCGATTACTCTTTCGTCTTGCCCTAAAGGTCCATCCAATCTCATTACCAAATACATCCATCAGCTTTCCGTGATGGTGCTGTGACGTAAGACATTACTTGTTTCCCCGCCCGCGGTGAACGTCTCTTCTCCGCCCGCGTCGCGTCACGTCCCGGGAAGAAGGGGAGGGAAAGGTGATGGTTGAGCCAAGTTCTCGCCGCCTTCATCAGGCAGGGCGTAACACCGCAGAGTATCGCAGCTAGTTTCCCCCTTTTGACAAACCGCAACTGTACAGTACAGTACAGGACAATAGCACAAGCCACCACACCACTATGGACTACCACTTTGAGGACAAGCCCTTTCCTCTCTTTGCAAGGTGGAACGACGGAGAGACGCAGTGCACTAGCGACTGCCTCACGACTACCGTGTACGAGACGCAGTACTACGACGAGCACGGACGGACGACGACGTGCCTGACGACGGCGACTGAAACGACGTGGCAACCTGCCAGACCACCAGCGACGCCAGCCCCGGGGCAGCCGGCCACAACAACGGTAAACGTACAGACGGTGACGATGACGCAGACGAGCATCATCAAGGAAGGATCGCAAATGTCGCCAACAGCAGCAGCGCCCATGCCCTCACCATCTCCTCACCCACCAACCTCACCCACCGCACAGCCCCCGGCCCAGAGCACAAAGAGCTACGACCTGTGCGACTGCGAGCGCCAGTGGGTCAAGCTTTTTCTCGGCGGGCTACCACACGGGGCGGGCGAGGTGTTTGCCTGCCTGGCTTTTTTCTTTCCCCTTGCCGTTCTGCTCGTCGTCTGCTTTCTCCGTGTGCTTCGATGGGGCCTGCACGACCGCGAGATCCTCTTTCTCCTCCTTCCCACGCTCCTCTTTTTGCTCCTCTTCGTCGCGGCACTCCCCACGCGTGCGTACGTCGCGACCAACGGCGACGCCGGGATAGACACGACGAACCACTACCTGGCCCAGCATGTCCTCTTCACTATCGCGCCCAGCCTCCTCGTCGAGTCAGCCCTCCAGCTCTATGGCTTTCTCTCACGGAGAAGCGTCCGGGGCCAGTGGGTCGATTCGTCAGCCCTCGGTCTCCGTGTCGTCAACTTTGTCGCCCTCGTCTTGTACATTGTCGCTTCGGCCACCTTTGTCGGGTGTGAGTGTTCCTCTGTCAAATAGCGTTGTTTTTGCTTCCTTTTTTTGCTCAAATCGAAGCGAGGGCCTATGCTCAGTCGTCAATGGATGGCAGGTTGGGACGACAAGCTGTTGGAGCCACACACCCGCGTTCGTGGGGAGGCTCACCATCGTCGCGGACATCCTCGAGCTCATCGTCCTCGCCCTCGCCCTCATCTGGTGAGTAGTCTAGAATGAGAAGGACGGACTTGAATTAGAGCTGAGAAGAGCGCATATACAGCCTCGTCATGGCCCGCTGGCGCCTGCGCATCCAGACCGGCGTCCTCGTGATCCAGTATCTCCTCTACGCTCTCTTTCTCGTCCATTTCATCTACCGCTTCATTCACGACCTCTTTCTCGCCGCGCTTGGGTGGACGCACAGGCAAGATCGGACATGCGAGCCCGCGGCAGGACAGACAATCTTTGTCACCAGTCAACAGCAGACCGTTCTTGCGAGACCGATTGACTGGTCCCAGCTACACGAGGCCGCTGGCGAGGGCGTCAATGGCGCAGCGGCCTTCTGGCTTCTCTTCGTCTTGCCTCTTTTGTGAGTCTTCATGTCCGATTCATTTTCGAAAGAATGCAAGCTCACAAAACACAGCATCGCCGTGCTGCTACTCATGGCTGCCAACCTGCCCTGCTACGTCGGCGCGGTCCCGCTGCCCGATCCATGCCCGGACACGGTAAGATACAAGGTGAGCAATCTCCACGCTTTCTCTCTATTATTAGTTTTGCCCTGACACATTGGTGATTTCTCCAAAGCTATGCTACAACGAAGAGTCGCAGAAAATGGAGTTCCAGCGAGGTGAGTCAGACTTCAGCCTTTCTTTCACTTTCCTTCAGTTCCGCCCATCTGACTCCCGTTTCGGTCCAGTCGACCACGCTGGCGGACCGCGCTTGCCATCGGGCGAGCCGCTCTACGAGCTCGTCAGGGACAAGGACGGCGAAGGCTGGGCGGTCAGAGAAGCCACGGTGTCAACAATCCCAGTGTTCGACCACATTACTTTCTCGCCTTGGTACCGATGATGAAGTCCTCCCTCCGCCTTCTCCTCTTCCAAAATATTACCTCGATGTCTTTAGAAATAACAGCAACTATCCATTAGTAGGCCTTGTACGACTTCTCTATCTACTACAATCAATGATGAATCTCGCCCCGAGCCTGTGCCTTTGCCACCTTGCCCATGATCCTGACTTGGTTCGCCACGTCGCCGAGCGTCTTGAGCACCTTGCCGTTGCCCTCTTTGAAGCCGTACTCTTCGTACTGCAGGCCCCACGTTGCGCAAAAGGGCCGCACGAAGCGGTCTCGCGCTTCGCGCAGGTTGTGGCGCGGCAGGCGCGGAAAGAGATGGTGCGAGACCTGCATGTGCAGGCCGCCATGGAGAAAGTCGAGCCAGGGCGGGCACTGGACGTCCATCGTCGTGCGAACCTGGCGCGAGGCAAAGGACTCGGAGAGGCCGAGGTCTTCCGACGACTGGGCGAAGTGCGACAGGACAATCTGGACGTGCAGGGGACTCGTGACTATGTGGCTCACGAGAAGCGCGGCCAGCGCGCTGCCCCAGCCGGGCGCCGAAGCAAGATAGATGGCGCCGAACCAGTACCAAAAGAAGGCGATGCCTGCGGCCTCGATCCAAAACCACTTTTCGTGCTTCTTGGCCTTGAAGAGGAGAAATCCGTAGGAGTTGGCGTAGAGATTGAATCGGCCGAGGCTCATGACGAGGTAGTAAATCTTGTGCTGGACGGAGAGGAAGACGCGCGAGGGTGCATCGAAGAGGAGGACGCGGCGGTAGTAGGAGCTCCAGAGGCCAAAGGTAGTTTCCTTCTTGCTGTGTGCGCCGTCGGCTTGAGGAGACTTCTCGACGAGGAAGCGAGGGCTGATGGCGAAAAAGGGCATGTGCTGGATGTCAGGATCATGCTCTGGGTGGTTGGTGACAAGGTGATGGACGTCGTGGTTGTCGCACCACCAGCCAATGCTCAGGCCGCCGATCCAGTCGGCAATGATGGACCCCAGGAGCCTGTCCCAGAAGTGCGAGTGGGTGATTCCAGTATGGCCAGCATCGTGGGCAGTGAAGGTGAGCTGGTGCCAGAAAAGGCCGAGAAAGACCGACGAGGCCATGTAGAGGGTTACGGAATCCTTGACGAGGCTCATGTGCCAGAGATACCAGGCAGTAGCGGCCAAGGCAAAGTAGCGCGTGCATTCGCGAGCATAGCCGGCAGGTCGGAGAGTATAGAGGCCGGCTCGCTTGATGTCGTCGTGCATTCTCCGATAGGCTCTTGAAAGGGCTCGTTCGTGCGCTGCGTCGATTCCAGGAGGGTCTGGCGGTGGTTCTAGGAGCGAAGTGGGCAGAGGAAAGCCTTGCGGTCGTGGTCCGTTCTCCTTCTCACTCTCGGAGGCCCCAGCCCGGCGTACACTATCGTACAGCACCCACTGTGCATCGGGGTGATCGAGCTTGCCGCTCCGGTAACCGAGCTGCACGGGGGGGACCAGTGGCTTGTAAGCCTCCCAGTCGTTCTCGTCGAGCATGGCGACAACAAAGGATCTCATGCGCTTCAGCGTCTCGTCGCAGTGATAAGCCTCGATCTCATCGCTGGCGTCCCTGCCGACAAAGTGAAGAATCGCCAGGTCACCACCGGGATGTCTAGCGAGCCACGAATCGAGCTTGTAGATGCGCCGACGATGAAGCACCAGCGTCTCGCCCTGAGCGATGCGCGAGGCCAGCTGTGCTCTCGTCATCGTTTTCCGTGGCGACGAAGGACCATCGCGCTCATCGAAGCCGGCCGGTGCCTTGCCATCTCGGTCTGCGACGGTTGTTGAGCTCTTCGGCCCAACTTCGAATTGGGCATCGCCGGCGGATCCGTCCGGCATTTTTTCGGTGTCGTCTATCGAGGAGAGCCAAGAAGCAACGTTCCCCTCGACAAGAACTTTAAATGGGAAGGGGGTGTGGCGGGCGGGCAGGCCACGAGGCAGCGCAAGGTCCATTTTTAGCCACCAACGCCAGAATTTGTTTCTTCCGCGAGACGCGTCTTGGTAAAAAAAGGCTGAGGATGCTGATCGCGTTGGTCGGACCGGCCTGCTCGGGCAAGGCCGAGGTGGCCCAGTACCTCATTGTGCACCACCGCTTCCGGCCCGCCATCATCCCGTCGATCTCTTCGCTTAGCACGGAAAAGATCAAAGCCCTCACCTCGCTGACGCCCGCTCCTGCGGACTCGCCGACGACAACACACTTCACCACACGCGAGGCGCTGCTGGACCACGCCACGGCGCACTGGCGCGACAACATCGTAACACTAGACCTCTGCACAGCTCACGACCTTGCCGTAGGCTTTGACAAGCGGCCCTCGTTTCTACTCGTTGCCGTTGATGCCCCGCTTCTGGTCCGCTGGCAAAGGGCGTCCAAGGGCAGGTGAGGACATGTCATTGCGAGTCGATCGCTGTCTTTAGGCTAATTTACTTATTTCATCTTCGCCTTTGTAGGTCCATTTCGCTCGAGAGATTCATCCAGCAAGATGATGAGGTCCTGTACGGCACAGTCGCCCCGACCAAGCCCAAATCAGCAGAGCTGAGCCGGAGTGACTCGCAAATTGTCTCGACAGATGCCGACGACTTTTTCGAGACTGGCGCCAATTCCACCGGAGCAGCGCCGAAACAACGGCCTCAGGCGCTCGAGCTCGACGGCGCCCAAGCCCATCCGACGTCGCGCGTGCAGCCTGACGGAAAGATTGTCTCCGTCTCGGCGCCAACCTCGTCCTCGCTGCGGTCCCTGATGCAGAACGCCGCCCTGACGATTACAAACCCCTACGCGTCCATCTCGACGCTGCACACGCACCTCGCCACGCTCTCGCTCGCCTCTCCTCACCGGCTGCGCCCCTCGTGGGACACGTACTTTCTCTCGCTCTGCACACTCGCCTCGCTGCGGTCAAATTGCATGAAGCGGCGCGTCGGCGCTGTCCTGGTGCGGTCCAACCGCGTCCTCTCGACGGGCTACAATGGCACGCCCCGGGGCTTGACAAACTGCAATGAGGGCGGGTGCCCGCGCTGCAATGCGGCCGTCGCAGGTGGGACTGCTCTTGACGAGTGTCTCTGCCTGCACGCCGAAGAAAATGCGCTGCTGGAGTGCGGGCGAGAGCGAGGCGGAGCAGAGGGAACCGTCCTGTACTGCAATACCTGCCCGTGCCTACGGTGTGCCGTCAAGATCGTTCAGACAGGTGTCAAAGAGGTCGTCTACCAGCTCGCATACAGCATGGACGATCGGTCCAGGACAATCTTCCGGGAAGCCGGCGTTACTTTCAGACAGTATCAGCCCTTGTGAGACAGAGCCTTTCTTCTTCTCCTTGTAATTCTAGATTTAATTCTTCTCTCTCTCTCACTGTTGTGTTGTCGAGAGTGCATGCCTTTTTACACTTCTGCTACAAGTTCCAGATGTGCTCGACTTCGTCAATGCCGCCCGCCTTGGGCTGAGGTGGCGGCCCATGGTCTTCCTCGTCGTCTCCATCCCCTTCCTCTCCATCTCCCTCCCCCAACCTGTCCTCGGACTCTTGCTCATCCACGACGTCGTCGTTGAGTAGCTCGGGCCCGAAGCTCAACACCGGCCGCAACGCGCCACCGCTCTCGCTGTTCTGTCGACTCTTTCTTCCGGAGGCCGAGCCGTTGCTGCTTCCCGAGCTCGATGACCTCCGATGGTGACCGGCCAGGAAGCCGGGTCGGGACGGCGACAGCTCCATCGAAGTCCTCTTGTGCACCTTTGGCGACCCCGGCCTGCTCGAAGAATTGCCACCAGACGAGGAAGAAGAGGTCATGAGGAACTTCATCGCCTGTGGCGAGAGCGATTCCCACGTCGCTTCGTTCCCTTCTCCGTCACCGTCGCCGTCGCCATCGCGCTTCTCCCTGTTATCGTCGACTCGTCGACCGTCGACGGCTGAGTCCGTGCCACCCTCGTGGTTCTTGCCTGTCAAATCCCCAATCGAGGCGATGCTTTCCGAGTCTGAAATCGAGTCTGCATCGCCGAGAATCTCGCCCAGGCGAGCCCAGGCGGCCTCGTGTGATCCGCTGAGTGGCACAGAGGGGCCCGCATCGGCACCCTTTCCATCGTCTCCTTGTCCGCCTTCCCTCTTTTCTTCTCGGTCCTTGTGTCCCTCGGGCCCACCGATCTCTTGGCCCGTCGATGCCGCCGACGACGACGAAAGATCACCCTGCTGGCTCTGCCACTGATTCTCAGTCAGTCGATATTCTTCGCCAAATACCTCGCCCAGCACATCCTCGTATTCGTCGAGGTAGCCCTCGAGCAAGTCATCAGGAATGTAGCGCATCGTGCCTGCCGTCCGCTCCGTGCCTCGACGCAGAGGCGGCAGGATATCTGACTCGAAGAAGCTTGTTCGACCGGGCGACAACAGGCCGCTGGGCACATTGGACAGACCTCCAGCGGCGCCGCCGTGCTGCAGTTGCACTTGCTGCTGCTGCTGAGGTTGGTCATTGTTCGACAGGCTCGCGTTCCGACCAGCTGCCAGCGCACTCTCAACGCCCCCGTCTGGACTTCCCGTCTCGCCTGCTCCAGGCCCACCGCCAGGGACGAGGTTGGTGCTGAGTGACCGCTTGTGACCATGCCCGTGCGCTTGTCCATGGCTTGGCCCAGTGGCGCCGACTCGTGTTGTATTGTAGTACTTGACCAGGGCCCGGAGCGCCTGCTCGTGCGGCAAACTGTCTTCCACATCCGCGTCCACATCGCTTCCCGCCAGCCACTCGTCGCGAAGATCGGGCCTGCAATTTAGATAAATGGCCGTGATGACCTTCATGTTGCCCTGGCGCCACTTGCGTCCGCAGTACGGCACTTGGCTCTTGATGACCTTGAGTACGTAAATTTGCAGCGCAGGATGGGCCACCTTGAGCGTCCGCTTGAGGATCGCGCTGGACTTGTATTGGACAAGAAGCAGGATGCGGTGAACCTTGCGCTTTGTCAGCTTCTGCAGGATTCGCGTAAAGTTGAGGGCAGAGAAAAAGTTGCGGAAAGAATAGTCGTGCAGCAGCTCTACGTCTTCGGCGCCCGCCATGGAGTTGAGAGTGGCGAAGCCGCCTCCCGTGGGACTGTTTGTGCCCGCGTAGGGTTGTGGAGCCAATTGAGCATCCTCTGGCCTAGGTTGGCGAGGCTCTTTCCCGCAATTGAGCTCGCAGTAACGGAAGAAGTTGAATGCCGGGGCCTCGTTCTTAGACTTCACCGTGCTGGCCACCTCCTGCAAGCCGAACATCTTGAGAATGAGAAGCAGGCAATTTGAGTCGACGAGCAGCTGGCTGACGTAGTGGAACTTCATTGCGTGGCTCGCCTTGAACCATTTGAGCGTCAAAAGGAGGATCGCGCTGACAGCCTTTGATGTGATCTCGCGGTGCCGGACAATGTCGATGTCCTCGAGCGTCGGAGGCGGTGCCTCGTCGAAGGCGACGCCCTCGGCGAGGGCTTGGAAGTGTGCGCTGTTTGTACTGTTCTGCTGTGTCACTGTGGCAAGCAGCAACTTGAGCAAGACGATGATGCTGCTTTGCAGATACGGAAGCACGGAGCGGTAGAGGATGTCCACGTACTGGAGCCGCTTGGTGTCGGCCCGCTTTTGCTGCAGCGATTCAATGGTCTGCATGTACCGGTCGTTGTCCAAAACGGCCAACATGTGATCATTCTCCACGCGGAGAAGCTCCGCGCTTAACTCGGCTTCGAGAGCGTACAGTCGATCCAGTGTCGGCTCGCCTCTCGACCTGAAAGACTGCCCACCTTGGCGGGCCGTCTTGCCGCCAGACGTTGTGTGTGAACCTGGTCCTTCGGTCGTGCTGGGACTTCGACTCCCCTGCGACGAACCTTCAGCGGCGATGGTGGCAGCGGCAGACGCGCTGAAGTCGCCGTTTCTTGATGGGAAAAATTTGGGACTGCCTTCCAAGGGCTCATAAGAGCCCAGTCCTACCCTTCTACCGTCTGCCGCGCTCGCCACGCCGCTTTCCTCGTGAATGCACTGTTCCCTCAGCCTCCAAATTTGCCACAGCTCCAGGCCGACATGCATATTTTCGCGGTAGAGCCTTGCTGCCTCCTCAATGCTATATGGCACCATCCTTGCTCCTTGCACCGAACGACTATAGGGAAAGACGAATGGCTGTCGCTGGTTCGTCTGATATCTCTGCTTGTTTGTCTTTGGCGAGGGTGGTGGCGAAGGGGCCGGCGTGCCTGGAAATGGTGTGGCCGCACCACCTTCGCCTTGACCAAGAGGCTTGCGAGGTGGGATGGGAGTAATAGCCGAAGCGATACTCTCCGTTGGCAGCTCGCCAGTGGTCTTTTTCGGTGGTACGAAGGTCGGATATTTAACGAGTGTTTCCTCTTGAAAGGTTTGCAGCTCGACGGGGGTCGCCTTCGTCACAACGGCTGCGAGGAATAGAGAGATCAGCGCCTTTGTATTTACCTGTGAGGGAGAAACCACCCTTGCTCACGTTTGAGATCCTTTGCCTCACGAGGAAGGCCTTCGAGCTCCCTCGCCAGCTCCTTGCCTCTCGATGCGTCCTTCAGCCCTCCCAGACAGGCTAGCATGCTCTTCCATAGCAGCAAGAGCAACTTCTTGACTGGGTAGCCCTTGTTCGAATTCTTTTCTCGCAGCGAGGCGACCTGAGCGAAAAGATAGATGGGCAGCGGCGGGTCGAGTGCCATGAGCTCCTCACCCCATTCTGTCTCGCCTCGATGGGCCTCGACAAGAATGTAAAGCTGAGCGAAATGCAGAGCGAGCTCCAGATTGATTTCGTCCAGATAGTCGAGCTTCGCCTCAGGAGTCATCAGCGGCGGTGCTGGGCCCTCTGCGGTAGCCTCACTCGAGGGTATGTGATCAGGAAGGGAGCTGAGCCACTCGTGCTTCCAGTTGGCGATTCGGAATGCGGCATAGATGTCACCCAGACCACCCGCAGCACGCACCATGCGCGCGTTTTCAAGCATCCACTGGAGCTGGTGTTCAGGCCCCGAGGTGTCCGCAAAGCTGCCTTGGAGCAGGTAGAGCAACGCCCTCGATGCCCTTTGCCTAGCTTCCGGTTCTCGTACCTCAAGCAAAGCCAGCAAAGCTTGAATGCGTCTTCGTCGCGCCGAGGTGGGGAGAGACGTCCACTCTGCATTCACCATCAGCTCGCCTTGCTCGTCACTCAATTGTGTGACCCTTCAATCACTCACCGCCGCTGCTTTTAGCCTCTGAGGCAGACTCCTTTGCACCCTTGCCCGTGTCGAGGTCAAGACCGAGGCCAAGGCCAAGACCAAGGGCGCCGCCTTCATCGTCTTTCCCTTGGGCCCCAGCACCCTTGTCGGCAGTCGCTTTGGAAGCACTAGTGCCCTTGTCACCCGTCTGGTTCGATGTCAGCGAGCACCATTCCTCCCATGCTGCTCGATTTTCGGCCACCTGAGGTGCCTCGACATAGCTGAAAAATTCGTCAATCTCCCGCGCCATCTCGTCGCAATCTGCATCGGCCGGGAACGCATATTGCCGTGCCTTTTGTGGAAAAAGAGGTCAGACAAGAACCGATGGGCGCTGAGATCACAAGCTCACCTTAGGCCTCTGGTAGCCCACCAGATTTCTTAGCTGGCCAAGAGTGATGGAGTCAAGAGGGCCCTGGTGATTTTGGGTAGGGCCGTTGATACCCTGCTGCTGTTCATGCTGCTCTTGCTGTTGTCCTATGGAAAGCTGTCCAGTAGTCTGCTGCGGTTCACCCTCGGTTGGATCCGCTTCAATAGCAGATGAGTTCTCGGCCGTCGCTGCCTGATATTGTCCACCATTGGGCGCGGCCGGTCCGCTGACCATCTGGGTCAGGGACAGCGACGAAGCTTGTTCGACCATGCCGCCTAGGGGGTCTGGCTCATCTTCAGATCGCCCTTCTCCACCGTCCTGCAAAGACTCGATTGGGACTGTGTCGATGTCATCTGGAACATCTTGGGCCTGCTGAACAGCACCTTCCGCGCTACTCTCTTGCCCCTCATTGGCTTCTTGAGAGACGGCGATGGGCTGTGCCAGATTTTCATCTGACAGCAAGCTCAGTGTCGGGGCACGAGGGCTGGCAGGAGGCATGAGCGAGGCGTCCTTGCCGTTGGGCACTGTCAAGCTCTGCTCATTGTTCGTCTCTGCCGCTTGCCCGTCTTCGGAGAAAGGCCTGTCTGCAACACCCGCTTCCGGAGGAGCTTCCGTCGTCGAAGCCGCAGTAGCTTCTCTAACAGCTACGGGTGAAAGCTCGACTCCTGCCTGATCGGCTGGCTTCACCAACTCCTCCGCCTTGGGCGGCGGCTCGCTCGTGCTGGAATGGAGCGGAATCTTGATGTCGTCTGCACGACCAGGTCCCCCCGTCGGAGAGGTACCCAGCGAGCAGATCGAGGCCGTTGGAGTCCTGCGCTTTCGATTGGCGAAATTGTGTCTTCTGGCCGTCGAGCCAGGCAGCGACGGGTTCGATGAGGCTACTGCTGCTGCTGCTGCTTGGCGTTGCTCCTCGTCCTGCTCGTCGGAAGACGAAGTCGAGAGGGAAGCGATTGTGGCAAAAGCAGTCCGCCTATCGACGGGCGATGAGTAGAATTGAAAGGACAGATACAAGGATTGTTGTTGCCGATTTGGACCAGAACAGCTATGATGTGGATCTTGAAGCCGAGCGAAGCGCCTACTTCGCTAGGTTGGAGGATAGAAGAATGGAAAATGGTCGCTGGCTTGCTCCCCTGCTTCTTTTCGTGACTGTCCGACTCGCTTAGTGGGGTTTCGGAATCGATCCCAATCCAAGCACTTTCTTCCGATTCGTAAAGTTCGGCCGTCGTCCTGGGTCTTCGTTCTCGTCTTCGTTATGATGCGGCTGTCGGTGCTGTCTATCGCTAGGAGCGGCCAAAGCACACACACAAAGAAGGCACGCAAACCACGTGGCTGCCTGCCACAAAAAAATAAAGCTCGAGCCACCCTGAGCTTTCCTTGCCTCAACGCCCAAACACAGCGTAGTCAACACACTACTGCGATGGCCGAGAGAGGCTTGTTACGAAGCGTCCGTGGAGAGGAGAGCGCTGCCTCTCCGGAGAGGTCAGTGGTCGTGCACGACCAGCACATCGCGGAGATCACGTCAAGAGCATATAATGAGCTCGAAGCCCTTGCTCGTGCCGTCCCACCTTCCTCACGTCAGCTCCAGCCTCCCCTCGGTCCAGGTTCAGCCGGCACCAGAGGCGCTACTGCGGGGCCCCAGTCATCGGCATCGTCTCTGTTCATGCCGCGGTCATCAAAGAACTCGCTGGGAATTCGCAAACCGCTTGCGCGATGCAACGAATCGGAGCTGCGAAACATCTTGGCTAGGAACACCACCTTGCTTCGTAGTGTCCAGGTACAGAACTCATTGGGCGAGGCGCGAGTAGACCGAATACGACGAGAGACACAGGAGGTTCAGGATCGACTCGACGCTCTTTCTTTGACGAGAAGTATGGACGAAACCGGCATCTCATCCGGACCGCACCATCGGCCATCTACGGAACCACGGTATCAGCGCGAGGAGAGCAGCGTACGACAGATGCTACGGGACGAAAAGCCGGTGAGTCCATGTGACTCTGTTGTAAGCAAAAACGAAAACTGATCATGACCCTTGTTATGTAGGCGCCTCAACGGGGGAAGGCGCAGATGATATCTTTTGAGGAGTCTGAGAAACTACAGAGAGCCGATTTTGAAGCTCGACAGGAGCTTCAAAAGAGAATGGATCTGGAGAGGGTAGAGAGACAGATGGGACGCATGGGTTTAGGACCTCAGGGGTCACACCACCAGAACTATGGGGGTCGCGAAGATGACGACGATGACAACGGCGGTCAAAGCCAAGGACGTGATGAAGACGAAGAAGGAGACGAGAGAGGCGACTTTGGCGTCGAAGACGAGGCTTGGGGATGACCACGACTATCATTTGTACTGTACCATTATAATGCCGCTGGAAGAAGAAATTCGACCGTAGCGGATCTCTTCACCGCCTTTTGCCTGCTTCGCGGAGGAAGACGCCCCGCTGTTGCGGCCAAACGGTCGTCATTATTGAGTGTGAAAAGCGACGAGTGTATGTCTTGCCTGAGCATTCTCCTTCACTTTTTTTTTTTCCTCTTGCCTTCCCAGCAAGCAGCAGTTCACAAAATCAGCACGCCTCCTTGGTCTTCGGAATGCAGCGAACATGGTCCAGTTCGGTTGTATTTGCGTTTTAAGACGAGACTTTATGCGATCGGTGGCCACGGGAATCATCGTGCTCCGCCGGGCGGCGTCTGAAAACTGCATAGCCTCTTCTTGATTCTGTTACATCAACGACCTTCCCCTCTCGCAACTGGGAACCTACCTTTACACTCTTCACTTCCTCATCGCCACCACCATGCCTCGGTATCCTGGCCATTTGTTTGTCGCCTTTGCACTGTTGATCTCGACCCTTTCAGCAGCGCAAGCGGCATTTGATCATGTATGTGCTCATCGGGCGACTTTGCTGGTATCTGTGCTTACCTGGTGGAGCGTTCACTCCCTCAGGGAGAAGCACTCTCGCCATGGAGCATCCGATCGGAACCTGTGCCACCGAGTTCACCGCCGATCTCGAATACGTCGCAACAGCACCCTCCGAACGCTACCAACGCAGTTCCGCAGTGCGACAATCCTCCGTGTAGCAGCGGTCCCGCTTTCGTTCCGGCGCCAGAGAATAAGCAGGGTGGCCTGAATCAGACAAAGACGCCCGAAGCAAGTTCGAGCGCTGGCCTGGATCCGAAGACGAAGATCGCGAATGCGACCACGCCAACGGTCACAGGACCTAGCACGACGCCAACAAACGGTACTTCGTTGCCTCCTCCATATTCGAAAGAGGAGCCGAAGGAGACGCATCAAGCAACCAGCTCCAACGCCACCGCTCAAGCAGATTCTGACAGGTGAGTCACCGTAACTTCAGTCAGCGGACCATGCTCCCTGACGAGAGCCATCAGAAATGAGACGACGAAAGTTCCTGACACCGTCATCTCATCGAAAAACCTCACCTCATCCCAAAACTTCACTTCCTCTCGAATCCACACCTCATCTCAAAACCACACCTCTTCTCAAAACCACACATCATCTCAAATTCATACATCAACATCTGTCCTCCCGATCAAACCATCCATCTCCACACTGTCCACTGCAACAACCAGTGGTAGCAACGAGGGACAGACATCCACCATGTCTGCACTTACGCCATCCACGAATCCTGCCATAGCCACAACGTCCCTCGCTGCACCAACTCCTCCCATAAATACAGCGGCACCTGTACATCCTGCCAAGGTGACCTTGAGCGACGGCGTCCTCACTGTTAAGTCTACAGTGGCTGCCAATGCAGTGCCTTCAGGGGGTGAGACGACGACAGTGTCATCTTTGTCGGTGGGTGTCGACTCCAAAGGCTCGCCCACCTCGAGCATGGTCGTGCAGACGCTCGTCGTCGTCAAGGGTCCCAACACCACGAGCGTAGTTCAGGTAACAGCCTCCGGGCCAGAAATAGGTCAACTCGGTATTGCCGGGTCTGTTGGCGAGCATCAATTCATCACCTCCGTCTGGTTCACATTCTTCATCGCAGCATTCGTAGGAGCCTTGGCGTTGGGTGCAGCTGCTCTCTGACAACCCCTTCTTTCGTCATTCCATCTGACTACACAGCATAATTGCTTCCCTCAATGTTTGGACATTGCTTTGTTCTCGATCTTGTACGCAAACAAGCCATCAACTTTCAGTAATTAATGAGACACAACTTCGAAGAAGGAAGCTGGCGATGATGGAAAGGCAAGACTACCAAGTGAGCGTACTCGCTGCGCTGTTGCTCGACTCGGGCGTCGGTGGTGTTTCCTTGACGATGGGCATCATGACTTGGTCCAGGTGGCTTTCCTCCCTGCTCCAAGGCTTCATGATTGGGCTTACCGGAGGTCTGAAGACGGTCCTTGTATCGCCGCCACCTCCTCCTCCATCACCACCGCCGCTCAACTTCTCTGTCATCGCTCCGTCTTGCACCTCAGCATCGTGTTGGCGAGCGCCGCGACGTCTGCTTTTCTCTGCCAGACGCCGCTGGTACAGTTCCTCCTCGTATGCGTGCGCCTCCTCTTCCTCTTCCGTGATGAAATAGATGCGCTTGTAAGAGTGAATACCTAATGGTCCGTAGCTGTTCTGATCAGCCGTAATCTTCCAGCCAAATCGAAAAGCGAAGCGGACCCATGTACCCACAGAGGAAGAGGTATAGGGTGACAACGACGTCTGTGACCCAGAGAAAGGACAGAGCAATGACGTGGGACAGGAACCGCCCGTGGCACCAGTAAGCCGGAGCAGCTACATCTTCCTGTTGCCCGTCATGGTGGCTGCCATCGTCACCACCGCCAAGGATTTTCCAATGGTCCTCCTCGCCCGTGCTTTTCCATTCCCGGGTGCATGCCGCCATCCAGCGCCTGTCGTCTTTCATGTAGCCGACGATGCTGAAACCGCCGGCAAAGAGGCGCATGGCAAAAAAGAAGAGCGTCCAGCTTCGAAACGCGGCCACGGCGGGGTAGTAGCGCTTGCTGAGGCCGAAATGTCCGTAGAGGGATAGGATCGGCTGCGAGGCGAGGAAGCAAACATCGACAAAGAACCAAAATCGGGTAAAGGGCGATAGTGAGATGTGAGCGGGGGCCGCAAGAAATCCGAGGAGCTTGTAAGTCAGGATAGAGAGGGCGAGCACGTTGGAAAGGAGCGATAGGACCGTGATGCCCGTGCGCAAAGAGTGCTGACGCCTGCATAAAACCCAATCAGCTATAGTAGGACGAAGTGGATGCTGCAAGATATTACCCACAGAAAAGTGCGAAAGAGGACCATATTGCACCCCGAGAAGGGATGTGCTTGAGATGGAGAGATGCGAAGAGAGGATGGAAGGGAGCAAAGGAATGCTTTATACGGACAGACGACTTTGACTTGGAACGCCGTGGGCTGAGCGGCGTTCGCACTTTCTAGCGCGCGAGGCGTACTCCAGCCTCACGCACTCCAGCCTCTCTGGCGTCTACATAAAACAAAAGCCCAGACAAAGTCATGAAGACAAAGTCATGATCATTGAATTGAAACGTGTTCCTGAGCAGGGACTAGTGGTAGTGATAGTAATAATAGTAGTGCAGACGGTGCGAGAAGATGGGAAGATCGATTAGTTCTTGGTCTTCTTCTTAGGTCGCGCTTCTTCCTCTTCGAGGTCGATCTCTCGGTCGTCATCCTCATCCTCCTCATCCTCAGAGTACTCCTCGAAGTCCTCGTCGTCGATGCTGAGCAACATAATATGTCAGCCATCGCTTCAGCAGAGCATCGCATAGGTACTCACTCGGACGTCTTGCCAGTGTAGTAGTCGATGGCATTAGGGAAGAATGTGAAAGCGATGATCTCGCCAATGGCGGGCGCCGGGTCACCCTTGTCATTTTCAAAGAAGCTCGCAAAGAGGCTACCGAATTCACCATCCTCGTCAGCCGTCTGCGAAGGGTGCTTCTTGGCCAGGTTCATGTCCTCGCTCTTCCAGTTGATGGTCGTCTTCTTGGCGATGAGGTGCTCGACCCAGTCGAACTCCTCGCCAATCTGGGGCGCATCCTTCTTGGCAACAAACTCCTTTACGAGTGTCTTGTCGCTGAAGTAGGCATTGTCGGAGAAGTCAAACTCGAGGCGCAGGTTGCGAATCTCGTTGAGGTCGCGCAAGACGCGAATGTCGGTGATGTGCTTCAACAGCGGTCGGTCCTCACCGATCATGTAGATGACAAAAGGCAGGCAGTTGAAGAGCGCGTCGGGCCAAAAGCCCTCGACATCCTTGAGCACCTTGGACCTCTCCTCCCACAGGGGAGCCTGGATCTTGGCAATGTGCGTGAGGATCTCAACATCTTTCGCAGCAGACTTCTCCGTCCACTGGTCGACTTGCTTCTCTGTTTTGATCGCGGCATAAGTTGTGGTCTTCAACTGCATCAGAAGCCCACTACTCACGCTTCTCAGCGGAAAATTCCTTTGGCTGACCGAGCTCCATGATGCTGTGTTTAGTTGACGATGAGAAGAAAGCCTGTACGAACGCGCTTCACGTCACAAAGTTCACCGACCTTCTTAAACTTTTTTTCTTTTACGCGCACACGCCACTGCAAGCACTGCAAGCGAGGCCACGAGGTGACAGAAGATGACAATCTCGACAATCGCTAGGCGCCGTGCACTCATGTGAGCGGTAGGAGGATGATGGTCTTATTGGATGATGGTGTTCATGTTGGTGAATGTTACAAGAGGTAGGTGTAGAGTCATACGGAATCCTCAACTCGCGACCGAGCAGTTCGGAAAGACTGTCGTCCAGGCCACTACGATCGCTGGGTGCCTTCGCCAAAAAGGAAGAGACCGCTCCCTTTAAGCCTTGGCAGCAGCGCGAGACTCTCGCACAGCCTTCTCAGTGCCGTGCTTGGCGAACCTCTGGTTGCGCAGGAACTTGGGGTCTGGAGAAAGATGGGTGGTCAGCTTTCTATGTTTCCCGCGCGATTTCTCCTGCCTCTACTGAACAGTCCGCAATTCCTCTAACAAGTCAACCCTCCAGCCCCTCCCCACGACAGACCAATGGCGTCTGCGTGAATCAATCCAGCCTCCCCCCATCGAAGCTGCTCCGATTGTGACAGTCTGCAAACTCTCCTCGTCTTCCATTCCTTTCCTCTCTGGACGCATCGATTTCGTTGATCCCCTGCTATTGCCGCCCAACTGCTTCCGCTTCACATGTTGCGTCCCATGTCCGGTATCTTCCCCCTCTCTCCACCACTGTGCTCGTTCGCGGTCGTGTGGGACACACGACTCTATTGCCTGGATACTCACTGACGCCCCTCAGGCTGGGGTACTTGTTCGTCTTAGGACGCCTGATGCCGTTCCGGTGAGCCTTGCTCGACTGGTTGTGGTTGGTGTGGTTCCTGGAGAGCACAGAAGCCTTGTCAGTATAGCGCCCTCAGGATCCAAAAGCATTAGTCGGGTGCTTACTTGGACTTGGCCATCTTGACGGATTTGCTTGGTGGTCGTGAGAGCGCGCAACGATAGCGAGGCAGCCTTCTTCGTCTGCTCGCGCCGAAGTTGAATGCACGTGGCAATGGGAATAGAGATTTTTAGCCGCAGCATTTTTTTTGGAAATAAACCCTTCGATTGAAATGAAACAGCAAGTATTAGGTGTTGCTTGACTAGATTGGACGACGCTCAGAGGGGCGAGCACATCGGCGCCCAGTCGTTGCTGCGAGTCTTAGGCTGAGCCTTGCCAGTGCAGAGGTTTCGTCCTTGAGAGGAGACGTCTGAACTGTTGCTGTTGATCTAGAGCAAACTCAAGTCTTTTCTTTGGTATTATCCTCTTTCTGTCGTCGTCGAGATTCAATCTCCCCCAATGCTAGCTCTCTCAACTCCCGGCTTCAGATGCGAGAAGAATCAATTTGACGGCGATATGGAGCGAGCTCCGCAGGCTGCGAGATCATCAGGGTCCCTTATCCAACCCATATCATGTGCCGACGTTGCAGATATCAAATGTGAGAATGCCACAAGTGCGGCACAAAGATGAGGGCCGAGCGGAGTACGATAGCGGTCGCATGCTGCCGCTTTATTTTTTCACCCTCGTCTGGTGCCTAAAAGTCATACGCAAAACGCAAGGAAAAAAGGAAGAAGACAGTAGAACACCAGAGAGCTGTACGAGCAGTATCGCTGTGCTGGACAAGCCAGGATCGTGCTGAGATAGATTGGTTGAGAGAATGAGATATGCCTAGAGTCTACTGCGCTAGTGCTGATGAGGAGCTCTCTTGCCCATGCTGACCAAAACACTGGTGGGAGGGCGGCAGGAGTGCACTGCCGCCGACGCTCTGCAATCCTTAGTGGGGGACCAACGAGAGATAAGGTATAGAGTGTAGCTACTTTATGGCAACGACGTACGGTCTACGGTCCTCATTCATCATCAAACTATCAATTGTCCTCTTTTTCGTGCACCTCGCAGAAACGTCACAGCCATTTCGACCAACATCGAAATTTGCGATCCGAGCTCGATTACCAACTCTTCTCCATCTCAATGCTGTCTTCGAAAATCACCTTCGTGGTCACCTTTGTGGTCGTTGCACTCATTGGCTCCTCGATGGCCCTACCAGAGCCAATCGGTGAAACGTTTGATCAAGTTTCTCATCCGGTCAACGCAGCCCACAATCTTCCAGCAGAGCACAACAGCATGCTCAAACGCACGGAACCTGCTGAGACGACTTTTGCTCTTTCTCTTCAAGATTATCTTACAATTGTCAAGAAGGACCACCAAGCAAGCATCCTCGACGTCGTCCGAGAGATGAAGGAGAAATTCGGTCAGACCACAAACTCGTCTCTGGAGGAACAGATTTACGACGAATGTACCGACAAGGTCATGTCTCTGCTCGATGATCAGGAACAAAATTTGTTGTTACAGAAGACTGCCTTGTCGGTAAAAGAAGATGTCGTCAGAAGACAGGAAGAGGAGAAGATGTCGCTCAAAAGGCGTTTAAGAAGAGCACTCGACTGCATCCTCTGTTTCACCTGTAAGTTGTGATATCGGCATCGGGCCGAACGATCTAAGCATTCAAGGTTAAAGCCTACTGTTCATCCTTCTCTCTCAGGTCGCGCTTCTGCCGATGCACCCGGCAATTGCTCCTGTGGTGAGTCCCACGCCAAACATTTTGCCTCAGTCTTGAGAAATACCAATCGATTGCATTTCCTTCAGCCTGCAATCGGTGCGCTGGTCGTAACTGTCACGACAATGGCTTTTAAACGACCGACCAATTTCTCAGTACTTCGTCCCTTCGACGGCCCCCACAAAGGAAAAGAGGCGATGAATTACATGTCGCTTGCACGCTATTGACCAAAGCGATGGAAGAACAACTTACCGTTGACGACTGCCTCTGCTACCTACCCTGTGCTCAAAGCCTCAGATGCCGATCCTTATCTTTATCCACAACAATGTCCCACGCCACTTTCGGTGCTTATTTTATTCGATGAAGAGAATGCGATGCTGTCAAAAGTCCCCCATCACCTCACGTATCCCAACAATTTGGCTCGACAAGAAAGACAGGAAATGCGAGAATCAGAACAAAGGGTCCACTAGGTGTCTTACTTCTTACCATCGGCAGCAGGAGCGTGAATTGTTCGCCGGGCGTAGAGGTAGTTGTACGCGTCCATAGTTGCGGTGATTGTGTCGAGGACCTCTTGGCTGAGCTGCCTCTTGCCACTTCCACCCGGCTTGGACGTATCCGTCTCGCTACCCGACGATGCCGAGGAGGTTGACGTCCTTTTGCCCGCCGCGGCGGCCTCGTCGCAGATGGGGGTTTCCTTCTTGAAACCGGTGCTGTTTTCTGCAACTGCGTGGAAGGCACCCCATTTTGCGAATTCCTCGACCGGCCCACTCTCCCAGCTGAGCATCGAAGGATCATAAGGCATGCCGACGGCGGCGCAGTAGCTCGAGATCGTGTGCTCGGGGTTGGACAGCAGGACGGAGGCATCAACCAAAGGAAGAGGCTGGGCCTGAGACTGGATTTGCCCAGGATAGGTGGCCAATTCGTCTTCGGGAGCCTTGTTGAAGCTCGATTCTGGGTTTGACATCCAGTCGTAGAGGATCTTGATCTCGGCGTAGCCCACCTGCAGGTCCGTTGGGTTTGAGTGACAAGTCGCGTTACTCGCAGGAAAGGAAGCCGACTCACCTCTGCGGGATCAAAGTAGCTGTAGCCCATCATCTTCTCCTCAACGCACTTATAGTAACTCGGCACACTCTTCTGGGGTGTCCGAATGAGGAATGTGTGCTTAAACCTGCGCAGGAGGTCGATGGGCAGCACCGTCGGGTTCTCAAGACCCTGAAGCTGCTTGCTGAGCTTGTCGCCGCTCGAGGCTTCGCCTGGGTATGACTTGGAAGATGGATGCAGCGCGCGCAACAGGTCGGGCGCAAAGAGATAGAGAGCCATGTCCTGCTCCTCTGCGTCAATTTCTCTTTGCTCTCTTCGCGGGTCATGCAGGACCAAGACTGACCTTGATAAAGATGTACTTGCACTCCGTCTTGCCCTTGGCAACGTCGACATCGTACGTCGACGGCTCAAGCAATGACCTCATGGTCCCTTCGAGGGTCTTGTCCCAATAGCCGCTCTTCTTGCACTCCTCATCGCTGTAACGCCGATTAGGCCTCGTCTCGCCAAAGTAAAAAGGGTCGCCCATCGGCTCATGAAAGCATCGCGTGTCCTTCCTCTGCAGGAATCCACGCTCGAACGCGGTACTGCAGCTTCGAGGTACACACCAAATGATGACGGGCACAGGCTCTGTTTTTGAAGCTGAATTGGCCATCTTGCGTTGATTACCCAGGTTGCGATTGGAGTTGACTTTGTTAAGTGAGAAAGGAACGAGAAGATCCTCCCGCAATTTCACCTTACTGAAACTGCAAGGTGTCATCTTGCAAAGCTTCCCATGTGGGAATGGCCCGCGCACGGGCCAAGACGAGCTTAAAATCTCGCGGACAAAGGGAAGAGCATCAACGAGGAAGTCGCGATTTTCTTCCCCCTCTCTCCAACAACGACGACGAGCGTGGGAGATTGCCGGAGTTTGTTCGCAGAGGAGGATGACGGGAACCAACGGACAAGAGACAGCTGCTCCTCGGGGTAAGAACTTCTTCTCTCCGAGCTCGAGCGACTCGATTCCGCCGCATCTGGCCCCAGCCGCTCTGCGTGTGGCCCTCACTGCCTTTCCACTCGGCTTCCTTGCCGGCCACGTCGTTTCCATCGCGCTGCAAGTCTTCAGGCCACAAGTGATTGCTGACTCGATCTCAAAGCCATGGCTCGTCTCTGCTGTGGCTGAAGTGGAGGAGTTGGCCCCCTGGTGGAGACCGCAGCTTCATCTCTACCTGCTAGCCTGGTCCACCTTCCACCTTCTCGAGTTTGTCATTACCGCGCGCTATAATTCGACGAGGCTCATGGCCGACTGTGAGTTGCATCTGAGGCTGTTACACTTTTTTCTTAGACTGATTCTGAGTCCCGCTCCTGCAGCTTTTCTCATCTCCAACGGCCTCAGCTACCACCTCGCTCACCTCCTCGGCCTCTTTGAATTCCTCGTCGAGTCGTTCCTCTTTCCTACTCTCAAACAGACGAGCAGATGGACATATATCGGTTAGCGTCCTAATTCTCTCTCCTCTGGAAGATAAGAGTCCTCATTGGCTGACTTGAACTTCTCATCTTGGTATGCAGGTCTGGTTCTTGTGTTCATCGGCCAGCTCATTCGGTCCCTAGCCATGGTCCATGCCGCCGACAACTTTTCGCACGAGGTCGCGCACCACAAACGTCCCGATCACAGATTGGTCACCGACGGCATCTATGCGTGCGTTCCAGAGTTAAAAACTCTTGCCTTTTATATTGCGCTGACCCTGACAAACAGCTACACGCGCCATCCCTCGTACCTTGGCTTCTTCACGTGGGCCCTCGGCACCCAGATCGGCCTTTCCAACCCACTTTCGACCATCATCTTTGCCGTCGTCCTCTGGCGCTTCTTCAGCCGGAGAATCAGAGGCGAAGAGATCTACCTCGTCGCCTTTTTCGGACGCGAGTACGAAGAGTATCGCAAGCGAGTCGGCGTCTACATTCCCTTTGTCCGATGAGAAAGAAGCGGTGTCCTACGTCCTCTCTCCCCCCTTCTTCCCCTCTCTCTCGCTCCTGGACTTCTTGCGCACTCTTCTCCTTCTCAGTTTAATACAAGATAGTCGTTTCGGAGTGGGGCGAGACCACCTCTGGCCAAATAAGAGAAGAAGTACACTTGCTACATACGTGATTCGATAAGTCGACAGCCCTTTGAAGAAAGCTTGTGCTGCTAAAGATAAGTCTAGATGGCCAAGAAGATGACAGTCGGGCCTCTATTCATTTGTTTCGACCGGCTTGTCAACGGACCAGGAAAGGAGAAGGTCCTGTGGACGGCGAGATAGTCTAAAATAGTGGCTTTTAAAGAAGAGGGCACGTCACTGAAGGAGCCGGTCGGCAAAGCCCAGTGGAAAGAGGTACCGAGATAGGAGGAGAAAGACAGAAGTGGGTGCCAACCCTATGTCAATAGCCATTGTCTTTGGCTTTTGACGACCTTAATGTTGTTGGAGAAAGGGGAGGCAAAGGGAACGAGTCGATGGCGAGGCCCAGCATCTCATCGATTGACTCCGTCGTCGACAGGTGCTTGTGGAGTTTAGGAAATTCTTGTCCCCTTCCTTCTCGACGATGGAAGAATGTTAGCTCCCCCTCCTCTGTCTCTCGCGAAGATTTCTGCTCAAGATAGCCATCCAAGGCCGATGATGGGCTGCTTACTGCTGAGGAGGACGCTGTAGATGAGAATGTAGGAGTCGTAGGGGTACAGAGAGAGAGGAAAGTCGATGAGCTCTCGCTGCGTTTACTTCTTGTCGACGTCGATGCGATGAAATTGGACATTGTCGAGGTGGTGCTAGCGCAAGTGGAGCTCGAATGGCGGTCGTGGAGAGGAGGAAAAGCGGCTTCGATGTAGCTTTTGGATGCTTCACCAATGGGAAATTCGAGTGGCTCATCAGGCCATGGGTCCCCCGCCTTGCAATCCGAATCGCTATTCTCGCCAGAAAACGAGTCTTCTTGGTTGCCTTCATCGACATCAAGGTCAAAGATGAACGGGTTGTGGTATGACAGGGACCTGCAGAGCTCGTCTCGCCATGCCCGATTCCTTTGGCTGCGTTGCGATGGCCCAAATGGAGCGGCCGTGTCGGATCTATGCTGGTGGATCGAAGAGGAAGCGAGGGTGGAGGGAGCCGATGTCGAAGAAGAGGCGTAGCTTGAATCGTACGACGACGCCGCACTTTCTGTGTCATTACCTCGACTCGCATTTAACACCCGGCCAAGATTTGCTACTGTCCTGACTTCTTCCTCCTCGCTGCGCTCGAGGACGCTTTCGAGCTTGTGACATGTGAAGCAGTCTGCGATCAGTGACGGTGTCAGCGAGAGACAACTCCCGACGGTCCTCAGATGCGATGACGGTGGTGGCGAGGGAGAAAGAGTGCTGTGCTCGGATGCGGGCTTCGAGTGCTCGTCGTCGTCATCGTCGTCGTCGATCGGACCTACCGTATCGGTCGAAACGCGCCAGCTAGGACCTTCAAGAATCGCATTAGCCGGCAGAGTCTCGGCAATATAGTCTGGCAGACCGAGTATCTGAGACACCTTGTCGTGCGGCTGACGAGCCCCACACGTGGTCCTTGGCGTGATGGGCGTGATGGGCGGCAGCGGCTTGTCTAAGTGAGATGCCATTGATGATGAAGAAGACGTCGTCGAAGAGGGTGATTTGAGGGCGAGATGTGAGACGGCTTTGCGAAACTTGCGGCCTAATGATGCTCCCTTCGCCTCCTCTCTTGATGCAGTCACCGCACGGGCTTCGCGAAAGGGGGCCGTGATGTCGTGAGTCCGGATGGTGCGCGTGCTGGAGCTGCTAGCGGGCGAGATTGATCCAGTAGGCATCTCGGTGGAATGGGTTGAGGAGGAGCAAGAGGATGAAGGAGACAAGGGCGACGATGTAAAGGAGGAAGTAGGGTCACAGGGGCTGCTTGGAGTCGCGTTGATGTTGCGCCGCTCAAGATATGAAGAAGTTGACGAGGGTTGAGCGTCCGTTGAGCCAATAGAAGAAGAGGCCAGAGAGGCGGACCTTCCACGCCGTTCGTGCTCGGGTGGTGCACAGAAATACCCGCGGTAGCTGGGCAAGATAGCAACAGAAGCAGGTGCTGCCTGGTTGTCGTCGTTGAAGAGAGGCTGTGGACAATGACGGTATGAATGCGTGAAGCCCTCTGACGAAGGTGCGAGATTGCCGCCACCGCCGCCCGCATCGTGGTTAATTTGCAAGAGCGGATTGAAGCGCGACGAAAACGAAGAAGAAGTGGTTGAGGAAAGAGGGTGGGCGGGCTCGAGCGGCCGCAATCGGGGACCATGTGCATCTGTGCAGCTCCGTCCGCGGATCTGACCGACTCCGATGCCGCAGCTAATTTGTTCGGAGCCGCCCGCAGGCCAATCTCGTCGTGGCGACAAGGGAAACTTGTCAGGTGGACGACGACGGAGATTGGGCTGGCTCTGAGATCTGGCCATGCCCCGCTGACTGTTGTCGTCCGATGCGGTAGAAGAAAGCTGGGGCCGGCGGGCCCTTGGACGCGGTCGAGCTAAGATCACGATGCCCTCTTGAAGCACCTCGTCGTTGAGCGGCGAGCCCCAAAGGGGCTCATCGTCGTCATCGTCGTCTGCATCGTCTTTATTTTCGTCATCGCTGCTGCCTCTTTTCTTTTGCTTTTCCTCACGCCCAGAGCTGGCGGTGTGAAGCGACGGCTGATTGAATGAAGTTGCGCCTCTCGCCTTATTTGAGTTGACAGTCCGTTTGTCCGCCGACAAAGAGAAGGGAGCGCCCATGCGAAGCCGTCTTGCAATTGCCATGACAATGCTAGGTGTCTATTCCTGCGAAGTCTGTGGGTGTTGTTGATTGCAAAGGTGGGCGTGTGCGTGTGCTTGTTCCCGTTCTTCAGCTACATCATGCCGCCGCAAGCTACCAGCGAGCAGCACCGCCTCATTTCCTCACAGTCAGCTGGCGGTGGTCGACGCTCGAATTTCACCGCTTCTCCAGCGAAGCAAAGGCGACGGAAAAGACGCCGCCACAAAGTCTAGAGTGAAGGCGAGCAACGAATGAAAGATGCAGACGAGGCGCCCTGCATTGATTGCGACCTGTTCAGTAGTAGTAGTCGTAGTAGCCGCAGAGTGATAGAGCAGTACCTGATAATTCGACTAGCTGCTGGCTCCTCGTCAGTCGCTCTCGCTCGGCGTATCTGCGGCACACCAATAATTCTGTTCCTAGCGGACACGGTACAGACAAGGCATACAGCTCAGCGTTGCTGACCGGTCCGATGCCACCGGCGCGTGCGCGGGGGAAAGCGACCGACGGTTGCGCCGAGAACGCCGTGCGAGCGCCGCGCTTGTCTTGTGTGGACCGTCCCTGCATCCGGCGCGCGGGTGCGGGTGTAAGTGCAGGCGTGTGCGGCGCCGCGTATGCCCCCCCCCCCCCCCCATTTCGTCGTAGATGAGGTTGTGTCAATTGAACTGGCAATCCGGCCTCCCTCCTATTTTGGTGGAGCGGCGCTGGCTAAGCACAACACGGGCCTCCTCCCTGCCTGCCCTGGCAGACCAACCCTCTTTTCGAGTGACTTTTATTCCAGTCGACAGACTCTCGCTATTGGTGCTCTGATTACCGTCAGCATTGTCGGTGATGAAGGAACAGGGAACGTGGGCAGCGGTTTCAACACAGGACTCGATGCGATGCGCGTTGGGGAGCTTGTCTCTCGGAAGATTGCAACCCCAGAGAAAGGCTCGAGGAAGACACACTCGGCCGGACCGGTAAGGTCAATCTCTCCGACGAAAGTTGAGCAGGGGAAGAGAAAATAGGACGACTGGCAGTGCCAGTCACAGGCAATGCACAGAATCGATTACACAGAAAGAGAGAGAGGAAAGGCTAGCATACAGACACGGAAGAACCTCTTGAACGGAAGGTGGCTTCAGAGAATGCGTCCGAGGCCGTTGCAGTGATAACACGTCTCCTGGAACAGAAAGAGAGCATCTCGGACGCCCGCTCCGCCGCATTTGTAGCAGAGACGGCCGCCGATGCGTGGGTCGCCCGGATGCACCACCATGGCGCCTGGTGGAGGCATTCCGGCATGGTGGGGCATGGCAAAGGGCGGGCGAGGGAAGCCGCCACCCCCGCCGGCCCCTGGATAGCCGCCCGGTGGATGTTGGGGGTACTGGAACGGGTGTTGCTGTTGCGGTGAGCTCGGATGATGCGGGGGATACTGGTAAGGATGTTGATGATGCTGTGGCGAGTGGGGATCCGGCCGTGGTGGTGACTGCTGAGACGTCAAGGATGAAGCTGCGTGCTCCGCAGCTCCTCCCTGCGGCTGAGGTGGCAGGACGCCGCCTGGACCTGACTTGATGACATCTGCGTATGCGGGGGGCGCCTCGCCACTGTCATCGTTTGCGTCCTCCCTCGCGTCCTCCGCTCGCGCCACTGCTGGCGGGCTCGGTCTGCGAGGCAGACGTGGGGCCGGAGGGGCGTGGTTGGGTGCCGCATACATCGACCAATTGGCCGGTGGCCCCATGGGAGGTGATTGTGGTGCCATATAGTCTGAATACCCGGTTTGCTGTGGCTGCATCGGGGACAGCGGCGGTCTGAAGCTCGGCCCTGCGCCGGGGTAACCAGCCATGCCCCCGCCCGGTCTGCCCATGGGCATGGGCCCGCCACCTGGTGCGTAGCCGCCTGACGGGGCCAGAATATTGCCCGTCCCCGGCCTGCTCCACTGCGGCAATGGTTTTTGCATCACCTTGGCCCCCGCCAGACCAACCGAGGAGGCCAAAATGGGGTTATAGGGTTGCGAGTACGAGGACCAGCACTTCTTGCACGGATGCGAGGGATCTCCATGCTTGAAGCCCGTGTCCTGGCACTTGGGACAGCCCTTCCAGCCATTAGGATAGACGAGCGTTTTGCCGTCTCTGAGAAGGGGCTGGCCTGGCGTCGGCACCGTCGTGGGATGGTAGCCCTGCGAGGTTGCACCCGGGCTGCCGCTGCTGCCCTCGCCATTCCGTCTGGGCGGCGGCGGCGGTCCCGGTGGGGCAGCGTAGTTCGACTGCGCCGGAGGAGATTGCGACCCGCTGCTACCCTCCACCAAAAAAGGGTTCGTGCTCATCGCGACAGACAGACGACGAGGGAGCAGCGCCAGCAGATAGAAATGAACGAAGAGCAAGATCGGGCGGAGACACGCTTCCGTTCTGCTTGGCGCGCAAAGTGACAAGACCGAGAGCAAGTGGAGATTCGCCGTTGTTCGGAATTCGGAATCTCGGTCGCGACTTGAGCCTAAATAATTTCCAGGTCTGCGCACCGCACCGACTGACGCGGCCTCTTTGCCAGTCATTCCAACGGGAGCCAAGGGAGCATCATGGGGGAGGAGGAGCAGTATCCCGTCGAGGTATGAGCCGCGCTACAGCGCTGACATAGTGATCATCAAGGCTGATGCTTGTCCCTACCACAGCTTTATGTCTACGACTTGTCGAATGGCCTCGCGCGTGGTCTGTCGCAGCAGCTGACCGGAAGGCAGTTTGATGCAATCTACCACACCAGCATCGTCGTCCACAACATTGAGTGGTTCTACGGCCAGGGCATTGCCAATGCCGCCCCTGGCCGGACTCATCACGGCTCCCCGATTGAGCAAATACCGCTCGGGACCACGTCAATCGACCGAGATACAATCAAGGAAATCATAGGGCATCTATCGGACACGTACACCGCCCAAGCCTATCACCTGCTCAAGTGAGAAAGGTCCCTCGAAGCGAGCGTATCGTAGTCCCGCAAATACTGATGAAGGCCTAATGCTAGCTTCAATTGCAACACATTCTCCAATGAGCTGTCCAACATCCTTGTTGGTCAGAATATTCCCGAGCGCATCACCAGTATGTCCGACGGCCAAGTCCCAGCCGTCAGCTGCTTCCTTGCTGATGCCGTCCTCTTTCAGATCTGCCACAGGACTTTCTCTCTACTCCCTTTGGCCAGATGATGGCGCCACAGATCGACGCCATGTTTCGAGGTCCGGCGCAACAACCAGCAATGGGTGCTGGGCCCTCGGCGCCCGCCAATCCAGCGGCTGCCGGCATCCTCAACCACGTCGCCCAGAGCGCATACAAACACCCGCCGCAACAGTCGTCTCAGAACGGCAACAAACAGCCGACTTTCCAGCGGATCTCGACCGTTTCGCAACTCAAGACCGTTACGCAGAATACTCCCTGCGCCGTGGTGCTCTTCACAGCCCCCGAGGTCAGTTGTCAAGTCTTTAAAGTTCACGTCTACATGCTGACCGACGCAAGAATGTTAGACGTGCCCGCCGTGCCGGGTCCTGCAGCCGATCTTTGAAGAAGTGACCGACAAGTATGTGTCTGCGCGAGATGGTCGAAACATCGCCTTTGCGGTTGTCGATTCGAGCCCCCTCTCCGCTGGGCTCATGTCGGAACGCAAGATCCATGCCACACCCACCCTCCAATTCTTTGTCCACGGCAGCCAGATCGACGAAGTCAAAGGTGCGCCCGGCCGACAGAAGCTCGAGGATTCCATCGAGTCGACGTTGTGGCAGGTCTACCGGCCCCACCCACACTCAAAGCTCGCTGGACCTGAATCAAGAGTACCTAGCCAAGCCATCTTGTTCAAGAACGCACCCAATTATACCGCCGCCGTGGCGAAGCTCGACGAGGCCCTGAGCACCTACAAGGCAAAGAGCTTTGACGAGAAGGCCGACCTGCAAGAGGCTCGCGCGGCCCTCGTCAAGACGCTCGTCGCCTCGCTCAAGGACGCGCGCGCCCTCAACGAGGAAGAGGTCGACAAGAGCGCAAAGGCAATCGAGACGCTACTCGGCAAGATTGACATCTCCAAGGTCTTTCCTGCTGTTGACTTTCTCAGAGTGGCCATCCTAGACCCGTCTTTCTGTGCCAAGCTCGCAAGCAGGAGAAAAGCAGTCGTGTCTGCCCTGCTGGACAAGGTGCGTGAAACGATGGAGCAGGGTGCGACGATGCGGGCAACGCTCTTGACGACGTACCGCTTCATCGGGAATGCACTGGCTTCCGACAGCATCGCTCCTCTCCTCAAGGGAGAAGCTCTCATGCCCCTCCTCGTCTTTGGCCTGCTGCACGACGATGCGAATGTCCGTGGAGGTGCCGTCAGCGCGACGTTCAATCTCGCGTTGGATGTCTCGCGGCGGCGCAGAGGCTCGACGTTTGTCAGGACAGACGGATCCACAGCGGACGTCGATGCCGGTCTGCGGACGGACGAGGAAGTCGAGCTCGTATGTGCTCTTCTAGAGAGTGCCGAGAAGGAGGCAGATGAAGAGAAGCGTGAGTGTTCCTCTCGGCATAAGAGTGACTTTAAAGCGGATGACGCTGATGCTGGGACTCCTGTCAAAGTACATCGCTCTTCGGCGGCACTCAATTTGCTCCTCTACCTCTCGCCGAGCTGGAATGCGAGCCTGGGAAGCCTCATGGACGTCCTCGAGGCTGGTCCAAAGCTGCGCACCAAGGCCGCAGGGCTAGCAAAGCAGGCTGCAGGAGACGTAGAGGCCAGAAAGAAGCGAGAAGACGTCAAGGCGCTCTTAGAGACTTGCGCAAAGCTGTGCGAGGCACAGCCACCGTCTTGAATGGATAGAGAATCTGTAATCGCATTTGCTTTTGTACAGGATTGGGTTGTGCTTGGGGTGTCACGGCTTGGAGAGCTGGTCGAGAAGAATGTCACGCAGGGACAGTAGGTCGATGGAGGGTAGATGGACACCGCGTGCAGGCAAGGAGAGAGAGAGTCGCGAAGGGTATGCGATGGTGAGGAGCGCAACGGCCGAACGGGAAGGAGCCGTCTTCTCGTCCGAGGAAGCACTGTAGATGGTAGCATGGGCCCCGATGACTTTCTCGAGGGCATCCTGCTCCAGCTCTGTCCCGCCGTCTTCATCTTCATCCTCCTCCTCAAACGCGCTGCGCAATACCTTTGACGCATACACTGAACCGCTCATTGTGCGAAGCTCATATGTCGCTCCTCGGCCCGAGACGATGTCGTCCAGCGTAGTCTTGAGCTTGCCGACAAAGGACGAATAGTGGATGAGACCGAGCACGGGCACGAGCAGCGGTGCGGTCCGCCGAAAAACGTCATCGACCTTCCCTTGCGCCCTGCGCTTCGCTGGCTTGGCGATGCCGGCACGTTGCCGGTACTTTTTCCCTAGACCCAGGCGGAGAGAGGAGAGCACGACGTTGGCAATGGGCGAGTAAGCATCGTCCTGCTCATTGTCGGCAGGTCGAACTTTGTCCGTATCCGTGTCCTCGTTTTCGACCATGGAAAAGCACATGTCGGTGAGAGGGTTGATCTCGAGCGAGACGCTGTACGCATCCTCGATCGTGGTCCGGGCCAGCGAGGCAGACGAGAGGGCCCTGCATTCGGCCAGGAGCGCGTCGTAGAGCTCCACGTCGGCCAGCTCCCTCTGCGCTCTTCGCAATCGTGCTTCGATCCCCTCCTCTGATTGCTCACCACCATCGGCAGAACCAGAGGCCTTGCTCTTGCTCGTCCAGACAGAAGGCTTGGCACCATGGGCATCTTTGACAACGAGGCTGACTTGGAGCGTCCGATTGGGCCGCGCAGCAAAGACGATGCCGTCGCCTGAATAGCCGTAGTACGCCAGCGCCCTCTTCTGGTACGCTGTGGCAGCCTCGGGCGCTGCATAGCTGATCCAGGCATCCCTAGCCGCCTCGTCCCTCCTTCTCATGGCGTCGTCTGGCAGCAGCTCCCTCTTTCCATTCTTGACTCGGATCGGCCGTCCTGGAACCAGGCCCCATCCTCCGCTTCTGGCCTCACTCAGGGCAGCCCATCGTTTGGTCTCGTCCTCGCTAGAGGAGGAGGCCCTCAGCGCCTTTGCCCCCTTGGCCAGGATGTCGGCGGCACTTGCAAGGCCGTCGTGTTTGGCCTGGTAGCACTCGATCAGATCCCTGGCTCGGTCTTCCAAGTCTGCCTCGTCGATCCTGGCGTCCTGCTTTTGTTGCTTCTCGAGCTCCTTTTGCAGATCTTCGTTGCCATCATCGTCGTCCTCATCGTCTTCATTGGTCTCGTCGTCTTCGTCGCCATCTTCAGTCTCTGCCTTTTTGAGCTGGAGCTTGCTAGCGCCAAAGACGTTTGGCTCAATACCAAGATCCGCCTCGAGATTGGCTGCGTTGCTCATGAGCTGGAGCTGCGAGGCTGGAGCGTTTCTCTGCGCTCCGCCAGTCATCGACGTGGCGGTACCTGCCCTGGCCACGCCTCCTGCGCTCGACGAGGGCGTGCCTGCTCTGCCTCCCGGGCCACTGCTGCCAGACTCCACCTTGGATGAGTTGAGGAGGAGGGAAACGAGGCCGTGTGAGTAGTACAGAGATCCTCGCGCGGTGCTTTGATTGACGAAGGGAGGCGTGAGCTGAGCCGAAGGAGCCATTTACCGGGACTGTATCACACTCACTTGAGATTGTCAAGCATCTCACTTCGCAGCTGTCGCATCTCCTCGATTGTCATCGCATCTCGCCCACTAGTCTCGTACTCCTCCTGTGCATCTTCTCCTCCCGCTTGCTTCTCGTCGCCAGTCTTTTCTTGCCCTTCTTCGCCTAGCTTCGCAACACCGAGGTCGAGCTCGTGTTCGTCGTCATCGTCATTGTCGTCCCGCTTGACGTCACCCTGCTGCTCCGCCGTGGAGCTCCTCTTGAACTGGCTCGAATGCAACTTCGAAAAGTCGCCGCCCCGTTCTGCCAGTAGCTTCTCCATCTTTGCAAACAGCGGCCGCCGGTCCCCTGCCGGCGCCTCCTTGTCCAACCAGGCACGCTCGACGACATCGCCGAGATCGTCCCGTGGCTCGCTGCTCTTGACATCGCCCTCCCACAGCTGCCTTCTGGCCCTCTGCAGCGCATCCCGAGAAGCCTGCGAAAGGATCACGGGCGGCTCAATCGCAATCGTCGACGCCGCCGCCGACGAGCGTGGGCCCGATGTTGCATGCCCGTGCGCCATCGTTTGGGCCGCCTAGACTAAACCGTCGTCGTGGGAAGCTAGTCTAAGCTTCGTCCTCTATGCTCCCCCCGTCGTGACGCGCCTATTCCTGATTGCTTTTATTTTTCGGGGAAAATTCCAAGACAAAAAAGCCCGTTCTTCTCGTCTCATCTCATCTCAACTCAACTCAACTCACTCCTCTTGCTACTAGCCAGCGAGACGAGACGAGACCACCCAGATAGATAGACGAGGATGTCGGCCTCTTCGCCGAGTGGCTGGAAGGTCGCGAGCCCCTGGGTGAGTGCTGCCGTGGATTCCTGTCTTCTGTGCTTCCCCATCGAGCTGACCATACCTTTTGGACCGCACGGGCAGACGGAGCATCGGAATGCGCAAGGCCGCGTCTACTGGTACCACCAGACAGAGAAGCGCAGCGTGTGGGAGAAGCCGAGCGAGCTCAAGACGGCCAAGGAAGTGGGTTCGAAGCTAGGGACCAACGCATACGAGACTCCACTGACAGTTCCATGCCAAACAGAGGGCAATTGACTCGACGCCGTGGAAGGAGTACCAGAGCGGGGAGCGAAAGTACTATGTCCACTCGGTGACAAAGGAGAGCAGCTGGTCGCTGCCCAAGGAGCTCAAGGGTGGGTACTCGGAATGCTTGGCTTGGCTTGGTTTGACAGGCCCCTGTGGATCTTTATGCTGACAGCCGTGTGCCGTTCTGCATGAAAGACCTCTTCGACCAGATCCCTGATGAGGAGCAGACGCAGTCGCCCGGCCCAGGCGCAGCAGACAACCAGAGTCCAGCCGCCACGGCCATGTCACCACATGGCGCTGCACCCGCGCAGTGGCAGCAGGTCGCTCCCGGAGCATCGACAGCGGCGACACCCCGACCGCCCATGGGAGTCCCTGCTTCGGCATCCCCGCTTGGGTCGATGTCGTCCCCCGCCGGTGCCACCGCAGCAATGCCATCCCCTCTCCCACCTACCCCTGCTTCCGCTGCACCACTTTCTGCCTCGCTCCCCGCGCGGCCCCCACCACAGGCCGTCTCGGCCTCGGTGAGCATCGCGGGTGGCGAAGAGGCCTTTTTGCATCTCCTGCGCGAAAAGGGCGTCGATGCGTCGTGGAGCTGGGAACAGACGATGCGGGCCATCATCACGGAGCCGCTGTACAAGAGCCTCAAGACGCTGGCAGAGCGCAAAGCTGCCTATGGCAAGCACATTGCCGCCCTCAAGGATGAGGAGGAGGCGAGGACGAGGGCAATGGCTGCCGAGGTCGAACCAAAGGTCAGGGCCGAGGTCGCGGCCAACGCGGCTAGATTCCCCCACTGGCTCTCGTACGAAGGCGTCGTGGCCCGGGGTGGCCCACGCACGGCCTGGAAGGCCCTCGAAAAAGTCGGCGAGCGCCAGGCGAGAGACCTGTGGGAGACGATGCGAAGGGAGCTGAGGGACAAGGAGGAAAAGGCGCAGCGGGAGCTGAGGCACCGCAACATGGACATGCTCATGTCGCTCCTCAAGACGTTTGAGGCCGACGTCATGACGCGCTGGAAAGACGCCAGGCAGACAGTGATTGAGTCGGAGGAGTGGACCACCGACGCCCATCTGAGGAGCATGGACGTGGGCGACATGATCGATGTCTTTGACGAGCTCATGAAGGGCATCGAGCGCGACAAGACGCAGGAGATGAAGGACAAGGCCAAGAAGAGGAAGCGCGACGACCGAAAGAGGCGCGACTGGTTCAGGGCCAAGCTCGACGGGCTGAAAAAGGAGGGCGTCTTGACGAGGCGATCTGTGTGGCCTGACGTACATGCGCGGGTCAAGGACGAGCCTGAGTACAAGGAGATGCTCGGACAGCCGGGCAGCACGCCCCTCGAGCTCTTTTACGATGTCGTCGACGAGCTCGAGAGCAGCTTCAGGGCCCTCGTCCACGATGTCGAGGATGCCCTCTGGTCGAGCAAGGACAAAAACTGGAAGGTCAAGGAGGACACGACATGGGACGAATTCAAGGCAAAGATCGACGAGGCTGCTTCGCACACGCTAAAAGACAAGCAGGATGACGAGCTGAGACCTGTCTTTGACGAGCTGGTGCACATTGCAGGCCAGCGTAAGAGAGACGAGCAGAGGCGGGCCGAGCGAAAGCTGCGCCACCTTTCAGACGACCTCCGGTACGCCCTCAAAAAGGTCGACTTGCCGGCGTTTGACTCTGAAGAGGAGCTCGATGCCAAGAATTGGGCCGAGTGGAAGGTCGTGCTGGCAGGGCTGGACCTGAGGGAATGGCAGGCGTTTGATCAAGTGCAATCGATGGGCGAAGACGCCATCGACGAGGCAAGAAAGTCGGCGTGGGAGAGGTTCGTCAAGCGTCAAAAGGTGGGGTTCAAGGTTCTTGTCGTCATTTCTTCTTCAGAGAATCATTAGCTGACAAAGGTGGCATGATACCCTCAGGAAAAGATTGAGGAAGCACGAGCGTCTCTTTCCTCGAGAAAGAGGAGAAGCGATGCGGCAGACGTCGGGGAGGACGAAGGCGCCAGTGGGAAACGGCGGCATCCCGACGAGGAAGGCAAGTCTCGGAGCACGAGCAGAAGAGAACGCAGGACAGGGGCAGACCTCGATGCGGACAAAGAGAAGCAGCAGACTCGCAAGGTGCGTAATGAGCGGTGAAGCTCAAGGAGGTCCGCAGACACTGACCCTGTTCTCTTCGTCTCCAGCGACCGAAGACGGGAGAAGGAAACGGGAAGGCTAGCGAAAGCGAGGTTGAAGAAGGCGAGGTCTAGCGCACGCCCTTTTGAGGTGATGGGTGTACTACTACAACTGCAACTGAAGGTCTGCTGCCTGCAATGGATCCTCATGCCCATTTGAGATCGCCTCATGGAAAGCCTACCTTGGGAGCTGCTTATGTAATGTGTTTTTTGACATTTGTGTGTGCGACACGCTCGCACGGATTCGGTTTTTTGGCAGCCGGGACTGGCGGACCTCCACTCGCTGAGAAGACGCGCAGAGATCAGTTGGTGGCTTCGGATTTGATCGAGCGACGACGATTCGCTCTTGCATGCATCAAGGCCGGGTCGAATATCTGGTGCTGCAAGTAGGTGCTTTGTTTGATGCATCCCTTGGCCACTCCTTGATTGCCGAGCTTCAAGACCAGGCAGGCAGGAGCAGTTTCAATATTTAGAGGGGACCCACCTTGGCACATTGACATTAATTTACGGTTTGGGCAATAATCGGGGCCAAGACTCCGTCATCGAGCATTGCCCACTCGCACGAAATACAGGGATCCCACTTTTTCTTTTTTTTTTTGGTTGCACCAAGAGGGAGGGGGAAGGTGCCCGGACCGTCACAACTCCATCTTTCTATACGTGCTCTTGCAGGAGTCTGCGCACCACGGCGACGAACGCGATGAGGAGCAGTGAAGAGGCGTCGCCGCCCTCGTCGCCGACGACGCAGGGCGTGCACCACCGGAAGCGGGACATGTACTCGCAGAACCGGCCGGTGCCCTCGATCCAGCGCTTCTTCAAAAAGGGCCTCCTCGACGTCCTTTCGCGCAACGAGGACAGCGAGTCCGAGGACGACGAGGCGACCGATGCCGAGACCGAGACGCAGGTCGAGAGCCCGCGCTCGTCCAAGGACACGGGCGACGCGGCCCCCGATCAGGCAGCGACCACCGCGCAGCAGAATGGTGGGCACCGGCGAAAGGACAGCAAGGCCGGCGGCGCCGATCGCCGGTCGGGCCGGCGATCGCACAAGCCGCAGACTGTCGACGATCCGGTCACCAGACAAAAGGTGACGATCAGCGATGTTGGCCGAAAAGAGTACGAGCGGGCGATGAGGCGTGCCGACGAGCTCGATCAAGGGCGAGGAGGCGGCGATGGAGGAGGTGGGCCCCGGGGTGGCGGTAAGCAGACGAGAAGCAAGCACTTTGATGCCGAGAACATCCTTAATCTGCCGTTCCCTCCGGAGGAACCCCTGCCTGCGTCGCTGTTCGCAGTCCACCCAGTCCTCTTACCTGGCTGTGTCATTTGGGCCCTTGTCACCGCCATTGGGCCGTTGCCGAGATGGGTGTCGGTGCTGCTAGCTGCTTGGATGGCCTGGTTCTGTTGGGAGCGACTCAAGAGCGGCATGGAAGACCGACGCTGGGAGCGAGAGCGGCTCCGGGGCGAATCAATCAGGCAAAGTGGCGGAGCATCGCAGCACGACGGCAACAAAGCCAACCATGCAGCGAGCAAGGAGCACCCAGGCACACACCAGCCGTTTCCAGGTATCAAAGAGGGCGCCGAGTGGCTCAACACCCTCGTCGATCGAGTCTGGGAGGTCATGGATCCGGCGCTGTTTTCGAGCATGGGCTCCACCCTCGAAGATGTCATGCAGGCCTCGATTCCAGGCTTCATCCATGCCGTCAAGGTCGAGGATCTCGCCCAGGGGTCCACACCCCTTCGATTGACTGGCTTTCGCGTGCTCCCAGACGACGAGGCGCAAGATCTGCGAGCTGAGGCGCAAAAGGCACTTCGAAAACAGCGCCTCGAGGAGAAGAAGGTGCGCTTGCCCCACAAAAGGCATGCAAAGGCCAATGAAGATGATGACGACGATGGTGATGATGATGGTGGTGATGATGAGCAAAAGGGGAAGGAAGGAGATCAGAAAAGTGCAGACAAAGGTGGAGACGTAAGGAAGGTGGGGAAGCCTAAGCGACGAGTGGAAGAGGATGCAGGTGGCTCCTACATCAACCTGGAGCTCGGCTTTCTCTACCGCGCACGACCGACAGCAAACACAGTGGCGAGCAAGAGCAGAAACGCACACTTGCTCATCAAGTTCTGGGTCGGCGCTAGAAAACTCTATACGATTCCCCTGCCCGTCTGGGTCGAGATCAAGGGCCTCGTCGGCACTGTCCGAGCCCGGCTCCAGCTCACGCCCGACCCGCCGTTTGTCAAGATGCTCACCTTCAGCTTCATGGGTCTGCCCCGAGTCGGCATTGAGGTCGTCCCCCTCGGCATCAACCTTACCCACGTCCCCTTTCTCTCTGGCTTTGTTCAGAGCTCCATCGACGCAGCCTGTGGCGAGTACTGTGCCCCTTCGTCGATGACGACGGACCTCGGCGAGATTCTGATGGGCGACTCGATCAAGCGAGAGGTCAATGCGATGGGTGTGCTCGTCATCTACGTCCACCGGGCCTTTGACCTCGAGAAACAGGACGTGAGGGGCAGCAGTGACCCGTACTGCACGCTGTCGCTGGCAAAGTACGGCAAGGTGCAGTACGCGACCAGGGTCGCGCTCGACGACCTGTCGCCGCGGTGGGAGGAGCGCTGTGTGATGCTCATCAATCCTGAGGCGGTGCGGGCGAGGGAAAAGGTTTCGATTGCCCTGTGGGACTCCGACCGTTTCTCAGCCGATGACATGCTGGGTCGCGCCGAGGTGGATCTGGAGGACCTTGTCAAGAGACCGGGCCGGCTCTTTAAGCGAACGGATACGTTGTTTGGCTTGACACAGGAGATGAAGAAGCAGGGAACGATTCAGTGGTCACTCGGCTTCTTTGCAAAAACGCCAAATATCCGAAAGGAGCTTCGTGAAATGCTAGAGCGGGATCGGCAGAAAGACGAAGAGGAGCACGGGGACGGAAGGCCCGAAGGGCACGCCGACGATGAAAGGGACGATGAGGAGGAGGAGCATGGCAACGGCAATGAGGGCAACAAGCCGATGCAGTCGCGCAACCAGCAACAAGCCGTCGCATTTGAGCCGCCCAGTCCGCTGCTTCCCAGTGGCATTCTCTCGCTACAGGTGCATCAGATTGCGCAGCTCGAAGTGACCGACACAAAGACAAGGTCTTCGAAGCGGAAAGAGGGCGAGCCTGGTCAGCTGTTGGACAATGTGCAGGATGAAGAGGACACAGCAGCATCGCCTAGCTCCTACGTGACCATCATTCTCAACGACGAGACTGTTTTCCGCTCGCGCACAAAGACGCTGAGCAGCAATCCCTTTTTCAACGCCGGGACCGAACGCTTCGTCCGCGATTGGCGCCGGAGTTTGGTCATGTTTGTCGTCAAGGACAGACGCTTACGGGAGGAAGATGCCATCTTGGGCGTTGTGCCAATCAAGCTCTCGGACCTTTTCAAGACGTCGTCGCAAGTCACGCAATTCTTCCCGCTCGCTGGTGGCCTGGGACATGGTCGTATTCGAGTGTCTGTGCTCTTCAGACCGGTCCAGGATCTCAGCAGGCACAGGACCAAGCTTGGGTGGGACGTCGGAACAGTGAGTTTGCATTTCTTTTTCTTTTTTCGCTTCTCTTCGTCTACTAATTAGAGTTGCCCATTCGACAGATGCGTATCCTGTCAAGCCCCATTGCAACAGACTTTGTCGACGCCGATGCCGCCTCCGCGCTTCACCTTGCTAGCCTCCGCGCCGGTACGCTGGCCGGATCAGCACGCATCGCAGGTAGGAGGGCAAGGCATGCCAACAACGAGGACCAGTCCACGCGAGAGTTGGCTGGCGAGGACGATGAGGAGGACGACGAGGGCGTCGAAGAAGAGGCAAGGGAAGAAAGAGGCAGCAGCGCGACAGGTGGCGCCGGCTCAAGGCCCATCAAATGGCGGATTCGCGAGGAGGAGTTTCCCGTCAAGATTCCCGCTCGGAGACGATACACGACCTCATTTGTCATCGACTTCCGATCTGCCCGGGACCGCACATTGGGCCGGTCAAAGGTTGTGGCCATGTGCATTCTGTGGTTGCAAGACTTTGCGGATGACGACATCGTTGACGAGGTCCTGCCGATCTGGCGACCGGTACCTGGCGGCGACCTGCATCGACTTCGACAGAATTATCACCATTACAAGGATGAGGCAGAGGCAGAACAATACGGTGTCGAGCGGATGGGCTACCTACGCGTCCGGCTGCAATTCAAGTCTGGCGTGGGCAAGATTCACACCAAGTTCGACTCCAACGTCGACGCCAAGGACGTCATGGAGGCTTGGCGCTGCTGTGTAGCCGTTGGACTGCGCAGCGTGACGGGCGACTTTGTCAACCAAAAGCAGGACGAGAGTGGACAACCGATCGACGAGAGGGAGAACCGAGCGTCGGACGAGATTGGCACAGAGGACGGCGGTAGCGATAATGACGCGGATGGCGACTCACCTGCGTCGCCCACGGGTCGAGGCCACCGGAGGACCCCGTCGGGACAGTCGCGGAGGAGCAAAGAGTCCGCGGACATAGACAATGGAGAGGAAGAAAACGGAGACAGCCATGACGACGAGCTTACGATGCTCGACAAATTGAGAAAATGGACAGACGAGCGCAAGGAGCTCCACCGTCAGCACAAGGGTCTTAAGCAGTACAAGGTCGTCAGGACGGCCAGCTGGATTGGCAGGGGGGTCAAGGACCGGGGCCACCGTGCCTATGACAGCTTCAAGATGCAGGACCGACGGGCAGGACAAGTAGAGACAGAGATCTAGTCTAGACATCATTGCCGTGGAGGGAATGCTGTGCGTGATTGTCGCTTTTGCGCACGAGGCGAACGCTCAATAATTAATTGATGAAGACGATCTCATGCAAAAGTTCCTCCTGCCATGACGTGCGGCCGTTTGCTGAACGTACGTCAGCTGATGGTGGCTGAGGTTGGTGAAATCGCGAAAAGGCGGCTTGGCACCGTCGCATGAGCTTGTGCAGTTTCCGTGGCTCCTTGTCCGGCCTTAAAGCCACGGAAAAGACGAGACCGATGGCGAGTCACAGACGTAAGCATTTTGCCCCTTCTAAAATTTCGCTCACCCAACTCCATACGCTGCCTAAAATCCTCGGGAAAAGCTTGCAACAGTAAGCACCGAATGTCCCGGAGATTGGGCTTAATTTCGATTCGACTAGAAACATGTCCGCGGGACCTCCAACTTTGATAATAAATGAATTCAAAAGTAAAGACTAACACCGGTCGGTCACAATAGTTTTCTTATGTCCTGAGTTTCAAGGCCGGAGTACTTGGGAGCGGGCGTTCTATCTGCAGGGTAATGCTTCATAATTTAGACTAAGAGTGGAGGTAGTAGGTTCCGGACCTCGGATCTCATGCCAGTAGGCAGCTTCGCCCGTAGGGTTTCTTGTTCCATCGTAAATACGGCGTTTATGCATGCGGGTCGTGATGACGGTCTTGCGAGAAGGGAGAAGAAAAAACAAGCGTTTCTCGCTGAGGCCGGACATTCATCGTTCGACGCTGTCCTGGGCTATATATAGAGCGGCGAAGCATCTCAAACTATCTCATCCTCCGACACATCTCCTCTTTCCTGCTTCGATCGCCCACACTCTGACCGCAACAGCCACAGCAGAGCATCAAGACGATGGCTTCCTCGGTCAAGACGGCACAATTTGGACAGCTTGTCCACTTCCTGTCCAGGGGCAAGATTTTCCCATACCCCGAGGAGCAGCCCGATTTCGTCCTTCCAGAAAAATATGGCGGGCCTTCGACGAGCGCAACGTCCATCAGTGGCGCGACGATGAACGAAAAGGAGGAGCTTGCAAAGAAGGTTGATACTGAGCCGCAGGAGCAATTGCAAGAGGACGGGCAAAGAAAAGGGCTTCAGGACGCGCACGACATTGAGCGACAGCCATCGGCACCGCACTCGATCCTTCCCGGTGGCGACGCACTGACGCGCGCCATCAGCAGCAACCGCTCCATCAGGATCCCCGAGGCTGAGAACAAGGACAAGGACATCATTCTCGTCGACTGGTACAGCGACACCGACCCTGAAAACCCGCAAAACTGGTCATTCAGCAAAAAGGTCTTGGTGACCCTTTTGATTTCACAGATGACCTTTGGTGTCTATGCTGGCTCGGCAATCTATACACCATCGATCGAAGGTGTTATGGAAGAGTTTCATGTCGGTCTCACAAAAGGTGTCCTCGGTCTCTCGCTCTTCGTCTTCGGCTACGGAATCGGACCCCTCTTCCTGTCGCCTCTCTCCGAGGTTCCCATCATCGGGCGCAACTGGACTTACATTCCCTCGATGATGGTCTTCGTCCTCTTCAACATTGGCGCTGCCGACGCACCAAATTACAGCACCCTCATGGCATTCAGGTTCCTCACTGGCTTCTTCGGTTCGCCCGCGTTGGCCACCGGCGGCGCCAGCCTGGGCGACATCTGGTCGCAAATCAAACTGCCTTTCCCCATCGCTATCTGGGCCGTCGGCGCTGTCTGCGGTCCCGTCCTCGGCCCCGTCATTGGCGGCTTTAGCGCCATGAACCTCAACTGGCGCTGGCCTCTGTGGCTTCTCGTCATCGCATCTGGACTCAGCACTGCACTCATCTTCCTTTTGCTGCCCGAGACGTACGCGCCCAACATCCTGCTGCACCGAGCAAGGCGCCTTCGCAAGCTCACAGGCAACGACAAGATCCGCAGCCAGGGCGAGCTGGACCAGGCGGCGCTTACCGCAACTCAGCTTCTCGAAGAGGCCCTGGCTCGACCATTCATCCTCTCGTTTGAGCCAGTCGTCTTCTACACGAGCTTGTATCTCGGTATCGCCTACGCCTGCTTCTACCTCTTCTTCGAGTCGTGAGTTGCGCATTACAGACTTTGCCGAGTTCGTGCAGGATCGATGCTGACACATTACTCTCCACAGCTTCCCGATCGTCTACATTCAGTTCTACCACTTCAACCTGGGCGAATCGGGCCTTCCCTATCTCGGTCTGGCTGTGACGGGTGTCTTGACATTGATCTTCTACCTCTGGTACCTCGAGAAGGTCTTCAACCCGCGCTTCCTCGCCAAGGCTTCGAAGGGCATCATCGTTCCCGAAGACCGTCTCGCCATCGCCCTGTTCGCCTCGGTCTTCGTTCCTGTCTCGATGTTTGGCTTCGGCTGGCTCGCGCGGCCTTCGATCCACTGGATCGCACCGACGATCTTCGCCTCGCTGCTCCTGCCCGGCGTTTTCTTGCTCTTCCAGAGCATCCTCGTCTACCTCCCGATGTCCTATCCAGAACACGCCGCCTCAGTCCTGGCCGCAAACGACATGATCCGATCGCTCATCGCAGGCGCCTTCCCCCTGTTTGGTCATGCGCTCTTCACCAACCTCGGAAATGAGAGCGTGGGCAAAGGCTGCAGTGTCGTCGGTGGCATCTTTATTGCCCTCATTGCGCCGCTCTGGGCCCTCAAGCGATACGGACACCATCTCCGCAGGTGGTCCAAGTACGCCCACGTCTACTAGATTACAGTCCATCCCCCTCGCTCTACCCTGCCATCTCCATAGACGCACCCTCCTACAACAAATACTCATCTCCAAGATTCCCTCGTCAACGCTGTATACTTCCCCCCTCTTGCTATTGTTTAATCCTGATAGATCCCTCAAAAGGTTATGTGAAAGGCTGACAAGCTCGTCAAGCACCGTTATGAATATTTCCCTCATAAGCTGCACATACAGCTATGGAAGAAAAAAAAAGTAGTCGCCATTTTGTTTTTATCACAGGAGCTCGATGAAAGAGCTCCTCAACACTGTTCTTAGGCCTTCACATACTCACGAAGGACCTGTTGTAAGCAACAAAGAGATCTGTGAACTCAGTATCGAGTGTTACCTCCTCCATTGGTCTTAACAACCACCATTTTTTTTAGGCATGGACTGTACCAGCTTAACAAAGAAGTCCGTCTTAATCTCGCTCCAAACCTCTTCAATCGATGAAACAGGTGCATCACGGACTGCATCAGGTCCTCCTCCAAGTTCTCGGATGTGTGGATGCTTCTTGTGAAGCTGGTAATGAGTATTGCGCATTCATTTTTGATTGGATTTTGATCTGGAGAGTATGGTGGCCAGAGGATGGGTTGAATGCCTTGCTGCCTGAACCAGCGCCGTGAATGCTTTGATGTATGCACTGGGCTGTTGTCCTGCTGGAACAAGCTCTGCCCTGGCAGATTTTCGAGCCATGGAAGGAAGTGTTCAGTGAGCATGGAGGTGAAACCTCTTAAATTGAGATGGGGGCCAGATGTCCTTGTTAGAGGTCCTTTGTTCGCTCGCTTTTCTAACATCCAGGCAGCCACCAGCTGTTGTCTTCTTGATGCAATCATTGTGATACTTCTCTGCAGCAGTGTGGAAAATCCAGTCCCAGCCCTTCTTTTCTTGTTGAACAATTCTTTCATCTGACCAAATGACCATGCCCCATTGAATGATTGACCAATCTCGATGTTCCAACGCATACTGAAGGCGTCTTTCTTTATGATGTGGCTTGAGATCAGGCTTGGGGTCTCTCTGTGCTTTCCCTTTCCATATTCTCTCAACACACGGTGTGGAGTGGGTCTTGAGATGTTAAAGTTGCTGTTGTTGATTGTTTCTTGCAATGGCGCCATCCTCTTCTGCAACGCCTCATTGTGCAGTCTTTCTTTCTTGTCAGCAGATAGCTTGGGTGACCAGCTTGTTGGTTTGTGGTTCTCTGTACTACCACAGGCTTGGAAGCATTGTAGCATTGCCTTAAGGATGTTGTGAGAGAGGGAAAGCTTTTCGGAAGTGATTTTGGGAGTTACTCCTTCTTCATAGAGAGAGAAAAAAAGGACCCTCTCTTTTTACGCAGTGCTGCAGCGCTTGGACATTGTGGTTTGGATGTAAGAGAAGAGGTAGAACTATGCTTTTGCCACACAAAGAGTATCATACTGAGTAGCTACACAGCTTTTTGCCGAAGCTGGCCGACGACATCGGGGCAAAAAGACGCGACAAGGGTACTACCTCATTTCCCACAGATAAAAGTTGCCACAGTGGCTTGTTTCTTCCCTCGCTGAACCGCTAGACGAGCACTTGATGACATTGCTGGTGCCTAATGTAATGCTATCGGATCAGAAGGACCAAGGAAAGAGTGTATGAGAAATAGACAGAGGCGGTATGTACAGAGTAGCTTCTAAGATAAGATGAGATGGTCACGATGGAGGGGACGGGGTGAGGCTGGAAGAACCGGATAAGCAGGAGCAAAGGTGAGTGTGATACAGCATTTGTTGGATCAGATCGTTATTCAATTGTTCATAGTTTTTCGCTAGCCTTCTCGATGAACGACACCCTCGCCGCCGCTTCTCTGAGAGACGTCCAAACCAAGAGCGGAGTCAATTTGGGTGGGTGGTGGAAGCCAGAAGCGTTCTTCTCCTCCATCGTCGGAATGACCGGCACTGCTGGGTGCTCGTTGCAAGTCGGCGCCAAGCATACCGAAAGGCCCTCTGCCACCGATGTTGTGCGTGTGTACGTGGTGGTGGCTAAGGATGGTCGAGTCAGCTTCGGTCGCGCGGTCATCGTTGTGGACAGGGGTTCCATCAGTGGGCGACTGCGAAGCCTTTTGGGCAGCACCGCCCATTCTTGTCGCAGGCGCTCGGACCACCTCAAACCCTCTAGTGGCACCGGGTGGCAAGCTTCCTCCTGCAGCTGTGATCGCTTCATCATCGTCATCGTCGTCTGCACGATTCCTCAACGCGCTCCGCCGCGGTGTGGGCGCCTGGCCGCCCAAACGTTGTCGCAGCACGCCGAGAGCTTCAGACATCCGAGCAACGCCTGCCCATGCACCTTTCCCTCGAGCACTGGCACGGTGATCCCAGGTTGTCTCATTGTCACTGCTATCGTCACTACTGTCGCCATCGTCTTCGACGGCATGGTGGGAACGCCTTATGCCGAATAGTCCTCCTCGTCTAGCTCCGCCTGGCGGCATTGTATCTTTTCGAGCGTTTGCAGCCGCAGCCGCAGCTGCAGCAGCTTGAGTACTGCTCATTTCGTTGGGCGACTGAGGTTGAAGAGCGTGGTAGGACGATCGCTTGTCAGCCGGAGGTGGTCCGTGTCGGACTATGGCATCTTTATCCCAAACACCAATGACTCCGCTCTGGCTTGTAGGCCGTGGCCTCCGGGGCGAGGCTGACGAACCTGGCGCACCGGACTGCGCACCAGGCATTGAGGGGCGCTGGGCCGGTGGGAGAGAAGCGTAGGGTTCGGCATCGGTAGCTCGACCTCCTCCCAGTCTGACGAAGCCAGAGTGACTGGGTGTCGGAGGAGCAGACGGATTGACGCTGCTTGGATTGCTTGTTGAGTCGAGCTGACGGTATGGTCCAGGCCCAGGACTTGTGGGTGGCATGGCCGCCATGATGTTGCCCTCGTCATTCGCATCGCCTCGAAGGTAGGCAGAGTAGACGCCTTCACCAAAGAAGTCTTTGCCACCCGATGAGTTTGGCCGTCTGGGAAGGGTGCTGGGCTGTGAACGTGGAAGGGCAGCCTGGTCAAGGTAGCTGGCAAAGGAAGCCTGTCTTGAGTGAGTCATGGGAATCTTGCTGCCGTTGGTCATGACGGGCGTGCCGCTGTGCGAGCTTGCTCCTCCCGATGAGTTGGGCCGAGGGTGCAGGCCTCTCGCCATGGGAGCGCCGGCTGCTGGCCTCGAGAGCTGCAGTGTCTTCTGCTTGCGCTTCTTGATTTTGCGGATCGCACCGCCCAGCCCAGCGGTCCTGCCCGAGGTCTTCTCGTCAAAGCGAACCCGCCAGCCAAGCCTCACAAGTGCCTCGACAATCTTGACCAAGAGCACCAGCGCGATGGTTGCGAAATAGATGCCTTGAACGAGAAGGATGACGTAGGTGAGCCAACCATCCGCCTCGTGTCCGAAGCCGACAAGCGTGGTTAGCAGGAGCGCTAGGACGCAGGTGACGATTCGAAGAACGCAGGCGATGAAGTTGATCGGACCCATCATCGCACCCTCTCCCCAGGGCAACCACAGGCTCGAAGCAAGGGTGACGAGAATCTCCACAAGAAGGATGATGATAGCTTGAGCGGCGCCACTAGCCTGACCTGCACCAGTCACGATGCCAAGGACGAGGCTACGCGAAAGTACGATGATACAGTAGAGTTGGCTGCCGGGAGCGTAGGTGTGGTACATTGGGCCCAAGGCGAGTAGCGTACCGACGTGTTCATAGAGCTTGTCAGTGGGGAGTCGGTAGATGCGCCAGACGAGCCACAGAGGCGCGATGAGGGAGAAGAACGCAAACGAAAGCGCAGCTAGAGCGATGGGTACCGTCGAGTGGGAAGATGGCTGCGAGAATTGGTAGGTGGAGAGGATGGTGATGGGCAGATGGAACAGGACGAGAGCTCGGACGAGATTGCCGTGGAGAGCTTTGCCATGAAGACCCAGCGTATTCCTGGAAATCGAAACACCGAAGAAGAAGTGGTGTCTCCTGCCCGACGACGAGGTTGAGTGTGGCCGATCGAAGTTTTTCTCACCGTTGCCAAAATGATCGGCGATACCAGGGCTCGACGGCAGCCGAATCTCTCCTCCTTCCTCGCGACGTCGCCGCACCTCGTAGAAGCGTTGGAAGCTACTGTCAACAATCCAAGCGACCACCGAGATGGCGACGATAATGGCGACGATAATGAGCCATATGGCTAGGCAGGTTCCATACAGGTCGGAAGCATAGAGACCAACCGAGCTGGCAAATGCCTCGATGCCGGTGTGCGAGTTGTTGAGGTTAACGAGGACGTTGGGTTGAGCCGCGTTCATGTAGAGCGGGCTCGTCGGCGTCGACATTTGCTCGCCGATGTCGCCCGAGGGGAGCTTCGCAACCGTGGACAAGAGGTCGTACTTCTCCCCGTCCGACTGGACGAGAGTAACATTGCCGAGGAGACTCGACCAGGCGGCTTGTCGGAAAAATTCGTACGCAAAGTCAGGCCACTGAACCTGGAACATGGCGACGGCGACAATGAATTGGAGGTGGAAGATGACGTCCCAGCAACCTGGCGTTGCGAATCGCAGCAAAGATGGGCTCATGACGAGCCCCTTACCGCTCAGAGCGGAAACAAGAGCTGGACCAAGCTTGTCGCTGACGAATCTCGGAGCACCGCCTTCTCGTGCTCTGTTCTTGAAAGCTTTTCTCCTCGATGTAATGGCCGTTGCAATGCTTGCGACCGAGACGAGGACGAAAAAGGAAATGACGAGGGCAATGGGCAGCCAGAGGATCAGACCCCAATACCACTGGGAGGGGTAAAAGGGCGTCGATTGCACCTCAATGCAAGCAATGCTTAAGGCTGGACTCGAAGGATCGGTGAGACGGATTTCGGTCCAGATTGTCGTAGCATCGTAAGACGAATTGAGAGGAATGTCGACGCCAAACGACACCTGCCCAGGGCCGTACTGGCACGAGGCTGGAATCACATTGGGGTGCTGTGAATCGTTTGCCGTAGGGTACAAGCGGTCGCAGAGGTAGGTGTAGTTGAAAAAGACCGGAAATGTGAGGACCTTGGAAGACACTTGAATGGCACCTGGTGAGAAGAGTGCCTGGTCAACGTCTTCAACCCGTGAGAATAAGAATGGTGTTTAGTGCAGCAACTCACTGAGAAGGCCGTGACTTTGGTTGTTCGAATCGACGTAATTGTTGAATGCATAGCTTTCGTTACCGATGGACCCGACGCCAACGATGCGAAGCGTGCCAGCGGAGTACGGCAGCCTGGGACCCAGGATGCTATCTCTGGTGTCGCGATCAAATTGCGAGTAAACCGACGAGACGTTGATGCGGTTGCCCGGCTGAGCATACTTGAGCGACGAGTCGGAGCACCCGGAAAAGTAAGGGCCTGATCGAGGTCTTCCTGAGTGCCGGCCTTGATTTGTGAGTGGATTGTGGACGAGATAGGGGACTTGCGCATCGCCGACGTTGATTGGCGACAATGAAGTGGAAGTCGGGACGGGGGCACTGCTCGAGGCCGTCGTTGCGCCCGAGGCGGGTGTCGCAGAGGCAGAAGGATTGTTGATGGAAGCTGAGAGCGTTGTGCCGGTGTCCTGGGCCGTCGTCAGGCCCAAAGTGGCCAGGACGACGACGAGTAGCGAGAGGGCGGCGAGCCTCATGACCTACAATGCTCTACGATCAGGCGATTTCGTCGTCGAGGCAAAGGCGCTCGTTCCAGTGCACCTTCCTCCTCACGCTCTCGAGCCCTACCGCAATCGTCGTAGTCGCCGTCGTCACCTCCTCTCCCCTACAAGTGACAATGAAGAAGGTTGCCGATGAAGAGGAAGGGAGTTTAGCAGAGGTAAGTCATTAGGGAGCGGGCGACGGAGGAGGCGGAGGCGCGAATTTCGAGATTCCAATCACAGGGTCGAGACAGACAGGGCCCGGCAAAGGCTACTACTACTGTACTGTACAACAATTTCATGCACCGCACATGATAGATTGCAATTAAATTTTGGCGTTACAAGCCGATGCAAGCCAGGTCAAACGACCTCGGGGCCGCGAAGTACGCTGGCCCCCAAGTCTTCGGGACGATTCAAGAGGCGAACATGCAAGTAACATAGACACAGAAAGGGGCGCCACCGTTTTCGACTTGACTTTTTTGAACTCCCCTAGGCCACATACACAGCGACAAGCGCGAATCTTTCTCATCATCATCATCATCATTATAGAGAGTCGGAGCGTTGATCTACTGGTGACACAAGTAATTATCACTGGAGGACATCCGCTCTTGCTTCCTGTGCAATGCGGTGGTTGAGCTCTTGAACCTTGTTCCTCGCCTCAATGAGCAAGTTCGACTCGCTCGAGAGCAGTCTTTCCACGGCGTTGAGCTGCTTAGTGCCTAAGGTGGCGCTCGAGCGCTGCCCGATCGATGACCGATCGCTTTGTTCGCGCTTCAACTCTTCTAAGTCGGGCTTCAGAAGCGAGAATTGATGTTGCAACTGATTGAAACGAGGAATGCACTCAGAATAGGAAATAAACCCTTTTTATGAGCTCACTCACCTGCTCGACCTTTGCGGTAAGACCGCTCCGATTTCCCCGTTCGCCTCCTTGCTCTCCCACTTCACGGGAAAGCCCATCAAGCTCCTGAAACCACTGTTCTTCGTATATGCTCAGTTGAGGGTGATGCTTCTCCATCAATTTCTGCAGCATTCCGTCGGTCCTTTTCATCAACTTCCTTTGCCGTTCCATTACCCTCTCCATTCTCTGGCGAATGGAGCTGTCAGTGCCTTCACCACCAGCTCGATTGTTGGCTTCGACGAGCTTGGACAGTTGCCTCGCCAGCTCCCGGACCTCAAGGTCTAGACGGGCCTGGGTGACGTTTCCACCCCTGACTAATTTTCGCATCTCCAATCTCAGCTCCTCGACCGTGGTGGCGAGCAATCGGAGCGTTTCAGGCGTTACGCGCAGCTCTCCGCTACCGCCCGCCTTCCCAAGGGCCGAGCGAGGATGCGACGGCAGTCCACTGCCTTGGCTGAATGGCTCTGGTACTTTGAAAGCCGGGCCGTCGCCCAGAAGACTAGTGTAGACAGGTGGTCGTTGCTGCTGCCAACTTTGACTCGAGGAGGCGAGCGACGTGTTGTTGGCTGCTTCACGAGCTTGATCCTCATCGTCTTCCTCTTCGCTCCTCAGGTCGAGCTCCAGGCTGACCAGACGGCCATGTACCGTCAAGGCCAAGAATGAGTAAGAAAGATAGATATCGCTGACGATGGCAACCCCAACAACAGGGATGGCCGTGTTGCTGACGTCCCCAAACGAAGGTGGAGCTGTCTTGACGATGCAGGCAATGTCCGTCGGAACGCTTCTGTGAAGAAAGCGCTCCAAAGCTGAAGGTCCCTGTCCACTGCCGTTCTTGGTTGGTGTTCTGACCGACGTCGGGCGATCCTCTTCGTCGAGAGAAGAAACGGCAGCAGCAAGCAAGCGAGCCCACTTTCCAAAGTTGATAGCGTGAACACCAAGAATATGGTGGACATAGATCGTGTCCGAGTAGAGAGGGTCCGGCTCGAACGCTGCCGTAGAATAGGTGAGTGCTGCATCGATATTGTCGAGTGTAGCTGTCCCTATTCCCCCTACAGCCTCGAGAACTCCCAAGTCCACCGTCTCGTACACAAGAAGTGAAGGAAGCGACTGCTCCGCCTGCGACTGCATATCAAGGTCAGAGTCTTCATCGTCTGTGTCCGACTGAAGAAAGAAGCCGTATTCAGTGAACAATCTACAGAGGTCACATTCGCTCTAGACTCACGAGAGCATAGCGACCACTCGAGTGGACCTTCATGGTCGACTTTGCTCCTTTGGGCCACTTCGGACTCAACGAGTCGAGGAGCACGCACAAGTCGAGGCGGCCATCATCGCCGACGATGCCAAAGACGTGTACCGCTTGCCCCTCTTCCTGCTCAGATGGCACTACCCTTGCGAAAAACATGTCCGTTGCGTTGCTTTCTCGCTCCGTTGACAACTCATGAGGTTCAGGGGTGAAAAGGAACGGGCCTTGAAGCTGGGGCAAAGAAGGGACTATTGGAGCAGTCGGAGCCTCGATCAAGACATCTTCTTCGATCTCGACGTCCCACTCGTCTTCTGGTGGCTCTGATGCCCGTGGATCGATGCTCATGGGCGTCGCAGAGACGCTCCTCCTTCTACGTGATAATTGTGGCTCGACTGAGGTGCTCCTCCGACGCTTTGCTGCATTCTGCCCCCGGCTGATCTGTGCTTGTTTCAGAATTGAGGAGAGGAAGCGGAGCTGAAGATCTCTCTGCAGCATCGATGAGGACGAGGTGATCGAGGTGGAGCTGGTTAACGAGACATAGGAAGACAGCGCATGAATGTAGGCGCTCGGTATTGATCTGCGTGAAAACCATCTAAGCTCTTGACTCTGATATCTGTAATGAGGGGCAACTCACGCTCTCTTGGGAAGGAACGGACAGATAGCGTAGACGTCGCCGTCCCGTCGCAAACCGAATACGGTGAGCGGATTCCAATCCAAGGGGACAGAGGAAGACGTCGCGCTGCTCTGGCCCTCGTCGTCCTGGCCATTCCACTTCTTGCCCATAGAGCGAGTGTCGAGACCGAAAGTGAATGCCACTGCGCTCTTATCTGTCCCAGCACCATTACATTTTCTCTGGGTCTGAAGCGATGCATCGCCGATGTCTTCGAAGTCTTCTTCCTCGTCTGAGATGTCCAGACCGATCCTTGAGCTCCCTGATCGGACGCTCCTGGGCAACGCATGGCTACCCGTCCGCTTCATCACCGATGCTGAGGGCGTTGCAGACCTCGATCGAGACCTTGACCGCGTCGACCGACGGCGCTGATACTTCGACGTGACAGGACTACTCTTTGCCGTAGACGACGACGGAAGCAGGGACAAGGTCTGCACCGGCTCCTCGGTGTCTTCCGATACGTCATACTCTCTAGCGAGGTCATTGTATCGTCAGAGATTTGCTAAAGAGCAGGTGTCTTGGTGCGCCGCAACCCACCTTAGCTGACCATTTTTGGTCAGAATCATTAGGCTCGTGCCGTTAAAGCCCCAAGGGTGCCATTTGCAGTCGGCAACGGCGCCCATTCTTCCAGAGCTCTCGTGGTGCCAGTACCTTCCTATCAAGCCAGCATTGACCGCGATAGAAGAGCCCACGGAGCTGACAGTGCCCGGTCTGGGCAGCACCACGACGGCGACTCTGTGCGTCCCCACAGCAATGAGGAGCTTGCCAGTAGGGTTCACAAGGAGCGAAACCACATTGAAGTCGAGTTTGCTCGACGTCAGAATCTTGTAAGAAGATTTCTGTGGTGTTATTCCCCCCGATCCGTGGTGTTTGACTTCCAGTAGAGACGCCATACGGATCTCGCCTCCCGTTGCAACAAGAAGATCGGTGTTGCGTATCGCCATTGCGCGACGAGGCGGTCGAGGCGCTGACGGGCTAGCTGTCTCAAATATGGGATGAGACGGCAGCGTCGCCAGCCAGCTGACGTCCGGCATCGTTGGATCGGGGGAAGCGTCCGCCCCTAACAACGTCATCTTTTGTCGTGACCCAGGAAGATGTAGGTCTTGTTGGTTGTTCTTGCTCCTGCGTTCAATGGCTCGTCCATGGATCACGTGGTAAGAAATTTAGGCTGACTGGAGGGCACTAATCAACTTTCCAATGCAGACATATGCAAGGACGAAATTTTTGCACGAAGGTTTGTGTAAGTCAAGCTCGACAGCCTCTCTTCATCGATGGGGGTCTAGCTCATTGGCAGAGCGCTTGCTTAGCACTTCAAAGTGTACGTTTGCAAGCGGTATAGGGTTCGATTCCCTAGTCCTCCAAAGAGAGGCTCCTTAAGGAGCATGACATTTTATTTTTCCTTCCCTCAGAGAGATATTTATTTCCTTTTTTTCTTTCCCTTCTTAACACACTCCACCTTAGGAGAGAGCGTCGTTGCTCCTCTCGCCTCCGACTTCTTCTCGGAGAGAAGTCGCCCGTCAGCTGATGAGTCTGTACGCACTGAAACAGATCACAATTCTATATAGCAACGAAAATGGAACGATCTCCCATTGCCCGAGCGAAGTGTTGCCTCTGATCATTCGCTGACAAATATGTGACGGAGCCTCAAGGGTTTTGTGACTAAAAAGTCCGCGACCTGCAAGGTCGTCCAAAATAAGAGTACGCTACGCTTCCGTCGCCAAGGAGTCCACGAATCCCAGACAAAGTCTCGACAACGCTCCAAGGCGAGCAAAGACAACAGCTATGGAGGAAGCAGGATGGGGCGCGCCCCCCATAGTGACGCTGCTGTTGACGACGCTCGGTCTGGCCGTGGGTACCTTCATCTGCGGCTGCATTCCACTCTCCCTACCGCTCTCCAAGACGATGTTGCGGATCCTCGAAGTGCTTGGCGCAGGTCTGCTGGTGGGCGCCTCGATGACTGTTGTGCTTCCCGAAGGCGTGGCGGCCATCTTCCGAGCGGCAGCAGAGGCAGGCCGGACTCATTCAGAAGCACCATCCCATAGCAGCTGGGCGTGGAGCGGCCTCAAACGAGCTGTCGATGACCCTGATCACGATCACGACCACCGATCGCCGGGCTTTGATCCAGAAGCGATCACGGGCTATTCGCTCCTTGCAGGATTTCTCGTCATGTTTCTGTGGGTGTCACACCTCCCTTGAGCTCGGCCTGGTAGCCACTCCTGACGCATACTCCTCCCTTTGAACAGCCTCGACCAGGTGGCCGCCCCTGGGTCGCATGCCCACCAGTCGGAGCCGACCCCCAGGCCAGCATCTATCCATCCATCGCACCGACCTGAGACGTTACGTCTGACAAGGGCGTCATCGATTCAAATCCCAAAGGAATACCAGAAACGTCGCCGTGAAGAGACTGACCCAAATTCGACAGCCGACTCGAGTCCTGAGCGCATGCCAGCGGATCATGACCTCGAGAGCTCCGCCTCTCCTTTGCTGAGGAACGGGGCGGTCTCTCCTCTGCAGGGCAGCCGACATTCGCGCAAGCCTTCGAATGGGTCCGCCGACCGCGATGGCTCCGTTGCGAGGAACAGAGGTCTTCGAACGGCTTTTGCCAGCATAGCCGGCCTCGTCATCCATGCAATTGCTGATGGCATTGCCATGGGTGCAAGTGCAGGCAGCGGCGACGAAAGTCTCAAGCTTATTGTCTTCTTTGCGATTATGATCCACAAGGCCGTGAGTCGTGCAGAAAAGTAGAAAAGTGTCATGTCACTCAACGCTCACGACTATGGTCAGCCTGCTTCCTTTGGACTGTGCACTTTGCTCATGGGCCAAAAGCTCGCCCGATCAGACATTCGAAAAGCGATCGGTATCTTCAGCTTGGCCACGCCCTTCGGAGCGATTCTTAGTGGGTGTCTTTTCCGTCTCGACAGAGTGCCTCGCAACCTCTGTGCTGACTGAGATTGCCAAAATAGCCTATCTCTTCTTGACTCTGATCACCGGCCACTCTCAAGAATCAGGCGTGGGCAGCGTGTCAGAGAAGCACATCGGCGCTGCCCTGACTTTCTCGGGTGGCACGTTCATTTTCGTCGCAATGCACGCCGTCCATGAGCTCGCGTCAGCAGGCGCTGACACGGAGCAACCAGATGATGCCGACGATCATCATTACATTCATCATGCATCAGCGCAGACCACGTCAGCTTTCCATTCGTCGCAGCAGCAACAGCAGCAGCAGCATCATCTTCAGTCGTCTCGCCAAATCCTTGGCAGGACCGGCCGAGTAGCCATCTTGCTTGTTGGGACCATGTTTCCTCGAGCATTACAAAGTCTCGTCGGGCATCATCATTGAAATGTACAGTTGTGGAAGCTTTGTCTACCGCCACAGGGCATCGTTTAATCGTATCACGAGTTGCACAAGGCGATCAGGCTGAATCTTCAGGAGTCGTCCATCATAATCTGTATGAACTCTTGCTCGTTGATCTCGCCGTCTTGGTCCAAGTCGAATTCATCGATCATTGCTTGTCTATAGACGTGTTCAGTCGCCTTCCTGTGCATAAGGCTCAATGGCAAAGCAGCAACTCACAGCTCCTCTTCGTCGAGGCCTTCGCCCAGCTCTTTGGCGACCCTTTTCAGATTGCGCAGGGAAATTTTACCTGTCCCGTCATCATCGAAGAGGCTGAAGGCCCTCCTTATTTCCTCCATGGGATCTCTCATCGAAATCTTGTGCGCCACTGCATGGAGGAGTCTTCAGCATACGAGCTGTTGAGTTGGGTACGGTGAGACACTCACTGACTCGCAGAAAGTCGTCCCACTCCATCAAGCCTTCGCCCTTGTGATCGTGGTCCCGGAGAATCTTGAGTACCTCTGCCTTTTTCAAATCGAAACCGAGCGCTCGCATTGCGACTTTGAGCTCGTGGTAGTCAATGGCTCCGTCTTTGTCTGTGTCAAAGAGCTCAAAGGCTTCTTTGATCTCTTGTCGCTGTTCGTCGGTCAGGTCCGAAGCGTTCGGCGTGCCTCCCCCGCTTGGACCACCTCCCATCCCTGCTGATGCTCCTACTCCACCCGATGCACCAACGCCTGTCCCTGTGCCGTTTGCTCCAAACCGTGGCGTCGTGTGAGTACGCCGTTTTGTCTTGGAAGCCGGTGTATAGAGCGACATGGTGGTGTACCTTTCTAGGTGTTGGTTCGTCTCCGTTCGCGCGTCGCGGGAGAGGCGCGCTCAATGGCAGCGCAGAACAAGGAGATTTTTCACACGTGGGAATTTTAGGCTTGCTGCATGGCAAGCCTTGCTACTACTAGTCTCCATTCGACGACGACCTTTCCGTATTCTTCTCACTTCGTCGCTGCCATCCGCCAACCTACCCTGGTCCTCGATCCAGCAGCATGTCGACATCTTCCTCAATCACAGGACCTATTCCGCCGCCTCGTGGCCTTCCCATATCGGAACCTTCACCTGCATCCCAGCCGCTCGTTGTCAAATACAGGGGCGCGACTGTCGAAGATCTGCAGCTGTCGCCCGCCGTTTGTGTTGGTCTCGACGCCACAGTCGGCAATGCGCTTGATGTCGCTTTCGACCACGAGTACGGCCAGCTGCCTGTGCTGAGCGACACCAATGGGAACCGGAGGCTGACCGGGTATCTCGACGTCAAGAGCTTGAGGGAAGCCGTCGACGCCGGCAAGCTCAACAAGTCGGACAGCGTGAAGGCTAATATGGTCAGATTTTCCAAGGAGCAGAAGCCATCCCAGCCAGCGAACCAGTCTAGTGATGAAAAGAAGGTCTTCACCCTCATTACACCAGAGACTGGCCTCGGCGAGCTCGAAGGTGAGCTACCGGAGCACAACACAGGAACCCGAGGACAACAGCTGACAATCTTCTTGCAACAGCCTTTCTGACTATCTACCCCTTTGCTCTCGTCACGGATGCTTCACGCAACTTTGTCCTGGCCGTTGCCACGCGTGAGGATCTGGCAAAGTACGCTCAACGAAGGGGGATGGAGGAGCCGCAAGGCAATACGACACCCACGCAGCGACAGCAGAAGACTGGCGATGTCGAGATGACTGATGCCTCTGCAGGCAACACGACGCTCCAGGGCGCCACTTCGACGACTGTGCAGCCAATGTCGAGGCGTGAGGAGGAAGAAAAGAGAAAAGACAGAACCTTGGCAGAATTCCTGAGAATGCTCGATGGGTACCGACCGCTGATTCCCGATGAGGTCACGGATCACTACCTAGAAAAGGTCGGGTTCGAGTGCGAGGATGTGCGACTGTGAGTGGATATGCTACAAGTGAAGTTGTCTGTCTAGGGCTGATAGATGAGATCTGGGCAGCAAACGTCTCTTGTCGCTGGCTGCAGAAAAGTTTGTCGCCGACATCGCAGCAGATGCCTTCCAGTACGCTCGCATTCGCACAAATGCTGGGCCGGGCGCAAGAGGCAAAGGAGCGGGCAACAGCACTGCAGCTCAAGCTGCTGCTGCGGCTGCCGCTACAGCCGGTGCGACTGGCAGCAAGGTGAGAATTTCTTTCGCAGCAAAGGAGCAGACATGTAGCTGAACCCGTCCATCTATTTCTCATCAACAGGACCGGTCCAGGACAGTCTTGACGATGGACGACTTGGGAGCGGCGTTGGGAGAGTACGGCGTCAATGCTCGAAGGGCAGACTTTTACCGTTAAACAGTCAAATTTGATTACATTGTACATTGTAGAGAGAGACAAGAGAGGGACAGAGACAGAATCAGTCCACCCCTGATTGGTGAAGAGATGGGCGTTATGGTTAGACGTGAAACGGTGCGCGCTAAGATATGCCAGTCGACTCACAGTGGAGGAAGAGGAGGCCCAGGCCGCTCCCAACGAGAAACATGCACAAGAATCGCGAGGCCTGCCGATTGTTCTCTTTGGCCCGTTGCAGCTGTTCGTTGCCGCGACCGACCTCGAGAGCATGGCCGACGGCCTCCTGGTGCAAGTGATCTGCCATCTCTGCCTGCGAGCCTAGGTGCTGAATGAGTTGAGTCTGAAGCTCGGAGATGTCATTGAGCTTCCGCTCAGCTGCTTCAACAGCTGCAAGATCCTCCGATAGAGACTTGACGAGAGCAGATGACTCTGAGTCAAATTGCTGGACCTGCTCCGCAGTCAGCTTCGTCATGATGTCGCTGTTCGATCGGCCGTTGATTTCGTCTGCAGAGAGGCCATCGTAGGCCGCACGCGACATTGCGCCCTTGCTCCCCGCCACGACGGTGTTTGTAGCTGTCGAACCAGACGATGCCGATGCGGCGCCTCCTTTTGCGCCCGCGCTTCCAGCTAGGTTGATGGATCGAGCCTGTCTTGCGCGCAGACGGGCCTCTTGCATATCGCGGAGACGAGCACTTGCCTTGGTCAATTCGGTGGACAGGAAGGCAGTTATGGCGGCGCGGTGCTGTGTAAGCTGCTCAGCATAGAGGGGATGTGCTCGCCCGGGGAAGTCCGAGCCCGTTGCCGCGCCCAGCAGTCGTGAAAATGGATTCGCAGACATCAACGGCGTCGTTCTCTTGCGCACTGTTGCAAATTACACGGAGTCAGTCACGCACGAGACATCAGCCCATGGCTGAGTCAGACTCACCTTCCTCGCCGGCCTCAAGCTCTTTGATTCTGGCCAGGGAGCGCTTGATGACGACTCTGACCTGAAACTCGATCTCATCTCGCTCCTTGTCGCTCAGACGATCGACACCTTTCCAAGACTCGAGCGACGAGGCGCCCTTGGTTTGATTGGACTCCTTGCGTGCGCCACCCAGAGCTGAGCTTGAGGACAGGTATGGCTTTCTGATGCCTCTGAGAAATGCGTCGAGCGAGACAATGTGTTTGTGCTTCACGCACGCTGCTGTTAGGTCTTCCTTTCTGCAGTACACTGGCTTTGGCGAGAAAAACTCACCACCCGATCAGCCTCACTGAACCACTCTTCATCGGCCGTCCTCAGCCTGAGTGCGTCCTTTTCTTTTGTACTGAGCACTTCACCGGCTTGCTGCTTCTTTCGTAAGAGGCGGACAACTTGGCGGTCGACTATCGGACCCAGAGCGTCGTCCCGACTCTTCTGCCATTTCCGTCGGTTGGCCGAAGAAGAATCGTATTGTTCCACGAGCTCTCGAAACGCAGATGTGTGACTTGTACCTTGAAGAGCCCTCGCGCCCGTCCCAGGCTGGGAATGAGACGAGGCGCCAACCTTCTCTGCTGCGTCCTCAGCCATCGTCAGTGGGGAGGAAGTGACGTGGAGAGAAGAAAGGAATTTTGAGACAACGCACGCGCGCCCTCGCACGGCTCTTTTTACGCACGGCGCTACCACCGCCTTTCACTCTCCCTCTCCCTCTCCCTTCCTGCAGTTGCTGGTGGCGTTCGTCGGCCTGTCTTTGCGTGTATTCGCTTTCGATCATGGCTACAATGGCAGAACAGGACGACGGAAAGGGCAAGGGTCGTGCCGTCGACGATGACCCTGTTCTTATCATCTTCATCCATGGCTTCAAGGGCTCGCAGGAGACAACGTTTGCAGACTTTCCCAATCGACTTGCGCACATACTCTCGTCAACAATGTCGCCGGGAACAAAGGTCCTCTGTGAGGTCTTTCCCACATACGAGACTCGAGGCAAGTTGGAGGCAGCCGTAGAAAGGCTGTCGGAGTGGGTCGTCGAGCGGTGTGCGAGGCTCGAGTCGGAGGAGGATGAGGACTATGGGTCAGGGTCAGCGCAGCACGAGCAGGCGCAGCGATCTGAGGAGAAGCAAGGCCTCGAGTCAAGCCCGAAGAGGGAAAGAAGAAGGAAGAAACGAGCAAAGGTTGTTCTCTGTGGCCATTCCATGGGTGGTCTCGTGGCGGTCGATGCCGCAATGAAGCTCGAGCAGGCCAGTTGGCCCGCCATCGTAGGGGTCCTAGCCTTCGATACGCCGTACTACGGCGTGCACCCGTCCGTCTTCAAAAACACAGCGACAAAGTACGGAGGATACCTGAAGCAAGCACACTCGGTCGGCTCGCAGGTTCTCCCCCTCGTCTCTTCTTTCTGGGCCGCCAAGGCTGTCACCTCGTCGGCGTCACCTCCCTCTGTCTCACCACAGCAAAGAATCACGGGAGCAGCAGGCGAGGGCAGTGGACAACAGCAGCCACAAAAGAGTCGAAACTGGATGTACGCTACGGCGGCTCTGGCTGCCATTGGCACAGGTGCTGCAGCGACAACGGCCACGTTCTTTGGCACGCCGGCATACAACTACCTGACGGATCACTTCCTCTTTGTTTCTCATCTGTGGGACGATAAGGCGCTTCGGAGCCGTCTCGAGGCCTTTTCGGAGAAGCAATGTCGTAGAGGAACAGTCTTTCGAGTCCTCTACAATAGGTTGCCGCCCTTAGAGCGTGGAATGCAGCCAAGGACGTTTGTGGTGCTTCCGTCTCAGGACGCTTCCTCGTTTGGCGCATTTGAGGCCGTCGACAATGCCGTAAGTGGTGCACTCAACCTTGCTTCTTCCTCTGAGATCTGCCTTGCTGACCTGTGCTGCCTTCACAGAAAGCTTCAGACGAAGTCGATGCGCATACCACGATGTTTTACAGCAGCTCTGCAAGCTACTATCAGATGGGCCTCCGGAGCGCACAACTCATTACGGAGGCCCTCTCCTCAAGATCGGCTTGGCACCTGGACCCGGACGCCGAGGCAGAAAGGCGTGAGCCCGTTGCGGAAGCGCAATCGCAAGATGAACTTCACCTCGACTAGGGAAGATTAATAGAATCCTGGCATGAACTTGCTCTTACAGACTGCTTTCACATGTGTACACCAGTATTTCATTGCTCTTTCCAGTCCAGACTCAAGTGGCTTCATGCTCGACCCCAGTATAATACATCATGTCCATCGTGCTCGTCGTCGTCGGCGGCGATATTCCGCCTCGCGGTATGCTCTCCTTCTTCATCGTCGTCGTCGTCATCATCCTCTTCATCCTCCTCTTCATGATCGCCTTCTTGACTGGGCCTCGCGCTGTGCCCGTACGTGTCCACCTCTTGTTGTCTCCTAACCATCGCTAGCACATTGCTCCGTGCCATCGTCGACATTGACATTGACGATGACAAACCCTCTCCGCTTCCTCCTCCCCCACCACTACCACTCCCACCCTGCTGCTCGTCGACAAAGAAACTTTCCAGATCATGCAGCTGACTGACGAGGTCTCCAAGATTGTCCAGCGTATCCACACCTCCCGCACTTGCCGGCTCTCCATCTGCGACGGTGGCTGCTTCGCCAGCGGTCTCTTCCGACACGCGCTTCAGCAACACCCGGTCGCCGCCTCGGCTCTGTCCGCGACTATGTCTTCTATGTCCATGGCTGTGTGCGGATCCATGGTGTTGATAATTATTGTGCTTATCAGTGGTCCCTGTGGCCGTCATCAAAGTAGGCCCGGCTGATGCAGACGTCTGATCAAAATCGACGAAATTGACCTCCCCAACCACAGGCACGCAGTCCTGGCCTAAACCCATCTCGCACTCTTTGAACACGGCCAAGATGTTGATCCTGGTCCTCGACGTGCTTTCCTGCGCATTCGCCACGCCCCACCCGTTCTCATCTGGGGTGCCGAAAAGCGTACTTCCAACCGCTTCGGAAGACGTCGAGGCGTTGCCCAGGTGGTGCGAGTGAGGATGTGAGAGAGTGCTATCCGGTCCGTTGCTGCCGCCGTTTGCACGCATCATCATCATCTTTCCGTCTGCGCTTGGCATGCCCAACAGCGACAATCTCAGCATCTGATTCGCACCTGGCCCGTCCCGGAGCTCGAGTTGCTCATCGAGAACCTCCAAGGCCTGGCTGCTCAGACCCGGAACGCTGAGCAGTCGCAATAGAGGCATGATGACCTCTGCTCCCATCTCTGCTAGTGCGGCCTTGCTTCGTGGATCCATGGCGGGTAAAAAGACGTTGAGGACTTTGAGCGTCTGCCTTCGGACCCATTCGAGGCTATTGAGCGTGAGACCAATGAGAAGCACTGCCAGCAGGGGGCCCAGGTGGGGCATGAAGTGGGCCTTGACGCTCGACATTGCCTGCCGCACAAGATCGTCCCTTGTTCGAAAGCGAGCCAGGGCAATCGAGGTGGCCACGCGCTGCAGGTCTGTCTTGTTGGACGTTCCAGCCAAGGCGGCAATATCGTGAGCGAGATCCCGAACCATGTCGGCGTGAGGACCGTGCGGTTCGTCGGCGAGCTCAAGAAACCACGGAAGAGAGGCGACGAAAAGGAACCCAAGCCGAGAATCTGACGGTCCGTCGTCGAGCAGTGTCGCATCTTGGACCTTGGCTAATCGTGCCAGTAATGCAAATGAGGCCGACGAGGTGAGCGACGAGCGCAATCCTCTCAGCACTGCTGTCTGTATGCCGCCAGGCTCGCCTTCCCAGCCATCGGGACAGTGGCGCCGCAATGCATCAACCACCGACTTGTTGCCAACGTCGACTTTGTCTAGCAACGCTTCGAGCATCGCGATCGCTTCTGAGAATTCACGCTCGTTGATCGTCGACAGACTCGCGACGTTGCACCAAAACAAGTGGGCAAACGAAGGCGAGATTACGTCCTCCTCGTAAGCCAGCAATGCCACGGGCGACCTAGCAACAGCCGTCAAGGTGACGAGCGTCTCGAGAGCAAACGCCTGATCGTCGGTCCTCGAGGCATCCGAGATAGTGTTGGAAAGCCGCTTGAGCATGTCGGCGAGCATTGAAGCCGAGACTCGGTCAGGAAGCAGGATTCTGAATGCTTGGAAGGATCGACAGGCCAAGTGTCGAATCGGACAAACAGTGGCCCAGTGCAGCGCTCGGGCACCCCATCGCTGGGCGAGATTCTCCGACAGGAGAGGCGAGCATCTCTGCAATATCGACACCACCTCCAGCAAGGTCGACCGCATCATTCTCGGTGTCCGGGCGTGATCAACGTCGATATCGAGGTCGGAATCGGTCCAAAAGATGGCCCTTCCTTTGTCGAAGAGGTTCTCGACGTCTTGATTTGCCTCCACGCCCGCGGCCGACGTGCGAACGAGCTGTTCGAGCATTGCCATGGCTTGCTCCTGGCTGAAAATTGAGACGCTGTCGACGTGCATGAAGATGGCATGCAATAGCAGCGCAATCTTAGACGAGAGTCGATCTGATTTCTCGTATGTCAGCTCGGCCACGTAGAGAAGTGCGAGTTGCCCTGGCGAGAAAGTCTGTCGGAACTGGCCGTGGGACGAACTCGAGATAAGGGACTCGAGATGAGCCACGTAAAGTCGGCGATCTCGACCAGGCACCGGTAGGACGTGACAGGGGTCATTGTCCAAGGGCTGCAGAATCATATTGGTGGGATCGATGTACGCGCAGAGCTCGTCAAATAGCAGCGGTGCCAGGACAGTGTGCGAAAGGCAGCTGACGGCTCGCTTTGCGTGCGTGACAAAGGTTGGGCTCCGCAGGTACAGTGCCTCGCTGACGAGAAAGCGCACGACGACGCGTGCATTCCTCTCGAAGGAGGCGCCTCCTTCGGCCAGACTGGCCCACATGTCCTGGATCTCGAAATTGTGCTCATCACCGTAGCGAATCGTAAGGGCCATGAGATTAGCCAACGCTGTAGTCGTTTGATAAGGCAGAGGCGAGCCGCTCGTCGTCGCCTCGACGCTAAGCTTCCACTCTTCGTTGGCGTATTCGGCTGGGACCAAGTCGATCTGCTGGAGCCACTCTGGTAAAAGGCCGAGGGTGGTCGCACGTCGCGCTGAGTCGATCAGAGGAAGCCTGAGCGTGTACTCTGAGAGGACAGCAACCTTGAGCGAGGCAAAGGCGAAGGCAAGAATGGACGAGATGTCACGCTGAGCCCGCAGGTACGTTGCGGGGAGCGGACTGCCGACGCCTCCTTCGATCGCATGAATAGGGCAGGTGACGGGGGCATAAGTCCTCAACAGGACAAACGCCCGTCGCCTGACCTCTGCCTCGGGGTGACCAAGCTTGATCAGACCAAGGCAGATAATCTGTTCAAGGGGCGTAGACTGGTCCGTTGCGGTTCCCTCACCGCTGGTGCCTTGGGCGACAAAGTAGTCGACCAAAATGCCAAAGACTGACTTGAGGATAGGCCGTTTCTCCGATTCTGAAAATGCCATGTCGATGGTCTGTCCGACAAGAGCCCGATGGCCGACATTGCAGTCCAGAAGAGATCGTAATGCACGCCTGGCGATGGCATTATTTTGTCGATTGGAGCTCTCGAAAAGGTGATGAAGCCAGGAGAGGAGACTCGCAGGCTCAACGGGAGGCAATGCGTGCGTTGATGTTGGGGGCTCTGAAGAGTTAGCGACAGGGATCGCGCCTTGGCAGAGGGCCGCCATGGCGCCAGCCGCGTGAAGGGACACAAAGTGAGTCTCGTTTCGCAGGCTCCAGAGGATGTTGTTCTGTTGTTTGTCATCACGATGTTGTTCGGCGACCGACGCCAGGAGATCGGAAAGCTTCGTCGGGCCGTCTTTGGCCGCTTGGCTGTAGGAGTGCCACTCGCCGAAGAGGCTGAACATTCTGAGGCGGGTATCAATGCCCAACATCATCTGAACCGACGATCCACAAGCTCCGAAGAGATCCTCGACGACCTTGCTGAAAAAGCGGCGGAGGCGTTGAAGCTCCCAGTCACTTCGCATGTCTGCATCAGTCAGAAAGTTCAGAGTATCGCGGATCCAGTGGAGAATGAGCGAGACAATGGCATCACGTTCTTTGTCGTACTCTTGAACACTATGCTGCCCTGCCGCCACCATGTTGGCAGTCGTGAGATGAATTACGTGGGCGACCGACGTGCGCAGCCGCTGATGCCTCTTTGTCTTTCGCTGGGGCGCCACCGTCATTCCTGCAATTGTACCCGCCGTCTGAGTGCGAGAGAGCGACTTCGACTTGAAATCCTCGTTCAGCTGCGAGCTCACGCTCTGCATCGTTTCGAGCAGCGTCTTGTACAGGTTCTTGTTGATGTTCCCCAATGCTGTCACGACCGAGTCTCTAAATTTGGCGTGGTCAGAGGCCAGGAAGGGCACCAGTCTTTGGAAGAGATCACGGGCGGCCAACGACCTCTCGCCCATGGCATCGGGCCCTCCTCGATTGCGCGAGCCCTCGGTCGAAGTCGTCGTCGTACACAAAGACAGGATATACATCCTCCAATGATCAGCCATGAGAGTCTGATCAGGTGCCAAAGTCGGACCGCCGATGCTGCTTTGGAACGAGCCGGCCCCTGAGGACGATGCAACATGAGCGCCTCCGCTTCCATTAAGGCTCCCCGAGCCTCCGCCCTGAACACCGATTCCTCCGCTTTCCCCACCACCTCCTACACCGTTGCTTGTACCACCAGCAACACCCTGTCCAGAAGCTGACGAGTTCGTACCCGTGGTCGTTGTCGTCGACGAAGACATGGTTCCCGCAGCGATGCCAACTGCATGATCCATCGACAGGACTCGGTTGGTGACTGACGTTCTGAAGACAGCCACCGTAGTTGGAAAGTGATCAAGACACTGTCGCAAGAAACGGGGAAGGACCTTGAGCCAGAGGGCATGCTCGGATGAGTTGTCACTCTCTGCGACGTCGCACAGAGTCTCCTTTCCACGAATCCACTTCGAAGCGCTAGCAGCCGCTTTGAATGCGCTAAGTCCATCTGCCTGCTCTTTGTCGTCATCGTCGTTTTCAGCAACAAATCGCGAGCAGGGCATGTCGAGAAGATGGATCACTCTCGTTGGTTCTTCGTCCTCTTCTTCGTCAATGCCGTCGCCAAATGAAGCCATCCGGTTGTTGGAGCTGTTCTGAAAGACTTCGTCGAGCACGGCGACGAGGCGGAGGACACTGATGGCATGCCGTCGCAGAGGCCTCCACGCCGAGCAAAGAAGGAAGAAGCCGTGTGCTTCCACCTCGTCTATGATGGCCCAGGCGCTCGTTCTCTCCATTTCCCATGCCCTCTGTTGAGTCGATCCCTCTACCGAACCCCGAAGCTGGGCAAGCCAGATGTTGAGCAGCTCCACCCACAGCTTGACGGCCAGTTCCACTTTGGGTAAAATTGTCGTTTGTGCCCGATGTGTCTCCCAGAAGATTGTGTCAGGTCGGAATATGTAGCGCATGAAGCCAGTGACGATCGTGGATGCACCTCCAGGACTGCTGCTGCCTCGAGGAAGCGAGGCGATGCGACGGAGGCTTTGCGAAGCCGCGTCGGCCAGGACAGGGTCGGCGCTGAAGTGTCCTCGATACAGTGTCGCCAAGACGCTCGAGAAGGGGATGCTTGAGCTAAGGCATCTGGGCCAACTCTCAAAACAGACTCGTAAGAGATCCATCGAAGCCTGGTGTTCGCGGTTGTAGCCCACTCTGAGACGGCTGGTGACGTGAACTCGCCAGGTGAGACGGTCTTCATCATTGGCGCCCGTCGAAGACGACGTCGTTATCGCTGCTGCTGCTGCGGCGGCGGCTGAGGCCACGCCTCCCCCTGATGCCTGGCGGCCATGAAGTTGATGAGTGTTCTTTTCCGGTAACGCTACGACCTGCTCGTCGAATACGACGACCCCTCCAATCTCATGATCGCATATAAGGGCGATTTTGCCGATGAGGTCGTTGAAATTAGCTTGTGCGTCTCCAATTTCCGGCCTTGGGAAAGCAAAAGCTTCAGGGAGCTGATCGCCCAGTCCAGGCCTTTCCGCGTCGTATCCAGAGATGGACGAGATGGACGAGAAAGTTCGGGCAGGTGTCGGCATAGGCGGCGATTCCGCTCTGACGTAAGCATCCAAGGTAAGAAGCACAGCCCGGATGGCGATGGTCATGCGTTGTCGCGATAGAGCCTCGGGCTGCAGCGATAATGTTTTGCCTCCAAGAGCACTGTGTCGGAGAAGGTCAAGGACGAGGCCGCACCCAAAGTCGAATTGGCGGTAGAGGACCAAATGAAGCATGACAATGTGGGGGGTGAGGACGACTGTCTCGGTCGGCACGATGTTGGACCGATGAGGAGGGAACCAAGTGCGGAAAAATGACTCGAGACGCTTTGTGGTTGATGTAGAGCTTTCACGACAGCGAAAGAGATACGACCACAACAGGCAAACGGCAGCGTTGAGCACAATCGACCGGGACGCTCGATCTTTGAGCTTCGGAATACCCGCCTCGATGCAGGCGGACCAGGACCATTGCGCGCCTGAAGACGAAGAGGACGACGAGGAACTCGGGGCGTGTAGAAAGCGGTCCTCGGGAGATACGCAGAGGACTGCAACATACAGTGGATATGCTACAGCCCAATACCGAGGTTTTGCGACCATTCCCATGGCTCGCGGCGCAATTGTCTCTAGTGCTTTGGTCCATGTCGGGTGGTGAAGCTCAGCTGACGCTGACTGAAGGATGGGAAACAGTTAGTCATAGGGAGAGAGATACGTTGTGAGGACCGCTCACTTGGGCCACAGGCAGTAATAGGTTGGTCAGTGTTTCTGCATAGGCGTATTTCAGCCTTTGGCCGTGAGCGGCGGCGTAATTGCGAGAGACGGTCTCGAGGAACTCTGCCCCTTCTTCGAACAATTCCATGGGGTAGGGAGTGATGGGAAGATGGCGCATACCAACGATGGCCATCTCGGTCGCAATCTCGGTCTCTTTGGACGAGGAGGATGAGACCTGGTTGCGTTGCTGCTGCTGCTGCTCAAGGAAGGCGATGAATCGATCGCCGACTGCGACAAAGCTGGCCTTGGAAAGTACGCCCAGCAGCATTGAAGCCGCGTCGAAAGCCTCGGCCTGCATCCTTGAGGAAGGTAATCTCTCCCTGCCGCATTCCCTCATCAAGTCGAAAGCTGTCGCTTGGACTTCTGTCCAGTGTCGCTCGGGCATAGCACCTGGGGTGAGCTGCGAGGCCACCTTGCCCAAAGCTCGGGCCAGGAGGTAGGCTGAAGCCAGCTGCTTCCTTCTCGTCAGAACTGCCGCCACGTCACGTACGCTCGAAGACGCAGTAAGTCCAAGCTGCGTACCCGCCATTGCGCCGCGGACATCGGCCACATCGACTTGATCGGCCAGGACGGCGCTTCGCCATCGGACGAGGCTGTCAATGACGGCTTTGGCATTTCGTTTAGCGACATGAGCTAACGAATCTAGGAGACCTTCCATCGTCGCATCGACGTCGGGGCCCAAACTTTGGACCAGGCTAGGATCGGGTTCGTCGACACCGCCGACGGTTGCCTTTATGCGAACACCCGTGAGAGTGACAAATCGACTGGCGAGCACGTTGAGCGCGTAATCGCTTGGCATCCTCGGCTCCTCTATCCCCACGCCCTGAGGCAATTGTCCTGCCGAAGCAGCCATAGCCATCCGCGACCTCGAAGATGAAGGATTTCTGGGCATGTCTTGAAGACGTGGCGTGCTTAAGCCAAGCTGGAGCTGGGTTGCCGTAGGAGTTTTGGAACCCTTGCTGGCGCTGCCCGATCGCTCCCTCTCGCGACTGTTGCGTTGACCGTGTCCCTCATCAGACGTCGTGATAACCGAGTTGGCAGGACTGCCTCGGAAGAAGGGTTGTGGAGGCAACAAGGGATCGTCGTCGAAGCCGCTATAGTCACTGAACCCATACCCGTATCCATAGCTTTGGCCGACAGCTCCGTAAGGCGTTTGCGATGCAGCGGTGACGTTTCTCGCACTGATGCCATCGCTGGATGATTGGTAGCTCCCCGAGCGGCCGTGGCCGTGCGTGAGCCAAGGGGCAGAAAGAGCTGCATCGTCAGTGCTGGGACCGCCCTTGGAGAGGGAACGTGCGTATGCGGTCCGAGGAGGTGGTGGCGTAGCGCTGTTGAGCGACTCTGGGAATGGAGGCAGAGGGGGAGGAGGGAGTCCGGATTCAGACGTTCCATTCGAGCCTGCAAAGCTCGTCGATGCTGCGTCCGAATAGTACGAGCTCTGATGAACGTGCTTTCCCATGCGGCTCCGCGTAGACAATGCGCTATCGTTGCGGGCATGCCTCCCAATCGGAGGAATGTCATTGGGCGGCGAGCCGGGCTGTCCACTGACAGCTATGGCCCCTGTGAATGGGTTCCTGAGCATCGGAGGGTAGTTTTCTTGAGGCGAGCTGGATATCAGAGGCGCCGGTTGCGATGCGCCACCTCGAAAGGCTGCCTTGAGCGAGGCAAAGCTGCCCTTTCTCGGAAACGAGAATCCTCCACTGCTGGATCCAGGCCCACCCGTATTGCCTCTCGCAGGCCCAGTGCGAGAGCCACTGCTTGAGTCAAAGCTGGCTCCAGATCCAGAACGAGAGTGGCGCTCCAATTCTGCCCCTCGAAAGGGCCGGGGAGGCGCGTCGAGAGGGCCGCCCACGTCGTAGATTGCATCGTCATCGAGGTCGGGAATGGCAATCTGGGCGTCCATTATGCTTGCGCTTCCGTCCGCCTCTCTCTGAGAGCGGGGATAGGATCCTTGACAACGAGAGTACCTGCCTCTCCTCTATTTGTCGTCAATGGTCGGTCGACCTGTGCTGCCCGTTAGCCGCCCAGTCCGCCGTCATCAGACAGAGGAAGCAAGCAGCTGCCTCCATGGCGTGCGAACTAATGAGCCTAAAAATCCACTACGTCCATTGCTCCTCGGCCGACGCGATTTTTCCTCCGTCCACAACAGGGCAGGACAGGCGCGTCGGCTTTCTTCTCGTCTGCCGTTTGGATCAACACCGAACCGAGCGAGGGAAAGAGAGAAGCCATGCGGCTGGTCTCGGCACCATTCGATGCGCTCAATAGCTCCTATACAGAGGATGCAAACGACTACGGCCCTTCTTCGAGCAGAGTCCAGGTTCATGTGGTGCCCTCCGACCATCCACATGTTCCAGAGCTCGAAGATGCCGATCGGCAGGAGGCGCTGGTGACGGGCGAATGCATTCTGCAAGAGGGAAGCCGCGCTCTCGTGCTGGCAAGAACGCCGCCTTCGACATCATCGATTTTGGAGCTGAGATACATTCCCCTCTCAGCCGACCTTCCACCTGCCTCTCGACCTCACCAGCTCCTGTTTCCTGCTCCCTTGCTCGGGGCCAGGCTGACAACCAGCACCGATGGCCTCTCTCTCGTCATTCAAGCGTGCACCATCACTGCGCATCTCTTCAGGATACGATTGCCAATCGATCTGTTGGCTTCGTCGTCGTCCACCATCTTGACTGACGACATTCCCCCTCGATGGGTCAAGGAGCAGAAGCTCTCCTCGGCAGGGCCCGACGTATATGGCAGCTCAAGTGCGATCAGCTTGAGCCATCAATCTTCCGACCTTGGAATTCATTTGGCAGCATGCAGCGATGGAAGGATTCTGAAGGCAATATGGAGAGATGCCTCGACGGAGGATGAAGTTGAGGGTGAGTCTTGTCCCTCCTCCCCTCCGACTACCGAGCTTGATTAACTGACTTTGTCACTCTTCTACTGTAAAGGTATCTGGCAAGAGTCGACTATACGAGCAAGCAACTTCTTTTCGGGCATGTCCCGTCTATTTAGCCGCACTAACGTCAACGGCGCATCCGGACCATCTGTGGAAGTGCGAGATGGAGGCTCTCCTACGCACCCGTTGGGTATCGAAACCTTTGTCAGGTCGTCGTCGAGCGAGCACACCCTGGCTATTTCGGCGAGCAGAGACCGCAAGCTCAGACTGTGGGACCTGAGCAGCGATGCTTGCATTCGAGTCATCGACTTGCCATTCAACGTCATGATGGCCGATGCACCGCCAGACAACAGCGAGGACCTTGTTGTGGTGGACGGTCAGGAGGCACGGGCATCGCTGCCAACAACGGCCAAAATTATCATCAAAGCCTACTCTTCGTTCGAACACGACGCCAGCAGCCCATATCCGCTCTACTTCGTCGTATTCGTGCCAACATCGTCTCTCACCGGAGGCTTCTTTGCGCTGTACGGCGTGCAGTTCGACGGAGCCCATCGCAAGGGTACGTCAGGATCCCAGGCGGGTATGATGGGCGACGTGGGCGACGTCGATCTTCTGTGGCAGAAGGAGTGCGACATCGACACACGCGGCCCACACGCCGAGCTGCGAGACGTAGCAGTGCTGCCGACCAAGGACGAGCCCGGCACAAAATGGAGACTGTGGTCGCTGTGGGATGTCGAGGGAAAACCCCTTTCCAAATACACCACGGTTGGCGAGGACGAAGCTGAGACCTGGTCCACGGTGTCGACACCAGTGTTCCAAGCGGCTTTGCATGGATCCGAGATGGACCAAGATCTGGGTGCACGCATGCACATGATGCAGTCGGGCTCTGACATGGCCACATTCTTCCTCGAGAGGGTTCTCGAAGCGGGCCGATACACATTGAGCACCCTCGACAAGGCTGTGACGCTGTATGCGGACGATCTCGAAGCCCATTGGCCCGAAAATATGACGAAGCCGCCATCACTGGCAGCCGATGCCGAATTCAGCGGACTCGCTGAGCAGATTGCCAGCCTAGTTGGCTGTAATGTGCAGCTCGAAGCCGATCCTGCCTCGGGTGCGCTAGGCTATGAGTCGTACTGGGGCGCGGTCCGACGAGAGTGGAGTCGGTTCGTGGGTATTCTCGACGACCTCGAGGCAAAAGCTAGGTGGCCTGTCGGTTTCGTCGATGCGCTACCTACCGATGACGTCGGCCGCGACTCCCCCTTTGTTGTCTCGTCCGAGCTTCTTTCGCTCCCCGTCGTCGAGGATGGCGGCTTGATCTTGGAGCGGCTCTCCTCCACCTTGGCCCCTTCGAGACTCGAGGTGTCGCCTGCATTGGCCACGACACTTACTCAGGCCTTGCGCGCCCGCTTAGAGCGCGGAAGGATTCTGTCTCAAAGAGAGCTGGACCATCTGCTGCAAATAGCGCAGACGTCAAATGGATCGACCTTCTTCCACTTGGTCGGAAACGACGCCGATGCACTCCAGGGCATCCTCGACATTGCTGTTTTCGCACAAGAGCTGTTCAACGGACTCGAGCGGACGTCGACTACTGCGTTCGAGGCCGCCCTCGAGGAAGCCGTCCACACTGAAACGAGCTTGCTTTTAGAGACAATAGTTTCAGAAGCTTGGATTCAGCACGTACAATCAGAAATGGTGCAGGAGGAGGAGGACACACTGACGTTGAGATTCCAGGAGCTCAAGGTCCGCCTCGATCTGGACAGCGTGGATGGTCAAGGACTCATTCTCGCTCTGCTCGATACTCTCTTCGAGGGTGTGCTTGGCCAACGCGACACAGGCATGTCTCAATTGTTGCTCAGAACCGAGCTCGGTGTCGCCCTTGCCTCGGACTCTTTCACTCAACTGATCTCTTCAAGGCTTGCTCTCGTTCGGTCACTGTGCTACCTCGTCGCGGCTGTTGCATCAGACGTCTTGTCGCTCACCACCGTCGATGTAGCAGAGATCGTGTCCCGCACCTTGATCGCATGGCAACGCCTTGTGGCACTGCACTCTCTTGTCAGTCTAGAAGGTCCCCCCGAGACGGCCGCCGAAGAGCCTGTATCCGAGGTCCTTATCACAGGGACCGGAGCCGAGCTCGACGCCGATGCTGTCGCAAACCGCATCGATCGCCTTGGGTTCTCTGAGAACAGCCCATCGACCTTCATCAGAGATGTAGGCACGGGAGACGGTGTCAGCGACGACATTGCGATCCTCGATGGAGTAGCGATCAACCCTTTACACGCCTGTCTCATGGCAGGTCACTTCTTCTCAATCGAGGAGGGTACCCAAGGACTTGCACTTTCGACAGCTGTTCCAGCCTTTACCTCCGCAGTCCTCGGCTTCGACTGCTTGTTCGAAAACGACACAGCTTCTCTCGGTCTTACACGAGCATGGGCGATGCTTGCGCACAATCTTATCGTGGTGGGCTATCCGTCCGCGGCTGCCTCTATCTTGGCAAGATTCTGGCCCGGCTGTGCCTCGTCGTATCTGCTTGGTCGGTGCGCCGTCATGACTGGCAACGCAATCGAGGCGGCTCGACATTTCGACGACGTCGCCAGGACTCTCATGAGCCCCGAGCAGTTGCAGGATTTGCAGGGAGGGGAGAGCGACGACGAAGGTGCGATCCTCATCTCGCTGCTGCCATCCCCCATACGGTCTGCGCTGGGCACAACAGAGGCCTTAGTCCTCTTTTACAGGCATGTTGCCCTTTACATGGCTTCGCTCTCAGCTCATGAAGCCGTGGCTCGATACGCCAAACTTGCTCTGGATCAGACCGAGCTCGTCCAAGGGAATCCTTCGGTCTATTCTCCGTCATTGACGCGGGATCTCTGGTTCGCCCTATTCCGAGCCCAGCTTACCCTCGGCGACTTTGAATCGAGCTATACGACAGTCATGGCGATACCCAAGACGCTCCACGATCTCAAGCGCGACTCGCTGCGAAGCCTGATTGGCGTCATGTGCGAGTCTGGCCACATTGCCCAGCTCCTCAAGATGAGCTTTGCGGGCGAACAGGCAGAGGTGGAGAGGACGCTGAGCTTCAAGGCAAGGAATTCGGACCCGTTCACGACCAAGCCAAACTACTACAGAGTCCTGTACTCCTTCTACACGAAGCGTGGGGACCTCAAGAGCGCCGGTGCTGTCATGTACCAGCAGGGAACCAGGCTTGGGGACATCCGCAAGCTTGCTGCCGTCGTCCGGCCCAGAGGCGGCAGGGGAGCAGGTAGCGCCAACGCCTACACGCTCGACAAAGAGGAAAGCATCGATCTGGCTATCTTAGAAGCCAATTGCTATCTGGCCGCCGTCAATGTCCTTGCGCTCATCGAGCCACGCGATGCTTGGTTCGCCGACGCCCTCCCGAGACGCTCTCAAGAACAAGAGGATGAGACAGCAGGCGAAGAGGAGAACCAGGCTTCGTCTTCGGTGTCCAAGCGGGTCCGGAACCCAAGAACTGGCTTGACCTCGTACATTCCTCGGTCGCGTTTCGCAAGCGACTCACACGAGATCAGCATCGTCCGTTTGGCAGACGTCCGGAGGCTGTGCCGCCTGTGCCTTGCTAGACTCGAGCTCGCTCCCTTGTTTCCCGAGGTGGCCCTCTCGCTGGATGCCATGAGCGCCGTGCTCCTCTTTGCGCGTGTCGACGAGTTTGACAAGGCCCTGACGTTGGCCAGAGACATGGGTCTCGACGAAAGCGGCGTTCTCGCTAGCTTGACGGAGCGTTGCGTCGGCCTGGCAAGGGTCGAGGAGGCCAAGCGGCGAGGAGAGGACGAAGCCAACGACGACGACTTGGATAGTGATTTTGAGGCTGAGGAAGCCAGGTTCCTCGACTTGAGCCAGTGGAGTGCAGCTTGGAAAGGAAGGACATCGAGCAGAGCGTGGAGATATCTTAGGCTTCAGCTCGATCTTTCGTCGTCCAGCTCGACCTCAGCATCATCATCTTCACCTAGAAAAGCGGTGCAAGGGAGTGACGGAGGCGACAAAGAGGCAAGATGCAGGATTGCGGTCCTCGACAAGATCCTGAGCCTGGGTGCCTGGCAGTCTGTGCCGAAGTGGCTTGTCGAGTGGTTCAGGGTGAGTGTCCACCTCAGCGCGAAGGTGTGTTGGTGTTGACGACTGATCACTTGTTCTTTTCTGCAGATGAAACGACCCGATGTTCTCGTTCGGAGTCTGTCGAGCCATAACCTCATCGATGCGGCCCTCGATGAAGCCCTCTTGATGGTGCGGACATCGACAGACGGCGAGGTGTCTGCGATGGAACGCAAGCGAGCCAAGACGGCTGCCCAGTCTACGTGGCTGCCATACCTCGTCATCGATGCCTTGCTCGTCAGAGCCGAGGAGCCTTCAGAAGGTGGCGTTGGAGGCAGTGGGAGCATGGAAAGGAGAGAAAAAGCTGGGGCGGTCAAGAAGGCTGTTAGAGAGCGATTGGACAAGCTCAAGGGTATGGAGAGGGTCTGGAGGGGCGAGGTAGAAGCAGACGAGGCTCGTGCTAGACGGTTCGCGTCCTCTTCCGTCCAGAGGTCCTCTTCACTTTCGACGCCGATGGAGATGTAACAATGTTTTCACGAGATGGCAAATGTCTCTACTTGCATGTTTTACAGCAGTTCTCGTCTCTTGGGCATGTCAGCATGATGAGCCACTTGTGAGGTGTATCTACTTGTGCATGATGAAGGATACGCCGTCGCGGATTGGCAGGACGCAGACCTCGACGCGCTTGTCTTGACGGACGACCTGGTTGAAGTGCTTCAATGCTCCCCCATTGTCGACCCTCTCGGCAGTTGACTCGGATTGAAGGCCGTCAGTGATGGGAAGGCCCTTGTAGAGGACGTTGTCAACGAGGAGGACGCCGTTCTTGCTGAGCAGGCCGCGATCGAGGATTGCATTAAAATAGCCCAGGTAGCCGGTCTTGTCCGCATCGATGAAGATGAGGTCGAATGGCTCGCCATTGTAGCTCTGGAGAAAATCGAGAGCCTTGCCAACCTTGACGTCGATCTTGGACGAGACGCCAGCCTTTTCGAAGTAGGGTCGGGCTAGGTCCTCAAAGTACTGATCGATCTCAAGGCAGACGACCTTGCCGTCTGAGGGGAGCGAGCTGGCCACACACAGCGTCGTCGTGCCTGTGAACATGCCGATCTAAGAGATGTAAAAACAAGTAAGCGCATGAATTCAGTGAGGAGGGGGCTGGAGTCAAACTCACCTCGAGAACCCTCTTTGCGCCGACGGCCCTCGCGACTAGGGCAACAAACGAGCCTTCATAGGCGCCAGCAGACCACGAAGGGTTGACCTTGAACGACACCTTCTTCTCTTGGTAGGCACGCGCCCAGTCGTGATGGATCGTCTCATGGATCAGCGGCTGCAGGCCCGGAGGACCGCCAGAGGAGACACTGTCGAGGTAAGGGTCCAAGCCGTTCAGTAGCCGGTTCGCCAGTTCGAGTCGACCAATGACAGACTGTCGGTCCGCGTCGGTGAGCGACGGAGAGCGGAGCTGGTCGAGCGAGGCTTCGACAAGCCTCGAGACTGTCAGGATGGGTGTCTCAGCGGGCACCACCTCGGACATGGTTGGGGGTGCGGTCGATGGGGATGGGTGAGGAGGGTCAAGAAGAAATAAGACGCGCCTTTATATAAGACAACCGCCGTTTGTTGGAATGTCCGTGCCGAGCTCCTCGAATGAAAAGGGGTGCAGCCGACCGGCGAGCTCATCAAGCGCTGACAGCCGAACCAGCTGTCTTCAACAAATTTCCGCTCCGCAGTGCTGCTGCTATCGTCCGACTTCACAAGCGGGCCAGGCTCGCAATCGAGTGTGTCTGGACACCTTGCTCAAGCTTTGTCAGCAACGCACGTCGCAGCCATTCCTTCTGGCTGTCATCCTCCCTCTACACGGCATGGGTCCCGCCCATTGTTCGTGGAAGGGGGAAGACAAAGCATTGTGTGGCTGACTCTTCGCCAACTTTGAGCTCCGAGATGAGCCCATGTTTCATTATCCGAAGCCGCTCGTGAGCGTCCGGCATGCTGAGCTTGGCAGGAGCTGGATCTCCTTCGCAGTGGAGGTGGCCCGTGCTGCCTTGGGACAGGGCGCCCCTTTGAAGCGCACCCAATTTATTCGTCTCTATCCAGAAGATCGCAAGCCTGAGTTGTCACTCTCGAGTTTAATGTTCACCAGAAATGTGGTTTCATCGATCAAGACCAAAATCTGGGGCAAGGACACAGGGACGGCTGACGAGAGTCGTCCCGCTTCGCAACGGCGGCATGCTGCGAGCCACGCTTGGTTGACGGAGGCGAGCGAGGGCTTGGACTACCTCAGGGCAAGAACCCCTTACCCGTCGTACTTGATCAAAGCCATGTTCGCCTACCACGCAGCTGCATTCGTCAACGACAGTAAGCCCAGGTACGAGGCGGCATTGGACCTCGGTAGTGGTCCGGGCCAGCTGGCATTCCACTTTGCGACCAAATTTGACAAGGTCTTTGCACGAGACCCCTCCGAGAGTCATATTGCGATGGGTCGCAGCCTGGCCATGCTGGCTATCACGGAGGCTGATGAGCTCGAGAGGGTGGGGCTTCCAGCTACGGACGGCCTTAAGCTCGATTTTGACGTAGGATCTGCTTCGGAGCCCAACATCGATGGACAGGTCGACAGCATCGTGGTTGCAAACGCCTTTCACTGCTTTGACTGGTCAACACCGGAGTCTACTTGGGACCTATGGACCACTTGGTCGAAGCTGCTTCGACCCAATGGGACCATCTTTGCCATCGGCCTCGTCCCTTCCGTCGGGCCGCTTACTGGACCGATGGCCGAGAGGACAAGACCGTTGCGCCAGCTCCTGATGGGCGCGTCTTTTGATAGCAGGAGCCCCATCTCGCAGTACTACACTCACCCGCAAATCCGGCTGGGCGCTGCCGAATTCTATTCCACCGCCATCATGCCTTGGACCCTAGGCGATGACAGCCTGACGAGAGCATGGCACAGCGAGTCGAGAGGCTACTTTGTCTTTGACTTTCCTCGAGACCTCGAGCTTCCTCCGGGATTCAACAGCCCAAAAAGCGACGAACCGCTTCCCGCTTGGATGCCCGAAGACGTTCAAAAGGCTGTCTCGGTGGGCAACGACGCAGGCAACGGTTTTGCTTACGCGAAGGACCCCTGGCGAACCACGACGCCTCGAAAGATGGCTCAGTGGGTGAGGCCTCCCTTTACTCTCGATGTCTTTTGCATGATCTGCTTCATGGGACTGACGCTCCAGGCTCCTTCCTGCAGTTCAGATCGCTCTCCGGCAGCACACGCTACTACAAAGACCATCCCGAACAGAAGCTGCGCATCGGGCGAGAGGATGACATGGTTGCCCGAGCCATCAAGGGTGCATGCGAAGAGGGCCGGATCGGCTACGATGACGTCCTAGAGCTCCACCACTCCGCTTCGCTCCTAATGCTGCGGAGGAGCAATCGACCGTATACCTGAGAAGACCAAGCTCTCTCTCACTCTCATTTGAGTCTCGAAGGAGCGATGCTCTCACGCGTTATGTCCTTGCACCGCACAGACCGCTATGCTGTCATCATTGGCATGACAGCTGGACGATTGAACCCTTACGACGTCATCCCTGCGGTGCCGTAGCTATGGAGATTGATTGGAAGCCATGGCGGAATGCTGCGGTGGACCGCAGGAGTACGCACGGAGGAGGTTCAAGAGCGAAGACGGCGGAAACAGCGAAATGAAATTCCCAAGAGGCCCCTTCCGTGCGCGACGGGCACACGATCCGAGTGCCCGAAGAGAAGATGCATCGCGCCAACGTCATCAATCCCCCAAGCTTGCCGTTGCGGCGAGCACCGTGCGCTTGGGTGGGGCCCGTGTTGGCCCGACAGAATCTTGCATGCGTTGTCCAGCCCACTCTTCGAGAGGCGCCGCCGCTTTGAGAGTGACCCTGTCGGGACTCCGGAATCCCGGCTATAGCATGGTGGCTAAGCCTAGCGTCCAATCACGCACTTTGCCTGCGGCGGGACAGAGCAGGTCTTTTCCCCCCCCCTATTTATTCTGCGCTCGAAAAAGGGAATGCTAATCAATGTGGAGAGAAGACAGCTTCGGGCACTTTGCCCTTTTTGGGAGAGAAAAGAAAGAGAGCTAAAATAATGTGCTTGGTTGCTGGACGGCTAGAGAAGCAAGCGCTCATCTGATCTATATACGTAGAGTACTGTATGTACTGTACGTCTCCTTTGCGGGCAAACATGCATCTCGCCGGCAGGCCAGAAGAAGCGCACAGATCGTGAGGCTTAGGGGAATCCGATGAAAATGTCCTTGTCACAATCACGGCACTCTGAAATGTGCCTTGTGCAGCAAGGATGCGTCAGCGAAGATGCGCCCAGCCAGGGTCTACGAAACTTGGGACAAAAGAATAAGCATAAAGAGGAGCCTTTCACAGTCCTGTGAGCCGCAAACAAGAGACTAGGAAGACATTCCCTCCCTCTTCAACAATCTCCTGAGCGCATCGAGGAGCAACATGACGCCGCCTTCATTCCTCCTCTTCTGCCTCGCCGTGGCGGCACTAGCATGCTCCCAAGCTTCGGCCCGCATTGTGGCAATGTCTGTCTCAAAGAAGCACCAGCGACCAGGCAGGCCCTTTCAGGTGCACTTCCGCACGACAAACTACATCGCCAACAACGACCAATATACAATCGCCTTTAGCCTCACGCCAATCAATCACAATGACGGCAAGTCTCTAGGCTCGTCTCCGTTCCAGGTCAGCGATATCCGCCACGTCAACAAGCGCCCACCTGGGTTCGACGTCAATGTGACTATACCTGCCGACTACAGATTCAACAATGCCACCGAGTACCTTCATGCCGCCGTGTTTGGTACCGTAGGGGCGAGCGGGGCCGTCACCGTCGACTACTTCAATACGACACTCATCGTCCCAAGGACACCTTCGCCGTCCTCTGCTTCCTCAATCTCCAGAGAGTAAGAGCTGGCGTAACTGTGGCCCTGCATACTGTCTTTCGAGGGATGAGATGCTCAGTAGTAGCTTATATGAAGCAGTGTGTCGCGCTGATTCTAGGTTGAGACAACAATGGACATTTGATGCATGTTAAAAAAAGGAAGAAAAAAAAAGATACGAGGGCGGAGATGACCTCCTTTTGTTCAGGGAGCGTGGTAGAACTGCGTGGCTTCTGCGATCCACCAATTGATCTCCTTTTGGTACGCATCGACAGGCCTCGGAGGCTTGATCGTCCTTGTGCCCCTGCTCGCCTCTTTCACGCCCCCGAAGCGCTGTGCGATCCAGTCGGTCCAGATCCACTGGGCGGCCGTGCATGCACCATTGTGCGACACGCCGTCGAGTTCGACATATTCGATTCGGGCCTCTTTGTACATCTCCATCGTCTTGTCGACCCACTTGCGCGTTGCATCGACGCACAGCACGGGGTCCTTGTTCCCGTGCAAGACCAGCATCGGCCCCGCAATCGGCTTGCCTCCGTTGGCAATCTCCTCGTAGTAATCCTTGTACCTTTCCCACACATCCTCTTGCAAGATGCCCTGCACGGCTCCTGTGCCCGCAGCCTCTGCGTCGGCAACGTTGGAGCTGGCTTCAAGAAAGACGGAGAGAAAGATGGCCGTGTTGCCCCGGAGCGCTTCTGTCGTTGCCAGCCGCTTGCGGCCCGATTCGGTCAGGAGCGTGTGGAACACATCGAGCTCCGGGCGGTACTGTTGGAGGCCGCGGGAGTTGGCGGCGGCAATCACCGACCTGATTGGCTCCAACTGGTCGGGTATCAGCGTGACGGGAGACAGGGCGACAGCGCCGAGGTAGCCATCGATTGGCTCGCGGGCTTGGCGCTGCGCGACGGCCCACGCGGAGGCGCCTCCCTGAGAGTGGCCAGCGGCGACCCACTTTTTCGAAAGCTGGTCCGGAAAGGCTTCTCGCGCAGCAAGCACGGAATAGACGACATCGTTTGCCTGGGCGGGGCCTGAGAGGTACTCGTGGATGATGGGCTTTCCGTCCCCGGTCCGTGCCACGCCAAGACCGGCGTAGTCGGTGGCCACGACGACATAGCCTTGCATCGCTAGTGGGAACGGGCCAAGGTAGTGCTGCCACAGGTTCTTGTACCTGGACGGCGCAGCGTCGTCGTACAGCCCGCTCGTGCCGTGCGACCAAGCAACGACGGAGCAGCGACCCTGGTCGTCGAGCCGAGGTGCGTGGGGCCAAAGTATAAAGGCCGAGACGGGCACGGGTGCGCCAGCCATCGTCTTGCTCTGGTAGATGAAGCGAGAAATGGCGCATCCGGGCGGAAGCGAGAATCGCGAAGTGTCCAGATCCCGTTGCAGCGTGATCAACTTGCCTGGTGCCGCGCGGACATGGCTCGCGTCGACCCGGTAGAAGTCGTCGTCCTGCGGAAAGGCCAGCTGCGTCTTCTCGTACTCGAGCGCGTCCTTGATTAGCTGAGGGACTTCAGCCATTCTTGTACTATTTGTATCTCCTTATTGTCGTTGTCTTTGTGTTTTGTTCTCAGAGTCGAGTGATGAAGAGGGACGATGTGAGAGCGGAAGAGCGAAGGTTTGGTGCATGAGAGATGCGTGGTCCGTGCGGCTCTGTTCTCCACAACAGTCGAGCCCCCTGTAGATCTCGCAGTGCTTCGTTCTCTCGCTCACATGATGTTTATCGATCTCGGCATTCAAGCGATGAGCATGCTATCACATATTACGGTCAGACACGGGCACCTAGTAACCCTAGAACACAACTGTCGACATTTTCCTTCTGCAAACGCCCGAGGAGAGGACTGCAAGGTGAAGCTGGAAGATGTCCGCGGAGAGAATGGCCTCGAGGGGTGGGTCAAATTGAAATCTTTCCGGCCTCGGGCACTTTTCCGCGCGTTTTGACATTCCCAGTCTGACTGCACTAGAGGCACGGATCAAAAAGGACGACTTCTTGTTTGTTTTTCCTGCCTTTCTTCCCTCCCAGCCCCACGCCCTTCACCATCTCACACTAGTACCAGCCCTGCGCAAATGTCGGCGGCATCTTCCGAGCGCGAGCGGGACAAGGAGAGAGCAGACCTTGAGGCGAGGCCGTCGGCGCCAAAGAAGAAGAGCACCTGGCTTCCGGACTGGATCATCGACAATGTCACGAATGTCGAGAGCCTCAAGGTGCTCCTGCGATGCTGGCTCGCCGCGTGGGCCGGCCTCATCCTCATCATCCCCGGACCCTCGCTCCGAGTACTGGGCCAGGCCGCTTTCTTCTCGTCGATGCTCGTGTTCATGGTGCCCCCTGTGAGTAGACGAGCAGTTGTCCTCCTGTTACGAAGAGCTTGACTGACGAAAGATGAAATTTAGTCAATGGCCGTCTCCATCTTCCTCTTTGCCAACCTGACCATCGTCATCGGGTGCTGCCTCGGCTGGGCATGGGGCGCTGCCGGCATGGCTGCTGCCCTGCGTGCACGCGATCGCACTTTTCTCGCTCAGCAGCTCCAACGCACCCAGAGCGATGTCGCCGGCGCCACAAACCCAGAGGTCGAGTACCAGCGGATCATCTTCGAGGGTCGCTTCCTGGACGTCAAGTCGACGGCCATCTTTGGCATCTTTCTCTGCACGGGCGCCTACTTTGCCGCCGTCATGCAGGTCAAGATGCCCAAACTCAAGATTGCCGCCATCTTCTTCTGCATCGTCCTCGATGTCCTCTGCTCCTATGGCCCTCTCTTTCCCTTTGGACAGTACACGCTGGCCACCATTTTTCTCATCCCCATTGGCTGCAGCGTCGCCATCTCGCTAGCCTGCTCCTTTCTCATCTTTCCCCGGACGCTCAATTACGGATGGCAGATGCAGCTCGTCAAGGCCATGCGTCTCGGCAGGTCCATCCTCGGTGTCCACCGCGACGCCCTCGCTCGCGTCGCCTCGCCTTCAGAAACAGACACGCCGGCGCAGGTCGAGGCCAAGACGGAACCCAAGCTGCGCACCATGCATGCCGGCTTCGTCGGCCTCGCCCAGGCTCTCGGTGGTCAGACTGGCTTCCTGGAGCTCGAGATCTCCTACGGGCGCCTCTCGGCGAAGGACCTGGCGGCCATCTTTCTCAGTGTGAGGCAGGCAGGTGTCAAGCTTCTTGGTCTCAACGCCTTTCTCCACCTCTTTGAAGGCTCCGATCTCGTGGATGAAAACGTGCAGAGCACAGCGAGAGAGACGGAGGAGCACCAGCGAAGAGGCGCCAAGGCTCAGGCCCCCATTCAGCTCCACGAGACGCACCAGCTGCTCCGCTACCGTAAGGTGGCGCGTGCGGCCGAAAGAGAGAACCACGTCGAGCTCAAGACGCTGCTTGCCATCCTCGAGGAGGCGGCCAGGCCCCCGCTAGAGGCCGCCGACAAGAGCCTGGACACGATGGCGACCTGGTTCGAGGAGAGCTGCAATCGCAAGCGCAGCTACCGCCACGACGAGTGGGTTCGCAAGCTCAAGGAGTCGGCCGACTCGCTCGAGACCAGCCTCAAGGTCTTTGTCGAGCAGGAGCGCTTTCAGCTTATCCGTCCCTATATGCATCTCTTCAAGAAGCGCGGCACCATCGACTCGGACACGATTGATCAATATATTCCTGCCGAGAATCGCGCTGCCTTTCGCAAGGGAGCCCGGCCCCTCTATACGACATTTGTCTTTGCCGCCAACCTGTGCATCTTTGCAGAAGGTCTCATTCAGCTCAATCGCGACGTGCACAAGCTCGCGTCGAAGCGGCCAAAAAACCGGCTTTGGTTCCCCTCTGGACTGCGAAAGCTCGGAAATGTCCTCGTCAGCAAGGCTGTCAACACCGGCGGCGCCTTTCATTTCAGTGATGGTCATGCACCCGAGGCAGACCCAGCCTCCCTGTCGACGGACTCTTCATCGCTGGCGACATCAACATCGGACACTGTTGCCGACTCGGAAGACCACCAGGAGAAGTCCAAAGATGAAGCGGCTGGTCACGACGAGAGCCCTTCCAAGACGCCGCCCAAGAAAGAGAAGAAAGCCAAGAGCAACAGTCGATCAAAGAAGAAAGCAGCCAAGTACGCCAAAGATGCCGATGCCTTGGCTCCAACGAGCTTCATTCACCACATTGGAAGGGCCCTCGCGTCGGCGTGTGACTTTGTCGGATCGCCCACGGGCCTGTACGCGCTCAAATTTTCCATCGTCTCCTTCGCCCTGTGGATTCCTGCCGTCCTACCTTCGACGGCCGAGTTCGTCTACATGAACAGGGGGCTATGGGCTCTCATCATGGCTCAGACCGGCCTCGCGGTCCTGGGAGGAGAGTTTGTCTTCTCTCTCATCTCACGTGTCCTCGGCACCGGCTTCGGCATCGTCCTGGGCATGCTCTTTTGGTACATCTCCACGGGCCGCGGAAACGGCAACCCCTACGGGCTGGCTGCCACCTGTGCTGTCGGCTTCATCCCGATCATGTTCATCCGACTCTTTGCTCCGCCCGCTTTTCTGTTCTTTGGCATCATGTTCGGCGTCACAACCGTCCTCGTCACCGGTTACAGCTGGATCGATTCCCACCTCTTTGTGCTAGCCAACAGCGGAATCGGCTACGACGTTGCCTGGCGGAGAGGACTGCTCGTCCTGATTGGTGTTGCCGCCGCTTTTATCGTCACAATCTTCCCCCGGCCCGCCTCGACACGGGCCATGATCCGAGAAACTTTTGCGAGGAACACGGCAGAGATTGCTCGCCTCTACTCGACCGTCATTCAGGCGTGGATCGTGATCCGAGAGGAGGAAGGCGAGGGAGCTGGTTCGCTCAAGGGCCACCAGCAAAGCGATGACAAGGCAACCACCGCCCAGCTCCAGGCAGGATTCCGAAACCGCTTTGTGGCCTCTCAGGGAACGCTGGCATATTTGGATCAGCAGATCAAGATGGCCTCGCTCGATTTCCCCATCCGTGGACGTTGGCCAAGAGAACGGTACGAGGAGCTCTTGGTGGTCCAAGCGCGCCTGCTCGAGTCCCTATCGCAACTCTCTTCTTCCCTCGCGGGCCTTGACGAAGACTGGCGGTCAAAGACGCTCCAACTCACCGCCATTCTCGATCCTGGAATTATCTCTGAAGTCAGCATGACCTTGGCGTTGCTTGGACAGGCTCTCATGACCGGCATCGCCCTGCCACATGCGTTCCAGAATCTGCTCGAGACGACGTTGCATTATAATAGTGTTGCCCGTGCTGTCGAGTACAGCATCGAGCGTCAGCAAAGGCCGGCATCCGATGAAAACAGCGGGCGTGACGGACAAGAAGAAGGACGAGCAGAAAATAAAAGCGTCAACGAGCTCGACCTTAGCCTGGCAACGTTGCGAGACCCTCAATTCATGCGCCACGCAGCTGCTTTGATGGCGCTCATTCAATTTGTCCGTCAGATCGACCGCTTCAAAGCCGTCGTCGGCGACCTTGTCGGCGAGATCGCCCTGCCCGGCTTTGATCGCCTCAAGGATACCTATGATGACCGAATGGGCCGCGCCTTCCCGAATTATCAGTAATAATCACTATACTCTGCCACAACCTTACTACGTTCTACGGCCTCTCTTGCTTGCAATGCAAAATTTTGTTCCCCTAATGTTCCTGTTTCCTCTTCTGCGAAGGCTGTTCAGTGCAGTATCGAGGCGCTGTCAAACCGTCGGAATTTCAAAAGCGCGCGAAGGGCGTCGGCGGCCATAGTGAGGGGGCGTGCGCGGTTCCTGGTCGGAATTGCAACCAGGAAAGGCTGGGACGCGATTCCGACGAGAGATTCCGACAGTAGTAGTAATTTTCCTCTCCAGTTTGGCCGCCTTCCTCTTGGCGTAACGACACGAACGGTAGAGCTAAAATGCGGAAATGATAGAGCAAGGAGTATATCTTGCGATGCGGTACAAGTAGAGTCATAGTACAGGCAGATTGAATTATTCCGCGACAGCTAGTGTAGTAGTAGTGTGTGTTTTGAGACAGCACAGGTTTGCGTGCAGGACATCGTACCTGCTCGCTCAGGCGACGTCACACTGCTCTACCGGGAATGACACCGAAAAAGTTAAAAGGGCGGCATTGCTTCGATGGAATGACTGGCCTCCCACTCCTCAACAAGCTCAAGTAGCTCTTCTCCCCTTCAGAAGCGCCTTCGAAAAGAAAACCTCATCACAATGTGGACCTCACTTGCGTCAGCTTCCTTGGTCTTCTTGATCCTCTATGGTGGGTCAAGTGCTCTTCGCTCTATGTCGAGGCCGAAGCTGAACATCGACCATATCCATTGCCTACAGCAATCGTCTTTGCTGTTCTCACAGCCCTCTACGCAACGGGGCGGATCAAAGTCCGCTCCCGGTACTCGGTCCTTTACTTTCACGTCATCATCCGCCTTGCCTCACAGGGCTGCGGTGTGGCCTTTGGTAATATCGGCTACGACAATGTCAATCTCCTCGTCGCCTACTTTGTCCTAGGTGCCGAGGGCTACTTCACCCTGGTCCTCTGCACGGCTCGCTTCCTCGTCAGCTGGCACAATCACCACTTTGGAGACTCGTGGCTCGAGGCCAGGGGCAGGTTTGACGGCATGAACATAGCCCAGCGAATGGGCGCCATCTTCTCGCTGACCAACACACGGAAGAATCCGCTGGGGACAGTTCACTGGGTGGGTGTGCCTTGTTTGCTTCCCTCTTTCGATGTGGCCTAGCCTACTCATCACGGTTCTCGCCGCAGCTCCTCATTGCAGCGAATGCTCTCATCATCGCCGGAGGGAGCTCCACGTCGGCAGTCTACAGCCCCGACTCGGACCTGACCCCGTCGGAGAAGCAGTCTCGACTCACAACTGCAAAGGCCCTGCGAGCCACTGGTCAGGTCATCTTCTTCATCCTCAACGTCGTCCTCTTCCTCTGCATCCTCTACACCATCAAACAAGCCAGAGCCAAGGCAAGAACGGAGAACAAGCGGGTGCCGATCTTCGCTCATCCCACGCTGCTGCTTCTCTATTGCACATTCCCCTTCCTCTGCGCTCGAGGTATCTTTGGCATTTGCCAGGCTCTCATCGCCGACCTGAACGTGAGTGCTCTTTTGTCTGCTCCGTAAGGTCTATCGACTCAAGCACTCACCTACCTTGCTTCCCATGCAACAGTACTTCAACACCAACGTGTACGACGCTAACGGTCTCAGCACACACTTTGTCATCATCGAAGCGATCCTGGCTACCATGGAGTGAGTGATCCTCCCTTTTACTTTCCAAATATGACTGTATGCTAATAGGTTAGTCTACAACAGCGAATGGGTCTCGTGTGCAATCCTCCTTGCCACATTCTATACTAGCAGGAATGACCCGCCAAAGCCAGAAATCGGAAAGCAGGCATTCTCGGCAAAGTCTTTGACCGACGAAGAGGCGACCGGTGTCAGCGAAAAGTAGCCAAGAAGCCGAAATCTTGCATCTTCTCTGTCTCCTACCTTCGTGTCCATGTCCCTTTCCCTTCTCTGTGTACACACTTTGGAAACCTTCAGCCGACACTGGCCGATAAGAAAATCAATCTCTTATACCATTTCTCTGTTCTTTTTCCCGTTGTTGAAGGCATACCATGCAGCCACGAAGTACAGCACAGTAGGATCGTCAAAAATGAATTTCGTGCGATCTGCATCGGAATAGCGCGCTCTGAAAATTGAGCTAGCCACACGCCTGCATTTTGGCTTGCAAATGACCGAGGACAGTTTAAGACTCACGCACACCTACGTCGACTTGGCTTCGCACGCCATATACGCCCCAAGAAAGACCAATGCAGGAGGCGACTGCTGGTCCGTCGACGGCCACTGGAATCTCGCCGCCGCCGGCCAAGCGGCGGCGCAAGTCGTACGCACGCCGGACGTGCCACTCGTGTCGCGCCAGGAAGCAACGGTGCGAAATCCCCGACGAGTCCCTGCTCTTGCTGCCGTCTGCGGAGCCGCTCATCGAGTCACTGGCCTGCACGAGGTGCCGAGCGGCAGAGATTCCATGCATCCTCGACGACTTTGACCGGGCGGCAAGGATCAGAATCGAGCGCAATCGGCAGAGCAATGAGAGCGGCGGCGGCGATGGCAGCAGTGCTGAGCATGCACAGCGCCGCCGACGGAGGACGGGACGGGTGGAAGCGGCTGACGGTAACGAAGACGATGATGCCGCGTCTGAGAGGGAGACAGATTATGCGGATGCTGCTGAGATCGAGGAGCAACAAAGACGGCTCGCAAGGGTACATCCCGAGGATGTCAATCGCATCGAGGAGTACTTTGCAAGGAGGAGGCCCGTGACGATCCTCATCGAGCTTGTTTCTCGCCAGCCTCGGTTCGGCACAGCTCTCCGAAACTGCAGAAGAGACAGTATGGGCAGTGGTGCAGAACTACAGATGGACGATGTTGTCGATGACGACCTGAGCCAGGTCATGTCTGCTTGGACCGAGAAGGAAGTCGTCTTATGGCTCCCTTTTATACCCTCACCGTGGTCCCTACGTCTGCGGCGGAGGCAGCAGAGACAGGCGATTTCCAAATCCGACGAGGCTTCGCAGCGCATTCTCGAGACTGTTCAGTATGCCATTGCTGCTCAAAATATGGCTCGGATCGACGACCGCCTCCGCAGGACCATCACGACAACGGCCCAGACCATCGTCGAGCAGTGTCTCGGCACCTTGATGCTCTCTTCTCCCTCTTCCGCCGAAGACTCCATGGCTCTGCAGCTCTTGGCTGCCTTTCCCGTCATATTTGGTGACCCAGGCCCGACTGCCTGCGTCGCAAAGCGTGTCGCCTTCCTTAGCCAGAGAACGGCCGGGCTCAACTACAATGCCAGCTACGGTGACGATTGCGATGTTGTGGCGGAAGCCGATCCGTACATTCTCTTCTGCAGCGCATGCGTATGGGACGGCGTCTACTCGTACGGAAACGATGACTATCTCGTCTACCACAAGTCCGACTGGTTTCTCAAGGAGAAGAAGATCGTTCAATTCCTTGGCGATCTTTCAAATCAGCCGCGAGAGGCGACTGTGGCAGAGAGGAGGCGAACGTTGGGCAAGCTGTGTGTCTTGCTTCGGGCGCTCTGCATGACCCACATTGCCAAGGCTTGGACCAGCTTCGACCCCATCGAAAAGGGCGGTGATCCAGCAGAACGAACGGCGAAACTAGGCAAGTGCCTCGAGTCCTGGGGCGAGGACATGGATCTGTATCGCGCACGCGTCGAGCACCACATTGCCATTGATGTGCGAGCGCAGGATGGCGATGATCATGACGACGAGTCCCGTTGCAAGCAGAGGATTGTTGATTGGCTCTTTCTCGAATCGGCGGCCGCTCACCTCATCATCAGCGGCAAGGCATTCTGGCGCGCATGCGAAGCCAACTTCACTCCTGCCTACCTGCGCGACTTGATCCTGGGCATCGACATCCACCCATCCATCAAGGCCTTCTCTCACCGCCATGGTGACATCCGTATGGACGCCTGCGACACCGTCTTGTCAACCATGGCGCGCATGTCTGCTGCAAGGACAGCTGCGATGGCGGGCCAGGAAACGGGAGCAGAGGACTCCGACCTGATCCCTCCACTCCTGGCCTCGGGCTACTTGCTTGAGTCAGCCGTGTTGGCCATGGACATGTTCAGCACTTGTCTCAAATTCTTCAAGGGCATGCCTAGTCGTGCCAGCTCCTGGCAGCTGTCCATGAATGGTGCTGTCCGCTTCACGGGCAGCCTCAATCGCGTGCCCATCGAAGAAGGCGGTACCGCGGCAGCTTCTGCCAAGATTGTCTCGGGTATGCTCGACATTATCAACATCTGGAAGCGTGCACTGTTCAGCTCGCGCGTTGGCGAAGGCGCAGCGACATCAGCGGGTCCCAAAGACAAAGGTCCCGCCAATGAGGATAATCAAGGTGCTGCAGATGCCTCTGCTCCAACTACTAAAGCGCAGCCAAAGCCAAACGCAACTGAAACAACAGTCGGAAGCAATGAATCACCAGGCACGACGACGACGGCCACATCGCTCCTCGAGAACTTCGACGACACAGATTGGAGCATGGCTAATCCCCTGGCCTCTTCGACTGGTGGCGACTTCAGCCACATGTTCCTCAATACCGAGGCACTTCAAGGCATGATGAATGATGTCTTTGGACGTACCGAGTGGGGCGATGTCCTCAAAGAGCTCGAAGGCGGACCTTCGTCACTTTTTCCAGTTCCTCCCATGTAGAGTTTCTCTTCACTACTGTATTATTACAAACTGCGTCTATCATTTGCCTAAAACGAAAAAAGGACTGTGAAGTACACCAACCCTCGTCTGTAGAGCACCGCTCTAGAGCGTCTTCACCATGATGAGACCGCCGCGAGTGTTGAACTGGGGCTTCTGCCGGTAGTCGCTCGGCAGCTCCTCTTCTCCCGAGCATCTTATGGCCTCTGCCAACGTCGCGCGCCTGTCCTCGACGAGGTGGAAATCCATGCGTTCGTACATTTTCACCACGACGAGATTGCCCGGCTTGATGATAATCCGCAGCGTCTGCGTCTGCGCCTTGCCGCTGTCGGAGGCCTTGTGCCTCTGGATAAAGGCATATGCCGCGTCGCACAGATCGTTGGCCAGTCCGCGCTTGCGATGGTCCACGTCGACGTACAGCGATGTGAGGTGCCAAAAGTGCCGCCCAGCTCCTGCATCTCCGCCTCGGTTCACCTGCAGCTCCTTCTCGTCGGTGACGATGGTGGGAGGTGCACCCTCAAAGGGCGCAGTGTACTCCTCCAGCGTCAGGGGCCCAACGAGCACGACTTGGCCGACCCACTCGTGCGTGTGCGTATCCTCAACCACAAAGACGCTGCGGTCCGTGCGTGTGAGCCTGGCCAGCTTCGCCGCATCAGACAGGCCAGACTCGCTGGCCAATGTAGATGAGAATGCGTCGGGAGACTGTGTTAAGCCTTTGAGCTTGAGATTGGAGTAGAGTACAGAATAGGCGGCGAAGTTCGGTGCGGCGGCGGCGCCGTCGCCACTGCCGTCGCCATTGCCACCGTCAATTTTGGGAAGTACAAAGGTGCGGTATAGGGCCTGCCGGGTCATGTCGACTCGTGGAAAGTGTGTGTACAGCGAATGCTAAGGAGGGAGAAAAAGGTGCAGGGAAAAGAAGGGGGGAAGATGGACAGAGGAGGAGGAGTTTATGGAAATGGCGCGTCCTCACGACACCTTATCACGGAACTTCGGAAAATTCGCAGGGAATATAAAGGACTAGACTCTATGTAGCCGCGACCGGTCGCTGCGACGCGTTTGACGGCTGGAGGCTGGGATCAATGGCCGAGGGAAAAAGATCTTCAAAAGAGTGCATCTTGCCCTCGAACAGCGAGTTCACCAAGAAGCCGGGGCTTACGGCTGTATCCGAGGGCATGCTGAGTTGCCAGTCGTAGATCTCATCGGGAAGCACCGAGGACGAGGCTGCGGCGAGCAGCGCTTGTTGAGACATGGTCGCGAGCTGCGGAGGCCCATCGGATGCGGCCGAGTGTGACTGCTGTTGCTGCTGGTGCTGCAGGACTGCTGAATCTGAATGATCCCGTTCTGGGGCACCGGAGCTCGTAGGTGGCGTGAGAGGTGGCGTTGTGCGCATGCGCTCCAGCAGCGCGCGTACGATGCTGGCCTCCTGATGTGTCTTGGTGGTATCGCATTTGCGCAGCACGCCCTCGATGCGCGATGTCAGGACACAGCGGCTCAAGAAGCCCGTGTTGGAGGCCAACTCAGCCATGAGCAGCACAGAGCAGGCTTTGAGAGATGCGGAAGAGTTTACGCGAAACGAGTCAACGACGGCGCAGCGGTTTCGGATCCGATCGCTGATGTCGAGAATATGCCGGGCGAGCGTCACGCTCGTATGGCTGGTAAGCTGTGAAAGAATGGAAAGATTCATGTGAGTCTCTCTCTTTCTCTAGCAACACTATGCATCTTTACGCACCGCAGCGTCATCGGCGTGGCTTTGGAGCTCGAGGTAGGCGTGGAAGAGGGCCTGATGCAAGAACCAGCGGTCCTTTTCCTGGCGAACGTGATCCGCGTAGAGGTCATCGTCAAAGGGGCTCTTTCCCTTTGTTGGCCAGTCTCGTGTGTAGAAGGGTGCCTCGATGCGCATGTCGGCGCTCAGCGAGGCGGCCAGCTGGCAGAAGCGCTCCTCGACGAGCTGGCCAAAGCGCCAGCCGCCTTCTGAGAGCCTTGCATCGACGAGCTCACGCACCGTCGAGGCCAGCTTGATGAGCTCGAGCGAATATCTGACCTCGCCCCATCGGTTGCTAGACAGGACACGCCTGCCCTCGGGGCTGCAATCGGCATCAGGACTGGGCATCCTTGTCGTCATTTGGGCCGGGTGAATGGAGTAAAAGAGCTTCGTCGTGGCGCTGAACCAGTCGCGGACGACGAGGAGCCACCAGCACCGGAGCAGCATCTCCTTGCGGTATCCGTCGGGATCGCTCGTCGAAAAGGGCTTCTGAATGCGATGGGCCTCGAGCGACAGCAGCGCGTTTCTCGCCCTGTGGTGAAAGTCGGCTTCAGGGTGTTTGTCGTACTGGTGGAGCAGGATAAGAGCCTGGACGCCCTCGAGGCCGAGCTGGGTGTTGCTGAGTCTCTCCATGATGGCGCATGCGTCGTCGTAGAGGTGCTCCTGCCTCTGCAGCGGCGACATGTCGCCTCCGAGCCGTTGTGCTCGTACGTAGAGGTCCGCCTGTTCGCCGTGTCGCGGTGTCAGTTGGATCGTCACGGCCATGGTAGCATACACGAGCGCCTGGGCCTCGTCGGACACGTGCTCCCCGCCGGATGCCACGGCGCGGAGATGCTCCATGAGACGGGGCATGTGGATGCAGCCATGGATGCTCGCAGCCACTCTTCCGTACTGTCACGGCGTTAAGAATTGTAAGTTGATACGCACGAATTTGCGAGCAAGGGCGAGACGACTTACAAAGACAAGGGTGATGAGCTCTTCGCAGAGGCGCAGAGAGCCCAAGAGGGAGTGCGAGGGCGTGAGGCCCATGTCGAGGAGCGCGCTCGAGGCCTCATGCTCGTCGTGGTGCAGCTTCATCTCGCGATCGGCCCGGCGCTCCCGAGCCTTGCGCACGACACGCTGGCAGTGAGCCCCCTTTGCCACGCAATGGTTGCAGGGGATGTTGCCGTCGCATCGGATCTTCTTGCGCGCGCAGTTGATGCACGAATGGTTGAGCATCGTCGAGAGTCCTTTTTTCCCTCTCGGGAATATGCTTGGCTAACTAAATCGCGGCGGGCTGATAGATGGTACGGGACTCGAAGGGTGGGGGGTATATAAAAGTGGGTGGGAGAGAGCGGTTGCCACGGAAGGGAATTTCACCTGGGCTTTCGGAATTTTCGCGCCGCATGATCCGGCCATAATCCATTTGGGTTTTCGCTGCAAAGACAAGATCGGCCTTATTTTCGCCTTTCCCCTCTTTAGGAGTAAGCTCAACGACCTGGCTTGTCTCCGCGCGCTACTTTCTTCACGTGTCCTCCTCTTACTCTGTGTGAAAAGGCAATGGTAGATTCGAGTAGCGCCCACCTCGTGCAAAGGACCCTGCCTTTCTCTGTTCTTCGAGACGCAGGCACGTCACCAAAGACGACGCCTGTGTCTCGTTCGCCTTGCAACACTGGACGACGACATGTACATCACGTGACTCTCCCCGGGTTGGTGAAAGTCCGATTTTCCTGCCCAGATGAATATGGCCATCGGCCGAAAGAAATCAGAACCTCCATCTCAACAACCTTCTTGCTCTGTTTTTTCCGGAGCGAGGACAATCTCATCACCATGGCATCATCATCGTCGACCGTGGATCGCCGCCGGATCAACGGCCCGTCCTCGACGTATTCTCCCATCTACGACAATCCACGCGCCCCAGGGCCTTCCTCTCCTGGGCCCTCGTCTGCGCATTCACCGAGGACAGGCGCTGACCGTCTCACCGCGCGGCCAATCTTTGTGCAGACGGGCCTCGTGCCGCAGGCCAATGGATCGGCCTACCTTGAGGCGGGCAACACAAAGCTAGCATGCAGCATCTATGGGCCTCGCCAGGGGCGCAACGTGGGCCAGCGCGGGTACTCGGGGAAGGCCGAGCTCAATGTCGATGTTCGCTTCGCGCCCTTTGCAGGTCGGAGAAGGCGAAAGCCTGGCAAGGTGTGTTTCGTATGCTCTGGTTCGACCTATCCTCGTTTTCTCTTTTCTCGAAGAACTTACTGACAGTTCTATCTACGTCTGTTGATCGGACCAGGCCACGGAGTCGGCCACGCTCTCGGCGCTCGTCCAGTCCGCCCTTGCTCCCTCCCTGCGCCTTGATCTGCTCCCCAAGGCTTCCATTGACGTCTTTATCACCGTGCTCGAGTCCGACGCAGCCGGCGACGGCGCCAATGGCGATTCCGACGACGAAGAGGCGGAGCAGAGCCTCGGGTGCGCCTCGCACGCGGCCACAGTCGCCTCGGCTGCTCTCGCTGATGCGGGCATCGAGATGTGGGGGCTCGTCGTCGGCCTTGGCGCATCGTCGTTCGACAAGCACGACGAACCGGGAAGCAACAGTAGCGTGCTCGTTGACGCAGCAGCCTCCGAGGCGCCTGCAGAGCAAAGGCAGCTGGCTTCCATGACGCTGTGGACCATGCCCGCGCTGGGCACGGTGACGGCCATGTCGCAGCACGGACCACTGGATCTCGACGAGCTCGATCGCATCCTCGTCATTCTCCAAAAGGCTTCGACCCATGTCCACTTTGTCGTCGCAAGAGCATTGCAGGATGGCTTTGCCGCGCGCAGAGAGATCCTGGACAAGTCACAGATGTAATTGTAGTAGTAGATATGCGGCAGAGTAGAGCGAGAGAGAGAGCACAAACAGGGGAAAGCAAATAACAATTACAACACTGCCAAACATAACGTCCGTATCATGCCGATCGGCCGGCGTTGGGATCCTTTGCGATCGAAAGGAGTTCGAGCTGTCCAACGAGATCCTGGGTCCCGTCGTCTTCTTGCTCGAATTCGCCGCCGGAATCGTCATCGTCATCTTCGACTATGCGAGCCTGCTTTGTGATCTCAAGGCCCTCCTCGTTGGCCAGGTGCAGCAGACAGATGAAGCAGAACGACGTGCTGATCTCTTCCATCTGGTCCTTTGGATACTGCTTCCGAAGGCCCCCGAGAATGTCCTGGAACGTCCGTTTATCCGTCGACACTGACGATGACGCAGTGGACGCGACCGAGGAGGCTCGTCGCATTCTGCTGCCCTCTTCGTCATCGCCGTCGTCCTCGCCAATCTCACTGGCTGCAGATTTTTCCCTCGCGAGGTCCTCTGCGATGCCCAGCTCGCTCCAGATGCGCTCCTTGAGCTTCCGGACGTCGACCTTCTTTGCCTTTTTGGCATAGTTGACATACTCTGGCCGGATGCGCTTGAGGGCCTGCGTCGCCAGCTCGTCGTCTTCAGCCTCTGCGTCGGCATCGAGCGCGTGACTGCTGGGACCTGCATCCATGGCATCGAAGCCCGCATCGTCATCAGCGAATTGCGAGGAGCCAAATGGCAGAGGAGCGCCGGCTGCGGGAGTTGTAGTCAGCTTTTCCCTTCTTTTCTTTCTCTGCGAGCATGAGGCAGTGCGACCCACCATCGTCAAAGTCGACATCCATTGTTGGCCCAGCATCTCGAGATGCAGCTGCTTGCGCCCAGAACTCCTCATCGACATCGCCAATATTCCCGTCATCATCGTCCAGCTGACCCAGTCGCCCGCCTCGTCTTCGGATGTTGAGCTTCGTGGCCGATAATTCATCAGCAATCTGACAACGGACACCTTCACCGTCCTCGACTCACCACTGCCCGCGGCTTGAGAAAGAGCCGCAGCAATTGCCGGCTCGAAAAGTGTCGGTCCTCGGGCAAGAGGTAGAGGTCCGCATCCTCCGGCATCTTTGATGAAGGCAGCAGCGTGCCTGCGCCGCCCCTGGCCACCTCAAAGAGATCTTTGGAGGACACGGCGCTTTCATCGGACAGAAAGTCGATCACGAATGGCTCCTTTGCCTTTTTGCTCGACTTTTCCGCCGGTCCCGCGTCGTCTGGAACAAGAACAAAGAAGGTTGTTCAGCGTACATTATCAAGAAATTCTGGCTGGTCAAACATCCAACCCACCCTTGCTGGTCGCAGTGACACCCGTGACGGCCTTGCGCACCTTCCAGTGCTCTGGACCGGCCCAGTTCTTGACCAAGCGCTGGTCGAAGTAGTCGAAAAAGGCGCCGTCCACCTCGCCTTCGCCATCCTCTCCGATACCTTTGATGTTCTGCAATGCCATTGTTAGATCCGGTCGGCTCGGACCCCATGCGTTCTGCGAGGGCGGGAACATCTGACCAAGAGCATCGTCGTGCCCACCGTGACCCATGTCACCAGGGCCATAACCAGCGTTGTAGTCGGCGTCTTGCCCATCGTAGCCTTGCAACCCAGCAGGTGGCCCATAGGCATCCTCCATGCCCAGCGGATCAGAAAAGACATCGCCGTCATTGGCGTATCCGAAGTCATTGCCAAAGTCAAAGTCGTCGGTGCCAAACACGTCTTCGTCCATGGGCGATGACAATGATCGGGTGAGCCCTGGCATTGCCTCTTCTGGCTTTCCAGCGTCGGCCATGAGGTCGGCGAAGGTGGATGTGTCGTCGGCAGAAAACTTGAAGGAAGCAAAGGTCGGACAGAGTTGCAGCTCAGCCAGGAGAGCCGGCAAGGGCTCGTCGTCCTCTGCAAAGTCATGCACGTCGTGTTGCTCAAAGAGCTTGAAGCGTAGTCGTCCCAGATCGATCATGTCACCTTGGCTGACCTCGATGGCAGTGGCCTGGTCATGGTCCTCGCCCTCTTCACCCCCATCGTCGACATCGCCTTCTCCGCTTCCCACGCCGGCGACATCGCCAGCGTCGAAGACAACTCTGGCGAGGTTGTCGACACCCAGGTGATTCATCAGGAGGCCACCAGCCCCGCCCTCGTCGAAGTCTGCGCTCGTCTTCTTGAACAAGGGATCCACGCTGAACTCCAAGTCGTACTTCTTGACGGCGATTTGAGAGAAGTTCTTTCCCAGGGTGGCCTCCTTTGCTCGCGATCGCTTCGACTTCTTTGAGCCTGTGGCTCCACCTCCTTCGCCGTCCTCGCCTGCGTCATCGTCGTCTTCATCTTCGCCATCCTCATTGGTACCGCCTTTCTTCTTCTTCTTGCTCCCATCGTCCCCGCCGTCGTCCTGTAGCCCGCTGAGGAGCTTACCCGTCTCGACGACGACGCTGTCCACGCGCGATGTCCAAACCTTGACACAACCGTCGAGAGTGCAAGACGCCTTTTGGAAGTTGATGGATCCATCGCCGTTGTCTGACCTTAAGAGCGACATGTCATGAAAGTAGTCAATGAGCGCAAAGCCCCATGTGTTTGTCGCATTGATTTTCTGTCGGTGAAATTCAGCACATGAACACTGTACGAACTGGCCTCGCCTTCTGGACTCACATTGTCGGTTGCCATCTTCATCCACTCTTCGAAGCTGGTGCTGTCAACATTGAGCTTGACCACTTCGCGTGCCTCGCGGTCGTGCTGCGCCGCCGCTCCAACGGCCGCTGCACTCAGGCCCACACTCCGTCGAGGGCCATTGGCGCGCGCAAGAACCGAAACGCCGGAACGCGCCGAGCTGCTCCCTCCCGTGGTCGCGGCAGTCGATGAGGAGCTGGGCGCACCGTTGCTCATTGCATGCGACGAGCTGGCGTGCGGGGCATAGTCGCTTGAGCCAGGGCCAGAATTGGCACTGTCGTCGCTCCGCAACGCGTTGGCTGAGGGTATCCGACTCTGCTTGCCGCTCGGCAGCCTCGACAGGGGAATGTTGTTCAGAGAAGAATTGGCCGACAGGGGGCTCCGAGCGCCCCGTTGCGACATGGCTTGTGAAAAGTTGCCCCTGGCCTCGCTTGCCGACGCCGTCGCTACCACTTATCTTAAGACGATGAAGAGGCTCCAACAAGTGTTGTTCTGTAGACATCGCGTCTCGGTGAGGGCGGCGCGAAATTTGCACGTGTCAAAAAATAAAACACGTGGTTCTTCGAGCATATCCACGCCAAGGGTCACCCTCAGACCCTTCCCTCTATTATTGCGATTCGCCAGAAGCGATCACCTCGAGAGCAGGGCAGCATCATGGAGAGGCGCTCGCCCAAAATGACCGTCCACTCGAGGCTCCCGCACGATGTCGAAAAGGGCCTGCCGATGTCCTCGTCTCCCCTGGGCCTGTTCCAGCGTCGGAGAAGGCTCACTGTTGTGCTCCTGCTCATGGCGGCCATGACGCTCTTTATCGTCACGGTCTCGCATCAGACGGGCCAATCGCTGACTACGTGGAACTGGGTCAAGGACAGCATGCGACCGTCGTCCGAATGGCCTTTCGGATCGAGCCAGACCGCCAATGCCGGAGCAGATGACGAGGTAAAGGTACCGGCACTTCCGCCAGCAGCTGCATCGCCCGCCTCCCATCCAGAGGCGCAAGAGTACAAACCCACAAAGGCACTCATCAGCCTCACCAACAAACTCGGAATTAGCGTAGAGGGTGCAGCAGGCGAAGCAACAGACGCGCAGCAGCAGGGACAGGGGCAAGGCCAGCTCAAGGCGTCTGATCCTGCTAGTCGAGAGGACCGTGTGCTGTTGCTCCTGAGGATGATCAAGAACCCCGACTATCATGTTCAGTACGATGACTGGCGCGGAACGCTCCTTCCTCAGACCGCTGGCGATGTGGCGGCAACGCTGAAGCGCTTCTTTGGGTCGGCCGAGTCGGCCATGTACCTCGATGACCACGTCGCTTGGCTCACCAAGCAGCACCAGCAGTCTCCCCTTACCGTCTTTTCCAAGTCCTACTGTCCTTACTCGCGCAGGGCCAAGGAGCTCCTCCGAGAGCAACATGCTAAATTCGACGTCTACGAGGTGGACCTGCGAGCCGATGCTGAGCATCTTCAGATGGCCCTACGAGAGATCTCGGGTCACCGCACAGTGAGTCTCACTGCCTCCTGACATTTCCTCCTCCTGCTCCTTCTGACCGCGACATCCTGTTCAGTTCCCTACCATCTTTCTCAAAGACGAGCTGATCGGCGGGTCCGATTCGCTTCAGCACCTCCAGGATCTGGGTGTGCTGCCAGGCATGCTTGCAGCCGCCAAGGCTCTCCTCTAGATCCATTTGTGGCTCAACTTTTCCCTCCGGGACAATCTTCTCGATGATTCTCTCTCGCTTCCTTGGCTTCCATCCTGTACAAACAACACACATACCTTGCCTGCCTTCCGCTGCTAGTACTTAGCATCTCGGCCTCAATTTGATTTGCTATTTAAGACCGGCGGTTCACGCACATGATTATTTTGTTGCCAGTTGTGTAGCGTGAAGCACAAAGGGTAATTTTCTTCCTGGACAATTTCACCTACTCGACCCTGGCAAGATATACATTCGGTAGATGGCTGTGCTGTAGAGCATATTTTGCGACTTTGTTCACGAAAAGAGCTATTTTGTAAGGCACAGAGCAGCTGGAGCTAGTAGTAGCTAGTAGTGCACGTAGCCTGTTTCGTATGGGGGGGTGCGGCTCCCGCTGCCGAAGTTTGATAGGCCGCCGGCGGCACAGACGCACGATGATACGTGCACGGATCCTCTGCGCACAATAAGTGTGGAGGGCGCGCGCGCGCGCGCTGCGAATAGTAACTGGCAGCGGGCTGGCTGACACAGGCCGATCGAGAGGAAAGTTCAACTCCCCTCCTTCGCTAGCTGCCTTTTCCCTCTACCTCCTACCACTTACATCTTCCTCCCCTCCCTCAATCAAAGAAATCTCTAGAACATGTCGCTCTCTCGCCATGTCGACGCCGATGCCCTCATGGAGGCGGCCGCGGACCACCCGCACCTGAACCTGGTGGAGCGCACCAACGAGAGCCGCCTCTCGCACGACCGCGGTGGACGCTACCGCATCGACAAGCTGCCCAAGTACACGGTCCCAAAGGAGGGCTGCACCGGCCAGGAGGCCTACAACATCATCAACAACGAGCTCACGCTCGACGGCCGCCCCACGCTCAACCTGGCTTCGTTTGTCCACGTCTCGGTGCCCGATGAGTGCAGGAGGCTGCTCAACGAGCAGGCGCAGATCAACCTCGTCGACCAGGTATGTTTTCAAAGACGAGTTCCCTTCTTCTTGCTTGTAGCTGACTCGGACGATGTCTCTCCAGGATGAATACCCTGCTACGCTGGCCATCCACGGCCGTTGCGTCTCGATGCTCGCCGACCTGTGGAAGGTGAGTCATTCAATTGAGAATGGAGGGAGAGTATGAGAGAAAGTGGAGATTGCTGAAGTGTCCTGTCTGCCAATCCAGGCCCCAGTCGAGAAAGACGAAAACGGCCATCGCAAGGCGGCCGAGGGCGTCGCCACCACGGGCTCCTCCGAGGCCCTCATGCTGGGCGGCCTGGCAATGAAGAAGCGCTGGCAGAACAAGCGCAAGGCCGAGGGCAAGTCGTTCAAGGAGCCCGGCCCCAATCTCGTCTTTGGCGCCAACTGCCAGGTGTGCATCGAGAAGCTCTGCAGGTACTTTGACATCGAGGCGCGCGAGGTGCCCATCTCGCCCGAGTCGCACTACTGCCTCGATGTGAAGAAGGCCATGGAGAAGATCGACGAAAACACAATCGGCGTCTTTGCCATCCTCGGCAGCACCTACACGGGCCACTACGAGCCCGTCCAGGAGCTCTCCGACGCCCTCGATGACCTGCAGAAGCGCACCGGCCTCGACATCCCCATCCACGTCGACGGTGCCTCGGGTGGCTTTGTCGCTCCCTTCGCTCACCCCAACCTCAAGTGGAACTTTGAGATCCCCAGGGTGGTCAGCATCAACACCAGTGGCCACAAGGTGAGTGCTCAGAACACTCTCGATCACCTTTCTCCTCTTGCTCATGCTGTAATGTTCTGCGCCAACAGTACGGAATGGTCCTTGCTGGTCTCGGCTGGGTCGTCTTCCGCTCGTCCGACGTCCTGCCCCGTGAGCTCGTCTTTGAGCTTCACTACCTCGGCTCCGTCGAGTACTCGTTTGGCCTCAACTTCTCTCGGCCCGCTGCACCCGTGCTTGCCCAGTACTTTAACTTCCTCAACCTGGGCTACGAGGGATACCGCAGCGTCATGCTCGAGAACCTCAAGAATGCCCGACTTTTGTCCCGTGCCCTTGAGCTGAGCGGCTACTACACTGTTCTCTCTGACATTCACCGTCCCGCAAACAAGGTTGCGCAGGCCGCCAAGGCCGTCGGCGTGGCCTCGGACATGGACGCCGAAAACTACATGCCGGGCCTGCCCGTCGTGTCGTTCCGCTGGTCCGACGACTTCCAGAAAAAGTACCCGCACCTGGACCAGAAGTTTATGCAGACGTTGCTCCGCGCCAAGGGCTGGATCGTGCCCTCGTACAACCTGTGCAAGGACCTCGAGGAGGTCAACATCCTCCGCGTCGTCTGCCGCGAGGACCTGAGCGAGGACATGGTCGACCAGCTCGTCCACGACATTCTCTCCATCACTGAGAGCCTCACCCAGGCCAACTCGCTCGATGCCCACCTGGAGAGCGCCGTCAACAAGAACGCCACGCACGCAAACAAGCGCCACACCAACGTCCGCAGGCACCCGCACACGCTCCCACAGGGCTCGGGCGTCAAGGGCCACGGCTATGCCAAGCAGTGCTAGATTGTTGTGAGGGTAATTTACAAAAGCAACCTTGTGATCCAAGACATGTGCGCAAAGATGATAGTCTCTTTATGTCCGAAAAGATGCCAGTCTCCCGTGATGAATAGCGAAAGAATGATTTGCTCTTGGCGAGAGGTCCTCTCTCCTCCTTGCGTGTGTTGGAGGAGACGATGTCTTCCTGTCTGCATGCACGGACCCCTTCCCCTTCTTCCACGTTCCGAGTTCCGACTGGATAGGTTTTCTTGATTTTTTTTTTCCAGGAATTTTGCCAATTCTCGAGAAGCTCGCGGTAACAAAGCAAAAGTCTTCGTTTGGGCAAGAAGAAGTGAAGGCGAAGAGGATGGCCGCGCCGCTCAATCGACAGGCGGCACATCTGCTGTTGCCGCCGTCTTCGTCGTCGTCGTCGAGCGCCGAGATTGCGGCCGAGTCCGTGCTGGAGCTGAGGCGGTCCGGTGTGCTCCAGCGTCTGTCGCGGTCCGAGGCGCCGGCGGATGCGACCGAGGTGCATCGGCTGCTGGTCCGGTGCGACTCGCTCGTCGGCCAGGACTCGCGGCAGGGCTTTCTACTGGCGCGCGAGCTGCTGCGGGCGCTGCCGTGGTCGCACGTCAGCGCACACGCGTCCAAGTGGGTCTCGAGCGGCATCGCCAACCTGCGCTATGCGCCCCGCGAAATAGTCGGCGTGCTCGACATCCTCATGGGCAGCGCCTCGCGCGACCGGCCAGAGTATCACCGCGCCGTCGTGGCGCCGAACCTGGCCAGCTATGCTGGCGCAATGCTCAACGTGGCTGACTCGACGCAGGAGCCTGCAGTGCTGGTGAGTTGGGTTTCTTTGCTGGCGGGCTGAAAGAAAAAGACAATACTGACGCACCTGCCCAGCTGCCTCTCCTCGGCTCACTCGCGGCCCAGGTCCGGCTGCATCCGTCGTCATGCCGTCCCCTGGCTCCGCGAATACACAAGCTGTGCGCCGTGCTGCTCTTCGACCGAGGCATTTTGGTTCCGCAAGCGACGAAGCTGCTCTCGGCGCTGCACCTCACAGGCAAGGGCGCCGCTGGAGCCGCCGAACTGTGGTCGGCCACGATGGCATCGGTACTTGCCGAGGCGAGAGCCGCGTGGGCCGCCTGTTCATCGACGTTTGTAGAGTCACAAGAATGGCAAGCGGCGGCGAACTCGACGGCCACCACAATGATGCCACCGCTTCCTTCGGACTCTCTCGAGGCGCTGCCCCTCGCACAGCGGCGGCTTGGCCTGCTGCTGGGCCGACCGCCGATGCAGGGCATGCTGCCGTGCCTCCTGGGCGAAGCGACCTCCTCGCCCGTGCCCGTGCCCACCGGTGCTCTTTACTCGCTCGCGCATGCCATCCTGGCCGTGTCTCCCTCGTCGCCCCCTCGCCAACACCCTCCCGTGGATGCGAGCGTGCATGCAGCGCAGGTGGCCTGCCTCGCCGGTGCACACATGTCGGCCATCAACCTCCTCGTCGCACTGCATCTCACCGTCGACAGGGGTGTGTGCTCGTCGCGACAGGCCGACACCGTGGCTCGTCTGCTTGCCTTCGTCGAGGGGAGCCACTACTCGTCGGCCCATCGCTTCGTGGCCTTCAAGGCCATCTCGATGCTTGGTCTGCCGCTCGATCCGCAGGCACGGCTCGTGCTGCGTGCTTCGAGGGCCTGCCTCGCCCAGATCTCGCGGCTCCTCCTTCACACGCACGCCGAGCAGCAGCAGCAGCAGCAGCAGCAGGCGTCGGCCTCGACGTCGCGTCCGACGAAGCGCGCAAAGAGGGCCTACGAGTCAGACGACCTGGGCCTGGCATCGCAGGAGCGCAGGGGCTTGGCCGATGTCGATGGCGACGAGAGGGCCGCATGCATGGCTGCCATGGCCTGCCTGCCAGCGCTCTTTGGCCTGCTCACCACCTACCTCACTCCCGAGCACCACGACCTCGCCCACACCACCGCCCTCCTCCTTGCTGCCGTAGCAGAGGTGTCGATGGCGTCTGATTCTGCCATCTGTGCTGCCAGCCTCTCGGCTTTGGCTGATGTCGTGGCACTGAGCAGGGGGTCCCTCTTGGCCCTCTTGATGGCTCGCGCAGGACTTCAGGGCGCAACAGCGGCCTGCTCCCCCGATGCTGGTCTGCGTGCAGCGGGCGCCAAGCTGAGAGGCGCTCTCGACGCAGCCCTCCATCCTCGTCTGCCGCTCAGACTCGATCTCAAGCTTCAGCAGGACGAGGCACTGCCCACGTCGTGGACTGTCAGTGTTGGTCAGCAGGGGGAAGAAGACAGCCTCAAGTTGCCAAAGGTTGAGATCGAGGAGCAGCCGGGGTCCAACGAGGCAACAGCCATGGAGCAGGTCCTTGGCATCCGACCAGCTGCTGCTGCTGCGCTTCCCCTCGCCCCGCCCTCACCGTCACCGCATCCACCATCACCCTCGCAACAACAACAACTTCGCACGGCATCGGCACCTTCAGGGCCTGTTTCTGCAGCTGCTCCCACTACTACCACCACCTCCAGTCCAAGCCCGGCCGTGACGGCGGCGACGGCCGCAGCCATCAGGGAGCGCTTCTCGCCCGACCCCGTCAAGCCCGTGCGGAGGCCGAGCACACCCAGGATTGGATCGCCCGGTGCCAGCCCGGACCGGAAGAGCAACGCAGCATCGGGAGGAGCAACGACGGCTGCGGCTGCATTCATGAATTCTGTTGCAAGGGGCGGCGGCGGACAGAGCGGCGCTGGAAGCCCCACGTCGGCACTGACACCCAAGATCAGCTCTCCGCTGGCTGCGGGCAGGAAGCTGGGGCCGGAGAGGCCTGTCGACGAGGACACCGTCATGGAAAGTGCAGGTGGTAGAAGAGGAGGTGGTGCAGCTGATGATGTCGACGATGATGACGATGACGACGACGAAGGCATCCCAGAGCTAGACCTCGGCTCGTCAGACGAGGAGGATGAGTGATCTTCAATGTATTCTTTTGATCAATCAATGTCATGTCTGCAAGTCTCGTTGGTGTGTGTATGGTACAGTTGGACAGGACAGGGAGCTACTCTTTCGTCTTCTTTCCTCTTTCTCGCGCGCTTCAGGCTGGCACGACGCGGGTGTCAAAGATGTCGCCCAGCTCTGGCTCCAGGCGTCAGTACCGGCTCTCGGTCAGATCGACTCTGTCAGACTAGACTCACCTTGCTGGTAGCGCTCGCGGATTCGCTCGTCGAGCAGCTTCTCTTCACCCCTGCGCTCCATCTCGCCACCCCTGTTCTTTGCCGATGACGACAGCGAGGATCGAGTGGGCTGTCCTCTTGCACCTCCCAAGGTACCCTCCTCGCCGCCGAGAGCTCCTGACCTCGCCTGTGCGCCAGACGAAGCATTCACGGCGTCGCTGTCGTCGTCCATGTCGACCACCTCAGACGGGATGACCTCGTCGTCTTCAAACACATCCTCGTCGCGCCTCGATGACATCGACTCCGGCCCGATGTTCTCGTCTTCTTCCTCATCGTCGTCGACGATGTCGTTATCGTCTGCCCCCGCCGGAGCAGCTCCTCTTGCTGCTGCTGCTACGACGCCGTTGCTCGCCACGCCCCGCTTCTTCGACGGGCTGGCAATGGCATGCACCGTCGTCGCACCGCCCGAGTCCCTGTCTGCTTCCGGCGTCGTGCTGGGCGAGTCTGGTGCCGTCGATTGTGAGGCACTCATGGCTGCTTTGCGTTGCGTTTCCTCTGTCGTCGTCGTCGTCGATGATGAATGCGCAAATGTGCGTGTGCACGGCTCACCCAGCTTCAACCAGGCAGGCAGGCATCGAGGGTAAAATCACGTGACTGTTTTCGTGAATTTGGATGAAGAAGGGTCGGGGTCGACCTCGTCGCCACAGACGCTGCGATCGCTGAGCTTTGCAATCCTTCTGGCATCCACTCCCCGTCCGACACGCACAGGGATGTCTGTCGCACCGCCGCCGGGCTTCATGGCGCCCAACGGCAATGTGCCGGCGTCGGCGTCGTCTTCGACGATGACGGAGGACCAGCTCAAGGCCAAGGCGCGCAAGTGGCAGCAGGCCCAGTCGCGCCGCTTTGGCGACCGCCGAGGCAAGACGGCCTTTGTCGACACGGGCAAGCAGGAGCTGCCGCCAGAGCATGTCCGCAAGATCATCAAGGACCATGGTGACATGAGCAACCGCAAGTACCGCAACGACAAGCGCGTCCACCTCGGTGCGCTCAAGTACGTGCCCCATGCCATGATGAAGCTCATGGAAAATATCCCCATGCCCTGGGAGGTGAGTCGAGGTTTTGCTTCGGTCCTGCTGACGAGATTGTCCTCGACGCTGACTATTATTTGCTTGCTGCAGCAAATTCGAGAGGTGCCGGTCGTCTACCACATCACGGGAGCAATTACCTTTGTCAATGAGATTCCGAGAGTCATTGAGCCAGTCTACCACGCTCAGTGGGCGGCCATGTGGTTGGCGATGCGGAGGGAGAAGCGCGATCGGAGGCATTTCAAGAGGATGCGCTTCCCGCCCTTTGATGATGAGGAGCCGCCGCTCGACTATGGCGACAACATCTTGGACGTTGAGCCCCTCGAGGCCATTCAGCTGGAGCTCGACGAGGAGGAGGACGAGGCGATTATTGACTGGTTCTACGACTATAAGCCTTTGGCAGACGAGCCAAAGTACGTCAATGGACCCTCATACCGCTTCTGGTCGCTCGATCTGCCGCAGATGGCTGCGCTGCATCGGCTCGGAAAGACGTTGCTCTCCGACTTCACCAGCGGTGACCGAAACTACTTTTACCTCTTTGACAAGAAGAGCTTCCTCTCCGCCAAGGCACTCAACGTGGCCATTCCTGGTGGCCCGAAGTTTGAGCCGCTGTTCAAGGACGTCGAGAACTTTGACGAGGACTGGACAGAGTTCAACGACTTGCGGAAAGTCATCATCCGGCAGCAGATCAGAACTGAGTACAAGATCGCCTTCCCCCATCTGTACAACAGCCGGCCGAGGTCGGTGCACATCACCGCCTACCACGAGCCCAAGAATGTCTACATCCGGACCGACGACCCAGACCTGCCGTGCTTCTACTTTGACCCTGTCATCAATCCGATTTCGTCCCGTGGGCTCGGTAACCTGGACAAGTTCCGCGAGCACTTTGACGACGGTGAACCCGTCGTCAATCACGAAGACGCCGTCTTTGGCGAGGGCGTCGAGGGCGATGACGAGCTGCCCGACGAGGTGGCCTTCAGTCTCCCGGAAAACGTCGAGCCGTTCCTGCAGGACAAAGAGCTGGAGAATGATCTGACAGCGGATGCAATTGCACTCTGGTGGGCCGCGCCTCCTTACAATGTTCGCAGCGGCAAGACAAAGAGGGCGCTGGACGTACCGCTCATCAACTCGTGGTACCTGGAGCACTGCCCGCCAGGCCAGCCAGTCAAGACTCGCGTCTCCTACCAAAAGCTTCTCAAGCGCTACGTGGCAAACTGCCTGCAGTCAAGACCACCGAAAGCAGGTACGAAAAAGTACCTGCTGCGACAACTCAAGGGCACCAAATTCTTCCAGACGACGACGCTCGACTGGGTCGAGGCAGGCTTGCAGGTCGTGAGGCAAAGCTTCAACATGTTGAACCTCCTCATTCACCGAAAGGGTCTCCACTACCTCCATCTCGACTACAACCTCAATCTGAAACCAGTCAAGACACTGACGACAAAAGAGCGCAAGAAGTCTCGATTCGGCAATGCCTTCCACCTCGTCCGTGAGCTCGGTCGGTTAGTCAAGATTGTCGTTGACTCCTTTGTCATGTACCGACTCGGCAACGTCGACGCTTTTCAGCTTGCTGATGGTCTTCAGTACACGTTCAATCACGTCGGCACCTTGACCGGCATGTACCGGTACAAGTACAAGCTGATGCATCAGATCCGCGCATGCAAGGACCTGAAGCACGTCATCTACCACCGCTTCAACTCGGGTCCCGTTGGTAAGGGCCCCGGTGTCGGCTTCTGGGCTCCCTCGTGGCGTGTCTGGATGTTCTTCTTCCGCGGTATCGTGCCGCTGCTCGAGCGGTGGCTGGGTAATCTCCTCGCGCGTCAATTCGAGGGAAGGAACTCCAAGAACATGAGCAGCACGATCACCAAGCAGCGAGTCGAGTCGCACTACGATCTCGAGCTTCGTGCGGCAGTCATGTCGGACCTGCTCGACATGTTGCCCGAGGGCATGAAGAATAACAAGGCAAAGACGTGCTTGAGCCATCTGTCCGAGGCATGGCGCTGCTGGAAAGCCAACGTGCCCTGGAAGGTGCCTGGCATGCCGACGGCGATTGAAAATCTCATCCTGCGCTATGTCAAGAGCAAGGCCGACTGGTGGACATCCGTGGCCCATTACAACCGAGAGCGAATCCGCAGAGGCGCTACGGTTGACAAGACGGTGGCGAGAAAGAACCTGGGTCGTCTTACGCGGCTCTATCTCAAGGCGGAACAGGAACGTCAGAACTCCTACTTGAAGGATGGACCCTACATTACGTCAGAGGCCGCGGTCGCCATCTACACGTCGACTGTGCACTGGCTCGAGTCGCGCCGCTTCCAGCCGATTCCCTTCCCCTCGCTCAACTTCAAGCACGACACCAAGCTCTTGGTGCTGGCGTTGGAGAAGCTCAAGGAGGCATACAGTGTCAAGGGTCGTCTTAACCAGAGCCAACGAGAAGAGCTGGCGCTCGTTGAGCAAGCCTTTGACAATCCGCACGAGACGCTTGCACGCATCAAGAGGTTGATGCTGACGCAGAGGGCTTTCAAGGAGGTCGGCCTCGAGTTCTACGATACCTACGCGCAGATCATTCCCGTCTATGACATTGAGCCTCTGGAAAAGATTACCGACGCCTACCTCGACCAGTACCTCTGCTATGAGGCTGACAAACGCCAGCTTTTCCCGCCGTGGATTAAGCCTGGCGACTCAGAGCCGGCACCTCTGCTTGTGTACAAATGGTGCAACGCCGTTAACAATCTCCACGATGTGTGGGAGACGGCCAACGGCGAGACCAATGTCATGATGGAGACGCAGCTTAGTCGCGTCTACGAAAAGGTCGATTTGACTCTGCTCAACAGGCTTTTGCGTCTCATCATGGACGCTAACCTGGCGGACTACATCACGTCGAAGCAGAACATCTCCATCGTGTTCAAGGACATGGCGCACATCAATACCTACGGCATGATCCGCGGGCTTCAGTTCTCCGGCTTCGTGTTCCAGTACTACGGCCTCGTGCTGGACCTGTTGATCTTGGGTCTGGAGCGCGCCTCGGAGCTGGCTGGGCCTCCACAGATGCCCAATGGCTTCTGCCAGTTCAAGGATACCGCTACCGAGACAAAGCATCCGATCCGCCTCTACTGTCGCTTCGTTGATCGCATCCACATCATGTTCCGCTTCACGGCCGAAGAGTCGCGCGACCTCATCCAGCGCTACCTGGCAGCGAACCCGGATCCGACGAACAGCAACTATATCGGCTACAACAACAAGCGCTGCTGGCCGAAGGATCTGCGGATGCGTCTCGTCAAGCACGATGTCAACCTTGGGCGAGCCGTATTTTGGTCCATCAAAAACAGACTGCCACGGTCCTTGACGACGATCGAGTTTGAGGATTCGTTCGTTAGCGTCTATTCCAAGGACAATCCGAACCTCCTCTTCAGCATGCAGTTCTTCGAGATCAGAATCCTGCCCAAGATTCGGCAGGGCGATGTGAACACCGACCACGAAGGTGTTTGGTCGCTCGTCAACAGTGGTTCGGGCGAGCGCACCGCTCAAGCTTTCATCCGCGTGTCCGACGAGGGCATCGGCAACTTCAGCAACAGAGTCAGACAGGTTCTCATGGCGGCTGGTGCGACGACCTTCTCGAAGATTGCCAACAAGTGGAACACGACGATTATCGCGCTCGTCACATACTATCGCGAAGCCGTCGTCACGACTCCGGAGCTCCTTGACCTCATCGTCAAAGCCGAGAACAAGGTGCAGACAAGAGTCAAGCTTGGCCTGAACTCCAAGATGCCAAGTCGTTTCCCTCCCGTGGTCTTCTACAGTCCCAAGGAACTCGGTGGCCTCGGTATGATCTCGATGGCACACGTGCTCATCCCGACGGCGGATCTCAAGTACTCCAGGCAGACATCCGAAGGTGGTTTGACGCACTTCCGGAGCGGTATGACGGCGCAGGAGGACTGCCTTATCCCCAATCTGTACCGGTACATCATTCCTTGGCAGTCCGAGTTTGCCGACAGCGCTCGCGTTTGGTCCGAATACGCTCAGAAGCGCAAGGAGGCTGCCCAGCAGTCTCGGCGCATCACGCTCGAGGACGTCGAGGATTCATTCGATCGCGGTATTCCTCGAATCTCGACGTTGTTCCAGAAGGACCGCACGATTCTGTCGTACGACAAGATGCACCGTCTCCGGCAGTACTTCACTCAGTACCAGATTCTCAAGTCGAACGACTACCGCTGGACCAACCAGAGGCACGATGGAAAATTGTGGAACCTGAACTCGGCCCGTGTTGACATGATCGCAGCCTTGGGTGGTGTCGAGACGATCCTGGAGCACACCCTCTTCAGCGGCACGGGTCATCCTACTTGGGAGGGTCTGTTCTGGGAGAAGTCGTCGAGCTTCGAAGAGAGTATGCAGTCCAAGAGGCTGACCAATGCCCAGAGGAGTGGTCTCAACCAGATTCCCAATCGTCGATTCAGCCTGTGGTTCTCGCCCACGCTCAACCGAAGCTCCGTCTACGTTGGTTTCCAGGTCCAGCTGGATCTCACTGGCATCTTCATGCACGGCAAGCTGCCAGTGCTCAAGATCTCCTACATCCAGCTCTTCCGAGCCCACTTGTGGCAGAAGATCCACGAGAGCGTCGTCATGGACTTGTGTCAGGTCTTTGACCAGGAACTCGAGGCACTGCAGATCGAGACGGTCCAAAAGGAGACGATCCACCCGCGAAAGTCCTACAAGATGAACGCCAGTAGTGCTGACGTGGTCCTCTTCAGCTCGTACAAGTGGCCCATGAGCCGTCCTTCGCTCTTGACCGATTCGCGCGACGTGCTTGACAACTCGAGCTCAGCAAAGTGGTGGCTCGACGTCCAGCTTCGTTGGGGAGATTACGATATGAACGACGTGGAGCGATATTCGCGCGCCAAGTTCCTCGACTACACGAGCGATTCGACCTCGATCTACCCATGCGCTACGGGTGCGCTGCTGGCCATCGACCTCTGCTACAACAGGTACTCGGGTTACGGCAACTGGTTCCCGGGCTCCAAGCCTCTGATTCAGCAAGCCATGGCCAAGATCATGAAGGCCAATCCGGCGCTGTACGTCCTGCGCGAGCGAATTCGCAAGAGCTTACAGCTGTACAGTTCCGAGCCTACGGAGCCGTACCTCAGCTCGGGCAATTACGCTGAGTTGTTCTCCAACCAAGTGATCTGGATGGTCGACGACACCAACGTCTATCGAGTCACTATCCACCGCACGTTCGAGGGCAACCTGGTCACAAAGCCGATCAATGGTTGCATCTTCATCTTGAACCCGCGAACGGGCCAGCTCTTCCTCAAGATTATCCACACATCCGTCTGGGCCGGCCAGAAGCGTCTCGGTCAACTTGCCAAGTGGAAGACGGCCGAAGAAGTGGCGGCTCTCGTTCGCTCTCTGCCCGTTGAGGAGCAGCCCAAGCAGGTCATTGTGACCCGAAAGGGTATGCTTGATCCTCTTGAGGTCCACCTGCTCGATTTCCCCAATATCGTCATCAAGGGATCTGAGCTGCAGCTGCCCTTCCAGGCTTGTCTTAAGCTGGAAAAGTTCGGAGATCTGATCCTACGAGCCACGCAGCCCCAGATGGTCCTCTACAGCCTCTACGACGACTGGCTCAAGAGCATTTCATCCTACACGGCGTTCTCCCGGTGCATCCTGCTCCTTCGTGCCCTCCACGTCAACCAAGAGAAGGCCAAGATCATCCTTCGACCCAACATCTCGACGGTCACGGAGCCTCATCACATATGGCCGACCCTTTCGGATGACGAATGGATCAAGGTCGAGATTGCACTTCGTGACTTGATCTTGACCGACTATGGAAAGCGCAATTCGGTCAACGTGGCCTCGCTCACATCGTCGGAAATTCGAGACATCATCCTCGGTGCTGAGATTCAAGCGCCGTCTGTGCAACGCCAGCAGATGGCTGAGATCGAAAAGAGCGCAGAGGCGGCACAGCAGGTCACGGCAACCCAGACGCGCACGACGAACATCCATGGCGACGAGATCCAGACAGTGACGACGACCCAGTACGAAAACCAGGTCTTCTCGTCGAAGAGCGACTGGCGCATCCGAGCACTCTCTGCGACCAACTTGCCGCTGCGATGCCAGCACCTGTATGTGTCCAACGAGGATGTGCGTGAGGATGCGGGTGCCTTGACGTACGTCATGCCCAAGAATGTCCTCAAGACATTCATTGTCAACTCGGACCTTCGGACGCAGGTCGTTGGTCTGCTCTACGGTGCTTCACCGTCGGATGCGCCCTCGGTCAAGGAGATCAAGTGCATCGTCTGGGTACCGCAGCGGGGCAGCAACAACGGCGTCGAGATGCCGGGCGATCTTCCCAAGCACGACTATATGCTCGCTGGACTGGAGCCTCTGGGACGAATCAAGACGCAGAGCTTGGACCTTCCTCACCTCAGTGCGCCCGACGTTGTCTCGCACGCGCGTCTGATGGCCCAGCACGAGGAGTGGGGCGCAAGCAGCATCACGCTGACGTGCGCCTTCACGCCCGGCTCCGTCTCTTTGTCTGCCTATTCTCTCTCCGTTCAAGGCTTCGAGTGGGGTCGCAAGGCGACAGCCATCGATGCGGCAGGCAATCCGCAAGGCTTCAACCCCAACGGCTCGGCCGACCGCGTCCAGCTGCTGCTCTCTGACCGAATCCTTGGCACAACGCTTGTGCCAGTCGACCGTGTGTGGAACTATGGCCTTTCACTCAGTGCAACGTGGACGCCGACCATGAAGACACAGTATACCGTCGACCGGCCGCCGTCCTTCTGGGACGAGATGCACCACTCGCACGTTTTCCTCAGCTTCACTGACAACGACGATGCGCTTGAGGGCGCAGACGTTGAAAATCCTCTGGAATAGGCTGCTTCCTTCTCTTTCCCTTTGCATTTTGTATCATCATGAATTGAATGAATTATCGAAAAGTCCAGTACTCTTGTAGAGATGAATGTGATGCCATTGACATGACATGAACTACTACTAGAGAGGGGAGCGGCGATCCGAAAGGTCAACGCAGTATTTAGTTGGCATTTGTCGCGCCCGTTTGCTTCTCGATGGCATTCGTGATCGTGTGGCCAGCGAGACAGTAGACGAGAGCCTTGGTGTCCTTGTTCTTGCCCTGGTAGTCGCCAAGCTCGCAGAAGGTGCTACGGTAGTGGGATCCCGAATCGCTGCGCTTGTAGGTGTTGCTGTGAACAGAGGAGCAAGGGTCAGCCTTGGGAAGTCAAGAGATTCTACCCAGGGAAATAAACGCACCACTCGTCGCCCCACTTGGTGCAGAAGTCAGAGGCGGCGGTGCCCTTTGGGATGTTGACGAGCTGGCGGAAGTCGTATGCCTGGCACGAGGCTGCGAGGCAAAGGCAGACGGCGACCGAGGCCGACAGGACAGCGTTGACAGACTTCATAGCTTGGGGGATGGGCTGGTAGGAGAGAGAGGTTGTGTGGAAATCGATTGGTGACGAGAGAGGGAATAGCCAGGTAGTTGAGAGACCTGGTCTTTTATAACCTCGCAGAGCTGGACATTGCACAGAGAGGGTCTAGCTTAATCGCATTCGAGGAACCGATCCGTTCTAGGCCGTGAGAAGTTATGTGCGTCAGACTTTCCTTCTCGCATCCCCGCATTTCCGGGGCGCACATTTCAATTTTGCGGAGGATTGATTCTCTTTCCTATCGACTCTGGTAAAGAAGGTCCTTGCCGATACGCATTGTTTTGTAGCTCACTCGGATCAAGGTCCGCCAGAGTATTCCGAATACAGGAGAAGTGAGCAAGCCCGTAGCTAGCTAAGCCATAGACCCCACACGAGACCCGAGACGACCGTCGAAACTAAGTGAGACCGGCTTCCCTTCGTGTCCCGGCGGTGTCATTAGATTTTCTGCAGGAACGCAGGCGATCGTCTTATCGACGCGGACTTTTTGCTTTCCGCTGGATGGAATCTCTTCACATGCGCAGAGAGTGCACGGCAAGGTCAGCGGTCACAGAGGGCAATGTTTCTTGCGCACCCAGATAGCTCAAGTGGTGCCGGCTGCCGCGGCTTCTGAAGCGGCGAGCAGCCACACCGAAAAAAAATATGGCCCTTGACGCGCAGCTCCGGCGGTCAGAGGTCCCCGCTCTGCAGCAATTTAAGCTTTGTCGGTGCCCGTAACCGTATAAGAAAATTGCAGGCTCACAATGCAAGGCAAATGACCATGAGTCAGGAAACAGAAATAATCGGCAAAGATCTGGGACGGCACAGATAGAACCCTCGATCAGGACGTAGAGGGACAGAAGGTCGGGAGATTAATACCGAGTTGAGCGACGAAATTTAAAGTAGATTTTCATCGCCAATGGGCTTCACTGTGCCTGTTTTAGGCACAGGCCAGCGTTGAGGGGCTTAATTCAACTAACAGAGTGCAGAAAATAAGGAAGAGGACTCTCCTACTCATCCTTGTGCTGTAGCGGGAAGCATGTTCCAGATGCAATTGACCGGATTATTCCCTCCGTAGAGAAATAATTCTTTCATTAGTCCGGACTAGGTCGGCCTTGATCCTAGACTCTCTTTGGCCCCGGTGCTGTATGACCGCCCAGACTCCTTCTCGGTGCGCTATTAACAAAATGGCATCAATATGTTGTGGCCGTTAACAATAACAGACGAGCCCCAACTTATGTTCAGAGTTGCTTTCGGTCTACATTTTACCTGTATTGGAAGTACACATTGCTGCGACGAGGTGTCGAAGGAGGCAGCACAGTGCACATGAAGCCTCGCTCGATACCGAAATTCACGCTGTCATCAAGATCAATGGGCCAGAGATTGTAGCCCAGCTTTCTCTGCCTTTGAACTCCTCCGGCAGTGATATTCCCGTTACTTTGCTTCTTGCTCTCTATTTGATGTCAGAAATCGAGCATGCGGCTAGACTGGCACATAGATCTCGGGTCCACACTGCTGTTGTCATCATCTGCTTTCAGTCAGAATGATCCCCCTCTTCTTCAGGATTAGTTGTTGCAAAAGATTTACGGCATGATGAGAGAAAGAGTGTTGCACTTTGTGCAGACGAGTTTCCTCAAAGTCGCTGTAAAATAGTCGAAAGTAATTGTAAAAGGTCACGACCGAGCACAGGCATTAGATTTCACAGATGAGTCGCTCTAGGCCTAAAAGAACGGAGCAGATGCTAGCGAGAAAAGCTTCTTTGCCGGAACAAGCAGGAGTATAGTCCCGGTGACCGAAGGTGGGGAGAGAGGGCATCGAAGTACTGCAGTGTACAGTACAGTACATGGCTTCACGTGTCTTAGCCAACTTTTCAGAATTGTCCGAGGTCTGTGCGCTGGACAATGGCGTTCTCTCTTCTACACGAGCGTGTAGCCGCTTAGTCGCGCTCAGTCCAGCGCTCGTCGACTGGGGGAGAGGGGCAAGATGGTCACACAAACACAAAAAAACCCGAGATGGGACTTCCAGTTCCCTATGTACGGTGCCAGGATCACGCTTCCCAACGAGAAACCCTTGTTCAAGATGTCGCCGGCCGACGAACGTGAGCGCCAGCACAATCGAAAGAGGATCATGGGGAAAAAAAGCCGCAGGTTTTTCAAGGTTGTTGACACCGAAGCACCACTGGCCAATTCGTTCAAGTGCCACCCGTTGGACACGCCCGACCAACTCTTTGTGCCGACCAACAACTGGGGCTTGGTACCCCAGACGCGATTCGTCCACCATTTTGACGAGGCCATGGTGCTTGTTCAGACCGACGGGGCCTGCCGCGACAATGGCCGACCAAACGCCAAGGCCGCCTCGGCAGTCGTCTATGCGCCCCACAATCCCCTCACGGGGACCGAAGGCGTCTTTTCGTTTCCCCTGCGGGACAAGAGGGATGCGACCTCGAATCGTGCCGAAATGATTGCTGTGCTTGCCGCGATTCGATGCCGAAATTGGAAGGCGGAAGGATTCAGCCGGCTCGTCATTGGCACGGACTCGGAATGGATCGTCAAAGGCGCAACGATGTATGTGCGCAAGTGGCAGTACACAAATTGGCGCACAGCCAGCGGTGAGCCCGTCAAGAACCGAGACCTTTGGCAGGAACTGAGTGAGTCATGTTCGATGTTTTTTTTTTTTTTTTTTTTTGCATGAAGGAGACAAGCTGACAGGGTCTATAGTTTGGAATATTGAGGCCAATCGACACAATGGTCTCGAGGTGCTCTTCTGGAGGCTTGACCGTTCGCTGAATGGTCGAGCGGACGCGGCGGCCAAGCGCGAAGTGAATGAGATGACTACCTTCGTGAATGGCTTATCAACGGTCGCTATAATTCCGGAACGATATCATGATGAGTATGTCCGATATCATGATGAGTATGTCCGATATCATGATGAGTATGTCCGATATCATGATGAGTATGTCCGATATCATGATGAGTATGACGACTTCACTAGTATTTAGAACGGGCTGCATCACGCTGCTGTAGACAAGACCTGCCTGCCCGTCAGGGCGTCGAAGATTGTGGCTGTCACAATTCCCTATTTTTAGAACAGTGTACAAACAAGCAGGCCTCGCCGGCCGCGTTCTTGGCCCGCCTTCCTCTGCCAATATCACATGCTCTTGCAGCCATCTTGTCTCCTCCAATCTTTGTCTTCACAATCATCAGAGTTACTCTCATCAACAAGTTTGATTCCCCCTTCTTCACCCGGTTTTATCCTCTTCAGTCGGCTCTTCTTGTCCGAGCGCGGACAGCCAGGCACGCGACAGACCCTTGATCCCGGCAAGGCAAAAATCCAAAAGTGAAGCCAAGAAGCAACCTCGTTCCGTCCCTTCTTTTCGCATAGACCCACGCAAATGGCCGACCAGGACTCTTCTTCGGCGCCCGCCCTCAAGAACCGGGGCTCCTCGTTCTTTGGGACCTGGAAGGGCAAGAGTAATTCGCGATCGCCCTCTGAGACGCCCTCGCGCAATCCTTCGGTGGCGGACATCAATGTCGGCGCATCTGCGGCCAATGGCGACAAGGCCGAGCAAGCGCAAGAGCAGCAGCAGCGGCCGCCGGAGAGGGTAAAGACAACCATGACGATGCTGAGCGAGGGCGAGAAGAAGCGAGGCGACTTTGACATCAGACCGCTCACCAAGCCCGGTCACTATGGCAACCTCGACATCGCTCAGGCGAAGCAGCTGAGCGCATTCAAGCGCGCTCTCACCAAGACCAGCTTCCTGCCCGACCCGGCCATGGTCGACGAGGAGCACCAGGACACGATCCTTCTGCGCTTCCTGCGGGCGCGGGATTGGAACGTGCAGCATGCCTTCAAGATGTACAGTGACACGATCAAGTGGCGGAAGGACGTCGACCTGCCGAGCATGATGCAGGGAAGCTTCGACTTTGAGGAGCGGGACAAGGTCGCTGCAGGAGGTTGGAAGATGTACTTCCACGGCACTGACAAGTTCCACCGGCCCATATTTGTGCAGGATCTGGCTGGACTCAACACTACCGAAGTCTTTACGCACACGACGCCCGATCGTGTCATCAACTTCTTTGCTTGTATGCTCGAGGATGCCGTGCAGAGGCGGTACAGGGCATGCACTTCAGTGGCGAGGGAGCACGCGAGAGACGTGGGCTTTGAGGAGGAGCGCGTCCGGCGGCTCTGCGTCGACGACAACTTTATGATTCTCAACGTGGCAGGCATCGGCATGGGTACCTTCTGGGCCTTTAAGGGTCAGCTCCAACAGCTCCTCGGCATTCTCGACACCAACTTTCCCGAGCTGAGTGGCCGAGTGCAGATCATCAATGCACCTTGGCTCTTTAGCACCATTTGGAGCTACATCAAGGGCTGGCTTCCCGTCAACACCGCCGAGAAGATTGACATTGTCGGGACAGACTTTAAGGCGAAGCTGCTGGAGTTCATCGATGAGGAGCAGTTGCCATCAAGCATTGGTGGTTCGTGCCAGTGCGGTGGCAAGGGTTGCGAGTTCTCGGATATTGGGCCCTGGCAGGAGGCCGCGGCTTCTCGTACCGCTGCTGCCGCTGCCGCCGCTGCTGCTGGGCCCAGCGACTCAACGACGTCCGAGGATCCTACGAAGCCATCTTCCTCTTCGGCCTCGGAGCCTAGTGGTGTTGCGGCTCTGTCATCAGTCGAGTCCAGCGTACCCAGCAGTGAAGTCGCGACACCGCCCACGGCTCAGTCCTCTGTCGACGCTGCCGCTCCTTCCGCGGTACCCGAGACCACGAACGCAGAAGAGACTCTCCCCCAGACTACCTCCGAGCCTCCCGCTGCTGAAGAACCGAAAGACACTACATCCTCTTCATCTTAACGGAGAATGGCCGTCCTTCTCCTCTGTATCATGCTCTTCTCTGCCATTGCCAGGATCCTTCCTCACGAGAAATAAATGCACGGACTCGTCATAGACCCAACACCCTCTTTGTTTTTTATTTTTACTTTTTCTGTCCAAGACACGATTAGGACGGGGGACGCGTTTAGAGGGCAAAGAGACACGTCCGAGCCAACACGGCAGCCCAACCATGGCCGAGACGCTCTCGCCATGGCTGGTCGCAGGCCTGCTCAAGCTCTCGGAGCGGTACAAGCTATCGCTGAGCTCGTCTGAGCACAGGCATCGCCCTGGCGGTGCTGCCGAGGAACACACAAAAGAAGGAGGGAGAGAAGAACCGCGAGACCAAACGAGCATCGTGTCGGACGTACCGTTCTTCAAGGGCAACAAGGTCCAGATCATTCGTTTTCACACCTTTGATATGTCAGGAAGGCTACCAGACGGTACAGCGGGGGGCGACAAGGATGGCATATGGTGCACAATAGCCGATCGGCGGCACGATGTCCTTGCAAGAATCGCCCGGGAAGCCGTCGAGTGGTTCGAAGCGTGAGTCTGCCACTGTCGGTCCTGATCTGAGGTCGAAGGCTCACGAGCTTTTTCTGGCCAGTACAAATGACGGAAAGCCCTTTACTTCCATCAAGGGCTCCATCATTGTGGCAAAGTCGCTTCGGCCCTCGATCACACTCCGCCTTGCAGATGGCCGGCCTCACTTGCTCGTCGAAGTCTCAGCATTCCAGCTCCTGGGCTCCATTGGCGAAGTAAGCTTTTGGGAGACGACGAGCCTCGAGGCAGAGTTAGGCCTCCTACCCGGCGCTCCTGCTACTAGCACTGCTGCTGCTGTTGCCGCTGCTGTGTCCAACGGGCAAGGAGAAAGTGACGAAGAGGCGAAATCGAGAAGGAGGTTGAAGAGGTGGTTTGTCAAGGGCGTCAAGGCGATTCGGGCCAGAGAAGAGGAGAGGCAGGCAAGGTACGAGAGAAGGAAGAGACAGAACGAGCAGAAAATACGGCAGAGGGAGAATGGGACCTCCATTGAAGGTATGTGGTCTGCGCAGCCAAGGGGTGCGTACCCTGCTGACGTTGCAGGCACAGCCCCCTCTTCAGCCAGAGCATCTCCTCGGCCGCTCCCTGTGCCGTCAGGAATTGCGGCTAGCACTTTGGCCTCGTCTTCCTCGACAGAGTCTCCTCAGTCATCTGCTCCGCTTTCCTCCATCGCTGCTACGGTGAACAGGGACGAAGCACCCCCGCCCGCACAAGCCATGCGAACACACTCTCCCTTACCCAGTGCTCCCACAGCGTCCGAAGTCCCCATACCTCCGACATTGACAGCAAGCACAGTGGCGGCAGACTCTAAACACTCGAAGCTTGCATTCGAGAAAGCAGCAGCAGCAGATGATCCATGGGCGGATTTCGACTTGGAAAAGGAGGCGCAGCAGCTCGACCTCGTTCCGCTCGGTGCGATTCAGAGGGACGATGGTGCCCAAATACCAGCGTCGATCGGCTCGTCTATGGATCTTCCAGGCTCATCGTCCGGGTGTTTGGAGGATCGAAATGCGAGAGAAGAAGAGCGAGGCAGGAATGCAACCTCAATTTCGCTCCAAGAAGAGTCATACAACGAGACCATCCCAGCCACGCTTCCCGACGCCGTCACTGCTTCTGGTGTATTGCCTGAAAGGGACAGCACCAAGGAAGTGCAAGGCTCTGTCTCAGCAACTTCGGCAACTTCAGTGGGCGCGAAGAGGGCAGTCAAGGTCGAGACGACCATCCCTGGTGCTTCAACAATGCCCGACCTGATCTTGAGCGGCCAATCGATCCCATTCCTTCTAAACGGTGAGCGAGAAGACGAGCGCGCCCACACCCAATCCTCCGGAAATCAAGGTGTTGAGAAGGAAGAGGAAGAGGAGATTCTCGGTAGTGAGAACGGGAAACAGCGGTCTATACACAACACTCCAACGACTGGCGCAGAGAAAGATCCAATGCTCGAGAGTGTGTTCGAAGCTACATCGGCCCCAACATCATCAGCACCTAGCAGCTCGCAACAGAGCGACATTCCCATTAAAGAATACAAGACGGTAGTCAACGCAGTCCGCCTTCCTAACATACACCAGCAGCAGCAGCAAACAAGGGAGGGAAAGAGGACAGAGGTCCTTGACGAAAGCGGCCAAAGTCAGTCTAGACCGATCGAGCTCAAGACTACGGCCGAAGTCTCGAATGGTATTCAAAAAGAAGAGCAACTTTCCCCTTCGCCGCACCTTCCGCAGAAACGCTTGCAGTTCGAAGAAAGCAAGGACTCTTCTTCGAGTCCAAGGAAAGTGACCAAATCTGCGACTCCGGACGGCAGCAGCCGAAGCAACAGCGTTGTCGAGGATAAGAAAAGCAGCGGCAACAAAGAACTGCTCAGAAAGCTTCTCGAGAGTAAACGCAAGCAGAGGGAAGAGAACATCCAAGAGGCACAGAGGCGGTACGAGGAAAGCCATAGCAAGATCATTTACTGATATTGAATGTTGATGGGTATCTCTTGGGGTCATTTTAAGGATGCGTGCGCTTGAATTTGATACATGATGCGTGCGTGAGTAGCTGAAGAAGTGAAATTCCAGGTGAGGGAATCGCGACTATGAGCGACAGATAAGGCAACGGCATTCATGCGGCCCTTGTCGATCAATGGCGTCGCTGTTGAGGTGAGCCAAAGCACAGCGACGACAAAAACGCCAATCTGCCCAGTGGGACGGCTCCCCTACTAGCCAATGGCCCCTGCCGGCGAGGAAGAGAACCGGTTTGCCATTTGCCTTTGATTGTGCCATAGCACCGACCACATGCTTTGCATCGTCGTGATCGAGCGAGCTGGTTCGCATGTGCCGCTGCCGCTTTGGTACGAAATGAAAACCTTCGTAAAGAGGCGGCAAAATTCTGGATGACTCGAGCGCTGCCAACTTCTTTTCTCTCCAATCGGCGAGGAGGAAGCGATTGGGGCCAACAAGCTCATCGAGGTCCCCCCTTGCGACCATCGAGGCAACTTCTCCGTCTGACGGCGAGACAATTTTTTGACACGAGACGCAGACGTAAGTTGCCTTGACGAGAGCGTTGATGTGCTTAGGATAGAGCCGAAACAGCTCTGTCCGGCTTTCGAGGGGAAGTTCTTGACATGATCGGATAACGCAGAGTGCTCGAAGTGACGGCAGGGCCTTATTGCGACATTCCACACGATCTTTTTGTTCAAGCACATCTTTGAGGCCGAGCGATTCAAGACCTAGTTGGAAGCTCAGATTGCGAGATTGGCAATTCCGGACCCGATCGATGTCCACATCAACGAGCGAGCGCATGCACGCTGTGGTCGGAGGGAGAACGAGATAGTCGTTGCTGGTGTCGGTCCCGGCATGTGTTCGAAAATGCAGCTGCCTCACGTTGCGCAAGTGCATCGCCAGCTCCGAGAGGCACATGTACCACGTCCGATCGTCGCCACATATCGTGAGTTGCTCTATGTCATCCCAGCCTAGCGCGAGGGTATGAGGCATGTCGTTGGAAAATTTCCCGAGCATTTCGTTTTCCTCCAGCGTATCTTCATTCTCGTCCTCTGTAGCGGTGGAAGGCACGACCATGACGCCGAGGCAAATGATTGTGAGGGTTGGATCAAAGACTTTGGCCTCGATGGAGGTGCGCAGGCACTCGTCGCCCATCAACCACTTTCGCCGTCGTCGCAGCTCCAAACGCGAGCGCTGTGCATCTCTCCAATGTTTTCGGTGTAGCTGATGGCACACGTTTAGGGCTCGCGCTTGATCCCTCCTCAGACTCGACTTATAGTCGCGAGACTGGGTTGCAGGGTCTTCGAACAGGACCTCGAGGCGCGTTCGTAGTCGCTCTGTAAGCCGTTGAGTGAGCATGGGACGAGGTGGGGGGCGGGGAATAGAGGAGCTCACCGATTGAAGACTTCAGTACTTGCCTTTTTGGACCAGACGACCCGTTCAAACTAGTCTCGAAGCCCTTCTGAAGCGCCTTGAGACAGCTGACAAGGGCGGTCCAGTCACCCTGCCGGCCATTTGACTCTCCAAGCTCGTCCAAGATGGTATGGGCCAAGACAAGGGTCAAGGAGAACGTTTGTTTTACTCCTTGAGCCTTGCGAAGGGTCTCTCTAATATGTTCCCGCAGTCTGCACCGTCCCTGAGCTTGTACCGATCCTTGTTCTCCCCTTTCATCCCTCTCCTCTCGATCTTCGTCTGATATAAGGGACGATCCGGAAGAGGAGGTGTCGTCCTCTTCGTCTTCGTCTTCATCTCCAGCTTTCTCTGCTTTGATCTGACTCTTCTTCCGGAAGAAGATCACCTTTTCAGATGACATCATCCTTCCTTGCTTTGAGCGGGCGATTGCTCGGCGATCGTGGTCTTTGACGAAATATCGAGGAAGAGGAGGACTTCTGGTGGGGGCCGTGCGCAGCACGCGCGCGTCCGACTGGAGCGAGACGACCCTCGATTACTTTGAAATAGACTCGTCCAGGCACATTCCATCATCTCTGTCTGTCGCCATGGCTTCCGATCCGTATCACACCTTTGCTTCTGATCTTCGCTCCTCGCTCCGATCCGCCCAGGACCTGGGCCAATCGTACCAGGATCTGCGCAGGTCGGTGAGCCCTTCGTCGCCGTCGTTGAGAGAGGCCCACGATCGGCTCCTCGATGCCCTCGAGGCACTTCAAGGCGATGTGGCCGACGTAAAGGAAAGCGTCGATGTTGTAGAGCGGAGTGGACCGGAGAGGTTTGGCGTGGCACAAGAGGAGCTTGAGGAGAGAAGACGATTCGTCAAGAGCTGTACCGAGGAGCTGAGGGTGGGTGGTGGACTTGTCTGACCCTACGGAAGTCTCGCTGAACAGACATTCGCGAGCAGAAATTGTCCGACATTGCGGGAAGACGGCAAGGGGATCAAAAGCCATCGTTCAGATCCATCGATATGGGCAGTCGAGCAGACGAAGAGGGCGACGAAGACCCGAACGAAGCCTTTGAGCGAGAACAGCAGCAGCACCTCCTGGCTCGCCAGGACGACACACTGTCACTCATCGGCAACACCCTGACCTCGCTCAAGCGACAAGCAGGGACATTTGGCCAGGAGATCGGAGAGCAAGTCGAGCTGATCGGTGCGCTCGACACCGAGGTTGACAGCAGCCAGAGCAAGCTTGGGAGAGCGATGGGAAAGATGGACGAGATGGTCAGGAGAGGCGACGAGCGGTTGGGTGGATGGTGCGTTTGGATCCTCATCCTTGTGAGTCCTTTCCAGCAGATTACAACCTTTCCGGGACTCAATGCTGATCAACTATCATCACTGCAAAGGTCCTCTTCATTCTCCTTCTCATTGTTGTCCTTATATGAAATGCATATACCCTCAATTCTGGTTTCCTCGGCGATGAGACGCGCGCACAGGTTCGATTTCATTTTTTTTTCCTCATCATTGTCGCCCAATTATCCCCCAAGGCTCCCATTGGTCAAAGGTGTGCTTGAAGGTCTCTCATCCAGCACGATGGCGCTTCCGAATGTCCCAACAGGCTTCGCAAAGCCTCCTGAGGCGCTCCATCTTCCTCATTCCGTGTAAGTCTCTTCGCGCCGGGAGGGCCGCCCAATTTGCCTAGCTCATGCATTTCGGCATTCATCTTTGACAGAACCCTCAATATTCCGCTCCCCAGCGCACATCATGCTGCAACCCTGTACCGGGTGCTGAGCGTCGACAAGCCTCTGAGGCCGAAAGAGACCTTTATCGCCTATCGCGCGCAGTCCTCGTCGCCCGAGACGCTCGATGTGCTCTGCCACTGCTCGACCGTTCGCCAGTTGAGGCTCGCCAGCAACTCGATCCTGGAAGACATCAAGCTCGTGCTGGCGACCATGGATGCATTCCCGGGGCCTGACGAGCACGAGGAGCAGCGGAGAAAGGGGAGAAAAGACGAAGTTATCCAGGATGCAGAGTTCGAGCTCAATGGCACTGGTCGGGCAGGGTGAAGGGGAGGTCTCTCACTGTTTCGTAAAACATGCTTGTACAATAGATCATTGGACTAGATGCAGTATCTCATGTCATGTGCCTGTCCCCAAGCTATCCGGACCTTGACAGCGTCCTCGTTGGCATCAGTGTCCTCAGCGACGACGACTGAATCCGACGAGGCCGTCCATCGTCGTCCAGGGTGTCTGTCTCTTGGCCGATTTCCGAACTGCCTGAAAATGCTCACGCGTGTGTGATCATCGGCGCTCCTTCTTCGTCATTCACTGTCGACGGCTGCAAACATGCGCATGGTGAGCTCACTGACCGACGAGGAAGCTCACTCGAGCTTGAGAAAGAGAGCCCTTATAGTAAACTGACATGGTTGCAACCAGCTCGAAGATGACGAGTCGAACAACGACGTGGAAGTGAGCTGGGCAGACCAGCAGTCGATCAACTCCTTCTCGCGGCTCAACAACCTCCTCACCGACGCCGAAGCGACGCTGCGAGCCAAGGTGACCGAGAAGGAAGGATTGGACGAGATCGCAGAAGAGATCGAACTCGTCGACGAGGAGGAAGAGGTCATGTACCGCGTCGGCGATGCATTCGTCTATGTCAAGCAGGAGAGGGCGATTGAGATGCTGAAGAGGGATGGCGAGAAGCTGGAGGAAGAGATTGAGAAGTTGAGGAAGCAGGCGAGCGAGTGCGAGGAAGGGATGGAGAAGCTCAAGGTCGGGCTTTACGCCAAATTTGGGTCCAACATCAGTGAGTGGACGTCTCTGCACGTACGAGTCAAGCAGAAGAAGATGGGCTGACAAGGGCCCTCCTCCCCTCCAGACCTTGAGAGAGATTGAGGGACATTGATAGGTTATTAGAGCAATGAAGACAAGACTGTTCCTAGAAAGCAACGACAGCGTAGAGCAGAAATCTACATGATGGTGCACTCATCATCCTTGCCGGTAGCGCCCTTTGCCAGGTCCCTGGTGAAGCCAGCGTCGCCAACGTTGCCGCCTCCCTGAAGGTGGACAACGAGGACGCCGGCGTTGTGGGGGTCCAGAGCAGCCGAGATGTTGTTGTCGCGCATGAGCTTCTCGATGGCCGGCTTGATGTGGGCGACGTGGTCCTTGGAGTGGATGCCCTTGCCGACGATGACGCGCATCGTTGGCTTGCCCTGGCTCTGGAACTGGCGGACGGCCTGCTCGGTGCGATCAATAGCCTCCTGAGTGTACAAGCCGTGAAGATCTGTTCCAAGAGACAAGGCTTGCGGTCAGCACATGTAAAGAGACTGCAAAGGTTAGAGAGGTCGAGACGCACCAATCTCGTCCGGACCAGAGTCCTCGTTGTTTGCCTTGAAGATCCAGTCAGCAGCCTCGCCGTTGGCTTGTTCCATCCTCCTCTTGTGCTCGTGGCCCTCGTTGCTCAGCTGCTTTGCCCTGCTTCCATCGCCGCTCGCATAGGCCTTGTGTGAGTCGTCGAAGCACTTTGCCATCTTATCGCCCTCGGAGTGGGCCTGGGCTCGAAGCTGGCGGTAGTGCTCGTTCTTTTGGTTCACCTCGTTGTCGTTGTAGCGTCCGTGATTCGGCTTGACACCAGTAGAAGGGGGATTGAAAGCACCAGGAGAGTGCCCGTACTGGCCCTGAGGAGGTGGATGATCGTACCCACCAGCTCCGCCATAGTACTGCTGCTGCTGCTGATATCCTCCTCCCCCACCCGGTCCACCATAGTATTGCTGCTGCTGCTGCTGATTTTGCTGAGGGTATCCTCCGCCGGCGGCCCCTGCATATCCACCACCACCGCCGCCTGCTCCTCCGCCTTGCTGCTGCTGCTGCTGCTTCTGGCGATTCTGGAACCACTTGAATGCCTTCTTCCCATACCGGATGATCTGGCCCTTGTGGGCCTTGAGGATCCGGATCACCTGGTCCATCGTTGTAGCGTGTTTCGAGAGGATGGCAAACAAGCCTTGAGTAGCCTATCGTCGATTCAATGAACCGATTCTTCGAATGTCGATCCGCCCGCCACGCGAGAGTCCGAATCAAGGCTAGGAAAATTAAAATCACAGCCTTGGTCTCCACACCGGGACTGTCCGAACCCTTGGAACGACCTTGACTTCGCTCTCAACAGTCAATCATCCTCCTTCTTTCCGACGATCGAAGCCCCGATTGCCCATCACCACGCTACAAACATGGTGCAAATTCCGGGCGTTGAGGGAGAAAAGACGTACTTTGTCCAGCGGTGGGGCATCAACGGTGAGATCTGTGATGTTTGAGAGGAGAGGAAAGAAGAGTTGCGTTCTGACGGATGCATGGCTGGACAGGGTACCAAATTGGCGCACTGGCTGCCACACCCATCTACGCCATCGCTGCACTAAGGCGTGGCGGCTTCAGTATTCGAAGCTTTGCTCGCTACAAGTGCGTATATCTCGGGCGCCTCCCTCTTTCTCTCGCATCATCCGGAGACTTACTGTGTCCTCCACAGCTGGGTCGTCCCCCTCTTGGGCGCAGCAGGTGCGTCAGGAGGCGCCCATGCTCTGACGGCAAACGAGTCTGCAGCAACCACGGCGTCGCGGACACTGGAAATGAGAGCGGACGCAGAAAAAGTCAAGCAGGACGATATGCACCTCATCGGTAGCGTCGTCGGTGCCCTCTTGACTCCAGCTCTCTTCTTGCGAAGAGTCGGTCTCGTAAATGGCCTGCTCGGTGGCGCTGGTATCGGTAGCGCAGGAGGGATCTTGACCTACATGTTCCAGAAGGAAGGCGTTGAAGGTGTTGAAAAGCGAGGCAAGGAGGTCTTGGAAGAAGGCAAGAAGCTGGCAGAGGACGCTCGCCAAAAAGCTTTGGATGTGAAAAAGTAGGGTTGGCGACAGTCGTTTCAATCACCACTCTCTTCTTCATTGAAATCTGTGACATTGTTTTCTTTCCAGCGATGCGATGAGAATGTACAAGAGACCTATTTGCAACGATGCTTGACGACTGCGCTGTTACGTGAAATCACTCTTGTCCCCTTTTGATCTGCTCCAGCTCTTCCTTCCAGTTCTTGAACTTGGTAATGCTGCAGATGGGTCGAGTCAGGCCAGCCTAACAGATAGGAAATGGACACGCATTACTCACGCTTCCTTTCCCTTTGTGAAGCCTCCATCCTTGCCCAGCGTGTCGCCCTCTCCCTGGAAGAGGGAGATGATCTCATCGAGGGATGACTCAAGCTTCGTCATGGCCTCGCGCAGCGCGTAGGGGTTCTCAATCGAGTTGAAGATCGATCTGCCTTCTTGCTTGGGCGGGTTGGGGTCGCTCTTTGGGTCCACCGCTGGATGAACGTTGCCTGGATTTTCGGCCGTGGGCCCGCTCTGCGAAGCGAGGTTGGTATTGTCCGACGGAGGTGCGATCTGGGCATCCCCGGGAAAGCGTCTGCACCTCTGTCTGTCAGATGCATGATACAACACGGACCTTTCGGCATCACACCGGCACTCACGGGTCAACTTCTGGTGCGGACATCGTGATGGATCTGAAGATGTGAGTGGAAAGAGAGGAACGCGGAAGGGTCGCGCCCTCTACTTGGCCTTGACGGGGAAATTCTTAGACGTTGTCGAGCGACGTCATCTATTCGATGCGCGCTTGCGCACAGACGTTCTTTTTTTGGACCCGTTGGTCAGCCTAAAATCCCCAGCATCCAGAATCATTCGACTGCGTTCGCGTTGGATTCTTCTCTCTGATCAAACGGATCACTACGCGAACAGCAATGGCGTCGACGCTTGGATCTGTGCTGGCAAAGCTGGCCGTCTTTGGTGCAGCAAAGCCCCCGAACCTCGCGCACTGGTCGGCAGCTTCGTGGTACGACAGCTGCGTGCTCTTTCTCAAGTCTTTTGGCCTCTTCATGCCCATCCTGACCCAGATCAACGCGCCCTTTGGTCGCTTTGCCCTCTCCAAGTCCATCTTCAACCTGCCAGGCAATGTGACCTTCATGGTCATGGAGGCCTTTGCCCCAATTATCTTTGTGCTTGCGTTTGCCAGTTCGCCCCTGTCGTCGTCGCCTGGGCTCCTCAAGACGACGTTGCCGCTCTCGCCCTCGCTGGAGCACCTCAAGACGATTCCAACTGCCAACTACATCCTCGGTTCCCTCTATGTCATCCATTACATCAATCGAGCGTTTCTTCAGCCGATGCGTGGCCCGCCGCGCTCCCCCTCGCACCTAGCCGTCTTTGTCGCTGCCTCCCTCTTCCAGAGCGCCAATGGCTTTGTCATGGGGACTTGGCTTGGAGGCGCTTCTCCCCCGCTCCAGCTGCCTTCCGAGGTCATCGACAGCAGTGGCAGCAGCACAGCTTCGCGACTGGGCTCTATTCTCTCGGGCACACTGCGGACAGTGGCAAGACCAGGCATTGTCGATGGGGGAGTCAAGACGCTCACCAACCCGCTGTTCCTAATCGGCATCGCAGGCTGGGCCGTGGGACTCGCAGCCAACATCTACCACGATGAGATCCTCTTTGATATCCGGAGAAAGGCGCAAAAGGACAGCAAGGCCAACGGCGCTGACAGTAAGCCAAAGTACGACGTACCCCATGGCGGCCTCTATTCGCTCATCAGCTACCCAAACTACCTTTGCGAGTGTGAGTAGCTCTAGTCCAGCTTCTTTAGGGACACGCCCAAGTCCCGCGTCTCCGAGGACACACATGATCAATGCTGACCCGATCGACCTGTTCACAGGGTTTGAATGGTTCTCCTTTGCATTCGCCGCGCTGGCCTTTACGCCCTTGTCGCCCCTTTCTGCTCAGGCCGTGCCCTTGACATTGGCGGGTCGGATTCTTCTCCTGGTCAGCTGCCCTCCCCTCCTCTTTCCCATCGTCGAGGTGTGGGTCATGCTACCGAGAGCCCTCAATGGCCACGAGTGGTACCGAAGCAAGTTTGGCATCGAGGGCGATGGCAAGGGAGGCAGATACCCTCGAGATCGCAATGCTGTCATTCCATACCTCTTGTAATCCACACTTTATGTGCTTGGCACGACAAAAATGAGAGAGAAAGGAGCAGGGCCTAGCAATGTCCGATTCGTACAAAATGAAACGAGAGAAGTGTGTGCATGAGTGAGGAAAAAGCATGATCTTGTATGTAAGCCACAGATAAATTACTCCTCGTCCTCGTCCTCATCCTCGTCCTCTCTGTCTTCGTCGTCATCCTCATCGTCGCCCGTCTTTTGGGCCTTCGACTCGCCGGCATCGTCGGCGTCAGCCTTGCGCTTTGATCCAGCCGCGCTGTGTAGGTGGGAAATGGCTTGTCAACAGAGCTGCCTGCTTTCGCATGGGACTGATTGGCAACTCACGCGACCTCCTTGTCACCTTCGTCCTCCTCGCCCTCATACTCCTCATCGTCATCATCGTCGTCATCATCGTCATCATCTTCTCCCTCGTCCTCGTCCTCGTCCTCATCCTCGTCCTCTTGCTGTCAATATTGCGACGTTAGCGAGCGCTGTCCTTATTCTCACTCAGAACCAGGTCAAGGCCTCCACTCACAAAGTCCTCATCATCCTCGTCTTCCTCGTCCTCGTCCTCGTCCTCACCCGCTTCCTCTCTCTCCTCGGCATCGACCTTGGCGTCGTCGGCTGCCTGCGCGCTTGCCTGCTTCTGCGCCTTTTCGGCCGCGCCTCGCGGGGCCTCCGAGGGCGCCGCCGCGGCGCTCGAGCCGTTCTTTTCCGTCGCTGCGTCGGCCATTTTTACTTGTCTAGGGGTTAAATAGGTAGCCTATGGAGGGTGTGAGTCGCGTGTGGGCCCTGCTGTGGTAGGAGATGGGGTCTCTAGAGCAGGGGTGTGGATGATGGATGGTTGGAAGGAAAGAGGAATAGAAGAAATAGGAAGAAAGCAAAGGGATAAGGGTCGTCGGGGCAACTTCTCTCTAACACATAAACGATCGATCTAAACGATTCCCGGACAGCGCGACGCGTCAAGAACCAGAAACGTTTCTTAGGTCGCATGCATCCGGCGACGAGAATTAAAGATGCTTTGCTTGCTCACCCCTGCTCTAGTTTCATGCAGCTGACGAAACTCGCGTCCCCCCGCGCGCTCTACTAACCTCCACGCTGGACCTGTCACTGTCATGACAGGTTGGAGGCCGAGCAAGTTGTCAGCGGACTTACGCGGATCCACCCTGTCGTTGTAGAGAGCGAACAATGCCCATCTGCAGACTACCAAGTAAGGCTGCGGATGGGGGGGCCGGATTGGAGAAGGGGGCTCGAGCTGTAGATTAGTTATCGTTGGAAGGATCTGAGCAGCAATGACGTACGCGTGCCGCAGTGCCAGGAGGATGCAGAGGAGCGTCAGAAAGGAGTGGGTGGAGACTGCAGGCAAGAGATGGCCGTCAAGCCTTTCTGGGCCTTGTATTGGAAGCCTGTTGACAATCCAGAAAGGAGCGAGCAGCTTCAATCTTTTCACGGCAAGCAGCGAAGAAGACCAGAAGCGACCAACAAGCACACTGCTTGGACTCTAAATTCTTGCGCCACTCGTCTGTCAAATTCGTCATTCCTAACTCACTACAGCTCTAGGAATATTATGCTTAATAAATTCAGCCCATCTCTCTTTCGGCTTGGGTTTAGTCAAACAAAACGTGACAACATTGTCACTGTCCTGTCTCCTTCCCATCCGTAGGCCTGCACGAGGATCGAGACAGATGGGTGCTGCGACAGAGCCGACGGTGCCCAGCGCCATCGCTGCGAGGCAGGCTCTCAAAGACGGAAGCGCGACGGCCAACAAAGCGGCAGCAAAAGCGACAGACAAGGCGACTGTTGCAGGCGGTTGTTTCTGGGGCGTGGAACACATGTTCCGAAAATACTACGGCGATGGCAGGGGACTGATCGATGCCAAGTCTGGCTTCATCGGGGGCAAAGAGTCCAGCAGGAATCCCAGCTACGAGGAAGTCTGTACCGGCAAGACAGGCCATGCAGAGGCTACCCAGATTACATTCGACCCCGTGAGATCCCACTTTCTTTCAACGCAGGCAGGATTTGGGGCTCACGCTCTGACGAGCACACTTTTTACAGACAAAGGTCACATACGCTGAGCTCGTCGAATTCTTCTACCGAACCCACGATCCGACCCAGCTAAATGCCCAGGGGCACGACCAAGGCACACAATATCGCTCCGCCATTTTTCCTCACGATGAAAAGCAGCGCTTTGTGGCGCTAAAGGTGACGCAAGAGGTCCAGGAGAAACATTTTGCGCCCGAGGGACGCAAAATTGTCACACAAGTCGAGCAAAGACCTGCCGAGGACTTTTTTCTCGCGGAAGAGTACCATCAGGTGGGTGATAAATATCCCTCGTCTTCACGATCGTGTGCGATGCTCTGGCTCACAGCTGACGCAATCTTCTTCTCCCATTCCTCAGCGCTATCTCGAAAGGAATTCACTTGACTTTCATTGCAGCACGCACAAGCTCTGGTGGTGAAGATGATGAGACTCAGAGTTTGACTGTCAGAAGTCACCAATCAATCATCGACTTGCTGCTCATCATGTGTGATGCTAGACGCCAGCAGAGCCTGTTCTGGAATAGACGCGTGTGGCTGAGGAAGATGAGACCAATTTTTCGCATGGGCCTCCTCCACCTATGCAGGGCAACCGACTAGACTGGCTTTCTTCTCTGTTTTCCAAACACCCAACACAAGAAGCGACGCGCCAAAATACATGACAGACGAAGAGAAGTACCGGGTTCAGGTGCCGTCCGCGAGCATTCCACCTGGCGCTCGGGGTGGTCTCTCGCTGGGCGCGCCGAGGCTTGGACGAGGCCGTGGACGGGGCCGAGGTGGAGGAACAGTCGCGGGAGGGCCGGGCGGACCATCGAGCAGGCCATCTCAGCAGGAAGTCATCGATGGGGCCGTCAGGGCGACTGACGATGATGCACTTGGATCCCGTCTGTCTGCTATTGAAGCTGGATACCTACCACCCGACCCATTCTCTCGACTCTTTCTTTCTACGCACAATCCCTTGCCGTCGGGCTCGCAGGCATCCACTCCTCCACCAACGTTTCCAGTCAAGAGCTCCCGTGGCAGTTCAGAAGCTCGCGCTCCTGCTCCTCCTTCCCCTCCGCCGAGTTCACTTACCGTACAAGGTACGAGGGCAGGAGCAAAACGACCACCTATCATCAATATCGGCACGTATCTCCGCTGCCGATCTATCGATGACCTCGTAGAGCGTTTTCTCGCCGATGACGCAGAAGCGGGCAAGAAGAAGCAGATCATCAGCCTAGGTGCCGGCAGCGACTCTCGCTTCTGGAAGCTTTCTTCACGACAAGAGATCAGGGACAAGGTGGAGCACTATATGGAGATTGACTTCGAGCAGGTCGCCAGGAAGAAGATAGACCGAATACGGAGGAGCGGCGACCTTTCCAAGGCACTGGGCGACGAGGACGTGCAGATCGGTGAGCAACCTTCTCTTCCTCTTTCAGATCTAAGCTGACTTTTGTGAAAACGAAAGACGAACAAGGTACACGGCTTCTGGCACCTCACTATTCTCTCCTCTCGCAGGACCTGCGGTCTCTCGCATCGATCGAATCAGACCTCGATGCCATCATTCCAGACACCGAGGCGCCAACACTCATCTTGGCCGAATGTGTGTTGGCCTACCTCGATCCGCGTGATTCCCGTGCGCTGCTCGACCTACTCAGAAAGAAGCTCAAAAGACCCGCGGCAATCTGCTATGAGATGTGCATTGCGGGGCCGTCCTCGACTTTGGACGGGGTGCCGGCCCCTTCGAGATTCGGCAATGTGATGCTCAGCAACCTAGAGGTGAGCTCTTTCTATAGCCATGTTGCTGCCCCTCTCCGTGCACAAAATCTAACAGTGTTTCGTCAAGGCGAGAAGCCTCGTCATGCCCGGCGCGCGATCCTATTCAACACCCACCTTGCACGCCAAACGCTTCCAAGACGCCTTTGGACCACTGACGGCTGAAGAAAAGAGGGGTGCACATGCCATGACGCTCAAACAAGTCTGGCTGGAGCTCGATGGAGCCGACCGAGATCGGTAAGTGTTTGCTCTCTACCTCTTCTTTCCGCTCCTTGCAAAAGTCACTCAGCTCACCTGGGCTCTTGTAGCATCTCGAGACTCGAAGGGCTGGACGAGGTCGAAGAGCTCGAAATTCTTCTCGACCACTATGCCGTCAGCTGGTACGGCATCGCTTAAGGGCGATGAGGAATGGGAGCTTTGACTGGTCACAAAAGTAGCAACGTTGTCGGGAGGAGAAAAAATTTGGTGGCGGTGAAACATCAATAACAGAAGACGGTAGGAGAGAGGGTAGCGAACAATGCTGTACAAGGGTGACGAAAAGAGTGGGAATGATGACTTATAGGACTAAGTAGATGTAAGGAATGCAGATAAGAATGAAGAGCCAGAGAGGGTCTTTTTTTACAAAGCTTATTGCTACGATTGTTGATTGTGATGGTGCTGAAGATGCTGCTGCGGCGTCAGGGCTTCTGCAGGATACTGCTGTCCCTGGCCTGACCCGTTAATGAAGAACGACATGGCGTTGAGTTGGCTGAGGACAGGAACAAATTGTCCGTCGTCGGCCCTTGCGTCGAAGCCTAGGCCTGACGATCCTCCACCAGAGCCATGCCCGCCAAGCTCCATGCCGCTACCGCCCAGGCCCAGGTCCGTGAGATCGAAGATGCTGTCAACGGAACGCTGCTGGTTGCTGTTGCCATTTGACGAGGGCGTCAGAAGAGATGAGGGCTGCGCGTCGGCAAATCGTTCAGGAACTTGCTGCAGGGAATACACGTGTGGATGATGCTCGGCCTGGTAGTCGACGGACCGGCTGCTGTTATCGGCATGGCTCATGGGCTGGCGTTGTTCATTGGGAAGCGTGGAGGAATGACCGTACGTCGATGAATCATAAGACCCCACCATATTTCCACCTGGTGCCGCACCAAAGACAGCTGCAGCAGCCGCAACGGCAGCGCTGCTTTCTTGGGCCATGCTGGTCGATAAGGCACCAAGCCAGGCACTCTCGTGGCTCTGCGGTCGCTGTCTATTGCCGCTGCCTCTGCCACCTCCTGGAGGACCTGGGTAGCCGTCCATCAGAAAGCCATCCAATGAGGGAATCGAAGTTGACGCCAACGCCGAGGAACTTGAGGGAGGCGCAGAGGGATTTGCGTTCCGGTCCCTTGTCGACGCGCGTTTGCTCGATTTGACCTCGCCCTCGCCGTGCTTTGCCCTTATCCTCGCCAATGTGGTCTCGATATAATGGCCGCATTGCCAGGCAGCACTCTGTAGGCTATTAATGCACTTTTCGCCCGCTTGCTTCAGCTTTACCCCCAGCTCCTGGCACTGGTCCTGGATGTCCTCGGGCTTGTGAGACCGCGGCAGTGGAAAATCGGCTCTCCCGCCAAAGGCGAGGTCCAGAGCGAAGATGCACGAGTACGTGGCACTGATGATCATGTTGTTGCTCATGAACTCCATACCTCTGTACGTGCGGAACAGCGTTAAGAGCTGCAGACTGGCATCGAAACAATCGCGGAACGAATCCTGCAGAAAGTACGGAGTGACCTTCTCGGAATCTTTGAGTGGTAACGAGAGGGTGAGGAGTACGGCGATGTAGTAGTGAAGCTCGCCAGTGGCCTCGAGTGGCGTCTTTGTCGTCGTCGTATTGACAGAGCTCTCATCATCGCTATCTTCGACGGACCAACCGATCCAAAGCTTGCGCCAATTTCTGAGGCTGTCGATCGCTCGATCTCGAAAAGTAGTGTAGCGGATCTTCACATCCTCCAGACGATCGCGCTCGTCACGGGTCATTGCAGATACCTGTACGTCGTCTTCCCTCTTCTTGACGGTGTAGCGCTTCAAGAACTCACTGAGAGGATGCCGAAGCTCCTCCTCGTAGTAGCACTGCCTTTGAGCCTGTTTCAAATGAATCAGCGAGGTTTCTAAAGAGCTCCTTCAAAGAGGCAGGGCTTACCACAATACGTCGAAGTTCGATGAGACCAACGATTGCGCCATCTTGTGGGCATGAAAGCGGCTTGCGATGCCAGAAAAGACAGACAGCCGTGGGACCGTCTTCGTTCAGAGAGAGCGACTGGCCCGTCATGAGATGTAACGTCCTCTCGAACAGCCACAAAGACAGCCACAATCGCTCCGTGTTTTTGAGCTGACGGTGCTTCGTCATCGACTCGGGCGTCTGTTGTCGGAAGGCTTTTGGCAAGTGGTAGCTATACATGCGCAAATTACAGCCAAGCTCGCCGGCCATGCGGATCGCTGTGCCGAGGAGAAGGAATGACTTGTCGCTCGCAGCGCCATTGACGAAAGGTTCAAATGATGCTCTACAGGAAAGGAGTCAGTCAAACGCGACGAGAAAAATGCATAGTCTCAGACTCACAGGACGTAGCAGGCTTGCGAAATCTCAACGCTCTTGAAGCCACCGCTAAGCATAGCCGGCAATAGGCCTTCGTACCACTCCGTGAGTCCCGGATGTAACGCGCGGTGCTCTTCGTCAGGATGGTAAAAGGCGGCAAAGGCGCACATGACGGTGAGGAGAAAGCAGGAATGTTTGCGAATGTAAGTAAGGTCCGAAAGCTGTCGGTCAAAGACGAAGATGAAGTTTGAGAAGTGGTCGTAGAAGAAGTCGATCAACTTCGACGCTTGATTCAACGTCATGCGACCGCGCGTGATTGGGTCGTACTTTGGATCATGATCGTACACCGGCTGGAAGGTACTTCCCTTGAAGTTACGCTTGTCGGCAAAGTCTTGTGCGGCGCGACGGCGAGCGGTTTGGGAGGGAACGGATCCACCTGCAACCCCTCGACGGGGAAAATGGGTCGACATTTCCGATTCTTGCCCATCGAGTCCTCTGGGCAGTGCATTATGGTCCGTGTCCCTGTGAGACTGTGCCGCTGCAGAATGTTCGGATGACCGTGTTCCATGACCAATCTGGGGTGAAGTCTGTTCGCCTTCATCTGCGTTACCTACACCGGCACCAGCGGCACTGTCCTCGCCTGCGTGTGATCGTGGTGGGCCATTGTTGGTCCTTGTGACGCTGGCGTGGGCCAGAAGCTTCAACGGGTTGCTGGAAGAGCTGATGTGGGCGGGTACCTCGGAAACGCTCGCTTCGTCCTCGAGATCGACCATGAGAGACGTCTCTGCCTCGCTCTTTGGAATGCCGAGAAAGCCTCTCGTCACCGTATTCTCAAACAACGGGGTGCCTCCCTCCTTCTTGACCATGACCCGTTGGTCACTCCTCTCCCTATCTGATCTCGACTGTTGTTGGTGGTTCAGCTGCAGCTGTTGTTGGTGGTAATGGGGTAGAACGTGAGTAGAAGAGCTCTGATGTTCACTCCATTTTCTTTTGGCGCCGCTTCGGCCTGGCGAAGCTGCATACATCATCGCCTCGCTCGAATGTGGACCTCCGAGATTCTCCTTGCGAGATTCGATAATTTGAATCAGCCTCCTCTCCTCGTTGTCCAGGTCGATGAGCTTGGCAATCGGTTCGGGGATGGCATTGCTGTTGATAATGTTAGATCGGATGATCTGAACAAGTCTCAAGGCCTTGTCGTCCCCGAGTTCAGTCGTAATCTTTTTGAGATCCTCGAAGATTTTGACTGCCTGCTCCCATCGACGATTGGCCTGCTGCTGGCGCATTTTGCCTGGCCGTCTGCCGCGCTTGTGTGTCTTGAACACGCAATCTTTTCCTGAGCGCTGACAACGTTCACACTGCTGAGCTCCCCTTGGGATGGTGCATTTGATCTGTGGACGTTTTGTACAAGATTAGTGGCTACTTTCTCCCCCTTTTCTGTCTGTTTCCTGCTCACCTTTGCTTCGCGACAGGGCAGACACGAGATCTTCTTCTCGTCCCTAGACTTCTTGCTAGGTGCCTTGCCAGTTGCTGATGTTGCCTGTGAGCCCGCTGGCTGGCTGCCTGCTCGACCAGGGCCAGCCTCGTCGTCATCGTCCTCTTCGTCGTCCTCTTCCATTTCCTCGTCTTCATCTTCGATATCACCGTCTTCGTCACCGAATGCCTCGTCCACGCTCTCTTTTCTTTCCATGGAAGCTGGTGGAGAGACTGAAGGAGGAGCCTCGAGCTGCTGCTGCTGCTGTTTGACTCTCTTCACCGGTCTTGGCGCATCTGCCTTTTCAGCCTTGACGTGGGACGCGCTCTTCCGTTGCCCATCAGCCGCCGCTGTTCCAACAGCTTCGATTGATTTCGACGACATTGTTGTGCTTCTTTGGAGGGAACAAAGCAAGGCCAACACCTGATCCTGCTTCTGCGCCGCTTTCTGCTCTTCTTGCTGCTCACTTTATCGTTCGATTGTCTCCCGTTCTGGTCGCCTTAGTCGCGTGATTGCCGAGGTGCCGCCCTTCCCTTTTCATCTGTGAGGGATTTTGTTGCTTAGGACATTAGGGCATCTCTCCTCCGTCCACCTTTCGTATTTGACTCGGCCAGGCGAGGCCAAGGCGAAGAGCAGGAGCAGATGAGGGAGGGAGCAGGATGAATGTAGGATCCAGCTCAGCTCCGCCAAGAATGCCCTTTGCGACTCCTACCTCCGTCTCGGCCCCGCGTTCGCGAATCTCTTGGATTTCTCTCTCCTTTCCCTTCCTCCCAGAGCGGACTCGCAGGACGACACCAACTGGCGCTGACAGCTGTCACGTTTCAGGGGACACAAATCGCCTTATCTTCCAGAGTAAAGTGGGCCGCCGCAGCCTTTTGTTTCGCCTCGGGCCTATTTTTATCGTGCTGTCTTCCTCATTTGGTCCCCGCGACCTCGGTCTCTCGAAGGACGGTGTAAATTCCCTTTCTCGAGTTGTTGATGGGCGAGAGGGCTTGTATGGAGCTTCACGATGTTAAAGAAAGCGCTCTGTGCTCCAGAGGTCGGAGCAGGAGGAAAGAAAAGTTGTTGGAGTGAACGCGGGGGAACAGGACCGAAGCTCCGAAGACCCTACAGTGATTACTAAGCAACATTTCACTCCTCCGTCTCTTTCCCTCCTCTTTCTTTGTGGACCAGAGTCGACTCGGAAGGCTATTTCCCTCAAGTGAGAAGGAAAGAATGCACAAGTCATCTTGAGAAACACTTCACAAGGAGCGAGAACATGGTCAATCGTCTCTTCCAGCGCGCCGGCACCGTGAAAGAGGTTCCAGGCAATCTTTTCACAACAGAATTTCGGCACTTGCCCATACCAAGCTTGTCCTGGCTCTTAAAGCGCATGTCAAAAGCACACATGCCGATCCGAACGGCATAGAAGCGAGAGAGACACAAAGCAAGAAGCATGATTGAAGACGCCAGAAGCGAGACGCTCTCTACCTGTCGCGGTGAGGGAAACTTGTCAGTAATCGCAAATGCGGTAAAGTCCACGTATCTCGATCGAGGTGTGCTGCTGCTCCATTGTCAGAAAGTGGCCCTGGATGAACCACTCACAGGGCAGGCGGCGCGACTATGACGCAGACATGACTCATGTGACCATCTTGAGGAGCTTTGAGATGTACTTCTTGCCGAATACTGTTCAGCCTTGCCTAGACTCTAGCTTTTCCGGCGCAGCAAGGGATCAAAAGAGTGGGGGAAAGGGGAGGGGGAGAGGGGAGAGGGTGGGGGCGGGGAGGGAAGAGAGAAGCAGGGGAGGGCGCCACGGAAAGCAAGATAAGAGCTACGGCACACCGGTCCGTAATCCCGAGGGGCCGCCATAGTGTGTGGCTGGTAAGCCCGTTGTCCATATGAGGAGATTTCCGCGAGTGACATCTCGAGCCTCTCCGCCTAGTCTCATTGAAGCTCATCGGATGGCAGAAAAAACAGCACCCTCGATCCTGGGGTACTGCGCGAGCTGAAGAGCAACCTCTCTAATTGCCACAGCAGAAGAGCGGTCACCATCGTCATGGTACCCCCACTCTTATAAAAAAAGCCGCTTTCCGTCAACCACTGATTCAATCCCAGTCGGAGACAATGCCGCGCGCAGAGAAGGGTCGAGAATTGCCTGCCGTCTTGCACAACCTCACTAGCTAGCTGCTTTGTGGTCTCATTGCCCCACAATATCGATGTTAGGCGTGGTCTATCATGCACGTCAAGCAGCACAAGCCCGCACCTTTTACTACGTAGTACGCTAGCTACGCTATCAGAGCGACCGCTAGTGACCGACTGACTTTGGATTAGTAGGAGTACATGATATTTGATCTGTTTCGGTCGCAGGAATTTCTCCGCAACAATTGTTAGCCTGGATCGCACCCCTTGAAATATTATCCACCGCCAGACGAGAGCGTCTGGGCCAAGTAGGTACGGTGCCTGTAGCGAGCCTTCTTTTTCCTAGGAAAACTTTCTTAAATTTTCCAGGCCCTGGCTAGGTGGTAAAATTGAAGGTGGGCCTGCAGGGCAGGGGAGCTAGAATGTCATGGTATGTGTGTGGGTCCACGGCTTAAAATCACCGCTTCTTTCCTGGTCTTCGCTGCTTCCGCTCCCCCATTTCCCCCTCACTTCCACTTCTCGCTCTCTGCTGGTGATAATGTCTGAGCACGACGATAGCAAGGTGCCTACAGTCGAGGGCGCTGCCGATGCAAATGCACGCCAAAAGGCTCTGGCCCACCTCGCCAATGACGAAGAGGCCATGCGAGCGAGCTACGGCAAAGCGTCGCTCAAGGCCATCGTGAACGACCGGTACGCATTTGGCTGCAGCCTCTTCGCTGCCATGGGAGGTCTCCTGTTCGGCATCGACCAGGGTTTGGTCTCTGTTATCCTGGTCATGCCTAAATTCCTCGAGCGTTTCCACCAAATCGACGGCACCAAGGATGTTTCGGCCGGCTTCCACAAAGGTGAGAGCGAGAATCTTGCGGCCGCTATGGCAGACTGATGTACGTCTACTGACATCCGGCGGACTTTCAAGGTATATTGACTGCCATGATCGAGCTGGGCGCCCTCGTCGGAGCAATGCTGGCCGGTTTCGTCGCCGACAAGTTCTCTCGCCGCGGCGCCATTCGGACTGGTGTCGTCTTTTTCATCATCGGCAGTGCAATTCAGACGGGTTCCATCTCCTACGACATGCTCGTTGTCGGCCGATTGATTGGGGGCATCGGTATCGGCTTCTTGAGCAACACCTGCCCTGTCTACATCAGCGAGCTCTCCCCACCGCATATCCGTGGCATTCTCCTTGGGTGGGTAGACAAACAAGACCGCGCAGGCAGAGCAAAGAAGAGGCTGGGGCTGACCTTTTTTTTCTCTTGGCTGATTAAAGACTCGAGGAGTTCGCAATTGTTGGTGGCATCTGCCTCGCATATTACGTGACCTATGGGACTCGTTTCATCGATTCGGAGTGGTGCTACAGACTACCATTCCTCCTGCAGATTGTTCCTGGCTTCATCCTCATGGTAGGCGCGTTTATCCTGCCTCCGAGCCCGCGTTGGCTCGCCATGCAAGGTCGCAGCGAAGAATCGCTCATGACACTGGCAAAAATTCGCAGACGGCACCCCGACGACGCCCTCGTTCAGGCCGAATGGCTTGAAATTCGCGGCGAGGCCGAGCTCCACGATGAGATCCGGAGGGAGCGACACCCCACGCACCAGTCGGGCAGCTTCAAGGATCAGGTTGCCCTCGAGCTGTGGGGCTGGGTCGACACACTTCGTCCGGGCTGCTGGAAGAGGACCGTTATTGGTATTCTCCTCATGGCCTTCCAGCAGCTCGTTGGCATCAACGCGTTGATCTACTACGCACCGACTCTCTTTGAGCAGCTGGGACTCAACTACGATGATCGCCTCAATCTTTCCGGCGTGGCCAACCTTTGCCAGCTTGCCGGTGTCTTTATCTCCTTCTTCTTTATCGACAAGATCGGACGCAAACCCTTGCTCACGTTTGGCTCCGTCGGCATGACTGTGTGCATGATCATCGTTGGCGTCCTCACCGCCGTCTTCAGCAACGACTGGCCAGCACACAAGCCCGAAGCGAGGGCCGCCGTCGCCTTTCTCAATATTTACATGGTCGTCTTTGGCTTGTCTTGGGGTCCTATCCCCTGGTCCATGCCGTCGGAGCTCTTCCCTTCAAGCCTGCGTGCAAAGGGCGTTGCATGGAGCACTGTCAGCAACTGGCTTTTTGTAAGTTTCTCAGACCCATTCTTTGCTCCAGTTCTATCCCTGATCTTCTCACTTGGCAGAACTTCATCATCGGCCTCATTGTTCCGCCACTTGTTGATGCAACAGGTGAGTGTCGTAGTCTCTCTCACCGAGGCCAAAATCGTCATCTTAAGACTAATCCTTATTTCTGAAGGGTACGGCGCATTTGTTTTCTTCGCCTGCTGGGCCTTCGTCTCGGCCCTCTTTGCCATCTTCATCGTTCCCGAGACGAAAGGAAAGACATTGGAGCAGGTGAGCAGAACTACTTTCCTTAAACACACTCTGCCTCAGCCGATGCTGACGCTCTACTACAGCTCGACACGCTCTTCAACGACCGCACGGGCACGGCCGACGAGGAACGACGCACACGCATCAACAATCGTCTCGCGGCAGAAGCATCCGCTCGTCTCGCCGAGCGCAGCTCAGCATACAGCGCAGACGGCACCACGCAGCAGCGCGTCGGCAAAGCCGCCGACGATGATGCCGAAGACCAGAAGCTACCTTCTCTGGCCTAAGTGGCAACGGATCGCTTCTTGTCTTTGTTCTTACGCAATACCACAATCTCACAATGTAACACAATGAATTTCAGCTGTCACCGCTTCTTGCTGAGCTGCTCGTCAATGAAGGATGAGATGGCCTCGAACTCTTCCAAGAGGACCTTGACCGCTCTGACTTCCTCTGTTCGTTTCAATGTCAGTCGGGCATACTACCCCCCCCTACCCAAAATCTCGCCAACTCACTTGATCTCTCCGTCTTTCCAAGCCTCTTCCCCAAGCGCTCTTGCTCTCCAAAACTGTACAGAGCGTGACTGTACGGCAAGATAACCTTTGAGCGGTTCCAGTACCACTTTCGCTTTTCTGGATTGCCCTTGGCAATGGCCGGGATGGTGCTGTGCGCCGGCACCTGCACCACTGCCCGGACGGCTGCCTCGACGTGGCGCTCCTCGATGAGCTGCAGCACCGCCTCGCACGCCGTGCCATGACCAATGAGCACAACGCGGGGCTGCTTGTCTGCATCGGGCGTGGCGTGCCGGAGAATGTCGACAAAGTTGTCCCAGACGTAGAGGAGCGCCTCCCTCGCCTGGTTGCGCCGCCCGTTGGCCCGTTCCGAGGCCAACGTGCCAATTCTTGGCCGCGTGCCGCCCGTCAGGACAGGCGGCTTGATCGTCGTAGGGAGTTGCGCATCGACATTGACGTCAATGATGGCGTGGCCCCGTTCCATAGCCCAGTCGATGATCTTGGAGCTGGCGTCAACCATGTAGGCCCTCTCCCTGTCGGCATAGATTTCAAAGAGCGGAATCTCGGCTCGCAAATTGCCCATGTCGTGGGCAAAGACGACAACTGTCTCGTACGCCGGATCTTTATCTAGAAGGTCCATGCTGGTCAAGACCGAGCCGTCAAAGAAGCCAGCGCCCTCTTGCGTCAAGACGGGCAGGGTACCCAGCTGGTACTTCCTTGCGATTGCCTGCAGCCGGTGGGCCTTGATGAGCTCTGGTAGCTGCACCAGAGGCACGCCAGAGTCCTCCTCGGATCCAAAGCCATCTTGAGCCGACGTGGGCTGGACACTCTTCCAATGCTTTGCCTGAATCAGCTCCACCTGACGGATGGCCTGATTGGCCGGCACGCTGCATACAGTCCCCTCGCGGACGGGTGGAGGTGCTTCTCCTAGCAAGACATTTGTGACGCTGAGTGCCGAACGCTCGATTGATTCCAGATTGTACCCGCCCTGTCGTTGGGGAAAAGAGTCAGCTTCTAGACTGCCTGCTATAGTTTTCGAGACACTGACCTCGAGCGCGACGACGAGTCGCCCATTGGCAAGCGCGGCCAGCTCGTGGGTCATCTGAGCATAGCCATTGGGGGTCACCCTACATTGACCAAGATGGTCTCCTTCAGCGGCATCAAAGCCAGCAGAGATGATGACGAAGTCGGGTGCAAACTCGTGGGCGATCGGCATGACAACGCGTTGGAAAGCCGCCAGATAGTCGCCATCACCCATGCCTGAATCCGGCCAAGGGATGTTGACATTTCGCCCCACTCCGGCTCCGACGCCCACTTGATCATCTGCACCACCGATACCACCAGGGAAGAACTCGCCGTTCTCGTAGCGATGCAGAGATATGTAGAGGACGTTTTCATCGTCCCAAAATGCCTGTTGAGTCCCATTGCCGTGATGTACGTCCCTTCGTGGAAAGTTCAGTATAAGCATGCTGGCCAGCCGTCAAGAGGAAAGAGAAAGCGAGAGCTCACCAGTCAAGAATGAGAACCTTTTGCACCCGTTCTCTTCCCTCGTAGTCCCCGTACCGTCGCTGCAGGTACCGCGTTGCCACGGCTACGTTGTTGTAGAGGCAGAAACCCATTGATCGATCGGGCTCGGCATGGTGACCCGGAGGTCTGACGACGGCAAATCCGTTGCGCACTCTTCCGCTGGCAACGGCCTCGCACATTTCAATGACGCCTCCACAGCTCAGCCGTGCGCATTTGGCCGAGTGCTCATTGATATAGAGCGAGGCAGTGCGCTCCAGCGTCTCTGTCTCCAAGGCCAACGTCTCCGTGGTGAAGACTTGGGGCGTTCTCAGGGTAAGCTTCATCGCGATACGCCAAAAAGCCCGCGTGACAGCGTCACTTACATGCCGTCTTTTCAACGCCTTCCCACATGCCGGCATCGTGGACGAGCAGGATCTCTTCTCGCTTAACTTCCCGTATTTGGATACGCTTCATGTGAGCCACACACCCGTGATCCTTGAGGTAGTCAAAGATGCGACTGATACGGTCGGGCTGCTCTGGGTGAAAGTCGCCTTCGTCGCTCGAGGTCACGCCAGGCACGGTGTGAAGCATCATCAGGTGACTGTACACGAGGCCGGTCTTGACACCGCGCCGACTCTGAGGCGAGTATTCTCCCGGTGGCGCTACGCTCGAGGAACGGGAAGAGGGCGACGAGACGGAAAGGGCGAGGCTCATGCCGTCGCCATTGGCAAAGAAGAGGTTGCCCCTACTGGGCGAAGGCGACCGTCTTTCCAGGAATTGTGTGGGCATGTGGTCCGAAGCTGCATATGGTCCCGATCTGGGATCCAGCGGTGGTGGGTTGGCAATTTCCCATGGATCTTGTACCTCGTCCATGGGCTGTATTTGTGCGCGACCGTCGCTCTCCACAACAAGCTGCTGGTGAGGCTGCGCGGATGAAGTGGCGGCCATCGCCATGAAGAGGTCGAGTTGAGAGCGTGAAGGTCCGGCTTGCGCTTCAGAAGTCGAGGAGAGATTGTCCGAATTCATTGTCCGTTGCGCGCCCCCCATCAGCTCCAGCCCCGAAGATGAGCCGTTCAACGGTGGAATGGCAGGTGCTCCACCCTGAATGGCCGTTGCAACGCCATTCTGCTGCGGTCCAAGCTGCGTAGTCGAGGATGAGATCGGAAGCGGATACGACGGATCTGATGGCTGATCTCCCCCTCCACCATTGCCGCCCTCCCCTCGACCGCTAGGCGCAAAGTAGGCCATGCCGCCCACCACAGAGACTCTCGAGGAGGCAGAGGGAAAAAAAGAAAAAGGAATGTCAAGAAAAAAACAACCAGTCCGTGCGACGCGTCTTGATTCGGTCGGTGCATTCGTAAACGTCGACGGCGTCTTGGGCCTGGCTTCACAAGCACGATGGCCATTGACGAGGCAGGTCCCTCCACGCAGTCGGGGCAGTCTGAACAAGCGAGTCAGAAGAAGCGCTTTGCGCCCTCGGCACTTCTTCCTCGTGCTCAGTACCTCGCCATCGAGTATCCGGGCGTGCTCAAGCCGCGTGCTGATGAGGAGGACGACACGCTCGTCAATGCACTCAAGACGCTTGCGCCTGGGCCGCCGGAGTTTGCCTCTCCGGTCGCGGCGCTCAAGCATCTGGGCAGACTTGTGGACACTCAAAAGACGCTCCTCGAATGCAGGCTGAGCTCGACGGCCAGCAGCGGTGAGTCCACTCCTTGTCTTTGCTGGAGCCAGCAGGAAGGAAGGGCGAGCAGGCTGAGACCATCTCCACACTTTGCAGAGGAAGCCTATCGACATGCGCTACAGGGCGAAGTGCAGCCATCACACAATGTCGTACTCCGAGTCAAAAAACGGACGTGGAAGAGGAAGAAGTCGTCGGGGGCGGACGATGTTTGTCGAGAGTACACCGTCTCGGCCTCCGGTGTTGTCCGTCACGTCGCCAAATTCAAGACGATGGCCGACTTTCTCTATGACCCAGGGCTACGCCTTGACTCGTCTTCTGCTGGGCCAGAGCAGGGCAGTACGGCGCTCAAATTTCTTCAAGATGTATGCAAAATGGATGCGAATGCGCTTCTGGCATTTGACCTGGAAGGCGAACGTGCAGACGCCAGTCGTCCCATTGACATGACGCCGCCGCCGCAATTTGCTCGCAGGGACGCGCCTCTCAGCTACGGGTGGGTGACAGGAGACCAAGAAAGATGGAATCTTGAGGGTTTGGGCTGACAGCTATGAACACGGCAGCTTTCGTCAGAATCCGAGCTCGCAGCTGGTTGGGTACGGACCCGTGCAGAGCGATGGAACCCAGGCGATGCGCTTCGAGCATCGTCTTCGAGACGCCAATGTCTTTCCAGCACAGTTCAGTATGGTCGGCAGATCGGCTCGCAGCAAGGTGAGGTCATTGTAGCACCTCTCCTGACCAGCATTGACCTCTCTTTCTCGTGCCAGGTACCGATGGACTCCAAGACGGCCAACAAGGGAAAGGGCCGCGCTCTCGATGAGCAATTAGTGGCTGCTCTGAAGCAGGTGAGGGCTGCTCGATCAAAGATCGCAGCACAGTTCGTTCACATTCGCATCCACAGCGCTTTGAGGAGAGGCCCATGTGGACGAGGCCAGGCCTTCTTAACCAATTCTCGCCAGCGGATAGGCGAATACTATTCAAGTCAGTTGCAAATCTTCAGGCTTGAGACCTTTACGATTTAGCTAACATCTATTCGTATCAGCCATAAGCAACACATTGCCGAGTGCTGCTACGCTATTACGAATGGCTGCTGGCGAGACTGCCTGGTCAAGTTTGCCTATGACCCGCGAAAGGACAAAGAAAGCAGGTTGTGAGTCAGGACATAGAACTATTCAGGCATGCTTGATCTCTCAACGAGCGTGCTATTTCAGCTACCAGCGAATGGGTTTTCAAGCAAAGACCAAGAGGCACGCTGCTCCGTTGGGCCATGGACGAAAGCGGGCTTCTGCAGAGGTAGAAGAAGACGAAGGCGGGAGTCCACATGGGGCAGCTAGAGCCGATGGGCCAGAGGAAGGCGATGCCGATGCCCGGTAGGTTCTTTTGTCTTTCCCGATTGTCTCTGGAACCCATGCTGAAAGGAGTCGTGATGGATCTCAGCGCCGACAGCCACATCTTTGATGGTGTCACTCCTTTTCCCACGCTCAACAGCTTCATGCTCATTGATATCACAGACGAGATTGCTCGGCCTTACATCGATGCGACCGGACCACAAGCGCTCAGGGACAAGCCCGACGATGTCTCTGGCTGGTACACGGCTGAGCAGTGGGAGAAGATCCGCACTGTCCTCCAGCTGCGATTTCACTTTCTCGCCAACCAGGGCATCCCGGCGCCCGCGGAGAAGTGTGCTGCTGCAGTCGCTCTGGTCGAGGCCAGGTTCCGAGACACTGGCTCCAAGGGGCGGCAAGAGTCTCATGAAGCCGATGATGATGATGATGACATGTCTGAGCAGTCCGAAAATGTACAGTAGACTAGCATAAAGCACGCCTCAGCCGTGGCAACGGAGTCTGTGCAGACGACATACTGTATGTGCGGAGGTTGAAAACGTCAAAATGCGAGATTCGAAAGGAGAAAAAAGGCCGCGCGCGCTGCGCTCGCTGTCCCTGTCTCCCCAATTCCTCCTCCGCCATCCTCGCATCGCGCGCCCCGAGTCTCAGACAAGCGACGAGCAGGGTCTTGCAGCATCTTGGTGACAGGCTCCCATGCTCTGCCTGCACTCATTGAAGTATCGTGGTTGAGGGACCGACCGAGCTCACTTTCTTGTCGTCGGCGCCGGGTCAGACGAGGCTTTGAGGATGGAGGAGTCACGCGGCGGCGACGACGGAGCTCAGCACCCAGCTGCAGAGGGCGGTGGGACTGCGCAGAACCATTATCCCCAGAGACAGCAGCAGCAGCAGCAGCAACAGCAGCAACAGCAGTATCACCAACCGCACCGCCAAATACCCTCGTTTCAGCCGCAGCAGGCTGGGGGACCGAGGATGTCTCACTTCCAGATTCCGGAATTCAGACCAGCAGGTCATTCTTCACTCAACTTTCACGCTCATCAGCGTCAGTCGTCGCCTGGCGTGATGCCAGGAGATGGCCTAGATACCGGCGCCATGCTCGGCACCTCTCACTTCGCAGCACAGAACATCGCCTTGGCCCATGCTCTGCAGCAGCAGCAGCAGCAACAGCCGCAACAGCATTCATCTATGCCCATGGGGGCTGGCCAGTACATGCCCCGCCCAGGCTTTCCTGCCAGGCCCAGCCATAGCTGGACACCTCCTCCGTTTCAGTCCCAGCACCAGCCCGCACCACAGCAGCTTTATCATACACGTCCGCCCGGTCCTGCTCGACCAGGCAACCACACAGTCAGCCACGCAACAGCGGCAGCAGCAGCCGTGCCGGCGCCTAGTGTTCCTCTTCTGTCTCGGCTGCCTCCATTGCCTCCGATGCCCAACGAGCTTCTAGCAGAGGGGAAGGCCGACGATGACAAGGAAAGAGCCAGGCGGCGGGCTTATCAGGCTCGAGAGGAAGCCCTCATGCTCAGGATCGAAGCAATCGGCTTCCAACCTGCCAAAGCCTGGTCCGTCATGAAGGAGGTGGTAGAAGGGCCGGGCAAGACGCAGGCGGAAGAGGATGGCGTCGACAATGGAAAGGAGAAGAGGGCCGAAGACAGAGAGGCAGAGGTCAAAGATCACGCAAAGGCCGAGATAGCCGAGAAGGAAGAGGGACGAGACGCTGCGCCGATCCTTGGGATTCGCCTCCTGCAACGATTGCATGCCCTCGAAGAGGAGAATCAGGAGCTGGGTCGCATCGTTGCGGACCTCGCTGGGAAGAAGCAAGCCAAGGGAGACGAGAGCCAAGTCCAAGTGGAGCTGCAAGGTAGGATTTGGCCCGAGATGCTAGGGTATAGCGTCGTACCTTGTGCTGACGAAGACCCTTGGATAGATGCACATGAACTCATTGCCGCCATGGACTCGGCGATGAAAGGATTGGAAAGGCGAGCGGAGGAGGCTGAAGCCCGGGCAAATGCGAGCGAGCGGGCGCTGGCTGTCGCATGCGCCCAGAACTCGAGCTCGATTCTAGACGAGAGGCGAGGAGGTGGACCACCGACGTCACCCACTACGAGCCCAAGCAGCCGAGGTGCTAATGCAGGCGCACAGAGTGCATCTATTTCGCCTGCCTCTCCACCGCCCAAAAGATGGAATAGCAGTAGTCGCGGTGGCCATCAATCAGGCCACCGTGGAGGAGGAGGAGGAGGAGGAGGGGGAGGGGGAGGGGGAGGAAGGCGCGGACACCACTAATCACGCACATACATCAGTCACAAATCTCACAACTCTGTACTATCATCACTCATTTGTAACGATAACTCATTTACCGGTACATCACCAGCCCATTGTCTCGTGCCATTTTCTTGTGCAAAGCCTGACCTCTGGCCGTCCATAGCGAAGACCCGGAACCAATGAGCGAATTATGGACAGCTATTCCAGGGCCAGGCGCGATCAGTGGAGAACAAAATTAGAAATGACAGAAAAATGCATAGGGCAATTGGGGCGATCTCACTTTCACTCCTCCACCAATTCGCTACCTCGGCGAGCAGCGAGGGCACCATGACGATGATGACGGCTTCGTCAGCCGGCAATGCCTCACTAGAACCCAGGACCGTCAATGTCGATCGTCTGCGCCAGCTCCGCAACTCCGTAATCGGGAGCCGTACGAAGAAGTCCGAGGTCGTGGCGCAGGGAAAAGTGCCGGCGTGAGTCTTGCTTGCGCTCTCTGCAGCAACGTCGCCTCTCACAATGTGCTGACTAGCTGACCGTCCTCTCTGCGTGTCCAGCCTCGTGCGGATTTTGTCGACGCCCTTGGAGGACAGAAGCGATGGGGCCGAAATCAAGAGTCTGGCCGCGACCATTATCGGTTCTTTGGCCCATGGTGAGAATTGCCATTGCCGGCTTTGCTCGGGAATGATGAAGGTCTAACCGCGAGCATCTTGCGCATTACTCTTCTTCCCTTTCGGCAGATGCCCCTCCTCCGACGCTCCTGTCGCTCTGTCGGGCCAATGCCACGCAGTCGATCCTAGACGCCCTCTCTCAGCTCGCTAGTGCTCCATCGACGGCAGACCCCCTCGAAGGGCAAACAGCAGCAGAAACGGCCACCAGCTCGGAAAGCCGCCTGTCTTCCGACGATCTCAAGCTCATTGAATCTTATCTCCGCGCACTGCGCTCTCTGGTCGTCGCACTGGCCGATGAAGTGTCTCCGGGAAGCCGCTGGCAGCGCTTGCCAGGCGTAGGCTACCGATACAATCAAGCAATCATGCAGAGCCTTGCGGACCAGAATGGTAGTTCGTCAGGGCTGCACGCTTCAGTGCTGGGAAAGAGCTCGAGGGAGGTCATTGGGTGGCATATTGCCGACGCAGGATTCCCACAAAAAGGCATGCATACCGCGACAAAGAGCGCGGCAAAGAAGCAGAGAGGGGACGGGGATGGCGATCTGAAGATGAACTCGGCCTCTTCGTCAGATTTGCGAAGGGATGCTGCGAGGGACAAGGAGCACGAATGGAGATCCGAAGAAGAGCAAGCGTTTAATTCGCCTCACGCTGAACTCGTCTGGCTCGCCCGGAAAGCCATCGCTGCTGCCTTCGCGTCGCACAACCTGCCCCTTTGGCTCGGCACGCTGTTCGTTGCTCGGCTTCCTGTTTCATCGTTCAAAGCACCAGCATGGACGACGAAGAGCCGTGGTGGAAGCCGGCCAGGGACGAGGCCTGGCAGCCCGGGGAGACCAGGCGCAACAGCCTCGAACAGCCGACCTGGATCTAGCAGGGGAGCCGAATCGTCGCCCGCTGTTGGCCTACCAGCTCATTCGAACCAGGTCAAGGTCTTGGCCATCACCGAGATGGTCTCTGGGGTCCTCTCTTCTGGCTTGTGCATCGCTTCTACCGATGTCGATGCGGCAGAAGCCCTTTCCTCGTCCACTCAGGACTACACGCCGGTCCTCATCCTATCTCAGCGCCGGAGGGCAGTGCTCGAATTCACCGCTGATCAGTCACCTTTCTGGGCAGGGCGGTCAGCCACAACAGTTCCCGCCCGTGCTGCTCTCCACCACGAGGACGCATTCTTCGCTGCTAATGACGAAGCAGAACGCGGGCGAGACGGAGCAGGTCTAGCGACGCAGGCTAGCTTCGTGAAGCGCGGAAAGAGCTCTGAGAATCACGCCCAGGGAGTTGCGATGGACGAGGGAGACGACCAGGCCTTTGCCAACCTCGTCGATGCGCATAGGGGCGCACTGGATGTGCTCCTCGAAGCAACCGAATGTGGCTATGCAAAGACTCAGGAGGCCGCCCTGTGGGCATTGACGGATCTGTCGAGGGAAAACACAGAGACGAGCGCAAAGCTCTTCAACTGTCTGACTCCTTCGGGCCTGATCCCGACGTCGATGCTTCTCAATCTCAGGAAAGACCCATCTGCCTCGGTCCGTCTTGCTGCCTTTTGCTGGTGGGTGTTTTTTCTACCAATTGTGTCTTTAGGCGTCGTTTGCTGACGCAGGAGCCACTTTGCAGTTTGGCGCATATCATAAAAGTACACCCATTCACCCCAAAAACCAACGAGTGCGTCCTCGCCGTCCTTGTCGAGCTGCTCGATTATCCCAGCGAGATACAAGCGACGGCAGCATTTGCACTGGCACGCCTCGTGGCCGACGACTCCGAGCTACAAGCGCTGGCTTGTGAGCAGTATGACTGCATCGCAAAGCTGGCGGCGCTGCTGGACAAGAGCAAGAACGCAGCCACGGCTCTGCCGCCCGATTCACCACTGGAAGCGCAGCAGAAGGCGGCTCTGGTCGACGAGCAGCTGATCCGGCTGCGCGAGGCTTCTCTGGTAGCGTTTGCTGCGCTCAGCTTCCAACGCGATGAGATACGTCGCAAGATTGTCGACCACACGGCGCCTTCTCTGCTCCCCATTGTTGTTTCGTCGTTGACGGCGTCGCATTTGGGCGTCCGCGTAGCCGCTTGCCGTCTGGTGCGAGCCCTTTCACGGAGCATCTCGATCTTGCGTACCTCGCTCGTCGATGCCGGCGTGGCGAGCAAGCTGCTCGACATTATCAAAACCGGGCCGGTTGAGGAAGGATTCGAGATCAAGAGTGAGGCAACTGCGTCGCTGTGCAACCTCGTCGTCAAATTCAGTCCCATGAAGCAATTCCTTGTCGAAAGCGGGGGAATCAACGACTTGCTCGCGCTCTGCAGCTCTCCGGATGCAGGCCTGCGGCTAAATGCGCTCTGGGCCATCAAGAATATCCTCTACTGCGCCGATACGGAGACCAAGCGGTCGGTGACACAAGGATTTGACTGGGACCGGCTCAAGGTCATGTGCCGGGATGTCGAAGCAGGTACACTCGCAATTCAGGAGCAAGCGCTCAATATTGTCCGCAACCTGGCGTCGTCGAACCCGGTCGACATCGACCTGACTATTCAGGGTATGGGTGGGGCAGATGAGCTCTTCTCACTGATCGAAGACGTCGTGTGGCACAGGCCCAGCGACGCAGCTCTCGAACAAGTCGCATACATTCTTGTCAACCTGGCCACGGGTACAGAAGAGCATCGCCGCATGTTGCTTGCTCGGCCTAATCTCTTGGACGCCACTGTCTTTTTCTTAGTGAGTTGCTTTTTCCTGCTTTTTCCTGCTGTCGAAGATTCATCCCACTGACTGACTTTTCCGGTGAAGAACCACCCAAAAGTCGAGATTCGAGTAGCAGGTGTTTGGGTTGCATCGAATCTGACGCAACCCACCCGGCCTGCGTCGTCTGCCAATCCGACCAGCTCCCCCTCCGTTGCCACGGCAACGCCCAACCCTACCGCTCCGGGCAACGCGCCTGCTGTTTTACCGTCGCTGGACGTGTGCAGCGAGGCCATTGTCCGGCTCAAGTCATTTGGATTCGACACAAGGCTTCGTACCCTCATCGACGATCCAGAGAGGGACGTCTCGGATCGGGCGTTGTCCTTGCTCACCCGGTTTGAATGACCACGCACTTTATCCCCCCCTCCTTCCCTCCACATTGATCCGCTCTGCAGCGCTTGGTAATTTAGTTCTCCATGTCAAAGCTATTTCTTCCCATCCATTCATCTCGATTATATTACCTTCCAACCATCTCTCCACGGCTGGACGATGTCTGTGAAAAGGGGGGGAGCGAGTGGGAGGGGACGGGGAGGCTCATCGCAGCGAGGTGGATTTCAGACGAGCGAAGACGCGCCTTCCCATGCAGAGAGAGCTGCTGAGCTCCTCGCGCGTGCCCGTCTCCAAGGTAAGGCTCCACCAACAGCAGCAGCTGCTGCTACACCGCCGCCCACGCGCACCCCTTCGTCGGAAGCGTCGACGAAGCCCATATCGATCCCTGAGCTTCTCAAGAAGCTCGCGAATCCTGCACTGGGGTCCAATGCCCTGTCGGTCAAGGACGCCATCCCGATCGCGGGCAAGCTCGTCCGGGCCAAGCTCAACACCGAGGCACAGCTCGAGTACCTCAGCGAGGCGCTCCTCGAGCGTGCCGGCATCAGCTCCGAGTCGGACCGCAACCGTGTACTCGTCGCGCTGGGCGTGCGGTCGGCCGGCCTGATGGGCAAGAGAAAGGCGCCGGAGCCGAGTGCGGCAACGAAGCGCCGGAGACAACAGATGGACGATGTGGCCCTCTCGCGCGACTATGGAAACTATGACCCAACAGCGCACCATGCCTCCTCGAGAAGAAACCAGGGCGAGGAGGAAGAGTACGTGTTCAACGAGGTGCTCGATGCCGAGGTGCTCCGGGGCCGATACGCCTTTGTGAATCGCGCGCCAGTCATGACGGCCTGGACGACGATTGTTTTGGAGCGGCTCGGGTTCCAGCGCGCAGAGGCGCTCAGCTTGGCCCACGTCTATGTCGACACGACGAGCACAAGCAGGGGGATCTCGATTGGCGTCTATGACGAGAGCCACCGGGATCGTACCACGGCGACGGCGAGCCAGCCGCACTTTGAGTTGATGGGCCTGAGGATCCCCGTCATGAGGATGAACAGCGGACAGGGGCAGTGGCGTGGCATCTCGAGGGGCGAAGTCGTTGGACCCGAGAGGGTGAGTATGAATCAGTCGCAGCTTGCAAAGCGCTGTTTCCATCGCTAACCCCTACATCCGAACAAGGCGTTCAACTACCTGAAGAAGTCGATGGCGCAGACGCTGCCCATGGTCATCGGGTCCCTGTCGCTCCTGGCCGACTCGTTTGTCGATCCTCTCCCTGGCACAGCTGAGTCCCATGACGAAGACTTCGATGAGGTTGAGGACAAGAAGGTCACGCAGGTCAAGAAAGAGGAACATGGTGATGGCCATGGGCACCCGCCTGAGGAGGACAAGCCAGCGACGACCGAGCCAAAGAAGGAGGAAGAGCAGGAGCAAGCCCCCTCACATGGGCCCGACGTGTTGCATGCCCACGCCTACGATCTCTACTGTCAGTTCCGCCCCTCTACGGGAGGGGAGTGGGGCAAGAAGGCCAAGCTCGAGCTCGGTAAAGTCCTTGCTCTGAGGAGGGGTGACGTGGGCGTCGAGGCGTGGGAGGAAGGAAGAATGTCGAGAGAGGAAAGGGAGGAAAAGGACTGGGAAGACGAGCTGGCACGCTTGGCAGAAGGTGGAGATGGCGCTCCAACGACGAAGTTGGAAGAGGAGGAAGAGGACAAACCGCATCAGCAGGAGGCGGCGCAGCCAGGACGGGACAACGACCATGTAAAGAAGGAAGAGGATGAACCATGAAGCTACAGTTTCATTAATGTACAGTACAATAATGGGGGCAAATATTACATTGAGAGTTTGTGCTTGACGGCTTGCAGCTCTCTCTTCAACCCTTCGATGATGCTTTGGGTCTCTGCACGCAACTGGTCGATCGCCGAGCGGAGTCTCTCTTCGATTCGGCTCTCGAGCTGCGCTTCAAAGGAATGGCCTATTGCCTGGTCTGCCTCCATCTCGCTATCGCTCGTGGCTGGAGATACTGCAGTCCCTTTGTTTCCCTGTACCGCCGAGTCCGAGGAGGATAGGCCGCCAGAGATCGCTTCCTGTACGCCACCGACCTCAAGCTCTTGCGTAGCTCCACTTTCGTCTCGCTCGTGATGCGAGCCCTCGGGAATTGCTGCCTTCTCCTTCGAAATGCCGTTGTCGCTCGCGGGCCACCTCTCATCGAATGGTGAAGGGTCTTCACTCTCGGCCTCGCCATTGCGTCCGGTCTTTGACACCTTCTCTTCTGCTGCCTTGTCCATTTGTGATGTATTGTCCCCTCTCTGCCCTTCTAAATCCTGCCCTTTTTTCTTTCCAAGCACCGCAGTGTTCTTTGGCTCTGTCCCCTCCTTGCTCTGCCCTGGCAGAGATCCATTAGCTTGGAACCCTTTTTCCTTCCCTAGCCTCTGGTTCGATCGCTGCGGAGGCCGAATGAGTGGTGTGAAAGTTGAGATTCCCGATGGCGCTGACAATGGCTTTGGAACTGTCAAGCCAGGTCTTCCTGTCGAATTCGAGCCCGCCAGAGCGACATCGACCACTTGGTTTCCTTCCTCCTCCTCCACCATGATCTCCTCATCCTCTTCTTCCTCTTCATCAAAGAAGAGACGTCGCTTTCGTCTCCTCACGCCAGTCCGTGCCTTGTCTCGTTCCTCCGTCCTTGGTCGCTTCTCGGCGTCGTCCTCGGAGCTACTCAATTCAATCGCTTCCTCCACCTTACTCCCCTTCGAGGTCGACCTTCGTTTCCGCGAAGGGCTCTTCGACTTGCCCTTTGAATTCATCGGCGTTGTAGGGATGTCTCCCTCTTCGTCTTCCCAGGGCCTCTTCTTCATCCCACGAACAGGCAAATTGAGCTGCATCGCGACGGAAGGCGTCTGGTGCGCCCTGGATCTCCTGCTCTGTCGGCTGAGGGGTCCACCTCATTACGTATCAGCGACGTCGTAGCCCACGCAGAGAGATCAAAGTCAGACTTACGAGGGTACGAATTGGGAAGAGGCAAAAGTAGGCCAGCGGAGGTGCGTGGGCAGTACCCCTCCTCGGTCGTCGCTGTCCTCCGATGCCGATGGAGACCTCGAAGAATCAGAAGCGCGCATCCCGCCGGCGCGCGAGGATGAGGGCCCTGCTCCAGAGGACGACACAGAGGACGAGGCTCGCCTCAGCGGGGATACCCCGGTCGTCCCTGCCATCGTGGCTCTCAAGGCACAGAGCAACGTCCCCAAAACGACCGATGCCTCGGCGGACAAGAGAGCTTTCCTTACCCCGACGGAGCCTGCGCCTCTCGACATTTCTTAGTCCGATTCCCGATAGCGCCCATCCTTCACATCTTTTTTTTTCCTGGACATTTTTTTGCGCTTTTTTTGGGACGAATGTTCTGGTTCCTCTGGCTCCACGGCTATGGAGGTCCATGATCGCAAGGAGGAAAGCACAGAGCCTGCACTTGAAGCAGCGGCCGAACATGGGAGCGCAACGGTAACGGAGAGGCCCGCCAGTGAGCCAGCGGACGAGAGTGAAAAACAGCACCAGGAAGCACCGGCGGCCACCGGTGCGCAAGAAGGTCTGTCCAAGAATGCGCAGAAGCGGATGTTGAAGAAGCAAAAGCACGACGAGACGAAGCGGGAGAAGCGGAGAGAGGCCCGCGAAAGAAAAAAGGCGAAGAAGGCCCAGGAGCACGCTACTGCGGCTTTGGAGCCCGGGAAGGATGGCCCATCTGGACCAGTGACATCGAAAGGGAAAGGTGGAGGAGGAGGAAGCGAGGCAGACAAGGACAGGGAGGAGAAGCCTTTTGGGGCGGGCATCGTCGTGGACTTGGGATTCGATGAAGTCATGTCTGAGCGGGTGCGTTTGTTATCTTCTCTCAAAGGTACTTCTGTGCTTCAAGAGCTGACGAGGCGGTACAGGAGTGTGCCTCGATGGCTCTTCAACTAACCTATGTCTACTCATCGAACCGATCGTCGTCCACGCCGATTTCCAACGTCACCTTTGTCGGGCGAGGCGAAGAGAAGGACTGCTTCGAGTACAGCACAACGACGGCAGCCGAGCTCCAGTCGCCCCATCCTTCCTACTTTGTGCATCATCGCGCCCTTGCTTCCTCGTCTTCATCAACCTCGAACGGACAAGGAAGCGAGCTGGCTCCCCCGCTGTCACTGCGACAGTCACGCGTCGGCCACATGAAGGAGATCCAGGACAAAGGCGCCTGGAACCGCTGGCAGCGCATCACGATCCAGGACACGGGCGGCCTCGAGTCGCTCGTCAAGGGCCGCGAGTCCGACTTTGTCTACCTCTCTGCCGATGCACCCCACACCATCACGGAGCTGGCCGAGGACAAGAGCTACATCATTGGCGGCCTCGTGGACCGGAATAGGTACAAGAACATCTGCCTGAACAAGGCCAATGCCCTGGGGATATCGTCGGCCCGGCTGCCGCTCAACGAGGCGCAGCTGGGCGGTAAAAAGGTGCTGGCGGTCAACCATGTGGTCGACATCTTGCTGGGCTGGATCGAGACGAGGGACTGGGACATGGCAGTCGACAAAGGTCTGCCCGGTAGGAGAGCAAAGCTCGAAAACGGCATGCAGCCCGAGTCAAAGAGAAAAAAGAAAAGAGAGCGAGGGCGATCAGCTGAAGTTGAGACAAGCTCAATTCATATCGATGAGGCCGACGAAGAGGAGGCTTTCAACAGCAGCAGACCGCCTATATCAAGCATCAGCGCATTGTAACTTAGCCTTCAATAGTGTCAATCAAGATCAGTCTGTCGCGACATGCCAAGCCGAAGTGCGAAGAATGTTTTTTGGATTTCTTTGGTCAACCACAGGGGGCGTTTTGGTGAATTGAGGCGAAGCGAAATGAGGCGAAGAAGGGTTGACGAAGGATGATCAACATGAGGGTAGGCTGAATTGAAGTCGTGCTTTTGGCCGTTTGTTCCGTCTTTTTGGGAAGTGTTGAAGGGGAAAGACCGAAGGAGGATATTTACAAGAGGGGGAGAAGAGCAGAGGAGAGACAAAGGCAGGCGAAGGTTTTAATGCAAGGAGAAAGGGCGAGATCACTCCGTCTCGAATGCAAAAGGGTTCTGCGCAAAGACCTTGATGATCGGCGGCGCCTTTTCCATATCGGCCGTGATGACGACAGGCAGCTTCTGGAGCTCGCGGATCTCTTGGATGCGATGTCCGTCCGCAGTGACCTTGGCGCCTTCCGACTCAATCTCCGTCTTTCGGAAGCTCTTTGTCCTCTGCTGGCTTCCTGCCGCATCTTCGCCCGAATAGACTTTGCGCTTGGCTTCGGCCAACTCATCATCGTCCTCGTCGTCAAAGAGAGCTGCCTCGGCCGTGTGGCTCTGCGACGCCATCTCCATGCCGGCGTGGTGATCGGCGAGACCCTGAATGGCTTGCAGATGCGCATCGTCGCTCGTCTCAGCAAGCCACCGGATCGTCTCGACACCCTTGGTCCAGTAGAGCGTCAGCGTGTTGCTTGCCTCGGTATACGTCGAGCGCGAGACGGGAATCTGGTCCACGTGGACCCGCTTCTCGACACCGAACTCGGGGACGAGGACGTCGAAGGCGGCGTCGAGCACGCCAATGACAGTGGCCGAGCGAACGACGGGACCATATCGTACAGTCAGATCGTGGATGAGCAGGCAGAGGTACAGGTGATCGCTCTGCTCCTGAGCGAGCTTGGCGGCATCTCTCTTGACGTTGCACTGCTGCGCAATCTTGGCCATGCCCTCGCGGTCGACGGGGAACTTGTCCGAGTCTGCGAGGACGTAGTCGAGCTGGCGATGCACCATCAGATCGGCATACCGACGAATGGGCGAGGTAAAGTGCGTGTAGAGTGGCACATTGAGGGCATAGTGAGCATATTTGGCAATGTCGACCATGCCCGTGCAAAAGTACTTTGCACGCAGCATGGCATTCGTCACCAGTGACTCGAGCACCTCCTTTGCCCCCGGATCCTCGATCTTGTTCAGGCTCTTGAACAACGCACCGCTCGATGATGTGTCCACCTCGTAGCCCATCTTTTTGGCCCGGTTGACAAAGCCATCCAGCCGACGCTCCAATGGCTTCTCGTGGCGGCGGAGAAGGGCCAGGTCCGGCAGTCCCGCGGCAATCTGCTGGGCGACTGTCATGTTGGCCAGAAGCATGAATTCCTCGATGAGCTTGTTGGCCTCGCGAGACTCGTGCACGAAGGCATCGGTGGGCATGAGGTTGTCGTCGAGCTTGAACGAGAGCTTGACGTTGTCGATGCGGAGAGCACCATTCTCGAACCGCCTCGTCCGCATCTTCTGTGCCAGATCCTGCAGCGTCAAAATATCCTCCTCGAGCTCAGAGGCGGGAAATGGCGACTCGGCAAGCTTGTTCTTTGGCAGATGGCCACCTTCAATGACTGCCTGTGCATCTTCGTAGGCTAGCTGTGCGCATGACTTGATAATTGTCCGACCGAGCCAGGTTCCGATCACGCGGCCGTCCTTGTTCATGGTGAAAACAGCCGAGTAGGCCAGCCGCTCGACGTGAGGCACCAGCGAGCAGAGCTCCTCGCACAGCTGAGGGGGAAGCATGGGAATGACCTTTTCGACCATGTACGTCGACGTGCCTCGCTTGCGCGCCTCGCGGTCCAACGCACTGCCAATCTTGACAAAGTGCGAGACGTCGGCGATATGGACACCAATCTCATACAAGCCACCTTCCAAGCGTGCGATGCTGAGGGCATCGTCGAGATCCTTTGCTGTGGCGGGGTCGATGGTAAAGACGCGGTTTGCTCGGAAGTCTCTTCGCACCTCGTACTCGCGCTCGGGGATCGACCAAGGCAGAGCAGGCAGGCACTTGAGCGCATTCTCGCCCCACGTCTCTTCGATGCTGAGGCACTCCTTGATGATGGCATTCGACAGTGCTGCTCGGTTGCCCACGACGCCGAGCTCCTCGATGAGGGTGCCGAACGGGTGCAGACTGGTGAGTGGCCAGCGCTTGATGGAACAGACAAACAGCCGGTTCTTGTACGCCTCCTGGTCGTCCCAAAAGTCGGCGGGCGCCTGGTCGGCAGGAATGGCAACGAGCGGGCAGCGCTTGTCCGAAGGACGGAACCAAATGATCTTGGGTCGAGACTGGGGAGAATCCATCTGGCCCTGGGTGCCGTCGCCTCCTTCTCTCGCAGCTCGCTCCGCCTGCTGCTTCTCTTTTGTAGCGGCCGACGACGGGCGCAGGAGGCCAATGGTGCCGCTGAAGAGCTTCGAGGGTGCCCTCTCAATGATGGCAACAACGTGGCCGGCCAGTGCCGGCGGCGCGCCGTCGTCATGCTCCTCTTCGTCCTCAACGAGCTTGAGCTGGGAGCCCTCGACCTCGAGATCGTCCTTTGCCTTGTCTGGCTTGCGCGAGACGTGAGCGCCCTGCTCCTCCTTGCGCTTCTTCTTGTCCTCCTTTTCCTTCTTGACGCTCCACACCTCGGTGGGGTCAAGGAGCTCGACAGCCACAACGTCGCCGTCAAGAGCACGGTTGCGGTCCTTGGAGCCGCTGATGAAAATGTCAGACTGGAGGACCTCGGTGGTGACGTAGGCGTCGGATCTGTTGCGCTTGTTGACGCGGAGCATGCCCACGACAATCTTGCCGGCGGCCAGCAGCGGCGGAAGGCTGGCTTGGGGAAGGTAAGAGCCGAAGAGGGCCTTGCGCTGAGCGGGACCACCCTGTGGCTGCGGAGGCATACCGGGAATGCCGCCAGGGAAGCCAGACATCATGGCTGGGTTGAAGCCTCCGCCAAAGGAGGGCGTCTTGCCGTGTCCAGGCGCTGCACCGGCTTGAGCACTACGGAATTGGTTGAGAGAGGCCAACTGGGCTTGGGCCTGGGCCAGGTCCGTCACGACGGGCTGCTGCTGGCCAGGGTTGCCATTGATGCGCCAATTCTGACTGCCAGTCCGGCCGTGTCGCCCACCTGGACCCATGCCTGCACCGCCACCACCAAAGCCATCAGCCAGCTCAGAGATATTGCCCATGGAGAGCGAGGAGAGGTTGACAAGACCACCACCGGCCATGAGATACTCTGGCGAGAGGGACGAGAGCTGGACCGAGGGCGTGCTAAAGTGGCCCAGGGCACGGCCGGCAGAGGGCGAGTGTGCCGACTGCTGAAGGAGCTGCTGCTGCTGGGGCGTGGACGGCGGGAAGGTGAAGTCAACATTGGGCTGCATCAGCGATCCCTCTTCGCCATTGCCCGGCGCAGAAGCCTGCGCAGCGGCGGCATTCTTGTTGACGACATTGACCGAATGCCTCCTGCCGTGGCCTCGAGGCAAGTTGGATCCGACCTGCTGCGAAGCTTGCTGCTGTTGACCTTGCTGCTGACCTTGTTGACCCAGACCACCGCCGCCGAAGCTTCCCATGCCCATCGAGCCCATGCCACTGGTGGAGAAGGAGCCCATAGGACCAGACTGGGGCGCATGGCTCTGTATCCGTCGATGCGCGCCCATCCTGCCGCCACCTCGTCCGGGCTGCGGAAGACCAGGCGAACCAAGGTTGAGGCTTTGCTGGAGGAGCTGCTGCTGTTGCAGCTGCAGCATCTCAATCTGCTGTTGCAATGCAAGGTTCTCGGCATAGACGTTGCCGCCGCCGCCTAGGCTGGCCGAAGGAGCGTGGCCTCCCATTCGATGGGCGCCGGCAAATGCCGAGAGGTCGCTCTCTGTCCTCCGATGGCTGTCAAATGCGCTCGTGTTCTGGCTCTGTCTGTTCAGGAAGTTGCGCGTGGGATCAAACTGGCGACTGCCCATAAAGTCTGCCACGCTGCTCGCGCCGTCTTCGGTCATGGTCTCTTCGCCATCAGCGGCCGCGCTGCCGTAGCCCATCTCGGCGAACCGATCCTGGAGAGAGGGCTGACGCTGGTGACCAGCCTGTTGGTTGTTGTTGGCAGAGTGGCGGGCGATTGCACTTTGAAAGGCGGCGTTGCCGGCGAACCGAGGCCCACCTTGTCGGGCGGCGCCACCACCGCCGTCACCGCGGCCTGTTGCGTTCTGCGCTCCATGCTCGACGTCTTCACCCAGGCTGGGAAGATTGCCCGGCCTCGCACTGAAGCTGGCCTGACCGCCGTGTCCCATACGACTCGAGGGCGAAGTGATGTTGAGCTGCTGCTGAAGCTGCGCCTGGAGCTGCTCCTCCTGCGCGGCGAGCCGGTTGCTGAGGTTCGCCAGCTCAGACTCGCCCTCGGCGGTCGACTGTCCCGGGTTGTTTTTGATGTCCTAGAAGAACAGTCTCAGCTACTGCCTCTCCTCTACTGCTGCTTGCCCTCATCAGGGTTCGACATGTTTCAATGCGAGGAACTCACCTGAATGAGGTGTTGGAGATTGTTCATCGCAGTCGAAGGGTCCGGTGCCTTGTCGGCGTCTGCGTCCCGTCTGGTCGTCCCTGCTCGACCACCACCGGCACCGCGCCCACTGTTGTTTCCACGGGAGCCTCTTGACGAAGACGTACCACCTGTAATGACGACAGCCGCAAGATGGGTCAGCTGAGTCCACAGAGGAAAAAAGGAGCAGGGAAAGAGTACAAAACGGACCTCGCCCATTGTTGGAACCTCCTCCGCCCCTAGCAGAAGTCCGGGTGCGGTTCCCCGAGTCATTTGTCCTTTTGGAAGAGGGATCGGCCATGGTCGCTGCGTGAGGAAGAAGAAGTGAGGAAAAGGAAGAGAATAGGGGGTGCGTGTAAAGGAAGAAGAAGGAAGTAGTGTGAGCCAGAGCAGAGGGCACGAATATTCTGGCTCAGGACGACTCACCTCACGAATAAATTATGACACCAAGAGAAGAGCTAGCTGCCTTTAATCAAGAGCTCGCCTTGCTGCTGCTGCTGCTGCTGAGGGAAAAGTATGGGACGGGTACAAGTGCGACGATGATGGGGAATAAAGAGGCCGAGAAAGCGAGCGGTCGGGCGAGAAGAGGCTGTTGCTGCTCAGAAGTTCAGCGCGGCCGAGATTGCTTTCTGGTTCGCCTGTCTGGGTGGCAATCTGAGAACGCGGGCTCCAAGTCAAGTCGAGTCGAGTCGAGTCGAGGCGAGTGCTTGCACAACTTCGCAGAGGAGCGTCCGGATCGACAAGACCGGCGATGCAGGATAAAGGAGAGGAAAGAGAAGGAGAAACTAGGGTTCTGGGCGTGGGAAAAAGAAAGGAAAAGGTCGTTGTCGATCGTGATGAGATATGATGGAGAGTCAGAGGCGAGGAAAGGCCCTACTGTCTAAACGGACGCACCAACCAACAGAGCGCTGCCGCTGGCGCTCTCGCTCCACTCCAACAATCGCTAAGGTAACCCAGGTTTGAGCTCTGAGATTAGTGATTTCCAAATTTCATTAATAAGCTAGTAGTAGTTGTTGGTCTACGGCCCGTGATTTCTATTCTGGCGCTGTGGCTTGAAGGGAATAAGGGCGCGGGCGAGGTCTGGACAGCCAGACCGATGCCGATAGACGCAGCGAAGCGGTGCGGTGCAGTGAGACCAGGCGAGGCGAGGCGCAAAGAGGGACGGAGGAGGGGGGGAAGAGATCTCAAAAATCAAGCCTGGTGCCGATGCCCGCCATTGTCTCGGCTGTCTCGACGACGAGCGAGGTAATGGCTACGTCTTGTAACCCGACGCCGACGCTCTTGAAGAGGGAAATGTCATGGTCGCGTGAGCTTCCACCCAGCTCTTGGAGAGCTTTGAGTGCAGCATCCCTTGATGGAGGCTTTGAAGTGTCTGAGAACGTTGAATGTGAGAGGAGTGCGCCCAGCGAGATGCAGTCTTTGGCATCGACATTGGCTTTGATAAGGTCGCCGGCCTCGTGCGCACATGCATCGGCATCATCGACGATAAGTGCTCCCTTGGCGCGGTGAATCAGCGAAGTCTCTACTTCTTGCATATGGGGCTTGTAGGAGCCAATGAGGATGACATGCGTGCCACTGGCCACCCACGAGCTCGGAAAGAGGGGCGCAGTCGAGGGAACGGCGCTGACCAGCACCTTGGCCTGCCGCACAGCCGCTTCCACCTGGCTCTCGCCGCTTGTCTGGAGGACCGTGATGGCGACGTGTAGGTCCTTCACTTGATGTCGAAGCCAATCCAAGTTGTTTCGGATGTCCTGCTGCAGATCTTCTTCTCTCTTTCGCACGACGAAATTGAGGTGCATCTCGGCATCGCTCTGTTGTCGTGTGATTTGAACGAGGAGCAGGGCGTGAAAGACAGCCTGCTGACCAGCCCCAAACAGCACGATGTGGGACAGACCCTTTCCTCCATCTCTTCGCAGAGCTTCAAGCGCTCTCGTGGTTAGCATCGAGCCAGCGGCCGTGCGCAGAGCCGTCAGCTTGGCTGCATTGATGAATGCCCGCGTCCGTCCACTTTCGCCGTCGAGGAGCATCGTCGAGGCCGGTAGACCCCTCTGTTTGCTCTCGGCATTGGGCACACAGACGACCTTGCATGTCGTGTGAGGGCCTAACCGGCTCGGCATAAAGAGCCCCGTGTGATTGGGCGCCCGGACAGCCGTCCGCAGGGGATTGTCGATCTCTTCGAGACGAGCATGGAGCGCCTTGAATACGCTCGCCTGGTTTTCGAGGACACTGTTGATTGGCAGGTGCTTCTCTATGATGGCACCGACCTCGGCGCCGGACAGAACGAGAAGCTTGGACGCCATAATTGCGAGTGACGACGGCTGGGCAAAGCAAGAAAGTCGAGGCACCCGCTCTCGCCTTGAGGGGTGGAGGAGCCAAAAAATTGATAGCGTCCCAGGGCGTCCTCACGAGTTTATCAGGCGCGATTCACAGCTGTCACCGCACATTGCGCACGAGAGTTGAAAGGGTGTATTACTCTTCAGAAGTCGAGACATGAGACTCTCGACTGTCCCAGAGGGGGAGCTCCATTGATAAGAAGTGTATGAATCGTGGTACTATACATCGTGTTACTGAGAGCAGGGCCATCTTTCGCCTCCTTCGCAGCGTCTGTCCTTTCCTCTCTGCTGTTCTTGTTCGTTCTTGATCTTCTTCTGATATCAGATCCTTCCACATCTATGGCTTGACTGAGGGTCCATTCCTCAGCGCAGGCCCCTGCTGACTTGAAGTCGCGCGCTCGTCTTCACCCCTGGCTTCGGTGCTGGGGGCTTCCGGACGACTTCTTCAATTTGCAGAGCCCAACCTCGATCGAGCACTACATCGCCTTTCTTGCGCTCGAATGGGTCTCCTCCTCACCGGCCCTCGCCTGCCGCCGCTGCCCGCTCCCCCCGCTTCTTCTGAAAGTCCTCGACGATGACCTTCATCCGTTTGGCCTCCTGCCGCCTTGCGCTGCGGCACGTATGCCAACTGACAAGGCTCACAAACACAAACGCCCCCACGCCCCAATTGGCGCTCCTCAGCATGCCGCGCCGCGCCACGAGGCCGACGCCCGCCACGGCGCCAGCCGTGCCCATGCCCAGCAGCAGGCTGCTCCGCGCACACGGCACCCGGCCGTCGCCCAGGCGCCGGGCCGCATCGAGCGGGTCCAGCCCCGCGAGCTTGGCCGTCAGCGTGTTGTCCTTGCCGATCCGATCCGGCGCGTCAATCGTCGTCGCCATCGTTCGTCGGTCCGTACGTCGGTCGCGCGGTCGCCAATAGGCCTTGTCAGCGTCGCTCTCGGCTTGAGCTGCAGCAACCTGGGACGGGCGGTTCTTCCTTTCTCCCCTTTCTCAAACTTACTAAGTGCATGCACTCTTCCTCTCTCGATTAGATAATCACGCGCGTTGCTCCACTACTACTACTCTTAGCAGTACATGGGTCGTTACTGATGAGCGATTGCAAAGATGTGCAGAATGACAGACGAGACGCATAGGTATGAGCAGCTCCAGAGTGACAGTGACAATCTTGTTACAAGGGTAGGTGGGTTAAGAGAGAGAGAGAGAGAGAGAGAGAGAGAGAGAGAGAGAGAGAGAGAGAGAGAGAGAGAGAGAGAGAATTGGTACAGAAAAAACCAGGGGAATTCGGCAGCCAGGTCAGACGAAGCTCGACATCTTATGCAGGATGGCTTTGTCGTTCTCGCTCAGCTGACCGCTCTTCGTCGACGTGGGCGTTGATGGCCCGGGGCTGTCTCTGAACCTGGGACTGCCCTTTGTCGCCACCGAGGGCCGTCGATGCGTCTGGATCGGTGCTGGTACTTTCATGACCCTAGTCGCCGGAGAGGACGATGCGGGCGAGTCCGAGGAAGCTTGCGCGCCGGAGCCCGTCCACTTTGTCGATCTGGAACCCTGTGGCACCGCTGCTGCACCGGTTCCGGCGACGACACCGTTGCTTCGCGCACCCGCTGGCAAGGCGGTCCGGCCCGAGTCGTACGATTGCCCGTTCTCCCCCGTCGGCACCCTCGTGAGATTGCGCGAGTCGGCAGTTGCGCCTGTCCGCTGCCCTTCCGCGTCCACGAGCTGCCTCTCCGAAGAGGTAGGGCTCGGCGGCAGCTTGTCGCTTGTGCTTCTTCCAAAGATGCTGAATCGCTTGCGACTGCTGCTCGACGTGCTGCTCGTCTTGACAGAGAGCATCGACGACGTCTGCGTCGCACTCGGCCTCCTCTGGTCGATTAGCCGACTCGAGGTTGAGCCAGGCAATGCCTGCTGCTGCTGCTGCTGCTGCTGCCTCGACGGTGCTGCCTCAATGCCGAGCGTCCTCTCTGCCTTGCTCAAGGCATTTCCATTCAACTGTTGACCGGCACTGATGCCGAGCATCCTCTCGATCTTCGAAGAGGTGTTCCTGGCACCACTAAGATCGGTGTCGGTGTCCGTTTCCGATGGTGCCTCGCTCGCGCTGTCCGCTGGATGGTGGTGGTGGTGGTGGAGCATGATCTCGGCGGGGTGGGGCATACCAGAGGAAGAGACGTCCTCCTCTCGACCCATTGAGCTCCAAGTCATAGATGCAATGGCCGGAGTCTCGTTGACCGCTGGGCTCATCATGCCAGTCTCGCCGTCGTGTGGACCCTGCGTTGCGCTTGCCATGACTGGTGTTGCGTGCGACAGGCCGTGCTTGCCATCGAGCGCGGCGTGAGGGTGTGACGAGGTTCGTTGGACCCACTTGGAAACCGACATGACGATTCTCAGTGCCCGGATCTGGAGCGCCTCGTGGCCACACATGGTCGCCGTCTCGTAGATGACGACGGCGAGGCGATGTCTCTCCATGGGAGCCAGGCCTCGGTCGTGGGTCGCACTGACTGCAGAGGTGGGCGTCCCACCCGCTGAGTTGGCATCGCTGCTAGAAACAGGGACGGAGAGTTCGGTGGAGAGACAGACATGCGCCGCGTGCTTGGCCCATCGTTGGAGTTCGTCGAGCTGGTAGACCTTGGCTGCAATGAGCAGCGCAGCCACCACGGCAGGATGCCGCTGCAGGGCCGTGCAGATACACCGCGTGTAGAAGAACTGGAGGAGAGCGAGCATGACGGGCGCCGGCTCGCCAATCACCAGTTGTCTCGGTAGAAGCCGAGGGTCATTCCCCCTCGCGCCTGGCAATGGCAGAAGGCGATGAAGAGGCACCTTTGCATTCCCTTGCCGCTCGTCGTCCTCTCCCTCATCATCCTCCTCATCAGATTCGAGAACCGCCTTGAGCTGATCTGTTCGTCTCCTCGACGAGGACGAACTCATATTCCTCGCGACCCTTCTCGCTTCTGTCTTGTACTCGCGGATCTTTGACAGGAACCACGGCCACCGCTTCTCGAGCACGATGCGATCGCATCCCAGCCGCATGCCGTCGGAGCATACAATCTCAAAGTCGCCTCGGCCCCCAAAGCTCAGCGGCGACGCGAGCTCCTCGACGGGATCGCGAGCGCCGAGAGCAGCACCCAGGCTGCCCACGGCGCTCGCCATCAGCTTTTCCAGGCCCATCTCCATGTTGCTGTTGTCCCCCACAGGCCGCATGGGTGCTTGGTGGATACCCCAGGCCTCGAGTTCAATGACGACAATGTCGTCAAAGTTGGACTGTCGGTGGTTGTAGTCGGCGACGAGGTCTCTCTGCCGATTACCAAAGACAACGAGCCGGTTCTGGCTCGGCCAGAGCACGGCGCGATTCCAGGATCCCTGGGTCAGGCTGCTCCCGACATCGAGCCGAGTCCAGACCATGGTGGTGGTGTTGAGGGCCCAGATGGCAAACGTCTGTGAGGTGTTGGCCAGATAGGTGCCCGAGATGATAAAGTGGTTGCCCAGGACAGCGCCGGTGGGAAAGCGAAGGCCCGGAGGGAATGAAGTGCCCGTCATGGCAAAAGACCGGTCTTCGATGGTGATGTCCTTCCTCTTCTTCGCCGCCGCCGCACCTGGCCTTGTCGACGCTGCTGTCGCCGCAGCCGCCGCCGCCGCTGCTGCTAGTGGATTCGACACCTCCCCATCCAGCTCTGAGTCTTCACTGGCCGACGATGCGCGGCGATCTCTGCCCGACAGCAGGCCGTTGGGTATCGCAGAGGGCAGCCGGACCAGCTCCAGTTCTCGTTTCACGTCGGTGAAGTTGTAGTTGGAGTACACAAACACCGGCAAGGGCTCCTCCGTGCCATCCTCTGCCGTGGGCCGCACGCTCATGGGAAGGTAGTCGGTCAGGGACATGGCCATCGATGGCGCATGGCTGCCTGAAGACAGGCGTTGGGCGTTCGACGATGTCGCATCAGAAGTGGCCGACTTCGAGAGCGCTGATGAGGCGATGCTTCCCGCACGATTTCGCGCTGCTGCTGACGCTGACGCTGATACTCCTGCATGCATCAGAGAGTGGTCGTGGTCCCCATTTGCCTTGCCTGCATCCTTCGACTTTGGCGACTGAACAACCAGCTTGGGACCTGCAGCCAAGCTTCGATAGCTTCCGCACATTTTGAGGAACTGGTGGCTCAGAGTCCACCGCCTCTTTTCGAGGTCAAAGACGTTGATCTCCTGGATGTACTGGTTCGACGCGCTCTGGCCCCCAATGATGACGAGCGACGAGCCCGTCAGGGACGAGAGGTGCGCATAGCGCGGGTCTGGCAATTTCGTCTCTTCCTCCTCGGCCTCGTTGCTGAAAGAAGAAGAAGAAGAAGCAGCAGAGGACTTGTCGAAGCCGAGATCCCATTCGCCCGTGTCGAGGTCAAAGGCAATGACCTCGTTGAGAACAAAGAGGGACGCCTGTGGGTCCGCCGCCCTCTTGTCTGCGGATTTGCTCCCCTCGGCGCCTGCGCCTGCGCCCCCATCGGCCTTGTCCTTGTGGAAGCCCATGCCGCCGAACACGACGAGCTTGTTCTTCCAGAGGTCGCACGAGTGGAAGTAGCGCTGGATCGGCTGCTTGGATGACGACGCAAACGGAGACGAGGACGACGAGGATGGAGAGGATGGGCCGGGCGCATCGTCTGCCTCGCTGCCCGCAAAGAGCTTGCGCCAGCGCAGCGTCGTGAGGTTGAGCTCATAGAGATCGTTTGTCAGCTTTCGCGTCGAGGCAAGTCGGCCTCCGAAGAGGTAGGCCTGGCCTGCGTGCGGACCGCTGTCTACGAGTGTGAGCGAGGCGCCCTGTGATCGCGGTCGCAGCAGGTGGAGTGCGTCAGCCCAGCCCAGCCCTCGGTGAATCGAGCGCGTCAAACAACATTGCGTTGCGCGCGCGGAGAACCACACTCACTACCATCGGCGGCGGCACCTCGCCCTCGCAGGAATGCCAGTGGGCCGCGAGGCTAAGCAGCGGCGCAAATTGGCCGTGCGGCATCGTCGTTGAGGATGAGGCAGGTCCGCCCTGCTGTGCCTCTTCGTCGTGTCTCTAGGATGGGAAAGGAACACAGTCTATGCTGGTGAGGCTGGGGTGGGCAGAGGATCTCGAGAGAGAGAGACAGAGAGAGCCCCCCTCCAGCGCGGAAGACGGTAAGGGTAGGAAAGAGTACGACCGGGAAAGGAAGGAAAGAGAGGGAGAGAAAAGGAGAGGGAGAGAGAGGCTCTTTGGATGGTGAGATTAAAGTCCTGTTCACCACTCACTCTCACACACTAATTATGACTGCCAAAATGTTCTCAGGAAGGGAAATTGTATCCGAATTTAGGCTCTGAATACAACTATTCATTTGGATCGTGATCGCAGATACGTACGCTGGTGCCTCTCTCTCGCTTTCGACGCGTTCCAGAAAAGAGGAAAAGCGAGAGAGAGAGAGAGAAAAGACTCGCGCGGGCCATCAGCGCCTCTCTGCTTCTTCTCCTTTTATAAAACAACAGAGCGAGCCATGTTTGGCGACTTGGCCTTGAAGCTGGTCCAGGAGGCCAAGGCCTCGGAGCTCAACAACACCCTGAAACCATACAAGTGAGTGTGGCTCTGACGTGGGAAAAAATAATACCACGACTGCTGACGTGTGGAGACGGGCGCGTGTCATCAACAGCGAGGAGCTTGTCCGGCTCGTGCTCCTCGAGACGCGCCAGCTGCAGGCCCACATTGCCGCCGTGCTCGCTGCCGACCCGCGCGGGGCGGTACTGGGGGCCGAGGCGGCCGACTCGGATCCTGCGCTGGCCGCTCAGCTCGTGACACACCACCTGGCCGCACAGCGAAACAAGCGCTGCCTGCTGGCCTACCACCACTCGCGACTCGGTCATCTGCGCGCCAAGCTCTGGCAAAAGGGCGGGAGTCTCGCGCTAGTCTTTGACGACGCCATCGAAGAAGGCCGGTCCGAAGGAGCAAGCGGCGGTGCCAGGGACGGAGCAGTGGAGCGGGGCACGCTGCGGTCGCGGATGAGTGCAGACGAGGTTACCTGGCTCAAGCGGTACGCCCAGCTGGTGACGGCATACAAGAGCGACTTTCTCGACGTCGTCGATGTGGCCGCGCCCCTACAGCGAAGTGCAGACAAGGCCGACGTGGGACCGATCAAGGAGCTCATGGTCAGCGTCATGGCACTGCGCGACGCGCGCGATGTGCAGACAGAGCGGGGCAGCATCAACCTGCGAAAGGGCGAGCGTATGCGTGTGCAGAGGAGCGAGGTCGAGCCCCTCATCGTCCGCGGCTGGCTCGGTGTCCTTGACGATTAGAGCGAGCAAGCAGTGTATGCGGACCCCTTCTCTGCCTTTCTATGTCAGGCCCTGCGCGACGCGCGCGATGTGCAGACAGAGCGGGGCAGCATCAACCTGCGAAAGGGCGAGCGTATGCGTGTGCAGAGGAGCGAGGTCGAGCCCCTCATCGTCCGCGGCTGGCTCGGTGTCCTTGACGATTAGAGCGAGCAAGCAGTGTATGCGGACCCCTTCTCTGCCTTTCTATGTCAGGCCCATGCATGTATTTTAGTGCGTCTCTTCTCATAGCGACGCGTAGCCATTTTTCATTTGTAGACTTGAGTGAATGCATCCCAGACAACCACCACCACCATTTACATATCGGACTTCACCCACGCCATGGCGACCTTCTCGTCTTCATCCTGGTTTCTGTACGTCTCTGCTTGCAATCTTGTTCCTATCCCAGCTTGACTCTGACTTCCATTACACACCCACACACCCACACGCTAGACCCGCCTTTGTGTTCGTCGGCGCGCCAGTGGTCGGTCTGATCATCTACCGAGCCTTTTTCAAGACGTCATCAAACAGCTGGCGCTCGCAAAAGTACGACCCCAAGACGGGCCTGGGGCGGGGTGCGCCGGGCTTCCACACCAACGTCCAGCGCGTCGCGGTCCCGCCCGAGATCATGGAGCGGATCCGGCGCGGCGAGGAGGTCTCGGCCGACGAGATCACGGCAGCCCAGGAGCGCATGAAGCGCGGCGAGCCGGAGCCCACTGCGAAACAGAAGAAGCAGCAGCAGCAGCAGCAGCCGGAAAACGAGTGGCTGCCGGCAACGCCGACACGCAGTGGTGGTGGAGCCAAGAAGAGGTCCGGCGGTGGGAAGCGATAAGTCGTGCACCGATAGAGGAATGCCATATTTAGTCAATTGTTCTTTCTCTGCTTGCCTGAGCTTTTGCCCCACAAGGCCGAATCTGTTGGCTGCCCCAACAGGCATTCATTGTGTGTGAGAAGAGCGTCCGGCTCCTCGTCACGAGAAGCAGGAGACGACGACCAAGGAAGAAGATTGCCGAAGAGCACGTGAGTATCTCGGAGATCTCTCCTGTCTGCACACGACAGTGGAGGCACCGCAAGAAAGTGCAGCCAGCGTTCGGCGCAGTGGACGCGGGGGGAAAGAGGGGGAAGCAGAAGAAAGCTCGCCTTTCTCGCACGCATCCTTTCTCTCTTACATTCAAATCCCCATCCTCCTTCCACTATAGACGAAACAATGGCACCCACTGCAGACACAACGAGCAGCAAGGCGCTGCAGGAAAACCTGACGCTCAAGGCCACGCACGAGGCCAAGCTCGTCCTCGTCAAGTCCGAGGCGCCCAAGCCCGGCCCTGGCCAGGCTCTCGTCCATGTCCGGGCCACTGGGTGAGCTGAAACGAAGGGATCGGTTGCTACGTGCTTCTCACTCACTTCATGTCCTGCAGCGTCTGCGGCTCTGACGTTCACTTTTGGCAACACGCCGGTCTGGGCCCGTGGAAGATCACAGGCGAGACGGCCCTGGGCCACGAGAGTGGGGGCGTCGTCATTGCCCTGGGAGAGGGCGTCACCAACGTCAGCGTCGGCGACAGGGTCGCCATCGAGCCGGGCGTGCCCTGTGGCAAGTCGACGTGCTCCTACTGCAGGACCGGCCAGTACAATCTCTGCCCCACCGTCGACTTCTACTCTGTGCCCCCCGCCGATGGCACCCTCACGCGCTACCAGTGAGTATATATGCGTGTGTGCGTGTCCTGTTCTCTTCGTCCGCTGACGTCCATACCACTTTTGTGATAACGAAGTGTCCACCCGGCTGGCTGGCTGCACAAGGTGCCCGACACAATGACGTTTGCCGAGATTGCGCTCCTCGAGCCCCTCTCCGTCTGCCTGCACGCCACGATGCGCGCAGAGCTGCGCCTCGGCATGCCCGTCCTCATCACGGGTGCTGGGCCCATCGGTGTCGTACAGCTGCTCTGCGCCGAGGCGTCCGGGTGCAGCCCCATTGTCATTACTGATCTCAGCAAGGAGCGCCTCGACTTTGCCAAGCAGCTCGTGCCCGACGTCGTCCCGCTGCTGATCGACCCCAAGCGCGCGCCCATCGACACGGCCCAGGACATCATCGCCGCCTTCACCCAGGCTACCCAGGGCGTCGGGGGCACGGGCAACAACGGCGAGGTGATGCCGGCGGTGACGATGGAGTGCACGGGCGTCGAGTCGAGCATTGCTGTGGCGTCGTATGCTACGCAGCCCGCAGGCTTGCTCTTCATCATTGGTGTGGGCAAGAGCGAGCAGACGATCCCATTTATGCATCTCTCGACCAACGAGATCAACATCAAGTTCCTCTTTCGCTACCGCGACACCTGGCCCCGCGCCATCCGTCTCGTCGCCGCGGGCAAGATCGACGTCAAGCGCATCGTCACCTCGCGCTTCCCTCTCGAGCGCGCAAAGGAAGCCGTTGAGCACGCCGCTGACCGGTCCAAGTTCTCAGTCAAGACGCTCATCATCGATGAGGACGAGTGAGGTTGTTTAGAATAGATGCTCTGGGACAATCAATGATGTATGCGCACCCCCTCTTCTTTACTACAAGACAAAATTACAAATACACTCGCTTGCCTGCAATGGTGTTAGTCCCTGCTGGTCTCTTCTCCTTCTTGTCGTTCGCCGTCTCCCTCTCTTGCTCCCTCCTCGGCGGCGCAGAAGCCGGCACCAGCGTTTGCTTTCCTGACCCAAAACCAAAAACGTTCCATTCCATCGTCCAACCTTTCCCCTTAGCCTCATCTCCACCTCGCTGTGGTGCCGCTGTTGTCGCTGCTGCTGCTGCTGCTGCCACTGCTGCTCGTGCGACGTTTTCATGCGGTCTTGTGTTTGGCTCTGGTCTTGCCTCTGTCGCCTGCACAGCAGGAGCACTCTCCTCCTCGAGAGCTACATTGGATCTGCATCAGCCGTCTATCTCTAACAAGAAAAGAGAAGAGAGACACTCACCTCTGATCCACTCCAATTCCTTCTCGGCATCATCGCTCGACTCCTCCCCCACGCCTCCTCTGCTCGTCGTCGACGTCGCCGAAGCCGAGGCCGAAGCCGGACGAACACCGCTGACAGCGCTCCTGATCTCGTCCATCGCTCTGCCCATGGCCGCCCGCGCGCGCACGAGGCTCTCGCCGCCGCCAAAGAGCGCCTCGGCCCAGCTCGTCTCCTGTGCGCGCCGGGCACGCGCGAGCGCCGCGCGCTCCTCGTCGTCGGGCAGGTCCTCGGGACGGAAACCCAGGCGAGCAGGCTGCAGCTGGAGTGCCTCACAGCGCCGCGCTAGCCGTTTTCGCTCGTCGGCAGAGAGCGGCGCCGCCGATGACGTGGTCGCGCCCAGGAGCTGCTGGAGCACGGCGAGCTGCTGGACGTGGGTCCGGCGCGCTTCAGTCCGCGACCGCTCCAGCACGGCGCGGTTGTAGGCCAGCGAGGTGACGGCCGTGAGCAGCAGCAGCGCGGGAAGATTCGCGCGGAACCGGCTCGTCGTCATCTTCTGCTGCTGCGTATCAACGATTGCCCCCGGGGCTTTGTCGTCGTTGATGATGTTGTTAGCTTCGGAGCTCCCAGCAGCGGCGGAAAAAAAGAGCTTTCGAAGGATCTCAGAAGCCGATTTTAGACTTTTTGCTTTGTCCCTCCATCCAAAACACGTGCGGACAAGCTTGCCCCGTCGAAGCGCAAGGAGCGCTGCACTCGTTCTGCTCGCCATCAGCAGTGAGGCTACATAGCAGTGAGGCTACAATCAGCAGGGAAGCGTATCCGAGTGCGGCAAGACAATGTCGAGCATCGACACGTCGCGCTTCGGCACGGGCTTTGTCCCCGAGGCGAGCAGCAATGACCGTGCTCCTTCTCCCCCCGTCGCCGCGTCGTCGTCTTCGTGGTGGTGGAGCAACAGCAGCGGCGGCAGCAGCAGCAGCAGCAGCAAAGGAAAGAGCGCCATCAAGCCAGACGAGATATTCATTGGGGGCGGCAAGTGGGACGACGAGGGCGCTGGCGGCGCAGTGCCCGTCGCGGGCTACCACGGGCGGTGGCCCCTGTATGGGGACGTGTACAGTGTCAAGAAGCAGAAGCTGAGAGAGGCCGAACGGGAGAGGCTGCGGCTGATGGGCGCACAGGTCGATCACGGCTCATCCTTCCCGTCGTCTTCCTCCTCCTCGTCATCATCGTCATCGTCTGCACCCATCGATGCCACATCGAGCAAGGGAGGCGGGGACCCGGGATGGCTCTGCAGGAGCGCGGGCGCATGCAAGCCATGCTCCGCTGACGAGGTGAGTCTGGATGGACGGTGCATCATCGCTCCCTTCGCCGGCGGCAACTGTGACAAAGGCGACACACACACAGATCATGAGGCCGTTCTGCCAGCCATATGGGAACAAGGCGCCGGTCGAGTGCAGGCGGCTGCTCAATGCCTCGCTCCTCTCGCAATGGGTCGCAGGCACCACTGAGGACATCTTTCGCGTCGGATTGGACGTCGAGCCGCTGTCATCAGACGGGACAAACGCAACAACGAGTCCGGTGGCGGCAGCGACAGAAGAGAAAGGGCCCATGCCGTTGGATGCCAGGGCAGAGAGCAGCGCTCCACCATCGCCGCCGCCAGCACTGGGAGACTCCGTCTACCGCGGCTACCAGGTCTGCGGACGGTCGATCGAGGGCGAGACATGGGACTATGGCGAGTTCGTGGGCCTCAATCTCGTCATTGCGCTCGTCTCCCTCTTTGTGCTCCTGCAGCGGCAGCGCTTCCTCGCCGGACAGCACCGCTCCATTCTCGCGCGCAGAATCGGCCGGTCGCCGTTCTAGAGTAGTAGGCCTCAGCAGTGAAACCCTTGCCAAAAGTATACATTCATACCCTTAGAGAGAGAGTCGCTCTAGTAATAATAAGACAGCCGCTCCAGTAAGTAGAGAGCCGCTCTGGTAATACTACTGTCCCTGCTCGATTCTCTTCTTCGTCTGCTCAAACAGCTGTTCCACCTCGGCTGCTCTCTTCTTTGTCTCTTCTTCCATCTGCGCATATAGAGGTGGTAAGTTGAACGTTGCTTCTCCTCTTGTCAAAAGGGGGGTAAACAGACCCACCTTTTTCATCTCGCGCTGGGCCTCGCTGGACCCCACGACCTTTGTCCGCGTGTCCTCCTTGATCTGCTTCTGGGCCGCGTGCCGGGCCGAGCGGATCGACACGCGGGCATTCTCGCAGACGCGATTGATGTCCTTGACGAGCTGCGCGCGCGTCTCGGCCGTCGGGCGCGGGACGGGGATGCGGAGCACGCCCTCCTCGTTTGTCTGCTGTGGCGTGAGGCCCAGCTGCGGGTGCGCCGCATAGATGGCTCGCTCGACCTGCTTGACCGACTGTGAGGGGTGTATGTCACGACGAGGTCCATCGTCAGTAAGGGTGTGTAGGAGATACTGAGCAGCCAACCCTCCTTCCTCACCTCGGCATCAAAACATGTGACAATCAGTGCGCCATCGCGCACGCCGACGGTGGCAAAGTCGCGCAGGCTGTACTCCTGGCCGTCGCCCTCGACCTTGGTCCCACTCGTGGCATCGCCGGCCGTCGCGTCGGCCTGGCGCGTGCCCGTAAAGGAGACGCGAATGCCGTCGAGCAGGCTGGGGTCCGCGCGGCCATGCGAGCCGACCATATGCGCGACCGTCTCGCGACACCGGCTCACGGCGCGTGCCATATTCGCCTTGAGTGCCGCCTCGTCGAAGCGCTCATTGGGCAGCGACGCATCTGTCGTCGTCGTCTTCCTTGTGCTGCTGCTGCCCTCGCCTCCGTCTCCCTCCTCTGCATCGTCCATGGCCTGGCCCTTGGCCCCGTGCTTCGACCGCGCTCCCTTGGGCGTCGACGAAGCGCCCTTGGCACCCTTGCCGCGCGTCTTGATGACCGGCACCTCGTCGGGCGCAGCGGGCGCCGGCGTTGTCACCTGCGACCGCTTCGACTTGGGCAGCGCTGGCGTCGCGTGCAGCGTGCGCCGGAGAGGCACCCATCGCTGCGGCGCTGCAGCTGCTGCTGCTGCTGCAGACCGCAATGAGGTACTCGCGAGCAGCGTAGGTGCTCGCATCGCTCTGAGCTTCAGTGCAGCAAAAAAAAAAGAAGAGGGTCGAGTGTGGTTGCCCAGGTCAGACAGACGAAGGGGGAGGTCTACGGAAAATCCTCTTTGCGCTGCTCCACTTTTGGAAGAAGAGAAAAAAAAAGGCAAGCAAGCACGCGACTAACTCCCTCGTCGGTTCAACTGGGTAGCATAGCACTCGTTCTACAGTCGCTCGCTAAAGCATCGCTTCGTTGATGAGTGCTTCACATTGCGAATCCCAAGAGTACATTGTCAATCAGCCGCGTCGCCCGCCCGTCGGGACCGTCCTTGATCATGGCGGCCCCGCTGAGGATCGCGCCCCGCTTGCCCCCGTCGCCCGTCGCTCCCTCGAGCGAGCCGAGCGAGATGGGGTCGTTGAGGCTGATGTACAGGACGTCGATCTGGATGCCGTCCTCTGCTGCCCGCTCTGCCTCCTGCTGAGCCACCTCTCTTGCTCTTCTAAGCGTCTCTGCGACTCTCTCTTGACCCTGCCCCTGGACATGCTGCTCCCACGCTGCTTGGCCAGCCTGGAGGGCCTTGTAGAGCGCCGTGGCGTACGGCCTCGCCTTCTGCGTCAAGTACGCGTTTCTGCTGCTCAGCGCCAGCCCATCGCCGGGGTCGCGCGAGGTAGGCAGGACCCTGACAGCCTCTGGGCCCTCGGGGTGCGCAAAGCAGAGGTCCAGCACGAGCCGGCGAAGGAGAATGGCCTGCTGGATGTCCTTTTGGCCAAAGTAGGCCCGGTGCGGCGCGACAATGTGAAACAGCTTCGTGCAGACAGTGGCCACGCCGCGGAAAAACGTCGGCCGCGAGGCGCCCTCCATCTCGTGCTGCAGGCCGTGCACCTCGACAAAGGCGCCGACCTGGTCGGCCACGTGCTGCGTAAAGGCCTTGCCGTCGGGCGACGGGTACATTTCCGTCACGGTGGGCGCAAAGATGGCGGCGATGCCGCCGTGGGAGGAGGAGGAAGAAGAAGAAGAAGGAGACGTCGCGGACCCTGCGGCGAGCTTCTCGAGGGCCTCGATGTCGGAGGGGAGCGTGCGCGGGTACGCGGCAAGGTCCTCGGTCGGGGCAAACTGGGCCGGGTTGACAAAGATCGAGACGACCGTCAGGTCATTCTCTGCTAGCGATGCCTTGACTGAGTGTCGGTTAGCAGAAGCTCAAAAGGATGCTCTCTCAACCTAGGCCACTCACCGAGGGAGAGGTGGCCGTCGTGGAGAGCACCCATGGTGGGCACGAAGCCGACCGTCTTGCCCTCCTTTTCAGCCTTTTTGCGCCATGTCCGAAAGTCATTCACAGTCGTAAAGATCGGAAAGGGAGCTTTGGGAAGCTCCTGGCTCTGACGAAGGGTGGCAGAGGGCGCTGTGAAATGTCGCCGTGTCGAGCTGTGGAATTGGGAAGCAGGGACTGGGGCCAGGCTCGTCCTCGGTCGAAGTCGCGCCGCTCCCACGATCGAAACTCGCGAAGCAGATAGCCGCAGCCTAAAGGCCGCCTGCGACCGAGACAGCATCGTGCCCTTCTCTTCGGAATATGAGCCCGTGCGAGGAGCGAGAGGTAGTTGGAAGTGGGGGAAAGTCAAGGTAGTCAGTCTTCCTACCTCTTTAGCCCGCCTAAATGGATCCACGTGGGTCTCATTTACAGAGCTTAAAAACGGAAAAAGGAAATTGGGGTCTTGCGCGCGCGCCGCGCGCGCTTCCCTGGATCTCGCGACAGACGGGGGAAAAAGGTCTGCCGACAAACGACAGACAGACAGACTAACAAACAAACTCGGGAGAAAAGATGGGACAAGGGCAGTGATGGAAGGGGAGAACAGGTTGAAAGATGGGGCAGGGAGCGGCTTGAGGCTGCAGCAGATGACTGCGCAAGAGGAGCGGGCGAGGACACCGCCAGTCAATCCCGATTCCAAAACACTTCCTGAGCTCGATACTCCACCCCCGACAGCAGCGGTAGCAGAAGCAGGAGCAATGCCCGCGGCTATGGAAGCGGACAGAGGAGAAGCAGAAACAATGCAGGACGGCGTCGAGGCCCAGAAACGAGCCGAGGCAGAGGCTCGCATCGAGAGCGGCGAGGCTGGTAGGGTAGAGATTGCTGCAGTGCAAGAGAGCAGCGAGCCACATCCTCTGCTGCAGCATGGGTACGAGGGAGACGAGGACACGCCAGAGCCACTCAAGAAGCGCGCCAAGGTTGTCAGGATCGAAGACAACGGCCAGTCAGAGGCACAAGGAGGCATGGTGCACGAGGCAGTGGAGCAGCTTCTAGTCAAGCCGCATGATCAAACCTCGCCAACGGGGGAGTCGAGCAGCGGTGGTACTCACACGCCAGCATTGCCAAACAAGAAGAAGGCACCTTCCAGCAAGGCGGCCTCGAAGAAGGCCGCTTTGCCGTCCAAGAAAGCCAAGAGCTCGTCCAAGAAGAAGTCCAGCGACCAAGGCAGCAGGAAGAAAAAGGTCAAAAGGGATGAGTCCGAGGATGCTGCCGGCGCCGTTGACGCAGATGTATCTACGACGGCCGGTGACGAGATGCAAAGCTCCTACGAGCCCGAGAGCGAAGGCGATGAGAAGCTCTACTGCATATGCCAGACACTCTACGGTGCGTTTCCTTGGATGGCTCAGGGAAGTACGACCTGTCTTATCCACGCTGACATGTTATACGACACAGACGAGGATCGCATGATGATTGCCTGCGATCGGTGAGCTGCCAAATTCGTTACCGCTGCATCTTTATGTTGGCTCATCTCCAGCGCTCCACACAGCTGCGATGAATGGTACCACACATCGTGCATGAAGATGAAGGACAGCGACGTCGAGCTCGTCGATATGTTCATGTGTCCAAACTGCGCAAAGGGTGAGCACAGGCGCTGCTCTTTATGTTCCAGATACAAGAACTGAGCACAAATTGCAGAAACGGGACAGCAGACGACGTGGAAGACAAAATGCCTGCGGCAGGGTTGCAACCACGGCGCCATGCCTCCCCTCTCGCGGTACTGCTCCGAGCGCTGCGGTATACTTGTGGCAGCTTCCAGAATCGCAAAGACAAAGTACGCGAAGCTGAGCCCTGCAGCATGTGTCGAAAGGCTCATGACGGCAAGGGTGCGCGCGTCAAAAAGGACAGAGGGCATCGCCGTTTGGACGAGCGAGGGCGAAAGCAAGGGGGAAAGTCAAAAGACGGAAGGTGAAGACGAGGCTGCAAAGGCGGAAATGATGCAGGCAGTAGTAGGAGAAGGGAACCACGACCTCGTCTCCCTGTCTCTCGCGCCTCAAGAGCAGGAGAAGGAGCAGGAGAGACTCTCCATCTTTGCCTACGCATCACCCGATGCCGAAGAACTGCACCGATTGCAGCAGGAATCGAGGAATCTGAATGAGGCAAAGGACGCCATCAATCGGAGTCTGGATCTCTTGGCGGCCAGAAATAAGGTGCTGCAGCTCGCAGAGGACCGCATCGGCACCCTCGAGCCTCTCATCGACGACAGCCTTACCTCGACGGCGTCCTCCAGCAGCAAAAAGAAGAGCAAGAAGAAGGGAGGGGCTACAAAGGCGACGCAGGAAGAAGAAGAAACGGCGTCTGAACCTGCCACTGCAAGAGTCGTGGCGAGGTGCGGCTTCGACGAGAGAATCTCTTGGGACGATGCCAGATTCGATGGCTGGTGTCGGAGCGACTCGGGACGGAAGACGCTGGACGAGGAAATTGGGCTAGATGGGCATCTTGACCCTCCCAGCTCACCAGAAGGAGAGGGTGAGGCGGTGAGGGATGGGTCAGCAAAGGTCTGTTCTCTCGCCAAGAAGAAGTGCAAGCGTCACGCCGACTGGAACGTACTCAAAAGTGCCGAATTCGAGGTGCAACGAGAGCTGCAGACTCGCACCCTGTCGGCCCTATCGGAACAGACACAAGACGTCGAGTCGAGAATTGGCCAGCTGAAAGACGCCGTGGAGAGCTGGGCCAGAGCAAAGAGGGCCAATGAGGTGCTGGAACGGCAGGGCCGCGACGAAGCGCTGGCAAAGGAGCTTTCCCGGCTCGAGTCTCGAAGGCCAGTCTTGCATGCCAATGGTCGATGAAAGGAAAAGCGTCATTGGCAGGCGCATGTATTTTGGCATTTGTACTGTAGAATCATCCTAATCACAATAAAGACGTCAACACAAGAAGACATTAATCTCGATTCATTAAGGTGTTCGGAGGTCTTCTAACGAAGTATTTAAGGAAGGAAGAGAGGTCTGCAGGGGTATTGAGCTAGGTAGAAGGGGAGTATCAACTACCTGCTCTTTGTCGAGGCAGACGAGGACTTGACGATACCCGAGCCAGAATTGCGTCTGGATGTCTCGACGGGTGGGCAGCAGGCTGCCTCCACGCAATCACCGTCAGGCCCACAGCTGATGAGGCAGGCCGTCTCGTTTGTGAAGAGTTGGCTCTGCACCGTCTCTCCCTTCGTCGTGACAAGTTTGCCCTTCTGATCGCTCGTGCTCTCGTCGATCTCAACGCCGTGAGCTTTCGCAGCCCCTCGCATACCACCACGCACGAACTCGGGCTGGATGGTGCTCGAGTGAATAGAGAACGTGTGGAGCTTGCCTCGAATCTGGGCTGCAATCGACATGTACTTGTGCTCCTGGGGGATCGCCAGGCCGCCTTCGCCGCCAAGGGCGTCCACCTGGTCCGGACCGGCTTCTGGCGCAGCGGACGGCGTCGACAGGCCGGCTTCATCGACATCGACGAGGACGTGGACTGAGGCGACGTTCTTTTGCTCGCTCAGCTGCCAAATATGGAGCTCGTGGACGCTGAGAACGCCGTCGACCTCGAGAAGGGCCGACCGAACAGCCTCGAGGGGCACAGAGCTGGGCACGCCCTGGAGCAGGATGAAGCTTGCCGACTTGACCAGCGGCAGCGCAGAGTGGAAGATGATGATGGTGATGAGGAAGCTGATCGCTGGGTCGGTATAGTAGCGCCACGAGTAGCTCGTGAAGGCGATGAAGAGACCGGACGCAATGACACCGACGTTGCCGAGGGCATCGCCTAGGACGTGAAGGAAGACACCCTGCATGTTCATGCTCCCCTCGCCGCCGTGGCTGTGGCCGTGGGCATGGCTATGTCCGCCGCCGCCCCCGTGCGAGTGGTCATGCTCCGAGCTTTTGCCCTTGTTGCGCTTGAAGATGCCGCCCATAAAGCCACCTTTCTTCTTCGCGTCGCCCGATTCCACGTCGTGGTCGTATTCATCATCGTGGTCGTGGGCGTGGTCATGGTTGTGTCCATGACCGTCCGACGAGGTGCCGTAACCCTTGGCGCCCGCTGTCCTGTGTAGCAGGCGGTCGCGTTCTGAATCACCGTGTCCAGCTGAGCTAGAGCTTGGTGCCGAGCTGTCGTATCCGAGGTCGTGTGCCTGCCGTACGACGGCAGCCCTCGTCTGAGCTGGGTGGACATAGAGACTCTCAACACTGTCTGCTCTAGCCCGTCTGGCGCTCTGTTCCTCAATGGCCGTCGACGTAGTGCTCGTCGAGGCTGCGCGCTCACGATCTTGCCCGGTCTCGGCATTCGGCAATGCCTTGCTCTTGTTTCCCCCGTCGTGGTCATGAGCGTGGCCGTTGTGGGCGTGGCCGTCAGCGTGATCGGCCACCTCGCCGCCGTGGCTGTGCGAGTGGGAGTGGCCTCCACCGTGAGAGTGACCATGGTCATGGAAGAGAAAGAGACCGACGATATTCGAAGCCAGACCAAGCGACCCGACAACAACAACGAGGCGCGGATTTTTGACCTCTACATGCCGGAGTTAGCAGGGTGCAACAATGCTTGCGGACGCACACGCTCACCAGACACGTTGAACATCCTCTCCAGGGCTTCCATAAAGATGCTGAAGCACAGTGCCAAGAGGAAGACGCCGTTGATAAGTGCGCCCAGGATCTCAGCTCGCTGCCAACCATATGAGTATCGGGGATCGCGTTTTTCTTGTCCGCTTTGCGACAGCTGCGTACAGATTCACTTCATCAGCGCCGGAGTCCATGTTTCCTGTGTCACGCGAGCATACACCGCTCCGACACGCACCTTGACCGCATATAGGGCCACGACTAGAGACATGACATCGTTGAGCATGTGAAAAGAATCAGCGACGAGGGCCAGTGATCCGACAGAGTATCCTAGGGTGATTCATCAGTCTTCTGCGCTCTCCACCACGCAGTCCTCTTCCACTCACCGACGATGATCTCGACGAGGAAAAAGACGACATCGATGCCCAACAGGGTCATGATCCTCGCCTGCTTGCCAAATTCCACCATGTTTGGCGCTGGCAAAGTGAATAGCTTCCTTGTGTGTGTCTACCCCTTTTCCGTTCTCGCAGTAGCGGTGGCGTCCCAACAGGGCAAATGGTATTGCCCTACCCGAGTCTTTGTTCCTCCGAAAGCTGTTTGCTGGCCGAAGTCTCGCCGGAGCAAGGCAAAGGGCTGTTTGTAGTAGTAGTGTACTACTAGTGGTGGTGGCTGAAGATCGAGATCCGATAGCTTTTTTTTTGGAAATGTGGTTGAATCCGTCCGGTTTTTGGTGCTCCTTAGGGTGACCGACCGAAGGCCCTCTGGAATGATGATCGCTCCGAGCCTCTTTCTTTCCACGTGTTTTTTATTTCTTTTGACGCGCATCTTCTCTTTTCTCTTTGCCTTTCTTCTTGCCTTCGTTCGTTGCCCATCGCCGAATAGGAGAGGACTGATCGGAATGGCGTCGCCGGCATCGTCATCGCGCAGCGCTGCAGCACGGGTTCTGCAACGGCAGACAGGTGCGCGCGCCTTCTCAACTTCTGCACAAACATGTGCAGAGCCTTCCTCGTCGTCGACGTCTTCACCATCTCGCGGGAGGAAGCCTCGACCTCAGCGAGCTAATGTGCTCCCCCCTTATCCGGAATGGGTCAGCGGGCAAGGCAAGGCGTATGAGTCTGCACCAGTGGGAAGAGGGCCATTTTGGATTGGGTCGACTCCATTCCCCCTCAATCCTACATTCAACCCGCCGCCTCCGCTGTCCCAAGCGGTGCGCGATCAGATGTGGTCATTGCACTCTCAGAACCCCAGCGCAAACTCGGTGCGCGTCCTCAGCGGTCGCTTTGGCGTTCAGATGGAGCGAGTGACGGCAGTCTTGCGTCTCAAGGCGCTGGAACATGAATTTGTGAAGAAGGTGAGTTTCGGATTTCCAAGGTCACATTGCGCAACTCCGGTCCTAGGATGAGGCAAAACAAAATCGATTAGTCTTGAAGACACACAAACTTGGTTACAATCAAACAACGGTATCTGAGGATCGCGCCATGTCAGCATGTGTCATGTGCTAGGAGGACTGACGATACTTAATGTCAATAGGGCAAGCCGCTCCAAACGCCATTTCAGAAACAGATGGAGAGGCTGCTTGGGTCCGCGCAGGATGCTCGATCGATCATGAAGGAGGCTGATACGGCTCCTTCGAGCAAGGGCGCCAACTTCCGTGGACCGATTCGAGAGGAGGTTCCAATGAGCGCCCAGTCAGAGGTATGCAGCTTCCCTTCTTTCAAGTTGCTCGCGGGTTTGCTTACTCTCTCTACGCTCTTCAGGACACGCCCTCTTCAATCGCACCAGCACTGGCGAAAGAGGCAACAGAAAGAAAGGAAAGGATGCGAACGATTCCCACAGGTGGACCAGCCACCAAAGGACCGGCACCATCCAAGGCTGTCGTCGAGACGGTGGATCAATCTCGCCGCACGAGGCCCTCCCTGTCGGTGACTGATCTTTCGAGTCGGCCAAGCTCCTACCAAGGGGCGGGTACCGTCAAGCAGAACGAGCGAAAGGCGGAGAGGAGGCGACGCCTGCGAGCCAAGGCAAAAGGTTTCACTTCATGAATGCCATCGTCTTTTTGATCATCCTTCGTAGTTGTCTGAAGCAGATGGCGGGTCCTTGGAGACAGTGAAAGGGCGAGCCACAGAAGCTGAGGATCGCCTACCTCCATCGCTCTAAGATGTTCACGAGGGAGCATTTACAGCCAAATCGGCTGGCTGGTCATCTCTTCACCTGCAGCGACCATGGGAGCTTCCTTTTGCTCAAAAAATTGCTCTGCAGTCGCAGTGGCTGCTATTTTTTTTCCCTTTCACGCTATCTGAATTTCACACGTGTGACGGAACCTCTCCACCTCTCGTTGAATGTCGGAGGAGTGGTGAAGCCGATGTCCCGGTCCTTCCTTTCGCACTCAACACCATCTGTCACCATCATGATTGCCCCAGTTCTCGCTCGAAGCTCGCTGCAGGCAAGCCGCTCTGCCGTCGCTGCGTCGACGTCTCGCGCATTCAGCACGACGATGCTGCGTGAAAAGGACGTGAAGAACGTCACAGTGTGAGTCTACTGTGTTCGGGCAGGGTGCCCCTTTGCGCGAGCGCGAGATCAGCAGACTGACTGAAGCAAGATCAGCTTCGGAGGCGGCCTGATGGGAAGCGGCATCGCCCAGGTCCTCGCGCACAAGGGTGGCTACAACGTCACGCTGACCGATGTGACGGACAAGGCGCTGACGGGCGGCAAGACGATCATGTCCAAGTCGCTTACGCGCATTGCAAAGAAGCAATTGGCCGACAAGCCAGCCGAGGAACAGGAGGCGTATGTCAAGAAGATTGTCGACTCCGTTCGCACAACGACGGATGCAGCTGAGGCGGTCAAGGACACGGACCTGGTGATCGAAGCCATTATTGAGAACGTTGGCATCAAGCAGCAGCTCTTCGAATTCCTCGACAGCAAGGCGCCAAAGGACGCCATCTTTGCCAGCAACACGTCGAGCCTGAGCATCACCGATGTCGCCAAGACGACTTCGAGGAAGGACCGCTTCGGAGGTAGGTTGGGCGGCCTAGATGCTTCTCTATATTTGCCCACAGCCGATTGACCTGATTGAACTTGCAGGTTTCCATGCATTTAACCCTGTCCCTCAGATGAAGTGAGAGCTCCCTAGAATCCCACTTTCTGCACCCTTCTGACCCCTTCTTTTCCTAAAAAAAAGGCTTATCGAGGTCGTCAAGACTTCAGAAACGTCGCAAGACACTTTCGACTCGCTTATCGAGGTGGCCAAGAAGATGGGCAAAGTGCCCGTCGCATGCGTTGACTCGCCCGGGTGGGTGTAGAGTAGCTGCAAGACCATCATTGGAAGCAAACCTCACTAACCTCGAGCCCCGCATGCAGCTTCATCGTCAACCGCCTCCTGGTGCCCTACATGCTCGAGGCCATCCGTCTCGTCGAGCGAGGCGACGCCAGCGTCCAGGACGTTGACACAGCCATGAAGCTCGGCGCGGGCTACCCAATGGGTCCCTTTGAGCTTTCGGACCTCGTGGGCCTCGACACGCTGAGCCACATTGCAAAGGGCTGGCGTGAGAGCAGGGTCTCGACGGGCGAGATCAGCGAGGAAATTGTCAAGGAGAGCAAGCTGCTCGAGGACCTCGTCAAGCAGGGCAAGCTGGGAAAGAAGAGCGGCGGTGGCTTCTACCCTGCTTGATCGACCGCAGCGATGGCTGTGTAATGGAGGATGGGAAAATAGATTTTGCTGCTTAAAAGTACAAAATGACACCGCAACCATTACCTCTTGCCGCCTCTGCCTCCCCTACCACCTCGCCGAGCATTGTGCTTGCCTCTGTTCTCCTCCCTCCGCTTCTCGGCTCGCTTCTGATTCATTTCGCGGATTGCCGCCTTGTTCTTTGCTCTCTCCAACTTCGTCTCGTAGTGGAACTTTGGCTTTCTCTCGGCAGCTTTCCTTTTCTTCTCGACACCATCCATGCCGCCTGGTTGAAGTTCCTCTTGTGCTTCCTCCTCCTCTTGCAGCCGAAGCGCCTCAGGCACATATGCGTTCTTGCGCTCCTCTTCCACGCTGATCAGCTTGCTAATGTCTCCGGCGTCTTTCTGCTTCCTCTTGGCGGCCCTCCGGGAACTCGGCGGAAGCGCCTCCACGCTGCGCTCCTGCTTCGCCTTCTTCTTGACGACCGGAGCTATGGGCTTTATTGGCGCATCGAGATCAGCATTCGGGTCGAATTCTTCGATCGTCACAGTAGTGTGGTGCGATTCCGAATTGTATGCAGACTGTCTTTGTTCTTCCTCGACTTCCTCCTCGTCGTCGTCGTCGCCTTCCTCCTCGTTGTCGTCAGACGCCACAGCACCATAGGCAATCCTCTCTGCCTTTACATTTTCGGCCGCCTGCTTTTTCCGCTCTTCTCTCGCCTGAGTCCTCATGAGCTTGCGCTCATCCTTTTCTCTCTGTTTCGCCTTGTCCCGTCCCTTTTCGATCCGTGCCTGCTTTCGCTTCCTAAAGCCTGTCAGAAAGTCTCGTCTGGCCTCCTCGTCAAACTTGATCTCTGCCTCCTTCTTGCCCCTGCGCATCGGAGGCGGCGCCACTCTCCTCTTCTTTCCTTCATTCTTTCGGCCGGCACCCTTCTTCCCCGAGGCAGCAGCCTGGGCCGACGTAGTGTAGGCCTGGAGCGCCGGTCTCGCCACCTCGTCGGCACCTCCGAAGTCCCTTTCCGTCATGCTCGAAACGTCGCTCGGAAATAGCAATGCGTTTCCGCGCAGAAAAAAAAAGTCAAAAATTCATGGAGGATTCTCGCATGTCCTCACGTGTGGCCCGGGCTGCTTCCCTTCGCAGCTAAAGTGCTTCTAACGCCGGGCTGGGTATAAAACAGAGAAAGAGTCGAGTTTAAGGAGGGCTTTCTCCACTCTGAAACAGGCCTGCAATTCTTGTTCTTGACTACCCAAGATATATGGCCATTACGTTGCTGAGCAATTCGATCAGACGCACAGCATTCACCTCCGCACAACCCCTTCGCTACTTTTCAACAACTCGCGCAGCCATGTCGGTCAAGCCTATCACGTCTTACGACGACTTTAAGAAAATCGTGGGTGCCTGCTTGGCTTTCTTTAAAATTTTGAACTTGCAGGCCAAGCTGACCTTTGATCGCCACAACAGATTGCCCAGGACAAGGTGACAGCCATCGACTTCTGGGCTACATGGTGTGGACCCTGCAAGATGATCTCGCCCATGTTTGAGAAGCTCGCCGGTGCAGCCGACGCCGACAAGATTGAGTTCTACAAGGTCGACGTCGACGAGCAGGGCCAGATTGCCGAGGAAGTCGGCATCAAGGCCATGCCCACCTTCGTCTTCTTCAAGGACGGCAAGAAGATCAAGGAGACTGTCGGCGCAAATCCCGGCGCCCTTGATGTGAGTCGCACGTCGTCGCTTTCGCTGGTTGATCAAATGCTCAGATGGCTGATGCAATTTCTCTTCCTTGCTCACAGGCCAGCATCAAGCAAGTTGTTGCTTAATTTTTACTCCCTCTTCCGAGACAAACGCATAATTTGCTGTAACATCTTCATGACTTTATAGATCCTGTCCATTGCCCGGTCCTTTGTCGAGAGAAAGCTGGAAATTCGAAGTTTCCGACGGTGCTTTTCCTGCTGTCGACGCTCCATGATGTGTCTCCTACCGTCGATGCATCTGGTGGTCCGAGCGCTCGGACCACTTCGACGGTTTCTACTTTGCAATGCTCCTTCTACTTCTCATCCAACTACCTTCCTTCCTCTTTTCCGTCCCTTGAACGGTCGAGATCGTCGGGGCCGCGCCGTCGCCGCAGGACGCGGGTGTCGGAGTCACCTTAGCACTCAAGGGCAGCCTGGGGGAGCTATATCGTCCCCAGTCGAGGTCTTTGTCGACGCTCGACCTATCCGATGGAGCCCGTCGCCTCGGCCGACGTACTTTCTTAACTCAGTCAACGACTGCAGGCACGCCGAGCACCCAAAAGCTCAACTGAGAATGAGAAAAAAAGATGCCGTCGCTGGCAAATGGTCCTTCCACCCTGAGATACGGTCCCTGTATAGCAGAGTTGATAGCTCAACCTGAATGCTGCATCGTCGAGTTTTGTCATTTCGGCCGAGATGACGGTTTTTTTTTTTTTTGGAGGTGGAAGATTTATTTTATCGACGCTCCTTCCGCGAAGGCAGTCTGGTCGCACATCTCCACGACAATGTTTGGCGCTTTCAGACCGACGGTGCCCTCGATGGGCGGTCTGCTTTGGTGAGTTTCTGGGAAGGCTGGTCTGAAGTTTCTGTCGGTGCTTATGCGCCGTGCTCCCTCGAATAGGAAGAATCCCTGGCGCCTCTCTGGGCCACGAAAGATGCGCGTCCGACAACGGCTGCGTGCAGTCGATGATGTCGTCTCGACCGTCGAGGCCAGTGGCGTGAACGTCGCTGCGCTCAGAAGGTGGCGGGAGGAGATGCCGACCGAGGCCGAGATGTTGCCCAAGGACAAGTACACAACTTTCTCAAAACAGGCGAGAGATTTCAGGAAGAGCGTTCACAAGGTATGTATTGTCATCCTGATAGTGAAAGATCCGAAGTGGAAAGGTGCACAGAGAAAGCTGACGAAAATGCGAACACAGGTCCCAAAGTGGACAAGGCTCTCGCTGAGGACAAACCCGCGAGGCTTCTAGACGCTGCTGGTGGCCTGTCGTGTCCTGCCCAACATGTAGTATTATCAATTCGCCCATCATCGAGACCTTATTTGCACTATCAGCACGCGAGATGGAGGAACAGACTGTGGAAGCCTTTCAAAAGGATTCAAAGAAAGCCCTCTAAGGTAGGAATGAAGAGGAGGAAGAGTTGAAAGAACAAGAGGTGCGAGAGAGAGCACACGTGGGATTTTGAAGAGCTTTCAAGGTACTGGCGCTCGCGGCCAGGATGGAGGATGGGAAGACACCGCAGGATGGGACCTGACGATGAGGCGAAAGGCGAGGACGACTGCGGGAACGAAGATAGGAGGACGGATTTGATCGAGGAAGGAAAAAGAAAAGTTCAGTCGCAGGTGACCTGAAATAGCACCATGAGGTCCTACACTAGTGGTAAAACGTCAAAGATGTACCCCCACTCAGGCTGAAGTGGGAATCGCAGTCTCCCAAAGTCCACGGCCGTCTTTCTGGCGGCTACTTCAGGCACGGCTTACCACCGGAGAAAGCGGGAACTCCAATGGGTATTTCTGCGCCATTTTAGCCATATCGAGTTGCTACGAAATGGCACCGGCTTCAGAGCTGGTCGACAACATGATGACGGCGTCGTTCTCCCTGCAGACCCGCGGGAGCTCGGTAGAGATAGCAACATGATGAAAAATTACCAGCAATAGAAAACATATGTATGGTTGCTTCTCCGTGCGCACCTTTTTCAATCGCTGCGTGTCAAATCTGCTCCCCTTTTTTTCTACTGGAAGCAGTCCCATTATTAGGGTATTGTACGTACTAGTCGACTGTAAACAAAGCGCCCTGATAAAGAACATGCAGACTAGTACGTACTGCTGACCAGATGGAGAAACTTTAGTTCGCCAGATTTGACAGTCCGACCGTTTAGCGCGTCGAAGGGGGCCCCTTCCACTCCCGATGCTGGCCTCGAGGAACGCTGCGGACCATGTGTGAAGCGAAGCAAAGGAAAGGAGAGTGGCGCTCCCTTTGTCTCTCTTTACCAACCACGACTTCTCCCACCCCTCCCGTTACGACTTTGACCTGATGACGAAGCTCTCTTGTGCGCTGCTGGTTGGCGCATTTTTCTCTCTTTCGTTCCTCGTCGGCCATGTTCACTCCTTTTTCATCTTGAGTCACCACGGCTCCCTCCTTAATGCAAGGCTGGATCCTATCGTGTCACCTGGTAAGGTCTCTGGCCATCTTCATTCCTTCGTTGGCTCGTCTTCCATCTCGTCGGATGAAGACTACGACTCCGTTCGGGGGGACGACGCTTGCACTACTTCGGGCGTCGGTGCCGACCTGTCGAGCTACTGGACTCCAACACTATTCCAATACTCGCAGGCCGACGACAGTTTCACGGCTATGAACTTATCTTTTGTCAACACGTACTACCTTAATAGAGGTGGATCAGCCTCCGATTCCAGCAACAGCACTTCCAGTAGCAGCAATAGCACCTCTACTGGCAGCAAGAGTACCTCCGATAGCAGCAAGAGTACCTCCGGCAGCAGCAATAGTAACAACGAAAGTAGCAACAGCACTAAGAGGGACTCGTCCTCCACGGGCAAGATTGTCGCCTTCCCAAAGGGCTTCAGAATGCTTGCTGGTGACGCCATGGCACGTCAACCGGCCAATACAACGCAGCTGCGAAATGCAATTTCCTTTGTTTGCCTCAACTACGACGGTCAGTCGCCTCAGACGAGCACGATCCCTACTGGTCCCTGCCCCGACGGTCTGCGTGCTCAAATTACCTTCCCTTCTTGTTGGGATGGCAAGAACCTCGACTCTGAAGACCACAAGAGCCACGTCGCCTACCCCGAAGGCGATAACGCCGACAGTGGAGACTGCCCTTCTTCTCACCCGCACCGTTTCATGACGCTCTTCTATGAGTTCGTCTGGTCGACAGGGAAGACAGCCACCAACCCAGACGAGTCCAAATGGGTTTTTGCCAACGGCGATATGCAGGGCGTGTCGTTCCACGGCGATTTTCTCAACGGCTGGGACGTGGACGTGCTACAAGAAGCCATCGACTCTTGTACCGGCTCACTTTTCAACAATCTCGAGCAGTGTGCCCCCTTGGCTAAGTCTTTGGACCGTGATGCGGCTTCTAAGTGCGCCATTAAGCAGAGGAGTAGCATTAAAGGCATCAGCCCCGAGACGGTGTCAGGTCCCCTGAAAAGCCTGCCTGGATGCAACACGATCTTTAACGGCAAGCTCAAGGGCCAGGGTGGTTGCAGCGGAGGGGATGAGGACACTGGGTCGTCATCATCTTCATCGTCGTCATCGACGTCTTCGTCTTCTTCTCCAGCATCAACGTCGACGTCAAAGCACAGGAGCTCTGCAAAGGCAGCGGCAGTCCGCAAGTCGTCGACCTCAACTTCACCGTCACTGAAGACCAAAGGCCACGGCTTGCAGAAGAAATGTCAACACTACAAAAATCACCAGAAGAGGCGTCTGGACACGCTTGAGTCCTAACTCAGGACGTCAGCTTACTCGAAATTTCTTTCGAGGGGGTTGCTGGTCCACCCCGAAGAAGTTCGCCGTCTTGTAATTTGCTTCCCTAGAGGAAGCGAGACTTCCACCTTCGCATTGCATTGATTGCAATTTCCGGTCATATAAGCTTCCCTGGAGGAAGTTAGATGCCTCTTTGATCTGCATTAGTTACAATAGATCAATTTGCATATCCGTCAGATGCGCGACATGGATAGCAGTCGTCAATGGGCGTGCTGCTTGGGTGCGAGGCTGCCAAGAGGCATGTACCGGGCCAAGGGATGACCGACCTCGAGAAGTAAGAGCGCAGTGGCGTTATAGAAGAGGATAAAGGAGACGGTGATAAGAAAAGCACCGCCGGCAGTCAAGCAGGCCTCACTGCCTGTCATGAGACCTATACCAAGTGTGATGGCGACGAGATTGATCGTAAGAAGGCCCGAAACAACGCTGATTGCCGTCCGCTGGGCAGCGATGAGCAGGACGAAGAGCGTGCCCCAGATGACGAGGAGATACATGCCCGTGGCAACGTCGACGTCCTCAACAGCTGCCTTTGCATTGCCATTTTCGAGCGCGCCAAAGGCACTCGTCACACTTTGAGCGGTTCTTATTAGCATGAGCTTCCGTTCTTCACCGTTAGCTCGACTCACGTTGTCCATGGCAAAAATGGAAGACAGAGACCGAAAATGATGGCGCCGACATTCAAGTATAGCGCACAACCAAATGTGTTACCTGAGAAGAGCTCGCCGACTCCGCAAAGCAGTGTGAAGAAGGCGCCAAAGGGTAGTCCAGTGAGGATGACGCCCTGTGGGGACTTTGTTCCGCGCGCGTGCAAGATCAGAAGTCCGAGGAGCCATGTCGTCGCACCAATGCTCAATGATCCTAGAGGAATCGGGAGCGCGAGACGACGATGAATGCTCTGTGGACCGGACGGGAAACCTGGCTGGATCGTTTGTAGGGCGTGACCATGCTGCGTCACTTGCTTCTCGAGCTGAAGGAAGCGTTTTTCGTCCATGATCCCCTGCTGTTGTTGACAGTGTCTGAGAGGGAGAAGGTGAAGAGGTCAGATGCTTTTGAGGAGCGGGAGCTCAAAACTTGATGCGATTGGTCGGCGAAAAGTGAACACTAGGTCTCAGACACGGTACCTTCCCATGTTACGGGTGATGGTTCTTTTGCGCTCCACAAGACGAATACTAGACTCCCCACGGGCATATGTTGCAGCTAATTTCGTACGGATCGGTGACCATGCCTCAACAACAATGGCCAAGGAATGCTCTTCTCCGTCTCTTCCCCGCAATGTCATAAGATGCATGTCTGTCCATTCGCTTCCGTTCCGAGCTTCTCGCCGGAAATCAAGGCTAGGCGCATAAAACGGAATGACAGGTTGAGAACACGCGTTTGACGTTTCCTCTCTAGCGCGCTTGGCGTTGTTCTTTTGATGAGCATCCTTAATTGATTGTGCGGGGTATGTCGGCTACCCCGGATCGGAGGAGGATAGTACACGCAGAGGAGACGTTGCAGGATACGACTGGAAGTGCTAGAGATATGAGAAACGAGGGAAGAGAGAGGAGAATGGACTGAAACGACGTCGAGCAGTTGTCTCTCTACAATCATCACCATGAGCGACTCATCTGGGACCAATGCTCCGCACGCTGGCTTTGATGGAGGACAAGATGTGTCTTTGGTCAGAACGGCTGGCGGACATGAGGCAACAACCTCACAGCAGCCAGCTTTTCCTGACTTTCACCGGTGAGCAACACCCGGTCCACCTGACTAGAGAACCAACTGACTCCACAAATGATTACAGCAAGCTCGCCGATCCGTCTGGTTTTGCCTGGCTCGCTTTGGGCTCAGCTATGACGCTCTATGCTGTCAATGTGATCGGATCTAGAGGTATCGAACTGCCAAATGCAGCAACGCCCGGTATGCTCGCCTTGGGAGCAGTCCTGCTAGCTCTGGCTACCATCTTCGAGTAGGTCTGAAGTGGCTTTGTCTTTGTCGTCTTAACCTCGGCTGAAGGGAACCATGGCAGGTTTATCTCGGGGAGGACCTTTGCAGGTACTATGTTTGGGGTCTACAGCGGCTTTTTTGGAGGATTCGTGATCATTCACGTTGCATGGTTCGGCATCACGGGTTCGTATGACGGGCAGAGACCGAACAATTACGCCCCGACAGGCACAGCTGGATCTGAGCTGGCGAGCCTTCAAGGACTCTGGATAAGCAGTGAGCCTCACTTTCACTTCCCAGATTTCTATGGCTGACCATTCGCCACTTGAAAAGCTTTTGTCATATTTGTCCCCATCCTTTTCCTGGCCGCTACACGTCAATCCGGGACCATCATGGCATTTTTGGGAAGCACGGAGGTGTTTTTCATCTTGCAGATGATCCATTTCTTCCAGGGCTCAGACCCAGCGACGAAGCTGGCAAAGGCGACTGGTGCTTTTTCCTTTCTCAGCGGTATCATCGCTTGGTACAATGGAGCAACCAGTCTGTTGACAAGCGACTCTGCATTCTTTACTCTCCCCACCTTCGATGTTGTTAAGTCTGACTAGGACTTGTGTCGTGTACTTGAATTCTTCATGAATTTAGCATGATCAATCTACTGTACATTCCTCTCTCCGGAGAAGACGGAACGCCCTCCAACGCAGACCCTGCCCCGATTTACTTACCCCACAAGTCAGACAAAGAGCTTTGTTGGCGAATTGACCCGGCGCTCGTTCCTGCGCCCGGATCAATTTAGTTGAAGAACAGGAGAAATACAGCAGCTGTTACGAGACGGAACGGAACAACAATGCTCGGATTTGGAGCTACATCTCGTGCAATCATCTTCTCCCGCCTTGGCGGAAGTTAAGCAGTTCCACCAATAGCTGTAGCCATGGAAATACCGGAAAGTCGGAGAGCTTCCGACTTCTTTGTTTGTATCCTTGCGTCAGCAAAATAGCAGTGCATTTGTCACTCATTCTTACACGGAACGCCAGGGGCTGAAGTGAGCTCCGTGCACCTTTCGTTCCCCCACAAACAGAAGAATGTTCACAAGCGCACGCGGAGGCGAGATGACAAGCGGAGGTTCAGAATCGAATGTTCTGCTCATGTTTGCTGCGTCGTTCAAGATCCGACAATGCTGGGATCGCGGCGATCGGAGCGTCCGAGTGTATTCGAAATGTCACCAGACTCTTCTTGCTCCCGACTCGTTCCCTGTGCAGTAGTCAGTTCTTAGCCAGTGAGGTGAAGCCTATGGAGAAGCTACGGTCAACGTATGCCAAAGCGAGCTGCCCCGCACGCCCCGCAAAGGTAGTTTCCCGGATGTCATGAGAAAGGAGAGTGAACTAGGGGCTCCGACATGCCGTTGTTACGGCCACTTCACGGAGGTGGCGAAAAGATAAAAGGTAGGCGCCAAAGAAAGAGCAGAGCACCATAGCCCATATCTCCCCTTTCCCTCGTTCCCTTTCCTCCCACCACCTCTCCCCTTTGAGGCATGAGGCAGCCTACACTCCTTCTTGGTCTCGTGACGGCCACGATTGCGGCTACGGTCAAACGTCAAGCCCTTCTCGGCAGCGCTGTTGGTGCCGCCGAGGTGCTCTTCAGTGGCGAGCGGCCCGAGGTCCAGCTTGATTATGCCGATTACCAGGGTGTCAAGAACCACTTGACGGGCACCAATGACTTCCTTGGCATGCGCTTCGCCACAGCCAACAGACTGGAAGAGGCCAAATTCATTGACCCTGCCACCAAGCCCAAGGACATACAGGATGCCAGCAAGTACGGCAATGCCTGTCCACAAGTTCAACTAGCAGGCAACCCTCTCAACTTCGGTGCAGCAGACGTGGCCGAAACCCTCACGTTCATTCAGCAAATTGCTGCCCCACCCGGCCTGGTCCAGGGTCAGTCGGAGGATTGTCTCTTTGCCAATGTACAAGTGGGTAGACAACAACATCTCTATGAGGATCTATGTACTGACAATCGAAACAGGTCCCCGAAGGCGTCAAGAAGGGTGACAAACTACCTGTCCTCCTATGGATCCACGGTGGTGGTTACGAGCTGGGTGCGGCCAATTCCGTTGGTTCCGAAGCGACCACTCTCCCTAATGTCATCTACCAGGGTGGCAACCTCGTCAAACGCTCTGTCGAGATGGGCAAGCCTGTCGTCTTCGTCTCGGCCAACCATCGTCTCAACTTTTTCGGCACGCTGGCTGGTAAGGAGATCTCCGATGCCAAGGTCGAGAACCTTTACCTCAAGGACCAACGTCTCTTCATGAAGTGGCTCAAGAAATACGTTGCCGAGTTCGGCGGTGACCCGGATCACATCGTTGCCTTCGGAGAGAGCGCTGGTGCCATGTCACTTGGTTGCCACTTTGCCATCAACCCTCGCGAGACCGAAGACTTCATCAAGGGTGCCTGGATGTTCTCGGGCGGTCCCATGAAGCTCTCTCCCCCCTCGCGCGTTCAGCGAGTATACGACGACTTCGTCGAGGCTGCTGGCTGCCAAGGACAGGCAGACACGCTCGCCTGCCTCAAGAAGGCCGACTACGATGGCATCTACCGTCAGATTCAACGTACACCCAACTTCCTGGGCTACACCAGCACCGAAGTTCCATGGTACCCTCGACCCGACGGCTATTTCCTGAAAGAGTCACCGCATGTGACCTGGAAACGAGGCGACATTGCCAAGATTCCCATGGTCATAGGTGAGCAAACAGCCGCGACCAGCCTCATGGAGAGAGGCACTAAACGCCATACCCATACCCATACCCATTGCTAACATGACCCAACCTCACGCCATACCCATACCCAGGTGATATGAAAGATGAGGGTGTGAGTGATAAGAACCTCCTGACGGTCGGGAAATCTGAGACTGATGTTGAGTAAAAATCCAGACGATCTTCTCGCAGGTCAACCAGCTCAACGTGACGACAACCGATGACTGGAAGAAGCTGTTCAAGGACATCTGGTGGCCTGACACGGTCACCGATGAGAACCTAGACCGGCTGGCCGAGCTGTACCCCGACAACCCCACCCAAGGTTCACCCTACGACACTGGTCTTCGTAATGCCTTGACGCCTCAGTACAAGCGCATCGCTGCCCTTACAGGAGACTCGACCTTTGAAAGCCAACGCCGATTTGCCAACGAGGTGGCCAGCAAGACACACAATCAATGGTCATACCAAATCGAGATCGACCTTCCCGTCCTGTCGTCACTGCCCGTTCTTGGTCAAATTCTTAAGGACACCAATATCACGAACTATCCTCAGCTTGGCTCTTTCCACATCGCCGACGTTGTCCTGCACGCATTCGGAACGGTCCCTCCAGAGCTCTCAAAGAACAGCCTTCACATCATGTCGTGCCTCATCGCCTTTGCAAACGATCTGGACCCCAACGGACATGGGCTGGACCTGCCTCAGTGGCCTCAGTACAAGTGGGGCGAGCCGGCCATCGGTCAGGAGCAACTCTTCCACTTCACCGAGCCCAAGGTGGACCTGATTCCCGATGGATTCCGCCGCGAGGCGATGCAGTACCTGAACGACAATCCAGAGTCATTCCTTTTCTAATCCAGCTTTAACTCTTTTCCCCTGAAGCTTCGCCCCCCCCTCTTTCCCCTTCCCTTTTCACCCATCCCCTCCCTATCTCCTTATCATTTCCTCTTTTCGTTCTACCCCCTCCTCTCCTTGTACTCTCACACGCTCTCTTTCTCTGTGCTCTCCGCGCGTCCAAACGCTGCATTCTTGAATCATTACTCGGCCTTCCCGGTCTCCACCACTTTCTTGCCCGACAGTCACGCACCATGCACCTCCTAAGCTTTGGCCGCCTCTCAGACTCCCATGACAAATTTTGGAAGGATATTTACATGACAGGTACAATTGGATGGGTCAGATGCTACGTTGGTCTAAGCTACAATGGGGGAAAAGGTGGCGACAAGGCAGACAGGGAGGTCATGATTATCAACGATTGGTTCGACCGATACGTTGACGCGGATCTCTACGTTTCGCACCACCTTGGGAAGCGATTCGGATTGGCGTGAAAACTTGACATCGCCTGTGCATCGGAAAGGGCTTGGTCCATTGCGAAGGACAAAGTCCGCAAACCTGTGGTTCCGCATCAGCTCTGTGAAGGCTGGTGCAGTGCGTACTTGTATTGCCGCCCAATCAACTCACCTCTCAAAGATATCAATGCTAAGCTGCTCGGAGAGTAGCTGGTAGAGGCAGAGACGCCCGTCGTTGAAGCAGGAGACATGCGTCTGACAGAGCCTGGCCCAGGCTTCGTTTGCACACACGATCTCGCCGGTTCGCCTCAAGACGACGAGGGGCACGTCGACGGCTTCGCAGACGTGCTGACGAATGTAGTCGACGATGGCGATAAAGCGCTCCTCGTGCTCGACAAGCTCAAGGTCGCTGAGCCTCTGCCACCGATCGCGTAGGATCGGCCGCGTCTGCTCCTGCAGGAGCACGCGCACACGTTCGGCACCCGCAACGGACCACGAAGAAACGGGCGATGCCGTCCAGCGTTGCATGCGAGCGTAGCCGTAGGCGTGCTGGTACGGCCGCACGGTACTCTCCTCGGGGTTATAGGACGTCGACGTCAAGATGTGGTCCCATGGCCGGCGTCGAGTCGAGACTGCCTGATGATCGGGGAGCACGTCGAGGAGCAGCGGCCGATCCAAGGTGACGTCGCTGGTGCCCAGAAGCTGTTCGAGATTAGCCTGCTCGCGGGGAGACAGGCCTTGTGCCATGAGGCAGGAGGGCGGGTCCCTTGGCGAGACATTATTAGAGCGCGAAGCACCCTGGGTGTGCGGTTGCTGCTGCTGCTGCTGTTGTCGGTGTTGCTGAGAGAGGTGTTGCTGGTGCTGGTGTATCCAGTCTGTGGGTGGTGAGTCGAGATGTGCAAAATTATCGAAAGCGAGTAGGTGATCGAGATTCATCGTGGGGCCCAGCATTGTCGCCGCAGCGGCGGCAGCAGCAGCAGCCGCGGCGGCCGCTGCCGCGTCTCCTCCTCCATTATCGTCTGAGCGAGAGTTTATGTCGGCCTCTGTGACATTGCTGCTCCTTCTGGCCGGATTGATCGACCTGATGGAGTGTCCAGCTGGCGTGGATGCCGTTCTGGAGCCGACGGCACCTCGGTCGTCGCTTCCAGACGACCTCGACCTTTGTTGCTGCTGTTCATCATCGAGGCACTTGTCGCCGATACCTCTCGCCCACGCATCGAAAGCAAGGCCTCTTCTCCTCACACACCATGTGGCTATACCATCGCCAGTCAGCAGCCATTCGTCTGCCTTCTCTTGCCCGAGCTCACGACAAGCTTACCTGCGCTTGCAGTACAAACATGCTCGAGCCACTTTGGCCCGCTTCGTGGTCGCCTGTGCAGCATCGTCTGCAGCCGAATATCCGCCGCCACCGGCGACTGTCGAAGATGAAGAGGAGGGCGAAGTGCCGCCGCCGCCGTTGCTGGTGCCGTCCCGAGCGTTGCTGTTGGAGTCTCGTCGGTCATCAAGGTACCGGTAGACGCGCTTGGTCCTCCTCTCCTGCACCCCTTGGGCCTGTGAGGCCGCTTGTCCCTGATTCGAGTGTCCTTCCGGGCCTTGTAAAGTGGACGAAGACGAAGAAGAGGCCAGCTGCGACGACATGATGGCAGCGAGGGCGCCGGAACGGGCAGACCAGTGAGAGCTCAGCAGATAGAGCAGGCAAGTTTTCTCCTCCTTTTCGAGAATGGTCCGTTGTGACAAACCTATAATCTGGGGGAGGCCCCCACTCTATTTCCCTCTCCAGTCTCGGGCTCGGAGCGCTATGCAGAACTCCTCGCCCAGATCTTACTTAGTGGATGGCGAGGGGACAGCCGTACGTACGTGCGCCCTCCCGCGTGGACTTCCGGAAGGCCTTCCTAATCTCCTTCCGTTCCGGAAATTGAGTGGGGGCTGGTGCACGAGCCACCCCACCTTTTGACGGATTCAAAAGCGCCTCTTCTAGACTCCTTCCACGGCCTAGCTCTGGGACTCTAGAACGAAGACGACAAAAGATGACCCGCTCTAACAAAGACTTTGAGGTCTCGGTCGTTGGCGGCGGCATTGGTGGTCTATGCGCAACGCTGGGCCTTCTCCGAGCAGGCGTGCCCGTCCAGGTCTTTGAGGCAGCAGTGAGTTTACCTACGTTATCCCTTCTGACTTCGTCCACCTGCTGATCAATCGGGGGTGATCCGCAGCCACAATTTGCAGAGATCGGCGCTGGAATCTCGTTTGGAAAGAATGCCAGCAACGCGCTGACCAAGCTCGGCTTCAAGGAGGAATTCGACCGCGAGGCCACCATTGTCCCCTCTGGCATCTGGTTCGAGTGGAGGAACGGCAAGGGGGATAAGCAGGAGCTCATCGCGACGACCCATTCGAAACCAGTGGGAAACTCATCCGTACACCGAGCCAAGTTCCTTGACGCCCTCGTCAAGCATGTTCCCAACGAAATTGCCCATTTTGGTAAGAGGCTCGCCCGCATTGAGGAAGGCACGGGCGCCAACAACGCTCGCACTACGCTGCATTTCGAGGATGGTACCTCGCACGAGACTGACGTCGTGATTGGCTACGATGGCATTCACTCCAAGGCCAGGAGTCATCTGGACAAGGTTCGCGGCCGCAAAGAGTCCAAGCTGCAGTGGAGCGGCAGCTGGGCCTACCGAGGTGAGCATGAGCGCACGCCTCTCTCTCTCTCTCTTTTGCTGTGTTTTTGTCGGCGTCTGACCCTTGTCCGTCAGGCCTCATTCCGACCCAGAAGTTCATCGATGCCGTCGGGGGCGAGATGGGCAAGTACTATGCCGAGACGCCGCAGATGTTCCTTGCAGAGGACAATCACATCCTCATCTTCCCCATCGACAAGAATGAGACGGTCAACGTCGTCGCCTTTTCCACTGACAGAAGCAAGTGGCCCGAACGCCCGAGTGAGTTGGAGAGCTTGCCCTCAAACTGTTGTCAAAGTCAACTGATGGGATTGGAGGGGATCAGATCTCAAAGAGGGGGAGCCTTGGACGCAACCATCGACAGCAGAAGACATGATCAAGGAGTTCCCTGGATGGGGCAAGGACATGGTCAGCATCCTCAAGTGCATCGAAAAGCCGAGCAAGTGGGCGCTCCATCAGCTCATCCCTTCGCTCGACTGCTTCGCGAAGGGCAAGGTCGCCGTGGCAGGCGATGCCGCCCACGGAGGCACTCCACACCAAGGCGCCATGGCAGGGCAGGCGATCGAAGACGCCCTCTTCCTCTCTTGGCTCCTGGCTCACCCAGCGGTCAACTCATCCAACGTCGATCAGGCTCTGACGGTGTATGACACGATTCGTCGGCCTCGGGCGAACAAGGTCCTTGAATCGAGTCTGGAAGCGGGCGATGTTTATGAAATGCGGGGCGAAAGGACTGGGTCAGACTGGGTCAAGCTCAAGCAAGAACTCGAGACAAGGTTCGACTGGATCTGGGAGCACAATCATGATGATGACTTTCCTGCTGCAGAGGAGGAGATGCGTCGCATTGGTCTTCTCAAGGCTTAGTTCGTCACTGCTGTTTTGCTTAGATCTACTGCTGCTTTCTATTCACACAAATTCGTCAATAATATGTGCACCTTCATCGCTAATTGATATCTATCTACTCTCGTGCAAGCTAATGGTCTTCTGAAACTTCCATTCTTTGATAGCATTACTCGAGGAAGAGACAGAGAGCAATGAGTATTAATGAGCAGGTAAGAAGCATAAGTAACGATGAGACTAATTGCAGACTTGTGATCTTTTTAGGTGCAGATACGGAGGCGCTCACAAATGACCAAAGTCAAAGTGAGCAAATGCTCCAGCGATACTCCCACTCGCCAACGCCATCGAGACACTCTTCATGGGCGTCTGAATGTCACCAGCGACAAAGACGCCGGGCACGCTCGTCTTGCCCATGGGGTTGATTGGCTCTACATATTCGTTAATCGGCATCGATCCCGACTTGACCTGGAGACCGAGATTGTCCAGAAGCGGTCGAACGCCTTCCGACACGGTTGTACTAGGGGTCCACAGAAGGACGTCGAATGTCGTCTTGCCAGCATCCTTGACGGCGATTTCAACTTTATCGTCGTCATGCGTCAGCTTCGTCGACTCTACTTTGCCCTCGATGATAGAGAATCCCAGGCTCTTGACCGCGTCCATGACCTTCGGGTCGGAAGCTCCAACGGGCTCGTTCGTAAGGACCGTCACGTCCTTCGACAGTGTTCCAATTCCTCCGAGCACATGGACCACCATTGGGTTCAGCCCCAGTTGCGCCAGCTTCTTGTCTCGGTTCTCGTAGCCATGGCAGAACCTTTCCCTCCGTCAATCAGCAAGTGGTCGTGTCTACTAGAATAGAAGATGTGCTGCTCTTGCTCTCACATGCAATGGACGGCTTTTCCCTTATCCCAGACCTCTTTCAAGCCTTCCACGTCGTCGAGCATGAGATCTTTCGTGCCACCGGCCAAAACAAGCTTCCGTGCTTCGTACGTTGTCCCGCTCGCCGTGTGGAGCTGAAAGGCGCCGTCGGTACCGTGAACGTCCATGACCTTTTCAAAGACAAATTCCGCCGTGCCATACGCCCGGATCTCGTCCTGGGCCTGCCGACGCAGCTCGGCGTTGTTGGCTCCGTCACGCGTCCAAAAGTTGTGGAGTTGCTGCGCGGGTGCATTGCGGTAGGCGCCCGAGTCGAAAATGATGATGCGGCGGCGCACACGGACGAGGCTGAGGGCGGCGCTGAGGCCAGCGGGACCCCCGCCGATGATGGCTGCGTCAAATTTAGGCATCTTGAAGAAGGAAAGCGCTTGGCAGAGGAGAAGACTGTAAAGGAAATGAAGCATAGGCCAGTAGATCCGCGCTCCGCCAACAAAACCGGGCGCTATTTAAGCTTTTCTTAGCCGTCAGCTGACGGCGGCAAAAGAGAATTAATGCGCCCTACGAGGTGCAAAGCATCAAGGGCGCGTTGCCTCAACACCTGTATTACAACCTCTTCCCTCACCCAGCATCGATCAATGTCGCAAATTGAGGGCTCCTCTCACTTCAGCTCAGCTAGAACAACAGACTAGAAAAGATGCATTGTGAAGGAGCGTGTTTGTATTGGTGCGCGAAAAATCTCGGCGTCAGCTGACAATTGACATTTCAAAGAAGATGGTGAAAGGGACGGAATGGATGGATCATGGACCGGTCAGAGGGCTGAAGGCCGGAGGCAAGGGTAATGGCCGGAAAAGCTCTCTGGTCGTCTGGCCGGATTGTGCCTGCTGGCGCTGGCCGTTCTCTTCCGCTCGGAACCTCGGCGGCGTCCTTCTTCCTTCGCCGCCCATCGTGGCCTTCGACTGAACCTTTTCCGGGAAAGCAGGACCCACAAAGGCTTTGCTGGACGCCCGTTGCTTGTCGGCATCCTCCTGACCACTCCGGCGTTCAAACATCTTGGGAGAGGCCATGGCAGTGGAGGATGGCTTCACGCGCCTGGCAGCCGCATCTGTTCCCTTGGCCACCGTCTGGATCTTCTCGGCGCCACCGCGAGGAGCACGGCTGGTGTTGCGCTGGCTTCGGTCAGCGGTGCGTCGACCGTTGGAGTGGGGCTGTTGTCGATGCTTGTATGCGCCGACGGTTGCATCACGCCTGCCTCGCTGCAGCTGGAGTGCACCCTCGCCAACCTCCTCTTCACTTGACGGGAATCCTCCAGGGATCCGAACGGTATCTTTGCGACGAGGAGCTTGGGTAGACGTGCGCGTCTGACGCTGCGGCTGGCTTGGCTTGACGTCCCATCCGCCACCGCTGCCCCGCACGATGACGGGCATGTAGTCGCGGGCATCGGGTGCATGTTTCTCCGCGTCGAAGTTGTAGTCGTCGTCCTTGCGCGACTGCTTTGACTCATCACTCTTGTACATCGACGCAAGGCTCTCCTGCGAACCAGCACCTCGCAAGGCCTTGAGCGAGTCGACGAGGCGCTGACTCAGGGTCCTCGCCAGGCCTCCACTTGCGTGCTGGTGCTGCTGTTGTTGTTGTTGAAGTTGCTTCTGGCCGAGTATCAAGGGACGATGCTGGCCGTGCTGCTGGCCCTCGAGCGTGGCTCGCCACTGGTTGATGTCGAGCACGTCTGGCTTTCGCCTCGTCTCTGCTCCATCTGTCCGCGTAGCCTTTTGCTCAAAGCTGCCCTCATCCTCCTCTGTGATTGTCTTTTGCATCTTTGCAGCCGCCGCAAGCTCCGCGTTTCGCAGGGCCACACGCAGAGGGCTGGCAGTCCTGCCATCCCAAGTGAGCCCTCCACCTGACGAGCTGCCGCTGGAATGACCACCGCTGATGACGCTCTTCCGTTCGCGCTCATACTCCTCCGCCACCTCAGGTGGAACAGCCAGGACCTCATCGCCGACGTCGATCAGGACGCTTCCCTGGCGGTTACGCCTGGCAAAGCTTCCCAACGTCCTCGTCACGGCTCTGCGCAGGGTTCCGCTCCTCTTTCCACCCGCGCCCCCAGCGCCGTTTGCGCCCATTTTGGGAATCGTGTTGGATCGAGAGATGCCCCTTCGGTCGTCACGGCGCATGCATGCGTGGGCGATCTCCTTTGCAATGGCAATGAGGACCATGAAACCCAAGAGACCACCAGCGATGACGCCGGCAATGAAGAGCGGGAAGAGCTTGTTGTGGGGTGAGGTGATGGCCGAATCGTCGTTCTTCTTGTCCTTGTCGTCAGGCGACGATGTTGGCGAGGGTGGGTTGCCAGAAGAAGAAGAAGAGGGAGAGGGCGAGGAAGAGGGTTGAGAGGAAGCTGTAGGTTTTGCATCTGACGACTTGTTGTCATCTGTCTGCTTGCTGTCGTCGGTAGAGGGGCTGGACGCGGGCGAGGGCGAGGCAGCAGCGACATTGTTGACTGCAGGAGCCAAGGTCGGCGCAGCGGCCGAGTCGACAGGGATCACTTGCGGCGGTGCAGGGGCCCTTGCGGCCAGGACGCCAGGCTCCTTACCAGGAACAATCTTGTGGAAAGGCGAAGCAGAGCGTACATTGGCCTCGGACCTGTAGCTGGCGTCCTCGTCATCATCTTCGTATGGCGTAGCAACATCAAATTGAAGCTGCCCACGACGACCGAGGGCGGCATCTGCAGATCCGCCTGTGACCGGCGACCTCCGGCTCAAGGGGTGCACATTGGAAACGTACTTGGACCTAGCATGGTTTTGCTGGGACGTCCCGGGATTCGAGTCGATGTCCTCTTGACTGGACCAGCTCGCTCCGTGAGCTGCGGCGACCTGTTGAACGAGTGCCGAGAGGTAATCTTGCATCGAGTCCGAACCACGACGGGAGAAAGAGGAGACGGAAGCGGAAGAAATAGCCGCGCCAGAGGCCGAGGAGGAAGCGAGGGGCATCGCTTCAACTTGAGATGGAGAAGCAGCAACAAAGAGAGCGACGGCAGCGAGCATGAGAAAGGGGCCCATCCTCGTTGAGGTCATCGAGATCGCTTTGCTTCGACCGTGAGAAGAGTGGATCAGAGACACGGGCTCGTGCCGACGGCGGACATGCCCTTGCTTGGCAGTTGTAGCTGATGACCGCCGCCCAGGAGCTAGAGTGACCTCGAGTACTGCCACATCCCTGGTCGACGAAGGTCGATCCTTCATTGAGCGTCTTTGTCGTCTTCGTTCGAGTGCCTGCTCGAATGATGACGGGGCGTGGTGTAAAACAAATCTCCCAAGCCAGTTGGGGTCAGAGTCGAAGAGAAAGAGGTATTCAGCGGTGACGAGAAGAGCAAAGTGCCTTAGACCAAGAGCCTGCTTGGTCGAATCGGACGTGGCTCTCTTCTGCTCGCGACTGCTAAAGAGAAGAAGGAGAAAGAGATGGGAAGCGGTAGTAAAGGGTGGCGTTGGTTCATGAAGGCGACACAACCTTCATCCAAGAGGTAGACTTGAAGCCAATCTATTCCCCACCGTCCATCGTTGCATGTCATCCAGCGCCACCAGTGATTAGAGATGGATGTTCAAAAAAGGAACAGGAAAAGGCCAAGCCGACGACAGTCAAGCTTGAAATTCTCCGTAGGACGCGTCGGTTCGTCCATCGCGAAATGTCGAATATTTTTAGACTCGCCCATGACGTCGAAAACGCTAAGCGTCTTGATTCATAGCAAGACTTTCCTCGAATGGTGTGCACCTCGCCCAGATGCAGAAGTGCGGTAGGACCATAGGGCATCAGCATCAATTAATACTGGTTTTCGGAAGTTCGGGATAGACCTTCTTTTTCGTCGTTTCTCCAAGGTGATTGTATGAAGTTACAGAAGCTCAACAACGTAGAATCACTTCTTCTTTCCGCCCTTTCGCTTCTTAGCGCTGGTACTCGACCCATTGCCGTTGCCGTTGCCATCAGAGGTGGCCGTGGCGACTGCCTTCTCTGCTTCCTCGTTCGCCTGTCCAGCTCCAACTTCCTCAGTTGCCGCTTTCGGGCCCATGCCAATCATGGAGAGGCTGGTCAAAACCAGGCCGACAGCCCAGGTGTCCCTAAAAGTTGGTCTGGGAGCGCCCGAATCGACGTCAAGGGGCAGCCAGTTGTCCTTTGTTCCGGGTTCGCAGATAAAGACATTGTCCTTCGTCACTTTAGCATCAATCATCCTCGGCCCCGCGGCCCTCTCTCCTGTGCTAGTCGTGGTGGAAGCACCCTTCGAAATGGCTTTGCGGACGTTCTTCTCGTCCTCTTCCCAGTCAATTTCGCCATCGGGCTTCTTGGCAAACGGCGGCAGCTCGTAAAAGCTAGAGAGCGGAATTCGCACCCTCTTTTCCGTGTGGACGACGGTGAACTCGAGCGGGTCTCCTTGCTTGAGGCGTTCGTCGAAGAAGCGAAAACGAGGACCCCAGGCCATGATTTTTGCCGTGGTGCGAAGCGATTCGAGACGGCTGACGTCGCGTCGCCAATTGATCATCTTGATCAAGAGCTGGACACCTGATGTCGCAGCAATGATGAAAAGAAGCACAAATGCCAACGAAGGACGGAAGCGGCTGTAGTAGTATCCCGTGCCACGCCAACGGGGGAATCCATTGCTAGAATTCGAAAGGGCTTCTTGATTAGACACAGAAGTCCCTTTGGTTGGTGAGAAAGGCTCCTCAACTCACGTAAGAAAGTGATCATATCGATCTCGGCGCTCGTCTCGCAGGATCTTGTTGATGACCCCCAAGCGTTCGAACCGCTTCGTCGCTTTCGAGTCGTGAGGGTGCTTGTCGGGGCTAGAGGGGTGGTCAGCCGTATGTGTAGGCTCGAGCATGCAAAAGCACTCACTGCAGCTCCTTGCTCCTTGCTCTGTATGCCTTTCTGATGTCATTGATCGAGGCGCTTCTGGTGAGGTTAAGAATGGAGTAAAATGTTGTTCCCTGTCCCTCATCCTTCTCAAGGGCGTTCTGCAGTTCGAAGATCTAGCAGGGGAAAAGTTGCGAGTTCAGTGAAATCTTGAATGTCAAAGAGGCATATCGACGAAGCACCTCAAAGTCATCCTTGTCCCAAGAAGCCGAGACGACGGAGACGAGAGCGGCTGCGACGAGCAGAAGTAAGAAGAGGCTTCGCAGGAGACGCATTGTCGAGCTGATGTTGGTTCGTTTGCAAGATGGCTGGAAGGAGCTTAAAATTTGGCGCTAGCATTCGACTACCGGTACAGACACATGGCACTCTCATACTCACGTGCGTAGAGAAGCTTGTTTTTTTTTTTGGAATTTCAGGAGGTGGACCGACCGCATCTCGGGCCATCAACAGCAAAAGCAAAAGATCCTGCACGATGAGCCGGCCTGAGCACATCGCTCCGCCCGAAATCTTCTATGGAGACGATGAGGCGCGGAAGTATTCTGCAAAGTGAGCTTGCCGGTCCGGTAGGAGCGAAGACGTCGATGCTGCGGTGCTGATGGAGTGACTTTACAGTTCTCGCGTGCAGCACATTCAAGCAACCATGACAGAGCGTGCGCTCGAGTTGCTCAATCTACCAGCATGGAAACAGGAGTCGGGCGCTCTGCTCTTGGATATTGGGTGTGGGAGTGGGCTGAGCGGGGAAGTCGTCAGCGAGATGGGTCACCAGTGGGTCGGATACGATATCGCGCCTAGCATGCTCGAGGTCGCTCTCGAGCGCGAAGTTGATGGCGACTTGCTTCTTGCCGACGCCGGCCATGGTTGTCCTTTCCGAGCGGGGTCCTTTGACGGAGCTATCAGTATCTCAGCGCTCCAGTGGCTTCTGAATGCCGACACAAACACGAATGCGCCCATTGCTCGGCTCTCGCGCTTCTTTTCAACGCTGCACGCCTGCCTATCGCACGGTGCTCGTGCTGCGCTCCAGTTCTACCCAGAGTCGGACGCACAAGTAGAACTTTGCATGAAAGCGGCGACAAAGTCAGGATTTGGTGGCGGGCTTGTGGTGGACTTTCCGAACAGTCGCAAAGCAAGAAAGTGCTTCCTAGTCCTCTGGGTCGGCGGTGCTATGCGAGTGCCCAAGGGCCTCGAGGACCTCGTCCAAGCAGGCGACACCAGCGAAGGCCAAGTGCTCCCCCGCGGTCTGGTGGCCGAACACGAGAATCCAGATGCGGTGGGTGAAGTCAAATTCGAAAGGAGAAAGGGGAGTAAAGTGGCAAAGCGCAAGGCAGGCAGGAAGGTGAAGGACGAGAAAGGCAGCCGGGAATGGATTCTCAAGAAGAAGGACTTGTATCGAAAGAGAGGCAAGGAGGTTCGTTTCGCCCCTTTTCCCCTACATCTCCAAGCTGACGACCATGAGCATTTTAACAGGACGTACCTTCGGATTCGAAATTTACCGGCCGAAAACGAAGAACTGCTTTCTAGCTAGCAAGCTGGTGAGGGATGAGGTGACAACATTTACATGCATGTACAGTACAACATCACTGCAATATCACAGTCTATAAAGCCTACGACCGTGACTCTCTGGTCGTCCTCGTTCTTTGCATTTTCGATTTTGAATGCGAAGGTGAAGGCGGTAAGCGCTCGAGGCGATCACCACCAAAGCTCGAATGGAGTATCGCTGCAATTGTCTTCCCTGTGGCTCTTGCAGACATTCGTGTCAATTGACCTTTGTCTTTCGCTTACGGGCCGTGCGGCCTCGACGACGTTGACCGCTTTCTCTGCGTTGTTGTCGAATAGTCTGCAGTCGCTGCGTTGCATGCGACCAATCATCTTCTCCCGCTGCCGGTTCCTGAATGCGCCACGGTTCAGGACATACTGTGATCTTGCGTTCAGCCTTAGGTTTCAACGTCCACAAATGCGAGCCCTCGAGCTTTTGCATGAATCGCAGCTCTCTTTCCATCGCCAGCTCGTCCCTGGCCTCTTGGGCCCACTGTACGATTTTCGCATGCATCTTTCTCTTTGATAGGAACCGCTCACGGTCCTCGACCCTTATTGTTGGATGATCAATGATGCCATTGTGCCAGGTCTTCGGTCGCTTGTTGTTGAGGTCTTTGTCTATGACATCCTTCAAAGACTTGCTCTTTTTGATGGCGAACTTTGCGTATTTGTGTAGCGAGTCAATTGCGTGATTGCTGTACTTCAACCACTGGAAGCGCTCGTAATCATGGCGATTCGACCGTATGCCAGCTTTGTAAGCTGTGGTCTTCGGAGGCTCGCTGTCGGAATGTAGCGATTCTGCTAAGTCGCCATCGGGCTCAACTTTCCCCTTTTTTTCTCTCAAACCGTATCCGTGGCATTGTCTCTTAGAAGCGACTGTTCTATCTTTTCCACAGTTTCGCTTGGCGTGGGTGCTTATTGATGCTCCTGGATGTGCTGACTTTGGGGATTCCTCAGGTGAATCAATCTCGAAGATCTTCCCTAGGCGCCCGGACTTCTCCAAGATTTCTCCATTTTTTCGCTTCAAAGTCTTTTTCTTTGGTGACCACTCTAACTTTTCCTCGGGTCCTTTCTTAGATTCAATCGCACATAAGTGATGCTGGGGATGGTCAGAAGCTTGAGCAAGGTGCCGATGGTCAACGTGATCCCTTTCTCTGGTGACTGAATCGCCGGATCCGTCTTGTTGGAGGGGCAGAGGAGAGTGATTTCCACTGTAAGAAGCGTGGAGGCTTTTAGAAGAGAGGGGTGGCAATGTTAAGATGTCTTCGAGGTCGTCGAAAATCCCGAGAGATTGCGATCGTGGATCGGCCCCTTCACCTAAGCCCTCCGTTTTCCATGTCCCAGCAAAGTGCGTGAATGCAAGAGCTAGGATGTAGATGGCGGAGAGGAGCTGTCGAGAACAAAGCATGGCTGGCTGTGATTGAGGTAGGAGGAGAGCAACTCATCTCGGTGCCCCATTTGTATTTTGAAGAAGGAGCACAGAGTAACAAGCTGCCGACGATATACACCGCCCGCTAGGCAGGTGCGTGCCGGAAGCCGAGTGTTGAGGCCCAACGTTGGCGTCAAATGCCTTTTCCGGGGCGTTCATGGACAGGCGTAACTTCAGTTTAGCAATTACAGCAAGAAGTTCAACCCGCCTGGAATAGGAAAGGATCTCGAGCGCATATGATCATTGACAGGCCTTCTTTGTCTGTACCGTACGGCGACAGACGTGCTAGTTTCGAAGCCCTTGCTCACTGGGACGGACGTGTTCTATTTTCTGAGTTTTTTTTGTCTAAAACTTAAATCTAATCTCGCACTAACCCAAGGCACGCGCCACTGCTTCCTCCAACATCTTTCTTTCTACAATCTTTTCTTGTATAATTGTCGGGACCTTTCGTAACACAGCGCTCATCTAGAGGCTTCATTCTCCAAACTCCATCGACCTTCTCCATGTAGTCGAGGTACCCTCCCCTTTCTTGCGCCAGGCGATCCCGAGCCGTTGCTGCCCATTCGGTAACAGCATCACGGAGGGTGGGTCTGTCACGGCAAGCTCGCCGGTCTTCCACGAGAGTCGAAGGATGGTCAATGACACCATTGAACCAAGTTGGAGGGCGGTTTGTATTTCTTCTTTTAATCGCATCTTCCAACGTACGTCGGTAGATCAACGTACTTTTTACTCTGTTCATAAACATCTTCACAGCACTCTTGTCGTAGTCTCGCCACTCTTTTAGCAAAGGCTCATTACCACAAAGAAGCTTTTTCCAAATTTCCCTGCTTCCATCCCAGTTCTTTTTCGTCCTCTTGGCCTTGTGTGGTTCTTTGTCTTCTTTACTCTTGCGCCTCTGGCCTCGAGTCAGTTGATTTAATGGTTCTTTTGCCTTCTTGTCCGCGCCTTGACCCTTCTCGCCATGAAGAGATCTGTGCTCGCCTCTCTCAAGGTCATGCACTGGAAATGGCACTGACCAAAGATCTTGGACTTGCTCCAAAAATCCCTCGGTAGAGGTGTCGCCGAGAGCATAGCGGTTGCTTGAAGAAGGAAGATGTTGGTGATATGACATTGGTACATGTCCTTCCTTTTGTAACTCCTTTCCGGCCTCCTTGATGCTGTGACTGGGGTATGTGCCCTTCAGATGGTCTTTGAAGGGCGTGGCACTTTGTGGAAAGCTGCCATAGCCCGGAGATTGAGATGGAAAAGATAAATGTTGGTCTGGTATGGCTCCGGCCAAGGAGTGTTCGGATTCTGCATTTGAAGTTGTCAGGTCTTGCGTGCCGCGTTTGAGTAGAAGAACAGCCTGGTCATTTTGCGTGCTTTTGGCGACTACCAGAAGACAGCAAAGCTGCAAGAGCATCCAGAAGGAAGCGGAAGCAAAGAGTGTCTTGTGAACCATTTCCTTCTTTTTGGACTTCGTGGTTGAAGAGGAGGGGTGAATTTCTGCTGCTTCTTATATACATTTTGAGGAAGAAGCAGACGGGAAGAGGCAGCTCAGAGGAACGCCGCCTTTTACTCAAATGCTTAGCCCCTAAAGACTTTTTTAGGAGGCGGGTGTGTGTGTTTGTGTATTTGTGTGTGAGGAAGCTGCCAACGGACCAGGGGCTATCAGAATGTAATCTGAAACGAAGAGAAGAGGGAAAGTACAGGAAAAAGGGCCTGTTTACTGTATCTAGGCAGGCGTCGCTTTGAGATTCGTACTACAGGGCGTGCTTGAGGGCGCACTTGAGCGCCTGCTGTAGGGCGTGCTTGGGCACCCTGTGCCTGCTGCGCTGCGCAGTAGGCAGTGGCGAGCTCACGGACGTCCGGCATGGCGAATAGTCCCGAAAAGCAGGGCCTAGTAAACAAGGACGAGCGAAATCAAAACGAGCGAGGGAAGTAAACAGGGACGGCGAAAAAGAGGGAGCACACACGTCCCCCCGAAACGTCCTGGACGCCCCTGGACCTTGACACTGTTGGCATCAAACGCCGTTTCCGGGGCTTAAGAACGACATTTGTGACCCTTGACGCGCATCTCCAGCAAGAGCGTCGACACGCTGGGAAGCAGGGGTATTCGAGACCCGTTTAAACAACCTGAGCGCCCGAACACCTTCTGCAAATTTTCACAAGGTAGGGCTTCATTTCATTTTCACCGAATTAGCAACCCTCAAATGTGAAAGAGGAGTTAGAACAGGCGTTGTCATTCGTCGCTTTGCTGAGTGCAAATGCCAATCCCATCACTTGTCGTATCAATCGAACATCTTATCTCTGCGCATGCACGGCATCATGGTGTCCACATCGACCTTGCTTACGAACTTTCGGGCCTTGTCGACTTTTCTGCTTAAAATCTTTGGCGGCTTGCTCGGGGAAACACAATGCGATCCTCTGCAGGCCCCCTTCCCTTCAATGGGGCTGTGCTTTTGTAAGATTCAGGACCTTTGTCGGTAGGTCGCTCCTCTAGAGGCTTAAGTTGCCAAGCTCCGTTGATCTTCTCGGTAAAGTTGAGCTTGCCGCCCTTCTCGGCTGCTAGCGCATCCCGAGCCTCTGTTGCCCATTGGGAAATACGACGATAAAGAAGAGGTTCCTTCTCATCGTCAATTCGGTCCTCTACAAGTGTGGATGGATGATCAAGTATTCCATGAAGCCATGACTCGGGCCGGTTGAGCCGACAATTGTTAAGGGCCGTCTTCACGTCGAAATTTCGTTTGACTGCCGAGACCGCAATTTGCCAAAACCTTAGACCGCTGGTCTGGGCGTAAACGTTCCACTCTCGTTGTACAGTACTTCTTTGTCTTCGACCTTTTTCCAAAACCGTCTTTGCTCATCGTCCTTTTTTCTTTTTGGCAAAGTCAGCCTTCTTTATGTTTTCCCGCATCCACGACGTCCAAGTCTTATCTGACACAGACTATTCTTGTCTTTTGCTAGAATCTCGTGCTTCCTTCGGTAACAATTGTTCAGTCTGCTTGCCTTTTGCGATTCTAGCCTTCTTCTGCACTGGCTCCTCAGTATTGCCCGGAATTTACCTGGCTTTCGTCTGCAGCGATCTTTCAGTCTCTGTGTCAAGACTAAACCGATGATCGACAAGACGAGAATTTGCGGACGGCAGTGACCCAGGAGGTTGGACATGAGGCAAGAGGTTATTCGTTGGGGCATCGTCGTGAGGTAAGTGGTCCTCATTTGCTCGGGCGAATTGTTGACCATACTCTGCTTGATTCTTGCAGATAGTCAGCAAATACCCTCTGGCTGACATCCGTCGTTCATTGACTTACTGCCTTCTCTTTACTTCGCCACCTATCAGGGCCCTCTTCTACCCTACGGCTTTCTAAAGGCTTCAATATCCACTTTTCAGATCCAGCAAGTTTCTGCATGTATCGAAGCTCCCTCTTCTCTGCCAATTCGTTCCTGGCTCTTTGCGCCCACTCCGAGATGAGTATATGCACTGACTGGTCTTTTCGGAACGATTGACGCTCCTCAACGAGTGTTGTTGGGTGATCAATGATGCTGTTGTGCCAGGTTGGGGGCCGTTCTTGAAATCGCTCTTGATAGATGACGCTTTGAAGGGACTTTCCTGACTTGAGTGATGTTTCTGCGTCTTCGTATAGCGATCTAGTAATTTCGAAGGCGTATGCCTTCCACTCCGCTCTAATTTTGTCGCCACAAACCGACCATACGTTAGTGTTCTTTGCAAGTTCGTCTTTAGGTCGAACCTTTCTTGCTCCTAAATAATGATCAGGACCTGCAGAGAGAGCTCTGGAGTTCAGTCGCTCCGTGACAGGTTTTAGTCGCCAGGTTCCATTGACCTTCTCGGTGAAACTGAGTTGGTCGACTTTTTGTGTCTCAAGCAAGTCCCGAGCGTTTGCTACCCATTCGGATATGAACCGGTGAAGGCCAGGATCCTTCTTATCATCTATCCGGTCCTCTAAGAGAGTGGTTGGATAGTCGACCAAACCGTTAAGCCAAGACAAGGGCCGCTTGTTTCGACGACGATAATCGTCGAGAACCTTGTGTAAAGCTTTACCTTCGCGAAACGCCCGGGCCGCAAGTTGCAAAAATACCCTGTGACCAGTCCTATCCCAGTAGCGGGTCCACGCCAATCGCGCTCCAGGATCAGTACAACTTTTCCAGAACTTGGCGACTCCAGTCTGAGATCTGGACTTTGCGAAATAGATCTTCTCTTTCTTGACCTTCGCAAATGGATCCTTCTCCTGCGTCGAATGTTCACTTCGCATGTCCGAAGAGAGTCTATCACCGACGTGGAATGCTGTTAAAGGCGATCGATTAGAAAAGTAGTCGGAAACATCCTTGTCGAGTATATTGTCGTCGAGGGTGAAAGAGAGGCTGTTTGACAAAGGAGCATATCGCTGAGAAGCCTCTGGCGACTCGATTTGAAAGTTCCCTTCCACTTCTTTCTCCCAGGGACTTGGGAATGTGCTTCTCAGATGGTCTTTTGAAGTGCTGGCCGCACTTTCTGGAGCGCTGCTGGAGCCCAAAAAAGGAGGTGGAAAGGATGGGTGCTGTTCTGGTATGGGATCGAGCAAGAAGCGTTCGAACTGTTCTTCGGTGTAGCCAATGTCTTCAACCCCGTTTCCCTTCGCATTAGTTGGAGCAGGTTGACCAAATTGCGTACATTTGACGACCAACGAAAGGCACCAAAGCTGAAAAAGTATCCACAAGGGGGCGGAAGCAAACAGTGTCTTGTGCACCATTTCCTTCTCTTAGGAAATCGTAGGTTGTTGAAGAGGAGGAGTGAATTTCTGCTGCTCTTTTATATACAGTACATTTGAAGAAAAGGCAGACCGGGAAAAGGCAGCTGAGAAAAACACCGCCCTGTACGCAGATGCTTAGCCCCTAAAGCCCCTAAAGCCCCTTTTTGTTGTTGTTGCTGTTGGTGGGTATGGGAGGGGGGGGAGGCCCTTGGCGTCAAACGACATTTCCGGGGCTTGAAAACGATAGATGTGATCCTTGGTCGCGCACCTCCAGCAAGAGCGTCGACACGCTGAGAAAACATGGGTAATTGAGGCCCCTACAAGCGATCTGAGTGTCCAAACACCTTCCTCCTCAAAATTCATCTTTCAGGGCTTCATTCCATATTCATCGAACCGATCCTGAAATGTGAATGAGCAATTCAGAACAGGCGTTGTCAGTCGCCGCTTTGCTGAGTGCAAATGCCAGTTCTATAACTTGTCGTATATCGTTCTATTCTTCATCTGTCTTACCAGGATCCAGATTGCATGAGAGAATATAGGCTTTTTAGATTACGCATAAGTGTTTGGTTTCCTCATTCGCACTTATTTCTGCGCATGTACGGCATCATGGTGTCCACATCGATCTTGCTTACGAATCTTCTGCCGTAGCCAGATTTTCGGTAAATGTAGCTTGCCGGCTTGCTGCAGGTCTTCTCCCCTGAGGAGCCCTTTTCTTCTGTGTAATGGCTGTCCACTTGTAAGGGTCAGGACTTTTGTTGGTAGGTCGGTTCTCCACAGGCTTCAGTTGCCAAGCTCCGTTGGCCTTCTCCGTGAAACTGAGATTGCCGCCCTTTTCAGTTGTTAGCGCATCCCGAGCCTCTGCTGCCCACTCAGAAATACGACGGTACAGACAAGGTTCTTTCTCACGGTCAATTTGGTTCTCTAGGAGCGTGGTTGGATGGTCGATCATTCCATGAAGCCAAGACGGGGTGCGGTTGAGCCGACTAGTGTCGAGGGCCTTCTGAACGTCTAATCCTTTTCGGACCGCCGGGACCGCAATCTGCCAAAATTTCTCAGCATTGGTTCTGTCGTAACTGCGCCACTCTTGTTGCATCTTCTTGTTCTTGCACGTTTTCCAAAACTCAAATCGATTAGCGTAATCTCTCGTTTTGGCGAAGTAAGCCCTTTTCCTTGCTTCCCGCTTCTTCGTCGCCAAAGTGACCTTTGGCACGGGCTGTTCGGTATCACTGCTTCGAATATTGCGTCGATTATTGCGAAGAGTCAGCATTTGCTCTCTTGCTGACTCATGTTGCTGGTCGTCTGCAGTTGAGCTACTTCGCCACCTCTCAGGGGGCTCTCTGACGGTGCGATCAGCCTTAGGTTTCATTGTCCAATACTCAGATCCCACAAGCTTCTGCATGTATCGAAGCTCCCTCTTCTTGGTCAGCTCGTTCCTTGCCTCGTGAGCCCATGATTTAATCAGCCTATGCACCTCCGGGCTGCTTCTAAATGTAAGACGCTGCTCAACGAGCCTTGATGGGTGATCAATGATGCCGTTAAGCCAGGTGGGTGGTCGACACCTATGATTTCGGTAGATGACGGTATCCAAAGGAATCTTCGACTCGAGTGAAGCTTCTACATCTTTCTGTAGTGCTCTCACAATACGGTGGCTATACGCCACCCACTCTGCCCTGAGTTGCGGATTGAATTCCGCATATACGAGCGAATTCTCTTCGTCTGCAAGACTCGATGTCTCCGGAGGCTCCTCAGACGTTGCAATATTGTCAAGAACCGGAGAGCCTGCGGATTGATCAGCTGAATGCTTGCGATAGTCTTGCGAAGACGCTCTCTGCCCATTTCTGGCTCTCCGCTTGTCTGTGTCTTTTAGAGCACGCTCTTCCGCATCTTTGAGTACAGATGTATCCGTACCTGTTCTCTTTAAATAAGGTTCAGGACCTCGAAGGAGACGTTCAGAACTCAGTCGCACCTCGAGAGGCTTAAGTTGCCAAACTTCATTGATCTTCTCGGTGAAATCAAGGTACCCGCCTCTTCGTGTTGCCAGCAGGTCCCTAGCGGCTGCTGCCCAATCGGATATAAATTGATGAAGTTCGGCGTCTTTCTTAGCGTCTACTCGGTCCTCTACGAGAGCGGTCGGGTAGTCGATCAAGCCATTAAGCCACGACACTGGTCGCCCATTCTTGAGGCGATAGTGTTCGAGGACCTTGTGTAACTTTTGACCGTTCCGAAACGCCCGGACCGCAATCTTCATAAAAACCTTGTGACCAGTGACTCTCCAGTAATCGTACCACGCCACCTTCACCTTAGGATGACCGCGATACCTCCAAAATTTCCTGGCCTCTTTCTGACATTTTGCCGTTGCGAAAGCGACATTGCCTTTCTTCGTCTTACGACTTCGAGCCTCCTTCTGCATCGATTGTTCAGCCTGCATGTCCGGTATGAGCTCATCATCGAAATGGGGTGATGCTGAAGGCGATTGTGACCAAGAGGCTTGGACGTGATCAGAAAAGTGGTCGAGGTCATCCAAGTCGCAAATATCCGCCTCGTCGAGGATGAAAGGGTGGCTGCTTGACGTGAGCCCATATCGCTGAGAAGCCCTTGGTGACTCCACTTGATTTTGGAAGAGCCCTCCTGTATGAAGAGCTTGAAAGAGCTCTTCTGTATCCTGCTCCCTGTGACTTGGATCTGTGTTTCTCAAATGGTCTTTTGAGGTGCTGACCGCACTTTCTGGAACACTGCCAAAGCCCAGAACAGGAGAAGGGAAGGACAAGTGTTGTTCCGATACAGGAGCGCCAAAAAAGCGTTCGAACGCCTCATCGTTGTAATCAAAGCCTTTATCCACGTTTCCCTTCGTGTTGGTTTGAACAGGCTGGCCAACTTGCATACATTTGGCGATCTCTAAAAGGCACCAAAGCTGCAAACCGAGGCAGAAAGAGGCTGAAGCGAACAGTGTCTTGTGAAACATTTCCTTCTTTTAGGAGTCCGTAGGTTGTTGAAGAAGAGGATCGAATTTCTGCTGCTCTTTTCATACACATTTGAGGAATGGGCAGAGGGGAAGAGGCAGCCGAGAGGAACATCGCCCTGTACTCAACTGCTTAGCCCCTAAAGCTTTTTTTGTGTATGAGAGGGGGAGGGAGGGAGGGAGTTGTCGGCGTCAAAGTTCAATTCCGGGGCTTGAGAACGACATGTGTGACCCTTGACGCGCATCTCCAGCAAGAGCGTCGACACGCTGGGAAAGTAAGAGTATTCGAGGTCCATATAAGCAGTCTGAGCGTTTTCTTTTGAATTGCTTCGTCGTGTTTCAAGGCATGTGCAAACTACTCTAATTGTATGAGCTCCTCAATCGCACACCTTATCTCTACGCTGGTACGCTATCATGATGTGGCACCCTTTCCTCCCATGGGCCTGTGTTTCTGTAAGGTTCAGGACCTTCGTCGGTAGGTCGCTCCTCTATGGGCTTTAGTTGCCAAGCTCCGTTGACCTTCTCGGTAAATCTGAGCTTGCCGCCCTTATCAGCTGCTAGCGCATCCCGAGCCTCTCTTGCCCATTGGGAAATACGAAGGTACAGACGAGGTTCTTTATCGCGGTCTATTCGGTCCTCTACGAGTATGATTGGATGGTCGATCAGTCCATGAAACCACGATGCGGCGCGGCCTAACCGAAACTTGTCGAGAGATTTCTGCACGTCTAATCCATCTCGGACCGCCGGGACGACGATTCGCCAAAAACTAAGACCGCTGCTTCGGTCGTAGAGGCGCCACTCTCGTTGCATTTTATTGCTCTTGCATGTTTTCCAAAATTGCTTTTGCTCTTGGGTAATTTTCGTTCTTGCAAAAAGATCCTTTGCCCTTGTTTTCTGCTTCGTCGCCGCCTTAGTCTCGCTTAAGACAGGTTGTTCAGGTTTCTCGCTATATTCTCGTGCTTCCTTCGGCAACAATAATTCAGTCTGCTTGCCTCTGGCGATTCTAGTCTTCTTCTGCACTGGCTCCTCAGTCTCATTGCCCGGGATTAGCCTGGTTAACGTTTGCTTCGATCTTTCAGTCTCTGTGTCAAGACCGAGCCGGTGATCAACAAGACGAGAATCCGCGGGTGGCAGTGATTCAGGAGGTCGGACATGAGGCAAAAATTTCCCCGTCAGGACATTGGCACTAGGAAAGTGGTCTTCCTTTGCTCGGGCGAATTGTTGACCATGCGCTGCTTGTTTCTTTCAGATAGTCAGCAAATGCCCCCCTTGCTGACACCCGTCATTTGTTAACTTACTGTCTTCCCTTTACTTCGCCACCTATCAGGGCCCTCTTTGACCATGCGGCCTTCTAAAGGCTTCAGTGTCCAAGTGTCCGACCCCACAAGCTTCTGCATGTATCGAAGCTCCCTTTTCTCTGCCAATTCGTTCCTGGCCATTTTGGCCCACTCCGAAACCAGCTTGTGCACCGGCTGGTCTCTACGAATCGATGGACGGTCCTCAACGAGTGTTGTTGGATGATCAAGGATGCTGTTGTGCCAAGTTGGCGGTCGATTATACCGTGGCTCACCGTAGATGACGCTTTCTAAAGCTTTTCCCGACTTGAGTGACTTTTCTGCGTCTTTGCATAGTGATTTGGTAATGTCGGTAGCGTACGTCTTCCACTCATCTCTAATCTCGTCACCGCATCCCGACCAAACATCATGACGTCCGTCTACAGCACTTGATGTCTCGTCTTTTATGATCGACTCCTGTAGAGGAGGCTGCCGAGAGGTGGTACCCTTCCTGTCTCGATCTCGATTGAGGCTCCCATCAGCTTTCATGCTCGCTCTCTGTCGCTTCTCTCGGAGTCGTTTAACATCACCGTGATCTTCTGTAAGCCTGATACGAGCTCTACCGACACCGGCTGAATAAGGTTCGGGGCCTTCCGTGAGGCGTTGTGATTTGAGTCGCTCGTCTGCAGCCTTGAGCCGCCAAACCCGGTTGACCTTCTCAGTGAAATTGAGGTGGCCGCCTCTTTGTGCCGCCAAAGTATCCCGAGCGGTTGCTGCCCAATCGGATATATACTTGTGGAGGCCAGGGTCCTTCTCAGCATTCATCGTGTCTTCTAAGAGGAAGATAGGATGGTCGATCAAACTATTGAGCCACGACGAAATTCGCTTGTTTCGAAGACAATAGTTCTCGAGGACCTTCTGTAAGTCTTTTCCTTCCTTGAAAGCTGCGACGGCAATTCGCTTAAATAGCTTCATTATGTTTGTTCGGTATTTGGACCACGCCACTTGCGCAATAGCATTATCGCAAGCCTCCCAGAACTCATTCAGTTCGCGCTGACATTTGCGTTTTGTCATTACGCAAGAATCTTCTTCTATGATGATCTTCGGACCTCGGCCCTTCTTCTGCGTTGGATTTTCGGTCTGCCTGTCCGGTCCGAGGCTGTTCTCGACACGGAATGGTTCTGAAGGGGTTGGTGACCAAGGGGCATTCAGGTGCTGAGGGACGTGGTCGAAATCATATAAATCGAAGTTATTCCCGTCAAAGGTGAAAGGGGGACTGCTTGACGAAGGAGCATATCGCTGAGAAGCCACTGACGACTCAGCTTCGATCTGAAAATGCCCTTCTACTTCTTGCTCCCTGGGACTTGGGAATGTGCTTGTCAGAAGGTCCTTTGATGTGCTGGCCGCACTTTCTGGAACGCTGCCAGAACCCGGAAGAGGAGGTGGAGAGGACGGGTGCTGTTCTGGTAGGGGACCGAGCAAGAAGCGTTCAAACTGTTCCTCGGTGTATACAATGTCTTTACCCCTGTTTCCCTTCGCATCAGTTTGAATAGGGTGGCCAACTTGCATACATTTGGCGAACACCAAAATGCAGCAAAGGTGTGAGAGTAGGCACGTCAACTTCTTGTCGACCATTTCGTTCGTAGCTCGAAAAGACGTGGGGGGAGGAAGGAGGGGAGAGGGGGAAAGGAGAGAATCTCAGCTCTTTTTAACGACAAGACGAAACAGAGCGAGGGCGAACGAGGACGCCATCTTCAAGACCGGCGCTATCCTTGCTTTACGCTCCCTGATCCTTGCGCCACACTACTCACATTAGTGTAATGATGAATACAATAATAACGAAGTCGGGGCGCGTACCTTTGCTGCACTCTAATGCTGTGCTACAGGCATGCTACCAAAAATGTCACCACTCTACGATTTACGCGGCTCCTTCGCTAGTAGATCAGATGAAATGGGGCATTAGCAGTGATAAATTCCTTGCGACCCGAGGAAGAGAATGCTAGCAGACAATAACAAGCATGTGCAGAAGAAAGAAATAGTATGGAATAATAGCCCACAGAGGCAGGGTAAAAGTCCCGGAAGAGAGATGAGATAGAAAGTAAGCGGGGGGCGGTGGGCATGGCTTTGACTTGACTACAAAGGTCTACTGATACAGGTACATTAGTGCTAGAAGAATTATAAAGATAGTCTCGTCAGCCTACGCATTGCGAAGTGGTGGCAATTTCACTGCAGCGGCATCGGTGGCGGTGGTCCCATGAACACTGGATTTTCCGTTGGGAGGATGCAGGCTGAACCCTTCAAGGGGGGTAGTTGGCGTCATGGTCGATGTTGAGCGGTCCGAGGAGCAAGGAAGCTGCGAGATAGAAGGCAAAGGACCGTCCAGGCGCATGCTCGAGCTGGCCCCCCTGCTTCGGAAGCCAAGATTGCTCGAAGTCATTGCAGAGGGCACCGCCGGCGGTGACGACGATGGTGGAAGCCTCGAGTGATGCTCTGGTGTATACTTCGTCGGTAGAGAAGAGCCGACAAGAGACTGAGGACGCCAAGCATCGTCAGAGAATCTTCCCATTTTGCTGTTGCGATGCTCTCCCAAGGGCGACATAGTTGAAGGTGGGGGCCAAGTCGACCTGGTGGTTTCGTCGGCAAAGCGAGCCAAACTGGGGCGGGAGAGGTTGGGATCGCCCCTTGTGTCGGCGTAGCTGGATATGAAACGCTTGCGATCGTGCGTTTCGCTCAGTCTTCGTGCCCCCAGACTGTCAGAGGTAGGGCCCTGATGCGCGGTTGGGCCCCGAGCAAATGGCGACAACGATGGCGGTTGGCCATCGTGCGGAATCGCAAATCGATTATGGTCTTGCCACAGGCTCGAGTAAGGTTGACTGCTCGTAGCTCTGGATCGATGACGATCGTAGGAGTTATTGCCATCATCTCGTCCACCTCTCGACGATGACGACGATGAAGTAACAGACGGCGCTGCTGAAGGTGGCAGGTGTGCGTACGGGTGATGCCTGTAGGTCATGCTGCTGCTGCCACTGCCACCAGATGACGAGTAGACCGTCGCAGGGTATGTCATAGCCGGCACTGCGGGGATTCCGTGTGATGATGAGACGAAGCCTGGACTATACGAGGATGGATGTTGCGGCGGTGCTGGGTACTGCTGCTGCTGCTGCTGCTGCTGCTGCTGAGTGTAGCTATGTTGCGGCTGGTATGATGCAAAGTGACTACGTTCCCTTGACGATGCCTCCTCTTCGTCGGTACTTCTTGGCTCCGATTCGCGCTTGACCGTCTCTTGGTGAGCGGCTATATGCTGCTGCTGCAAATGCTGGTGCGCCGTGGAGCTGGAGCCCCTTCGATTGCCCTTTGGAACGCCCACCATGCGCTGCACCACCTCACGAGGGCGTCCTTCTTCGTCGATGACTTCTTGGACGACAGCAATGGCGGTCCCATTCTCGAGTGCTTTGCGGCCCATCTGCACGCTCGCGTCGGCATCGGCATCGGTTTCGCCACGTTGCATGTCTCTATACGCCATGGTTCTCTTTTCATCTTGCCGCTGCTGCTGATGAAGTTGCTGCACTTGTTCAGACCCCGGAGGCATAGAGCCGGACATGGAGCTGCTCCTAGCTCTGCTCTTTGGATGACAGACGTGGGTGCGGTAATGCTGCAAGGAATTGTCCTGCCTTGAGAAGACGGCCTTGCAGCCCGGGAACGTGCAATGAAATGGCTTCTGTCCCGTGTGGATCCGGTGGTGCCGGGCTGCATGGCCGCTCGTCGAAAACGTCTTTTCGCAGCCTTCATAAGCGCATGGATAGCGCTTTTTCCCCTTTGCCTTTGCCTTTGCACCGGGCCCCGAGGCCCCCGCCGAGGATGACGATGAGCCCGTACTGCTGATGCTTGCGCTGTGGTTATTTGACGGGCCCAACGACGACGACCTCAAAGAGTCGCGACCAGCCGGCTGACCAGCATCGACGTCCATGTCGTTGTCCGGACTGTCGAGGCTGCTGGCCTTGTGCATGTTCATTGGCACGTTGGCTTCTTCGGACTTTGTCTTGCCGTTGCCTTCTTCGATGGGCTTTGGCGACGAGGCAAGACGATCGCCGAGGATGTGGTCACCCTGCCGACCGCGTCCCTCGGCTTGATTAGGCGTCAAGTGCTGTGGTCGACTTGTGTGCGCCTTGGTACGGCCATGTCCACCTCCACCACCCTGCGCAACCTCCTTGTGCTTTTGGGCAGCATCAGAAAAGACAATGTCGCTCAGGCTCTCTGTCGAAGACTCGTGAGCGGTGCCAACGCTGGGCTGCACAGAAGAGGGTGGTGATGGGTTGGAAGAGCTCTCGTTGGTCGTTGACATTCGGCTGCTCGACACATCGGAGCTGCTGCTCGAACCCTGGGGGCTCGGAAGGACGTTGATGGCGCTGCGCGGGGCGAGCCCTTCGCCCTTCGGTGCTCCCGAGGCGGGCTTGTTGGTGTCGTTAAGGAGCGAAACGACACCACCGGCCGAAGAGAGGGAGAAGGACGAAGACATTCGCGGAGCGTGGCGGTATGAATGCCAAAGAGCGGGAAAAGGTGGGTCAACGATTTGGTTTGACGGGCGATCACGATTGCTACACCTCTCTTGATGACGCTTGAGGCGAGCCCCGCTTGCGATACGTGTATAGTCGCAAAAGGCAGGGGTCCGCTTCGAGCGAGCAAGAAGAGGACTGTGAGCGAGTCGTGTCGGCTCTACTCGTAGGAGACGATTGGCGGACTTGTGTGATCAACCCTGTTCCTCGGTGCCGCTTCTCTGATGCTGCGTTGTGGATCCCTGGGTGCCTCTGGCGGCATCCACCAGCGTCGTACGCTGGAGGAACCGAAAGAGAAGAGACGTGCGAGGGCGGCACGACCGACTCAATCAGAGGCGATCGAGGGAAGAGCGGTGCCAAAGAAGAAGTTTACGTCGGACGCGGGCTCTCCTGGGCTCGGCGGTGGAGCAGCTGCTGCTAGGAGAAAAAATAGTATTTCTCTTCCTTTTTGTTGTTGTGTTTTTTTTTTTTTTTATATGTTTTCCCTTTTTCCGTCTCGATCGAAGAAATTGGAATTGGACGAGGGGTGTCGCGAAGAAGACCTTTTGCGATGATCGATGGCGGAAATGACTACGCTTGCGCTCTCACTCGTCGCTTTGTCCGGAAGGAGGAGGGCTATGAACAGAATGTCAGCGCTGCTGTAGAGGTCACTGTCTGATGGAGCGCCGTCGCCATTACTAGAAAACAAGATTCTCCCCATCATCCAAGCCTGCTTGCTCTAAGCGACATACTCACAAGGACAAAAGCTTGCCTCGTTGCAATACCTGACAGTTGGTTGCAAAGACAAGAATTTGTCGACTGCTGAGAGGGTTGGTGGTTACGTCGATCAAAGACAATGAATGGGTTCGGTTGGTCGAGTGAAGCCTGCCTTGCTATCTTTGCCTTGCTTTGGGGAAATGCTCGATGGTGGCGTGCCGGTAGACAAAGAGTCGAGTCGAGTTCAGTACGGCCGCGTATAGGAAGGGTCCACTCGTGCCGTAGGTGTCCTCTGTAAGAAGGAAGTAGAGACGGAAGAAGGGGTAACCTCCATTGACAGAGGGGATTGCCCGCACGCCAGCTACCTGCTATCTTGTCACGTACAAAATGTGGCCAAGGCGTGGATGTGGCAATGCGATCGACCAGAAAGAATAGGAAGGGGCAAGAGGGTCCGAATCAGGGTCCGGACAAGCTTGAGCAGGGTGCTCCGACAGAGACCACTACCCAGACCTCCCCTTAGTATACAGTATACGTCAACACCCGCTTCATCTCACCTCTGCAGGGTTCCGTTATTTTATTTTCATATTCGCTATTTCATTTTTCGATTTCTTCGACACTGTTCTAGGACATGACGACTGAAGACATCAGGGGACCCTTGTCATTGTGGATCGGAGCGTAACGAGAGAGATCATACGCCGAGACTATGGTCTCTGCCATGACGCCCGTCGAAAAGAACATACAGCCCTTCATTATTGACTCGCGGCCTGTCCGGCCCTGCCGTGGCTCTCGACTTGGCACGGGAAACAGTTTCTATTGCATAAATGCGCGATCGACTCCTGCAGCTAAATGCAGCTCTATCTGACCTCCGGTCTCGACTTTCGGTTTACGATATTCACCCGTCTGTTCCCCACCTCTTTTTCGCCGCAATGAACCCTTCAGATGAGGTCGAAGCTCGGAGTGGTGGGAGACACAGCGCAGGTGCAAGAGATTCAGTAGACTCGCAGACATCGAAACAACAGCGAATACTTGTACTACTCTACATCATACCTCTTTCGAGAGGACCAGGAAAGAACAAAGATGCCGTCATTGCGCGGGCAACAATGCTCAAGCAACTCGCGATCGCTCGATCTGAACGAACTTAGCCATGCCCATCGAGAGATACGTTTAATTTCTCTGTATTTCTCGAATCGACCTTTTGGAAAATATTAATTTAAAGATTAATTCGAAATTGAACACGTCAAAAAAACATATGAGTTCCAGTTCAGGCCTGACGAAAGTCAATAATAAATCCCACGTTTTCGTTGGCCTCGGTGCCTCCGAGCACTCTTGCGATGATCGGCAAGCTTCCTGTCATGTCACTGACAGACCAGTCGCGGCGTACTTCTTGGAAGAGCATAACCTTTCGCCTTCTTCTCAACGCTCCTTTCTTCTAATTGATTCCGAGGGCCTCATTCTGATGTCTATAGCGACGTTAGGACTGCATAGGACCGGATAGGCGCTCTGACGACGGAAAATACGTGGCTCGGACCGACAGCGGAGGTTACTGCCTCGCTGATCAGCTGGGTAAAAGGGGGCAGGGGGAAACTGGGGGGAAGCTAGGACCCTGAAGTCTGGACCCGAGGGTCTGTACACTACTGTCCCTCTAGCTTCACCCAAGGCAGTTCACGGCCCGCAACTGAAACGAAACGATGGGCAAGCATTCCGCGCGTGCGCAGACCGCTTCCAACGGTCGCTAGCTGCCGTGCCCATCATTTGCCGTCGCCACGGAAGAGTTCCAGCCCAGCAGTCATTCGAGTATGTATCACTATCACACTACACTAGCTTTAATTCACAAACTTCTAGTCTTTTGTTTAATTCTTGTTTGGCGCGTGCAGCAGGGTCTAGACGCCCACCGCTCACAAAGTAAAACTCACCTGACAAGCAAAGCACGCTTAAATTTTAGAGAGGCGGGCACAGCCGTCTGCTGATTCGGCATTTGCTGAGGCACGAGGGAAGGGACGGACCCTCTCTACTCTCAAACTCAGACAAGTGAACTCCTTGATCCTCTCTCCTTCTCAGGGAGACAAAAGGGGGGGTGTCGGACTTTGCCACGGGCAGCTGTTAGGATCGGAGGCTCTTCGATCCTTCGATCGATTCTTCCCAGGAAGACTCGTGGACCCAACGATCTCCGTCACATTTACAAACAAATGCTTTTCAAATTGCTAAAGAGGAGTAGGAAGGTTAAGTCCTGATCGTCTAGAGGTAATGTACAGCGCCAGGAAGGCACGAGAAGATTTGATACACGGGACTTCGAAGCCCAAACGACACAGCGAAAGACCAGCTTCCCTGCTGCCACGTTTTCTCACCGAGCTTGAGCTTGATGGTAGTAGAGATCCTCTTGGTGTTGCCCGTATTGGTAGTCTTGCCCTTGGTGGTAGCCCTGCCCTTGTCGATAATCTTGCCCCTGGTCGTGGACTGGGCGTGGACCGTAGGATTGCCCGTGGTCATGAGATTGCCCGTTATGAGATTGTCCTTGGCTGTACGTTTGCCCGTGGTCATAGGCCTGTCCTTGGTTGTAGGAATACCCGTGATCGTTGGAATGCCCGTAATTGTAGTTTTGGTGGTCTGGAGGTGCGCCGTTGTATCCAGCAATGACGCCCTCGAATCCATCGTCAACGTGGCTCTCATGTCGGTGCTGCCCACCATCTGCGTATCCTTGCTGGTATTGTCCGCCATCAAAGGCAATCTGCCCGTTCTCCGACGCCCGGTGCTCGTTCCAGGCTTGCGACTGCTGGTCGTGGCTCTCCATACCTGCTTGATTACGGCCACCGCCATTGTATTGACTTGTGTCATGGGTGGAGTATCCGCCGGCGTGCGAATGATCATCGTGGTAGTAGGCATCGTACACATCTTCGTAGCCATAGCCCGAATTGTCCCGGCTCATCTCCTGGGTGCTTCGGCCACTTGGCGCCCGGTCGACGTCAAGGTATTCACCATCTCCGCCTGTCGAGTAGGGCGTGTACGCAGAGAGGTCCGCCGGTGGAGGCTGGGCCATGACAGCAGATCCAGCTGGAGGCGGGGGCGGGTACTCTGCGCCTTCGACACCATGTGCGTGCTGGGGTGGTGGATACTCCAGGCCTGCACTTTCGGCATAGGTTCCGCCTCCGCTTCCTTGCGCCAACGGGCTCTTTCCGTGGGCGCGACCGCCGTTGCTCAGCGTCGACGTTTGATCACTCCCATCGTAACCGCGACCTTGAATCTTCTTGGCAAAGATTTCTGGGCTGGTCCCGATGGGACCCATTTGAGCCAAGAGATTGGTGCTTGGGCTCGCCGCGCGCACGACGTTTTGCTGGAGTCCATTGACGCCGCGGACCTGCATCGGATATGCGTCAGGAGAGTTGTGCGCAGTGGGAGGCATGCTCGGCGGGGAGCCGTAGCTCTCGACACTGGCGTTGGTATGGTGGCCGTAGTAACCCCCTGCATACCCAGCATTGTTGACGAGGTGGGCCGTGCTGCCGTACTCGTCGGCATCGTTGCCGCCATAAACATTCTTTTCACTGCCGCTGCCATATACCCCGTACGCGCCGTTGGCCGAGCTGCCGATGGAAGCGCCCCGCTTCAGAGCCGGCTTCGTGTCGTCCAAGAGATCCACTTCGACCTGGGGAAGCGTGGGCTGCTGCATCTTCTGACCGACAATGATGCCCTTCTTGTTCATCAGGTGGCTGAAGTCGCCTGCGGCCTCGGCCCGAGCAATAGCGGCATACTTGCCCAGCCTCTGCTTCTTCTTCTTTTGTACGAGCTCAGAGATTCGCTTGTCGATCTTGTGGCAACAATACTCCTTGAGGTTGCCCTGAATATAGCAGACCAGAGGCAGGTACATGAGCGTGGCGACGATGAGAAGGATGGCGGAACCGGCAAAGACGACGACGGTGAAGAGCATGGTGAGAAGCATGATGAGAGTGAAGATGTTGCCTTCGTAGTAGTCGTTGAGGTTCGTCGACCATTTCGACGTCTCGCCAAGCGCATACAGAGTCAGAGCGTTGATGACCTGACGAGGTCCATCGGCTACCAGCAGTCTCTTCCAGCCTATAAGTCGGCGTCATCTGTCAGCCCGCGAACTCTTTGATATGAGAGGCATACGGTCCAGGAACATACCTTTGAAGGTGAAGAAGATAAAGAAGGCAAATTCGTCCTTCTTCTTCTTGGAGTTGTTGATCTGGTTGAAGAAGCAAAAGTGGTCGTAGCTCCGGATGCTATAGTAGTTGTTTGCCATGACATTGCTGTTGAACGGAAGAGCCCACTTGTCAGTTTGCACACTAGAAAGCAGAGTCGGGACTACAGGCACGCACGTGTAGGCATAGCTGATGTCGCGACTCCGAATGATGGCCCGCGACTTGTGGGCCTCGTAGGCCAAGAGAAGAAAGGAAAAGATGATGCAGCCGGTGAAGATCCATCGTCCATAGACAAAGGGCACCCTGATAGTGTTTTGAGGATTGTCCTGAACCTTGTTGTAGATGCTTCCGTTGAAGTGATTGAATGCTAGGAGCGTAATGGCCGTGTAGATGTCTGCAATGTAGACGGCAATCGACTTGACGACGAGCGCAAAGAGCCAGACATACTTTAGCCGCGTGAGTGAGCCATTGTTGTAGTAGTCGCGCACGTCAATGAAGTCGAACTGTCGGTCGGGTGAGCGTCACTTGGAGGCTGAAGGCCGTCAAAGGCCAATCGGGTGACACTCACCTTGTGATCAGGAACCTCCTCGCGCTTCCACTCGGCACGACCACAACAGCTCATCTTGCTGTTGTTTCGTGCTGCTGCTTGGAGGAGTGGGGGATATTCAAGTCTGTGGTGTTAGACTTCCATCGACGCGCCGTCGTCTTCTCGCCAATTTGAGGAGCTGGGCCGTGTCGAAAGGCGTCAATCAGCCAAGTCGCCAGGACACGCTGATTCCGTTGGGTATCCCGTCTACCGGCAAGTCTCAATGTCCGTTGTCTGCCCCAAGACACCAATTCCAGCAAGCGCACCGAATGAGAAATGTGTGGATCGGAAGAAGGCGGCGCGAGAGGAGCTGAGTAGGGTGGGGGGTGGGGCGAGGACGGCACGGGGCGCGGGTGTTGATTAGAGGGGGTGCAAGGAACAAGAAAAGAGCGGCGAGCGCCTGGCGAGATGCCGAAAGCGCCGAAGCTGAGAAGGGGGAAGGAGGAGGAGGGAGAGAGTGTGTATTTGCGTAGGGCCAAGAACGAGTGTGAGTAGGTAGCCCGTCGAAGCGAGGCTTTTGTCAGAATGGGATGCTGGGCTGATGCTGTCCGTTGTGATGAGAGAGGACGCCCAGGGACAAAGGGGACAACTAAAGCTAGGGCGTGAACACGCGAGCTTGGTGGCTTTTTCCTTTTTTTCTTTTACTTCTATAAATAATTAGGTGAAATTTATATTTTAGCGCAGACATTTCTCCCTCTTTTCAAAGAGCGGCTTTCAAGAGGGCTTGGAGGCCGGTGAGCTTCTGCGACATGTCGCCATAGACGACGGTGACGAGTCCTCGAACAAATGTCCAGCACTTTTGCGCGTCGTTGAGCGGGTAATGCAGGGGTGGAGGGATCCCTGTGCGTATCCAGGAGAAGAGGGCGTCCTCGGTGACGGCCTTTGTCGTCGTCAGGGAGAGGAGACCCTCGGGCCCGCCGAAGCGGCCATAGCCACTGTACGTGCGAATTCAGAGTCAGCTGGAGAAAGTGAAAGACAAGGAGACAAGGGAGGGCGCTCAGCTCACCTTGCCTTCACTCCGCCGAAAGGCAGCCCTTGGTTGAGATATGACACAGCAAAGCTGGGGGACAGAAGCACTTTCAGCTTTGACCAAGTCGCGCTTCTCCCCCGTATCAGTTCTGCTCACTCGTTGATGTTGACCATGCCGGCTTCAAGCCGGTCTGCCACCGCTCGGCATTCAGACTGGCTGTTTCCAAAGACTGATGAGCCAAGCCCGTAGCGAGAGGAGTTGGCGATGGCCACGGCCTCGTCGGTCGTCTCAAAGGACATGACGAGAAAGACGGGAGCGAAGAGCTCTTCATGCGCAATCGTCATGTCACTATCCAAAAGCAAGAGGGGAGCGCATATAAGCAGGTAGATTTTGGCTGTATTCCTCTTCTTCCTACTCACGGGGTGACATCTACGAGGAGCGTCGGTGCGAAGTAGTGACCCTGCGGGTGGAGAGGATGCTGGAATCGCTTGCCACCGACCAAGCACCTGGCGCCCTTGTTCACGGCGTCCTGGACGAGCTCCTCCAGCCGATCGAATCGATTGTCGCTGATCATAGCGCCGACATCAACGGTCGTCGGATTCTTGGCATCAGCGGCCAAGGACGTGTCGTCGAGAAAGCTTCCACAGCGAAGAGCTCGAACCCGGGGCTCCAGCAGGCCGATCAGGCGAGGGAGGATAGACGAGGCGACAATGAAGCGTTCTGCTCCAACTGAAGGGGTTGTCATTGTTATTGGTACTTCTGTAAGCTCATCATTAGCAGGCTTCGCCTCCCTCGGCCACACTCACTGCAATTCTGACCAGCGGCATGGAATGCAGCTCGGAGCCCTAGGTCAAACGTAGACAGTCAGCATTGGCCGCAGGGATGAAGGCATTCGCAGTATGCGGACGACGGCTGCTTACAAGTCTGAAGAAAGTAGTTGACGTCTGCATCGGCGAGGATGACCATGGGGTCCTTACCGCCCAATTCGAGGCAACAAGGCGTCAGTGCCGTGGCTGCGTCCTTTGCGACATGTCGGGCCACCGGCTCACTGCCGATGAAGGTGAGGTGCTTGACGCGCGGGTTGGCCGTGAGCGCGGGAGCGACGTCGGGAAAGGAGCAGACGAGCTGGACAAGGTCCTCTGGTTCGCCGCATGCCGCCAGGCAAGCCCGGACGCCCTGGATAAAGTAGGTGGTGGACCAGACGACCATCTCGGATCCCTTGACGACGATGGCGTTACCCGAGGCCAAGGCTGCCAGAGCCGGGCTCAGCGCATTGTGGCAAGGGTAGTTCCACGAGACGAGGGCTGAGACGACGCCGACAGGCTCGTGGTGGACCGTGCAGCGCTTGTGGACCATCATGAGGTTGTTCGGCCGCGTTTGAGGCCTGAGCACGGGTTCAAGATTGCCAATGAGCCAGTCGAGCTTGGAGAAGGTGGTCAGGAGCTCTCCGAGGACGGCGTCAACGGCCTATAAGAATAAGAAGAGCACCATGGCGTTCAGTCAGATCAATTGAGCTGGGCGAAAGGGTGGGAGACTGTCGATGAGAACTCACCGTCTTGCCAGTGTCCCTACATGCAACCCTGCAGATGGTCTCGACGTCGTCAACGAGCCACTTCTTGATCGTCTTGAGTACAATGCGCCGCCTGGACCACGACGACCTCTTCCACGCTGCCTGGGCTATCTCGGCCCTTTTAAGCTTTTCTTCGATTGTCTCGGGGGTATCGGCGGGCAGCTCGTCCAGATATCCGCCCGTGGCCGGATCGTATGCGATGATGAGACTGGGCCGCTTGGCATCGCGGATACCGGGCGGCTCAAGGATCCTCTCGGGCTTCCACCCCGCTGTTGCCTGCTCTGGTCTAGGCAACGAGACGGGATGCGGCCGTTCCCGGTTGAAGCGCACGAGCCAGACACCCAGGAGTGCACTGACGACGACGACGGCGATGGTCGCCAGGGCGGGCTTCGCCTCGGCTGCCTGTTGGGCGATTGCCGTCACCATCGTCGTCGCCGTCGCCTTCGGCGTTGGCGTCGCACCGGCAAAGCGATGGAACAGACTCGCGGCGACGCTGGCCATGTCTTTTTATCTGATGACCGCCCGTGGCTTGAAAGTGAGAAGAAAGCCGTTTGTTTGCTTGCCCAGACTAGTCAAAAATAAGAAAAGCGAAGAGGAAAAGCCGCTAAAATCCGAGAAAGGAGACCCTAGCTCTAACCCTCCGTCTCCGCTCAGACCAACGCGCACCTCCAAAACAAAAAAAAAGTTGTCGGACCTGGACTGATCGGACTGGCCTGTCCACGTACTCTCCCGAGGCGGTGCGCGCCTTCCACCGCCGCCGTCATTGGCGACTCTCTCGCCTCTTTCTCCTATACTGAGCAGGAGCAGACGCGCCTTGGGGCTTTCTTTCAGCTCGTCATGTCCGGCTCAGGCGAGCGTGGCTCGTCGAACAGCAACGAAGGGCGGGGCTCACCTCAACGACACGGCGCCATGCTCCCACAGCAGGCAGGCAGCAGCGCGGCGGTGTCCTTGAGGCCGCAGTTGGGATCCCTGGGCCCCCTGCAGCCCACGCTGGCGCCATCGATGCCGTCGTCGCAGAGCCTCACGGCCCACTACATCCCGGAGCGGCTTCCGTCCTCGCCCTCGCGATGGGGCAAGGTGGCTCGCAAGCAGCACAGCAAGTGGGGACGCTCGACGTCCCCCATGCCCGATGCCGGCGAGGGCACGCATCCCTCTACCTCTTCACCTCCGCCAGGGTACAGGAGTGAAGGTCGCGGCAGTCCTGCAGTGGGCGAGGACGATGTCCACGGCACGAGCACCGGCCTCCTCCTCAGCCCACTCGGTGATCCCGGCAGGGTCATCCCTGGTCTTGCCAAGCGCGGCGCCGGCAGGGATGCTTGGGGTCCTGACGGCGCTGGTAATCGCGGTCTCGGTGCAGGCAACTTTGAGGATGACGACGGCGTGGACCTCGACGGTGTGCCAAACCACGGCCAAGGCGATCGAATCGGCCTGGCTGGCGCAAGCCCTGCACTTACGACATCGCAGATGGACTCTCCCTACGCAACCATCGAGACCAAGACCAACTCGGAAAACTACCTGTCTAGCGACTCGCATCAGCATCGGCGCCTCATCGACACCTCGAGCCACCGCAGCGGACTGTCGCTGTCCAACACGGTGGATCACGCGCGAAAACCTACCTTTAGGACCAAGCTGCGTCGCATAGTCGGCCTGCCTGCCGAAGGAGGAAAGGGCGTGTCGAGGCTGCGCTGGAATCGGTTCAAGTGGCTGCTGGCCGGGTCGAATCTGCTTGTGAGATTGTTCCCTTGCATTCATCTGATGACCTTTCGCTCACTCCTGTCTTGCGCGGTTCCAAGCTCACATTGTACAGCCTGGGCGGCCTGGTGGGGACGCTGCTCACCTGGGCCTCTGCGTTTGAGCATGCAGACGTCATCACCTTTGTCAATCGCACCGAGCTGGCCCGTGAGTCACGGCAATGCTCTGACTGTGCAGACTTATTTTCGAGCTGACCTTGCGCTTCTCTCCGCCTAAGTGGGCACGGCTGCCATGATTCTCTGCCTGGCGACGAGCATCGTCGGCTGGGCTGGCATCCTCCTCAACAACCGCGCCTTTCTCACCGTCTACTCGACTCTCCTCTGGCCTGCCTTTGCACTCATGGTCGCCCTCGGCTACATCACCTACAAGAAGCGGGCCTTTAACCTCGATGGCAAGATGAACAATCTCTGGTCGCGCATGCTCTCCGTCGACGAGCGGCGGCAGATCCAACTCGCCTTTGGCTGCTGCGGCTACTACAGCCCCTTTGTCGAGGCTTCTGCCGACAGCCTGCGGTGCTTTGCACGGAGCATGCTGCCGGGGTGCAAGGGCCCCTTTATGAAGTTTGAGAGCATGGCCCTGATTAACTTCTACGCCACGTCCTTTGGCCTCGTGCCTGTCCATCTCTTTTGCATCGTCGTCGCCCTCCTCTGCTCCGACCACGTCACCTACCGATTCGGAAAGGGCATTACACCCAAGGCCTACCGCCTCGACGAGGATGCCATTGCCGACATGAAGGGCGTGAGTCTGGCAGCGCTGCGCCTAAGAAGACCGCCTCTTTCCCCATTTGGGCTGACTTTTTGAAATGTGTCTCGCAGGCCATCATTGCTCAAGTCACGACATTCAGCGCAGACGGCCTCCATTCGTCGGCTTCGGCACGCCAGCGCCGGTGGGGCAAAGAAAAGATCCAGAGCAGCCACAACAGCGAGGCAGAATCGCCCTTCAATGACATTCCCCTCGTGCACCAGCAGGCGTACGAGGGCAGCGGCGGCGGTGGCATGAATCGATCGATCGACGATGCCGTCCTCGTCGACGGCCTGGACGCACCGAGGCCGCCCTTTTGGAGCTCGACTGCAAAGGCCACCTCGTAGTGCTGACAGAGCGAGGGGGGCCAAGGATGGCTCACCAACGAATGACATGCTAATTTTCATTTCCCGGAACGATGAAGTGGTCTAGATAATGCTTGAGGAGGAGAACAGAAGGGAAGAGCGCCTGAAATGTATTGGAATATGTGAGGTGAGGGAGAAGAAGAAGAAGCTTGGAAACTAAAGGAAGACCAATGCGACGACGACGAGGCCGGATATTGTCCAGATGAAGCGCCCTGCGAGCCGGAACTGCGAAGGCCCGTCGCCGTCCGTCTTGTCCCCGTTGAGGTCCGACGACGAGGGCGCGGGCGAGGACGTGTCGCCGTTGGAAGGCGGCGCGGCAGCACTGGAGCCAACAGAGGCGTAGTCGTCGAGGAAGAGCCTCTGCACGCCAGGGTCGCTGGGGATCATTCGGTAGTCCTGGTGACCGACATTCTTTACGTAGTCGACTGTCGAGTTGGCGGGCAGCTTGCCACCAGACGACGAGGCGAGATAGGGCATCACAGTCGTGATCCAATTGTTGAGCTTCGTGACGTGGTTCCGGCCCTGGGTGTCGGCCTGGCAGCGCGAGTCACCGGCAATGTGGTCTTTGAGACCGACGAGGAAGTTGAGCTTCCTCGCGACGTACCGTGGCCCCAGGCCCGCCTGGGTGAGCGCCACGCCCTGCTTCGAAGGGCTGCCGGAGCCCTGGTCAGAGAGGTAGAGGGGCAAGGTACCCTCGAGGCCATACTTGTAGTTGTTGAATCCGGTGCACTTTGACTTGATAGACTCGGGCCTTGAAGAGTTGAGATAGACAAAGGAAGCTGGGCTGCTGACCCAGTACTGCGTCCGTGATTCGTCGTCCGATGACACAGTGGGCCGTAGCACGCTATACCGCTGCACAAGCTGGCCGCCCATGCTGAAGCCACCCACGACCACGTTGACGAGGTTGGGGAACCGGGTCTTGTCGTGGAAGAAGGTGAGGGTGGCATCGAGGGCGTCGAATGCTCCCACGTCGGAGTTGGCTGGAGAGATGGACGGGGAGCCGTCTCCCCAGTTGTTGAGGTTGTCGGACCAGATCATGACCGACGACGTGGAAGCATTTGTCACAGGATCGGCGGGGTAGGCGCCGTGGTCGACGTCGTTGAAGAATTGGCTGTCAAGCAACGTCAGCCCCTGTCGCCTCTGCGCGCGCATCTTTCAAGCGTCAAGAGAAGGGGAAAGAGAGAGCAACAAACTCACGGTGCCATAATCACGACTTCATCCTCCTTTACGTCGCCTCCCTGTACAGCCCGCTGCAGAGAGGCCTCTGCGTAGATGAACTCGTTCCACGCGACTCGGTTGTCGCCGTGCACGATGATGACAGCACGCTTGATCTTTGTAGCGTCGTACGAAGACGTGATGTAGTGGGCCAGTGTTGCTCCACCCGTTCCGACCTTGATTGTCGTCAAGTCAATCGTGGCGCCAGTGACATTGGGTAGAAGACGCCAGCCGTCAATGAACGCGCTTGCCGAGCCCGGATACACCCCAGGGTCTCCGTTTACGCCGCTCACGATGGGCACCACCGTCCCGTCCGAGGCCCGCACGCTGTCTAGCAGGGTACGCTGTGACCCTTTGTGGCCCGCCTCCTTCTTGGTGCCAGGATCATTTTGCGAGTGAGTGTCCAGCGTGTCACCGTCCGACGAGCCATCATCTTCTTCGTCGTCGTCGTCGTCCGTGGCACTGCTCTGGGTCGTCACTCCCGACGAGCTCGGGACTGACCTGTGCGCGAATTTCGATCCAATCTCGTACAGCTGCGTTCGCTCCAACCTCCGAGAAAGGTGCTGGTCCGAGTGTATCGATGCAGCGCTCGCCATCGAGACAAGCAGCGCAACCAGCACTAGCACCTTCATTGTGACGACTCTTTGCATCTCTCAGAGATGCCAAAGATGATTGTGATGTGGTGGTAGTGGCCGCAAGGTGCAAACCATCGGCAGGACCTAGATAAAAAGGGGGAATGAATGAATGAATGATATCGTGCTGAATCTAAATCTAACCAACCCTCGCTCGCTCATATGGAACAAATTTTGGAAATCCGAGGAGAATTGTCTATTTTCGTATCGCCCAAAGAACGATATAGACAAGCGCGCGCGCGCCTTGAAAAGCGCAAGTCGAACCAAATTCTCCGCCCAGACGTACTGAATCTCTCAGCGATTCGACTGCTGCACATAAACGCACGGCAGACCTTGTGTGCCGCCGGCACGGGCCACGCTAAAGGGGACCTTTCGCGCAAAGCCAACCTCTACCACTAGAACGTACACCACGTTCCGCGAAGCGAACAAAGAAAGTACTTTGGTCGGTAGCATAAAAGATCCGCTACTGGATCCACCCCCTCCGTCAGGGCGCGGGGCGAGCACCGACAATGCTGATAAGCGACTGTGTTTCTGAAGATTGTGGTCAACAAAGTTACACACCGGGCCAATTCCACACTTCATTGCTCAGCCTCTCGAACGATCTTGCTAACACGTGAATGGCACGAGGACGGGCTCTCCCGCAGCCTCACACTCTCTCCGCTGACGCCTTTAGCATACCGCGAGACCCTCAGCCATAAAGGAGGAGGTCGGACGATGGAGATGACCAACAGGTCTATTTGGTCACCACGTCCGATTACCGGTCTTCTTCCCTGCCCGATGCGATCACGTGGTTTATCTCGCTCGGGCCAAGAGGGACCCGCTTGCAATTGCTTCCGTACCGCCGCGTTCTTGGCTCTGACGCCGACGAGCCCAATTCTCACAACAAGCGTGCTTCGACAATGAGCTTCTCGCGCACGCTTGCTAGGCGGGCGGCATGGGCCTCATCTCAGCCCCGTCATCAGCTTTCACTTCCTCCTCTGCTGCTCCAGGGAGCTGTGACAGCGAGACTTGAGCCCCTGCGTGGAGCGGCACGGCTCGCATCTGTCGCTGCACCCCGCTTGATCGGCTCTACTGGCCGCAGGCTGCTCTCTGTCACCGCGGCGCGAGGCTCGAAAAGCGAAGCTGCGCTTCATGCTCGACGAAGCATGCTTTACGTTCCTGGAAGCTCGGAGAAAATGATCAAAAAGGTTCGATTACTGATCCGTCTCCGTTTAAAATACACAACAAGCTGAAGCAAAATATCCTCACTAGAGCCAGCAAAGTGAAGCAGACTGCATCATCTTTGACCTCGAGGATAGGTGAGTGACATTTAAGGCCTTGAGCTTCGCCGAACCATACATCTGAGCTCACGACGTTTCCTTAGTGTCGCTCCTCATCGCAAGGGAGCTGCCCGAGAGCTGGTCCTACACGCCCTAGATGTAAGCTTACCTCGACTCGTCCGTGTCTGTCCGGGCACCTGACTCAAATTTATCCTTTAGGCTGCGCCACGGCCGGGGCCAGAGCTTGCTGTTCGCATCAACCCACCCTCGGGCGATCGCAGCCTGTCCAACGACGACCTGGACATCATCTTGCCCAGTCAGCAGCTGGAGGTGAGCGTCATGCTTTTTCGTTCATCTTTCCATTCATTTCAGCAGTCTGGGCCTAATGTTTCTTGCATTTTGCTCGGCAGACAATCGTTGTGCCAAAAGTGGAGCACGAAGATGACATCTTCTTTATCCTCGACAAGGCGCGACACCTTCGGTCAGACCACCGGCAGCTCTCGCTAGTTCTCTCCGTCGAGAGCGCCGCGTCGTTACTGCGCATGCCGAGGATCATTGAAGCGATCGAATCCGAAAACAAAAAGGACCAAGAACCGCCGCATGCCGTTGCGGCTGCCCTACTATTCGCGAGTGAGGACTACTGCGCTGCTACGGGTATCATCCGGACAAAGGAAAGACGGGAGCTGCTCTTTCCTCGGGCGCAGATGGCCACCGTCGCAAAGGCTTACGGTCTGCAGGCCATCGATATGGTCTGCATCGACTTCAAGGACGTGACCAATCTCCAGGAGGAAGCGCTCGAAGGGCGTCACCTGGGCTACGACGGCAAGCAGGCCATCCATCCCGCGCAAGTGACCGACATCCAGAGAGCTTATTCGCCTTCTGAAAAAGGTGAGCTGTCGTCCGCCTTGCCTTGCGCCTTTACCTCTTCTTTGTCGCTCTTTCAAGCTCATGACCCCTCTCCTTCGGTCGCGATTACCAGATATTCTCAAGGCTGCTCGGATCAAGGCTGCATACGAAAAGTCAGTTCGAGACAACAAAGGTGCCGTGGGGCTCAAGGAGGGCGAGGGCATTATCATGATCGACGCGCCCATGCTCAAGCAAGCAGACGCCATCTTGACAAAGGCACACGCTGGCAACTTGCCGATTCCAGATGTATCACAGGAGTTTGCTTCATGATGAATCAGAACAATCTCGGTTCCAGCCCTCGTCAAGCAGCCACTGGCTGACATGCCGATCCTTGGCCGGTAGGTGGCAGAACGGTATGGCTGGTCCAATTGCCCACGCGGTCGAGGGACACGAGCATCTCTTCTCATGGTCACTCTCACTCTTGCAATGGTCTTGAAACCTCGAGATTGGGTGGAAAGACGAGCTCAGAGGAGGCAGGGATTTGTTAGCTGTAATCGTACAGTACAATCAGTAGAAAATGAACTAATATACTGGGGAGGTTGTGAGAGATAAGAGAGGGAGCTTTGTATGCACGGGAGATGAAAAATTAGATGAGAGAACCGCAGATGTTGTTCAATTGTTCGAGGCGTTGGTAGTCATTGTGCTGGTGTTGGTCGAGGAAGTGGTAGAGGAGTAAGGCGATGTGGAGCTGGGACTGCGATTAAAGATCGCAGGTCTCAACATAGGTCGGTGCTTCAACGACCAAGTTGACGAGAAGTACGAGTCGCGTGGGACCGAAGCTCCGGGACCAGACTCAGCGAGCGGCGGCGACATCTGACCATTGTACTCGATCGATGTCTCCTCGACAGGGTTCAGCGTTGTTGCTTCGCTCTTTGAGGACGCTGTGAGGGGGGATACGGCGGCGGGACTCGTCGTCGAAGGCGTTGGCGTGAGCCTGACCTGCTGGAGGAAACGCGATGACAGCCTTCTCTTGATCTTCTGGCCTTCTGTAGAGTGTGCAGACGACGAGGAGGCAGGAGGCGATGTAATCGGCGAACTTTGTTTGGCGCTCGTTGCGCTTGGATACAACGAGGAGGAAGAAGACGAGGCAGAGGAAAGAGCCAATGGTAGTGACCCTCTCCTCGTCTCGCCACTGCGTCTAGCCCTTTGTGAAAGCTGGACCTCGGTCGCGCTCCTTTCAATTTTCCCTCGCTGCTTTTGCTTAGTTGTTTCTAGATGATCCTGAGCAGAGTCCCGGTGGCTGGCGTCTTTCGTGCTGCTGAGGTCGGATCCTGAGCCATTCCACGGCCGAGATATTGAAGTTCGAGCGCGCTGCAGCGTCGATGACCAGCCTCTCTTTTTTACTGTTCCCATGTCCTCGCCGTCCCTGCCCATGTCAAGAGAGGGGGCCCGAGAGCTTTGCGCTGACGCGTATGAAGACCGAGCAGAGGCATAGGAGGATGACGATGTATTGTTGGTGTTGGAAGAATGGCCAATCTCCATGGCTGTGGAGGTTGGACTGGCGCCGATGATGGAAGATGCTCGATTCCGGATGCTTCTCGTGGGACGAACGACGCCGTTGACACCCATCTGGCCGCTGCTGACGTCGAGTGGAGCGTCCCAAGAGAGCAATGTGTGTCGACTCACGCTATTGGTCGAATTAGACCGGCCCCGACTCATGGCTGCGCTGCTGCTCGTTTGGGACCAGGCATCTCGCAATGCCATGGACATGGATCGGGGATGGTTTGAACGAGGACTGGCGTTGGTGCTTCTGCTGACGACGGGCAGCACTGTGTCAATCCGAGGCAATTCCATAGAGGAGCTAATGGGCGAGACCGGCAGAGATCGTTGAGCGCCAGCACCATTCGCAGGAATGTAAGTCGATAGCGGCCGCATCTTCGGGGTTCCAATGCGCAACATCGAAGTCTTCCAGGTAGAGGAACCAGAGTCGCGTCGACTCGTGGTGCCCATAGGCTCGGGCGATGACGTGTCTGTCGGCGAATCTACGACCTCTGTCGCTGTCGACAAAGGCAGAGCGGCCGTGTTGAGCATCAAACTGCTGCTCTGCCTTCGGACCCGCTTCACATTTTCCATTCCTGCCGAGGCTGTTTTTCTGGCTTTGCCCATCGCTGCACCTACAGCCGCACCAAACGAAGGCGTAGCTGCTCCTGTCGATTGCCGCAGCTGCTGCGCAATGACTTGCTCGCTGAGGTCCCTTGTCAAAAGCAAGGGCCCCATTCCTTCACCTTGGCTGGCGCTCTCGCCCTGCACAGCGCCGAGGACGGTATCGGTGAAGACCATGTTGCGGTTCGTCTGGGCCTTTGCCGATGAGGTCCAGAGCTTGACGAGTGACTCAACATTCGTATACGCGCTGGCATGCGTAGCGAAAAAGGCTGTCAGTGCATCGTCGGCCTCAGGAACCACAGCTTCCAGAGCGAGCGAGGCTCTGTGCTCAGGTGATGCTCCGCGCTCGAGAGCGCGCCGAATTGCCACCTGACGGCCGTCATCAAAATCGGTCAGATTAGTTGGATAGTCCAGCCCTTGATCAGTCGTCCTTGCCTGCTTCGCCTTAGTCAATTCTCGAGACCAAAGAGCGAGCTCCTTTGCCGTAGAGAACGAGAGCTCGAAATGATGCATCTTGCCGTACGTCAGCCTCAAGGCGTGTCGAACGATAGGTTGGTGACCAGCTGCATTTGGTGCGGAAGTAGGCCAGGAAAACGGTGCATCAGGGTCCTCTGAGTGGGACACCTTGACGCCGGCCAGAGGAAACCAAAACCGCGGCTCGAGCTGCTGCGTTTTGCGGACTTTGACGATAAGGAGCCAGCCAGACCAGAGCACGATCCCTCGATGCTCAAAGCGCAGTGGGCTCAAAAGTGGTCTGATCGACTCATTGTGGTGCAGAACATCAACGGTGCCTGCAAGATCTGGGATGCCGAGGGATCGCAGGAATGTTTGCGTGATCGACTGTTGAGGCTCGACTCTGGTCGAAATAAGCTCCGAGACAATCTCACGCTGCCGCTGCTTGCTCGCATCGTCGACACTGTCGGCCACCTTTTTCATTGCGACCGCGGCTGCTTCGATTGCATGCCTCGTCGCCAGCTCGTCTGTAGACGTGTACTTGAGGAGCGAATTGAGGACCAGAGGGTAGAGACAGAGGCGCTGAATTGGTTTGATCAGATAATCGGCAAAGTGAAGGCGACCAGTTGTTTGCTGTCGAGCAAAGGCAGGCGGTGCATCGTCATGCAAAGAAGGGGACGAATTGGCGGAGGAAGTAAACGAGGACACGTCACTAGCTAGAGCCTGAGGGTTGGGAGAAGACGGTCCGGAATTGGGCCGGCTGCTCATACTGCCCGTTGGTGAAGTGAACACACCGCCTCGGACAATGTTGCCGCACATGCGCTCGAATGTGGCAAAATCGTCACCATTGTGTCGCTTCTCGGCCTCTCTGATCAGGACGAGAGCCTCGGCGTGCCTCGCACAAAAGTGCTTGTACACATCAAATCGACTCGCGAGTCTCTGCAGCCGCTGCGCGATCCTCTTGACGGCGGCTTCGGATCTGTCTGCCGCTTTTTCCACATCGCTACCTGCGCATTCTGCGCTGAGGCCGCAGTCGTGGACGATGCGATTGAGCTGCCTCGCCAGCTTAGAGTGGAGGTCAAGTAGCTCGCCCGTGTTGCGCACCACACCCTCCACCCTCGAAGGGTCCTCGATGAAGAAAGGTTGAGATGTGAGGTTGGCGAAGAAGACGTTGACGAGCGTCGCCAGATCTTCTGCATAGCCGTTTTCGGTCTCGACAAGCTCCATCAGCGCGTGATAGCGTCGGAGGTGTGACAGCTTCTTATTATCATCGACAGCGGCTTCATGCATCTCCTCCGTCTTGTCTTCATCATCGTCGTCCTCTAAGGCAACTTCAGTGGTCAGTGTCACCGTCGAGGACTCGGTTGAGGGCTCAGGAGAAGTGCGTCGGGGCGCCTTAACCTCGTGCAGCGCTGCAGAGGTAGACGACCGGAGTGAGCTGGCGGCTGTGTCGAGACTGTCGATGTTGCTCGAGTCGGTGGTGCCGGTCGTCGATTGAGACGGTGTTCGACTGATCTCCGTCGCCGAGCCGAGCGTCGCTTCGCGTTCATCTTCGTCACCGTTCTGAAGGGCGCGCGGTGCCCCTTCTCGCATTCCCTCGCGGCCAAGTGCCTCCTCGACGCCAACCAACCCCAAACCCCCATCTGACCTTCTTCTTGATCGCTCCTTCAGCTCGCGGCCAACCACAGAAGCATCGGTTAAAGTCGACGTTTCACCTTTCGGTGGGCTCCTCGCATATACGGGTGTCTGCTCGCCCTCACATCCTTTTGGTGTCAACGTTGCTGCGCCTTCTGCCGTGCGTTGGCTGGCCTCGGTTTTCACTGAGTCCGACCCTTCAGACCCATCATCCTTCGTAGTGTGTAAGGATAGGCCTTGCGACACCGTGCTACATGGCACGTGCTTCCCTTTTCCCTTGCTGTCGACATCGAGATTGTCGGTGCTCCAGACATCCCTCGGCCACTCTTGCGCCGAAGTCGCCCTCTCCAGCGACTTTTCGGCCGCCAGCGCTCTCGCAGAAAGAGAAGACGATGAGGCCACCTCAGCTTCGACTTCAGCGCCATACTCGAGCGGCGGCAGATCGTTTGGCCACTCGCAGCTCGAGGTGCGCACGGGAATCCGACGCGGCTTCTTTGACTTCGATTTGGTCGGCATTGGGAGTGCCAGATCGTAGTACTCGACTACCTCATCGGGATGCCGGCTGAAGCTTGTGGACGCCACGCAGTAGTGCGTCTGGCGAAGTGTAGGGTTTGGAGATGCGCAAGGATGGAGGTGGATTGACCTGCTTGCGGCCGCTGCAGCGCTCATCCGCGGTGAATGGACCAGTGGAGAAGCCAAGGGGCAAGGCGTGCTGAACGTGATGAAGAACTTGATTAGCTCACAACAGCAAGAAGGAAATGGGAATGCGCAAGTGAAGGAACAATCCCGTCAGCGACGAGAAATATTGCGTCCGATCTGTCTGGTTCTTGCCCCTGTCCGGAAAGCGCGCCGCTGTGACGGCTTTGGGGTGGGGGACCCGTCCTCTATAGGGGTGTTCCGCCCGTTGCGCACCAACCCCGAAAAGCGGCGCTCGATGAAATGGCGCTCGAACGATCTAACAGGTACTCACCAGGCCAGGTCTCCTTTGAGCTGGGGCAGAGTTCAACCGCCTATCTTCGTACGCGCCCCAAAGCCCAGCAGGAAGAGTGGGAGACCGAGCGCGCAGTGAAAGAAGCAGGTTCCTCTCCCGAAAAGGCGCAATGAGCGATGATAGGGATCGTGATGACGATGCTGTGAAGATGGTCGCCCACGTCGAGGGAACAAGTCGAGATGGGAAGGGACGACAAGCTGCGGAGGCCGGGCGTGGACCCTGAGAGTTGCTAGGATAACGCACAGAGAAATCCGAAGTGTTTTAAAAAAAAGGAGTTGAGAAGGGAAACGACAGGCACGCTGCCTGCGCAATTACGAAATTGGCTGGAAGATCTCTGCAGGAGCCAGCCACCGATATCGTCAGAAAATTCGAAAATAGCGACCTCGATGCCCAGCCTGAGAAGACGCTACCGAGTCCCTTGGCTCCCACGGACGGTGTGACCCGAGCCCGAGCATTGACTGAGTCAAAATCGTACGTTCCGCTACATGGCACTCACCCTCTTCCCTTCTGTTTTATTGAGACGGTAGCTAGTATGGATCCAGCGACCCTTAACAAATTAGCGATTTTGTTGAGTTGCCGAAAGGCACTCTTTGGCGTCCCTTGGCGAAGCCGTCTGATGACCGGTGCGGCGAGCAGCGGCCCAGCTTTTGACCCTGTGCACCACCCTGCTGGCTCAGAAGAGGAGCGGAGAAGCTTGTTGTAAAAGTTGTCCCACTTCCACGTTGGCTTATTGCCCGTCGCTTGGTCCTTGCCCTACTGCCAGTCTATTGGTGAGAGTTTCCGAGACGGGAGTTTGAGTAGCGCTCGGCTGTTGCCTCCAAAGCAAAAAACAGGAATGGCCGAGACTAAGAGACAGGATTAGCCTCGATAAAGTCGCGCGCCCCAAGATCCAACAAACAAGAGGGCCTAGATCTGGGATTAGTTGCAATGATCGCGTTGGTGTCCTGCAGCAGAGCACAGAGCGGGCCTCCCGATGGAGCTGAGTCTCAACACGGCTTGGCGGAGATGACGGGACGTACTGTCGTCGTCGTGGCGTGAATGGCAGATGGGGGTAGGTCGGGAAGGTAGAAGAAGGGAGCGTGAGGGAGTTAAAGAAGAGGGCACGATGGACGGTGCCCATTCTGCATTTGCTTGAACCTAGATTGCGATTGCGATATGGCATGCCAATACTACAATTACGGCAAGCAGTGTAATAGGGTGTAATAGCAATGAAGGCGTTGACATAGATCGTGCATTCTGAAGGGTCCTATCTGGTGCATCTGCTGTACCACACTTTTACTCACGACGTCTTCCAATCTTGGAAGCGACCCTGTAAGATGTCCGAATGTGGTCAGACGCCCGGATGGAAGAGGCTTGATGACTGAAATTCTCTCCATATGACGTACCCGGACTTGGGCATCGTGTCGTGGACACGAATTGATAAAACGCTTCCGGCGTAAACGCGCAAAAATAGCAAGGAACGCTTGCATTTACATGGCGCGTCCGTCCTGCATTCGACAACCCCGCGCTACGCCGAATCAATGATCGCACTGATTCCATGCATGTTCGATCACAGGTTCTCTTATTGATCGTCGCGAGAAGGGAGAGTGGGAGTACTATGGATAGCAGCATGAGGAAAGAGGGGAGAGGGGAGGCTAGAACGCTGAGTCTATATTAGCGAGCGCAAAGATCAAGTGAGGGTTGGACGGGTGAGTCGGGGAAGAAGGGACGGAGCGAGATGAAGAGAAGAGCAGAGGATGCACGCGCGGGGGTTGGCGCCATCACTTGCCATTGGGTGCTTGGGTTTCGTGGTTGTCTCGCTTTCGGGCCTCCTCTTTGCGCACCTCCGCGAGGATCTTTCTCCCTTCCTCGGTGTTCCACGGCCCTGCGTCCGACAGCGAGCAGCCTCCGTCTGGGCAATCGCACTTGCCCCCCAGTGCGTGTGGCAGGTTCTCTGGGGGAATCTTTCGTAGACAGGTCAAAGTCAGTCTATAATTGCAATGTGCACAAGGCCAAGAGACGCACCTGCTCCATCAGCTCCTTCTCGAAGCCCGAGCCAAGGATCTTGATCTTCTCCACCGTGACAGGGTCCAGCCATGCCTTGATGACAGACCAGACGGTAGTAAAGATGTAAGGTGCGTTGACGATGTAAAATTTGCCTATGTAAAAGACGACGTCGTGTCAGCACAAAGTGAATAAGAGGACGTCAGGCGCACTGGACGGAACGAACCCATAGTCTCGGGATAGTAGTGCTGGCCAATGTTGCTGGCCTGCTGGACGTAGGAGGAGACTTTCCAGAACTGGCTCACGCCGACGTTCTTGAGATCCATGATTGTGCAGCTCGTCTCAACAAGCTCGCCTCTCTCGTGGGTGCACACGGGCAATCTTTCTCGCTGGAACTTCTCATACTCGACGACGAGCTTCTGCAGCTGGCGTTCAGGCGTGGTGACCTGATACAATGCCTTGATGTCCAGCTTTCCCAGCTGCTCAATGTACAGCGGCCGGCCATCCTGGAAATAACTCAGCAGCGTGAGCAGAAGCGATCTCAAAGAGGCTTAGTTGGCATGCAACTCACGTTGTCCGTCTTGTGGTAGTATTGTGGATAAAATTGGTCCACCTTCTCCTTTTCAGGGTACTCGAAGGAATGATAGAGCTCGTCAACCTTGAAATCCTTTCGCCAAGCCTCTGAGGCCTCGAACATGGCCAGCGATGCGTCTAGGTCCCACTTGCGAGCACGGAGAAAACGGCAGACTGAGAACGCGCGTGGAAAGGACCTGTCAGAATGGGCATCTACGAGCAGGGTGGAAGCGAGAAAGGACGTACTGCATGCCTCGTCGTGTCGCTCAGGATTATACAATCCCTTTTCCTCAATCTATCGGAGCCCAAAAGCAAAGCGTCAGTCATAGAACAGGAGAAGGACGCGCTGACCAGAAAGAGACGAGGAGGTCCAACTCACGATCTGTCTAAACTTCTTGACTTGGTGCTCCTGGCCTGGGTCGAGGTGACCTGGCCGGCCCGATTGGGGGTCCCTTTGCATCTGCATCTTGACCTCCTTCTTGCTCAATTTGGAAGCTTTGGAAGCGGTGCTCTGGTTCGACTTTGTGCGGAACATGTGGCGGTTCGCTTCTTGCGTGTTGTGGTTGCTCTAGAGCAGAAAAGGAATGAAAAGAGGAATGGTCGAAGTGCCGGTGGAGTGAATCGAAGGGGGAGACACAAGTGAAAGACGCTCAAGAGCACCTTGACGTTGCTGCTGTTCTAGTGTTGAGCGAGAGCGAACACTTTGGTCCAGACGGATCTAGAGAAGAAGGAGGGTGACACTGCTCGCTGGTGGAGGGGAGTCGCTCGACAGCGTCTTCCACCTTATGATCGCGCACGAGCTGAGAAGGCCGGTCTCGTCGTTCACCTCGGAGCGATATGGGTGGGAAAGAAAGGAGCCTGAGAATGCGGTCGGTCTGCCCCTTCTTTTCCTTCGCTACGCTTGTGTTGCCAGGCACCCTTCGTCGACAACACTGTGCTCCACTGAGTAACTCCTGGCCCTCAAACCTCCTGCCACCAGGCGCTGCAACATGCCACGCGTCATTAATTTGCAGCGCACGTGTAAAAGGAACGGAAGACTTGGCTCACAGACGTCGACGAGAAGACAACTAAATCTCTCAGCACCAGAAAGGCGGCCAAGATGAACATCAGGCAGGCGACGGTAAGCCATCAAGAATTCGAGAGCCCCTCGCTCGATACAGATGCTGACGTCGCGCACAGATCGATGACCTGCTAGGTATGCAGAATTGCAACCTGCACAACCTGCCCGAGAACTATACGATGCGGTATTGTGAGTCCGGTGTGCTCTTCCTCAGCTATGTCACTTTCTCTCGCCCTTGTTGCTCACGCCGGGGTCCGTGTGTACGACTCTAGACTTCTACCACGCACTCACCTGGCCGCAGTTGTCCTACGTTGCCGAAGACGAAAAGGGCCGAATCGTGGGCTACATTCTCGGCAAGATGTATGTCCTCGCCTCCCTTGACCTCGTGAGCTACAGCTGACGACATCGTCTGAACTTCAGGGAAGAGGACCCCGCAGATGGCATTCCGCACGGTCATGTCACGAGCATCAGCGTCCTTCGTTCCTACAGAAGATTAGGCCTTGCCAACAAGCTAATGAAGCAGTCTCGTACGTCTTGGTGCACACTTCCCCGTCTTGGTAACCATCTTTTGCTGATCGTTTGACGAAACAGAGACGGAAATGAGGAACGTTTTTGGGGCAAAGTATGTCTCACTCCATGTTCGGCAAACGAACCGGGCGGCCATCGGGCTGTATCGAGATTCGCTTGGTTTCAATGTTCACGAAGTGGAAAAGGGCTACTGTGAGATATTGGCAGAAAGAGCCCACATCTCCGACATTCATGCTCATTTTCTTGTACAGATGCCGACGGAGAAGACGCCTTGGCGATGCGGCTCTATCTCGACTAGGCCAGACAACAGACACAACCATGTAAATTAGATCAATGGCGCATTTAAAATTGACTTTCAAGAGAAAAGGAAAGGGGGGAAAGAAGAGGAAAAGCAGCAGACGACGCCGTTGTTGGTATGATACAGTGAAGCGGGTCCGCGATGTTTTCTTTTTGGAGGTGGCTTGCAGCGCTCGAAGCGGTATTTACTTGCCCGTCTTGGCTGTCAGCTTGGCTCGCTCAATTGCCGCGGCAGAGTTGTTCATGAGAATCTTCTTGTAAGCCGCAATGTCGACGTCCTGCTTGGTGAGGTTGACAATCTTCTTGTCCTTGACCTCCCACAGCTCCTGCGCCACCTGCGAGATCAGTCGGAAGTCGTGCGAGACAATGACGACACCGCCCTCAAACTCGCGAATGGCCTGTGCGAGCGCATCGATGGAGCTCATGTCCAGATGGTTTGTCGGCTCGTCGAGCAGCAAGACGTGGGGGTTCTCCATGGCCAGCTGGGCGAAGACGACTCGGTTACGGAGACCGTCGGAGAGGGTACGGATCGCAGACGTCTGGTGAGTCCCTGACAGACCGAACCGTCCGATTTGCTGGCGCCAGAATTGCATTTCCTTGCCGGGGAACTTGTCCTTGTAGCGCGACTCCATGTACTCGAGCGGGCTCTTGTCGTACGGCAATTGATCAGCAGAGTGCTGGCTGTACTTGCCGAGCTTGAGACCAGCATGCCGTTGCACAGATCCCTTGACGGGCTGCAGCACGCCCGTGATGAGGTTGAGCAGCGTCGACTTGCCCGTACCGTTTTGCCCAACAATGGCCACTCGCGAATCCATGTCGATACCGAAGCTGAGATCCTTGTACAAAAAGTCCTTCTCTTCTCCACTGTAGCTGAAAGCGACGTCATTAAAGGCAATGATCGGGGGAGGGAGTTTGCGAACATCTTCAAAGTTGAAGCGCAGCGGCCTCGGCTGCTGCACGGCCTCGATGAGACCAGCAGCCTCCATCTTGTCGATGATCTTTTGCTTCGACTTGGCCTGCTTGACCAAGTTAGCATATGTACCGGCCGAGGCAATGAACTTTTTGATGTGGGCAATCTCCTCTTGCTGCTTGGCGTACGCCTTCATCTGGTTGACCTCGTTCTCGCTCTTTGTCCGCACGTAGATGCTGTAGTTACCACCGTAGTAGACCATCTTCTTCTGCATTGTCAGGTCCATGATGTTGGTGCAGACGCTGTCCATAAAGTCGGCCGAGTGCGACGTGAAAACGAGAATGTGGTTGTAGGTCGAGAGGTAGGCCTCGAGCCAGACAACGGCCTCCAAGTCCAAGTGGTTCGTTGGCTCGTCGAGGAGAAGCAAGTGTGGCTTGATGAACAGCGCTCGGGCCAGCGAGACACGCATTCTCCATCCACCGGAGAGATCCTTTGTGGGCTTGGCCATCATCTGTTTGCTGAAACCGAGACCATGGAGAATGGCGCCGGCCTTTGCTTCGAAGGTGGACGGGTCGAGATCATCGAGCTCCTCCATCTTGAGGTCCAAGCCCACCTCGTCCACCTCGTCAGCGGCTGACATGTCCTCGATCTCCTTTTCCAGACGGGCAACTTTCTCTTTCGCCGACTTGATGATGAAGTCGAGAGCGTTGACGTCCGAGGGGGGAGCCTCACCTTGGACTAGGTAGATCTGAAAGCAAAATAGCGATTAGCACCGGACGAGGTGAAGAGAAAACGGCGGGCACTCACATCAACGTGTTCGGGAATCTCGACATCACGGTTCGCGAGAGCCTCGAGGAAGGTCGTCTTGCCTGAACCGTTCTCGCCCAAAAGACCGTACCTCTGCCCATAGTTGAGCACAACGCTAGCGCCATCGACGAGGAGCCGGCCGTGGAAGCTCATGGTGAAGTTGTCAATGTGAATGTCACGGCTTTGCTTGTCTGAAGTGAGCACGCCAGAAGCGTTCCTTTCCGTAGCAAGAGCAAGCTTCTTCATGTCAAGCTCGTCTGTCGAGTTGTTGGCACTGACATTGGTGAGGGGTGTGGCGGTAGAAGAGGCTCCGTTGGTCGACGATGCTGTCGTCGTAGTGCCCTTGGAAGAGTCTTTCTCTCCCTTAGCAGCGGCCTTTGCAGCCTTTTCGCTGATTGACAAAGGACCAGGGTCAGCTGCGCAAACTTCTTCCCTGCTCGATAACTCACGCCTGGCGCTTAGCCTTGGAAGCAGAGACTGGGGGCATGTCGGGTAGGATTCGTCGTCGTAATGGGAAAGAGAAAAAAAGAGAGTAGTTTCCGACGCTGCTGCAAGCTTCGACTTGGAGCAGAAGAGGGGAAAGACGGGAGACGGCGGAGTGGAAAGGACTCGACCGATTCTCGCTAGATGTGGTGGTGCGAAGAGGAATAGACTGCCTCTGGAGTTCAACAGTCGAACTTTGTTCGCCTGCGTCACTGTGCGGTCTAATCGAGCAAGAAATTTTTTGTCCCATTGGCGAACACGTGGGGACGTTTGACTTATGTAAGCTCATTTTGTCCTGGTCTCATTTGCCCTCAGCGTCTTCGTTGCGACAAGACAGGCTACAAATCAACGATGAGGCCCACGCTCAACCTCTTTGCCAAGGCCTCGCGCCTGCCGCTCAACTCGAAGAAGGCTAACAAGGACTTCTACAAGGGAACAGGAACGGGGAATATCATGCGGCGAAAGCGGCTGGCCGTAGCTATTCGAACGACGGGCGAGCAACTGTACGACGAGTTCGACAGACCACGGACGTGGAATCTCATGACGCACCGGCTCGACGAGGCTCGCATTCCGTCGTACATTGTGCCACCCGGTATGGCTGACTCAAGAGTGAGTCTTCTTCTTGTTGTGTTCCCTCCACATCTCTTACCTGGCTACGATGCAGCTTCGACCGCTCGTATTCTTGGGAGAAAAGGAAGACCAAGGAAAAGGGAAAGACAGGCCGCTGCCAGGGTACCCCATGGGCCACAAGATGAAGGCAAGAGCAGGCATGGATGGCGCATACTACGAGCAAATGAGAGAGGACATCATCGAACGAAGAGATCTGCGAGATGCGAGCGAGAGGGATCTCAGTCGGGCAAAGACACACAAGTAGAGATTGTAAGAATAGCACATACAACGCCATCACGTCAGCTTCGTCTGGGTCTTGACTGCAGCGAGGGCGAGAGGGAGGTGTTTCCGATCTTAAGTGGCCGGTCGAAGTGCCCTGAGCCGTTCCGCAAGCCGGTCATCGTCGCCCTCTTTGATGGCCTGCGGTTCTCTGGCTGCCGTAGCCTTTTCCCGCTCGAGATTCTCTTTGACTTTGCCGTCCAAGTCGGTTTCGCCGAGCTTGTGATTCATCTCGATGCCGTTCTCATCGGCTACTTGCTGCATGAGCGTGTCTACCTGATCCTGTGGCGTGGCGCTAGCCGTGCTGGCGCCGATGGTTCCTTCCATGTACGATGTCTGCACATCCATGTCCTCGAATTGCGTCTCGAATTTGTCCATGACCATGGAGATCTGTGGGGCACGACTTCAGCGTTTGACCATCCACCATGAAGACCTTCGACGCGGACCCACTTTCTCTAGGTTCATGCTCTCCATAGCTCGATCCATACCCTTGACCACACTCGCCATACTTCCCGTCACCTGTTCAAATCAAAATGTAGCAAAGCATGTCGAGGATCAGACAAGATCCGGAGAAAGCGCAATCGCAAACTACTCGCCTGCCGCATGGTAACAGCCGTTTCGACTCGGCTCGCGACCGCATCGATTCTGCTTCCTAATCTGAGGAGATTCAGTCCTTCATTCTTCTTCCTGATCGCGTTGGCTGCATAGATCCGAGCGCCCTCCTGGTTCCCTTGCGCAAGCGCCTGTGTATTTTCAGGTGAGCTGATGGCAATTGGTAGAGTCTAGCTGCACCACACTAAAACTCACCTTCTTGAGCTTGGCTTTCTCGGTTGCTTCGTCCTTGGAGGCCTTTTTGGCCTGACGTTGCAGGCTCTTGGCCGTAAACTGGTGAGGCAAGCGCGCAAAGCCGATTTAGTACTGGGCGGTGTTACACATGGCTCAGAGTCAATTCCATACCTTGAGCTGGAAAAGTGAGTCTGGTTGGGGGAGTACAGATCAGCCATTGCTCTTGTGAGAATAGATGAATCCGCTCACTCTCAAGGCCACTCATCGTCGAATCGAGAAAGGCGGCGCTGGCGGTGGCTATCTCACTCGATCGATGGATGTGGCTGGACCCCGGTGCATGCCTGGTGGAGATTCTCTAAATGCTTTTGGCCACGTGTTTTGAAACAAGCTCAGCCCTTGAGCCTCATCCAAGTGCTCTTCTCACCTCGTCCGACAGTGAAGATGGCTGTTTGCCAGTACTTCCTGAGGGGAGCCTGTCGCTTCGGCAATCAGTGCAAGAATGAGGTGAGCTTGAGATCGTCATGGTTTCTGACGGGGAAAGACGTGGCCCTGAAGCTTATGAACCCTTTTCCTCGGAACAGCACCCTCAAGGAGCAGGCTCCGGCTCAGGCTCAGGCTTTGGCGCGACATCTGCCTTTGGATCACCTGCCAACCGCGGTGGGTCAGCATTCGGAGGGGCAGGTGGCGGATCAGCTGCACCGCCAAATACCTTTGGCTCGTCAAGTCAGCCCCGAGCTACATTTGGAAACGTGACAAGCACGTTTGGAGCCTCCTCGACGCCATCTGCGTTCGGCAATTCGTCAGCTTTTGGTTCCAACAGTAGGCCATCAGCATTTGGAGGAGGAGGAGGAGGGGGAGCGGGTACAGGGCCGGGAGGAAGTAGAGGAGGCGCACCTGGTCAGACAGCCATGTTTCTGCCAGGACAAACCGAGCTTTCTGCGGCAGGGATTCGAGAGGACTTGGGTCCAAGAGGAAGGCCAATCTGGAAAATGAGCGTCTATGGGCCGGCCAAGTTCGAGCCGAACTTGATAAAGGGATGTGATGTCAGCCCCGAAGAGATGAGATTGAGAGCGTATGAAGCGCTCAAGTCGGGCCAAGGCCAAGCGTACGCGCAACAGGAAATTCAGCTGGCGGGTCAAGCAGATCGAACCATTTCACAAGCGCTCAGCAACGGCGATGCCGCCCATCGGGAGGCTGTCAAGAATTCTGCAGAGGCTGTGAATGCTTCAAAAGGAACCTCGAATGCCACAGCCTTTGGCGTTCAAGCTGCAAAACCCAGTGCGTTTGGAGGCAGTGGTGCTGGCGGCAGCGGTAGCTCTTCTGCTTTTGGAGGGTCGCCTTCAGCTTTTGGGAGTACGTCCGCCTTTGGCCAGCCAAGCGCGTTTGGCAGTCAGCAGCAGAGCCCATCGACTGCCTTTGGAGCCTCAACAAGCACCGCTCCAGCGTTCGGTTCAACGACAACTCCCTCAGCATTCGGAGCCGGAGGAGCGGCTACTCCAGCGTTCGGATCGACATCTGCTTTTGGATCGACGAGCACATTCGGAGCTTCCAGTGCCTTTGGACAGCCGCAGCCGCAAATGTCTCAGTCTTCCGCCTTCGGGAGCCAGCCTTCGAACAGTGGCAGCGCTTTTGGTCAGCCGTCGGCGTTTGGAAGTAGCTCAGCGCCTGCTTTTGGACAAAGCTCAGCCTTTGGTGGATCGACTCCGGCCGCAGGTCAGGGAATATCTGCATTTGGTCAGGCCCCGTCAGCATTCGGTGCTTCTCCATCAAATCCAACGACGTCAGCGTTTGGGAGCACGAGTGCTTTTGGCTCGACGCCCGCACAGCCAACGCCCGCGCAAGGCTCTACCGCTCCAGGAGGATTTGGGCAAACACATGCTCCAGCAGCACCGGCATCGGCATTTGGTTCAGCTTCCGCATTTGGAACCAGTGCACCGCAAAGTTCGGCCTTTGGGGGTGGTGGCGGTGGTGGCGGAGCATTCGGAGGAGGCCCTAGCAAACCGGTCGTCCAGCTTGACGCTTGGTCCAGCGAAGCACCCAAGGAAGAGGCTCTACCGGAGAACGTGATTGCTGTATTCAAGGCAGACGAATTTGAGTGGGGAAAAGTACCGGGCCAAGAGCCACCCGTGAGCGTTCGCTAGATCGTCGTCCGCATCATCTGTATTCTATAATATCATCATTATCAAAGCAAGTCTTCTCGCCACCCCAGGGCCGATATTGTGATCCAACGGTTCCTCTCTTTGATGCCTCCCATCTCTTGTGCCTCTTCCAACCTTTCCTGGTGCACAAATGTACGTCTCCTTCCGTCAAGTCTCGGTTTGTTCGCTTCCCACACCTTGTCACTCTGACCTTTTTCGTCTCCGCCGCCAACGCCTAGCTCCAAGACGAGCTCTGGCGCATCCCGGAGCGCATCGTCGTCTTTGAGCCGTCGAAGTTCTTCAGAAGCCGCTTCCTCTCCGTCTTTGTCTTGCGCCTTCATCCAATCGCAAGAGGCATCGAGATCTAGTGGACGAAGCTCGAGACCAGCACGGTATGCTCGTCGCAAAAAGGACACAATCCGCTGCCGGCCTGTATGGAGGCCAGCGACCATGTAGACGCGCGAGGTGGCTCGTTTGCCCAGCAAGAAGGTGATAGACTTGAGCAGCGCTGCGTGAGACAGATCGTCCCAGATGCAATCGCCAAGCAGGACTACGTCAAAGAGGTGCGACTGCAGGGACGTGGGCAGCAGCTCTACGACGTCATCCATCGCCACTCCCCACGTATGTCCGGCGACGCGGACTCGTGACATGCTCGATCCGGTGTTCGTTCGGACGTTTTGCTGTAGGAGTGATACGATTGGCGGCGAGTCATAGTCGGTCAGGACAGTCTATTGCAGGGACAAGGGATAAGTCGGCAGTTCTTACGGTGTGGCGCTAACCTTAAGACTGCCTCACCATTTTCACATCCTGACGCCGCGCTGAGACGATGCCTGGCAAGCCCGTACCCGCGCCCAGCTCCAATACCGTCTTTTCAGCTAGAGCAAGGTGACCGTGTGCGATGGCATCAGCCAATAGCATGCCGGCACGCCATTGACGGTGCGCAAAAATGTGTTGGATCGCCGCGGGGGGTACCTGGACCTTGACTGCCTCGGCGCCCTTCTCTTCCTCTGCTTGCGCTTCTCTGCTCAGGCTCAGTGGATGATAGACTACCGCATCACCCGGGGATCCAAGTGAAGGGTGCAGCGTCTCATGACTTACCGCCGCCTTCATCGTCATCCTCCTGAGAAATGACGGTGAGGAGGAAGGTCAACAAGACCAAAGAGAAAAAAAAATTGAATGGATTAGACATAAAGTAGCGCGTGGGGTGGTCTGGCCACAAGCAAGTTGAATGAGAGGTCGGCAAGACGTGAAAGATGTATCTCATGGTCAGGTGCGGAGGAATGACGGAAAAGTCGGCATGCGCAAAGGTGCTGGACGCTTTAAGAGTGAGATCTGAGGCACGACAATCCGCAAAGTGTCAAAGATAACCCACCTCGCCCTTGTTTTGACGAAGGGCGTCGAAGGGGTCCTTGCAAAGACCAACCGTGATCGAAAAGTTGATGGGCGAGGTTAATGATTGATGATCACTTGCTGGTGTATTTACAGCCAGTATCATTGTAACAGGGCCTTGTGCACCTCGTCATCGAGTCGCACGCAGTGGTCACGTAGCAGTGCTTTTGAGGAAAGCACGCCGTAGGAAAACTGAGATCGTACGGGTGCATGCAGGTGCAGCACATCTCACCGATTGCACAGCCAAGTTGCTCTGAGGCCGAGCAGGAGCTGAAAGTGACGAGAAAGATGGGGAGGAGGTTGAGAAACTTCATGGTGAACCGTCTTTGTCTGGTGAGGAAAAGAGGAAGTGTTCCCAAGACTGGAAACCGCCGCATTCTTTATCCCTCGCTCGAGAACGCCGGGCGGGAGGATCGGCCCGTTCACTCCGGCACTTGTTGCGCATGGTGAGCATCTGTCTATCATCCATCTACCTACGCCTACAATAGAAAGAGATACTGAGGAGGGCAGGTGAATTGGGCTGCCTGGCGCTGGTTCCAAGCTTGGCAGGGCAAAATTCACGTGCCGCGAAACTAGCTCAGACCTTTTGATTGACTCCTTCTCACCAAAAGACCATACGACAAAGGCACAAGCATGGCGGAGGCTTCGACGTCGGCGGCCGCGGTCCCGTCCGCAGAGGAGATTCTGGCCCTCTTGGAGGCACACGGTGGGAAGATCGACGACACTCGAGCTTTGTGGACAAAGCCGAGCGGCGGAGAACCAGCGGGCGAGGATGAAAAAGCCGTCGAAGAGTACTTTCGGTCGAGGGCCAACTGGCAGCTTGCACTTCAGGGCGTCCTCAACAGTCTGACAAGCAGAGAGGTTGGTCCTTAGAGCCTGGCTCCGGCAATTTTGGACACATTACTGAGGCACTCCTTCTTTGCGCCCGCCAGATGATTACGTACAAGGTCCAGGACGAGATTTCTTTCGTTCCCAGCGGCGAGGGACGGTCGATTGCCAAGCTTGGATCGCAAGAGGCCAGACTTTGGAGCGCGCTTCCAGCGGACTCTGAGCAAGGAAAGAGTGCCGATGACCTCAAGGTGAGCTTGGCGATATCCTTCTCTTCTGAAGCATGCTGAACCATCTCACTTGCGTAAAGACGGCACTCGGCGCCGACACACTCAAGATTGGCCAAGGAAAGGCTTTCGCCAAGAAGTGGGTGCGCAAGCACCCATCACAGCCCAACTTCCTTGCTCGCGTCCCTGGCGTTGATGCTATCACGGATGAGACCGCCAATGATCTCAAGCAGGTGCAGGAGAAAGGCACTTTGTCGGACAACGCCAAGATCACCGAGCTCCGGAAGAGGAAGCTGATCATCCAGAGGTGAGCCATATTCTTCTGCTCGACTTCTCAAGACGAAAGCCAACGTGCATATCTTTCACAGAAAGCTGGTCTACTTCAGCATCGCAAAAGGCCCCAAGTTCTCCCTCAAGGTCGAAAAGCTCGAGACAGACCTGACTGTAGAGATGCTGCAGTCTGGCAGCTGGAAGTCGGCCGCCTTCAAACAGTACAACTTCAACGCCGAGGGAGCACCGCCCACTTCAGGCGCCCTTCACCCTCTCCTCAAAGTGCGCGAAGAGTTCCGGAACATCTTTTTCGAAATGGGCTTTACAGAAATGCCCACGAATCGCTTCGTCGAATCGGAATTCTGGTGCTTTGACTCTCTGTTCGTCCCACAACAGCACGCAGCAAGAGACGTGCAGGACACCTTCTTCGTGAAGGATCCGCCGCGCGCTAAAGCGATCCCGGAAGATTACCTCGCCAGAGTGGCAGAAGTGCACGAAAAGGGCGGCTACGGATCCACTGGTTATCGCTACCCCTTTTCGCGCCAAGTCACCGAGAGGCTCGTCCTTCGGACACACACGACGGCTGTCTCGTCGGCTATGCTCTATGCTATCGCGCAGCAACCAGGCGGCTTCAAGCCTGCCAAGCTCTTTTCAATCGATCGTGTCTTTCGAAATGAGGCCGTGGATGCCACCCACCTGGCCGAATTTCATCAGGTCGAGGGTGTTGTGGCCGACTACAATATCACCCTGGGTGACCTCATCGGCTTCATGCAGATCTTCTTCAGCAAGATGGGCGTCACCGACCTCAGGTTCAAGCCGGCCTACAATCCGTACACAGAACCAAGCCTGGAGATCTTCTCGTACCATAAGGGCCTCAAGAAGTGGGTCGAGATCGGCAACAGCGGCATGTTCAGGCCAGAGATGCTCAGGCCTATGGGCCTGCCGGAAGGAGTCAACGTCCTTGGGTGGGGCCTCAGTCTAGAGAGGCCGACAATGATCCGGTACGGCATTAACAACATCCGTGAGCTGGTCGGACACAAGGTCTCAATCGAGGGTGAGCGCTTTCCATCATCTCCACCACTTTGATCTTCCTACTGACAGGACCCAAACGCAAACAGGTGTTGAAAGGGCAGCCGCGGTCCGCTTCCCATAAAGTGTCTCTACTATTAGAAATACATTGCTTACAATCCCTGAAAGTCTCTCTACTTCGTCAGTGAATGGCGAGGTAGCGATCAAAGAGCTGGGCAGCCATGGTCTTGTTTCCTTCGACGGAGTAAATGAGAGCGAGGTTGAAGGCGGCTTCCTTGTGCGGATCAAAGCCGTTTGCTTCCTCGTCTTGCTGGCGCTGCGCGACCCCCTGATCGTGTAGCTCGAGGGCCTTTGTGTAGTGAGGCACGGCCAAGAAGTAGAGGCCAAGCTGCTGCAAGGCTCTTCCAAAGTTGTACTCTGCCTCTGCCGAGGGCGTGCCGTCACTCGTTGCCTTCTGGCGATCCAGCCGAATCTTTCGGTAATGCGAAAGGAGGGCCATGGCCTGGACGATGCACTGGTGCCGATTGTCGACCTGTCGATTCATCGCTCGACCAAGGCAGGCGATACTGGCGCCCAGACAGACGAGGGCGTCGGACTGGACGTGTGCAAAGACGCGGAGCCAGTAGGCCATCGAGGGTATACCACTCGACGACGTCAAGATCATCGAAGCGTACAGAATGTCGTTATGCGGGCTGTATTGCGTAGGTGGTTGGAGCTGCTTGCGCTCCCAATCGCTCAAGGTCCTTTCGATGCGCTTCCAGACCATCGCTGCGGACTCTTCCTTTGCGATGCCGTTCTGGCCAGAATCTTGACCTGCGGCCTTCCCTTCCAAGTCATCGTCCTCATCTTGGTCGTCTTCCTCGTCAGGCTCACCATCTGCTTCCTCATTCTCCTCCTCAGCACCTTCGGCCGGGTCCGAGTCGTCATCAGCACGAGCGCCTCTCTTCCTGGCCTTTCGGATATTGCCCAGCTCATTGCTCTCAAAGAGCTGGCCCTGTATGGCCCATCGATTGTTCCTGAACTTTGATGCTACACCCTGGACGATGGCCTCGTGGATCCTTGCCCTGCGTAGATAGCTCTTCAGATACCTGTTGTCCTGGTAGGCAGCCGCCCCGTATCCGCCCATGGCGTTTGCAAACGTGTTGATGATGCGCGGCAGCTCTGGATCGAATTGGAAGAAATTGTTGACATGGCGAACTTCCTCAAAGACGGTGCCGGCATCGCCGTGGTGCATAGCGCACGCCAAGAGTCCTAGATTGATTCTCAGCTTCCGGTCGTCGCGGGACCATACGACACTCGCAGTAAAGGCTTTCGTCAAGGTGTCCTTTGCTCGCTGATAGTTGCCCATCTTAGTCTGGACCATGGCGTATTGGAGTAAGATCAGCAGCCAGTCATCAAAGTCGATGCCCCGAAATGACGAGTGCTCCTCGATTTCTTTTCGGAACAAGTCGGCAGCCAACTGCTTCCCACCGAGCATATCATCGCCCATTCTCGACAGGAGCGCACGGGCTTGCCCGTCGAGTGTGCCAGGCCGATTTTTGCCTCTCTCCATGATCTGTGGATGCTTCCCTCCTCTGTCCCGGCCTCGTCCACCTCGTCCCCCCCTTCCCCGCCCGCGTCCTCGGCCACGACGATCTTTGAATACACCCGTGAACTTTTTGAGCCGGTCGCTTGGATACAATTGCGGTGTCTCGAGGAACATGACGACGAGCGTCTCTGCATGTTCGAGCCAGTCTGCAACCGAGTCGAACCGCTTCTGACGCTCCGAAGGCGTCTCAAGGCTTCCGAAAAGGTCCACTTTGGCATCGCCAGAGAAGGGCACATCGGCCGACCACCAATGGTCAACAAAGACGTCCTCTTGGCGGTGCCTCATGCGGCGCCAGGCTAGGTCGGCTTCACCTTCCCGAATGCTCTCGAGCTCCCTCCGTTGTTCCGTCGTGAGGCCCTCCTTGTTCGTCCTAGCCGTCTGCTTGCGGCCCAATCTCAATGACGGGTCTCTGTCAGCGTTCACCTCCGCGAAGAAGGATAGTGTGCTCTCCAGTGTGCGTTCCTCTTCGCCTCGGCCGGTTGTAAGCTGTTGTTGCTGCCGGTCATGATCGTCAGATCGGAAGGCGTCGGCAGCCTCAGCCGTGATCTGAGCTTCCCTGACCCTCTTCGCCCGGACAACCTCTCCAACAAGCTCGATTGCCCTCTCTCGTTCACCCACATCTTCGAGCGCTTCGGCCAGCCTGAGCTTGTTTTCCAGGTCGCCAGGGTCCATGACGCAGACGCCCTCGAGCCATCCAATAGCGTCCGAGCTACGCTCGAGGGCGAGAAAGCACGCGGCGATCCGCTTGTAGTCGGCAATGTCAATGTACACCATCGCCTCTTGCTCGTTCATGAGGCTGGGATTCTGTTGCACTTCCATCATCCGGCCCTTTTCGTTGTAGATGTGCTCTGCGATTTCGAGACCATCTTCCGCGTAGCCCATCTGTACGTACTCATCGACGAGCTCGCCAAAATGGTCCATCTGCTCGAGGAAGTCGGCATCTCTCCTCCAGATCTCAAAGTGGTGCTTGGCTTCCCTGGCGTCGCCCATGCGAGAACGACAAATGCCAAGCCGAAAGCGCATCTCGGGGTCGAGATAGTGGATCGGCGCCATGTCGATTCGGCGCCCAAATTCGCCCTGCGGCCTAGGCTCGCCGTCGAATAGCGGTCGTCCTCGAACCTCGTCAAATTCTCGGTCATCGGGTACCTCTTCCCAAAAGTCCTCGTGAAGCCTTCCTTGAAGCCATCGAGCGCCACGCTTAATCGTCATGAGAGCGTCCTCGGCCCTTCCTACGTAGAGGAGGAGATCGGCCAAGGTCACAACCTCGCTTGATTCGTAGGTATTTTGAACATCGCCGTCGATATCCTCTTCAGTCCCATCGACGAGCAGGCGGAGATCCACACCAGGATCGGCGAATGCGCCCATGCTCCACTCTTCGAGCTCCTGAAGGACAGCAATGGCTCTTGGAATCATGTCGCACTGGTACAGGAGCGGGATGAGCGTCTTGATGACTTGCTGATTGTGAGGCCTGAATTTGAGAAGTTGAAGCAGGGCGTGCGCCGCGCGCTTGGGCTGGTCCATATCGTCCTGGAGTAGCATGGCACGATCCCACATGATGTCAATGACATCCGACTTGTCCTTTTCCCTCGTCGACTTGATGGCCTGGGAGAAGCAGTAATCGGCCTGCTCAAAGAAGCCCAGGCTTCGGCTCCTGTGAGCCATGTCGACCCAGAGCGAGACTGGGTGGGCGGTGAGATGAGCTTCGATGATTCGGCATTGAATGCTGCGTTCCTCTTGACCGCGTTCGCCAAAGCAGACGGCAAGCGTGGCCCACGCAGATCGCACCGTGGCATCGAGGCTAATCACCTCCTGCAGCTTGCCAATGGCCCCGTCGATGTCCTCACTGATGTACAGCATGTTGGCCTGGGACAGCACCTGCCTTGTTTCGGGGCTGAGTATCTGTTCTTTCATCTGCCGTCTGCCTCTGGTCTTCTCCTTTGCCTTGTCGCGCTTCCTCCTGAAACCGGCAGCGCCTCGCAGATCCTGCTGAAAGGCGTAGTCATCGATCTCCTCTGCCTCTTCTTCTTCCTGCTCCTCTTCTTCCTCTTCTTCCCTCATCCTGCCTCTCCTGGGTCTCATGTCCGCCTCCTGCTCCACATCTCGAGGATACTGTCGCTGCAGAGCGTCATTCCATCCGGACAGCAGGCCGGCCTCACTGTTCAACTGAAAGGCCTCTGCGAGATTGGTAATGGCATCCTTCTCGGCTTCGACGTCTTCTTGCGCTAGATCTCGCGGTGCACTCGCCTGCCTTCTCCGCCTTTCAGCCCCTTCCTCTCGCCACACCTCCGGCCGCTCGAGACCACCGTGGCCGGTGGGCGGTGCCCACTGCTTGAGTTTCGCACGGGCGAGGCGTTGCTCATGTGGTGTTTCTAGAGGTATGTCCACCGGCTTGGTGTAGCGCCCTGAGACACCCTTCGCCCCCCTACTTCTCCGCTGCTGCTGCTGCTCATCTTCGTCGCCCTCGTCATCGTCAGAAAGCCCCGATTCATCGTCAAAGTCTTCGCCTGAGCTAGTGTCAGACTCGTCGGCGCTTCAACATGCGAGTCAGTACTTTCATGCCCATCTCTTCCCTGTCCATCATCAGCTCAACTTACCCCCTGGCTCCCACCGCCCTTGACCTGCGCTTGCCAGCTTTTCTGCTTCCTTTTGCTCGCGACGACGAGGAACCTTTGGCCAACTTCTTTCTCATCTGGGGCCGGAACTCGTCATCGCTATCCTCCTCGGGCTCAAAGTAGAGCTCTTCGTCCTCCTCGTCCTCTTCGCCACCGTCATCGTACAGGTCACTCACAGCAGCATTACCGCCGCCGCCGCCGCCGCCACTCTTTGCTGCGGCGCGAATGACGTCTTCGTCGACGTATTGCAGCGCATCCTCGTCGTCGCCATCGTCGCCATCCCATGCCTCGTCCATCGCGTCGTCCATCTCCTCGTCGTCGTGCTGTCCCGCACTGGCCTGGCTGCTCAATGTAGACCACGCAAAGGCTCCCGGCGGAGGCTTTGCCCTCCGCTGGCTCCTCTGCCCGGGCGGCGCGGCTTCGGGCTCCATCGCTGTCCTCCTCTTCCGTCGCTGCTGGGAAAGCGCGTCGCGCGGCGCGCGGCAGTGAAAGTTCAAGAGCGTCTCCAAGAGGCGGCCTGTGCGTCGAAGCAGCCGGCGTGACATGCGACTTTTTTTGAATTTTCCTTCCTCAGAGGTAGCGGCTTCCTTTTCGCATCTTCCTGTTCACCACTGTTGCTGCTGCTGCCTTTGCTGCACTACTACTTCTCCTTCGTGCTCGTCCAGACGAATCAAAACTCATCCTTCCGCACGGGTCAATCAAGCTGTCTTTGCCTCTGCTTCGCCAGCAACTCTTCCACGGTCGGCATTTGTTCGCTCGCCCGCCCCACGCCATGGCCGCCTCGCTCGCTTCGACGGATGCCAAGCGTGCCAACCACGGCATTGGCATCGTGACGCACAGCGGCACGCACCACGCCGACGAAGCGCTTGCCGTCCACCTGCTACGCAAGCTGCCCCGCTTCGCGTCGGAGCCCCTGACGCGCACGCGGGATGCCGCGCTCATCGACCGGGCCACCATCGTCGTCGACGTCGGCGCCACGTACGAGCCCGAAAAGTGGCGCTTCGACCACCACCAGCGCGGCTTCGACGAGGTGTTTGACGGCGCGCACGGCACCAAGCTCAGCAGCGCGGGACTTGTCTGGAAGCACTTTGGAAAGGAGATTCTCGCCGCGCACCTCACGCTGGCCCAGACGGACGCGACGGTGGACCTGCTGCATGTCAAGCTGTACGACGACTTTGTCGAGGCCATCGACGGCATCGACAATGGCATCCCGCTCTACGCCGACCTGCCTGCCGAGGTGCGGCCCGCGTATCGGTCCAAGACGGACCTGTCGTCGCGCATCGCCCACCTGAACCCGAGCTGGAACGAGACGCTGCCCGCGGACCCAGAGGCGCGGCAGCGCGACCAGGACGAGCGGTTTGAGCGCGCGAGCACCCTCGCCGGCACCGAGTTCTTTGACCGTGTCGACTACGCCTACCGTTCCTGGCTCCCCGCCCGGCGGCTCGTCGAGGCGGCCATGGACGCGTCCAAGGCGACGCCCCGGCTCGTCGTCTTTGACTCGTACGTCGGCTGGAAGGACCACCTCTTTACGCTCGAGGCCGAGCGCAACCTCGACGACGCCAGCAACACCCTCTACGTCGTTTACCCGGACGAGGCAGGAAAGTGGCGTGTGCAGGCCGTGCCCAAGACACCCGAGAGCTTCGCCAGCCGAAAGGCACTCCCAGAGCCGTGGAGGGGCGTCCGCGACGACGAGCTGAGCAGCAAAACAGGCATCCCCGGCTGCATCTTTGTCCACCAGAGCGGCTTCATTGGAGGTGGGTTTACCTTCCCTCTTTCTCGGCAAATCTTCTTCTGGCCTGCTGACACTTTCCCGTCCAATTATCTCTTTCCACCCATTCATCAGGCAACGCCACAAAGGAAGGGGCACTCAAGATGGCACACGACGCCCTCGCCTTCACCGCATAGCTGGTCCAGTCCAGAGGCGAGTCCAAAAGCACGGGATATCATTCGAGCAAGGAAAAGCAAGAGTAATGAGAGTGTGTAAAGTAGTAGTAGTAAGGTAGAGAGAGAAGCGAAATAGCAACAAAGCCATCTGGGGTATCTTCTTTAGCGATACGAAGCAAAAAGGGAAAACGAGTGTGGTTTGTCCGTGCGAGACGAAAGGGAGAGTGGGGGGAATAATGGAGACCAAACGAGTGTGTGTTGTGATAGATTGAGCTCAACGGAGAGCATGTATAGTGGTAGTGTTGATATTATGTCGACGATCAGCTTCGCCACTGGACCGCGCCGGCAGACTTGCCCGGGCCCCTGGGCGGGTTGACATGCCTGACGAGCTTGCGCTTCGAGTTGGTCGAGGAGCGTGCCTCGGAGTAGACGGAGCCGTGGTCAATCGACCGCTTTCCGGCAGCGGCGGCACCCGCGGGCGACGAGGGCGTCTTGATCGTGGGCGACTGCTTCGAAGTCGTCGAGCCATTGGCCGACGACGAAGCTGCCAAGGGCGTGGGCCACGACGACTTGGGCTTGGACGCGGCGGGGCCCGTCGCTGCTGCAGCTTCACCGTTGGTCTCCTCCTTTTCGTCGCCCCGCTGGATGGCAGCGAGGATGTGAGGAGGAATGGCCGCGTCGAGGGCGGACCCGTTTGCGTCGTCCTTGATCGGAGGGGCGGCTTCGGAGGTAGAGACCGACGAGGGAGCCTGCGAAGCTCGAGGCGACTTCTTGCTCTTGTCCTCCTTGCTCACGCCGAGACCCGTGGCAAAGAGGGCAGCCGCCGAGCTTCGCTTGGTCTCCTTTTCCTGTGCCTTTTTGTTGTCGGCAGCCGGTGCTGCCATTGCCTCCTCCTTGGGCGGGATAGCAGGGGCGGGTTTCGAGGCAGCCTTGGAGGAGACCGGCGCGGCGTCCTTCTTGGAGTCGCTCGCTCCAAAGAGGCGTCCGAGGAAGCCAGGCTTGTGGTCCGACTTGGCCTCCTTCTGCGTCTTCTTCTTGTCTTTGTCGTCGTCGATTTGCTCGACGAACTTGCCGTTGTCCTTGGGCTTCTTGCCTTTCTTTGATCCGCTCTCGCTGTGTGCAAGGGCTGCGCCCGTCGCAAGAGCTGCGGCAGGGGCGACGACGGCGGCGGCCTCCTCCTCGCCCTTCTTGCTCTTCTTCTTCTCTTCCTTCTTCTTGGCGGCGGCGGCTTTCTCCTCCTCCTTCTTCTTGGCGGCAGCTGCCTCCTCTTCCTGCTTCTTCTTGGCGGCAGCTGCCTCCACTTCCTTCTTCTTTGCAGCGACCTCCTCCTCCTCCTCTCTCTTCTTCTTTGCCTCGGCTTCTCGCTTCGCAGCCGCTTCCTCTTCAGCCTTCTTCTTTGCCTCGGCTTCCTCTTTGACCTTGAGGGCCTCCTGCTCCCTCTTCTTGGCATCCTCTTCGATCCTCTTGACCTCCTCCTCCTTCTTGCGGGCCTCTTCTTCCTTTCTCTTGATCTCAGCCTCCTTCCTGGCTGCCTCTTCCTCGCGCTTCTTGAGCTCCTCTTCCTTCTTGCGGTACTCCTCCTCGCGCTTCCTGATCTCTTCCTCCTTTCGCGCCACTTCCTTTTCCTTTTCGAGCCGGGCCAACTCGACCTTTTTATGCTCCTCCTCGGCGGCCTTGTCCCCTTCCTTTTCCTCCTTCTTCAGCGTGGCCTCGCGCACGGCCTGGTTCTTTGCCTCGCGCTTGTGCTCCTCGGCTTCCTTTTCCTTGAGCAGCTTGGCCTCCTTTTCTTCGCTGGCCTCCTTTTTGGCCAGGATGGCGGCGCCCTTTTTACGGTCGCTTGCATCGCGCTTCTTCTGCTCGGCCTCGTCCTTTTTACGCTGCGCCTCGGCGCGTTTCGCCGCCTCGGCGGCCTTCTTCTTGTCGTCCTCCTGGCGCTTGGCAGCGAGGAGCGCGTCGCGCTTGGCCTGCTCGGCCTCTAGCTTTTTTCGCACCTCGGCCTCCTTCTTTTCGCGCTTCTCGCGCTCCTTTGCCTCCTTGGCCGCCTGCTTTTCGCGCTCCTTCTTTTCCTTTTCCTCGCGCTTCTTGTCCTTCTTCGTCGGGTACTTTGCCCGGTGCTCGGCGGCGATGCGCTCCGTCTCGAGCATGGCCAGACGCGCCTCTTCGCGCTTCTTTTGCTGCTCCTGCTCCTTGGTCAGCGGCACAGCGACGGCGCCGACACCAACGGGCACCGCACTTGTCGTGGGAGCAGCAGTAGCAGCAGCAGCAGCGGGAGCGGGAGCAGCAGCGGGAGCGGGAGCAGCAGCGGGAGCGTGAGCAGAAGTGGAAGCCGGTTGCACCTTTGGCTTCTGCTCCTTGTCCTGCTCAGCCTTGACGGCGCTGGCCGCAGCGGCGCCCGCAGCAGTGGCGCCCAGCCCACCGGCCACAAAGAGGTTCTTGTCCTTGTCCGTGCTGCCTGCAGCAGGTGCGGCTTGGACAGAAGAAGGAGGAGCGGAAGAAGCGGCCGGCTGCGCCTCGACGGTCGTCTGGATCGTCGTGATCGTCGTATGGGCGCCATTGACGGCGCTGTGTGTGGGCGCGGCTGCGGTGGCCAGGGTAGACGCAGGAGCAGCCGCCTCACTCGCCGGGTCAGCAGCGGCAGGCACAGCGGCAGGCGCAGGGGCAGCCACGGCAGCCTCGGTGGATGTCGGCGCTGCAGCGGGAGCGGGCACAGTCACCTCAGCAGCGGAAGGGGCCACCACAGGGGCAGCAGCAGGGGCAGCAGCAGGAGCAACAGCAGGCGCCGAAGCAGGCGCCATGCTCGCGGCAAACGAGTCGCCCGTCGGCTCGAGCTCGAGGGCGGGCGCAGCAACCGGTCCCGCCGCCGCCGCTGTTTCTGCCTCCTTTTTCCCCTTGTCGGCCTCGGTGCCCTTCTCCTCGACGATGGCCGGCGTCGTCGCCTTCTTGGTGTCCTTTTTGCCCTCGACGACGCTGGCCCGCTTCTTGTCCTTGTCCTTGTCCTTGTCCTTTGGCGGCACCTGACTCTTTCGCCGGCTGCTAAACATCCTCAGCAGACCGCCGCCGCTCGATTTCTCCTCCTTGTCCTTCTTGGCCTTGGCGTCCAGTTCCTTGGCCTTGGCGTCCTTGGACTTGACCAACGGCGCCTTGTCGCCCGCCGACGAAGAAGGCGCCGTCTGCGTCACGCTCGCAATCTTCTCCAGCACGGGCGCAGCGGCGACGGACGCATCGGGTGCCGACGCCGCGGCTGCGGGCGTCGGTGTGGGCGCAACGGCTGCGGGCGCCGCCGCCGCCGAGTGGGAGCTAAGCATGCTCATTTGTGGTACGTCTTCTCTCTCTCTCTCTCGCTCGCTCGCTCCTTCCTTACTTGCTTGCTTGCGGTCACAGCGAGATGGAGAGGCTGTGGGAGGGACGGGGGCGGATGGGTATTGCACCTGGGGATATCAGAAGAAGAGAGAAAAAGAAGGGGGGAGGAGAAGAAAGAGAAGGAGAAAGTACCGTAGTGGTGTCGAAATGAGGAAGGAGAAGGAGAAAGGGCGAGGAGCGAGATCAGGGGGGGAGAGAGAACAGAACAGCCCGAGAAAAATTAATAATATTCCAACTTAGGTGCAGATGTAGAGACTAGTGCGAAGGAAATGTGGATCAACTAGCGCGGATGTCCATTCCGTCATTGCGCACACAGAAAAAAGAAAGACCCGCACGCTCGCGCTCGCACTCGCGCTCTCGATGGCATCGCGCGCTGCTTGCATATGCCATTTCTGGTGACCAAGGCTACGCGATGGAATTGACGCCAAGCTCAGCCGAGTCGGCCTTCCTCACGCAATCCAGACGCTCAGATTATCAAGCTGAAAATGGTATTTTGATTGGTTGGTGCACGCTCAATAAAGCGGCTTCTATGAAATGAAACGGATTATTACGGTCCGATAGATCTATTGTCCGATGTGCGGCTCCTTGCTCGATGCGAAGAAGATAAGATGATGATGATGAAGAGGATGACGATGAAGGCGAAAGGGGGAGGAGAGATAGAAAGCAAGGAAGAAGAAGGAGGAGGATCACGGAAGGAGGATGACGAGGGGCATGATGGACGCCGCTGCTGCGACGGTCAGTGTCGCGAGCAGCAGGGGTCCCAACGTCGACATGCCGACCGCTGGTCGCGCCCCATTTTGGAAGCCCTGCGTCGAGCGGAAGGTAGGTGCCGACGTCGTGCCCGAACTCGTACCCGTGGGCGAGGCAGACTGGCCCTCGGCGATGGACTTGGCAAGCGCATCGCACGCGTCCCTGTCGATGGTGTTTGCTGAGCCGAGCTTGTTGTCGATGTGCGCCACGACGGCCTGGCTGTCGCGGACCGTGACGGAGAAGCTGCCGTCCTGACCAACCTTGACGGTGTTGTCGGACGAGTCGACGACGGTGGGTAGCCCATTCCCGCTGACCTCGTAGCTGATGCCGTTCCACGTCGTGTTCTGCGTGCTGTCGACGCCCGCGGCTGTCAGGGTGGACAGGTGGAAGGTGCGCCCAGCCAGGCTGCGGAGCGAGAGGGAGAAAACGAGGTTGCCCGCGGAGCTCTGCGAACTTTCGTAGGCCAGCTTGGTGTTGATCATGACGAGCGAGTCGAGGTTAACACCGTCATAGGTCGCATACAGCGCCACGCGGTTCTCGTACGCCGAAGGCACATTGTTGAGGTCCACACTGGCCACGCGCGTGTTGCAGCCGCCGCCGATGAGCTGGTCGACGGCTGCCCAGGCGTAGTAGCTCGTCCGCACGTGGGCCGAGAAGCCGGCCTGGTTCTGGGGCTGCCAGGGCGCGATATAGGACTCGCTGGTCATGTGCATCTGCACCGACGACACCTGCACCGTGGCGGCATAGAGAAAGAAGTTGAGGGACCAGAGCGTGTTGCCAAAGACGTTTGTGATGCCCTGCAGGCCCGTCGGCCCGGCACTGCCCATCTCACGGAGGTAGTAGGGCTTGCCCGTGACGAGGGCCTGCTGCGCCTGCCCGGCCCATTCGGTAAATTGCTTGACCGTCGTCGACAGGTCTAGCAGCCGGTCCAGGGTGAGGGTGTAGCCCGAGACGTTGACGTAGTAGTAGTAGTCGTGCTGGTTCCACCCGGCGACGTAGATGCCGTTGTCGACGGCGACGCCCGTGCTGACCAAATTAGCAATCCGGAACGGCTTTCCCGCGCTCGTCGCCGTCGTCGCCGTCGTCGGCGGCTCAAAGAAGTTTGAAGTCTTGTTCCGGGGCGCCAGGACGTTGTTGTAGACCGACTGGACAGCGGCAGCCCACTCGTCGCCAAAATTGCTCACGCTCCAGCCCTGCGACCGGTAGCCGTTTTGCACCCACAGATCCGGCTCGTTGCCGAGCTCAAAGCCGACGATGTTGACGTTCTTGACCTGGTCGAGTGCCGCCGTGGCCTGGTTGACGATGAGCTGGGCCGAGTCGGAGCCCGTGTAGGCGAGATTGATGCCGTACGTGATGGGTGTGTCGCTCGGCAGCAGATCCATCGACGCAAAGTAGCCCGGCCCAAACAGGTACTGGTCCACCTTGCCGCCCGTGTTGCCGACGCCGACGCTCGACGGGTTGTAGCTCCAGTTGGTGCCGTTGTATGACTCCTGGTAGATCATACGGTCGCCGGCATTGCCGCCGATGCGCAGGTGCGGTGGGACCCCCGTCATGTTGGCCAGGTTCATCATGAGGTTGTACGTCAGCTCGTTGCGCTGCCCGCCCTGGCCGGTATAGGCAATCAGGTTCGTCGGCTCGATGCCCATGCCGGCAAATGAAGGGCTGAGGATCGGCGACAGGGTGCCGGCACCGGTCGTGTTTGCGGCAGGCGAGGCCGACACGTACGATGTCTGGGCCATCGCCGGTGTGGGCCGCGATGCCACCAGGGCCAGGATGGCACCCACGAAGAAGGACGGCACCATCTTCCCTTGCCTTGCCGTGCCGTGACTCAACCGGAGATTATGCCGGTGTAGAAGAAAGGGGAGGGGAAGGAGTGAGAGGATGGGGGAGAGGAGGGTGGGCGGTGGAGCAGAGAGAAGAGGAGGAGCGGGAGGAGCGAGCGAGCGAGAGAGAGAGAGAAAGGCAGAGAGAGAGGAAGGGATGGCTAGATTGGCTGTTTCCAGAGAAGTAGGTAGGGCGAGGTACGAAACTAGATCGCCACCACTACTTTAACTAGATGCCGGCCGATCAAGCCAAGGGTCCATGCTCGCTCTCTTGAAATTTTTACTTTGGCAATCACCGGAACCCGTCCGCCTGCTACTTCTACTACTCTACCACTGTACTCCTTGTCCTGCTGCTGCTACTCTTCTACTTCTACTACCTTACCTTTTACTGAGAATTCTGAATGCATACTGTCGATGTCAGCCGTTCTCGGCGAGCGGGGATCCGAATTCGATTTTAATCAACGACAATCTTTCAAGAGAGCCCGTGCTCCAAGAGCAAGGTAGGCAGGCAGGCAGGCAGGCAGGCAGGCAGACAGGCAGTCAAGCAAGGCAAGGCAAGGCAGGCACACACGCATCAGGCGGGAATTTCCATCCGTCTAAAATATTTTTTCCTGGTGGCTTTCGTTTCCGGGGGGGTTGCAGACCTCCACCTCTCAAGACTTTCTTGGCTCAGAAAGGACAAACGAATCTAAGACCAGTCCAAGCTTCTTGAGTGTCTTCCATTAATTTCACCGCCAAGACCAGCGAAGAAGAAAGAGAAGAAGAGAGAGAGAGGAAAAAAAGGAGAGGAAAAAGGTATCCTATGGTTGTCATTGCAAACAATCAACGTGAGTGAAATGACTATTTTCGAAAAGAATGAAAAGAAAAGAGGAGCGGAGATCAGCGTCGGAGCTTGCCCGTCGCCTGGTCCTGAAAGTAGTCGCCGATGGCCACGAGGTTGTTGCCGTTGGCACGCCGCAGATACTGGATCAGCGTCGGCCGGTCGGCGTCCTGCAGGACATCGGCCAGCTTCTCGAGCGCCTCTTCCTCCGTGTCGGTCACGTCGCCGGCGCCGTTAGAGGCCCGGGTGCTGCTGAAGCTTTCTTTGCGGCTGCTGCTGCCGCCGCCGTCCTCTGCCTGGCCGGGCGCACGGAGCGAATTGGATGACACAGAGGTGGACGATGTCCGCCTCCCTGGTATCCCGAGGCCAGCTGACCGTCCCCGCTGTCCGTCGCGCTCCTGGACCGTGTGCTGAGAGGCGGTGCTGCTCCCGAGCATGGGAGACTCATTGCTGGGGCTGCCCTCGTTGCCTGTCGCGAGTGGGGACGGCCTCTTTTCGCCGGCGTAATCAGTGGCCAAGTAAGCATAGAGCGGGCTGCTGGGCGAGCTGGTGCGGCCCTCGTTGGGCTGAGGGGTGCCGTAGATTCCGCCCGTCGACGAGAGACCGTAGTACTGCCCCTTTGGTAGCGCTTGCTGCTGCTGCTGTTGCTGTAGTTGCTGTAAGTGCTGCTGCTGTTGCAGCTGCATCTGCTGCTGCTCGTTGCTCGAGGGACTGTCTCGTGGCGAGGCGGGAGCGGTGAGAAATGTGGCACTGCTTGCTGCACTGACGGCACTGTTTGCCTGGCTGTATGCGCGGGGACCCATGGGGGTGCGCGCACTCGTTGCGCTCGTCGGCGTCGTCAGTGGGCTGCCCTCGACCCTACCGCCGAGGAGTCCCCTTGTGACGACAGTGGGCTGGTGCTCGGCAGGCGAGGTCGAACGAGGGCTGTAGAAGCCCTTTGCCAGAGTTGCAGGATCCTGCGCTCTTTGCACCTCCTGTGATGGTCGCTGGGCGGCGGTCTGCGGTGCGACGTGGGGCGACGATTGCGCCCGAGCCATTGTTGCCGGTGACTGCGTTCGGTCGAGCCCTTCTATGCCAGGTTTTGCGCCCTCCAGGTGGCTCTGCGGATTGTTGAATGCGGTTGGCGGCGACGAGACAGGGCCCGAGATCACCTTGCCCTTTGCGCCCCTGCCACCACCACCACCAAGACCGCCGCCGCTGCCGCTGCTGCTGCTACTGCCGCCAACACCGCCGCTGCTGTGGCTTGTGGTCATGTTGGAAGTCAGCGGCTGGATGCCGATGCCGATGCCTCCCATCCCGGCGGCCGTTCTCCGCGTGCTGCCTCGCCTGCCCAGGCTGCTGAAGAAGTTGCCCGCGGCGCCCTTGGCACTCGCACTCGCCCGCGAGAGCGATGCCGGCGTGTGATGGTCGTCGTTGAGGGTGCTGCTGGACCGGCTCGAGACAGAGTGTTGCTGCGAGGCCGACGGGACCATCGTCTGATTGACGAGCGACGGGTACGGAATATTGGATGGCAGCCCACTCGGGGGGCTCTCTGGAATCGGCTGGAACGCCGTCTGGATCTCCTTTGCCTTTCCACCGTCACCGCGAATGGGGAAGGTGGCGTCGCTGCGCACACTGGCCGCGTAGCCGGAGGCGTCCGTGCCCAAACCACGGTTGTGCCTGCCTACCCTACGCTGCTGTTCACTAGCCGCAGGCCTCTGAACGACCTCGAGCCAGACCTGAAGGCCCGAGGGCGTCTTGCAGAGATCGTTGCAGTAGTGCGCATACCCCCTTGCCCGCTCCCAGGGCGCCAGTCGCTTCTGCTCGAGCACGGCCGTTGGGTCAAAGGCGGCCGGCCAAGGAATCGTCTTGCCAAAGACGTCGAGCCGTGCCGGCCTCATCGCACTCCGCCCCGGGCCGAGGCGTGAGCTGGTCGAAGACTCGGAGGGAACAGAGACGTGGCGTGGAAACGAAGGCTGAGTCGTCGAGGCAGGAAGCGAGACTGTGCCGCGGTCACTCTGCTGCCGCTGCAGGTCGCCAGACATGGTCGCAGACCGAGGCACAAAACTGGGGTAGAAACCCGAGTCGTTGCTCGTCGCTGCCCTCGCATCAAACGAGCCGGCTCCTCCGCCACGTTGGTGCGAGGCTGTCGTGGCTTTGCTGGCAGCAGCGACAGAGGGCAGCGTCGCCTCAGATGCTACAGGCGTCTTCACTTCATCGACAGGGTTGTAGGCCACGGTGGCCACGGCCGACGGTGGCACAGTGGTGCTCGTCGTCTCCGTGGCCGTCGAGCTCCCAAAGCTGAGATCCTCCAACGCCTCCCCTACGGCCGCTTGCAGGTTGTCCATGGCGACGAGGGTCTCTGGATCTGCAGCTTTGCCTTGGGATGGCTCCCTCTGATGGCCCAGCACTCTCCTGTCCTCGTTCTGCATCCGTGGCCCTGTTTCAGGGTCTTCTTCATGGGAGTAAACAGACAACGATCGATCTGACGCAAACGACTTGCGCTCAGGCCTCTCCTCGGACCGTCGTTCATCCGAGTTAGCTAGCGCAGCTGCCGCTGTTTCCTTGTCCATCGATGGCTTCGCCTCGTGTCGCGGCGCCACCACAGGCGAGGTCGTGGATTTACCCTTTGCCTTGGACGATGCCGGCGCACTCTCGCTCTCTCGGGCCTCTTTTCTCAACCTCGCCCTTTCCTTTGCCAGCGCCCTTGCCTCCTTGAGTGTCCTCGGCCGATTTGGATCCTCGGCATCGGCAGACTGCTGCAGATGCGCTTCCAGCTCCGCCTCGGTCCCGTCCTTTTTCGACCGCGAGGACGACGAAGATGTTCGTGCTGCAATCTTGGGCGAGAGCTCGGATCTGGCACTGATGCCCGACATCCTCGACGGGTCCTTGCTCATCGGGCTCGAACCAAGAAGATCGCGGACTTCTCCTCCCGTCCCTCCCTCGGCGGGCCGGCTCGGTTCCGACGGCGAAGCTGCGCCTGGGTCGGGCGGTGACGACGAGTTTGGATCGAAAAAGGAGCGTTCGCGCGGGTGCGACACGCTGCTGAGGCGCTGAGGCACCGCGGGCGAGTCGGGTGCATTGATAAAGATGTCGCTGTTGCCGCGCATGTAGTCTTGCTCTTGGTCAGAGTAGAGCGACGTGTCGGACTGGGCATCGTCGTTGTTGCCGGTGCTGGCGCTGTTACTGGCCAGCATGGGAATGCCTCTGCCGAACGCTGCCCGAGGCCCCGACACACTGCTGTCTCGAGAGTGGAGCCCGCCATGGATCGAGGACCACTCGGACTGCGGCGTAGAGATGCCGCCAAACGAGTCTAGGATGCTGGCATGCTGGCTGTCCGACATGGCGAAGTGGGGGCCCTATGTAGGCGCTGCTATCGGCAGATAAGGCCCGCACGAAGGTCGCCTGAGGATGTATCTGGAAAGTGGGGGTATACCTTGTACTGATCTAACGCAAGCGTGCCTTCATGTGGGCCCTGCTTGTCATGCAATCCTGACTGTGCAAGAAAGAAACGATCGTGCTTGGCCACCGAGGCAGGGAAATCCCGCTCACAGTGCTGCAGCCGTCCAACGCTGTTGATCGACGTCAAGGCGAGCCGATTGGAGACGGGAAAAAGGGCGCCGCGGGGCTTAGCAGCTTTTGAAAGGAAGGATATATAGCGGCTCTTCTGGGGTGTGTGTGCGTATGTGGCTTTCATGCTAGATCTCGGCCGAACATCTGTGGAGGGCCATTCGACATTCTCACTACGCCTACCACTCTCGCTCTTGCCTTCCTCCTCCCTCTCGTCGGCGACGATGAGCGTCCTTCTAGAGACGTCGCTGGGCGACATTGTCGTGAGTCAAAACAGCCTTATGCAGTCGTGGGTTGCAACCAGAAAAGCTGACCATCAAGCAGATCGACCTCGAGACGGAAAAGTGCCCGAGGACATGCAACAACTTCCTCAAGCTCTGCGCGGCATACCGGTACAATCTATGCGCCTTTTTCTCCGTCCAGAAGGGCTTCCTGGCTCAGACTGGCGATCCATCCAACAGTGGAAAGGGTGGCAGCAGCGCATTCAATCTGCTTCCCTCGTCGTCCCCAGACTACACGCCCGCACCCTTCTTTCGACCGGAACGGCACGCGTCGCTAAAGCACACGGCCCGCGGGACAGTGAGCATGGCCCTCAGCCGCAGTCCTGACGCTCGCGGCAGCAGGCAGGACGACGATGACGAGGAGAGCGAAGACCGCGTGGCTGGTAGCCAGTTCTTCATCACGCTAGCCGACAACATCGAGTATCTCGACGGCAAACACGCGCCGTTTGGCAGTGTCGTCGAAGGCCAGGAGCCTGGGGGAACGCTGGACAAGATCAACAGTGCATTTGTTGACAAGGACATGCGGCCGCTGCGAGACATTCGAATCAAGCATGTCGTTGTACTTGGTGAGAGCTCGAACTCCATTGCTTTTGCCCCTATGCTATCACTGATTGCCTCTCCTGCCAGACGACCCGTTTGAACCGCTCGAAGGCCTCGACATACCCTCACGAACGCCCTCGCCGACGCCCGAGCAGCTGGCTTCTATTGGGCTGGACGCCTCGGAGGAAATCACTGACGGGGCTGACAGGCCGCCGGAGGAGGTCGAGGAGGAGAGGCGGAAAGCCGACTCAAGCGCCGCAGCCCTAACGCTCGAGATGGTGGGAGATTTGCCCTTTGCCGAGGTCCGCCCACCGGAGAACATTCTCTTCGTCTGCAAGCTCAACCCCGTCACGCGGAGCGAGGACCTGGAGCTCATCTTCAGCCGCTTTGGCACGATCATGAGCTGCGAGGTGATCCGGGACAAGAAGGTGAGCCTCCTTTTTTTCATACTTCTTCACTTGCGGATGGAGTAAAAGAGAGAATAACAAGGCTGACTGTAGGCAATTGTGGACAGACGGGCGACTCGCTGCAGTACGCATTCATCGAATTTGACAAAAAGGAGCAGGCGGAGCAGGCCTACTTCAAGATGCAAAACGTCCTCGTCGACGACCGGAGGATCTGGGTCGACTTTAGCCAGAGCGTCAGCAAGCTCCATGGCAGCTGGCTCAGCAGCCGTGGCGCGGCCCCGGGAGGCAATTCTGGGCGGAGAGGCGGGTCTGGTGGTGGCAAGGGTAATGGCGGCGGCGGCGGTGGTGGTGGAGCGAGGGCAGCCTCGGACCTCGTCTTTGACTTTGACGATGTTAGACAAAGCGGCCGTGATCGGAGGGACGGTAGGGACGCGGGCAGGGATCGGCCATCTCATCACAGGCGGGACAGAGAGGAGGGAGGAAGAGAGAGGGACTGGAACCGGGGCAAGGAAAGAGACAGAGACAGAGAATACCGCTATGGAAACGGTGACCGTGAGAGGGAGCGTGGAGGGGAACGCACGAGAGACTACGACCGGAGAGGGGGCTACGATCGACTTCGAGACGATGGTCGTCGTCGATATGACCACGACGACGATCGCCGCTCGAGGCGCGCATACGACGAGCGCGATTCGTATAGGGACCGATCCCCACCAAGTCGGTCGCGGCGATGAGCATGCATACATTCATCATCCTGTACACTACACGAGCTACTCTCCCATACAATCCATGCATTCTGTCTGGGGCAGGCTACTCCCACTCAATTAGTGCATTATTTCTGAAGCAGAAGAGTGCCAAGGCAGTCGGCCACCTCGGGCCTTGGGGGGCTTGCTTTCTTTCCGTCGTCTTGTCTTTGTTTTTATCCTTTCTTTTCCCCTGCACCGGGGCGGAGTCGCGCCTAAATTTCCCTTTCTTGGTTTCGAGTTGCCTGCTTGCTTTCTCTGCCCCCTTGGTCCAAAACAACAAACACCTCCATTTTCAAGGCACACAGCCACCTCGCCGCGCAGCTGCCTACAATGCGGTAGAAGAGGGGACGCAGACTGAGCCTTTCTCTTTCACCTTGCATTGGTGACAAAGGATGTCGGACACGACAACGCAGACGGCGCAGCTCGCAGACGACGACTCGGCCAGGCGGAAAGAGCCACAGTCGGCGCAAGAAGAGGCCCAACAGGGAGGGGCGCCGTCTTCTTCCGTTCCTGATGGACCGCAAACAGTACATCGGCCAGTCGTCGACGACAGGAAAGAGGTGGAGAAAGGGCAAGGGCGGAGAAAGAAAGGGGGCAAGGAAGCGGCCCCGCTGGCCTTGCAGCGCTTCTCGGAGAGGGTGCAGCGATGGAGCGAGTCGGTCGAGGCCTGGTCGGCCCGGCAGCAGGAAAAGTCGGCGCAGAGAAGGCAGGGCATGCGGGACCCCGCGACAGAGATCGATCCAGCGACGGGCGAGGTCAAGGAGCCAAAGGGCGACAACATTGTGCAGCGAAAGGGCATCATCATCATTGTCGCTGTCGTCCTCCTTTGGGTCTACTTTGCCTTTACGTGGAGGGTCTGCGCAGTCAACATTAGACAGGAGCGTTTCAGGACAACGGCGTCCAGAGCTACCGGTAGTAAGTGCTCTTGCTTTCCCTCCTTTTCCTCTCCTCACCACACATCTGAACCTTGCAAGCGCAGTCGGCCTCCTCGTCGGCTTCAACATCCTCTGGCTCATGACAATATGGACCTATGTCAAGGTGATTCTCACCGGCCCAGGGCTCGTGCGCGACCACGTCAACATCTCCGATGCTCCGCCGGCAAGAGAGGGCGACGAGGGGATGCCCGACTTTGAAGCGCCAGGCATGCCCAAGGGAACGGGGGCGCACCCAGACCGCGCTCCTTCTTTCATCCCTCCTCCTCTTCATCCTCCTCTCCCCCCCTCTGGTCCGCAACTGCCGACATTACCTCCCAACTCTGGTGCAGAGCCTACAAAGCCCTTGAATAAGCATGTTGAAGCATCGTCCCCGACGATGACAGAGGTCGACACGACGGGTGCAGCAGTCGCAGGGCCCTTGGCAGCAGGTCTGTTGGCAAGCAAGGATGAGAGCGAAAAAGTGCAGCAGGAACAGGAGCAAGGGCAAGGGCGTCAAGCCGAAGACAGCGGTGTCGGGAGCAGCGAGCAGACCAGGACAGTGCAGCCGCAGCCAGCTGTGGCGCCCGCTCTTTATCCCGCGCCAATGCCAATGCCTCCAGGGCAACTACCAGAGCCAGTGAGGATGGTGCCTCGGACGGCGCCCCTCGACCCTGCCAACCGGTACTGCTACCGGTGCAAGCGCACAAAGCCACCTCGCGCACACCACTGCCGGCACTGCGCCACATGCGTGCTCAAGATGGACCACCACTGCCCCTGGGTCGGTGGCTGTGTGGGCGCGCGCAACCACAAGTTCTTCTACAACTTTCTCACCTGGGTCACGCTTCTGGAGATCTACACGATGATCTCGACGGCCGTCCTCTTCTCGCGCGGCATACAGCAGGGCCAGGAGCAGTGGCACCTGGACGGCTACATGATCAGCCTCTTTCCCATCACCGCCCTTTTTACCCTCTTTACGTCGCTCCTGCTCGGCACGCACACCTACCTCTTCCTGCTCAACCTGACGACGATTGAACACATGGCCTACGATCGCATGAAGACGCGTGAGGACGTCGTTCTCTCGCGCTACGTTGATTCGCTGTCTGGCAACGGTGCTAAGGGCAAGCTTGGCTTCGCAGCACAGATCAAAGAAAAGAAGCGAATCAGGACCAAATGGGCAAAGGAGTGGGGGTCACTCAAGACCGAGGGAAACCTATGGTGGCTCGACGGCATCAATGATGCCAAGGCGGTCCAGTCCGACGAGAAGGAGGCTGCCCTCTTTGCTGCGCGCGAGAAGCCCGAGGCAGACGCACGGAGGTCTTCTTCGACGTACGCGCGCATCATCCCGTGGTACCGCGCCGTGGGGCCCAACTGGAGGCAGGTCATGGGACAACGGCCCCATGAGTGGTTCTTGCCCGTCGGCAGGTCCGGCTCAGACGGACTCTCCTACCCGACCAACTGGCGCTTCGGACCGGGCGGCACATGGAGAAGACGTCCGGAATGGTAATGCAAAGTCTTTTTCTCTTCCTCTTCCTCTTCATTCTCCTCTCTCTCTCCTCCATTGTCTCTGCTCAATGTATACCGTGTCCTAGAAAGAGAGTCGCACACATAATCACGTCGATCGAAATGCACATCTATTGGATTCATCGTCCCATCTTCAGCCTCTTTGGAACAGGAGCCGCGGATGGGTCTTGATCCCGTCGCGAGAACGACGACGCGCCACCGCCGCCCAGGGGCATGCTCTTTCTCTCCTTTGCCGCATTCTTCTTTCGCCTCTTCTCCAGGGCCTTTCGCAGCTGCCGCTTTGCTCCCTTTTCCTCGCCCCCGCCCTCTCCGCCCTCGCTGGCGCCCCCAAGTCTCTTAAATTGGTCCTCGAGCACGAGTCTCTTCTTGTCGGCCTCTTTTAGGAAAAATCTCTTGCCACCTTTCTTGACCCTCTCTTCGATCTTCTTCTTCTCATTCCGCACCACCTCGCTCTCCCTCTCTCTTCTCTTACGCTCATTCTCCCGCGCCTCCTCTCTCCTGAGTGCCTGCTCCACGTTGGCCCGCTCCTCCCTGACTCGGATGGCCTGCTCGCTCTGGGCGCGTGCGCCCGCGTGGTTTGCCTCTTGCCGCTTGAGCTTCGCCAGCGTAGCGCGCAGCTCCGCCACCTCGCTCGACTGCTGCGTGCGAAGGAAGCCGTACGAGGCCTGAAACAGGCCCCGATTCGGCTGAGATGCGCTCAGGCTCGAGAAACGAGGGTCCCTTCGTACATCGGCGGCAGTCTCGACCACCCTCCGTTTCCTCGACACGGGCTTGCGTGACGACATCTCCGTCGGTCTGTATGCACGAGATGTCCAACGCTGTTCAGCACAATTTTGAAGGAAAGGGTAAGGGCAAGGGCGAGACAGACTCACGCATGTTTGTCGCTCCGCTTCTCGATCTCGCGCGCGGCCTCTTGTCGCTCCTTTGCCCGTCGTTCGCGGCGCTCTTTCGCCTCCTTTGCCTGTGCAGCCTCTTGGAGCTGGGCCATCACTTGCTCCTTCTTTGTCGAGGAATCTCCGCGCGAGGTAGATGCCACTTTCCGGCGGTCCGCCTCGAACTCGTCCTCTTCTGAATCCTCTTCCAAGTCTCCTTCGTCGTCTTCGTCGTCAGAACCTTTCCTGGCGCTGCGCACTAACGAACGCTGGGCCTTCATGAGGACGTTGAAGGGCAGAGTCTTCATTTCTGCAGACAACGACAGTCAGACCATCAAGGACCTCTTCATGAGCCGCGGCACAAGACGACTCACTCTGTCTCAGTTCTTCTTCTTCGTCTGGCTCCCCTTCGCTCTCGTCCTCCTCGTCTTCAGAGTCTTCATCCTCTTGCCCATCCTCATCCTCGCTGCTCATGTACTGTGCGAAAGCCGGTCCCTCCCCTTCTGCTCCTGCTTCGTCTTTTTCATCCTCATTCTCCTCTTCGTTTTCTGAACCGCCCTCACTTATGATCCTGTCCTCTTCTTCCTCCTCGTCCTGTTCCCATTGCTTGGCTCGTGCCATCTCGGGGTCGTCGTCGCTGCTGCAGCGTGCTGCAGTTTGTCTTCGTCGACGGCCGCCCTAGAGTTCACGACTTCCAAAATTTAAAAAAATTCCTTCTACACGTGCGTCTTTCTCTTCGCACGGATCAGGCCCTTCTTCTTACCTCATCTCCAACCCAGGTCGTTCACAACGGGCGCAGTCTTCGACGTTGGGCTGGAATGCTTAGACGATAAGGCAACAATGCGGCGCATCCTCGTTGTAGGCGGCAATGGCTTCCTGGGTGAGAGCGCATCCTTATCCTGGAGAGAAGACCCCGACGACTTGAGTCTGACGATAGTATGACTTTACAGGATCCGCCATTGTCAAGCAGGCCTTGTCTCGACAGTGGCAAGTCGTCAGCCTGAGCCAGTCTGGCAAGCCATTTGTGACACCCGCTGGCCACCGTCCAGCGTGGTCTTCCAGCAACCAGGTGGAGTGGCATGCTGCGGATGCGCTCAAACCGGAGACGTACGAGGAGCTTGCGGCCTCGTGCGACGCTGCTGTGCACACCGTGGGCATCCTCCTCGAGGCAGACTACAAAGGCGCAACATCGGGTCCTTTCGACATCTTTCGGGGGCTGGCAAAAGGTTGGGGGCTCGATGGGGGTAGCAACCCTCTGGACCCTTCGAGCAAGCCCAGTATGAGCTACGAGGTCATGAACAGGGACACGGCGCTCACCGTCGCCCAGACTTTCCTGTCGACGAGGAAAGCAGCGGCGCCTTTCGTCTACATCTCCGCCGAAGACATCTTCCGACCCATCATTTCGTCAAAGTACATCGAAACGAAGCGGCAAGCAGAGGAAGGTATCACGGAATTGTCGCAGGACTCGTCGCTGCTCAGGCCCATCTTTCTCAGGCCTGGGCTGATGTACCACCCCCAGACTCGTCCGCTCTCGACATTGCCTGCTGCCGCATTTGATCTTTCTGCTTCGCTTCACAAGTGGCATGAATCTTCTCGCTTGCCGATTCCCACCGCCGCATCAATCCTGAAGAGCTTCCCCGGGGCCGACCTCAGCGCTCTTTCCAGACTCATGACTCTGCCTCCTTTGCACGTCGACACCGTCGCCAAAGCCGCATGTGCTGCGATTTCGGACGACAACGTGAGGGGGCCTATTGATACCTATGCAATGAGGAAGCTGGCCGGTTTCGAGAAGCCAGCCGAGGTCAAGTCATGGCCTTCGCAGTCGATGGCTGGCTCGGGAAAGAGGACGCCTGGACAGGTCAGAACATTCACCACCTCTGCGAGGCGTAGTGGCCCCCAGTCTTCTTCGTCATCGACCGACGAGTCGTCGACGAAACTACCGCCCGTCTTTGTTGCAGCCATCATCGTCGCGGGCGCATCGTTCTTCATCATGGCCTCTCCACTCCTGAACGAAGCGCCCGTGTCGGCAACGCAAGAAAAGCGTAACCTGGTCGAGGTGACGCAGCAGGATCTCATGCGGGCTCGTGCCACCACGCAGGGCGTCTACGCTTGGGGCTCAAATCGCTACAACGTCGTCGCTCCCGACTCTCCGTTAGTGACGCTGGTTCGGTCACCGAGGTCGATTCCTTACTTTGATGGCATCGCTCTGCGCGATCTGGTCCTCAAGGAGAAACATGGAGTGGCCGTTGATGCCAACGGCGACGTCCTCCAGTGGGGTTTAGGATTTTTCGACCCCTCTTCGCGCCAAAGAAGCGATGACGCTCTCGATGACGTACCTCTTGGTCGACGAAGAGAGAAAGAAAAGGCGAATGAAATGACTCCGAAGGGCAGCATGGCCGCTCAGCCAATGGCACCCGTCAAGACATTGGTGGGCAAGGACATCGTCAAGGTCGTCGCTAGCGATCGCAAGGTCTTTGCTCTGGGAAGCCGCGGAGACATCTACGTCTTTGCCGCCGTGCAGTCGGAGCAGTGGCCAGGCAAGGCGGCCGGCTGGAGCTGGAACCCGCTGTCGCTCTTTGGTCTTCTCTCCAAGCCGATGATCGACCACGAGAAATTTTCGCTCGTGCCTGGCGTCGCTTCGTTTGCGAGGGGCGAGAAAATCGTCGAAGTTTCGTCGGGCACCTCTCATCTGCTCGCGAGGAGCAACAAGGGGAGGACATTCAGCGCGCCCATCGACGAAGACGGCAATGCTTTTGGGCAGTTGGGGACCAGACGCATCATTCTCAACTCGCCAAAGGATGACGGCAAGGTTGAGCTCGTCGAGGCCGTCATGGAACCAAGGATGCTGATTGAGCAAATCGAGAGCATCCCAAAGACATTCAGGCAGTCAGACGTCCTGCCTTCGTGGGCGCTCCCGCCAGGCATGGAGGGCGACTCTGTAGGCCGACACAAGCCAAGGCAATACGCAAACGTTTACGAGCGGAGAAAGGTCGAGAGTGGCTTGCCACCTTTGACGGAACCAAGCTGGAGCATTCGGTTCTGCACGACCTTGCACGAGGTGCCTGCGCTCAGGGGCGTCGAGGTGGCTCAGATTGCTGCTGGATCAGAGCACTCGCTCGCGCGGACCCCCTCTGGTCGTGTCCTCGGATGGGGACGGCAGACGCACGGCCAGAGCGGCTTGGGAGCGGGCATCGCAGTCGAGGCGGTCCCTGTCCCGACCGAGGTGGTGCTGAGCAAATGCTTCCCCAACACCAGCGTCGACATCACCTGCACCGACATTGCTGCCGGCGCAGACAACAGCTTCTTTGTCATGAGCCGCCGAGAGCCTGGAACGCCTGGCGTGGGAACCAAGATCGACGTGCTGGCCGTGGGCAAGGGGCAGTGGGGAACGCTGGGAAATGCAATGTGGAGTCAGGTCACGGCGACGCCCGTTAGGGTCAAGACAGTGAGCGGCCTGCTAGAGTACTCGGAGAGGACGGGCAAGACGCACCCGGTGCCGATCCACTCCATCTCGGTGGGCAAACCGGGATCGGTTGCGCTTGTGCTTGACACAGTCGAGACGGAGGGCCACCAGGCCTTTGGCCGGGACGTCATGGTCTTTGGCCACAATGCTGCCTACCAATTGGGCACCGGGAAGAGGTCCAACCTCTCGGTCCCCCAGCATCTGCAGCCGCTGCCACCGTCGACGCAGACGATTGGGGGAGAGGTCCCAGGTTTGGAAACGGACAAAGCCGACCCGAAGTTGAGAGAGGCCGACGTCAACTCGGGCGCTCTGACGCATATGCCCCACAAGCGGCTGCAGCTCGTCGGTAGTACAAAGGGCGAGACGTGGAGTGCGCCTGACTTTGCCAACGACGGGCAAGACGAAGGCAGGGTCGGCGGAAAGAAGAAGAAGAGGGCCGAAATTGAAGAGACGATCATCTGTGGCAGCGTCAGCATGGCCATCTTCTGGAAGGTGCAGCAGTAGACGACCATCACTCGTGTACACATCCTCGGCCGTGTGATTACAACGGATGAGAAAGGGTTCTTCTTGGTCAATCATATTGGTATTGACGAAATATGACAAGATAGCAACTAGCAAAGCGAGAATGTCTGAATCAGGGCGAGAGTGGCATCTACAGAAGCAAGGACTGGTCTACACTGGATGGAAACGTGGTATAATGATGTTGGTGACGCTCTTCTCGGACGTTCTTTGCCATTGCGATTGGCGAATCTGAGGGCGGCGATGAGGCATACGAAGTCGACCGTTCGTCTTCCGAATCGCTATCTTCGCCTTCGTCTGAGCCATCGTGGATGAGCGAGGGAAGCTCCTCGTCCCACACGATGCTCGACGATGGCCAGATCTCTTCCGATAGGAGGCGTCGCAAGGCAGCTTCGCGATCATCGTTGTCTTCCTCGTGACCCTCAACGCCAATTGCAGCGGCCACCTCCTGCTCCTTATCTTGCTCTTCGGCGCTGAGACTTTCAAATACGTGCTCGAACCATTGCGTCTCTTCCTGGCTCGCACTGCCGTTGCTAGAAAGGCTTGCCGTGCTGCTCTCGATGCTCTCAATAGCGTGCGTCGCCGTCGAATAGTGGGCGCTAAAGGTACTGGACAGGGGCTCAGCCGAGAAATGGTCTGCATACTCCTCCTCATAGTCGCCCTCTTGTCCGTCGTGCAATGGCTTCGCAGCAGTCGCGAGGGCTGTCCAGTCCTGCGTCTCCAAGTACGCCTCTTCCTCATAGTCGTAGTCCCTGACCGAGACGACAGTGACGCGTACAGGGTCTTCGTCGAGGTCCTCTTCGTTTGCTTCATCTTCATCCTCGTCTTCGTCGTCTCCGTCATCCTCGATGCCGGTAGTGCTGCCACGACCAAGGCCAGAACGCGCATACATGAGCGCCCAACGGTCCTCAGATGCACTTGGCGCTACAGAGCGGCCGTCGATGCGAGAAGAGGTGCCAGCGACGCTCCTACGGACGGCATTGCGCACGAGGACGGACTTGAGGAGGGTCGAGCCGGGCGGGAGAAAGTCGAACTCGTCCATTCCGGCTCCGACTTCTCCACCGGAAAGGTGAAGTGTAATCTAGTAGTAGAGGATGTGGTGTGTCTTTGTAAGCCGCCTACCGCGGTGGTGTTGGAGGTGTTAGTGGGGGTAGTGGTGGTGGTGAATCAAGCAGCATAGCCTTGCAGCGAGGCAATCGAGGAGGCGCGGAGGCGGGCCTAAGGGGGAGAGAGATAGATTGAGGAGCGTATCGCACACAGACTGATACGCCTTGAAACCAAACGATGTGGCGGCGATGAGCTGGGCTGGCGCTGAGCTGTCTGGGACTGATCGAGAGCTAGCTGGCCTGTGCGAGCTAGGGGAGGGGGGCGCGGCGCCCACGAGCAAATTACAAAGTAGGACGGGAGCCGTGGCTCAAGTGCGGCGCCTTTCCTGTTGTGGTCCGGCGACGGGCGATCGAGGGTCGCGATCTGTGCGAAAGGGTTTCCTTAACACGGGTGACGCGCAAATGGCTCGCGAGTGAAGTTGGGAAGTGGGGATGGGAAAAGCGAGGGCTTGCTTTTGTAGGGAAAGGAGAGGGAGGAGGAGATGGGGAAAAGATGAACGAGTGCTTCCTATTTACGCCTTCCCATCACACAATCCCATCATGAGTCATCTCTCTCTGACATGAGGCTCCACGATATTTTTTGGCATCTTTGACGTGATATCGCGGGCGATTAGGCTATCCCCTGCTTGCATCAGATATTCTGACTCACTCGCAGGGTTATCACGCACAAATTTAAAGCCGGATCTCGGACGTAGCAAATAAGGCACGACGGGGAATTCGGACCGAACGAACATACAGGGGCGTACGTAAAGCCACACAGTCCAGAACGGGGGGAGGAGGATCCTTCAGAAATGCCATCTCCGGGCCTCCCCATTCCAAGGCTGTGAGACGGCTGAGATGGTTTCGGATGGTGAGAGAGACGAGAGTACAATTGCAGCTTGATGACTTCCTCACGCCTGAGCGACGGGCGTTGCTAAGGCACACACATAAGAGCGGCCTGGAGCAGAAGTCCGACAGAGAGGGCGGTGGTGGCCAGTCCAAGAGCGCTGCCGAAAGCCACCTTCCCTGCTTCTAACAGGCGCGGTGCTCTCGTGATGGGAAAGTAGGGTGGTTCTGACATCGGATTTCTCTCGCGCACTACGCCGCACTCTGCCTGCTGGTCAGGCTGTTCACCAAGTCCGCCTATCGATGATACTGCACTTTACTGAAGGTTTTGTGGGAAATTTTCCCAGACCCGGAGTGTAGGTAAGAGCCAGGACTAGCACTAGGTCCGGTGACCCTAGATCAGTGAAGCCGCTGCCTGACCCAGGCTCTACAGTGCGAGGCAACGGAGGCGGGGGCCAGATCGTGGCCAGAGACAGTGAAAAGGGAGGCCTTTCGCGATATTCTGACAACCCATCCCCCTCTCCTTCCCCCCTCGCTTCGCCACCTTTCCCTCTTCTCCCCAGCCTCTCCATCCCACTCCTCAATCTCCTCTCCCGACGAGAAGCATAGTATCGTGCTAGTCTCGAGCAACCTAAAGCCACCTCTTGATCTCGACCATCAGGATGCCGATCTGTTTCAAAGTTCGCCTGGTCGCATACGCCTTCACCCTCCTCCTTTCCCTCTCCGCGCTTTCCCATGCTGCGCCCTTACCCTTATCGCCCAGCCTCGAAGCCCTCTTACGTCTGAGCCATTGGCGAAGGCCTCTTTTCCACAACTCGTCGTCAGATGCCCTTGCCACTGTCCTGATCCTTGCAGACTTTAGAGATGGTGTAGAACAGGAACGCCTGTTGACATTTCCTCCGCCAAAGCGCGATGGCAGGTGAGTAGCATTTCTACGCAAGCTCTTGTCAGCAGCTGTAAGCAAAGTTCTCATGTTACCTGCCAGCACCTCGCCTGATCGCCTCCGCCTTGAGAAAAGGCGCCCTTGGCTCGATTTTATCGGAGGTGATATGGGTGATCTTTACATGCCCAAGAAGCTCAGGAGCAAGATGCTCAAGTCCGTCTCGTGAGTCACAGTCTGGCTCAAGCACCCAAGCAAGCAATTATCTGACATGCCTATGTCCTGTCATGGTATTAGCCAAGTACTCCCTCCCCTTCCAGCAAGGAGCCACGCTGAACAGAGCACCAAGGAAGGCGAGCAAGTGTTGAAGAGGTAAGTCATCTGTTGACCTCAAAAGTGTATCCCTGCTGACGGTGCGGACGACAGGAGCACGACAATGGACACAAGCGGTACGTCGCTCACTTCTCGTTTCTCGAAGTGCGAGTGAGCATTGCATTTTTCGAAAGGGTGCCTCCATGGAGCTGATATCACCACGCTTGCAGACCCGGCAAGAAGTGCAGCCAGGCCCGTAGCGAAAACTTGCTCAGCAGACTCAAGAAGCGCTGGAATCCCTGGGTGGATGACTGGAATAAGGATGCGAGCTCGGAATGCCATCGCAGACGGGGTGCGTGCGATCGCTAGTGACAGATACTTGTCCGTCTGTGCTCATTTCCCCATCTCCAACAGGAACACTTCCCCTTGGCCTTGCAGGCAGAGCCCCAGTCAAGGGTCGAATTTGCCCAGAACCAGAGCATTAAGCTGGACAGACCCAAAGCTCTTTGCGCCTCTGCCTTGTTGGACGGGATTGCCATTGGAGAGAAGGTATGGTGCAACAAAGGGAGCAGAAGAGCGTGAGTGGAAGAAAGCCTCTATTCGAGTTATGGCTCCTCGTCGCTGACTGTCCTCTTTGATCTTTAGGAGCGGCTCTTCTCACTGCGACGACTCCATCCTGTCTATCATCTGGTTGTACATAGTCACCATTATTCACACAATTTCTATCCCTATCTCAAGTGTCACAAATTCTCCAGTGCTTTCCTGTTTAGATCGTTAGATCGTTGGGACGGACGAGCGCCGAGAAAGGTGGAGGCACAGACGAAGAGGAAAAGTTTCGCTTGTGCCTATCTCCTCGGTCCACCGGCAAGCCCAATTTTCTTTTCTTCTCTCTTCTGCACAGATTAGATCGTCATCTGGGGTGTCTTCTGCATCCTTTCTCACCGCAAAGGAGGCTGCATCGACCTCGACATTCGACAATCGCGGGCAAACCAAGACCGTGCCAGTCTCCCATCTGCAGCAGACAAGCGAATCTCTAATCGCATCATCCATCACTCTGTCTCTCTGGCATTCTAATCTTCGGCTCGCGCGACATAGGACAGCATGCCAAAAGTGATCGTGGCACCCTCGGTGCTGGCTGCCGACATGGGCAACCTCAACCAGGAATGCAAGCGCATGATGGACGCAGGTGCTGACTGGCTTCACATGGGTGCGTAGCACTGTGCTCTGAACCCATCGACTTGTATTCAGACAAGACCTTGCTGAACTCGTAATCCTTCGCCTTTTACAGACGTCATGGACGGCCACTTTGTCCCAAACCTCGTCCTTGGTGGGTCCTCTTCTGCGCCGGATCTTGCTGAAAAGCTCGGACTGGCTAACGAGCATGCATCGACAGGCGCTCCTCCGTTGAGTTCGGTGCACAAGGCAGTTCCAGGCATCTTCATGGATGTAAGCATCGCTTTCTCTCCCCGATTACCGTCCTATGCTAATCTGTTCTTTCCGCTTCCAGTGCCATATGATGGTCACTGAGCCCGGGCGAGTGAGTTTGGCCTGTATGGCACGCCAGAAGCATCGTCCTTCTGACCTTTCGCTCAACGGCATTACAGTGGATCAAAGACATTGCCGAGGCAGGTGGCTCCTCGTACACGTTTCACCTCGAGGCTGCTTGTGAGTATTCGGTGAGCGAAGAGAGGAGTCAAGGCATAGACTGATGGTCTCTACTTCGAAGACGACCCGCTCGACATTGTGCGCAAGGTGAAGGCCGCCAATATGCGCGCAGCAGTCGCAATCAACCCGGGTACGCCAACGAGCGAGATCTCAAATGAGCTAGGCGAGTCTGTCGACATGATCCTCGTCATGACCGTCTGGCCTGGCTACGGAGGCCAAAAGTTCATGAAGGAGTGCATGCCAAAGGTAAGTCTCATGTACCTACCTGTCTGCCTGCTCCTACTCTTATCAGAAGATGGGGCTAACAACGCCCCGATTGGATCTCGCGCGCAGGTGGCCGAACTCCGGGCCCGGTTTCCTAACCTCGACATCGAAGTCGACGGAGGTGTTGGACCAAAGACCATCGACCGGTGCGCCGATGCGGGTGCCAATGTCCTCGTGGCCGGCACAGCCATCTTTGCGGCCGAAGACCCCAAGGAAGTCATCAGCTTCCTGCGACAACGTTGCGAAGAAGCCCAGGAGCGCATCAAGGCCGAGCGCGAGCAGATCCTCTTCGACCCGAGCAGTGCAATCGATGACGAGGAGGGCGAGGACCTGGCGGCGCTGGAGGGCAGGCGATCGAGGGCAATGACGCCACTCAGCCATCCGAGGGCCTACATTCGGAACCTGGCCCTTCGTCGTGACTCGACGGCATCGACGGACGGCAAGATGATCAAGAGCGGCTACGGCGTGCCCAGCCCGAGCGTGTCGAGGAGAGGAAGCGATGCGTTGGGCGCAGTCGGCGACAATGGTGTCCTCTTCAATGGTGCAGTTGGCATGACACCGATGCACACGGACTGATCCTTCCTTTTGGCTACGGGTTCTGCTTCTCGGCTCTCATGAATCAATGGATGTATGATGATTGCTTTGGAAACGGCATAGGGCAAAGAGACAGAAGAAGGAAAGCGGGGGTGAGGGGGTAACTACCGGAGCTTATCGGCAAGAAGGGAGAACTTGAACCACGTTGCGAGGAAACTTGATAGTGCGGACGAGGTTTTTGAGTGACCTTGACGGAATTGGAAGGCAATTATTCCTCATCCTCCTCTTCAATCGTCGCTTCGCGGCGGCGCTGCTGCTCCTTGGCCTCTTCGGAGCCCGGCAAGGCAAATTCCTGAATAGGCAAAAGGCAGAGGAACGCGCAAAAGGCCGCCGCAGTGATGGCGATGAAGACTTGGTGGAAGGAAGTCTCCATGGCAGTGACGGCGAGCACCTTGTTGTGCGGACTGAGCTTCTTGATGACATTCACGTCCCTGCGGATGGCCGAGATGATCTTTTGCGTCAAGCCAGACTTCTCGAGGTTCTTTTGCAGCTGGTTCTGCAGCACGGCGTTGGAGAGAGAGATACCAAGCACAGACCCGGTGGCGCGGAAGAGGTAGGTGACGCCCGTAGCAGCAGCCATCATCGTTGGCTCAATCGACGCAATGAGGGCCACGAGAGTGATGGTGAGGATGCCGCCGTACGCCGCGCCGTTCCAGGGCATTGTCAGCCAGTAGGCCCACTCGGGCGTGTGGCCTCGCTGCCAGAAGCACATGAAAAGCGGACCGACAAAGGCGAGGGAGCCAAATGTGAGGAGCATGCCCTTGTAGCGTCCGACGCGTGCCATGATCAGACCGCTCGAGAGGCTGCACGCGCTGGCGACAATGGCGTTGGGGATGAGGTGCAGGCCGGCATACGAGCTACTCGTTTGCTCGACGGAGGAGAAGTAGAGGGGGATGTTGAAGATGATGCCAAACTGGCTCATGGTGATGAACCAGCAGGCCAGAGCGACGAAGCCGGGCGTCCTCCTGAACAGGACCGCCATGGGCATCAGAGGCTCCCTGGCCACGTACTTTTCCACGAGGACGAAGGCGACAAGGAGAATGAGGCCGCCGATGAGGCTCGAGAGGACCACGGTGCTGTTCCAAGCGTGCGTGTTGCCGCCCAGGCTCAGCGAGACAATGATGAGACCAACGGAGCCGACGAGCGTGATCGCGCCGAAGACGTCGATGCGCTTGAGCTTTTCCACCACGGATCCAGGGCCTCCGGGGATGTTGACCTTCCAAGTGACAACGCCAAAGTGGACCATGCAGAGGGGCACCTGGACCAGGAACGCCGTCCTCCAGCCCAGGCCAGCGTCGACCAGAAGACCGGCCAGGGGTGCACCGCCACTAGCACCTGCAGCATACACGAGATTACCCAGTCCTTGCCAGGTTCCACGAGACTTGAGGCTGACGAGGTCCGACGTCACAATCGTCGACATCGTCGTCAAGCCACCACCGCCGATACCTGCCAGAGCCCTGGCGGCGCACAGCTGCCAGAAGGACTGCGAGAGACCACAGAGAAGGCAGCCAAGGCCAAAGGTGAACGAAGCAAAGAGTGTTGCCGTCTTTCGTCCAAAGATATCACTGAAGCGACCGTAGAGCGGCTGGAAGGCCGTCTGTGTCAGGAGGTAGGACGTCTGCGGGGGCAAATATGTGGTCAGCATGCAAGCCATTGATCGAGGGCGGGGCATTTGTTTGAAGAGACTCACTCCAAGCCATTGAATCTCTCGCGAGACCTTGAACTCGCTGCCCACAGTGCCGAGGATGCTCGCCACGCATGTTCCGTCGATGGCGCTCAGAGCGGTACCAATCCACATGGAGCTCATGATGACAAGAATGTCAGACCTCTGCGTCTCCGTTGCCGGCTCTTCGCCCGTCTCGGGCACGCCAGCAAGCCCGCTGGCGTTGATGGAGAAGTGCGACTGGTCCGGAGGTGCGAATGCCGAGCTGTTGGGATCAACTCCATGGCTGGCATCGCGGACTGCGAGAGAATGAGAAGGGCCACGATGAGCGGGAGTCTGGCACCGACTAAAAGCTACTACTGTTATAGAAGCGCTTTCTCCTCCACTCACTGGCCGAAAAGGCAGACTCCTGCGCGAGGACCTCGTCGTCGGTCAGCTCGGCAGGCGGTCGGGAAGCCGAAAGGCCAGATGGCCGGCTCTGAAGCAGCGGAGTCCTCTCGTTGGACGACGTCATGGCTACCAGTACTTAGTACGAAGACAAATTTCTTCGCAGGTGAGGAAGGAAGAAGCGAGTGGGAGAAGGCAGGCAGATAAGGATCTTATTGTTTGAGAAAAATTCTCAAAAGTTCAAACCAGGCCCTAGTGGAGATTGATCGCTCGGCCGGCGTGGCTTACGGCTTCTCGTCCGTCTAGAGCGCGTTCACATTTTCTCGACGTCCACCAGAAGTCGCCATGTCTGCTGCAGAGTGAGTAGAGCGCATCATCAGCTTACCAGTAAAGGATACGATGGAGCAAGCTGACGCGGCCCTCATGTAGGATAAAACAGTATGAAGAGCAGCTGAGCCAGGTACAGGGTGCGCTCAAGGCGGACCCTTCGAATGAGGAGCTTGTCAACCTCGAAGGCGAGCTGAAGAATCTCATTGCTCTCACAAAGCAGATCCTTGGCCAGGAAGCTTCCTCTTCCTCCGCTCCGCAAAGTGAAACAGGTCAATCTGAACATCCATCTGTGTCATCGTCGAAGCCGTCGCACAAGCGTTCACAGGAGAGCGAGACATCGTCGCAAGTGCCGCAAGGCTTTGCCGCTGGTGACGAAGTACAGGCCAAGTACAGCGTGAGTAGGCGATCGTCCTCTCTCTCCTGTCCTCTCTCGCTCTCTCTTTGATCTCATTCTTTCAAATGCTGACTCTCTTATGACGCAGGCCGACGGGCGATGGTATCCAGCGAGGGTGGTCTCTGTGGGTGGAGCAGGGGACCGGAGGCAGTACACGGTCGTCTTCAAGGGCTACAATACTACCGAAGTCCTTGCGGCCGAAGCTGTGCGTGCACAAAAGGGAGCACCTCACCCCGGCGGAGCCGGTGGAGCGACTACTTCCGGCTCGGCAACAAAACGTAGTGAGCCGACGGTCACATTGACGCCTGAAGAAGAAGCCGAACGAGAGCGCAAGCGTAAAAGAAATGAAAAGAAGGCGGAGCGTTATGCAGGCAAAGCTGCAGAAACGACAGCAAAGGCCAATTCGTGGCAGAAATTTGCCAAAAAGGGCGAAAAGAAGGGTATAATCAAAGGAGGGTCCAAGAGCATGTTTGCGACGCCCGACGATCCCTTGGCCAAGGGTGAGTTTCACCGATGGTGAATGAATGCTTTCCTCAGCTAAACTGACTGACTCTTCTTGCTTTTTTTCTGCCATCTCCACCAGTTGGCGTTGTTGGGGCTGGAAGAGGCATGACTTCGTATGACCAGCGGAAGAAGCATCTTTACGGCGATGAAGCAAAAGAAGGATAGATGATATCACGAGCAATTCATTTCCGTTTCGTTAACGCACGATGAGTGAATAAGGGGGATAGTGTGAAGCAAGATACGGAGAAAAGTGCGAGCAGAACGAGGGGAGGAGGGCGAGAGAAAGGGCAGTAACAATCATCTATGTATACAAGAATGGGGGCTAATGGGCAGGGTATTTAGGCTGCCCTTCCGATGTCCTCATCCCTCAGCGGCTGCTGGTTCAGGCTAGGTGCCGTCTGCGTGCTGCGAACAGTACCGTCGTTTGCTCCGCCGTAGGCATCAGGAATCATTGGCCGTCCCGTGTCCACCATTCCACCCGAGTAGTGCTGAGCCCGGCTGGGATCCTCGACGGCATCGCCCTTCTCATTGAGGCCGGCATTTGCTCGGCGACGGGCGGGCCAGAAGTCGACGACGTAGGTCAAGAAGAAGAAGGAGAGGATGAAGGCGCAGATCCACTCCATAACGCCTGCTGCCGAGACAATGCGGTCGCAACGAGCGTTGCTGCCAATCACTTCTCCGCGACACGTCGCATAGAGGCCAACGAAAGTCAAAAGGACCGCGACGGCAAAGGCGAGGAGAATTGTTTTGACGATGGCCATAGCCTTGAGGTGCCAGAGGTAGTTGTCGTGGTGCTTGGACAGCGAGAAGATCTCGATTGTCTGGAAGAGCACCGATAGGCCGACGCCCACGACGAAAACGACCGTCATGGACCAGTGGACATTGGAGTAGTGGAACGCATCAAAGACGCTCAAGAGGACGAGCGCCGCCGCACCAATGACGGCAAAGAGGAGTGAAAAGATGTCGAGCACCGTCTGCTTCTTCTTCAAGCTACCGGGGATCCTTCGCTGGTGACGCAGGTGACGCTCGACAAGGACCGTCAGGATGTAGAAGCCGGCCGAAAGCGACGAGAAGATAATGAAGTAGGTGTGGTGTGCAGCTCCAACGTCCGAGATGAAGACAATGTTCGCTTCGGTGTTCTCGTATTGTGGAAAGCCATCAGCTCGCCAGAGACCCAAGAGGCCGACAATGTCGCTGATCGTGCGAGGAGAATGATCAGCCTTGGGGTGCGTGTCCTACGGCATCGAAGAGGATACTCACGTGATCCAAAGAGAAAAGGTGATGATGGGGAGGAGGAAGTAGTAACCGTGAAGACCCTTCATCTTGGCGCTGGCAGCGAGGGTGAGACGACAATAGGAAGGTGGGACGATGGAAGAACGAGATCAAGAGTTGGGGAGCGGGGATCTCTTCTTTTTCTCTTCTCCCGACACGCACAGCCTTAGAAAATGTAATGCCGAGAGCAGAAGATCTGACTACCCCAAGACAAGAGCAATGAAAGCACCTATCGATCATCGCGGCGTTCAAAAGTTCCTACGTCAAGGGTCCCTGGGCGATTCCTACACAATCGCGAAACGATGCAAAGTTCCTTGTTCGTACGAATATCAGAGTGGAGATTCATCCGTCCGCAAACGTCACAGTGCATCGGCCGGAAACAGCTGCAAAACGATTTACACCACGTGGATTTTTGGACGGATCCATTTTTGGACGGGCGCTACCACCGCTTCCGTCGAGATTGGTATGCTCGGCGCCGGTCGACCAGATTGACTAGGGGCCAGAGAAGAGCAAGACTTTAGATCAAGCGAGTGACCACACACCGGTCTCAGGGGTCCTTTGCTGTATCGACCTGGACAAGACGCGGAAATGACGTTGCTAGGGGGAGCTCTGTCAGCAGCGGAGTTCGTGATTGTGTTGTACTGTACGTGTGCGATAAGCAATTAATTTAGGCAGCCATTTCGTTTCAGGATGAAGAAGACCTACGCTGCTGTTTGACTCCAGCAGTAGTATATAAATGCTTGAGCCAAGGTGGCACTCCATTCTTCCTACCAACATCACTTTGACATTCCATTCGGCACCTAGGAACAATGAGCCAACTCGTTGCTCGCCTTCGCGAAACCTTGGAGTCGTCTACTTCGTCTTCGCAGAGGCCACCTTTGACGCAGAGAAGACGCTGTGGGTGTGGTAGAAGGGCCCTCGTCTTCATAGCTGTGTACTGACAGATTTGTTCATCAGCATCTTCGGTTCCCCCACTTCGATCGCGAGATGCTCACGGCACAACGCATGACGGTGCGACGCCTCCCATGCCCATCTACGGTGGTGACGCTCTGCCTGGCCGAAGAAGACGAAGAGAGTCCGAGAGCGAAGGGACCGACATTGCATTCAGTCCTGTCCAGCCTGATGCACAATCGGTGCCCTCTCCTGTGGGCATCCTACAACGGCCCTGTGCTTCTCCCCCTCCAGCTCCTTCGGCCGGGTCCGCCGGTGCTGGGGCATTTTCAGGTCCTCGAAAGAACCGGGCAATGTCTTTGACGCTCTGTGTCGATGAGTTGGATCTCAAGAGAGGGAAGCGAGCTTCGGCGTCATCAGGTTCGGGCGCTAGCTCGCTCTCGCCAACCGGATCCTACTCTCAGGCAGGCGACAATCCTCCTGTTCCGAAGGCCGGCGCTCCCGTCGAAGCTATGGGTGGTAATGGTGCGAGCTCATTCGGAACTGGTCGGCCTCTAAGCTTTGCAAAGCAGGAGCAACAACAAGCACATGGAAAGCGTCGTCGACTTGGTGATCCCATGTAGAACAACAATTTCTCGCCACCTCCGGGTCTCTATCTTATGTATGCTATATCCTTGCTTCTCAATGTACCCCAACCAAATCGTGTGTATTCATTTCTCTTGCACTCAGAGAGAAGATAGTAGCCATCTAGTAGCCGCTCGCACCGGGAGCCGTTTCTCCCTCTCTCCTCAGGCTCAAGAGAACCTCTTTCATCCTCGTCAAATCTGTTGCGCCCGGCCCGCTCCTGGAAATCGTCTTGCTCTGCGAGTTTTGCAAGTCGACGAGCTTGGTCACGCGTGTCCACGTCGTTCCCTCTGCCAGGTCTCGAGATCGGTTCTCGAGGAATTCAGCCTCGTTTTTCCTGTTTGAAAGAGAGGATGCGTCAGCGTTTCGCGGCACCCGACGAATGACGGAGCGACGTACTTATTCTGAGCAATGTTCTTTTCCTTCTTTTTGTTGTACTCTGCGTAGAAGTTGTCGATATCCTGTTCGGCCTTCGAGATCGTCTCGCCTTTTCTGCGCTCTGCCGCTGCTTCTCGACGGGCGATTTCTTCGCCTTGTGTCTCTCTCCAGGCGCTGTTGAATCTACTTAGCTCTAGTACGGCTTGGAGGTATCGCGAGGTATTTCATAACTCACCGCACAGGTTCCGGCTCCTCCTCATCGCCAAGGTGATATGGATCAGAGGTCACGCCCAAGGGCGCAGGAGTCATGGACTTCGAGATATTGGACTGGACCGGGGGTGCCATGAAGCCATTCTGGTTTTCTCCTTCATCAGCACACTCCTTTCCTTGGTTTGTGATGCTCTTAGAACTCACCGACGAGGCAGCGTTGGCCGGAGGGGCAGCGGGAGGAGCAAGCTCTTCTTCCTCTTCGAGCTGAGGGAAGCTTCTCTCGAATTGATCGCGCTCGTCGAGGGCCGGGGCAGGTTGCGAGGGAGCGGGCGCAGGCGCACCCGAGAAGCTTCCTACACCACCGCTGCTGCCACCGCCTCCCAGGAGATCGTCTTCCTGTCCATCCAAGGCAGGGAACTGCGATGCGCCGGCGTCGAAGTCCTTGTCTGTGCCCGACGCAGCACCAGCACCGGCGCCGCCAAAGAGATCGGCCTCGCCCGAGAGTGTGCCGGCCGCCGCTCGCTCGCGCGCCAAGAAGTCGGCGGTGGGGTCCGACTCGGCAGGCGCTCCGTTGAAATCAAACGACATGGCAAGGGGCACGGTGGTGTAAACGTGAGACGAGACGTTCGTTTAAAGCTCGCTCGCTCTGGCGTCCTGGGCGATCATTCAATCGCGCTGTCCGCCTTTGGTACACGTGGTGAAAGAGGTATTTGCTTACGTAATTCATCTTCCAATCTGCGTCCAATTCCGTCGTAAAATCCGTCCTCGGTGCTGTGTCCCCGGATCCATTTTGATATGACATCACCTCAAAAGGGAAGAGCTCGAAATGTAGGCTTTGTGGTTTGGTTGACATCCGTCGTTGACAGATTTGAGTGGATGTCAATTTCCGGTCATGAAGGCTGACTGAGCAGTAATTTGACATTATAAGGACGAGCAGCTTCCTATCTGCCTTCGTCACTGTCATAGTCATCCGACACCTCTAGGAGGACCAGTAGCCATCAACCTCAGGAACAAGTTATGTCTTCAACGCAAGATGCCGGCGCGCCCATCAAGGACGTAGCCAATTCAACCAAAGACCCTCTAGCATCAGACGATTACCTTCGAGGGCCTGGCGATTCGGTGAATCACGCCGCAAAGACTGTTTCGGATCAGGTGGGTTGCCAATCACAGCATGCTGTAGTGCAAGCAAGCACCCGAGCTCATACAGTAGTCTTCAGGTTTTTACTCGGCCTGAACGTTCTTCAGCACGCGAGCGAGTCCAGCAGGCGGCTCAGAACGCAGGGACTACCGCTTCGGATGCATATCAGCGGGCGCCTGACCTCGGCGTGGGGGCAAGGGCAAATGACCTCTACCAGCGCGCTCCCGATCTCGGTGTCGGCGCTGCCATGGGATCTGTTCTAGGAGCAGTCGGTCTGGGGGCTGCCACAAAGGAGGGCAGCAGTGCTGGCGAGCAAGAGGCCAAGACCGCCAGCGGAGGTGGCTCGTATTCCAACCTGGGCAAAAAAGGAGAGACGTCCGCTCAAGAGTCTGACAACAAAGAAGAGGACAAGGATCCCAAGAGATTCGGCCGTGAGTCCTCAAGTCACCCTTGAGATGGTAAAGTTCACTTTTATCCGCAGCTTAACACATTTCTATTGAGAACAGCGTCAGACAAAGCGCGAGTGGGCAAATCGCAAAAGGAGATCGGCACCGAGTACGGCATTCCCACGGCTGCGGGAGCAGGGACTACGGTGTCCCCTGACAATACCAATAAGGAGGCGCAGAGCAAGGCTGAAGCTAATGGAAATTCACGCCAAGCCGCCGTTCCCCAGGACTTCGAGGACCGACCATGCCCGACACAGCACGCAGGGAGCAACACCCCTTCTTACCGCAAGGCTAGAGACGTCAACAACGAGAAAGCTGCAGCAGCTGCTTCGTCGTCCAAGAGGAGCTCTATCAACGGAAAGTCGAGCTCCGACGCGCCACGGTCGCCTGCGCGGTCCGAAGCCAGCTCGGGTGGCAAGAGGAGAAGCTTCGGCGAGAAGCTCAAGGACCAAATCAAGGGAGAAGCCACGATCTGGAAGGGGACCATCAAGCGAGACGACGACATTGTCGCCCATGGTCTCGATATCAAGCACGGCGAATATTAAAATACCTGTCCATCTGAGCCATCCCCCCGCGGCTTCCCCGGTCTCCGTCTTTTTTCCTCGCTAAATTTCTTGACCTCTTGCTTTCCTTTCCGCTCCTTTGCAGTTGACCGAACGGTGCTACAATGGCCAAAACCAATGGTTGAGGCCTACAAACGCAATGATAGATAATTGAGACAGATGTGCCTGATATTTGAGTCTTTAATGCAATGCAGTCGAGGTGGACAAATAATGTCCTGTTTGTGGCGCCGTAACATCAGACCACTATCATCTAATCTTGATCTGGCAACAAGATCCCAATCTTGGAGCGCTGTCTTGATCTGATCTCGGTTTGGCAATTCTGCAATTGCTTTGCTTTCGGAGAAAATATCGCCATTCGAGAGGCAACTTCTGCAACATTGATCTTATAAAAGCGTCAAGTGAAAGCTGCTATGACGTGAAAGAGGAGGATTATGAGTTGCAATGAGAGAGAAGGGAGAAAGAAGAGGTTGCAAGAGAGGAAAAGAAAAGGGAAATGATTGGTGCAAATAATGTGACAAGATGGCTGACTGGATATGTAAGGGGCGTGCTTTTGCGAGGACGGCTCGAAGATATTGGATGAGCGAACCTCTATCGAACAACTTCTTAACGAGATGAGGTTGGTCTACGAAGTCGCTCTTTTTAAGGTGGGTGTAGCGATCTCAAAGCCGCTTTCAATTTGCAAGATCGGGTCTTCGTGAAAATTGCGTCGTGGTGGTGGTGGTATGTCCCTCGATGGACAGTGCCAATTATAGAATCTCGTCTTCGTCTTCGGCTTCCTCTTGGTGAAGGCTGAGGCCTGTCTCCTCTCTCATTCTCTTTACCTTCGCAGCGAGTTCCGTCAAGGCCATGATCCGATCGTCCTCCATCTTGCCCCGCGACGCCGAAGACTCGCCAACACTACTCGAGTGCGGACGCGAGGTAGTGTTGGGATAGGAAGGGGAGCTCATCTGCATGTCGCTCCGCGAGGAACGCGACGAAGAGGGCCCAGGAGGTGCGAAGACGGAGCCTCTCGGTGGCAGCGGCCCAGAGGGTGGATGCCTTAGTCTCCTTTGAGGTTGTGTTGGCCTTGCGGATTGTGACTGGCCCTCGAATCTGTCCAAATCTTGCATGTGCCGCTGGCCATGCAGCAAGTCGTCACTCAATCGAGCTGCATCAGCCGCTGTCACAATCATACTCTGAGGCCGCCTTGAGGACGTTGTCTGTTGCTGCTGCTGCGGCCTCTGGTACGTTTGGGCTTGATAAAGTCGCTGCTGAGAGGAAGTCCTCGATAGCAAATCGTCGATCTGGCCAGAGCCCGAAGGTGGTAGTCCGCTCCGTTCTCTTTCCCTCGCTCGCTGCCTCATGAATGTGCGCAACGTATCGAGTGCTGCGGCGACTTGATCAAATTGATCGTGCTGTTGCTGCGTTTGTTGCTGTTCCTTTCGCACCTGTCGACGCCGTCGGGCCTCTTCAGTAGTCATTGCTGTCGCCGGGGCCGTCATGGCGACCGAGGCAGACGCTGTCAAGCTGCTAGAAGAGGCCGTACTGTGGCCTTCACTTGCTAACAATTTTGGTGTCGACACTGAGGAACTCAATCTACGGTGATCAAGGCCGCGACCCGAAAGGACTAAGTCTGATGAGCGACTGTGGCTCAAAGCTTGCGCCGTACCTTCGGCTCCAAAGTCAGGCTGAAGCCCCTCAATTGTGGCCCGGCTACTCCTTGACGACATCGTCGAGGCTGATGCCGGAGCAGCTGCTGAGGAGGAAGGCGAGACGACTCGGGCTGGACGAGCGGTTGCCGAGAGAGACGAGGAAGAGCCGCGCATGCCCATCCGTCTCTCCTGAAGGACACTCGATGAGGATGACGCTGAAGAGGACGAAGGCGGGCGACTGCTGTTGGAACCTCTCAGGCCCGTCGACGATTGCGGCTGGAGGCTAGAGGGCAATGCAGACGGGGCGGCAGAAATACGGCCGCGATTCAATCCTTGACCGTCATCTTGGTCGTGAGCCTGACTCTGCTGCGCGGCTCGAGGCCACGTTCGACTCCAGTCAAGCTGGCGTGCCGCCCTTGCCGGATCAAGAAATACACCAAAGTCATTGATGTCTGATCGTGAGCGATTGAGGGGTACTGAGGTAGGTAACGTCACCATTCCTTGGCGCAAGTGCGGGTCATCGACGCCACTTGGCGAGAGCCGTCTCGGTACACGGTTGTGCTTGCTTCCAGCGCTTGGCGCAGGGGACGATGGAGGTGTATCGCGGCCGTGGACCCATCGTATGTTAGCTTCACCTCCGAGGGAGAGCAGAGAGTCGTCGAGACCGGACGACTCGAGCGAAACCATGCTGTTCTCGCCTGTGCTTGTGTCCGGGACTGCTCCTCTGGTGTCAGAAGAGCTCAACGAGTGACCCCGTTGCATCGAGGGTGCGTCACCCATGGTTACGTCGTCCGTACCACCACGCCCATAGAGATCGTTGACGTCCAGACCCAGACCGGCGAGCTCTGCCGAGAGTGATGGGGGAATGCCGCCGTAGGCGCCTCCTTCAGTGCTCTGCTGCCATGAGATAGAAGGCACTTGATCGTCGAGCATCTCAACTGCTTCGTCGGACGAACCGCCGGCAAAGCCGAGGTTCTGCGACGAAGTTACCTGTCTTAGCCTCTGCAATGCCTCCTGGACAAGTGGATTACTTTCATCGATGTTGAGTCCTCGGGCGAAGTTACCCGAAGACGACGAGGCCGTGCTACTAGACGATGTCGTGTCGGCTCTGGGGCGTGTTGCTGTGAATCCGGCTGAAGATGCGGGGGACGACGCAGTGCCTCCAGACGATGACGGACGCATGTGGGTAGCAGAGCGCGAATTGAAAGGCCCCGTGTAGGTCCGCCGCACATCTCGCCTCCGCGTTCCCAGCGAGTCGGTCGGCGACCTCGAAGACTGTGCTGACAATGACGGTCTGCGTGCTTCGACAGGCGAAGCCGAGGTAGAGGCACCGCTCCCCCTCATGTGACGCTGATTGTCCTGGAGCGAATGAAGGGACCCTAGAGAGCTGCGGCTCGGAGTGAAGGGTGATCTGGATTCGGGAGAAGGAAGCGGACTCTCTCTCTGGTTGAGCGGTGAGACAAAGCCTCCCCTCATAGTCGCAGCTGATGCGATTCCAAGCGCTCTTCCAAGGCGCATATCGTCTGACAATGCTGAACGAGAGCCTGAAGCCATTTGCTGCTGCTGCTGTTGCTGTTGCTGCTGTTGCTGCTGTTGTTGCTGCTGATGCTGTTGCTGCTGATGCTGTTGCTGCTGCTGTCGCTGTTGCTGTTGCTGTTGCTGCTGCTGTAGGTGAGGGAGCGCGCGCGCAATGTCCGCTTCGGTGATGCCCGCTGGAAATTGCGAATAGAGAGATGATGGGGAGAGCGATGGGTCTGACAGAGGAGGGCTTCTGGGCTCGATGCTGTCGAGATCCATGCCGCCATGGGCAAGAGAGGACATCGATGGATCGCGAAAGCCTGTCCACACCGACGAGCTCGAAGTAGAGTTCTGCGATCGTTGTTGCTGCGTTTGCACCTGCTGCTGCAAAGGCTGCTGGGTCTGCTCAATAAAGGATGTATGCGGCCCTTGCTGGCTGAGCTGTGGAGTCGTGTCATCAAAGGCAAGGGCTGCGTCCATGGACGCAGCCTGATTGCCGGCCTGCAATTCGGAGAGCCCAAGATCAGTCTTGACTGAACGGAGCGCTGTGTTCTGTGCATTACTCACGTTCCATGGCTTTCCAGAGAGGAATGCCTCGAGCTCCTCGTTCGTGACAGGGTCCAGTTGAAAGTTTCCTTCGGTCAGGGTGGTACTGCTGTTCATCCAAGGATGGTCGCCGAAATGGCCCGGTCCATCATTCAACAACGATGACGAAGATGTCGACTCCTGCTGTCTTTGTCCGCGTGCAGTCGAAAAGGACAGGGCCTGGCTGAGCGACGAGTCTTGATGGGCACCATAGTTGGTTTGTGAGGTCTCCGAAACATGCGACGGAGAGTGGCTTTGGTCTTGCCACGCAAACGAGAGGGCATGGTGCTGATGCTGTTGGCTTTCCGCGCTGCCTCCCGAGGCCTCGCTTCCTCTTCGTTGCATAGCAAGCAGCGGCCCCTTGTCCTGCCCGGACCTTTTCGGTCCAAAGTCGTCGTCTGCTCTTCTTCACCAATGCTTCTTTAGTGGTGGGATTGTTGTTCCTTTCGAAGTCCTTACCTGGCCTCTGGTCATTGATGGGAGGCCGTGCTTCGTTCACGTCAAAAGTCAGCTGGGGCAAGAGTCCAGGTGGGCAGGCACGCGGCGCTTTCTGGAACGACAGCTCACCCTTGTTCGCTCCTTGACAAGGAAAATGGGATCCCCGCTCGTCTAGCCGTGCGCGGTTGGTTAGGATGATGATGACCTTGGTCGCATTGCACCAGCCGAAGCAGGGACGGGCCGCTTGACACAGGAGGGGAGAGAAAAGCTTGTCGCAAAAACGGCCGAGGAGACAAGAGGCGCTGCTGTATGGTTGGTTCCTGGAAGAGGCGGCGCTGCCAGGACGGGCTAGTGGGGGAAGGGAGGCTTTGGACAAGGTCCAGCTAGTAGGCTTCAAAGCTCGTTGTGCACACGGCCGATGATTCGCCGGCTTGACCTTGCGCAATTCGACTGCGAAGGGTCAAATATTCACAGTTGAAAATCGGCACTGCCGGTGTCGGGGGATCGACAGCTGAAGGATCTGCACGCAGGACAGACACTGCGATTTGATCAGCGGGCAAGCAAGGTCGATGTATGATAACAAGGTTTGCTCTTCTTCGCTGTGCGTCGTCGGACCGATGTCCACCGTTTGCCCTCTCCCTCTCTTCTCTGCACACACTCCTTGTGCTCTTCCGGCCGGGGGAAGAAGTCGCGCGGGAGTGGAACAAAAAAAAGAAATATCCAAGCCAGGCGGTGCAGCGGCTGCTGCTTGTTTGTTGCTTTCGTGTGATTTCATTTTCTTCTTTTCCCCCTCCATCCCTCAACCTCCGTACGCTCCCTCTGTACCTAAAGATACCAAATTTCGATCCTCCTCCCCTCCTTTCCCACCTGTATACATACATAGCCTCTTGTCCAAAGTTCAGCAAGAATTGCCCGCGTTGTCTGCCTAGGCGGCAAGCCGACAACATTACTTTCTTAGCTTCCTCCTCTCCTCTCATGTGGTCGATTAATCCAAGGGTAAGGAGACACGAATCTTCTAGCTCAGAAACCGGTGAAACATAACACGCCTTAAAAAAAAAGCCACGAACCCCGGTTCGCACTGGGACGTGCGCGAGCAGAGAGGCGCTTCGGCAGGAATATAGAGCACACACAGCAAGGCCTAACCTCCATAGGTCATGGCCCATTAATGCGTATACACCACCACGCCAAGCAGTACGTACACCCGCTAGCGGTTGCCTGTTGGAGAGGCGGACCCACAATATAGCTTCTCCATGTTATCGAGCTATGACGCTGGGAAGACAGACAGCACGTACGCACGCGCGTACATTGCTCACGCATGTTGCTTTCTCGGCCTTTTATTTTTGCTTTTTCACAGAGGGGCTAGGGCACAGAGAGAGAGAGAGGGAACAAACAGATCAGAGCTTTTTCGAGCTAGCTCGACAGTTGCTTTCTGCGTCTTGGCCCGTGCCTGCAATTGCCACTTTCGTACTCCGCTCTTTTGAGCAGAGAAAAGGAAGAGGCAGGCCCCCTAGGCCTAGTAATATGCAGCCTTCGCGACGGTCCAAGCAAACGGAACCAAACAAAGGCGGAACCGCGTTTGCGATTATGAAGATGAATTTCAAGGGGTCGTGCTGCAGGCCACGAACGAGACGCGCCATCTGCAATGCGTGCTGACTAGAGTAGTACTACTAGCTACTATACTACTTCTATCTTAGTAGTAATATGTAGCTAGCTGGCTAGCTGCTAGTAGTGCAGCAGTAGAAGTAGTAGTGGTAAAATAGCGAGTTTTGCATGTTACGTAGTAGTAGTACTACTAAGACGGGACTGGAGCACAATAGTTACTGGCATCGGAGCTTTCGCCAACGCAAACATGTCTCACATTTGCGACCAACACTCTGATCGGAACCGGATATAAGTTCACTGCTGTGCACATGGGTGTGGAATGAGCGGGTGAACGACGATTCGACACGGCTTAACATCAATGAGCCGGAATTGACGGAGTCAAGGTGCCGCCATCACGGCCCTCCTGAGGATAGAGGAAGGCAGGGCCAAAGCAGACGTCGGCCCCACCACCTTCACGACTGTCTTGCAAGCGCCCACTGCGATCGCACCGCGCAACAATTGCAGTTTCGGGAGCTGTAACTCCAAATGCTCTTGCCTGACCCGGTGGCGTCTTTTGCCGTTCCGATCGGAGTAAGGAAGCATTGGGATAAGTCGATCGGACTAAAGAATCTGTTATGTCTTGCCTGTCAGATAGCTCGGTGATAAGGACCCTGCAAGCTTGTTGCTCGGCGAGGCGATGCATGTCATCATCCTGACGTTGAATACAAGAGGTGGTGAACGGGCTGGGTTCCTGTCATCGCTCGGCGAAGCATCACTGTTTCGTCTCCATTGTCTCCAGCTGATTTTCCCACCCCATCAAAGCAAGCGGGAGCACCTCAAACATACCCACTTCCGGGAGTTTTGCCCGATCAGGGTCGAGCTTTGTCGGCACCGTCACTGCTCTTACAATCTTCGTCAGACAGGGAGAAGGCGCTCCCGAGCAGACGATCCAATGGACCGCCAAGGCAAGCAATCTCGGGTATGAATGCCAAATGTGGAAGCCAGCTCAGCTTGGCCCTACTTCATCGAAAGACGCGTAAGGGTTTCGCAGTAAGATGCTCACCCCTCCCACGCTTGTGGATTTTCCAGACATGAACCTCCGAATGGCCATTTGAAACGGTGCAGTGCAAAGTGCACTCATCTACGCCTGCCGTAATAATGTGTGAGTAGGGTGAGCAATGTTCGGTTTATTGTCGAGACTCAAGGTACAGTACGTGGGAAGAAGAGAGCAACCAAGTGGTTGGTGAGAAAGATACCACATCTACCTCTCCCGGCCTGCCCATTCTTCCCATGATCACTGCCTCCCATGCAGGAGAAAGTTTAAAACAACCCTTTTGAGGTCTCGTCCGTATGCGAAGAAGCCCACACTGTATCGAAGCCCTTGCTTGCTGTCAAGATGCGGGGAAATGGGGACTTATCTATCTGCTTGTCAGTCCCGCGGAAAGTTGCACCTCGTCGCATGAAATCTCGCTTTGGCTAACCACATTCAGCCACGCGCCTGAAAAGGTCACCACTGCCTGAATCGACTAGCTCCTTTGGGTCACATTAAACAGCCCGAGACGACCCTCGGCAACGCCACACCATGGTAAAGTGCTTTCCACTCCTCTCGAAGCAGTTCTCAGAGAGTTTGTGGGAAAAAGCCTTGCAAATTGTGGCCGATCAGATGATTCGAGGTACCAGATGAAGCATTGAAGGGAGTACAGAAAAGACACGCCATTACGAATTTATCGCTCCAAATACCTTCTGAGATTCCCGCCCGACGCCAATCGACCTTGTGCTGGACGTATCATCGGTGCTGCTGCTGTTACTGTTGTTGCTGGCTATGGAGTTGCAGCAGATAGGCTTGATCAGCTGCCACAGCTCTTTGACCGTGTCTTGTCCACTTTTCTCGTCAAGTTCTTTCTCTAAATTGAGCAAGCTGCAGTTGTTGTTGAGATTCAGCTCCTGCTTTTCTTGCCCATAAAAGAACTCACTCTTCCATTTTCTGGTTGCAATTGCAGTCCCTGGTGTTATTGACCGCAAAGTCAACTTGCTAACGGGGTCACACCGCGCAAAACGCATGAGCATCACTTTTCTCGGTGTCTTGAAGTCGCGACTCACCGAAGTTCGGATCTTTTCGGAATCAAGTGGATCTTCGTCCGAGTAGGGCGGCAACAGAAGCGAGTTCCAGATACAGCAGCAAGACACCAGATGGATGGGCCAAGCGGCGAGATAGACCTTTTGCGGCTTCTTCTTTTTTCCGACTTTGCTTTCTTCGTCAGGACCGTCATCGCTCTCCTCAAAGATCATCTTGACCTCGAGGCGGTGGCTAACGCGGATGGGTGTCTGACTACTTGAAATCGTAGTCGGTCTCACGTCATTGTCGTGGGGCAACCGAGCAATCCACGCTTCTGCCCTTTCGTCTTTGCCCATGAAACGATCGAGCTCAGATCCTTCAACCCGGTGGAATTCCACAGTCTTTTCGGGGCAATCTTCCTCGTGGCCGGGACGCTTCCGACTAGCCAGTCGTGTCTTTTGAACGATGCTCAGTGTGATACAGACTAGGCGAACGTTCGGAGCGGGGCTGGGGAGCGAGATACCGATGTGTAGGAACCCGCCAACGGTGAGATGCAGTGAGCAGACGTGGAGTATGACGGGCTGGGTACGAAGGATCACTTGAGCTAGGGCAAGTCTGCGAGAGAGATCAGTCCTGGACTCACTCCGAGAAGCTCAGAAAAAGAGCGATGAGTCCGCGAATAGTCGTTTGTTGTGATTGTCCGGGGAAGAGTGTTTAGTGTAAAGCCCTGTATAGCCCACGGTAATGATCAGGAGTGATAAAAGGTGAATAGAAAGAAACGTGAACGTACTTTTTCAACGGTCTGACCTTTGCTATTGGGTAACTGCAGCTCGGCACGGACCAGATGATTGATCCGTCCCCACCTACACCGTTCATAGGGAGGCGAGGTATGGTCAATAGTGAGGGCGACTTCGTACGTCGCTACGTCTCCCTTGTTCAATTTTGCTATGTCGACATCGAGCCTTGCACTAGTCAGCACAGAGGTTGATTCCTCAACCACTCCGCTTGGAAACTGATTGTGATGGCGTCAGAATCCAGTGGATCTCGCGAAAGGAACTAGCTTTACGGGGCGACAAACGCACCATCACAAACTCCTTAACCAGCAGCTCGATGACGACGCTGGCGCCCAACGCCTCGTCAGGTTCCAGGGCATGCAAAAGCTGAAGCTTGACAATGACTCTGAGGACAGCCGGAGGGATGTTGTTCTCGGTAGCTTCGCTTCCTTCTTCGATGACCCGATCGACGCCGGTCGGATAGAGAACCACTTTGGTGGGCGAGACCGAGAAGTCTCTTTGTGATTTCTTGCAATAGTCAGTGAAAGCCCCCAAAAGAATCTTGCTTCATAAGAAATGGTCCTCACAGTGAGACAGGTTGTCTCCAATACCTCTTGACAAGCCCTGTTAGCGAGTGCATGGCCGGACAGATGTAAGTGAAAGTGAAGACGGGAGCATGAGAGGACGATTCAGTTTCTGGCCCGAGCTTTCGGGCTCAGCGCTGACTCGATTAAAATCTGGCCCGTGCGCGCCTGACATCGGACATCGGACTTCATATTCGATGGTGAGGATGGGATAGAAGCAAGATGGATTGGAGAGTACAGGAGCAGCTACATTCGCGTCTCAGAGCTTCGAAGAAGAAGCAGCGAGGACCTCACGGGCGCTGTTCATAGTCGTCAGTCCAGTTCAAGTCCGAAAGCAAAGATTCGAAAGAGTCCTGAAACTCACTCTTTGGCAATGCGAAGCGTCATCTTGCCCGTGTTTTGGCCCACCAGCAGACCTTTCAGTGCATCAGGGCAGTGCTCAATACCCGGCTGGGGAAAGTCGTAGATGCTGCAGATGGCCCAGGTGTGAGTATGGCATCAGACCGAGACTTTGAGGAGGAGAAGGGGAAAGGATGACCCACCTAGCTTTGATCTTTCCCTCCTTGATCCACTGCGTCAGCTCCCGGTTGGCCCGTCGCAGATCGTCGTCGGGCGTAAGGCCTTTGATGACTACGTAGCCGCGCAGGGTGAGAGACTGACTGACAGCCACGATGAGGTTCTTGATGCCGAATTTCTCCGCTGCATCGGCTCCGATCTTGTTGTACTCTGCAATCATGCCGCACAGGGCCACGCGTCCAAACATGGCCATGCACGGCAGGGCGGCATCGAGAATCTTTCCGCCCACGTTGTCAAAGTAGACGTTGACCTTGCGATTTGTGGCTTTGCGCAAGTCGGACTCAAAGTTGGGCGAGGTGTAGTCGACGCAGGCATCTGCACCGTTGTCGAGGACGGACTGACACTTGCTCTTGGAGGCGATGCCGATGACCCTGGACGCACCGACGGCCTTTGCGACCTGGATGGCCACCGAGCCTGTTGCGCCTGCTGCGGCGCTCACCAACACGACGTCACCCTTTTTCACATTGGCCACAGCGACGAGACCGACGTGTGCAGCCACGCCGGGCGCAGAGAGAGCCGAGAGGTGTTGGAGCCCGACGTCGGCGTCGTACGGCCAGACCTCCTTCTCGGGAAGGACAGTGTACTCGGACCAGTCGAGCATGCCGACGACCTTTTGCCCGCGCTTGTAGCGCGACGACTTGGACTCTGCGACTACGCCGATGCCAAAGGCCCACATGGGCGTGTTGAGAGGGTGAGGCTCGCGGTAGCTCTTTCCCAGGCTGATCGACGGCCTCATGGCGGGCTCGAAGCCGACGTACAGCGTGCGGATCAGCACATGGTTGGTGGGGATGTCCTTGGGCAGCGGCTGCTCAACGAGGCGAAAGTTGTCCTTGTTCAGCTCGCCCTTTACGTACTCGTTGAGCACCCAGCTCTTGTAGGTTGTCGTCGTGCTCATCGCGTGCGTGTCTGTGTTTCGTTGTCAAAGGAGGGCTTGTTTGTGCAGCGATGGAGTCGTGAAGAGAAAAGCTCGAGGTGCGGTCACTCCGGAGTAGCAAGAGCCGTCTTGGCCGGTGCATGCATTTATGCTTCTTACAGGCGTCAAAACCCTAGTGAACTATATTTATTTTATCCGAGCCCGATTCCCGGTGTGGCTGCTCAGACACCACAGACACACAGGGCCCTAGGCTCGCTCTTGCTCGCGTCTTTGTCAACGAGTCGAGGGCCGAGTCGCCATCACAGACCGATCAGGTGTCGTTGCTTCTCCTCCCAACAGCCCCGTATGGCGCAGGTACAAGCTATTTCTGGATTCGTGGATATAGATTGCTGCTCGTCTGGCGTGCCGTTGGAACAGATAGGAGCTTCATTGGCTGCGAGATGAGGCCAGTGCTCGGACGCCCATTTTCGCAGACACACGCAATCTGCGCGTGAGGACGGCCCGCGATGAGCCCATCGACCGCACTTCGCGCGGGTGGGCCAGCGAAGGCCACCGCCCGCCCACAAGCCTACGCCCTCCTGGCCGTGTCGCTCCTCTCCACCATCCTTTTCTCCCACATTATCGGTACGCTCAAGGGCAAACAGGCGGACCGTATGACGGCATTCGACTTCAACATGACGGTGTCGTTGCTCACCCTCCTGGTTATGCCTGGGCTCACGACCACAGTCGCATCCATACTGGCCCTATTGATCGTCTCTCACATGACGCTTCCATGGCAGACCTTCGAAGCGCGCCTGCTCCGAGCCGGGCTTCTCTTTCCCATCACGGCCTACCTCATCTTTCACATGGCCACAGACCCCGCACACACCTTGGGAAACAACATGCGTGATCTTTGCTTTGGCACCATGGCTTGGAACCTCATCGCAAAGACCCTCGATGTCAACCTCGTCACCCTTTTTGACGATCACGCACCCCGATGGTGTGTGCCCGATTGGGACAAGGAGAGGTCGCTCCTTGCCTCGAAGAGCGATACTATCACAGAGAACAAAGAAAAGCTAGAGACAAAGAAAGGGAAGAAAGTCTCGGACTCTCGGCCATGGCCTTGCTTCAGCAACTCGACCTTTTCGCTCCAGAAAAGACCCTTGTGGGCCTCCCGTGATTACGTTCCCGTCCATTGGATGCTCGTCGACCCACCACAGCGCCTCTTTTCGATGGACCGACTCCTCTGGACGATTGACGTTCTCGTCTTACGGAGGGTCGGCACCAGTCTGATCTTTCCCGAACACATGCGCGCCCTCGAATGGTCGCAGCGGCGCCTCGAGTCCACAGGCCGCGTTCGCTATCACCGTCAGCCAAATTCTCGATCAGACCTCGTCGCCAGGCCAACACAGGCCGACTTGCAGCGGGAAGTCTCGTTCGGGCAGGTACCCGTGCCGCTGTGGCGGGCTATCATAGAAGCGTGCGTGGCCCGCTATGCCGTCACTAAACTCAACGCCTACCACTTTCCACTGCCCGTCGACCAAGGAACATTTTATATGCTGTCTCTCGGCGAGCAGTATCTCTTTGCCTTGTGCGTTGGCAGCCAGATTGCATTCGGCGCCAGCCTGCCAGACTACGTGTCTGTCAAGGCCCTCCGACCCCTGGTACCCGTCACGGCCAATCTCACGTCGTTTTCTGCACCCGCGAGCGCTACTTCGCTCTCGGATCTGTGGGGCAATAGATGGCACACATTCTCTCGTAGAGATCTGTGGAGGATTGCCTCGCTCTTGTTTCCCTTTGGGTCAACCAGGGTGGGCAATGTCGTGGGTGCCTTCTTCTTCAGCGGCGTCTTTCACTGTGAGTTTGACTGCTTAGTGGGGAGAGGTGTTAATCGTGGCTGACTCGCGATGAAAATGGAATCGAAGCGCTCCTTTTCCTCCGTGCTCTGCAACCAAATCCATTCTGGTCCGGTTCGATTTGGACCGACGTGCAGAAGTGGCTCCCTGTTTTCTTTCAGCCCGGCATTGTAGCATTCTTCACCGCTCACGGCTTGATCTGCGTCGCCGAGCGACTCATCCTCGATTCGCGCCACCCAACCCTCGTGGGCCTTCGAGATGCGTACGAGCGCCACCTGCCGGCCTGGTTGCGACAGGCGCTTGGAATCCTGTATACATGGACCATGCTCCTCTACACGGCCCGCTGGGCAGCTGCCGATGCCATTCAGACTGGCGTCCTCACGCGCGAAAACACCCACTCGCTCACGATGGGAGCCATGTGGGCCGACGTGCAAGCGTATTTCTCCTCGCCCTCGTCGACCAAGTGAGAGAGTTATTCTCTCTTCTTCCTCCTTCCCCTCTTCCTTCCTCTTAGGCCTCCTCTACCTTACAAGTCAATGCCTGTTATTCGTGTCTTGAGCTACAGATCCTCCTGTGAAGTGGACCCAATAGAAATCAACGAACATTGATTAGAGGGACTTGTAGACAAGAAGGGAATGAACATGAGAGGGTAGGAGTGAAAAAGGGACCGCATCGAGATCTGTGAAAGGATTAACGGAGAAGGACAAATGGTAGTTGATGGGTGACGAAGCGAGCACGATGCAGTGCCAAGGGATGATAGATGGGGTCGAATGTTATGAAAGGAGAGTGCCGGGGTATAGGAATGGGTCACATGATTGTGCACTTGCAACATCCTGCTCCTTCGTCGTCTTGCTTTGAGTTTGCCTTATTTTGCTGAGCCTGTTGATGCTTTTGAGACGCTGAAGTGATTACTTGCTCTTGCTGTCTTGCGTTGGTCATCTCGATCGTGTCCGGGCCGTCTTCTTTGTTTCGGTAGCTTCCCCGCTGCTGTTGTGCCTGAATTGGTAATCTCGACGTTCTCTTGTTTTTATTGGAATCTGCGTCGTTAGAAGAGAGTGCAATGCCAACGGCTGCACGATCTCCTTCAGCCTCATCTTGTGACGCGGCAGCAGCGGCGGCGGCAGCAGCAGCTTCCTTTTGCTCTCTCGCCCTCTGCTTGAGGACGAGCATGCTTTTGCTGAGCGGGTTGCCATCCCTGTCCCATGTGTCGATGAGACCCTCTACCCGGGAGAGCCGTGGATCGCCATCGAGCATTTTCTCTTGTGCCAGCCGCTTCGCCACGACGGGAAGGATCTCTTCGTCCCAGGGATTTTGAGTTTCTCTCGCGGCTCCTTCGCTAATTCGGCCCTCTGCTCTTGTATCCCTGTTGCGCATTGAGCGAGGCACGCCTCCAAGTGGGCCAAATTCGTCGAGCACGTCTTGCGTCGGCGGGCTGTTTCTCAGAGTCTGCGTCGCCGATCGCTTCGGCACCTTTTCCGACGCACTTCTCCTCTGGTCCCTCGCCGTCTTCTTTTTCTTGTGCACAGTCAAAGAGGAGGCGTTCTTGGGGCTTCCGTCGTTGTGACTCTTGTCGTTGGCCATGATGTTGCCGTCCTGGTGGGGAGGCGTTGTTGGCAGCTGCAGTGGCTCTTCTCCTTCCTCTCCACTAACCGTATCGAATGTCGAGAGCAGCGGTCCACTCTTGCTCCGCCGAATCTGCCCAGCATACTCCGGATGGTACTTTGCCATGCTTCCCGACACGGGCAGTGGAATCTTGCTCGGCGTCGTGCGACCACCCGAGATGCTTGTGCTTCTTGGCTTGTCCAGCCGTTCGTTTGCCCCTGTCGCTGGCTTCCTATGATCCTGTAGCTTCCTCTTGCCCAATTGCTGCTGCGATTGTGCGGGCGTAGAAGAGGTCCTCTGTCGACCTGCACCGCGACCTTGCCAGTGCTTCTCGTCGCCACTCGGGTATCCTTCTGAATCGCCATACACATCCTCTTCGTGGCCTTGCGCGTCGAGGAACGCATCGTCCTCGATTCGCTCGCCCCTCGCCCGCGCAATGTCCTCGTTAAAGTAAAACACATCGTCTCCATTGATCTTGCCAGAGGCGCTAGCGCCCTGGTGGCTGGGCTTCTGGCTCGCCAGCCTCCTTGCTCGCTCCCTCGCAATGGCCACACTGTCCTGGCCAGACGGTGCGAGATTCGTCGGCGAGACTCTCTGTGGAAACGACGTAAAGGAGCTGGAGGGCGAGATCGTGTAGTATTTCTCGTGCGTCGCCGCGCCTCGATAGCTGCCGCTTCCGCCAGCCGAGGCGCCAATGGTGTTGGCGGGGGACCTGAAGCGAGCAGAGGAGCCGGTGGCCCACTCGGACGGGATCAATTCGTCGCTACCCAGGCCGTCTTGCAAGATCTCCGACGTTCGCCTGGACGGCAGTCCGGCGGTAGGTGGTCTGAGCGACCTCGAGGCGCCGACGCCTGGCGAGAAGTCCGAGGGTGCGTCTGTCCACATTGCCTCGCCGACCATCATCGAAGAAGGAGCGCCAAGCCCGTCGTCGTGCTTCTCGGCCGCGTACTGCGTAGACGAGTCAAGCCTGCTCATCCTGCTGGCCAGCCTCCTGGACTCCTCTTCGAGGCGCTTGCGCAGCGCAGGCACCACCTCGTCGTCAAAGTCGTGGGCTCTCGCTACGGGCGCAGGAAAGTGAGCCTCGTGGCCCTCATCGCTTGCGACTAAGCCCGCTGGGGAGGCAGCATAGGCAGTCGCTGTAGCAGCCACCATCTGAACATGCGCTGCGCTGACACTGCTGCAGCCCTACTCCGGCGATGATAGTCCGACTAATCGCTCCTTGTGTTGCGTAGTGGTCGTCGTCGTCTTCTTTTTCTTCCTTTTGCTTCCAATAGGCGGCGAGATGTGCTGGCGGTGGTAGTGATGGGTGCTTGTGTATCCAAAAATAAGAGTGTCGACTGCTCTGATTGAATTCGTGATGGCCGCCCTGTCCTTTCCTATTCTTGTAGCCTTTGTCGCCTCTTGCTCCGCTCCGTCTACGGCGTCTGGCTGCCACGTACGTACTGTAACAGTGCGTACGTCGGGAGAAAAAGTTAAGATAAGGGCAACAAAGGCCGGGAAGGGCAAGACAGGGGGGGGAACAATTGTCTCTAGTGTTCTTCCTCTCTCCCTTGCAGGGTCTCCGCCTACAGGGGCAACCGCTGGGATGACTGACGTACTTTTTTTTTCTTGTCTGACTTTGATTCGAAATCGTCGGCAGAGGGGCCTTTGCGTCGAGAAGGAGTGACGATGGCGGCGTTTGTGGCGTAGCGGTGCCGAGTGTCGCTTGCTTGGCGATCGATGATCGCTGAAGGCCCTGGCGCTGGCGTGGCTGGGGGCAAGGCAAGGCTAGCACAACTCAGGAAGGGGAAAGCCGCTAAGAGTGCCCAATCGAGCTTTGTTTCCGGTGCGGCACCGGCGTAATGTTTCAGATTTTTAGTTGTATTTCTTGGAGAGGGGAAGTCTTAACTTGCTTTCTTTCTACCACAGAAAAAGTCGAAGCCTGACTTTGAGGCTGGGAGTGACAAATGGACGGACGACGACGTGACGAATGGGAAATGATGACCGGTTTGAGGTATGGATGAGGGGGGGACGGAAAGAAGAATAACATGACAAGTGCTATGGATGTATTCACAGTGCCATGGATTTATTCACACGGCCTGAGTAGCGTCAATCTCTATGGCGGGCATGATGCTAGCCATGAACTTGAGGAAGACGAGGAGGTACTGGTCCACTCTCAGACCCTCGACCTGCGTCTCGCTCTCCTCGGCTAGCTCCTCTTGTTGTGGCTGCTGCTGCGTCTGCGACGATGCAGTCACCTTTCGGACGGCACCACCCAGACCCCAGCCTTTCTTCTTCTTGTCCTTGTTTGACTTCCTCTGCTCCTCCTGCACGCCCCCGTCCATGCGCTCAATGACCTTCTTCATGACGCTGGCATGCTTGCACGGGTGGATACTCGCCGTGCTCATGTTGGCATGCGGAAATGGCTCAACAGTGACTGTCTTCTGCGCATAGTCGGACGAGATGTCTTCGAAGATCTGCGTCGGCTTCAGCGGTTGGCCAGATTCGTCATAGCCAACGAGCCACATGCGCGGCGTCTGGTAGTACTTGTCGTAGGTGATCAGGCAGTCGTATGTCCGAACTGACACGAGCTGATTCCGGGCGCTCGCTCCTGCTCCTGTTCCCTGCGACGAGGTCGCTGCTGCCGCCGCTGCAGCTGCAGCAGCGGCTGCTGCCGGTGCCGTCGTCTGAGTTGCCGTCGCTGGATCCTGTTCCTCCTCGACGCCTGCGCCCAGCCCTTCGTCATCAAGCTCATCGTCTATATCAGGGATGTCGCCGATGTCGTCGGGCCCTGATGCTAGCCCTGATGGATTTGTTCGGCCGTTGTTGTCGTCTGCTGCTGCGCCCGACAGGCTCGTTCCTGCAACGCGGGCTGCCAAGTCATCTTCCTCGCCGGCCGTCATCGAGGCAGCGCCAGCCGGCGGCTCCGAGTCTGGAATATCGACGATGTCCTGCACGTGTGCAGAGGCCGGCTCGTCATCGAGGTGCGTCGCCAGCCAGTCCTCGTCGGTGCCCTTGCCCTCGACGCCGTCCTTGCCCTCGGCAAAGTCGAGCAGCCTCTCGTCCGAAGCCGGGGCGCCCTTTGAGGACGAGGACGCTGGGCTCTTGGATACAGCTGCCTTTTCCATCTGGCTCACCCTCCGCAGGCAGGGCACCCCGCGCGAAATGAGGTACTGCTTGTCGGCGGGCAAGAACTCGCGCGAGTACTTTTGGTCGCTCGACGAGGCCGGCGACCAGGACCAGGTGGGGAACTTGTAGGTGAGAAAGTCGCCCGCCGCGACGAACTCATCTGGACAGGAGGGTACACAAGAGCGTGAGCGAGAGACTCAAAGCCTTGACAGGCCAGTCGGGACACTGACCTGGTGTGATCCGGCCATGTTCCTTGAATTTGGACTCACGCAGGACCGGCGCCAGATAGTCACGCACGGCCCAAAAGTGAGTCTGCATAGAGAGGGGCCAGTGTCAGCTCGAGGATCGTGACCCCAGGTCTTCCTGCAATGAGATGTCTTGGCATACCTGAATGGTGTTCATGATGAGGGAAAAGACTGGGAGGAAGAAGCCCTTCGATCCCGTCCTTATGTGGCTGAGCAGAGGGACAAAGGAAAGGGAGAGAGAGCGCTGCGTCGCAATCTCGACTGGAACCTGGCCCTCGACTTAAGGTTCACAACTTACACACCACTACTAAGCCGTGACAAAATCACCTGTCATCGATGACTTTCCACGTGAGTCTTTCTTTCCCTACTGACGTTTGATTCTTCTCAAAAAAAGGCGGCAACCAAACCTGTTCCAGAGAAGCAGACGACGATGGCGACAATGACCATGACCATGCTGGGGCCTCGGCGGCTTCTGCTTGCGCCGAGGCAACAGCTCTTCCGAAGCAGCGTCGCTTTCCCGCGCTTCAACAGCACTGCTGCGCCATCACCACCACCACCACCACCACCACCACCACCATCTACTACATCTCGTCAGCAAGACGAATCGGTGCTGGCGACGTACGATGGCCCCATGACGCGCATCTTTGGCCGGCTCAAGCTCTTCTCGCTCGCCTCGCTGAGCCTCTCGACGTGCGCCTCTCCCCTGCTCCTCTTCGGCGGCGCCGATGTGCCCATGGCGACGCGCCTCGGCCTCATCGCGCTCGCCATGAGCACCTCGGGCGTGAGCACCGCCATGGTCGCCTGGATCGCCAAGCCGTACGTGGCGCAGATGCTCCTCGTCGCGCCCGGCAGCGGTAGTGTCACAGCAGCATCGCCCACGCTCGAGATGCGCACCACCAGCTGGCGCCTCCGCCCGCTCCAGACGACCATCTTTGAGCCGAGCCTGATCCGGGCCACGAGCCGCCCCTTTGCGACGTGGGAGCTGCCCGCAGCGCTGCCGCCGCCGCCGGCCCACATCGAGCAAGAGCTCGAGCGGACGGGCGCAAGCGTGACGAAGCTCTTGGCCGAGACAAAGGACATGAAGACGGGAAAGACAGTCGGGCGCTACTGGGCCACCTGGGACAAGGACGAGGCCGCGAGCGCAAAGGGCCAAGAGGGCAAGCAGTGCGCGCAGGAGGGCAACGTCGTCCGCCACTTCAACGTCCAGGAGGACCTCCTCGGCGAGGACTGGCAGGTTCTGTAATTGTATCATCTCAACACTGTCTCATCACTACTCAGCATCATCATACAAATACAAATACATTCTTCATTGCTGATTTACTGAACCATTCAAACTGTCGTTGGCGGCACCGACAATCTCGGCATGTCGGACCTCGTTGGCGACGTTTGCTACGACCTTGTACCCCCGCGGCGCCTTTCTCGCCCGCTTTCCACCCCAGTCGACAACCTCACCAAGCCCATTGACCCAGACGGCGTCCTCGTCCCTCACTGCCAGCGGTTCAACCTCGTCCGCCCCCTCGTCGCCCTGACGGAGATGGGCCTCTGCTTGTGCCTTGGCAGCCTCTTCGAGGCCGCCATCGAGCCGCCGAACATTCTCGACGTGGACAAGCTCCTTGACAGCGAGGATGGCGCCCGCCATGTCGCCTCGCTGCGGACGGTAGACGCTCTGCAGCCGCTTCCTCAGTCCAAGCGCCTTGAGAATCTTTGTCGTCTTCTCGGGCAGCCCAATGGCCGACCGCCGCAGGGTGATGCGGTAGTGCGTCGTCGGCACCTTTGCCTGCGCTGCTGCCTGCTGCTGCACCTGCTGCTCAGCCGCCGTCGACATCCATCGGGATGGTCCGGCGAGCGGAGATGCTCGGAGTGCCCTGAACATCTTTGGTGGTCTGGAGACAAAGATGAAAATTTTATTTTAGCGCTCCGTCTTCTAGAAAGTGGAAAGAAAAAGAAAAAAAAGGGAAAGTGTCACATCAGGAAAACCAGTTCTCGACCTTGCGAGCGCGGCACCGCCATCGTCTACCCCAACGGATGCCGCATCGAGTCCTTGCCCTTGGGCTCTCAACCAGTGCACAGAAGGTAACAAGCTCAACCGCCACCGGAACTCGACCCGAGAGTCTCGCTCAACAGTGACAGAAGCGCCCAGCAACCTCCCTCGCACCAGGAAAGCCCAAGAGTATAGGACGACGCCGCGCATCACAGAGGAGCCCCATCACAGGACGACGAGGAGGCACGCAGACCGCCCACTCTCGACGGCTCTTCCCGTGCTATCGGTTTATAGAAAAATGCTCATCACAGTAACACAGAGGCAGACCAAGGCAGCAAGCAAAAGAACACGCACATGTAAAATTACAGAATGGACAGGGTGGCGATGGGTCTGACTGCTCGCTCGACCTGGTTGGAAAGACGACACCTTTCAAAGTCAGTACGACAGTTCCTTTGACCAAGCAAAAGCAAAGTTGGAACCGGAAGCTGCTGTCCTCGGACTTCCAAGGAAGGTCTGCGGACCCTCATCAGGCCAGGCCCAGCTCGACCCACAATGCACCACTGGCCACCGACACTCCGTCAGACGGAGGGTTCGAGCCGGCAACCCACCCGATTAGGGGTGTGGGTAAACAAAGGGGGAGCTTGACAGGCCCCACCTCCCCGCTAGAAAGAGGTGCTTGCGGGCCCTAGAGTGGAAACTGCGAATTTTGGCTGGATACCATATCTTTCATCATCGGAGAGCAGCTCGCCGGAGCGGCGGTGTGGCGTTGCAGCTAGGACCATAATGACTCACCTCTTCACCAACAAAGACACAAAGTCGCAAAAGGGAGAAGAGAAGAGAGCATGTCAGCAAGAGTATTCAAAGAAGAGAAAGGAAGGAATGGATCAGACAAAGATGTGCTGGCATGCACAAAAGAACAGAAAAGCGCCCGACAGCGATCGAGCAAACCTTGTCGTCTCGGCATGGTCGTGTAGGCCGGGGAAAGGAGTAGAAGCTCATCATTTGGAGATCGACTGCAACGTGAAGACTCACCTGGCTTTAGAAGCAGAAGAAAGCCGTGGAGAAGAGCGGGCCGTATTGAGGGAAGGGAGGCCAACGTCGTCTTGCCTGAAAAATTGGCTTTTGTAGAACAAAAAAGCGAGAAGAAAAGGCACGTGAACAGGATCACGTGTTTGCCCACGGCTCAACCTCTCACCATCTATCTCACCGCTCAAGCCTTCTTTCTCGAGGGCGGAGGTCCTGTCCAGAGATCTGTTTTTGCCTGTCCAATGAAAATGCTGCATGTGCAGTGTCCTTGCCATTGACTGATGTGCATTCTTTCATCTTCAGCGATTGCTTGTCCGCGCTCTTCTCGATTTCAGGATTGGTCAGAGCTCTGTCGAAATAAATTTAACTTTTTTGAGAGGAAGATAACTTGACTCGGCGAGAAGTTTTCGACAACGGCAACCAACGATGACATCGCTTGCAACGCCGGTGCTGGCGCTGCTGGACGGTGTGCGGCCAGCTGAAGAAGAGAAGCAGCTGCTCGCCGTCCTGTCTCGCGCCGCACCGCTCCTCATCCCACAGCAGGCCCTCAAGGGCATTGCACAGTCCCTCCCCGCTTCCCTCTCCTACGCCGTCCTCCTGTCGTCGCCCGCTGATACCTCGGCCGCCTGTGATGCCCTCGATGCAGGTGCCGAAGCCGTCGTCGCGTCAGCCAACGACGCTCCCCAGCTCCTCCAGTCGGGTGTTCCCGCCTCGCGTCTCATCCTGCATGTCGATGCTCGCACGTCAACGTCGCTTCCCGAGCTCGCCGACAACGGCGTGGCCGGAGCCCTCGTCACACTTCCAGAGGGGCTTTCAGCGAGCGATGCGCAGACGGGTGCTTTGGTCGCTCAATTCCGGGAAGCGCTGGATTCCAAGCAGAATGGACGGCCCGTCTTTGTTGAAGTGGCGAGCGCCGAGGTGCCCACGCTGGACGATGTGGCTCGCCTTTCGCAGCTGGGCGCTTCCCTCGTCGTCAAGACGTCGCAGCTCGACTTGGTCAAGGAAGACAAGGCGCAGAGCAAGCAGGGGACATTGGATCTGGTCGGAGCCCTCGTCTCTCCCCTCAAGTCGGACCGGGCTGACGGCCTGTTCCCGACCACCGTCGTCGCCTCGTCGCTCGGCACTTCCCTCGGCCTCGTCTACTCTTCACGTCAGTCGATCCGTGAGTCGCTCCTGACCGGCTCGGCCGTCTACCAGTCGCGCACTCGCGGTCTTTGGCGCAAGGGCGAGTCGTCTGGTGCTACGCAGGAAGTCGTCCGGCTTCGCTTCGACTGCGATACCGATGCCGTCGAGTTCACCGTGCGCCAACGCAAGGGCGCTCAGCACCAGGGCTTCTGCCATCTCACCGAGAGGCAAGGCTGCTTCGGTCCCCTGGCTGGTCTCGCCGCTCTCGAGTCGACGCTGGTCTCGCGCAAGGAGTCGGCACCAAAGGGAAGCTACACAGCTCGGCTCTTTTCGGACCCGGCGCTTCTCTCTGCAAAGATTCGAGAAGAGGCCGCCGAGCTTGTCGAGGCAAAGGACGAGGACAGTCAGCACGTCGCCTTCGAGGCTGCAGATCTCCTCTATTTTGCCCTGGCGCGTTGCGTGCGGGCCGGCGTCAGTCTCGAAGATGTTGAGCGGTCTCTGGACGCAAAGGCGAAGAAGGTCAGCCGGAGAAAGGGCGACGCCAAGCCACAGTTCATTCAGGAGGAGACGAAGAAGGACGTCAGCACCATCGCCTCGGCTCCTGCCGCCCCTTCTGCTGCTGCTGCTGCTGCGCCCAGCTTCCACATGACGTCGTACAAGCTCGAGGACGTCGATGACAAGCAGCGGACTGAGCTCCTGAAGCGGCCTTCGATCAAGACGGAAGCTGTCATGGACCTTTGTCGTCCCATTCTCAAGTCGGTCAAGGAGAGGGGCGACGAGGCTCTCCTCGAGCTCACGGCCAAGTTCGACGGCGCCAAGCTCGACTCGCCCGTACTGAGGCCCCCCTTTGCCACGCCGGATGTGCTTGCCAAGATCAAGCCAGAGGTCAAGGTCGCCATCGACCAGGCCTACAAGAACATCTACGCCTTCCACCTCGCCCAAAAGAAGACGGGCGGCAACATTGCTGCTTCGCAAGCTGCTGGTGGCAAGGGCGCCGAGCTGCAGGCGCAGACGGGAGAGAGGGAGGACGATGCAGTCCTCGAGATGGAGACGATGCCGGGTGTTGTTTGCCGACGCTTTGCCAGGCCGATCCAGCGCGTCGGTCTTTACGTGCCTGGTGGAACAGCGGTGCTGCCGAGCACGGCGCTGATGCTCGGTGTGCCTGCCCAGGTGGCCCGATGCCCGACGATTGTGCTGGCTACACCGCCGAGAAAGGATGGCTCGATCGCACCCGAGGTTCTCTACGTCGCCGACCGCGTCGGTGCTTCTTGCGTCCTCAAGGCCGGTGGCGCTCAGGCTGTCGGTGCCATGGCCTACGGCACGGCCAAGGTCCCCAAGGTGGACAAGATTGTCGGCCCGGGCAACCAGTTTGTCACTGCCGCCAAGATGCTGGTGCAGAACGACACTGACGCCCTCGTCTCGATCGACATGCCCGCAGGTCCCTCGGAGGTGCTCGTCATTGCCGACGAATCGAGCGACCCCGACTTTGTCGCTTCGGACCTGCTGAGCCAGGCCGAGCACGGGCCAGACAGCCAGGTCATCCTCGTCGGCATTGCCCTGACGCCCGAGCAGCTGGGCCGGATCGAGTATGCGCTCGACCGCCAGGCGCGCGTGCTTCCCCGCTGCGAGACGGTGCGCAAGGCCATCGAAAAGAGCCTGACGATCATCGTGCCCGACCGCGCAGAGGCGATGCGCTGGTCAAACGACTATGCGCCCGAGCACCTCATCATCCAGGCCGCCGAGCCCGAGGAAATGGCGAGGGGCGTCATCAATGCCGGCTCCATCTTTGTGGGGCCCTGGTCGCCCGAGTCGTGCGGCGACTATGCGAGCGGGACCAACCACACGCTGCCCACGTACGGCCTCGCGAGGCAGTACAGCGGCGTGTCGACGTCGACGTTTGAAAAGAACATTACAAGCCAGAGCCTCACGGCCGACGGCCTTCGGCTTCTCGGGCCACACGTCGTCCATCTGGCCGAGTGCGAGGAGCTCGAAGCACACGCCAATGCCGTCCGGCTTCGCCTTGCCCGTCTTGCCCAGGCCACTTCTTCGGCAGCAAAATGAGGCCCAATTCTTTACTAGACTGCTTTCATAGATGTAGAAGGATCGTTGATGTCAATTGCGAAGATGATGGGAGAAGAATGGACTGTGAAAAGAGGAGAGGGGTAGTGTCCATGACGTGAAGCAAAGATCAACGATGGTGGAAGCTGGGGTAAGGTAGAGCAGTGGTACAAGATACAAGAGAATATGGGTAACGCTAGTGATTATTCTTCTTCTTCGGGGGGTGCTGGTGGTGCAGAAGGGGCCGGGAGCGACGGCGCACTAGGAGCGGCTCCGGACGCAACGTGACGCTGGGGTTCGTATCGAGGAAGGTGGTCGGCCATGGTCTGCTCTTCGTCTTCGACAAAGTCATCACGCTGACCGGGCCGACTACCGACGACTGCCAGCGTCGCGCGCCGTTGCTCTTCGAGGGCCTCTTGCGCCTTTTCCGATTGCTGACCTTCTCGTCGCTCCTCTTCTTCCGGGGCAGGTGCCGAGGCAACAGGAGCAGAAGGCGGCTGCGCTTCTGCAGTCGACGATGGCGAAGAAGCCTGTGGCGCGAGAGGAGACGATGGTCTGGGCGCCGAGGGCCTCTGCCACTCGGTCGCGTAGGGCATGTCGAAGCGTGAGAACGTCGGTTGATGCAGCGTGGGCGGCGCAGGGAGCATGTATGCGGACGATGCAGCAGAAGTCCCTTGATCGGCCTGGGAATGCACCGCGGCTTTGCCCTTGACATCGCGCACTGGCTCACCGGCCAGGTCAGCATCGCGCGGTGGCGACAAGGATGTAGCGTCTCGATCCAATTCGCCATCCAGCCTCTCAAAGCCTTCTTGGTCGAGCATGTCAGGCGCCGACGGCCCAATGGAAGAGGCAGGTCCTGCAGCATTGTCCTCGTCTGCTTCTTCTGCGCTAGGCCCCGGCATGCTTGGACCGAGATTGGCAGAAGACGACGAATAGATCGGTGCCGAGGCGGACGGCATGGATGCTGCACTTTGAATCTGGCCGAGGAGCTGTTTGTCGTCCGTGGCAAGATGAGCAGCGTACCGGTCCCTGTTCTCATTGGCGGCCGTAGGCGAGTTGGGCTGCACAAGAGGCTGAAAGGATGACCTGCTTGCGGCGATAGACGGTTGCGTGTAGACATCGTCATCTTCTGCCCTGCTGGGAGGAGCGTCAAGGGACACCCCGTCTCGTATTGCTGCACGAGACTTCTCATCGTCGTGAGACTGCATCGCGTCACGCGCCGATCCAGCGAGCGGCCTCTGCACCAGCGGATGCATTGGCGGCGGTGAAGCATTTGTTCCGTTGCCAGATCGTGGGATGTAAGCTGGAGGGAATGCTTCGCCATCCACTGCATGCGTGGCAGTGGTGGATCCCCGATGCTGCGCTGCACGCTCTGCCTCTTCGATGGTTGCCGACAACTCTGCATTATCTCCCATACCGGCGCCTCCGGATGACCTCGGCTCGTCGTGATGGTTCGACGACGATGAGGTCTCGCCCTCGTTGCCAGATCGGTGATGGGAGGAGCCGGAGGAGCCGCTTGCCTCGACTCCGTTGTGTACCTCGATCGTCTCTGTGCTTCTCCGTGGCATGCCCAGGCCCACCTCTGGCTCGGTCTCGTCGCTGCTTCTTGACTTCTTCTTCTTCCTCCTCAACGGTATTCTTGCCCACCTCGAAGCAACTTTGGCGTTCAAAGCGCTCGATCTTGCACCTCCTCCTGCCGCAGACTTTTCCTCCTGACCGTCTTGTGTCCCTTCTTGTTTCCTCCTCTTCTTTCTCCTCTTCTTCTCACTCGATCCACCATCATTGTCTTTATTCGCTGTTCGCATCCTCCTTTCTTCTCGCATGCGCTGCAGTGCCGCCTCGTCGCTCACATCGAGCTCCTCCTCCAGCAGCTCATCGTCCTCCCTTCGATCTCTCAAGAATACGGCTGCGCCGATGGCAAGAACGATGAAGATGGCAAGAAAGATTGACGTGATGATGACGGCCTTGCGCTGGAACCAGATACTGCGCGAGCCAGGATCCCACGACGAGGCGATGCTAGACACATAGCTCGACGGAACCGCCAGTGCCTTTCCCGAGGTGTAGACTTGATAGGCTCTCCGTGACAATGTCGCTCGCTCTTGCGGCGCCGTTGATGGTGTGGATCGTCGTTGGAACGGCCCACTGTCCGGCGTAGCCATCGGACTGACCGCTGCTCGCGTTGTCGTCTGTAGAGGATAGGTCGGTAACCGATCGTCGACATCTGCGAGCGCCTTCTGCACCTCTCCAGCTCCTCCTCCCAAGACAACAGACGCGCCTTGCCACTTTTCCTCCCAATTGTCCATCGATGTACCTTCCCCAGTACATCTCTGCGCCTGTGCCTGGGCGCAGTCGTCGGTGAACCGCGATGAGAGGGCTGCGCCATGTGTGAGTACGGCTCCATTGACGACGAGATACGAAGCAACGAGAATCGTCGAAACAGCCGTTGTTACCCTTGCTGCTTGCCCTCTTTTCCCCCTCCTCCCCCTTCTCTTCGTCCATCTCCCTCCATCTGTCAGATCAGCGGCGGCTGCTGCTGCTGCTGTTACCGCCCCCGCCCCCGCCCTCGCCGCCGCTGCCGGCGGTGTGGCCCTCGGCGTCATTCGCTCGTACAGTAAACGGTCGCGCTGTCGGCCTCTTGTGTCTTGCCTGGTGAATCTGCCTTCAGTCTCGTGTCGCACGGGGCGTCGCCAAAGGCATCAGCAGCGTCTTCTGTGGCGGTCGATCGAGTGAGTCTTGCGTTATGCGCGCGCCTCACACGAGCCGTCGGTAATCTGAGAATATCCAACGCCCCTCTCCTAGACACGCGCGCCCGTCGACGTGCTGGGGTCGGAGAAGAGAGCTGTGGGATCCCGGCCGGGCGCTGCTGTGTCGTGCCGTTCCGTGGGCACCTTGTTGCCTTCTTTAATCTCTATGCCCTGTCACCCCTTGGCTTTCGCTTTTATCGCGTTGTATCGGGAGCGTTAAATGTGGCGTGTGATGGCGACGAAATAAAATTGAGGATGACGGGAGCACCTCACGAGCCTGGGGCCACCCGAACGGCCCTGCCTGGCCGGACGACTCTATCCTCTCAAATTGGAAACCAAAAACTAACCCTCTCCCCCCCCCCTTCGCGGCACTTGGTTATTTGACATTTTGTATTGCTTTTATTTTTGTATAAAGTCGAATGATATGTCTGAAACCGACCGTCGGACTCGCGCGCGGAGTCGCTTAGCTAAGCAGTGCCCCATTCTGAGGCGTCCGCTTCCTACCCTCCACTGCAACATTTGCTATTCCTCCTCTGCGACAAGCCAGCGACCGCCTGCGAACACAAGTAAAGAGAAGCATGGCTCTGTACTCGGGAAACATGGCTCTAAGAGGGACGCTGCGCTGCTCGGTGGGCCGCTCAGGGCTTGGACTGGAGCTGGCTCGGGTGCTACGGGCGACTCGAGCTCCCTTCTCGGCCCATTCTTCGTCTCCTCCTCGTCCCACATCCGCCTGGCCCCGACTGAGCAGCACATTCCGGAGCAGTAGTGAGCAAGGCCAGGCACGCGGTGGCAGCACAAGCAGCGTCGGCATCTTCTCCACGTCGCTCGGCCTCTCGCTCGGCATCTTTGGCTTCTTCCAGTCTCAGAAGTCGCTCAGCCTGGAGTCGAGCACCGCTGCTCCCGCGCCCACACCGCAGTCACCACCACCACCATCATCAACGACGCCTCCCGCGCCCAAGGATCTGCCCCAGTCACAAGTCAACCCTTACAATCTCGGCTTTGGCACCGTGTGTGGCATCTGCGCAGGCGTCTTTATCAAAAAGGGCGCAAAGTTCATCGCCTTTCTCCTCGGCGGCGCATTCGTGCTTCTCCAATACCTCAACTCCCAGGGCCTCGTCCGAGTCAACTGGTCGGCGCTCTCGAAGCGCTACGAATCTTCTCTGGACAGTGCAGCGTCCACCAACCCGCGCGCAGTGGCCGCCGACAATGCGTCGAGCGGCATGACCGAGTCGGTCACGTCGCAGCGCGGCTGGAAGGACTCGCGCGCGGCCCGGCTCTGGAACCGCTTTGTCCACTTTCTCACCGCCGACTTTCCCACGCGCGGCACCTTCCTGGCCGGCCTCGCTCTGGGTCTCCGGCTGGGCTGATTTTGCCTCTCTCTGTACAATAAGCTCCTCCCGTTGTCATCACTCCTCCTCCTGCTGTTGTGCACGCCATTGTGGTAATGATATTATAGCAAAATGGTATCGAAAAGAAGCGCCAGCTACCGGAGATTCTCAAACGTGACGGCCTTGCTGTCCAACGGCATGCCCGTCCTGGGATCGATGTTGTTGCTCTGGAAGCGCCGCTGGTTGACAATGAGCCTGGCCGTGTCAAAGTCCTGATGACAGTGTCCCCCAAGTCAGCAGAGCTGTTCCCGTGCTGGACATTGATCGTCTACTCACCACACCCTGCTGCTGCATGACGCGCTTCACCTCGTCGGCGCCCGCTTGCTCGAGGCCCGAGCGCGTCTCTGCCGAGTCGCGCATGTTTTCCTCAATGTCAAACAGCGTCGAGTGCAGGCCTGCGAGGCGCGACGAGGCCCAGTCGTACGTGGGCAGGCGCGCATACAGGCTTCGGGGCACGCGAGACGACGACGAAGTCGACGATGTGGGCAGCGAGGGCGAGAGGCGGTCCTGGAGCGACGCCGGCAGGAGGTGGAAGAGGCGATACCGGGCCAGGTACACTGCTGTGAATCGGGAAAGAGGCACAGTCAGCCACAGTGTGGATGGATGCGTGCGTGGTGGAGGTTGCGCCTCCTGAAATACTCACCCACGGCGAGCAGCAGGAGGATGCTCGAATAGAACGTCAGCGTATACAGCGAGAGCATGCTGGGCGATCGTGTGTTGGGTGCTGCGAGCGCGCACCGGGCTGAATCGTGTTCGTGGTCGAGGGCGAACCGTGCTCGTGGGCACCCAATCCGGGGAGACGACGAGATCAGAGAGCAGCGAGGCTGTGATTGTGCCTTTTTTTTTTTCTTTTTTTTTTCTCGGCCCGTGGCTGCGCTCCTCCTTGGCTGGGCGCGCGTCCATCGGCACGTTTGGTAAATTTTAGACTTTTTGCCTCACGTCGCAGATCTTCCGTCGTCAGGCAGGGGCAGCAGCAGCAGCACAAGCCACGGCAGCAGCAGCAGCCAAGGAGCAATGACGATCCGCGCTGCCCTCATCTTCAACAACCACGGCAAGCCGCGGCTGACACGCTTCTACACGCAGCTGCCCGCCGCGCGCCAGCAGGCGCTCCTCTCGCGCATCTTCACCCTCGTCCACCAGCGCACCGCGGCGTCGTCGAATCTGTGCAACTTTCTCGATGCGCCCGAGCTCACCGCGCTCCTGCCGTCGCACCAAGGCCCTACCTCCCATCAAGGATCAACAGCAGCAGCAGCATCAGCAGCAGCAAGCGACAGCCAGCTGCGCGTCATCTACCGCCACTATGCCACGCTCTACTTTGTCTTTGTCGTCGATGCCTCCGAGTCGGAGCTCGGCATTCTCGACCTGATCCAAGTCTTTGTCGAGTCGCTCGACCGCGTATTTGAAAACGTCTGCGAGCTCGACCTCATCTTCCATTTCGACGTCGTCCACGCCATCCTCGACGAGGTCATCCAGGGCGGCCTCGTCCTCGAGACAAACATCAACGAAATCGTCAGCCAGGCCCAGGCGGTGCAGCGCGCCAAGAAGGCGTCGGCCTCGGCAGCCGGCGGCGCGTCGTCATCGGGCAAGCCCGGAGAGGCCGCCGCATCCTGGACGCCGCCCGCAGGCCTCGGCGGCTCGCCGTGGGGCGAAGCGGCGGGCGTGGCCGCCAATGTCGGAGGGTGGGCACGAAGGGAGCTGGGCAATCGCTTTGGCGGTCGGTAAAAGGCATTTATTGCTTCTCTTCATCATCACTCTGCACATCTCATTCATTTCTCGTTTCTTGGTGTTGTCATCCTTCACATCGCTGTACAATAGACATAAAAGCAATCCACCACATGGCCTCAGTCTGAGTCGACGACCTCGAGCAGCCCCTGGGAGGTGATGCGGATGAGGGCAGGCGGGTGCTGCTGCTGAGGAGGCGTCGTCAGGGGGCCACGGCGGGCAATCGGCTTGACAAGGGGGCATCCGACGTGGGAGACATTGGCCGCTTGATGCTGCTGCTGCTTGTCAAAGATGGCCTTGATCTCCACGGCAGTCGAGCAGTCGTCGAGGCGGTCGAGCAAGGAGGGAGTCCTCACTCGAGGCGATCGATCGCCACTCGAGACGGAGACGGTAAATGACGACGGAGACGATGCCAGGCTTGGCGCTGCGCTCGAGCTGAAGGAGGAGCGCGAGAGAGGAGGTGAAAAGGGAAATTGGTCGTTTTGCACAGACGCCGAGAAAGACGAAGAGGTAGAAGGTGGCTGCTTGGGACGCTTCCACAGCAGACGGACGCCGAGTGGGTCCTGGATCCGGGCGTGCCTGGCGACGGGAGCGGGCGAGGGCTGCCGCCTCACCGCCTTTGCTGGGATAGGACGGTGGCCCTTACTTGCACTGCCCATCATTGTGGTCATGGTGGTGGGCATGTGCGACATGATCTTGCACTTTGAGAGCGAGATGACGCTCGGAGGCCTCTTTCGTTCGAGCGACGAGGAGTCGGACTTGCCCTTGCTCTGCAGCAAGCTCAAGGCTCTTTTGATGGCGTCGAGTCCCTTGTGTTCTGCGTAGTCCTCTCCTCTTCCCGCCTCTTGCTCCACAGTGGCATCGTCCAATTCCTTCTCCACAACTGTGTCGTCTGTCTTCTTGCCCGTCTCGCCCACTTCGCTGATCGTGGCGCATGACTCGTCGATCTGTTCGTCCTCCTTCTCCTCAACTTCCTCTTCCTTGTCATCGACTTCTTCGCCTGCCTTCTCTGCTTCGACTTCCTGCACGCCCTCGACTTTGGCCTCTTCCTCATCGCTGCTCTCTGCGTCTTTGCCCTTTGCCGAGTCTCCCTCTCCTTCTTCTCCTCGGACAACATTCTCCTTATCTTCCTCGACAGACTCTGCCTGTTCCTCGTGTCCTTCGTTGGCCTGCTGCGTTCCCTTGATGCCCTTGTCTTCTTCCGGCACTGCCTCTTTGGGTGGAGCAACATCATCCCCTTGGACAGTCTCGTCCTCGTCACCCGTCTCTTCTCCTTCCTCTTCCTTCTCCTTCTTCTCCTCCTCCTCCTCCTCTTCCTTGACCTCCTCTGCCTCTTTCTCCTCTGCGTCGGGGTGGGCAGGGTCCAGCGAGAGTGCGCCCGGCATCGCCAACTCTTCTCCGTCGGCACTGACCTGCTCGCTGCTCGATTGCGCTCCCTCGAGCGGCCCTCCGACGGTGTCGCTCTCTTCGTGTGCCTTCCCAGCAGCAGCCGCCGGCAGCATGAGCTTGCCCGTCTGGATCTCAGCCGCGCGGATCTGCGCAACGCGATCCCAGACGCCGTCGTACAGCGCAGGATCATCCGCGACAACGCCGAGGCCCTGGCGCACGGTGCGCGCGAACCAGCCGAGCTCGGCACCAAGGTCCGACAGGAGCGCATCAATGTGCGCGAGGGGCGTTTTTGCATGCGCCTGTGTGCTCTCGTCGCAGTCGCACGAGGCTGGCAGGAAGATACGGCCTTCGAGGTGGCGCGCGATCCAGAGGGCTGACAGCTCAGCGACGAGGAGCGTCATTGCTGTGAAGCGCGTACGTGCGTGTGCCTGCGTGTGCGTGTGCGTCTGCAGCCCGATAAAGGTGAGGCCGTCGGGGGCAGAAGGGCCAGAAGGGAGGATGCCGCGATACAGCAGCGCGCACTCTGTCCTGACGTGGGCCGGCACAAAGTCGGGGAGGCCCCTTTGATAGCCCGTGGCAAAGATGACGACGTCGGCAGACAAGCCGCGGGTGCTGCCGTTGGACAACAGCACGCTACGGTCAGCCTTGAGCACGCGGATGGTAGCGTCGCGCACGATGGAGACGGCGCCCTGGTCGACGAGGTCGAAGAACATCTGCTTGGCCTCGTGGCTCGCCCTGCCCGCATACAGATCACGCACATCGTGGTGATCAATGGCCGTGGCAAGGTCGTACTTTGGCAGGAGGTTGTTGCTTCCCAGCTTGAACTCGCACCTGGCACTGAGCTCGACGAGCGAGAGCAGCACCGCGCGAAGGGCGCGCTTCCACGACCAGGTCGGTGCCCGTCCCATCGACAATAGAGCCTCGCCGAAGCGGTTGACGAGGAGGCGGTCGAGGGAGACGAGGCCGAGCAAAGTGGACGGCAGCTTCCAGGTGACGCGACGGGCGACGAGGGTGGTGCGCGATGCGCCCGCGGCAGCAGCGAGGCTGGCCACTTCGAGTGCGCTCTGGCCGAAGCCAACGACGACGACGCGCCTGCCTTGCAAAAGAGAACGGTCGAGGAGCTGGTTCGAATGGAGGCAGAGGCCACCTGCTGCCTCAAACGCTTCTCTTCCCTTGATCTCGGGTACGCAGGGTTTGGAGCAGGATCCCGTGCAGACGACGACATGGTCGAAGCTCTCCTGACGGCCTCCATTCAGCGTCAATATCCATCCCGCACTGCCGCCGCTATCATTCCTCGGGCGCATGCAAGTGACGGCTGTGGCGAGGCGCATGATGCTTGCGAGGTTGTGCTGGGCGATGTACATGTCGAGGTAGTGGCTCACCTGACCCTTGGTTGGAAAGAGGTCAAAGTTGCGCGGCATACCCAGCGTCGAGAAGCGGAAGCTGTGATGGAGTATGATTGAGTCGTCACTGTAGAAAGGGGGTTGGAGGAGCACTCACGAATGCTTGGTGTTGAGCAGACGGAGGAGTGGATAGCCTCGGAAACGGCTCCATACGCCGCCCATGCAGGCCTCGCGCTCGAGCAGGACGACATCATGACCAAAGTCGAGGAGCGTCTTGGCTGCCACGAGGCCCGAGGGCCCTCCTCCCACGACGGCCACCTTCATCGCTTATGAGACGTGGCAGAGATGAGTATGCGAGGCTGTCACTGAGGTGAGCGTAGAGGAGAAGAAAGGCGCAGGTTGAAGAGGCGCGCGCGTGCAGGAGGAGGAGAGAGGGAGAGAAGGTCGACGAACCTGCGCGGTTGCGGTTGCGCGGCGAGGCCTTCGTCCGACGGCCGACGGAGCAGCGCGAGAAACGCGGGCGTCAGCTGGCTTGCTCATCTCGCCGCTGCTAGTCGCTTTTCGAGCAATTCAATCGTCTTTGTCCGCGCACTGATCAGCCTCGCTGCCTTTCCGGGGTCTAGGTCAGCATAGGCAGTGCTGCTGCTGCTGTTGGATGCCGGTGGCTGCTGCTGCTGTTGCTGTTGCTGCGAGGACGAGGTGCCCAGGCGCGCCCGTAGATCGGCAATGGCGGCGTCGAGACCCTTGAGCTGCTCTCGCATTGGCGCTAGAGCCTGCAGAGAACAGATTTACGTCAACATCAGCATCGCCAAAAGCATGCGCAGAGGAAGACTTGATAGGAAACGCACCTCATCGAGCAGATACCGAGATAGGGCGGCATGAGCGCACTTGTAGATGTGCTGGAAGCGCACCGGCCCCAGCATCGTGCCGCCATACCAACGGCTGACGACGACAAGGACGTCGGTGGCGCCAAGCTCCTTGATGGCCTTGGCAATCTCGCGGCCGCCGTGCTTTTCGCCGTCGTCCTCCTGCCCCTCCTCCAGGCCAAAGTCCTCGGGCCCACCCAGTCCATTGCGACCGCGTTTGAGGGCGAGACAGCGCCAGGCGTGCATGTCGTGCGTCGACCCTCTCCGCGTCGCCGCCAGGTGCCGCACCGCAGAGGGAAGGCGCTCCGTGGGGATGCTCTGTGGATGCACCGTGCGCGCCAGGTGCGACAGCAGCCTCGACAGCTGGCTCGCAGACGACGACTCGAGCGCATACACATAGCCGACAAAGAGTGAGTCTCGATCGTTGACCATGGCCTCTGGCGTCGTCGTGGGCCACGCGGGCGCTTCGACGCCAAGCCACGAGTCGAGGGACCTCTTCTCCGGCGCAGCCCTGGCAGCACCGGCGTCTGCTGGCTTGGGAGAAGCAGACACTGCCGCCGCCGTTGAACCGTCAGAAGGATTTTCTCTGGCTGCCTTTCTGGCCCTTGCCTCGTCCCACAGTCGCTTGGCTTCCTCCCGTGCCTCCTCCTGCTCCTCGGCCTCCTGCTGCGCCGCGTACGCCTCCTCGGCCTGGCGCATCACTTCCTCGTCCTCGTCCTCGTCTCTTGCGGCTCTTTGCTCTGCTGGTTTCCCGCCGATCTTAACTTTGATTTTCTTCACTTTTGTTGCTGTCGTCGGTCGCTTCCGCTTCTTGGTCGACCCCACCACGTCTTCCAATTCGCGCAGCACATCCTCCTCTCCTTCGTCTTCCATGCCCACATCATCATCTTCTTCCTCCTCGTCTTCGCCGTCTTCTTCCCGAGCTCTGCCTCGACCTGCTTTTCTCCTCCGCTTCTCCGGCTTCCATTCATCTCTGTCCGAGTCAAAGTCGTCCTCTTCCTCTTCCTCCTCCAACGACTCCTCGTCATCGCTCCAGCGCTGACCCTCTCCCTCCTCCTCCTCTTCCCCATCCTCCAGCTTGACCTTCGTCTGCTGCTCCTGCTTCTTCCTCGCGCTTTCCCGCACGCTCCGCCGCAGCGTCGCCATCGTCAATCGAGACCACGTCAGACGAGCAGCCCCTCGCAGCAGCAGCCTCCAACCAAGAGAGCGACACAACAAGAAAGGTGGAGCAAGGCTGCAACTGACTTTTCTTCGGGTTTCGGACTGGCGAACGCGCCCACACGTGGAGTTGGACGGACGGACGGCAAGTCGACTTTTCAGGTTCAGGAATTCCCCAGCTTCCGGTCAAGCAAGCCGCCTCCGGGGCAGCAACCGGTCGTCTCTTCTTCCTTTCTGCGCCAGTATCCGTCTCGAGAACAACAGAAGAAGCAAGCGCTGGGCCCCTTGCTCTTTTCCTTTGCCCTCTCTGATACAGTGCAATGACGGCCTGGGCTGCGGTGCCGGCGCGGACCCCGGCGAGGGTCGAGCCGGACCCCTCGCTGGACCACAGGAGCACAACGAGGGACGTCGCCGTCGTTCGGCCCGCACACCTCGTCCAGCAGCTTTTCGGCGATGGGAGGAAGGATGAAGAGGTACTCTATGTCTCAGCCCAGACGACCTCCGATCGAGCCAGCGGTGACGAGAGTAGCGATGGGTTGGCGAGTCTCATCTTCCGCGTCGAGCCCGCTCAGCCCAACGGCACGGCGCATACACACCTCAATGGGACTGCAGGAGCGGAGGAAAGTGAGGAGAAGGAAGAGGAGCAGCAGGTGAGAGTTGATAGGTCGTCGGTATGAGCACGCCGGACTGGGAAAGGTGACTGACGAGACATGGTTTGTTGCCCAAAGGCTACAATATCGATTCCTGCTTCGCTCGCTGCGCGCTTCGTCGACGCGGCCGAGACAACGATTGGACGTCACCATCCCATTGTCCTCACCCACGTCTTTCTTGCCGCCCTCTCGTCCGAAGCATTCTCCTTTGCCCAGGCTTTGCAGGAGGCCCTCTCGTCTGCGCTCGATGGTCGCATCGTCAGGCAGGGCGACCAGCTGACTGTCCAAGGAGCGGCCTTTCGCGTCGTCATGACCGAGCCCGTGCTTCAGGGTCTGGCTTTGACTGGCCGAGGAGACGAGGCCACAGCAACGGAGATGTTTGTCACCCTCTCTCACGGCGACGAGGAGGAGCAGGAGGGGGGAGAAAGGACTCTAGTCAACGGTGGCCCTTCTGCCCCGCGTGCGACTCGGGAGGAGGAGGACGTCGCCATCGACGAGCGTTTCTTGGCCCAAAACGTCCTCGATGACTTTGCCAGCGATGTAGGCGAGGAAGACACGGGAGAGGGAGATGTGTCGATCTCGGCAGCAACCGCAGCAGCAGCAGCGGCGGCAGCGAGATTCACGCCGAGACCGCTAGAGAGTCGTGCAGTCGTCATTGCCGCATTGGCCAAGAATGGTGTCGAGGACTTTGACGAGGAGAACTGCGTGCTCCTCGACGAATCAGGGCTTGCGCACCTAGGTGCCTTTGAGGGCGATTGGGCGCTTGCAGAGCTGGCGGGGCAGCACAAGTCGAGGGTCGTCAAGCTGTTTGCCGTCCCATCGCTTCTCGCTCGCAGCATCGCCTCGGGCTCCCGCTCGACGACTGATCCTCTTGCATACCTGTCCCCAGGTCTGCTGCGCAATCTCTTTGCCGACGCCTCGTTTGATCCGCTCCGGCCCTATCCCAACTTGATCCTGCGTGGGCTCCGGACCAGGGCTGACGGAGGCGGCGACAGCATTGACGAACAGCAGAAGCAGGGCATGCCCCTAGCCGACTGCCCGCTCCCGCTGCCCTTTGCAGACGCACTCAGCATCTCGCGCATCGCCGGCCCGCTGAGCATCAACCGCGCCTACCAGCCGCTGTTTCTCAATGCGCTGCGCTCCTACTTTGAGGGCAGACGGCGGGTCGTCAAGGAGGACGACATCGTGTCGGTGGCCTTTGACTCGGCAAAGGTCCGGTGGACGAGATCCACAAACGAGGGCGAAGAGTCGAGCGACGACAAGACGGCCAGTGCGGAGGACAACACCGAGCTCAGCCTGCCCGGGGCAGACGCGGAGAAGGAGCGACCGACGGCGGTGGTCCACTTCCGGATCAGCAGCCTGACGCCAGAGCTCAACGAGCCCGACGGTGCCGACGACGAAGGGCAGCAGCAAAACGATCAGGAGTTCCAGCTGGCTCACCGGGCTCGGCTGGGCGAGTTGGGCTGCGTCGTCGACACGAGCTTGACAAAGATTGTCCAGACGGGCGTTGACAAGACCCGCGTCGCGGACGTGCAGGCCTGGCTCGGCGTCGTCACGGACACGCCCCCGCTGCCTTCGGCCCCGTCACCGCTGACGTCTGAGACGAGCGTGTACGCGACACTGATGCGCCTCGTCCAAGCGACGCTTCTGCCCCACGCTGCCAGCTTTGGCTTGCACCTCGGTGTGCTCCTCAAGGGCGCGCGAGGCTCGGGCAAGAAGACGCTGGCCCGCTGGGTGGCACAGCGAGCTGGAGTGCACCTCGTCGAGATCAACTGCTTCGACCTCATCGCCGACACCGATGCGAGGACCGAGGGCGTCCTGCGGGCGCGCTTCGAGCAGACTGCCTCGTGCGCCCCAGCGATCCTGCTCCTGCAGAACGTCGATGCGCTTGCGCGAAAGAGCCAGGCCCTCGAGACGGGCCAGGAGCCAACGATGGCCTCTGTGCTGCAGGACTGCTTTGAGGGCTTGCGGCAGGCCACGGCCTCGTCCAACTTGCCCGTCGCGGTCTTTGGCACGACGAGCGATGCCGACAAGTGTCCGACGGGTGTCCTAGGGTGCTTCAAGCACGAAGTCCAGATCGACGCGCCCGGCGAAGCACAGCGCCTGGCCATCCTCGAGACGTGCCTCAAGGGCGCCCCACTCAGCATCGACGTCAACCTCGCAAGCGTGGCCACGCAGACGGCCGCCCTTGTGGCGGCCGACCTCGTCGATCTCGTGTCTCGAGCAAAGATGGCTTCGATGGAGCGTCTGCGCAAGGTCACTGGCCACCATGGCCTGCCGGTCCGTGATGTGGACATCGTCTCTGCTGGCTTCTGCATCACGGGCAAGGACTTTGAAGTGGGCCTCAACAAGGCGAGACAGAGCTACAGCGAGAGCATTGGTGCGCCCAAGATTCCCAATGTCACCTGGGACGATGTCGGTGGCCTCGCTAGCGTCAAGGATGACATCCTCGACACAATTCAGCTTCCCCTCGAGCACCCCGAGCTCTTTTCAGACGGGCTCAAGAAGCGCAGCGGTATCCTGCTCTATGGCCCACCGGGCACGGGCAAGACGCTGCTGGCCAAGGCCGTCGCCACGAGCTGCTCGCTCAACTTCTTCAGCGTCAAGGGGCCCGAGCTGCTCAACATGTACATTGGCGAGTCCGAGGCCAATGTCCGCCGTGTCTTTCAACGAGCCAGGGATGCCAAGCCCTGTGTCATTTTCTTTGACGAGCTCGACAGTGTGGCACCCAAGCGTGGCAACCAGGGCGACTCGGGCGGCGTCATGGATCGCATCGTGTCACAGCTTCTGGCCGAGCTGGATGGAATGGCGTCAGGTGACGGTTCTGGTGATGTCTTTGTCATTGGTGCGACCAATCGGCCTGATCTACTTGATCCAGCCCTGCTACGTCCTGGTCGGTGAGTGACCAGCCAGCACACACTACACTGCCATATTCATTCTAACACTCCTCTTCTGCTCCTTACCCAGCTTCGACCGCATGCTCTATCTCTCCGTCTCGGAGACGCACGCGGCGCAACTCAACATTCTCCAGGCCCTCACGCGCAAGTTCAAGCTCGACGCCGACGTCGGCGATCTCTCTTCGATTGCCGACCAGTGTCCGCTCAACCTGACGGGCGCCGACTTCTATGCGCTGTGCTCCGACGCGATGCTCAAGGCCATGACGCGCAAGGCGGCCGACGTCGACGAGACGATTGCGGCGCTCAATGCGGCGCCGCAGGAACAGCGCGACGCCCAGCATCCCTGGCCCATCACGCCGCAGTACTACCTCGCCGAGATGGCGCGGCCCCAGGAGGTCGAGGTCAAGGTCGCCCGTGTTGACTTTGAGGCTGCGCTCCGCGAGCTGGTGCCGAGTGTGAGCGAGCGAGAGATGGCGCACTACCGCGAGGTGCAGAAGAAATTCTCGGCACCGAGCACAGAGGAGGAGGTGGTGGCGGCAGGTGCTGGGAAGGGCGAAGGCAAAGAAAATGGAAAGGGAAAAGGAAAAGGAAAGGGAAAGGCGATAGAGCAAGGTGGAGGGCAGGAGGAAGAGAGGGAAAGGATGATGAGGGAGCTGGTCGAGAGGGCGGCGCGAGAAATGAACATCGGAGAAGGCGCTGTTGCGGCAGGGAGCGGCGTTGGGGATGGGATGCTGGCCCCGCCGATTCCCAAGGTAAATGGAAGCCATGCTCCAGCTGATGGACCGGCTGCGGCCTCCAATGGCACGGTCGAGGAGCCGCAGAGCAAGGAGAAGCCGAACGCAAAGGCGGCGGCTGCAGAGGCCAGACGGAAGGCAAAGGGCAAGGGGAAAGCAAAGGAGTAAAAGGAAAGAGAACAACATCACGCATCGCTAGAAGTGCACCCAAAAGGAATTCATGTTATTACACAAGATGATTCGCGTCTGATGGCCGTGTGGTGACTGAATGCTGTACTAGAACATGATGAAGGAAGAAAAAGGTGTGGCAATCATGGCTTCATCCTGGCGGGCACCCATCTCCGGATGGCTGTCTCTCTGACCGAATAGCTTTGACCAGACTGGAGAGCGTCGACAAAAGCTTCCGGCCGCTTGAGCTGCTCCTCACCGATGCGCTTCACCGAAGGGACCGCGACGTGGCAGAGGATGAGCGTTTTGAGGACCTGGCTCTGGACTCGATTCGTCGACGAAAACCATACCCAGTCCTTTTGTGCCTCTCTCGGTCCAAATGGCGCTGGCGTCTTGCTCTCCACGTCGTCGTCGTCGTCGTCGTCGTCCCCGTCCTCGTAGGTAGGAACGACGACGACGCCGAACTCGGCATGTGAAAATGCTGGCCCCTTTTTGTACAATAGCAGATCCACGCAGAACTTGAGGCCGGATCGGACGACCCAGCCGAGGGATCGATAGTGGTGATAGGCGACATAGGTGATGAGAAAGGGGTTGTCGGGTCTGGCCCAGTGTCGAGAGACCGAGGCGACAAGCTCGGCAGAAGGCCGAGAGAGGGGAGAGGTCGGGAGGAGCGTCGGTGGGAGCGAGTTGCTCAGCAGCAGGCCGTAGAGGTCTGGCAACGGGATCACGTTGCCTCTCTCATCGATGACCTGCAGGACTCCGATCATGCCCGCCAAGAAGAGCGTTTCGTAGCTGCTGAGTTGGAGCCTCTCGACATCTTCGACGTCAATGTAGTCATCGTCGTCGTCGTCGCGTTTAGCACTCTTCTGCGTCACAGACATATCACCATCAGCGACAGCAGGAGCGGACGAGCGTTCCTTCGTGCTCTCCGCTGAAGGTTTGAGATAAATGAGGCCAGGAATGTGCTTTCCGTAGGCTCCCTCGCCAGCCTCCTGCTTCATCTCCTGCTCGACCTGTCGCTCAATTTCTCGCTCGTCCTCCTCGGTCAGAGTGCCGCCGAGGGCTGTGATGCCGTCCGGGAGCTGCTGTCCAGCCCGGACGGCAAGCCTCGCTCGCTCGATCTTCGCCGCTTTTCTCTCCTTTCGCCGAAGTGCCGTCAGCTCCTCAGGCGTGAAGACTGTGCACCCGTTGAAAGCTCAGCACTTCTCTGACTCGGGCGGCCATTGACATTGACGCAACTCACCCTTCTTGCCGCCTCTCTCACGTTCTCGCACGATCCGTATGGTGTTGATCTGCCGCATTCGCCACGTCGGCTCACTCCTGCTCAGAGTCCCCTTGCCAAAGAAGCCGCACTCCCACAGCAGGCGCATCGCTTTGCTCCGTTCCTGTCTCGGTCCAGGCCCGCCTTGTATCGGAACGCTCACTTCTAACTGCACCGACTTCGACATAGGATCCCACCGGCCCGTGACGAGCTCTTCTCCCTCCTCTTGCTCCTTGCCCTTCTTCTCGCTTGAGGACGGAAAGCCAGCTAGCCTCCAGAGGTACTGTAACCAGCCCTCTGTGCTCTTTGTCGGCCTCTTCCCCGGCACCTCTGCCCCTTGCACGCGGACGGGCAAGGGCCGTGAGTAGGTCGATGCCTTTTGTCTACTCCGACTTTTGCCCGTCATGACCTGCGCGCCCGCAGGCAGCGCCGTCTTCTCCGGCTTTCGATGTCTTCCTTTGGCCATGGTTGACGGACACCTTCCTATACCGCCTTTCGTGTCTCCACCTCGAGAGAAGAGGAAGAATTGGAAAAATTGGAAGAAGGGAAAATTGTGTCAGCAGTGACAGAGTCGCTCTTCAATCTGTCTTCTCCTTCATCCGTGCCCTCTTCTTGAGCTGATGGTCGCGCCGGTCGGCTTGCCGATCCAAATGTTGTGAGCCCCATGGTCAACACCATTGACGCCGGGCATTACGTCCGTCTCAACGTGTTGCACATATCGCAAAGCCAATCATTGCCCGAGTCCTTTGGGAGAACAGCCCGGAGAAAGGAGAAAGTGGGTATGGCAGGGTAGCCTGGTCATTTTTCGTCATCTTATGTGACTGATTTGACTGTCAATCAACGCAACCGTCTGCGCTTGTCAACCCCAGCTAGCTGATTGCAAAGCAAAAGTAGCTTGGAGGGTAGTTTCTGCCTTCGGTTCGGAACGGTGGCAGTGTCTTTTTTCCTCTGGCAGCCGAACTAAAAAGAAAAGAGCAAGGAAAAAAAAATTAAGCATCAACCTCGCGCACAAGCGAGCTCCCGCGCTGCTCGTTATGTGGGCAGCGATTCGTTGCAGCTTGCGCACCTGCGCCTTTCTCGCGACAGCAGGAGAAAGAACTAATTGTTTCGGCTGGCAGGGTTTTGACATAGCATCGAATCGGGCAAGGCAGGGCAGCTCATGAGCTAAGGAGCGAGTGTTGATTTGCAGCAAGCTGAACCCCGACGACCGAATGCGAAAGGCACTTGCTTCTAAAAAAAAAATTCAGGAGGAAAAACGAGAAAGGCCGAGGGAGGGAGAGCGCGCGCGCGAGGGGAAACGACTAAAAGTTGGAATTCAAAGACACGTTGATCAAACGCCAGGTAGAGCTAGCTGCCCCTTCAACACCATCCAGCTTCACCCTTCAGAACCTTCTCCGAGCCGATACAGCCCAGGCAGGCCTTTGCACTGAGACACTCTTCCTCGCCTTCCCTTTCTCTTTCTCTCTCTTTCTCCCTCTCTTCACCCTCGCTTCCAACGCTCCCACCGCAAAAGCCATGCCTTCTTCCACCTCGGTCGACACGCTTGTCATTGGTGCTGGTGAGTCTAGGAATTTGTAGTCCCGCTCGTCGGCCGCAGATCGCCAATGCCTCGTCTTCACGTAAACAGGTCCCACCGGTCTCGGTGCCGCCAAGCGCCTCAACCAGCTCGTGAGTGCTATCAGCCGGTGGTGGAAGCGGGCTTCTCCCAGGGCTGACAAAGAGAACTTCCTTCTTCCGAAGAACACTGCCACCTGGCTCCTTGTCGATGCTAACGAGGAAGCCGGCGGCCTGGCCAGCACCGATGTGACCAAGGAGGGCTTCCTCTTCGATGTCGGTGGACACGTCATCTTCAGCCACTACGCCTACTTCGATGACGTTATCGCCGAGGCTCTGCCCAACGAGAAGGACTGGTACAACCACCAGCGTGTCTCCTATGTGCGGAGGAAGAACATCTGGGTTCCCTGTATGTTGAGCTCTTGTTTCTTTATTAGGAGATTTGCTCTCTCCTTTCCCCCATACTGACTCTATCCTCAGTCCCCTACCAGAACAACATCTCGGTCCTTCCCGTCGAGGACCAGGTCCAAGCCCTGGAGGGTATGATCGACGCCGCAGAGGTCCGAGTCCGCGCCAAGGATGCTCCTCAGACCTTTGACGAGTGGATCATGCGCATGATGGGCCAGGGCATTGCCGACCAATTTATGCGCCCTTACAACTACAAGGTGTGGGCTTTCCCCACCACGACTGTAAGTGCAAGTGCAAGCGAAATGAAGCGACGACTCATGTTGACTCGATGATGCTCTATCAGATGCAATGCAAGTGGCTCGGTGAGCGTGTGGCTGCCCCCTCGCTCAAGCTCAGTCTGAGCAACACCCTCTACAAGAAGGTGGCAGGCGGCTGGGGCCCCAACGCTACGTTCAAGTTCCCCGCCGAGGGGGGCACCGGAGGTATCTGGAAGGCCGTGGCCAAGACGCTGCCGCAGGAGAAGCTGCAGTTCAAGCGTAAGGTCGTCAACATCGACGCAAAGGCCCACACGGCCAGCCTCGACGACGGCTCCAAGATCCAGTACAAGCACCTTGTGTCAACCATGGGCGTTGATTACCTCATCGACAACCTCAAGGATGCCGACCAATCGGACGTCAAGCAGCTCAAGGCTGCCAAGGAGGGCCTTATCTACTCGTCGACGCACGTCATTGGTATCGGTATCCGCGGCAAGCAGCCTGAGCGCATCGGAGACAAGTGCTGGCTCTACTTCCCTGAGGACAACTGCCCCTTCTACCGCGCCACCATCTTCTCCAACTACTCGCCCAACAACTGCCCTGCAGAGGGCGCCAAGCTGCCCACGCTCCAGTACGCGGACCCAACACAGGGCAAACCCGACTCGACGCCCAAGGACGGTCCCTACTGGTCGCTGATGATGGAGGTGTCCGAGTCGAGCGCCAAGCCCGTCAACCTGCAGACGATTCTGGCCGAGACAGTCCAGGGCTGCGTCAACACGGAGCTGTGCTTGCCCGGCGACGAAATCGTCAGTCTGTACCACCGCAAGTTTACGCCGGGCTACCCTACCCCCAGCCTGGGACGCGACGCTGCCCTGTCAGCTATCCTGCCCACACTCGAGTCAAAGTACAACATTCTCAGCCGAGGAAGGTTCGGCAGCTGGAAGTGAGTGACTCTTCCTGTGCCTGTGTGGAATGAACCCCTTGCTCACAAGTGTCTTCAGGTACGAGGTCGGTAACCAGGACCACTCCTTCATGCTTGGTGTCGAGGCCGTCGACAAGGCCCTTTATGGAGCGCCCGAGATGACTCTCGAGTCTCCCGATTGTGAGTCGATTTTCCTGAGGTCCGAAAAGTATTCCTTTTTCAATGCTGATTGTCTCCCACAGTCGTCAATGGACGCCGCAACGCCGAGAGACGACTCACCCCTTCCGCATAGATTGGGCTTTCTGTAAAACAGCGAGAGCTGCCAGTGGACGTTTGGACAACATGTGGGCTCGGCCTCTTCTTTCTCTCTCTACAACCGGATTTGTACCTTGCTCTTTTCTTCTTTTTCTCTTTCTTCTCTACTTTAGATGGTCATCTGAAGGGGGTAAGCTTCCACGCTAGCCCCTTTCACATACACTTCCTTCCTCAGTACTTCCTCCTTGTCTGTCTAGTCGAGACAAAGACGCCCTCAAATGTCAACAACATAACATCTTGATCTGCTCGGTATGTCACGGGCGTGTGTGCGTGCACGCGGCAGGCGCGAGAACTTTTTTCGCGAAACACGACGCACAGACCTTTTGTCAAAACCCAATCGAGGCCGCCTTGCAACGACAAAAGGGGCATGCTGAGAGGGTCGGTATTGGTGGCAAGGAGGGAGGCGGCCGTTGCTGGACCATCAGTATCACGTCTATCGCACAGGAGCGGCTTAGCAGCTCGCGCGTACCAGCTGCAGCGAGGGACACGCAGGGACGCCTTGTTGTGGGCTCATCGCACGCTCGCAACCTCATCCCCCTCTTCGGTCTCCTCAGCGTCTCTTCCCTCCTCGTCCGCCCAATCCTACTATCAGAATGACGACCCCCAACATGGCGAATCGCCACAACTACAGCAGCTCCGAGAGCTTCGCGACCTTATTGTCGAGTGCGGCGGCACCAACTCCAGAATAGAAAAGGAGAAATACCTGCGCGCTTCGACCTCGCAAGACTCTGCCAATCTGCTGCTCTTTCTCTACGACGACCATGTCCGGCTCTACACGAGTGCTTCCCAGCTCATGAGCTACCTGCGCCAGCACGGGCTCGTAGATGGCGATGTGTCCAAGTCGAGGCAGACGACGCTCCCACATGAAGAAGAGGCCCGGCGGGTCCTGTATGCCTGCGGCCACGGTCTGCTGCCGTCGATGCACGACGTGCTTGGCCTGCTCGACTCTCGCGAGGTGAGCGGTCACCTCGCGCTGTCGGTCCTCGCCATCTTTCTGCAGGACTCGGGAGCACTGCAGGCGACGAGCGACGAGACGACGGCCTGGCGAGTCGAAGACAGCACGACAGAGTCGGGCTCCAAGACGAGCATCGAGGAGCTCGTCTCGCGGGCCGCCACGAGGCTGACGGTCCTCGAGTGCTTCTGCAGATGCCTCGATCGAAATCTCCGGGTAGGCATCAATGCAAAGACGCTTCGCTCCGTCTTTGTCAAGGGGAGTCCATCGACGGGCTTGACGTCAGGGAAAGAGAGCCGGGCCGGCGACGCCGAGGAGGACCCAAGGACAAAGACGACAGATCAAGACAGACGATCAAGGGGCAAAAGCGCATTTGAAGTTGCGCTGGGAAAGACAATCGAGAAAGACCAGCTTCACAAGCTCTTTCCTTCTTCGACTGCTGATACGCCAGAGCACGGGGAGGAATGGTATGTCAGCCGAAAGCTTGACGGGGTCCGCTGCGTCGTCCAGGTGGGTCATATTGAGGCACATCGAGGGAAATCATTGCTGAACAGGCCTTTGCTATCTACTAGGTCGATATCGCGTTCCCTCTGACAGAAGGAAAGCTCGAAGTTTTGAGCGTCGAGAGCTTCTCCCGTTCAGGTCGACGCTTCAACGGTCTAAAGAATCTAGAGGAGGAACTCAAGGGATTCATTGCGGGCTCGACCGTTGCGCGCAATATCATCAGCAAGTCGCTCGACGTGGGTCAGGAGCTGGGACCCCGGGGTGACAAGATCGCTCGTCTGTACCTCGACGGTGAATGCTGCGCATTGATACCTCGCCACAAGGCGCATTCGACGTCGCCGATGACAGATCATCAGGGGCATCAGGTCGTGGTTGATTCGTCGTCAGTCTCACCCTCATCGGCAGTAGGGAAGGAAGAGGATCCGCTGGCATACTTTGTCGAGGACTTCACCTCAGTTGCGTCTGCGCTGCAAAGAAAGAACTTTACGATCCATCGACCGGCCTTTTTCCCCTTTGACGTCCTGACGTTTTCTGAGTTTGCCAACTGGAGGTCCGGCCCGCCAAGCTCAGCGACCTTTGAAGAGCGCGTGAAGACAAGGATCGAGCCACTGGTCGACGAATGCAACGTCATGAGCGCAGAAGCGAGTCGGGTACCACTTGTCCGAAAGCTGCATCAGGAAAAGATCAATACGCCGGAGCAGGTTCATCGATGGATCGAGGAGGCAGCTGAGAGGGGCTGGGAGGGGATCATGTTGCGAAAGGCCGGTAGTCTATATGAGGGCAAGCGAACGTGAGTGTATCGTCTCTTCTTTCTTCGATTCCTAGATGCACGGTGTTGACGCTCGCTTTGGTCGCGCGCAGTACCGACATTCGGAAGTTCAAACAGTGGCGTGAGGCCGAATACGTCGTCGAGGATGTCTCAATCAACGAGATGAGGCTGCCGATTGGGAAAAAGTACGGCCAGAGACGAGCGCTGGCCTCTGTATGGGTCGATCACAATGGCGTTAAAGTCTCCATCGGGTCTGGCTTCAGCGTCGAGGAGCGACTTGCATTCGCCGAAGATCCGCAATTGATTTTGGGAAAGGAGATCACGGTACAGTTTTTTGAAGAGAGCAAGAGCTCAGCCCGGACTGCGTCAGCAACCGTATCGGGTGAGGGCCTTGGGGATGGGAAGATCGGGCATCAGCTGCTCAGTCTGCGGTTCCCAAGGGTCAAAAAGATATGGATGGAAGGGCGCAGAAACATGTAGGAATATTTGGTAAAAGGTGCTTCTTCAGCTTATTGAGCAGCACGAACAGTCAGGATAATCAATATAGTCGTCGTCATCAGACGACGTGCTGAGACTGTCTGCATACTCGTAGCGCGTCGACAGACTAGATTTTTCATGCGAAACCGGTCTACGGCTTCTGTGCAGGGAGACTGGTTTTTCGGTAGTGTCGTCTGACGAGGACGTGCTTGCAAATTCTTCAATTGCGTGGTTACTTGCGTGCGTCGCCTGGTGAGGGTCTTCATGCTCATCCTGCCGACGGTTCTTAAGGATGCTATGAGGAAAACCTCTTTGGGCGATGCGAGGAGGTTCCACTTTGGTTCTCTTCATGCGACGAGGGTGCATGATCTCGTTCTTGATGTTGTTCTGACTCTTGGTGATTCCCTCTCTGTATAGCTCCTTTCTGTTTGTACAGCAGTGGTCAGGACGATCAAGGTCTTCAGAAACGCCTTCTGAGGACTCAGGGATCTTTGAGATGCTTTTCTGAAGGCGTTTAAGAATATCGGTCTTCTGATCTCCCTTCTTTTTCGTGTCGTCGCTCCAATCGATCTCGTCAAAGTGCAAATTCATCAGATGTTCGGAACTCAAGCCGAGGATAGTTTTGACTCCAAATCTGACCCCTTGAGGCGTAGAAGGCTGCTGAATTTGTGATGGTTGTCCTCCTGAGGACTCGGGCGGTGCTTCTTCTTTGGGAGTGGAAGGAGCCGTAGAGAGGACGAGAGATGTTAAAACCGCCATGATGGTGATGACGACGGGAAAAATCTTCATCATGCTAGGTTTCTACGCTGAGTTGCGAAAGCTTCGATGTCTTGGTGGTCAGAGTATCTTAGGAGGCCCTGGTGCTTCCTTCTTTCGAAAGACGCGACAGTGAAGACCCTGGTGAAGAAGAAGAAGAAGAAGAAGGGAAGGAAAGAATGAGATTATCTATCACACAATCATGCTTACGCCTCTCCCTGTCGGTCCGAGCAGCCATCGGGGCTCCTGCAGCGCCTCATTTGTCTACCGAGATGCGACCGCCGCGCTCGCTCCGGTTCCTGTATTTACGCAGCGCCGAGTAGGTCCTTTTCCCCCTCACCGCCGCAAGCTCTTTCGGCAGACTCAATCGGTCTGTCCGCATTGGGTACATGGCAGTCTGTAGTCTCGGTACGCAAGCAAGTCACAGTCTCCTCAATTTATCCGGGCACAGCCTATTGACCAAGATAATTCGTCAATAATTCGTCAGCTCGGAAGAGGACTCGCTTCAAGAGGGGGAAAAGGAGAAGATGATGATGATGAGAGTAACATTTAGACAAAAGCTTTGAAGACAAGGGAAGGAGCAAAGAGTCTCAGGATGGCGACCCCTGAGGTCGAGATTTACCTACGAATCCTGTAGGTCCTTGGAAGGTGCACTTTATCATATTCTTGATGTTGTTGATAGAATTCTGGATCTTAATGTTGTATCCTGCCTCGACGAGCAATTCTCCCGACAGATGAATTCCTGGGACTTTCGACCTCCAAAGATGGCCGACAACTGCATGTATTGCTTCGTCACGTTCCTTCGTGTCCGTGGGCCATTTTATGTCATTGAAAAAGAGGTTGGAGAGAGATTGCCGTTCCGTGGTCGCAAGCAATTCTGGAACGGTGAATTTCGGTGAAAAGGTGACTTCTCGCAAGCCAGACGAAGGCAAAGCTCCTGTACCTCGTCCTACCATGGGAAGCGAGGAGACAAGGGGAGAAGAAAAAAGGGAGAGAAGAAAGGCCCCATTCATCGAAAGGTAGACAGGTTTCATTTTCGGTTCGCTTCAAATCGGTGCTTGCCTCCCGCGCTAGAGATGTGTGGTGGTGAACCTCGATGACAGCTGCGTCTGAAGGTGGTTTGAGTCTATGAGAGGAGCTTTCACTGGACTCGCTCTTCTTGGGAAAGGGGATGGTCTGAGATGTGAAGAGTGGGGCTGGTCGACCTTCTCTCCTGCTAATACACTGTTCTTTTCCTGGGCTGCAAAACGTAGGAACGGTTTACCTGAATACAAGAATCCACGGGTGGTGTATCAGTCGGCATCAGATCACATCGGTGGAAATAATTGGCTGTGTGATGGGCTGTGTCTTGATTTCTGGCGTGTCTCGGCCTTCTAATGCTGTGACGCCAGTCTGAGTGGATTCACGGGAGGATCGAGAGCTCTCTCTCCGCCTCGTGTGTAAGCCAACAAGGATCTTTGCTCTGGCTGAGATCGTTGCTTTCTGACTCTTCCTTCAAAATCTTGCTGATGGTGACAAACAGACGCATAAAGTTCTCTCTCCCCTACGCTGCTGCTCCCACATATGCCCCTTTGTTTTGCACCGCTTGTAAGTGTGAATGGTAAAGGTGGACAGTGACCTGAAGAGAGACGAGCAAATCGGGGGCACTTCACGGATGTTTACCTCAATTAAGAGTCGTGTTACCTCAATTAAGAGTCGTGTTACCTCAATTAAGAGTCGTGTTTGGTAAGCATCATGTACTCTTGGATGAGGTGTCTACTCTCCGATACTCCGATACTTTAGAGGAAGAGTATCGCAGCGTTGAGTAGGTCCTCGTTTCCTTCATCGCTACAAGCTCCTAAAACAACACTTGTCCGCCTTGATTTATGCGGCAGGCCATCTCCTCGGTAGGCTACTCACAGTTCCTTCTGTATTTCTGCGGTCACATGTCTTGATCACTACTACATTTCAGCTTCGCAATGGATCCAGATCAACGTGGGAGAAGTTGAGGCTGAGAGAAAACTAAAATGAACTCATATTGACAAGGGAGGGTGTGAAGAGACCCAAGTTGACGACCCTTAAGAGTTTACCCAAAACGAAATTCCCGAGGGTTCGACAAAGGTGCCCAATTCCTTGCTCCTGATGTTGTTGATGGAATTCTCGATCCCTTTCTTGTATTCCTCTTCCCTTTGTGCAGCTGTCGTCCCAGGTATTTCAGTGAGTTCCGTGATCTTCTTACTCTCGAGAATTCGGAGGACCTCTCTAACCTTTTTTTGGCGCTGTTTATCGCTCTTGGGCCACTCAAAATCTTCGTAAAAGAGATTTCTAAGGCGATCTGGTTCTGTGATTGCACTCAATTCTCCGACGGTGAGCTTCTTCTTTGAGACGTCGGAAGACGAAACCTTTTCGCCATTTCTCCACATGGGAAGCGAGGAGACGAGGTGCGACGAGAAGAAAAGGGGAAGGGAGAAGATCATCAAGAGATTGAGCAACCTCATCCCTTGCAAACTGATGGTGGTGTCTGCTCTTTCCGGATATGCAATGTGGTGGTTATTGTCTTGCCTGGTGGCTCTGGCCTTGGTCTTCTGATTAAGGAAGCAGGCCTGACTTGGTTGGGTTCTTTATCGATAAAGGTGATGGTTTGAGGTAGAAAAGTAGAGGCTGGTCCACCTTTTGAATGCAGCATCTCATTGGTGGTCCATTCAGGTGATATCGGAGGCCTTCGGTGGAAAGAGAGTCTCTATTGTTTTTGTAACGTGGCTCGGGCCTTTCGATGCTGTGACGCCAATCTTGGGCGCATCAGAGAGGCAAGAAGAGCAGATAACATGCATCCTATGCAGACAGACAGGAGCGACGATTTTGCTCTAAGCAAAGCTACACTTCTTGATCCTTACTTTCTGTTCTTGCTGATGATGACAAAACGTAGAACGCTCTCTAAATTCGCGTGACTAGAAGTAGGAGACGGGCAGACTGGAGCATTTATACGGATGTTCACTTCAGCGATGAACCGTGTTTGCAGAGACGCAACGTACTCCTGTTGGAGGCGTTTACCCTCCGATACTCGGATACAGGAGAAGAGTGTTGACTGGTCAACACGGTAGCAAGTGTCAAAGATGGGTGCGTAAATTTCTCCACGTGGATGCCGACGCGAAGAAACATCGCACCCCTTCATTCTTTGTCCTCATCAACGACACCTTAGGGAGGAAGGTGCAGAGACTAAGCCATGGCCTCATCCTCGTCCAAGACGCCGCCAAGCCCATCGCTGTACGTTCGCAACATACCTTCCAAGATCAAGAAGCCCGAGTTGCGCCGGCAGCTGTACTGTCTTTTCAATGTGTATGGCAAAGTCATCGACGTCGTGGCGACGAGGAGAGACTCGATGCGTGGGCAGGCCTTTGTCGTGTTTCGGGATCTGGCTAGCTCAACGAGTGCGCTGAGAGCACTCGATGGATTCGATTTCTATGGGAGCGCCTTGGTGAGTGTGGGAGAAAGACCCCACCATGCGCTCTAGCACCCATGCGCTCTAGCACCCATGCTCACCATTTGTCTCCTTGCTCTAGGCACTCGACTATGCTCGATCAAAGTCAAAAGCGTCAGTCATCGAGGAGCTCGGGCCAGAGGCGCTCTTTGACCCCAACGTGCTGGCGTCCATGAAAGGCGACCCCTCCTCGTCAAAGTCAGCATCCAAGGCAAAAGTCACCTTTTCAAGCGCAGCCGCCGATCTTCAGAGCCGCGAAAAGAAGCGGGCGCGCGATGAGGCGAAAAGCAGAAATGGTGGCGTCGCTGCGGATGGAGATGATGAGGAGGGAGAGGATGATGACGCAGAGGCTGGCTTGGGTGATCAAGGGCAAGAGGAGGAGGAGGGAGACGAGGCTCGGGCAGGGAAGAGACGAAAGAGCGAGGCCGTCGCGGCACTAGAGGAACAGAGTGACTCAGGGGGTGAGCATCCAGTCTTACACACACTTTCCTGACAAAGCAGACGCTGATCAGCACCATCAATGCAGAGGAGATGGAAATGGGGGATTCGGATGAAGAAGAGGATCTGGGTGCGCCGCTACCAGCGCCGGGAAGTGTGCCGAACAATCTTCTCTTTTGTGGAGAGTTACCCTCCGATGTCAGCGAGGACCAGCTCGGTGTTTTGTTTCAGCAGTGAGTACACCTGGATTCTGGACGACTACGAGCAGTTTGGTGCGAACCTGACACAATGCGATTGCGAAAGACACACCGGATTCAAGGACGTGCAGTTGCTGCCGGCCAGCCAAGAAAGAGGCGCCTTTGCCTTTGTCGAGTTCCACTCTTCAAAGTTGGCCGGTGCCGCACGGGAGGCCCTCGATGGATTCCAGCTTGGGCCTGAAAAGCGGCTCGATGTGAAGTGGGCTAAGCGAGCATGAAAGACAGACCAATTGTAATCTATATCACTGCCAATGCCGTGGCAGGTCAGAGTTCATGATACATCAGAGCGATCCAAATGGGAGGAGCTACAGGAAGAAGTTGCGCCTAGACACGCCCATCTTGGGCTTCCACTCGAATTCCATGCCCTGCACTTCCTCTTCGGCTGTCGCCCGCTTTCTCTTCTTGTTGGCCAGCGCCATCCGTCCTTGCACACCCTCGACGCCTTGCTCGTCTGAGGGAGCTGTTCCCGTACCATCAAAGTCGATGACCCCGTCCCAGGCTCCTGCCCCTTTTGGCAAGCCGTTTTTGAGGCTGCGCAGCTTGATGGTGAACTGAGGCCCAATCTCTTGGAGCTTTGTCTTGTCTTCATTCTTGAACATATATCGATGTCTTCGAAAGAAGATGTAGTCGCGCTGGTTGTGCGCCGTCACCACTTGTCTACCCTGGAGCTCAGGCACCTTGGGGAAGAGGGACTGGAATAGCCCACCGACGCGATGGCCTAGAGTTGTGGTAAAGTTGTTGAGAATCAGCTCGGGGGTATGCTTGGTCGAATGGCCGCGCCCATATATCTCCGAGCCCATCGAGATCGAGGTCAGCCGAAAGAAGGCCGTCGGTCCTAGCGGAAGTCCAATGATTGTAAGAGAGAAGGGCTCCTTCTTGTCCTCGCCCACGACTAGGAGAGCATCGTAGCCCCTTTTCCTAGCCCACCCAGATATCTTGCCTAAGCCAACACCCTTGGCGGCCGCTCTAGGCCGGTACTCTGCGCCTGGAAAGACATCAAGAAGCTGGTCGACAAAGTCTCGCACCCGTTCGGCGGGGTGCGATCGCGAATTCGCAGAGGCAAGATGGGGAGATGTTGAGTTGGAGGGCAGCGAGGTAGTGATTAGAATGGCCGGAGGTGCGTGTGGATCCTCATCTTCCTCTTGCTCCTCCTGTTCTTCTTCCGCTGCTTCTGCTGCTTCTTCCTCTTCCGCATTCTCATCTTTCTCGTCGTCGGAACTTATGGCCGCTGCGGACGTCGAAGCGACCTGGGACGGTCCCGGCCCAGGATGAGTGTTAGGGGCATTGATGATCGTTGGGTTGTAGTCTCTTGTGTTCTCGATGGTTCGGGGTACATTTGCTGCCAGGCGTGCCTGTGTGACAAGACGAAGATCAGAATGCCACTTTCCAAGAAGCAACAAAGGGCGCTGAGACTCACCCGCTTCTTCTCTTTGCCCTCTTCGCCTCGCTCCTCCCTGGCCTGCTCGACGCGCTTCTTGAGCTTCTCTTGCCGCTTGTCCTTGCGATGCTTTCTGTACAGCTCCTGGCGCTTGAACTTGTTGCCGATGTGGGAGAAGTTTCCGCTCGCACCTTCCCCCGGCGGTGGCTGGCTCGACGGCATCTTCCCAGTCGAATGTCTCGATGTCTTGATGTCCAGTGAAAGAGAGGGAAGGCTATCCTGTACGAACTTCCAAAAAATCTCAAAAATCTCCAGGTGTGAAACACGTGCAGGAAACCTCAACTGGCCAGCCAAAACGCTCGAGCCCGCGCGCTTCTCGACTCAATCGCTTGGCCCTTTTCGTATCCGCGACCTCTGAGCGTCGGACTAGAGACATTCAGACAAGATGGCCTCGCTCGTGGCCATCGTGGATATCAAGGGCAAGTCCCTCATCCAGCGGTCGTACAGGGACGATGTGGCGCCCTCCACCGTCGAGCGTTTCCTCCCACTGCTTCTCGACATGGAGGAAGAGAGCGGCGGGAGTGCGGTGAATCCCTGCTTCACCAGCGAGGGCGTCAATTACATGTTCATTCGGCACAACAACCTCTACTGTGAGTTTCAGTACAGCAGATACTTGCTCTCTTCGCTAATTTGCTCTGGCTGTTATACAGTGCTCGCCCTCTCGCGCCGAAACTCCAACGCTGCCGAGATCCTTCTCTTTCTCCACAAGCTCGCCTCGGTGCTGGAGGAGTACTTCAAGGAGCTCGAAGAGGAGAGCATTCGGGACAACTTTGTCATCATCTACGAGCTCCTCGATGAGATGATGGATTTTGGCTACCCTCAGACGACTGAGAGCAAAATCCTCCAAGAGTATGTCCTACATTTCCTCTGCCTATTATTGCCCTCGCTAACTGACTATCTGCGCACAGGTACATCACTCAAGAGTCACACAAGCTCGAAATCCAGGCAAGACCGCCGATGGCTGTGACGAATGCCGTCTCTTGGCGATCCGAGGGGATTCGATACCGGAAAAACGAGGTGTTCCTCGACGTCGTCGAGTCAGTCAACCTTCTCGTTAACGCAAACGGGAACGTTGTGCGGAGCGAGATTCTGGGTGCTGTCAAGATGAAGTGCTATCTTTCGGGCATGCCCGAGCTGAGATTGGGTCTCAACGACAAGGTCATGTTTGAGAGCACAGGGCGAGGTGAGTGGAAGATGCCCACGCGAAGCAGGCTTCATTCCGCTGACGACTTGGGGCTGCATCAGCGGCGAGAGGAAAGGCAATCGAGATGGAGGACGTCAAATTCCATCAATGTGTCCGGCTTTCACGATTCGAAAACGATCGCACGATCAGCTTCATTCCTCCGGACGGCGAGTTTGAGCTCATGTCGTACCGTCTTAGCACCCAAGTCAAGCCTTTGATCTGGGCAGAGGCCATCATTGAGCGACACGAGGGCAGTCGTATCGAATTCATGGTCAAGGTGAGACCTCTTGGATTTACGTCGAGGGCATAGCTGTCAGCCTAACCCCTCGCATTCTACAGTGCAAGGCGCAATTCAAGCGAAGATCAACGGCCAACAATGTCGAGATCCACGTACCCGTGCCAGATGATGCCGACTCTCCAAAGTTCCGAGCTGCTGTAGGGTCTGTTCACTACGCACCCGAGAAGTCGGCCATGGTTTGGAAGATCAAGCAGCTGGGTGGCGGACGAGAGTTTCTCATGAGGGCCCACTTTGGGCTGCCGAGCGTCAAGAACGAGGACACGCTCGACCGGAGAGCACCAATCAACGTCAAATTCGAGATTCCATACTTCACAGTCTCGGGTATCCAGGTTCGGTACCTCAAGATTGTGGAGAAGTCAGGCTACCAAGCGTTGCCATGGGTGCGGTACATTACTCAGGTAAGTTGGACTCCTTTCTGACCTTGTGTACACTATTTCACTGACCTCGCCAAATTTCTTGCCACCTCAGCACGGAGAGTACGATCTTCGGACACAAAGTGACAAAGCACAAGCTCGTCTGGCCCCTTTCTCGGCTTGATGGCTTCGTGAATCCATCCTTCTCTATATTTTTGTACCGGTACACCATCACAATCAGATTCCTTCACATCGAGCACTCCAAGAGCTCATGGACACGCAATTCGCCCGTCCATTCTTATTTGTTCACCTTTGAGAGCCATCCACTGCATGTCTGTTAGTTCCCTGCAGCACAAGTTGAAGGCCCAAACCCCAAATCAGTCGATACCTGGTTAAGTAGAGAGGAGGAAGATGCAGCCATGGGCGGGTTGAGGCGTCACGCGCCACGTGGTAATCTGAAGGTCGCGCTCGTCTGTCGTCTCGTTGGTTCAAGCGACTTTCTTTCCCTCCCTTGCCCGCGGACCGACGTCGACATGAGCGGTAGTGAGTCTTGTGTCACCGAATGAGAGGAAGTATCGGCTGGATCATTCGCTGACACTCTCATCACACTTCTCCTGTCCACAGTCGAGTACAAGCAGTGAGTAGGTTCTGGGGCCTCTTGACGTCCTGGCATTATCTATCTCTTCCTTCCTGTCATCCCCCACGATTCACTGACCCGTATTCCTTCCCTCGCCCTCGCAGAGATCTACCGCCCCAAGGCGGCTATGAGCCTATCCGGTACAAGCGTAATCTCCCCACGCGCGGACCGGGCGGCCTGGCCATCTTTGGCGGCGTGCTGGCCATTTGCGCATATGGCTTCTATCGTGTCGGCATGGGAAACCTTGAACAGCGGTGAGTTGTCCTCTTTCATCTTTACTGATGAATGATTGCGCGAAGGCCAGAGAGCTTACGGGAGGAGGGGTTTGCGGTCAACAGAGAACTGAAGCGAGAGAAGGCCTGGTCGAGAATTCACCTCGTACCGCTACTTCTTGCCGAGGCAGACAGGGACACGTACAGGCGCGAGCAGGCGCAGTACGCGCGCGAAAAGGAGATCATGAAGGATGTACCCGACTGGGAGGTGAGTGTCTGTCTCAAGGGCTGGCCTCAGGAAATGAAGCAGCTTTCAGTAAGGCTGATAGAGGGATCGTTTCAAGGCACGCAAGAGCGTATACAACACCAAGCGGTACACGCCTCAGAGCTTCGTTGTCCTCTAAGCCAAGCCAAGGCCTCACAACCTTACAATCATGAGAAGAATCACATAATCTGGCACAGCTTTGCTCGTTTAAGCGGAGAGACAGACAGAGAAGTACAGAGAAATTCAAATGTTGGGAAGACGCAGAAAAGAAGGGAGAGAGGGCTATACCTCTCGATCGAAGCCCCACATGCCGTCGAGGTCCCTTCCACCGTTGAGCCTCTTCGCTTCGTCATAAATCTCCTTCCTCCCTTGCATCTCGAGGCCCCTCGGTCCGCACTCTTCGAGTCGGTATCCACAATCGAGGCCATCGACAGGACCACTGGGAAGGTCCTTGGCTAGGTGCATGGGACGCCATTTCTTAGCACCCCTCCGAAGTTCCTCGGGCACGAAGAGGCGCTCGTAGAACCAGACGAATGAGTACTTTGGCGCAGCACGAGAATAGTGCACGTCATTCTCCCACTGGGGAGGTGAGGGGGACGGTCAGTGACTGGGTCTTCTCGATGGTGTCTTTGAGCGATGAAGCACTCACCCAGTTTGGCGTCAGCCTTGGCTTGGGCCGTTTCTGCATCATCGCCTTTTGCTTCTGTGCCCCTCCGACGGGACACATCTTGCCGTTCTCCTCCCCTGCCCGGATACCCGAAGCCGGGCAGACGCTGAACATGTCTTGAGGATCGGCTGCGTCGACACCGTCCATGAGACCTTGTCCATTGTGCGGCACGACGCTCTTTGGCGTGTTTCTTGGCATGAGCATGTAGCGGTTGACGAGAGCCATGATTCGGAGGAGGCCGTAGCTCATTCCGTACAGCCAATGGGGAGGCTTGACAAAGCCCATAGAAAGACGAAGTCGTTCGTCCATAAGCGATGCTGAAAGACAAAGGACTTAGCTACTGAGCAATGGAGTAAGAAAGAATACGAAAAATATACTCACTGACGACGTGCGATAAAGCCGGGCGCATGAAGTGGGGAGCGTGGAAGAGGAGGAGGTCGACCGTTTCCTTTGCCACCTTTTCGTTTTGCTCGGCATAGACCATGTGCTTTGCTTCATAAGCCTCTGACCATGCTTCCATCTCCGTTCTCGTCTTCGGAATGTCTTTGATGCCCATGCATCGGCCAGCGTGGTAGAATACGGTAAAGATCGCTTCCGACTCGAGCGGCGTAGCCGGACGCCAGGCGTACAAGCGGTACCTTAAAACGCACTTGGTCAGTCCAGCGCTCTACTATGGCACATTTCCGGGGCCAGATCAACCAGGCTCACCATCGAACAGGGACAATCATGAATGTTGAGAGCGTATATAGGAGGTCGTCGTTGGAAATGCCTGCGCCATGAGGTTCATGCATCTTGTTCGCTCTGGCATGCAGCCAATTGATCCTTGCAATGGCAATGGCTGACCTCGGGTCATTTCGATCATCGTTGTAAAAGCCCTTTTCCCTTTTTCGAGCCTTGCTATGATCCTCGTTGTCCTCGAGATCAAATACCGGGAGCGGGTAAGTGAAAAAGGACGCAATGAGGACTGACGTATCGACGTAGCGCTTCGACGACTTGTCAATGTCGACAAACTGCCCCGTCCGCAAAAGGATCTTAGAGATCGTCGGGATTCCATACGTTCTGTTTGAATTTTCAAATCAGCCGAACCTTCTCTCTTCGCAAGCAACGATGTTGACCAGGGGCTCGACTGACCTAAAAAGGGCAAACTCAAGCGCCTTGAGCGAGATGAAGGGCATGTCAAAGTGGCCGGTGTTCCTAAAGATTTCTTGCGCATCCCTAATGCCTCGATAGCCGCTCTCGTTCATCCGTCGCTTGCCGCCCTTGGCCGCCTCTTCGTCTGTCAGAGCATACCGGTCACCAAAGTCGGACTGCAGCGACTTGATATGTTCGTACCGCGCGAGCCGGACGCGGGCGAGATGAAGGACCAGAAGCAGAGGGGCGAGTGTGTACAGCGCCGTGCGGACGTCGAGCCACGACGGCAGTAGAGAGGCAGTAGTCGATGAGATCCTGACATTCATCGTAACGAGCGCCAGATGTCGTCTGCTTTGATTGGTAGTCAATGTCGAAAAGAAAAAGATGGCGAGCAACGCAAGAGAGACTGCTCGACTTTGTTGAGACCCGCTAAAATGATTGATGCGGGGTGCGGGGACAAGCCGGGCAAGCAAATCCGCGCGCGCTTTTCGTCAACGCCAAAGATCGTTTTCATTGGCAGGCAAAGGAAGAAGAAATCCAGGTATTGATAAGAAGAGAGTAAAACGTACACAGACAATCTCGAGGACTATGGATAAGGTAGTAGTAGTGATAACAGCATCAGAGGCTTTCCTGAAGAGAGGGAAGTAGAACTTAACAAAAAAACACAGAGACAAGTGCCTCGCTCTGGGCCGGAGGGGAGCAAGAGGATATCTGCTGAGATGAGAGCGGGAAGAAGAGTACAGGCCGGCCATAGGAGGTACCTCGGGGAGGGAAAGCACAGAGACGGAAGTGAAAAGGCAAGGGCAAGTAGACGACTCAAAAATCGTCGGGCTTCAAGTGGTCGCCACCCGCAGCGGCGAAGTGGTCGTCCAGTGGCGCACCGATGAAATGGTCGTCGTGGAAGGGCGCATCGATCTTGAACTGATCTGGATCGACATGGTCGGTAGGATTGTGCCCAGCGACGCCGAGTACGTGGCTGCCGTCGACATCGTCCTCGTCATCCTCGTCGTCATGACCCTGGCCCATCTTCGCGCCCTTGCCTTGCTTGACGTCCTGGCGAGGCGCCGAGCTAACACCGTGGAGCGTCTCGTATTCTCGACGGAGTCGCTCGTATTCGGTCTTGTCCGCTTCTGCCTTTTCGAGGTAAGGTTGCTTCTCCGAGTCAGGCAGGCTGCGCCACTTGGATGCCGCCAAGACGCTCTGCTTTGTCGTCTCCTGCTCGCCCTCAAAGACCGACTCGGTGAGTGCCGGGTCGGCGCGAATGGCTCGGAGGAAGAGAAAGTAGGCACTGAGCGGTTTCTTGGGCGCATTGGGATCCTTCAGATTTCCCTTGCGACTCTTCCCGGCCTTGCGTTGTGCGGTGCGGAACATATTCTCTTGCTTGATGTCCTCGGGCGTCAATGTCTGCTTCCACTTTTCCATCTCACGTTCCCATTCAGCCTTGGCCTCGAGGCTCTTGCGCTGGAATTCCTTTTTCTTCTCTTCAGGGAGCGCCGCATAACGTTGGCCAGCGTCCTTGGCAACGTGGGCGACGTTAAGCCTCTCGCCGGGCGACTCCTGCTTCATCTTCTGCAATTCCTCAGTGAAGTAGACTTGCCACGCCGACGGTGCTTGCTTGGGGGGCTTGAGATGTGACTTGAGCACCGCAGGCTTGGGAGGCTCCTTCTCTTTCTTCTTTTGTCCTTTCGACTCGCCGTCGCCGTATGGATGATGTCTTGCATTAGCTCCCTTGGACTTTCCGTCCGGTGACATGGGTGGCATCGCAGACAGGCTTGTGGCTGAAGCCGGTGGTACCGCGAGCGAAGGGGCCACCGCCGCTCCTGCCCCGACATTGGCGCTTTGGTCCTTCTTCTTACGCCCACGCTGACCGGGTTGCTTTCCTTGTCGAGCTGGACCGACTTGGCTCTGGGTCTGTTGCGGGTGCATGGCGCCCACCGGTGAGGCGCTCATCGAAGCGAGATGCTGCTGCCCAGGCATGACGACGTTGGGAGCGCCCTGCATATGTGGCATGACCTGAAAGTGAGAACCGTAACCGCCTGGAACACCGTGATGGCCGCCGTGATGGACGTGGGTGTACGATGGATGGCCATACATGTCGGTTCCACCCATCATTGGACCGCCCGGAAACTGACCTGGGGCGGCGCCGAGACCGACGGAAGAGCCTGGGACATGCGAATAGTGCTGGTGCGGCGACGAGGCATGGTGTTGTAGGTGAGCGTGTTGACCATATGCACCATACATGTGTTGCTGTTGTGTTGGCGTCGGTGGCTGTTGTTGTTGTTGTTGTTGTTGTGGCTGCTGCTGTTGTTGCTGAGGCGGTGGCTGTTGCTGATACCCATGATGACCGCCCGGTTGTGGCGCCGCTCCAAATGCGCCGCCGTATCCACCAGCATATCCGTGCGCCTGGCTGAACATGGCGGGATGGCCTTGCTGGGGACTTTGACCGATTCGAGGAGAATGGCCGCCAATGTTGGCACGGTGGTGCTGCGCCGCCGCGGCTGCAGCAGCGGCTGAGCCAGTGTCGTAGCTCCCACGACCGTCGTGATTTCCACCGCCGCCACCGCCGGCAATGGGTGGTAATTGCATGTCCATTCCGGGCACCATGTTGGAAGGATAGTGAAATTCCGGTGCGTACGATCCGCGATTACGCGAGACTTGTTGTGGATCCATGGCTGGTGTGAGTGCGCGTTAGCAATGGTCTGGTCATCTCCCAGAGCAAGGATGGGGTGAATGCATCCAACCATCCATCCATCCATACGGCCACACGTCTATCGCTGCAGAGCTGAGTATGAGTAGACGAGGGACGCTGGCTGCAAAGGGTGGTGCGCGATAGCGAAGGATCGCTGTCTTTCGCCGAGCAGGAGGCGTGTCTTTGCACCGCGAGCCAGCTAAGCCTTGCCGCGCCCGTGTCGGAATGAAAGCGGTGGATTTGGCTTGAATCAACGCAGGGCGCTCTTTGTGAAGATCCGTCGGCGGCGAGGCGCGCCATGACATTCACATGTCACGCCGTGATTGATAGTGACATTGGCAATGGCAGTACGGTGCCATGTCGCGAGTACGTGTAGTACGCGCTCGTGCACGCGCGCGTCGAACGGATGAATGGATGGATGCATCCTTACCCCCTAATCTCTCTGGGCACGGTACAGACGACGAAGGCACGCGGCCAACGCCTATGTATCGAAGGGAACTCACCGAAATAGTGCCCGAACGGACTGGTGTTCTACAGGAGTGACCACGGTGATCAAACGCAGGCGGCTTGTACCTGTGCACGGTATGTCACCCCGAGGATGGGACAGGGGAACAAGACGAGAGGCTGAGCGAGAGAGCGCTGGTGCCGAATTGAGGCCAATTTTTTTTGGAGCGGACAAGGGCCTTAGTCGTTGTCCTTGGCGGGGCCGAAGCTAGGTAGATTCAGCGCAGTCGGTTGATCTAGGAACGTTGAATTCAGAGTAGTGTCAGGCAGAAGCAAGAGCAGCAGCAGCTGGGCAGCAGGAGACGCACGGGGACGTACGGCGTGGTGAGATAGAGTGGCGTCGAGGCGCGGCGCGCGCGCGGGGACAGAACGGGGCGATGTGGGCTCGGGTCTTTCGAGCTGTCTCGGTTTATTTTTTTTTCTAGCTGCTGGCTTCTTGCCTGTTGCGTCGAGGCAGCAGCAGTAGTGTAGTAGCGTAGTAGCACACGAGCTGCGTGTACGTCGGGCCGGATGGCTGGAGTTGAATGTACGACGAAGGGGGCGCAGAAAGGGACAAAATAGGAAAACTGACTCCCTGTTTGTGTGACGTGTGTGATGAGAAAGGGATCGAGGCCAGCGGGGCCAAGGGGGAAGAGGGGCGCGGCGAGTGAAAAATAATCGAGACGGCAAAATACAATAGAAAGTACTTTGTGCAGCAGTAGTGGCTGCGCTGGGCTGCGGTTTGGGTTCAGTGGGAGAGAATTTGGACCCGGATCGCAAGCGTTGACGAGGAGGCCTGGAGGTACGCGCGCTCTTGCTCAGGACTGCTGGGATGGCGGCGCGAGGCAGAGAGAGAGAGGGAGGGGAATTATTTTTTTGGACGTCCTCCTCCCGGGGGGGCAAGCCAAGGTTGAGCGAAATTGCGATGATATGCGTTTCACCATTCCCCTGCCTTCCTAGGCACAAATGCAGTCGGGTCAAACTTTCAATTAGCAAGAAAAAATTAGGTTGTATTGCGAGATACAGAAATGCATCGCCATTTCCGGCTTGCACTTACCGCCGATGTCAATCGGAATAAAGTCACGTGGTGCTAAGGTCAGCAGGGTTCCATCTTCGTCGCCATCGGCGTCAAACGTCGTCACTGCTTGCTTAGGTAGACAGAAAGTGTTCGAATGTGGACAAACATCTACGCTATAAGTACGTTAATATCCTAAGTCCCCAGCGTGATCAGTTCCAGAATCATCCATACCAAAGAAGAGTTAATCTCCCTTAGAGAACAATGCCGTCGTCCAAAGGAGAGCGCACTGACCGTTAGTTTTCCCGGACTCTCTTTAATGGTACTCCAGAGCTGAAGAATTTTATAAACACAGCGAAGCTGGCCGAGGAGGCCAAGGAGGAGGTCAAGAACATGGAGAAAGGCGGCGGAAAGGGGTGAGTCATTGCTCTTCCTCTCATCTTATTTTCCGGTCGCTCATCGATCTGCAGGAGCTGGTCGGCATGGAAAGCGGGCGAGATGAGCAAACGGTACGAGGCAAAGGGCGGTGACTACAAGGATACTGGCGACAACAAGAACAAGGCAAAGAAAGGCGACCCAGAACCCAAAAAGGACGCGGCGAAGGGCGAAAAGGGCAGCAGTAAAGGCGCGAAAGATGCAAAGAAGACCAATGGCCAAAAAGCAAATGATGTAAAGGACAAGGAAGATGGCAGCGGACAGGAGGATGCGGAGGGCGAGGAAGTAGCGGAAGAGGAAGCGCCTAAGAAGATAGGCGGTAAGAAGAGGGACGGGCCAGAGGACAAACAGAAGGAAGAGGCACCAGAGAAGAAGAAGAAGACCACCAAGGACGCCAAGGCAAAGCCTGAGCAGAAGAGCGAGCGCAAGCAGCCTTCGCGCGGTTCAGCCCGCACCTCCAAAGCAAAGAAGTAGGATGTGTATGTTGACTCGTGGCACTGTATGTACAAGTCTCGCCTAATTCTGCTACCAAAGTAATCGTTCGGTCGTCCTCAAAAGAGGCTCACTGACGTTTCAGCCACTTGGTCGCGCGTCTGTCGTGTTTAACGAGAGGGAGCAGATCGGCCTTGACCTCGTTGTTGTGCTCGCGCAGCCATTGAACCTCCTCCTTGGTGAGGAGTGAAAAGTCAACAAGACGTTTATCGATGGGCACGCGGGTCAGACGCTCAAAGCCGAGCCAGCCTTGGCTGCCTCCTGAGCTGTTGACCTTGACCTCCTTGACAGCGACAATGCTCTCGATCCGGATGCCGAAATTTCCTTCCTCGTAGTAACCCGGCTCGTTGCTCATGCACATGCGTGGGAGCAGCGGAACATTGTTGCGCGCTGCGATCCTCTGTGGTCCCTCGTGGACCTGTAGATAAGCACCGATGCCGTGGCCGGTCCCATGTCCAAAGTCAAGCCCGTCCTTCCACAGGGCGTGTCTGGCTAGCGAATCGAGCTGTGCACCCGTTGTGCCCCTGGGGAAGATGGCAGTGTCGATGGCAATGTGGCCCTGAAGCACCCTCGTGAATGCCCGCTTCTGCATCGGCGTCGGTTTGCCAAAGTGTACAGTCCTCGTCGTATCAATTGTGCCGTCAAAGTACTGGCCGCCAGAGTCCATCAGAAAAGGTGTGTGTCGGTCGATGACGCTAGAGTCCAGCTCAGGAGTCTCATAGTGAGGGAGCGCGGCATTCTTGCCCGTCGCGCTGATGGGCTCGTAGGCCTCCATGCCCGCATACATGTCCGACTGCGTTCTCGCCTCGACGAGAGCGTCGGCGGCTGCCTTTTCGTCAATGTCCTGTCCCTTGGCTTGGACAGCCTCCTCGAGCCATGCCGCCCACTCGGCCCAGGCCACACCGTCGCGAAGGTAGGCGTTTCGCATGCCTTGCAGCTCCGTTGCGTTCTTTTGTGCTTTCCACGTCGCAATCGGCGAGACCTCTTGAAGATGGATGTTTTCGTCACCGACTGCATTGGCAGTGGCCCAGCTGACTTGCTCATCGCAGACCAATTCTGGCTTCTCGCCCCGCATGACCTCGCCCTGGGCCATGAGCTCCCATTCGCCCGAAATGAGAAAGTCCCAGACTGTGTCATAGCCGCGCACGTCCACGTTGAGATCCTCGACCAGGTACCGATTTGCCTCGGGCGAGAGGAGCGACTGTTCAACAAACAGCGTGGCCGAGTAAGCAGACTTGGCTACCGACGAGGGAGCCACGATGAGGTAGGCGTAGAACGTGGGGGTGTTGGGCACGCTCCCACCTCGGAGGTTGAGCAGCCAGGCAATCATGTCGAGCTGGCAAATAAAGTACGGGCTGCCCTTCTTGAAGTAGCTCGCCGAGCCGCTGCCCCCTTGTGAGAGCCAGCCCGCAACTTTTGCAAGCTTCTTCTGAGCGCTCTCCCCGGCGTACTCGAGCGGGTGGATGACGATGGGGTCCGTCGATGGAGTGGGTCGACCGGTACCCCAGACGACATCGACAAGGTTTCGAGTGGGAAAGGTGAAGATGCTGCCGGTGGGTGCCAGCCTGGCGAGGATTGGCTTGGCCAAAGAGTAGGTGATGAGCTTGGGATCGACACCAATGGCCATCTGCCGCCTCTCGCTCAAGTGAAGCAGCTTCTGGTCCCAGTCGACATCCAAGGGCACTTTGTGCAGCGTCCAGTTCTCGTCGAGCTGCTGGCTAGCTTGGATGTGATAGCGAGAATCGGTAAAGAGGAAAGCCTTGTTTTTGGTAACTACGGCCGTGCCGGAGTCGCCAGTGAAACCAGAGATAAAGGCGAGTCGGTGAAATTCATGAGCGGCATACTCGAGATTGTGTGCGTCCTGAGAGGGAATCAGGTATGCGTCGAGCTAGATGCCGAGGCCCATCAGCATCGATACTGGATCGGATACCATATGTCATACTCACGCCCTCATCCTTCATGAGCCCGCGGAGCACCTCGAGCCGGTCGGTCGTGTCGAATGCTACGTATGAATCCTTTTCGTGCGGGGAGACCAGTGTCTCCTGAGAGGACAAGCTGTGGGCGCTTTTGCCCATCGAGCTCTCCCTTCTCCACCCAATGAGGCGTCCGAGCAAGCTAAAGCACGACATAGCGATGAGCGGCGGTACGTGTCCTAATTAGCACCGCTGACGACGTATCGTTGGTCGATGTGGACAAGCGCTTTCGTAGAAACGCGTCCGTGCGAGCAGCAGCCGCTCTCTTGCTCAGCCTTTGGTGCCGGTTTCGCTCACATTGTTGCATCGATCGACCATTCGACCAAAAACATCACCCAATCTTTGGCATCAGTCCCTCCAATCTCTTCTTTCTCTTGCTGCGCGCAGACTTGACGCCCATCACACACTCAGTCTCGAGGCTACAAAGTCGTTGGTCCTTGGAGATTGTGGACAGGAGGCCGGCCGCTTATCTCGATCACCCAGTGGCTGATGCACCTGCCTCGCCATACCCTAACGTCGCACACCCTATCGCCTGCCTTTGTTAATGCTCAGTTCTGCTCAAACACCACCGCCGCCTTTCCCTCGGCATCCACATCGAAGTTTCAGACCGGGGATGGCGCTCACAGCAGGGCGGCGCAGCTCCCTGATGGCGTGTTTGCATGCGCCACAAGAACCGGCTTCTTTGTGGGACAAACATGCCCCCTCAAGGTTCTCTCACGGACAGGTGAGTTAGTCAGAACGAGTGCGCCTACTTTGTGGTTCTGCTGACATAACAGTCTGTCATGTAGACTTCTCCTCGGTCCATGGTGGTCTTTCCCGCGCCGCCGTCCTCGATGGAACTTCGCTCCTTGTGCTCGTTGGCGGAGGCCGCGTACCTCGCTTTGCGCCCAATAAAGTCATCTTGTGGGACGAGGAGGCCATAGAACGTAGTGCTGGGTCTACGGAGGCATCGGTCTCCCGTGGACAGGGACCGCCTCGGGATGCTGTCGACGACAGCAGCGACAACGACGATGACGACGATGATGGAGCTCCCTCGACTGGTGGGTCTACCCTCTTTTCGGTGGGACGTGAGGAGAGGGAAATGGAGAGCAGCGTCGGAGGAACGGGGCCGGAGCCGCAGAGAGACGTCCCGGCATCGAACCATATGGCCGAGAGCCAGGAATCGACCGGTTTCGCTCGTCTCTTTGGCCAGGACAGTCAGGCATCGCTGGGCAAGTCGGTACCTGACCTAGCCGATGAAGACAGCACGTCGAGCATGCATCAGTCTACTTCCACTTCTGAAGGAAAGCCCTCTGCGCTTACTACCTCGACGGCAGATCTCGAGGACCCCTTCGTTGCCGACGAGCTGGCGGGACGACAGCCGGACTCTAGCAAGGTCGAGCAAAAGGTCGATGCCTCATCATCATCACATGATTCGATGCCGCGTTTGGCTAGTGCATCAACTTCTTTGGATCAGTCTGAGAATATTGCTGCGCTACCTCGTCGCTTTGTCAGACGAGGTCGGGAAGTGGCCGAGCTCGAATTTGGCGAGGCGGTTCAAGGAATATGCGTCAGGACTTTTCAGACAAGCGCTGTGTCGGCATCCAAGGAGGACAAGGGGAAGGGCAAGGAAAAGGTTACGAGGCTGGCGGACGAGGAGCCAACAAGAGAGGAACGACAAACGCAGCTGTTAGCTGGAACCGCAAACGACCTTTGCTCGTTGCTCGTTGTAATACTCCAAAAAAGAGCCGTCGTCTTTGAGCTCGGACCGCATCTCGATGAGCAGTCGTCAACGGGCTCGGTCTCCTCTTCTGCATCGTCATCTCCGCCTTCCTGGGGCATCCGAAAGCGTCTTCAGGTCGACATTTGTCCAGGCTCAAAGGGCCTCGTGAGCGTGGCGCCTATGCTCACATCGCGATCGAAGACTCCGACATCTGCCCTTGTCGCCCTGCCAGGTCGTCAAGCCGGACATGTGCAAATGATTCGAGTGCCCTTGCTCGCGCACAAGTACGCGGCCGCAGGCACGTCGAGCATCATTGCCGCACACAGCACATCGCTTGCCAACCTAACGTTGAGTGATTGTGGGCGATATCTGTGCACAGCTTCGGAGCGCGGCACCTTGCTGCGCATATGGAGCACTTACAGGAACTCGACCACTTCGTCCTCGTCGTCAACTTCTTCGTCCTCAGGATCAGGTGCCGGAGGCGCGGGAATGAGATCGAGCAGAGGCAAACACACCTTTGGAGCCATGCTCCTGGTCGAGCTCCGTAGAGGCTCGGATCCGGCAAAGATTCTTAGTGTGGCTTTTTCGGGCGACAACCGCGTCCTGGCGGCGGCTAGCGACAAGGGGACGATACACTTCTTTGCTCTGGAGAACCTAGAAAGAGACGCTAACCTCGCGGCTGCTTCCTCCATTGCCAGCCACGACTCTGCTCAGCCTTCTCAGTTGCATCGTCGAAGTGCAGGAGCGAGTCTCAGCGCCCTTTCCAACAAGTACCTGCCGACTGCGATCAACAATCTAGCTTCTCAGATACCACCTTCCATGCTGCCGACCTACCTCAAATCACAATGGTCCGACTCGCAATATCGAATTCCCCTTCGAACATTCTCACCATCTGTTGAAGACCGCGCCCTTTCTTCATCCGCCTCGGCACGTCGACGAAGGGCAAGGAGGATGAGGGGTCTACCCGAATACGCCGCTGGCGTTGTCGGAGCACGAAGACCGCCCGACGATGAGAGCGATGGGGACGTCGAAACGCCGCGAGGAGGCGCAGGCGTGACGAGGAGCATGGAAGGCAACTGGGTTGCGCTCAAGGGGAGAATCGAGGATGTACGGAGGGGCGAAGTGGGCAAGGAGGAGGAAATCTTCTTGACGTGGGTCCCCGCCGGAAAGCCTCTTCTTTCATCTGCACTGGCCAAAAGCGAGGGGAGAAGCAAGGCTAAAAGAGGAGAGGCAGCCATCGAGACGCAGGGACTCGAAGGGAAGGACATCAAATTTCATTTGGTCGCAATCACCACATCGGGTGGCTGGTACCGCATTGCGTTTGATCCCTCCCCGACGCCGTCCACGAATGATACCATGGGCTCTTCTACGGTCCTCGACATGTATCGGGATGACCACAGATCCTCTTCGCAAGTAGATTCAGAAGCGGCCCACGAAGGCTCGACGATGGCAACGCAGGAGAAACGGTGTTGGCTCGTCGAGCAACGACGCTTTGCTCTGGGCGGCGAATGGAGCGACTCCTGACCAATTGTTCCAATGCTCTCTCAACTCTCGACAAGACTGCTACACCATATTACTCAAGCGCATTTCTTCTTCTGCTCAGATGACACACACACAAACACATAACGTTTCCATGTTACGGATCTACAAATGACGATACATCAAGGCAATGTACCAGGTTCAAGCTTCTCATTACTCAACAGCGTTCCTCACCCCTTTCCCTGTAATACCCAAGTCCAGAGTGTGGCGAAATGGAATCACATTGCAGGAACCTCTTCGAACCAGCATCTCAATCGAGTACTTACTCCATGCGGTAATAGTCACCCTAACTGGATTGTCTTCGACCTGACCTGCACTCACACAACTGGAACTTCATTTTGCTTCTTCTGAGCCTTTCTCGCTCTCTTGAGTCTCTGGATCTCGCTGCCTCCAAGGCCGTTCAGACTCGGCACTCCTGACATCTTGTCTTGACTCGTCTTGAATCTTGATGAAGTAATTTCGAAGGCGAATGAGGGAGACAGGGGGGAAAATCAAGGAATCTTGGGGTCTTGAACATCGAGTTTCTTCACTTCGCTTTGACTACTAGAGGAAGGGGAAAGAGGACGCGATTAGAGAAGGGAACAAGGGAAAGGGCCGTCTTTGGGGGCCAATTTGATGATTTGGTGATTTGGCGATTTTGTGCAGGTCCTTTGTGACGGACAGATGCGTAGTTGAACACATCGAAGTAAAAGGTCATTAGAAGTCGAGCGATTGCCGAGCAGCTGTTCTCTTCGACAAGTGTCTTCGATGCTCCTTACACAACCTCGTGAAGGTGATTTGATGGCCGGCTTAATCTTCGCGTCGGGAACGAGGAGGTGGGCTTGGCGTGTCCTGGTGTCGTGACTTCGGTGCGTCGTCTTCGCGCCTCCTTCGCGGTACATCGTCATCATCACGTCGCCTCCTGGGTCTGTCGTCGTCTCGGCTTCCTCTGGGTTCCTCATCATCTCGATACCTTCGACGTGGAGGCGACATCTCCCTGCTGTCACTCCTCCTCCTCCTGGGCGGCGAACGTCGGCGCCAGTCATTGTCAGCATCAGGGCCCCAGCCTCGAGTTGGGGGAGGTGGGCCGTAAGGTGGATACGGTGGGTACCCGCCGTAGGGAGGAGGAGGGGGAGGACCACGACCCCACGGTCCCGGCGGTCCCCAAGGCCCTGGCGGAGGAAGGCGGCCGCCTCGTTCTTCCTCGCGAACCGCTCCGCGATATTGACCAGGCGTTGGATCGTGAGGCCTCTTTGTCACTGAATAATCGACTCGGAGCCTTCGGCCATGGAGATCCTGCAAATGCGTCTTGATGAGCCTTTCATCCGTGATAGGTATTGTCATTCACTCACGATGCCATTGAGTTCCTTGATAACGGCCGTTGCACCTTCAACATCCTGCATGTTGATAAAGGCGAAGCCCCGCGACTGACCCGACTTTGGTGCGAGGAATGGAGGGACAAGGTAAGCAACAGGCTTGCCGCTCTTTGACACAATGCGGACAATCTCACCCTTGCGTCATAGACGATGGTGGTCTTTTCGATGGGGGCGATCCTACCGAATTCGTGGTTGAGATCTTCCTCGGTGGTCCTCAATGAGAGGCCAAAGACGCCCACGACGTTGGTGGGTTCAGGATTGGCTGGCGCATGACGGGGCCGAAGAGGAGGAGGAGGAACCGCTCTTTCCCTGCGAGAGACTCCACATCAGCTTGAAGAAGAAGAAGAGAGGAAGGAGAGAGCATGTAGAGCTGCCCTACTCACCTGCGCCTGTCTGGGCTCCTGCTCCTGGATCGGTCCCCGTTCATGTCGCGTCTTCGTGGTCGTTCAAGAGACCTGGAGGGCGAGGGCGAGGCCCTTCCGCGAGGCGGCTCCTCAACATCCGCGTAATCCTACACTCAGGAAAGAGCATCAACGGCAACGACGGGAAATGAGGGGGCGATTCATATAATTAGCGTCCGAAAAGGAAGAGAATATCGAGGGGTAGAGGCGAGGGTCCGAGCGGTATGACAAGGCTACGCTAGGATCCCTTTGCTCAGCAGGAACACTCACCATTGTTGCTTTGCTCCTTTGTCCTTGTTGGTAGTTGTGAGCAAACGAATGCGATGCTGGGTCTCGTGAAGGGCTTCTTTGTCGCCCTCAAGTAAAACGCCGCTGTCGCCCCGTGGTGGATGGAATAGTCGCCCTCGGGCCGCACACGTCGTGGCGTCGAAGAATGTCCTCCGTCATTGCAACTTTCTCCATCATTGCTTACATAATCTAAACCGAGCAGAGCACGTGTCGATGAAAAATTCGCGTGGCTCTTGCTTGCCACTGCGGCTCAAGTTGACCTGTGAATTTTAGTTGGAGGTGCTTCTGGCCCTTTACGACGTCCTCAAGATTCAAGCATGGTGGGTACCTATGGATGGCATGGCTGCAGAGCCATTTGTTTGCGTACGACGAGTAGTGGTGCAACGGGGCTGGAAGGAGTGGATGGCGGATTGCTGTTTGGAAAAGAGACGGACCTGGAAGCTCGCTCGAGAAGTTTGGGACGATCGCGAGGGAAATGGCCAGGGAACACGGAGAGAAGCTCGTCTTCTGGGGAGGACGAGGGAGCACGGGGTCGCGAGGAGGATGCACACGGGCCGAAGAAAGGACTGGCGAGTTGTCCAATCAGGGAACAGAGAACTGACAGTACATCGCTCATGACAGGGTATCGACATCGCCAAGCACCACGTCAAGAACGGGCGCCGCACGGCGCCCAAGAGCGAGGACCCTTACCTCCTCCTCCTCGTCAAGCTCTATCGGTTCCTCGCTCGCCGTACCGACTCGCGCTTCAACCAGGCCGTCCTCCGCAGGCTGTTCATGTCCAAGATCAACCGCCCCCCTGTCTCGGTCTCGCGTCTCGTCTACCTGTCGCGCAACCGTGGTGGTGTCTCCAAGGGATCTGAGGCGCCCAAGACGTGCGTCGTTGTTGGTACCATCACCGACGACAACCGTCTCCTGGACCTGCCCAAGCTCAGCGTCGCTGCTCTCCGCTTCACTGGCTCGGCCCGCGAGAGGATCGAGGCCGCTGGCGGCGAGTGCCTGACCCTGGACCAGCTCGCCCTCCGTGCGCCCAAGGGCAGCAACACCATCCTTCTCCGTGGCCCCAAGAACGCGAGGGAGGCTGTCAAGCACTTTGGCATGGGTGAGTGTCACCATCTGCGAAGCAGGCTCCGATTTCGTATGATAACGGCGAAACTCATCTCTTCCATTATGCGCTTCTTCCCCTTCTCCAGGCCCTCACAGCCACGCCAAGCCTCACGTTCGCTCGAAGGGACGCAAGTTCGAGCGCGGTCGTGGCCGCAGAAAGTCGCGAGGCTTCAAGGTGTAAAGGAGTTTGTATCACCCCCTCTTCGCAACTTCCTCCTCTCCTTTATGTCTTTCCCTCTCGACATCATCCGTGCGACATTTGTCCACTTTCATCTCCATCATCTCATCTCGCGCTGGACAGACGTGTCCTGGCACACCAAAACTCGACCACCCCATGTCCTGTGGCACTTACATTCATGTATCAGTTCTCTAGAGGCAGAGGGAGTCTCCCACTCCTTTCGCCTCGGTCAATTCTAGGCATCACGACTCGTAAAAGCAAAAGTGAAGCTGGACACAGGGTTCTTGAGGTTTGAAGTGTAGAATTGATGGACACGACTAAGCAGGAGAGGGGTGGAAGGAGAACGAAGTGTAATCAGGAAAGGTCGGGCTCCTCTTGGACCGCCTTTCGCACGTTTCGCAAGAGCGTCGCCTGCCATCCAATGATCCTCTTTGTCCGGTCGAAATCTTGCACTCGCTCATCGAAAGCGGCCACGTCGCCTGCTTCGCACACCTCGAGAAGCGAGTGGAGGAAGCGTCCTTCCATCGTCGTCGGAAACGAGGGGTCCTGGTTGGCGTAGAAGCCCATTGCGTTTCCGCAAGCGACGTAGTCAGGGATGGCCATGTAGCACAAGCCGCTATCAGGTGTCTTCAGTACGCTTTCACACTCTTAAGGCTGACGGAAGCCATACTCACGCATTGAGGTAGTAGTCCTTGACGCTGTACCGCGTCAAGTTGCTCTCGAGGCTCATCTGTGCCACTTGCTCCCACCTCTCGAGAGCCCGCTTGTAATCGCCCACCTCAGTGGCAACCGTTGCTGCCTCTCTGAAGCAGCCAGAGGCGGTGCTTTTCGCGACGAAGTCATCTAAGTCAGCCACTGCAGTCCCTTCCTCTTTGTCTGCTTCGAAGAAAAGCACTCACGCCTGTGCGCCCTCTTGCAGGTACCATTCGCCTGCTTGCTCATAGCTCTCGAGCGCCTTGCGAGGGTCGTTTGCCTCGTTCTTGTACAGCTCCGCAATGTTCTTTTCTCGATCCGCAGCTTGTCTGAACCGGCCTCTCTCGACCAGAATCGTCTTGCATCGGGTCAGTGCGACGACGGCCACTACACCGATGTATTAGCACAAATTGGACGAGTCAGAGTGGAAAGGTCCCTCTAAGAGGCCGTGGCTCACATTCCGGTCTGGCCATCTTGAAACATTTGTGAGCCTCGAAGAAGGTGTTGGCCGCATAGTCTGTTTCGCCAGCCTTGATCTCCGTCTCGGCTGCCCGCATAAACGCCTGGCCAGCCTCGTCGAATCGTGATGCTAGTCGGAACTTGTTGCCGGCAGCCTTGAACAGCTCGGCCGCTTCCTCGAGCTTGCCCGAAGAGCTGCTGAACCAGCCGCCTGTCGAGTTGGCCCGCTTCTCGGCAGACTTGAGGAGCTCTTCGGGCGAGGAGGAGGCCATTGTTGCCGTGTCTGTGTTTATTGGTAGTCTTGGTGTAGGGGGTGTAGCAGCCTGCTGAGACGAAGCGCTGCTGCGTTGCGTAGCGACGAGAATTAAAATTCATGGGCGCCCGTGCGCCTCCAGCGCAGGCCACGCGGGACGCGCGGCTTTGGCTTTGGTTCAACCGCTTCTCGTCGTCGACTTCTCCTTCCTCAGTTAGTGCTGATCCAGAGTCAAGGACGAGATGGCTTCGCAAGGGACAGGATACGACCTGTCATCGTCGACCTACTCGCCTGACGGCCGCATCTTCCAGGTGAGCGACTGCCCTTTGCTCTGACTGGCTCTTCAGGAAGAACGAAATGTTCATGGCATGAGACTCGCTGCAGATCGAATACGCTCAAAAGGCCACCGAGAACGCCGGGACAGTCATTGGGCTCAAGTGCAGCGATGGTATCCTCCTCGCTGTAGAGAAGCTGGTGCAGACCAAGCTCCTTGTGCCAGGCAGCAACAAGCGAATCTTCACAATTGACCACCATGCTGGCGTTGCGAGCGCGGGTCTTATTGCCGATGGAAAGCACCTCGCGGGTCGAGCAAGGAGCGAGGCTCTCAACTTCCGCGACACCTACAGGTATCCAACTCCAATCAAGGTGTGTAGAGAGCGCCATCTTTCAGTGCGTGCATAGCACTGACTTCCCTCCTTGTCATTCGCCTAGGCCCTCTCGGATCGGTTGGCCCTCTACGTGCAGGCATACACACTCTATTCGTCCGTTCGACCATTTGGCATTGCGTCAATCATCGGCGGTGTTGATGCAGATGGGCCACAGCTCTATATGCTCGAGCCAAGCGGGGTCTATTGGGGCTACAATGGATGCGCAATTGGCAAGGGCCGACAGTTGGCAAAGACGGAGATCGAGAAATTGAGTTTGGGGAAGGATGGCATGAAGGTGGCCGATGCTGTTCAACATGCTGCCAACATGTAAGTTGCGCCTCTCCCTCTCAAGGCTTGAGGACCAGGTGTACTGATGAGAAGAGACGACGGCAGCATCTACAAATGCCACGACGATGCCAAGGACAAGGACTTCGAGCTCGAGATCTCTTGGATCTGCCCAGAATCTGGCGGAAAACATCAAACAGTACCGGCTGAGATTGTTGCAGTGCGTAATTGTGGCTCCTTTATCCTTTCAAACTTTGACTGACCCTGCCCTCGCGATCAACAGGAGGCCGGCCGGAAGGCAAAGGAGGCGCTCGATGACGAGATGGAAGATTGATGATTCAGCTTGAGCTGCAAGAAAAGCCATCTTCCATGTGTAGTAACTAGCCCTCCTTCCATTGAACAGAACATACAAAGAAAGCACAATTCCCTTGTCCTCGCCATCTATTGATACTACGACGTCCTTGGACCTCTTGAAAGCGTCGTAATCGTTGAGAGAACAAGGACGGTATTTCTCGGCCGAAGGGCGGAGTGGACGCGCACTGACCTTCCCTCCATCCGAGAGTTGCTCGCTGCCACTTCCTTGTAAACAAGATGTCGTCGACGACCGTAGACGTGCCCGGGCCATTGCTCGATGAGATCAAGGCCTTTCGGCTGTCCGGCTCTGGTTCCGGAGGGAAGACATCTTCGTCGGCGCTCGTCATCAAAATTGACAAGGCGAAATTGGAGATGAGCATCGAGGACAAATGGTCTGGCAATGAGCTTGCAGACCTCGTCGAGGGTGAGTGTCTTTCTCAGCGTTGCTACCACCATCACTCACCACTCTCGGCTCTCTCATGGATTTCTTCTTTCAGACTCACTGCCGGAGAACTCACCGCGCTTCGTGCTGCTGTCCCATACGCTGCAGCACCCAGATGGCCGCGTGTCCTTCCCCCTCATCATCCTCTACTGGGCTCCTCAGACGAGCTCGATGGAGCTATCGACGCTCTACACGTCGGCATTATCCAACTTCAGCGTCAAGGCCGACGTGGGAAAGGTCATCGACATACGAGATGGTGAGCTGGATACCGCCGCAATGGACAAGCGGCTGCTTGGGTAGACAGACATTCTCGGTCTCAGAGGAAAGGGGGACTTAGACAAGGACGATGGAAATAGGCTCAGACAATGTGGAAATTGCTCTTTGGCATTGCTTTGCTCTCTTCGGCCCTTTCGCTTGCGAAGACGCTGGGCTATCTTGCCTCAGTGAGTAAGTACTGGCCTAGACTTCCTCGTTGCGAATCGAGGAGTAGGCAGCGTCGTCGGCTCAGGCGCAGCGGCAGAGAAGGTCGGACCGGCATAAATGCTTGCAAGACCCTCTCCAATACCAAGTGAGGAAGTAGCAGCATCCAGAACCTCCGAGACGCTTGCCTCTGGCGATTGGGTTGATTGAGATGACGGTTGCGAATCGGCCCTGGCAGGCAGAGCGGAGAAGGAGGAAGTCTTACTGGAGGAAAATGATTCTCCAGCTCCTCTTCCAAGCTTAACTATGATTTTGCCGTCCTTGCGGTTGGGTGCGTACCATGGAGGCATGTCCGTGGTCGATCGCCTCCTTGTTGCGGCCCAGTCGACGCCTGTCTTGGCCTTGGTGGTGTCGCTATTGGTCTTCTGGGCCCCTTTGGGCAAGTCTCCAAAAACGAGGCGCCAGGCGCTCTTGGATGTTACACTCTGATCGTCCACACTGTAGCGCAGGGGCGGCAACAGGGTGTCGGAGGACCTTTTTGTTTCCTCGACAGAGCCGCACCGTCGGTGCATGTTCTTCTTCCTCCTTTCCAGCGCAGGCTCACTGGTCTTCTCATTGGCCCACTCTGGCATGGGCTCACGGCGAAAGGAGTGTCGCCGACTCAGCAACGACTGCTGCTGCCAATTGAGTGGCTTGACGTCTTGGGTGCACCCTTCGTCACCGCTGCTACTGCTGATGCTCGACATAGAGTCGGTTCGCTTGACGTCTGTCGCAGCAGGAGGTTGAGTAGGCCTCCAACGAGTGCGCTTCTCGCTACGCTTGGGCTTGTTCATCTCTCGCTCCTTTTTCTTGGGTACGACAGTCCTGCGACCCGCCTTTGCTTCTCGAGGAGAAGCGGTCTTGCTACCTTTAAGGTTTGTCGATTTGGTCGGGGAGCCTTGCGTGGCGTCCGCAGCCATAAGCTCAGCATAACGATTGCGGCTACTGCTGCTATCAAGTGCGGCTGCCGATCGAGAATGAGGCTGCTTGGTGTTGCCTGACAGCTGGACAGAGCGAGGCTGACGGTGTACGGTTCGGAGAGGCTGGAGAGGCGCAGACGTCGTCGTTGCCGAACACTGCTTTGAGTTTCTTGTCGAGCGAGTCATGTTTGTTGCTGGCCGGCAGCCGTAGTTACGAGGTCTTATGCTATTGCTATGCGTGCAGTGCTGTGCTAGTTTTCGATGCTGAAAGAGAAGAGGTCGCGGAAGAATAAAAGACTCTGATCTGTGCTTGCGGATGAGAATGCTGAGCAGACCGACGGCGGAAGATGAGATGGTGACGGTGCTGGATGAGTTTGACTGTGAAGATCTTGTGTGTGTATGGCGGTGATCACGAGCAACGGAGCGAGCCGACGGAGTTGTGCAACAGCAAGGATGGGAGTAGCAGCATGAATAGGAGATGAAGTGGGGTTAAGAGATGAAGCCAGAAGTGGGAAATGATTGACTGTGCTGTTGGCGTCTTCAACGTCTACGGTGGCGCACCCATGACACCTAACACAATGGACGTGTCGAGGCGCCTTCGAGAGGGCGCCTATCTTCTCATTCTATTTTCGGCCTCTTCTATTCAGCCCAGGTCAGGGCCAGAGTTAGGCAGTGTCCCGCCCATGAGTGCTCACGCCTCTCGGATGATAGCAAAGTGCTGAGTTGTACCGTGCTGAACGCCAAGCTCGAGAGTCTCTGTAAATATGGTCAAAGCGCAGATGTTGACCGACGCCCAGATACACGTGTGGGCGTGGAGATCAACACTTTCCACGTCGAAAGTCTTCGTTCTGCATTCGCGACCGAGCTCTAAAATAGTCGACCTCTTCTTGACTTGGATTTTTCTTCCATCATCACCACCTGAAGACCTCTGTTGCCATGTCGCTGGCCCAGCTCGGCCTGTGCACAGGGTCCATCTATGTCTCCTTTCTCCTCTGGGCCCTCCTGCAGGAGAGGTTGACGACAACGCCTTATGTCCTGCCGGCTTCTCTGCTTCACCCGAGCCAGTCATCAAGGGAAGAGTACTTTTCATCGCCCCTCGTCCTCAACGCGCTGCAGGCCCTCTTTTCGACACTGGTTGCGGCCACATACCTCTCGGTCAGAGGCAGCACGAAGGGAAAGGCGAAGGAGAGCTGGGCTGCCATCCTAGGACTCGACGCATTGACGCCATCCGGAGCTCAACGTGCACGCAAGAGCCCACCAAAGTCGGCAACGAGCAAAGGCGAAAAGGGAAATGGGCAAGCGGGCGGAAAATCAACGGCGCTGGTCTCGCCTCTTCTGCTCCGCTACGTGCAGATTGCTGCCTCGCAGTCACTCTCCTCGCTCTTGGCCCTTCACTCGCTCAGCCACGGCATTCCCTACCCTACGCTGACGCTGGCCAAATCCTGCAAGCTCGTCCCCGTCCTCCTGGCCAATGTCGTCCTGTACCGCCGCAGATTTGCGCCGTACAAGTACGTCGTCGTCACGCTCGTCACACTCGGCATCAGCCTCTTTATGCTTGCTGCCCCTTCGAAGAAAAAGTCGTCGTCGGCAGACTCGTCGCTCGTGGGCCTTTTGCTGCTCCTGGCCAACCAGGCGCTGGACGGAACGACGAACTCGACGCAGGACGAGGTCTTTGGCACCTTTACCATCTCCGGCCCGCAAATGATGCTCGTCATGAACTTTTTCTCATTTGCCCTCATGGCCGCCTCTCTCGTCCTTCCCATGCCTTCCTTCTTCGGCGGCAGCGGTGGACGTTCTGCTGGCGAACTGGCACGGACGGTGGCATTCGTCCATCGCCATCCAGAGGTGTCTCGCGATCTCATTGGCTACGCCCTGGCAGGGTCCATCGGGCAAGTCGCCATCTTCGAGACGCTCGAGCGCTTCGGCAGCTTGACGCTCGTCGCAATCACGGTGAGTCAATGACTTGCCTGCCACTGTGCCTCGCTGTACCAAATGCTGACGCATATTTCGTCGACTGGCAAGGTGACGAGAAAGCTCTTTACGATGCTCCTTTCCATCGTCGTCTACAAGCACGCCCTCAATCCGGCTCAGTGGCTCGGCGTTCTCGTCGTCTTTTTCGGGCTGGGCATCGAAGCGCAACAGAAGCGCAAGGAGGGCCTGGCCAAGAAGGTGGCACAGCAACCTGCAAAGAAGGCCGGCGTCAAAGACGCATAACAGACGTGCACACTCTTGCCAGTGATAATAGAATCAAAGTGGAATAGAGAAGGCTCTTTGCTTTTTTTTACATTCTCGTTTGTGTGACATCCTGTGTAGTAACAGAGAGAGTGTGTGTGCAGCTAGAGGCCGTAACCTCGGCTTCTTCCGAGGCTACTGCCGCCACCATAGTTGACGCTCGCCTCGCTCCAGCCTGCGCCAGCGCTCCGTCCGGGCGTAGAGGCCCTGTAACTGCCACCGTAGCCAACGCTGGGCTTCCTCTCTGCCGAGGAAGACAGCAGCCCGACGCTCGGCGCCCTGGAGCCTCCGCGTCCATACGAGCCTCCCTCGTCAGGTCCGACAGAATCCCGCAAGCTGAGCCCGGCAGCAGAGGCCGACAGGACACTTCCACCCCGGTTGGGCGCCGCAGTCGAGGATGAGGAAGAGCCCGGCGCGGCGCTGTTGGCCAGCTGGCCCCTTCGAAGCTTCTCGACCTTCTCCCTCAGCTTGCTCGCAGCCTCATCGATCCACTTCAGGCTTCCCAGGTGAGCATTGAGGATGGCGACAATTTGCGCGACGGCGTCTTCCGTGTGAGCCTGCTGCTGCTGCAGTGCCGCGCCGCTGTTGAGCAGTGAGGGCGTAGGGTCCCTTCCGGCCGCTGCTGCCCTTCGCTGCTGCTGCTGCTGCGACGAGGACGAAGAAAGCTGGTTGACATCGACGATCATCGCCGAGAGGTTGCGCGACAGCTCGTCGAGCTGCGAGTTGAGCGACTCAGCCGTGGCGAAGGCCCTTTCCCGCTCGGCATCGGCTGCGCCCATCTCCATCTTCCTTGGCGGAGTCGTCGGTGCCGTCTGATGCTCTCCTCCCGCTTGGCCACCTTGACCCTGTCCTGGCCCGCCAATGTGCGAGTGGGCCAGGATGCCACCCTGCTCAGCTGCGGCGGCACCCTCGAGCAGCAGATTGACCTGAGCCTCGTACCCATCCAGTAGGCTCTCCAGATCCGTCTGCTGCTGCTCGACGTAATCGAGCGTCTGTTCAATGCTCGTCTGCCTCTCCTCGGCCGCCTGCAGCTGGGCCATCAGCCTCGAGATCTCGTCGCCGCCCTTTCGCAGAACAGAGTCCCATGCGGCCACTTCTTGCGCCTGACGGCCAAACTCTCTCGTGGCGGACTCGAGCTCGGCAGTCCACTTGTTGACAATCTCCTCCATGCTCCTTCCCCGAAGCAGTGAGGGAGGCGGCAATGAAATGGGCGCAGCAGCTGCCGCGGCGGCGGCGGTCGTCGACGAGGAGGTCGCTGTGGGGCCGGTCGGAGCGCTCTCGCCGGGCTTGCTCGTCGTCGTTGTACCTGGACCACCGCCCAAGGTGAAGCCAGCAGCAGCAGGCGGCGCTGCACCTGTCGAGGAGGCAGTAGCTCCCGCGGCGGTGCTGGCTGAAGTTGTTGTTGTTGGTGCCGTGCCACTAGCAGCAGAAGCAGCTGGCTTGCCGAAACCAGCAAAACTGTTGGATCCAGAGGCGGATGCCGGTGCCTGGCTGCTCTTGGCAGCTTCAGGAGCAGCAGCAGCAGCACCACCACCAGCGGCTGGCTTGGGCGCGAAGAGATTGCCAGCGCCGCCGCCGCTTGTTGAAGAGGAGGCAGCAGGCGTCGAGCCAAAGCTGAAGGGCTTGGCGCCAGTTGACTCGGGCGCAGACGTAGTCGTCGGAGCCGCTGCCTTGTCCTTCTCGCTTTCTTGGCCTGCTTGTGCAGGAGCAGTGCCTCCGAGCTTGAAACCAGAAAATGCAGGGGTCGAGGTCGATGTGGCAGACGAGGAGGCTGGCGCAGAAGCAGCCGCCGGCGCGCCTCCAAAACTGAAGCCGCCACCACCGCCGCCTGCTTGATTCGTCGTTGTCGTGGAGGTCCCAGCGGTGGACGGAGCCGCGGGCGGCTTTCCAAACGAGAAACCAGACGACGATGCCGACGAAGACGCCGGCACGGGAGGAGGTTTGTTGCCGAAGCTGAACGAGGAGCCTCCGCTTGCGGGTGCCTGTGCGGGCGTGGTAGACGCAGGTGTTGAGTTGTTCGCGGATGCAGCATTGCCACCAAAGCTGAAGGTTGCTCCTCCACCGCCAGCACCACCGGTCGAAGGGGCACCTTGACCTTGGGGAGGTGTGCTGGTGCTGCTGTTGTTGTTGCTAGCTCCAAATGAGAATCCTCCTGATGCTAGTTTGTTGGCTGCTTGCCCGAACAGATTACCAGATCCAGTAGAGGCTGGAGCACCAGATGCTGGCGCTGGAGCGGATCCGGCCGGCGCTCCAGTTCCGGCTGGCTTGCCAAAGCCAGCGAAGAGATTCGAGGGAGGTGCTTGGGCAGGTGTGGTGCTCGCTCCTAACGAGGAAGATGCTCCACCACCAAAGCTGAAGGCCGAGGGGGGCTTTGAGGCTGGCGTAGTCGAACCTAGCGGAGCACCGCTACCGCCGGTGCCGCCGCCAGCCCCAAAGAGGCTGCCCGAAGGAGCGGCAGCAGACGACGAAGGGGCAGCAGCATTGCTTGCTGGCGCGCCAAAGCTGAATGACGTTCCCCCCGTCGAAGACTGCTGTGGCTGCTGCGATCCCCCTCCTCCAGAGGTCTGACCTGACCCTCCACCAGCTCCTCCAAAGGAGAAGGAAGCTGCTGGCTGTTGCGACTGCTGCTGCTGTGAAGTGCTTGTGTTTTGTTGATTGCCAAAACCGAATGTTGGCTTGGCCTGTTGATTGTTATTGTTGCCTCCACCAAAGGAGAATGAGGAGCCGGCTCCTCCTCCGAATGCTTTTGAGTCCTTGTCAGCTCGCATGTCTACTTCAGTGCCATCACGCTCCACGACTCACACATCCTCGCGGCGCTGTCCGGTGCTTTGTCCGCGACGAAAACAAGAAAGACAGCGATGAGAAGATCTTCGGCGCGACTCAGGCCACGTGGGAATTTTAAAGCAATGCGCGCGTAGTTGCAATAGTGGAGCACCACTCAGCAAAGCGGAGCTAAGCGCCCTAATCTGCCGCCATTCACTTCGCCACAGGGGGTGTCAACGACCTATCTCGGTCGGCGCAGTGCCACTACACACTCTCTGTGAGGATGGTACCGTATACAGAATCGCAGACGCAGAGCTCGTCATCGGAGTCCTCGGAACCCCCGGCGTCATCGAGGCCGAAGGTAAGTGTGCTTCGAGATATCTCATCGACCTGGCTGCTGATTGATGATCCTCTGTCACCGCCTGACAGTGTGAGGGCAAAGATGCCCTATGCAAGGCAATGGGAGCCCTTTTTCTACAGCACCGTGTCGAGACGCTCGAGTCAGACGTCGAGAAGCTTCAGTACAAGAGAGATACTCGGGCTCGTAGCACAAAGGGAAAAGGTTGTCCATTTGGCCGTGAGGGCGGACGTGAAGTTGGGGGAAGCAGAGGGATAGGACGTGATGGCCTGGGGAGCGAGGGTTTGAGCCGTCTTCCAGCCACCTCGAAGAGAACTCAGCCCGTCGAGCGAGTCATCGTTGCCGATGCGAGCTTACTCATATATTCGCTTCGCACCGTTCACGAGTGGATCAAGGCAGGCAATTGTCACATAGTAGTCCCCATCGAGGGTGAGTCCACTTCCTTCCATCCCTTGTGACGGCAACGGGGCTTATTTAGCAAGTGGCTTCTTCAGCTCTAAGTACACTCGATGTACTTAAAAAAGGAGAACATCACATCAATATGGCGGCTCGCAAGGCGATGCGATTCCTCGACGAACGGTGCACGCGCGATGCCCTTGGCTCAGAGGACAACGACATCTTCTCGAAGCACTCGGAGGCCCAACCAGGCCTCTTCGCGCAGCGAGAAGGTCAAAAGCTCAAGCCAGAGGAGGTCGAGGGCCTCCGCATGTGGCTGCTCGATTCAAACATGATGGCACCGGTCGACATGCATGAAGGACACCTAGCGTGGTCATTTCGAAAGATACCCAATTACATTCGCGAGACACTCCTCTGTGCGCTCTGGTTTCTCCGCAGTCGCATCAATGCCGTAGTCCGGGACGGTGATGCGCTTGCGCCGTCATTCAGCCTGGCGTTGGCCCTCCCACCGCCTCATCTTGATGAATTCGAAGACAGCGCTCCCTCGTCCAATCTTCGCTATGCCGAGAGAGCCGATGGCCGTCAGATCGCTCACTGGGCCAAGACATGCTGTCAAGACGTACATGCTTCGTCTTCTTCGGCTTCAGAGAAGGGCGACTGGATCATTGTTGCGCCTACCGCCAGCAGCTGGCTCTCAGCACCCTGCTCTGTGGCCAACGGTAAGGGCGAGCAAGCGACGTCGATGATGGTTTCGGCAAGGCCCAGTGCAAAGATCGAGCAGCGATGATGACGGCACGACGACCATTTTCATCTTTACTCTTATCCAAGTTGTCTTTGACGACAACTGCCAGCCTCCTCACGACGGTATACACCAAAGGCTTCGGCTCACTAGCAGTTCTGCTATGGCTCGCCAACCCACAGGCTCCTTACGAGGTTTCGCCAGTGGCAGCCCACAATACTGACTTCATTTGCGCTTGCGCAAAGGGACAGGGATGACCACTTCGTTCGATGAAAGGCTTGGTGTAGGAGGTAGAGCTAAATAGGCTGTAGATAGATTGAGGAAATAAGTGAGAAGACGGAAAGAGAGTACCGACATCACAACCACATGTAGAAATGTTTCAAGTTGCCTTTGGCAGGGAGTACAGAATGAGCTTTAAAAAAAGTACCTGGTGACATGCTGCCTTGTATGAGGTGCACCCTGCTGTGGCGAAATTGGACGATATCGGGTGCTGCCTTCCTTCTCCCTCGGTCACGGTGCCGGGACGTGATGCCGTCGAAGTTTGATCTTTTTACGATCTTTTGTAATCATACCTTTTGGTTTAACCAATCCAATGTCATCGTAACGGTAGAAACCATATTGAGGGGATGGGCGACGACGAACGAGGTCACGAGTCTCTTGCGCTTCGTCTTTCTCTGGAAGAGATTGCCGCGATTAGTGCTTAAGCATGGGAGCACAGCTGCTGTTACTCACCCACGCTGCGATGCTTGGCGGTGATTTCCGTGCCTTCCTTAATGCCCCTTTTCAGAGGGTTGGCAAGTTGGTTCTTCTATACAGCGACATAGAGACGGTAAGTATTTGTGAAAAGCGCTGAGAACGCCACGAGCTTCCGACTCACTCCAAGAAACTTGACGTATGACAATGGTGGAAATGGAAGTGCGGCGGCGGTCGTGAAGAGGAACGACGAAAGGACCATGACCGAAAAGAAGACGACGACGGCGAAGCTCACGAAGCGAACCATGGTGAACGCTCGTTGCGCGGAAGAGAAGTGTGGGCTGAACAGAAGATTAAGCCAAGGAATGTTGAGGCGGTGATGGGGATAGCTTGTGGACGAATAGGCTTCGCGATGGACGGTCGACAGGGACACGAAAAATTTCTTGTGAAGGACAGTAGAAGGAGAATCAGAGCCGAAGGAGAGACGATGACGAATGCTGTCGAACGAGGGCAGAAGTGTCGAGGAGGAGCGCGGTCGTCGCTTCCTCTCCGTTCGGCCTGATGCTTTTCGAGCAGGACGAGAAGTATGATTGGGCGCACTGTACTTATACCTTTTAATCGCTGCACACCTAAGGCACCAGGTACACATGGCAGGTAGGAAGTCCGGTGTTGCAGGTGATTCCTTGTCAGACTCAGCCTGTGAGTCTGGGCTTCGCAAGGAGCACGGCGTAACGACCAGGAACCGCTCTAGGAGCGGTGGTTATTTGAAAGATTTCACAGCACTTTACATCGTGCGTAAACAAGGACGAATGTCACTAGCCAAGGGGCGAGACGATGATCAAATGCCTGAAACAGCATGCGACTTGGCAAAGACAGGGAAGAGGCATACCTCATAGCACGTTCTCGTTGTCACCGACCGCCGCGAATGACGGGCCAAAGATCGACTCCCCCGCCGCTATTGACCCACCACCCTCTTCAATTTCGTTTCTCTGCATATCAACCACCTCTGCTGCAGTACAGGCACGCGCGTTTCCCGGCTGGGCTTGTGCGGTCGCGGCGGCTGTTGAATAAGAAAAAGGAAAAGGCGGCCTCAACCACGGTGTAGAGTCAGCTGCGGCGGAGCGGAGACCGGTCACACTTTCTCACGGCGTCGTCAATATCGCGCTTGATAACGACCGGACTTTCGTCAAGTCCATGCTAGTGTGTACCGCTCGCTCACGATTCGTCCATGTCTAGACGTTGTGAAGCCAGCCCTCTTTTCTCCGACGCCTTTGGGCTGACTGGCGCTTTGCCTCAATCTCAATATCCCACACCCACGACCAGCCCCGCCCAGACACCCCTTCCCCCCTTTTTTTCTCCCACGGCAAGCCGAAGTCCTGTATCAAAAAGGGGTAGAGAAACGTCGGTCTTTCCAAAGCCAAGAGCAAGTCAGAACTGCGCATGAGTGAAGCCCTATAAGTCACGACAACTTTCATTGCGCCCATCCTCTCTAGCAACCTTGATCGCCTCTGATATCTTGCCCCTCGAGCGTGCTCCCTCGTCTCAGAGGCCATCGTTGCTTGTCATCCTTGCCATTTCTCCACAACAGTCTCCCTCCCTCCCTCTCTCTTTTCTCGTGCCGACAGGTGGCTCTCACGTTACCAACGATGTCGGCCTCGACCTTGCCCTCACCGCACCCAGCACTCCCGCACCCAGCTACTCCACCGGTCTCAATTCCGTCTAGCATCACGACCAAGATCGCTATTTTTGCTTTGCCCTCGATTGCAGCTCATGTAAGTCTCTTCAGCAACGAAAAAGCATACCTCTCCCCCTTCGCTCACGTCCCGGCTGCCAGACTTTGATCCTGATGGAGGCCTGTCGCACAATCCCATGCGAATGGCGTATGTACAGGCGAGCCTTGAAGCGTGGCCGTCTCAACGCGGCTGAAATACTCTTCCTCGCCATAAAGTGAGTGGCTTTTTTACGCCGCTTTTTTCTCTGCTAATGAGTAATCGCCTTGGTCACCCCTTCACACGTTCAGGTACTTTGCGATCGTTGCATACAGCTTAGACGCCGTCATCAAATGGGTGAGGAAGGTTCAACTTGCCTGTTTGTCTCAACCTGGCTAATGCTTTGCGACAAAAGACCACCTTGCCACACTCAGGAAAAGAGTGTGGTGCAATCTCTTGGGCTTCTCATGCGTTCATGCACTCGTGCATCAGCCTCGTTGCTCTGGCTGTAGCTTGGTGAGCACGAAGGGTTGCAAGCTTCTTCATTGAAGTACTCACATACAAGATGGGCCTTGGCAGGCGCGCTCACATCATCTTTCACCGGTCGAAGCTATCGCTCATTATCTTGTCGTTAGCACTCGCTGGCCAGATCGCAGTTAATGCCACCTCGATGGGTAGGCAGCTCAAATGGTCCGTGTACAGAGAAGGGTATTGCAACATCAACCCGCGCAAGTGGACCCGCCAGTCAGTATCTTCCTCATTGATTGAAACATTGGATTGGACGACGTCACCTTTTCTGACCTCTTCTCTGCTGTCCACTTGCAGGAGCTACCATGCAAGACCTTGGTATATGTTTATTACGCCCTGGAACGTCTTTTACAACGCCATGTTCGACTTGGCAATCGCCGTCGCCACCTCCTACCGGCTCATCAAGACGACCAGGGGCTTGAACGGCTTGACGCGCATCTCGAAGCTCCTCTTCTACAACAACGTGCACTACGTGCTCATCGTCTGCTCGGCCAACTTGTTCGACTTTGTCGTCACCGCCACAGGCAGGGACAAGTGGCCCACTTTCTTAATCACGGTCTTTGCACTTCAAATTTGCGCCGTCTTGGGTATGTGTCTTCCTCTTGCCGCATATTCAAGTGGCGTGATGGGCTGAGCGAGCTTCTACTTTAGACATGCTATCGAGCGAGCAGGACGCCGTCCACTCCGGAGGGAACAGCCTTCCCAGAATGGTCCGAGCCCCTCCCAGCGGCGCCTTTGGAAAGGGAAGCCACAGCACAGGCAGCGGGACTGCAGTGGCAGCAGGAGCAGCAACAGAGAGCGACGAGAATCGACGTCGCAAAGGTCGAGGTGGTCTATTGCGCAAACCTTTCGAATTCTTTGCAGCCGCGAAGGCAAAGTACAACAGAGGAAGTAGAAACAGGGCTGGGTCGACGAATGCTGCGACAGGAGACGCGGAACGCACATTCCTGTCAAAGGATGCCATCTCGCCTGACGACACCCTTGAATCCGTCCCTATCGTTCCAACGCTGCTCCACTCTAGCCCTTCTCGAGGAAAGGTCATGCCCAATTTTCACGGTTTCAAGGTCGAGAGCGAGACTCTCGTCGATGGCTATCAGTCCCCTATCATCAAGGCGTCACCGATGTCTTCCGACACGCTTTGCGAGGAGGAGCAGAAGCAACATCTCTCTTGGCACTCGCCGACGTCATCTGGATGCCCCTCTAAGGGGGACGCTACCTTCGTCATGGAGCATGTTCACCGCCATCACCCGCAAGACTTGGACCTCGTTGCCGTTGGAAGCCCTGAAGACGGCGTTGTCTACTACACTTACAACGACGAAACCTCTCCCCGCGATCTAGAGCAAGCTACCTTCCTTCGAACTACGGCCTTGCAATCGTCGAACGAGTCGCCAAGCAAAGGTCTTTCGATCCGAGAGATTCGCCAGCAGCTGCAGCAACAGTGCGCCAACAACGACAAAGACCTCGAAAAGGCTGTTGAGTCTAGACGCCGGGACTTTGAGCAAGAACTAGCTTATATTTCGCCGCCGCCGTGCCTCGAGAACAACGAAAAGCTGCCAAGTCCGCCGTATCCGATGAGGCCATCCACGTCGTCGCCTTCGATCGAAAAGGCCCACGAAGAAAGCCCCAAATTTGAGATCTCGCCGGGCAAGTTCCAGCGAAAGCCAAAGACGTCGCCCACTTCCTCTTCCCCCTCCTCGGCCTCATCGTCGCCAAGCAAGAAGCCAACGACGCCTGGCGCACAAGGTTCGCTCTTTTACAAGCACACCGAGTCGTGGCAGCGACAGGCCGATGAAGTTCAGCAACCCCCGCGGAGCCAGAGCAACACGACCATCGACGCTCCTCGCTACAGCTGCACTTCCTCTCTTGCCTCGAGGCCAACATCTTCGTCATCCGCTCCAAGCAAGGTTAGCGCTACTTCCCCACTCCTCACTTCGAAGGAAACGACCAGGAAGCAGTATACTAAGGGCACCGACGAGAAGGGCCCGCAAAGCTCGTGATCAGCGGTGCGCCTTCCATTCATCACAACGGTCAACATACCGCTCGTCCCTACTGTCTTTGACCCGGTTAATAATTGTCTTATTTGTCCCTTTGATCTCATCACTCCATGGCAAGCGTCAACTTTGCCATGATTAGCTTGCCATGGTTAGCTTCGGTCTGGGTAATGTCGTATAGTCTCGCCGGGTGAGAATCAGCAAGAAAAAAGTTTTATTTTTTAGGGAAAGACGTCTCGTCGAGCTCCCCTCACGCCATGCCAAACAAAAGGATGTGAGACTGACGCTGGGTACAAGCGTGCGACCGCTACTTGGTGTGTTCGAGAGAAAGACGCCGAATCCTAAGCGACTCGTTTAGTAGAGACGGATGGGCTTGCCCATGGTCGACTTGATCGTAAGGCTCTTGATGTTCTGCCAGTTCTTCTTCAGGAGCGAGACGAGGAAGTTGATGCTAAGCATGATGTTGGCCAGCGCCTGGTCCTCGGTCATCTTGACGTGGCCGACAGCGACACCGAGGCAGAGAACCTTCTTGAGCTGGAACTTGATGGTGCTCTTGACCTCGTTGACCTTCTTCTCCAGGTCCTCAGCGTGCGAGACGGGCGTGGGGAACTTGCCGGCCTTGGAGAGACCGGGGCCAAGCAGACGGGGAATCTGCTTGATGAGGGCGTCCGAAGCCAGGAAAGAGTCGTACTTCTTGGCGAGCTGCGAAGATTGACGAGAACATCGTCAGCATACATGGTCTCCTCCCACAAGATCAAGAACGTTGAAGAAGCCCGAAACACACCTTCTTGACGAGCTTCTTGTTCTTGTTGAGCTTCTTCAAGTCCTCAACGGTCATGAACTCGAGCTCGATGAGCTTCGCTCGGTCGACGTCGGCGGCGTCAGCGAGAATGCACATCGACATGCGCGGGCGAGGGATGTGAGGGAGCTTGATCGTGCCCGAGAAACGCTTGTCACGCTGCGTGTCGTAGTTCTTGAGGCCGATCTGGAGCTCGATCGTCTCGGCAAAGTTCCGGTGCTTCTCCTCGGAAGCCTTGAGCACCTCCTGGATGCTCTGTCGCACGCTTGACACTTGCAGCTTCGACGCCATCTTTGTAGAGTCCCTTGGTGAACGTTGGTGACCTCAATTGTCGGTCTCGCTCACGACTTTTCTAAAAAGGCTGGGCAAAACTTTTGCACCGCAGCGCCATGTGGGAACGCGTTCCACGTGGCTCGTTGAGCCTGGTAACGCATTTAGCCATGACATTGACTGCGTGGCGTCGACGCACGGTGTCTGAGTTGGTCTCACAAGTCAGCTCGGGCAGCCCGCCCGTCGAGGTCAGTGCGTCCAAGCTGTATGAGCGACCTGAGCCCGCTTCAAAAGCCCAGAGGTCATGATTTGGTGCTCTCCTTTTCTCTCAACAATGGTGCAACGATAATATCGTTAATAGGCGCGAAAAGCGAAAGTCTTATGAAGAGCTTCTAAACTGAATTGGAGCAGATGATGCAACTGTATAGAGACCCGCTCTTCCTCGTATTGCTGAAGACATGAGGAGTGAGAGCGCTGCATAGGCATCTGACATCCTCTTCAGCCGGGAGGACGTCGCAAAGATGATGTCAGGAGATGGCCTCCAATGAAATTCTTCTCAGCTCGTCGGCTTCGTTGTCCGAGGGTGCGCATTTCGGATTCTGGACCCACGCGCGTCTGCGCTAAGCGGGCGAACCAGCACAACTATCTCTAGGCACACTAGTCTTCCGCCCACTGCATCCATCTGGAACGATCAGCCCAGCCCAGCCCAGCCCAGCCTTTTCAGCCTGGACGCTGCTCGCTTGGGGATCACTGGTCAGCAGAGAACATCTCAATACAACGCTCTAGCTTCCATCACCAACGGAGCTTGACAGCAACGAGCAACGAGAAGAGGTAGCAGGAATTCAACTCCACTTTCGGCGCCGAGCTAGCCAGCTGGATGGAACAGCCACGTTGACGACGACAACGAAGACAAGATGGCGTCCGAAAAGGTCTTTGCGCTTCACGATTTTGAAGCTGAGAATCCAGACGAAGTTTCGTTTCGGGCTGGCGAGACAGTCGTCGTCGTCGAAAAGGATGATGCGTACGGCGATGGATGGTGGCAGGTGAGTCTGGCCGTCGGCGTCGTCAGCACCCTCTCGAACATTTGCTTATTTCGTACCTATTGAAGGGGACAAATGAGAGGGGCGAAACGGGTCTCTTCCCTTTCTCCTACACGACCTTCGATGAGAGCCTTGCAAGAAGCGCCTCGTCACAGGGTGGTGCCGGGCCACCTGGAAGTAATGGCAAGGAAATGAATGCGACCATGGCCGACATTGATGAAGCTCTCGCGGGCCTCGGCACGAGGAACGGTGGCAGCGGTGGTGGTGTCGCCTCGAGCGGAGGCCGACCCGGTCCTGGCGAGCCGAGGGCGTCCTTTGCAAGCGAGCGTACCGGCGACTTCTCGGTAGGCGAGACCGAAGAGGGCGCCAACGATGCCGACGACGACTACGAGAGCAGAGCAAAGGCAAGGGCAGCTCTCGCGGTCAATGCGCAGCGCAACCATCTCAAAGACGAGGACCTCGATGAGGAAGAGAGGGCGGAGCAGGCGAGGATGAAGGCGCAGGCCCAACGAGTCTTCGAGGAAGAAGAGGCTCGACAGCGAGAGCTACTGCTCAAAAAGGAGCAGGAGAGGAAGAAGTCGGTAGCAGATGGCACGCTGCAGACTACCGAGAAGCCCAAGGTGGCACCCATCGAGGGCGTCGAAATGAGCGACGAGAGCGACAGCGAGGGAAGCATCGGTGGCGACCTTGGCGGCGAGGAACCACCGCAGACGCACGCACCCTTGTTCGGGGCCTCTACCGACAGCCAGCAGCAGCAACAGCCGAGTGTCTCAATGGACAACAAAGACAAGCCAAACGGCTCGGACCAGCCGAGAGAGAACCTGACTGCAAACCGGAGCCTGTCGCCCATTCCAAGCGCCTCTGGCCACAGTCAAGGTGCACAGGCCTCGCCCCCCGTCTCTGCCGGCACCGCCGCTAGCGCTGCTGGTGCAGGGGCCATTGCAGCTGCCATCGCCTCTGGCAGCACCTCAGGTGCCGCTCAGCCGCTGCCCAGCTCGGCCGTGAGCGAGGTCACGCCCGCCAAACCATATGAGGAACGCAATGATCAGCGGAGCGTCGATAGCTCTCGAGGTCGCTATTCCGGTGTGTCTGATGGTCCGTTGGCCGCCGGGACGATGGTCGGAAGCACAGGTACAGCTCCCACCTCGGTCCAAGGCACTGAGACGCCGAAGAGCTTGAGCCAAAGTCAGGGTCTCATGGCCGCTGCAAGCCCCGCCCCAAGCACGGTGGGCAGCCGGCCTGCAGGCCCAGGAGGCGATCCTCACGAGTGGAATGTTGAGCAGGTTGTCGAGTGGGGTCGCTCAAAGGGCTGGGACGAAGGCGCTGTCGTGAGCAAGTTTGCCGAGCACGAGATCTCTGGCGATGTCCTCATGGAAATGGACGTCAACATCCTCAAAGAAATCGACATCATTGCTTTCGGAAAGCGCTTCCAGGTGGCCAACGCCATCAAAGATCTCAAGAAGGCGCATGGTGGTGCTACTGGAGAACCGTCGCCAATGGTGGGCAACACTTCATGGTCTTCTACCCAAGATGGCAACTCGGCCCCAGCTTCCGCCAACGCCGTCCTCCAACAGCAGCAACAGCAGCCTCAACAGACTCTCCTTGCCAACGGACTGACACAAACGCCTTCGAGCACCAGCTCGTTTGGTGTACAGCCGCAGAGCGCCCCTACGATGGGTTCTGGGTCTGTGTCCCAACACAATGCTTTCGGAGTAGGGGCGCTGGCGACCGGCTTGGCCGCGGGTGCTGCAGCTGCGAATATGAGCCAGTCGCATTCGGCCCAAGGAGGTCGCCTCTCTCCCAATATGCAACAGGATCTCCGCAGACAAGCTTCTGACAACGACATGGCACAGCGTCAATCCGTGGCTTCGGGTGGCGTTGGATCATCTGGCTGGCAAACTCGACCTCGTACGGCGGCAAACGACTCGCAATGGGACAATTATGCAACGCCCCACTCTGCAGAGATCATGAGCGACGATGAACCTCTCTCCAACCTCGTAGGCTCCAAGAAGTCGTCGACCAACTCCCGCAAGCTTTCTCAAGACGATTTGAGCCCCACATTTGGGTCCATGTCGCCCTCATCTCGCAAGCGAGAGTCGGGCGGAAGCGGACGAGCGACGGGCTCTGGAGAACGAATGTCTTTCTTTGCTGGCTTGGCACCACAGCGCAACCGCAAGCCCCCACCTAAGGTCCAGACGGGTGCGGCGGCGGGTGCACCTGGCCAAAGCGTGTTCGAAGAGTCGCCAGGCAAGCAGGGTACGTTCTCGCGCCTTGGTTTCAACCGAATGCGCGGCAGCAACAACCAATCTTCTCAGCACTCCAACGACGAGAACGCCATAAAGAACAAAATCTCGCTACCCACGAGCAGCCCCACGTATGACTCGATGGGCGACACGGCCCGCCGAAACCGTCAGAGTCAACAGAGCGCCGGCAGCGGCGGCCTAGCCAACTTTGGCGGCTACGGTGGCGGACACGCCAAGCAGGCAAGCGTCGGTAGCGCAGGTGCCGGCGCGGGTATCCCAAGTGGTGATTGGGGGCTTCCTTCTCCAACGCCTGGCGAGCCAAGCACACCGAGCGAAGGCCCTGTCATGGTTCGTATCCGGCCTGTCGACTTTGAAGGTTGGATGAAGAAGAAGGGCGAGCGCTACAATACTTGGAAGCCCCGCTACTTGGCGCTGAAAGGGTCTGATCTAGTCCTGCTCCGTGACCCCACGGCACCTAAGATCAAGGGTTACGTCTCGATGAAGGGCTACAAGGTCATCGCCGATGAAAATACCAACCCTGGCAAATATGGCTTCAAGATCTTGCACGAGAGCGAAAAGCCGCATTACTTCTCATCGGACGATCCTATCGTCGTACGAGAATGGATGAAAGCGCTGATGAAGGCGACCATCGGACGTGATACGAGCCGTAAGTTCACCTTCTATTTTGGCTCCGTTGCCTTGACAGCATTCTGACTCGAAACTTCCACTAGTGCCCGTCATTTCTTCGTACAACAACGCGACCATTTCGCTCAAGGAGGCTCAACGCATGAACCCACCACCAAGGCCGCCGAGCCCCACATCGCGAGCTAGAGCACAACGAGCGACAGCTCGCGCCAACAAGGACCAGCTCACCGCAAAGGACGCCAGTGTCCTGATGGGCCTTCAACAACCTTCTGACGCTCGACCGATGGGGTTGTGAGTCAACTTTTTCTTCTTTTTTTTCACATCTCTACTCTTTTTTCCTCTCTCTTCGCGTCACACCCGCGTTTCCGCTTTGGAGGATCCTCTTTGCATCTTCATGCATGATACCATGGGAGCCATCAAGTGACGAACCCGCGAGATGGCTTAAGAATCCGCGGACGGCACTTGGCTTTCATTTTACCTGCCGCTTCTCCTCATTCCTACCCGCTCTTCTCTAAATCTATAAAAGCTCTCGGCTCTCTCTCAATTTGATGGAAGGAATCGCTCCCGCAAACCCGAATTTCCGCTCAGGTTCTTTGTCCCCTACAACATTCCCTTTCCTCTAAGATGCGGTCGGCTGGCTCGCGTGACTTCCCTCCGTTCCTCGTCTACCCTCCCTCCCTCCCCCCTTTCTTCTTCTCCTCCTCCTCCTTTTCCTCCTTCTCCTCCTCTACTCCTTCTCTCCTCCTCCTCAGACCTTCTCTCTCTTCTGATCTGTCCGCATATCTCACTCCCACTAACCGTTTTTCCTAGTGCCTAAGAATTTCGGGCGAGTTTCTCACGCTTTTCCATCCTTCTCAACATAGAGGCATATATGGCGAATTCGCTTTGCAGCACCAAGACCAGGAAGACGCTCGCTGGCTGGCCGACCAAGATGTGATGCACCCTACTCAAATTCAAGACAGGAGAGAAGAAACTCAGCGTAGAGGACGACCAGACCGACTTCAATTCCCCCTCTTCCGCCTTGGCAGTCCCCAAGTCGACCGTCAACTCGATTTTGAGCAGGAATTGGATCAGTCACAATTATATAGCACAGAGGAGCACCATGATCTCCGAGGATGGCAGAGGCATGTGGACCGTGGCAGCCTCCCTCCACCTCCTCTGCCCAGCGGTCCGACACCACCCTCGAAACCTGGCACAGGCGTTTTTGCGATTGGACAGGCTACTTCTACGCCCTCCTCGACCTTCGATTTGGCCGAACTTCCGCCTCCGCCGCCTTTGTCGCGCTCGCCTCCTGCTCCACCACCACACTCACCGAGATTGCCGCTGATTCCGGGCGAATCTTTATTGCCCGCTCCCATGCGCTTGCTTCCCTACCTTCCTCCAACTTGCTCTTCGGCAGCAGATCCCTTTGTACCCCAACCTTTGCGCCGCGGTGAAGAAGCGGAGAGCACTTGCGAGTCGCCACTCGGATTGGCTCAAGAGGAGCGAAGCGAGAGCATGGACCGTTATCGATCGCTTCCACCTCCACCACCACCCACCCACTCTTCATACAGTCGTTCGCCGTGGATCAGCAGAAGGATACAAGAGGGGGACGCCCCTTCGAGCCAAGCATCGAGCTACCCAACCGTTTCGCCTTCTCCCAAAACTCTTTTCGCCCGAGGTCGGCCTTCATCACCCACATTTTCGTTCAAGGCTGGCAAACGAGCCAACGAAAGCGGAAGGGCCGGTGGGAAGAGATATGAGAGGAAACGAGCGAGCAGAAGTGTCGATCTCGGCCTGGTGCTAACGAGGTCCGAACGTGCTTCACTGGCTTCGATTGACGATCTCGCACTGTTCTCCGACATGGAGGACATGAGAAGGGGCAGTCTCTCGGCTGGAGATACTTCATCTTTTGCCAGCACGGTTCGACAACGGCTGCGGGGCGGGCCGCGGACGAATTTTGAAGGCATTGCTATCGGCAAACAACATGCGAGCACAGGCTGGTCCCAGTGGACGAAGGACATGGCTCGAAAGAGAAAGGAAGAGCTTCAGCAGGAAAGAGAGGTCTGGGACGAAATCGAGAGGGAGGGACCCGAACCACCCGGCAAATCTGCCTCTGTTTCTCCTTCTTTGCCAATGTTCTCATTCGAGGGGGACCAGGATGGGGATCACTCGCCTTTACGAGGTCACGAGGAAGAATCCACAGCAAAGCAACTGCACCAGGAACTCTTTCGAAAAGTGTCGGGAAGGCGACCAGCAAAGGCTGGGGATGAGTCAATTCGCAGACTGAACATGGGAGAGGAAGAGAAAATATAGTGGAGAGAGCCGTGCTTTGTATCATTGGTTCTGTGAGCGAATATTGATTATTGTTCTCTGTTTGAGTGAGGGAAGACATCGTATGCAACATTAATGCCCAGGACCGATCTCGATGACAGTCCTCTCTTCACAGGTTCATCTCTTCATGCTTTCACGTTTGGAGGGCTCTCGCGGCCTTTCAAGGCTTCACTCGGGTCCAATAGGCAAGGTGGCAAATCTGCGTTGTGCGAAACGTGATGATGATTGAGGAAAAGAAGATGAGAAGGCAAAGGAAAGAGAGCTCAGAAGATAAAGGGGGTGACGTTTGCTTAGTCAATATCGTACAAGAGAGGCTGAGAACACCAAGAAAGGAGTCGGGGAGTGAGACGATCAGTCCGAAGACTTCTTCTTCTTCTTTTTCGGCTTCTCGCCATCGCCGTTGACCGTCGTTGCCACACTGACGTCGCCTGCTCCGGCCTCGTCTTCAGCCCCTCTCTTCTTGTCTTTCTTCGCCTTCTTCTCTTCCTTTCTCCTCTCCTTGTCCGTCATTGTCGACACAGTGCTCTCATCCCCGACCGTGACGTCGCCCGCCGTGACGTCTCCGTCCGTCCCCGACGCGCTCTTCCGCGCCTTCTTTGCTGCCTTCCTCTCTTCCTTTGACATGCCGCTCTCTGCCTCCTTTTGGGCCCGCTTCAGCGCCTTCTTTTCGTCCTTGGTCAGCTCCTTGCCGGACTTTGTCGTTGCGGCATCCACATCCTTTCCATCAACGTCCATCGTCGAGGATGTGACCTCGACCTGAGCCGATTGCGGCGCATCGGCAGCCGTGTTGTACGACCGCCCGCCAGGCTGCATCTGGAAGGGCTGTTGCTTGTAGCCAGAGTCACGTCCTCGCGCCGCACGCAGGCCGGCCACGTCCGAGCCGTGCTCGAGGGTCCGCAACCTCGCCTCCAGCTTCGCACGCGCATCCAGACCGATGGTTGCGGCGCCCATGTCTGACTTGCTATCGGCGTCGGCCAGCGCGTCAAGCCTCGAAGATAGGGCAGCCTTGGTAGCGACCATTCGAGCCATCTTTCCTCGGAGCTTTGGTGGCGCAGAGCCGACGAGGGAGGAGTGGAAGATGAGACCGTACTTGGGCGTATCGTGCTTGGTCTTGAGCGCGCGGAAGAGAGCCTTCTCGGCACCGAGGATCTGCACAGTCGAGGCTGGGTGTTTGGCCAGGTTCATGATGGAGCCGGCATGGCTGATCAGCCTAGCGCCGACAAGCTCGCCGACAAGAGCAGTGAGGTTGGGCGCAATAGCGGCCATCCTGTTTTGCAGGTAGCTGTAGAGTTGAGCCCGGTAGGCAGTAATCGAGATGACCTGGTCGCAGAGGCTCCAGATGTGCTCGATATCCGTGTCGCTGATCTCCGTTCCCATGGAAATCTCTGCTGCCGCCTTGAGCGTTTCTTCGATTTCCTCAGGCAAGATCTCGCTGAAGTCTGTCGTTTGCGCATTTGTTCGGAAACCCATGGCACGGATGACCTTGGCGTAGGCGAGGTTGTCGCTGATGATCTTGCCCATCTCAGGGAAATGCCATCCGTACCACTCCTTGACTCGCATGGCGTAGATGTTGATCTCCTTGTCGAGATCGTCGAGGAGGCCGATGGCCTGCACGACCATCGTGTCAACCTTGTCAGGGCTGAACTTGAGCTTGTATCGCGACAAGCTGTGCGAAAGACCCAAGCTCATTGTGTTCAGGTCTCGCGGGTCCAGACTCCCTTCCTGGCTTGCGCCCGACGAGAGGAGCGAAGCCAGATGGGTTCGGATACCACGGTAAAGGTCCAACACCGAGGAGTCCGACAGAACTTGGATGCCAAGCTTCTTGGAGATTGATCCACCTGTGCCCACCGAGTCAGCATGTTACTTCACGAATCATTTGGGTCTGAGGAATAGCGCACCAAGCTTTGGATCAACGACAACGAGCTCCTCATTCTTTGCGCTCTTCTTGTCCTTTCCGCTGATTTCCTGTGTCAAAAAGTTCTTGAGGTTCTTGCTCATCTTTCCTTCGGAAAGCGATGTAGCATCCTCGACAGCTTCTGCCGTCGAAGAGAAACGGTGGATGGCCGAGAGCTTGAGTAGGTTGTTGGCCGATTCGGCAGTGTCGAACTCCTTCCAGAGCGAAGGCGACTCGACCTTGCCCTTGTCGGCCATCTTGAAGAGGCAGAAGCCCACTGAGAGAAACAAACAGCCGAGGTCAGATGTGCCAGTCTCGATGAGCGGCTTGGTTCTGGCACTTACCGGCCGTCTCGAAGAGAACGAGAACCATGGTCGCAGATATACTCTAAGAGGCTTCCTATAGATCTTGGTCCTCTTTCGTATGGTGCCGTGTCGTTACAGGCCAGCGAATCTGCTGCGTCGGGCCCTTGGCTGTTGCTGGTGACGGCTGCCTCACTTCAGAAGAAAGAAAAAGGACGAGAGTCGAAGCAAATTTTGAGAGAATCATCACGTGTCACCCTCAAAGCCACGTGACTGAAAAGAGGCCTCGAATCCGAGGTTCAAGAGGTGCAGGCGTCTTTCTCAAGAGGAGACAAGGTTCCACCAAGCAACAACCTTACCGTTCTATCCTCAGCAAAGGAAGCAATTTCGTCGTAACCATGGCTGATACCGAGAAGGAGCAGGTCGCTTCGACTGCCGTGAGTGGCTATTCGTTCCGAGAGCAAGAAGATAGTAGTTTCTGTTCCGTTGACTAACAAGTGCTTTCCACCCTCCCTTTCTCTCTATCAAGGGCGAGGGCGAGGCTGAGAACGACCCCCACTTTGAGCCCGTCATCAAGCTCGAGCAGCAGATTGAGACCAAGACGCACGAAGAGGATGAGAGCGTTCTTTTTAAAATGTTCGTCTTCGTTTGAAGTGCCTTTGCCACTGCTGTTTCTACAGGTACTTACTCAATTGTAACTTGCACAGGCGCGCCAAGCTCTTCCGATTTGACAAGGAGTCAAAGGAGTGGAAGGAGCGCGGAACGGGAGATGTCCGATTGTTGGAGCACAAGAAGAGCGGAAAGGTCAGGCTCGTCATGAGGCGCGACAAGACGCTCAAGGTCTGTGCGAACCACTATGGTATGTTCACCTCCCTGTTCCCTTCGTTTCCCTTGTCTGCATCTTGCTAAAATACTCTTCGTGCTCCAGTCACGTCGGACATGAAGCTGGCACCGAACGTCGGTTCGGACCGTTCGTGGGTCTACAACGTGGCGGCCGACGTCGCTGATGGGGAGCCCACGGCCGAGACGCTTGCGATCCGATTTGCCAACTCGGACAGTGAGTTTACCACTATTATCAACCTAGTTTCACCCTTTGCTTAACGGATATCTCTCTTGCACGTTCTCGCTGAACAGACGCCGAAGAGTTCAAGAAGTCGTTCGAGTCAGCTCAAGAAAAGAACGCGAAAGCTTCTGGCGGCGCCCCTGCCGAGAGCGACGCCCCACCTGCCGCAGGAGGTGTCACTGAGGAGGGAGAGAAGGAGGCCGCCAAGAGCGAAGAGAAGAAGGAGGCCGCCAAGGACGAGGAGAAGAAGGATGAGCCCACGGAAGAGAAGAAGGAGTGATGATGTCGCCAATCTCCTCGTCCACCAATACCGTATCTGTCGAAATTTACACTCCTAGAAGCAGACCGAGGAAGGGGACGTTTACTTGCTGTGACTGAAAACAATTGGGATGGAATATCTACATTGGTATGCTGCTCGCCAGGATGCAATCTAGATCCGTACAAGATCGACTCTGGCCCTCTCATAAATCTCATGGCCAATGGGTGCTTCTGCCTCGTCGCTATTTTCCTCGAGATCTCTAAGACGGTCCTTCTTCATCGGAGCAATGTCGAAGCGTGCATAGCTTCCCTTGCCTCTTGACTGAGGAGCGGTGGCTTCGCCGGATCCCCGAGCGAGGGGTCCCGGGTTGACGCAAACAGTACCGTCCACGATGCGTGCAAAGGGCGTGAGGACAGAGGGGACAAGGAGAATGTCTGGCGTGACAGTCTTGAATTGAGCCAGAGACGAGTGCGTCACGTCGAGAGGCAGCTGAGACGCGGCCGAAGCTGGGAAGACAGGGTAAAAGCTGATGGGAGTCGTGAGTTCAGCGATTCCTCCTTTCCTTTCAAATCTTCTTTCGGCATCAAACACTTACCTTCGTTGACCAAGGAGTACCCGCACGCTTCTGGCAATGGCGTCACTTGTCTCGCTGGCAGGTTTCACCGTCACACTTGGGTCCTGGCCGACGTCGACAACAACCTCTTCGGCGCGTACATCGCGGAGAACGTCTGCAGTCGTGGCGCCGAAGACGACTTCATTGATGGAGAAGAGGCAAGGGTTGGGCAGGCATTTGACTCGCTTGTGAAGCCCGAGGACGTTCTTCTCAAGCATCGGCTGGGGCCAGGCGATGTGCGAATGAATCACGTCCTTCGTCGATGGCAACAGAATGGCAGTTGTCCTGGTCGAAGCTTCGCAAAGAACATTGAGCCGACGCGAAATGTGCTGCTGAAAGATCTCTGCAGGCATTTGTTGCAACGTAGGGCTGCTCAGAGAGGCATGTGATGCTGGCAGAAAAGGGCCGAGCTGACATTCATCAAGTCAGTATAAGCTGCCTGCACGCATGACGCGAGGCGACTCACCAAAAGGATCACGTCTGGCTTTTGCCTCTCGACGTCATCCATGAGGCGGTGCCAAGGCGTGAAGTCGAGGTCGTCGTCATTAGTGTAGGGGCCTGACGTGACAGTCACCTTGAGGTTGTCGCCGTCTAGTCTCGCAGGCGAGTATTGATTCTGAATCAGTTCGGATGCACGGGTGGCAGCTTGGGGCAGCGGAGGTGGCAGAAGGATCTCTTCCGCGACAAAGCCATCTCCGCCGCCGTTTCGGCCGCGAAAAGCGCAAATCATACCAGGTACGAGGCCCAACTTGTTGCCCGAGCCGGCGGCGTGAACGAGCTTCTTGTTGCCATCTTGGATCCCGCGAAGCGTGACGGACTGGGTGAACCGCAGCGGTGTTCTGCTGCCCGAACCGATAGTCTTGCTCGCCTCGATGATGATCCCGTCCTTGAGTCTGGCTTCTCGCACTTGCTTTGACTCCTGCCCCTGTCCGTCGGGCTTGGTCAAGGCAGGACAGATGCGTCCTACCACGTAGACAGTCTCCTGCGAGACGACACTAGGGTCGGCAACGTCATCGAGGGAGAGGCCGTATGTCTCGAGGAGGACCTGGGTGAGGACTTCGATTGCTTCGTCGAGGGCTGTGAGAGGAAATATGCGTAAGGACACAAGCAAAAGAGGCCACTAAAGGACGTGATCGCATGCTCACCATGACCTTTCATTCCCGGCCTCTCGAACATATACCGGTAGCTCCACGCTCTTGGGTCCGTGCCGACGGCCAATGCAACCCTGCTGGTGTTTTTGGCAGGCTTGACGTCTGCCTCGCCGTCCATGTCCATGTCTTGAAGGGGAGAAGAGCTATAGGTCGAGGTCAGGTGGGGGTTGAGAGTCTCCATGATCGTCGCTGGACCGCCCTCGCTGGCCAGTGGGGAGCGCGTGCTTGGAGAGGGCATGTCGATGCTCCGGTTCGGCGTCGGCGTTGACGTCGATGAGGATGAAGATTGGAGCGAGGAACGGGCAAATGCTCCTCGCGGTGCAGGCGTTGCCGGCGTCCTGGGTCCGATACCCAGACTGGAACACCAAGGACCAGTATTAGCAAGACTGAAGAACGATGCTCCCGATAAGGCACGGAAACCCACAGAGACCCCAGACCACTCCTCTGCTTCACTGCGCTAACGGGCGTCGCTGCGTCCTTGGGCTTGATCTTTGCCTCCCATTCGCGCTGCAGGTCCTTCTTGAGCTGTTCTACGAGTTCCGACGACAAGACAGCCTGTTGGCCATCTGGGCGCTTCTCAGAGAGGAGCATGGCCTCGACCTTGTAGTAGATATCGGCGGCGGTGATCTGAGAGCCATAGATGCGCAAGAGTGACACGAGCTGGGGCAGGAGCGGCGAGGTGCGCGACAGGAGCGTCGGTGGGAAAGCGGCGAGCAACGCCGAGCTCAGGTTCTCGTTGCCAGCCCCTGCGCCCGACATTGCGGGCGTCGTAGAGAAGGAAGAGCCGCCCACAGGTCTCGAGGGCGTAATGGGCATCGGCATGATGGAGAGAGAGAGAATAGTGATCGGTCGCTGTAGGAATGGGTGCATTTGGAGCTGCACTTTTGAAGTTGTAGGCGCGTGCCGCGTCGCGTCACACGAGACCAACACGAAGGACAAAAATCAGGCCCAGAGAGAGCCGGGCTCGACTTTACCAAGACGCCATCAGTTTCGAGAAGCCAAGGGCGTTGAGCGACAACTTTGCTCGATCTATTGAAAAGACAAAGAGCGGAAGCTACGACGATGGCGCAGGTGGCTGCTCTTGCCCCAGGAGCGTCTCCCACCAAACCTGGACAGGCAAGACGGTCGACGACTGTTGCGAACTGGCACCATGACGATGCCATCGGCCTTGTGACGGCGTCGGATGGCCAGCAGGAGCTCGTGGGCCACTCTTCCGTCGCGCTCCTAGTCGGTCGGTGCAAGGCAGGCGAGGAGACGAGCCAGACGCAGGATGACCTTCCCTCGATGACGGGCCTCGGCTCGCTGCCCCACCAGCGCGTCTCGCTCCCCAACACGGCGCGTCACGTCTCGAGGAACCACGCCGTCTTCTTCTTTTTGCCCTTTGCCCCGACCAGGACAGACGATGGCAAGTCGGGGTCCTGGGTCGTGAAAATCATCGGGCAGAATGGATTGATCATCGATGGGAAGCGGAGACGAGGCGGGCAGGTGATTCGCATCAAGTCGGGGGAAACAGAGGTTGATTTCTTTGGCACAAAGTGCCGCTTTGTCGGGCGAGGAAAGCAGCCGCAAAGGACAAAGGTTGGCAGCTCCAGCAGCAGTGCCTCCTCAATCGCCGAGGTGGACAAGGAGAATCTGTCGAAGGTCGACGAAGCTGTGCCGATGAAGAAGGTTGCGTCTCAAGAGTCTAGGCCGACGCTGGGCACAGCAACCCGAGCAAACGTCACCACAACACCGTTTGCGCGTGCCCCATTGGGCGAAGTATCGACCAACGCACCTGTTGAGGACGGTCTTGGTGCCGAGTCGCAAGTCGACGCCAAGCTTGTGCTGCACGCGTCGCGCTCGCCTTCTCCTCCCCCCAAGACGCATGTCGAGCGCCGCTTCGTGGCGAGAACGGAGAAGCGACCGCTTGGAGCGCCTCCCAGCCCGCCGACGTCCTCTCCCGCACCCTTTGAGACGCAGAGCTCGTCGCCAGTCCACCCTTCGAGTAGCACCGCCTTCAGAAAGCCTTCGCGGTTGGTGCGAGGGGGGAAGGGCAGTGACGAAGACGAGGATGACGATGACGACGAGGGCGGCGCTTCTTCTCCTTCACCTTCGTCACCCACCCTCGACCGACGTGCGGCGCGCATGCATCGCAGACCAAGCGCCGAAGAGGCCAGCCAAGCTCTCGCTGTGGTCAGGATCGAGCAGATGGGAGGGGACGATGACGCCGTCGATCTTGATGACGACGAAGAGCGCGACGAGGACGTCGACGAGGACGACAAGGGAGAAGACGAGGACGGTAGCGAAGACGAAGAGAGCTCCGAGGAGGACAACATGACTCCGAGCCCGTCGCCCAAGAAGAAGAAGGCGGCCAGGCCACCGGGCACGGGACTCAAGGTCAAACTCAAGAGGGTGCAGTTCGCAGCTCGTCCGACGTCGCGACCAACCAGCAGAGCATCTACGCCTCGTTCTCGCACACCATCACAGCAGCAGCAGCAGGACGGCACCGAAAAGACGCTGACGGCGCTGTCGATGACGCCCTTGGCTCCGCTTCAGACTCACATCCGCACCCTTGTGAGCACCCTCGCCCAGACCTATGACCTCGAAGGCCTGCTTGCGGGTGCCATCGTCTTCCATCGCACCGCAACGATCTCAGCCACTGAGGCTGTCCGCTCCGTCTTGAGCAGCACTCCCGGCCTGCTCCGGGGCGAGGTGGGCACCGAGGGTCGACACTTGGAACATCTCAAGATTCTCTCGCCTGGCTCAGCTTTGCAAGGATGGCAGCTGCCCAACGACGCTGACTGGCACAGCGTCATGAAAGGGGAACAGATCCCTGGCGCTCCAACTGGTGATCAACCTGGTGCCAATGCGCTCCCCTCGAAAGAGGAGCGAGAGCGGGTGCTGGAGCTCTACCAGCGGAAAGCGTGGCGAGAACGGCTGGAAGAGGTGCTGCAGACGCGAGACTGCTTTGGAATCATCCAGCGGGCCGGCAAAGATGCGAGCGGCAACCCGCTCGAGTGCTGGTACTACTACGATCGTGATAATGACGAGGACAAGGAGCGGGCAAAGAATTTGGGCGCTTTTGCGAAGCCCATTCGGGGCGCCCTCAAGACGCACAAGCCCATGTGAGTAGTTGCTTTTGTCGATGTAAGGGAGGCTGAAGACTGACTGAAGATGGAAACGAAACAGCTTCTGGAAAAAGTCGGCTTATGGACACGAGGCCGTGGAGTCGGGCAGCACGGGCGCCCTCTCGCAGGCTGAGCAGCTGCAGCAGCTGCAGCCTAAGGTCCCCCTGTTTGAACCGGCGCCCGCGGCAACGGAGTCGCAGTGGGGATCCTCGGGCAATGTCCTCGACTCCTTTGTCTCTGCCAGTGGTGCCAAGCGAGAGTGGCAGGACGACGAGCAAAAGGCTGTCAGGCCCAGACCCACGCCCGGCGCCACTGCCGCTGCCGCCGTCTGGGACGAAACGCAGGTGCAGGAGGATGAAAAGACGTGGGACCGCTTTGGCGACATGGACTATGGAGCTGGTCCGTCTTCTTCTGCGTCGTCAAGACCCAAGGCGAACAAGCGCAGGAAGCGATAGGAAACCCTTCGTCGATACTTCATCTTTGTCTTATTCTCTTCCACCCCGTTGCTGTTTGTCCCTCTTGACTAGTTTGCACAAATAATATTGGAATAGGACTCTTCTCTGATGGTGATGGCAAGGATGGAATGATGTTCTTATCGGACAGCAAAGAGCTGCACCGTCATTGCCTCTACCTTTTTCTTTGCATCGCTTCCTTCACTGGCCTCCTCTCGGACGGCATAGTGGATCTCGACGTCGAGTTCGCGCGAGTTGTCCACGCTCGGCGTCGACCGCAGCGTCCCGACGATTCGCGCGCCCGGTTTGGCGAGAATCGGCTCCTTGAGGACAAAGAGCGTCTGCTTCCAGTGCGTCGCCAAGCCCTGCGGGCCCGTCGTGAAGCTGACCGTCTCGCCGGCCTTGTCCTCCTGCGAGTCGGAAGCGCGTGCGACGATTGCGTCGCGCTGCAGGTCCGTCAGGCCACGCACTTCGGCCTCGCCTGGGCAGCGCACCTCGACGGGCGGCAGCCCTTCGAGCTCCTGTCCGCCCTTCATGTCGCCCTGCTGGCCCGGTGGCGGGTGTGGGCAGCCATCGGTGGTGAACCAGGTGTCGAACCAGCTCGCAAACGCCTGGATCTCGACGGCCTTGCCGGCCTCTGCACCGGCGGCCGACGAGTGAACCTCGAGGATAAAGGGCGCCTCAAAGCGGGGCTGCTGCGTCCGCATCGTGTGGTGCGCGAGGTCGAGCAACGTCGACGTCGAGGTGGCAATCTCATTGGGCTGCAGACACTCCGTCCACGCTTCGTCGGCCAGGCCCTTGCGCATGCCCGCCAGCTCAAATCCGTAGACGTTGTCCCAGAACGTCATGCGTTCCTTGATAATGTCGCACGCGGAGACGGCAGACAGGATCATGCGGGTGTGCGACGGCGCCAGGACGCCGTCCTTTGCCAGGTAGGCGTCTCGCGCGTAGAGGACAGACGGCAGCATGGACTCGTACAGGAGAAAGTAGCCCATCCACTCCGACACGATGAGGTCGACCTTTCCTCTGTGCTCGGCCAGCTCCGCGTCCAGCTCCTCGATCTTGCCCTGGTGCACCTTGATGATGCCCTGCATGCCGTTGCGCTCCACGTTCTCCCGTGCTCGCTTGGCCACATCGGAAGCGTCAATGGCAATGACCTGGCGGGCACCGGCCCGCGCAGCAAACAGGCTGAGGATGCCGCTTCCACAGCCGACGTCCATCACCGTCTTGCCACGAATCAGATGGGCATTTGCCGGCGAGAGGAGGAACTTGGCATAGGACAGCGTACGGACCTTGTCCGCGATCATCGTCTGGTGGATCTCGTGCGACGCATACGAGGTGAAATAGTGGCTGTCGTCGTCCCGCTTTGCTTTCGGGGCCTCTGATTCAGCTCCACGCGCCGAAGAGGAGGAGGAGGAGTGCTGCTCGGCGATGTGATGGTCCATGTGCAGGGATTCAGCGTACTTTTGCCGCAAGTCCTCAAAGGCCAGTCGAGCAGCCTGGAGCTCCGATTGGAGTTCGGCGATTTGCGACTGCTCCTCTGTCTGTCCCTCTCCCCCCAGTTCCACGTCGAGGTCATCAAAGTCGATCTGCAGGAGGCCGTCGTTCTCGAACCCTGGCACCGGCTTAAGCTCCTCGTCGTCGTTGAGGTACTTTTCGTCGCCCTTGAGTCCGCTAATGTGGTCTGGCTTGACGCTCCCTGCATGTCTTCGGAGGTAATTGAGGAGCCGAATGACCTGTAGAGGATCTAATCGAAGCCTCCTGACCACAGTCACAAAATCGCACCCTCGCCCCTTGGCGTCCTCGAGCGCCTCCCTCGCCGTGCCAAACGACCTCAGTGCTCCATCGTCGTCTGCGAAGAGCGCATGAAAGGCAGTGCGCGTGCGCGCCGCCGACGAAAAACCCCCTTCGCCCTGCCCAGCGCCGTGCACGTCGACTCCGCCCTCCTCGTCGACCCAGTCCGCCCAGTCCTGGTCGTCTGCGGCGTCAAAAGAGGAGGCGTGCGAGCCAGAGTCGGAGCCAGAGTCTGCCATGCTTGTCGATTCCCCCGTGCGCAACAAGGCTGGAAGAACTTGCGCGCCCAAATTTCCTCTCCAAAAAAAAAAATTGGCCTTGTCCCCCTTCCACACGCACACGTGTTCCGTTTCCCGAGCTGAGTGTCTAAAGCAGACATCTTCCTGAAATGGCGCGAGTGAGGGGGGGCAACCATCAGCTGGTGATCTGAGCGACGCATGGGCAGGCAGCGATAGCGAGAGTACCAACTCTTCAGCCACAGCCATGGGCGTCACTGCGGCAGCTCACTTGCCACACGTAACGTCTTCCTCCTACCCGTCGCTCCAGGCGCATCTCCAGGCAGCGCACCAGGCCGTGCGCGTCTCATCGTGGTCCCTCTCCATCCGCCTTCTGCGCTCGACGCTCGACGATGACAAGTCCCGACGCGGGCAAGTCGAAGGAGAGGGGGAGAATGGTGCGAGTCAGACACCAGAGCAGGGAGCTGCGAGACGGACGAAGCTCATGTATCAAGTCACCATCAGCGACTTTCCCAACGACGTCTTTGTTCTCGTCGAGGATCCCGAGAGGCCTACGAGGGCAACCTTGCTCAACGAGGCCAGATCAAGTCATGCCGGGCTATTGGCGAAGAACGGAGGCGTAGGGCTGAACACGGAGATCCCAAATGCTCCGGTTGTAGGCGAAGATGGCAAAGCAGAGGTGAAGGACGAGGCAGCAACAGCAGCAGTCAAGGCAGCGCCAGAAGCCGAAAATGGAGCGAGTGGAGAGATTGTCGTCGTCGGGGATCAGCCAAGCGATGTCGAGATGTCAGATGCTCCAGTGCAAGGCATGTCGAAGGAAGAGAATGGCACTGCGACGGAGCCCACACCAACAACACGCTTCACGCTCTTTGCTGCCGCCTCGTCTTTTCCTATGCTGCTCACCAGCCTCAACCTACCTCCGGCCCTTGGCGCACCGTCGCTCGGCGATGGCGTCTCTTCGACGTCTCCGAGTGCTGGTCCCGGCGCCTGGATGCAGCGTGGAGCGGCCCTGGTCGTGGAAGGCGCAACATGGGAGCTTCCCTCCATGGAAGGCAGCTTGGCGTCCGAGAACAGGGGCGAGTGGAAGATTCGTTTGGGCCTCGTCATGCATGGTGGGACCAGGAGCGCAGGTGCCCTTCTAGAGGTGTGTCTTTGCGTCCAATCCAACTTCTTATCATCATCCATGAGCTGACTTTGAGTATATCAGGCAGAGTACCTTCCTCTGAATGCGCTTCCCCCGACTTCGCCGCTTCTGACTTCTCAGTTGCGCAGCATCTTCCCGGCCTACCTCCTTGCGCCGACAAACTCTGCTGGCGTGGTCCCCTCTGATACGCTGTCTGCGACGCAGCCCTCGGCCGATCTGTGGAGCGAGGTAGTGGTGCCACCGGAGGGCGAGGCGCAAGAGCTGCCAAACAGCCAGCGAAAGGATCCGGGGTGGATCGGCACAGAGAGGGGGAGGAGACTAGCATTCATGTACATTAACTTGCTCCGAGCGCAGGGCATCATCTGAGCCATACCTCTGTTACCGTCATCAGTGTGATTATCATCAATAACATCATTGTCGTCATCGTCATCGTCATTTTCACCAGTGATCATGATCCGTGACGGTGCTCTCGAATCAGACTGGGTGGGGCACGTGTCAAAACGCGCGCTCCAAAATTGCGCCCGGGCCCGTGTTTGTTTGAATGTCCACCTCCGCTTGGTCGGTTTGTGTCACGGACGACTTTCCTTTTCCAGACTGGACTGGACCAGCTTTGGCGACTGCGACCAAGACTGGCGCACGACTGGACGACTGGACAGCGCGAGAGCCAGGGAGAAGCATCGAGGAGCAACGCTGATGACGCTGAGCTTTCATATCTAGAGCCGCAAGTTGAACCGAACCTCTCTTTGCCTTTACGAAAGAGTCGCCGCAAGCCACCATGGCCGAGGCTTCCATCGAGGTGGCTGGTGAGTTTGCCATGCGACACGACAGAGATGTGTATGTTTCATAATCACTGACTTGCACGGCAGTCCGCATCCGGCCCTTCAGCCCCAAGGAGGCTGCGATGCTGGCGCCGCAGGACAACCAGCTGCCCTTTCTGGGCGACGGCGGCCTCGGCGCGGCCCCTACGGCACGAATGGCTGTCACAAACGGCAGCAACGGCCGTGCACCCTCGCTGAGGACCAACTTTCTCCGCCCAATCATCTCGCCCGTCGACGACAAGGTGCTCATCTTTGACCCGCCGGACAACAACCCACTCAGCAAGCTGTATGCCACGGCCTCGGGTGGCTATGGCACGGGGGCAAAGAAGCCAAAGGACGTGCGCTATGCGTTTGACAAGGTCTTTGACGACACGTGTGGCCAGGAGATGGTGTTTGAGAACACGACGAAGCCGCTGCTCGACGGCATTCTCAACGGCTTCAATGCCAGCGTCTTTGCCTACGGAGTGAGTGGTAGCTGCAGGCAGCGAGCCAGTCGGACGAGATAGACTGACTTGACTGACACGCATACAAAGGCTACCGGCTGTGGAAAGACGCATACAATCAGTGGCACTCAGGAAGATCCTGGCGTCATCTTCCTCACGATGAAGGAGCTCTACCGGCGCATCGAGGACTCGCGCGAGGAGAGCGAGGTCCACGTCCGGCTCTCGTACCTCGAGATCTACAACGAGATGATCAGAGACCTCCTCAGTCCGCAGCCAACACCGCCAGGCCAGGGCCTGCTTCTGCGCGAGGATGCCGTCAACAAGATCAGCGTGGTCGGCATCACCGAGCACGTGCCCGCCAGCCCCGAGGAGGTGCTGGAGATGATCCAGGAAGGCAACCTGCGCCGGACGATGAGCCCGACCGAGGCGAACGCCGTCAGCTCGCGCAGCCACGCCGTGCTCCAGATCAACGTCACCCAGCGGCCTCGGACAGCCGACACGATCATGGAGACGACGAGCGCCTCGCTCAACATCATCGACCTCGCCGGCTCCGAGCGCGCCTCGGCGACGCGCAACAACGGCCAGCGCATGAAGGAGGGCGCCAACATCAACAAGAGCCTCCTCGCGCTGGGCAACTGCATCAATGCCCTCTGCCAGTCGGGGGGCCAAAAGGGCCGCCACATTCCCTACCGCAACAGCAAGCTCACCCGGCTCCTCAAGTTCTCCCTCGGCGGCAACTGCAAGACGGTCATGATTGTCTGTGTCAGCCCGTCGAGCGCCCACTACGACGAGACGCACAACACGCTCAAGTACGCCAACCAGGCCAAGAACATCCGCACAAAGGTGTCCAAGAACCTGCTCAATGTCGACCGCCACGTTGGCCAGTATGTCCAGGTGATCCAGGAGCTGCGCCAGGAGATTGCCGAGCTCAAGGCAAATGCAGGCAATGCCATCGAGACGGCTGCCGAGCGACGGAGAAAGGCAGATGTGGCAAAGGAGGTCGAAGAGGTCAAGGCCAAGATGCAGCAGAGCACCGCAAATGTCAAGAAGGTCGTCGAGGAGAAGGCGCACTTTGAGGCGCAGCTCCTGGCAGCCCAGATCCGGCTTGCGCCGTTGCGAGAGAGGATGGAGCAGCTCGACGCCGAGATTGCTGGCTACAAGGCGCACTCGCACGACGTTCCCAGCGATCTGGAGAGCGAGCGAGACATCGTGGCGGGCCTGGCCGCGCCAGACGAGGCCATCGTTGCCGATCAGAACCTGCTCCGTGGCGCATCGAGCCTGGACAGCAGCATACAGATGCAGCACGGCATCATCATGGCCGCTTCCAGGAACGCCAAGCTCGACGACGCAGCAGCGGAGACGATCAGGAACCTGGGACAGGCCATGGTGGCCGACGTCGAGACGCAGCGAGCCAAGATGAAGTTCGAGGCGATGCAGGCCGCTTACGGTGCCGTCGCAGGTCGGACCAGAGACCTGGTCGGCCTGGCTGCGAGGTCCACTGTGACGTTGAAAGAAGCAGCTGGCGAGCTCACGTACAAGGTCGGCGCTGGTAATGCGTCTACAGACGAGCTCGACACGCTCTCCAAGCATCTGCTTGCTGCTGCACACGCCAATGACGGTGTCTTCAACAGCATCGCAGGACGTTCCACCAAGCAAGCGCCGAGTGACGCCCAGCGCAGGAAGTTTGCGGCTGCACCACGCAGTTCCCGTGCCTCACTCACGCCTGCCAATGCAGCGATGCCCTCCCATGGTGGCCGGGTCAAGAGGAGCTCCATCGTACCTGCCGCCGCACAGATGGCACCGTCCTCTGCGTCGGGCCTCGTGAGCAGCCGCCTGCAGCACCTCGTGGCCAGTCCACGAAGGCCGAGATCGAGCAGTGTGGCGGGCCGCGGTCGCACCAGCCTGCTGGCAAGCCAGGGCGGGCGCAAGTCGACAGTAGTAGCACCTCGCAGTCGCGGCAGCCTGTCGCGAGAGGATGCCGTCCCAGCCATGCCGCCGGCCGCGGCGAAAAAGAGCTTCCGGTGGGCCGACGAAGCGGGCGAAGGATCCTTGGAGGGCCGGAGAAGCGCCTCGCCCCGTCGGATGTCTTCTTCGTCGTCGTCAACATCGTCGTCGCACCCCTGGTCGTCGTCATCGGCCTCTTCTTCGCTCTCGTCGTCTACTGCTGCGGGCCCGATGCGGAGGACGTCGGGCGCGTCTGCGCCTCGCTTTGCTCAGCCTACATCCTCTTCCGCCGCTCGTGTCTCTGCCAAGCGCGTGGCAGCCATCAGCGCCGAGGGGGATGCCTCGGGCGAGACGAGCTCGGGTGCCGAGTGGGAGGACGTTGGCGATCGCGCGGCGGGCGGCGCCAGCAAGAAGAGCAAAAGCTCCATCTTTGACCGCAACTTTTTGACGAAGCGCACCTCTTCCTCGCTGGCAGCGGGCGCCGAGCCTTCGTCGCTGTCGGACGACGGTGGCGATGACGAAGCCGTGTCCTCGTCGAGGGCGGCACGCGCGCCGCTCTCTGATCTTCTCACCAACCGGGACGGCGACGCTCGCCTCGAGCGAGACGCGAGCTCCTCGCCTCCCGTCAGCTTTCGATCCACCAGTGGTGGAAGCCTCCGTGCGAGCCCTTACAACCGCCGTCGAAGCCGTGAGTTGCTCTAGAACTTCTTCCCTTTCCCTTTTAAACATGCACTGACACGCTTGCCTGGCTAGACCTCCCGCCTGCAGCACCCTCCTCGTGGAAGCCAGGCCACCGACTAGCCTCGTCTCAGCAGCAGCGCTCGTCGCCGAGCCCGACGGAAGACACAGCAGGATCATCGGCCGCGCGGGTGGCCTCTGGTCCCCCCTCGTTTGTTGCCTCCCGGCTCAGCAGGACGAGCGCAGGCAGCAGCCCGCCGAAGAAGGCCCCGGGCGACGACTCCACCGCCTCCAGCACCAGCACCGTCTCTGCCAACCGGCGGAGCCTCTCAACGACGACTACGAACACGGCTGCGACGAACTCTGCCTGGCGCTGACCTTTCGTGTTCTCCGCTAGTATCCCTCTCCCGTTTTGTGTATCCTCGCCTCTTTTTCATATCTGTACACTACTCATCTTACATTCACTGACCAGCCTCGCCCTTCACCGCTTCTACTCTACCACAGCCATCATGGACACTTCTCTACTATCTCTTCTCTCTTAGATGACTTCTAGATGACAATGATGAAAAACAGACGATGAGCATTAAGACGGCTTGATGACTACTCCTGGGGTCGCACGACGACTTTGACGCCGCTGACGCCCTTTTTGTTGAGGGCAAGGGCCTCGTTGATGGCCCCGAGTCCGCCCTCGACGACGTGGGGCTTGTTTGGCTTGAAGAGGCCCTTTGCGATCCATCCCTGCTCGCCCGAGAGGGCCTGCATGAACGGCGCCGCCAGCGGCCGAATCGCCGGGTAGGAGCCAATGCCATAGACGGGGAAGACGGCGACGTGGGGCTCCTGCGCCGCCGCCAGCGCCAGCGCCTCGTCCTTTTTGCCGAGAACCGAGACGAGCTTCTGGCTGTCTGCGTCCTGCGACGTCTTGTAGGCCGCCTGCAGCACCTTTACGCCAAACAGCTGCGTCTCGTCGTTGCTGATTGCGTCAAAGAGAAAGTGGAGGCGGTGGCCGCCGGCCAGGGCGGCGCTCGCGAGCTCCTCGGCCGAGGCGGTCGTCCGGTCGAGAACGTGGGTGGCGCCAAGGGACTTGAGATACTCGGCGTGCTTGGACGAAGCATTGGTGACAATCGTGTCGAAGCCAGAGAGGCGCGCGAGCTGGATCGCGTACTGGCCCACGCTCGAGGAGCCGCCGAGGATGATGATGGCCTTGCCACGCGCTGCGCTGTCGCCCCCAGCCTCCCAGGGACACGGCGCGATGGGCCGCCCGCAGTCGTCGTGGTAAAACGCAGTGACGACGGCCATACTCGCCAGGCTGATGCCCGCCGCCTCGTCGTCGGTGATGTTCGACGGCGTCTTGGCGACGAGATCGCCAGGCATGGTGCAGTACTGCTGGAACGTGGCCGACTCCTGCACGGCGATCCTTCCCTGGAAAAAGACGCGGTCGCCCTTGTTGAAGCCCTTGTAGGCGGGGCCCAGCGACACGACCTCGCCCGCAGCGTCGGAGCCGCAGATGACGGGGTACGAGGGCACAAAGACGTTCCAGTCGCGCATCTTCCAGTCGACGGGGTTGATGGCCGTCGACGTGATCTTGATGAGGACCTCGCCCTCCTTTGCCGCGTAGATGTCCCGCTCCTGGATCTCGTTGGTGCCAAACTCCTTGGGCAGCACAACGGCCTTTTGCTTCGTTGTCATCGTTGTTGTCATGGCGGATGGTGGGGTTCCAGTACTGATCGAAAGCTGGTGGTGGTGGTGGCAATGGCTAGCCAGACCCTCTTTCTTCCTTTTTTTTTCCCGCTAAATTCTTCCTCCCTACCTTCTCGTGTGCATGTGGAGGTGGCGCACTGACCTAGCTTTTCCCGGCCCGACGTCTCTCCAGACAGGTCCACATGGTTGAACTAATGCCTCGGACGACGGACCCAGAAAAGTAGCCGGACGCGACATTGCGAGGAAATGACCCCGCCTTTAATGCTCCTCCGCCGTCGCCAAGGCTCGAGCCGCTTGCTCGGCTTTCCCCACCCTCTCTCTGCCCCTCTTCACCCTACCCTACCCCTTTTCCCACTCCAGTCCATCATCTCTGCGGCTTCACACCAGCAGTAGCCATGCCGTCTACCTCGCAGCTGACGCTGCCCAGCGTGGGCGAGCACCTGATCCTCTCGCTCCCCGCTCCCAAGGTCCTGATGCTCAAGATGAACCGGCCAAAGGCACTCAACGCCATGTCATTCGACATGGAGCAGGACATGAGAAAGACGCTCGATTGGTTCGAGCAGACGCAGCAGCTCTGGGTCCTCGTCCTCACGGGCAACGGCCGTGGATTCTGTGCTGGCCAGGTGAGTAGCCTGTCGTCGTCGTCGTCGTGCGAGGCAGAGCAGGGCATCATTTGCTGAGCAGAGGTCCTTTCCCCCCTCGCTCAGGACTTGAGGAGTTTCATGGAGGCGGCAGATCGCGACGATGATGTCGAGGAAGAGGCAGGGGGTGACAAGACGCTGTCGGCGCAGCTCAAGAGGATCAAGAGTGGTGGGTTCGGTAGCATCAGCACGAGACGCTGCTCCAAGCCCATCATTGCCGCCGTTGATGGCGTCGCAATGGGCGGTGGTACCGAGCTTGTAGTGAGTGCACACTACGTGTCATTTGCGCGACCGAGCTGAGTGAAATGCTGCCCCACTCACCTGCTGCTCTTCTCCTCCTACTAGCTCAACTGTGATCTCGTCCTGGCTACATCACGCTCTCTCTTCGGCCTGCCTGAGGTGGCCCGGGGCGTCGTGGCAGCCATGGGAGGCATTCCTCGCATCCCTCAAATTGCTGGTCATGTGAGTACTGCCATTGGCGTCATTTTGAGGGAGCACTGCAACTGATACTCGTGTGTACACGCTTCACTCTACACACAGCAACGTGCCGCCGAGATGCTGCTCGTGGGCGAGCACATGAGCGCACAGACTGCTTATGAGCGCTTTGGCTTTGTCAATGCCGTCGTCAATGTGGACAAGTCCGAGTCAATCGAGTCAGGTCAAGCGATAATTGAGGCCGAGGCACTCCGATGGGCAGCCAAGATTGTGAAAAACAGCCCCGATGCCGTCATGGTCACAAAGGAGGGGCTCAACCTCGCTCGAGACGCGGGCAAAGAGCCTCACGGTATCGACGAGGCCGCGATAAAGAGCTTTGATGGCGAGCGGAGCAAGGCGCTCTACGACGGCGATAACATCAGAGAGGGTATCACGGCATTCTTTGAGGTACGTTCCAGCCCGTGCCCCTCTCTCCCTTTCTTCGTTTCATCCGAAACACCTGTACTGATGGGGCCCCTATCTCTGTCCAGAAACGGAAACCGGAATGGTCCGACCCGCCCGTGTTTTCTCGCACAGCCTCGAAGCTGTAAAACGCTCACCGTGCAACATAAATAAATAGTGATGTCACCTGCGCCTTCTAAGCCCCATCTGGCTCTTTAGCCAAATCAAGCTGTTGCATTTGTGCCAGATTATGGCAGGCAGGAGCACCACGACGCCTCTTCGCCACACGGAGCGTGTACGCGTAGCACGCCCCGGGCACAGTGGGCCGCGTGCCTAGCCGGGGCGTCACTCCTTATCGCCCTTCCCTTCAGCCGATTCGAAGCCCCAATGCGCATGCCTTTAGTCCTATAAGGCACTTCAGAGTGGATTGACTCTCTCTCTCTCCTAGTTCACCCTCAACCCCCCAACTAGCAGCTCTTTTCATCTTGCCTCTCATCCCTCTGACGACGAGCCTGTTGCTTTCGTCTCGTCTCGTCTCGTCTCGTCTCTTCTCTGTCTCTTCACTTGTCGTCTCTCCCTGGCTGGCTGGCCCGGCAGGGGACGAGACTGTGACACCAACTGAATCTGCTCCAGCATCAGCCATTGTCCTCGACGCCTTCAAAATGAAGCCGTTGGGACTCGTCGGCGTCATTAATGCACTGGCCCATATTCTCATTTCGACCAGCACAGTCGTCGCGCTTCCCCTTTCACGCCCAGATGACATCGTGGGCGGACTGTCGGAGGAGCAAGTGACGAGTCGTTGCCATGGCCATGACCAGCATCAGCGTGTCTTCAACGTGCTTCTGTACCAGCGCGAGCCATGTGTCGGCGACGCTCCACCCACGTACGAGACTCCTCGCCCGCTTGTCCTTCTCTTCGACCGGACAGCCTCGGAGGACGAGGCGCTTGAGCATGAGAGTTCGCCTGCCAATACCTCGGACGGCGAAGTAGTAGAGCGTCGTTTCGTCAAGCCAATTGGGCGGTTTCTCAAGAATCTTTCGTTTGAGGATCGCTTGGGGCTCGGCGGGGCCATCGCAGGGTTACTTACCTTCTATCCGTATGCCATTGCATCCGTACGTAGCCATCGACCTTTCTTTGTGTCTGTGGGAGGACAAGGGAGAATTTGGTGCTGATAAACTTTTTACTCGTTTTTTTCTTCTTTCTCTTTCGCAACAGACGATCTCGACTGCACAGACGCTGGACCAAATGCGAGCGAAAAAGAAGGAAAGAGAGGAACTCGCCCGCCTTGAAGCTGCTGCTGCTGCTCGCGCCAGTGCTGCGGCCGCGTCAAGTCCACCGACTAACGTGCCTTCCCAACCCGAGCCTCAAGAAGTCCACGGTCATCATCATGAACATCTGGAGTCTCACAATAACAGCAAAGACGCGGCAAAGCAGAAGCCTGCGCCAACTGGCAAGCCACCGGTACCACCCAACGGCAAAAATGCCGGACCCCAGCCGGCTGCCAAAGTAGGTGCATCATTGCCGGCTGCTTCTCCGAATGGAGCTACGGTCACAACCTCCGCGCCATCTCCAGCCATTACTAAGGGCAAGCGAGAACCGCAAAGCATCGACTTGTCCTTTCCTCTCCTTCTCCGGAGCCCCAACTTTGACCTGAAAATCGAGCCTTGGAACGGCGACGGAAGAGCAGCGGCGGCAAAGACCGCCAGATCCGACCCTCTGCAGAAGCGCAGCCCTATGCCTGTCAACGCGCCGGCACAAATGCAGGCCTTTAAGCGGTTGATTGCCATTTCCGGTCTCGTTGTCGGCATTTCTTACCTTCCCAATGCCGGCATGACGCTCTTTAACACCGTCCAGGCGATGCCCGACCCTGAGCATGAACGAGTCAAGGCTAGGCTGGCCGTGCTCAGAGCCCAGGAGGAGAAGGCAAAGGCCGATGCTCAAAGCCAAGCCAAGGCAAAGGTCGATGCTCAGAGCCAAAGCAAGGCAAAGAGAGAAATGCCTGTGGTTGAAGACGAGGGTCGCTTGATTGCCGTCCTTGTGCCCTGGTCTCTTCAGAACGACGGAGCACTTCTCGATACTACGGGAGGCGACTTTGTGTTCGACGACGACGACGACGACACCACACGACGTCTGATTAAGGAGTATCTGCCTTATGGAGATGAGGTCGGAGAAGATTTCCTGAAGCACATAGAAGCCGGCTATTACGTAAAGCAAAATCATCGAGGTGCACATATCGACGATGATGAAAGCGGCAAGCAATCCTCCTGTGAAGTCCGGATCTCACAAAGGAGCGAAGACCAAGCGCAGCAGCTTGAATACGATAAGAGGCAAATTCTACCCAATGGTAAAGTCCACCGCACTCACATTCGACCAGCACCGTTTGCAAAGGGCCTTGCCATCCTGTCCTTCGGCGGTGCTCTAGGATTCTTTGCCGACAAATTGGTCAAGCACCACATGTCTCACAGAGTGGCAGTGAAGGAGGCTATTATTGCCCAGGCAAGCGACAAGGAGCTTGCGAAGGATATCTACAAGACTGGTGTTCTCGAAAACAAAGGGGGTCTTATTGCTACTGTGGCAAAGCGTGGCCTCGACGATCCATCCTCATCCCACGACTTGATTGATTGGAGCTCGGAGGAGGGAACAGGAAGTTCAGGAGAGGCTGAGACATCGAGCACGAAACGGAATGACGTCAAGCCACCAAAGGAGGATCTGAAGACAATTGTCACCGCCGCCGAATCAAAAGAGTTGAAGTACTTTAAGCCCAAGAGTAAGCTTACAAAGACAAGCGCGGCTGCTCTACTCAACTTGGGCGTCCTCTCTGGCCTTGTCGTACATCGTTGGCTGACTCGCGACGACGACATCAATAAGAAATTGCTTCCCCTCGTCGACGCGCATCTTCTCCACCATCCTGTACCCATTCCAGCACCTATGTCAACAGCGCAATCCGTTAAAGGTGTCCAGCCGATCACCGTCAAGGCTAGGTCCCTTACGCTGGATGACATGCCATTTCAACACTCGCAGGGGCAGGATGCGATGTTGAAAGACGTTCTTGAATACCTCGACAATATTTCGCCGGCGCTGGGCAGTACCTCTATGAAATCTTACGCCATCCTCTATCCCGCTACACAAGAGTACGGTGATCATGGTGACCCTGAGGAAGTCTGCCGAGGAGAAAGGACGACCGCTCCTCTTGGAGGAAGCAAAACCATGGAAGACCGAGCAATGTTGATGAACGACCAGCAAGGTGGTGAAGTCTCAGAGAGGACCGACCAGAACACATTGCGCGGACGGCCTACAGCCATGACGCTGAGCAAGGTCATGCACCCTCTCTCAGAGCGCAATCCGACTCAATCAATCGTCCAAGGTACCCTTTTGAAGCGTGGACTTCCGCTGGACGGAGATAGGGACGAGATTCGACTGCAGAAAAGGGCAAAAGGTAACATTCGTGGTGCGGCAAAAATGGTCAGCAATGGATTTGGTAGGATTGGTGCGGGAGTTGGAAAGGTGATTAACAAGCTCGTCGACGCTTTGAACGATAAGAAGGCTCAGGCCCTTCTCACCGCTTCGTTCCTCTACCCCGCCGGCGTCGAGGTGAAAAATGCTATCTGGAAGCCTGGCACAGAGGCTGCACCTGAGACAGCTCAGCCCACGTCTCCGACTCCGCATTCTCCCCCTATTCCTCCTTCAACGACCCCGACGCCTCAGAAGACGGCGCCGGCAGTTTATAAGAAGACAGGAAAGACGAGAACAAACAAGGTCACGCCCCTACCAGCGACAGAAGCTGAAACAGAACATACGCCTCTTCTTCCAGTGATGGACGTGAAAAATGCAAGAGACAAGGAAGGTAAAGACCCGGCCATGGTCAAGCGGGCTCGCATAAGTGGAAGTAGCTTAAAGGGGCTGAAAAAGATGGGAAATCTCGTCGGCAAAGGCTTAGGTGTTCTCGGGAAAGGTTTCGGCAAAGGTCAAAGCAAAGTGGTCGATACGCTCAATCACCCCGGGATGCAGGCAGCTACGACATTAACAATGTTTTTACCACTCGCAGGTCAAATTGGCAACTCGAAGCAACCTCCCAACCCGGCTAAGAGAAGCATCGATGTCCCCTTTGGGCTTATGCCTTCAGCAGATCGGGACCTGCAAACTTCCGCAAAGGAGTCTTCGCTTACCAAGAGGTCCAGCACCTACCCAGATGATGGCCAGGAGAATAAGCCTTTGCTGCTTCCAGTCAACCCTTACAGCGCGGAGCAAAGCGGAAAAGTGCTCGTCTCCCCTTCAGAGGACAGCGCAAGATTCTTCACAGCGCCGCATGAACCTCGTCTGGAGAAACGGGCAGAGATCAAGGGCGCCGTGACCGCTAATGTGGCCGCTTCGGCCTCACTCACCAAAACGACCGACAGAATTACAGGCAGCAGCGCGAGCACGACCGACCCTGCACCGCCAAACCCCGCCTCAGAACAGCAGCAGGAGCCGCAGGGCATTGCCTTGACGCTCAACCCCAAGGACGTAAAGCCAGGCGGGGGGAAACCAAAGGCGAAGATCAGTTTCAAGACGTCGCCCAACAACCTCTTCTTCTCTGCAGAGACTGTCATGAAGCGACGCGGTATTCCTTCGGTCACGGTGCTTTCGCCATTGTCCACAACATCGATGAGGATGGTTCGGCGAAAGAGGCAGGCAGGGCGTAAGGACTGCGAGAAGGACGAAACTTTCTTACTCGACAATGAGAAACCACTAACATTCGTCAAGAGGGAGCCTGCTAACGGCCACAGTAAAGTCAACTACAGTTCTACAAAAGACGGGCAAGTCGAATTCCACGGCCAGGCTGATTTTCTTGGTCAGAAAGAGGACAAAGCGAGCTTACCGCAGAATGTCGAGGTGAAGTACCACAAGGATCCAGCTGGCGAGGCGGTCACAACAGTCACGTTGCGCACCAAAGGCCCTAATTCGGCCGCTTCAGCTTCTGCGACTAGCACCCATTAGTCTCAACACTCTCTTTCTCTCTCTTGTACCGCTGATATATTCTCTTCTCTTTCATGGTGATGATTTGAAACGCGCTGTGTCTCGTTAGTCGCCCAGCCTGTTGAAATGTTTGAAAGAGGAAAATAAGCTCGTGTTGAAAAAATAATACCGAGGTACCGGAGAGAGCCTCGCTTTCTTTGCGGGGACTCGGGTGCCTGACTACTGGACCACTGTGTTGAACATAACTTCCATCGTCCCTCACCACTAAGCTGGCCTGCCCATCGGGATGGCAACGATGACTGCTACCACTACTGCCACGGCCACTTCCACTGTTCCAGACGTGAAGCCGCTTCAGTCCAAGAAAAAATCGACCTCTTCGCGACCGTTTACCGCGGCTGCGCCACCTCCAGTCGATCTTGAAGGGAAGACCGTGCCGTTCAGCCAACGCTGGGGCTTTTCCTCGCATGTCTTTACAAACGATCTGATTCGCTCGTCTGTCTTTGACGCCGTCGTCATTGGCTCCTTCGTTGCCTTCAATGCTTCTCCATACGCCATCAAGACATACGCCTACCTCGAAGAGAACTTTACGCCGTTCCAAATCAACGCCTATGGCACCTTTGCCATTACAACGCTGCTCTACTGGGCTTTTGCCGGCCTCTTTGCGTTTGTGGACCTGACGGGGCGGCCGAGATTCCTGTTCAAATACAAGGTCCAGCCGTTTGCACGAGTGGACGCCAGGGACTATGCCAAGATCGCTCAGGTGGTCATCAAGAACCAGCTCGTGGTTGTCTTGCCCCTCATCCTGGCCAAGGGCAAGATCTTCCCGTCCGCCATCAGCCCAAGCAAGCTGCAGGGGCCTTGGGAGACCTTGGGGCATATCTTTTTCAATGTCGTGAGTTTCCGAGCAACGACTGGGTAGGCTACGGACCTTGGCTGATTCGCAATCCCTACAGCTCTGCACTGAAGTTGGTTTCTACTTCATGTGAGCTTCTGAACGGCTTTCTCCTTCCGTACCCATCGTGCAGCGCTGACCACCAAGTCCCCCTCTATTACAGCCACAAGACCTTCCATTCGCCTGCGCTGTACGCAACCTACCACAAGCAGCACCACACGCTCACGGCGCCCGTCGGCCTGGGCGCGACATACTGCGGCGTCGCCGAACATCTCTTCAGCAACCTCTTGCCCAACGCCATTGGCACGACGATCCTGCAGCCCCACTGGTCCGTTGCCCTCTTTACCTTTTGCTACCTCGAGATCGGCACCATCTGCGCGCACAGCGGCTACAACTTCCCATACATGCACACGAGTCTGCGGCATGACTGGCACCATTTCAGGTCAGTCTTCGTCTCGCCCGCTCTCCCTCCTTCTCTCAAAAGAAAACGCTGACACGGATTCTGGGCTCTCTCTCTTCTTTCTTTTAAGCTTCAACGAGAACTTTGGACCGACCGGCCTGCTGGACATCTTGTTTGGGACTGGGAAGAGGTACGACCAGGCTCTGGCCGACGGGATGAAGCGCAACGGAGGAGACTTGGACAAGGCAAGGGAGGACCTCCTTGCTCGTCTGGCGGTGTGGGAGGCGAGCACGGAAAAGAACGATGTGGTTGAGGAAAGTTTGGATGAGGAGGATGTAAAGAAGGCTCTCCTGGAGTAGATTCAGCTCAGCAAGTAAACTGGCATGGACAAGCAAGTCACTGCAATAGGAGCGAAATCCAATGATGTCAGCTATGAGTCTTGCAAGGGGGAAGATTCTCCGTCTTGAGTAAAGAGCAGCTTCAGCAGACAGTCTGCAGTCACAAGTGCACGCTCGTGTTCTTCGTAGAGGCATTTCAGATATTGCTCGTTATATGTGACTAGGGGAGATACTGTTACATGCTTGACGAGTCGACTGAGGCAGAAGAGAGGAGATAGTAAAGGCCCAAAGAGAAGATGAAGCAGTAATGGAGGGGGGGATACAGTGCGAGGAAGTGCAAGTTCGTTCTAGACGTCGACATGTTGTGAGGTTGATGAGTCTAGTTTAGAATTCCCGACGGTGAGCCGAGCCCGTCTCAATGTCGATTTCGTCCCTCTTCTCCGAGTTGTCTGGCGTGACGCTTCCGCTCTGGCCCTGCTCGCGCGCGAGGTCCTTGACGTCGGCGCCCTGGTTGTGGGCGTTGATCTCGCTTCCGAGGTGGGCCTGGCGCCTGCGAAGGTCCTGGAGGAGGCGAGGGCCAGCATTGCGGGGCTGCGGCATGTCGAAGAGCTCGTCCATGTGCTCGAGCGGGATGCCCTTGGTCTCGGGAAGGAGGAAGAAGATGTAAGGAATCGAGATGAGCATGAGGCAGGCAAAGATGAGGTAGTATCCCCACGAGCTCCACTCGAAGGCCAGGGGCGAGCAGCGCGAGATGGCGAGGTTGTAGCCCCAGTTGCTGGCGGCCATGAGCGCCATGCCCAGCGTCCTCGACTGCTGCGGGAAGATCTCAGAGCCGACGACCCAGGGGGTGCCGTTCCACGTCGCACCGTAGAAGATGGTCCAGATGTAGAAGCAGGCGAGGGCGAAGCGGCCAGTCGAGTCGAGGCCGGCGCCTGCGGGCCGAGAAGCCGGCTTATCGACGGCAATGTAGATGGCAATGGCAAGCATGGCGAAAGCACCACCGGTGGCACCCGTCATCAGGATTCTCCTGCGTCCAAAGTGGTCGATGAGGAAGAGGATCCAGACAATGGCACCGAGCGTCTTGATGACACCAAAGATGCCCGTGGTGAGCAGACCCGTGTTGGAGCCGGTGATGCCGAGCGACTTGAAGACGGTGGGCGAGTAGTAGTTGATGGCGTTGATACCGGTGCCGTTCTGGAAGGCAAAGAGCGAAGAGCCAATGAGGAGGCGGTAGAGGACCTTACGGACGAGGAAGGTGTGGCGGAAGGGTGCCCAGAAAGAGTTGGATCCCAGGAGAGCCATCTCCTTGTCGTGCGCTGCGTTCATCTCGGCCACCTCTTCGACGAGGTAAGGGTGGTTGACATCGAGCTTGCGGATCTTGGACAGGTTCCTGACCGACTCTTCGCGGCGGCCGCGGGAGATGAGCCACCTGGGCGACTCGATGAGGAAGGGCGCCGTGAGGGCCAAGAGGCCACCGGGGATGATCTGGACGGCAAAGGGGATGCGCCACTGGAGCGTGGAGGTGGGGATGTTGATGCTGACGCCGTAGTTGATAAAGAAGCCGACAATGCCACCGATCTGCCACCCGAGCTCGTACATGCCGACGAGCTGACCACGGATCGCAGGCGGGCTGATTTCGGAAATGTAGATGGGCGTCAGGTTACTCGCGGCGCCGATGGCCAGGCCGGCGAGGGCGCGACCAGCGTAAATGGGAGCCAAGCCCGTCGATCCCGAAGCGATCGTCATGATGATGGCGCCAATCGTAAAGAGGATGGCAGCAATCGTGAGACCCCAGCGACGTCCGACAAAGTGGCCCAGAGGGTAACCGGCAAAGGCACCGACAAAGGCGCCAGCCTGGTAGGTCGAGACGAGGTTACCGCTCGTGTTGGCGTCGAGCTTGCCAAAGTCCTTTGTGAATCCCTTGAGGACAATGGCGCCGCCCACGAAGGCGCTGTCGTAGCCAATGCCGACGGCAGCGATGGCTAGAGTGGGGCAACAGAGAGACGAGGGTCCAGGTCAGCGCCGCCTCGGCCATCTTCCAACTCGTACGACTCGACTCACCTGCGATGGCAGCCAGACCGTAGATCTTCCAGCTGTACACCTCGGGCGGCGTGGGCCGGTCCTCGACCTTCTTGAGGCTGACCATGATGGTTGTGTGTGTGTGTGTGTGTGTGTAGCTGGAGTTGGTCTGAGGAGAGAAGAGAGGAGAGACAAAGCCCACGGTTGAGTCAGTTTTATTGTTCTCCCGCTCGTCGCCCGAAAAATGCAGCAATTGAAAAAAAAAGCGGCAGGCCAAGAACAGGCGACACAGGCCTAGAGCGCGCGCGCGGCGAATGCAAGCCACCGTCTCAAATTGCCCTGCAAATTTAATTCGCCCGGAGAAAACCCGCTCGTCGCTCGGCCTTGCAAATGCGGCAGCAGCGGCGGCGATGTTCTTGGAATGGAGGCTTAAGGAGAAAGCTACTCACGGTTATGGTGTGAAGATGGAGTTGCTGACTTGTTGACCTCCTGTCGAGCGAGTAGTTGTGTTGGTCTCAAAGGTCGACGAGGGGAAGAGGAGAGGTGGATGGGAATGTGGTGGTAGTGGTGGTGAGGAAGAGGGAGGAAGGTTGGTGATGAGGATGAGGAGGGGCCCCGCAAAAGGTTGGACGTCCTCCAGGCCTCCCTTTTGTACCTTCCAATCGTGACGACGCTGTTACAACACGGCTCCTCGCAGCAGAGGGTGCCGCACTGCTCCTGTTTGGTGGGGAAAAAGGATGGGGCCAGGCACCTTGCGACAGTGGCGGATGAATGTTTTACTCTGCCCGGAATAAAGTTTTTCAGCGCTGCTCCCCGGCCCAGGTCTACCCCGCAAATTCGCGTCGTCCGCGCTAGTCCCATTGTCGTGATGGAGAGAAGAACCTTTAGCCACCTTTCCCTGTGCTCACCGGCTCATCGATGAGCCAGGCGGGCCCCCTCCCCCCGCATTTTTTCGCGCCAATTGCCTATTGCACACTGTGCCTGCCTTCTCTGGTCGGGGGTAAAGCGCAAGAGCAGAGAGCACAGGAATCGAGGCCCACGTCACGCCTGGCATGGTGGCGTGCCGATGTACATGAGATCGTTTTCACTCCATCGGGGGGCCAACAGCTGACGCAGCCACAAGCTGAGATGCGGTTGCAATGCCCGGCATCAGGGAAGCCAGGCTTTTCTTTTCTCATCACCGCAGCAACGGGTGATCTACAACTACTATACACGATGGGTAAGAGGGGGGGAGGCTTAGATAAGTGGTTGGGGTAGCCACCGCCGCTACACCACTGGAAGTAGATTGGATTCTGGTCAGCCCGCCGCCCATCCAATTGTGGCCTAGCCCAAGTCAGAAGGGCATTCTTCCTTCTCCCACAAAGTGAAGTGAAAAGAGCGAGAGGTGCCTCAGCCACAGTTTTCTGCGCTTCCGCTCTCGCACACGTAGCTCATCAACGCTGGCTCCGTCTTCTGTTGTGGCTCCGTCTCAAACGAGGACACGTCGAGAACGATGGACTTGACAATGTCTGGCGTCTTTGCAAACAGCTGCAAGTCGCCCTCTACCAGCGTCTCGTTTATGTAGTGGAAGCAGTACTGCTTGTCGAAGCGTGACGTCGCATCGCCCTCGTCGTGCGTCAGGGCGTCGTAGGCCAGGGCAAACGCAGCTGTGTCGACGAGCATGGTAAAGTGCTCGGCCAGGTGCGCTGGGCCACAGATGCCTTCATCTTGGAGCTGCCAGGAGTGAAATTTCGCAAGTCAGCCTTTTCCAGCCGCTCGAAAATTGCCTTCGCCAAACGACTTACAGCGATGCTGTCCGCGCCAGGGAGCCGGCTTGTGGGGTAGGGCTCCTGCTCCGACTGGATCACATCGTCGTACCGCGTAAAGAGCGACGTCGTCTTGACCAGCGCCTTTCCTCCGAAAGTGTGCAGCGCAGCCAGAAAGGCGCTGGGCCCTCCCCCCGTCAGCCTCGTCGTTGACTGCTGAATCGTTGCGGGCGTGCAGCCAGTCGAGGTGAGGTTCCCAATGCCGCAGAGGAACGGTCCTTCGTCGGTGCCATTGAAGTCGCCGGCGAGGCTCGTGAAGCTCTTGACCAACGGCCGGGTCGAGGGCCAAAAGTTGAGGGCCCACTGGATGTCGAGGTTGCCCTGCGAGTGGCCGATGACGCTGATTGTGCCCGTCTTGCTCTTCGAGGCCAGTGGTGCAACATTGTAGGCGACGTATTCGGCACTCACTTGGATGTCGCCCTGCGAACGGCCGGGCAGTGTGATCCAGCAAATGTCGAACCCGGGCGAGAGTTGGGGGAGGAGCGAAGCGTACGGTGTGGAGCCCCAGCTCTCCTCACCGGTGGACCCTGTGCCGTGGACGAGGAGAACGACGCCGCCGGGTGCATCACCGATGGGCGTCGAAGAGGGGCACTCGATGGCAGACGAGAGCGTGGAGACGGGGACGGTATAGGGTGCATCTTTTGTCACATCGCGTCCCGCCCATGGCAGCGGCTTGGCAACGGACAATGATGGCAGCACCAAAGACCAGCAAGAGAGGGCAAAAAGAGCAGAGAAGAGCATAGAGGGAGCGGAAGGGGAAGTGGTGGCCACAGGAAGCAGATACCCAAGCGCTTGCGCTCTCCTTCTTATACCCCCTCCCTCTCATCCCCCTCTCCCCTTCCTCTCCAGCATTAAGTTCTCTGTATGCGCGAGGTAGCGTACTAGCTGCTAGCGTGCTGCACCACAAAAAAAGGTACAGCTTGAAAGGAGCCCCACGAAAAAAAAAAGAAACTAATTCTCAGGCGATCGCTTGTCGTTCCGCGGTACGCAGACCTCGCCCGAAGCAAATGTGGGATCAGTCGTGCTCATGTGTCAATGTCAGAGAGAGACAATAATAGAAAAAATCATCAGGCATCACAGAACAGCAAGTAGTACAAAAAGCTGGTAGGCGGGCGCGAAGGATGGTGCTCAGCTAGGGCCAGCCTGCTGTTGCTGTTTCATCCTCGCCTTATTTTCCCTCCTTTTTTCCGAGTCGATCTTACGCCTATTCTGAAGATGTTTGACCGGGTCCCCCCCGTTTTTCATCGTCCACCATATCATGGGGCTGTCCCTGACCACGACGTGTCCGGACCCTACCTCTTCCTTCATGACCCACCTTCGCGTCCTCTCATCCTTCCTCATGTAGTTGATATCTGATGTCCCTCGATCCGTGGCGAGCTTGTCTCTCTCTTCATTTGCCCAATCAGAGACCGTCTTGTAGTATTTCTCCTTCTTAAAAGCCTCGCGCTCTTCAATGGGTCCAAATGGATTGTCGACGGCGTAGTGTACCCAACAAGCTGGAGCGTTACGCATTTTGCCAGTTGTCTGCCTTTCAACATAGTTACGAATTATCAATGCCAACTGCTTGGCATCGGTGGGAGCCGTCGCCTTGGTGCCTGCTCGCTTGAGCATCTCCATGATCATCATTGCGTCGTCCAGAATTGGCACGAGAGCTCTCTGAATCATTCTGTTGAAGGTTTGCCATGGCATCCTTCTGGATTCGTTATCGAATTCCAGATGTATGCCTCTCTCGCCATATCCTTCTCTCTTTGGACACTGTCCTCTTTTCCGCTTCTCTTTGCACTCGCTCTTTTCCGCACTATCTGATCCTAGGGTTTTGCTGGAATCTTCATCAGTGTCATGGCCTGCTTGGCCGTGCCGCAAAAGCTGCTCGTCGTCGTGGCCTGCTTGACCGTGCCGCAAAAGCTGCTCGTCGTGGTGGCCTGTTTGGCCGTGCCGCAAAAGCTGCTCGTCGTGGTGGCCTGATTGGCCGTGCCGTAAAAGCTGCTCAGTGTCATGACCCGACCACGGAGCATAAGATATGTGCTGATGAGGGTGATGGTCGAACCATTGTGCTTGCAATGAGTATGGGTGGTGGTACGACTGGGGCCCATCATGTTGAGCGTCTGAGGGCTGATAGGATGTCGCATGCTGAGCATTGTGATGAGCTGACCACGGCAAATGTTCTGAGTACGGACTGTTGTATTGTCCTGGCTGCGGCTGATTTTCCATCAGCTGGTCATCCCACTCTCCCAGTGTTGAGTGCTGCACAGGGCCGAGCATAGGAGAACGGTATTCACGTTCAATGATGTCATCAAGGTTCCATTGAGCCAGCGTTCGCACATTTTGGACATCCAGCTCCTCGTTGGCTTGATCGAATATGTGGCTAGCACTTGACGAGAGGCCATCTTTAGATGAAGAGTAATTGTCTGCATCTTGACCTTGGAGACTAGAGCCTGATATTTTCGCCTTGCCTTTATCTTTTGGGCCAGTATGATCAACTATGACATGGCGGTCGTCTTTATTGGTGTGATCCCACGACGAAGGTGGAGGCGGTGGTGACTCCCAGGGGAAATAAATGCCTGGCTGGCGTCCAGCAGCGAGTGCATGGGCTGCAAAGAGCAGCCAGTAGCCCAGTACGAGCATGAGGACCGAGGTGAGCTTCATCATTGGTGACGATGTTCGTGAAGAGATTAGTGAGCTATACGCAGCCCGTTTATCCCTTTGCGTGTTTATTTCACAGCCATGCCATCGCCCTCGTGAACAACGCATGATTCTGAGTAGTCTTTCGACTCGGACCGGAAGGGCTTAGAAAATCGAGGGCGCCGCAGACGCCGCCTGCGCGCGACCAAAGCGTAGGTCCTGTTTATTTTCTAAAATCAGCTATTCTTACAGCCATCGGACGTCCAGCTATCTTTACAGCCACGAACTTTCAGCCCTCGGATGTCCAAAGCACGCTATCCAGTACCCATTACAGAAATAAGCAAGGCTTCGCAGACCGACGAGCCGAGGGCGGCCGAGTCCTTCGTTTGCGCCAGCATACGTGACTGAGAGTTTGAGAAGCTGACTGGCTTAGCGTATTAAGTGAGAATTCGGGTTCGCGGTAACCACGTGGTCGTCTCCAACGACCATGGCGGAGCGTACGATCGGCGAGGAATACTGGATCTGCTGCGAATCATCAATGGAGTGCTCGGAGCGTCAATGAACACCTTGACCTAGGGCTGTATAGTACGCCCAAACTGACTGATCTGTCTCAAAGGGGGTTCAAGCCCGCCGGCGACGTCGATCGCTGAGCAATCGGCGTCTTCTGCTGGCAATCGTTGCGCGCGCGCGCGCCAGACGATGCCCTCTTCAGACGGAGCTGGATACGAGGGCGGAGCCACATATGATGACTTATTGAAGGGAGAGACAGAGCAAGAGAGAAGCACGTTGTGCGTCGATTGGATCGAGTGCCCCACCGATCCCGAATACCGAATGGACTAATGGGCCACGTCAGGTCGTCGATAGCTCCGACGATGTCGGACTTCCACCTCTGCATAAAGAGCATGATCAACAAAAGTCTTCATCGACGGGACACCACCTAGCATAACATGAGTCTCATGAAAAAGCATTTATTAACCGGACTTACTTTGTCTCGCTAGCATCACACAAGTAGCTATGTAAGGAACCCGATGAAAAACATGGTAAGGAAAAGTCAGGCAATCGCTTGTCTTTCCGCCGTATGCAAATCTCCCACGAAATAATCGTGGGATTAGTCGCGCTCATCATGGCGCCTGTCTGCCGAACATTGTGCCACTCAATGCTGCCGAGAGTATATATGTCTGTGTACCTCATTGCTCAGTCTGAGAGAGATCGGAGAACAACCGATATGGCCGTGGATAGGTGATTCAGGTTGACAACGGATAATTCAGTCACCATTGCGCCGACGCCTTTGCTCCTTCCTCTTGTTCTTCGCCCGACGTGACGTTTTCTCCTTTTCGGACACGTAGGCGTTGATAGGGTTCAGTTTGGCGTCCCTCGAAAACCATTTTGCGGGAGGCCTGGTGATCTTGCTCGCCCTAAAAGCTGAGTAGTCTTCCTTCATTATCCATTTTCTGCTCGACTTGTCTTGCCACATATATACGAGCTCATTGCCTCCCCTTGCCCGGGCGAGCATATCCCTCTTCTTGTTCGCCCATTCAAAAACAAAGCTGCTCAAGGCATTTTCCTTGAACATGCTACGCTCCTCGATGGCTCCAAATGGATTGTCGACAACCGACATGAACCATGTAGGAGGAGCTCTTCTCAGGATGCCCCTTTGTACATTTGCAACGACCTTGTCGATTGATACTTTGTCATCAGCTGCTTTCTTAACAGCATTCTTGAAAGTCTGCGTGAGCATTCTGTTGAAGGCTTCCCAATCGTTTTTTAGCTCAACTGTAGCATATGTGAAAGCATAGCGGGGACAACCCTTTAGCGATTGCCCTTGTGAATCGCTCGACCTTGGAACTCTGGATGAATGGATATCAGCGTACTGGTCTGTTTGACCGGGCGACAGGTGCTGCGACCACGGAGCATTAGACATGTGCTGATGAGGGTGTTGGCGGAACCATTGTGCATACAATGAGTCTGGGTGGTGGTGCGACTGGGGCTCATTAAATTGATCGATCGAGGTTTGAGGAGTTGTCATCGGCTCAACATCCTCAAATTCTGACCACGGCAGATGCTCCGAGTACGGATCATTGTATTGACCTTGCCAAGCTTTCGACGCAAGCGAATGATCATTCGTATGCTGGCCGTTCCACCCGCCCAGTGTCGACTGCTCTCCTTGGCCGAGCGTGGTATAGATGTGCTCAAAATTGGGGTCGGGCCGAAGGTCAGATGGTGCTTTCGCAGTCTGAATATAGTCGAACTCCCCGTTGTGGTACAATTCCATGATGTAATCTGTTGCCAAGATGTCTTCTGGAGACGAAGGAGGACTGTGTGCATCTTGATCCTGGAGACGAGAGCCTGATGCGTTTCCCTTGCCTTTATCTTTTGCACCAGCGTGGCCAGTCATGACATGGCGGTTGGTGTTTCTGGTGTCGTACAATGACATGGGCGAAGGGGTGGACGAAGTCCAAGCATCACGAGTGTCTTGCTGTCCAGCAGCAAGTGCACACGTTGCAAAAAGCAGCCAGTAGCCCATTGTAAGCATGATGAGCGAGGTGAGCTTCATCGTCGTTGATGGTGCTTTGGAGGAGATCAATGAGCTACACACGGCCCAACTTATACCTTTGAGGGAATCACTTTCCACAGGCACCTCGTCACGTTGTGTGCCCCGCGCTTCGTCCGATTGGTCTCTCGGCTTGAATTGAGTTGACCCTCAGCCTCGTAGCAAGTGTGAGGAATTAGGGGCGCGGGGCGCCGCAGACGTTGCCTGAGCGCAACGACGCCTCAAAGAGTGGTTTTTTAACAGCCTCCGGACGTCCAGCCTTGAAGTCACAAAATCTCGGCCCTCGGACGACTCCATCATTCGAATGCGCAATCAAGAGATAAACCAGGCGTTGCTCTGCGACGTCTGCCTCACACAACGAGTCTTCTAATCCTGTGTTTTTTTTGTTTTTTGTATTTTTCCTTTGTCGCAAAATTCTTTCTGACAACTTGTTCGCTCAGATCTTCGCTCACTCACAGCATGTAAGCAAAAGAATCGGCTGAAATTGCTTCAGCTCTGGTGTCGAGGGCGGCCCTCGCCGCGTTTGCCCCAGGATAAACGGCGGAGAGTTTGAGAAGCTGATTAAATCGGCGTAACATGCATGTCGTGCGTGTCTCGCATGGCTCAACGATCAGGAAAGAGCATGTAGTATGAAAGTAAATGTTCTCCTTGGATTGCGCTGCTGTGAAGGAGTTTATTGGCAGGATCGAAGCCAAAAGAGGGAGAGGGAGCGAATCGTTTGTTGGTGTCACGTGTACGAGGCGATGTGAGAAGAGCATGACCAACAAAAGTCCCGCGACGACACATGACGTCCATGAGTCTCATCAAAGAGTTTCTGTTGCCCGCATTAGTACCCTTTGACTTGTCAGCACCATGTGGATATAGGTCCGCTTGTAAGGAGCCCCACGAAAAAGCAAAATGTTGCTCAGGCAATCGCTTGTCGTTCCGCGGGACGGACATCCCGGACCGATACAAGTAAAGCATCATTCCCGCTCACGTCCCTGTCTCCGGAGAGATCATCACTCTAGTTTTGGTAGTACGAGGTTGGATCAGATTATCGGGCATCAGAGGACAATAGCGCAAAGCATATGGACGGGCGAGGGATGAGTAATTAGCTGAAACCAGCCTGCCATTGTCGCTTCATCCTCGCCACTACCTTTTTGTTTCGCTTGTGGTGTTCTGCCCTTTCCACATGATGTAAGACAGGATCCTTTTCGCCCCTTTGCGGCAATACTATGGGTCTATTCGTGACGATGATGTTTCCAGTCATTAATCCTTCCTTCATGACCCACTTTTGCGAACTCTCATCCCTCCTCATATAGTTGATGTCTGAAGTTTTCCGGTTCGCAGCGAGCTTGTCCCTCTCCTTGTTAGCCCACTCAGAGACCAATCTGTACTCTTCTTTGATGCTTGCTATGGGCTCGCGCTTTTCAAGTGGCCCGAACGGATTATCGACGGCGAAAGGAATCCAAGAAGCTGGATCAATTTCCAGTCTGCCTCTAATCAAGCGCGATTCCACAACTTCACTGATTGGCCATTTGTGCTTAATTGCCTTGTCCAAAACTCCACGAAAAGAATGTCGAAACGAGTCATTGAAGGTCTGCCAATAGGCCTTTGTGTCGTCGTCAACGGAAATGAGACACTTGCCGGCCTCAGCATATCCTAATTCTTCTAAACGCTTTCCTCTTTTGCGAATTTCGTTCCGCTTTATATCAGCTAATTGATTAGCCGAATGACTAGACGACGAGCTCTCAGGTGGAAATTGCTGTGGTACTGGAGGTATCTTCATGTCATCATCCGTGTAGTGCCACCGAGCATTGGAAGTATGCTGGTCTGAGCGATGGCCTGACCAGGGATCATAGAACGAAGGTGGATGGCCTGGCCAATAGTGCTGCGACTCGGGATCGCTATCTTGAACGCGCGAAGGTTGATATGATGTCGTGTGCTGAGCATCCTCATCTTCTGACAGTGGCAGAAGGTGCGAGTACGGGTCGTAGTGTTGAGCTGGCCACTTATATTGTTCGTTCCACTGGACCAGCGTTTCCACATTCGGGGCATTATGCCTCATGCCAGTTTCTTCAATGAAGGAGCGAGTACCCGGCGAGAGGGGTTCTTGAGTTGAAACAAGACTATCTTTGGTACCAGTATGACCAGCTACGACATGGCGATGGTCTTTCGTGTTGTGGTCCCACGACGTAGGCGAAAGCGGCGGCGATTCCCAGGGGGACCTAGTGCCTGGCTGGCGCCCTGCAGCAAGTGCATGCGCAACAAAGGTCAGCCAGCAAGACAGCACGTGCATGACGAGCAAAGTGAGCTTCATCGTTGTTGATGGTGTATGTGAAGAGGTCAATGATCTATACGCATCATGTAATTATATATTGAGGAAATTTGGTTCCACAGTCATTTCGTCACCCTCGCAAACAATGCGTGGATACATGTTGTCGTTCGACTCTGACCAAAAGCGCTTTCATTCATTCTCGCAGCAAGTGTTAGGGATCAAGGGCGCGGAGCATCGTAGACGCCGCGCGCGCGTGACGACGCCCTGAAGAACCTGTTTATTTATCGAAACCTGCTATTTTTACAGTGTCTGTGTCAAGGACGTTGGGGCATTCAGGACGCCCCGAGGCCCTGTGTACTCCTCTTTGCGCTCGGCCTGTTTGTTTCTCGCGCTTGTGTCTATTTTGTTCACCCTTGTTTACCAGGCCCTGTTTTCTCGGGTACTATTGGCCGTGCCGGACGTCCGCAGCAAGCCCTTCAGCAGGCGTGCAAATGTGCCCTAAAGCACGCCCCATAGCACGAGTCACAGAGTTAAGCCCCATTTTTATGTATTTCTTCTCTTTCTTTCGTTGCAGAACATCCTGATAGCCCCCTGTTCGCTCAGGTGTCAAACTTCCTCACACTCTGGACGTCCAGCTCTGCAGCCACGAGACCTCGCCCTCGGACGTTCAGGACACTCAATAAAGCACGAAATCCCGAAATAAGCCCTTTCTCTTGTGCTTTACCCTTTTTCTTCGTCGTAAAACTTATTCTGACTGCCCAGGTTCGCTCAAATGTTCGCTCTATCACAGCATGTATCCAAAAGAATTAAACATGGTGGTTCCAGCCTCTGGTGCCTTGGTAATTGTTGGCGCCCAGGAGCCGAGGGTGGCCGTCGCCTTTGTTCGCCCCAGCATAGGCGACTGAGAGCTTGAGAACCTGATCCGCCCGACGTCTCGTGCAAATCGTGCGTTTCTCGCACGCTTCAAAGATCAAGCGTGTGGTAAGAGAATGGTCAGTTCATAGATTAAGGAAAGCCGTGGAGAGGTGTATTGGCAGGAACAAAGTGAATGAGGGAAAGGGAGGGACACGATTGTCGGCTGTGCACGAAGAGCAAGATGAAATTGTGTCACTCAAATGGCCGAGAGTGTATACGACTGTACGCCTACTTCTCACTTTGATAGAGATCGGGAGAAGACCGACACGGCCGTGGGTAGGTGATTCTGGCGAACAGCGGATATATCAGTGACCCTGCCGACGCTTTTCCGCCGCCTTCTTTCTTTTTTTCCTCATGTCATTTGCACAGTTCATCCTTCGCTTCTTGAAGGCCTCGACAGGGTTCGGATTGGCGTACACTGAGAACCACTCTGCGGTAGGCCTGGTGATCTCGCTCGCATCAGAAGCTGCGTAATTTTCCTTCATTACCCACTTTCCTGTCGACCTATCTAGCCTCATAAAGTCGAGCTGATCGCTTTCTCTGTCCAAGGCGAGCTGATTCCTTTTTTGAATGGCCCATTCAGAAACAAAGCTGCTCAAGGCACTTTCCTTGAACATGCTACGCTCCTCGATGGCTCCAAACGGATTGTCGACAACCGAAATGTACCATGAAGGAGGAGCTTTAAGAAGTATGCCCTTTGACACTCTTGTAATGATGTCGTCAATCGTTTTTACATCGCGAAATGCTTTAGACACGGCTTCTTTGAAATTGCGCGTGAGCATTCTATTGAAGGCTCCCCATTCCTCTTTGACCCGGTCTGAATTATACTTGAATCGAAGGTGGTAAACATCTTGTGATGATTCTTTTAAATCGTCCGACCTTGGAAGATGGAACGGACGATGGAACGGACGAATGTTAGCGTACTGGTCTGTTTGAATTTGCGACAGATGCTGCTCAGAGTCGTGCTTCAAGTACGGAGCTTTAGACACGTGCTGTTGAGGTCGATGAACAGGCCATGGAACATACAATGAGGGTGAATGGTCTGGCGAGTACTGGTGCGACTTCGACTCAGTACGTGGAACGCCCGAGGCCTGATAGGATGTCGTATACTGAGCATCCTGATAATCTGAACTTGGCAGATGTTGCGAGCGTGGATCGTCGTGGTTACCCGGCCAGGCATTCGGCACACGCGATTGATCGTACAAAGAAAAGCCGCTCCACTCGCCCAATGTCGAATCCCGACCGCGGATTGGATAATTAGGGTCGTAGGAACAGTCGTCTTCAAAGTTCCACTGGGCCAGCGTATTCACATCTGGGGCATCAGGCCCTGCGCCGAATTCATTCATGAAGAAGCGATTCGTTGGAAAGAGGGCCTCATGAGACGGAGGGGGACTACGTGCACCTGCGTCCCGACGACGAGAGCCTGATGCTATTCCCTTTCCCTTATCTTTGGCGCCAGTATGATCGGCTATGACATGGCGGTCGTCATTCTTGGTGTGATCCCACGACGAAGGCGGATGCTGTGGTGACTCCCAGGGGGAATAAATGCCTGGCTGGCGTCCAGCAGCAAGGGCATGCACTGCAAAGGTCAGCCAGCAACCCAGCGCGAGCAAGTTGAACAAAGTGAGCTTCATCGTTGATGTTGGTGGTGTTTGTGAAGAGGTCAATGATCTATACGCAGCCTGTATTTATTAACATTTTTGAGGGCGTTCTTTATTCCACAATTATCTGGTTACCCTGGCGACCAATGCATGGATTCACGTTGTCGTTCGGCTCGGACCAAGGGGGCTGTGATTCAATCTCGTAGCAAGCGTTAGATATTGAGGGTACGGGGCATCGCAGACGCTGCGTGCGCGTGACGACGCTCCGAAAAGCCCATTTCTCAACCAAGTTCTGCTGTGTTCACAGCCTCAGGCCGTCCAGCTTTGCAGCAACGAAACCTCAGTCGTCGGACGTCCAGAACATGCAATCCCAAACACAGTCCAGAGATGATCCAGGCCTCGTTCTGCGACGCCTGGCCTACACAACAGAGCTTTTCCACCGTGCATCTCCTTCTGTTCTCGTCGCGAGATTGATTCGCACAGCTCATGCTCGTTCAGGTGTTCGCTTCATCACAGCAAGCAAGCAAGACATTCATCTGACATGGATCCAGCTCAGACGCCACGCACAATGTTGGCACCCACGAGCCGAGGGCGGTCTTCGCCTCCGTTTGCCCCAGCAAAGGTGAATGAAATTTTCAGAAGCTGATTAGCCCGGCGTATCGTTTTTGTCAAACATGATCCGAAGAGCAAGAACGAGCCTTTAGTAAGAAAGTGGTCCATTTCATTGAATTTGACAGCTGTGAGGTAGGGAGTTGGCAGGAACGAAATGAACGGGAGAGAGAGAGCGACACTTAGGGTTGTGTGTTTAAAGCTCTGCATGAAGAGCATGACCCATCAATAGTGTCCATCGATGGCACATAACGCTTATCATGGTGCCTGTCTACTGACTTGTGTCACACAAATCAGGGAGTGTATTTGACTATATACCGGATTGCCAGTATAATAGAGATCGAGAGAAGACCGACACGACCGTGAGTAGGTCTCTTTGGCCGACAAACGTTGAATCAGTCATGACCCTGCTGACGCTTTCGCGCAGACGCGCGTTTTTTCGCCCGATCTGCTGCTTTCCTCTTTTTTTCTAAGTAAGCCGCGATAGGGTTCCACTTGGCGCTCTTTCGGAACCAATCCGCGGGATGGCTGGTGATTCTGCTGGACGAAGATGAATAGTCTTCCTTCATGATCCACTTTTCCGTCGATTTGTCTCGCCACATATATACGAGCTCGTCGCTTCCTCTTCTCAAGGCGAGCTCATTCCTCTTCTGGTTGGCCCATTGAGAAACTAAATCGCGCAAGGGAGCTTCGTTGAACATACTACGTTCCTCGATGGCTCCGAACGGATTGTCGACAACCGAAATGGACCATGTAGGGGGAGCTTCAGCCAGATAGCCCCTTGTCCTACCTGCAACGGAGCCGTCGATTGACTGTTTTCGGCTGACTGCATCGTTCACAGCGTTATAGAAAGTAGTCGTGAGCATGTAGTTGAAGGCTTCCCAATCATTTTTGATCTCTCCTGAAGCATATTTGAACTTTTTGCGGTGAACCTTTTGTGGTTGTCCTTCCGCATTGCCCGACCTTGGAAGATGGAATGGATGATTATTAGCGTACTGGTCTGTTTGACAATGCGACAGATGCTGTTCAGGGCCATAAGCCGACCACGGAGCATTAGTGGCGTGCTGAAGAGGGCGATGATCGGGCCATGGAGCATGCAACGAAGGAGGATAGCCTGACCAACGTCGGTGCGACTGGGGCTTATTGAATTGAGCGCCCGAGCATTGATGAACTATCATGGGCTGAGCGTTCTGATCATATGACCACGACAGATGTTCCGAGTACGGATCGTGGTGTTGAAGTGGCCAAGCTTCCGACGCAAGCGACTGATCATTCGTAAATTGACCATTCCACCCATCCAGCTTCGAATGTTCTCCTTGCCCGCGCGTGTTATAGACGTATTCAAGACGAGGGTCGCCCTTAAGGTCCTCTGAACTTTCGGGAAAACGCCCTTCGTCGTATGCATCCAGGATGATATTTGTTGCCAATTCTTCTGAATACGAAGGAGAACTGTGTGCATCTTGATCCAGGTGATGGGAGCCTGATGCTTTCCCCTTGCCTTTATCCTTTGCGCCAGTGTAACCAGTCATAACTTGGCGGTCGTTGTTTTGGGAGAGCTCCCACGACCTTGGGGATGGGTGTGTTGTCTCCCAATGAGAACGTTTGTTTTGTCCGGGTTGAATTCCTTCTCCGGGTGCTGTTCGCATTGGCGAGAAGTCCGCAAAGTCATTATACGCTTCATGGATTTCGTTAATGCCCATGGAAGTATGATCGGAAAGATCTTGGGGCAGCGTCGGTTGAGACAGATGTCTCTGTGTGGGGTCTTGAGAGGCCAATGCCTTCTCCTTACCCTTGTCCTGAGCTCGAGGATCTTCAGTCAGGACGTGGTGGTTCTCTATGTGCTGCCCAGATGATCCCAACAAGGGTGACGACCACTGAGAGTATCCATCACCCTGCTTGCGTCCAATAATCTCGCTCTGCTGGCGTCCAATACCCCCACTCTGCTGGTGTCCAGCATGTACAAGACTCACAGAGAGAAGCCAGCTGCTCAGTGAGAGTTTGATGACCGAGGTGAGCTTCATTGTTGTTGACGACGTCTGTAAAGAGAGCATGAGAAGCTTTGCACAGCCGGTACTTATACCTTCGGGGCTTTAATCCTTATAGCGTTTTTGAAGTGATTTGAGCCTTTGACATTGTATAAATTTGGCCCGTCGCTTCGTTTGCCCCGGAATAAGCGATTGATGGGAGAGAGAGGGGTCGTTCTCACAAGAGTACGCAACAGTGAACGGGTGTGTCGGCAGGAGAGAAGGGAAAGAGGAGAAGGAGCGACACGATCATTGGTGGCGCGAGTATAAGGCTTTACATGAAGTGCATGACCAAAAGAATCCCCCACCAACGACATCAAAGACTCCCGCACTACTTGTCTCATGGAGGAGTGATACTCGGGCTTGGATTTGAGTAACACTGAGCTTAGTAAGAGTTACTCGGGTGAGTAGAAGAGTAGGCTCATCAGGAATTGAGAAACGGTAATGCAAATAGCTGGTGGAAGAGTGATGCTTCAACTCGGGTGAGCAAATTTGTCAGATGTCGCCCTCTTCCTCTTGTGAATCAATTCCTTTGCCCTCTTTCTCTTGTGAATCAAGTCCTTTGCCCTCATCTCTTGATATTGCATGAGAGGCGTCTTCTTCACTTTATCATCCCACCATTTCGCGGGAATTTTCATAACCTTGACTTGCCCTGACGTTACTTCGGGCTTCATAATCCACCTTTGCGTGCTCTTGTCAAGTTTCATGAAGCTAAGTTCGTGATTAGGGCTGTCCCGTGCGATTTTGTATCTCTCGTTGTTCGCCCATCGGGACACGACCTCAAGTTGCGGCGGCTCTGAAAAGAAAGCACTCTCCTCCATGGGCCCACATGGGTTGTCGACGGCGGAAGCCACCCAAAAGAGGGTGCGAAATTTAGACGGTTTCTCGGAAGTTGTTCCATGGCCTCGCTGATAGAGATTTTGCATTTAAGAGCTGTTTTCACGACAGTCTTCAAAGAAATTTGCATCAATTGTCTGTTGAAGACTCGCCATTCATTCTTTGTCTCAGGGTCGGCCCTGAAAGTCCCGCAAGACTTCTTTTCCCCTGGACACTCCTCTCCTTTCTTCTCTTCGTTACACTGGAATCCTTCAGAGGACCCTGATCCGGAATGGTGCGGAGGACTTGCTCTTTCCCAAGACGCTGGGACCCCGTGCAAGCATAACGAAGGAGCAGCGGAGGCTTCAACAGAACGTGCGAATGACGGGCTCATAGGTATCGAGTCGTGTGACTGTGGAAACATGTATGAGTGATGAGGAGCGTGATAGCCTGGTTGTACGTGCGACGGTTGCTGACAATCTGACGATGATTCATGCCACGAGAACGAGTAATCTGAAGGATGTGAATGCGGATCGTCTCGATGACCTTGCCAACCATTCGACATGTGCGGCAGATGTGCCATTGGCTGTTCGACCTCTTCATTCAATATCGGATTGTGTTCAGCGCCATAACTCGTATCCATTATATCAAAGCCATGGTGGTGTGATTCGCCCTCCCTCTCCGCGAAGTCCTCGAAGAGATCCAGTATACCCTTCATTTCATGAAGTTCGAAGGGTATATCTGAAACATCGTCGGGCGACATCGATTGGGGCAGAGGATTCACATGATGGGCCCCAGAGCCTGTGAATATCTCCTTGCCCTTGAAACCAGGATGATTAGCCATGGGATGGTGGTGGCTATCCTCGTTGTGCTGCCCAAACTCTCCCAAGGAGGGAGACGGCCAACGTGGAAATCCTCTACCTCCCTGGTGTCCAGCAGCATATGCAAGCCGCGCAGAGAAAAACCAGCTGCTCAGTGTGAAAATGGTGAGCGAGGTGACCTTCATCGTTATGGTGGGGTTCGTGAAGAGATCGATGAGGAGCGATAAGCAGTCCATACTTGTGTCTTCTCTAAGGGGCTGCCTTCCCACAGCCACCTCGTCGCCCTTGCCTACGCATGTATCCGATTGGTTGTTTGGCTCACCGAGTGCACTTTGATCCTTATGACAATTTTAATGCGAATTCAACCTCTGGCGTTATACGAAGTGCCGGCGCACCGGGCTAAGGTATCAGGGTCCCTCTTTTTCGCCGCCCTTGTTCCTTTCCCTCGCTCGTGTTTATTTCGCTTTACCTCGTTTACGAGGCCCTGATTTTCGGGACTATTCGTCGTGCCGGACGTCCGCGAGCACGCCATTGCCTGCTGCGCTGCAGGACGCCCTGCAGCACAAATCCCAGAGATAAACCAGGCGTCCGCCTGCCTATATAACGAGCCCTTTTTCCTGTACTTTCCTTCTTTTGTCGTCGCAGGATACATTCTGACAGCCCCAAGTTCGACCAGGTGACAGCTTAGCAACATGAAGGCGGCCTGTCGCCCTCACTTGCCCCGATATAAGTAACAGTATAAGTGCCTGAAGGAGAATAGTGACAGGCTCGTTGGCGCGGCATTTTGTGTGTGACTCGCATGAATTGTGGACACAGGAAGTCCGAGTAGCAAGCAAGTTGGTAGCTGGTAAGATTTCACCACTTGGATTGTTAGATGCACAAATAGTGTTTAGATTAAATTCTGATAGAAGAAGAAATGCAGGAGTGAGTGAGGTGTTAGAGGAACAAACGGGGAAGAAACTGGCGTCAAATGTGTGAGGCTCTACGTGGAGAGCATAGTCATCAAACTCCTACCAACGACACATGACCCACATGTTTATAACTCGGGTTAGGACTTCAGTAGTTCGTGGTTTACTAGGACTACTAGGGCTAGATTAGAGCCACCAGGGGACCAAGGAACAGTAGTGCAATAGCAACAGCTTCGTCTTAATCGAGATGAGTTTTCTTGGGCTGATTCCCTTTTAATCTTTCCCGGTTTCTAATCGCCTTCTTTAACATCCTCTCCTTATATCTTATGACAGGCGTCTTCTTGTTCCCTTTGTCCTTCCACCAGTCTTTGGGTGCCTTTTTGACCTCGACCTTTCCACTCGTAATATCAGGCTTCATGATCCATCTTCGCGTGCTCGAATCAAATATCATGAAGTCGAGTTCGTATTTAGACCTACTGGAAGCAACTTTGTGTCTCTCCTTGTTTGCCCATGTAGACACAAATGCGACCTCTTCCGGTCTTTTGAAATACGCTCGCTTCTCAATGGGTCCATAAGGATTGTCGACGGCGGAAACCACCCAAGAAGGGGGTGCTTTATTCAGAGTGTTGCTCCCGTGTGACTTCACCGCATTGCTCATTGAAATATTGTCGTCAACTGCCTTCTTGACGGCTTTTGTAATAGGACGCCTAAGCACATCGTTGAAGGTTTGCCATCTGATCTTTACTTCGTCGTCCATTGTTAAAAATGCACCCATAAAGTCTCGCTCTTCTTTGCCCTCCCTTTTGCGCTTGCCCCCTCTTTTAACTTTGCTCTCTTCTTTGCTCTTGTCCTCTTTTTTGCTCTGCGACCCTTCTGAAGTGGCCGGCCCGGGATGAAAGAGAGCTTTTGCAATTTTCTTGTTCGAATGGCGTGAATGAGGAAGCGTGGATGAGCGACGAAGACTGCGATGGCCTGGTCGGAAGTGCGACAACTGCTGAGCTTGATGCCGATTTGGCGATGTATGATGCCACGACGACGAATAGCCTGACGGATCATGATGCCGCTCGTCCTCATCATTCTGAGTGCTCAACGATCGGTGTAAGTGCTGATCATGGTGTTGATGATGGTGCTGATCGTGGTGCTGATCATGATGCTGACCAATGGGCTGATCGTTGAACAGATCGTGGTGTTGATCGTGGTGTCGGTCGTGGTGTTGATCTTCGTGCTGATCGTCCTGCCAATCGTTTTGCTGATTAGGAGACCCGTCAGGCAATGAAAAGGACCAGTCTGACGGATAATGATGCCTCCAGGGTTCATAATCTTGAGTGCCCCCATTTTGATGCAGGTGCCGGACATCCCAGTGCTCTGGCCATTGCAGATGTGGTGGGGGCGGATCGTTGTCGCGATCTTGCGTACTCGTTGCCATCTCATTTAAGCCGTGACAAGCTTCGATGCGTTCTCCAGGTTCCGTTCGTATTGGCGAGAAACTTGCGAATTTATCATAGGCATCATGGATCTCGTTCATGTCCTTGGAAGCATCGCGGGAAAGATCTTCGGACAGCATCGGTGGAGACAGAGGTATCTCTGGGAATTCTTGAGAGGTTGTTACCTTTCCTTTGCCCTTGTCCTGGGCTTGGGGATCCCTAGTCATGGTTTGGTGGTTCTCGCTGGGTTTCCAAGACGTTCCCAAGGAAGGGTGGTACGACCAAGGAGGATATCCACCACCTTGTTGGTTTCCAGCAGGATACGCAAGTCCTGCAGAGAGCTGCCAGCAACCCAGTGCGAGGATGATGAGCGAAGTGAGCTTCATTGTCGTTGGTGGTGTCTGTAAAGACAACAATGAGGAGCTGCACGTAGCCCATGCCCATGCCTTCATGGGGAGTCCATCGCACAGCCACCTTGTTACCCCCACGAACTACGTTTGAGTCCGATTGGTCTTACGGCTCAGATCAGTCCAAAGGCACTTTACTCTAAGAGCTGAAGGGGCATTCCATTCTCGTAGACATGCAGGCAAAACGATCGGATACAGTAGTTTCAGCCTCTGTGGGCGCTCATAAATTGGGGGTGGCCGACGCCTTCGTTTTTCCAACCACAAGTGACTGAGAGTTTGAGAAACTCATTGGCACGGCGCGTCGTGCGTGTCTCGCTATGTTCATGCGTGTCTCGCATTGTTCATGAATCAGAAACGAGCAACGAGGATGATCATGAAAGATCCCATCAACGACACTTGACCCACATGAGTCTCGAGGAAAATGTTGATTATTCAGCCCTGGCCTTCAGTAGTTCGTGGGTCAATCGAATGCTGAGGCTGAAGTAGAGCCATTAGAAATCGAAAACAGTAGAGCAAATAGCTGATCGAGCAGCGATGACTTAGCTGGAGCGAAGCTGCCCGCGTTTCTTGTTTCTCAAGCCCCGGAAAAAGCGACTATGAGTAACTGAGGGAAATTAGAAACAGGCTCATTGGCGCTACATGGCGAGCGTGACCCGCATGAAACGCGGTGGTAAAAAGTGTTTGTAGACATCGAGTGGGTTACTGTAACTCTACGCAGCAGTGAAGGAGCCAGCGAGGTATTACAAGAAGCGAACGGAGAAGTTGTTGGCGCGTCTCACATGTGTGAGGCCCCACGTGAAGAGCATGATCGTCAAAGTCCCACCAACGACATGTGTCCCACATGTGTCTCAGTAAAAATGTTGCACCCGGGCTTTGACTTCAATGAGTCTATGTTTCACGACCAATAGGATCAGAGTAGAATCATCAGGGACACAGAGACAATGATGCAATAGCAATGATTTATTCGATTTGTTCTTTTTGGCGCCGGTACTTTTCGGGGTGTCGTCTGGACCGGTTAAGCGCCTTCTTTTTCTTCCTTTCCTGATGACGCACAACAGGCGTCTTCTTGTTCTTGTTGTCCTTCCACCAAATTTCAGGCTCCTTCTTGATCTCCACTTCTCCGGACGTGACTCCAGGCCTCATGGTCCATCGTCTCGTGCTCTTATCAAATATCATGTAGTCGAGTTCTTGATTAGGCATTACCGGAGCGAATTTCTTCCTCTCCTCATTTGCCCATTTAGACACGAATGCAACCTGTTCTAGAGTTTTGAAATAATCACGCTCCTCAATGGGTCCGTATGGATTGTCGACGGTGAAAGTCACCCAAGAAGGAGGTGCGAGTGCCAGAGTGTTTCTCCGCTTTCGCTTCACCGCCTCGCTAACTGAGATATTGCGCAGAACGGCAAATTTCACGATGGGTGTGAAAGAACGTCTGATCATCTCATTGAAGCTTGACCATACTGCCTTTCTACTTTCGTCGGCGTCTAGATGTAGGCCCTTGAAATCATTCTCTTTCTCGCTCTTCATATCGCTCTCGTACCTCTTTGAAGTTCTTGATCTCGTGGAAAAAATGTGGCTTGACTGTGGAGACACGGACGATCGTTGAAGAGTGCCATCGTCTGATTGAAAGTGCGACAGGTGCTGACTTTGGTGCTGATCATGGTGCTGATCTAGCAAAGGTTGATGCCACGTTGACAAGTAGCCTGACAAATTATGATGCCGCGCGTACTCATCATATTGAATGCCCCAGGATTGATGTGGATGCTGATCGTGATGCCGATCATGGTGCTGATCGTTGTACTGATTGTGTTGTTGATCGTGGTGTTGATCGTGGTGTTGATCGTGGTGTTGATCGTGGTGTTGATCGTGGTGTTGATCGTG